TAAAATATAAAATCATCAGTCATCCATAAAAAAAATTTTTTTCATCCTTCTTTACCTTTGTTTGAGCTACTAATCTAATATCACTTTTTTCCATAAATAATCTTGTTAATCCAATAACAACGTGCATAGGTGCTTCAGTGATAAAACCCAATAGAGAAGGAGCCGTTGCATTCATAAACAATTCCACATCTTCAAAGGGAACAAATCGTTGTCGTTGAGCTTCTTCAGCATTAGCTACTTGTGTACCAGGATAGATGACATGTTGACAAATTTGAAGTTGACTAAAATTGGCAACAATCACGCTAAGCATAGTCAAGTTTTGATCATGACTGAGTGGTCGAATGATACGTGGAATCAATTTCTTTCCTTTGTTAATACCAAGAATAGAGACAAGTAATGGAGTACTAAAATAATAACATCAGTCATATGCTTTTTCTCTAAACCCGATCATCTTACCTTCCTTCTTTTCCATCATCCATTAATTTGAGAGCTGTCCATAATTGTTGTACTTTGGTATTGTATTGTCCGTTCCTTTATATAAAATAAAATAAAAAATTAAAAAAGAGAGATCATTTACTTCCATCTGTTTTCTTACCATTCTTCAACCTTTCGTTCTTGTTCTTCTTCATCATCACGTCTCGATCGAGGAGGACCTTGTCTACGCATTTGTTCCAGTTCTAACACCTTGAGATAAAGTCCTTCAACTACGTTAAGAAGTCGTCGTCGATCGTTCAATGTCGCATTTTTAGTCTTTGTCTATTAAATAAAAAAAAAGGATGGTAAGCATAGTACAAATCGATCTTTTTTTATCGATAACAAAAAAAAAAAAAAAAAAAAAAAAAAAAAAAAAAAAAAAACGTACGGTTGCAATATGAGGATGTTCAGATGACGTTGTGATGGATTCATGAGTCGATAACGGTGACCCATCTCCTTGATTTGACTTCTTTTCGGAAACTTGAAGTATTTGACGCGGGTTTCTAGTTGAAAGACTAGTGATCTTACCAAGAGCACCTTCCAAAGTAACTAAAAATTATAAAAAAGAAGTAAATAAGGTTGATATTATACTAAACATACGAAACATATTTTGATAAATATACCTTGAGTTTGCTTAGGTCGTCGTTTGGCATCATTAACAATACGTTGAACTTGCTGTTGCATTCGTTGCATCATGTTATCTTCTCGGCGACCACGTCCACGTTGCTCATTGTTGGTTGGTTTATTGGCACCAAGTCCAGCAGCACGCATCCGGAGAGATGAATATACTTGATAGTAAAAGTCATCTGCATAAGGATCTCCTGAAGCCAATTGAGTAAGTTGAATACGTTGAACCAAATCTTTATCATGTTGAGTCATCAGATTATCATATTGAGACTATAGAATATATAAAAATGAATATCACAAAACACCGATTTTTCTTTTTTTGGTTACCTTTCGCATATTTTCCCTTCGTTTCATTTCCCGTTCAATAGACATTTGTTCCATCAATTCTTGTTGTTGACGTAAAGCTAAGATTTGTGCAGGATCAGGTTGGCCAAAACCAAATGGAGGTAAACCTGCTTCTTGTTGTTGTCTTAATTGTTGAAGATGTTGTTGCTGTTGTTGTAATTGCTGTTGTTGTTGTTGTTGTTGCAGTTGTTGCTGTTGCTGCTGTTGTTGCTGCTGCTGTTGCTGTTGTTGTAACATAGGGACACGACCAGTACCTTGCATCATTGCCGCTTCCACTTCAGCCAAGCTTAACATTTTCTTGCCAGATGTGAATTCATCCCCATAACTTTGACGATATTTTGCACGTTGCATTTCTGCTTCAATTTCTTCAAGTGAATGATGTTGGCGTTGTGGTTGCTGTTGCTGTTGCTGTTGTTGTTGTAACATTCCCATGGAGGTTGAAGGTGACATTCCAGGAAGTGAAGTAGGATATCCCAATTGTTGATGTCGAGTAAATGGTGATACATTGCCTTGATTCACTCCACCAAAAGTATCTATAATAAATCATCATGTTAGATGAAAGTATAAATCATTTCGTTCTACATTACCATTGTTTCCAAAGTTACCCCAGATTGATCTTGCAGCATTTGAAGAGGACTAAAAATATATATTATAAACATTAGATTTTTATGTACACGTGTATTATCCAAAATTACCTCATCGTATTGCATATGACCAGTAGGCATACGACGGTCGACAGGTATTTCATTTGATGTTTTCCAACCATGACCATCCTGTTGATCCAAATTGCCTAAAATCCAACCAAAAAAAAAAAAAAAAAAAAAAAACATGAATACCAAAAATTAATCTTTTTTTTTTTTTAAAAAAAAAAGAAATATGTGTTTTACCGGAAGCTTCATGAGGTTTGTTACGATGATGGAGCATACGCTCTTCTTCTGGCAAGTTTGCAGTGAATTTGACAGTATTCGCAGCGAAATCAAAATCTTGACCTAAAGATGTATATAAAAAAAAGAAGGACATTAACATACTACTATATCAAGTCTCCAAAGAAAAAGAAGATATAATATATATATATTACCTATATTGTCGTCACCAAAAGTTTCATCATTCAAATCATCACCAATTTCTTCTAATTGATCACCTAAACCATCGTTCACTTCTTCATCCCCAAGTTCATCGCGTAAAGACGCAAAATCGTAAACATCGGCATCTTCTCTAGCAGCACGTTCCTTTGCAGAAAGATGTTGAAGAGTATCTTCGTCATCCCTTGGAGGTAGAGTCGTATCGAAGCTATAGAAGAAAAAAAAAAAGGAATTGTATGTAAGTTTCTTTTAAAAAGCTGTTTTATCATTCTTTTCTTTTTTTGTTTTACCCGAAAAAAGAATCACCCATAATAACAATTGTATAGAGTAACTAGTTATTCCACCAAAATGTTGATTCTTTTAAGAAAGAAAAAAAATATATATATAATCAATAAAAGAGAACGTTATACTTTTACTCTACAAGGGTGAAATTCCACATCTTTTCTTTTTCATGATTAGTTTTTTTACCTAATGAGGCTAATAAGTAAGGTAGTAAGTTTTATATAATAAGTAATAAAAAAGTATAAAGAAGACTAAATATAAAAAGATCTATAAAAAGTAGAATATATATATTAAAGTGATCAAAAAAAAAAAGAGGAAGAGTGGAAAAAAAATAAAAAAAAGGCTGTTTGGCGGGAATCCATTTGACTGGAGTGACTGATTTTTATGAATCTATGATTGGCTCTATTATTCATAAGACATTAGACTTTTTGTAAAGTATCTAAAAGAGCTTGTGCAAAATGAGCATGCACCTTTGTAGTAGGATGTAAATCATTCAACCAGAAGTACCTATATATAATATATATAAAGAATTAGTTTAATTTTGATTCATTCGTCATCATCTATGGTTATGTGATTCGTACTCAGCAATGGGTTGACAATCATGTTCCTCAGGTTGACGCCAATCAGGGCAATAACCAGTGACATTACCAAATCCATATTCATTAGGATTATCCAGTATTCGAGTAAAAATAGACCAAGCATCAATCAAATAGAAATGACCATCATGGTATTGATCAACTACATCGTTAACCATCTGTTCTATTTTCTCATTAAATTCTAAATCCTAGACATTAATACTTAAAAAAAAAAAAAGGAGTTGTGCAGTATTTACCTTTTACCAAAGCACGCATTTTAGAAGCTGTTTTAGGTGGTGCCCATTTTGGACTTTTATCAATAGGAGGCACGTTGATCAAAACGAGATTTCTTGCATTATTATCATATAAAGAATCCTGTTTAGCCAAAATAAGATGAAGGAAGAAGTCAAAAAAAAAAAAAAAGAAAAAGAGGTTAGTCAGTTTCCTTTTATGGAACGAGTTGCACTTTGTTTATATGTCTATACATATATTTTTTTTTATGCTGTCATACAATCAATTGACGGTATCGGTGTATAATCACATCCAACGATGTGATAGGGTTGTTTAAAAGTAGTCCAACATCATTGATGCCCACCCAAATACTATAAAGGGTTGATTCCTTTGACCAAGTAGCATCATTTTGTAAAAAGTACTCTGGGAATAACTGAATGATTTGTTTATTGACGTCGATCACACTAATCAAACAAACATAAAAAAAACATTAATGAATGCAAGTATTTAAGTATATGCTAGATCTGGATTTTCTTACTTTGGGTCCTACAAAATGAGAATGGAATTGAAATAGACTTAGTTTTCATATTTGCTTTCCCTTATTAGTTTTATATCCACCCAGTTGTTTTTTACTACATCATTCTTATATATCTATATATTTTTCTTTTTTTGTTGTTGTTCATTTTGAAATCATATCCAATGATTTTTTTTTTTTACCTGATTCACCAATGTATTTTGTACAGGAGCACTATTATACGCCAAATCCCATTTAGTAAGATGTAAAGTTTGAGTAAAATAATTGACCCAATTGCGACCATTAGTAGATGATACATTATTATAATCTGGATAAGACATGGTAGGTAAATCTAAATAATTAGTTGTATACGAATCACCAAAGGCAAAATGAGTCTTGATGTTTTCTAGATCAAACGATTGTTTTCGACGATGATGAATGGTTGGCATGGTAACATGACTTTGTATCATCAATGATAATAAAAGAAAATAAATTAGATACATGATAGTACAATTGTTGAATTAAAAAAAATAAAAAAAAAAAAGAAAAAGAGAGAAAAGTTTAAAAAATGATCCTTATTTTTTTTATATCCTTTTTTGATGTATGAGGAGCATGAATAACTTTTTGGAGTAGAAAAAAGATTACTTTTGTAGATGACATGCAGGAGGATAATCCAGGAGGACGTTTGGTCCCTCTCTACACGTAATCACACTCTCTTTCCAAAAAGAGATTTCATCCATTTTAGGAATTCTCGTATTACACAAAAAAAGGGGAAGAAAAATGACAGTTCCGCATGATGGTATGGATGATTTATCTAGCAGGTGTCCATCCCATGAAATACATCAAGTAGCAATGAATAAAATAAAATGACATCCATGGAAACAGTCAAATGTCATGATTATTGTCATTGTTCATGAACCAAAAAAAAAAAAATGATGAGATCATTAAAATATAATAGAGAAATATCATTTCAAAACAATTCCTCTTTTTTTTTTTATTGAATCAAATAATTGTATAAACATACATCTAAAAAATCTAACTATTGTCTACAACATATATTATGAATAGTACAAACTAAAGTTTGGCCAGAGGAACAGAGTAGTTCGGTTTGAAGAAAATATCCACCATTTTACGTCGTTGAACTTTGCCAGTACCAGTTTTGGGAAGATGATCCGTCACATAAATTCGTTTAGGTACTTTGAATTTCGCCACCTTTGAGTTGACATAATCTTGTAATTCCTTTTCTGTAGTAGATGATTTGAGAACGACAGCAGCATGTACTTCTTGACCATACATTTCATCCGGTACACCGAATGACACAGCTTCAGCTACACTGGGATGACTAAGTAAAATAGAATCCAATTCCAAAGGAGAGATTTTTTCTCCACCACGATTGATCAATTCCTTGATACGTCCAGTTAATATCACATAACCATCCTTATCCTTCTTCCCTTGATCACCGGTACGGAAATAACCATCTTTTGTAAATGATTCAGCAGTTGCCTTGGGATTGTTGAGATAACCTTTGGTCACATTCAGTCCACGGATACATACTTCACCTTCTTTCACAGGGTTGCCTTCATCATCTAAAATCACGACTTCCACCCCTTGACCAAAACCAACAGATCCAGGTTTGTGTAATCCATTCTTAGGTAATGGGTTGGATGTCATCTGATGACTTGCTTCCGTCATAGCATAAGCTTCTAATACAGGTGCCTTGAATATGTTTTCAATTGCATGGAAAGTAGATGGTGCAAGACTTGAGGAACATGATCTGATAAACCGAATCTTGGGGACTTGTGTTGGGGGATTGCGTAGCAATATCTGATGAATCGTAGGTACTACATAGATTGGTGAGACATAAACAAAAAAAAAAAAAGGTTAGTAAAAAATACATATATATAAATAGAATGACCCCAAATTTATATGCAAAAATGGATTATTTTGCCTTAAAATGGATCATTTTTTTTTATTATTATTATTTTATTTTAGTGTTTCCGGTTTATTGTTTTACCTGCAGTATACCAGTTACAACCATTATCCATGAAATCTGTCCAGAAATGAGAAGCACTAAATCTGTTCGGAATCACAGCCGTACCACCTGACAATAAAGTTGCGAGTAGACCACAAATCAAACCATGAACGTGAAATAAAGGCATTACCAAAAGAGTTTTATCTTGTTGAGAGAGTTCATAAGTTCGAATAATATTTTTCATAGAAGTTGTCAAATTGAGATGAGTCAAAGGAACACCTATATATATAATAGGAAGTTTTGATTCAGTTAATTTCAATAATAATAATAATAATAATAATAATAAAAAATTATATTTATTATACCTTTAGGTCGTCCAGTAGTCCCACTAGTATGTAAAAGTAAAGCCACATCTTGAGGTTGAGGATGAAAAGAAATAGGTTGAATTGTAGAAGTAGAACGAGCATAAGGAGAATACAATTGAATAGAGTTTCCGTCCCAAAACAATTCTACCACATAGACACCACGTCTTTCCTGAGCAGCAATGACAGCAGCATAGTTACGTTGAATGGAACCAGGAGGAACGATCATGACAGTACTTTTGGCATCTTCAAGGTAAAACAAGAATTCATCTTTGGTGTAGGCCGGATTCAAAGGAGATGCCACCAGTTGCATAAAAGCACATCCTAAGAAACTAACTACGAATTCAAGACTATTGGGATAAGCAATGGAGATAGCATTGCCTAGCGTCAAACTTTCAGAAGGAAGAATACTGGTAAGCTTGGTGCTAAAGTCTTGTATCACTTGTTCAAGTTCGCGATATGTCAAAGTTGTTGGAACTGTACAGGACTTGGGGATAACTATAGCAGGTTGATGACTTGAAGAATGAGTTTCAAAGATAGAATGAAGACTTGACATTACAAAAAAAGGTATAAGGAGGAGAAAGTAAAAAAAAAAAAAAAAAAAAAAAAAAAAAAAAAGTGGATAAATGGAAGAAGAAAGAGAGTGAAGAAAAAAAAACTGCGATTTAAGTTTTTTGAAATCTCTTATCACGTCATAAGCGGGGGAGAAGAAGATGATATGAAACTTCCGCATCAGGTAAAATTTAACCCAAGAATCATTCCGGTAACAGTCGTTAATGTCGCATGGGTGCGAGCGAATGAAGTTTTTTTATTTTTTATTTCACTTACAAATGATGCATATATGTTGTTTTTATTTATGGTCCAAATTTGTATTTTTAAATATGCCTTTTTGGGTTACTAAAATTCATTTCGTGTCATGATCAGTATTCGCTTTCATCCAAAATTCTCATTAATATTATCTCTCTCTCATCTGCAACATTTATTATCAATTGTTCATTAGATTATCTATTTTAGAATAATCATTAAAAGCAATTGTGTTCTTTATTATCGACTCTCTCTCTTTTTGTTAATGATGATGACTAGTGTTTGATATGTATGGGCTAAGAAACATATTGAAAGATAACGGCTCTGCGAACAAAGAAATATCTAAAATGGTTGGTCTCAATTTTCGAAAAGCAACAAAAAACAATATTAATAGGTGGTATTACAGTGCAATAATCCATTTTTTTTTTTTTTTACTGAAGGGATCCGGTACCTAGTGATCACGCCAAGAACGAACGATGACTGATTACCAACAGCAAATCAATAATACACCTTTTCATCATCACCTTCTATCATCCTCTTCTGCTGTTGGACCATCAAATAAAAATAGTAATTATAGAAAAACCCCTGATATTATGCAGTAAATGACTCATCCTTGGAAACGTCCTCCCAGATTTGATTTTTCTTCCATTCTTACTTAATATATATATATATATTCCTTCCTTTTCTATTCAATAAAATATGTTTGGACATTCCTTTATTTTATTTTTTTTTTATCATCGAACCATCGTGCGATATGGATGATGTGAATCCGCAAAAAAGAAGAAAAGTCGACCAGTTAAACTTCAACCCCTTTTTTATGTCTCCACAGTTCGCCTAACTACTCCTATTCACCTCTTATGTAACTTCATTTGACTCAGGTGCGACTTTTACTTTTAGAAACAATTTGTGTAAATAAAATCTAACAATATATATATTTATTATAATATCATAAAATAAAATGTAAAGTCTAATAAAAAAAAAAAAGGTTCACTAATCTAACTACACACAATCTAAACGGCTAAACTTTTCTACTTTTGGTATCATTCTATTTGTCCCATGGAGGTATCTGTTGGTGTCACAATCACTTGGCCTTGGTGTGTAAGAATCACAGGTCTAGAGGATGAACTGCTTCCTGTCGCTTCCGGGATATGCTGTCTAATGACGTCGTTGTGATGTTGATGAGCCGATGCATAAACGCCCAATCCAATATTCATATAATGTCCAAGCGATCTTGCAGTTGTTGGAGTGACAGGTGACTTTTTCGTGATAGATGATGATTCTGTTTCAGATGATGATACAATGGGCCAAAAAACTGAATTGTCATTTGTTGTTGTTGTTGTTGTTGTTGCGGTTCTTGTTGATATATTTGTCATCATAGACTGTGAAGGTGTATTGGAAGATGGGATGGATGTGGTGGTTGTCGATGATGGTGTTGTACTTGATGTTTGTGCTTCCCAATGTCGATCTTTTGTTTGTCGCATGAACCAATTGGATATGGATGAAGGATCATTCAGTTTTGCATGACTCATAAGTAAACCGCCGGTAGTGAGATCTTGTTGACGTTGATCGTCCATAAAAAATCGTGACTTGTATAATAAAGCATCTACACTTGATGGAGCCATCCGTTCATTCCAAACATGATCCATTTCAGATGTTTCCAAAAAATAAAGAGGCACTGATGAATGATGTAACTGTTCCGGCTGTTCGTGATGTCGTTGATAATGTGAATGGTTGTTGTGTTGATGAGAACGCCAATCCAGTGATGATGATGTTGTTGTTGTTGATGATGATGGTGGTGGCGGTGGTGGCGATGATGATGATGTTGATGTACCAAATGCTTGTGATAAAACTTCCGCTGCATTCTGTTCAGATCCGCTAAGATACATATGGTTATTGGCGTTATTGATAGTAGTAGTAGTAGTAGTAGTAGTTGTTGTTGTATCTGTCGTACCATGGGTGTCATTTGTCGATACTAAAAAGGATCCAACAAGATCATTTGCTGTTACTTGAGAATCTGCTATATGTAATGCTTGTTCCACTCGGATCACAAACGAGTCAACACCAGGGATCAATCTTTGTCTACGCCGCATCATGGAAGATAAAGATCGCATACCTCGTTGGAACATAAATCGAGAATGTCTTGCCAAGTTTGTTGTTTGATTTGTACAATTCAAAAGATGAGCCCGAGTAGACAACATGATACCAGTTGCTGTAAGAAGATAGGAGGTGATAAGGTTATTTTGCTCTGCCATGGAACATGTGATTTGAGTCAAATTAGTCGCTGCTGATATGCATCTTTGATGTAGTAATTGGTTGGAACAAGAAGGCGATGCAAAAGGTAAAAGGATCCGCAATTGAATCATATTGAACAGTAAATGTAAATGGGCGACTGACGAGTTTCGTGGAGGTTCTGTCGGAACTGGTGTAGATGTTGAATGTAGGGTCGGTAAAGGAGTCCAATGAAAATGAGGTGGTAAAGCTTGTAACCATTGAATAAGTTCTTGATGTAGATGCATAGCAAATGTTTCGTCCATGTGTACAGATTGCTTGGAAAAATGATCAGGTTTGAGACATCGTTCAGCCATTTGCATTAGTTTAATAATAGCAACAAAACCTTCCATTTCTTCTTGATCTTCATTTGGCCAATGACACCTTGGTAAATCCATATTGATATCATCTAGTCGTATCATCCAAGCATCTCCGTAATATATACCTTGCATTTTGTCCAGACAATAACATCCCCATAATATCCGTTTCCTTAATTCTTCGTGAGCTATATCGGAAGTTTGATGAAGTTGACCATATCCTAATCCATTACACATTCGAAATGCCATGGCTCCATACGCTCTTGATGTGAATCGATAATCAGAGTTGGGTTCATAAAGAGACAATAAACAGAGAGCAACTACAGTACTGAGAGAAGGAAAAGTCATGGCATAATCCAAAAGTTCCAATGCTTGTTTGAAGTAAGAATCCGCCACTTGATCATCATCAGAAGCATGAGCAAACATAACCAGTAAAAGAAAGGGTGAAATCAAAGGACCATTTTTGTCAAATTCTTGTGAAAAATAATCAAAGGGTATCAGTTGTAAGAGAGGATATTTTTCACGATAAAAAGATTTGATGAGTTGACTTTGAACTTTCCGTGAAGGTAATGTCGTATTGTTGAAGTTGACTTTTGTTGATAAATCAGTTGTTATTTCTATAAGATGTTGTTCATTGATATACCATTTGCCTTCATTTCCTTCACCAGGCCATCTTGTACCAAGATAATCCAAACTTTTATTAGTATTTTCTAATTGTTGACGTTGTATACTTGATTGTCTATTCATTGTCGTTGTTATTGTTGTTGTTGTTTTTGATGTTGTTGCTGTCATTGTTGTTGATATTAATGATTTTTCCATTTCTTGTCCATTATCCAGATGATCTTCTTGATTTGGAGTATCATTGTTGATAATCATATCATCATCATCCATAGCACCATCGGAAGAAAATGTACATGATAGTTGACGAGCTATATATATATAAATAAGGAAGTATAAGAATACAGGATCATCCTTTTGTTTTGTTTTTTTTTTATTATTATTATTTCTTTTTCTTTACCTTTGCACTATATATAATAAATAAATAAATAAATAAATAGAGGATGATCCATCAATACATGGTTATTTTTTCGATTTTTATTTTTATTTTTTTATTTTTATATATTACCTGCATACAAGGTTGAATTCCATCACACTACCAATATATATACATATAAAAAAAGTGAATAAAAAAAAACATAAATTGTTTCCGCGGAAAGTAGAAAAAGGGTCAAAACTATTTTTATTTACCTTGATTTTTTTAACCCGACAGGAATAACAGGCTCGTCCTACTTTGAAGCGTTTGGGTTTTCTGTCTATAGATGGATCATTACTTTTCACTAGTTGTTTTTTGGAGGAAGATACTGCCATTTCAGCCTAGGTTGGTTAAGGGAAAGTGTTGGATGACGATAAAATGATATAACGTTTTTGCTGATGGCTTGATCAAATAAAAAGATGAAACTACGTCGTAAGTATTTTTTGATACATCCAATCTGTAGAGATAGATTGAGATAAAGTATGTGAGAGAGAGAGAGAGAGTAAAAGTATATAAAATATAAAAGTTTGTTGTTCAGTTAAAAAGAGATAAAAAGGAAAAGAAAAGACAAAAAAAAAAAAAAAAAGTGAACCAAAGAATATCCAATAATCAGCAATATTTTTAATCACCGCGTATTTTTTTTATCAATCAAAAGAAAAAAAATTATACAGTTCTTTTTTATTTAATGTTATCACTTACAAAATAATAACATGAATATAAAAATATAATAATAATAATAATAATAATATAACAGCAAATATATATATGTAAAGGGTATTATCCATCTTGTTTTCCAAATGTATCCACTACGGTATGTTGATCAGAGATTTCGCCGGAGTGTAAAATGAATTCCTGTCGATCAAATCCATCATCATCATCATTATCATTATTGCTGTTCTCATTTTGTTGATTTTGAACTTTTTCCATATAAAGTGAATGATGCAGAGGTTGTGTAGCTACTCGTCGTATAATTGTATATTTATCATAATTGGCTGGTTCATCTGGTTTACTGATAGGAAGATGATGAGTCAATCCTGAAGTGGTTGTTGAACGTCGAACATTCCATTGAGACGAAGAGTGATCTTTCCAAGGTGATGGTAATGAAGAACTATTTCTTTTAAGATGATTGTTTGATAATAATGGTGAAGCTGATAATACTGATTTAGGCAATTTTGTAAAAGGATCGCATGTTGTTGTATGATCCATTGGAGGAATACTTGAATCTTTATTGGATGATTCCATCCCATCTTGTAGTGTTGGAGAAGGTCGTTCTTTTTGGTGAAAATTGAATATATATAATGCCACAATGATCAAAACAAAGACAACAAGACCACCCGTTACAGCACCTGCAACAATTGCCATAGAAGGAGTACCTGATAGAGTCAATTGATTGCCATCCCCGCCTATGTTATGATTGTCACCGTTACCAGGATAACCAAGTGATGGTACATAATATGAAGTCCAACTCCAAGTAGTAATATCTAGTACTTCCACATCAGACATGACAGTAAGTGATGTTGAAACACCTAAAAAGCATAAAAAGTACTTTTTAATATATGTATACATTTTGGATGTGGTTTTTTTTTCTTATTTTTGTCTTACCAGTAAATCCAAATGCGACAATCATATTGCTTCCAATCAAGGTAGCTAATAAAAAATATATAAAAAAATATAATGATGATTAATTATAAATATATATATATATAATTTCGGGTTTACCTGTATGCTTGTAATAACGAGCAAATCATCCACATTTGAAAGATAAGATTATCAAATCAGTGTGATTGTATTTTTTTTTTCATTTTTTTTTTTTCATTCTTTCTCTTTTCTTCAACTTACATCGGCTCGACCTTGTACAGCAGCATTGGTATTTTTCACAGTCCAAGTCCAAGTTCTTGTGTCCAGCACAGCGACGTCATTGAAAACATGATACCCATCATAACCGCCATATCTACCCGAATAGAAAAAAAAAAGAAAGAAAGAAGAATAAGTTCAATGATGCTTTTTTTTTTTGAATCATCAAAATAATCATCACTTGCATTAAAATAGAAACACCATCCGACATGAGTACTTCACTATGAGAGCTTCGATTAGCAGGTTTGTTTTCTTTATCTAAAGTTGCCATCACTTGTGTCCAATGATGTGTCAGAGTGTTGAATGTCCATATATCTTGCATTGAAATTGGACTACCTGTAGAACCGTCGAATCCACCAAGTATAACAATCACATTTTGATTCACCAAAGTTTGAGTATGAGAATAACGTAAAGGAGGACTGAGAGATGATGATTGGAGTAAAGTAGAATTGGCAGGATAAAGAGAATCTAATCGATACATGGAAGAAGGTAATTGTTCAACCGTATTATTAAATTTTTGAACCCGAGATCGTTTCCCACCCCATATCTATTTTCTCCAAAAAAAAAAAAAAAAAAAAAAGAAAAGGTCAATCAAATATATAAAATATGGAAGTTGATATTTAATTTACATAGGCCACACCATCGGTCACTATGGTAGCAAAAGCACCTTGTCGATTCAAATAATTTTTGGGAGGAAGACTGAATGTATTCCAACGACCAAGATCACAATCATAACTGTAAGCCACATCAGCTTCGTCAGTAGTACTATTTGTTGGCATGAGACCTCCAACAATGATCATGTTTCCGTTTTGATTACCACCAGCAAAAGCAATATGGGAATATACCGTAGGACCACCTAAAGTTGCTTGAGGACCAGAAGTAGGTTTCCAAGGAAGTCTAGTCAAGGCGAACGGCTCATCGATCGGTAAGATGGCTAAATCGGAAATCCATAGAGGACTATCTACTGGAGCACCAATTGTTGTATCACCACCATAAAAGTACAAACTAGAAAGAAGAAAAGAAAAAGAAGTCTGAGAACGAAATAGACATAAAAGAAAGATTTTTTTTTTTTACCTATTATTGACCAAAACTACAGAATGACCAAATCTTCGTACTGCTTTGTAGGCTTTACTTTCTGACCAGAATAAACTATAAAAGACAAGTAAAAGTAAAATCATCATCAAGGATGATTTCTTTTTTTTTTTTTTTGGTGTGTAGGTTTGTAGTTTGTATAACCCACACACACACACACAACCACACACTTGAAAAAAAAAAAGAAAGATGATAAATAGAGAGAAACAAGAAAAAAAGAAAAAAAAAAAGAAGAAAAAAGAGAGAGAAGCAGGAAAGGAAGAAGTAGAATAATAATAATAATAAAAAAAATGCATGAATGTAAAGATTGAGGGGTATGAACATATTCTTGGCTTTCATTTTCAACCATCCACAGTACCGACCGACGCGGAATTTCAACTATATCATTCAGACCATATAAAACCCTTTTTTTTTTTTTTTTCCTCTTTCTTTTGTTACTTATTTATTCATGGCTGCTAGATTTACTGTAGCTAGTGGTATTACTTCCAATAAATACTACAATTATATTGCTTCTTTTTCTATACGGTCTCTATCTACGTTTGCCTTATTAACTATCACTCTCACCTTATGTTTCATATATTCGTCTAGTGGTCCAAACTATCTTACTTCCACCATGGATAGCTTTTTATTTGCACAAAATAAAACTCATTTACTTTCTACTGCAACATACGATTGTCTTTATTGTGAAAAACCTCAGACTTTAGGATACACACGCGAACAACTTTTCAATGCCTGTCTTGATCCTGGTGTTGTACCTGAATATTATCTTTCTATAGTAGTGGCAGCTCGACCTATGGACTATACAGCTGATTATCGTACAAAATTACAAAATACTATTGATAGTACTTTTCTTATGGCTGAAAAGACAAAGACTCTAATGGAAATCATTCTTGTGGATTGGAACCCTCAACCTCAACGACGTCCTTTACGTGATAGCTTTAGGTTTGTTCTACTATTTAACTTTTTTTTTTTTAAGATTGACATGTTATTTATATATATGTATATAGATTTAGACGTTCTGATTTCCTGACATATCGTATTCTTACTGTGCCAAGACAAATTCATGATTCCCTTTATCAACCCGACCGCTCACCTACCTATGAATTCGAAGCCAAGAATGTTGGTATCCGTTTTGCTCGTGGTGAATTTGTTCTTTGCAGCAAACTTGGTAACACAAATTGATAACTTTTATGTATAATTTAACCTATCCTTTTTTTTTTTTTTTTTTAACAAATGGTAGACGATATCTGGACAACCCATCTTCATAATGCTGTGAAATCAAGGTCTTGGCGAAAGGGAATATTCTATACTCAGTCTCAAAAGGATGATTCTAATGGGTAAATCCTTTAAAAAACAAAAAGAAAGATCCTTTTTTTAACTCATTTTGGGAATTTATATATATATATTTAGGATAAAGGAAGATTCAGTTCAATTATCCAGTTTTCCAACTGATGATGAATTAGATCAAGCATGCGGTATCCACGATGATTATCCTATGGGTAGTTTTAAAATGACAAAGGCGGTAGAAATGAATAAGGATAACTATGTACAAATGACTCGACATGCTGGCGATTTCTCTTTAGCTGATCGGGATACTTGGAAGTTGACACAAGGTTATCGGGAAATTGGTGCCAAGACATGGATGGATGTAGAACTATTACTGACTGCAGCATGGACACTAGACATACCAATCGCATATCAACCTACCAGTATTTTTAACTGTCATCAAACATCTCGGTTGTATAACAATAACGACATGATGGATAATGTGGACATTGATGATATTAAAAGCAAGAAGATTTCTTATATGAATAAACCTGGCCACTGGGGACTACAAGGAATTGATTTATATGAACAAGGAATGAAATGTGAAGTCTTCCGTGGTGGATTGGGAATTTAGACTATGTACCATTTGTTATTAATTTGTAACAGTAATATTATACTTTATTTTTATATATTTGTACTAGATCAACACTGTTTATTTCTTTTCTATCTCTACATATACAATAAATGTTATTTAATATCAACCCATATTGAACAATGTAGCTTCCAGTTATTTCTATCCTTCTTACATACATAATTGCTTATCAATCCAATAAAGTCAAATGATAAAATAAAATGATTTTATTTCAAATACCATCATGATTCACCTCTTCCGAAGAAGACGAAGACCATGATATCAAACCAGAACCATAATAAAGAATAAAAAAGACCACTAAAGCTATTGTAACATAAAAACATAATTGTCGTTGATGTCGTTTCGATACCATTCGATTCAATCTACCAACAGAGTTTTGCAAACTATTGCCAAATCCGTCGAAAATACCGTGCTAAATAAGAAAGAAGAAGGAAAAAAAAAAAAAAGATGAATGACCTTTTTCCTATGTTGTCACAACTTTACCGATTCATTTAAAAGTCGATCTTGAGCATTCACATCTTGATGTATATCTATTGTTATCTATAAAAAAAAAGAATTTATTAAAAATAAATATCTCTCTTTTTCATCGTTGTTGTTACATTTTTCAGAGCAGAGATCTTGGAGCCTAGTTCATTCATCCGGACATCGTTTTGTTGTTCAAACACAAATCCTCCATCTTTTCGACTGGACCCAGCGCCACCAGATGTGGTCCTAAAAAAAAAATAGTATCATCCAAACAAAACCCAAAAAGAGATGAATATATATATATATAAAAGGTCATCTCGATGCATTTATTATTATTGACAACTTACATTATGTTAACAGTAACAAAGTTCTCGAAGATGACGAGAAGAAGGCCAGGAAAAAAAAAATGAAAAAAGGGAAATCCCTCTCTCTTCTCTCAGCGAATAATGTCGGTGATTCAAACAAGCATGATATCTTGTTGGTAATTGAGAGAAAAGAAAAAAAAAGAAGCTTATTATGCAAGTCATCTTCCCATATCAAGTATGTTCTTTTGAGTTGAAAAAAGAAGAAGAGAGTGTTTATTGATAGTGAAAAAAAAGTAATGTATGTATATGAGATCCACAATTCAATGAAATAAAAAGAAAGGAGGAAGGAGATGAATTATAATGCATAGAGGGAAAAAAAAATATAAATAAACATAAATAAATAATAATAATAAAAAAAGATCTATCTATCTATCTATTCTTTGTATATAATGTAATATAGATATAATCTAATCTAAAAGTGAATCTATTCTCTAGAAATATCACGACCCAAAGCAGTCTTCTTTAACCAATCAGTAATGACCAAAGCACGGTTACGACCAGAGAAAAGATTGGAAATATAAGCAGATCGCCAGAAAGCATAAGTTGCCACACCACCAGATGAAACATTACCAGGACCAAAAGGTAAATCAGCAATAGCCTTATCAGAACCAACATAACTATTATACCAAAAAAAAAAAAAAAGAATTAATAAAGATCATCACTTTTTTTTTTTTTTTTTTTTTTTACCATAAAGATCCTTGATGAGAATATTGGAAAGGTTTAATATCCTTGGCTTTTTGTAACTTGCGTTCTTTCTTGGCACGTTCTTCATCGGAAACAGTTGCCATTTCAGCTTCAAGTTGATCACGAGTAGTCATTTGATGGAAGAGACGAGCGAGATATTTACCTTGTTGAGCAGCAACTTGAGCAGTAGGAGCATACTTTGTAGCAGTAGCATCACCAAGAGCAAAGATGGATTCAGAACCTTCAAGACGAAGCCAATCATCAACAGCAAGACCACGACGAATAGTTTGAGATTCAGGGAATTTGGACATTAAATCACGAATCAAAGGACGAGAAGTATTTCCTGTAGCCCATACCAATAAACCAAAAGGAATAGATTCTTGTTTACCATCAGGACGTTGTACAATGATTTCTTTTTCCTTAACTTCTTTCACCATAGTCTTGGTATGAATTGTAATATTTTGTTCTTTAAAAGTCGATTCCGTATAATCAATCAATTGTTTGGAAAAAGCAGGAAGAACATTGGGTAAAGCTTCTACTAAAGTAATCTTGAGTTTACCAGCTAAATCAGGATACCATGCTGTCAAATCATCAATCAAAAAGTCATGTAATTCTGCTGCATATTCCACTCCGGTAGGTCCCCCACCGACCACTACCATATGTAATAATCTTTCCATTTCTTCAGGAGATTGATCAGGGAAACCAGCAGTTTCGATACAATCCATTAATTTACTTCTAATTTTTTGAGCATCCCATACTTCTTTTAGGAAACAACCATATTCTTGTACACCTTTGATACCAAATGTTTGATTTTGAGCACCTACACCAATAACAAGATAATCATATGATAATGTACTTTGATCTTTGCTGCCTTTAACATCAGAATTATCTATATAATAAATAAATGAATAAATTAAATTTGAATTCATTTTTTTTAATATATATATATATATATATATATATATATATATATACTTACCAACAATAGTAATCATTTTGTTATCTGGATCAATATCAGTACATTCAGCTTCATAAACCTTGACAGCTCTAGATTTGTGACGCGTGATGAATCGAATAGGTTCAACAATAGATCGGACATCCACAGTACCAACAGTGCAACTAGGAAGTAAAGGAGTGAATAAAAAGTAATTGCGAGGAGAGACAACAACCACATTATATTCATCAGTATCAATAGCTTTCAAGAAGGAAGTAGAAGCCCAACCACTACCAAGGACAACAATGGTTTTCTTGGTAGGATCCATATCAGATTGAACAGGAGGATGACGATGTTCATACATGGCTAATCAATAAAATAAAAAAAAATAATGTTCATGATCAATCAAAACACTTATATATATATATATATCTCCATCACAACATAACTTACCATAACCACCATAACCAATAAAAGCCACAGCACCGAATTTGACGACACCTTTGAAAAGAGACCATTTGGAGAAAGGCTTATTAACAGAAGAAGTACTGTTACACCGATAAGCTGTCTTCAATGTAGATTGAGAAGTCAAACGAGTACTAACGCGAAGAGCAGATCCTATATATAAATTAAAAAAAAAAAAAGAAAGAAAAAATATGAATAAAATTGAATTTGTGTTGGGGACCCAAAAAAGGAGTATCAAAGAAGTTATACGGAAGATAAAAATAATAATAATAATAATAAAAGTTCCCGTCATCTCCCAAGATACATGTCAAAACATATATAATTATAAAAAAAAAAGTTTTTCCATTGTATTATTATTATTATTATTATTTACCTCCAAAAGCTCTAGTTGCAGCTTGCATTGTTGAAAGAAAGGAAGGAAAGGAAGGAAGGAAGAAAAAGAAGAAGCCGAAAAGAGAATGAATGAAAAAAAAAAAAAAAAATAAAGAGTTTTTATCAAGTCCGAATACACAAAAAGCGGCAGATCTTTTTTATATGAAAAATCTTTTGACAGCCTCAAGCCTCAAAATTTCAGCTGAATGTCACGGGATGAGACTTCCGTTATTACAATAAAGAAAAAATAGTTAGATAAGAAAGATATACCTTCTTTTTACTTTTTCCTTCTACTCCACATCACTTATATTTTCATATCATATATTCTAAATTAAGAAAAAAAAAAGAAAAAGAAAAAGAAAAAAAAAAAAAGAAAGGTTGAAATGACTAAACAACAAACAAAAAGACTTTCTTTTTTTTTTTCCACACACTTCCGAAACAGGGAAACATTTTGCTGATAAATTCCTGTTCCCCAAAAGGAAATTAAGGACTTGCCAAAACGGGATGATCTTATTCCTAAGCATGTCTGTGCTTTTCTGTGGGAAATCTGATACTGTTTATCAAATATTATATATATATCATGTAATGTTATTATTACATTATACTTAAAAATAAAGAAAAAGTAAAAAGAAAAAAGAAAAGTAAAAAGAAAGAAAAGAAAGTAGGAGTATTGTCTTTTTCTGACTCATTCAAGGTACACGTGTTTAAACCGAGGCTATTAGCCGTTTGGATTTTGTTAAATACCTTATTTTTCATCACCTTCCTTTTTATCTCTACATTCCAAAAATAGCCATCTTGATAAATATACAGATTCCAAAAACATGATACTGGATTGTTTGAATCGTCTAATCGCACTTTTTTTTTGTTGAATCGTGTGTAGATTGAATATATATATATATATATATATGGGGCAAATGTCATTCCCCTATACCCTTATCCTAATAAAATATATTAATATTATATTACTTTGCCTTGATACCTTTTTTTTTCTTTTTTTTTTTTAGTCATACCTCTTTGGTCTTTTTACTTAGAAGCTCTAGATTTTACAGCATCTCGTTATTGTAGAAACAAACTTTACTAGGAAAAGAAGAAAACTGGTATCGTTTATACTTCGTTCAAAGATTCATAAGAGTGATGTAAGGTTACACCAAATAGGATCAAGTAAAGATAAAACTAAATAATCAACTTTATTTTTTTTTTTTTTGTACTTCAAACAGAACATTGTAAATAAAATAAAATGAGAGAATATAATTAATAAAAGAATCAAACCACTAAATAATACTACATTTGAGAAATAGTCCAATTTCTAGGCCAATCCAAGATCAATCCAGGTATAGCCATTCGTCTGGTTTGCTGATCAGTCGATGACACCAAAAAAGTCGTTGTTGCTATGATATGATCATCATCCTTATTCACAGATCCCTTGATGCTAGTTTTCTTTTCCAACCATAGAGAATATTCATGAAGAACAACTTTCAACTCTTCCAATGTTTTATCCGCGTATACTTGTCTTGTTTTCATATATTTCCATGTTCTTGCCGTTTGTATAAATGTTGTAGATAATGGCATAAAAGAAGATGATGGAGGTGAAGTGTCAATTGTACCCTCATCATCATCATTGTCATCGTCATCGTTGTCATCATCATCATTGTCATCGTCGCTGTCACCATTATCTTTTTCATTACATTCAACATTGCCTTTTTCCATGGGTGGTGTAGTAACTAATGAATGTATTGCACTGATGCTCTTGATACCATCCATTGTATTGTCTGCTATTGTTGGTACCTTATTATTGGTGTGATTTGTCAAGGAGAGAAGATTGTGTTTGCTTGGAAGGGTGTAAAAGAAACCATGACCATACTTCGTCTTGTCATCGACTTTTTGAGATTTGTGGGGTATAATTCTAGTGCCAGAAGAATGATTGATAGTGTTGTTCCCAAAGACAGAAGCAGATGAACCAAACTGAAATAATTTCTTCCATTTTTCCTTATTTGCTGCAGTGATAGGTCGAACAAATAAGTGATTTTTTTTGAATGAGGAGTTTCGTCGACGTATTTTGATCATTGCTGGTTGTTTTTGTTTTTGTTGGTGCTGTAATTGTTTTTCTTCTTCCTTTTCAACGGTATGTGAAATTGTCAAAGAGTTTGCCGGGTATGCGTTAGAATGAACAAGGTCATGATCAGATAAAATGACGCTAGGGCTGTTGGATAAGACAACTGGAGAATCTGGTGTAACTTGATTGGTCAATTCCAAATATCGCCTTTGAAACGAATTCAGCATGGTTTCCAACAATATGTGTACTTGACTGTTGATCGTATATATATAGAGAGAGAGACAAAGAAAGAAAAGAAGAAAAAAAGATAGTGGATCAATATATATGAATTTTGGATTTTTTCTTTTTTGTTTTCAAGGTTTCTATTTTGACTTACATTGAACATCGGTGATTATCAAGCCGATTGACATCCTTCACATCATGATGTTGATACAAAGCCTTCCAACAATTGTTACCGTTGCATAATGTTTCCGTTGTATTTGAAACAGTATCATCCATAATAGCAGCAGTCGTAGTAGTAGAACCAGCGTCGATGGATTTTGATGGTATTGTAGACATAATTGTTGATGATGATAGTAATCGAGTCATAGGTGACCACTGAATATGCGCCTTTGTCCAAATGCGGCCCAAGCGCCATACCAAGCATCGAAGGAAAAAGATACGGACGTTTCGACTCCAATGTAAGAATAGTCTTTCGAAAATAGGTGTGGCTAATAAAATGCGGTTGCACAAAAGATCCATCCGTTCTGTATCAGAAACCAAAAAGTCAAAGTGGGTATAGGTAAAAGTGAGCGCACGAAGTAAAGTGATAGTATGATCCGATTTTGATAGTATTGTTTGTAGTGTATAAAGTAAGAAAGGAATATCAAATGGTGGCAAACTCTTGTTTTGCTCCAAACTTGATGATGATGGTGGTGGTGGTGATGGTAATCGTTGTTGATTCTGACTCATATTTTCCCGTGTTCGTTGTGCTTCCAGTATCATCACTTCAATAAAGTCCAATAGACCTACAAGATAAATGAAGTATTTCTGTTCAATTAATCCCCTTTTCTTTTTTTTTTTTTTTTTTGGAACTTACAATAGACACTTTCAACAGCCATCATACTAGTTGTTTTGATCATCGTCCGCATCCAGATATTGATCATATCATAAAATAATCCCATCGGTTCTGATACCATTACACACCATACAAGGCATTCACCATAGCGCTGAGTAGCCATTTCCAAAGGCAGAGGTTTTCTCGTAGGTTGGTGTACTGATGAAGGACCAGGTTGTCGATCTGGCATTTGAGATGATAACATGGAAGGAAGAGGGACTGACGATTGATGAACGTTGGCAGTAAGATTGCTTCCCGATAAAAATCTTTCACCAGGTTCCACAAAAATGGCATCACTAGTATCGATTGCATTCGTAGTTGCAGATCCTTGACGCCCTTGTATGTTTGCTGTTGTTGTTGTGCCAGTGCGTTGCGTGTAGTTGGACATTGTTCCTGTACCACTATTGTCATGATTATTGATTGGGCAACTTGAATTTGTGGTTGTAGATGAGGAATGTAGTTGTGCTGGTTGTTGTTGAAGTGTAGTAGTAACAGAATGAAGCCGACGATGTAATAAAGAATCGATTTTCCCAGCAAAATAGGCGGCAAGATAGGTGTAACCAGGTGATACAGCTAGCATAGTGTTTCTTTCCTGCAGATCATATTTATATATTGTTGGGTATACCGCAGTAACGTAGGTTTTGAGAGTGACATGATAATGACGATAAAATGAGAAAAACAGTTCACTATCATCACTTTGCCATCTATATATATAAAAAAAAATGTATACATATATGTATTAGATTTTCAGTATATATATATATATGAAAAGTTAGTTTTCTTTTTTAATGAGATACCTTCTAGTCCAATTTCCAGTTGAAGCAATAGGTGATTTTTGCTGTTGTTGTTTGGGTTTTTGAATATGAATGTTGTACTGAGTAGGACGCCACGTCATAATAGAGTGAAGATGTCTAGGGAAAACAGAGGATATATTTTGTCTGAAATCCTTATGCCTATTAATATATAAAATAAAGTACAGATAAGTTAAAAAAAAAAGGACAAGTCAACATCATTTTGAGATTTTACTTGTTCAAATCACCTAGTTCAGCAATTATTCGTTTCATGATAGTATTTCGGATGGGTAATGTCTGTAGTAAAGTGATAGCCAAACCAGGAATCTTGATAAATCCAAGTGCTATAATAAGAAGATTAAAAATGAGGCAAATAGTGATTTTCATGCATAGTTACCTAATATTTTAGCACAAAAAGAGATCATATTTGAATAAATGGCTCTGTAATTTAACTTGTCAATAGCATATCGAAGAGTGGTCATCAAGAGATATTTATATTCCTCCAAAAGTGAACGAGTAGCCATAGTACTATTTTCCACAGGAGCATACCAATGTTCAAATGGCAAGCTTGTATCATCTAATATGTCGTATGCAACAACAAAATAGTATATGCATAACATAAAGTAAGTAAATAATTTCCCATGATATTCCAGTGCTTCTTTTTTTTTTTTTATGTACCATAAGCAACAAATTCCGATCTAAAAAAAAAAAAAAGAAAAAAGATAAATGAATCGGCTGACCATTGTTGTTTTCTAATGACGCTTTACCTTCCGATGATTTCCACAATGCATTCAAAATAGAGACTTCTTTCAGTATGATTAATATGTTGAACATGATTCATCAAAGTTGACCACCTAAACAATTAAATAAATAAAAAATACAAAGTGAGTAGTTTTATAATAATAATTTATTATTTACCATTGTAAAAGAATAGTTCTAGCTTGGTCGCAGTCAGTGGACCTTAGTCTTCCAGAAGTCGCGTTTTCTTGTTGTTTTCTAAACCAAGGCAAAATATGATAACTCAAAATATCCTGTCGTTGCTTGATTTTATTTTGAAATCTAAAACAAAACAATAAAGTCAATGATAACCTCTTAAAGACATATTTACTAAAACTGTGCCTCATTGTACAACAGATATTTATAGTAACAAAAAGTTTTCTTACTTTGATAATGTTTTTCGCAAATAATGACAGTCAACGTTATCCAAAGTTATCCGTACAAGAGGTGATATTGTTGTTGTGCTGTTTGTTGTTGCTGTAGTGATATGAGAAGAAGTAGCAGAAGTACTAGAGGTAAGTTTTGGTAGAGATGAGATTGATCCACTAACTGTTGTTGTAGATTGTCTGTCAGAGAAAAAGGAAAGTATTTTTTTTCTTTTTGTGATTGATTCAGGCAATATTCGGGTTGATGAAGAAGATCTTTGTTTGTCATGACTGGGTGACATGGTATGACGTATAAAATAAATAGAATGTTATAGTCGTGATAGTGTTAATGAAGAGAATGAGGTGAGAAAAATAAGTAAAGGTATAGATAAAAAAAATAAAAAATAAAAAATAAAAAAATCAAAACATGGCGTGTAAATAGAAATAAGAAAAAAAAATAGTGAAAAGAGAAACAAGGAAATTCTGATCCAGGTCAATGAAAAAAAGGCTTTATTTTTTTTTTCTAGGGCTCCTGACTTTTGGGAGAGCGCCAGGACAGAACAATAGAAGAACACAGTTTATTTGGAAAAAAAAAAGGTTGGAATCAATTCTAAAAGTACACTAATTTATTTGTTGTTCTTGTTGAAGTAATAGTAATCGACGAACAGCTGCTAATTTCTCTTCCAAGATTGCTACGCGTGCTTCTTTACTAATAGTTTGAGACGTCATGACTTGTTGTTGCAATTCCAAAGCATATGTACATTGTCGTAATTGAATATTGTCATCTGCTAATCGTTTTACTTTGCGTTCTAAAACGTCAACATGTGACACTTTTCTTTTGGCTGATAATGATAATAATGATAATGATGATTGATCATCATTTATTTGTCGTTCGTCGTCATCATCATCATCATCAGAAGATGATAATGAAATATCTAAAGAAATGGATGTTGATTGATCAAGTCGTCTTTTTTTGTTGTGATAGAAAGAAATTGATGATGTTGTATTTTCTAACCACTCATCCACAAGCGTTCGTTTTAAAGATAATGATTCAGTCATAATATGGTATAATAAATAAAATATTGATTTTAAAAAAACTAGGATAATAAATAAAAAAAAAATGATAGAAAAGAAAGAAGAAGAAAAAAAAAAAGGAGGGAAAAGAAGAAAAAGAAAAAAGAAAAAAGGAAAAAGAGGAGAAGAGAGGAATGATGTGGATGGATTTCCTGACATGGAAATTCTCACCCTCTTTTGATTCTTTCTCTCTTTTTCAGTTGTCCACTAAGAGCGATTTTTTTTTATCATAAAATTATGACTCTTTATGAACAGTAGATTTTTCGAATCAAATTCACCTTTTTGGAATCAATGCTCCAATGGTCAACAGATTTCAACAAGCGCTTCATGCATTTTGATTGGCCGTAACCAATGACAAAGTAGAATAACGTGTCTGATTGGTGGAACTGATGAGACAAAATAAAAAAAGGTACTTATGACTTGGAAAAAGATTAGATTCGTCTAAACTGAGGTTTCATTTCCTTTTATTGATATACATCGATACATAGATAAAGAGTGTGTGTAAAATATACTAAATAATAATAATAATAAAAACATTACTACACAGGGAATATTCTCCAAAGGTATCAAATTAACTAGCTAAAAAAAAAGGAATCATTCACATAAAGGGGATAAGAATAATAAAAACAATAATAACAATAACAATAATAATAATAACAATAATAAAAATAATAATAAAAATAATAACAAAAAAACTAAATCTACAAGGCATACATATCGTTAGTTTGGTGAAGTTGTTGTTCAGGATGACCAGGAGTAGTCTTTTTCAAAGTTTGATAAGATTGGTCTTGTTGATGATGATACTGATTATAACTTTCTTCTGTTTTATTATCACCTCCCATATCACTATATCCATAATGATAGGTGCCATCCAATTCCATATCTTCAGAACCTTGATCAATCGGGACCCCATGAGCCTTGTATCTATTTGCGTTGACATGTCGAGCCGAATTATTAAATACAAAGATACCGTGCCATACATTCCATAGGTTCTTTGCCAATATCGCAAGAGTAAAGACTATCAATACCATGGCCACTACCGTTGTAAATGTCAAAAAACTTCGTGTGAATTCATAAGGATCACTACCAGCTGTTCGAGGAACCCAAATACGTGCTAATCGGTAACTAAAGTAACACAAAGATAAAACACCACCTAACATCACAAGCATCATCATATATCTGTTTTCCTTTTGTACAGATAATAAAGCCAAAGAGAGACCAATAGCACCAAGGACAAACACAAGTACTGTTTCTACTATTGTTTCATCGTATTCAAGTTTTTGTGAAGGAATCAATTGGGCAGCAAATGAAAATACAAAGTAAAAATCTAATTTCAACATTGTCATCAATAAACTGGTAGTGATCAGGGCATTTTTGATTCTATAATAATAATAATAATAAAAAAAGATCATGAGTAATTGATGATAATTGTTATTTATCGTAATTACTTGAGATCAGCGGAAAAATTTCGATAATTATCCCAAGCGAACTGTTTTCGTAATCTCCAAGCGAAATAAGATAAAGCCAAGAAGAATGAGGGAATCAAACCAATGATTGCATATTCCAAAGGACGCATTTTACCACGATAAAACACCAAAGCAGCTTCTTTTCCAAGTAAAGTATCAGGCCATGCAGGTTCAACAGGTTTCCAAGCACCATCACCACTAAAAATCATGATATTTTGTTTTAAAAAAATAATAATAAATGTCTATTTATCTCTTTTATATATATATCTTACCATCCTACAGATTCCAATATCATATGTTGTTGTAATTGAATACCACCATATCTAACAAAAAATAAAATCATCAGATGAGCTTCAATTGATATGAACAATAAAAAGAACTTTAATATAACTTACACTAAAAAAGAAGAAGATTCCACATCAACCCAGAATAGAATGATCCGTTAGTAAACAACATCATGCATACCTCCTTCTTTTTTTTTTTCCTTACCCACAACAAGTAATCCAAATGTCAATAGAGCGCACAATTGAGCTAAGCAAATAATAATAATGATAATAATAAAAAAAAAAAAAAAAAAGAAAAGAGTGAGATCAAACTACAATTATCCAATGACAATAAAAAAAAAGTCATCTTCTTACCAGTATTTCTTTGAATTAAAGCATCTATACATAAAATCACTTGAAATACCTGACTAGCAATAAATAGACCATGATAAATCAAATCAGATTCACTGACACCTATAATAATAAAGAAAGTAATATTTTAAATATAACATTTTATATTATAAAAAGGAACTTACCATTTCCAACTGGAGTCATTTGACAGTTGCCAACTAACTTCAAGTGATTCATTACGACAAAACCTTCAAGAATACAAATAAGTATACATTCCACTGATACTAGTCCAAGAGTTATGGCAAAATCTCGGTTTTTAAAGATGGACGAAAACTTGTTGTTAGTCGCCATAGTATATGTATTAAGAAATTGGTAAGAAGTGGGTAGGTGTCTTTCCTTTTTTTTTTTTTTTTTTAGTAAGAACGAATATACATAAAATAAATAAATAAATAAAAGAAGTCAACCAAACAAAAGTTGAAGGGGAAGTAAAGAGGAAGAGAAAAAAAAAAAGAGAGAGAGAGAGAAAAACTTCTTTTTTAGCCCACCCAAAGAACTTTGATCGCCATGTGTAACAAACAAAATGAAAGAAAAGAGGGCTGAGCCTCGTAATGCTCTTTGCATTTTTTTCCAAAAAGGAAATTCAACAAGCCTAATCCACGCAATCCCAATACAAAAGGATAAATAGAAAAAAAAAAAAAAAAAAAAAAGAGTAATGGTCTATATGTTTTATTTGAGTAAAAAAAAAAAAAAAAAAAAAAATAATATAATATAACAAAAGTAGTACAAAGATTTTCTTTTTTGTATTTCTATTCTAAGACAATTTCTATCTTTTACACCAATAAAGTCTATCGAGGATATCCACTGTCATGACTGACATCTGAGTAACCATCCACTAATGATATTTGATGATGATGATGTTGCTGATGTTCCTGATCTTTTATTGATGATTCTTCGTTTCCTTGTTGTTGTCCTACCTCATCGGGCTTTTGAGAGTAACACATACTGGGATCATTTTGTGGATCTATAAAACCACCTTGTTGCTCATAACCATAATAATCAGTTTCATGTCTTCTACTACTAAGTCTTCCTGTTGTTGCACCTGCCGCTGTTGCTGCTGCTAAACTTGGAGATCCTGGTCCAGATGTTGTTGTCAAGGTAGTACCATCATCATAATAATGATCGTATCCATCATAGTTTTGTTGTTGTTGTTGTTGAGGATCTAACATCATCATTGGAGATGCCCAAGTTTGAAGAGGTGATGATGTTTGTGGTGGTGGACCAGTACGTTGATGTTGAAATGATGTGGATGGATCACGTAAACTAGTTTTTTTTGTCCATGCTGTTTCTCCACCATGTACATCAGATTCATATTGATAAAATGATGGTGTTGATCCTTGTGCTGATACTGGGAAACCTGTTGATGCTGCTGATCGCATTCCACTTCCATTATCGTAGGTTGTGTCTTCAAATGCTTGTTGATTCCTTTTCGATTGTTCATTGCGTTTTCGTCGTCGAAGGAAGAAAAAGATGATTGCACCTACAAAATAATAATAATGTCAGATCATACTTGTATTTTTTTTTTTCATAAAAGCAATCCTTCTACTTACCAATCAATGCTACTCCAACAATTCCTCCAACAACGCCTCCTGCAATAGCTCCAGAGTTCACTTGGTTTTCTGATCCATCTAAATCAATATAATAAATAGAATAATTATTTGTCAATAAATAAGTCGATAAATCGTCATCCTCTTTTTTTTTTTTTTTTTTTTGAACTTACCAATACCAGCAGTATCGGATGCTGTGTCTGATGCAAATGATGACGACGTAGGGGAGCTGACTGATGCTGCATCTGTTGTGGAAGAAGCAGAATTAGAATTAGTAGGTGATGAAGTATGTCGACGTGTACGAGAAGCGGTGTCGCTTGACGATGATGATGGTGATGATGACCGTGATGATGATGATGATGATGTGGTAGTGGTGGTAGGAATAGGAGGAGGTGTTGTAGTTGTAGGATCTTCACTAGATGATGATGTTGGTGGAGATTGATCTGATGTTGTTGTTGGTTCAGGTGGAGGTTGTACTGATGTTGTTGTAGGATCTGGTGAAGGTTGCTCTGATGTAGTTGTAGGTTCAGGTGAAGGTTGCTCTGATGTAGTTGTTGGTTCAGGTGGAGGTTGATCTGATGTTGTTGTTGGTTCAGGTGGAGGTTGATCTGACGTTGTTGTTGGTTCAGGTGGAGGTTGATCAGACGTTGTTGAATCTATTGGATGAACAGCATCTGAAGTAGATGATCCATCTGGATTGACAGCATCTGAGGTCGATGACGTATCTGATGTAATAGGATCATTGGTAGGTGAAGACATTGTAGTAGTAGGAGTAGGTGTTGGTCCTGAGTCTGAATCGGTTTGATGTATGGAGTTTGAAGTTGTTTGTTCTATAGAAGTAGTGGTAAAGTCTAGAGTTCTTGTAGTGGTAATTGAATCTTCGGAGGAAGGTGAATCAATGCTTTCGGATGATGATATATCTGGAAGTGAAGTTTCAGATTTGACTCGAGTAAAGAGAGGTGAAGTTTTAGCTGGATTTGTTGAAAAATGCGATCTTATGGATGTACTATAAATTATATAAATGATCACTTTATTATCCCCTAATTGGATAATTTTTTTTTTTACCTTTTAGATGAAATATCCATAGATATCTTATTAGGTCAATATATTTGTCTTTTTCTATGATTTCAACCTAAAATTCATAGACATAAAAATCAAAAACTGTCTAATCTTCGTATTACAAGAAAAATAAAAATGCTTACCTTTGGTAACACAATAAGGTCAATTCTTGGGAATAAAGGATAATCACTGGTAGATGATTTTTAGTGAATGATAATGATAAAGAGAGTAGAAGAAAGATGATGGAGTTTCACTAAAGATATATATATCGAATAATAATAATAATAATAATAAGGGAAAGAATAGATGAAAGAAAACAGAAAAAAAGAAACAAAAAGAAAACAATAAGAAAATTTTTTGAACCAAAAAAAAAAAAGCTGTATTGAATCTCAGGTCACTTTACCCAAAAAGAAAAAAAGGTTGCCCTGGTTTCACCCGCCAAAATCCGACTTTTTCGTCAATGGCTTTTATTCATAAAAGGAAATCCTCTATCGGCACAACTACTTCTTCCATATTCTTCTTTCTTTTGAGCTGTAAGGGGGAAAATGGAAACAAATAATATCATCATCATATCGTTCTAATATACTATAGATTACCTTAGTCTTTCTTACCAACCATGTGTTAGTTTTTTTTTATTGTTATTATTACTATTATTATGATTTATAAATCATAGATAGCATGTTCAAAGACTAGTAATAATTGGGATCGCGTGGAATATTCGGTCATTATTATCATCGATGTTCCTTTAATCTAGGCAATACGAAACAGAGTATTGCCCAAAAGGTCATAAAAAAGCGTTATTAAATTCACAGAGCATGAAATACGGGTAAATCCTTTGGCCGAGGGTCCATCAGCCAATCTTATTTCTTGATTGATCGACGGAATTGAAAATACGCAAGGGTTTTTCGCTCCACTTGGAAGTATAAATGTTCCATCTTATTTTTTTTCTTTCTTATTTCACTTTACTCTCTTTTTTTTTTTATTTTATTATTACTTTCTCATTGAACCAACAAACACTTCTCTTTTTTTTTAAGTTATTACTATGAAATATAAAGAAACACTTGACAAGATCATTCAATCAATGCCCAACCATGGCGAACTAGAAACTGCTGGCAAAGTGATAGCCATTGGTCTTGCCACCTACATTGTCACCAAGGTAATATAAATGACGAACGTGTAACTTATGTTTTTGGATTGTTTTTTAATATTGAAAAATATTATACTTCTCTTATTTATCAGAAACTATACGATGCTTATGCCGGTCCTCTCAGTGGGGTTCCCTCTACGTTTTATGCCAAATTCTTTACTATATCAAAAGGATCTTGGGACAAACCTGCTGGTACTTTGTAAGTGAAAGAGAAAAAAAAAAAAAGAGTTAGAAAATGACAAACGTGCGATTATTTACATATTTATTTCTAGGTATAAAAAATATTTGGCCTATAACGACAGATACGGTCCTGTAGCCAAGTTGGGACCTTCTTATTTATTGATCTCTGACAAGACTATGATCAAACAGGTGTTACAACAAGATGATTTGCAAAAAGGTGAAGTCTATGATATGCTTAAAAGTAAGTGGATCATATCAATTCAATTTTATAAATTTGACTATTTTTTTTTTTGGTGTATCACTTTGATCATATTCATCAACATAAATATTATTTATTTTATTTTCAAATTTAGGAAACGGAATTGATACTACTTTCACTACTAGAGATAAAGGAGTACACAAACATATACGACGATTGATATCACCTGCATTCTCTATCAAATATCTCAACTCTTTGGAAGATCATATGCATGACATGTTACAAAATTTATTGGACAAGGTATATAGTAAGGTGGGGGATCATCCTGAACAAGGTGCTGTTGTGGATATTTGGAAACTATGGCAACATCTTGCTCTTGATGTTATCGGAACTACTGCTTTTGGACAAACTTTTGATATGATTAAAAATGAATCTCATCCTGTTCCTGATGTCATTGCTGCAGAAATGCGTTGGTCTGGTTGGGTAAGTATAATCTACCTAAAATGAATTCATTATGTAATCTGTTGGTTTTTTATAGGTTGTCGCACATCCCTTTCTTACCAAGATGCTTACTTTCGGTCGACCTATCAAATCCAGACCCGTGATCACCGATGTAACCCAAAAAAAAAAAAAAAAACTCTTTCCCGATCTATATATATAACTAACTTCAATTTTTTTTTTAATAGTTCATGATGAAGACCATTGAAGCACGCATTAAAAGTGGTGAACGTCGTCATGATATTTTACAAATTCTATTGGACACAAAGCAAGCTGAAGATCCCAACGACAGATTTTCTGATACTCATATCATCACTGAAACAATTCTATTTTTGATTGCTGGTAATCATCATCATTATATCAACTGATGATTATATATATATATATATATATATGTTGACTCCTTTTTTTTTTTTTTTTTTTTTGCTAGGTTCAGAGACAACTTCGAATACTTTGGGTTTTGCCATGATTGAACTCCTTCGACATCCTCAAGCAATGAAGAAGCTTCGTGATGAAATCGACACTTTGGAATTTGTAAATCCAGAACGACAAATCTTCAATCATGAACAACTTAAGAATCTACCGTATTTGAATGCTGTGATCAATGAAACATTACGATTAGATGCAGTAGCAGCTGGTGGCCTTGAACGAAAAGCGGAAAGAGATGTGACTCTTGGTGGAACTCTGTTTGTTCCTAAAGGTACTTCAATAATATGTAATATTTATCATGCCCATTTGAATGAAAAATACTGGCCCAATGCTCGCTCCTTTGAACCTGAACGTTGGCTCCCTAATGATACTCCTGGTAGTGTGAAACCTGATTTGGACGCCTTTTATCCTTTCAGTATCGGAACTCGTAACTGTATTGGCAAGAATTTCGCTTTGATGGAAATGCGTCTGGCTCTTTCTACTGTGATCAAGCTGTTTGATATCATCGCTATCCCTGATGAAATGGAACAAGCTAATGACGTACGTCATTTTGTTACTTTGACTGTAGCTCAAAACAAGTTCAATGCTATCCTTCGTCCACGTCGTATCTGATCTATTGGCCATTTCAATTTTTATTTTCGTTATAGTTGTATTAAGTTAGATCTTTCTATGTTTATTTTATATTTATCTAATTTACTTTGAATAAAGAATATATTTTAATGTGAATAATGAATATTGAATATATATACATGATTTGTACAACTTTTTTTTTTTCATTTGAAAAGACCAGATCATCGGATTATGAAAACTGATACTAGGAGGAACGCACACTACAAACTATTTTTTTTTATATTTTGTATTTTTTTTCGGGGAATCGTCTTTTTCCTTTTCTTTTCTTTTTTTTATTATTCACCCATCATCACCTTGCATTATATCCACTATCATGTCCAATATTCGAATGGTAAAACAAAGAAACAGGGGATCAACTCTTTAAAAATATTGTCAAAATAAAATAATAGAAAAACGCGGATGATATTCACTCAGTCAAATGACATTTTTCCTTATTATAGCTCAATCAGAAAGAAGAAGCTGATTCCGAAGTGGAGGTATCTTGGGCTGATCAACAACAAATCAATGCATTCAGTAAACTCAATGCCAAGATTGATGATCTAGAGGATCAACATGTCAAACTCAAAGTAAAAAAGGGCAACAACCATTGGAACTACTTGGTACTGACCTTTTCTTTTTTTTTTTTTTATAGCAAGAAAAGGAATATTTGGATGATGTCGGTATGGAATTAGAACTGGCAGATGAAGATGAACCTGTAAGGCATAAAGTAGGTGATGCCTTTATACATATCCCAGTATCAGAAGCAGTGGAACGTGTGGAAAAGGATTCAGCAAAGATTGGTTTGCAACTGGAAGAAATTGAAAGTGATATTCGTAGTACTCAGGACAAGATGGCCGAACTCAAGACTTCTTTATACGCCAAATTTGGAAATGCTATCAACTTGGAAAAGGATTAATTTACTTTATTAGTTTATTTGGTTAATTCACTTTGTTTTGTTCCTCACAAGCACTTACATCTTTTACCACATTCATATTACTTTTTTTTTTTTTTTGTTCATATTTACAGTGTTCTCAAAGATTTTTGTCGGGTCACAAGAAAATAGTTTCGTGATATTATAAAATAAAAATATTGATCTTTCCCAAAATGGATTTTGCATTACCACTTTTTTCAGATATTGTTCTAGAGATGTCCGTAGAATATATCATTGATTGATGATTGATGTTGATGATACAACTATATTAATCATTCTCTTCTTTTTTTCTTTTCTTTTTGAAGTCTTCCCTTGATGTTTCCAATTCAAAGTGAATAATCAACCTTTAAACAGCAATTAGGAGGATGTATCTAATGCTTTTCTACAGGTAAGTTAAAATAAATATATAAAAAAAAAAATGAATATGTTGAGTAAATATACTATATTTTTTTTCCTGTTATTCATATCTTTCTATACAAAAATAAAGACATTATTCATCAAATTACATCTTTATTTAAATATAATATTTTTATTGATTTTTTTTTTTTAAAAAAAAAGAGAAATCTAAAGTGTAAAATATAATCAATAAATATTTAAATAGTACTAAATAATATGATATCCTAGTCTTTATCACCCAAACGACGTTCCAATTTGTCCAATTCCTGCAAAGCAACAGATTCGCTTTCATCAATGACTTGTTCCACACTGAGGACTTCGGGAATATAGTGCATCAACATGTTTTCAATACCATTCTTCAAAGTAATGACTGAACTTGAGCAACCACGGCAACTTCCTTTAAGTTTGAGCTTGACGACACCTTCTTCAAATCCACAGAATTCAATATCCCCACCGTCTTCCTGAATGGCAGGTCTGATCCTAGTGTCGAGTAATTCTTTAATCATTTGCACTTCTTCTGAATCGTCCGGGTGGATCGCCGTGTCACTAGCCAATAAGTCATCTTCATTGTACATGATGGGTTGACCAGATGCAAAATGATCCATGATCGCCGCATAAATGTCAGGCTTCATTAAGGACCATTCACTTTGGTTGTCCTTGCTGATCGTGATAAAGTCTGGGCCAAAAAATACACCTCCCACACCTTCGATTTGGAATAACGATTTGGCTAACGGGGACTTCATCGAACTACGGATATCAAGAAACTCGGCCGTTCCTTTGTCCAATACCTTTGTGCCAGGAATAAACTTGAGACTGTCATCATTGGGTGTTTGTTCAGTTTGAATAAACATAGTACGCACTAAAAAAAAATATTTATATATTTAACTAATGAATACATTTTTATAATTCTTTTTTTTTTCCTTATCGATTTCTTTATTTACCTTGATGGAAGCCAAGTGGTGAAACTCTTCGGAGCTGTGTTGATTGGTAACCCATGGAGGTTGTTTTAATGAGAGGTCGGCTCATGAGTGTTCGTTTTTGACAAGAAATAGACGAACGGAAAGCAATGCTGGCTGTTCTCAACATACCGGTTGTGAATCGACTGGCCATGTTGTCAATATAAGAGTAAGAATTAAAAAAAAAAAAAGGATAATGTAAGCAAAAGAGAAAAGTAAAAAAGTAATAAAAAGAAACAGGAAAAAGAACCCCGACTGCTTTGCACCTTAGGGTTATTCTCAAAAAAGTCATTTTTTAATCCTGTTGAGCCTGGTTTGTCATGGTTATCATTTTAGGTTCCCGCTTGTGACGTGAAAATTTCATTCGATGAGTACTAAATCTAAAACATGTTTGTGGGGTAATAGATGAGTGTATCCACGGTGGATCACGTTATCGTGATGCTGAAATAGATACTGTTATTATGGATTTCACTGATGGTATTAATATTGTTGTGCGAGGATTGTTCAGTGAATTATTGGGAATCAATTTTCTTTTTATGTGGAATCAATGTCAGGGAAACGTGATTGGTTCCTAAGTCATCTCATCAAAGAGAATATAAAGTACAGTCTTACTTGTAATATAAATGAGATAAAAGGGTATACAACTTTTTTTTTATTTATATATTTGATGCAGAAAATAAAATAATCGAAGAGATAAGAATAAAATAAAAGAATATTAAATGAATCTAGTTAATAAAAACAAGCCCAAGCATTTCCAAAGGAAGAAGAGGTCATCGATGGCAGTACCATGATGGAAGGAGCAGCAGTATGATGATTTGAAAAGTCCCAATAACACAATTCATTCCGCCTTGAACCATTGTCTCTGATTTCTACACAAGCAAATACATGAGCAGCATTCGGGCTGATTCTAATATCGGTAATAGAGGCTGTTGTAGTGGCTGGTAGAGGTGGTACTAAACGATAAACAAGTTTTCCCGTTTGTAAATCCCATACATCTATACATGATCTTGCAGCAGTAAATGTTGTCATATTGTTCGAGGATAAATTATAGTATCGAGATAGCTGATAAGGAGTTAGAGACAATGATGGAGGTGGTGCTAAAGCATATGTTGATATTGCTGTACTTGTTGATGATGATAATGATGATAACGATGATAATGATGATGATCCACTGTTGGTAGTATTTGAATAGGGTGATGATGATACTGTTGGTGTTGACGATGATGATGTATTTGGATAAATAGGGACTTGATTTCGATTAGATGGATTGATTTCACCTTTGGTCAATAAATAAAAAGGAGTCAAACATAAACGAGTAAAAGCTACATCTTGAGGTTCAGTTTTCAATTCATATACCAAGGAACCAGTCAATAAGGAGAAGATAAGGACAGGACCAGAAGTATCGGGTGCACATACAATCAAATGGCCATTCAATGCAATTTCACCTACACCTTGGAACCAATCATGTCGTTCTGATAAATAGGATGATATATCAATAGAACCCCGTTGTTCAGCATCATCTAAATCCCATACACGAATCATACTATCAGAGCCACCACTAATTACAACTACAATAAGGAAAGAAAATAAAAGAATCAATGGCAGGATAATCTTTTTTTTTAAAAAAAAAAAAAAGAAAAAAGAAAAAAGAAAAAGAAGAAAGAGAGAGAGAGATAGATATTACCTTGATCATTCATACTAACACATAATACACGACCACGATGACCTTGCCAAGTTCTTGCTACACAACGTTCAGGTTCATTCCAAAGAGAAACCGTACCGTCTAAACCACCAGTAACAATCCAAGGAGAAGCAGGGTGAGAATAATGACAAACTATACCGTGTAAAGCGTCATCTTCAAGATAAAAAGAAGATAGTGTAGGATCTTGGTCGAAAGAAGCATGGACAATCATTGCTTGTCGACCTTCAGTAGTACCTTTATACATTGGATTTGAGCGAACAATATGACCAGATTGAGCAACGGAAAGAGAAGTAAAAAAGTTGTATTCTTGAGTAGTACCAACAACTACACATGGTCGTCGTTTCTGTTGTCGAAGAGTATAATTCGTTAAAAAAGAAGTAGTACATTGACCAAGTGACCAATGCTTTGTAATACGATAAAGAGATTGCCAAAGAGTAGAAGGTTTTGCATAAGAAGATAACATGGCAGCATCAACCATTTGAGGATCTGGAAAATCAAGAGACCAGAAGCGGCGCCGTAAACCCTTTTGAAAATCCCGTTCACAACAAGGCGACCAAACTAAAGCATCATAATGATCTATTAAAGTTTGCCAATGTCGACATACTTGTTGACAAGTAGCCAAAGTAGAACCATCACAATAAGACAAGATGGATAATACAAGTTCAGATGGAATTAGCATAAAAAAAAAAAAAAAAAAAGACGGATAAGATAGTAAAAGGAAGAAGTTCAAAAAAAAAAAAAAAAAGATTCAAAAAAAAAATGAAATTAAGCATTTTTATTGGATGACAAGATAAACGGGGGGGAAAGGACTGATACAGCTTAATTTTTTATTTTTTTTGTTGCTTGGATTTCAAAATAAACTATACATAAAACTATAAATATATATATATCTATTTAACTATGATTTTTTTTGTGGACAACAAGGACTAGAACCACCTTCTTTCAATAATTTTTCACAACATTCCTTTAAAGCATTAAGAGAACTACGACATTTGGCTTCTTGATAGTCATTTCGTTGTAAACAGTCTTGAATAGCACAGGCTAAAAGCATAAAATAAACAATAAAGTGGTTATATTAAATAAGAAATATATGTTAAAATATTACCGAATTGTTGACAAGGAGGACTTTTTGCCTAAAAAAAAAAAAAAAAGAATTGATTCAAGTTCTGTTTTTATTCTTATTTGGGCAAGTTTTCATTACCTGCGGTGAAGACATCAAGCAATATCGCAAAAGAAAAAAAAAAAAAGTGGCAAAATTCCTCAATCACCTGAAAAAATATTTTGTGGGTCCAAGTGTGTTACATTTTGATGGATGAAATTGAATTTCCGGTATACTATAAGTATGTTTTCCTTTTTTTTAAACTTTTTTTTTTCTTTTCTTTTCCTTTTTTTTTTTTATTTTCAAAAGCTTTATTCTTTATGGCAGGTCTGGAAACAGTGATCGGTACTCATAACTTTGATGCTGAAAATGCTGACGAAATATCCTTTAGTATTGGTGAAGTCATTGTTGTATTAGAAAAAGACGAAGGTTATCAAGATGGTTGGTGGCAGGTAATTGATATAAAAACTATTAATATTAGACTTATATTAACCTTTTTATTTTTAGGGAAGAAATGCTCGAGGAGAAATTGGACTTTTCCCTATGAATTATACTACACCTAATATACCATCAACTTTGGATTCTTTGGAAAATAAGATCGATTCTTTAGAAACTGCTGTCTCACAAATGCATTTACCAACAAAAGGAAAAGAAATGTTACCAACTCCTTCAGCATCTAATTCTTCACGACAATCTAATCCTCCAATCCCTGTTTCTTCTTCTTCTTCTTCAGCTTCTTCTATACAACCTCCTTCAACTTCTTCTTCAAGTCATTTAGCCCCAGCTTCCTATCAAAAGAAATTATCAAGTAAATATGTTCATCAATCAGTGGCTACTTCTTTACAAAATCCTGAATTACAAACATGTTTACCTGAAGATTGGTCTGCAGAACAAGTTAGTATTTGGTTAGGATTGATGGGTTTTAGTGATATTGCTTCTACATTCCAAGGTAACATCAAAAATAAAAAAAGAAAGGGATGATATGCTCACAATTTATCGTTTATCTCATGAATAGATCAAGAAATCACTGGTGATATATTATTGGAATTAAATGTGGATTCACTCAAGGAATTGAATGTTTCAACTTTTGGAAAACGATTCAAAATATATAATGCTATCAAAGTTCTTGCAGATGAAAATATGACACGTAAAGAAATACCTGATAATAATGACAACAACAGTTTTCATCGACCATCTTCACCAATATCATCATCAGCTCATTCCATCATGTCAACATCAAGTAGATCAGCACCTCCTCCACCTTTACCACCTCCTACTTCTCACATTCCTTATGTTGATGATGACCTTGTATCTGATTATAGCTCTATTATTCGAAATTCTTCCTCCGCTAACAACGAACAATTGAAATCTCCTCAATCAACCTCCTCAATTTCATCTAGTCCTCCACTTTTGCCTGCTGATCCTCGTCGTATTTTTTCGTTGGACTCGGCGCGACCCCTGATGGTCAATTCTTCTTCTGTCAATAATTCACTTTCCAGATCAGCTACTCCTATCAACAGAACATTATCAACAACTGCATCATCGTCATCATCACCAACAAATACGCATTTAATCAATAGTGGTCATGATAAATTAATGGTAATTTAAAAAAAAAAAAAAAAAGAATTTGAAAATGAAAAATACTAATTATTGATATAAAATGAATCGGCGTGATTATTTCCCCCCTTTAGAATCAAATGACAAAGACAGGAAATAATCAGCTTGGTGCAACACAATGGCAATTAGCTTCTCCGAATAGTATCACCAGTCCTACTCAACATACTTCTGTTCTTTTATCAGACTCTACTTCTCTTAGTCGTTCATCCACCATGCCATCAACACATACTACTCAACAATATCATCATCAACAGCAAGAACAACAACAATCCTCTAATCATTCTTCTTTTCCTGGTGGTGGTAGATCGTAAGTCATTAATATAATGATAAAGGTTCTTGGTTGACTTTTTTTTTTTTTTGGTTAGACGTTACAATTTTGTACGGAACTCATTCTTATCACCGGTCAAACCGCAATCAGCACTTCCTGTAGCCTCTCGTGCATCTATGGATGGTATTGCTCAACGACTAGGGAATAACAGAGAAAATGTATTACCAGATATGGAGGGTTGGTTACACAAGCAAGGAGACAAGTACAAGACTTGGAATAAGCGGTGGTTTGTGCTTAAGGGATCTAATCTTTTTTACTTTAAAAGTCCAAAGGTAAACTAAACAGTTATCGTAAACTAAACAAGTTATCCTTAAAGCTTTATTTATTTACACACATCTCTTTTTTTTTTCTCTTTAAAAAAAATAGGATATACGAATGAAAGGAATCATCAATTTAAGGGGATATCGAATCATCACAGACGAAACAATCTATGCTGGCAAATTCTGTTTTAGAGCGCAACATGAACGGGAACGAACATTTTACTTTTATACTGATACTGAATCAAGTATGAAAGAATGGGTGAAGACATTAATCAAGGCCACTATTACTCGCGACTTTACAGGTAAGGTGGAAAAAAAAAAGAAGGCTTAAAAAAACTTGTTTCTCTAATACTTTTTTTTTATTATTGTTATTATTTGAATGTAATGAAATAGCACCAGTAATGTCTTCAAGTACTATTCCAACTGTTTCTTTAGATGCTGCAAGGCGTATGAAACCTCGACCACCATCAATGATTTATGGAAAAGACACTGACAGCGAACGACCCATATCTCCTTCACTTTATGATTCTCGACCTTTCTCATTGACATACAAAGATCAGGCAGAACCCATTATGCGAATGTCCATGTCCGATGAAACTCACAACCTATTTCCATTAAACAATCAAACTCAAGAATCAGGACTTGTCAGGAAAGAACCGTCAGAATCCGCAACACAATCCTCTCATACGGAACATAAATCTGTAAATCAAGATTCAGGTTTTACATCAAATACTCTCAAACTATCTCAACATCAACAACAACAAAAAGAAGAAAGAAATAATCATCCATCAGCAGCCAACTTATTTTATCATGAAGAAGATGAAGATTTGATTGATCCTCACCAACGAACTCCACATAACAACATATCTTCCGATAAAAGCATTGATCTTTCATCGCCTACTGAACATTATCGTAATCATTCATCTTCAAATGATAATATGGGAATCAACAAAACAGAAGAGTTCCATTCAGCCATTTCTTCTACCCCTTTGACAGCACCTTCACCCAAACAACAGTTATTACTTCACGATCGTATTGATGAACAAGAGGAAGAAGATGAACAGCAAATTGAAGTCGAGCAAGCATCATGGCATTGGGATCCTGCTGATTATGTGGATTGGATGAATCGACATATGGATCAACGAAAGATTGCACATGTAACAGAATTACGTACAGGTGAATCTTTAGTAGAATTATTAGAAGCTATCAGTGGCAAAGAAGTACGGCGACCTTCAACTACGGCCCGTGTAGGTACCAGTCCATTAACCAGTATGCAAATGCTTGACAATATCGTAGCGGCTTTCAAATTTATGGGTCGTGAAGGTGTAGTGGTAGATGGTAGATACAATATCAAAGGTAATATGAAATATATATAGTGACGTAAAATTAAAACCTTTTTTATTTTATTACCTTGCGTTATAGATATCTTTAGCGGAAATGAAGTCAAGATTTTGGAAATGCTTCGTACTATCAAAGATTGGGCTGATCAATTACATCCTTCTACTGATAAAATGGCAAGTGGTGGGACTTTTGGTGAAGAGGAACAAGGCAAATTGAAGGCTCTGGATGAAGTTTGATCTTCTTTTTTTTTTCTGCACTTACTTTTTATTACACATTATCTCATACTTTACGTTATATTACTATTACTACATTATTATTATTATTATTATTATTATTACTATTATTACATTTTCCTACTATTATTTACATCCTTACTATTCGTCTACATCAATCACATTCACATACACACATATAAAAATGCATACATGCACGTTTACTACCGTATATAATAAATGGATGTTCTTGTTCTTTGTACAAATGATATGAAGTGATTTAATCAGCTTGGATAATGATTGATAATACATCTATGAATGACTAGGCACAATTTGACTAGTATCAAGGGTTGCTTACCAAAAAAAAAAAAAAGTTCAACTACCGCAAAAAAAACAAAAAGTTTCCATATATTTTCTTTCTTTTTGTTTGTTTTCTTTCCACCTTTTTCTTTTTTGCAAAAGCATAATGTTATGTAGTAGACCGTGGGGTCGCTATGGACTCTCTTTACAAAATATATCACGTCAGGCACTGTGTCGAAAATGGATTTCTTTGACAACGACTAGACCTCTTATATTACCACGACGATCCTTTATTGTCACTTCTCGAGTACAAGATCAACATTTGCATGGATATAAGGATGTTGATCGTTATCATGGTAAGAAAAAAGAAAGCCATCTATCTTCAAATGTTTTTATTCATATCTTTTTTTATTTTATAGGTCAATACCCAACTCGAACTCATATGTGTGGTGAACTTCGACCTAGTGATCAAAATAAACATGTTGTATTATGTGGATGGGCTCAACCCTCAAGGTAATATATATATATATATAGTTATGACATTTGTTTTGATATATGTCAAATGATATTTATTCTTTTATTTTGAATAGATCCATGTCTCAAGAGCTCGTCTTTCTACCTATTCGAGATGCTTCTGGTACAACACAACTCGTTTATCGTGCCGAACATTGTCCTCCAGATATAAAGACAACCATTCAACAATTATCAACAGAAAGTGTGATTTGTGTCGAAGGTATTGTACGCACTCGACCTGAAGGTACCATCAATCATCAATTACCAACGGGAGGTGTGGAAGTGGATATTCAACGTATTTATTGCTTGAATCCTGCATCACCTCAGTTACCTTTCTGGCCCTCTCAAACTCAACTGGTAAATATGAAACGAAAAGAGAAGTTCATCTAATAACTCTTTTATTATTATTATGGGTAGCCTAATGAAGAAATGAGATTAAAATATCGATACCTTGATCTACGACGTCCAACACTACAAAATAATATTCGATTGAGATCTTTGATGGCCAATACAATACGACAATATTTGATTGAACATCATCAATTTACGGAAATTGAAACACCTACGTTATTCAAATCGACCCCTGAAGGTGCAAGAGAATTCGTGGTACCAACAAGGAAACCTGGTTTGTTTTATGCTTTACCTCAAAGTCCTCAACAACATAAACAAATGCTCATGGCAGCTGGATTCGATCGATATTTTCAAATTGCTCGTTGTTTTCGGGATGAGGATTTACGTGCTGATCGTCAACCTGAATTTACTCAAATTGATTTGGAAATGAGTTTTGTTTCGGCTCGTCAAGTCCAACAAGTCATTGAAGGTATGGTGGCTGCTATTTGGTCCAAGGCTTTAGGGATTCAACTTTCAGAACAATCTTTTCCTCATATGACTTATCAAGAGGCCATGACAAAGGTAATCTATATATATATTCATAATATTTATTATTGTAATTGTTTTGCTCATCTTTCTTTTATATATATATAGTATGGTTCGGATAAACCTGATCTTCGTTTTGATTTACAGGTAAAAAAAAAAAAAAAAAAATCAATATGTATAAACTGATTTCCTATGTCATTAGATTCAAGATATGTCAATATGTTTAAAGGATAAGACAAAATCATTGGATTGTTTGGTAGTTAAAAATGGGGCATCACAATTGACAGGTGGTGATTTGAAATCATTGATCAAGGATTTAGAATTGACCGAAACAGAACAACAATTATTTGGATTTGTCAAGATTAATGAAAACAACATACAACAATGGCCATTGAAATGTGGAGGAGGATTGAAGCAGATGATGCAATATTCACAAGACACACAACAAAATATGAATACAACATTGAATGTGGAACCAGGGGATCTAATATTTTTACATCAGCGACCTAACTATCTCTATGTAAGTATTGTATTCATCTTGATTCTTATTTATTGATTTATTTTATTTTTATTTTTATTTTTTTTTAGGGTGGCAATACATTAATGGGACGAACAAGATTACAAGTGGCTAATCAATTACAACGAAAAGGACATCTGACCATCCCACATCATTTATTCAAATTTACATGGATTGAATCATTTCCTTTGTTTACACCTGATGAACAAGGTATTCGAACATGGCAAGCAACACATCATCCATTTACGGCACCTTTTGATCAAGATATTCCTTTATTGGCAACGGATCCAGCCAAAGTTCGTGGGCAACATTATGATTTAGTATTAAATGGTATGGAAATTGGTGGTGGATCTATACGAATTCATTCTCCTGTCATGCAAACTTTTATCTTTGACAAAGTGTTACAGGTAATATATATATTTATGTTATTGATGAATATTTATATGATGTTTTATTTTTATCTAGTTGGAAAAACATGAATATGAACGATTTGATCATTTGATTGATGCATTAGGTGGTGGATGTCCTCCTCATGGTGGAATTGCTCTTGGTTTTGATCGATTAATGGCGATTTTATGTCAAGCAAATTCTATTCGAGATGTGATTGCTTTTCCAAAAGCAGCAGGTGGAAAAGATTTTGTAGTAGATAGTCCATCACAAGTGACTGTATCTCAATTGAAAGAATATGGTTTACAAATACTAGATGATATCAAATAGATGAATAAAGTGTAGATTCCCTAATGATAATAAAATAGAGTTTTTTTTTTATTTTTATTTTTGGTATTTTGTATGTAATGTATTCGTACATATAGAAAAGTATTTACACTTTATTCAATAATAATTGACGGAATTCAAAGAATAAGATGTCGCAAAAATAGGAAATAAAATATCGTAAGGATAGAAAATAAATGACAGAAGAAAAAAAAATATAATTGTCGCATCATCAAATAGAGAATATAAGAAAATAGATATCATGAAAAAAAGACCAACAAAAAAAAAAAGGAAATCCACCAATTGAGTTCACCAAGTTAACATATAGAAAAAAAAATAAAATAAAAAATGAGTAATACTTATCCAAATAAAAATATTTCACTAGCTTACCATTTAAGTGTAATGTGATCGCCGTAGCGAAAGTAGGATGGCGATAACCATCCCGGAATTGTTGAATATAAAAAAAAAAAGGCTGACCGTAACCACGCAGATGCGCATTAGCGACCACGGTCAAGCCCAGAAAGCAAAAAAGAGGTAGATCAACGGAGAAACAGACAAAGATGCTTGAACTATTAAAGAGTACTTGTATAGAAAAAGATAGGCAAAAAAAAAGAAGGCAGATCAAAAAGTAAGCAGGTAGGCCAAAAAGATGAATATAATGTAAAGAAATAAAAAAAAAAGTTAAATCAAAGGGATCCTTTTATAAGAAAATGAATCACTCGTGCAATTATGAACTAATTTTAGTTGATAAAATGATGAGACAAGATGTAAGCGAGTTTTATCATCTTTTTTTAAATATTAGCAACATTTCTATCTTTATATCGTATCTAATTCATCATCGTTTTTTTTTTAGTATTAACAACATTTCTTTCTTTCTATTGTATTTAATTTATCATTTGTCTTTTTTAGTATCTACTTTATTATTTTTAGTATCTACTTCATCATTTTTTTTTCTTTTTTTTTTTTTTTTTAGTGTTAGCAACATTTCTCTCTTTATAATAAAGTTAATTATATAAATGTTCACATTAAGTTCTATTATTACAATATCCATGTACTAAGTGATACATGATACTGACTTGTTTTTGTCGTGTTTTAGTTTAATTACTAGATTTCTTTTTTTTAGTTGTTCTATTTTAAATGATAGTATGATTGTGCACAGGATACTTATTATTGCCATTTTTTAATTTCCATAGGTGATCATTATTATTATTATATTGATTTATCATGTTGGCTGATAAAAGAGTGTTTTGACATTTTTCAAAGAGAAGAAGAAAAGAAAAAGAAAATGCTGTTCTGTCAGAAGGTAACTAGAACGAAGTATTTTGTATTTTATCAGTAATTTGTACAGTGGCTGACTATAATCATCCATCATCCATCATCAATCATCAATCATCAATCATCAATCATCAATCATCAATCAATGACATACTCTACCGACATCTCTGGAGCGATATCTGAAAAAGTGGTAATGCGACATTCATTTTGGGAAAGTACGATATTTTATTTGATAACATCACGAAAAGCATTTTCTTGTGACCCGACAAAAAACCTTGAAAAGTATTTATAACTTTTATGTAGAAAATATATATGTGCGTTTTTTTTTTTTTTTTGTTCACCATCCAAATTAAACCAGGTAAGGTCAGTCTGTGTGACCCGAAAGTTGGAAAGTGGTGTATTGGCACTAAAAAGCCAAGATTTTTTTTTTTTTTTACATTTTTTTTTTCTTTTTCTTTTTCTCCTTTTTTCTCTTTCTTCATCTTTTATTTTATAATATTATGATGCAGTTTAATAGTGCAAATTTGACTGACAATGTCTTTCTTCTTGTCACTAGTGTCTTTTCTCTTGTAAATAGAATAAGTTTTTTTTCTTATCTTTTTTTTTTTTTGTACCTGACTTTTTTTTTCATTATTATTATTATTCTTATTATTTTTATTATAGGCTGCTTGGGTGATTTCATTTGGTGGATTATGTGCTCTTCGTGTACTTGGAAGTTCTTGGTGGATCATGATCTTTGAATTACTTTTAGTAGTCGGTATTATTTTCCTTATCTTGACTGATTCGTTTGCACAATATAGACTTGTTGTAAGTAGACTATTCTTTTTATTGTTATTATTATGTTGGGCTGTGCTTGTTTAACCACAAATCAAAAAAAAAATGGCTGATGATGATGTACATGGCATCTCTTGTTACACAAATATTTATTTGATTCCAAACATCTATTATAGGTATTGGCTTTCTTGGCTGTGAGTATTTCTTATTTGACTGGTGAATTAACTCTTGGAATTAATTTAACCAATGGATCTGTTGGATATTATAATCGAGGTGGCGCTGGTGGTGCTTATGTTGCTGGTTATATTATTTTGGTTATCATTCATGTAAGTTTTTTTTATTTATTTATTATTATTATTATTTTACTGATTGGCTATTTTGATGGGACATAGATTGTTTGGGTGTTCGTATTTGGTAGTGAACCTCATTCTTACTTTGGTCAATTCGCTCAACATGGTCGTAATAGTGTACAACAACAACCTCATGTCAATTCTATTCCTCCTGCTGCGCCAAACAACAACAATACCAATATTGAAATGACTCAAGATAAGACTGCCTATGAAGGTGGTGCTCCTCCTGCTAATCAATCTCCTGCCTTGACTCATCCTTCTATGGCCACTTCTCCTGTATTGGAATACAGTGAACGTGTTGAAGCTCTTCATGAATGTAAGTAATTATCAATGTTTTTATATTATAGGCTAATATTTTCAATAAATTTATATAGATCGTGCCAATCCCGAAGATCCAAGTGAACTTAGCTTTGAACGTGGTGATATTTTGGAAATTGTCGATCGTCGTGGTAATTGGTGGCAAGCTCGTAAGGCTGATGGTACCACTGGTATTATTCCTTCCAATTACTTTGCTTAGGGTTAGATTTATTTTATTTTTATATGTATTTTCTCATTAACCATCTATCTATTTTTATTCTGTATTGTTCTTTCCTTCTTTTTTTTTTTTAATACAAAACCCTCTTTGTTGTTATTGTTTCCATTATTATTATTATTATTATTATCCTTGTTACTCTCTATTTCTTATTACTATTATTCTTTATTATTCTTTATTATTTTCTTTGCATTTTATCGTCTATCCCTTTTTGTTTCTCAAATATAAAATAAACTTACTTTTTCACCCTTAATGAAATGTGATTGTTTGTCTCTTTGTCTTCTTTTTTTTTGTACTACTTTGATCATTATGAAAAGCATCTTCATTTATTCATCATTATCTATTATTATTAGTATCAACACCAATCACCATCTTCCAATTTAACATAGCCTTTTATGATCGAACTCTTCAATTATCATCATCTCCAATCATTCATTACACCATCATCTAATATGGAAACAAGAAAAAAAAATAGAGATCATCGCCACACATAAAAGACATCTCATTTCGTCGGGAAAAAAAAAAGTTTTACCGAACTCCTTATCACTTCTGCTGTTCCAGACCGTACATACACGCACCAAAAAAAAAAAAAAAAAAAAAAAAAAAAAAAAAAAAGAAAAGAGACAATTTGACACGAGCATACACACATAAGTAAATACACATCTATTTAAAGTATACAAAAGTAGGTTGAAGAGACATCAAGCCTTATTTATTAGGTGAATTAGGATAAGTTGAATAGACAATAAAAGGTAATAATCATGAGGGAATCATGAGGATATGAAGTATATTAAATGAAAAGAGGGATCATAATAGAGAATATAAGGTAAGGAAGAGGAATATACACATCGGTTGAATAGTAAAAATAGAAAGCTATCATATGAAGAAGAAGCATAATGATCCATGAAATCAATTCAAGAATCATAATGAGGAAGAGTAAGATTATACATAAAGATTTGTTTTTTTAAAAAAAAAAAAAAGGAAAGGACAATAATACAGATAGGGTGAAATCAACAAGTCAAAGGAAGTCGTCTATCGTCTTGTTGTTCGGTTAGTTCGGGAAACGATACATAGGTTTTTTCAAACAAGGAAAGATTGGCATTCATTTCTTGTTGCCGTAATATATCGTTGTCATTTTTGGTTCGTTGGGATGATGGTGAGAAAGGATGAAATAAGGAATGAATAAACTGATTGAGTACCATCTTTAATGAAGTCGATGAGGAGGAAGAGGCGGAATAAGACGATGATGAAGAAGAAGTAAATGACATTATATGAAAATAAAAAAGAAAGAAAGAAAGAAAAAGAGATAAAAAAAAAAAAAAAAGAGAGAGGATATTGTACCCTTTTCGGACCTTTTTTTCCCCATTTTTTTTTTCAGTTGTCCTAATTTGGTACTTTTTTATTTTAACACCAACGTGGATTTTGCTTAGCTGAACACAATGGTAACACTGAGACAATGATGAAAGAAACAAGGGGACAATGACCCAGGCCAATCTTACATTCATTCTCCGGTTCAGTAAGGAAAAAACTGTGTGACCCTGAGATGAGAAAAACAAATTCGCCGGTGCCCCTTTTTTTTTTTTTCTTTAGTAGTCAATTTGAAAAACTCACTAAAGGGCAATAATAATAAAAAAAAAAAAAAAAGGCCGAAAAGAGGAGTATCAATAAAAGATTGGGGATCCAATATTAAAATACATAAAGTTGGTTATTAAGAAAAAATATGAGTAAGAATAAAATATATATATATAAAAAAATTCTAATGTAATAAAAATAAAAAACAGACTAAAACACCTTCTTTGAGAATTTGCCGCATAACTTTTGAACAACATCCAAAGTTTGAAGAACTTCCAAAGTACCTTTCAATGCAGTGGTATCATGATAGTGAATATTATATTTCTTGCAAATTGACTTGATCATAGGCTTAACTTTTGGTAAATTATGACGAGGCATATCAGGGAACACCTAATTTATATATTTAAAAAAAAAAAAAAAGAAAATGAGCTATTGTACACATATTTTCTTTTTTTTTTTTATTATTATTATTATTTGGTTACTTACATGATGTTCAATTTGATAATTCAATCCACCAAAGAACCAATCACCAAGAGCACTCAAAGTCACAGCACGACCAGTGATGACTTGAATTTCATAGAATTCCATATCTTCAGCTTGTTCTTGAGAAATCACAGGCATACCATTATGATTCATAGCAAATACAAAGGCCAAAGCATATCCTGTCACAGCTTGACTGACCAAAAAGAACATGATCATATTGGTAAAACTATCAATAAACATAATAGTCCAAGTAGTGAATAAGATCCAATGACTGACCAACATGGAGCGTTCCATCCAATTGAGAGTGGCTGATTTGTTGAGAGTGCCTTGATTGAAAGAATACATTAATGATTGTACAGCCCAGGAGAATCGAGCAAATCCAAGAATAAAAAAGTAATAACGACTTTGATAAGGTAATACATGTTCAGCAATAAAACGAGAAATCATTCCAGGATTATCTTCCAAAGATCCATAAAAATTGGCAGTAGCAAATTCATCCCATAATAAAATAGGAGCTGTATCGATATCGGGATCATGACCACTAACATTGGTACTAGCATGATGGGTATTGTGTTTATTTTTCCACCTAAATAAATATATAAAGACAGATAAGTGATAAAAGTAATAATAATAATAATCATAATGAATACAATATTTACCATGAAAGAGAAAATCCTTGACAGAAACAACCCAAAAAGATCACCAACATATCATTCTTATCATGATCATCACTGACTTGATGATGACCAAAATCATGAGCCAGCCAACCACATTGTTGCCAGAATAAACCAATAATGACAGCAGCAGCAAATACAATAGGAGTAGAATGACCTCCAAAGTACAACATAGCCAAACCAACAGCACAAATAGAAACAGTAGAAAGGACTTTATAGGTATAATATAAAGTAGAACTATCAAAGTAACCCTCTTCTGTCAATTTGTCACGTAATTCTCGGATTTCTTGAGCAAATGCTTGAGAGTTTTGTTTTTCCTTATCTTGTGTCTTGTTCTTTTCAGGAGCTAAATCACCCACATAACAATTGGCCAATGTTTCATAAGCTGATTTGGGATGCATAGCGTGGAATACATCTTAAAAAAAAAAAAATTGGTCATCAAATAATTAATATATAAATATATTATTTTATTTTACCTGTAGCATCTTTGCCAATATGAGTTGAAATGACTTGTTCACCACCAGGATGATCAGCAATAAAATCAGTAATATCATATACTTTATTATCAATAGTCAAAAACTTCTTTTCTTCTGTATTGCCATCCTTATAAGCCTGTAAGGACTTTGAGAGTTCTTGTCGTTCAAAAACACGAATATCTAATAATAATAAAAAGAAACGTTCAATCTTTTTTTTTCTTTCATTTACCCCAACAAAAAAAAAAAAAGAAAGTGAATTACCAGTTGCCTGCCCTGACATTGTTTATATATATGTATATATGAAGTAAACTATATTCAAAACAAAACAAAAAAAACAGTGATTCTAAGGTCTAATATATCTATACGACCAATAAAATAAACGAATGAAAAAAGGAAAGAATAGGAAGGAGGGATTAAAAGAAAAGAAAGATGAGATACAAGAATTAAAAAAAAAAAGAAAATGATTTTCCAACCAAAAAGAAAAAAGTTTTTCAAGAACCGCCGTGATCCATTTTTTTTTGGACAAATCAATTGCACGCTGTTGATCAAAATCCAGGCAACAAAATAAACATATGATAAAAAAAAAAAAAATGTGGGATATCCTACCAAACTTTATTCAAACAAATTATATCCATTTCTTTAACAACAACCACCACCTTGTTTTTGTTCATCAGGAGTTTGAGATACCAAAATAGTTTGACCACCAGTAGGTTTGATAGCATTATTAGAAGATTCAAGTGCCTTGTTGGAAACAATTCGATAAATTTCTATTATATGTGATACAGTTTGCAGATTAGATTTAGTCGGACATTCCTTCTTCCCCACTCATCAATTTGTACACATCATCTTTTAAAAATGATGTAACTTTTTTTTTTTTATTACCCGTCAAAATACGTTGGAAGGAAAGATCAACATTGGTAGCATCCAAAGCAGAAGTTTCAATAAATGATAGTCCATTTTCAGCTAAATTAATAAAGAAGAAAAAAAAAGTCAAGTATATATATCTTTTATCAAATCCATCATCCAATTACCAGCAAATTGTTTAGCTTCATCAGTAGGTACAGCACGTAAATGTCGTAAATCACTCTTGTTACCCACCAACATGATCACAATATTGGAATCGGCATGATCACGGAGTTCCTTGAGCCATCGACCCACACTTTCATATGTTGATTGTTTGGAAATATCATACACCAATAAAGCTCCCACAGCACCACGATAATAGCTAATACATACATTTAATTTCAAATCTAATCACCTTTTTTTTTAGAGAAACTTACGCACTAGTAATGGCACGGTATCGTTCTTGACCAGCTATATATAAAAACAGTGAATTTATAATAAGAACCTGAATGGATCATCATACATGCATACAACCGACTTTTTTTTTTTTTATCAACATCACTTACCAGTATCCCAAATTTGAGCTTTCACAGTCTATTAAAAAAAAAAAAAAGGACATGAATATCGATTTTATTTTTATTTTATTATATTTTTGTATTCAGAAGAGATTTTTCACCTTGGAGTCCACTTCAATACTACGAGTAGCAAATTCAACACCAATAGTACTTTTTGATTCCAAATTGAATTCGTTACGAGTGAAACGACCCAAAAGGTTGGTTTTACCTAAATAGATATATTAAAAGTTACCAAACAAATATCAAGTTCTCTTTTTCACAATAATAAACTTACCAACGCCAGAGTCACCAATTAAAACAACTGCCAAAGAATAATGATGATAACATAAAATAAAAAAGATAACGTCAATTTTCATTTGTTTACCAATAATATATAGAGATATAGATATATAGATATAAAAAAAAAAGAAGTGTTTACCCTTGAAAAGATAATCGTATTCTTCGTCTCTGCTCATAGTATGGTCAATGGAAATAAGAGAGTGAGTATGAAAGTAAAAAAACAGATGAGAAGAAGGGAAAAGTGAGAAGTAAAAAAAAAAAGTTTATACGGTTTGGGTATATTCTAAACACCGCCTGTATTCTACTCTACTGAACAAGGTTTTTTTTTGGTACGACACTGCCTATCATTGACAAGATGGCCGTTTCATAATTGGATCAATCATTTTATTTGTACTTGTATGAAATAATACTAATATAATATAAACAAAAATATGTACAAAAAAAAAAAAAGGTATCTAAGCTTTGATAAATGGATTCCAACCGGCACGAAGTACACGAACAGCCCAAGCCAAACAACCAGCAAATACCATCAATACACCACCAAAGATAATAGCATGAGAATAAGTCGGGTTTCCACTTTCGCTATCGATCAACGCAGCACAAATAGGAGAACCAAAGAGACCACCAAAGAACCAAGCAAAAAATAAGAGACCATTACTAGCTTCAATCATATCCATACCGACACATTGAGCTAATACGGCTGGTACCATCACCATATAACCACCTCCAAAAAGTCCAAATGTTGCTGCAAATGCCCAAATTTCTGCTGAATTCGTTGCTGGTAACCAAAGTACTAAACACATCACACCCGTCATCATAATACAAATTGTACACATGTTGGCTCGACCAATATAATCACTAAGTGTTCCACTACCAATCTTGCCAATAATCATCACTCCAGATAAAATAGCTGATAAGTTGCTACGAATCCATCGATCCAAATGAAGATGATCCGCATATGCTTTATAAAAAAAAAAGATGATTAGAGAATAAAAGAATTATATATGGTAATACTTACAAGGTAAATAACTTGAAGGTACATTAAATGCAAAATTCCCAATAAGTTGAATACAAAATAAGAGACAGAATTGAACATTTTGAAATGGTTTCAAGTTGAATGATTGAGAGAATTTACAAGGAGGAGGAGGATTCAAAGGACGAACCACACATGCAGCAAATGAAAGTAAAGCCAAATTGATAAAACCAACAACACGTAAAGACCAACGAATACCTAAAGTAGAATTGATGGCTTCAACAATGTTGGACATGACAAGTCCACCGAATCCACTACCAGAAATAGCTACACCTACAGCAAAACCACGTCGTTTAGTAAAATATTGTTGTGGAGCACTAATACATGGAAACCATGCCAAAGAAGCACCAAATCCAGCTACAAAAAAAAAAAAAAAAAAAAAGATCAATATAAAAAGAAAAGAAAAAGAGCGGCCATTCAATCCATCTCCCTAGTTTATTCTACTTGCCTAAAACTCCTTGGGTTAACATCAATTGCCAAATCTAAAAAAAAAAAATAAAAAAAAAAAATAAAAAAAATAAAAATTAAATCTATATATTATATATGCATCCTCTATGTTCATTTACCTCATTAGCTATACTAGCCATCATCAATGCAATTGTATTACAAAGTACAGCACCAATAAGAATCCATCGATAACCTATCTTATAAGCTACATAACCATAAACAGGACCCAAGATCACAGCCATTGCTAACCAAAGACTACCAATCCATGATAAAGCATTCATTTGATTAACATACATATTTTTGTTATAATAATCTAAATAAATACCCCACTATCAACAACAAAAAAAAAAAAAAAAATTAAGATCATCCTATCACTAACCAGTCCAATCAAACTTACAGTATAATTATAACCTTGAGTACAAAATAAACCACAGAAACATCCGGCAAGGACCAGCCATGCTTTACCACCATCTAAAGTATTTTTATGATCATCAGGTGTAGTAGAGACTGAGATTTGATCTTCTTCAGTAGCACGTAAGGTTTCCTTTTGTGATTCTACTGGTAAACTTTCATTAGAAGGAGTTAAGGTATGAGTGGTATAAGGTGCTTTTTCAATCACATCCATGATAGTAAAATATAATAATAAAAAAAAATATTAAAGAAAAAGAAAGAGAAGTAAAACAAAAAAAAAAAAAAAAAGAAATAAAAGAGTGAAAATCCTTTCAAATGTTGAGATGGGTATTTCTGAGTTTGGGCATAACCGTACACTCCGAATCAATCGGTACATCAACAGAATTCTTTTTTTGCCCCTTGCCGTGTAACTGTGGTCATTATAAAAGGAATCATCATGACAAAGGTACAATAAACAAAATAACCATTCTTTTTGTTGATCCTTTTTTTTTTTTTGTTATCATCACTTTAAAAAGAAAAAAAAACAAAACGATAGCTTTTAATAGAACAATCGTTTTATATTGTTGATCTAATTATCCCCTTTTTAGTAAATAGGATAAGAATAGGTATAAAGTTTACGGTATATTTCTGAAAAGTAGAATCTTCGGAGTACAACATAAATTGAAGTATGATGTCAATCAAAAAAAAAAAAAAGAAACCTTGTACTATTTCCCAAGAGAGAAGCTTGACATCTTTCAATTCAAAGAAGTGAATTTATATTATAATGATTTTTGATCAACATGCAATAAGACAATCATTTGAAAAATAATATACCATTTATACTTCAATATCCGTAATAATAAGGTTTCCGTTCTAATAACAATAAAGAATCTTCTTTTTTTATTATTACTTGATATGAAAGAGATGAATCTAAAAGTACATAAAAATGCCAAATGTCTATACTAAAAAAAAAAAAAAAAAAAAAAAAACTATTCAGGTGTGGAAAGAGCATCATGTTCTTCAATATCAATAGCATCCCAAGGATAAACCAACCATTGATCCGCCATATTGACACCAACAAAATAATTCTTCATGATTTCATCAGGTAATTGTCGTTTCTTGGGTTTTTCCTTATTATGTAGTACAAAGACACCAATTGTAGTACCACTGCTTCCAGGAGCCATGCCTTGTCGTAATTCTTCAGCCAAGATATCTTTTTGAATTTCTTCCACAGCATAAGCCATCGTCATACGACTATCATCCACTTCATCCACAATCAAAATACGTCTACCCAAGAGTGAAGTTTCCGATTGAGCAAAGTTAAGCCATTGTGTCTTGGTCACTTCCACAGGACGGGTATCACCATTGGCAGCAGCAATTTCCAATTCTTCATACAAAGAAAGACCAATCACTTGAATAGGTACGTTACGACCATTCACCTTGTTCAAAAAAGTACGCATAAACCGTGCTGGGATCATACCTCCTGCTGCAATAGCAATCATCAAATCAGGCTTGAAATCTTCATTCAACCGGTGGCGTTTCACTGCCTCACGAATATCATTGTGAACTTGATTGTACCTATGAACCATGTTCAGTTAGAAAAAAAAAATAGAATAAACCTTTTGTTTTTGGGTAATAAGCTTACGTGATATATTTCTTGGACATATTAAAAAGAAGAAAAGAGAATGGGGGAAAAAGAAATAAACAACTTCCCAAGAAAAATTAAAAAAAAAAAACTTTTTTTTTTTCTTTTGTATCGAAACAATAAACCAAAAAAGTCATACTACTATTTTCAATCACCGCTCTACAGAGAAAAATGTCTTCTTGCATTGAGTGTCGTCTTTTAGGTAGATGATGCTGTTTGATAATACTCATAAACAATGCTAGTATTGATGATCGAGTTGATGATGATTGGTACAAGAAAGGATCAAAGACAACTTGATGACATATGAATGGATGATAAAGGTAAGCTATGACAAATGGTGGATGATGAAGATCTGGATGATAATACGAAGTTTTATGGAACAAAGATAACGATGATGATGGTGATGATACGTTAATAATAATGATAAAATAGTATTTGACAATTCATCTATATATATACCGATAGTAATGATAAAATAATCATTTAACAATTCAACCTATAATACCAGCAATTGAACACTAGATTTGTTTTTACGCTTCTTGATATTTTTGTAGTATGTACAAGGACAATTTAACAATGGATTTTTATATTGGATGTTTCGTAGTTCTATGATTCAGTCTTTTGTAAACTAAATGTACAAATCTCGGCAAAGGGCTTGTGAGACTCGGCAACATGAACATTTTTTTTGAAATGCCGCAGCCAACATAAAATTGTTTTTTTTTTCTCTTTTTTTTTTTTTTTTTTTTTTTTTTCTTTCGCAGAACTATATTGACATTACATTCATTATTCTCATACAAATGGCTTCAGATAGTCGTAGACGCTCACCTTCACCACATAAACGACAAAAAAGAACTCATTATAGGGATGAATCACCATCAAGACGTCATAAACATCGCCATAGCAGCAGAGATGAACGTCACTATCGTCATCGTTCTTCTTCTCATCGTCATGGATCTTCTTCAAGTCATCATTATTCCTCCTCACACCGTGACGCTGTAAGTAATAAGACTGAAGTTTCTCCTACTTCTTCTACTTCTCCTTCTCCCACACCTCACTCAAGCGAATCATCTCTTCTTCAACAAAAAGATGCTACACCTGGACTAGAAACTGATCTACAATCTAAAAATGTAAGTTATATTGATCAAATTGATATTCATTTACTAATTAATCGCTATATATTGTTTTTTTTTTATTATTCTTTATTTATTTATTTATTTATTTATTTGGTTTATAATGACAATATTCATACATAGGTCGATAGTGATTCTTCCATCAAAAAGGACCAACAACAAGAAACAAAAGAACAAGCTATGAAACGTGAACGACGGGAACGTATTGAAAGGTGGAAGCGGGAAAAAGCTGAACAACAGCAACAACAAATGCAACAACAGAAAGATTCGGATATTATCATGGAAGAAGCGACAACAGTTCCTCAAGTGACACAGTTGGATAATGTAGACACAACCACTATTCCTTCACCTTCCTCTACCACAACTGCTACTACTACAGATACTGATACGACTCCAGTGACGGCTCCTGTATCAGCATCACATTCTGCTCCTCCTCCTCCAGCAACAGCACCTAGAAAATTCACATTTGGAAAAGCAGTGAAATCAAATACAATGAATAATGGTACGAAAACAACAGTCTCCAACAATTTGAAACCTAATGGAATGAAAATTGGATTTGGTCTTGGAAAGAATAAACTTATGATGGGGACTTCTTTGGGCAAGAACAAGCCTTCATTGGGAACAAAATCAACAGGATCAACACCTAGTACACCTATGGAAGTGGATGGCTCAACAGAAAATGAAGAAGCGAATGATGTTGATCCTTTGGATGCGTACATGTTGGACGTAACAGCAGAAGCTCGAAAAATCAACGAAGAAGATCAGAAGCGAATGCAAGAATTGGAATACACAGATTCAAACAAACGCAATATTATAGAAGGTGAAAATGATGATACTCAAAAAGGAAGTGATGATGAATATGGTAGCGATCCTGAAGATATTTTAGCGTAAGTATCCAAAAAAAAAAAAAAAAAAAAAAAAAAAAAAAAAACTCATCTTTTTTTTTTCTTTTTTTTTAAATAGTATGGCAGCGAAAAAGGTCAAGCGAAAAGATTTGGCAGCAGTGGATCACAGTAAAATGACATATGAACCGTTCCGAAAAGATTTTTATATTGAACCTGCTGAATTAAGAGATATGACTCCAGATGAAGTGGATTTACTACGTGTGGAATTAGATGGAATCAAGATTCGTGGTGTTGACTGTCCTAAACCAATTCAGAAATGGACTCATTGTGGTTTACCTGTTGGTTGTCTTGAAGTCATTCGTAAACTCAAATTTGAAAAACCAACTTCTATCCAAGCACAAGCAATACCAGCAATCATGCATGGACGGGATGTGATTGGTGTGGCGAAAACTGGATCTGGAAAAACAATTGCCTTTTTACTACCAATGTTTCGACATATCAAGGATCAACGACCTTTAGAAATGGGTGAAGGTCCTATTGCGATCATCATGACTCCTACAAGAGAATTAGCAACACAAATTCATAGAGAATGCAAACCATTTTTGAAAGTGCTTGGACTAAGAGTAAGTATTTTTTTTAAAAAAAAAAAACAAGAAGTAATGGATATATTCAACTTTCTATTTATTTATTTATCTATTTTTTTACTTTTTTGATAGGCGGTTTGTGCATATGGTGGTAGTCCTATTAAAGATCAAATTGCTGATTTGAAACGAGGTGCTGAAATCATTGTGTGTACTCCTGGTCGAATGATTGACTTGCTCTGTGCCAATTCTGGTCGTGTCACCAATTTGAATCGAGTCACTTATATGGTGTTGGATGAAGCTGATCGTATGTTTGATATGGGTTTTGAACCACAAGTAAGGAATAAATATAAAACTAAAAAAAGCTTTACATGACTATTAAAAATCCACTTATTTTTTTTTTGTATTATTGTCTTTGAATTGATATAGGTGATGAAAATCGTAAACAATGTACGTCCAAATCGTCAAACTGTCTTGTTCTCAGCTACATTCCCACGTCAGGTAAGAAAAATAAAATCAAATCAAGATAGAAGAGGTGATTAAAGGATTTATTGATTTATGCATAATGCTATTTTTTATTTCCTTTTTTCTTTTTTAGATGGAAGCTCTTGCTAGAAAGGTATTGAAGAAACCCTTAGAAATCACAGTCGGTGGTCGTAGTGTTGTATGTAGTGATGTTGAACAAATTGTAGAAGTTCGTGAAGATTCAACCAAGTTTATGCGACTTTTGGAAATTTTGGGTCAATTCTACAATGTGGAAGATGATGATGCTCGAGTATTGATATTTGTGGATCGACAGGAAGCAGCTGATAATTTACTACGTGATTTGATTCGAAAGGGTTATTTATGTCAATCTTTACATGGTGGCAAGGTAAGAAGGGAAAAAAAAAAAAAAAAAGAGTTCATTCGATATACTGACTTTCTTTTTTTTTTCCTTGTTTTTTGAATTCTTGATTAGGATCAAGTTGATCGGGATAGTACTATTTCTGATTTCAAATCAGGGGCAACCAATATTCTTATTGCAACTTCCGTGGCTGCTCGTGGTTTAGATGTAAAACAATTAAAATTGGTGATCAATTACGAATGTCCAAACCATATGGAGGTAAATTTGATAAAAAAAAAAAAAAAAAAAAAAAAGGAAATATGTCAAATAACCCTATGTTTTATTAGGATTATGTTCATCGTGTAGGTCGAACAGGTCGTGCAGGCAACAAAGGTACAGCATATACATTTATCACTCCAACTCAAGAACGATATGCCATGGATATTTGTAAAGCATTACGTCTCAGTGGTCAAACCGTCCCTCCTGACTTGCAAGCATTGACGGATGAATTCCAATCAAAAGTGAGAAGTGGACAAGAACGATTTGCTGGTTCTGGATTTGGTGGAAAAGGATTAGAACGATTTGATAAAGATCGTGATTTGGTTAAAAAGATTCAAAAGAAGGTAATAATAATAATAATAAAGTGATAAAATATATATATTCTAATTGATTTCTTTTAAAAGGCATATGGTGGAGATGATCTTGAAGAATCAGATGAAGAAGTGGAATTAGAAACAACTCGTATTATACCCGGTCAAGTCAAGACACCAACCCCAGCAGAAGTAGATAGTACATCCAACGTGAACTCTGAATCTCAAAGCATGGCAGCATTAGCGGCAAAGAAGGCGGCAGAAGTGGCGGCTCGATTAATGGCAAATGCTGGTATGAATAAATCCCAAACAATGGAACAAGATGAAAATGAAGATGCTCGACCTGTTTATGCCGAAGAAATCAATATCAACGATTTTCCTCAAAAGGCAAGATGGAAAGTTACCAACAAGGTAAGTCTTTTTTTTTTTTTTTTTTTTTTATAATGGCTTCATTTTTTTTTTTTTATTTTTTTTATTTAGGAACAAATCTCACAAATCAGCGAAATTACTGGTGCAGCTATCACAACCAGAGGTACATTCTTCCCAGCTGGAAAACAACCTGGACCCAACGAGCGGAAATTATACTTGTTTATTGAAGGGGACTCTGAAATGGTATTGGAAAAGGCCAAGCGTGAAATCAAACGAATTCTTGAAGAAGCAACTGTGGCATCATTAGAAGCTGAAGCTAGAACTGGAGGTGGTGCTCCTAGTAGATATTCTGTTGTATAGTTTTTTTTTTTTTATTATTATTATTATTTTTTTGTCTCCCTAGTAGTTCTTTTTTATTATTATTATTATTATTATTATTAGTATAATTCTTGGAAATAAAAAAATCATCAATCGATTGCATGTGAAAACAAAGTTTCTGATTTCCACTGACATATAGTTTTTTAGTTTGAAACTCCACCAGGGCTCTTTTAATTGGATACAGTGAAATAAACACAAAAGTTACTTTTCTTCCCCCACACTTTTTCTTTTCCCACTTTCTTTTTTTTAATTATCTTGGAAATATATCTATCTTTTTACCAATAATAATGTCGAAACAACAAGAACCTACCAAGACTATTCCTTCACAAAACGATGATTCTGACTTGGATGATCTATTAGATGGTAAAACTTTCTTTTGGTTGTTTTATTTAATGAGAATAGTAGTTGCTCATATTCGAAACTTTTTTTTTTTGGATAGATGTGCTTGATGACTTTAATGGTTTATCCACTAAAGAAACTACTAAAGAAACCAATAAAGAAACCAACAAAGACACAACCAACGATAATAAGACGAGTGATAAGACAGAAGAATCGCTGGACGATATGTTGGATAATGAAGCGTTTGCCAAGCAATTACAAGCCGGTATGGAAGAACTCATGGGCAATATGGAACAAGATCCTGAAATGAAGGCAGCTTTTGAAAAGGTTTGGGGATCTTTTGATCCTACTACGTTAGCAAATCAAGACAAATCAGAAACCGCTAAACCTTCTACCACTGATCGTGCTGTTCCTGGTGCCTCTTTCCAAGATACCATTGCTCAAACTATGAACAAATTGAAGGATAGCTCAAAACAAGTCGATGTAAGTCCCAAAAAAAAAAAAAAAAAAGGTTGATTATTATAAGAGGATTGATTTTTTTTTTTTTGGAATAGTCATCTATTTCTGAAGAAAATGATGATGCATTCATGGCTGAATTGATGAAACAAATGGAAGGATTGACAGAAGGTGGTGACTTAGAAAACGTATTGGAAGGAATGATGTCTCAATTAATGTCCAAAGAAATGTTATATGAACCTATGAAAGATATGGTTAGCAAGGTAAAAAAAAAAAAAAAAAAAAAAAAAAAAAGACTTCATTTGACTTTTTTTTTTTCTTTTTTTCTTAGTATCCACCATGGTTGGAAGAAAATAAGGACAAGACGGAGAAGACTCAATTTGAAAAATATCAACAACAATATGAAATGTGTCAAAAGATTGTGGCCGAATATGAAGCTCCAGGTTTTGATGAAAACAATGAACAACAAGCAAAAAAGATTATGGATTTGATGACAGCAATGCAAGATTTAGGTCAACCTCCTGCTTCTTTATTAGAAGACATGGCTCCTGGAATGAATTTTGGTAATCCTGAAGGTATGCCTGATATGAAGGATTTGGAAAACTGTACTATCATGTAAAATTTAGAATCTGTCTTTTTATCTCCTCTTTATGGTTTATATATCAATAAAGGTGTTTTTTTTTTTTTTTTTATGATGATGATGATGATTACCCTATTGGATAAATGCTACATGAGATCGTTTACTCCGCCCAATTCGATACATTATTTCTTTTTTATTTCCACTTTCTTTTTCTTTTCTTTTTTTTTTTTTCTCTCTTTATCATTATCTGCCTGTACAACATGCCTGAACACGATATATTGGAAACATATAAATCACACTAGACTAGCGTATTTACGTCTAAACTTTTATTCATCCTTTTTATGACATGGCATCATTAGACACGAATGGATTCTTCAATGGTAATTGCAAAAAAAAAAAAAAAAAGACCATGTATACTGAATTCATTAACAGCTCGATTCATTCTTTTCTACAATAGTGATAGTATACTGTAGAATGTAGGATAGATTGTAGATAGATTGTAGTCATATAGTATAGTTATGTAGTTATAGTATCGTCATGTAATATTGCCATGTAGATTCTTTTTTTACTCCTTTCGTTTTTTTTTTTTTTTTTTTTTTTTACTAATAAATATGAACTAATCAGGAGATGCTATAAAAAAAAATGATATGAAGCATGGTCATCTATTAGTATGATTGAAATGAGATATTGTAAAAAATGATAGTCATCCGCACGGCAAATAAACACGGCAATAAACCATCCAATCACAATTGCTCACAAGGTTATTCAAATCTCATTCCTCCCAGACAAACAAGCCCTGATATGAAGAAACGTGAACAGACCGAATTCGATCTCCGACGATTAGCTTTTTGTACTTCTTCCTGGTTTTAGTTTTCATCAGATCTCAGATAGTATAGTGGTAAGTATCCCCGCCTGTCACGCGGGAGACCGGGGTTCAATTCCCCGTCTGAGAGCTTCTTTTTTGCATTTTATACTTTTGTTTGGAATTGACCAATCATCGTCGAGTATTTTGTATGATCCTTTTTTGGTGATGATAAGTTTACTTTGATTTTTTTTTTTTTTTTTTTTTTGAAGGAATGCTATGGAAGCACAAATAAAGAGTCATCATGAGAGAACGGTAATAGAAAAGAAAAAAAAAAGCATGCTAATGATTGGAATGAGAGAAAATGGATGGTGATCCAATAAAAAAAGTTTTATTTATTATTATTTGATAAATGGTTCAAACTATTTGATGAGTAAAAAGTTTGTATTTAAAAAGGGAAGAGATCTGATTTATTTTAAAAAAAATCTCAAGGTAAACATTGTATCAAGAAGGGATGATTACGTTATAATTTACATTACAATGAAATACTCTATTGATTCAATAATAATAATGATTGTGATGACGAAAGAAAGTGACATGCAGCACAAAAAAAAAAAAAAAAAAGGTCATCTTCATGACACTCTTAAGTGACTCATTTTTTAAAGTATTACATTATATGGTGAGATGACCTGTAAGAAGAAGTTTGTAGTTAAATGATCATATTTAACTACAAAATTCAGTTTATTTTCATTTAAAAAATAAAATAAAAGTAACACTAAAAAAAAAAACCACTACGATAATAATGTACATTGATAATTCCATTCCAAGTTTTCCCTATATCCAACCATCATTGTCTTGATACAACCTTGATGTTATGTTTCTTTTGGAATTCAACAAAGTCCTTTTCTTTTCGTTGATAAGATTGTAGTAGGGATTTAATGACTTGTTGGATCTAAAACAATAAATATGAGTTTGTTAGATGAGAAACTATCAAGATTGTTTTTAGTCTATATACCCCATTAAAGTTAGTTTCAAGCGCTGGTAATACTTCTTTGACAGTCCGTTCTACTAACACGCCACCCACCATACGAAAACATTTTCGTTCAGGTTCCAAAGGAGATATACTATCAATCACTAGTCTAAAAGAAATATCTAATGGTTAACTCTATTCATGTTTATATAATATATGACTTTACTTGTGTTCTTCTACTTCAGATTCAAGTTCACCAATCTTTTGTGCCATAGATTGAAGTTCATTTTTATATTGATTATACTATAATATAGATTGATTAAAATAAGTTGAAATTAACTTAATAAAGTCTCTTTCTTCTTTTTTTCTTTTTCTTTTCTTTTTATTACTTGTTGTTGAAGTTCAGCTTCAGAAGGTTTTTTATTATTAGACATTGGATAGAAGAAGAGATTGAGAAAAAAAAAAAAAAAAAAAAGAGAAAGAACGCGGACTTGATTTAATTTATATGTGAAAATATGACGTGGAAAGAGACACAAACAAAAAATATGCGGGCACTAAAAAAAAAAAAAACGCTTTTTTTTCTATTTTTTTCCTTTTCTTTTTATTTGTTAAAATTAATTAAAATGGCATTATTTATTGGTCGATTACCACCTGGTATAAAAGATTACGATTTAGAAGATATATTTATTAAATATGGCAAGATCACTCGTTGTGAAGTGAAGGTATATAAAAACAATAATATTAATAATGAATAAAACTAACCATTCTTATTTTTGTATTGATTTAATAGAAAGGAAAAAGTTTTTGTAAGTTGATTATATATAAAATAATAACAAAGGATTCATATTTTTTTTATTTATTTATTTTAGATTATGGTTTTGTTGAATTTGATAATGATAATGATGCATATGATGCTATGGACGAAGTAGATGGCATGGTAATATATATAATGAAAAAAAAAATACGGAAAAATTTAAGATTGTTGACTAATTATATATATTATTTATTTAGGATCTTGATGGTGTACGTATCATAGTGGAAAAAGCAAAAGGACGTGTTCGTAGAAGTGATGAACGTGGTTGTTACAATTGTGGTGAAGAAGGTAAATATATAAAAATAGTTGTTTATGCATTTATATCTAACTATTTATTGATTTCCCTTTTAGGCCATTATGCTAGAGATTGTAGAGAACGCCCTCGTTCTAGGTATGTTTGAAAAAAAAAAAAAAAGAAAAGATAAATTTTGATCATGCTGGCGAACCTTTTTTTTTTTTATTGTTATTCTATATATATATATATATATTATAGAAAAATGGTGCCATCGCCTGACAATTTATTTGATATCCGTTTTCCATTATTGGTTTCGATTTTCTGAATAATTATGAACTCACTTTTTTTATATATTATAGACATAGATCTCGTAGTCGATCCCCATCAAGAAGTAGAGGCCGACGTTATAGAAGTTATTCTCGATCTCCATCGCCACGTAGACGTCGCTATCGTAGCTATTCTAGATCACCTTCTCCTGATCGTAGAAGAAGAAGAAGAAGAAGTTATTCTCCTTCGGTATCAAGAAGTCCTCCTCGTCGCCGTAGATCTAGTTACCGTGATGATCGTTCTTATTCTCGTTCTCGCTCTCGCTCATATTCAAGATCTATCTCTCGATCTATTTCACCTGTTGAACGTCGTCGTCGTATGGATTCAAAATCTCGTTCTCGTTCTCCTTCTCGTGATAATATCAAAGAACCTTACAATGATGGTGATAATCGTCGATCTGCTTCTCCTATGCCTGATGAAAATGTTGAACCTGAACAATAGGATATTTACATTAGTTTAGTTCAATCCCCTTTTTTTTCCCCATTCATTTAGTATTTTATTCTCTTTTTTCTTTTTACATGTGTTATGTATGCAGGTGGTGATTTTTTTTTTTTTTTGATTATATGTGTCATTTAGATACTTTTTTTTTTTTTTTTTAATAAACTATCTTTATCCCTTTAATAATATTAATATTAATCATGGTCAACATGATGTTGATTGAAGAAGGGAAGGAAGAATTTTTTTTTTTTTAAAATTAAAGTTTTTGTTACGCGCGATTTGACAAGGTTTTTTCAAATTACTATTTAAGAATAAAAAAACAAGTGGCACGGATGTTTTTCTATCATTCTCTTTGTTTTCGAAAAAGAACCTAGAATCTCAAACAAGCCTGAACTGAACATTATGTTTGAATAAGGCTAGTTGTATGACATGAATAAGAAACAAGAGTCAGACTGGTGATTACCTTTTTTGGGACAAGCTTGATGATCGGCAATTGACATACCATAAAAAAAGAGGAGACTTAGTAGTTAACAGTAGTAAAGAATTCATTGAGTGCAACAAGCATTGTCACCATAAGGTTGTTTGGTGTCACATGAACTCAAGTCCTTTGACAATAAGTCCCTTCCCATTATTTGGTTTCTGAGTTTTTTTTTTTTTTTTTTTTTTTTCTACAAAAGATTTTTTTTTTTTTTTTTTACTTCTTCTTTTCCTTCTTGTTTTTTTTTTTTTTAAAAAAAAATTTCATATTACCTCCTTTCATATTCCCCCTTTTATTATATTAACATGTTTTCAAATACATCAGTTATGGATCTTCCTACTTTTAATCAACAATCTGCTACTGGAAAGAGAATGAAACAATCTGATCAGTTTTTATTTTTATCAGATATTACCAATCCAACAAAAACGTCTATTCCTTGGTTGAAATCATCCAAACAAAACGATTCAATGTATACTTGTTATTTGCCACGCTCAAAACAACAACAACAACAACTTGCTTTAACTGATCGTCGTAATCACCCCCTTCCAGCTTTACCATCACATTCAGTATCTTCACCAAATTCAAGATCATCCAATAAAAATAAAATTGCCACAAATCATCACTCCTTATTACCTACTCCTGGAAGTCTTCGAAAAAAATCACACAGCAAACAAGATGCTTCTCAGTTATTGGAACAAAGGAAAAATAACAAGTCTATCAAACTGCCTGGTCACGTTAAAACTTCTCCATCACTATCTACTTTAAGATCTCTTCCATCTACGACTCCTCCTCCATCTACTACAACTTCTTCCGACTCTTCAACTCATAAATATCATCATTCTATTCCAGTACACAAGATGAATCATACAAAATCATCATCATCATCATCATCATCGTCACCAGCAACCTCACCTGAAACAGTATCTGATACCACCAAACGTATTATGAATCAATTAGCAAATTCTGTACAAGTATCACCATCATCATCATCATCATCATCATCTTCATCGTCATCTACACCTTCAACATCGACAATGATTGCTTCCATGACACCCTCTTTATCCACGCCAATGATGACGCTTGGCTCATCATCATCGTCATCATCATCATCATCTTCTTCTTCTACATTTTCACCATCATCCACTTCAACAACTATATCATCCTCCTTAACTTCACAAATCACATCTTCACATAAAAACAAATACAGCTCGGTTCCTTATCCACTAACGCAAACTAGCAATGAGGAACAGGATCGCATGGTAGCACAGCACTATTTACTCCGCACGGCGTTCAACGGCAGGGATTATATGGCCAGCAGCATGACGCCTTTATTGGAACAAGGATGCGTGGTTTTGGACATGGGGTGTGGCACAGGCACATGGGCGATGGAATTAGCAACAAAGTACCCAGCTTCTCGTTTCATTGGATTGGATCAAGTCGCACTCTTTCCCAAGGACATCAAACCCAAAAACTGTCATTTTGCTACTTGTGATGTGACATCCTTACCTATCCCTGATGCAAGTGTCGATTATATCTTTCAACGTGATTTGAATTGGGGTTTGATGAGTCATCAATGGTTACCTTTGATTAAGGAATATATGCGTATTCTGAAACCTGGTGGTTGGATTGAACTTTTGGAAATGGTAAAAAAAAAAAAAAAAAAAAAAAAAAAAAAGAAAGTATCTCTCATCATGTGGATTTTTTTTTTTTTTTTTAAAAAAAAAATAGGATATTGAAACGCAAAGTAGTCAACGTCAAGAACGTGCTTTCAACGATAAATGTAAGGTGATTTTTTTTTTTTTAAAAAAAAAAAGTAATAATAATAATGCTGACTTTTATTATTATTATTTTTTTTTTAAAAAAAGTGATCTATGGATTATTGATGCGACAACAAGATCCATTTGTAGCCAGAAGATTACCATCCATTCTTGCCATCAGTGGATTTCGTCGAGTGTCCAGTCAATTTCAATCATTACCTCTTGGATGGGGCAAGGCACATGCATCTAACATCTCATCAACTTCTTGTTCCGAATATGCGAGGGCAGCAGCAAGTCAGTATCGGTTTATGTTACAATCTCTTTGTCCTTGGTTATCTACTGTGATGGGTTATTCTGTTGACAAATATCAAATGGTCATCGATCAATTGGTGGTTGAATGGGCTCAAGCTCATACTTATGTCAAATGGCATTCGGCCGTTGCTCAAAAGCCATATCATTAAATGGATGATTGTTTTTTTTTATTACTACTTTTTTTTTTTATTTATTTATTGATGCAGCATGATCCGAGTACGAAATAGTATTAGTTCTCTCCTTTTTTTTTTTTTTTTTTTTTTTTTTTATGTATTGATGAATTCTCCTATTTTTCTTTTATATCTATTTGACTATTTAGTTACCAATAAATAAAATATGTATATATTCTTTATTTCTATTATGTTGTTTAGGAAAGGATGGAAATGATATAGTTTCTTTTTTTTTTTTTTTTTTTTTAGGGGGGATCAACGTGGCAATCCAGAACGATTTCTATATGGGCTTAGGTTCATCTCATTACCGGTTATAAGCATCGGGAACTTTTTTTATATCATTAACATACATCTACCATGCTTTCTTAAATGATATTTTAAGCATGGTGACGTTGATTATACTTCCTATGATGAATTCAAATCTACGATTGTTGAGATGATGTTGATGATAGCAATTATGATGATAAATGATAATAGTATTAGTTGAACCTATAATTTATACTTTCTGTACATGATCATACACGTTGTAAAAAAAAAAAAAAAAAAAAAAAAAAAAGAAATGCACCTCATTGTGTCATTGTTTATATGGGAAAGCAGAAAGTAATAGAGTTCCCGAAGTCTGTGTCGTTTATTGTTTATTGTTTCCCATGTCACTATTTTAGATAGATTCGAAACAAAAAAAAAAAAAAAGCTATAAATGAGTATATCTGTTTTTTTTTTTTTTTTACCATTCTTGCCTTTTCTTCCTTTCCCACTTTATTTTTTTATATCATCATTCTCCCCCTTTCCTTTTAATAAGTGATCGTCCAAGCCCAATATTTTTTTTTTTTTTTTTTAAAAAAAGAGGAAGCATCCAAACAAACAAACAATTTTAAGCCCAAAAATAGGATGAAGTCTACAAGTACGATGCTGATCCCATCCATTCATTCATCCGAAAAATATACTTATCAAACATGTCCCATCTGTTCCGAACGACTTTTAGTGAGAATGCATGGATGTTTTATCTTTAAATATATCAATTTACATTTTTCCACTCATCATCATGAATGGATGCATGTGGTGGTTAATTTACATTCATAACTAATTGCCTGTACACAACTTCTACTATATTCTTCATTATTATTAAAAAAAAAAACTCATTTTATTACTATTCCCATCCATCATCAAATAGTCACTATCATCAACAAGCATATCCTGAATACAATACAAAAAAAAAAAAAAGCGTCTGTTTATTTCAATTTCATCATAAATAAATAAAAAAAATACAAACAAATAGATTGGGATAATATATAAAGGCTATTTGTATCACTATATTATTGTCGTTTGTTTGGCTTGTAACCATGATCATCCCCTTCAGGCACAATCACTGATTTTTTGGAGGCAGAGCTATTGGAAGATGACACAGCGGGTAAAGGTTTTTGTTCTTGATGTAATGTTTGAAGAGATGCCTTTCGAGCCTGGGTTTCCTCTAGAGCATAACGTTCGGCCAATTGTCGTTTTTCTTCATCAGCAGTCAACGGGCGAGAGGGAGAGCTTGTGGGAATACGAAAACCACCTACATCTTGGCGGCGAATATATTGTTGTTGGAATTCAGAATAAGGTCGTTGTGCTGGTCCATCCTGTTGTCTTTGTGTCAATTGATCATAAAGTTGTTGGTATTGTCCGTGATGATATACAGGTGCCACTCCTCCATAGGCTCCAATGGGTACGTTCCAATTCATAGATGAATCATAGCTTGTAGTAGATAACATGGTGGAATTATGATGAGGTGGATGATGTTGGTAATGTGATGGATGATTCGATGGCTGAGGTGATGGATGCATAGGTAAAGGTGATTGCTGATAATAAGTAGATTGAGGTGTCGATACCGCGGTATGACCTTGATAGGGTGATTGGAAACCATCCTCTTCCACTTGTTCTTTATCTTCATGAGCTATAGGTCGGGCATGAGAAACCGCTGGTGCTGGAGGTAACGAAGGTGAAGTTTTAGTTATTCCTTGAGGTTCATCCGAATTGCGTGGAGAGGAGTTTTCATCTTCTTGACTAGCTTGATATGCAGGAGGAGGTACATCGTACAAATCCAATTCTTCGAGATTTTCTTGAATATCTTGCGACTTGTGATCACTTGTAACTGAAGCAATGGCATCTGTTGTATAACCGGCTGGAATAGCAGTGGATTGTTGAACAGGCAAAGGTGATCGTGGTGGCAATTTGGGAGCAGTAGTATCGTCTTTGTTATCATCTTCCTTTACTTGATCCGGCAAAGGTTCCTTTCCTTTTCCTTTTCCTTTATCATCATCATCATCATCATCATCATCATTATTTGTCGGATTGTTGCTTGGAGTTTCATCTTTTTCAGTTTGACCATTGTCAATATCATGATGTTGAATAGTGTTGGCAGCAATGGTAGGTCGTTCATCTCCTTCATGTGGTTCCCAAGCTTCGATTGCGTTGATAGCATCTGCAAAAATCATTGCGACTTCCTTGCCCTTATCATATGTACGACGAGTTGGTTCAGAGGCCGGAGTAGGTGTAATATCCAATAAATCAACAATGTATTTCCCAAAACCAGCAATCATAGCAGTCTTTTCAGCATATTCATTCATAGCATTGAAACGTAAATAAAAGGCTTCCTTAAGAGCAAATCGTTTGAAATCCCCCATTTCTAATTCAGTGTCGTGGGTATCGCGATCCAGAGAAGCCAGTTCCTTCTTAAGTTCTCGTAATTTGGGTGATTTTGGACTCGTTTTTGTCAGATTGGCGATTCGACTGGATAGAGTACGTTTCTTCTCACGAATATCAGATAATCGATCTTCACGATCTCGGATGGATTTAATAGCATGACGGTATTGTTGGTATTTTGCTACAAATAGAGTAAATTATTACTTTAATATATTATACTCTTTTTTTTTTTTTTTTTTTTTTTTTTGCTTTTACCTGCATATTGTTGTTCAATTTCTACTTGTTTTTCTAATAGTTTCACAAGTTTATCACCAATATCCTATCAAATAGAGAAAGAAAAAAAAAAGAACAATTGAGTATTGATGATGACAATTAGAAAAAGGAAAAAAAAAACATACTTCAATATCACGACCATTTTCTGCCTTGTCATTCAAAAGTTCTTCTTTTGTCCATTGTTGAAAGACCTTGTTTGTTTCAGACTGTTGGTAGTTCAAGGTACGCATGGTGGCCAAGTTATTTCGTTCGTTGAATATCCACATAGATAAAGCTTTAGTGTCTTGTTTTTGAAGAGGATTATTACGCGCCAGTTGACTACGCATATCAGTAGTAAGTCTACCAATAGAGAATTGTAAATCTTTAAAATTCATTATAAAATAATAAATAAACCAGTATTGAAAAGAAAAAAAAAAAAAAGAAAAAAAAAAAAGAAAAGGGACTAAAAGTAAGATTGAATGTAAAAGACTTTTTTTTTTATTAGATGTTAAGTTTTTCAAAGCACGCCGTGTAACAATATTCATTTCATCAAGGTTTACGAGGAGGAGTAAGAGTATTGTCTACAACTGGTTGTTTTTGTAATCCTCCTGCTACTTTATATTTACCATATGGATTTTGAAGGATCATGAAAGGAACAGATTCATAAACACAGTGAACAGATGTACCCTATGATATATTGGTTTAGTAACAATAAAAAAAATGTTATTAAATTAATTACTTACAGGATAATTAACCATAATACGATAATGGTAAAGACCAGTGATATCTTCAACACCAATACGGAAAGTAGTTAAACCAGTATTATCATCTTCGGTGTATAATGCTAAAATGGTTATAATATGTTAGAGATCAATCAATCATTTAATCTCAGTTAACTTACTGATATTTTCACCAATGACAAATTGATTGTGTTGTGTACTATTCAAAATACGGATACGAGTGATGATATCAGGAGAATAAGGAATATCAGGATCTACTTCCCAACTGACTTGTTGTACTGAATTATTTTCATAAGCTTGACCAGGATAAGTAGGGTAAGTAATACGGAATCCTATTCATTCATCAAATATATATATATATATCATCAGTTTATATCTATTGTCTATCTTTTTTTTTTTTTTAATACCTATACAATAATCAGGATTGACCCGTGGAGGATTATATCCGTACATCATCAATGCTTCCCCTGATTCAGCTCGAGGAGACAAGGCAGCAGCCTTTGCCATCGATGAACATAACACGAATATTAAACAAGCAAGAAGAATCATTTTATGATAATAAAGAAGTAAAAAAAAAAAAAAAAAAAGGAAGTTGAAAAAAAAAGTTCACATTAATAGATCAGGGCTTATATAGTTTATTTTAGTATCAACTAAATAGATTGACAATCTTTGGTTATTCATAGTACATTCTCGCGTTTTTGGCATCTGTTGTATTATCATCAAACATGTGAGAATTTTCAAAAATAAAAAAAAAAAAAAAATTGATGGGAGTACCAAGATCTTTTGGTTTATTCATCAACAAAGTGCATAGTATAAAACAAAAATAAAAACATAAACAAAAAAAAAAAAGTAGACAAAAATAGAGCAAAAAGGCTTTAATTTTTGTGCTTGGTGCATGATTGATTTGTTCATTACAGGCATGCCTACAATAAAGGTATTCCATAGGTTCAAACACAGCATTGTTGAGGTTTTTTTTTTTTTTTTTTTGATCGTCGTCTCTCCAATTTCCGATTTTCCCATTAGCAAACTTCTTTTATTTTTATTTTTTTTCTTCTTATTCTAACCCCCTTATTACTATCAACAAATATTAATATAGACATGGCAAGAATAGCACGTGGCATATCTTTAGAAGATTGGGAAGATAAGGCTCGTTTAAATGAAAAACAATTACAAAGTGTATATGAAATCAAAGAAACTTGTGCTGAGCTGCCTCTACCATCAAGTTGGGTAAATCCTTTTTTTTTTTTTTTAATTGAATAATACTAATGAATTCTTCTTTTTAGTATTTTAATGAAAAGTCTCTGAATTCACCTGCTTTAGGTCGTGGTACTTCTTCTGGAGGGATGACTCCTGATGTTTCTTCCTCTCACTTATTGAATCCTTTAAATGCTGGTGTCCTATCAAGTCAACTTCGTGCTATCAATCGATCAAGATCGGCTACCAATTTGTATGCTGAATCTACTGCTGCAGCTGAAAAGCAATCTGCCAATGACATTAGATCTGATAAACCAATTGAAACTTTACAACAGTTTTTTGATTGGTTTGCCGTGATGGAAACTGAAATGGAAAAAGGTCAAGAGGATGTCTATAGGTAATAGAATTGGAACAAAAATTATATGATGATATACTCACTTCATTACTATTCGTGTTTTTATATAGAAATTATCTCTCGATGGTCACATTTTACCGAACTGTATGTGATGAATTCTTGGAAAATTTGGATACAACAAAAAATTTATTTGAGGAACTTGGGCAGGATTATGGATTTGTGGAAAAACAGACGAAATCATTACAATCAACATGTGAGGAATTATTACAACAACCAAAGCAATATCCATTACATCAAACCGAAAAACCAAAAGAACAATATCAACAAGATGAAATACCAAAGGAAGCGTGGAATGAATGCTGGCAACAATGACACCCCCCTTATCATATTTTTACTCTAAACTTTTCTCGTACTTTATTATCACACACACAGACACTCAATAAAAAAAAAAAAACTTTGTTTGATACCTTCTCCTTACGATTTGTTTTTTTTTCTTTCCTTTTGGTGTTTTATTGTATTTTTTTTTTCGTAGTAGTAAAAATCATGCAGGAAAAGAGAAAATGAAGCAAGGTTTGACATATCTGACACTTCCTCTTGTCTTTCAAAGGTATTTCTATTCATTCATTATAATCATTATTAGTTTTATTCATCATATTTTTCTTCTTTCATCATCATTGATGCATCATCCAAAATTCATTACCCATTATTCTAATCATTCTTCGTCCCATTATCATGGTTTATTGATCTCGGATACTAAAAATATGATTAGCTAGTACGGAACAATGCGGATTCTATTGCATAGAATCAACTGATTTTTTTTTCTTTTTGAAAAAAAAAAGATCCTTCATTGTGGGAATAAGGATTGACTTAAAATCCGGAAAAACTGTTATAGTGGTTTTGGATATATCCGGAAAATTAAAGGAAACAATAACAAAAAAAAAAGAAACATAGGTTTCTGAATAAAGAACATGGAAAAAAAAAGAAGAAAAAAAAAGTATGATCATTATTATTATATATGAATTTGTATTCACAGTTTAATTTTCTTATATTTATTTTTTCTTTCTTAACGTAGCTTTTTTTTTTTTTTTGTTTACTATATAAAATACAAACAATATGAGTGAAGACGAAGAACGAGATACTATTGGACCTTTACAAACCCCTCGTATTGTCGAAAGTGGACGCTCGACTAATAAAACAGGACACCGATTATCACTTCCGGAAACGACCAATTTTGATGAAAGCAGGATACGTGATATGGGAAATATGTATGCAGCATACAATATGATGGTTAGGACAGCTTCTCCAGTTGTCAATGGTCAAAATAGTGAACGACCTATTCATATGGGCAATCCTGGTGTAGTAGGTAAATATCATCATTACCCTTTTATGGATCACCTCATTCTTTTTTTTTTTTTTTTTTTTTTGAATAGGTTTATGGGGTTTTGCTGTTGTTACTATACTATTAGGTGTTTACAGATTATTTTTACCTTGGAAATCTACCAATATATTACTTCCTACTGCTTTGATGTTTGGAGGTTTAGCTCAATTGGTTGCAGGGTGAGTTCCGAAAAAAAAAAAAAAAAAAAAAAAAACTGTGCGTGTGCATGAGATTACAGATATGTATATACTGTATGTCTATCAGATTGATTTTCATTCATTTAACGGATTTTGATTTTTTTTTTCTCTTTGTACTCTAAATTAGGTTTCTTGATTTGTTTGTGGGTGGTACATTTTCGGCAGCCATTCTAATATCTTATGGAGCGTTCTGGACTGGCAATGGTATCTTGATGTTTCCTACTACAGATGCGGCCTTGAATACTTATGTCAATCATGATGATTTGATGCAAGCTCATGCAATTTATGATATTATATGGGCTCTTTATACATTTATGTTGACTCTATTATCACTACGAATTAGATCTGGTACATTTAATTTGACCTTTAATTTATTTTTTGTCTTTCTTGCCTTATTATTATCTGGTATTCATTTTATGGTCGACATTGAAGCTATTATTCGAGCGAGTGGTAAGATCATCCCTTTTTTTTTAATAGTTTATTCATTTTTTTATCTTTTTTTTTTTTGGATCATCATTAGGTGTATGTGCTATTTTGGCAGCTCTCGGCGCGTTTTATAGTGGTATAGCAGCTATTCTTGAAGAACAAGGTCAACATTGTTATGTAGGACATTACCCTTGGACTAGAAACATTTAATTATACTTTCTTTATATCTGTTTATCTATCTATCCAATTCATCTGTTATTAATAAATCTGTATCAACTTTTATGGATAATGTTGTATGATGAATCTATGTATTTCAAAAAAGGAAATATAGACAATGGATCAGCTGCGTGATGATCATCATATTTATAAACATACAAATGTATATGCACCTAAAACGCCTTATGTTCAATCAATCCAAGATGTCGTGGTACGATTAAAATATAGCGACAGGATAAAGATTCGGAATGAACCATAAAAAAAAATTATATAATGGACACTGTGATATATTCATTCATATCAAGATGATCATGATAGAAAATCGTCTGTAATAGTAGTGCTTATTAGCTAATATGGAATGCGTAAATTTATTTACTTTGGCGCGTGGAACAAAGAAGAGTAATAAGAAATAAAATAGGTAACATCTTCCATTATCCCTCATCATTCATCATCCGTATAATTATTTAATCATCTATGGAAGAAGGGCTCTTTTGTTAATGTGATGTGCTCAAAAGGTTATATTCATTCATTGATCGAATGCATCGGTGAATCAATTTCTGCTTACAGTTTCTTCCTCAATTCAATTTTTTTTTTTTTTTTGCTTTTCTTTTTCTATATTAAACTTGTCGAGTTGATTAATTCACCCATATGGAATCTCAAGTTGGCATTAATATCAATGGGAAACCTTTTGGTAGTGATGCTATAAAGTGGTCTGATGACAGTATATTATCTGTTTGTTTCGACAATAGTGTTCACTTACTGGTATTACCCTTTTTCAAAAAAAAAAAAATAATAACACGAATCGCGTTATTGGAACAAACAATTCTCTTTCTAATACTTTGTTTTTTATGTTTATATTTGAATAGACACCTATTCTTGTGGGAATATCATCGGATCTTGATAGTTGTCAACATTCTCTCATTATGAATGATCTATTACCTGATAGTTATGATTTTGGAGAGTCTGACGGTACTTGGACAATACTAAATATATATATAACATTTATTAATACCAACCTTTTTCTATTAGTTATTGAAAAGCCTGTCCAATCATCATATGCTATTTCTGAAGGATATCGTTGTACTAATTGGTCACCTACTGGATTATCAAGCAACTATGGGTAAAAAAAAGTATTGATGTACGAGACGTGTTTCGAGAAAGTGATTCTAACTGAATTCTTCTTCTTTTTCTTAGATGCCTTCTTACTGTGATTACTACTAAACATAGAGTTCTACTATTTGAAGCTGGCAAGGATACCCCAAATTGGACACTGGTAAGGTTATACAGATATGATTAATACTCTCTTAATGATGATGATGATCACGATTTTTAACTATATATATACCTTTCTTTCTATACTTAGCATACGGATATGACACCAATGTTAAGGGATCACGTATTGATTCAATCTGAAACTGAAGAATTCTCAACTTTGGAACAAATCAATCAATTTCATTCATTGTGTAAGTGTAGATAGATCAACATCAATTAAATCGAAAAAAAAGAGACTGATCAGATCTTATATATATATTTATTTTATAGATGCGGCATGGTCACCATATATTATCATTGATCCATTGAAACCCAAACCTGCTATCATCGCTATTGGAAATAAAGCAGGTGGAATTTCTTTGTGGAGGTATATCATAAAAGAAGAAAAAGGAGGTCATCTAATTAGTAACTTTTTTTTTCTTACTTTACCTGGAATCTAGTTATTCAATTGCTGATGGATTTCGATACCAAATAGATTGTCAAGTACATACTTCTCCCGTGAATCTATTACAGTGGTCCAAGTGGCGAAAATCTGGTGAAAATTGTAAGTACTAGAAAGGATCAGCAATAAAGAAAAACTTGGATCATGTGTATTGAAATCTTTTTTCTTTTTTTTTTTTTTTTTAAAAAAAAAATGCTGTAGATATTGGATATCTTTTATCAACAAGTACGAATGGAATTGCAGTCATATCATCTGTTACCATTCAAATCGCATCATCCGCAGTTAATTCAGTACAAATACAAATATTACATACTTGGTTCGAAGAAGACTCAGGAATACCCACTATCATCAAATTATGGGAAGATTCGGTAAAAGAAATAAAAAACATTTTTTGTGTTCTTTCGAAGTAAATGGAAATGATCGATTTTAGTTTATGTCTTTTATATATTGTAGAAAAATGATATTATCAAAATTCTTGTCGTAAAACAAGTTATGGTTTATACTGCAATGCTTCGTGTACAAAAAGATTATCAGCTTGTTCTGGATTTAACCTGGTTGGATTATACAGTACCTAATTCTGCGCTTGGAGTGTCTGGTAAGAGAGAGAGAGAGAGAGCAAGAGGAAAAAAAAAAGAAAGAGGAAAGATTGAAGATCATCTATACAAATTCTTGTTAGGTGCGTACTTTGCAAATAATGGAAAAAGCATTCGATTGGTGACTCATGAAGGTACTGGATTGGTGCTTTCCTACAAAGACAATATCTTGGATTTGGATGGATCATCGTCACTTATTGTCACTCAAAAATTACAACGTAAATTCAAACAACAATGGATGGAAGAAATGTCAAAATATGAAGAAGAGGAAATACTATTTGGATTCAGTTTTGGAGTATTATTATGGGGCATAGATGCAACTCCAAATGGATTGTATTCTGCCATTTTATTTACGTAAGTTATATGTTAAAAGATATTCCCATCATTATATATACACTCATCTTTTATGGTTCTAGATTGAAACCTTTAGTTGATGTACATACTTATGTGGAATCCAAAGACAGTACTCATGTTGCCTTTTTACTTCATCCCAACATCGACAATCAAAAGGCTTTACCAAAATTACTGAATGATTTGAAACTATATATTCATGATCCTGACTTTTGTAAGTGATTGATATATCTAGTTTTTCAAAGGAATCATACTAATCATGATATATAAATCCAAGTCTTTACCTATCCGATACAATCCATTCTACACGAACAACTTGAATTTTTATTGGATGAAGATAATGATGAACAACTGATGGTTTGGTTACAACTTTTGAACAATGCAATAGACAGTTTGAATGAAGAGTCAAGGTAAGCGATATAGATATATAAGGGAAAATGAGCCAAGGTGTAATTGATTTTATTCATTTATATTATAGGTGGCATTCTTTGGATTTGACAAGAATGGTTTACAGTATACCCAACATTGTTGCTTGCCAAATTGCTGTCTACATTAGTATGGAATCAAAGGTATAAAAGGAAAAAAAAAGAAAAAGAAATGGAGGAGTATTTTTTTTTAATCATTTTGGAGGTAGTCATATAGATTAACTGATACAGCTCGAGTCTATTTGGATGAACTCAATAGCAAAGGTCACCATTTTATCATTTTGAATTATCTACAATCCGTACTTACTTTTGTCAACAATCAAGAAGACACTTTTTGGAAATCTTTGAATGGTATCAAAAGAACAAGGGAAAAAAGAAAAATTGGCTAATCACTCTTATTTTCCTTTAACTAGGTGAGGATATTATTCAATTGTTATTATGGTGTGACAGAGCTTTATACGAACCTAAACCTTCAATCCAACTCCTTACCACGGTTAAAGAAACATATATCAAATTACGATCTTTCTTTCCCACTGATCCTCTTGTACAAACTATATCAACCGAATTCGACTTGGTGGACTCTGCTTTGGTTGGAAAGTCTCTTATGGATATTGAATTACCATCAAGACAAGACTGCCCTGTTTGTGAAAATTATATCCTTTTTTTTTTAGATAGATATATATATGATTGATATGAAACAATGATTATCTTTAACAAAAGAAATACCTATTCCTTTTTCAGTAGGTCCAATATGTATTTGTAATATGGGTCATTGTTTTGGTATGTAATCGTATTTATATTTATATTATATCTAAAAGTTTATTTCTTCCTCTAGATCGATGTAGCATTACATTCAAGCCAATCGTTTCTCCGTTTTATCAAGCCTGTGTTAGATGTGGTGCCAAACGTCGAACGATGTCCATAGATGATATGCAACAACAGCATAACAAACTATCATCATCATCTTCATTAATAGATACTGTGCTTTCCAATTGTTGGAAATGTATTGATTGTGGATCGGATATTACAGCAGTCAAGGTACAGTTATAGACAAAAAGAAAATGAACGACATCTTTTGGTTAATCTTCCTTTTTTTGTTTTGTTTTGATAATACAGCCATGACCCCTTCTTGTATAGTGAATCATCAAACGCCTAGTTGTTAGTATATGTGAATAGAGAGAGATTGGTGTTATCATGCTGGCCTTAATAAAATTGTATTTTTTTCATGAAATCAACTTCGGAATTTGAAAAGCAAAAACCCTCAATTTTTTATGTAGTTGTTTTGTGTTTTTCTCTTTCTTTTTTGTTGTTTTTCCATTAGTAGAAACCATGGGCATTAAACTATCACCAGCTGGCAGAAGGTAATGTCAAAAAGGAAAAAAAAAAGAAAAAAAAAAAACAAACAAACAAATAATGAAGACTTTACTAATGAAGACTTGATTACTGTATCCTTTTTTTTTTTTAGACTTGCCACTATCATAGTATCTGTTCCATTTGTAGTCACCACTTCTTGGATCTTATACAAACGAGGCAAGTAAAATAGTTACGAAAGGAATAGTTAGTGATTGTTTTGTGGGAGTATATTGACACATTTATTCTTTTTTTTTTTATAAACAAATATAAATTTGACCATAGTGATCCTGGGTGAAGAACGACGAGTACCAGACGGCAGAGCTATTCGTCCTGTTGGTGTCAAGGAATTGCAAGAAAAAGATCTTTAGACGATACATTTTATGGACCGATCTTTCTTCTTCTTCTTCTCCCTCTTATTCTATAATTTATATATCTATTTTACTTTTATTTAGACCAAATCATCATGTATTCCGTTTTGTATATATGTCAATCAATAAAATTATCATTCATTCATTTAATCATCGATTTATATATTATATATATTGGGGTGCATTCATATAATGGCTTGATGAATATAAAAAGGAAAGAGAAATCGCGACATCCAGGAATTGGATGGGAACATCTGGGACACAGCTGAGTAATACTGCTTCACCTTTTTGTCCTGGAATCGATGGAAGATGGGTCGGCGATGAAAGATAGCCAATGGTATTTGACAGAGATTGTACCATTAAGCAAATTTTTTGAATACAAAGAGAAGCGATCTTATTGTATTTTTTTTTTTTTTTTTGTTTCTTTTCTTTTTCTTTTCATTTATTATTATCAATTACACTCCTCTTTATTTTATATATAAACAATGACCATTGAATTAGCTACCTTTGCTGCAGGATGTTTCTGGTAAGTTAATAAAAAAAAAAACCTACCAACCAACCAAAAACAAAAAAAAAAATTCATTCATTCATTTTTCTTTTTTAGGGGAACTGAACATATTTATAATAAGCATTTCAAAGGCATCCAAACCAAAGTAGGTTATACTGGTGGTGATGTTGAAGATCCTCGATATGAACAAGTCAAAACTGGTACTACTGATCATGCTGAAGCAGTTGAAATCAAGTTTGATCCTACTCAAATTTCTTATGAATCTTTGGTGGAATTCTTTTATAAAATGCATGGTAATGATACTATTGATTATTTTTTTTAAAAAAAGAAGCACTAACATGATTCATCATTTTATAGATCCTACTACACTCAATGCTCAAGGTCCTGATGTGGGTAGTCAATATCGATCTGCTATTTTCTATCATTCTCCTGAACAAAAAGAAATCATCGATAAAGTCACAGCTCAAGTACAAAAAGAACATTATCCAAACCAACCCATTGTTACCGAAATCGTCCCTGCTAAACCATTCCATGATGCTGAAAAGTACCATCAATTCTATTTGGAACGTAATCCTGATGGTTATGCTGTAAGTCGATAAACACACGTGATCACTTCATATCTCATTTCTCACATACTTTTTTTTTTTTTAGTGTCCTACTCATTACTTACGATGGTAAATTATTATTATTTTTCTATTCAACATCATTATTATTCCCTTCATTCCTTTAGTTTAGTCTCTTTTGTATTATAGTCCTTTAAATCATATTTCTTTCTTTCTTGTTGGCATAAATATTATTATTTAAAATAAACTTTAATCTTTATTCAATCTCCTCGATCATTACTATGCATCTTGACATGATGCCATGACAACAGTTGCTAAGCCTCTCTCTCTTTAATCAAAAAAAAAAAAAAAAAGAAAATTTTCCAAGAGAGAATACCGGGCTTTGATTTTCATTTTTCCTTAAAAATGAGAGCCCACTTCAATTTTTTTTTTCTCTCCTTCCCTTTACATAACTCAACGCATCAGGTACGTACTTATCCATCCATCCATCCATCCATTATGATGAATTTACATGAAGTGACATTCATCCATTATCCATCCATCTACTGTTTCTTTTTCTGTTATTCATCATGAAAAAGTCAACCATAGATGTGAAGTGGGTTAGTTTTGTTTGTCACCTCTTGTCTTTTCGTCATGTTTCATTGTAAACTCGAACAATAGTTTGAGCACTTGCATTGAAATAAATGAAAACCGCTCTTTTGAATCGATTCGTTTTGGTTTTATTTATAATGGATCGACACTCAATCAAGCGAACTCCTTACTGACATACTTTTTATTATTATAGACATCATGAGAGTTTCCGTTTTGAACGACTGCTTGAACAACATCAACAACGCTGAACGTCGTGGTAAGAGACAAGTCCTTATCCGTCCTTCCTCCAAGGTCATTGTCAAGTTCTTGTCCGTCATGCAAAAGCATGGTAAGTTTTTTTTTTTTTTTTTTGGGTTTATTTTATACTTTTTTTTTTTATTCCGAGTATAACTGGTGTTGCGATGGGTTATTTTACATCACAGCGCTTTTAGAACTTCGGTAGATCAACTTTTGATCCCATTGACTTTTTTCATATCTATATGACTTTTTTTTTCTTTTGATGACTGGATGTACCTCTAATGCATTTTGTTTTCTTGGGAAAAAGAAATATATTGATGATATGAAAAAGCTAATGTTTGGATTGAAATACATTTTATCTTATGAAACAAAAAAAGGTGATGTGAAGATCAGTAGACTCATTTTTTTTTTTTTACATATAGGTTACATTGGTGAATTCGAAGAAATCGATGACCATCGTTCCGGTAAGATCGTTATCCAACTCACTGGTCGTTTGAACAAGTGTGGTGTTATCTCTCCTCGTTTCAACGTCAAGGTGGGCGAACTCGAAAAGTGGACTGCCAACTTGTTGCCTTCTCGTCAATTCGGTAAGCTTGTCTTGACCACTTCTGCTGGTATCATGGATCACGAAGAAGCTCGTCGCAAGCACGCTGGTGGTAAGATTCTTGGTTTCTTCTACTAGATGGATGTCTTTTTTATATATGTAGAATAGCATCTCTTCCTTTTTTTTTTTTTTTTTTTAATTAATCATTATTTTTGAATAATAAAAAAAAAAAGAAAAGAAAAAAAAAACTATTCTTCTTGACTATTGTTTTATTCATTTGTGTATGTGCTGTTGTGATAAGATACATATGGTTAGTGTGTTTTCAATAGGGTCATTCGATCATCAGTTATTTGTACTGCAATGATAATCAACTTTGAACATGTGGGGAGGGCTGGCCATACCTTTTTATGATTATATTGTCAAATGGATCTCCGACCTCACTTTTTCCATTTTTTTTAGATTTTTTTTTTTCTTTCACTACTTTCTTTTCTTTTTTTTTTCTTTTCTTATTTTTTATAAAAACAATGCCTTCTTCTTCACCAACTTATCGATCGGTGCCTTTAGACGATACCCCTACTAGTGCTGTTGTAAAAGTGCGAAAACAATCAAAGTCGTTTGTCGCTGCTGTCATGCTCATTATATGTATTATCTCTTTTGTTTTACAAACAGAATTGGCTCAATATGTACAAAAGACTTCAAACTATCAGAAACCATATTTTATATTGTAAGCTTTTATCATAATATTTATTTTATACTTTATTAACTTCTTTTTTATAAAGATATATTGGTCATGCTTGTTATATCCTAATGATACCCATTCAATTCACCGTGGAATGTATTCACACAAGGTGGTTTGCTCTTCAACAACAAGAAAAGCCAAGTTGGCAACAGCATATACGGGAAACCATGGATTATTGTAGAAAACAATTGAAGGAAGCTATAATCGAATTAGAAGATCAAGTACAAGGCAAACATCAACACTATACCTCCTTTTTGTTACGAACTGGACTGATACTGTCTATTCTCTTTACTATTCCTGCATATCTATGGTACCTTAGCGTTAACCTTATTAGTATGTCGACTCTCACTGTGATCTTCAACACTGGTTGTTTTTGGGCCTATGTTTTTTCCATTTTTATGTTGGGTGATTCTATACTTCTCTCAAAGTGCCTGGCCGTCGGACTTTCTGTTTTGGGCGTGGTGGTCATGGCGTTAGGACAAGATAAACAAAATGATACTGACGATAATATGATTATGCAACAACAATCGATGAATATTGCTACTACAACATCCTCTTTGACTTCTATCATAGGTTTGAATGTGGCTGTGGTGGCTGCATTGACTTATGGATTCTACGAAGTAAGTAGAAAAAAAAAAAAAAAGAGAGGAACGGGTCATTTCTATATTTATATCTTCCTTTTCTTTTTCTACTTAGGTATATTACAAGAAATATGCAACTCCTCCTCGACCATCCGTTCTTTTTGCAAACATGATGACTGGTGGTATTGGTGCTGTAACTTTATTAGTTCTTTGGATCCCTATACCTATTTTACACTATTCTGGATGGGAAATCTTTGAATTACCGGATGGACGTACATTTGCAATGATCATGGCCATTGGATCCATGAGCGTTATCTATAATGCCAGTATGATGTGTGTGATTGCACTAGTCAGTCCTGTTTTTGCTGCTGTGGGTGTTTTACTGACGATTCCTGTCGTGGCCATTACTGATATGTTCGTCACTGGTGTTATGGTCTCCTTTACAACTATACTTGGAAGCGCCTTTATTTTGGTGGGTTTTATTATTTTAAACCGTCAAATTGCTCGTGAAGAAGATATTGCTTTGCAAGATGTCTGTGATACTGGTTTGGTTCGACATGATACTACAATAGCTTGATTTCTTCATCTTAGTTGGATACCCTTCTTACTTTTTCTTACGATAGTATTAGTTTTATAGTTTATTCTCATCCTCCATTTTTTCTTTTTAGTATATATATATATATATATATTGTGTGTGTGGAAAGTCATCTTTGAATTAAACAGTTACATTAGACAATATAAATACATGCCTGGTCAAATGCAGAATTTTGAAGTTTTGGGTACTTATTTGTGGAAGCTGAAAATATCACATTAATTAGGATGATAGCGGTATTGATGATCTTTTTTTTTAATTTAGTCCATAAATGCAATGAGATTCTGTAACTTGCATAAGGTAAATTGAAAGAAGAGAGTTTGTTTTATATTGTATCCAAATTTGGTAACATGACTATAATTTCTGAGTGAGGAAAGGAAGCAGAAGTTTCTGCAAGCTTATATGCAGAATGAAAAAAAAAAAAAAAAAAAAAAAAAGGGATGGGTGCCAAATGTTGGCTGTAAAAATAAATCATCAAGGGGTCATCAGGCAATTTCTCGAAAACTTGATGAAATCTTTTGATGTTCGTTATACATTGGATGGTAAGATAACCAGTAAAACGGGATTAGAGGATATTAGATTACTTTTTTTTTGAGAGGAATCTAATGATAGTAATTTCATTGGATGATGATCATTATTGGATGAAGAAGGATGATATGGACATTTATTTTTTAATTTATTTGATAAATAAGATATAAATTATTATTAATACAAGTGAAAGAGAATGATTTCATCTATGTTCAACCCGAATTTGGTGCAATGATGATCATGTCTGAGCGATTTACGAACGCATAAAGGGATATATGTCTACCAGACAAACGTTCGAATTTTTTGATGAAAAGCCAAAAGAGAAATCAACGAAAATACCAAAAGAAAAAAAAAAAGCTCAGATGAATAAATGAAAAGATGATGAGCAAAACCAGAGACAGGGATGAACGCACCACTGGTTCAATGTTGGCGGTCTTCCAACCCTGGTTATTGGCATGCGTCTTTTTTTTTTTTTGGTCTGTTTCTAATTTCTTTTCTTCCTTTTCTTTTTTTTTTTTCTTTTTTTTTTTGTTGTTTGACATTATTCTATTCATTATATCCACAACATGTCTCAAGCTTCGTCAGAAGTACCTCTTCAACAACAACAAGAAGACATGGACGATGATCCTTACAATGCTCGTATTGAAAAAACAGGATGTGCTCAAGAAAATGAAGATTTGCAGTTATGTTTCTACGATAAACGAGACTGGCGATTATGCAAAGAGGAAATGCAACGTTTTCGACAATGTTTTATAGCCAATGCGAACAATGCTGGTAGTCAGGAACTCAAGGCATCCGCTCGAACTCAACATTAGACAACACTCACACACAGAATGACCATGATTCCTTTTTTTTTTTTTAATATATATTCTCGACCGCTTGAAATAAGGATATAAATACTTGATACCACGCACTGTAGCCTACTTCTCTTCCATCCCTTCACTGTTGTATACTCTAGATAGAATTCATCCAAATAGTATAGCCTTTTTTTTTCGTATATACAAAAACAAATTCAATAAACTTACTCACACTCTAGATATATAGGAAAACAAATAGGAATTGTTATTTATCTATCTTATTGATTGATACGAATAAATAACAAAAAAAGATAGATCATGTAAGGAATCTAATATAATGATATGGAGGTAAGACACTATGTGCGTGTTGCTGATGGTTGATGATGATGCATAGTAAACAACGAATAAATAAGGATTTCAATATTGTATGCAAAGCCTCCATATGCCAAAAGCATAAAGAATGTCGGATCCTGAAATTTTTTGTTGTGATATCAATCATGTATTTTTCGTTAAAGTTCCTTTTCTTCTTTTTTTATGTAATAATTTTATATGTTCAGGTGTACTATACAACACTATGCTATTATACGCCAACATTACTCTACTACTGCCAATGTACGTTCACCATCACTTCTGCATAGGTTGAAAAAGGATCGACCAGATTTGAAAGCCATCATGGAACCAAGACATACCAAAAAGTGGGCTCAATCAGGTAAGAAGGATTTTTTTTTTTTAAAAAAAAAAGAATTTACGTACCATTTTTGACTCTTCATTCTCTATGGATATTTGCAGTAATACAGTCTCGATGGAAAACTTGGGTTCATACTTCCAAAGCAAGATACATAGCGACAAGCCTCTTTGATATGGATGCAAACCAATTCAGTGAACTCGCTAATGATTTTGTCAAAGCTGGATCAAGGGGTCAGATCGCCTCATGTATTCCTTCTGCTTTGCTTGCCAATTGTGACTATACAAATATATCAATGAAAGGTATATATCCATGTGAACTAGCTGTTAGATAAGTGAAGTAATATAATTGATTGCAATTAACTGAGCCTTCTTTATTTTGTCTCAATATAGAACTAACCGAAATGATCGACCGTAGATTTTTGGCTGCCTTTTATGATCATACTCTACCTTTTTTACCTGCTTCAGTACAAGACTTGAAATCAATTTGCCAATTTTCGTCTATTACATGGTTCCCACATACTCGGGCTATCGAAAGGTAATCACAACAACAACAACAACAATAATAATAATCATAATAATAAGATCACTAATATCCTGTCTTTATATAGAAATATATTTATTCATATCTATGATGATTTGCCTTCTCAACTACCCAAATACAATGAAACTGGAACGACAACGACTTCTTTGACCATCTACTGTGGAAACAAATCAATACCAAAATCAACTTCACGCGACATTATACAAGTGGATCTTATACACTTAGATGATATACTACAACAGCATCCGACACCACAAACTCTCGTATTGGATACTGACGGGCACTCTCATCAAAGAGATTGGAGATGGACAAAAGCATGGCTAAATACACCTGCATCTACCATACACATCAGAACTAATATCGGCAATAGCATCAATACTGCTTACAACAATGGATTTATCTCTGCTCTTGAAAACATTTGCAAACAACGTGGTGAAAAGTGCACAGTGATGGATCATCGACAAGATAAATCTAGGGATATTATTGGTGGTGAACGTGGTGGAGTCTTCTCAATAGCATTACAGGATATACAACATGGAGATTGCGTCGTGGTATCAACAAAGAACTCATTAGTGGATATTAAGGATCGACTAGAACATGATCATGGACTTGAATGTGTCATTTTATACCCTCAACTTCCAGAAGGTAAAATGCTTTGAAATCACTTGAAGAAATACTCTTATTCATCCAATTTATATATACTTCAATCATAGCTATTCAAATGCGCCAAATTGAAATCTTCAATGACACTATTCCACCTTCCAAAGTGTTGCTTATGACTGATACAGTGTCTCTACCATATCAAGTGTAAGTGGAAAAGAAAGAAAAATAAAATGCGGTTACTGATTTGGATAAAACATATTCTTTTTTTTTTTTTTTTTCTATAGACAGGTCAAACGACTTTTGATCAAATCAGCAATGAAGAAACATCAGCATAATCAGACAACATTTATGCCGACAAGCAAATTACGACGTATTATAGGTACCATCAGGCCAAGTCAAGGAATCACAGTGTAAGTAATGTTTTAGCTTTTGTTAGTTCTGTATTTACTGACATGAATTATAGACAGGATAGATGTGATCTACCTTTTATTGGGCAAGCTTTGATGTCTTTATCTTCTTCAGTCATTCCAAAAGAGGTAAATAATCAAATTTTTTTAAGAAAGAAAAAATGTATCTCACTGTCGAACTTTTGCTTTTAGCCATTCGCAGTATTGCCAACCAAAGATATTTTGAAATCTTTTTGTCAAAGCATGCCAAGTCGAATCTCAATGTCAAGCAAAATGGTAATATAAAAATCAACTCCTTTTTTTTTTGAATATGTACTCACCTTTCTTTATACTGATCCTATTCTTTTTTTCTTAACAAAATAATTAATAGGATGTGTTTGAAATATTGGCAGATGTTGATGGGGATTTTAGCATGTCCAGCTGGAAGAATCAGATGGTAAGAGGACATATGATCATCCACTTTTAGATATTCATTCCTCTTTCTAAAATAGATGATTATAAAGTGGTTGGAACTATATCAGTTGTCATTCGATGATCAATGGTTTTTTATGAATTCGCCTGTGGATGTGACTTTGGCATCAAGCAAGAAAACATTGCAAAAGTTTGGTGAACTAGTTGTGCTAAAGAAACCCTGTGAATTGGATGATATCCTGGGATCTACTCCATCGTCAATCGAATCAGAAATCTTGTCATCATTAGTAAATCAATATCATATCATGGATTGGTATAACTGGTTTAAGTAAAAAAAAAAAAATAAAAAAATAATAAAAAAAAAAAAGAAAAGAGGAATTGTGCTTTTGTTTATCTTGATGTATTATCTAGATTACGGTATCCCACTATTTTCGTCACCGATGAAACTCTGGTACGAAAAAAGCAAGATCAATACCAAACAAGGATAGAGGAACTATTAGGTTGCATGACTACTCAACTGACTGATAGACGGAAGAAACTACGACAAGGAAGAAATATGGAAAAGGAAGCAGGCTTACTTTTATTACAATCATCATCAAGAACAAGAAGAAAATAATAAGATGGTTCTTTTATATTTTTTTTTTTGTATCGTCAAATAAAGATATGATATTTCCCCAATATATATATATATTATAGTTGTAGTTATGTTTACTCACTTGATCTTTTTATTTTTGGAACTTACCCAATAAAGCACAAATCCTTAGGATATAAAAGAAAGAATGATTTGGTTTTTTTATTTTTTTTTTATTTTTGATTTATCCAACTTTTTTTTTATTTATGGGGAACGTAATATCTTGTATTAGTGGATTGATCCATTCTGTTATTACTTTTGTAGAGACAATCATAGCAAGTGTTTTCGGTAAAAAAAAAAAAAAAAAAAAAAAAAAAAAGAAAAAAGATATAATATTTTTTTTTTCTAACTTTGATTTATTAGGATTTTGTCGATCGATTATATCTGGTGTATTGAATTTATGTAGAAATATTATAAATTCCATTGCAAGTTTCTTTTTCTGTAGTAGATGTTGTTAGTAAGAAAAAGACTATAGAAGAGTTTATTTTATTATTCTTCTATAGTCGTTAACTCTCTCGTGAATAAAAATGTATGCATGAAAGAAATTGTAAACCATATTTGAATACCGATTCTGATTTTGAAAAAAAAAAAGGTCTTATTTGCTCTTTTCTCTCTCTCTCTCTCTTTTTTTTTTATATGTTTTGAAATGTGTGTATAACTAAGGTTTTATAATTTATATTTATTATTATTATTATTATTATTATTATTATCCCTTACATTGAATTGTTTTATATGAAAACAACTGGATTATCTCATTTAGGTAAGTTAAATAATAACAATAATAATAATAATAAAAACTATTTCACGAACTCAAACGTTTTCTATTTAGAAGACAATAATGAAAACAACAACGAGTAAGTTATATCAAGAGTTAATTTATATTATATATTTTTAACTCTTTTCTTTTTTTAATTCTATTAGTGATACCCAATGTATGATAGGTCATGTTAGATATCGTGAAAACAGTGTGACAGATGTTGGCATAACACCACCACCAGACGAACAAGATATTGCTAAATTTTGTGAGGAATCCAATTATGGTTACAGTTTTACTAGTACGAATCTAAATATGGCAAGATTATCATCATGGATGCGAAGAAGAAGTTATGAAAGTAGTTTGGAATGTGTACGACGGATAAGAACTAGTCTTGATAATTCTGGACGGCGATTTTCACAACCTGATATGGGCGTTATGGATAAACAACGATCACGATATGAATTTATGACTCGACAACAATCAAAAAATAAAGCAAGAAAATCATCAAGGTCTTTATCAACAAACATCAGTACTCTTTATTCATCATTACCTACATCCCCTCTTTTATGGGAAGATACACGTATGAATGAACTACCAATCCCTGAAGATGAAGAACTAGATATTTCAACATCTCAACAACAGCAATTTCGATCAAAATCAATAGTACATCCATTATCTCAACTATCAACATCATTACACGAACAGAATATAGATGAATCTCTTGTACCATCATGGCTCACCAAACCACCTATGGATAATCATATAGGAACGCGATCCAATAGTTTATCATCAATGCATCACCATGGTATATGTTGTGCATCGCGATACCTTAGGGCATTGCATACACCTACTCGATTTTTACCTCAGCAACAAGCAATTTTGACAACTGATCCAGATGGAAAGATATTACTCTTCAATGATATTGCTTGTCTTTGTTTGGGAATTGATAAATCATACATTGGTCGACCGATTTTTGATAAATTTGATATACATTCTCAACGAACAATGGCAAATTTACTACGTGAACGGAAAAAGGACCTTCAACGGGATTCAATCCTATTTCAACGACAACAACTCTCCTTGGATTCAAAAAGTGGGATGGTCTTGATGTGTGGAGTCATTGTAAGTCTTTCAAAGAATATATTCCCCTTAAATCATTATATCAATTTTACTCATGTCTTTTATATGAAAGATATCTATCATCAAAAATAAAGGGCAAAAATCGGCAGCATCATTATGGTTAAAGGAAAAATGGAATCAAGATCAAGGTCAATTTATTTATCTTTGGGTTTTTGAAGAACTTTTTGAAAGTCGTTTGACAGTAGCCATTGACTCAAAGGTAAGAATAGGGGAAAAAAGGGATGAACTAGTTTACGTATTTTTAGTTACCAAAAAAAAAAATGATTAATGATTTTTTTTCTTTTTCTCCTTTTTTTCTTCTTCTTCTTAATCATTGTTTTTTTTTTAGGGTATGATTCAAGATACTTCTTTGACTACCATTCAAGACCTATACGGATATCATAGAAGTGAAGTGATTGGACAATCTATCAACAAAATCCTTCCATCTCTTAATATCGAATCAAACGTTACACGTGATTTAATCAATGACAACCACTTTTATGCCAGTCGGTCAAAAGATGGACGATATTTTCCTTCCATGGTACAATTACAAGGGGACGAACTACAGATTACATCTTTACCAACCATCTCTGGACTGATCACTATTCATCAAAATGGAAAGATACAAAGTATGAATCCGGTACCTGCCAAGTATTTATTTGGATACAAAACCAAGGATGATGTGGAAACAATGCATGTTGATGAACTCCTTCCTCAATTTATGACGTTGGTGACTTTACTTGTGCAATACAATCAACTTCGTCAGGATCGTATGGTGACGCATGATGAATGTTTGACAATGTTACCCAAAGTCCAATTACTCGCAACAAACAATGTACGACTTACAAAGGAAGAACAATCAAGGTTGATTGCTGTACATCGTGATGGAAATCATTTTGAAGTGGAATTACAAATACGATGGGTGGAAAGTGATGATGAAACTCTTTACAGTGTATGGATTACTCATAATCGAACCAAGTCTATAGGGGCAACGCCATCGACATCATTTCAACCAGAAACTGAACATTCTTCAGAAGTAACACCAAACCCTTGTACAACGACGGACAATGTGCCTATATCAAGAAAATCTCAACAACAACAACAACAAACTGATGTGCAGAAATTAGAGGATAATTCATTAAACTTTACGGAAAAACAAACACTTCATCATGAAGAAAAATCATCATCACAACAACAATCATCAAAGCCTGTATTCAATCGATTCGATTATTTTGGTTCAGTTCCAAAAGAAAAAGCGTGTTTTCCAAATATGGATTCGGTATCTTGTGGAGGTCTTCCTTCTATCACTTTCCCTGAATTTGATGATTATATGATTGTTGATTCTCTTGGTGAAGGTGCTTATGGTGCTGCGAAATTGGCTCAACTAAAATCAGACCCCTCCAAGGTAAGTAGAGATCTCTCTTGCCTTTCTTTTTATTATTATTATTATTATTTTATCAATTTCTAACTTTTTTTTTATTTTGTTGATTAGGAATTTGTTATCAAGGCTATTGTGAAATCACGTATCATCATTGATTCATGGATCCGGGATAGAAAATATGGATCAATCCCTATGGAAGTTCATATCTTACTCAAATTACAACAAAGTCGTCATGTCAATTGTCCTCAACTTGGTAAATATATATATATATATATATATATATATATAATAGATGAAAACTATATCAAAACTTTTTTTTATTTTAGTGACTTTTTTTGAAGATGATGATAACTATTATACGGTGACACGACTACACGGAGATGGAATGGATCTATTTGATTATATAGAACTGAATGACCATATGACGGAAGGACAAGTACGACGAATCTTTCAACAAGTGGTAGCAGCAGTTCAACATTTACACAAGTTACGTATTGTACATCGGGATATTAAGGATGAAAACATACTTTTAGATGATCGTGGTATTGTACAACTGATTGATTTTGGAAGTGCAGCCTATTATAGGGAAGGAAGATTATTTGATACGTTTAGTGGGACCCTGGATTATTGTGCACCTGAAATTCTGAATGGATCTACTTATGCTGGTCCTCCTCAAGATATGTGGAGTCTTGGTATCTTATTATATACATTGATTTATAGAGAAACACCATTTTATTCTGTAGATGATATAATGGAACGTAATCTTCAATTACCTTATATTCCATACCCAGGTAAAATTATATATATATATATATATATAAAGTGAATCACATTTATTGATTTATTTGTTTTTTAGAAAAAACTTTTGGACCTGTGGATATATTATGTAGATTATTGGATAAGGATATTAGTAAAAGACCAACGATAGATCAAGTTATGGAAGATCCTTGGTTGAAAAATGAAGATGGATTCTATTAGTATAGTTTCTTTTTTTTTTTTTTTTATGTCTTATGACCATATTGTATTGGAAATAAAAGTGGGGTATTGTGTAACCCGTGATTACTTTTTTTGTACAAGGATCACAAAAGTCATTGATTTTGTTTTGACTTGAAATGATCCACATGATTACTTTATTTCACACGCAACTCTTTTTTCTTTTTTTTTTAGTATATATTTTCCTTAACTTTTTAATAAACTATATTCAACGCTAGTAACAACATAATGTTAAATGAGTATTGGTAGTAATATATATTGTTGTTGTCGTTTATTATTTTGTGATCTATGGAAACATAAATAAAAAGAATCAACAGTTTATATATTTTTTGTATGTTTATTATTCAACACGTGAGAAGTTTTTATTTTCTTTTTTCAGTTGGCAAACGGTAGAACCATGCGCCGAAAAAAAAAAGATCCACTTTTTTTAGTGTGATGGCGGCGGCTCATGTTTGATTTTTTTTTTCTTTTCTCCTTTTTTTTTTTTTTTTTTTTGTATTCTTTAGTTTCGATGGGATTGTCCAGTACTTTGGTCAATATTGATTTAGAAAATGACCATTTGATCATGCATGGTACAGCCAATGAATCTTTAGGTTGTGTTTTGCGTGGTGTACTGCATCTGCACCTTAAACAATCTACCAAAATCAAATCCATTTTATTACGATTTACTGGTAGTATTCGTACAAGTTGGACACAACGTAAGTATTTATCTTCCTTCTCACGCCATTTCTCCTTATTTCACCAATCTCCGCTGCAAGAACAAACTAATCTTTTTTTTTTTTTTTTTTTTATAGCTCTTGGACATGGTCACGAACGATTTTTTCAAGACGAACGAACAGTAGTTAGTCACCAATGGATCTTTCTAGCACCACAATATACCAAAACATATTCACTACAAGCAGGCACTCATTCATACGAATTCGAATTACCTTTAGCCGGTCATCTTCCTGAATCCGTCAAAGTAGCTCAATTCTACAATGTACAATACCAACTCAAAGCAACTATTCAACGACCACACGTTTTACCCAACTATGCCTGTCATCGCATTATTCATTTGACTCGACAACGATACACGATCGCACCATTAGTAGAACCCATCTCTGTAATGAATCAATGGACAAATAAAGTGGACTACGATATCTCACTTCCTACCAAACTCTATCATCATGGAGATACGATTCGAGTAGCTATTCGACTGACACCTCTTATGCAAGGACTTTTGATTCGACAAATCACTTGTACGTTCAAGGAATATGCAACATGTAAACCTGTCAATGGATGGTTTGGAGGACGATCACGATCTCACGGCAAGATTCTTTATTATACCCGCAACAATTTAATCAATGACAATCATACTTCACCATTATGTATCCAACTGACGATCCCTGTGCCTGATACTGTAGAAGAGATTCAATGCGACACACAAAGCGATCAGGTTCGTGTACGGCACAAACTCAAGTTTGTTTTATCCATTGAAAACCCGGGTGGTCATCTGTCAGAATTACGTGCCGTGGTGCCTGTCACTATCCAAGTCAAGGCATCCGATCTGCTGCCTTCCTATGAACAAGCATATGATGGTCACTCATTTCCTTATGATCCCACGCTCATGGTCATGCTTTTGCGGCGCCATCATCAACAACAAGATCAACATCAACATCAAGAACAACAACAATCCTCCTCTTTTCACTATCGACGACATCAACATCATCGATTATCTTGTTCAATGGTTCATGATATACAGCAACAACGTGGAACGGAGTCTCAAGATCGTCGTTTATCCTTCCCTCCTCCCTCCAGTAGTAGTAGTAGTAATAATCGTAGTTCATCATCCATCCTTCCTTATGATGATCCTCCCATCACTTTATCCAGATTACCTACCTATGATGAAGTACGATGTCACTGACACGCATTTATTTTGTATCACCAATAAAAAAAAATCATTCCATAATAATAATAATTATATTTTCTTTATTCATATCCAACAAATAAAAAAAAATAAAAAAAAAAATAAAAAACTATTCTATGACTACCCAATATATCATCCAAAGTGACTACAAAATCCTGAATTCTAGATAAAGTTCACCTATCAATGCAAAATGGTCGTTCATTCAGTTCGTCCCATATATATATAAAAGATAATATAAACCTTGCTTTTGTTTCAATGCGGTGGAGTGGAATTGTCTTCAGATGAATTGTATTGAGCAGTGTTGATAAAATGCATATAGCTAAGACCAGATTTTAAATATGCCAATAGTTCATCCATCCATCTTCGAGTCACTTGGTCAGTTTCCGCCAGCCATTCTGTTAAGGGTTGAATCACAGCATCATCATACATTGTCATTTCCACATTGGATTTTCTACGATGATAGGGTATCAAAAGAATGGTTTGGATATGTGTTTCTATAAAGGTATCATAAGCTGAACCCAACAAAGCTTGTAATTCAGATTGAAGAAATGGTATGATCTAAAAATATATATATATAAGTGGATGCCCATTATTTTTTATTTTTTTTTAAGAAATACCTTTGGCATATGTTCAGGTTGAAGAATGGTAAAAGAGGCAAAACGTGGTAAAGCAGGAGGATAGGTAATAACAGGCCAAAGTTGTCGATAAAGCGCTCGTCGTCTTTCTAACCAAGGTCGTAGTTCTTGTCGAGTACTTGTTGAGGGAGGATGATGTTTCGTGGTATTTGGTTTCTTGTCTGCCAGTCGATATTCTTGATAGGTATTTGCTTCTTCTACAATATTATAGATCAGAGCTCGGATCGGTCGTTTGCATAGAGGACAATCTGGGGTGATATTGATCCATTGACGGATACAGACAAAACAAAACGAATGAAAACAATCTCGTACAAACGTACGATTGGTATAGGTTTGTAAGCAAATGGGACAACTTGGTTGTTGCGATGTCTCTTCTTTGGTTGTGTTTTTACAAGTAATATATCGTTTCCGTTTCATGGTGAGAAGAAAAAAGTGAAAAACCACAAAAGAAGAAAAAAAAAAAAAAAAGCCCGCTGGGCAAACTTTTTTTTTTTTTTTTATCTCCCCTTCCCTTTTTTTTTCATTCTTTTTTTTTTTCCCTTTTTCTCAATTCATTCTACTTTTATTTATATATATATATCCTTACAAACTATGGGTTCCAAACTGAAAACAACCAACAACAACCATAATAATACATTGAACACTATCCCTACCACTTCTCAAACAGGCAATGAACGAGATAAACGACGAAGGACTGGTGAAGGCAATGTTGGCAAAGAATTTCAAACTGTAAAACAAAAAAAAAAGTATGAATAATATAATATACTCATCTTTTTTTTTTGAATCAGATTGACTTTAATACATTCGATATCTCAGTACTTAGGAAATATGCTCGTGTTCATAAAATCAAGATCAAATCCAAAACTAATAAAGAGGATCTGGTAGGTGCTGTGTCTCGTCATTTTGCCAACCAAACCGTCAAGGAAGTCGATACCATTACTTGTTTTTTGTATACAGCTCATTATAGAGGTAAAGAAAAAAAAAAAAAGAAAAATGATTGAATATATAAAAATTGAATACTTATATCATACCCTCTTATATAGATAGTGTTCTCCGTTTACCATTACACATGTAATGACCATAGCTCTCCTTTCCTTCTCTTCTTTTATACAACTATATACTTATTTATTTCAAAAACTATTTTATTGAATAAAACCGACTTCTTTTATTATTATTATTATTATTATTCTTATTATCAAAATGACTTTTTTTATGTATTGATTGCATACAAATGGGGTTTTCTTAGGAGGATGTACCAAAAAGGAAGAGGACTCTATACATGTTTATATATACATTTCTTTAATGAATGACGGTACGACAATGAATAGGACTACACTGCATGTATGCGTTTCCCTATTTTTCCCTTTTTTTTTTTATTGTGCAATTCATTCTTGGATGTTTCAATGACCGAATTCCCATTTAAGAAACAAAGCAAATAGAAATGATCCGTTTCTTTTTTTTTATTTACTTTTTTTTTTATTTTTTTTTCTTCTTCTTGTTGCTTTTCTTTTAAATGGATTACTATGAAGTACTTGATCTTTCTGAAAATGCAACAGAAGAAGAGATCAAGAAAGCTTATCGTAAATTAGCATTAAAATATCATCCTGACAAGAACAAAGATCCGGATGCCCAACAAAAGGTATGATAAAAGAGAAGAATGCTAGATTTTATTATACTTAATTTTTTTTTACTATGAATTAGTTTCAAAACATCAGTCATGCCTATGAAATATTATCTGATCGTAAGATATTATTATTTTATTAAAGAAAAAAACTCGAACTTCTTTTTTTTTTTTTTTTTTTGGTTCTTTTAGCTGAACAACGGAAGAATTATGACTATCAAAAACAATCATCTATGCCTTCTTCTGGTTATCCTTTCTCAAATGCGACAGCGGCCAATCATATTTATGCGGACTTTTTATTCCGGGATCCCATGGATATCTTTGAACAATTCTTCCATCAAAAGGATCCTTTTCATGAATTCAGTAAGGAACAATCATTTAAATCCTAGTTTTTTAATTCTTTTTTTTTTTTTTTGATAATATAGTTCCAACATACCTTGATGATGACATTGCTTTTGGTGGTTATTCTACATCTGTGACTACTACCATTATCAACGGCAAAAAGACTACCATCACCACTATTCACGATCAAAATGTAAAGAAAAGGAAAAGAAAAAAAAAAAGAGGATGATTGATTATTATTATTATTATTAGGGAACAAAAATAGTTGAAGATCATGGAGGTAGAAAACGAATATTGGTGAATGGTGTTGAAACATACAACAATTTGGAAGATACAGCCAATTCTCTTGATGAAGAACAACCTATACCATTGATTCATGATAATCTCTTTTATCCAGCTCAACAACCAATCACTACAACGCAAGATCAAGGTAAATAAATAAATAAAAAATTCAGGCAAAAAGGGGATCTTACCGAGAATTTTTTTATTTTTTTAATTACATTTAGATCATGATGATGAACACCAATCAAATTATAAAGACTCTTTATTTCGATTCTTTTGTTGTTCTTGTTGTTAATATTTCAATAATAAAAGAAAAAAAAAATAAATGATTTTTATTTTATGTATAAAAGAACATGACACAAGTGGGGGGGGATTTGTGAATGGCATCAAAAATGTGAAGGGACATGTGAGGTGGGGTGGATATTTGAAAAACCAAAAAAAAAAAAAAAAAAAAAAAAAAAGTGCCGCTTCAAAAAAAAATATTATTCAAATTGTTGTTGTTTTTTTTTTTTTTTTTTCCTTTTTTTTCCTTTTCTTTTCTTTTTACATTGTTATTATTATTATTATTATTTGGTTGGAAATACAAAGTGGATAGGTCAATTAGATAAATATCCTCTTTTCTTGTTCCTTTATCCGTTTACAATCTTATTTTGTTTTACATGGACTTGTTAGACACCTTTATACATCACGACTTTTTCTCAATGCTATGGCGACATCAACAATAGACTCTGATGAACAATCATCACCTTTTACTCTAATACAAGTACCTGAATATTTTTATGCTGTGGATATCAATTATCTGTCTCATATGATATGTAAATATTCATTAAAAAAATATCCGTCAACAAATGATACTCATTTCTTTTTTTTTTAATTGCTATATATATAGCTGATATGTTAGGACGACTTATATCACATAATGACTTGATCCCTTTGACACCCAGTAATCTCACCAGGTTCCACTCTAGAATACCTCCGAATATCTCACTATCCGATTATTTACGCCGGATCATCAAGTTCACCTCAGTAGAAAAATCATGTTTATTGATTATTCTAATATACATTGATCGTGTTTGTGAACGACATCCACAATTCACCATCTCTTCATTGACCGTCCATCGATTCTTGATCACTGCCGTTACTTTATCCTCCAAAGCTCTTTCGGATTCTTATTGTACCAACTCTCATTATGCTCGCATCGGTGGCATTTCTACTCAAGAATTGAATGCTTTAGAATTGGAGTTCTTGACTTTGATTGATTGGCGATTAGCTTCCACTGGAGTGATCTTACAACAATATTATGCTAATTTAGTCGAACAACATCCTTGTTATCAACGACTTGTAGAACAACCAGCTATCAAATCTAGAAAACGACGAAGGCGTAGTAGTGTCAAAAGTACATTTAGTGGTTTATCGGAAGGTTCGGACGATGTCTTGTATGATTCGGATGGCAACAATGATGATGATGATGATCGACATGAAAAGGAAGAAATTCAACGGATTTGGGCTCACTTTGATCAATTATCAGATACAGATTGGATACCTTACATAGCATAGCAACTTGATATATATATATATATATATATATACACGAACAAAACTCATATTTATATATTTTATTTATCGTTTATTTTATTTTATTTTGATTTTATTTTTACTATTGTAGTTCATCTTTATAATATACTTTCCTTTTTTTTTGTATTTTATTTCACTTCCCCTTTTCCTTTAGTCTTAGTCTTGATCATCTCTTACGCTGAGCGTTCTCACTCCTCCTCACCTTACATTCTTTTGCCGTTTTTGTATCTTTATTATTATTATTATTATTATTATTATTATTATTATCTTTTTCTTTATAAACTCGACTTGTAAATAATAAAGAATCGTTTTTAAATTAAAAATCTCTTGATGATGTATAAAGCAGAAAGCCACACCTTCGATGCAATTTGATGTCGGATATTGAAACTCCTCCAGTATGGAATAGCTTTGTTTTTTTTTTTTTGTGTGTGTGTTTTTTTTTTGTCCTTTTCTCTTCTTTTTTTTTTTTATTGCCTCTTCTTTATCCTTATTATCACTATGAGTAGTTGGAGTAGTTTCTCTCAATCATATGTAAATCCTGACAATTTGGTGATTGCTGAACAACAAGTGGATGCATTTATGGAATTATTCAATCGGTAAACAAATTCTTTTATGGCACGAACTTTGAACTGACAGGTTATTATTATTTAGTATTATGGACAATTGTCAAACCAAATGTATTCCAATTCATTATAGAGAACCAGACTTGAACAAAGGTGAAATGGTATGTGTAGATCGATGTGTTGCCAAATACTTTGCTTTTCAAAAATTACTCGGCAAGAAACTTCAAGACAAGTACCCTGAAATGATTCCCAACAACAACAACAATAATAATAATAATGCCCAAGAATATCTTCAACAACCTGAACACAAAACCTCATTCTTTACTCAAGATACTTCCAACTCTTCCCCTTCTTCATTTTAATCTTTGTTTTTTTTATTTTATTTATGCCATAGATATAGTTTGTATTTTTAGCTCACCACTTATTTTTTTTTGTGTATATTTTGTTTACACCGTTTGATCCATTCATGCATATATATATATATGTAATTCGAATCCACTCTTACAAGACAACAAAACATGATTCATGATAATAAAAATTTATTGCATTTACGGTCTTCAATTGTTGATGGTCTTATATACCTTTTGTTTTCTTAAAAGAAAAACAAAAAGTATATATAAAAAAAAAGAATGAAAAAAGAAATGAACAAATCATACAATCTTAGTAGAACGAATATATCTTTTATTCTTCTTTTTTTTATATATAAAAATAGAAATTCAAGTATAAACATTTTATTGTACGTTAATATAAAAGAATCATGGAGAGAGAGCACCTAAAAAGAAAAAAAAAAGGTATATGTGATATATATGTACAACATTTTTTTTTTAGTAAACATCTAACTATCTATAGAACCATCAAGACTTGAAGCGATCAATAAATTGTCTTGTCCATTCAGCCAAACTTTGTTGTTGATCTTGATGATGTTGATGATTGGGTTTACCGGGAGGAAGATTGTATAGGCCAGCCCCAGGAGGAAAAGGAAGATTGATAGGAGGAGGAGGGAAATTTTGTCTCATTTGAAATTCTTCACTTGTATGATAATCTGCATCCTTCAACACGCGAAGTTTTTGAGTATAAGCCCATAAACACCATGCCCAATATAACTAATATTTAAAAAAAAAAAAAATAATGAATACATAAATCATACAATTAAATAACACTTACAAAGAAGATCAAAAAGATAATATAAAGGGCAATGGCGAATTTCAATTCATCTTGCCATAATTTGTTGCAGTTATAAAAATCATCGATAGTAGGAGGTGTAAAACCAAGAGTCGTATTATTGGAAGTAGTGACTTGTTCATCCACATGATTAACGGATTGTTCATAACACCAATTAGCATTGTCATTTTGTTGAATCCCAAACAAGACAATACTGACAAAGAAATCAATCAAAAATGCAAATACGGCAAACCATGCTGCTTTGTGTGCCCTATTCAGAATATACATCGATTCTGCATACAGTCCCGCCAGTCCTGCTGCTCCTGCTAACACTAATAAGAGACAAATCACCCCTTGAGCTATCAATGCACCTGAATCTATGTATGAAAAGATCGCTTTTATAGATAAAGAAACAATATTAGATCCATATTTTACATTTTCTTTTTTTTTTTTAAAAAAAAAAAAAAAAAAAAAAAAGGACTTACGACTTTTGAATTGAAAGGCTAATATACCTCCATAGAACCCAACAGCCTAATCATCACACAAATATATATATATATAAATGAGTATCTTGATTTTCCTTCAAAAAAAAAAGTAAAACTTACGACCCATGTAATACAAGAGAGAGCACAACCTGCACGTAGAGACATGATACCACAGTACTTCCGGGTAAAGGAACTATCCAGAATCATTGGTTCTTCATAGGTGGCACTGGTAAAAAGAGACCGCATAATGTTGTTTATTAAAACTAAATGAGAGAGTCAATAAGATTGGTTGAATGACGAATATAAACGACTAATATAAAAATAAATGGTATATAAAATGGAATGGGTTTTATTTTATTTCGTTTATGTTTGGAAGAAAAGAAATAAAAAAAAAAAAAAGAGAGAAATAATAAAAAAAGAATTTACATTAGCGAGGAAAGTGGTGCGACCAAAACAAATTTCCAAATTAGGATAATGAAGAGGGATACCAACTAAAATCTTGTATCATTCATGCTATATTCAATTTGAAATAAATCAGTTCCTATATACTTTTTACTCCTTCTTCTTCTTTTACCTTTTATCCATCCACGAGGTCTTCCTTTTTTTCTTGGTAATAATTGTATGCCAGGGATTTTCAATTTTATATCCATAGTCGTAAAGTAATCCTTATAGTCTTGTGGTAAAGTATATGAATAAAGTTTTCCAGTTTCCAATATAAAGGTGGATGTATCAGCTTTATTTCTATAATAGTCAGTCCATGCTTGCGACATTTCTTGAATGATATTCACCATGGATATTTGATCATTATTTGTACCCCATAACTGCCAACCTTTTTCTGATATACGTTGAATAAGTTTACTAGCTGCCAATCGTCGAAAGTCTTCTGGAAATTGATATTGAATACTTTTCGAGTCTGCTACATCTGATAAATATTGCCCCATATTTGATTTCAACTTTTTTTTTTTGAAATAAAAGAAAGATGATGTAAGTTTTTCTGTTTTCTTTTCTTTTTTTTTTTTTTTTTTAATTGCTTACCGAGATATAGTAATCAGGCCAACACATAGATTGAAACAAGTCACCATCAAGGAATCCACCCCAAAGTGTACGATTTATATCATCAAAGTAAACCAAATCTAAAAAGGTATCAGGAGGTGGTGGACGAGAGAAGCCACATCCTAAACACGTCGATGGGCAACTTGGACAAGTATATATTGAACTGTTGAGGGAATTGTTCATACATAAATAACATGGCCGACGACAAAAGATTGTCTTGATTTCCCATTGATACGTATAACATATAGATTGCATATCAAATTTAGTATCACAACGACCACAATAGAGATAATTGGACAGAAACTAAACAGATATACATATAATTAAATTCATTAGACAAAATAATAAACAGAAAGAGTTATCTATACGCATTCACTTACTCCATTATTTCTTCGATATATTTCGATTCTACGACAAGTTGTTGCCAAAGAATACTGATCACCACGAATATCACTATAACAAGTTAATATAAAAAAGAGAATCATATGAATCACTTTAAGATTTTTTTTTTTTTTTTTTTTTTTAGTTGGTGATACTTACAATGATGAATATTCAGGTATAATAGAACAGGATCCAAAAGCCATATGTAACTTGTCCAAGATATCATAATAAAGCTGAATATATTGCATCATACTACCGTTTCGCAAATGGAATGGATCAGTGTTGTCAATGCCATGAGAATAAGGTTCATGCATTCGAAATGCATTGGGATGAGCACATGAACGTCCTGATACATAACACGATAGACATAAATCTAGCTGACAATCTGTACAAGAATAATAACGATGAAAGATGTCACCACAACAAAAGTCGCATGTCCTGTTGAATCCAATATCTCTTGCTTTCAGTTGTTTGTCTTGAAGAATGGCATCCTCTGCATCGTCGTCAAAAGGAAAAGGCTCGATCAGTTCAGGCAGTATTACATCATTCGCGAATAGATGAAGTAAGATGCGACATTTTTCAAGGAATGATTGTTGTTGCTGCATTGTTGATGATAGTTTTGGTATATCGACGGCGATCTGCTTTAGAGCAAAGTAGATAGTAGCTTTACATCTATATAACTCAGGTCGACCAATACTAAAAAAAAAAAAAAAAAAAAGGAGAAGAATTAGTTAATACTTGCTTTATTTTCAACATGTCACTTACAATCGGTATAAAGGTAATTGAATCTTGAAACTGTTCAGTAAAGAGTGAGGTGTAATCCGATTCCAGGCCACTTTGAAGGAGAGACCGATATTTGTCACTTGGTGAAAACATAAACTTGGTATAATCACAAGATCACCAGGTTGTTGAAGAATAACATGGGTCTTAACATTGCGTTTTGCCAACACATCCAGGGATATACATGTTTGTTCACTTTCCACAAAAGAACACTTTTCTCGACCTTTCCATGCAGACCGACATGCCTGTCGTAGATGATTCGTATCATCCTTACTAGTCACTAACCATTGAGCATATGCTGACTCTTCACCAAATAACATAATATTGTGTCCAATCGCACCAGAGATGTCTTGATGAAGTGGTGTTCCTGTTCCATCGCCTCCAAAGTAACACATCAAATTAATAGCACGTAACGACGGTGGTAAATTTCGAATCAAATCATCATTCCCTAATGGCAATAAAGATCGTGGTAAGATATGCTGGAGTTGTTTTGCATATTCCTGTGGACAATCCAAATCTTTAGCGTACGTGTTTGAAACATCAATGTCGTTTTTAGTTGATACAGGTTGATCATTACCATTGTCGCTATTTTTCATCCTTTTGTATTGATCATAAGCTACCGAAAATGGATTCGTTCGTAATTTAAGATCAACATCTTCAACGGTTCTTTGTTGCTTGCTTCTAGTGATATGTGCAGTTGAACGCTTGATTGTGGACTGAACAGATGGAGATACATTTTTGTCAATGACAGATATACGAGAATTATGTAGTTGTTTTGTCAAGTGCTGGGGGTCGAATGATGCTGTTTTCTTGGATAATTTTGCTTTTTTTCGACGACTTATACTTGATGTTGTTATTGTTTTTGCTGATGACAAAGGATAAAAGGCTGATGATACCATGCTGTTCCACGCAGTTCGATCACCATTGTACAATTTATCTACTCTATTTGTACTTCTCAGGTTGTAGTTGGCTGATGGAGGTGATGATGATTCGTCGGACAGGTGGCGCTTTTTTATAAGAATAATTTCATCATCGTCATCGATTTCAGGGTATTGCGATAAATTTGATAGAATTGGAGAAGATGGTGATATTTCTGGCGATAACAATGATAGATCATCAGAAGAGGTAGATGATCTGGCTAGCTCATTGGAAGAAGAATAATCTGAGAAATATGGTGAAGTGTCAGTAGGCGTAGGTAGCCAATCATCATATCCAATTTGAGTACCTAAATGGCCAAAAAAAAAAAAAGGATATATATATATATATATATAAGTATACCTGTTGGATAGACAACTAAATATATCACAACGTACCTGAATTTTCATAAAGTTGAGAAGCGTATTCCATACTAAATACATTCTTATTCCATCCTGCTTGACAATCAAGTTTACTGATCACCAACGGTAGTCCAAGTTTGACACAATGTTCTTGAATAAGTTTCAATAGTTCGTCTTCTTGTTCATAATCAGTAATGTTCACACGTTTGGCTGCAACAAAGGGTTTTTTTAAATAGGTGTCAGGAGTAAAAACCTGATCATTCATCAGGTCGAAAAAAAAAAGTATAAAAAAAAAAATTAAAAGAAAGAAAAGAGTGGCATATTTTTTTTTTTTTCTTTTTCTTTCTTTTTTTTTTTGTGTACTTAAATACCCGCCAGTCAGGGCATTTCGCCAATTTTTTTTTCTTCACTTCTTTCTTTTTTTTTGAACTTGTCTCTCTCTTTCACTTTTTTTTTTTTGACTATATGACAAGATTATTTGCCTTTGGTTCCAATGGAAGTGGACAACTAGGATTAGGTCACAAGGAAGATGTGAATTCACCTCAAGCATGTATTGGCATACCTAATAATGAAACTATCCGAAAGATAGTTGGTGGAGGCAATCATTCAGCGGTACTAACTACATCAGGACGACTTTTCATGGCAGGTTCTTCACAACTTGGATCTCGTCAAGAAAGAGAATGGCAAAAGGAAACTTTATCATCAGAAACAGTAGTGACAGAAAACAAACCATCCGACCATGATTGGACTATTTATAGAGAATTGTATTCTGAACATCAATGGCATGATATAGCTTGTGGTTGGGCATTTACTATTCTCGTGGACGTCAAGGGAAACGTCTATGGTATAGGTAGCACACAGTTTGGTGAATTAGGTTTGGTAGATAAGCAAAAGGATAGGACTGATCTGCTTCCCATTGCACCTGATCTCTTGATAAATATTGACTCTGTGGCATGTGGCTGGCGACATTGTATAGCTCTGGATCGTAATGGCAAGGTCTATGGATGGGGTTGGAATAAACATGGATCTCTCGGATTGACTTCAACACAAAATGGAAAAAAAAAAGGCAACAAATATTTATGCTCCTACCTTAATCAGTGATATTCCTGAATCTGTGGCTAGCATAGCATGTGGACATCTTCATACACTATTTCTAGGCAAAACAACTGGCAAGGTATATGGATGTGGCTCAAACAAGTATGGACAAGTGACATCCAATACGCAAGATACGTGTATCTATTCGGTAGTACCTTGTAATGATCTGTTCATGGATGGACTAACTCTGACACAATCAAGACACTTGACAGCAGGATGGCATCATAGTGCAGTATTCATCAAGGAAAGCAATAAACTATGGATGTGGGGAAGAAACGACCATGGGCAATTACAGGATGAATTACAACACGTAGTAACAGCAACATCAGGATCAGAACATACACTAGCAATATTGGATACTGGTGAATTAATGGCGTGGGGCTGGAATGAACATGGCAATTGTACAACAGATCAGGCTGACGTGACAACACCGATCATCATTTCTCTTCCATCGAACAAGGTGACTATGTTAGGAGCTGGTTGCGCTACTTCTTGGGTGGTTTTATCATTAGAATCATAGTTTTATTCACTTTATCATCGTTCCCCTTCTCTTTTTAGATTATCATATACCCTTTTTTTTTTTTTTTTTTTTTTTTTTTTTTTGTATTTTGATTTTAATAAACACTCTGATACTCCACTCAAGCTTCATTTTCTTTCAAAATTAGAGATTTGTTTGGTTACGAATGATGATCATGTATATCGAAGATTGATTTTATTGATTATCGTGAAAGATGATAATATTACTCCCATTTCTTTTTCTTTTATTTATTTATTTGTAAGTTGATAAAAAAAAAAGTAGTCATTGAGTTAGATAGAAGATATTTTTAACTTGACGTGAAGATGGCAATGATGGTTGGAAAGTGATGCTTAAATGATTAGTTACTGTTGAGAGCATTGGAACCGACATTAATGACAAATAGAATAGTGATAATGAGAGTATGGCCATCATTTTTATTTTTATTAACGAAGAATAATACCTATAAATAATGCTAACTATTATCAAAAAAAAAAAATATTAACTATCATAAAAAAAAAAAAATAATGCTACCTATCAATAAAATAATCATCATGATGGGTACCAGAACACACACACAGAAAGAGAGAGAGTGAGTGAGAGAGAAGCTACTCAAACCAAATAAGACTATCAAAGAGACATTTTCGTAATCTTGTCCATTTAAAAACTGCCACATATCCATCCAATTGAATCCATTGTACAGTCAATTAATAGTGTTGTCCATCTATCTTGTCGACCTTGATGCATTCTAGTCAGATGATCCTGTTGAGTATCTTCCATTCGGTTGATCCAAACGCATCTTCATCTATAGTCGTTGATTCCCGTCGTATTGTCACCAGTTGTATTCTATAAAAAAAAGAGAAAGAAAAAGATCACACTAATGTTGGAGAGGTCAAGCAAAAAAAAAAAAAAAAAAAAAAAAAAAAAAAAAAAAAAAGAGTAAGTGGAGCACATAGAAAATCAGAAGAAGACAAGAGACATCACACGGAAAAAGTAACAACATGAAATTAAACATTCTTCACCTTTTCACCATACATCTTGAAAGGGTTCTTGAAAAAAAAAAAAAAAAAGAAAAGAAAAGAAAAGAATGATAGACATTGATTAGTTATTATTATTCAATATACACTATTTATTTTTCTCTTGTTTGCATTTACCTATGTCTTTGTGTACATGATGAAAGTCGAAGAGTGTTGGTAACATGTCATATAATTGACCCATGGAGAACAAACTAAAAGGAGTGGAGTCTAAGGTAGAGAAAAAAAAAAAAAAAAAAAAAAAGAAAAATAAAGAGAGGAACACGAAAAAGAGGAAAAATAAAAATGCGCGTTGGTTTGAGAGGGCATTAAGACCAAAATGGAATGGATTGGTGACACGAACAGCCATAAATGGTGTCGGAATTCGAAATTTACGATTAGAAATATATAGTAAAAATCAGTCTAACGCGCAACTGAGGGACTATGGCCCAATTGGACAAGGCGTCTGACTACGAATCAGGAGATTCCAGGTTCGACCCCTGGTAGTCTCATCTCAGTATCTTTTTTGCTACAATTTGGCTTGATTCGGTGATCAAATTCTGGCCAATCATATGCGATTATTAAGTGATTTTTTTTGTTGTTAGGGTCAAAATAAAAAAAAAGTAATTCGGATGATTGAAAGATAATAAGTTAAATAGTGAGCATCAGTATTTGATTACGCAAGTACACGTATAAGAAAAGAGATAAAATAAAAAAGAAAAGTAAAGTAGTAAAAATAAAAGAGCAATTCCAAATTTGGAAGGTAGGAGAAGTTCTTGGTCTGACTTCAAAAAAAAGAGGACTGAGCCAATCAAAATGAATAATCCACAATAAGGTTAAGTAGGGTTGTTTGTTCGGATAAAATAATGCTTTTTTTTCTCTTTCCTTTTTTTTTTTTTTTTTTTTTTCTTTTACATCACCTTTTTTTTTTCTTTTACATCACCTTTTTTTTTTTCTTTTACATCACTTTTTTTTTTTTCTTTTACATCACTTTTTTTTTTTTCTTTTACATCACTTTTTTTTTTCTTTTACATCACTTTTTTTTTTTTCTTTTACATCACTTTTTTTTTTTTCTTTTACATCACTTTTTTTTTCTTTTACATCACTTTTTTTTTTCTTTTACATCACTTTTTTTTTCTTTTACATCACTTTTTTTTTTTTTTTTTTGTATGTAGTATTTAGAATTATCTTAACGTAATTATGAGTTGTAATGAGTTTTTGTAGAGATATATTGGTTAGTTACAAAGTTTTGTAAAAATAAATTTGAATATTATGATCACCATGCAAATAAGATACAAAGGTCACACAAATATCCAAATTCATTTAACAAAAATTTGTTATCCAAGTTCATTTAACAAAAATTTGTTATCCAAATTCATTTAACAAAAATGTGTTATCCAAATTCATTTAACAAAAATTTGTAACTATCAACGTGTGGAGAGTAACATTCAAAAATGGGAATAGTTTGGTGTATTGTGATCACATTTGATGATGATCAAAAAGAAAAAAAAAACATATAAAATAAAAACTTAGGATGATTGAGTTCCTTAAGAGTGACCGAATGATTTGTTTTGTTTTATAAAGATGATAATAATTGGATAAAAAAAAATAGTTTTGTTGATATGAATTGGGATAGTAAAAAAAAAAAAAAAAAAAAAAAAAAGAAAAAAAAAAAAAAAGAAAAAAAGCCCATGACGATAAAAAGGATCATCAGCATCAACATCAAGACAATATCGAAGAAAAAAGAAGAATGATGGCTACTTTTTTTTTTTTGTTTATTATTATTTGCTTTAAAGAAGAAATCTAGAATCCAAACCAAAAGCAAAATCATAAACTACTATATCACCACTATCTAATCCTAACACTATCTTCATATTGTCAAAACGAAGGTTAATGATTCTATATATGATGGATACCAAAAGAAGAAAGAATGAGTAAGGAATCTATGATATCACTTTTTTTTTTTTTTTTTAAAAAAAAAAAAAAAAAACTTACCTTCCTTGATAATACCTTGGAAAAGTATGTAATAATCGACCAGTTTCAAAATCCCATACGTTGACATTATCATTGTATCCAGCACTAACAATAATCCTTGATGTTGGTGGTATTGTTGCCTCTTCTTGTTGTCCAGTTATATTAACAGCTTGCGATGGTAAAGGAGGATGATCAACATAGTTATCATCTTGTGGTTGTTGTAATTGTAAAGTGCGCACCAAACCAGTATGAGCATAGAATTTTCGAACCATTTTTCCAGTGATGTCCCAGATAATGATACTTTTATCATTAGAGCCGCTAACTATATATGTTCCATCAAAATCTAAACATGATATTGCACGTTCATGTCCCAAAAACGTTTGCAGACATTCTCCTGTATCCTATAAAATAAATAGATACATATCAATTTCCCATACAACTCTTTTTTTTTTTTTTTTTTTTTTTTTTTACCCTATGCCATAATTTGATTGTTCGATCACCAGATGCTGATACGATTCTATTTTGATGAGATTTGATAGCATTAACAGCTTCTCTATGTCCATGTAAGGTCCGTAATAAATCACCGGTAGAAGATGACCAGATATTGATGGTTCGATCTTTGGAAGCACTATAAATCCAATCCTTGTCCAATACTACATTCAATACGCTATCTTGATGACCATGAAGGACACGTAATTTTTGTCGACGCCACCGGTCCGTTTGAACAATAGTTCTATCCTTGCTGCCACTGACAATATAATGATCATCTACATCGAGGCAAAGAATGCTACCCTTATGAAGATCCGTATAAGTATGTTGTAAAGTGGCCACTGCATGATCAAAATTCCATTCTTTTAAAGTTTGATCCCGACTGGCACTAAATATAGTGTGACGTGTTGCATCCAATGCTAGACTATACACTGCGTCTTGATGCTGATCCCTGAGTTGCTGTTGCTGTCTTCGTTGATCGGATGATTCTGATCCCATTGTGTTGGTATATTGTAATTCACTATGTTGTTGTTGTTGTTGTTGTGATTGTAAAGCTGATGAATCAGATGCTGATCCTTCCGAAACAGATGCTAATATTTGAGTAGATGGAGGTAATGTGGATGATGATAATGATGAGGATATCGTTGTTGACATGGATATTTCTGGATCATTTGTATTCCCACTATCAATAATAGCCTCTTCATTTTCTTCTAGTTGTTGTCTTCGTAAACTGGCAGGATCACTTCTAAAACGATAAGGTCGATATCTTCCCAATCGCCAAGCAGCTGCAATTTTATGCCTATATCGGTAAAGAGATTTCCAATCAATAAATCTAGTATGAGTCTTGACATCATAATGAGGAAGTAAATGTTGATGACCAGGATGTGGAGCAATGGCAACAAGTGTCCTATTTGAGGCCACCTTTTGAGATAGAATTGGTTTCCTTGGTTTTGTTGAGGAACCATGGAAAGGTTTAAGTATAGAGTATGTTGGTTTCGAAGAAGAAATTGAGATAGAGGTTGGTGAGAGTGCTGATGTGGATGATACTACAATAGGTGAAACAGGTGTAATAGTAATAGGAGGATCACCTGACTGGGAATTTGTAGTGGTGATGATACGACGTTGATAAAGAGGAGTTGAAGAACGTACGATAGGCGTGGATTGTATTGAGTGAGGTGAAGAAGATACTAGCTGTTTGCTTGGTATGGTATAATGAGTTGAAGATTCCTTTGAAAGATAACGCTCCATCCCTATAGCATCGTATTTCCAACCTTGAGCTTCAAATAAATATCGCCAAATAACTGAATCTTGACACAAGGTATACCAATTCCGTGAGGCCAAAGATAATTCAAGTAGAGAAGTAACGTTCAAGTAACATAGAATATTAATGACTAATTCTTGTGGCAAAGTCTAAAGAATAAACCATAAGTAACCCTTTATATATATATATATATGTATATTTTACCTCTAAATAATTTCGTGATAAAGTATTTGAAGTAAGTCGTCGTAATACATTGTTCATATCAGGTATAGGAATGGATTGAAGTAAATGATAAGCCAAGTCTATTAAAATAGAAAAAGTTAGAATAATACAAAGTTAGTTTATTAAGAAATCTTTATTTATATATTATATTACCTGCTTTTTGTTCATTATCAAGAGCTGCTACGGCAGGAAATTGTTGTTCCACAAGATCTTGAGAACTAGTGTTCATATCGTTTTGGAAGGATAAACTAAGTTCATTAAGAGGAATATTTACATGTAGTTTGTTTTCAACTCTAGAGTGTAGATGTGTCTCTTCAGGGTTTTTCATTTATATATAAAAAAAAAAAGGTAAAAAGAAAGAAAACATAAAAAAAAAAAAAAGGGAGTTTGAAATAACCAAAAGTTTTGAGAATTATAATGCATTAAGTTTATTCTTATTGCAATTTATTCATGAAAAAATGGATCACTTTTTTTTTTATTTATTATAATTATTGTTATTCTTTTTGTGTATATAATGATAATGATGATGATGATGATGATGATAAATGGATGATAAAGTAATAAAAAAAAAAAAAGAAAAAAAAGGAACTATACAAATATATATATATATATAAACATCGGGAATCATGTAAAAAAAAAAAATTAAGGATAAAGAAAAAGGAGGGGGGAAGGAGTAATAATTAAGGGTTGGCCATGATGGATTTCAAAGTTTCATAGGTTGGGAAAAAGATACCACAAATACCAAACCACCAAGCACTTCTAGGAATAGCACCAGAAAAGAAAGCACGACAAATACCAACAGATTGATTAAATTTGCCTGAATTGTTTGTCTTAACCCGATCCACCATAGATTTTGCAATTTGCATAACAGTAATTTGTTGAGTATTTCCACCTGTATTAGCCAAAGCTTTCTTTTGAGTAATCATTCTAGTACGAAGAACATCCATTGGAGTAGTAAAGTAACCAGCCAAGAATCCACTAATACCACCATACATAATACTTTCAAGTGTAGGGATATCAGCTTCAAGTTCTTCAAATGCAGCGCCAGCTACTACTTGTTGTTCATAGGAAGCACGAGGAGATGATTTCATTTTCTTGAGAAGATCTTCACGGACTGATCGATGATGGAAAGCCTTGAAATTTTCGTAAGATACCAGGAGAATAATCATAAATGGTAAATCACGACCAGCAATAGGCCAAAATCCTTTGAATAGACCTCTTGGACCTTCTTCTATAAGAGTTTGTCGTATTACATGAGCAGTAGTGGCACGTCCAACTCCATAATGATCTGTTTGTAGTTTGGCCGTAATAACTTCACGAGGCACTTTGATAACACTAGAGGCCAAATCACCCAAAACTGCTGATAAGGCTGTAACTGGAATGGTCCATGATTTGTTCTTGTCGGCAACAGATGGTAACATTCGATTTTTACAAAGTTCATATGTACTGAATCGTGCTCCACCCTAATAATAATTATAAAAAAATAAAAAAAAAAAAATTATGAGTGCCTCAGATAATATAATAATAAAGTTTTCATTTACCTGACCAGCAGCACCCATAGCAGATACAAAGAATCCTTTTCCAAGACTACGAGCAGTTTCTCTTGAAAAGATAGCTCGCCAATTGTTTGCAAGATTGGCTTGAATTCGAGTTTTGATGGTATCAAGAGGATGCATACAAGAATATGCTAGTGATAGAGCTGTACCTCCAGCAATAAAATGATCTGTCAAAAAAAAAAAAAAAAGAGAAACAAAGATTAGTTTTCATTTTAATTTGATTTGATTTGATTCATCCCTAAAAAAAAAATTATTATTTTACCTTTGAACAATTGTGATTCGGTTGGTACTGAAGATACTCGTGAGTTGGCAACTACTGACATCGTATATTTATGTGTTTATGAGTGTGTAAAAAAGGATGATAATGGATTATTATTATATATAATATAAGGATATATTTTACAAAGAGTGAAAGAAAACAGGAAAAGAAAGAAAAGAAATAAAATAATTGAAAGGAATGAAAAAAAAAAAGGAAAATCCAAAAGGGGTTTAAAAAAGTCAGTTTCTAAAATCAGCCATTGATATGCAAAATCAATAGTGAGTCAAATTCATCCACCAATCATTATCTCTCAAACCCCACCAACACCATCTCTATCCGCTAAACCTCAACCAAACATTCATATCATTGAAGCACAATGTCAATTTTGGTCACAACAAAACTCATTTCTGATTGGTTAAATTTTCCAACCTGATTATCTCTTTTTTTTTTTTTATCTTTTTAGTTTGCAATTTGAGGGATTATCCTTTCCATTTCTGACTTGAGCACGTCAATTTGATCACTCTTTTAAAATATACAAATCATTATTATCCAGTACACTTATCCGAAATCCTATTGCCTGTACATATATCGTTATTAACTATCGATCATTCATTAACAACTATTAATTAATCAAAATCACCATCTTACCATCACTATTTCATATCATCACATCATCTTGCACCATCAATCATCATTCGACGTATATATAATTGATAAGATTTTTATTGTTCAAAAAAAAAAAAAAGGTCACCAAGTAAATAATAGATCTCTAATATATCCTATCCATCCAGTAGTTTGTGGAGTAGTGACCTTGCTATGCTGACCTATACTAGGACTTGCTATTACACTAATGCCAGTGCGACCACTTCCTACACCTTTTTGCTTGTCATCCCTTTTCGCAAAGACACTATCCGTTTTGGGGTGTATATCCTTGAATACATTACTTGATTTCTGTTGTTCCTGTGTTGATGATCCATCGGCTTTTGTCAAAGATGCTGATATTGCTGAAGAGGATCTGAGATTTTCATTTGCCAGAGTCACACCAATCTTGAATGTTTCTGCCATGATTTTCTCATTACTATCCAGTGCTTGTGTAGCTGATGCTGGTTTTTCGTATCGAATACTGAGCCAGCTGCCAGGAGAATATTGTGAGTCTTCAATCTTTCCATATCTTTCAAAATGTTTTCGCACGTTGGTGATCATGTTTGGGGGAAAGCCGAATATTTTGATTGTTCTGATTTCATCGTTGTTACTATCGCTACGCATATTAAGAAAAAAGTTATTAAATGACCTTTGCACATTTGTTGTTCTTTCTATATTGATATATTACCTAATCTTTAATCTATCTTCAACTATATTGGTATCAGTGGGGGGTACACTATGAAAATCATAAATATATTTTGTTAGTAAGGAATGATGCTTAATTTGTTTATTCTCCACATACTCTGATTCGATTTTCGTTTGGGACGCCAGCTATTGTATCAAAAAAAAAAAAAAAAAAGTAGACGGGTGAGTACTACAGTCAGAAGATCTTCTTTTCTTATTGTTATACATACCTCCCGTAGAGAATTGGCAGATGGCTTTTTATCTAAAAGATCAGTAGATTCTTTTTGGTGAATAGTTGGATCTTCACGTTCGCTACCGGCGAAAAAGATGGGTAAAGTATTGCTGTGGGTAGACGCAGTGATTCTTCCTTCAAAAGGTAACAAAGTGCTTGAGGCTGTTGTTGATGACTTTTCTAATATATTCAAGTTGTTTTGATTGGTATGAGAAGGCACAGTAGTTTCCCCTACAGTACGAAATAGTCCATGACCTGTCGTTGAAGAAGAGATTACTGGTTTCGTTGTTGCTGTAGAAGAGAGAGTATGTAATTTCTTATTTTTTAAAGCATCCAGGTCATTAGATTCTTGATCAACAGTTCTAGTATACTGTCCAAACATGTGTAATAAAATAGAATGAATAAAGCAAAATGAAATCTAATACAAAGAAGAGAAGAAGAAAAAAAAAATATTGAAAAACAAGCAAAATTTACAAAACGGTGTTTGAAAATTTCCCTTAGTTGATTATAGTAAAAAAAAAAAAAAATAAAAAAAAAAAATGAAAATGAAAAAAAATCGTTTCTTTCTCCTTTTTCTTTTTTGGGTCAAACATGGAACGAAAACTACGTATTCTGTGTCTACATGGAATGTCTCAAAATGCAGCTATCTTTAGAAAAAAGACAGCAGTTATTCGAAAAAAATTGGACAAAATGGCTGATTTAGGCAAGTTCATTTTTTTTTTTTGAAGATATTAAGCATATTTAGAACTTTTGAAACTGACAGGTACCTTATCTTTTTTTTTGATAGTTTATATTACTGCTCCTCATTTGAGTGTACATCCTGATCATACTTCAGAAGCATTAAGAGAAGCGGCTGCCGATCCAACTGCCTCTGAAGGTAGTGTTGTATCTTCTTTTTTTTACTTCTGTTTTAATATACTTACTTTGTTTATATATCTATAGATTTGAAGCCATTTGGTTGGTGGTTGCATAGTGAATACCAAGATCCTAATGCTGAATATTTTGTTGGGTTTAAGGAATCAATCGAGTTGATTAAAGAGGTCTTGGTAACTCAGGTAAGTTGGTAAAAGAATATAGAAAACATAAAGAATAATAGTTTATACTTTCACTTTTTTATAGGGACCTTTTGATGGTGTATTTGGATTTTCGCAAGGTAAACATTATTGAATTATATAGCATATATTTAATATATATCTAATAATTACTTATAGGAGCTTCTTTTGCGTCCATGTTGACTGCGGTACTGGAAAACCGTACATTACTTCCTGAATTCATTCCACCAGAATTTGAACATCCCCCTTTCCGATTCGCTATGGTGGCTGCATCATTTATTCCGAACCGTCCAGTGGCAACCAGAATCTTTTCTTCCATCATCAAGACACCAAGTATTCATATGATTGGTGAAAAGGATAGTTTGATTTTACCAGAACAAATGGAAACTTTGGCCAATGCATTTGAAAATCCTATTTTATTAAGGCATACTGGAGGGTAAATGAATAAATGAATGATGATTTTTATGATTAAATGATCTTTTTTTTTTTTCTTTTAGACATGTGGTTCCAAGTAATGCTCCAAGTCGTAATGAAATTGTAGCTTTTATATCAAAATTTACATAGATTTGATTCCATTTATTATTTGATTATGGTATATTATTAGATTATTTTTAGTATAGAATAAATAATAATAATAATAAAAAACATTACATTAATATTACATATATTTTTACTTGATTTTTTTTTTAGTCAATCAATGTATGGATAGATTTCATGTCCGCCTTCTTTTCTCTCCCCCCAAGAGAAAAATTTTTTCCTTCAATAACCATTCTTGTTCTATTCATTTGATGCTCCGAAGATATAAAAGGTAGAAAGACTTGTTTTCCTTTTTTTCTTTTTTTCCCTCTTTTTTTTTTTTTTTTTTTTTTTTGTTTTTCTTTTTCGTCTACTTTATCTTTTTGACCTTTCTTCTTATTTATTCTCATTCTTATCAACTCCTTTCGTTATTCATTAGTATCAACCCAAAGAACATCTTCATAAGTTATTGTCATACAATTGTGGAACCGACTAAACTGTCATTTACACCAGCCTCACTCTTTCTGTCTTTGTCTTTCTATCTCTTATCTTTTGTCTTTATTGGGGAAATCTCTTTTTGATCCTTTATTATTATTATTATTATTCAGTACATCAATAGCTTAAGCTCTTCTTTTATTTGTCTATAAATCTACAACATCTTACAATTATTTTTTGGTAAGTGACAATACATGTTCTGGTAGTCTTTTTTGTAACGGCTACTGAACTTTATCCGTAGTGGGGAATGAATTAATGAAAGGGTCCTTATATCATTTTATTATATATATTTATTATTATTATTATTATTTAGATCATGCAATACGCTCCTCCTTATTATTATGCTGGTGGTAATCAACAACCTACCAATCCTCAACAACCTCAACAAACTCAACAACCTCAACTTCATATGCCTGATCATCAATTATATACTCAACCTCCTCATGGTATGCCTACTTACCCTATGACTATGCCTCCTCATCAACCTCATCCTGCTTTGACTCATCCATCTGGTGATTTCAATATGTTAACAAAACCAAAGAGAAAACAAGTGAAGAATGCTTGTGGTAAGATTTATTTTTATTATTTTAAAATTCATTTCACTGATTTTTATTATTATTTGATAATAGTTAATTGCCAAAAAGCTTGCAAAAAATGTGATGATGGTCGTCCTTGCCAACGTTGTATTAAGTATGGATTGACTGATACCTGTACAAACTCTATTCGAAAGGAACGTAAAAAAGGTGTCAAACGTGGTCCATACAAACGTAGAAACCAATGTAAAAAAAAAAAAAAAAAAAAAAAAAAAAAAAAAAAAAAAAAAAACTTTTTAGAAAAAAAAAGCCATCGGATATTCATTTGTTTCTTTTTTTTTTTTTTTTGACAAAAAACTTAGCCAATGGTGAATCATCTAGCACTGCAACTACATCCACATACTCAAATCCAACAACCAATGTACCTACACCTTATCAAACTTATGGTTCATATGAAACTTATCCATCTACCAATCCCACTGCTCCTGGAGTCGCTTATAGTAACCCTATGCAACAATATGTGATGGCCATGCAACAACAACAAGCTATGTATCAAAACCTCCCATATCAACAAACTATGACGACTGCAACTTCATCACCTTCATTGTCTCATACTCCTAATTCTATGCCTTCTGGTGCTTCTGTTTCTGCTCAACATTCTCCTGTTATCAATAATGCCAATACAACTACTGTCGAACCAAAAGAACAATCTTCCTCTGCTACTACTACTACAACAACTACTGCTTCCGTCGTTACTAATGATAACAACAAAACCAATGATGATGATGACGATGGTTCCAAGTTGAACATTTTATCTCAACTTTGCAGTGATGTATTAGATCGCTCACCAAAAGAAGAACATGCAACAATGACTCCTCCTCCTATCGGTATTACTCGTGATCAATCTACTCCTACCAACACTAATACTGCCACCAACGATCTTCAACAAAATCCTACTTACAATCAACAACAACAACAACAACATACACCTATGTTATCTACTCCTGTTTCATCATCACCTTCTTCTGCTAATGCCTCGCCTACTTTATACAAACAAGATCCTACTCAAATGGTTTATCCTCAACAACAACAACCTCAACAACAACAACAAGGTCAAAGTAATTGGCAAGGACATTGGTGAGTCTGAAGGTGTAAAACATCATGGTGATTGATCATCAGTAGTAGTTTTTTTATTTATTTATTTATTTATTTCGTCCCTCCTCCTTTATATATATATATATATATATATATATATATATATATATATATTATTTTTTTATTTTATTTTATTTTTCTTACTTCTCATACGCCTCACTTTTTTTTTCTCTTTTTATGCATAGATATTTTACACGTTGTTGTATTCTCCACTTTTTTTTTTATACATTATTTCAAATTCTATTCTTTTCATTAACTTATTCTCACTTCATAATGTATTATAAGCCTCCCTCCTTTTTTTTTATCACTCTTCATTCACAATGACCTTATTGCTTGTATACAAAAAAAAAAGTCAAAAAAAAAAAATTCAATAAAATTTGTCTTGTATCATTCACTGTTTTCACTTTGATGAAAAATGATTGTTTATTTATCTGATCATGCAGCAAGTTACCATAAATCCTAGAATCGGGAAAGGCTCCGATAGAAAATAGGCACTACCATTTCAGGAAACTAGATGTTCTTTTCCTTTTTTTTTTTTTTTTTTCCTGAGCATAGATCAAATCACAGAATTCACACTTTTTTCTCTCTTTGATTCATCATCATGCTAAGACCACCCAAAAAAAAAAGTTTAAATACTTTTGCTCTTCCTACTGAGAGACGTATCGGATGATACGATAATTAACATACAAAATAAGAACCAACAATATAAACAATTGAAAGAAATATCGTTGTTTAATAAATAAGAATAATTCTAATTATAAAAACATTCAATATTTCTAACTAATTTCACATCTTTCAGCGTAAAGATGATTGTCACAAGAAGAGTAAGGATTACAAATGTTTAGCATTTCCATCCAATATCACATCCATCTTTATCATAGTCCATACAGAAAGACGTACCAGGAGAATAACCACACCTCAAGCCATATGACTCTCCTTCGATTGAGCAAGGTTGACCATTGTATTGACCACCAGTACATTTTGCACAGCAATTTGAATCAAAGAAGTTACAACAATCAGCACCAGCACTAACAGTGTGGATGAGATATGCCAATAATGTAGTGAACAAAATGAATTTCAACATGATTATCAACAGTTTTTAGTTGTTTTTTTAAAAAAAAATAACGAACCAACAAAAAAAAAAGTTGCCCTTTTATATAAAAAAAAATATAACTACCCATTGAATTGATGTTACACTCATTGGACTACAAGGATGATGATATCTTGTCAGAACGTTCTTCCGATTGTCTTTTTCTTTCAATAAGAAATCAAATGTTGCTTCTGCTGAGCGAACCCAAAATGGATATTAACTTCCTTTTTTATAATATGATGATAAAAAAAAAAACCATCTCTTTTGTAAATGAATACATGGGAAAGAATGGTATAAGTTTTAAGCGGAACAACCAGAAATATAAAATAAATTCTATCTTCTATAAAAAAAATTCGCTTTATATCCTTCTATTTTCTATATTTATCTATTAGTTTGAGTCAATAATTGACTTGTGTAATGGCTGCGTAAAAGTTTACACCGTTCCTATGTCGTTGATAAAAAAAAAAAAAAAAAGGAAGCCAACACGTTGATTACCTTGTAAAACTTGAATTACAGGGTACTCATTCTTCATGGAGGTTGAAAATAGCATACCAATTAGGATAATGGCGATGGTGATATATTTTTTTTTTTTTTTTTAGTTTATTCCATAAATACGATGATCATCTATAAATTCAATAAGACAAAGAGACATAAATTGGTTTGCTTATGTTCGAGTCAAATTTGATGTGATGATGATGATTTCTGAGCGAGAATGGAAAATTCAAAGTTTTCTTCAAGCTTGTATCCAGCATGAAAAAATGAGATGGATTTTTTGATTTCACAGCCAAAATTTTCAAACTCCTCAGCCAAACTTTGGCTGTAAAAATAAATTGCCAGGGGGTCATCAGGCAATATTTCGAAAAATCGATGAAATCTTTCATTCTCATTGCACACATTAGGTGGTAAGATAATCGATAAAATGGGATTACATGATATTTGACTACTTTTTCGAGAGGAATCCAATGTTGGTCATTTTATTGGATGATGATCATTATTGGATGAGGGATGACTGAATTGACTTTTGTTTTTTAATTTACTCTATAAATTGGGAGGCAAGGTACAAATTGTTATTAAGATAGGTGAAAGAGAATGTCTTCATGTATCTTCAATCCAAATTTGAAGGGATGATGATGATCTTTGGATGAATTACAAAAGTATAAACAGGTAGGCGCCCACTCAAAGTGATGTTACAGCATAAAAGACATTATGGATCTAATTTCTCGGTATGAACAAGTTAAACAAGAAAAAAGCCAAAATATATGTTTAAATAGCTCTTAGCAGTGCAGCTAATGACGAAGAGAGCTTAAGGTTTGAAGTACTGAAAAGAAAAAAAATCGGGTGGAAATAAGCATTTTGTATCCTACTATGGATGTAGATAGATATTTAAAATAAGTCAGACAGTGAGATTCCTTTATAATTCTATTTGAGCAGAAAAAATTAAAAAGATATACACTTGAATGGGCATGGATTTTGTCAAGGTTGGGGATTGGGATAAAAAAAAAAAAGAAAAAAAAATCATGCCAAATTGTCGTTAGTGGACTGACTTCAAAAAAAAAAAATAAAAATAACTACCCCTTCGTGTAATTTTAATTTTTTTCTTCTTTTTCTTTTCTTCATCTACTTTTTTTTCCACATTGGGTGTCCTCTTTGTTTGTGCGATCTTGTCAAGGTAGATTTTATTAGATTTGGAGCGTTTTGAAAAAGGGATTTACAAACTACATGGGGAAACCCTTTCATTTTGGATGTAGGATTTAGTACAGGTAAATGACAGAAAATATTTTGTGGTCGTTTTTCTCTCTCTTTTTTTTTTTTTTTTTTTTTACATATAAATTCCTTGACCTGGATTTATTTTATTGGTAACGTGAACGAATAACTAACTGGATATCAAACTTCTTTTTCGTTAGGAATGGCGACTTGTTGTTAGGATCTTGGTGGTGGACGAAGGGTTCTGATATAATAGATACAGTAGAATGGATAGTTTTACTAGTTAGTATATGGATTACTTTTTTTGTTTTGAAATAAAAATTATATTGCTTTTTATGATACACAACAATACTCTTACTTGGCTTTTTTTTATGATAATCATTGTTATTAGATCATTTTTAATTTACTTTATGAATTGGGAGATAAGGTATTAATTGTTATTAAAACAATTGAAAGAGAATATCTTCATGTATGTTCAATCCAGACTTGGTACAATGATCCAATCATATTAAATCATTATCCTTAACATACAAAAAAAAAGATCTTAACACTACTATTATTGGTCATCATATTATATATTGGGTGATCATCAACAAAAAAAATACCACTCTCAGCCACTACCATACAACTATTGCGAAGAACTTAATTGTCCTGGGCTAAACAAACAAACAAAAAACAAAAAAACAATCTATTTTTACAGCCATCTCACGCTTTTTCAAAATCCCACAACTGTACCATATGATTGTCTTTATATTTAAACCTTCATCTCTTTTTTTTATTTTTTATCTTATCTAGTTATCATCAACTTGATAACATTCCATTTCCTTCTGTGGATTACGTCTCTTTTTTTTATCATCATATTACTTTTTTGTTCTATTTACTTGGAAATAGTGCTCACCACATATCAATCATCACTACTATTATATTGATAATAGTATCATCCATATATTTAACGAGTCATCATCATTTTAGAGTTACAAGAAAATCGATTACTAAAGACGCTTGTGAAACCATACAAAGATCACAAGAAAATCATCGGTGATATACGTCAATGGAAACCTCCATTCAAGCTTGAAGACCTAGTAACTCTATATGAAGGCATCAAAACAAATTCATGGGCAGGAAAGGTATCAGATATGTGGAATGGGATATACATCGTGCATCAACCACTTGGCCAAGGAACCTATCTCATTAAATCATATCAAGCATACTGATCTAAGATTAAAGCGATGGCATGGTAACCGATTAAAGCTGTATCAAATACCTGATGTTTTCTGGAGCCAATCTTTTGAACGAACACTTGGAGATGATTTATAAAAAAAAAAAAAAAAAAAAAAAAAAAAAAAAAAGAGGAAACACGTACATCAACAATCATCACCATCAATACTACTGGATAAAGTCCCTGGCGCATTGAAGTCTTTGGATGAAGTATTAAAACAGCCGCTCGACGATCTTCTACACTACCTATGGGCCAATGGCTACGAAGGATGTACGGATGAAGAACTCTCGGTCAATAAAATGATACGTTATATTATGACTGATTTCCACCTCAACTGCACGATCACGACCAACAACGACAATTTATCTTGCTATCTGTCAAAATCTTGACATTTGTCCAATTCAGACACTTCTGACCATTTCTCACCCTTTTGGCCAAGACCTTCTTTTCTTTTTTATATTTTTGGTCTCATCTGAATCACTACTCTTACACAGTTTCATCCGTTATTACGTTTTTTATCACATTTATCAGTTTCATCCGTTTTATTTTCTCATTGTTTCTTATGATGATTAATCATCATCATCTAAAAATAATCTTTAGTTTTAGTATAAATACATCAAGTAGTTTATATATTTTTCTCTATTTGTCAAAGATCAAGTCAAAGTTTTATTATAACAAATTCAATAAAAGATTGTATAATCATCTTGGCCACTCTTAAGAAATCAATCATCTTAAGTTTTATATTTATTATTTTATTATCAATCAATCTTCTAACATATATTTAAATTTACTTTATACTGTTTTGTTCTTTTTATATAAAAGAACTGGTGCTCACTCTGAACAATCATCAATAATATTATTATATTAATAATATTATCCATCAACTACATAAATAAATCAAACATCACACAAATAATAAAAAAATCCTTAACATATTTTGGTGCTCACTACATATCAAACATCTTCGATATTATTAATTTAATAATATCATCCATCCAATCTGTAAAACAATCATCTTCGTTAAGTACAAAAAAATTCTTAACAAGTCGTTTGATCAGTCCTACTCGGTATGCCTTCGTCGAAGTCCGATCTGCCATCATTCCAACGGATTATGCACATCGATGCTCTTAGGTCAAAGTATTGCCCTTATTGTCTGTTCTTTATCAACACACATATTGAAAATTCAATATGCGGTAATTTTCAACACCAGATATCGAAATAATATTATGGCGCATGGATCGATTTTAACAAGTTTCTTACTTTTCTTTTTTTTTTTTCTTTTTTTTTTTTTTTTTTTTTTTGATAGATACAAATAAAAATAATAGATAGACGGTGCTTTATTCTTAGTGTAGAGATAGAGGTTATGTATATGTATACATAATAAATGGAGAAGGTGGATCTACAGTGGATAATAAACATAAATCAAAAATGGAAATAGATTGTAGTACGTGATACTTTTTGATGATGATCATTATCCATCATTGCCGCATTTCAATCATCACCCCAAGTAAGTCCTTAAAAAAAATGTAGCATAAGAGTACGCCCCACGATATAGCGCTTAACGTTTGGACTTTTTCAATCTTTAGATTTTTTTTTTTTCTGGTATTGGACATTTGTCAAACGCTTGACCTTTTTCCAGCGTTTGAAAAATTTCAAACTTTATATCAATTAGTTAGTTTCTTTTTTTTTTATTTTCTAGTATAAATATTCAACAAGTTTTTAAATATGTTTACATTATCAAAGTTTTATTATATTTTAATCAATAAAAGATTTTATAATCATCTTGGCCACTCTTAAGGAATCAATCATCCTAATTTTTATATTTATTATTACTATTATCAAACAAAAATCAAGGTTTTATATTTGAGTTACTTTATTTTATTATTATCAAGCAATCATCAAGTTTTTCTATTCGAGTTATCTTATTTATATATATATATATATATATATAATCAAGCGTTATGAATGCTCAAGAATCTATCTCCGGTACACCTAATCATCTAAATATCAATAATCACCCCTTTTTTCAAACCAACAATCCCCTTCATGTGTACGACGGACGACAAGAAACAATTCTTATACATGACGATATGGTCACATCTCTACAAACTCCCAATTGTGGAGGAAGAAAGGGAGAACCTGGTGTCCCTCATGATTATTTTGAACAGCTTACGGACCAATGTACCCAACATCAATACTTAAAAGACAGGAGCCGTTCTCTTCATCCACTCCTTTTTTTTTTTTTATAAAATCTTTATCCTCCGTTCATCCATCAATTTAGTATAAATAACCCATCTTTTTTTTTTTTTTTGTTTTCTTTAATTCGATCAGTTCAATCAATTACACTTTATCTTTTTAAATAAAAAGTAACTTTTGGCATCCCTCCTTAACCACTTGCTGTGGATTATTCATTCTGATTGGCTCAACCCCTTTTTTTGAAATCAGAATAAGAACTTCTACAGTCTACTTTATAACACCATCTAGAATAAAAATCATGCCCAAAGAGGCTCTCACGCCGTTATCGGCCATCACCTATTTTTTCCAACAACAATCACCTAATGCTCAGCTTCTACCTGTCAATGGTATCATTGATAAATGCTATAAACTCTCCCATCAATACTTGAATACTGTATTTTCCTTACCTTCCAAATTTGGAATTGATCTTTTTTATTTCTCTACTTTACTTTTCTTTTTTATTTTATCTATTTTTCTATACGTGTGCTTGCATAATCAAGTACTGGTACTCACTATAAACCTTTTAAACAATCAATCATCCTATTTACTTTGTTAAAGAAAAAAATAATAATAAAGAAGGGAGAGCTTTAGAAAAAAAAAAATGGAAACCTCCATTCAAGCTTGGTGACCTAGTAACTCTATATGAAGGCATCAAAGCAAATTCATGGGCAGGAAAGGTATCAGATATGTGGAATGGGATATACATCGTGCATCAATCACTTGGCCAAGGAACCTATCTCATTAAATCATATCAAGCATACTGATCTAAGATTAAAGCGATGGCATGGTAACCGATTAAAGCTGTATCAAATACCTGATGTTTTCTGGAATCAATCTTTTGAACGAACAGTTGGAGATGATTTATAAAAAAAAAAAAAAAAAAAAGAAAAGAAAAAGAGAAAAAGAGAAAAAGGGAAACTCGCATATCATCAACACTATCAGTAATCACCAATAATATCTTTATTAACATTAACAAGATGATCATCAATAATCTACATATACTATTCAGGTATCCATAAACAAAAAAAAAAAAAAGGTGAAAGGAAAATTTTTATTAAACATCAAAGAAAAAAAAAATGGACACTACTACCTATTTTACCGTGGACAAACTTGAAATAGATTCCACTGATAGCAATAATCTTGATATTCGCTTGGATCCTTACACCTTTGACCTTCATACCAGTATCAACGAACAAACAATAGACATTCAAGCATTGTTTAATCAGGGGAAAGCCACAGACTGTGAATATGGCACCAAATAATAATGAAGAGTTGTTGCATCTAATCGTACCACAGTACTTATTCGACTTGAATGAGCTGAAGGAGAAACAACTAAAGCTTTTGAAGGAAGAAACAAACTCATTAATACCATTAACACTTCAAATACCCCATGGACAATTCTCTAAACCATATGATAAAGCCACCAGTCTTGAATACCTTGTTAATAGAAATAATTTTTTACGACCTGCTAAAGGATGATATGTCTACATTTGTCATGCGTTCCTTCATGAGGAAAGTCAAGAAAGCTGACCCATGGTAATAAAAAGAAAGATGGGGACCACCTTTCGGATGGATGGAGAATGTTGAAAAAAAAAAAAAGAAAAACTAAAAAAAAAAAAAAAAAAAAAAAAAAAAAAAAAATTCTAGTCTCCGTTCACATCTATATAGAATTTTAGATTTTTCTACTTTACTTTTCTTTTTGTTTTATTTTATCTCTTTTCTCATACGTGTGCTTGCGTAATCAAGTACTGGTTCTCACTATAAACCTTTTAAACAATCAAACATTCCACTTACTTTTTTTATTTTGGACCCAACAACCAAAAAATCTGTCAAGAATATATATATATATATGTATATCAGTCTCTGTACAAGAGTGGGAAATGAAGTAACTGACGAAAGACCTCTCTTCAGTGATGGAATCTCTTATCCTAGTACAAATGATGATAACACTTCAGCAAAATCGTCTGTCAGTCCCTTGGATGGAATGCAAGAATCTAATGTTTTGAATATCAACAAGCACCCGTTTTTCACTCCAATGAAACCCTTCGTATGCTCTACTGAAGATATGATACAACTCCTTCAATTAACCACGCCTTCTTACCTATACCAACTGTCAATAATAAAAGATAAGCAACAAGCCCTCGTCAAAGAAGAAAAGGAAAACATGCTGCCTCTTGTCATCAATATTCTTCGTAATCACAGTGAACAACCTATGGACCAATATACCCTACAACAGTACTTGAAAGAGAGAAGTTGTTTTCTACACCATCTTCTTGGAGAATTAATGCCTGCAGCGACCAAACAATCTTTCATCAAAAAAGTCAAGCGTAATGACACTTGGATCAAGAGTTAAATGGAGACCATTTCTGTTAGGGGCGTGAGTTGTCAAGAGAAAAAAACAAAAAAAAAACAAAACACAAGTACAAGTTTCAAGAATTTTTTATTTCTGGGGATGTGATGGATGCTTGGTGGGATGAATTAGAAGGTGTGGAACAAGGACATTAGTTACAGTTTAAAGTCCTTTTTCATTTTGTTTTCAAAATTCGTTTGTTTTCAAAATTCGTTTGTTTTCAAAATTCGTTTGTAAAATTCAATTTTGTTATCAAATTTTTTAGTATAAATACTCTACCTTTTCCATGTTTGCTTTCTTTAGTCAATTTATATTATATTTTTTAAATAAAAAACTTTCTTCTCATCCCATCTCAATTGTATTTGTGGATTATTACTTCTGACTGACTCACTTTGTTCCTTATAGCAAGAAAGAACAATTTTATCAAACTTCTACCTTCAAAAAAATGAATTTGATCTTCATTTTTCTTTACTTTACTTTTCTTTTTTATTTTATCTCTTTTCTTATACGTGTGCTTGCGTAATCAAGTACTGGTGCTCACTATTTAACTTATTATCTTTCAATCATCCGAATTACTTTTCTTATTTTGGCCATCTGAACCAAAAAATCATTTAACACATTATATTGGTAATATCATCTATATACTGTAGATACATCCAGTAAGTTTATATATTTTTCCCTCTTTGTCAAAGTTTTATTTTATCAAATTCAATAAAAGATTGTATAATCACCTTGGCCACTCTTAAGAAATCAACCATCTTAAGTTTTATATTTATTATTTTATTATCAATCAATCATCTAACATATACTTATATTCAAGTTATTATATTATATTATTTTATTTGATCATTACAAGACATCTATATTTGGAATCAAGTAACAAATCATCTTATATTTATTTTGTTCTTTTTTTATAAAAGAAAAGTTGATTATTGTATCTTGTCGTACCAGCGTATTTCGTACCTGTAATATAAGCGTATAATAAAAAAAATAAAAAGAATGCATTCATACATATATAATACATCTTGTAGATGGAAATGACCCCGTTGATATGTAATAAAATAAAAACTTTATTGAATAAAAAAAGTATGTAATCTAACGACTATACTAATGTATATAATAAAACCATAAAAAAAAAAAAGTCAATGGAAGAGAAAAAGAAAGAAAAAATAAAAAATAAAAAATAAAAAAAAATAAAAAGTATATGCGTATTAAAAATAATAAAAAAGGGGACTTTGAAATTTATTCTACTCTTTTTAATTTAATGAATGAAGAATGTCGATATATTTACCATATAATAATCATCATAGGGAATTAATCATATATATCGTTCAAACTGATTAGATGTACCAACAAAGAGTATACATGGTATTCAATAATCATATGATGATTAATTTTTTTTTTTTTTTTTTTGTTCAAACAGATATAAAAGAGACAAAGTTTTCAAGTGTAGATACAATAAATTGTTTTCTTTTTATTTTTAATAAAAAAACTAAGAAGAATCTCACTGACTTATTACTATTCCCATATTTTTTATTTTATTTTATCTACACACAATTTAACAAAAGTAAATAAAAGTTGTCTTGATATAAAAAGGAAACCATCGGGTAAAAATTTGAACTATGATCCCAGATCACGAGTATTTTCCTTTGTAAAGCCTAGAAGGTGGATATGAAGCCAATACTAATTGAGGACAAGTAACCGTGAACCAGAAGAACTTTGCAATATACGATAAACCAACTACCTTGTTAGTCGAACTATATTCACAAAAGTAAAAGTAAATTTTCCAAGTAAGTTGATCAGTAAAAACTAAAAAAGAATTGATTGAAAAATAAAAAAAAAAAAGGTAAGGAGAGTTGTGTTTTATAAAAAAAAAAAAGGATAATGTATATATACTACTAAACTAAATATAAATATACCGTATATAAAACTAAATGAATAATAGAACGCTGAGTAAAAAAAAAAGGAAGAGGAAGTAGAAATAAAAAAAAAAAAAAATAAAAAAAATAAAACGAATGAATGAATGAATGAAATGGGCAAAAAGAAAGAAAAGAAAAGAAAAAAAAAAGTAAATCCCCCCTCGAGGTTGAAATCTGGTAGACAGTGACGAGGTCGTACAGTCGTCCAAATTAGTAGCTATATTCAAAGTCAGACGATTAGAAATATAATGCAGTTTACGGTTTTCAGAAAACATCTACGCCTTCTTGGCTCAGTTGGCAGAGCGTCTGCCTAGTAAGCAGAAGGTCGTGAGTTCGATTCTCATAGAAGGCATTTATTTTTGATTTTTTTACCTATTGTCAGGTAACACGGTGTGTAACCATTGCTATTGTTACGTGTTGTTAGGTGATTTTTTTTTTGTTACTTGTGTTAAGTGATTTTTTGGTTTATAGGTTCAAAATTGAAAAAGTAATACGGATGATTGAAAGAGAATAAGTTGTTTAGTGAGCACCAGTACTTGATTACGCAAGCACACGTATAAGTAAAGAAATAAAATAAAAAAAAAGTAAAGTAAAGAAAAATAAAGTCTTGTTCCAAATTTGGAAAGTAGAAGAAAAGTAAAATGGCCTTGAGAGCACCCAAAATTGTTCTGACTTTAAATAGTGAACAAAGTGAGCCAATCAAAAGAGATAATCCACAAATACAATTGAGATATGATGTTAAGAAGATTTTTATTATTAAAAAATATATAAATTATTGACTGAAAAAAAAAAAAAAAAAGGAGTATTTATACTATTTTCCTGAACCTCGGTTTAAGCCTTGGTTCAGACTGATGGTCAAAAAAGTACGATGTTAAACTTTGGTAAGAAAAAATATGATGTTAAACTTGAGTAAAAAATAGTTGGATGTCACAAAGTGTGACCACGGTAAAAATATATATATATATATATATATATATATATATATTTAATTATTTTTTTTTTTAATTACTTTTTTTTTTTTTAATTACTTTTTTTTAATTTTTTTTTTTTTTTTTTTTTTTTTTTTTTTTTTTTTTTTTTTTTTTTTTTTGTTTCTTAACATCATACACCCCCGAAAAAGATGGTCCCCATCTAGTTGGCTATCCCCGGATCTGCTCTTCTGATTTTTCTGACAAATGCTGGAATACTGTAAGTAGGCATCAAGTCTTTCAATAGATGTTGAATATAGTTCCTCATTTCCTTCATATATTTTAGACGCAAGTTGTCCCACCGGTTCATCAAGATTGTCATGTAGTAGGTTGGTCACAAGTGGAAAAAGATGTTCCTTTTCTTCCTTTGCTAATTTTTGCTGTTGTTCCTTCAGTAGTGATAGTTGGTACAAATACGAAGGAATCATTATCGACAACAACTCTTTTCTATCTTCAGGATTGCACTTGAATGGCTTTGGTTGGTAAAAAGGGTTATCATACACATTCTTGTTACTGACAGTGGCGCACCCATTAATTTCACTATCTTCTGTCTTTTCTTCAGGTCCTTTGAATGTCGCTGTTTGTTCAACTTCTTCAAAAAGAGGATGCACCTCCACTGATTCTGTCCCAAGAAGGGTATGCACTTGAAACGTTTCGGGATCTAACACCGTTCGAAATTCTTCTTGCTTAGAGCCAACAGGATTATCACAAGGAAGCTGGTCCAGAAGGAAGAAATCATCAAAGCAGATAGTTTCATTGATCATTGTGAGTATGGTAATTATGTATTGATTCATTCTTTTTTTTTTTTTTTTTTTTTGTCTTTTTATAGTTTTTTTTTTTTTTTTTTTTTTTTTCTTAACAGTGCGTTAAGTGTTAGGATTTTTTTTGTTACTTGAGTGGATGATTGATTTGTAGATTGATGGATAATATCATTAATATAATAATATTAATGATGATTGATCGTAATGAGTGTTGGATTGTGTGTAGATAAAATAAAATAAAATAAAAAATATGAGACTAATAACAAGTCAGTGAGATTCTTCTTAGTTTTATTATTAAAAAGAAAAAGTTGATTATTATATCTACACTTGAAAAATTTATGTCTCTTTTATATCTGTTTGAACAAAAAAAAGATTAGTCATCATATGATTATTAAATACCATAAATACTCTTTGTTGGTATATCTGATTAGTTTGAATGATATTCATGAATAATTCCTATGATGATTATTATATGGTAAATATATCGACATTCTTCATTCATTAAATTAAAGAGTAGAATAAATTTCTATTTTCTATTTTTTATTTTTTATTTTTTATTTTTTATTTTTTATTTTTTATTTTTTATTTTTTCTTTCTTTTTCTCTTCCATTGGCTTTTTTTTTATGGTTTTATTATATACATTAGTGTAGCCGTTACTTTACATACTTTTTTTGTTGATCATCCTCTAGTTTAGTGAAAATAGTATAGGTTACATTTATTGATGATTATTATGAATAAAGAACGACGACATTTTGCAAGAAATACAATTGTATCAATCTCTCTTTTTATCTACAAGACGATTTTAATATTTTTTTTTTTTTTTTAAAAAAAAGCATGTATATTTCCCAAATATTTCAGTGTTCAATGGAATGGATCAGATCATTTGCATACAAATACAAGCACAAACACGCACATAAACTACACACGTTACCTAATGAACTAATTGTATCATTGATTTCGCCCATATATCACTTTATTCACTTTCACCTATCACATCTGTTCAAATGAAATAATTCCATAGAAACAATATCATCAAAAGGAGTTGCTGAATCAGGTATTTTATTCAAAAAAAAAAAAAAAAACTATAAAGAAGATAAAAAATCATTCAAGCCTAAATTACCACCGCCTTGTTGATCCTTGCGACTTGCCAAAAGAGATTGTAGCTGATTCTTTTTGGATTTCTTTTTTGATGGTTGAGTGCTTGGTAATGACCGTTTGTTTTGATTTGAGGTATGTGGAGTATTGATCGGTGGGGTTGGTTTGTTCATTGTATTTGGCTTGTTCTTGTCTTTGTTGTTACTGACATTGTTATTATTCTTATTGACAATGTTGTTGCTATTGTTATTTAATGGCTGTTTTCCTGGTATACTCTGTTGTCCAGTGGGAGAAACCACGCTATGTGTCGTGTTGTTCAAATGTCGTTTGAATGATCCTTTGAATTTGCGCCGGTAGTGACAGGCATGACAGGTATAGATAAGAGTATTCTTCCTATTTCTTTTTACTGCTGGTTGTGTCGGTCGACTGGAGACAAGTTCCACAGAAGTAGTGTCGCCAGCAAGATAAATCTGACCACATCGAGGACAGCTGAGACGATCCATCACCTTAGTCGCCTTGAGGCCGTATTGTCGTAAAGTATCTTGGTAATGATGCATATAAAATCTAGCTAATGTAGGACATGGAGATACCATAGCATGACTAGCTTGCATTAAGAAATCAAGACGTTGTGATTGCTGCTTTGTCGCCATGATACGGTACAGTCTTTTTGATTTAAAAGTAAAAAAAGAAAAAGAAAAAAAGAGAGAAAGAAAAAAAAATGCCTGTGACCGCCAGGATGTCTTTATAGCGGATTCAACCCCGCTGCTTGAATCTAAAGAGTTAGGTGTAAGAAAAAAAAAAAAAGATCAAAGCATCCGTCTATTTGAGAATATATATCAGCAGTCAAGAAACATAATATAAAAGAGTGATATGTTATTTTTATTCCAATAACTAAAAAGAAAATATAAGAAAAAGAGTAAGACTATAAACATCAATATATATATATATAATATAAACTATTCATCAGAATGAGTAGGTTCATCATCCAGTGGTATCAGGTCAATGATAGAATCCAATTCTTTGCCATAAAAATAAAGGATGATATTTCTTACTTTGTTCTTGGTAATATTATGAATAGGGTGTGTTGGTGCCTAATAAAAGGACCGATTAATATTTCCCAGTATAATAATCCTAATATAGATTTACCAAAAGGTTATCGAGATCGCCAACGACAATAAATTCATTTGAATATTTCCACATTAGAGACCCAAGACCACCAAAATATGGGTTTCCACCTTTGGCTTTAATAGCTTGAGCCTTTTCTTCATCTCTTTCTGCCAAGTGTTGTGAAGTAGACAATCCAGATAAGCAATAACATGTATGATAATGATCAGCGCCTCTACCATCATCATCATCATCATCAAAAAAGAAAGAAGAATCATTATATTGTTTCTAAAATTCTTTTTCCTTATCTTTTCTTTACTTACTTTCCAGGTTTATCCAGTAAACCACCGTTTTCAGATTGACAGCATAGTAAAATATATTCTTGTAAAGCTTCCCGATCAAATAAATAATCCACTATTAAAAAAAAAAAGTTTATGAATACATCTATACTTTTTTTTTTTTTTTGATGTGGTATTACATTTTTGAGTAGCATGCAGTGAAGGTTGTTGGCGTATCAATTCAGCGTTAAGTAAAGGAAAATCACCAGCACCCCAGAAAGAATAACAACCATCCACAAGTTTATTGGTTCGACCTTGAAATCCGCCTTCCAATTGCATTTGACGGTCGGTACACCATTTCTATTCACAAAATCACATATCATTAGTATAAATAAATAAATAGTAAACTAATCTTACTGCCAATTTATTCATATCCAACTTGTGCATTTCACCCAAAATTTCAATGGCTGCTAGTCCACAAAAAGTATATCCATTATGAGCCTCTTTTCCAGGGAAAGGTCCAATCCCACCTTCAAATGTTTGAGCTCTATATTTAATAATAATAATAATAAAAGAGTGTTAGTGTACTATTATTACCTGATGTATGATCTATTGTTTTTATACCTGGCAATGAAATCACCACAGTTTTCTGTCAGATCTGGGGTCAATAAATTGGTCAAGGTCGCTACTGATAGTGCACAATAAGATCCACTAAAAGAAAAAAAAAAAAGAGAGAGAGATCAATAAAAAAAACATTCAACTTTATCTTCCCATTACCGAATATCAATTTCACCACCATTATGCATTGTGAATGAGCCATCAGGTTGTTTCATTTCAAGTAAGAAACGATATAAAGCTGGTCTATAAATTTCATCCAAATGAAATGAGTAAAAAAAAAAAAAAATGAAAAAAAAAGAAAAAAAAAGAAAAAAAAAAGGATTGCGTTTAAAATCAACTTACTTATCAATCAACTCGTATGCTTGAGTTGTCCCTATAATGGCAAGTGTGTTGATAGCAGCATAAGTAGTAGCCAAATGAGGTAGTTGACCAGGACCACCACCAAACCCACCAGAAGGATGTTGACAGGTTGCTAAAGTAGAAACAGCTCTATTGATTTAAGAGGCGTTAAAGTAACAAGTTCAATGGAATTATGAGGTTGTACTTACCGAGTTTGAATGTCTTCAGACAATGGTTCTTCTAAAAGATCAAGGGAATGTAACATCCAATACATTAACCAAGGACGACTTGCATCGAGAGCCACCATCCATCTTCCCAAGTGTGTTAACCCACGTTTGAGATAGGCAATATGTTTTGCACGTTCTAATTGTACACTACAAGTGATGTTAGTCAAGTATCCATTTAATTTTGATTGATTTCTTTACCTTTCCAAGGGTTCGCGATTGACATTGTTTGGCGCATATGGTACAAAAGCTTCTAATACAAGATCTTCAGTTCGTTTCTATTATAGAACACGTTCATTCATTAAGTGTCAAACAAAAACTTATCAAGTTATATTTTTTCTCTTTTGAAGAAGTTATACCTGTTCAAAGGATGTTTCTGTTGGTAAACCATCGTCTTTAATACGTAATTGGCTTAAAGGGATAGCTTCGTTAAGTATGCCCATTGTGTGTTTTCTTTCAGAAAGAGAAAAGAAAAAAAAATCGAGAAGATACAAAAAAAATCAAAAGCGGAAATCAAATAAAAAAGAAAAAAGAAAAAGCGGACCGCATACAAAAAAAAAAAGTCGTGATCTTTTTTTTTTCTTTCTATTGTCAGTCTCGCGCGCGCTCTCTCTTTACCTTCTAACTATGGATTATAGTAAGTCAAACGATCCTTTTCTTTGTCTTGTTACTTGTATTGATTCATTATGATCTATTTTAGTACTCGAAGATTCGTCACAAGAACGTGAAAAAGTGATCAATGAAGAATACAAGTTATGGAAAAAGAATTCACCCTTTCTATATGATCTGGTCATGACAAAAGCTCTAGATTGGCCAAGTCTCACTTGTCAATGGCTTCCTGATGTAGAAGTGTAAGTAATATAAACTTTTTATTTTTATGATCTCATTGTTCCTATTGTTTCTAGGCGACCGGAAAAGAATTATCAAATTCAACGGATGATACTCGGTACACATACTAATGACGAAGAACCCAATTATTTGCAAATAGCTGAAGCACAATTACCTATTGAAGGAAAAGAATTGGATACAAGGAAATATGAAGAATTTACAAATGGTAAACAAAAAGAGTGCATGTTTTTTTGGATTGGACTTATCCATTTTTTTTCCATATGTATATACATCTATATATATAGAAATAGGAGGGTATGGTGGATACAATGATGCACATATTAAGATCACACAAAAAATTGTCCATGAAGGGGAAATCAATCGAGCAAGATACCAATACGATAATCCAAACATTATAGCAACGAAATCAAGAACAGGCGACGTATATATATTTGATAGAACAACACATGAATCATTTCCACGGGAAAATGAACCTTTTCGTCCAGATCTGATACTCAAAGGACATGATATGGAAGGGTAAGATTAAAGAAATAAAAAAAAAAAGATATAATCCAATGGTCATTTTATATCTTACTGTTTTTATATAATATATATATATAGATATGGTTTGGCTTGGAATCCACATAAGAGTTATTCCAATCATCTCCTTAGTGCTGGGTTTGATAAAAAGATTTGCCAATGGTACTTAGGGATGGAGAAAATAGGAGGGGAAAGGAGAATCATGCATTGAAAAAAGGCGGGAAACTTGTAAAAACTCAAAATCATTGATATTTTTATTTTTAGGGATATTGCTGCTGCTTCCAAAGAACATCGGGTATTAGCACCTTTAAGAATTTATTATGGACATGAATCATCAGTAGAGGTAAATAATAACAAAAAAAAAATTAAAAAAAGAGAATCAAGCTTTAAACTCACGTGGATGATTTTTGATTTCCAGGATGTAGCATGGCATATGGGTCAAGATACTTTATTCGCATCAGTGGGTGATGATAAAAAATTGATGATGTAAGTTGTGTGTTTAGAAAATGGGAGGGAAAAAAAAGGGATATCACTCATTCTTATGATGATCTATAGTTGGGATACTCGTAGCAACAAGGATACACCAGTACATCATATCCATGCACATGATGCAGAAGTCAACTGTGTAGAGTTCAATAGTGGAAATGAATGGATTTTGGCCACTGGATCAGGTGATAAGGTACCAATAGAACAAAGCTTGGAATTAAAAAAGAATTGATCTGATATTTATTGATAATAGACTGCTGTTTTATGGGATCTACGTAATATGGATCATAAACTACATACATTGAAAGGCCATCAACAAGAAATCTTTCAATTATCATGGTCACCTCATTATGAAACAATTTTAGCCACAGCCGGAAGTGATCGACGTGTCATGGTATGGGATACAGCAAGAATTGGTGATTCTGATGAATCTATGGAAGGACCTCCTGAACTTTTGGTAAAAAAAAAAAAAAAAAAAAAAAGGAAAAGAAAAACATGAAGACTTACTTTTTATCTAAACTAGTTTATGCACGGAGGTCATACAAACAAAATCTCTGATTTTAGTTGGAACCCTGCGGAACCTTGGGTAATAGCAAGTACAGCAGAAGACAATATAGTTCAAGTATGGCAATTGGCAAGCAGTATCTATGGACAAGATGATACCAAAGAAGAAGAAGAAGACAATAGAATGATAGAATGATATTTAGTTTTGATTTGTGTTGTTAGTTTTTTTTTTTTGTCCCCCAAATAAAATAAATAAAAGATCCCATGATTTGATTTACATCATAATAGACGGATAAATAGTTTTAATTTTAGATTTTATCGATGGGTTCAAAAAAACCATTATTACTTGATATAGATGTGTGAGAAGCGGGGGTCCCTACATATTTTACCAAAAGCGGTGGATTTCAGTGGCCAGTTGCCTGATAATCCAAAATAGGATGAGCCAATCAAAACCGGTTCCTGATCCCTTAATTGTTGTCGTCGTTCTCAAATAAGTTGTGTGTAAAAGTAATACATTCCAAACTAGGTAAAGCTAGCGGAGGCACAACAGATGGATGATAACGCACGGTGGAAAAAGAGTTATCTCCTTGTTTTTTGATTGGTGACAGTAAGAAAACTGGCATGATCACAATCCTTTAAAAAAAAAAAGTCAAATCGGATCTCTTTCTTTTTTTTTTTTTCTCTCTTCTTTTTCTTATTACTTTTTTAACCTTTCTACTTCTTTCTCTCTCCATTTCTTTCTTTTATTTTATTGTTTTATTTGTTCTATGATTTTATCGTCATGAGTGATCTCTCTTGGTGTACCCATTGTGACAATGCCATTAGCCAGTTTTCGGTAAAAAAAAAATAATAATAAAAAAAAAAAAGAATTATCCATCAAACTCACTCTTTCTTCTTAAAATAATAGGAATCATTGTATTGTAGTGAACAGTGCTTACGGGCTGACGCTTTGAGGAATCACCCTTTACTCGGTTATACATATCCTGAATTTGTCGATTTCCCAAGACCTAAACCAGTAGAACCAAGTATGTCACGAAGTCGAAGTAGTAGTAATATATCCACCAAAAGCTCACCTGATTCCATTCATACGATACCAACATTATCTTCTTCTCATTCCACTTGTCATTCTTCACCCACTTTATCTGCATACGATTCGACACAAACTCCTCCACTCCTTAGTCTTTCACCTACGAAAAAAACAAATCAAAAATCAATACCTTCTTTCTTATGGGTTGGTGCCACCACTGCTACCACAGCTTTATCTCTTACTCATTCTTAGTTTATCCTCCTTTTTGGTCTCCAAAACAAGGAAAATCACTCTTTGTATATAGATTTCCCCTTTATTCTTTTGTCCCTCCTTTTTTTTTATATTTCCCTCATTTTTTTTTTTTTTTTTTTTTTTTTTGGAGATAGCCTATATGATTCTTTTTTTGACTCGTGTTGATTACCTCCTCCATTCACACGCACCTTTTTTTTTTGATTCCCCGTGCCACCTAAAAAAACAATTCATCCAAGAAAAATAAAATAAAATCATATACCCTTCCCCTCTCCTTTTATATAATAAACATATAAATCATTGTCTTGAATATTTTTTTTTTATTTCTATTTATTTTTTGTAATAAAGAAAATCAACCTTTTTTTTTTAATGCCTTTTTTTTGATACATTCCTTATCTATCCATATCATAACAAATAACCGTCATCAATATGACATCATTGTTCCCCCCCTCTTCTTCTCCTCCTTTTGTCTTAAAAAAAAAAAAAGAGACACCTACCCCCATTCCAAAAAAAAATAAAAAACGATTGGACAAAAAAAAAAGCACCAATAGGGTAACCAGGTTTTTATTTCAATTGTTGTGTAACTATTCTACTACGAACCAACGAGAACCAACATAATCCCTATACCAATGTTCCACAAGTGATAATACCCTTTCATCCGTTGTTGTTTCTTCATCATGCCAAGTTTGATCAATATGAATCAATGTAGTCCATCCATTCGCTACACCATCGGCTATCATGACCAAAGGTTCTTCTTGTTCTCCATCTAATAAAACCTTGAGTGAAGATGATGTCAATGTCACTGCATTATTGGATAATGCATGATACTGTGGAATCGCCAATTTCATCGATGAGGACGATGATGATGTTGATGCTGTAGATGATGGTGAGGAGATATGTTGTATGTGCTTTGATACTATTGTTAGATCATTTGGAGCCATTACTTTCATGGTGGGTGATGATGATTCAAATGATCCAAATGATGATGGTCTGGTGGCTACAATGGCCGTTTTAGATAAAGATCGAGGTCTAAGAATATGTTCCGTTTCCATTTCTGATGTGGTTGGTTTTGATTGTTGTGTTCGTTGTCGATAATAATAAGGTGGTGCACATAATGCTAAATAGCCTGCCTTCTTTGATCGTTCAATAGAACCAGCTTCAGAAAGTAGTGAAAGTCGATCGATGACATCCTTCTCCCCTTGTTTCAAATTATCTGTGGAATGGCGAGATGATATTGCTGATAAGGATGCTGTTGATGGTGATTTTTGTTTGATGGGAAGCGATATGGAGGAAGCTCTTGATGTTGATGGTGATGTTGACATCTGAGATGAAGGTCGTGGTGATGAAAGTGGTGAAGTAGGTACTTGTCGAACGGATGTTGTATGGCCAGTGAAATGATCATAACGATGTCGCATGGTACGTCCAAGTTTTTTCGAATGTCGAGCAAGTCGTAAAAGTGATGGATCGCTTGATGATGTGTCTTTAGAGGAGTGTCGACTGCATGGATGTGCTTTCAATTCCAAGGAGCCATGACGAGATTGCAAGCTACTTTCAGTTGTGGAAAGACTGGATACAATGGAAGCTGGTTGTTCAGTTGTCCTTGTCATCATGGGATGCTTGTTTTTCTTGGTATCGTATGATCGTCGTGCGCCCTCCCCAATAGAATGTCGATGTACCACAGGAACCGTTGGAGGAACTGTCAAGAAATCTTGATGACTTGAAGTTGTTGCTTCTTGTTCTTGAATTGTATCCACACTTTGCAAACGTACTGCTGGTACTGCTGGACTTGATCTTTTGTTGCTGCTGTTTTTACTTGATATTTCCGAAGTCGCAATTGAAGATAATGTATTCTGACTAGTATTGTTGGTTGGTAGACTTGATATGGTATGAGATGGAAATGAGATGGTCGAGGTTGAGTCACAAGGAGCAACTCGTTTGGTCATTCGGCATACTTTTGTTAGAAAACAATGAATAGTCATGGCAAGCCATCGGTAGCGATATGGATCAATTGTATCTCGTGCCGTGATACGAGGAAGGGACAAAATAGGTCGATGTCTATTATTGGGTATATCATCCAAATTGTTGGCAGGTACTATAGCTTGACTGGCATGAAATAAGCGTATACCGGCTCCATTAGCAGAATTGTTTCTCTCGTCAGGAGGCTTTTCTTCTGTTGTTTCCTTTGGCGGTAGGTTGTATTCATCCACATAAGTTTTTCGTAGGTAACTTCCAAATCGTTGCATTGTATATATTACAGCAGGATCACTGAAATAGATCAAACTAACCAGTACACCTAAAAAAAAAAAAAAAAAAGAGTAGTATCAGTTTTTGTCGTCAACTTGCCAATTCTTTTTTTTTTTTTTTTTCATTATATGTATATTTTTTTTACCTTAAGTATATTTTTACCTTGTAAGTTTGTAATAACACCTCCAACAACAAGAGCATAGTAATTTACTGGAATGCCTACTAAATTGTTGAAACCAGCAACCAAGAGCCATATTTTGCAAAAAAGTGGTACTAAAGAAAAAAAAAAAAAAAAAAAGAAAAAAAACAAAAATATAGAAGAAAGATCAGCGGTAGTTGAAATAGCCAAGCATAATAATAAATCCCTTCATCTAATTTACCGAAAGAATAACTTGTAGATCGAATAATCACATTACGAAAAGTTTTGATAGGATCTACAGGACCTCTATGACTTGATTTTTTAGTAGAGAGACCAAAATGTTGATAGTTTTGAGCATATCTCACTGAGGTTTCTACAAAATTATATCGTTCCATTTTGTATCGGATGACAAGAATCAATGAACAAACAGCAGCAATAAAGATAGGCACCATCAACATTGTATAATACCAAATCTAATATCTTAAAATGAAATATAATGAATCCCACTCCTTTTTTCATTCAAATAATCCGATATATTTTATTAGACTTGCCCATTTAAACCTATGTAATTGTTTATTTCCGAAGTAGAATTGTAACCTATCAAAAAAAAAAAAAAAAAAAAGAATGAGAAGATGATCATCTCTATTTTATATCATTATGTATTTACCAACAATGATAAGTCTCTGGATAAGGAGAAAGATTACTCCAAATAGTAACGATATTCACCACCACACTATAAATAAAGATCACTATGTAGTAGTATTTCTCCAGTTTAAGTGGTTCGTGAACATGAATCACAAGGACACATACTGAATGAACACCCACCATGGCTAAAACACATGGTGAAGTTACATCCGTCAAGCCTACAAAGAATGCACAAGCTGTACATGCTCTTGTGTTAGCAGGAATATACATGGCTAGACGAAAAGCACCATGAACTAACTCAACAGCACACGCTAGGGTGATCAGTCGAAGGGTTACACGATTGATTTCCACAGCTTGAAAATAAGACATAATGCTTTGACAGATGATCACCGTAAGTGTAGATGCCATGGAAAGAGAAGTAGTGGTGGGCAAGATAATACTATATGTGTGCCAATAACTGGGATCAATCAATACTGTGCCATTAGGATCCAGACTTGACATTGAATGACGATGATAAAAAAAAAAAAGACAAGGTTTATCGGGAAGAAATTAAAGAAAAAAAAAAAGGTATACCATCCTTTCTCAAATCACATTCCAAACAAAATAAATAATAATAATAATAATAAAATACAAATCCATTTTTTATTTTTTTTTTTTTATTTTCTAATCTAATTCTAATAATCTATCATTTCTTTTGTTCAAATTGCATCATACAGTTTGCACCAGAGAGAGTAGGAGGTTTTGCCAGTTTGTACGCATTCAATTGTTGTTGAACTTGAGCAATGACTTGTTGTTGTGTTTCCTTATCAACTCTTTTCTGACCTTTTTTATAGACAATCTCGATCTTGACCTTGTTCCCCTTATCTAAGAATTGAATAGCCTTGCCTAGTTTGTGACCCATATCATGTAAACTAACGTTCCATCCAAATACAATTTCCTTGGTGATTTGTTCCGAGCTGACAGTTTTCTTCTTCTTATTGGCTTTTTGCTTATCAAATAAATGTTTCTTTTCAAACAAACGACACACAGGTGGTTTGGCAGTAGGATCCACTTCCACCAAGAAATAAAGTTGGCGATCAAATGACTGTAATGTACTTTCCAATCGTTGTCGTTGATGTACTTGACCTTCCTGATCTACAAATGTTATCCATCGACTAGTAATTTCTTCGTCTCGTCGTGAACGTCCTGTTCCTACTGCCGCTGGTTTTCCTTTTGTTGATGTTGTTGCTGATGGGATGGTTGGTTTGGATGATTTAACATCGGTTGTAACTTGAAATAAGTCCTTTACAGCGGCTAAACGACTTCCATTGGATATTGATGATTTATTCTTGTTGTTCATATGAAGTTTGCTTGGTGGTGGTCGAAAGACAGATGCTGTACTATAAGAACTAATAAAAGTTGGTTTACATCTTATAATATTCAATCTAGAACATAAACAAATGGATTGAGATAGTGAACGTTGCATGGTATAATAAAACAACAATCAACAACAAGAAAAAAAAAAGAGTGAAGAAGAAAGAAAGGAAAAAAAAAAGAGTCAACCTAGAAAATAAATATGCAAGGCTCTTTTTTTTTTTTTTTTTTTTTTTTTTTGGAAGAGCGGTCACTGGGCAATTCATCCACTCAAAAAAAAGGTTACACTAACAAATCAAAGATATGAATCAAAATATAATGTCTATTTTATTCAAATAAGCAATTACAAAAAAAAATAAAGGGAGAATAAATATAGGGAATATAAAAAAAAAAGAAAACACAGAATACAAAATAACTAATTATCCATGATGAGAAACAACGGATGATTCTTTTTCTTGATCTTGATTATAATTGACAGAACGCCAGAACTTGTCCAACTGAGCTTGATCAATAGGATAAGTGTTGACAGGAGCAGGAAATTGTTTTGTCTTGACATCCAGATGATATTGTTGAAGAGCTTGAGTCATGATTTGATTAAGATTACAATATTGTTTGGTGAATTTGGGTACAAAGCGATCAAACAAACCTAAAGCATCGTTCATGACAAGAACTTGACCAGAACATTGAACGCCAGCACCAATACCGATGGTAGGAACAGATAATTGTTGAGTGATATAATGAGCAATTTGAGCAGGCATGGCTTCCAGTACTACCGCGAATGCACCTGCCTCTTGTACGGCTAAAGCATCTTCCACCAGTCCCATGGCTTGTTTTGCTGTCTTTCCTTGTACACGGAACCCACCCAGAGCTGATTGACGTTGAGGTGTCAAACCAATATGTGCCATCACAGGAACACCTACTGTGGTAATACGTCGAATGGTTTCTGCCATTTCCTTGCCCCCTTCCAATTTCACTGCTTCCATGTTGCCTTCTTTTAAGAATCGTAGTGACGCTCGCACAGCTTCTTCAGGACTGACTTCATAACTTCCATAAGGTAAATCTGCCACAAGAAAAGGTGCCTTACTTCCTCTTGCCACTGCTCGACAGTGGTGTAGCATTTCCTATCAAAAAAAAGGAATAAGTATCATGTTTATTACTTTTCTTTTTATTTATTTATTGATTACTTCTACTGTCAAAGGATTGGTAGAATCATAACCCAAAGCTACCATAGCAAGAGAATCCCCTACAAGACAAATATCAATTCCAGATCGATCTACCATTAAACCAGAAGGATAATCTTGAGCTGTCATCATGGAAATAGGTTCTCCATGTTTATACATCCGATTGAGACTCTTGATGGTCACTTTGCTTCGTCCTAGTCATTATATAAAAGAATAAAGTCAATAAATAATAATAATAGGACCCCTCTTTGAATTGATTTGTTTAGGTGACACTAAAAAAACTTACGTTGTACGGAGGCATGGGCAGCATCTGTCTCCAAAGGCGGAGGACTTGAGTAATAACGTGGAGCAGTCATGTGAGGGACCGCAGTTGAAGCAGTAATTTTACAAAAACTTTTTGACGGGTAAGAATGGGATAAGATTGGTAACCAATATGGTTGTTGTAAAGCCTTTTTCATAAAAGGAGATCGGATGATAGAAGACATGACAGATTTTTTTATATGAAAAAAAAAAAAAAAAAAAGAAAGAAAAGAACCAAAAAAAAAAAAAAAAAAGAAAGAGATTTTGACTTTATTAAAAAAAAAAGGGAGAAACCAACCAAAAAAAAAAAAAAAATAATTTGTATTTTTTCTTTGTCAGCCAATGAAGACAAATGAGGGAATAGCCAGAATCAAACACCGTCCAACATTTCAAATCATGACCTTGTTCCATTGTAAATTTTGAATATTAAAAATCTAAATATCATCTTGACCAAACATACCACCTAATGAAACCTTTTCTCCTTCATTAAAAGCAGGCATACCAAGATAAGGACAAGTAGAACATCGGAATGCATCACCTAAAGCACAACTACCACAACCACCTACTTTCTTTGGAGTAGGATCTACTTCGATCACTTCATCATCCATGATATCATCTGTCAAATCCAATGAGACCACACCAGCATTTTCAGCTTCTGCACGACCACATACACAATTCTTACAAGCTTTTCTTCGTCCAGCACCATCCATTTCACAATCATCAGGTCGTATTAAAGATGCCTTGGAAGGTTTAATCTTGTCTTCTTCATCTAATAATGCTTCATCATCTTCCATATCATCATCATCATCATCATTGGTATTGATTGTCCATACAGATGGTTTCTTGTTCTTGTTACCAAAATTTAATTTGATTTTTTGTCCTACTTCATAATTGGGTTTTTGTGCTAATATATGAACCACACCAAACTTGCCAGATAATCGATTCACACCTTGTTCCACTCGAGACGCATTACCACCCCATAGTTGGAAAAACTTGACAAGTTGATCATCTGATACAGGTGCACATGTTGATTGAATATTAATGAAACCAGCTAGTTTTAACATGGACACAAGATCTTGTTCTTTACGACTAATAGGTGATACAGTATTGCTGAGATCTTGTAATAAAACAGGTTCGTCTAATGCCAAGTGACCACCAGCTGCTAAGATTCGTAAATAACAAGAGATCATGTCAGGTGAATGTACTGATACTGATGGTGAGAAAGTATTTGAATAGATCTTGTTATAACTTGAATTCTTAAGAGGAGCTATATATATATATATAGAAAAAGGTGAGAAACTATTCTTTCTTTTTTTTTCTTTAAAATAATATAAGAAAGATATATATATTACCATCGACTACTCTTTCAAGTGCTTCAAAGGCAACCGAACCAGTCGAGCCAATATTTTGTTGTGTTGATGTTTTCACCTTGATAAAGTCATCTTGATTAATAGATAAAGGTGCTGTAAAAAGAATTTGTTCCCCAGGTTGATGTTCAGTAACAGAAGATACCATTATTTGTTATATATTATAGAAAGGGAGAAAGAGAAAAAGAAAGAAAAGAAAGAAATAGAAAAAAAAAATTGTATATAGTCATTGCTGACCAATCAGACTGTGTTCCATCTGTGTGCTTATCTTTTTTGATTTTTCAATATCCGAACTGATCTTTCGAGAAGATCATCTATGACTTAATAGTCATAAGAACATTTATCACATTACTTCTTGAATAATAAAATTATATATAAATATAACTTCTTTTTTTTTTCTGTTTAATAAAAAAAAAGATGAATATAGTAGTTTGTTGGATGCAAAGTTCAAGATGGTCATGCACAAACGAAAATAGGTTATGATTGGTCAATATTCTATCTCCGTAAACTCTTTATTCTCATCGGTTTTTTTTTTCTCTCTCTCTCTCTCTCACTCTTTTGTTTCTATTATTGTTTTTTTTTCCTTGTTTTTTTCCTTGTAATATATATATATATATATATAATTACTTTTAATATGAGGATGAAGTACCATTCTCTCTTACTAAGTTTTATTTATTGGACTTTGTCAATATCTGCTACTGAACAACATCAATATAATGAACTCGATTTATCTTTACCATTTACACCTGTTATATCTTCTCCTTATCTTATGACAACAACTCCAAACAAAGGAAAAGATGGAGATGGTAAATGTCCTGAATGTCCTGCTTGTTTTAACTGTATGTTACCTGGTTTTGAATGTCTTCATTTTGCCAACTGTAGCGAATACAATGGAAAGTGCAATTGTCCTCCTGGTTTTGGTGGTGACGATTGTAAACAACCTCGTAAGTCAAACAAAGAAAACGTGCTTTTTTTTTTATGCAACTCATCTATTGTTCTTTTCAAATATATATATATAGTATGTGGTGGTTTAGGTGATGGTAGAAATAGATATCCAAGACAAAATGGTACTACGTGTGATTGTCCTGAAGGTTGGGAAGGTATTAACTGTAATGGTAAGTGACATAAGAAAAAAAAAAAGATGAAACTTTTAGGGGAATCTATTGAAACATGGTTCTTTTTTTTTAAAAAAAAAACAACAATAATAATAGTATGTACTCAAGATTCTGTATGTGATCCTTTGGTTCCTACTGGTCAAAATGGTACTTGTTATCGAGGTGGTTTGGCCGTATTTGAAAATCATCAAATGTGCAATGTGACAAGTAAGTCGAAAAGAAAAAAAATGGATGAATAGGTGACATAAGCTCATCTTTTTTTTTTTCTTATTGATTTCATAGATCGAAAAATTATTGAACAGCTAAAGGACCAAATTCCTCAAGTGACCTTTTCTTGTGATCGACGTCAAGAAACTTGCGATTTTCAATGTAAATGATAAATAAGATTTTTATTAACCGATGATTTACCATTTCTCTTTCTTTTTCTTTTTTTTCTCTTTTTGTTAGTCTGGGTGGATGAAGTGGAATCCTTTTATTGTCATTTGGATACTTGTCAATTTGATCAAGGTAAAAATAAAACATTCAAGAAAAAAAAAAAGAAATAGACTTACTTTTTTTTTTTTTTAAATGATCAGTTTATGATTATGATCGAAATTCAACAAAATACAAATGTGAAAATATCAATTGTCGTTGTATCAAGGATGAGTTTTTATGTGGAAAGGATGGTTCTGTTGGTATGTAAAAAAAAAATAATAATAAACGAATGGATTGTATGGTATTGATATGATGATTTATAATTTATTAGATCTTACTGATATGCTAAAGGATGAAATTCAAGGACCAGCAACCTTCAACTGTGTTGGCCCTCAATGCTTATTCTCTGAACCAGCTATGGATGATTTGATTTCTGCTATTTTTGGTGATGATTCCATCTTTTTGAATTGTAATTCTGGTGAATGTTTACATTATACAATGGTGCCTGGTTTTGATGTAAAAGAATACACATTGAGATTGTTTATGAAAAATCCACTGATGATCTTTTCTTTTTTTTTTTTTTTTTATGTTTAAATATAGCGACCTGAACGGCCTATCAATTGGATTATGATTGTGAGTGGGATTGCTGGTGTAGCTGTATTTTTGATCATTATCTCTATGGTTGTTACTTATTTTGCCAAGAAATCATCAAGCAATGCTGGTCAATATATTCAGTTGGCAGATGATGAAGCAGGAAAACTTATGGCTGAGCATACTCCGACAAGTTTGATTTTTGATGGTATCTCTTATAATGTGGATGGACTTGATATTCTTGAAAATACGACTGGTATGGTTCGTCCTGGTGAAGTCATGGCTATTATGGGACCTTCTGGTGCTGGAAAAACAACGTTACTTGATATTTTGGCTAATCGAACCAAATCAGGCACGGTATCTGGTCAAGTACTTGTAAATGGTCATCAACTTTCTCCTCGTCAATACAAAAGTTTGATTGGTTATGTGGATCAAGAAGATACCATGATTTCAACATTGACTGTATACGAAACTATTTTATATTCGGCTTTGTTACGACTTCCACGTTCTATGAGTACGGCTGCCAAGAAATTCCGAGTGATGGAGGTGATGCAAGAATTAGGTATTGATACAATCAAGGATTCTCGAATTGGTCATGCTGGACATCGTTCTATCAGTGGAGGTGAACGTAGAAGAGTGGCTATTGCTTGTGAACTGGTGACATCTCCGTCTATTCTCTTTTTGGATGAACCCACTAGTGGACTGGATGCCTACAATGCTTATAATGTGGTAGAATCTCTAGTGACTTTGGCCAGAGAATATAACCGTACTGTTGTATTTACCATTCATCAACCTCGCTCCAATATTGTGACCTTATTTGATCAACTTGTTTTACTTGCCAAAGGACGTGTGATTTATTCCGGACCTCAAGTTCGTGCTCAATCTTATTTCAGAACTATCGGTTACCCTTGTCCTCCTGGATTCAATATTGCTGATTTCTTGGTGGATTTGACCATGCAACCTGTGGAACCTCGACAACAGACCATTCAAGATGAAGATATTTTAGATACCCCTCGTCAGCAACAATCTCAACTCTTTAATGCCAATACTACTCTCTATCATGATGATTTGGAAAACACAAGTGAACAGTGGGCGGCAGAATTAGGAGCTAGGCAACAAAGATCATCACCAAATGCATCAAGACGCAACAATAATAACAAGAATATGGATGTAGTGGTGATGGATGGTGGCGATTCCTCATTGTATCAAGTAGATAAAAATGGTGTATCAGTACACATTCGACGACTTGTGGATGCTTATCAACATAGTGCAGTGGCGGCTACAGTGCGTGATCATATTGAACGATTTGTTGCGGCAGCTTCAGGTACTCCAGAAGAAGCAGAACAAAGTGGATTAGAGTCTGCTCCTGTTCCTATTTCAACTCATGAACGACCTGGTTGGCTTACTCAATTCCGTATCCTTGCTGATCGTACTTTCAAGAATCTCTATCGAAACCCTATGTTGATGTTTACACATTATGCCATTGCTGTCGTACTTGCTTGTAAGTGAGCTCTATATAGTAATGATTTATTTGACTCACTTTTTTTTTTTTTTACCTTTAGTGATTTGTGGAGGTTTATTCTATCAGGTATCCAATACCATTGCAGGTTTCCAAAACCGAATGGGTATGTTTTTCTTTTTTGAAGCATTACTTGGGTTTATGTGTTTGACATCACTACAAGTGTTTTCAAGCGAACGTATCTTATTTGTTCGTGAACGTGCCAATGGTTATTATTCACCAGCAACCTACTTTTTATCCAAGGTATTATTTGATATCATTCCTCTTCGGGTAGTACCTCCGTTGATGATGGGTCTGATATCGTACTACATGGTGGGTTTAGTCGAAGGTGTTCCTGAATTCTTGAAGTTTTTATTGGTCTTGGTCTTGTTCAACCTGACTGCTGCTGCTTGTTGTCTTGCTATTGGAGTTGTCTTCAAAAATCTATCCATGGCTAACTTACTTAGTTGTATGGTCATGTTGTTCTCCATGTTATTTGCCGGTTTATTACTCAACAAAGGTAAATTATACAAAAAAAAAAAAATTATTTATTTGTTTTCTTTTTATTCACTTTTTCTATTTTAGAATCCATGTCTCCTTATTTTGGTTGGCTCAAATATCTATCCTTTTTCAATTATGCATTGGAAGCTCTCTTGGTGAATGAAATGCTTTATCTTCAATTGGTAGAAGAACGTTATGGATTGAACATCGATGTAAAGTTATATATATACATAAAATTTGAAAGATACTGACTTTTTTTTTTTTTAGGTTCCTGGTGCTACCATTTTGTCTACATTTGGATTCAATGCAAAGAATTATTGGCCTGATGTGATTCGATTGGCATCCATGTTCTTATTCTTTATTGCCTTTGCCTTTATTTGGCTTGTTCTTTTTGTCAAGGAAAGACGATAGACTTTTATATTTTGTAGTTTATAATTATTATTTTTTTATTTATGAGGGGGTAGTTTTATACTATAGTATATACTTTTTTTTTTGTTTTGTCTTCTGTGGGATGTGGATGTTTTTTTTTTAGTTTGGATGAAATGTATTTTTTTTTCTTTTTTTTTTTTACAAAATAAATTTGAAGTAAGTTTATGTCTATAAATAATACGTATACGCTTGTGTTTGTTCATTTTCCTTACAAAAGATCACATGGAAGAGATATTATCATGCAACCTACCCCGTTGATCGGATAATGAAAAGTTTAATGAATGTTGAACAATTGAAGAAGATGGATTGATAAGATATAGGACATGAGAAGTTTTTTTTTATTATTATTTTTATTTTATTTGCATGTGCATACATTTCAATTGATGGAATAAAAATAAATTCTATTTTTTTTTTTTAAACTAAGAATAATATCATGATGACTATTCTATGATGCGTAAATCTTGTATCCGGTCCTTCGCGTAAACATCCTTGTATTTATCATAAATAGCTTGTAATTCATCAATGTAAGCAGTTTGAACAGTCAATAATTGTTCTTGAGTAGGTTCAACACCAGGTTCAAGTGTGGGTACAGGAATAGGTTTGCCAACTAATAATAAATCATTCAATATCAGAACTTGCCCTTTCTCTATCATGATTTTTTTTTTAACTTACCAACAGTAACAATAGGATGTCTAAAGGGAATAATGCCAACGTCATCTAGAGATTCCAATAATAATAATAATAATTAATAAAAGGATATACTTTTTTTTTCTTCTTTTTACTTACAGTTGAAGATACCGCGGGCATGGAAGAGAGGCATAGTGAAACCTAATACATGTTGCATTCGTTTTTGAATCTTCCATACAGTTGATCCTTTACAATTATCCATTTGTTCATAAATATCATTTTCACCAAAGGAGAAGGTAGGTACCAAAGAAGCTTGATGAAGAATGGCCAAACGAATAAAACCCAATCGCTTTTTCAATGTCAAATCGGCAATGCCAGGACGTGCACTTAAAGATTCAGCAGCACCACCTACAACAATGACAATAGATCGACCTGGACCAGATGCCAGTATATTTTCACAAGAGTTACGAGACACAGCAGCTATACCAAGAGACATGATGATATCACGATAAAAGGGTAACTTGAAATTGGAAACCAAAGTCAATAAAGAAGGCTTGATGCCTGGGAATAATTCACTGAATCCTGTTGCTTCCGTTGCAAAGTTACCAAATGCACCCATGGAGATTATACCATGTGGATGATATCCAAACACATAATTCTTTGAAGGATCCAAATCAGCTTCCTAAATAATGGGAATGTTAAAATGAAGTATCTTTTTCCTTTTTTTTTATTATTTACCTTGACTAATGAAATGGGATAATAATCAACAAAGTATTTCCAGATACGTAAATGTCTTGTCCATTCCAATCTTCTTCCACCATTTTCAGGTGCCTTGTCCAAATAGATAAAAGTAACATAGGCGATGACCAAAGGCCACAAAAAAGGAACAAGGAGAGCGTAAGTAAAGACTGATAAACAAATCAAAAGAAGACTAATATAAAAGAGAATGGCGGCCATCTGTAATCGTCGAGTTAAAGGGATTTTGAGTGGAGCCCAACGTACATGATGTTCTTTTTTGGTGGTTGTATCTTCTTCAGTGCTCACTTTTCCTTTTTCACTTGGAGGAGGTGTGCTTTCCACAACAGTATCTTTATGTAGAAGTTCTTCTTTTTGTTGTTCTGATGGTGGTTGATCTTTTTCGTTTGGAGGAGTGGCTGACATGAGAAGAGTTTTCTGCTATTTTTTTTTAAAAAAAAAAGGTGTAAGAAGAAAAAGAAAAATGAAAAAAAAAAATCTCGGCGAAAAGCATTCCAAATGTAATTTTTTTTCCTTTACTTCTTCACGTGGGACATATTTTTGAAATTCCGTTCACAATCATAAAGCAATCTGATTATCTTTTTCCCTCTTTCTTTTTTCCCTTCTTGCTTTGTCATGACCAGCAAGTTGATTATTCTCTCACTATTTTGATATATTTTTTTTCTTTGGTTTTACGTTGTAAGCAAATATGTCGTACAATATCTATATTATATGACATTATTGTCAACACTGTCATATTTGGTCGCCTTGTTTCGTATCTATCAACATATCTCACCTTGTAGTCAGTATCAAATCATTGTCCTCATCAGCGTCCTCTTAATACACCGCTCTCTATGTACTCTGATTTTTTTTTTACATCTATTTATGATATAGTGTACTTATTTTGACCAGTGTATTCAGTAAGTAGAAAGTCAAAAAAAAAAAAAAACTAGCTCAGTAGCGGGTGAATTGCAAATTATTAATATTGATTCATCCCCTCCTTTTTTTTTAAGATTATTGATTTGCTTTGGTGACTTTTGTATCTCTTAGATATCCTTAGTTTTTTTTTTCGTGTCTTGAATATTCTTATGTTTGAAGAAAGGAGAGTGATCATGATATATACGAAACTTTGAATATATCGGCATATGTACTTTGTCAGGTAAAAGCTTTATATTAAATCTAAATCTCTCTTTTTTTTTATGGTGAACCAGAAACTTACTAATAGTATCCTTTTTTTTTTTTTGTCTATTGGTAACTTTTTATAGTTTCCCAACAATGCATCGGAGACTGAACATTGACTAGTGGTAATGTCTGTTCCTTGTACGTCTACACACAGTATGAAATCAAGGAACATGAATGTGAAGAAAGGAATCAAGATCAACTAAATTAGCAACTCGACATTTATTACTTAATCAACAAGATATTGATCCAAGAATATCTTTTATCGTCCGTTGAAGAATTATTGATATAGCAGGATTCGTTGTCAACATGGACGTATTGATTGGTTCCCGATCATCCATATTCTGCTCAATTATAGGATATTATGGTATGGGACTGGGTAAGTATCTAAAAAAAATAGTGATGATGCTCATATGATATTTATACTATTTTTAAAGATTCTTTTGATGATAGACAATTGATTTGAACTGGGGTAATTAAGGTAATAATAGATTTAAAACTTGTTGATGCGGAAAATGAATCCATGTGGTTGATTGGTTGTTCCGATTTTCCTTTTTATATAGGGTTTGAAACAAAAAGGTCGATACCAATGTTAGTGGTGTGATTAGTTTGAATGATATTCTGGGCTATTCAAAACGATCAAGCAAGAATAAGACTCTTGGTTTTAGGTACAAGATGATGATTGCAAAATGAAATCAATCTCTTTTACACAACATATATATATATATTTACATTTATTTGTATTGATGGAATGGTAAATGTCTTTGTTGAACTGAGTTTTTATGGATATGGTCTAACAAGGTAAATCCCGAGAAAAAGAGAAAAAAAAAAGGGCTTGGGAGATTGCTAATCATCATTCATTTTTGTTTTATTGTAGACTCCATGGATAGTATTCGTGTTACCTACAATTTTTTTTGACTCTCCGTTTGATGTTTAAACTTTATATATGGACACTTCTTTATATAGAATTTTATCCAATGTTTACTTTTGGTTATCTCGATTTTTTTCTTTTTTTTTTTCTTTTATGATTTTATTGACAAATTGAAATAGTTTTTTTAGTATCATAGATTTATTTATTCGTTAAATAAAATTGATGATAAAAAGTTGATTATTGTCTTACCATTAAAAAAGAATTTATAGTAATATTACACGAGAAAGAGGAGGATGACAGGACAGGATGATATTTTTTTTTTTTTTTTTACCAGGAGAATTTTAGAAACGGATGTTTAAAAATAGGCACTTTTCCCCCTCTTTTGTCCAATGTTGAGCTCAATATTACTTCCATAAAAGTGCAATTTGTTTTTTTTTTACAGCAAAAAAAAAAAAAAAAAAAAAAAGAGCGCGAGTAGGAGGTCCAAATAAAATAAAGTTTCTAGTCTTCTTTCTTTCTTTTATTCTTTTCTTTTCTCTGTCTCTTATTTTTCTTTTTTATTAGTTTTTTTTTAATCATGAAGGTACTTACCCTTACTGCCATTGCCGCTTTCTTTGTGGCCTCTACTATTGCCCAAGAAGGTGCTACTGCAGGTGGTACTCAAACTACTTCCTCTTATTCTTGTGACCCTAATACTTGTAAACTTCCCAGTTGTTTATGTGCTTCTACTTCTCCTCCTGGTGGTCTTCAACCAAAAGACACTCCTCAATTTGTTGTGATTACCTTTGACGATTCTGTTCAAGCCAAGTTACTTCAAACTGCTCAAGATATGCTCAATGTCAAGTAAGTATCTCTCTTTTTTTCTTTTCAAAAAGACACTTCTCTTTTTCTTGTTTTAACTTTGGTCTCCTTTTCTTTTTCTTCTCCTTAGAAACCCCAACGGTTGCCCCGCAAAGGTAAATAAATAATCAAGTAGGATTTTTATTCTATGCATTTTTTTTTATTCATATTATTCTTTATTCTATATTTTTAGGGTTCATGGTAATAAATAAGATAGTGATCGACGTTTACAGATTTTCACAATCATTGCATATACTTACCCTTTTTTTTTTTCTTTTTGTTTAGGTATGTATCCATGGAATATACTGATTTCTCTTTGGTCCAACAGTAAGAAAAAAAAAAGAATATTGAATGAATCCTTTTTTTTTTTTTTTTTTTTTTACTTATACTTTTCTTTCCTTACTAGATGGTATGCTAATGGAAATGAAGTCGCCGAGTAAGTATCACCAACTTATTATCAAATTATTATCAAAAAGGAAAACATATTAAAGTTTTACATATTCTCTAGTCATACATTCTCTCATGTTGGTTCTCCATCCGCTCAGTAAGTATATAATATACATATATAATTTTTATTGGATGCATCTCATTATTTTATTTCTATAAACAGAGAAATCGCTGCTGCAAAATCTATGCTACATGAATATGGTGGTATTCCTTATGGCAAACTTAAGGGTTTCCGTGCTCCTTTCTGTAAGTTATACATATATATATCATCTCATTTATTATTTACTTAAACCTCTTTTTTTTTTTCCTTTAGTGAATTATACTGCCGATACTCTTAACACCATTCAAAAACAAGGTTTCCTTTATGATACCTCTTCTACTGCTACTGTCGATGATTGTTACTGGTAAAAATATAATAACATATCATTTTTTTTTATTCAATCACTCGCTCACATATTTTATTTTCATAGGCCTTATACTTTAGATAATGGTATGGCAAATGATTGTTGGACTGGTATTTGTGACCCTGGTAAAGTCAAGCTACCTGGTGTTTGGGAAGTCCCAATGTATGCTGTAATGGACAATGCAAACACACCTCAATTAATGGATGTTTACTTGGCCGGTTCTGTTTCTGATGTTACTACTTGGTCCAATAACAACTTCCAACGTCATTACAATGGAAATCGTCAACCTTTTGGTATTTATGTCCATCCTACTCACCTTACAAATTATCCTGGTACTCCTGATACCTCTTCTCTCAAGAATGGTGTTGTTAGTTTCATTCAATCACTTGCTGGTAAACCTGATGTCTGGTTTGTTACCAATGATCAATTACTTCAATGGGTAAAAAAAAAAAAAAATTGGATCATAATATGATTACTAAACTGCCTTTTTTTTGGAATAGATGCAAAATCCTGTACCTAACAGTCAACTTGCTAGTCAGCCTTATATGCAATGTAATCTTCCCAACACTGGAAAAGAAATCTGTAATGGTCTTGAAAATATTACAGTGACAGCCGATGGTGTTGCTTCTGGTGCTCTTCTACAAAACTGCAATTTCAATACTACCAACTGGCATACTTGTTACAACTGTCCTAGTGCTGCTCCTACTTTGGATACTCCTGTTCCTGCTCCTCTTTTACAATCCACTGATCCCAACTATCGCAAGCCTGTACCTGATAATTGTGATAGCATCTGGTGGGATCCTGGTAAGAAATAATAATAATAATAATAAAAAGATAATTACAAACCATATACTGATGATTTTTTTTTCTTTTTATTTCATATATAGTTGCTGGCCAATGTTTATGTACTAACTCCACCTGTGCTTACAAGGACACTGCTATTCCTACTACCTCCAATAGCACTAATGGTACTAGTGGTAATGGTTCCTCTTCCAATGGCAAGAGTGGAAATGCTGCTAATGCAATGGTTCCTGTTTATGGTACTCTCCTTACTACTGTGATTGCTGGTTTGACTGCCCTTTTACTATAGTTACATATGATTCATTTATTCTTTCCCCTTTGTTTGAGTTTATCTTTTTTTTTCTTTATCCGTTTGATTATATACTTGTTTCTTTTTTTTTATACTGTAGAAAGTACTCTCCCTTTTCCTTTTTTTTTTTTATGTTTTCTTTCATTAGAAATCTCTTTAGTGTTACTTTTTCTTATTGATTAATCTGTTTGTTTTTACCTTTTTTTTTTTATTATTATTATCAATAAAAATATAAAATTTATATAAAAAAGATTTCTAGCTATACGTGATCTCTTTGAAGTAACATTTTATTTTAAGATGAATTCCACATTTTATATGATATGATAAACGATTGATTTGATAAACAAGTTTTTGTTTGATAGAATGATCATTTCAATGTAATTGGAGGAAAAAATAAGAAATTACTGGGTTTTCTTATGAAAAAAACAGTAGCTAGTGTTTATGCTATAACATTTATTTATATTCTTTTTTTAATAAAGCATTATTATTCCAATAATATCAATCATCATGATCCAACAGTGATGTAAGGTTTATTATATAGACATAAAAAAGAGGAACGGGTTGGAGGATATTGGTAGGAAAAAAAAAAAGGTGGATGTAAATGTATGGCGCATTGGAAGATACGATCAGTAGACATTGGGTTTAGTATCGACATACTGTTTTGAAAGTGAACGTGAAAGCGGCTCGATGGTAGGATCAAAAGGTACAGGGCCTGTCCGAGGCATGTCATAACAATATGCAGGATAATAAGTATCAAACGGAGATTTATGTCTTTCCACAGACTCCATTGGATCCTCACGATGATAATGGCGATATCGTACCAAAAAGAAAATAGCAATGATCTATTGATGTATTTTCAAAAAAAAAAAAAAAAAAAAAGATTGCGAATGAGGAAGATGATCATCAAAAAAAAAAAAAAAGGTAGCTTACTAAGCCTAGAGCACAAAGTATTGCTATGATGATTCCTATAATGGCTGCCAATGATAATGATGTATTTGGTTGGTCACCATTGGATGCAACTGATGAAGCGCTGGATGTTGTCGACAGGGTGGGGATTGTTGTACTTGACAGCATGGTTGGTGGAATTGATGCCACTGTTATTGTTATTACTGCTGGCATTGATGATGATGATGATGAGAGAGATGATGATGAGAGAGATGATGATGAGAGAGATGATGATGAGAGAGATGATGAGGAAAGAGATGATGAGGAAAGAGATGATGAGGAAAGAGATGATGAGGAAAGAGATGATGAGGAAAGAGATGATGAGAAAATAGATGAGGATGGTGTTGTCGTATGATGCGCACTAGCCGTCACTGTGTGCATAGAGATTTTGGCAGAGGATGGCGACTGCGAGGTGTCAACAGAGGACGTAGACATTATCATGCTAGAATGTGTTGGATGAACCGTTCCGGTGTCCATATTCGTCGCTGTCGGATCATCATTGTACGAACGAGACCTTTTTTGTGTTGTTGTTAGGAAAGGAGTAGTAGTTGTGGTACTCTCAATATTAGTGGTAGATCCATCCTTTCTCTTAGTGGGATGATGGTTGTCGTTAGCTAGAGAAGATCGAGTGGTGATGGTCATCCGTCCAATTTTGAGAATGCGATGATGATGATTGGTTTGTAATAAAGAATCCTGTTGCCTCAAATCATATGCATTCTTTGTTGCGGGTAAAAGAAACCGGCCTTCAGCCATCATAGACGAGCGTGATGTGAGTGATGGGTTTGCCAATGAAATTATGAAAGAAGGACAATGTGTGATGATGATGATCAAAGTAAAGAAAAACATCATTGATTATAAATATAGAGTAAAAAAAAAAAAAAAAAAAAAAAAAAAAAAAAAAAAAAGATAAAGAAAAGAATCACGTTTGTAGTAAAGCAGCATTGGCAGAGCTTTTGCATATTGACAACAAAAATCATCTAAATCATCTAGACTTTAAAAGGTATTTCTTTTATTTTGGGAAAAATTAAATGAACGGGGATGGTAAAAAACAATAGTAACAAAGATGATTGTAAAATATAACGAAATAATAATGGTAATAATAACAAAAAATAATAACGATAATAACAATGATAACAATAATAACAATGATAACAATAATAACAGTGATAACAGTAATAACAATAATAATAGTAATAACAATAATAACAGTAATATCAATAATAACAGTAATAACAATAGTAATCTGTAACTAAATAAGTAAGGGGTGGGTAATTAACCTTGATTGTCTTCTTTAAGGTTTCTGTGCTGCGTTCCTAATAATCGCAGTAAAAAAAAAAAAAAAAGTCAGTTGTTATTCTTATTATTCTTATGACAGGTACGGCTTACATGGTATCCAATTCAGTCTTGTACTTTTTCACGATATCTTGACGTTTGATTTTTTGTGCTGCAGTCAACAATCCCTAGGTAGATATGAACAACATGGTCAATATAATTCATCACTCGTATTCCATCTTTTTTATTTCAAGTTTACCGATTCCGTCGTCCATTCTTCAGAGCAGAGCGTAATATCAAACAGGAATTCAGCAGGTTTGAGTCCAGCGGATTTTCCTAGATCGAGCAAGGACTTGAGTACGGCTGTCTTGACGGTTGGATGTTCACAGAGTCGAGTCCAGTCCTTTTCATCATTCACACCATGATCAATTGCCAATTGTCGTACGGCGGCTTCTACAGGGACGACCAGCGCCACAGGCCGAGGTAACAATGAATTCGCATACACACATAAATTCAATGCATATAGAGAACTCTTGTAAATGGATTCCAACTTTTCCAATGCAATATATTCCCCATTACTAAGCTTGACCAAATTCTTTTTACGATCAATGATAGATAGTGTTCCATTTTCGTTCCATTCACCAATATCGCCGGTTTGTAACCAATCATCCGTCGTAAATGTTTCCTTGGTGATATCCTCCCGTTTCCAGTACATACTAGTCACTGCTGGTCCTCGAACCCATATTTCACCTTGAGGTTTTGGATAATTGGTTGATAAATAATTGGCATCAGGTACATCTACTAGTTTGATTTCACAGCATGGTACTGGTGCTCCCACATGACCGTATCCAAATTGTTCTACACCTACGATACAAGCCATACTGAATGATATTGGTCATTGATGTATATATAAAATAAACAAAAAAAGAAATGAAGATAAGTTGGGTGTATACACTTGTTAGTATGTGAATAAACTATAAACTTACCCACAGCCTAATCAGTCCATCAGAAAAACATAACATCGAAGAGAATACATAGTTAAGATCGGAAGGAAATAAAAAGTTAGTCAGTTCATTCATTCTTCAATCAGTATCTTTTTTTATTTCCTTACTTTCAGTCCTATTATGTTCGTCATAAGAAAAAAAAAAAGAGAGAGAGAGAGAGGATGAGTGACAATGTGTTATGAAAAAAAAAAGTATTCAATAAATACTTACATGCCAAAGCCACCAAGGATAGGACACAAGGCCACAGATAAGAACTTTTGAGTTTCCAAAGACAAGGGAGCACCACCAGAGAGAGCAAATCTCAAACGACCACCAACCTGCTCTTTTATTTTACTAAAGACAACCTTATCAATCACAGTAGTAGGTAAACGACGATCCATAAGCCATGATTTGGTTGCAAATGCTTTGTGGAAGATAGATTGAGCCTTGGGTGATGCCGAGTTGATTTTTCCTAATACACCTTTTCTAATAGATTCCCAAACAGCAGGAACACCAGTCATCAATGTGGGTCTAAATTCCTTGATGTCACCTTTACAGTTACGTACTGATGCATCTGTCAAAGTACGTACCGATGCATAACCCAAAGTCACGCCCCAAAAGATACATAGCTACAAAATAAAAGTGAGTTAATCAAGGATGAATAAATAAATAAATAAAAAAAAAGAGAGCATCCTTTTTTTTTTCTCACTTACATTTTCCACCACGAATTCAAGTACATGTGCCAAAGGTAAGTAAGCCATCATGGAATCATGATCTGTAACTAGATGACCTAATAATTTATGACAACCCGCGACTATTAAAAAAAAAAAAAAAAAAGGAGGAACATTAGAAGATGAAGTCTTTCAATTTGTATTTCTGTTTTTATTTACCTGCAGCGACTATGTTTTTATGAGATAAAACAACACCTTTTGGATTTCCTGTAGATCCACTTGTATACATGATACAACAAATATCTTCGGGTTCAGGTTTTCTTGGCTCACGATGATTGGCTTTTCCAAATTGGGCGACTTGATTCATGGTATATACATGTGGAATGACGTTTTTGAGTTTCTCCAGATGATCAGATTTAGCATCACCAGCATAGACTACAAATTTGAGAGTTGAACATTTCCCAGCAACCTTGGTCACCATTGGTAATAATTCTCCAGTTGTGAAAATGGCTTCCACTTCAGTTTCATTCATTGAATGTAATAATCCTTCTTCACCCAGAGTATCATAAGCCGTGACAATCGTCATGTTCTGTGTGAATAGTCCATGTGCTGTCAAAAGCCATCCCATACTATATATATATATAGAAAAAAAATAGTCAGAAGGTATTTTTTTTTGGTTATTGGACAGAGAATACTACTTACTTTGTTGGTGCGAATAATTCAACTTTTGATTTTTCCGATAGACCAAGATGAGCGAAACCAGCGCCAAGGTAATGAGCTTCTTTGGAAGCTTGAAAATAGGTGAGATATTTGTAAGGGGAAAGTTGAAAGTAATTCCAAGTCTTTGTTTCTTGTTTTTCTTCGCCATTGATATATTTAGTCACCTGTTTTTCTTCTTGCACCACTTTTTCAATGGAACGATAACCAAAAGCGTTACGATGAGGATACTTCTTCTTGGCAAATGTCAGGACATCATATAAAGTGTGGACCGTGGTATCTGGAATGCGAACAAGTGTTTCTGGGGATAAATAAGTCCGACGGATGCGACCACCATTGCGTTGTTCAGGGCCAACTTCTACAGTAAACGTTCTCATCAATCAAAGAATAAATAAATATAATTGATTACTTTGTATAATAAGGTGTTGGTCAATGGTATGGAATAAAAAAAAAAAAGGAAAAAGAGAGAAAATTAAAAAAAAATTAAGCTTTCACCAGAAAAAAAAAAAAAAGCGGACACTGAAACGTCCTGAGAGAGGAAGAGGGGTAAGTGAAGATCACATGTCTTAGCTAACATATAATATTAAGTCTTTTATATACATTGATATAGGTTCATCCTATCTCATCAAATTATTATCATGGGAATGACAATGGAATGAAAAAAAAAAGAAAAACACGAGTGGGAAAGGTACGATCTAAGTCTAAATAACTCGTGGGTTGCACATATAAGAAAAAATAATTCGTTGTCTAAAGAACAAAAATGAAGAAGAGATGGAGTCAATGTAACATCCTAAAAAGAAAAGTTCTGTGACAATAAAGAAAAAAAAAAGTGTTTCAATTCTATGAAATAATCAACTGACAAAAGAGTAAATTCAAAAAAGCGCACACACATTCACACACACACACACAAATGGGACATGTTTTTTTGACTGTTTTTATAGGACCCTGATCTCTTTTTTGAAGTTTGTTCAATTTTTGGCTGAATGACTTCATTTCTCGTTACTTTAAAACATATATTTTGATGATGATGATGATGGTTTAATATAATATGTATATATATAGTAGTTTTGATGAATATTCAAAATAGATGAATACTGAGTTTAAAGAGCCCAGTCCTTTGTTATTCGGAATGAGATGTTACAGAAAAAAAAGAAAAAAAAAACGAAGCATGTTATTTGTTTATTGTTCCACTTTTACCAAAAAAAAAAAAAAAGATAAGTTAACATCATCATCATCATCATCATCAAAAGAAAACGTGGGGATGTTTTGATAGTGATACAACTTTAAAATCCGTCGGCCAATGAGAGCGTTTGATTGGACACCAAACTACCCCCAATTCATTTTATAGTATTCGAAAAGAAAAAAAAAGGTATATGAAACGTATACTATTTACTTATATCAATATTATGCAACTTTCTGCAAAAACTAACAGAAAATCATAAACACATTTCAATGTGATAGATGATTCCAAAAAAAAAAGGGAACAAACAAATAGAATCCTCATATTTTTTTTTTTGAAGACAGCTTTAGTGAGAAAAATCTTATCATTTATTTGTTTATTTTCCCTCCTTTTTTTTTCATTGCTTTTATTGATGATGATGATGAAGATGAAGAACACTGACAGAATTCACTTTAAATTGGTTTCACTGATGGTAAATAATTTTGCAGAAATGACACAACAACCTTTTTGATCGCTGTCTTATAATAATAATAACAATCCAACCAATGACCGACTAAATTTATGCGAAATGAAAGGTAGTACATCATATAAAAAACACGTCATTACTTTATATCAAAATGGGTGAATAAACAATTTCAATGTTACACGATGTATTACTTTTAGAATTCTCTTTTATATAAAGGATATATAAAATAAAAAGAAAAAAAAAAGATAAAGAGGAGTAAAAATCAATAGAATAAAGATAAATGCCCCTTATTTTAAAAAAAACGAGTGAAGATGATGAGTGCCCCCCTTATTTAAGTTTTTTAGTTAATGATATTTTTGATCCAATGAACGTCGTGACTCATTTTTCGTTATTTGTGTCACCTGAATCATTCTTTTTTTCTTCTCGAGTTCCACCCCTCAATTTGACAACCAAGCAGAAAAATATAAAAAAAGCCCAAGTTCCCGCCCAAAATTCCATCACCTTTTTTTTCTTTCTTTTTTTCTTTTTTTTCTTTTTCTTTATTTAACGATGTTCCCTCCTTGCCATATTTTACCTGCTACTTGTGAACTTTGTGGTAACTGGTTACCTGATCATCAAGTAAGTTATCAACTAGTAGACTTTTATTTGTTTTCATACTTATTTTTTTTTTTTTTTAGGCATCTTGTCCTCGAAATGGAGTACATCCTTCACAATGGACTATGGATATATTTGACCCTTTGGTTCAAGACCAACAAGAAGACGAACTTTTCAGTGTTGTCCAACCTACTGTGTTATCTTGTGTATCGCCTTCTCCTTGACCTACTTTTTTTCTTTTTGGCTCAGCACCGACAAGTCTATCTATATCAATGATTTCTCTCTTTTTTTTTCTTTTTTTGTATCATATATATGTCTTTTTATTATTATTATTATTATACTTCCTCCCTTCTCTACCATATCCTCCTATATATACATTATACATAGTGTCTCTTATTATACCCCATTTAGTTTATTTGTTACAAAATTCCCCTACTCTTCTTTTTTTCACACACTCACATACAATCTTCGTATTCCTTTTTTTTTGATTTGTTTTTCTTTTTTTGAAAGGATGATATCATTCATCTTATTTTTTTGAAATAAATAAATAAAAAGAAAAAAACGCGAGAATCAAAGTGTTGATCACACTTCTTGCTGATTAAACAAAAAAGAAAAAAACACCATCTTGATTCTGCACTCCCCCTTGTTATCATCTTCATTTTTTTTTCATCATCTTTATCATGGATGATAGAAGCAACTTCTGTCTTCCAAAAGTAGAATTGAACGGTAACCAATGCTCGTGTCACGGTTCATCCCAAAATAAGAAATGTGTCATTCCAGTCTATCATCCCAAATAAAAATGTGAGTCAACAGAACATGGTTTGAGGGGCCGCACCTCCACTCCTCCTCCTCCTCCTTCTTTTTAGACTTCTTCTTTTTCTTTGTGTACTTTCACTTTTGAGCAAAACCTTTTTTTTTTTTTTAAGTATCCGACTTACGTCATATCTTCTCCTTTTCGGAATCTTGATGATCCTTTTTAACAGAGATACAAACAATACATACATAGAGGATTAACAAAAACTTTATTACAAAAAAAAATTATATTCTACTATCAACGCTACTTTTATTTCTTGATGAATCATTGAATCTATCACTTTCATCGCTATGACTACTATGAATACTACTATGATGACTATAACTATATCGACTATTTGTTCTGTTGATCTTGCCAGTTGCTGAAGAAGAAGACGAAGAAGAAGGAGGATGCATACCAAACCCTACAAGATCGTCACCTAAGCATCCCTTTTCACGTTCGATACCAATCGTTGACCAATCTACACCATAATTATGACCAGGATAAACCACAATCCGATCATCCAATCTTCCTAATGTATTGCGTAACGTATCTTCTAATTTCCGTCGATCACCACCTTGTAAATCCGTACGTCCACATAATCCACCGCATAATAAAGTATCGCCAGCAATTAAACGAGCATCATTGACTAATAATGATTGTGATCCGGGGGTATGACCAGGGGTATGAAGGAATTGAATATGCGTACGTCGTCCAATAGTAAGTGAGGAGGTGATTTCTGCTGTGCATGTAGGTACTAATCGATTGGCCGGGATTGAACTGTTGCTTTGTCGTACCGTTGGAATATCATGGGGATGAATATATGCTTTGATGTGAGGATACCGTTTCAATAGAGTCGCTAATCCAGAAATCTTGATAGGAAGTGTATCATAAGGTGCTGGGGGTGATCCACCTACATGATCAAAGTGTGCATGGGTCACTATACACGTCACAATTTCATATCCTTCTTTTTCTAATAGTTGACAAAGCCCATCAATATCCCAACACTAACAATAATAATAATAATAAATGAGAAATGTCTTTATCATACACATTTCTGTATTCATTTTTTTTTTTACCGCATCCACCACAGCACATTGTTTAGTATCTAAATCCACCACTGCATAGATAATATTTCGCATATGTTTTGCAAAATCAAAAATACGTCGTTGAATAGGATTCCGGAATTGACGTTCAAGAGCAATATCTTGTCCTGGTTGAATTTGAATGATTTTGATACCCATATCTTGATTATCCTTTTCTATTACAGCTTTTCCCATTTTATGACTAATATCTGGATTTCCTGGTTCCTAAGAATGATACATATCACAAAAAAAAAAAAAAAAAAAAAAAAAGAAAGAGAATGAGGGGTCAAAAGTAGAAAAAAAAAGAGTGCAGTTTAATGTAAATTACCTTTTCCAAAGCTTGTCTATAATATTGAATACCTTGATCGTATTGTCCTAGTTTCAACTTGGCTTCCCCAACACGAAAGTAACCCTATAATATATATATATATATATAAAGTTTACATTCATATTCATATAAAAGTGATTTCCTTTCTTTTTTTACCTTTGCCCAAGCTGGAGCCAGTGCAATGACTTTTTCAGCATCTGATAGACCCAAAGCATATTGATGAGATAATAAGTAACAAGCGCATCGATTGGAATAAAGTAAAGCCAAATAATTATCTTGTTCATCACCCTCCATTCCTGTAGCAGCACCTGCATAGTCGATAGCTTTGGAATACTCGGAAATGGCATCCAGATAAAGTTGACGTTCGTAATATTCGTTTCCTCGTTTGGTAGATTGATAACTTTTGTTGTTGGTTGCTATGGGTTGGAATTCAGAGACCATATCCTTCTTTTTCTATAAAGTCATGGAGCTGGGAAAATAAATGGATATTAAGAAGAAAAGAAAAAGAAAAAGAGAGAAAAAGAGAGAAGAAAAAAAAAAAAAAGGAGAAAATCTGTGTTCTAAACAAAAATCATTCCCATATATCAAAAATTCACCCGTCCTGAGTTCATACCAAATGTCGTACGATCAGCTTGTGTTCGTACAACCATTAATATGTTTATGATAATGTAAAAAAGAACAATGACCAAAACAGGCATAAATAATTGACAATGAATAAAAAAAACTAATAGAAAACATAATGAATAAAAAAAAAAAAAAGAAGATATACTATTAATGAAAGAAGTGACCTTTTCCTTCCTAACATCAATTCTTCTTTTTTTTTTTCTTGAACTTGATTCTACTATATTCATCATAAAAATAAAATAATGTATATTTATTCAGAACCAATACGTATGCAAGCTGCCGGTCAATTAAAATGGCACAATACAATCGATATTCTCCAACATGTTTATCGACTACGCAGTTTGCTCCCCTTCAGATCCCAGAAAAATGAATACCCACCTATATGATAATCATTAGACCAAAACTAATCAATATCAATCATCTCTTTCAAGGTTATGAACGATTTCCAGCCTAAACAGTTTACATATGTTGAAGGAATTGGTGAATGGAATAGTCGACTACAACGTCTCCAACTGTTGACCTCTATCGTAATCCATAATCATCGTCTATCACGCGACTATAGCAGTGTCATCACAAAAGGTGATGCTGATGTTACCTCGTTTGATGGATGAAATCATTCAGGCCTATGAAGTAGCTGAAGACTTTATTGATCGTACTGCTTTTGAAGAACGCTATGCATTTGATCTGGTCTGAATAAACCATGCAAGTTAATAACAATAACAGTAATAATGACGATGATGATAAAGACGATGGTGACGATGATGATTTCAGTCTCATCCGTTTCCATCATTTTTAATGATTATCTTTACCCCCCCCCCTTTCAAGCGTGTTATAATCTTCGTGCCTTTATATATAATATTTATCTAAAAATACATGATATCATTGTTTGCTTTCTATACCTTGTGTGCATTCTTTTTTTTTTTTTATTTTTTTTGGCCTCCTTTTTTTTTCTCTTTTCTTTTTCATTGATTGGACAAAAGGTCCATTATTAGATGATCATCCAGCTTTTTTTTTTTTTAATGTGGAACTCGGACCCCTGTTTTTTTTTTTTTTTTTTTTTTTTTTTTTTTTTTTTGAGGAAAACATAGATCATCCATAATGATGACTAACATACGAGAACGTTTCACTGTGAGAAAATATAAAAATAATCTACTTTGACAAAATTTAGCTGATGACGATGATGATGGTTGCTATGATAGATCATAATAATGATACTGATGATTGATTTCTAAACCGGGAAGTTGTCGATCGTTCACATTTCAACAACCATTATTGTCCGACTAAGAAAAAAAAAAAAAGAAAGAATGGTTCTCATTCACTCATTTCCCGCCACTCTTTCAACCCGCTGTTCGAGGAAAAACGAGATTTCTTTTTATCAAAAGAGGAATCATACGATTTTTTCAAAAGATTTAAGCTACCAGGAGAGATTATTCCCAACAGACACATACGAATGAATGGATCGTATGTTGTAATCTTTCGTAAATAAGAGAAATAAAAAAAAATAAAAGAATGAACTTAGCCTCATCTTTTTTTTTTCCTGGAAAATACGGAATAAAAATACCCTTTTACAGATTAAGTTTGTCCATTTTCGTCTTATCAATATCGGGGAATTAACACCCTAGTTACACACTGATCGCGTGAAAGTTCTGTCCAACAATTTGGTTTAATGTGACAAGTAAAAAAGTTTTTTTTTTTTTTTTATTATTCAATAAAGTGGATAATATATATACAAACAATAGAGGTATTTGATAAAAAAAAAAAAGGAGGAGAGTAAAAGAACATAAAACTACAACAGGTAAATAAACTATAGACGTAAAGTACAAAAAAAAAATATAAAGATAGAATATGTATAAAAGATCACAACTAAATATGACAAGGAATTCTAATTCTATTTCTAGATGATCATTTTCTAAGCAGAACGTCCACTTTGGAAGTCATCACGAAGACTAATCACTGCATCCTTAGTACCAAAAATTACACCTGCAAGAAGGAAGGAAAGAAAAATGTTAATCATCTTTTTTAAAGTAGTGTGTAGTTATTTTTTTTTTTTTGAGATCGAATTTGTGAGACTTACCGACGATGCCAAGGAACAATGTAAGGGCGCAGAAAGCCAATTCATACCAGGGCTTGTTTCGTACACCAGTCAACTTGAGGTAGCAACTAACAGGTAACAGGAACACAAGGCCACAGTTTGCCAAGGCACCGATCAAACCCATGAAATCGTCAAAGTAAGGCACAAAGATGGCAAGTAAGCAGAGAATCACCATGGTAGCTGTACGGATGACAGCTCTGGCAAACCAGGCACCAACTTTACCCAAACGTTCATCAGTAGCACGAGAGAATTTTTCAAATTCCAAAGAGAAAGAAGTAGTATAGATAGGAATGGCGAAGATAACGTGAATAGTCATGACAATAATAGCAATGGTTTGTCCAACACCAGCAGGTAAAGAATTGTAAATGGGAGATACAGCAAATCGACCAAAAGAATGATAGGCAGGCACAGCAGTCAAGAAATAGAGACAAGTACAGGTAGTCAAACCAGCAAAGACAGCCCACTTCCATTGATGAGGTTTCTTCAAAGCATGTTCAACGTCTATTAAAAAAATAAAAAAAAAATAAAAACGAGTCAGCTAACTACAAAAAAAAAAAAAAAGAAAAAAAAGAAAATAGTTTTGTAACTTACGAGGATAAGTGTTGTTACCACCAAAAGAGAAAGCAATAGTAGCCAAAGAAGAAGGGAAACCAGTCCAAATCACACTAGAAGTTTGAGGATCGGCCAAACGGTTCATGGGAGATTGAATCAAGACAATGAAAACAGCAATCATAGTACAAAGAGCACCAATAGCAGCAATGGCGGTGACTTCTCGAAGAGTTTTCAAAACCAAGGAAGGAATCAATAAGAAGACACCCCAAATAATAACCCAATAAGAATGGTTCAATTCACCAGCCTACATGAAAAAAAAAAAGTTAGGAAAAGAAAAGAGAAACAATAGCGGTGTTCAAAAAACCAGTCGATTTAAAATAGTTCAACTTACAGTGCCTTTCAATAATGTGACCATATTACCACCGGCCAAAACAAGATAAAGAGCAGGACAACCAAATAAATTCAAAATATGAAGACAAGAAGAAACAAGATACCCAGGCCAGCTGAAGGCAGCAACACCAATTTCCTTGAAATCATGAAGACGTTGACCAGGCTTATAATAAAGACATCGAATTAACACAATACCAGAATATACTGACATGAAATAAGCAAGAAGCAAAATCAAGATACCTAACCAACCACCTTGAGCAAAAGCATGAGGAAGACCCAATGTACCGGTACCAGCCTAATCATCATCATCAATCAAAAAAAAAAAATCAGTTCACAATGTACCTTTTTTTTTTTTGATCATCATTCAATTTACTTACCACTACACAAACAACGTTGAAGTAGGCAGTTAAAAAAGAACCTTGACCATGACCAAATTCATTAATGATACTAGAAGCACGATCTTCTTCAACGTAGTCTTCTACAGCAGTTTGTTCAACCTTATACTTTTCACCTTGATCATTTGCAAAAGATTCATGTTGTGACATTGTTGAAAATGTACGATGATTAGAGTAGATATAAAATTTAAAAAAAAAGAAAAGTGGATGACCAAAGGAAGAAAAAAAAAAGGAATAATAAAAAAAAAACGAAAAAGAAGAAGAAGAAGAAGAAGAAAAAAAAAAAACGGAATCCAATCCTTCTTTTGCCCTCTATTTATAATAAAATCAACCCAAGAAAGACAATAGTTTTTTATTGGTTATATCGGGTTTCAGGACGAAAAAAAAAAAAAAAGTTTCTTTTTTTTCCCGCTTATCGTTCGTTGGTACTTTATGAATGGAGGAAAAAGGATACTCGTTAAACGCCAAGTTCACTCCGCTTTAGATGCCCGAAGACTATCAATTACTATAAACTGGAAACGGTATTCTGTATTGAGCGGATGACTTTAGTTACCATATAAAAACTTTTTTATACATAAACATCATTAAAAAAAACGGAGTTTTTTTTTTCTTATTGTTTTTTTTTTTTTATTAGCATAACCATCATCATCTTGCATATTGATTATTGTTCCTTTAAGAAGTTGGATGATGATTAGATTTCTACCATAGTTGACAGAATCGTAAAAGAAAAAAAAAAGATTAGGTTATGAATCCGCCAGATATGGTAGGATGATTCTCACGAATAAAGAGATTCTTTTTTTTTTATTTCAAGGGAATGGATGATTTAACCACGATTGGGTTTGGTGATTTTAAATTCACGGGAAAATATAATAAAGGCGATCTCAGGTTGTACAGGCAAGTTTTTGATTCGTTCAGGATGATTTGGCATTCTTTATCACTCCGCTTTTTTCTCGTTGGGATCTTGTTCCTATTAGTTCAATAGCCAATGATCTCACGTTTGGCCAGAAACAGACTAGACCCATTCTCACGGGCTGATTCTTCTTTTGGTAACCCCACTTTATTTCTTATTTTTTTTTCTTTATGAGAATTATGAACAATGGAAAATTACGGATGATCATGAAGAACACTGATCACTCTTTTTTTTTTTTTTTTGATTCCCATGGAAATTATTCTTGATCGTACAATGGAAATCATCATCCGTTTCTATCAAAATGAACGATCATTGTTTGAAGCTCCGTGGGTTGTTATCAACTCTCGTCTTATCTTTTTTTTTTTTTTTTTTTTTTTCCCTCCTGTCAGTCCGTGGAACCAAAGGGAAACTACTATTCCTCACTCCGCCCTGGTAGCCAGATAAGGTTTTTTGTGTGGGGAGAAACATCATCAATTATGTACTACCTTCATATAAAAAAAATAAAACTATAAACTATTGACATCACCTCATAAAATATAAAGCACCTTGCCTTTCGTTTATGATGATGATGATTCCAGTGTGATTCAATTAAAAAAAAATGTTCTAACCGTATTCTGATCTATTAGGGAGTCAATAAGCGAATAGGGAGACTTGCAAAAATGAAGAAAGTGGTCGTGTTTCACCATTACTTGTTGCTTGGGATCATCATCGTCATCGGTGGTACCCTGGTAATCGATCATCATCCTTTATCAACCTTATATCGTCCTTATATCATCCACCATCCTTATGCCATTCGTCATCCTTATATCATCCATCATCCTTTATCATCCTTATATAATCCATCATCTATCATCCATCGTCCATCATCCGTCATTCATCATCCATCATCTACCATCTATTATCATAGGAACAATAGTATGACAGCAGTGGCAACAAATAAAATGCATCATGCATAAACATGTTGTTGATCATCAAACATAATTTGACTCTATTTAGTTTATTTGGCCTCGCCATATATATGCTTTTTTTTTTTTTTTTTTTTTTGTGATCATTGCATTTTTTGGTTTATTTGAAAACAGTTCCCTCATTCATAGTAACAATAACAAAAGGATGATCACTATTATTTATATATTCTTTTATTTTCTTTTAATAATAACAACTATTTCTTCCATACATGTTCCAACGCTCGATCATTCTCGGTTCCAGGACGTTGGGATTATTTTTTTGCTACGCATCATCATCATTTGTTACCGAGTGGAAACTCGTATACGCCCTGCATGTTGACCTCGCCCCATATAGAGTAATTTGGGCTTAGTTTGTGTGTGTGTTTTTTTTTACACATAAAAATTTCGTGCTACGCCTCTTTTTTTTTTTTTCTTCTTACCCTGTACATCCACCCAATTTTTCATTACTTTCTTTCTTTCTTTATCTCTCTCTCTCTCTCTATCTGACATGATAATATCAATATAGATAAATAGAATCTTATGATGATACATTCAGAGTGGCGAGTGATTCTCTTTTTTTTTTTTTTACTTATTGATGATTGATTACCAATGGGCATACTATTTAATGTTACTTTGTAATAGTTTCAATGATAAATTATGCTTTGATACATTGATAAAAAAAAAAAGGTAGCCATAGATGAAATACTAATAAGTGATTTTATGATATGATTGGAAGTTTAAACAGAAAAATGGGTCTGAAGATTTTTTTTTTTTTTTTTTTTTTTTGAGAGCGAGATGAGATGTCAGATGAATTATTTTTTTTTCTTCGATTTTCTACACATTACTGACAAGCTTGATTTACTAACAAAAGAGAAGTAGTCATAGATAATATACACATCTTTTGTTAATGGTGATGCTACGATATGATGATAGATTTAAGCTTAAAAATGGGAGGGTGATTAAATGCAGTAAATTTCAATGACAATGGTTTTCAGGTTCATCCTTAAAAAACATGTACAGCCAGTCGATTTTTGATATATACTCACCATCTTCATCTCGAATTTGCTCAATCAAGTTAAAACTAATAATGACATCAAAATAGAAAAAACATAATTGTCTTGCTCCATAAAATACAACAATAAAAATGAATAAAAAAACATAATACAAGTAATAATTCATTTATTTTATTGATTCAAGAAACTAAACTATATACATATATAACAATGAATATCAACAAGAAATAAATAAAGTTATCCAAATAGCTCCCCCACAAAAAAAAAAAAAAAAAACCAAAACCAAAAACATAAAACAGTGATAGTGATATCACTAGATTCCATCATAAAATTTTCCTAGACTACCATCCATTTCTTGTTCATCATCAGTTCCGTTAATCCATACACATCAATAAAAATATGTCCACCTAAATCAGTGTTGGGTAAGCGTTGCGAATGAAGTTGTTGAGATTGTTGATCTGGATCATCCCTACGTCGTGCATTCCTTTCCTGTTGTAATCCGATTTTTTCTTGATATGTCGATGTCTGCGTTGAATGTCGATTTTCATCGTGTCTTCGTAGTGGTTGTTGTTGAGACTGATTTGTTTTTCTTCTTTTGTTGGTCGATGATGTTGAGTCACTCTCATATGCAAGTGCCAGATTTGGAATTGGTACATGGCATTCATGTTGATAATACCATACCTCTTGAGCAGTCAAGGACATTGTTTCCAAAAGATGTTCAAAGTATCGAAATCCAAAAGTAACCACACCACTGAGAGGAATAGGACCAATGTACTTCATAGCTATAGCTTGGAATGTTTGCATCCTTCGTCGGTAAGGCCCACCAGATTGTTCCAATCGATTGATAAATGATCTTGTTTGCAGTACCTTGTCGTTTCGCACAACGAGAGGTGCACGAAAATTGGTAGAGTTAGGTCGAGTGGGGTAGTGTCGTTGTATGGTGATGAACTCGATAGGTCGCCATCGTTCGCTCCACACATCCAGGTTGTAAATATAGGACCTCATACACGATGATGATGATGATGATGATGATGATGATGATAATGATGACGATGATGATGATGATAATGATGATGATGATGATGAATGTATAGTACTTGATGTTCGACTGACACGGACATGGTTGATGATGATAGATTTGAAGACATGCTTGGGAAACTTGAGTTGGATGGAAGGATACGGCGAATCATCATGGAGTACACTTTTGTCGATAGAGAGCCAACACAATCTGGGACATTTCTTTTCGATATATGACCAAATTTCATTTTTGAAAATACATTGTGAAATAGTGAGACGTTCCAGACGATGAGATTGTTCAGTGCTAGGTGATAATCTGGTGCCTTTGTTGTAGATCAGATCAAGGAAACCATTATCCAAAGTCAGTGATATCAATGCTGGACATGATTCGAGGATGACGTGTATACTGAAGACGTTTGTTGGTATATGACGAGTTGGAGCGATAGAGATTCTAAGATCAGTAAGCAATCGGGCCAATCGGAGATCATTATAGAGTAGTGTAGGTTTGTTGATGATATGTTTGCATAAAGATATATCCAGCAGTTTGAGAGATGGCATCACAGAGAAAGAGAGAAGATGAAATAGTTCCATTGATACACCAGAAAATGAATTGTTGATAATCAGATTTCGGAGTGGTTTTGAAAGATGTCGTGTGTGATGAAAACGATGGCGGAAAAAAGTGTCAGCCCAGCAAACATTGATAAAACGTATTGATAATAGATTTCTGTAATTGTTGAGCAATAGACGCACGGTTGACCGTAATCCCTCCACGTCGACAACATCGTTGAGATCATGATCATGATTGTTGAACCAGGAAGGTTCACCAGTGATATCCAGAGTTTCAAGATTCGGGTATTTTCGAGCCATATAATGTATCCAGGGTATAAAGTCGTCCCATAAACCAGTTACAGTAAACGTGATCTTCTTCATAAGGGTGCAAGGAATATCAGGAGTTAAAATTGGTTGAATCCTTCCGAAAGGGTAATCCATCATTTCAGTATGATCGAGAGATAATTCTTGAAGGCGAGGACAAATTTGATGTAATCGTTCTATTTCGAATGGAGATGTGGTGTGAAGCAATTTCCAAAGTTTGAGAACTTCCAAGTTGGGACACTTTGAGAACAAGTCCATCAAATCTTCTACCGATAGATTCCAATCGCAATCAATATCCAGTTCAATCAATTTAGACAATATAGGGTAATTGTCAAAGTCAGGAGACAAAGAAGTAAAACGTTCATCCGATTCATACAAGGAGCTCCAAAACTGGCAGCCGATCTTCAACGTGGTAAGATTGTGACAATACCGTAAAGCATTGCTAAAAGGATGTTGGGCCGGAAAGTCCAAGTCAATGTCGATCTTCTTGATTCTCCAAAACAATTGTGGTTCCAGTGATAAACGATGAAAGATTTCAATGACCTGAGAAGTAGTATGTAGAATGATGGAAGAAAACATAAAGTCTTTGCAACAGTTGTTCAATGCATGATTGACCAAAGAGAGTTGGTAACGATCCTGGGAAGTCAGGTAGTGATTGATTTCGAGCATGAGTTCCAAAGGAAGTCGCAGGAATGGTGGTGTCATGGTGTTGAACAGTGAAGACAAAAGGAGACAATAAGTAAATACAAGTAGTATAGACTACAAGTATATAATATAACGCGTTTTAGATATATGTATGCGTAATAAGCAGAAAAAAAAAAAAAAGAAAAAAGAAAAAAAAAAGAGTAAAGAGAAAAGAAAAAAGAACGATAAAATAAAAAAATCATGATTGACAACTTTTGAACTTATGTGTCTTTGATGGATTTCAAACACAGCATTTTATATTAAGGTGATTGCTCATTGATATGCTTGATTATTATCATATAATAATTAAATGTTGAATACAATAAGGTATAATGAATCAATATGATACTATGAAGGAAAAGCAAGATCGATATTATATGTCGGTAGCATTGACATGTGAGTTCCTAAAAATGGTTCAACCAGGATAGAAGGAGTTCCTTTATTTAGAAACGATAAGTTTTTTATTCTTTGCTCCGGCCAAAAAGAAAAAATAAAATAAAAAAAAAAAAAACCAATATGGTCCAGACCCAATGATTTGATTTTATTTTATAAAAGCAAATCAAAAAAAGAAAAAATAAAGAAAAAAAAATAATGAAATAATAGATAACATGAGTATGATCATATGTCCTTACAAATAAAGTGATTTACAACTTGTTTACATAAGTTATGTTTATTGTATATATATATATATTGTATTCAAACGAAGCATGCTAAAAACACTTTGGTGGTACAGGGATAATATGGCGGGATACAAAAGGATCAGTTACTCTTTTTTTTTTTTTTTATTATCCTCTTCCTTTACTTCTTTCTCTTTCTACATACTCTCTTTTTATCATGAACGACGTCTTACCTTCAGAAGTCAAACATACTAGTCGTTTTACTGAACATTTTGATATTATCTTTCCACCAACATCATTTGAACCTTTTATTTTGACTGATTCCAAAGAACATGGTAAAATACAACAAAGGTCCATGAGTATATCAGCAGCCACAAGACCTTCTCCTTTTTCTCCACCTGTACGTATGCGATCGAGTCCTGCTATTACTACTGTACCAATAGATATTTCAACCACTTTGGACGACAATAATGATAATAAAAAGATACCTGCCTTGAATCCCTCCACTTCCCACAAACATAATATAAAACAACAACAACAACAACAACAACAAGTAGCTTTACTTTATAAGGATTATGCATCTAGTACAACCAATCGAGCGGATATTATGATTAAACGGCTTAGTAACTGGATAGTCTTTTTAAAATTGGCTTCAGGATGGTTGGATGAAATTGTGAAAATGACAGGATCAAGTACTTTCAAGAAACAAAAGAAAGAAAATCCTGAACTCTATGGTAAATCAAAATAAAAAAAATCATCGTCATCATCATTAGAACTCATTATTAACCTTTTTTTTTATATTATTATTAGATCAAATTAACAAGAAGCGAAAGGAATGTCAAGGAATCGTATCAAGTTTCAAAAAAGAATGTCGTGAAAAAATCCAAGCATTGAAAAGCAATCCTGCATTACAAATGGAAGAACTTTTATTACGTGCCAATGAAACAAAAAAACGAATGACTCATTTATCCAAGCTTTGTGAATATGCCGATGATCAAAAACATCCTCCTTCCCCTGAAATGGATCCATGGTTGGCAAATCTACGTAAGTAGTACATGGTATTATTTCTACCAACATACTTATATTTTTTTCTCTTTTTAATAGAGGTTCTTCGTTACTTGAAACGTGAAACAAATGAAGAAAATCGATTACGAGAATTAATGGTACCTATTCAACAAGATATGAAAGAGTTCGAATCAAGACTGACAAATGCTTTGGAAACTTTAATTGGATTCTGCGTCGATTTACAAACTACGGTAGTGCAATATGGGACAACACGAGATCAAGTTCTTGCACATTTTTTACCTCAACATACGTGGCAAGCATTCATGACAGCCCAACAAAAGGATTGGGTGGATGAGGATCATATCAAAAAGAATTATCTTCAAATCAATTACCCAAATAAACAACATACTCATGTGGCCACTGTACAAAAAGGATTACTTGGTAGACGTACTGGAGTTCTGAAGCAATATCATACAAAATATTATGTCTTAACTCATTGTAAGTAGAACTAAAAAAAAAAAAAAGAAAAAGACATCGATACTCATGATTTATTATATAGATGGTTATCTACATCAATTCAAATTGGACGATAAGGTGAAACCTGAAAGCTCAATTTATATATCATCAGCGACTATCCAACCAACTATCAACGATGATGATGATGACAGTTTATTGAATGGCATGACTGAGGAAATGGGCAACAATAATGACAACAATGAAAAAGGAAGTAGCGGATATATATTTGAAATTCAACAAAAACGCAAGAATTATCACTTTAGAACAACAACCGGTGCAGAGTTGGTTGCTTGGTGTCGAGCTCTTACCAGTGTTGCCAATGGATCATCGGTTGAAAAACTCTTGGAACGACGGAAACAAAAGCAAGCGCAATTATTGTGGAGAAAGCAACAAGACAACAATAGTAGTATCACCAGTGCCAGCACCAGTCTACACCATCAACGACAACAACAAAAAGAAGAACAGCAACAACAATTGCAACAGCAACAACAACAACAATTATTATCAGAACAAGGCTACCAACAAGAGCATCTGGAACAAAAAATACGACATGATGAACAGGGCGACGATGATGAAGCGGATGATGATGATGATGTATCCTATTTCCATTCAATCCATTCAAACAACAGTAGTATCAGTAGTTTAGTGAATCCAGCCCTAACAGAAAGCGATATCATCTCTATGGACATTGCAGACACTATCGTAACAAGTTCAAACGACAATCATCTTCCTGGTGTAACATCATTCGTGTCTCCAGCATCTACAGCAGTGAACGAAGAATCAGGATTGTATTTCTCATCCACATCCTCTCCCTCTTCTAGTTCTTCCACAGCTCCCACTGCAACACTCTCTTCTGGTCTACAACCCACATCGTTATCGCCACCTCCTGCTTCCAAACGCGCTATTCATACTTATCAAGCAAATTTGAATATCCCTCATCAATCTATAGTGTAATCTTTTTATTTTATTAATTATATCATTTTTATCTAATGTACATTATTATATTCCTCTCATTTTTTTTTTTTTTTTGATTCAAATAAAAATATATCTTTATTCAATCCACCTGATTTCCAATACTGTTTTTTTTTATTTTTATTTCTTTATGTCTATAGAATACAATTAAAGAAAAGAAAGGAAGAAAAAAAAAGTCCAACGAGGTAACAAGATTGATTCTTAGTCGTCATCTATGATTTTGTACCGGGATATGTTGAATATGATCTTTATTAAAGTAAAATAATGTACAGAGAAGGTAGAAGAAAAAAAAAAATATAAACTATATATATGCCAAATAACAAAACGCGGTTGTGGGGGGAGAGAATATGATGAAGATGAAGGTGGGCTATCTATAACCGATTAAGCAGAGTAGAATCTATTATTATATATAAAAGAAGAAGATTAATTTCCTGAAATCATTCCACCATCTTTTTTTCCTACTTACTTTTTGTTAATCATATATATTAAAAGATTCACATTGACCTTGATCATTCCTTCCAGTAGAGTCATTGTTTGTACACCTTCGAATTGGGTTTGCAGTAATTGTTCGTATTGAATATCCATATAGATTGAGGTGGCACTCCAATTAGCATAACGACCTTCCAAATTGACGATCCCGGCTTCATCCATCGATAAGGTAATATCAATCCGATCATAATGTTTCTTTTCCACGCCTTCCAGTGTGATGATAACTCCACGATCATGTAATTGTTTTGCCGTATACTTGTAAGAACCAAACGTTGGAAGCTTGCCCTGTTTTGTCAAGTTACGCATATGGAAGTATTGACGAGTGAATGGCCACATATAGCGTTGTTTCTTGCCACGTTGTTTCTTTTGTGCCATAGTATCCATAGATAATTTCAAGTAATCTTCGTAACTTTGTCGTTGATCAGAAAGATAAGCCTTCTTGGCTTGTAAATGACCAAGGGTTGTTTTAAGTTTGGTGATTTCCTTTTCCCGTGTTTGACGTCGTGTGTTTTTCCCTGTGATGTCTTCAGCGATCATATTGAGCAAGCCTTGATAATTATCTTGTTGTGTAATACGATCGACAAATTTTTCCAAATGTGCTGCAAGACGTGATGTAATAGTCTTGAGTTGGAAGAATGTAAGACTATAGAAAAAGAAGAAGAAGGAAAAAAAAAAGAAATAGATGGGTTATTCAAGATATCAAAGTGGAACATGAATATATCAACTTACTTATTGATATCCAAAGGTGTATTTCCCAATTTCAATGATCGTCGCTTCTTAGCTATAGACTCATGGTAGTTCACACCTTGATCTTTGTGAGGTAAGAATTCCCTTTGCTTAATTTCCATCCATTGTGCTTCATGTATATCTGTCACTGGTTGTTGGAAGATATCTAGCAAATTTGGACCCGATTGGATTTGAATAATATAGACCACCAGACGCTTTGTATCCACAATCAATTGTTGAAGTTGAGCAGTAGAATCTTGAGGAATATCATCATCCCTATTAGTAAGACGTAGACACCAAACAGTTGTTGGAAGCTGGACACCAGGTTTAAAAGGAGAAGGTCCAAGATCAGATATAATTTCGAATAGTGTACCTTGTTTTTTGGGTGCCAAGACTTCGATATGTTGTTCAATCATATAGTGTAAATGACATAATTCATAAGGTGATATGTAAATAGTAGGTTTTTGAGTTCTTGCATGATCATCCAAAGCATCCATTCCAAAGTGGGTTTCAGGATCTTCAACATCCGCCACTATCGTATTATATGTATAAAAAGTATCGACATTAGTAATCATACCATCATGTTTTTCTTTCTTTACCTTTTAAGAACCATTCTGCAAATCGTTGTCCAGCGTGGAAAACATAGTCATTCAATGGAGCCAAAAACATATCATCAGCATCAAAAATCTTGCCACTGGAAATTTGTTGAAGCATTCTTGATATCTAAATCCAAAACATAATGTGAATCTACAACGAATCAATATAAACCAAACATTTACGAACACTTACTTCGGCCAAATTTTTTCTTTGATGAGGATTGATACTTCCATCTATCACATCATAATGCTCGGGTGCACTACCAAATAAATAAATAAATAAATAAAAAGTCAAACAGAGGGATTCAAACCATATATGTCTACTTCTACTTACACAATCGCAGGATTCAAGTATCGGTAATAGATAAAATAGGCCAAGATCTTGGTGACATTTTCAGAGGATTCATTTGGGAATTTGTGTTCTAATACAAGACGTAGTTCACGAGCCACTGCACGTATACCATAGGGAAGGGCATCAAGGGTGGAGGTAATAGCAATCAGGAACTTTTCAGTGATTTCACGAAGGTTTCGAAGGTGAGTAATAAAGACATTTCGTACTTCTTCATCAGCAAGGGCTTCTTGAGAATTGACAGCATGTTTTCGGCGTGAAGGCAGACCAGTTCGACTTTCTTCATCATTCATCACCTTGTGGTAAATACCTACTGGATCTGTTTCCAAGTCTAAAAATTCATTATTGACTACTTCATTGACCAAAGGTGTCAAGATTGTTCGGAAGAATTCCCGTTCTTTTGCTCCACTAGAATATATAAAAGCAGAATTTAACATAAATATTGTTCATTCTCCATATTTTTATAGCTTACCGGTTTGTTTGAACCACCAACTTCATAAATGAATAATTGCCACGCATAAATTCTTGAGGACTTTGTACATGTTTGATTTCTTCATCAATACAGAACTACAAAAAGGATAAGGATGGTCCGTAAATCAAAAAAAAAAAAAATAGATATGTCTCCATCTTCTTTTTTTTTTTCCCTTAAACTTACTCTACACAAGTTGATAAGTAAATATTCTTCACGAGAATTAGTAGCATAACCAAACAAAGCCAATATTGTGGATTCAATACGCTTATGACCATCCCCATCTCCACCAAAGTCTTGAACCCGAGTGATAGAGACCAATTTTGCCAAATGTTTGGGATCGGTTTGTAAAAGATAGACTAATTGTTGATAAAGATCCAATGCATTTTGATTCTTCTGATTGATATTCCGTAATGTAAATGGATTTACACTTTGACTGGATGCTTCGGCTTCAGCAGCAGCAGCCATCTGTGAGAATCGACGATGTTGTTCTTTTTTTCTTAGTGGACCAGTGACCTTGAGGACTTCATCAATAGTGATAGCGTTCCTGACCAATAATGCAATCTTAGTATCGATAGTATTCACATGTACATCTAATTGATTGTTGTCTCGAATGGATTGAATCACTTCTTGTCGAATGGATTCTAATTTGACTTCAGAGTTATAATCCAGATCACTATCATCCAATAAATGTATAAAATTCTTGACAGTTCCAACCGATGGATTCTTTTGAGATACTAAATGATAATAATAATAATAAGAGATAAATTCTTTTATTGTTGATCACAAGTCATACAAAAACTTACCAAGTTCTTGTTGAACATTATGAACGAGTCTATTCATAGTAAAGCCTTCCTTGCGTACATTACGATCAATTGAGTCCAAGAGTCGATTGAGTTTCAATCTTGCCAAATAGCCACGACAGTTTGTTTGTAATTTGATAACCCATTGTTCATTGCATGTTTCAAAAGTGATACGCTTGTTTTCCAACTCTCGTCGACAGAGTACACCACGAACTCGAGCTTGAAGATGATTCACATGAGATTGAAAGAAAGTGGACCGATGGATTTCTTGGACCTTTTCAAATTCACGACGAGAGAGCCATTTGCGGGCCAATGCTTGACATTTGATTAACTTTTTGATATTTTCAGGTTCAGACCAATAGGATGGCTTAATTTCTATTATGCATAATGTGAGGTTAATGTTATAAAATAATAATAATAATAATAATAATAGTAATAATAACTTACGTCTTTTTGGTTGTTGCTGTAACATAGGTGAATAGTACCGAAGTTCTTCTTCTTCAGAGTCACTTTCTTCCACAATCAAATCAGGAGTAGCTGCCACTATTTGTTGTTGTTCATCAAAGGGAATGATATCAATCTTTTGAAATTGAAAATCAGAATTCAAGTCAATATCTTTTCGATCCAATTCATCCTCTAGATAGGAACCAATAGTTGTAAAATTGGGTAGTTCAAAACCATAACCATCCAGAATTTTTTGTGTTGCAGAAAGTTCTTCGTCTATAAATATAAATAGTTTTATTTAGTAATTGTACAGTTTTATACATTTGAATACTTACTTGTGAATTCAAGTTCACCAAGTAAATTCTTTATATTGGGTGCCAAGTTCTTTCGTGCTAATAGGTGACTATAAAAGAATATAAAATATGAGTTCGATATATAATATTTATGTTATTTACCTTAAAGCGTGTATACAAAATATGACTTTTGGGATATTTTTCTTATCATAAAGATCAGTCAATTCAAACCAAAATGTTTGAGGAAGCTTAATAACATGTAAAGCTTTGAAAAAGGAATTAATATTTTCAGAATGTAAGAATTTATGTTTTGTATCCTAAAGAAAAAGAAAAGAAAAAGAAAAAATAGGGAAAAGATGAGAAAAACCAAGGGATTTAATAGTCCGATTTTTTTTTGATTCTTACGCTGATGATTTTGTGAACAATGCCAGGAGCAATCCAAGATGCTAGTTTTGCTAAAACGATACCGTCTTTCATTGAATCTTCTAATTTAGTGATTGGATCAATTGTTTCTTGTAAACAGTTCTCTATCCATCTAATATAATACAAAATGAGTTCATTGATTCATCATGATGATAAATACTTACTCTTTCGCTTCACCTATATGACAAAGGTATTCATAAGCACGTAAATTGTTTCGCTGTTTATCCATCCATTGACTTGATGTATGATTTTCATTCTTTTGTAATCGAATTCGACCTATATGATAATAATAATAATAAAAAAAAGAATGAGCTCATTGGTAAATCCTTTGTCATTATTTTTTTTTTTTTTACCATGTAAACCTATTATCAATCAAATAAAAATAATAAAAAAAAAAGTATAAAGAAAGAAAAGTTTTAATTAGTTACTATTATTGATAAATATAAAAAAAAAAATCATTATTACCAATAACATCTTGAGCATCGTCTGTTATAGTCGGTAGATGAAGGTCAGAAAGATTATTTTTTCCAGTCATCACTGACAACCTTGTTAAAGGAGTAGACTGTGCCATTTATTTCTATTGATATGAAATGAAAAAAATGGAAGAAAGAGTAAATAATATCGAATAAGTGGTGATGATGTAAAAGAAAGCTTTATCCCATAGCTTATTGTTTAGACATTGCCATATTAGGAAGAACAGTAAACATCTTACCGCAACAAAATCCTTTTTTGGCGTGCCACTTTTGACAAAAAAAGAAAAGAAAAAGAAAAACAATAACAGTTCATCGCATTCATTTTTTTTTTATTATTATTATTTTCCACGAGCAAGCGAAAATAAGTATCTTCCATTTTTCTATGATATATCAAGGATGATGCCTACTCAGAATAAAAAAAAAAAAAAGATTACTATCAATGTCATATTGGTTTAAATGACCGCCTGTAATGCAACCAAAAGCAACTTCGATACATTCTACTTGATAATCTTTTCTTTGAGGCAAAATACATCCTGTGGCTTTGAATAAATTACCCTTTTTGTGTCATGATGGAAACTGAGTTTTGACTATACTTAAATGTTCTTACTTGTCCCTGATTTCTCACTTCCAATCTCCGTTTATCAATTATCATCATCATCGTCATTATAGAATCATCATCATCATTTAGAATTCAAGAGTGATAGAATTGCATAAAAAATATTACCATTTTCTCCATAATCGCCAACCTATTATTATTATTATTACTATTATTATTATTATTATTATCATCATCATCATCATCATCATCATCATGATCATTGTATCATCATCATCGGGGTATTCATCATAAAGTCATCATCGTTATCGAATGATCATAGAAATATCATCTTGAATCCATAGATTTTGATATGATGGCAGAAAAAAAGACAGAAAGTTTAGCGATGTTACACAATGATGCAATAATGTAAGTATCGTGCCATAGTAACTACTAGAAACTACCTACCCCACACGAACTAGATGATACCCATTCTTTCATTGTTACTTCTCTTTCTTTTTCTTTTTTTTTTTTTTTTTGATGATTAGTGAAAAATTTTATTTGTCAGTACCACTGTAAAATAAACTCAACAAGATGGGTCCTAGATATCACCTTATTTAAAAATAAATGACAACAAAGTCAGATCTTGGTTACCCTTAAACCTCTGCACGGTCCCTTTTATGTTGTCAACCATTATGATTACTTCATACATGGATGATTTACATGCAAAAGCGATTTCGTAGAATAACATTTGGTTGTATCATACATCATCAATTTTAAGGTGAAAATTAAAAGATGACATATGAATGATATATATAAAATAATGATTCTGTTAGATGATATCGCAATGATTGTTATCATCATCATCATCATCAAAGTTGAATTCATATGAAAAAAAGAAAAATGGTAGAGGCGGAAAGATAACGAAATGGAAGGACAGGTTACCTCTTGTACTTTTTGAAATTATATGACGTAAATATTTGATGAAAATACGATAATATAAAATAAAAAAGACAGAAATATATATATCCTTATAAGATAGAGACATAAAATATATTCTGAACAAAACTTTATCTTCTTGATTTCTTGTAGAAACAGGACTTTTACCATATAGGGTCTAGTGATAGTTCCCGCTTATCGATACGAAATGTGAGAGAATAAGATAAATATATTATTATTTTTTTAAAATCATTAAGATGAGGGAATGAAAAAAAAAAGTTTCACATATGTTCTTACAGCAATGATCATCATCATGAGAGTGAAATGTTTATTATTATTATTATTGTTGTTGTTGTTGTAGTAGTAATAGAAGTAAACAATATAAAGTTTACAGCTTTGCCGTTGCCTTTTCAATTGGACAACAAAAAGAAAATATCCGTGTGGGAAGTGTAACTGTTAAAATCATCCAATCGCTGAATAGAAAGATCGCCATACCAAATGGTGTACTGTTTTGATATAGGTGTACTATACGAACCAATGAATCCAAACTCGACCAATCAAATAAATGGATTTAGAAAAGTAAGCGCTGACAAAAAAATAGCTGATGTTTAAAAAAGGCAGGGTGTAAAAAAAAAAAAAAAAAAAAATTGAAACCAATTTTTTTCGATCGTTCGGTTCCTTTTTTTTTTTTTTCTTTCTTTCTTCTTTACCACTTTTTTTTTCTTGGTAATCTCTTCTCTCTTTTTTTTTTTTCTTATTTAATCGTTTAACATGGTGAAATCTATTGAACAACAAGCTATTGACACTGTTCGTGTTCTCGCTGCCGATGTCGTTCGTGGTGCTAACTCTGGTCATCCTGGTGCTCCTATGGGTTGTGCTCCTATGGCTCATGTTCTTTTCAACAACCACATTACTGTGAACCCCAAGAACACAAAGTTTATTAACAGAGACCGTTTTGTCCTTTCTAATGGTCATGGTTGTGCTCTTCAATATGTCTACTGGCACTTGTTAGGTTTTGACGTGTCTATGGATGACCTCAAGCAATTCCGTCAACTTGGCAGCAAGTAAGTACCTCTCCTTGTTTGTGTTGGTTTTCTCTTGTGTGTATTTTTATGTATATATTTGTGTATACATTATATGTGTGTATGTGATGTTTGCGTGTATTGTTTGCGGGAAAAACGGAGAGTGTGGTGATAGATAGTGAAACTTTTGGTCATGTTTATTTTTTTTTTTTTTTTTGTTGGGGGAAACATGATTGGAAATTTGTTGTTCCGAAATTCGTCCGGTCTGGTTTCTTATTTACTTGTTGCTGACATACTCTTTTATTCTTTTTTACTTGCTTAATAATAGGACTCCTGGCCATCCTGAATCCAACGATACTCCTGGTGTTGAAGTTACCACTGGTCCTCTTGGTCAAGGTAAAATGAATAGATGGGAAAATCATCAGTGTATCGGAGTGACTCATTTTCTATTTCAATGTTTTAATTAGGTATTGCCAATGCTGTTGGTTTGGCTGCTGCTGAAGCTCACTATGCTGCCACCTTCAACAAGCCTGGTTATGAACTTTTCAACAATCATACTTTTGTTATTCTTGGTGATGGTTGTCTTCAAGAAGGTGTTGCTTCTGAAGCTATCTCTCTTGCTGGGTAAAAAAAAAAAAAAAAAAAGATAAGAAAAATAGTTTGGATAAATATGAATTAAACTTTTTTTTTCTTTTTTATAGTCACTGGAAGTTGGGCAAGCTCATTGCTTTGTATGATGACAACAAAATCACTATTGATGGTTCTACTGAAGTCTCTTTCACTGAAGATACCATCAAACGTTTCGAATCCTATGGCTGGCATACCATTGTTGTTGCTGATGGTGACAACGATATCGAATCTATCAACAAGGCTATTGAAGAAGCTAAGGCTGTTACTGATAAGCCTTCTTTGATCAAGATCAAGACTACTATTGGTTATGGTTCTTTGCTTCAAGGTGAAGAAAAGGTTCACGGTGCTCCCCTCTCTAGTAAGTCAACATATATATATATATATGTAAAGTATTTTGATGATCTTACATTATTATTTATTGTTATTAGATGATGATATCAAGCAAGTCAAGCAAAAATTCGGTTTCAACCCTGAAGAATCATATGTTGTTCCCAAGGAAGTAAGTTTGATATATACTATAAACGAATTAATTATCTAAATCATCAACATTTTATTTAGGTTTATGATTTGTATGGTGCTCGTGCTGCTCATGGTGCTCAAGCTGAAGCTGAATGGAATGCTCTCTTTGCCAAGTACAAGCAAGAATACCCTGCTGATGGTGAAGAAATTGAACGTCGTTTCAATGGCAAGTTGCCTGAAGGATGGGAAGCTGCTTTGCCCAAGTTCACTCCCTCTGATGCTGCCGTTGCCACTCGTAAGCTTTCTGAAGGTGTGTTGACTGCTTTGTCCAACATTGTCCCTGAAATGATTGGTGGTTCTGCTGATTTGACTGGTTCCAACTTGACTCGATGGAAGACTGCTGTTGATTTCCAACATGTAAGTAACTAAAAAAAAAAAAAAAATAAAAACATAAAAAAAGGAATAGCAGTGAAAAGAAGAGATATATTTGACCTTTTTTTTTTTTTTTTTTTTTTTTTTTTAGCCTTCTACTGGACTTGGTGACTACACTGGTCGTTATTTGCGCTATGGTGTACGTGAACATGCTATGTTTGCTATTATGAACGGTTTAGCCTCTTATGGTGGTATTATTCCTTATGGTGGTACTTTCTTGAACTTCTTGACCTACGGTTGGGGTGCTGCTCGTTTATCTGCCTTGTCTCATCTTCGAGTGATCTATGTCATGACTCACGATTCTATTGGTCTTGGTGAAGACGGACCTACCCATCAACCTATTGAAACCTTGACTTTGACTCGTGCTACTCCCAACATGATGACTTTCCGTCCTGCTGATGGTAATGAAGTATCTGGTACCTATTTGGTTGCTCTTGAAAACCAACATCGTCCCTCCGTCATTGCCTTGTCTCGTCAAAACTTGCCTCAACTTGAAGGTTCCTCCATCGAAATTGTCCGCAAGGGTGGTTACATTCTTCAAGATGCTCCCAATGCCAAGATCATCTTTGTTGCCACTGGTTCTGAAGTGTCTCTTGCTGTTGATGCTGCTAAGAAACTTGCTGCTGAAGGTGTTCCTGCTCGTGTGGTCTCTATGCCTTGTACCGAACTCTATGATGAACAACCTGAAGAATACAAGAAATCCGTTCTTACTCCTGGTATTCCTGTGATCTCTATTGAATCTCTTGGTGCTTGGGGTTGGGAACGTTACTCTCATGCTCAAGTTGGTATGACCACTTTCGGTGCCTCTGCTCCTATCAAGGATTTGTACAAGAAATTCAATATTACTGCTGATGCTGCTGTTGCTAAGGCTCACAAGGTTATTGCCCACTTTGAAAAGGTTGGTTATGTTCCTGAACTAGGTGTTTCTCTTTAAATCAACAACAACAAATAATAATCGGAAATGTTAGTAAGTGGGATGATGGATGAAATAAGATAAAAGAAAATGTGATCAATTTTGTTGTTAGTCATATTTTGTTATGAATCATAGTATAGTAATAATAGTATATATATATATATCTCCTGTTTATTTTTTTTTTTTTGTCAATTCATTGTTTTTTATTTATTCTTTTATTCTCATTCTCATCTTTTATATTCATGAAATAAAAAAAAAAAAAGATAACAATCCGGGCCTTTGTATCATACTTTCTAGTAAAAAGTGTTTCATTTAATGTTTTCTATTATTATTATTATGATGATGATGATGATGGCAAGCTAAGAATATATACTTATCTTTAAATGATTGGGAAGGAAATTTCTTTCAAGTAGTTCTTTTTATCTTTGGCACTAGAGAGAGGGGTAATGAATGCTGGTGTAAAAATTACTCAGTCACGATTTCCGAAGGTTTGAAGCTCAATTTTTTTTTTCTCTCTCTCTCTCTCTTTCCTTTTTTTCTTTTTTCTTTCTTTTCTTGTCACGGCACGATATACATTCATCTTTGGCTTCAATGGCTGATATTCCTCCTAATCAAACATTATATATACAAAACTTGAACAATCGGATTCATCCATTAGGTAATTCTTTTTTTTTTTTTATAAAAAAGGGAATCGCGGTATCTTTGACTGATCTTTTTTTATATATTTATTTATGGGAGTATAGAACTTCAAGCATCTTTGTATAGTTTATTCACAACCTATGGTCATATTTTGGATGTACGTGCCTTGTCTACAGAAAAGTTACGTGAACAAGCATTTGTTGCATTTGTCGATGTAGCTGCTGCTACCACTGCCATGCGAAGTTTAGATGGATTTGTATTTTATGGCAAACCTATGGTAATACTTGAGAAATAGTAGTATTTACAAAACTAGTGATTCTTATTATTATTTTCTCTTTTTATAGAAAATCCAATATGCAAAGAATAAATCAGATGCTGTGGCTTTATTGGACGGTACTTTCAAGTTAAGGACAAAAAAGCCAACATCAACAACTTTAGGTAAACGGGATAACGAGACAACGGATCAACAACAATCAAAACAAGCAAAGATGGACGATTCTGAAAATGACGATGATAGTGATTAGAGGACCATTACAATAGTACTTTTGCTTTTGGTTCTATACTGTTGATTTCGGCACCTGCACATTCATATATACACTTCTCATAAGACAACTTTTTTTATACAACATATATACGCTCACACACGCACTCTCATGATCTCTTTGTATACATATTACTTTTTTATTTCTTCCCTTTATTTTGTTTGTCATTGGATGTTTTTTTTTTATATATCTGAATAAACTATTACAACATTTTGATATTATGCCATCACAAGCCTTTATTTTTTGTCTTTGTATTTGTTCTTTATTATTCTCTTGGGTACAAATAAAAGTAATCATGTGCCTCTAATACTACCTTTATTTTGGAGTCATCATTGTATTGACCCTTTGACATCACTCAGTTAACCTCGCTCATGAAACAGAGCGTATATAGTGTGGCTACTTTCATTTTTATCATAATGATTATATGATCATGATGATGCACGTAATAAGAATGATGATTTCATATAATAATGATGATTCTGATTCTGGTTCCAATTTGGATGATGATGATGGTTCGCATATCTTGGTCAATGAATATCCTTTTTTTTTTTTTTCAGGTGGATGGTTTGACCTGGAGGAAATTTAGACGCCGTCCTTTTTTTTTTGTATTTTCATATTGACTTACCACTATTTTATCGCATCTCTTTCATTTTTTTTTTTTTTGTTTCAACTTTTCATCTTTTTGCTTTTATATACACAACTTTTGCCATCCTCGTACATTAACGTCATCATCTATCATTATGCCTCATTCCTATCTAGTCATTGGTGGCAACGGATTTCTTGGCCGACATGTGGTTGAACAAATCCGACAACGTCAAGATGGATCTTCGATTGCCGTGTTTGATATTAGCGAACCCACGGATCCTGATGCCGATGTTATTTACCATGTGGGTGATTTACGTAAATATGAAGACGTGTTAAAGGCCATGACACAAACCAAGATTTCGGCTGTTATTCATACAGCATCTCCTCCTCATGTCAATTCTAGCAATCCTCCTCGGGATCTTTACTTTTCCATCAATGTCGATGGTACAAAGAATGTGATCAAGGCTTGTCAAGAAGCCCATGTGCCTATTCTGGTTGTCACAAGTTCTGGAAGTGTTATTTCTACTGGTGAACCCATGTTTAATGTTGATGAAACTACTCCTTATCCTCCTCAAGCCATTGATGTTTATACTGAATCCAAGGTAAATCAAAAAAAAAAAAAAAAAATACAGTCTATTCAATGCTTCTTTTTTTTATTAGATTGAATGTGAAAAAGTGGTATTGGCAGCAAATGGTCAAGGTGGTGTACAAACATGTACGATTCGACCCTCTGCGATTTTTGGACCTGGAGATCGTCAAATGATTCCTGGCTTATTAGAAGTATGTCAACGTGGACAACATCGATTCCAAATTGGCAATAATACGTCGTTGATGGATTTCACATATGTGGGTAATATTGCGTATGCGCATGTACTTGCGGCAGAAAAATTGGCCTTGTCTTCGGATTCTCCTGTGGGTGGTCAAGCATTCAATTTGACCAACGGTACTCCTGTTCCATTTTGGGATTTCGCTTCCAAGGTTTGGTACGAATATGGTATGGATATGCCCAAATCAAAAAAAATCATTCTCTCCTACAATGCCAGTATGGTGATTGCTTATATCAGTGAAACTATCTTCAACATCAAGGCTCTCTTTTGGAACAAGGATGATCTCAAGGAAGGTATGACCCGTTCTCGTATCAAGCAAGCCATGAGTTCTCGCTACTTTAACATTGATAAGGCACGCAAACTCTTGGGTTATGAACCTATCATTGGTTTAGAAGAAGGTATCAAACTTGGTCTTGAGGTAATCAACGCAATAAAATAAAACAAATATAAAAAGATACTGTCGTTGATGATGATGATCAAGTCTCTCTGTTAACAAAGAAATAGTACTGATCTTTTTTTTTTTTTTTTTTTTTTTTTTTTTTTTTTGTGATGATTAGTATTACAACGCCCATCATGGTAAAAAATAGATCTAGCGTAATAGATACATTGTTTAGAACCATTCTTTTTATTTTACATTATTAATAGTATTATTTTTTATTATTGTTATTTTTACTGTTTATTCATATTTATCTATCTCCTATACCGAATAATAAAAGAAAGACTTTGTTTTTGGATCCTATGTCATGGTCCTGTATCTATCATCATCCAACAACATCAACGCGACCAAAATTATGACCATACCTGAATTATCAATTCATCCAATGTATATTTTATTTCTTTTATATATATATATATATATATATATATATATCAAACAAACAAAAAAGATACTAGAGTAACAGATCTATCTTAAAAATTCCATCCAGAGTTGTCTTGTTCCTTTGTATCCACTTCTTCTTGTATTTGCATTTGCACATAGGCCAATTTATCCACCAAAGTCTTCATTGCCATGGTCACCACTTCTTCAGGTGATAAAGATCCCACTGTCTAATAATTCAAAGAAAAGTATGAATATATTGACACTTTTATATATTATTTTACCTCTGTTTCAAAATAAAACTTGTCTGGTTTTGCATTATAATCAAAAGCTATTCAAAATCAAATAAATATGAGTTGATTTCTCCATTGTTGATGATCCATCAAAACTTACGTTCATCTTTCTCTGGTTCTCTTTCTTCCAAAGCATTCTTGCTCTTTGGCCTAATCCCAAAAAAAAAATAAGTTTCCCTTGTTCCCTTTGTTTTCTCATTTTACTTACCATTCAGCTTCAGATTCTTCAAACCAATATGTTGTATGCCTTAATTTGTTATGAGGATCATATTCAAATGCTACACCACTGACTGGGCTCCATTTAGCATGCTCCTTGGCCACACCCTTAAAAAAAAATCATGGTTAAGTAAATGATCCCTTGCCATTATTCCATTCATTACCTTCTTTGCAATACACTTTAGTTTTAATTCGTGTCCTTTTCTTAACTTGACAAGAAGAATCCCAGTATCATTTTTATCTAATCACATATTATACATACAAAGCAAAGAAAAAGAAATTAGATTCATATATATGTAAATATATAAATATATATTACCTTGAGCAACAGGAACAAAGGCAGGATTGGAGGTGATTAAGTCTCGACTGGTGACTTCTTTTGTTCGATCTTCTGTACATTTGGCATGAAGAGTTAATTCTACTGAACATTCTGGACAATATTGGGAACAAGTGCAATCCTACAAGATGAAAGATGAGCATATACAAAAAAAAAAAAAAAAAGATAGATAATACTAGATTTACCCGTGTATAACGTAATTTTTCAACTTCTCGACTGTCAATAGGTACCATACCTAACCGATGTGCTAAGAACTCATCAGCAAGGACTGTTGTATTTGTTTCGATTTCCACCATGTCAATAGCTACAATAGAAATAGATCAATACAACTTGTCTATTTTCAACCGATCTTGATATATTTTATTTTCAAACTTACCAACTGTAGGAACTTCAGCAATCATCACACGTCGAAGTGAATTGGCAACACTAGATAATAAAGTTTGAATGAGTTTGGGTACATAGATTCTTTGTTTTTCTTTAATACCTCAAGTCAGTATCACTAAGTACAAAATTAATACTTTCTTTGGTTAATTCACGAATAGTAATATTAGGTCCACCTAATGCCCTATATGATCCACCAATATCCATTGTAATAAATAAAAATAAAAAAATAAATTGGGATTGATGGCGTATAAATATACAGAAAAAAAAAAAAAAAAAAAAAAGAAAGAGGTGCAATAGACACAAAAAAAAAAAAAAAAAAAAAGAAGGAAAACTAGTGTTACATTTAAACGCCGCCTAGGTTGATGGTCGGTCATCATCTAATCCATTTTATTCATGATACGGAAAACATTTGAGTCAATGAATAAAAAGGCAGGGGAAAACTAAACAAGCTAAAACTAATCATCCGTTGAAACATTAATATTTATACTAAAGTTTTCTATTTTCCTATCTTCCTTGTAAAACCGGTATAAAAGATCAAAGAGACCACGATTCTAGGAAAAAAAAAACATTAGTATCAAGTGAGATTTATCATTGTTATTTTTTCACTCTCTTTTACCTTGAGATGATCCACAATAGCCTGAGTATATTCTTCTTTTGTCACCATCTTTTTCCGTCTCGATTGCATGCGAATATCGATATCGGCCCTTGGATGTTGCTGCAATGGCTGTTGTTGTTGATCCATGACGTTGACACCATTAAAGGATGATGCTGAAGTAGTAGAAGATGAAAGAGTTGGACCAGGTGAACCATGTAATGCTGCAATAGAAGATGTAGCTGAAGAGTAACCTTGTTGTTGCTGGTGTATATTGCTTATTGGACCTAAATTGGATTGAGAAGAATGTCCACCGATCATCCCACCTTGAAGAGCCTGTAATAATGATGCTGAATTTCTTGGTGATGGTTGATGATGAGGTTGTTGTTGTTGTTGTTGTTGATGTCGAGGATCCATCATAGGTATAGCTGGTTGATATGCTTTGGTCAATTCTTTCCCAAATAATATATGAGGAGGAGGCATAGTATTGTTTGTGTTGGGAGTAGAGGAAGAAGCTGAAGGATGAGGAAGAGATGAGGTTGTCGTTGGAGGATGACCCATTTGTTGATTGTAGTGAACAGGTAAAGTACCATAACCCAAGGAAGCAGGAGGTAATGGTGGAGAAGGCATGTGCTGTATCTTGTCATCCACAGTAGCCCTTTTCAATAATTCCAATAATCTATTACCATTATCTCCAGGAGGTTGTACATGTTGCTGAGATGGAGGAGAAGGTCCATGAGATTGTCGTTGAGTATCATTCTCCATTGTTCCTTTTTTCAATAAATCCATTAATCGAGCACTATCGGAAGTATCATTCGATTGAGGTTGCATGAGTTTAGCAGATGGTAAGATAAAATCACAAGAAGCGTCATTATGGCCAGATGGAGGAAGTGATGTCCCATGATTTCGTTGTGTATCCGAGAACGATTGTAAAATAGTTGGTGATGGTTTGGATGATGGTTGTTCCGTTCGTTCAGGACCATATTCATTGGGAGGATGATGGTGAACAGGTAAGTTTCTAGTTAATAGCGCCCATAGATCTTTTGTTGAATCCCGAGGTGATGTTGACGATGATGAGGATAATTGATTCGGTTGATTAGGAACAGAGGGTTCAGGCATAGATACATTTGTTGTTGTCGTCGCTTTTTGATTTGATTTTGCTGAAAGTTCTTTCTTAATACCATCATGTAATCTAAAATTTCCCATTAACAAAAGGGGGTAAAAAGGGAGTTAATATACTACGTGTATGAAAGAGATCCATCTAAAAACTTACTTTGTAATCTTGGTCAAAAGTCTTTGTCTATCACCTTCTTCATAGAGCCAAAATGCATATCGTTCACCTAAAGAGTCATATAAAGAAATATTACATAAAGTCAAGATGATTGTTAAAGTAGAGTTTTACCATCACTTGTTGAATAAATAATAAAGTTTTGTTGTAGATCCATATCATCAAAGTCAGTTAAATATAAAGTATAGTTTTCCATAGCCAATCTGTTCATAATATATACAGCAAAATAAGGTGGTATTTTTCTAATAAAGAAAACAAAGAGTAAATAAAAGAAAAAGAAAAAGAGTTTTCATCTTCTTTTTCTAAATCTTATACCTTTGTACCAAAAATAAGACTCCTTCAACAGACTTTTTCACCTATTACCAATTAATAAAATAAAATAAAAGGTCAATATCTTTTATATTCTTTTTATTTTTATTCTTATTATCGTTTTTTATTTTTACCCATTCGCGTTTTTCATTTGAAAAATAATAAAGTACAGCATGAGGACTTTGATCAAGTATATTCACAATAGCTGGGTCATATCGTCTAATGGCCTTCAAGTTGAGTTTTTTTCGTGCCGCTTTATCCATAAATAAGTTATAATAATAATAAAAGTAATACTAATAGTAAATGAAAAAAGTCCTTTAAAAACTATAAAGTGAGAAAAGAAAAAACAATAACAAAAGAAAAAAAAAACAACAAAATCCACATTTGAAAAAAAAAAAACCAAGCGGACTCTAAATAGTCATACTCGTTCGTTTTCCACTTTTGGAGTCTTGTCATATTGAAAAGTATATATATACATCATTTTTCTTTTTTGTATCTTTAAATCAAATGATTAATTTTGAACTAATAATATTATTATATATATAATTTATATTTTTCTTTTTATTATACGAGTTAGATACTGTAAATTCCATTTTATCATATGTAATTGATTCGACTTTGCCTTCTTGTCTCATCACTACGTAGGTTTTTTTTTTTTTTTGGAAACACAAAGCTTTGATCTGTGTTTGAATTACATTGTGAGAGAAACATGAAAAAAAAAAAATAACATTTTTTTCATGCTTCTTTTTTTCTCTTATTTTGATATCACTCTTTTAGTGTAATTAAATGGATGTACAAAGAACGGAATATAAAGATTGGAAGGAAAAAAATGAAGATCTCTTACTGAAAATAAAGAAACTAGGTCAATTTAAAAGAATAAATAGTTATAACAATATATTTTCATTACTCACTCTATTGTTATTATTTTTATATAGAATACGAGATTGATCGCGTACAAAAGGTGATTGACGAAAAACAGCAACAGTTTGGTAATCTGGAACAATTAGAACAATCTTGGATACGACAAGAACAACTCTATGATGCCTATGATACCATTTTTGAACAATTATTAACACCTCTACAGAAACAACAGGAACAACAACACAAACAACAACGACGTGAAGTATCAGCTCATCTTTTGACATCCACCGCTCTTCTATGTCACAAAATTGAACGATGTTGGCATGGTTCCTTCACACGATCCAGTAACAAAGAGAATACGATTCGAAGCGATGGCAACGATATAGACGACAATGATCACCATTCTCGACTTTCAAAAGAATGTCAAGATCTTGAACGCGATATCCAGAAACTCATGACAACTCAAAACTCGATAGATTATTTTGCGTCCATAGATACATTGTTACGACAAGAAATCCAACAACAACAAACGACAATAAAAGAGATAGAGACTCATGATAATCAGTTGGATGATAAATTGGATTATATTAAACAGCAGCAGAAGGAACGATTGCATTATATCATGACTTTGGAACAAGAAACTTCTGAATGGGAGAATCGGGTACATGCCTTGGAAACACGAATACGAGAACAAGCACGAACAAGATATGATGATTCTGAAGTCCAAGAAGCGTTTATGTAAGTGAAAGTCAAGGATTGTTATAGATACCTACTCATATGCTTACAACTAATATGTATTAGGGAAAGTGTTTTGGCAAAGGCAACTGTTGGTGAGGAATCAAGTCGTTTGTCTTGTTATGAGCAGTACGTAGATGAGGTCAAGCAGGTATCAATAGCTTTGGAAGAAAAACATGGCAATTTGGATCAAATTCAAAAGGAAACAACAGATATTCTTAAGAAAATGGTAAAAATCGATTTAAGGTTGAATATTTATTTGTAACACATATGTACTTGCATACTGATCTTTTTTTCTTTTCTTTGATACTTTATATAGTCTGACAATAGAAACAAAATTAAATCCATCCAAAGTCTCAATCAACAAGGTGAACACCAAATTAGATCACATCAGCAGGATAATATTCAACTTATAGAAAGTATCGGAATCTTACAAAACCAATTGAAGGACCAGGCGAAGGAAAAGGACGAGGATTTATGGACTAGTATTGACAAGGGAACAAAGTAATACCTTATACTTAACATTCCTGGTGACTGATCATCTTTTTTTTTTTTTTTTTTTTTGATGACAGTTCTGGAATAATTGAAGAAGAAGGATCACCCATTAGTCAGATAGGGAAAGTGCTTGATCCTTATTGTAGATCAGTAAGTTGATTGACGTTATATCTTTATTATCATCATTATCGTTATTGACTCACTTGTTTATATATATTTAGACTCCAAACAATGCTCTTTCGAATCTGAAATCTTTACTTCTACGTTGTACGAAATCAAAAAAGTCTACCACCTATTTCGCAATCACTCACTCAATTCAATTTTTTTTTATCCCTTCTTATTATAGTGCAACATCTTTCATCACATCAAAAGACAACCATTTCTCGCGAGTTGGAAGCATTAAGTAAGTTAATAGAATATGATTCATCATCATATTGATTCTTTTTTTTTTCCTGCAAACGTAGCATTGGCATGGACTGAAGAATTACAAGAAAGAGGTATTCCATTGGTGAATGTTGAATCTGAACAAGATGCTCTTGATACTGTTATACATGCTGTCAATGCACTACAAGGTAATCATCATTCCACCAAAGGACAAGATTCGGGAAGTATAGGCTGTAGAAATAATTATTAATACAGGCTAAAAAAAAAATAAAGGATAGATTCACTCACTATGTTAGGATTTTTTTTTTTTGTAGTTCACGTTGATAATGAATGGGATGAATTTGTCCATCAACAAGAAGCGCAACTATCAAGTAAGATAGATGAACTGAATGAACAAAAAGAAGAATGGAATTTGACTAGGAAGCTATTGGATGAAAGGTAAAAGGAGAAGAGAAGATAGTTGGCATCATTACTTGTAGTTAAATTGTGTTTATTTATATAGAAACACAATTATAAAGGGAAACATAGGAAGTGATTATACCGTTCAAGAAAGGAACTTGGAAGAATGGTTTCAACTTTTGGATCAAATGTAGAATATCTTTTTTTTTTTAATTATTATTATCATTTTGAATAAAAATTACGATTGTAATTGAATACTATAAAGAGTTTTTGTGTTAGAGATGAATGATGATATTTGTTTAATAATGGAAAAGGAAGCACTGGGATTATGACGTATAGACAATTCCAAAAAGAACAGTACCATGACTCGAAAAAAAAAAAAAGGAAATAGGTCTGTGTGCAAAATAGAGAAGAAGAAAAAAGAAATGATCAGGACATCACACGAAGCACAAGGCAAAAAAAGGCAAATGACCATGGGCTTCGTTTAACACTCAACTTTAAAAATATGAGCGGCTACTGTTTTCCCGCGCGCAACATACCAGTCAAAATGAAACCTATAATAATAACCTTTTTCTTGACAAGCTTTCTTTTTTAACAAGTATCCAAACAATAAACGATAATCCTTTGTGACACCATTCCAATGAGAACAACAACAAATATAAAAATAAAAAAAAAAGGATAAAAATAAAGGAGGTCTATTTTCTTACATAATCCAAAAAAGGGAGATTGGTGGTGAATGAGGAGAGGGGACACTAATGACAAATAAACATACGCACACAAACACACACACAAAGAAATCCAAAACTAAAAAGAAACGATAAAAGAGGAGGTGGGGAATACTAAAAAAAAAAAAAAGAGAGAGAACAAAGAGGGAGAGTTGACAGAGGAGAAGGAGGAAAGGGAAAAAAATTATATGTATAAGAGAGGAGAGAGATAGAGAAAGCTAAAAAAAATTTTTATCAAAGAGGACTAATACAGACCAAAGTATCTACCGTTCATAGTTAGCATTATAAGTTTCAGAACACCGAGGATGTGGAAGTGAGTTTGAGGATGACTTCTTTTTAATCATAACGGACATGCGTTTCCCTAAAGAGGATCGATATTGCGTGCTTGTAGGTGTTCTTGCTTGTGGTGGTGGAGGAGTTTGGTCACTATTGTAATAAACACCATCGTGATAATGTTGGCGATAATATTCGGTATCTATTGAATGAATGAAAGAATCAAGGTTATGCGACTTTGCTCTGTACCTTTTTTTTTTTTAATAATATTTACCTCTAGAATCATATTCAGGAAGAAAAGTACGTCGTTTGGTATATTTTTCTACTTTCCATATTTCAATTTGAGACTTTAACTTGTCTATCAAGCCAACCATTGTTGTTGTATGTATTAATAAAATGAAGAAGAAGAAAAAAAAAAAGAAAAAAAGAAAAAACAAAAAAGAGAAACCAAAAAAAAAAAAAAAAGTAAATTAAAAAAAAAAAAAAAAAGAAAAACCTTATAGTTGGAGTTTAAAACTTTTTTTTTTGAAATAAAGTATCAAATGGTCAATGGATGATTTTGCTACCCCGGCTTCTTATTATAATCAACTTAAACGATCTCCTTTTCACTTGACTCAAAAGAACAAAGAGAGAAAGATAAAGAATACTAAGATCTATTGTATCGTATTAGAACTTGAAATACAATATTCATCATTTGAAAAAGACTGGTTCATATTTTTTTTTTCAAACAGTAACTATTTTCTTTATTATATAATCCAAAACAAAAAAATATGGTATCTATCACCAACAACGTCCGTATATCTATCTATCCATCTATCTATCTATGTATAACCTAAACAATATTTTCCTTCCTTAACGCTTTGGCACATTCTTGTTTGACATGACTTGCTCGGTTCGTATCATATACACCATGTTGATCGAATTGTCTTGCATAGAAAGCACATTGTTCAACCCGATAATTCTTGTACATGCCATCTTGAATCATTCTCTATAATAATTTAAAATGGAGAACTCGTTAGAATATATGATTTCCTTCTTTTTTTTTCCATTTCTTACCTCGCCATCTGTTAAACGATTTTCAGGTTCTTGTCCAGATCGAATGATAAAAGTATCATGTAAAACATAAAAGTTGGCCCCATTCAAATAAGTAGCATAAACACATGCCGATAATTGATCATCAAATCGTTCTTCACACCTATCATCAGAAAAAAAAAAAAAAAGAGAACCATATTAAGATTTATCCTTTTCTTATTTTATCCGTTTTTTTTTTTTTATTTTATTCTTTACCATGGATGATTTTCCTTTGTAGTAATATAAACAGGACCATAATGATAATCGTATTCAGTGACCAAGTAAGGTTCGGATGCTACACGCCAATCATCATAAGAAGATGGACCAAAGTTAAGAGGCCAATGATAATCCAATAATCCCATCCGTCCAGCGTCCACCCAATCAATGATCCCATCTCGGTCCTTAGGAAATACATTTGTTTGTACATTGTTGCGTCGAGGAAAGGCAAATGTAGGTACCACAAGAGCATCACCTTGATCCAATCGTTCCATCGTTGCTGTATTGGTGGATAGGGAAATAGATGATGGTAACCATAATACGTGAATGGGTGTATGCATAATGTACTGAGATCGACTGAATAATCGAGCCAAATTACGAGCTGCTTGAAGTCGAATACGTGTGGTGTGTTCTGGAAGAAGAATAACATGGAAATCAACATATTTTTGAAGTGCAGGTCTTGTTTCATATTCACGTCGAAGTCTAGATAGGACTTGTACTGCATGCCCTGAATTTAATCCATCCTTGGCTTCAATTTGAATCGCTGCTGAAATAGAACCTATCCCCATTAAAATAAAAAAAAAATCAATTCTTCTGCTATCTTATAACCTCTTTTTTTTTTTTTTTCCTATTACCTTGCCAATGTGTTGCCATAATTTCCAAAGAATCCATATCATCCAATGTCAACACAGTAGTAATACAAATAGATGTAGGTGGTTCAGTAGCAGTCATCCAAAAAGGTCGAACATTATCAGGTTGTCGTAAAGATTTACTAAACATTTTACTGAGTCGTAATTGTGTATTCAATAAGTTTAATTTGGAAGATGGTAGTATGTGAGTTGGAGAGGATGATTTTTTTGACACTTGCAACTGAGATACTATATAAAAACTAAAGGTGAATAAAAAAAGAAGAATAAAAAAAAAAAAAAAAGACGAGTATCGTACCTTCAGAAGGAGAAGTTGTGGTAGAATAAAAGAATTGAGAAGCAGAGAATAACATACTAAATAAAACATAGGTATAGGCTATCCAACGAAAAATGCGAGATTTCCATAGTTTTTGATACCATTCCATTGATGAGAAAGAATGTGATGAAGTCTTTTTATCTTGTTTCGCTAAAGAAGGTGGACATGCTGTTGTCAAGGATATTTTTCGTTGATGTACTTTTGGGTGACTACTATTCGTTGCCCTTGACATTAGAAATAGTAGAATAAAATAATATATATATGTAAAGGGATAAAGAAAAAGAACAAAAAAAAAAAAAAAAAAAAGAAAGGATGGAAAATGAGAAAATCATTTAGTAATTTAACTTCCCGATTTCACTTTACTCGAGTAGTACAATCCCATTGAAAATCTATCAGAGAATTAGGATTCTCCCCACGTGTTTTTCTAATGAACCTGTTTCCCTACATTGTCAAATATAATTCTAACCTTTTATCTTTTAGTATATAAACATATATATATAAAAAAGATGATCTACATGATGATGAATGATAACTAATTTTTGATGATAATCAACATTACCCATTGACTCTTGAATGGAGAATAATGACTTTTTTTTTTTTTACTCATTCAAACAGAACATGCAGGAGTTATATATGTATGCGAACTTAAAGTTGGTCTGGACTCTATAAAATCAACATCCAAGATGGAAATAGATAAATATAAAAATCTTTTTTTTTTTTATTCTTTGCAACACCTGATTCCAAATAAAAACGATCTTCGTTCATCTCATAATTACCCAAACAAGGTTAATTTATATGTATGTAGTTTTGTTTCCCGACATTGATTCTCTACAAAAAGAAGAACATTATTGTTCCCTTTCTTTTTATTTGCATTCAGTAATAGGATGATTTTCATCAACTCCATTAATATCTTATTTCAACCAAATGGAAAAGAAATCATTCCGGAAACAACATCCGAACATAGTCGTACAATCATCCATTATCATCCCATGGTTACAATCATCACCCACAATTTTACGTGTGAGAGGTATTTCAGATTCACGCCTAACCTTAGCTCATAAAGATAAAAATGTCATTAGGCCTACTCTAAATGTGATCATTTCAAATTCCGGTCTCCCTCCAAAGAAAAAAAAATGCTCTTCTCTCTCACACACACATATAAAAATATATATACACTTGAATTGAACAATTCTTTTTTCTTTTTTTTTTATTTTATTATTCATCATTACTTTCTTTATTGTTTATTACTATGGTAATAATACATAACTTACCCATCTTCCTTTACTTCAGAATATAGATTCCACTAATATTCTAAAGTAAACTATTTTATTATGTAGATATAATGGAGATACTATAACAATAAGAAAGGTTGACTTTTTATTTATTATTATGATATACAGTATTATTGTAGTATTTAGTTTAGTTTATTTTTTTTATTATTATTTTTTTTATTATTATCGTTATTTAATAAAGACTATTCATTATAATTATATCATAGTTTAAGAAATAATATCATTTTATATAAAACTATTTTATTTGATCTTTACGTGTGTTAAGGTACATTATTTAACCCTCCGAATACTTTCTGCATAAATCAAACTTAATAACGATGATCAAGATCCTTTAACACCCCAGAATTCATTATTCAATCAATATAAGAGATATTCCAATCCATTCAACCAAATCATAACATACAATACTATCTTTTGATCCAGAAAGTATTGCTTGTAATCACTGACAGAGACCTGTATCTTACACAATAGTTCAATTTTTTTTTATTCATTTAATTATATAAAAGAATAAACTAGACGATGTCACTATATACATAAAATAGTTAACAATCATCAACCAGTCAAATTCATCCACAATCAATCTGGATATATGTCCCTCATTTAGATAGATATTTGTTCTCCCTGGTGTTACAAGAAAGAAAGAAAAAAAATATATTAATTTCCTTTTCACTATAGATATTAAGAGAGATATCAAAAAAAAAAAAAAAAGAGAATGATAAAGGTATTTATACCTGTTCACTTTCCTTTCTGTATTCTACTATTGTACTACCTTTCTGTTTAGAGATGAAAGAGATAATAAATGTATGATCGATATCTCATGAAAAGTAAATCAACCAAAGGATAAATAAAGTTTCAATCAAACTAGATGAAGAAAACAAAAAGTATTGGAGAATGAAAGGAAAAGGAAAGTAAAAAATTCAAGCAAGATGCAATGCTACACTAAAATAGGTTGTGTGGAAGGCGGATTTTGAATCATTGGTTCCTACCTCTTTTCTTTTGATTATTGAACGACCTTTTTCTTTTTTCTTTTCTTTTTTCTTCTTTCCTTACTTTTATATAGGGTGATTCTTTTTTTTTTCTTTTATCTCTTTCTTCATACATGGTTGATAAAGATACAACTGACGCTGAAAGTTTACGACAAGCAAAACTTGTTGCTGCACGAAAAAAGGTAGCAATGAAAATGATTTATTAAAAGAATAAATCCACTAAACAATAATTCATCATTTATTTTTTTTATTATAGCTCAAAAAGTTTCAAAGTAAAAGATTAGACCAACAAGAAAGAGACAATGAGTCAGTCAATGGAAAATCAGTACAAGAAGAAACTCAAGTGGTCGCTGACAACACACTTTTTACAAATCAAGGTTCACCTCTGGTCAAAAGGTAATTCATCTTTTTTTTTTTTCTTATAGATATCTTTCTTATTCTCCTTATTCTTTCTATATTAGATCTGACAGTATATCAATTGATATGACCCCTCCAACTAGACCCAGTATTATTGACTCTACTTCACAAGCACAACCTCTTTCTCTTCGCGCCCATTCAGTCACGTCACCTACGTCTCCTGCTTCAGCTCGAACTTCGCCACTTGCCTCTCCACCTCCTCCACAATCAGCTCGTGCATCTTCAATCACATCACCACGAATCCAAACATCATCTTGGCAAGGAATAACAAACGACAAGAATGATGAACAGCAACAAAGCAAGACACTACTTGATCTGGACGAGGGAAAAGAATCATCCATCCAATTACAACAAGAATTGAAAAGACTAAAAGAGAAATATGAAGAGATGGAGATGAATAAACATGAAGAAATAAAGTCCATGCATCAACAATTACATGATTCTGTGGAAAAGCAACTTTTATTGGAACAAGAACATAACAAGCTGAAACAACAACTCTCTGAAGCCAACACAACAACTTTGTCTCACCAAGAAAAAGCAACTGATCTTCAATCTTCTTTGGAAAAAGCACAAAATGAAATCCTACGTTTGACAAATTTACTTGAAATGGCCAATGACAATGATCAAAAACAGCAACATGGTGTTGAGAATGTGGATTTTTTATCATCATTAGATTCAAATCAACAAGTGGAAATCGAAAACAAGCTTCAAGTTTTGCAACATGAACGTGATGAATACAAATCCAAATGGGAAGAAGCTTCAACAGTATCTGAAAAGCACAAAGCCATGGTGGACGAACTTCAAGCTTCCAATACTGATTTTCATGCTGAAACCACGCGATTGATAGATATGGTGAATGATCTCGAAGAAGAATTGGCAAGGACACAGGCAGACAATTATACCAAAGACTGTGAAATCAAATCACTCTCTACCAAGGTCATGGATCTTAAGAATGGAAGTACTGACAATATTCAACCTATCAATAACAACAACAACGATATCACCTCAACTGATATGAATCAACAAGATGAAACAGCAAGACACAAGCTTGAAGGAAAGATCCATAGTATGGAGCAACAAATTCATGATTACCAACAACAACTCAAGTCACAAACTGTGGATTTAGAAATGCTAAAGGAAAAATGTGATACCATGGAACAACAATCGGCCGAATGGAAGTCTCAACTGGATGGAACGAATCTTGAAATAGAAAGACTTCAAGCAAGCCTGCAGGAGAAAGACAGCAGCATGACCGAAAAGACCAATCAACTCACTCATCTACAATTAGATTATGATACCTTGAAAGAAGCAGCGAACAAAGGGGAACAACAAACAAATGAATTACAACAACTGTTGGACTCTAAAGAGATCGACTATTCCAATTTGACAGCAAGTCATGAAGAACTCGAAAAACAGGTAGTTTCGTTGAAAGATAAACTTGAAAGTATACAAATGGCTTCCTCGACAAAAGATATGGATATCAGCAAGTTCACCGAATCTTTACAACACCTTCAACAAGAAAAGGATGGATTGGAAAAACTATTTGGCGAAACAAAGGATATACTGAATGACAAAGATCAAGACATCGGTACACTTACCAGCAAACTTGAACTCTTGGAAAATGATCGGAACGCATTGAAAGAACAATTGGAAGCATCACAAGCATCTACAATGATGAAAGATAAAGAATTGGAAACAGCATCAGTAGATCTTGGCCATTTAGAACAGCAATACGCAACCATCAAGCAGACTTTGGAGGAAAAAGAGTCATTATATACCGATCTATTGAAAACAAAAGACGAAATTGAACAACAACTTCACGAAACAACTGCACAAAATGAATCTATCAGCAGGCAACAACGTCTAGTCGCAATAGAAAGAATGGATCACATCAACCAAAAAATCGATCATGTCATGACAACATATGAAAGAATTGAACGAAATGCGATCGATATTGAAGCAAAGATAACAGCACAGGAGAAACAACAATTGGAACTTCATCATTCTCGACAAGCATTAGCTCTAGCAGAATCTCAAATGGCGTCTTATGTTGACAAGCTCAAAGAAGTAGAAGCACGTGCAACGGAACAGCAAGAACAAATTGGTAAATTAGAAACTGAGAAACAGGATCTCGAAAATGGACAACACACTTTACAAGAAAAACTGGAAACTTTACAAGCTGAACTGGATGAAAAACAAGAATTGGCTGAATTATTTGAAGATGCACGCACAAGTCTTTTGGAAGAACAAGCCACATTACAATCACGTTTGGAATCATCTCATGCTAATTTGGAGGCTCAACAAACCTTGGTAGATACATTGAATACGCAACTGCAAAGTCGTACTGCTGAAATAATTCAATTGGAAGCCAAACTCAAATCTGGTTTACAAGGTAGTGATAATGATGCTGGTGGATCAGAAATTTGGGAACTCAAGTATCAAACACTAGAACAGCAATTGAAAGATCAAGTGTTGGCGCAACAGATGTTAGAGCAGGAAAAAGGGCGACTAGAATCTGATGTTGCTAAGATGAAGGACAGGATGGATCAATTACAACGACACGCTAATGGTTTGGAACAAGAACTCAGTGCGGAACGTACTGCAACTGCGATTGCGAATGATGAAATTCAAAGACATTTACTGACCTTGGAAAGTATGAAATCCTCTTTGGCCAATGATGATGAAAATGATCTTAGCGACAAGGATGATCTTCTTCAACAAGAACGGGAAAAAAGACAGGAACAAGTCGAGCTCTTGGAAAGTCAACTCACGGATCTAGAGCAACAAGTATCTAACTTGGAACAAAAGGAACAAGAACAAGCACGACTCTACGATGAAAAGGTGAAAGCATTAGCCATGGCAGATGAAAAGCATGAAGACATGGAGCGCATGCTGGAACAAGCTCGACAGCAATGGATGACGGAACAAACCAAAGTAACGACCATGACAGCAGATATCAGTCAATTACAACAGCAGTTACAACATCACTTGAACGATCAACAGAAATTACAACGACAACTGGATGAAACAAGACAACTTTTAGCAAATCGTGATCAGAATACGGAGGCATTACAATGGCAAGTCACCGACATGGAAAGTAGCGTCCAACAACAATTAGATCAACTGACTCGTCAACTGAAGGATGCTCAAGAACAGGCAGCAGCAAAGACGATTCAAGTGGGACAATTGCAGGAACAGTTATCATCAGCAACAAGTATAAACAAGGCACACATCAATGATAATGATGCATCCACTGATCATCATCAACAAGAAGAAGAAAAAAAAGAAGAAGAGGACGTGATATCGAAACATCAGCTTGAAAATGAAAACAAGGAACTGAAACTACGATTAGAACGACAATTTGAAGCGTTCACAACGATTCGAGGCGAGTTGACAACAGTAAGAGATCGACAATTGGACGTTGAAAACATGGCCAACAAAGAAAAGGAAGGATTACTAAGGGAAAGAAAGGGTCTGGAACAAACGATTGAACGGTTACGGACAGAGTATCAAGAACATTTAGAACGTATGTGGCAACAACATGAAGCTATGCGACATCATCATGAAGAAGATTTGACGGTGGGACGAAATGCATTGGATGCTGCTCAGGTTAAATTGATGCAAAATGGATTAAGCCCAGTCAGTGAAAATGGATTCGAATGGGTGAATAGTGAAGATGATGATGATGATGAAAGTCATGGTGATACCAGTTTTGATTCTTTGGCGAAAATACCTTCCTTGGGTGTCCTACCTCCTTTGGAAAAACCGGCGTTCTTTGAATTCTTGGAAACCCCTCGATGTAGTGGATGTCAAAGTGAAGTGATAGATATTTAGATCTAGTTTTATTTATTTATTTATATATGCGTATTATAATAAAAACTATTTATATATATGTGTTGTTTGATCGGATAGTACATTATTGGCAATTGGATGGTATCACAATGATTGTGTGCAGACAGAATGTAATCAGATGACTTTATGAATTAAAAAAAAAAAAAAAAAAAAAAAAACAGCCTTCCTTTTTGACTTTCTACATTGGATTTCTTCTTTTTTTTTTTTTTTTTTAATCAAGATGACTGATTTCCGACCTTTTTCCACTCCATCACCATTACTTGTTTTCCCATCAGGATCACCTAATAAATTACAATGCAGACCTACAAGAAAACCTCCCATTGGGATTGACTGGACTGAAGATCAAGACATGTTACTGGATCGGTATGAATCATTAGAGGAGATCAAGGCACCCATGATGATGATGCCGACAACAATGATTAGACGTCATTCTACACCTGATGGAATAATCATCGATGATACCTCATCCACATCCTCCATGATCTCTTCTGTATCTTCCTATGTAAGTAATACAACAGACAGTATGAGGACTTTATCTACTATGCCACGACGCCAATCATCATCATATCATCCTTGCTATGATTCTTCTTCTTCTTCTGCTCATCATTCCATTCGTGAACAACAATATCATGCTCGCTTTATCAAGAAAAAATCAAAATTTGGTGTGTTGATGACAAAAATGAAACGTGCCGCCGGTAGATCCTTTAGGCTTCTAGATTGAAGCAAAAAAAAAAAAAAAAAGGGATATCTACTATTATTATCTTATTTATTTTGAACCCTGATGATAATCATCATGTTGTTTCTAATTGACAGTAAACAACTCCTTTTATGATGATTCTATTTTTATTTATATCTACTATTTTTTTTTTCCTCTCGACATCTATTGTAAATAAAGGGAAGAGTTATCAATTGTTTTTTTTTTTGTAAAAATAATCATGATTGTAAACATTGAGTTATTTATGGGACCTCTAGTCAACCTTTATTGATCATCAGGTGTGCAGCACCATTATTAGATAAATAATGATTTTTCTTTTCCTTGCACAATATATCTGGCTCATCATAGAAAAAAAAAAAAATGAAATGAACGAAAGAATACTAAAACTAGATCATCATTAAATATAAACCTTGAAAAACAAACGATATCAACGAAAGAATACTAAAACTAGATCATCACTAAACCTTATATTTTGTTTTGTTTTGTAAAAGAGGAGTTTTTATTTCTAAGTAAATAAACTAACTAATAGATGCTATTTTGTAAAAAAAAAAGGTGGGAAAGGAAGATGTTCAAAAGAAAAATAAAATAGAAAAAAACTTAAAGGGAGATAGAATCAGCATAAGGAAGGTTGTAGACATCACCGAGAGCGACAGTGGTAGCTTTGCTCTTCAATACTTGTTGGGCAACCTATACAGAAATGATGATATTAATAAAAGTTCATCCTATGCCGACACACAAAAAACAACAGTGATGACTCCTCCATTCTCTATCCAAATTCCTTACCTTGGCAACATCAGCAACAGAGAGGCTATCCAAAGAAGCAGCGACATCAGATGCAGAGGTATACTTTCCAGAACGGAGAGCCTATTTTTTTTTTTTTTAAAAAAAAAAAAAGGAAATATGAGTAAGTTGCTTAATATTATTTTGAATCATTGCTTACTTGAGCACCAACAGTTTCGAGACGATCAAGACGAGTAGCAAAGGAAGAAGCAGCAGCGAATTTAGCTTGGGCAACAGCACGTTGGAAATCTTCAGCAGACAAACCGTTGGCAACAGCCTTCAATTGTTCAGCAGCAGCAGCGACAGCAGAAGAGGTGGCATCAGTAGAGGGAGCAGAGATGTAAACACCAAAGAGACCAGCATCAGAGTAACCAAAGTTGAAAGCCTTGATTTGAGTACCTTCAGCAAGCTTGGCAGAAGTTTGACCAAGAAGACCGGAGGCAGGGGCGGATTTAATGTGTTGGGCACCACCAAGGGCAAAGTGAAGTACTTGAGCAGCAGCAAAATCAGTAGAGTCAACGGCAGCACCTTCAAAAGCCAAAACGTAGTGGCCAGCACCGGTGCCTTGATCGATACGAGATTCACCACCATAGTACTTGGAAGCCAAAGTGGAGGATTGACCAGCAGGAACTTGAATATAAGAAGCAAGTCGTTCAACAGTGGCGAGATCCAAACCATTACCAACAAGAGCAATGTTACCTTGAGTGAAAGCTTCGGTGGCAAATGCCTTGACAGCAGCATTGTTCACCTTGCTAGAAGGACGAGCAAAGATAGAGTTACCCAAACCAGAACGGAATGCTACTTGATGAGCAGCTTCAATAGCAACAACTTCAGGGGTGGCCAAAGCACTAGTAGATTCAGCAGCAGTTTGCTTGGCAACATCAAGGAATTCATGATCTTGGAACTTTTGCTTGCTAACAACATCACCCAAGAGTTCAGCACAATGTTCACTATAAATATATACATATACGTAAAAGGTTGGTTTTTTTTTTTAAAAAAAAAAGTTAGTGTTAATCGTTCCATGCCCATACACTCCATTAATACACACACATATATGAAGATGTCCTTTTACAACAGATAGTTGATTCACTCGTTACTTACGCATCTTCAGTCAAGAATTCAGCAGAGTAAACAAGAGATTCATGGGTCAAGTTGGAGGATAAAACAGCACCGGACAGTTCAGCTTCACGAGCAACACGGAAAGCGGTACGACTAGTATTGTTCTAATAAAAAAGAAGTAGAAATAAATACAAGTTTGAGTATCAAATGTCAACAGATCCATTTAAACATATATATATATAAAGAGGCGTTGTTGTTATTATTGTTGAATTGTTCCTTGTAGAAATGTTGATATTATGGATTGATAATTGATAGTTGACATCCTTTATCTTTTAGTGGTGTTTTTCCGTGTTATTTTGTCGCACTGTTATAGTTGTTGTAGTTGGCGTTGTACCGAGGCTGAATTCGTTTCTTTTTTTTTTTTTTTTATATATTCGTTTGTCCTTACCTTGAAACCATAGTTCTTCAAAAAGTGAGCAACACCAGCATTGGAACCCTTTTCAAGACGAGCACCACCATTCACGACAATAGATAAACCAGCGGTTTGACCAGCATCTTCGACAGCAGCCACCTTGATACCGTTTTGTGCAGTGGAAATTTGGACAGCTTGAGAAGCAGTGGCGTAAGTAGCTTTGGAGGCAACGTTGGGAATAGAAGTGAATGCTTTACGAGTGGCGGCCAACATGATGTTGTATATAATGAAAAAGAGTAGGGAGACAAAGAGTGAAAGAAAGAGGAAAAAAAAAAAAAAAGTCGGTGTAAGAAAAAGAGTAAAAAAACAAAAACAACAACCCTTCACAAAAAGAGAGAAAGAGAGAAAAAAAAAAATATTCAATGAGGAAATCAGACTGGATGAAGGCTTTTTTCAGAGACCGATATGCCCGGGGCAAACAAAAGAGCCTGCCCAAAATAAAAAAAAAAAAAAGCACGTCATCTTATAACATGCTGTAATACAAGTTCAACATACCAAATATCATTGTTCTTCTTTATAATATGTTATGTTATTATAAAAGAATTCAAACAGTTTAATACAAATATTATATATATATATATATATTTTGTGATTTATTATAAAAATAATTAAAAAAGTGGATTTTCATCTATCTTTTCTAAATTCTATGATGAATAAAGTGTACATAAAGTGGTTAACATTTTATTCTCTCTGTCTCTCTCTCTCTATGAATACAGAGAAAAGAATAAAAAATTTTAGGCCCCGTCCTGAATTTTTTTTTTTTTTTTTTTTGCCTTTCCAAATTGAAGCGCGACACTTTTTTTTTTTTCTCCTTTTTTCTCCCATTCAACATCTCTTTAACTATAAGATCATGACCAAGGGGAATATTTCTTCTCCTAGTGAAAAGATAAAAATTATTTGTCGTATACGCCCTTTTTTGGATAATGAAGTAAAGGAAATCGCTGTACAGGTTGACGACAAAAATACTTTATCTTTAGAAAATAAAAGAGACCCTGCAAGTCCTCTGATATACAAAAAGTATGGTATCAATAAACTCAAAGTTCCCTATTAACTTTCTTTTTTATATATATATTAGTTTTTCGTCCTGTTATTCTGCCACTGCTACTCAAGAAACTATTTTTGTTCAAGATGTTCGACCACTCATTGAACGAGTTTTTGAAGGTTATGTACGTGTTATACTTCAATACATATATATATATATATATATATGTGTAGACTTACTTTTTTTTCTTTTTTATTTGATAGGATGCTACCATCTTCGCTTATGGTGTCACAGGTTCAGGGAAAACATATACTATGCAAGGTATCAAGGATGAACCTGGTATTATTCCTAGAGTGGCTGAATTCCTATTCGAAACAAAGGAAGCATCAAAATTATCTTCTATTGATATAACAATGTCTTATATGGAAATTCTCAAAGAGTCAGTATACGATATGTTGACGCCAAGGAAAAAGGTAAATAACGGATCGGGATGTTTTTTTTTTCTTTTCTATCATCGTATATTAATGATTATCCTCTTTTTTTTTTTTTTTTTTTTTTTTTTTAGAACATTGCTCTGGATATACGTGAAGATATCAATCGAGATGTATTTGTTGCCAATTTGACAGAGGTAAAAAAAAAAGAAAGAGAAAAAAAAAAGGAGGTGGATATAATGATTTCTAACACTGATTATTTTGATAACAGAAACGAATTCAAACATGTAAAGATTTTCAAAGGTTATTCAAGTAAGAAAGGAAAAACAAGAATAATTGGAAATACAACCATGTTTTTTTTTTCTTATGAAACTAATAACGAATATTCTTTTGTAGTTCTGCAAGCAAAAATCGATCCACCGCAAGTACAAGATTGAATTCACGATCTAGTCGATCACACGCAATTCTTACTTTAAAGGTGACAACCATTACACCTATTCAAACAGACGAAGGAAGACAAGAGGAAAGAGTGATGGGAAAGATCAATTTAATTGATTTGGCTGGATCGGAAGATAATCGAAAATCTGGAAATGGCAAGGCTCGAATGACTGAAAGTGCAGCTATCAATAAAAGTTTGTTTGTATTGGGTCAAGTAGTGGAAGCCATCAACAATGGAATGGTAAGTATGATTTAAATATTTATGATGGATTGATCAAATTTTTTTATTCTTTTAATTGAAGACTAGAGTACCATATCGAGATTCCAAAATGACAAGGATATTACAGGTAAAAAGAAGTTATATCTCGTGTTATAGGCATTATTCAATTAAACAAGAAAAAATGGATATTTACTTACGTTATCTTTTGTTTTCTAGTCAACTCTTGGCGGAAGCGCTTTAGGAATGATGATTATCAATATAGCTCCAGGACATGTAAGTCATCAAAAAACAAATATATATATATATATAATTTACTAATTTATTTAACACTTACTAGAACTTTTTCACCGACACTACAAAGTAAGTAAGGAACACTTGATGATTATTTTTTCTATTAGTTACTTATTCATTTATAATCTAATTATTTTGTTTTCTTTTTTTTTGTCATAGTACACTCAATTTTGCTCATCGATCCAAGGAAATCAAAAGTGCACCCAAAGCCAATGTTCGACGGACAAGGTCAGTAACAAGAAGTATGACAATGTCAAACAATTATGCCCAACAAGCAGCTATGTCACCAACGAGGATCACCCAACCTTACCCTTCACCAAATCAGGATAAGACACACAGAGATTCAAAACATGTCACCATCAATTCAATCAGCAGACGACTCTCCAATTTACCTTGCAACAACAAACGACCTTCCGACACCTACGAACAAAGAATGAGAGCATCCAAACGCACCAAATATTCACCAACGTACAGTAACAACAAAGATACCAACACATATAATCCATCTCATCAACTATCACCCTATAATGACAACTATCACACATTAACGACTTCAGAAAAGAACCTTCAACGTTGGTTACGGGACGTACCATTACCAACAAGAACATCACATATGCCACGTACTTGGTCAACGATCACGGCAGCCAATCATCAACCTATGACAAGAAATAGACAAGAAGAAGAATTACAAGGAATGGTCGAGAATTCTGTCATGCGGATGACTAGAATGATACCTATGACAGATGATGATGAAGAATTAGTGGTTATGACAAGATCGGAATTCAACAATCTACGGGATCAACTAATGATGGAAGCCAAACGGGAAATATTATCTGGTATATCTGAATCGGATTAGTTAGAATACCCTCCTCCTCCATCAAAAACCTTTTGTAATTTATATATCATTATTAGTCCACTTATTATTTCTGTATCATAGTTTTTTTTTTTTTCTTTCTTTGTATCCTTTGTACTTTAATTCATCTTTTATTATTTATACAAATGTCTCTTTTGTTTTCTTTTTTTTTTTATAAAAAAAAAAATAAACAAATAAAATCAAATATAAGTCTCTTATTTGTTTTGAGCGAACGTGGTTATCATAAAACAGAGATAAAATGGTTTATAACTCACACGCAAACTTGTTTCCATGGTGAAACCAGTGTACTCCGAGGATTAGGTCTTTATTATTATTATTATTATTATTATAGTGACATTGATGAATGTTCTCATGACACATTAAAAAAGAATCCCTGATCATTAAATTAGGGTTACTCTCAGGGTAAAAATAATTGTCATACTTTTTCATTGTAGGACAGATTCATTCAGGTACAATTTATTACATCTATGGGAAGAACCCTGTCTTATTGAAAGTCCAAAAAAAAAAAAAAAAAAAAAAAAAAACATATATCAATACTAACTCTCTATTCTTTCGTTCAATATTCTCTTTAACTATGGGTAAAAACGAAATAAAAACTTTCCTGGTTGCACCAAATACAACCTTCATGTTCAAAAGAAATACATCAATATATCATTGGATTTTCATGTCATTTCCCAATAATAAATTATATTGACTCATTAAAAAAAATGAAATAATAATAATAAATAAACAATATTTCATCATGGACATCACACTATCATAAATATTTCATCATCACATTTTTATTCATACATCAAATAGGGAAAAAGGAGATTGTTTCATAAGTCTTTGATGGCCCAGTCCTGCCCATTTTCATTAAATGTATATTATCTAACCTAACTGTGCCTAATTGGATGTCTTGTAAGGTTGTCAAAATAGGTGTGGCGTCAAATGACGGTTTCCTTGATTTCCGTTGTCGTTTTCGTTTATTGGGATCATTTGATGTTTCAGTTTCTGTTGTTATTGTTCTTGTTGTTGTTGATGATGTTGTCATTATTGTTCGACTAAATCCATTCCTACCTTCCATACTGGTATCGCGACATGTTTCTTCTTCTTCTACGGCTAAAACTGTTGATGATGATGGTGGGGGTGGGGGTGGTAAATTTTTGCCATAGATTGTATTGATTAAAGTAACATGAGGCTATGTTACAAGAGTAAAAAAAAAAAAAATTATTAGATGATTACATAAAAACATGAGGGATAGAAAATTTCGATCATTTATGTTTTCTAGACTTACTTTGAATGGACGATGTTCTTTTTCCATATAACCTGAATTTATCATTATTTGACGTAAGGAATCTATAGAAATGAAAAAGTCATTAGTAAATAAAACTTTATATTTTTTTTTTTTTTTTTTTTTGCTTACCACATAAACCATGAAAGAATCTTGTTTGTGATCTATCCCGAACTCGAGCGTAAAGCACATGGGCAATTTCTATTATTAAAAAAAAAAAAGGATGTGAATATGATGTTTAGATAAACATGAAAATGTTAATTTTTTTTTTTTTTTTTTTTTTACTTGGATTGGCTTGCATCACGTCCAGTCCATGAAGATCAATCACAAGAGGTTGTTGAATGACGTTATTGGCACAATGATCACGTAATAGATTTGTTGCTTGTAAGACATCTTCTTGAGTTGGTAAATGAAGGACACCCAAAGTGATATGTAAGTTTTCATATGGAATCACAGCAAGAGGGTCCAAAGATGACGGCATGGAGGGTGATTCAAGTAATAATCTTGAGTAATTGCTAGCAACAGAAGGTGACACAATTGGAAATGATAAAAAATGAGTAGGCCTTGACTTTTTGTACTGCTGGGATGATCGTGATCTTAACTTGAGTAGCCATATACAAAAAGGATAATCATTATTATGCATTTAAATATATTTGAAAAGACTTACATGACGGTATTTTTTATCATGAGTTGAATGTTCTTCTCTACTACCTTGAAGTTGCTTGGAAGAAGATGAGGTTTCTTTTTGTTCCATTGAAAACTTTTGTTGAATTGACTATATATTAAAAAAAGAAAAGTAAGAAAAAGTATATATATATTAAGAGGTTGATGAGGTAATTGACTGCATAGACCATGGTAAAAAAAAGGGTACACAAACTATAGTTTCGTTTTACCGTATTACCAAAGGTTGACTTTTTCTTTTTATCAAGATTGGAAGTTGAAGTGTGTCTTTTATTGAAGATGCGTATAAATCGTATTGGTAAGAAACCAAGAACAGGTTTACATTGAAAAACACACATTCAAATAGTTGAAAACATATGAAAAAAAGAAAAGAGAAAAAAAAGGGTTTATTGAAAGTCAGTGAAAAAAAAAGATTGGAGTCCAAAAAAGGCTCATCATTCAAAAAGCCTGACTTTTTTTTTTTGTTCAGGTAACCCTGATGTTTATGTCAGATCCTATATTTTAATTTCATTTGTGATCACTTTAATATTATGTAAAGAATTAAGGAATTCAATTTTGTACGTGTGTGTGTGTGTGTAAGTGTGATGTTCGGTGATTTCCTACTTAATATATGGACTGGATAGGGGACAAGCAAAAAAGTGCGGGGAGTTTCTTCATCTATCATCCCATCTTTATCATCAGCATCTTTACAAGCAAAAAAAAATTAAGCTCTCTGAATATAAATAGAGATTTTGGATTTTACTTTTTTTTCTTTCTTTTTTTATTTTTTTTCTCTTTATATTTATTTCTTTCCTTTTTAACCCTTTCCCTTCTTTAAATAATAACGATGTTGAAAGCTGGTTCTTTGGCATTGATTGCCACCATGCTGCTGGCAGTAGTACATGGATTTGAAGTAAGTGATCATATATATATATATATATAATTATGATTATATTCATTCTATTATTATTATTATTATTATAGAATGATTGTAATGATAATTTGGCAGTATGTAAGTAATCATCTCGGCAGTAATTGATCTCTTCTGATTCTCAAAAATAATACTTTTCTTTTTTTTTATTAGACTGGGGACAAAACTCCTATGGAGCTGCTAATGGAAATGATCCTTCTCATTGGCAACAACCTTTACGTCAATATTGTCAAGATTCATCCATGGATATCATTCCTATGGCTTTTGTCACTCAATTTTTTGGTACTGGTGGTCTTCCTGTCATCAATTTGGCCAATGTATGTATCAAAAAGCATGATTTCCTTTTTTTGCTTTTTATTAAAATACCGCCTACTTATCTATTTTTCTCCTTTTTTCCTTTTCTTTTTTTTTTTTTTTTAATCTCAAGATCTGTAACAATGTCGATAATAGCACTTTCCCTGGTACATCTTTGGCCAACTGTTCTTCATTAGCAAGTGATATTGAATTCTGTCAGAGTAAAGGTAAAGCAATCACTCTTTCTTTGGGCGGCGCTACTGGTGGTGTTGGTTTCCAATCTGATAGTCAAGCTTCTACCTTTGCTGATAATGTTTGGAATCTCTTCCTTGGTGGTTCCTCTTCAACAAGACCTTTTGGTAAGGCTGTTTTGGATGGTGTTGATCTTGATATTGAAGGAGGTGGATCAAACTGTAAGTAGTAAACAAAAAAAAATATTACAAGAAATACTTACTTTACCTGTTTATATAGACTATGGTACATTTTTGACTAGTTTGAGAAGCAAGTTTAGTGGTGCAAGCAAGAAATACTATGTGACAGCCGCTCCTCAATGTGTTTATCCTGATGCAAATCTTGGTACGACTATTAGCCAAAACTCTATCGATGCTATTTATGTACAATTCTGTAAGTTAATATTAAATATATATATAGATATATATGTGGATATTAACATATATAACACCTTTGACCTTATTTTATAGATAACAATCCTTGTGGTCTTCAAACATGGGGTACAAGTGGTTGGAACTATGGTGTATGGGATTACTGGGCTAAGAATGTATCACCTAACAAGGATATCAAGGTTTATATTGGTGCACCTGCTAGTCCAAGTGCTGCTGGTGGTGGTTATGTGCCTTTGAGTACTTTATCCAATATTGCTGTTACTACTCGTCAAAACTTCCCAAGCTTTGGTGGTGTGATGTTCTGGGGTAAAGATAATTGCGGAAATATGAATATCATTTTTCATTTATGTTTATTCACCTTGTTATCTTTTTTTTTTTATTATTATTATCATTTATTTCTTTTCTTGTATAGATGCGTCTCAAGCTGTTGCCAATGGAGAAATCAATGTTGGTGTTAAGCAAGCTTTATCCAATGGTGGTTCTTGTGGAAAACCATTCTCTTATCCTACTTGTTCTGCTCCTGCTTATCAATCTGGTGGAAACTATCCTGGAGGCTCTAAGGTGTCTCACGAGTAAGAATTTGAAAGAATTTAAAATCTATTCCCATGTTTACATAATAGATAATTTGATCACTCATCTTTTTATTTATTTATTATATAATAATAGTGGTTATATCTGGCAGGTAAATAATAATACATCACTATTCGATAGTGACGGAAAAGTCAAATACTATTTTGACTTTTTTTTTTAATTATATGATGATAGGCAATGTGGTATGCTTCTGGTCCTCCTGATAGTTCTTTCCAAACCTGGATCCCCAGTATGAAATTATGATTTAATTCAAATATAAGGAAAACATCTTTCTAATCACCTTCTCTCTCATTCATTTGATTAATAGTCAGTGCATGCTCTGGTTCTGGTTCCAGTTCTGCTTCTTCTACTATCAGTACTGGAGCGTCATCATCTTCATCAGCAGCAGCGTCCAGCACCAGCGGTAGTAAGTCGGTTACTAACGGAGGATCTACTTCCACTTCTTCATCAACTGCACCCACTTCCTCCTCTTCCAATGGCTCAAGCAGTGGTTCTTGTGGAACTGTTTCTGTCTGGTCCAATACTGCGATTTATAAGGCTGGCGATCAAGTAGCTTACAAAGGTCAAATATACAAGGCTGGATGGTGGACTTTAGGTGATACTCCTGGAGGCTCTGTTGGCGTTTGGACTGTTGTTGGCTCATGTTCTCCTCAATCCACTGTGGCTCCTCCAAGCACTTCTTCTAAGAAAAGTAAGTAAAAATTATAGATAATTATTTTTTTTTTTTTTTAAAAAAAACAAAAAACAAAAAACAAAACAAAAAAAAAAAAAAAAAAAACAAAAAAAAAGAGATGAATGAATATGCTTATCATTTTTTTTTCATAGCTTCCACCATCGGTTCTCGTTCTGCTCCTTCTTGCAAAGATGCGACTCAATGGAGACCCAATGTTCAATACACGGAAGGAAGCAAAGTGATTCATGGGTAAATTTGAACTATTAAAAAGTAAGATGACTATGATACTTATTTTTTTTTCTTTCTTTTTCTCTTTCAAATAGTGGCCATATTTATACTTCTATTTGGTGGAATCAGGTAATATATATATAAACACATATATGTAGCACGCTTTCGATTCAAAGGTACTTAACGAAAATAATCATTTGACGTAGAATGAAGAACCAGCTGCTAAAAATACTGTTGCTTGGAAATTGGATGTTGTCTGCAATTCTGCTGTTGTCAAGCGTGAAAATAGGATTCTATACTCTCGTAAGTTAGAGGATTTAAAATCAATAAATGAGAAATCAGGGTATGCTAAAATATTTGTATTTATACATATAACTTAGGTGCTTGCAAGCGAAATTGGTCTCCGGGTGCATTGTACTTTGAACAAACTTTAGTGGCTCGAGGTATTAAAAAAAAAAAAAAAAGGTATTAGAAGAATTGCCTAATCCATCTTTACTTTATAATTAATTAGATGGAAAGTTGTATCGTGCCAAGGTTAGTTCCAATGGACAACCACCAGAAGACAATACTTCGTAAGTAGATGGTTTAGTTATTGAAGAAGATTAATCATAGTGGACTTCTAACTGGATATTGTTATTTGGTTGATGATAGAATTTGGTCTTTGGTTTCCACCTGCGCCTAGGTCTATTTTTTCAATGCAACAACATGTTATTATAGTAGTAGTAGTAGAACTTGGCTTATGTAGTTTACTTTTTTTTTCTTTTCTTTATTATTAGTATCTTTGTCTTTCTTTGACTATTATTATTTATTACCATTTGTTTACTGTTGCAAATAAAGCGATCTGTTTTATCTTTTGAAATTATCTGGTTATCAATCATTATTTATTCATCATCCACCGCCATTTGGTATTTATAAAGAAATGACATAACATTCTTCAGAAGAATCGTCATAAAACAAAGTGGAAATAGGTATGCACACAGCATCAAAGTAAAATTATATGAATAGCCAAGGAGTTTATTCAAATAGACGGTATATATACATAAAAAAGAGGGAAAAAGGGAAAAAGGGAAAAAAGAGAAGAAGAAAAATCAAAACTGGTATATCTAAAGAAAGAGACAGATAGATAGAGACAGATAGAGAGAGACAGATAGAGAGAGACAGATAAATAGATAGATAGATAGATAGATAGAGAGAGAGAGAGAGAGAGAGAGAGAGAGAGAGAGAGAGAGAGAGAGAGAGAGAGAGGAGCTTGGATATGCACGCACCAAAAGCATATTGATTGTCTTGGTATAGTCCTCACCATGTTTCACCTTTGCCAATATAACAAAATCGTTCAATAGAAAAAAAAAAATGAAAAATCTTAGTGATGTATTCTAAATATTCTAATAGAGATAGCTTCAACACACTGTTGCATTACCATGATTTGACTTACTTGTTATAGAGCAGGAGAGAGATATCGCGGAAGAGGAGAAAGATATCAAATGATTGAAGCTGCTGTTTCATTGGAAGCGTTTATTAATGTTATTTGTTGTTGGTATGAGTGATTTCAGTGGTATACGAATCGACCAAGCGGTGGGTATTTTGTGGTGAGCCACAAGAAAGAATCACGGCAAGGAAGGAGGAGAGATTCTTGTAGTGCATGATCATGATGATTGGATATCTCCAGATTCAGAAACACAAAAAAAAAAAAAAAATCACCTATCCAATGTGGGAAATTGTTACCTATCCAGATTCAGTAATTTGCATAATAGGTCCCATTCAACACGATTCATTGGTTGAAAAAAAAAAAATAGAGAGGGTTAGTCGAATTGAGTAACACAATATTGATGATTTATTTGGATTATTCACTTACAGGTAAATACTTAACGAGCAACAAAGAGAATGGCCAAACGTCAGCATTATCAGTAAGGGAACGAAAGTGGATAAGAGTAAAAGAAAAGATGGAAAAGACTTGTCCAGGCTGACATATACAGTAAGGCTAGTAGTAACAGATGAAGAACGAATATCGTCCGAAAAATCGTGAGAGTAAATAGTCCTATCCAAAAGGTTTATTCATAAAGCCCACCCACAGTCCATATTTTATCGATTTCTTGTCGGCCAAGTCTTTGTCATGCATTCTGATCAAACGGGTGCAAATATGTCCACCTATTTGTATACCGATAAACCTGTCTGTTGTTGTTCCTCAAGTATACTAACGCTTGGTTTCATTTTGTTGTATTTGTACTTGCCTTGAACTAATACATCCTTCAAATAAAAGCCTGCATATAATATCAGTATCATTCTTTATCACGAACTCTTTTTCTTTCTTTCATATACGTGTCGTAACTTACAAGACTGATTCCTCTTAATTAACCCAATTGGTTTTTTTGTTTAGTATAACGTGCCTCAACAGTCCAAAGGAAAAAAATTATTTCGTGTCGAGAGTTTCAAGTGTCGACTGTGATAAACCATTCAGTGGCTGTTGTCATTGATTCCACCGTAAAAGAAAGAAAACGAAAGAAAAGAAAAACCAAAAAAAAAAAAAAAAAAAAAAAAAAAGGATCCGCCACACGGAGGATTTTACCCGGGATCAAACCGAGATGCCCCGCTTGCATAGACTCACCAAAACTTTTTTGTAAAGTGATCCGTTTCATAAACTTCATTCTTATGATGATCCTTGATTTATCATGCATCATCCTCTTTTAAGAAATATTAACATTAAATAAAAAAAGAAAAAGATTCATCATGGTCAAGGAATGAATATCATGATGCAAAATGAGAGGATTACTTGCATACTTTTTCTGTACGACTGTATATGTGACATTTTGGAACAACACCAATGAATACCTTTCCGTCTTGGCAAGGAAGGGCTTTGTCAAAAAAAAAAAAAAAGTTCTCTTATAAAAAAGAAGAACGATTCTTTCTTTCTTTCTTTCTTTTTTTTTTTTTTCTTCATTCATATCACCTTTTTTTTTAACACAAACAAATATTTTTTTTTTATTTTGAAGATGACACTCCGCGTTGCAGTACTAGGTGGATCCAAGGGATGTGCAAGACATATGGTAGCTCAAGGATTAGAAACAGGGAAATATGAATTCATCTTGCTTGTACGCAATCCTGACCAAGTGGACTATAATGAAGAGCAAAAAGCCAAATTGACGTTGATCAAGGGCGATGCGTTGGATGCAAGTGCTGTCAAACAAACAGTGGAAGGCTGTGATCTTGTCGTGTTTGCCATTGGTAGTACCATCACTGCCACTTTCAAGATGACCCATCCAGGTTTATGTCAAAAGGGGATGAATGTGTTATTGAACGTGATCAAAGGAATGGAGCATCCACCAAAGCGATTGATTGCCGTCACTACAACGGGGGCTATGGATCCGAAAGAAGTACCCTTGTTGTTCCGTCCTCTCTACCATTGGGCCTTGGCTGAACCTCATGCTGATAAAAGAGAAGTTGAGAATAGTATTCAATCATCATCTCATCCTTTCGATTGGATCATCGTGCGTCCTTCCTTACTCACAGATGGTGCATTGACACAACATTATCGTGCTGAATCAAATCGTTTAGTGGGGTATACTATTTCAAGACAGGATGTAGGTCATTTTTTGTTAAATCAATGCTTGGATGATGATGAAGCTAAAAAATGGATAAATAACTATGTAGTGGTCACTTATTAAGGTGCTTTTGTAGTATATATCCTAAATAAAACAGTATCATTCATTTAAAAAAATACAAGACAAAAATAAATGTATATGCTTGATTGATGTTTATTGATATATAAAGACCAAAAATAAAACAAAAATGTGTAAAAGATCATGATAATGATGATGATGCTTCTAAGAACTAAAAAAGGAAGTTCCCAGACATTGTCACCTGGCTGATCCCCATTGTTTCGAAGTGTTGTACAAAGTGAATAGCATAATCCCAACACCAAAGATAATTAAAATCATATCGATCCTTCGTTTGATGCCAGTTGTTGTAGGTAATTTCAAATGGAATAATGGAGGAAAAATCAAACTAAGTGGACCTAATAAAAAAAAAAAAAAAAAAAAAAAAAAAAGAGGAATTAGATTCATCATTATTATAATCACAGACTTTTAACTTACAACAACATATAGATCCAATTAAACTGATAAATTTGTCCAAATCATTTGCTCCAAAAAACGCCACTGTACCTGTAACAACGACTACAGCAAATCGCACCAAATTCTTTTCCCATTTGATTCGCATATTGTATTTTCCAGTTCGATCACCAAAGAGAGCTTGTTCAACAATACGAATGGTAGGAAAAAGAGCCAATACATTGGATAATTGCACAGCCACAGCATAACCAAGTTGAATCATATTGGGTAACGTACCAGATGGTAAATTAAGTAACGCCACAGTTGCCACAGTGCTTCCAAAGGAGACATAGCCAAGTGTACCCACGAGACATAATGTACCAGCTACCATACACATCACTCCTGTCAATACCAATGGAAACTTTTCAGGTTTTTCCATGGCATCTCGAATAGGAATAATCAAACCTAAATAAAATAAAAAAAAAAATAGAGTCACTATCCCTTTTTTTTTTTTTTTTGATTGTAACTTACCAATCCCTTCAAAAGAATACACTGCAGTACCAATAAACACAGAAAAATGATCCGGATTGAATGTCCATATCATGTTGGGACCAGCTGTAGGGAAATGTGTGTTTGATGCAGCAGGATTGTTCACAAAGATTTGAATCAAGTCATAGACAAGTAAAACAGATAAACCAGAAATAATCAGGACATCAGATAATAGAGCGGTAGGAGACAATTTAGCTATATTTCTAATCAAGACAAGAGGCATCAATAGTACACATACCAGAGTCAATAATCCATTGGCATTTAATAACACCCTATTATTTGATAATCCACGAATAGCTTCTGTAACATTTTCCACAATGAATATAGTTCCACCACAAACAAAACCCAACTAATCATCCCAAAAAAAAAAAAAGGTCAACATTTTTTTTTTCATGATTAAATGGTATTTACCTGAGAAATGGCAATGGAAAACAAAACAATGCGACGCATCCAAGGACCATAAGCAGCTTCACCAATATCACCATAACTTCCAATCATAAACTTTTTGCAATCTAATAAAAGAAGAAAACAATAAAGAGAGATAAATCCCATCAACCATATAACAAGGATGGAAAAGAGAAGACCACCATTAGAGAATGCCTTGGGAAGGAACAAGATACCACTACCGATGAATGCTTTGAAGAGTAAGAATATAGTTTTGGTAATATCCGTTTTGTGATCCGATGGTTGCATGCCTGACATTTGTCTACGTAATTTTCTGCGTTGAGCTTTATTATTTTCATCCGGATGTCGATGTCGTCGTAATAATTGTCTAGCATTGCTGGGTAATAAAGGTGTTTGTTCATGAGCAGGTAAACGACTTTCTTCATCTTCCTCTTCTTCCTTATCACTATCACTGAGATCTTCACCAGCAAAATGATCCATCAAAGAAGTCAGGGCCAGATATTCCAAAAAATGTCTTGTTCGTTGTGGTGGATAAGAATAAGTTTGTTGTTGTTGTCGTAAACTAGGAGACATTGTGAGAGCTAAAGAATGAGGTCGATATAGGTCAGAAAGATCAGTATATGTTTGTGATTCCTGTGAAGAAACAGAACTTGGACGGAATAACTCATGGAAAGCAGAAGATGATTTCAAGTTGGAAGTATCCGGATGAGAACCAGATGAATGACTTGACCCATTTTTGGTAGATGTTGATCCTTGCACGGGACTCTTTCTTCCTTCTTGTCGTAATATTCGTTGTTGATGTACATGAAACCGACGAAATCCACCAGGCTTGTCCAAGTTTTCAAAAGCATCCATAGAGTCTTCGTCATTATCGTCGTCATGAACCATAGCACCACCTTTTGTACGAAGATCACTAGTGGACTTTGAGCGTTGAAGTTGGTTTTGTTGTTGAATGAGAGAGTTGGCATGAGTATAAATATCATGTGTCACAGCCGCACCTGCTAAATGGTAAGGAACAGGTATTTCCTCCGTACTTGTAGTTATATCTGTTTCTGAAGTGCCTTGTTGTTTTGGTTGTTGTCGTTGGTCTTCCAATTGTTGCAATTGTTGTTCTTCTTGCTGCGATTCACCTTCTTCTACTGTATCACCTGTAGAACCAACTAGATGTTGTTGTACAAGATCAGCTATAGTTTCGTCTGGTATAGCATTAGGCAATATTGACATTATCAAATAAAATAATAATAATAAAAGAAAAAAAAATAGAAGAAAGTGTAAAGAAATAAGAAAAGAAAAGAAGAAAAAAAAAAAAGCAAAAAAAAAAAAAAAACTCCCTTCTAAATTTACAGAAATGTTCTGCGCTAGACCTATTTGGCTCAGAATTGACATCATACTTCTTTTCTCGGAACTCACCCAAATGACCCGATTCAATTTTTTAAGTTTCCCCACCCCCTTTTTTGTTATATATATATACTATTTTCATACAAACTAAACTAATATGTACCACTTCTTTTCAATTAAAATTTCATCATCACCCATCATGTTGATTTTTTTTTTTTTTGCAGTTTTCACTGGATAAAAACTGATGCGGAGAGTAAAATTGCAGGAGGATGGGAAGGTTGAAAAATATTATGCATAAACAGTTTGAATGAACCAGCATAGAGGATACATAATACGGGAACTATTGAATAAAAGAAGAAGAAAAAAAAGAGAGAGAGAATGATTTTTATTGATGAATTTTCAATAATGTGTATCTATATAAAAAGAGAGGATGATCTAAAACTATAATCTAAACTAAAAATCATTCTTTTTTCTTTCCTTTGGTAAAAAAAAAAAAACATACACAAATATAATAAAAAAAAGAAAAAGGGAGGAGTGAGGGTACCATCCATTTTACAACTTGACACGCTTTCGTAAAGATTCCTTATATTCAGCAATAGATCCTTCAAAGGGTTCGACATGACCATTGTTACAACTCCAGATTTGTTCAGCAACTTGTGAGATAAGACGGAAATCGTGAGAAACAAGAACCACACCACCAGAGAAAGCTTTGATAGCTGCAGCAAGAGAATCAATAGATTCCATATCCAAGTGATTAGTAGGTTCATCCAATAGAATGATGTGAGGACGGGCCATAGCCAATTCAGCGAATACCAATCGAGATTTCAAACCATCTGACAAGTGGCTGATAGGAGAGGTTTGATGTGAACCAGTGAGACCATAACGACCGATTTGTTTGCGCCAGAATTCAGTATCGGAACCTTCGTTGGGGAATTGTTTTTTCATGTAATCAATAGGAGAAAGGTCCATATCCAATTGATCTGCAGAGTGTTGAGAGTATTTGCCAAGCTTGAGAGAGGTATGACGTTGGACACGACCACTAGTAGGAGCGAGTTCACCACTCATCAATTTCAACAAGGTAGATTTACCAGCACCATTAGGACCCACAAGAGCAATACGAGAATCCATATCAACACCTAATTCCACATCCTTGTATAAAAGGTTTGACATATCACCACTGTAAGAGAAGGATACTTCTTGGAAAGCTAAAACAGGAGGAGGAAGTTTTGGCACATTGGTAAAGTTGAATTTGAATTGAATTTCATTTTCAACCTTTTCGATCAAACCAGCAGCTTCCATTTTATCGATAATCTTTTGCTTAGATTTTGCTTGTCGGACCAAGTTGGCATAAGTACCAGCAGAGGCAATGAATTTCTTGATGTGAGCAATTTCTTCTTGTTGTTTAGCATAAGCCTTGGCTTGATTGATTTCATTTTCTTCCTTGGTCTTGACAAAAGCATCATAATTACCACCATAGTAGATCAACTTGCGCTTGGGATTAAGATGCATCATGTTGGTACAAACACCGTTCAAGAAATCTTGAGAATGGGACACAACTACCAAAATACGATCATAGGTCTTGAGATATTCTTCCAACCACACACAAGCTTCCAAATCTAAATGGTTAGTGGGTTCATCCAAAAGTAATAAAGTAGGCTTGATGAACAAAGCACGAGCAAGTGCCACACGCATACGCCAACCACCAGACATATCCTTGGTCATCTTCTTCATTTGTTGAGTAGAGAAACCTAAACCAGCCAAAAGAGTACAAGCACGTACTTCAAAAGTAGCAGGATCCATACCTTCAATACGTTCATAGATATCATCCAATAATGGGTTATCCGCACCATCTTCTTCACCAAGAATATCTTCCACTTGTTTTTCCAAACGAGCTACTTCCTTTTGAGCAGATGAAATAACAGCTTCCACAGCATTTTGATCAGAAGGTTCAGCTTCTTGATTCAACAAGTAAGTCTATATATAAAAAAAAATAAAATAAAGATATATAAATGACAAATCGATTTTATTATTATCCTTTTTTTTTTTTAGAAAACTTACATCAATATGATCAGGAATTTCAATATCCTTTTCAGCAATGGAGTGTAAAAAGGTAGATTTACCAGAACCATTGGAACCAACAAGACCATAACGACGACCAAAATTGAGTTCGATACTAGCATTTTCAATCAAGACACGACCATGATAATTGAGAGAGTAAGATTCAATCTTAATATCTCTGCTTCGTTCTTGAGAAGTATAAACACCAGTAGCAGTACGATCCACCTTGATCTTCAACTTTTCCATACCGAGATCTTCGTCCGAGTTGTTACCAGAAGCAATGGGAGTGCTCTTAGCTGATGATTTGGCACTGCTCTTACCAGACTTGGCTTCACGAGCTGCTTTGGCTGCAAGACGTTTAGCTTTGGATGCAGAGATTTGACCACTCATAATGTAAGATATAAAAAAAAAAAGATGGAAGAGGGAGGTAAAGAAGAAAGAAAAAGAAAAAGATAGAATTAAGGAGTGAAATCACTTTTGCTTAAAAAAAAAAAAACTGTGACTGAAAACTTTTTGAGCAAAGCCAGTAAAACTTTTTGAAATCATAGTGTGCCGCAGTTGATTGGATCATTTCATGCCCAGCCATTTTTAGACTATTTACAGGATTAGTTTTTAGTGCCACAACTCCTGCGGCTTGCAGCAAATTATATCAATGGTTAGGATTGGACATCATAGATCAGATATTAAATTCAACATAGATAATTGTTTCTGATAAGTCAAACTTTGAATCTCACTATAAAATATATATATTTTTTTTCAATTTAATCTGTCACAACTTGATGAATAAAGAATAAAAAAAAAGATATATTGTTTATTGATTTCCAAAGAAAAAAAAAAAAGGATAAATAAGGAAAAAAGAGAGATAGAGAAAGAGAGAAAGAAGAGGAGGATGATATGGAAACAAGTACACAAAAATAAATGACGATGATAGAATAACTAACTAAAAAAAAAATCACAAATCCGTAGTCAATGCTTGAGAAGAAGCCAGTTCTTTTTCAAGTTCTTGAAGGAGGAATGCATCATCATTATAATCGGAAGGTTGTTTCAATGTCGATGGCGCACGAGAAGCAGTAGGTGTTGTCACAGGAGTGGATGCTGTTGAAGAAGTAGTCGAATTGGAACCTTGTTGTTGATTTGTACTTTTATTATTGTTATTATTATTGTTATTATTACTATTGTTGTTGTTGTTATCTGTAGGTAGGGATAAAAAATCGGATAAAGTTTGAGAATCTTGTGCCTGAACTAAATCTTCCAATTGCTAATAATAATAATAATAATAAAAGTTAGCATACAACAAAAAAAAAAAATAATAAGGAGAACTTACTCCTCGATAATGACCACCAACAAAGATAAGTGGAAGTTGAATAGATCGTCCATTTGTTTGTTTACGCATATGTTGTAAAGCAGGTTCTCTTCGGGCCACATCGATGACTTGGTATTGGATTTGAGATGTGGTGAGTAAAGTCTGGATGGTTTCTTGATTTCGTTTGACTGTAGAATTGGCTGATACACTACTGATATAGACGTGAATGGCATGAGGATCCTTTGGCATAAGTTCAGGTTGATCATGGAAAGTACTCATTGTTGGCCAACGAAGTACTTTTCCTGCTGGACCTCCAGTCTTTCGTAAAGGTGTAGGTGTGGTGTTGGTTTGATTGTTGATATTCATATTAGGAAGAGGATTCATAGCAAGTTCGTTCATTTGATCATTGTTGCTGTTATTGTTCAAAAGGATAATACTGTTTCGCTTTTGGATATGATGTCGTATTTCTGCCTGTTGATCCTTTTTCATCACTGTTAATTGTTCACGGTGAGACTTTTGAAGATGAGCCATTTGTTGAGTATGATCATGTTCCGATTGTTCGAATTCTCGTAAGAGTTTTTCCACTTCGTCGTTCATATCGCTTTTGGCGCGCTTTTCTGCAAGACCTAATCGTTGCTTCAATTGTGCCAAGTCTTTTTCATGACGACTTTTGAGTTCAGCCATAGAAGATTGTTGATTGCGTTCCAAAGTACGAATAGCTTGTTGATGAGATGACTTTATTTCAGATAAAGATTGTTGATGTTCGATAAGTTCACGGTCCTTTTCAGCAATGGCTTGAGCATGAGTTTGCAGTACGGCTTCATGTTGCTTTTTCTGAGCCTTAATTTATTATATAAAAAAAAAAGAAGAAAAGAAAAGAAAGAGAAAAAAAAAAGTGAGTTTAAAAAAAATTAGGAGAAAGAGATTTTATTTTATTTTTTATATATTCTTACCTCCAATTGTTGATTCAATTCTTCAAGTTTTTGAATCATCAAACGATCATTTTCAAGATCAACTGTTAATCGATTTAATCTTTTTTGACGTTCTTGTACATCATTGGATTTTCCTCGGTTAGAAGATGTTCGTTCACGTCGAGTAAGTTCCGTTCTCAGTTCAGCTAATTCACCTTCCTTATCAGCCAATCTTTTTTGAACATCTTCATTCTATAAAAGGAAATGAGTGATCAACCAAAAAAAAAAAAAAATTGATTCCTACTTACAGTTTTCTTTAATTGTTCTAATTGTAATGATACTTCTTCCAAGGCAGGTTTAACTAATTCAGCTCTTTCTGCTTGCCATTTTAATTGAAGACTTTGGATTTGTTCTTCTTTTGATTGGAGTAATTCATTTTTTTCAGCTAAAATAGTTTCAAGTCCCTCTTCTTCTTTAGCCTTCATTAAAAGTTGTTCGATTTCTTTTTCTTTTTGTTGAAGTAATGCTTCTTTTTGTTGTAAAGAAGATAAGGTTTCTTTGTTTCGTGCTTCCATTTCAGCTACAATGGATTCAGTATTGATATCAGATTTATTGTTGGTTGAATCCAATTTTTGCCTTAAATGAGCTAACTCGGCCGATTGTCTCGCAATAACATCTAGATGTTCTTCGTTCTTTATATATAAATGAAATAATCATCATCAGTAACATTATAAAATATAGTTTCTAATTTTTATTTATTTATTTTATATTTACCTTTGATTTCAATTCATGATATTCTTGCTTCATTTGCACTACAGCGGAATCATTTCCTAGTTGTCTCGATTTTTCTGAATTATTACCAACTTGATGAATTGATCCTTTCTTCTTTTTACGTCCTCCTAAACAAGGCATGATGATATGATGATAGAGAATATAATAGAAAAATTAAAAGTGAGAAAAAAAAAGAAGGAAAAGAAAAAAAATGATCAATATTGGTTTTATATAGGAAGAGTATGTAATAAATCAAGGAGCGAAATGGATAATTACTTTTTTTTCTTTTTTTTTTTTTCTTTTTCTCCTTGACCAGACATTGGATGCCCTAATTAATGCGACTTCAGCGTGATTGTTTCATCTCCCCTTACTTCCTTGTAGTCTCAAAATCCTCATCCAGTTGTTTGATAATTTCTCCATAAAATAACCCCTCCTCCTTTCTTTTCCAATTTATACTTATACTCCCTTTTGTCTTCATCTTATAAAAATAACTTCAGAGAGATTAGAAAAAAAAAACAAAGAAGGTCTTGTACTAATCTAGTATATTTAACTGTGCGCTTTAGACAATTTTGATTTCCTGTCCTTGTGATTGTATTCAGTTCTATATTTGTTCTTTATTGATTTTTTTTTAATCAGATTATACTACATAGATGATGATGTATAATGGATTGGATGATATGGTGATATTTACCCTTTATATTACTGTCAAACATCAAAAACACTTGTTTCTTGTTTCTTTTGAACATTGTATAAATGCCTCTATGTACTAATTTCGTCATTATCAATCATCATCCATCATTGCAATCACCATTAATTCATCCAGTATCGTATTCCATAAATTAACCATCATCATATATTATCACTACTAACCATTTATCTCCATCATTGTAATCATTATGTTTAACGCCTGTGGGAATGACATTGATGTTGGAGCGTGCAACACATTGGTGGCAATCCATCGTGGAATTGGGTGGGGTGGGAGACAAACAGAATAATCCAAGACAATGAAAAGTATTTTATTTTTTTTTTTAAAAAAAAAAAGCATAGTGGGTTACGCGAACTTTGTAAATGATATGTTGAAGAAAATAAAGGTCATCAAGGTCACTGGGAATGAAATTGGAATAACTTTGTGAATATCAATCCATCATTATAATTAGTATCTATTATTAGTGACTATTATTCATTTTATTTAAATAACTTTTTCTATTTTTTTTTCTTTTTCTTTTTTTTCTGTAAGAGGTGGTACCCCCTTCTTTGTTTATATTAGAATAACTATAAAAAGCTAAACTGGAAAAGGTAGTTAAAGATGATTAAAAGAGGTCTTTCTATGGTAGGCAATGATACCAAATTTGAATAATTGCTCTGTTTTTGGATTATAATCAAATCATTTTTGTTACTATCATCAACATTAAGGGGCCACCCGAGGGTTGTATTATCGGTGTTAGAAACAAGCTCTTCATTTTCTTATTTTCCTTTTCTTTTCTTTTTTTTTTTTCTTTTCTCTTCACTCCTTTCCCCCCTTTTTTTTCCACTCGTCCCTCTTTCGTCCCCACCCCTTATTACTTTATTCATATACCAATATTATGACTATTGTTGTTAAAGCCTCCAGTAATACGTTTCTTGCAATTACTCTGACAACTGCTTTAGCTGTAGCACTTTATGTTTGTCCTCGTAGAAAGCGTCTAACTGCTCAGTTTACTCAAACTCGTCAAATGAAATTCGAACAAGAACTTGTAGACGAAGGTAATAATGTTATATTTTATATCTCGAACTACTTATTAATTTCGTCTTTTATAAAGAGGAATCGCCTTTATTGACAAATAATTCGGATTACGTGGATGTAAATGGACATGAATTACGCATTATCGAAATTATCAACAAAAATGAAAAAGCACCACTTATGGTATTTATTCACGGTTTAGGTGGACAAGTATGTTATAAAACTTATTATATTAGTAATATATAATAACCAAACTTTTCTTTTTTTTTTTTTTGGAGATTAGGCATCTCAATGGGAACATCAACTTGAACACTTTTCCAAATCATACCATGTCGTGGCTATAGACTCTGTTGGCTGTGGATATAGTGAAGTGGTCAAAGAGTAAGTTTTCTTTTCTTTATAATACTTGTAGTATATATTGTGAAGTTATTTATTTATTTATATTGAAAATTTTGAACTTAGGTGGTCATGTTATACAACAACGTCACTTGCAGATGATATAATTCAACTTATCACTAGTGTCAGATACCCAAACACTAAACCTATTATCCTTGTTGGTCATTCTTATGGTTGTGCTATTGCTACGTTAGTTGCTTCTTCTTCAGATATTAAGGGACGACTTGCAGGAATGGTTCTTATTTCACCAAAGGCAGAATTAGGTCAAGATCAAGCGAAAGGGCAAAAGATATTACCATGGATTCCTGATTTTATTATTGAAAACGCCCGGAACAAGGATCGTCAGGGTGGGTTGTATTCTACTAGTGTTGAACGACTTTTGGGTAACAAAGCATCCGAAAATCTACGAAAAAGGTATCAAAAAAAAAAAAAAAGATGAAGAACGTAGACTCATTTTTATTATTACTATATATGATGGATAGACAACTTCGTTGGAATGTGATGAGTCGTACAGATGTATACAAACGGACAGCAGCAGGTGCAACATTTCCTTCATCTGATATTTATGGCAAGCTTGCATCTGTGAAGATTCTTTTTATCGGCGGCGAAAAGGTATATAAAAAAAACTGGTTTTCTTTTTTTTTTTTTTAAGAAAAAAAAATGGATATTCTTATTTATCAACAAGGGGTATTAAGTATAGATGATTCTGACTCCTTTCTTTTGAATTTGTGTTGTTTAGGATGAAATTACTCCACCTAGTGATATGACATTGATACGAAAACAAATCCTTGAGTCTACTGATGATAACTCAGACAATATCAAACAACCTATGATTATACCCAATGTTGGCCATATGTCTTTGGTGATGAAACCTGATATTGTGAACAAATGGATTGATGATTTCTTACTAGATATTTAGTGTATAATAAAAGATATTTGTTTTTTTTTTTTCTCCGTTGCAATGCAACTATTTTTGCTTTGACATGCTGTTGTGTTGTAGTATTCAATCTCCGTCCACTGCTTTTCCTGTGGATTTTCCCACTTCTTTTTTTTTTCCCTTCTTTTTCAATTTATTTTGTCTCATTTTATATATTTTTATTATTATTACTATTATTATGAATCTTACACATAGCCATCCAAATCAGAACGATGCTCCTGGACTATTATATGCTGGTTTTAACCAAGATTATGGCTGTTTTGCTATTGGACTTGATAATGGTTTCCGAGTCTATAATAGTGAACCTTTGATTGAACAGGCTCGTCACGGTAATTGAATATTATATATATGAAGATGAAAAGAATGCGGATAATGCAGTCTTACTGATTCTTTTCTTGTTGTTATACATCTATCTTTTTATACTAGAATCTGACGAAGGAGGGATAGCTTTGGTGGAAATGTTATACAGGACAAATTACTTGGCATTAATTGGTGGTGGCAGAAATCCAAGGTATCCTCCAAACAAGGTGATAGTCTATGATAGTATAAAAGGGAAAGCAGTATTGGAACTTGAATATAAAAGTGAAGTCAAGAATGTCAAGTTACGGAGAGAAAGGTATAGGAAGGTACGAAAAAAGAAGGATTCAATTTGTTAACCTTTTTTTTTTTTTTTTTTTTTTTTTTTTTTTTGATAGGCTAGTAGTTGTCTTAACACACAAAGTCTTTGTATACCATTTTAGTCTTCATCCACATTTATTACATACATTTGAAACAACTGATAACAGGAAAGGTAATGAAACTGTCAACTTGATAATTTTTGATTAATGTTTATATTATGATGGACGATATAAATGTGTGTAGGTCTAGCGGCAGTATCAGCGTCACCTGATCATGCGATGCTTGTTATACCTGGACGACAACGTGGACATGTACAACTTATCGATTTAGATACTCTTGGTTATTATTGGTCTTCCATGTCTACTACCGATGATCAGGAATCCAATGGCTATCACTCATCAAATTTGAATCACTATGAAGCAAATATAACTTCTGGACCATCATCATCAACAACATCAACATCACAACATAATGCATCAACAAGACATTTACCTGCAGCCACAACAGCAAATATTAGTATTATTGCAGCTCACTCTGGAAACCTTAGTTGTATTGCTTTAAATCATGATGGAACGAAATGTGCGACTGCTAGTGACAAAGGAACGTTGATTCGTGTGTTTAATACAACAACTGGAACATTATTGAATGAATTACGACGTGGTATGGATCGTGCTGAAATCTTTTCTATTGCTTTCAATCAAGATTCTACAAGGTTATGTGTTTCATCAGACAAAGGTACTATTCATATTTTTAATTTGGATCCTTCGGTAGTTATTATGGCTGATCACAAACCTCGCGGTCCTACATATGGTCAAGTTGTGATTTATCCTACTAGTCAATCTGCATCACAATATGGTCTTACTCATAGTGGCAATCGTGGAAGTAGTCTTAGCTTTATGAAGGATTTATTACCTAAATACTTTAGTAGTGAATGGAGTTTCGCTCATGCCAAGGTGATTACAGAATCTCAATGTTTGGTGGCCTTTGAACAAAAGCACACGATATTAGGTAAATATATTTATATATATAATCATTAAAAAAAAAAAAAAAAGAGAGAATTTAAATGATTTCATACTCTTCATTCACTTTGGTTTTTTTTTTTTTTTTTTTTTTTTTTTTTTTTTTTTTTTAGCTATTTGTGCAGACGGCAGTTGTTACAAGTTTTACTTTGATCCAAAGAAAGGTGGTGAATGTACAAGGGAATCCTTTGAACGATTTTACAAACCTGATTCGTTATGAAACCCAATCATTTTTAGTAGTCTTTTTTTTTTATTATCATACCAGAAATATATACATATATACATTTATATCCATTATTATTTTTAGTTTTCCCATACTTCATCTATAGTTGATCTTCGTTGTATAATGATACTTTGTACACGACCTATTTAGATATTATTCATTTGTATAATAATAATAACAATAATAATAAAAGGAAATTACTTTTTTTTTTAAGATACTTTGAACTATTCGAATGTTTGATGATCGACTTTTTTTGTTGAGAGAAACTAGTTCAACATATGATGAACATGCAATGAAAAATAATGATTGTTCTGCATTATCTTCTTTGTTTCGTATTGAATTACATGAAACATTGATATCATTCATGAGATAATGCATAAAAAAAAAAAGAGAATTTGATTCATTGATATTACTGAATATGTCATTATTTCTAAAAGAGAATCATTCAATTTCTCGAACATGATTGTTTAATAAACATGTCAAGGGTGTATCTTATTATTATTATAAATATATATTTTTATGCAGCAAAATAATGATGATGGACTGATTTTTCTTTCATAAGCAGTAGATCATAAAATTTAGTTTTACTATATGAAAATTGATTAAACAAACCCTAATTCTTTCAAAACCATCACTTTTATTGTAGTTATTATTGTTTTTTTAAGAAACAAAAAAAAAAAAGAAACTCTCTTGGCAAAAATGCATTTTAGGGGAGAGATGGAGTTGAAATCTTTCAGGTCTCAGATTTTTTTTTTTTGAAAAATAAGTTTCTCGTAAAACTAGTTTCTTTTTTCTTTCTTCCTTTCTCTTATTCAATCTAATCTAATGGCAAAACTGACTCAGATGTTCATGGATATGTTATTTTTGGATCAAAACTATATAAAATGAAAAGTCTGACTATTTTCATAGGAATCAACTCTTTTTTTTTTTTTAACATTATGAAAGTCATTAGTCTTTTCACTATTATCACTACAACTATACTTCTTCCTTTTATTGGATCTTCTACTGGAGCCTTACTTCATCGTAATATTGAACAAGCAAATAATGAAAATACTATTATTCAAGACAATAATGCTACTCTATCGAACATTGACTTGAACAAATTGAATGGTACCTGTAAGTATTGAATATTAATATCAAAAATAAAATAATTATATACTAATAAAAATTAATATTAGGGTATGTTATCAGTATGGAAAAAGATATTTACAAGAAAATGCAAAAAGTAGCTGAAAATTGTAATGCAACTTGTATTTGTCCTGAACTTATTTTGACACCTAATGGTCCTGATTCTTTGGATGCAAATGCAACTTGTACTCTTCAATCTCAAGGCAAGACTATTCAATTACTCTCTCATGGATTATTGACTCTATTACCTGAACATCCTTCAAAAAAGAAGAAACATATCAAAAATGAACTCTCTCTTGCTTTACTTTTCTGTAAGTATATATATATATATATATATATATATTTTATGGACTTGTACTAAACTATGATTTTTTTTTTTTGGTTTATTCTGGAAGCTCAACCTTTTATCATCAGTAATGATAATACAACTGTGTCCCAAAATGGTGATCAATGTAATTCCCTCCCAAATATTAATCAAGAAGGTGTACAACCTCCTAGTATTGATTCTGGTGTAAAAGGAAAAATTCATTGGACATTTTATCCTATCAAGAATTCTTCCTCTCAAGATGAAGCGGCATTTGTTCGTACAAGTAAGTCATTTGAGTTGTTATTATGAAAGGATTTAATTTTTTTTTTTTTTTTTTTAAAAAAAAATAGAAGATATGATATCAGCTAATGACAAGGATGATGTTCCAGATGTTAATATGTTACTTTCCAAGGATTTGTCTACTTTTGATGATGCTACTTATAATGCAACAGCAAACTCAATTCCTGATATGGGCGAGGATTATCAATATGATTATATGAAACTTGACAAGTGTAATTTCAATTCAACTGGTGGTCAACAACCTGAACCAACTTCGTCTGAAACTGGAGGCAATAATCAACCTACTGAAACTTCCACTGAAAATGGTAGTCAACAACCTAAAGCTACAGAATCATCCACTGAAAATGGTGGTCAACAACATCAACCTGCCGATGCCAATGGTAATCAATAAAATCAAAATCAGAGTCAAGTCCAATAGTATAGTCAATATAGTTTAAGTTCCTTCAACGAATTTACATTTTAGTTTAGGAAATTTACATTTTTTTTTTCGTATGCAACTCAAAATAAAAAAGAAATTACTGGTTTTTTCCATGTTCTTTTATGTTTTTCTTTTTCTACGTTTGATTAGAGACTTTGTTTGCCCTGGGGTTTGAATATATTTGCAGTGATTCTTTTTTTTTATTACGGAAATAGATGATGGATGATATCAATAAAATCTTTCTTATTCTTTATTATAGTCTCTTCTTAATGATCATAGCTAAATCAATAATTTGATCGTTTTGGAAGCTTGGCTATCAAGAGTTATTCAAAACTGCCTGTCATCCCAATAAATAAAAAGGTTGAGAACGATTATGGCGAATCATAGGCCTAGCATTATTTCATTTCTTTCTATGCCTGACCTATATGATTAATGAGGGTAGCAAAAACCTGCGACATTTAAAAAAAAAAAAGATTTTACTTACCATATTTCTGTTTCTATTCTTTTTTTTTATGTTCCCTTTTTGGTATAACCAATCAATCTTCTCCGCTTATCACAGTTAGAAATTTTTGAATCAAATTCTCACGTCTGTGGGGGTTTTTTTTTCTTCTTTTCCCTTAATTTTTTTTTTTTTTTGTAATAGTTTCTTCATTGGTTGTCCTTTCCAATATGATCAACTTTATGAAAGGGCAACCTTCATCTGATTTGTTACCTACTGAACTATTTGCAAAGGCAACAAGTCTGGCCTTAGCTGATCCAAATGCCAAAACCGATATGCTACAGGTAATAGACTGATTCAACAAATTTGGCTATTTGAATGCTATTTCAATTACTTATTCTATCTTTTTTTTTTTTTATGCTGTTGTTGCATTGTGTTATATTGTATTATAGTATGGCAATGAACTAGGTACATCTGCCTTCCGAGAAAACCTTGCTTCATTTTTATCCAAGGAATACGCTTTACCTGTGGATCCGTAAGTTTTTTTTTCTCATTGCTTTTGTCTTTTAAAATAAAGGATAAAACTAATGGTAATACCAATGGTCTTTTTTTTTATTTTATTAAAATAATAGACGACATTTATGTCCCACTGCTGGAGCATCCCATGGACTTGAACATGCATTATCACTTTTGACTCGACCCAATTCAACGACAAAGTATTGTTACTTTCAAGAACCCACCTATTTCTTGGCCTTTGATGTTTTTCGTGATGTTGGATTTCAACTTGATCAATTTGTAGGTATACCTGACAAGAACAATAATGAAGGATTGGATCTGGATTATTTCGAAGAAACCCTGGCCAAGCATTTTCCTATACCACCTCCACCACCTTTTACAGCACCAATAGAAGAAATGACAACAACAGAGGAATGGATTTATGATGCTGTTCTCTATTGTGTTCCAACTCATGCCAACCCAACAGGATCTATCTTACCAATGAATCAACGACAACGACTGGTGAAATTAGCAAGGAAATACAACGTCTTGGTGATATGTGATGATGTTTACGATATTTTAACCTACTCTGATCAACAACAAAGTGACGATGACAAAAACAACAAGAATAATGATGTGGTGATCATCCCTCCTCCAAAACGAGTGGTGGCCTATGATTTGGAATTGGATTCCGCTCATCCTGTCATCATTAGCAATGGTTCCTTTTCAAAACTTCTAGCCCCGGGTGCTCGGATTGGATGGTTAGAGTGCCACGAAAGCTTAGTACAGCGTTTGGGTGCATGGTAAATACTGAAAAGATAAAACACGTGTAGAAAAAGGGGAAAGGAAAATCTCACTTATTTTGTTTTTTTATTATATTACTTATTATATTGTATACAAAGTGGAGCAAATATATCTGGTGGATCACCATCCAATTTCAGTAAGTCTGTGATTCTAAAAAAAAAAAAAAAAAAAGTCGGCATTGAAATCATAATGTTACTAGAAATTGCAAATGGATAAGATTAATGATATCATTTTTTTTTTTTTAATTCTTATTATAGTGAATCAAATAGTGAACCAAATGATGATAGCGACAGATCCAGATATTTGTCTTCATAGCCATGTTGCCAAAGTTCGACAAGCGCTTCAAGAGCGATTACACAAGGGAATGTGGGAAAATATCCAACAAGAGTTAGTGCCTTTAGGATGCGATGCGGGTCGGGTGGTTCCTCAAGGTGGCTATTTTGTCTGGTTACAACTTCCTTTTGGGATTGATTGTAATGACGTCCAACAAGCAATTAAAGATCATAATATCCAAGTTTCTTTTGGTAACACCAATTTATTTATGATACCGACAGTGGCAGCAATAGATGGCTTAAAGAAGGATAAGAATGAACCGATGGATGAAAAATTTATCCGACTTTGTTTTGCTCATTACGCTGTGGAAACGATTCAAGAAGGGATTCATCGTCTGGCTCAAGCTATAAAGATATGTTTGGACAAGCAAAAAAATATGGAAGCTACTACTTGGACTATTCTACCAAAGGGCGGACGAAGTTCAATCAACGGTGAAGCGTCATCCAATGATTGAAATCCACAACTTTTTTTTTTTAGCGATACGATAGTTTAGATACATTTTACTTTTTAGATTAATGAATTAGTTTATTTAGAATAAAAATTGTATTTTATTTTATTTTTTTTAAAAAAAATGGGAAAATGATTTCTAATAAAAATGATTGCACTATATGTATATTTTATTTTTATTTATTTTTTTTTATTTTCGAGTATATAAATAGATAATCTAGCCTAAATGTACATAAGATGAAGAGCATATGGAGGAAGAAGATGATGATGAAGAGGAGGAAGGGAAATCATCATCAGCGAAATTGATGTATTGATCATGAGAATGATCCAAAGAAGGTAAATCAGTAAAAGCCAAGGGATGGATATCTGTAGCCACTACTGAAGAAGGAGGAGATGAAGGAAGGAAAGGGTCCAAATACGGTTCCATTTTTTCCACGGGTGGTGAAGATTGTTGGATAGTGATACTATTGAATGCCAAAGGACAATGTAATTGGATAGGTTCCAAATCATCATTCTTGTAAAGTTTTTCATCAGCAAGAAGTCGTTGTCTTTTCTTTTCTCGTTTTGATAAAGTTGGCTTACGCTTGTTATTGTTGTTATTGTTGTTGGGGTCTAACGATGAAAGGGATAAGGTCGATGAAGAGGATGAAGAAGATGATAAAGAAGGGGATGATGGGGAACTTGGTAATGATGATGGTAAGGATGTAGGTATATTTGATGATTGTGATTCTGATGGTGTTACTGTTGATATTTGTAATGCTGATGATGCTGATGATAATGTTGATGATGATGAAGGTAATACTGTTGAAGATGGTGATGATAATGATGATGATGATGATGATGATGTACCTGTACCTAATGTTACTGAGGTTGATGCGGCGACAATAAATTGTTTCATTTGGTCTTCTAATCTTGCCACAGTTTTCCGTAAGCAATCATTATCAGCCTGTAATTGGATCATCGCTCGTTTCCACATGTCCAGTTGCTTTGCTTTATTTTCAAGGTCTTGAACATAATGTTGTTTTCTTTCACGGAAAGCTCGTTGTGCTGCCCGATTTTGTGCTACTTTTTTATCTAGAATATTTGAAGAAACGGTAGATGATAATAATTTTTCTTCTTCGACTATCATACGGACATATATATAAAAAAAAAAAGGGTTGAGCCATTAGGCTTGAATGATTAGGATTGAGTTTGCTTACCATGATGAGAAGAAATATCTTCACTATGAGAAATGTAAATAGTAGAAGAGTCGTTCATAGTAAATAATAATAATGATAAGAGTAAAAAAAAAAAAAAAAGAGTCAAATTTGACAAGAGAGGGGAGAATAAAATGAAAGAAAGAAAAGGAAAAGGGAGTAAAGTTGGAAAAAAGAAGAATAAAAAAAAAAATCGATGTGGGGAAACTTTAAATCCCAATCAAAACGAGATATAAATTTCTCACGAGGGGACCGCCAATCACATTGACCGAGATGGCGGTGGTAACTCAAAAGAGAACCTTATTTCGGGTAACTTGGCAAATACTAGAACATGTAAGAACGAAAGACACAAATGAAAAAAAAAAAATGGGGTAACAACTACTCATCATTCCGTTTATTCGATGATTTTGATTAAACATCCGCCCTTTTGTCCAACTACCAAACACATCCTAGTTTGGTTTCTCAAGAGGTGGCTTCTATCTTTTTTTTTTTTTTTTTTTTTAAAAAAAAAGTTGAAACCAGATCCATGAGCGTGGGATGGTTACCTCCATTTATGGCAAGCTCACCAAGCTTAATCAACATTTTTTTCTTTTTCTTTTTTTTTAGGATGTCATGACAATATGACTTTTTGGTTTCTTCCAAGGATTATTCATAAACTTAAAATTAAAGAATTTCTGTATTTATTTTCCCGGTTGAAATATATCGATCACTTGTACCTTATTTTCCTTCCGAAAGATACATGATTACATGATGATATTAAACAAGAATAAATATAAGGATGATAATGATGTAGTTGTTAATGAACGGAAAAGTAAATGAAAACGTGCTCCGCTGACCACTGTGCTGGGTTTATGATGATTGTTAACTTTATCATTCCCCATCATCATCATCATCATCATCATCTCCACATCATACACTCCAACACTAAAAAAAAATAATCTCCGTTAGAAATCTTTCATCGAACCCTCCTACCTATTTTGAAAACTTTTTGTCTGTGCCCTTGCCCGTACTACATGATCTTCTTATTTTTCTTATCGTTACTTTTTCTCATACATCAGCCTGTGAATACGGGTAATGCTGGAATGATGTTAATCATTGAATATCAGTGATCTTCCCTTTTCTGTTTGTGGGCGTAAAGGGTTGCATACATAGGAGTAAAAAAAAAGTGATATGAAAAGGGAAAAAGAATAGACTGTCAAACTTGAATAACTAATAAATGCATATTTGAGTCCTGAATAAGTTGCTGATCAACATCATCAAATATAAGATATTTGAAATGAATATTATGTTATGATATATATATATAAATTGTTAATGCAGTATTCAATAAGGCATCAAGTCGAGGATAGTCGGAGTGTAAATACACCATTCACCATTCACCATTCACCAATCCAATCCTTTTTGTTTCCCTTTCTCTCTTTGCCCTTTTTGATTTTTTTTTTTTTTTTTCAACTTTACATTCTCCTACCTTCCTCCATCTTTTCCTTTTTCTTCCTTGTCATGAATCCTTCTAATCAGGGTCCACCTGATGCCTTTTCACAGACTTTGGAGAAAACACCCCGTACACAGAAAAACTCACAGCAACGTCAACAACAAAAAAGACTTTCTACTACATCTACAGACCAGCCACCAATTCATAGACTTTCTCGATTGTTTGAAAAAGACACCACTAGTACTCAGTCAACGAAACCAAAACTACCAAGAAAACCTCCGTCTTTACGCTCTACACAAACCAACACTCATTTAACTGGATATCCTCCATCACCTTGCCATGAAACAACGGTTGAAAATGATGATTCCAATAACGTCGATCAAACTTCTTTTGCCTTTCAGGACATACGAGCTCGTTTCCAGCAGTCAAGCCTGGACGACAATAAGAAGGTAATAAAATAAAGGTTGTTATACTAGGTATGAACGACTGATGAATATGATTTATTTTGGTAGGTTCTGCTCAGCAAACGAAACCCTTCTATACGACCCATCTCTTCTATTACTCACGAAAGTTTTCAGTCTGTACAAAAACAGGATACGCAAAACAAGAAACCACCAAAACTTTTATCTCACAACTCAAGGAAACCTCCCACAGTACCACGAATGACCAAACGACCAGATTCGATGGTTGCAGAGATAAGTGAACGCCTTGAAAATGGAAACTTGACACCCATCTCTCCAGTACAAACACATAGTTCCAATTCTTCTCGTCGGTCATCCACAGGGATTGCTTCATATCAATCTTATGCACCTGGAGCAACAACATTACCACCACCAGCACCACCACCACCACCACCATTACAACGTGACATGGTAGCTGATGATTTTACTGACCTACCTCATCCTCGACTACTTATACCAAAACGATTATCTTCAACTACCCTGAAACATCCATATCCATCTAGTCCAAAGACCACTACAACTTCTACAACTGGTTCTTCTTCTATTCACATGATATCAAGGTCCGGTACTGGTAACAGCATACTTAGTGCAACATCATCCAGTTCTTCATCATCTTCTTCAGCGCCTACTACAGCGCCATCCCCGTCAAAACGTACATGGAATAATTATGGAAATACGATTACAAGCTGGTTTGGATCAAGTAATACTAGCGAACAGCAGCAACAATCACTGAAGGATTCGATCACGATGGTGAACAGTATACCATTATCATCATCTTCATCATCAGCTATTGACAACAAATATAACAGTTCTAATACCAATCATCATGCAACATCAACACCGCCATCACTTACACCTCAATCGTCTGGAACGAAAAATATGAGCCAGGAAAGCAAGCGCGTGAAAATCATCAGCGAAATAGTGGAAACTGAAAAGAATTATCAAAATGATATGTTGGTACTAAAGGAAGTGTATTACGATCAAGCTCTCTTACCAGATTCTGGTTTTTCCCCTTCTGATGTGAAACATGTGTACTCTAATCTTTTGGCTATTGTGGATTTTGAAGTTATATTTGTTGATCGATTATCAAGTGCAACGAGTGGGGATGGTGGATCTTGTACGCTTGGGTCGGCATTTTTGGATATGGTAAGACTTCAAAGACAATTAAAAAAAGGATGATTGATCAAAATGAACTTTTTTTTTTTGTTAGATGCAACAAATTGATCAAGTTTATTGCGACTATTGTAAACGACATGAAGATGCAGTGATTCGACTTCAGGAACTGGAAACCAAACCTCAAGCTCAACAATTCTTACAGGTATGATCAACAACAATAAGAGATTCCTTTTTTTTTTTTTTTTTTTACTAACATCTTTTATAGCGATGTGCGGAGCAATTGCAAGGTAGAACTCAAAGCTGGGATCTTGGTAGTTTATTGATCAAACCTGTCCAACGTGTACTGAAATATCCGTTGTTATTAAAGGTAATGAAAGAGAAATAAAATGAAATAGTGTCTGTCATACAAATAATAACAATAATATTCTATTTATTAGGAACTCTCAAGTATTACGCCACCTGATGACCTGGATCATGAAAACCTTATTACAGCCACCATCGAAATTCAGAAAGTAGCTGATCATATCAATGAAATCAAACGACGCAAGGATATTGTTGAAAGAATAGTTGGCGATAAAAAGAAAACCGAAATGAATGTAGTGTAAGTTCAAAAAAAAAAAGTGATATAGATCATATAGGTGGATCAATTACTTATTATTATCATTATTATTATTCTTTTTTTTAAAAAAAAGACATGGGATCAACAAAAAAATCACAAGAAAAGCGCATAGAATCCGACAAGTGACTGGACTAGCAGCTGAAGCAACACAAGATACCATATTTGATACATTATACCAAAAGTTCGAAGATCAACAAGAATTAGCACGACAGTTGGCTCGCGATATTCAAACATGGGTTCGGCAAGTCAAGGATAATTTTGACAATCTTTTAGAATTCGCCACTAGCTTGGAAGAAGTTTATAGTTCATTTGGTGGTGTCCGCGTACGTAGTATGAATCAAATCAAGGAATTTACAAAACTGGCTTCCAACTTTCGAATGGTTATCTCCCGAGAATTGGTAAGAAGCAAAAAAGAAAACTGAATGAAATCAATATAAAAATAAACAAATTCTTTGATTTAGGATACAATGATATATGCGTATACATATGCAAAGATTGAAGGATTTTTAGCAGTATTTGAAAATCCTACTCAAGTGATTAACAAACGTGGACAAAAACTGCTAGATTATGATCGTGTACGTGGAATCAAGGCAAGAGGAGATATACCAGATAAGACACTTCAAGAATCAGCTGATATGTATGTTTCCATCAACGCTCAACTTGTAGAAGAATTACCTTTACTTTTCAACTTGACTCGACAATATTTTGACATTATCGTGGGTGATCTAGCCATGGTACAAACCAGGTTCTACGAAATGACTTGTCGTGAATGGAACAAATTGATGCAACATCTACGACAAGATCCGAACGACAATAGGGATAACAGCAGTTTTGATGCCATCATTGCCAACTATCAGAGAGAAATGAACAACCATGTACAACCTTTGATTGATGATATTATGCCACTCAACAAAGAACAATGGAAGATGATTCTTGGTGCCTTGCCTTTGACACCACTTGCTGATGATCTGACTGGTGGCTCCAACAATCGAACCAAATTACCTTCTGATGGTTATTTTGATAGAAATTTATCTGTACAAAGCTTCAACGATGATGGTAAGTAATCCTTGAGATAAAAAAAAAAAAGATCAAATGCTTTAATTACCATTCAATTCATTTTATTTATATAGATACAAGATCATCAATATCTAGTCGGAAATATGGATCATCTATATGGAAAGCTAATAGAGGAACAATGATGGATTTAGGTGGTACAACAGATGATGATCACTCCAAGGTAACAACACCTTCTCAAAATGATGATTTTTCCAACAGTCGATCTCAAGGTTATAGTGAATCTTCCAACAACAATAATAACAACAACAATTTAGCAGAACCAGCATTCGAATGTGTTGTGATTCATGATTATTTAGAACCTAGTATGGAAGCTCTTTCTGTGCGCAAAGGTGATGTGATTCAAGTTTGGGTGGAAGATGAAGATGAACAAGGGTTACAAGGTGCATGGCTCTATGCAAGTATTTCAGTTGGTCATTCTGAACATTTTGGTTGGGTACCTTCTCAATTTTGTCGAAGATTGTAAATTACATTGTGTATATTTTTTTTTTTATTATTCCTCTCCCCTCCTTTTTATATATATGTATATCTTACGATTCCCTTTTGTTATCTCCATTATTATTAAAGACATCTCTCTCTTTTTTTTCCCTATTGTTACTACTATTACTACTATTATTATTATTATTTTATTATTACATTATTACTATTTTCTTGTATCATTCATCAACATACACTTTTCTTTTTGGTTCTTAAGTCAATGAATAAATTTGTTTTTATTATTAAGTATAGAAGACGACAGATGTTTCTTTTTAATTTTTAGAGCGATAATTTTTTCATTGTTGCGAATGCATGATTGGGTAAAAATAGGTAAGAAGGTTCATAATATTTTATATATATATATATATATGAGCTAATATGAATCGATTATTTTCTATAATAATAGTGATCAATAAAATAATCTATTTATTTCTATGATTGGATGAAAAAAAAAAAAGGTAAAGGTTTTAATACAAAATGTTAGGAAGTTCCAGTAACAGCTATAGAAGATACTTGTCTCTTTTTTGGATAGACCACATTCCTTGTTCCTATTGGCTGGATGTCAAAATTTAGCAACTTTGAACCATTGTACCTCTTTCGTTCTCTGTCGGCCACGTCGCATGCTGAAAAACACAGCCAATCAATTTCTGCCAGTCAATCACTGAGCTGACATATAAATCCCCCCCTTGAGAGAGATAATTTTTTGTTTTTCCTTTTTTTTCTTTTCTTTAGCTTTCTTTTTTTTTTTCCTTTCTACATTTATTAATACACATCATATAAAATGCAAAGACGGACAGCATTACTGGCCTTCTTCGCTATTGTAGTGGCCTTATTTATTGGTGTCTCTACTGTAAAAGCGGATGATAAGGAATCTTATGGAACTGGTAAGAAAAAAGGATCAAAAAAAAAAAAAAAGAGTATCAAGGGAACCATAAAAAAAAAACAGATGATATGAAAAACAAAAAGAAAAAGAAAAAGAAAATTCATTATTATTATTTTTTTCATAGTTATTGGTATTGATTTGGGTACTACCTATTCTTGTGTTGGTGTACAAAAGAATGGACGCGTTGAAATTATCGCCAACGATCAAGGTCATCGTATTACTCCCTCCTATGTTGCCTTTACTGATGAAGAACGTCTTATTGGTGATGCTGCAAAGAATCAATATGCGGCTAATCCTGAACGAACTGTGTTTGATGCCAAGCGTCTTATTGGTCGTCGTTATAATGATAAGGACGTCAAGACTGATATGAAGCATTTCCCCTTCAAGTTGGTCAACAAGAACGGTGCTCCCAATATTCAAGTGGCTGTCAAGAATGAAGATAAGGTATTCACTCCTGAAGAAATTTCTGGTATGGTGTTGACTAAAATGAAGGAAACTGCTGAAGCCTATCTTGGTAAGCCTGTGACTCACGCTGTTGTGACTGTACCTGCCTACTTCAATGATGCCCAACGTCAAGCTACCAAGGATGCTGGTACTATTGCTGGTTTGAACATTCTCCGTATTATCAACGAACCTACTGCTGCCGCTATTGCCTATGGATTGGACAAGAATGATGGTGAAAAGAGTGTGTTGGTTTATGATCTTGGTGGTGGTACCTTTGATGTTTCTCTCTTGTCTATTGATGATGGTATCTTTGAAGTCTTGGCTACTGCTGGTGATACTCATTTGGGTGGTGAAGATTTCGATAGCCGTGTGATGGATCACTTTATCAAATTGTGGAAGAAGAAGAACAATGGTGAAGATATTACTGGCGATCTCAAGACTATGGGCAAGCTCAAGCGTGAAGTGGAAAAGGCTAAACGTGCTCTCTCATCCCAAATGTCTGTTCGTATTGAAATTGAATCCTTCTACAAGGGCAAGGACTTTAGTGAAACTTTGACTCGTGCCAAGTTTGAAGAACTCAACAACGATCTTTTCCGTAAGACTCTCAAGCCTGTTGAACAAGTCCTCAAGGATGCTGGTTATACTAAGGATCAAGTGGATGATATTGTTCTTGTTGGTGGTTCTACTCGTATTCCCAAGGTTCAAAAGTTATTGGAAGATTTCTTCAATGGCAAGAAGCCCTCCAAGGGTATTAATCCTGATGAAGCTGTTGCTTATGGTGCTGCTGTTCAAGGTGGTATCCTTTCCGGTGAAGAAGGTTCTGATAAGGTATTGCTTTTGGATGTGAATCCATTGACTCTCGGTATTGAAACCACTGGTGGTGTGATGACCAAGTTGATTCCCCGTAATACTGTGATCCCTACCAAGAAATCTCAAATCTTCTCTACTGCTGCCGATAACCAACCTACTGTCTTGATTCAAGTATACGAAGGTGAACGCGCTATGACAAAGGATAACAATAAGCTCGGTAAATTCGAACTTAATGGTATTGCTCCTGCTCCTCGTGGTGTTCCTCAAATTGAAGTGACTTTTGAAATTGATGCCAATGGTATTCTCAAGGTGGGTGCTGCTGATAAGGCATCTGGTAAATCTGAATCTATTACTATCACCAATGATAAGGGTCGTCTCTCTCAAGAAGATATTGATCGCATGGTGCGTGAAGCTGAAGAATTTGCTGATGAAGATCGTGCTATCCGTGAACGTACTGAAGCTAAGAACCAATTGGAAAATTACATTTACAGTCTCAAGAGTCAATTATCTGGTGATGGTGCTTTGGCTACCAAAGTCTCTGAAGATGACAAGCAAACTATTGAAACTGAAATTAAGAATATTGAAGAATGGTTAGAGGAAACTCCCAACGCTGAAAAGGAAGACTTGGATGAAAAACGTGAAGAATTGGAGTCTGTTGTCAACCCTATTACTAGTCAATTATATGGTGATAGTGCCTCTGGTACCACCGAAGATGATGAACCTTTACGCGATCATGATGAACTGTAGAAAGTCTTTATACTAGTGATGGATAGATTTAGTTTCTTTTTTTTCTTTTTTTTTTATTTATTTACCCTCTCTCTCTCTTTTTTATACATATATACTCTTTTTTTTTTTTTTCTTTTTTCTTTTCACACACACACACACACACACAATTGTCAATATATGAAAACTTGAAATTTATATAATAAAAAATCTCATTTCTGTACGTACAAAAAAAAAAGTCCGCGCTCTTCTTTTTTTTTTTTTTTTTTTTGTCTCCTTTTCTTTTTGTTTTCGATACATTATTGATATCATGACAACAACGTCAGTCTCATCTGAACCCTTATCCTCTGCCTACTTATCCAATTATAGTTCTACATCTTCCATTCATAGTTTTACACGACGTCATTCCATTTATGGCACAGAAGACAGAGTTGTATTGGATATTGGATCACTTTATATCAAATGTGGATTCTCAGGAGAATCTCATCCGCGTCATTTGGTCCCAACATGGACTCGCCTTGTTCGGTCAAGTAATAGGGATGGTGAAGCTTTTCGAATGGATGGCAAGGTAAGATATATCTAATGAAGAATTATTGTTTCTCTAAACTCATTATTATTCTTTTCGTGATAGCTTTCTGAATTATACAATTTAAACATCATGGCAAAAGGCAATTTACAACAATTAGAAGGGAAACTGAAAAAGTTACTTCATGATATTTACTTTCGGTATGAAAAGAAGTAGAATGTGAAAAACGAACAACATTACTCATATATTAGTTTTATGTAGGCTATTATTGACTGATCCTAAATCAAGAAAAGTGATTATTTGTGAATCTCCACTTCTACCTGTGGTTGTGAAAGAAATCATTGCTCGAATTCTATTTGATTATTTCCAAGTCCCATCGTTATCATTTGTCCCTATTCATTTGATGGCTTTGATGACCACAGGTTTGACAACAGGTCTTGTTATTGATTGTGGTCATCTTGAAACAACTGTGTTACCGGTAAAATATTTAATGAAATGGGGGAGAGTGAAGGATGTTAATCATTTTTTTTTTTTTAGATCTATACTGCTAGACCCTTGATTCCTTATATCAGTACCACTCCATTGGCAGGAAAGGCAGTAACAAAACGATTGACATCCTTATTATTGGATCATGGACGAATGATTCCACCTTCCAACCTTCATATATCATTAGCACCTCAAGTCCCTATACCACCTTCTGTTTTAACATCTGATTTGCTAGAGGAAATCAAGACAAGAGTCTTGTTTTGTTCAACGTCCACCAGTTTAACCTATCAACAAGAACAATCGACATCACAACGACGACATGATACCCTATCAAGAGATGAACGCATTGAACATGACAAAACCACTAGCCATGCCACTGATCTTCATTTCCCGATCCAATTAGCCACAACACAGGAAAAAGCGACCTTATTGATTCCAGGATGGATTCGTGAACACGCTATGGATATTGTATTTGAAGGCAATGATGAAGAAGATTACAAACAAGATGATGATGAATATGAATTTGAAACAGGGATAGCTCATTGTATTTTGAATTGTCTTCGTAAGGTGCCTGCTGATCTTCGAAAACCAATGATCTCTTCTTTACTTGTGGTGGGTGGGACAGCCTTGGTGCCTGGATTTCATAACAAGTTGAAACAGACATTACTGACCATCTTGAAACAACCAACCCCTCAAGAATCTTCTCGCTATTCCTCTTTACTCGGTTTGGCTTCTTTTATACAATTCTTGGATCATCCTTCTCAAACAGGTCCTCTCTTTCAAAGCAATGTTCGTGGTTGGATCGGTGGTAAAATCTTCATCCTACAAAAAAAAAAAAAAAAAAAAAAAAAAAAAAGGAACTCATTTTTTTTTTCTACTTCTCTTATTTAGGATCATTGATGGGATCTCTCAAATTATCAGGTGAAGAAATGGTCAAAGAAAAATTCAATGGTTCAGTGACAGATTGGTCAATAGGACAGTCTATAGGACATTGGTCTCAATCAGAATAGAATTTTTTTTGTATAACTAGTTTTGAATTATGACATTTGGTAATAAATAAAATTTTTTTTTATTATTTTGAATCCGACAAAAAAAATAATAAAAGGAATATGTATAAATATATATAGGGAAAGAATAGATATATATATATATATATTGATAAATGGGAGAGGGGGATAAAAAAAAGAGAGAGAGAGAGAAAGAGAAGAGAATGAGTCAACAAGACGCGAATAATGACAAATATACAACGAATGAAAAAGGAGAGCACTAGAGATGAAGAATAAATAGTGGAGTGTATACATAGATTAAAGATATATAGAATGAATATAGAAGATTGTTTCCAAAATGTATGATATCCTATTTGGATGTAGGTGTTGGTGTCGAAAGTCCTTTTTTCCTTGATATTGGCGATTCCTTGGCCTCACTAATAGAATTACTTCGTTTTTCTAAAAAAAAAAAAAAAAAAATGAGTAAATGATATATTCCATTTCTTTTTTATTTTTTAAATCTTACTTGATTGTTTTGGACTTTGAAGATAATCATCCATTTCTTGAAGTTGTTGAGTTGTTTGTTGAGAACCAAAAGAGCCAGGGTATGCTTGATGAGGAGGGTATGACATTTGTGTAAGAAGATCAGAAGATTGAGTCATAGGAAGAGGACCCAAAGCCGCAGATGGATGTTGCATTTGAAACATGGCTTGCTGTTGCTGAAATGCTTGTTGCTGTAGGATCAGTTTTCGTTGATGTTGGAAAAATGCTTGTTGTTGTTGCTGTTGTTGTTGTAAAGGGTATGCTTGAGGAGCTTGACGAGGTCCACTTTGTGTTTTCACTACCGGAGAATCAGGTCCATTGTTCATACCACCGTATACAGCTTGATTTCCATTCTGTACCCCACTATTCATTTTTCCCAAATCATCTTCCTCCAAAGATTCATCCTTGATAGACTTTTCATTTTTTAAAGATTTTCGTCTTGACATGCTCGGTCGTTTAGTCATTTTCTTTTTGCTAGAAGGAGATTTCATCGCATCCATGTCAATAGGTATTGAGGTGGTATTAGTCGTTGGTGTCAATGGTGCAGTAGAGTTTGACATGATTGAATCCTTGGTGTTCATTTGTAATTCATAATTGTATGCCAAGGCATTCAAACTATCTAAAAGTTTATATACAAAAAAAAAAAAAAAAAAAAAAAGATAAGCTTAATGGAATATATTGCTATTTCTACCTTTTGATGTAGTGCCAGTCATCAAAGAATAGAAAACTATATCATCCAATTGTACAGCAACATCTAACATCTGTAAGAAAAACATACAAAATTAACACAATGATCCACCTTTTCTTTCTTTATTTATATATTTTACCTGCATGATATGATATGCTTTTGATGGTAAACCCCATGCATTAATTGGTGATTCTGGTAATGCTTGTTTTCCCGATTTCTTCAATTTTGACCCATCTTTGTTTAATACCAAGTGTGATCGAGCAATGAATTCTTCATTTGCTTGACATGCAAATTCAAAATGTTTGATTTTCCAAATACCTTCTTGTGTCAAAGAGAAACGAACCCATAAATGACCAGTAGAAGCCACCTAACAAATATATTTACATATATAAGTATATAATATGAAAACATTAAGGATAATGATATGTTTTCCTTCTCACTTACTAATGATCCATTATTATAACGATAAATAAAATTGGCTCTTGGACATTCCACATTCATTTGTCCACCTGGTAGAATATATTCCATTGTTTGTTCCAGAGTAAGTTGAATAGATGATACTCCACATTCATATAAAGTATAAAAGAAGGTGGCCATGGAATAATGCGACATATCTAATCAAGTAAAAAAAAAAAAAAAAAAAAAAAAAAAAAAAGGTGATTTTTTTTTTATATATCAGACTATCCAACCGAAAAAAAAAAAAAAGAATAATGTACATACAGTATGGTTTTTGTTCATCCGTTTCAGAATTCCTCAAACCTAGTTTCGTTTGACTTGAGATCGTAAAAAAGTCACCAATAAAACCATCCCAAAAAGCTCGGTTCAACGCCTAAAGAGATAATAATAGTAATAAAGGATAAGAATTCAATCCAAACCGACCCAGTCTGAACTTACTTGGTCTCCAGGACTAAGTTGTTCAGCAAATTGTAATAATCGAAGAACGGCGTGACCAGTGGAATATCTAAATAATCAACTATAAGTCAAGTAATAGACGGATATGTTATCTATTGGTAAAATACCTTTTATTGACCATAGAAGATCTTGACGTGTTTATCAACATGGGTTGTGTAACAGGAGTCATATTTTGTGAAGAGACCACCATATTATCATTTGTAGGAGATATCCCAGTAGAAGGAGTTTTGGTCATATGGTGAATCGGTTGTGTCTGACCTACTGTTTGAGGTATTGATGATGGTTGAACTTGCTGATGTTGTTGTTGTGCATGTGGTTGTTGTTGCTGCAATGACTGTTGCATTGGTTGTGGTTGCGGTTGCTGTTGTGGTTGCATTAGTTGTGGTTGTGGTTGTGGTTGTTGTTGTTGTTGCTGTTGTTGCATTTGCTGCTGTTGTTGTTGTTGCTGCTGTTGTTGTTGTTGTTGCTGCTGTTGCTGCTGCTGCTGCTGCTGTTGTTGTTGTTGTTGTTGTTGTTGCTGTTGTTGTTGCTGTTGCATTTGCTGTTGTTTATGTTGTTGTTGTTGTTGATATGCCAAAAGTTGTCGTTGTCTAAATAGCTGTTGAGCTTGAGCTTGAGCTTGGATCATGGTAGGATTATGACCGTTCGTGTAACTAACGGAAGCGGTAGCAGTAGCGGATGAGACAAGTGTTGGGATAGGAGGTTGATGAGAGGTCAAAGAAGATGGATGAGGTTGAGGAGGTTGAGGTTGAGGAGGCTGCTGAAGAGTGCCGGTAACAACAGGTGCAACTGCTGACATGACGGTATAATGGATAGAAGAAAACTAATCAATATAGTAGTATCTTGATTGAATATAAGTGACTGAAAGAGGAATATAGGAGGAAGATAAAGAAAAGACAAAACACACAAAAAAAAAGGTACAATATGGAAGAAGAGTATATATATATATAAAAGAGAGTATGGAAGAGGGTAAAAAAAATAAAAAGTGATGATGGGAATAAAAGCACAACAGATATGTTATTAGTCAAAGCACAAAGTTTTGTCTTTCTACCAATTGAACGTAAAAGTAAAAAAAAAAAAAAAAAAAAAAAAAAAAAATAAATAAACTAAACTAAGAATATAACGAAGAGGAAAAAAAAAAAGGGGGGGGGAACAAGTGAAAGTAGGGAAAGAAAAAAGAAGCTTCAAAAGGTACATCTAACGTCATTGGTGCATTTAAATGACCGCTAATCCATAATGGTCTTTTATTCATTAAAAAAAGAAAAAAAAAAAAAACAAAAAAAAAACTAAGTACCTAACCAACTGCCACCAAATGATGTTCCTAGTTTCCAATCTATACTATCTGTTTTTTCCAAAGAATCGGATGATCCACCAAGTCCTAATAAACTTCGTTTTCGTCGTACAGTATTTTCCCCTGTTAGAGCAACACCAGTAGAAGGGATGGGAAGAGAAGGAGGCCAAGTTCCAGAAGGTGATGATTTTCGTATCGGTCCCGCACTAACAGAAGGTCGTAACGGATGACCATATTGTTTGGTTTGATTGGATCCAGATCTTCGTCGTCGCTTTTGATCATTCATCGTAGTAGATCTTGGAAAACTAGAGGGTGGTCCAAATCGATCCAATTCATTCTTTTTTTGCTTGATACGTAAACTAGATGATGTAGTCATGATTGGATGTTTGTTACTTGTTATTGGTACATCTGGATCACAAGGATGAATCCCACTATTTCTAGCTGTTGACATTGAATCATATGATCTTTGGTAGTGTAGAGATCTTTGTGTTGTGTCTGTTGTTGCCACAGTGGTTGTCGTGTTGTTTTTCGTTGCCACATTGGAGGATGGAATATGAAATATATTGGAAAACCATGATAAAGCACTATTACCACCACCACGACCATCACTTTTTGAAATATGTTGCTGTTGTTGATCAGATGCTGAATGTATCTTGATTTCTTGTCGTTTTCGTAAAATATCTTGCTCCACTAAATGTTGCATTTCGTCCACTTTCTTGACATACTCTACTTGTAAATCATTCATCGCCATTCGAAGTTCACCTATTTCTTGAAGCATATCTTGTAAAAGAGTCAAAGTTGGAAAGAAGGCTGATAGCAATACGGTGGTATCTTGTTTTCCAAAGTTGTTTTCATTGTTTGTCACCCATAAATATCGATCTTGTAGTAAAAGAATATCAGCTAAAATACTGTCGATGATAGAATTACTCATCCTACTAATTTCCATCATATCAAATGCACGTCGTAATTGTCTGTTGAGTGAGCGTATATCTGTCGATTTCAAACGATCCAATATCTGAGATGCATGTAATTGTAATTGATGATATGGTGTATCTTTATCGTTGTGTGTTGATGAAGATTTGGATTCGGGCGAAACCTCAGAAGTCATGGTTGTTGATGGTATCGTTGGCATAGTATCTTGATTTAACGTAGTCTTAAAAAAAAAGTTCCAAACTGGAATGAGTCATTTTGTTGCTGTCTAATTCTCCTTCTTGTCTCCCCTGGACGTTTTGCTACTTTTGTTACTTACAGATTTATTTTTTCTTGAATTTTGCGCTGAAAGTTGACGTTTCTTGTTTTGCATGTGGTAATGATAATGATAATGAACGACGTCAGGTTTTGATGTTGGTAATGATGTTGAGGTAGTTGGAGATGGTACTTTCATATCAGAGGTTGAAGCAATATCTTGTTGAAGAGAAGGATAAGCATTCGTACTAAGCAATAGATCTCTTTGTGGCGCTGAAGTACTGAGAAGTGTAGTATCATTATCGTCGTCGTCGTCCTCCATGATATTATATGTTGTTAGGGGGCTATCATCTGGTATTCCGCCAGTTTGAAGCATGTCATTGAAAATAGCAGGACTGTCGAATAATGTTCCATCTTGTCCGTCGTCAATCAGATCATCATTATCAGATTTTGTTGAGTTCTCCAACTTGTTTTCCATTTCCGCTATGTTTTCCGAGATGTAATCCATTTTGAGTTTTGCGTTTGCCAAAGCTAATTCTTTAATAAGAGTGATCAAATAGTTTTGGTCTGATTGCTGGTTGAAATGATCTTGTGATGGCGATATCAGAGAAGTCAACTATCATATATATATATATAAATATTGATTTTTTTTTTAAAAAAAAATCATATTATTAGAATTAATTAGTGTATGTATGTATATAATATTACCTTGTTAATGTCACTCCGTAATTGTTCATTTGATTCCCATAATTGCTCTATTTGCCTATTTTTGGTAGTATCAGTCTTTGGCAATTCAACTACTGAAGATTGCTTGTCTAGTTTAACCTTTTCATACGTCGTACAAATCGTTTCTATGAGAGTTACCGTATTAACAAAAAGAGTAAGCAATATGATCTTCTTTTCATTTGTCCATTTTAGGTCATTACCATATCGTGATTTCAGCTTTTTGTACTTTGATTCCAACATGAGTTCATTCTTTCTTGAGATAGCAAGTTCTTGATTTGTATCTTCCAACTAATTAGATCAAAAAAGATAAACATGTTTTAAATTTTGTTCAGCTTTCTTTGCTTCTTTTTTTTTACTGTTTTCTTTCTTCTTGTTTTACCTGAGATCGTAAGGCATCTTCACGATAGTCAGCTTGTCGTACCATAAATTTGAAGATCCGTAACTTTTCCACTTCTTTTGTCTTGTTTTTGAGTTCATTTCCAATTTCTATGCATCGTTCACTAGCCTTTTCCAGATCTGATGTTGTATCTTGCAGCGCCTATAGGTTAAAAATGGAAAGTCATACGTCAGTATATCATTTTCAGTTTCTCTCTCTCCTCTGCTTCTTCTCCTCCTTCTTAAGTTCAATATAATATATACCTGTTGCGATCTCTGTAGTTTCCAAGCCAACCGATCTTTTTGTTCCATCAGTTCTTGTTTTAAATTATCTGCTTCCACAAGTAATTGTTCCAAGGTCGATGTTTTATCACGATATTCGTTCAACTAGAAAAAAATAAAAAAGCAGTAGTACTATTAGAAAATGATAAAGTCATCGGGTATTTGAGATGGTTCAATAAATCCCTTTTTTTTTCTATCTCTCTCTCCCTCTCTCTTACTTGTTGTTCCAAAATACCCTTTGTTTGATTTGTTTCGGCTACAAGAGCTTCATGTTTGTGTAGCAAACCTTGACCAATTTCTAAACATTTGGGGAGAAAATAAGAAGGATGGAGAATAAGTCTTTTTTTTTAATAGAAATTTGAGGGAAGTTGACTTACCAGCAGCCAACCTTGTATCGGATTCTAATTTTCTTATTGTCTTGTAAAGAGTTTCCATATGTTCACAATCCTCTTTCTTACAACAAGGACAAGTTTCAAGTATCATAGACGATAACGGTGATGGTGAACTAGTTTCAGGGATATTTCTAGTCAACCAATCTTGTAAAGACTCTTCTGTAGAAGGTAGATAGGAGGAAAGATCGATACCAGAATATGTTGAAGTTGATGAATCATCGAGTAAAGACGATTGTGTATATTGTGTTGGTAGAGTAAGGGCGCGTGGTGGGTTCTGTCGATTGAGTGAATGCTGCCTGTTGACTGACATTATATGTATGTATAAATATTTTTTTTTTGTGTATAATGAATATATATGAGTATGTATATGTGTGGGTATATAAAAGTATTATAAGGAGAAAGATATATATGGGCTAAAAAAGTATAAAGTACAAGAGATACATATATGAAGTGACCAAGAGAGAGAAAAGAGAGAAAAGAGGGAAAGAAAGGGAAAAAAAAAAAGGAGCACAATGTGATCTTTTTTAATTTCAGGTCGCCTTTTCAAAAAGATGCTTCAATCAAGTGTGGTAAAGAGAAAAGAAGTCTTGACTGGATTTTTCTTTCACAGTTGACTAACCACGTGTCACCTTCGATGACATGGGTTCCTTTACATCATTCAATGCTTAACTTAGTACTCGGGTCATTTCATCGGTGTTTCTTTTTTTTTTTTTTTTTTGCCACCGCCATGCGACAACTCTTTTGTCAATTTTCAATTTCCAGTATTTTGTTGCCATAATATCTGCTAGATTCCTATAGGTCGTTATTTTTGGAAGTAACCAATTACATCATGCTTTATTGTGAAACTTAATGCAGATACAAAAGAAAAAGCCAAGAAAGAGTATTTCTTTATAAAAGGTACAAAGTTTCTTCACTTCTTTTCCATTAATTTATCTTTTTCACATTCATATTACAAAAAAAGAAAAAAAAAAGCAAAAGAACAATTCTACATCATGATACGATCACGATTCACTGAACATTTTGACCTATCCAAGATTCAACCTCTTTGTAAAACGTATTCATCAGCTTGCCAATTGAAAAGAAGTTCCCGTACAAGGACAAGACAATGTCGATATGATCAAATGAAAGAATTATCAATTTACAAACCGAATAATAACATCATCCAATTATTAGTATGAAAAAAAAACACAAACATCCATTATCCATCATCATTCTCCGCCAATCATCATCATCTATCATCTCTTTTATGTCCAATTATTATATGTTTTTCTTCTTATTTATTTATGCCCTATATATATATGTATATATACCAATTGGTTATTATTATCCAATTAGATAGATGATAGCACTGCACTGTAAATTATAACTATCAGACTCAATTTATGTAAATACAATAAAGTATGCCATCAACCTGATCTTGATAAAAATATTTAAATCTTGGGTTGTATTATAGAGAACTGGGTTGATGTTACACCAATGTTTCTGCCAAAAATCGTAATGGATTACCAATGAAGAGAGAGAAAAAAAAAATACCCGACTGATGAATCAAAAAAAAAAAAAAAAAAAAAAAAAAAGGATAGGATCTACAACAGATTTATTCATATATACAATTGAACTTGAGACATGAGAAAAAAAGAAAGGGAATTTATTACATCACCATCATTACCATCATCAAAAATGTATATGTATATATAAAAAAAGAGTATAAATATAATATATAAAGGTACTAGACTACAACATTCTAAAATGTAATTATATTACAATTTGGCAAAGATATTCCTACTAAGTCGTAACTTGAGGATACATAAAATAAGGGCACCAGTGATATAAGCAGCGCCTGAGAACATCTTGTATGTAAAGTAAGGAGGAGCACTCACACCATTTTCAATAGCGCTAGCAATATTAGGACCTACAAAAAAAAATAGTGTATGAGATTTTCGGATGTTCTCATGATCATCTTTCCACCTTACCAAAGACAGATACCACATTTGAGATCAACATCGTGGATAAACCTGTGGGAAAACGTTCAAATCCTAAAAGTTGAGCCGTGATGGGTGATAAAAGAGCGAAATAAGATCCACAAAATAAACCAAATACCACGGAATAAGCCATCAGTGTGCCATAGTTGGTTGCAAATGTCCAGATAAGGAAGCTACTTAATCCACCTAGTACTGTAAAAATGATATTGGTGTTCACTTTGCCGATCCGATCAGCACATAATCTATGGGGGAAAAAATTATTTCATCAAAAGGAGTAAAATTAGTTTCATCTATTCACCTTTATGTACCTTAATTTTTTTTATTATTTTATTACCCAGCAAGAATCCGACCAATGAAATTACAAGCCGAACTTACGGCGACAAGAGCCGATCCTTGAAGCTTTGATAATCCAATAAGTGTAGCATAGGAAGGTAAAAAGAAGTATGGAATAAAGTATCCAAGGAGAGCTACCATAGATCCTATACAGAATAATAAAAAGTTCCCGTCTTTCAATACATTTAACTGAATAATATCACCCAATCGCTTTCGTTGTCTAGGAACAGGCACTCTTGGGCGAACGAGTATAACTGCCACCAAATCACAAGCCAAACAAATGAATCCTAGAATACGATATGTCCATCCAGGTCCTAATGATTCATTGATAGGGGTCATAATAAAAGGAATCACCAATCCACCTATAGATAATATACATCAAATGAGATCATTAATTCTCTTTTTTTTCCTTTTTTTTTTTTTGGTTACATACCAATACCACTTCCAGAAGCAGTAATACCAAGTGCAATCCCTCGTCTTCTATTAAACCATAATGGAGCCACACCCATGATTGTCTACGAATCAAATAAAAAAAAAATCATATTAATCTTTTCAAATTCTTCTTCAATGTGAGTCAGTAAACTTTACACAATACATCAATGAGGCACCAATTCCAAATACTAAAAAGGGAAAATGAAGAAGAAATTTAAAGTTTAGAGATATTATATGCACTGTATACCCTTTTTTTTTAATACTTACAAATGCCTTGAGTCAAATATAGATGCCAAATTTGAGAAGAGAAACCAGCCAAGATCAAACCCAAAGAAACACATAAAGTACCAATAATCATGACAATTCTATATCCCCACATAGATGTTAGGATCTGAGCCAAAGGACCACATATATTTGTAAAAATAAGAGCAATAGTTCTACAAAACGAAATAAAAAAAAAAGTCAGTTAGGAAACGTATCCAATATGATTCTGTCCTTTTCTTTTCTTTTTTTTTTTTTTTTTTTTTTTACCCGACAAAACTAAGATTAAGCTGTTGTGATGTTCCAAAGTAATTTTCTTGATAATATTCTTGCATTACACCTATATTGAAAATATACAATTTTTTGAATAAGTATCCATCGGAAATAACGGCTAAGTCTTTACCCATTTTTTTTTTTTTTTTGTATTCCCTAACATCTTTGTTTTGAGATTAAGTTATTTTTTGATAAATTTTCTTTTACTTACCCCTAAATAGTTAATTTCATGATAATGGAAGGCGGACGATGAATGATGAATATAAAAGAAAAGATTGTGTTAGCGCTGCGGATCAGACCGAGCGGAAAAATCATTTTTCGCACATTGTTCTTTTCCTTACCAAGATGTTGCTGTACCAAACGAAGTAACCTGAACCATAAAGGCACCCATTACTACAAACCAACCATATCCTCCATCCTCAAAATCATCATCAACAACAACAATGTTTTTTGTTTGTTCATTTGAACATATGGTATCTTTATTCGACATTGTTTCTATTTTATCAAAAAAAAATTTTTTTTTGATTAGTTTCAATATTTTTTATTTATTTATTTCATCCTACTTACTTTCTACTGGTGTCAATTCATCACCTATTTCTCCAGTAGTTGTAGTGATTTTTTCATTTTCTGTTACAGTATTCAAGGATTCAGCTTTTTGGATCGTATTAATTTCTCTTGTTGTTGTTGTTGTATTCATACCGTAATAAAAAAAGAAAAGAAAAGAAAAAAGAGCGAAAGAGAAAGATCAAAACCTTTTTTTTTTTTTTTTTTGTTTTCAGTTTTTTTTATATTTTTGTATATTTTGTCCTACAATCCCAAAAAAAAAAAGGATGAAATAGCCGACCTTATAATCAAACCCCGTTCAATCCAATGATTTTATGACCAATCCTTTGTCAAAAATATATCGTTGACAGTAAAGATCATCATCTGCAGATCAATTCAAGTATAACATTTTCATCAAATTAATATTTATTGAATACCATAATATAATCAATAAAAAGAGATCATTCAATACTATGATTGATAATCGAGTTCATGTTAAATATAAAAGAAAAACTGTTTATTGTTGTTATATTATTACTATACTTTACATATAAGAATCATTGATTATGATATTTAACTGTATGATGATTGCTACACTTTATTCAATAATAAATAATGGAATTCAAAAATAAGATGTCGCAAAAATAGGAAATAAAATATACTAAGGGTAGAAAATAGATGACAAGAAGGAAAAAAAAAATAAAGGGTTGACGCATAATCCAAATTGAATACAAGAAGAAGAAGAAGAAAAAAAAAAAGAAAGGAGTAACAGTAGTTCCATTGTGTATAAGAGATTTTTGAATAACATAATATTTATATATATATTTAGTCAACATATTCATTTTTTTTTATTTATATTTGTTTTAACTTACCATGTATTAAATATATTTCCCAAAATAGGTGATAACATATTTTAATATGTTGCTATTTACAGGTTGGTTATTCACTTTGAATTGGAAACACCAAGGGAAATTTCAAAACAGAAAAAAAAAAAAAAAAGAGAATGATTAATATACTGTATCATCATCAATCATTAATCAATGTGTTTTGACATACTCTCTGGAGTGATATTTGAAAAAGTGGTAATGCAACATCCATTTTGGGGAAGTTTGATATTTCATAATATCAAGAAACTATTTTCTTGTGAACCCGACAAAAAAACTTTGAAAATGATTGTTAAAAACAAAGGGTAGTAAGTGCAGGCGGCATTTGAAAAAAAGACGAAGACCTGTCTTCTCTTTTGGCTCTTTGTTCCTTTTCTCTCTTTCTTTCTTTCTTTTTTCTTTCTTTCTTTTACTATAATGTTAGATTTAATATTCATCACTTTTTACAATTGAATATATAAATATTAGTGTACATACCAATAAATATTCTATTTTACTGGGTAATATAAAATAAAAAAAAATGTATTCTACATTTATTTACTTTTTTTTATATATATTTACTTCACTTTAAGATTCCCTCTTTTTTTATTGGTTGCAATGGTAACCGAATAGGATGGCATGTGACTTGATCTTTTTTTTTCTTTTTTTGTTACTGAAAGGGGGTAGGTGAATAGAAGGGGAAAAAAAGAGGGATACATATTAGTGTTGTTTTATCAAAATGAGGAGGAGAAGGAGGGGATAAGATTAGGATTTATTGGGGGGATAGAGAAGGGATGATAAAGGTGGCGTCTACAAACTATAATAGGAAGTGCATGAACGAAAAAAAAAAAAAAAGAGATGAAAAGCGGGGAATTTTTTTATATTTACTAACTTCTTTTCCTTTTTCTTTTTTTTTTACTTTTCAATTATTTTATATATAGATGTAATCATGCGATTCCACTTTTTACCACCATTTGTAAATTCTTCTACACCAACTACTGGATCAATAGGAACAACTGAAACAACAGTATCATCGTTAGGTTTATCTTCAACAACATTAGATGAATGTTCAGCAAAATATCAAATAATTGGAAATTATCGATTAACAAAAACGATCGGTCGAGGTGTTTCTGGTAAGAGTAGTGTTATATAAAAACAAAAATAAGGGGGGGGGATAACTTATCTCTTTTTTACTTGATGCATCATTCTCACTTTGAAAACAAAAATGTATATATTTGTATATATTACTTTTTTTTTTAATTTTTATTTAGGTAAAGTCAAACTTGGAATTCATATACATACTGGGGAACAAGTAGCGATCAAAATCATTCCAAGACATACAATGAATCAATCTTCTATTGTGGCTCAAGCTGTTGAACGTGAATTGGCTATTCTTCAATTACTTGATCATCCACATTTAGTAGAATTACAACAAGTAATGCAAGATTCTACTAATGTTTATTTTGTTATGGAATATATGGATGGTGGCGAATTACATCAAGTTTTGACCCAAAGACGTGGTCGTCGACTTTCTGAACATGAAGCTAGATCATATTTTACACAAATCACAAATGCTTTAGCTTGGTGTCATACACATCATATCTGGTAAATAATAAACAAAACCTTATTCATCATGATCTAATCATTCTCTCTCTTTTTTTTTTTTTTTTTTTTTTTTTTTTTTTTTTTTTTTACTTTTTTTATATTCCCACATGTTATTGAAAAAAAAAAGTCATCGCGACCTGAAACTAGAGAATATTTTATTGAACAAAAACAAAAAAACGATCAAGATTGCAGATTTCGGTATGGCCATCATGCAACCAACTTCAACGTTACTTCGAACAAGTTGCGGGTAAGGAAAATTTATTTGCGTTTTTGTTGTGATTAAAAAAAAAAATTGAAATATTTGTTGATATTTTGCATAGATCACCGCACTACGCTAGTCCAGAAATCATCAAGGTAACACTAAAACCGGATTGTTATTATTATTATTATTATTATTATTTTGATTATCCAATGAATGATAAAAGATTGACATACCTTCTACTTTAGGGCATCCCATATCATGGACCGGCAACTGATGTATGGTCTTGTGGTGTTATATTATATATTTTATTGACAGGTTATCATCCTTTTGAAGATAAACGAACAAGTCGTTTGCTTTACAAGATCAAGTCTGGACAATATAGACGATTACCGAGTGATATTTCTTCTTCGGCAAAAGATTTACTTGAAAAAATGTTGACGGTGAACCCATCCAAAAGAATCAATGTAAGTATAAAAAATAATAATAATAATAATAATAATAATAATAATAATCATGTGTGCCGTCATTAGTATGAATAAACAGATGATGTTCTACTTTTTTTTTTATTTTAGATTCATGATGTCCTGGCCCATGCATGGATGTTACCTCAGTCACAATTTGGTGGGTTTCCCGATCCTTGGTTCCAATACGATCAGCTTACTTGTCCACTGGTCAATCAATCATGTGTTATAGAAGGTTGGGTTTGGGAAACTTTGAAGATTCTTTGGCGTGATATGGGAACTGACCGTATATTGGCATCCTTGAAATCTCATGGGTAAAACAAAAAAAAATGTTACAAGAGATTGTATGTGATTGTCATCATAGCCACGTGTACTAACTTTAATCATTTCTCTTTATGGTAGTCCTAACGTTCAAAAACTTACTTATCGTCTATTGGTTCAACGCAATGATCGATTACTTGGCAGAAGTATTAGCAACGATAATAATGACAATAATGATAATAGCACTAACAACAATAACAACAACAGTAGCTCTTCTGGAAAGAATATTATACCTATACCTGTCTCAACAACAGCTCCTATTATCAGCCCAGGTTCATACCTTTCAAATTCCACCACTCTATATGAATCATCGTCACCACCATTCTCTCCAACTTGTTGGTCTACGGAAACAACAAAACCAATCTCTCTGACTGGCACAAAAAACACATCTATGACCAATCCCATGTATTCTCACCAGCCTATACATTTGTGCACGGAGTAAGTCATAATGCTACATAAAGAGAATTAAGTGTAATCTGATCACCATAATTTTTTTTTGATACATATAGGAAACAAGATGACCGTGTATCATCAAGTACTAGTATACTTACAATCAATACTAGCTCAATTCCACCATTATTGCCACTACCATCACTATTAGAACAACAACAGCTCAAGACTTATGACAGTAAACAACATCGTCATCTATTATGGTATCCTTTTTATTTTAATTGCAAAACAAATCGATTGATGCAACATACTGTTAAATCAGCTAACGTTATGCCTTCATTATCATTTGGATCAACCCCTCTATCTCTCAGCAATACGACTGATTCTGCATTTTCACCATCATCGACTACAATATCTGTATTGAACGCATCCCGATCAGCATTATCACTGTCAGTATCACCTTCTACGTTGGATACTTCCTCTTTTTCCTTTACAACTGGAGAGCTATTTGGGAACACTGTACGTTACTGTAAACGTTTATATCAGCAAACACATTCACTTTTATCTGGAATTGTTGGTAAAAAAGGTGTGCCCACCAAGGTAAACAAACAAAAAAAAAAAGATGTACAGTATCATTCTGTTTGATATTAAATCTAATCGATTTTTATTTATCATTAGGTGTTTGCTATTGGATGTTCAGCAAGAAATGCATGGGAAGCTGCAGGAAAGCTTCATCAAGTGTTGGAGGAGGTAAAACAAAAAAAAAAAAAAGGTCATCATATATTATTTTTACTTGCGTATACTAAGATATTGTGTTGTCTCACTATTTTCTTTTTGTTTTATTCTGAAGAATTATTCTGGGAGACTTTGTCATCGTGGTTACTCTTATGGTCAAATGGTGTGGACTGGCTCTATACAACTATCAGGTAAAACTATGCAAAAGAATTCAGTAATAAACAAAGAAAATTATTAATAATGACTTTTGTAGATGAAAAGAAAGGACTTTATTTTGTTTGTTATATTCCAAATGTATCATCAGCACGACGAGTGAGAGTCAACTTCTCTCTGGTCAAAGGTAAGGAAGGAAACAAAAAAAAAAAAAAAAAAAGGATCTCGTTTCTCACTCATCTTCTATCTTATTAGGTGATGCTATGATGATGAAGGAAGCTATGGAACAATTATTGAAAACTTTGAATGAATATGAACGACAGGCTATGATGGTGACAAATGCAAATGGATGGCAACAACAACAACGACAATAGAAACATCATACCCAGTGGAACAGTGAAATCCCAAGATGAACAAAGTGATAGATATACATATATCAAATTAGTGACCTTTCATGATATATATAACTAGTTTCTAATATTACCAAATTTATATAATTAAATACTTGACAGTACAAATGCAATTATGTAGTCTATTTTTTTTTTTTTTGATAATGATGCATACTATATGTATGATAATCTATTTTATGTTGATGGTTGTTCCGGTGTGCCTCACCAAATGTGGGAGGAATGATTTCATGTACAAGTTTGTAGACATGCATTATGAATTGAAAATAGGACTTGAGTGTGGCAAATAGGACGAATGCATAAAAGAATGAGAAAAAAAAAACAAGTCTAAATAAGGAAGAAATAAACTCAATCAGGACTTTTTGTCAAAAAAGCATCCTTTGATGCAATGCAGTAGAAGAAAAAAAAAAACTATGATAGAACTAAAAATAGGATAAAATTGGGGTACTATGCATATACAAGCAAACATATGTAAATGTCTCTCTTGTTACATATATAGGAAAAAGTCTATCTCACACGTATACACGCACACTGAAGTTTCTTTTATCATCATCATTCAATGAACACTACAAAGTGTGAAGATAATAGTTTGTATAGTATCCTCTTCCACACACACACTCTCTTTTTTCTTTTTCTTTTTCTTTTTTTTTTTTTTTTTTTTGACGGTCCCTTTGGTCCCTGATCCATATTTAGAATGTCCTTTTTTCAGAAGGTGATCTTCTCCATCTTTCAACATGCCAAAAATGGATGGGCACATATCGAACAAAGCTCATACACGGACGACACCCATTTTTTTTTTTTTTTGGTATATCCTTCTATGTATTTTTTTTTCTTCTCCAATCTTCACATTTGATGATCTTCCTCTTCCTTCTGATAATAGTGATCATTTGATCGTTATATGGAGCTCCATCCTATAATGGTAATACATCGGATAACAACGGTGGTTTGAGGCTGAAGATATGTAGAGATGATGATTTTTTTTTTGATGATCCTTATGTCGAATGAATCAATATAGATTGGTTGAAAATAAGGATGATGAAGAAAAGGAAAAAAAAAAAAGAGGAGGATCGACAGGTATGACAGATAAATGTGAGGAGGGTTTCAATAGTTCAGACATAGGCTAGTTTGATTCACAACACCAGTAAGAAAATATAACAGCGACGACGGGATAATGGGGAAAAAGTTTAACTAGTTTAGATCATGATGAAGAGGAAGGGGTAACTAACATAGAGGATAGGTATCGTATGATTATATAAAAATAAATTAAAGCTTTTTTTTAAAAAAAATAAAATGACATAATATTCAGTTAGGATTGATATAAATTAGGGTATATGATGGTAACATTGATGACGTGCAAATCAAAAAAAAAAAAAAAAAGGAAGATCAAGGGGACCAAAAACGGCTTACAAGGTAGGTGATCTTTTTTTTTTCAGTTCGATCAATGATGAGAAAATGACAAGCAAAAAGATGAATATAGAAGTGGCCATATGTTAATACTTCCCTTCTTTAAGGTTGCATGTAATATACTATAAAGAAAGTTTTTAAATAGATACAGAGAACTTGGTTTCTTTCTTTCTTTCTCTTTTTTTTTTGTCTTTTTTGACATTGAATCATATCATGCAATTCATAATTGCCTATTTCGTGATGAAACCAGCTACTAATATATAAAAAAAAACAAATGGTTACTATGATAACAAGAGCAGTGGATGATGATCACTATGATGATATCTATCATGATGATGATGATGATGACGATCTCTATGATGATTTTTTATAATGATGATGACGGTGATAAATCTCGGTGAAAAATCATGGATGACGCAAAAAAAGGGTATGTCCAAAGAAGAAGAAGAAGAATAAAAAAGAAAGGAATTTATGCAACAGCAGTGCTACACTATATCCCGTTTTATGCCTTTTTTCTTTTTCGGAAAGAATAACGGGCGGGAAGTTGATTTTTTTTCATCCAGTGAAAAATCTCCACTGTCAATCGTCTCTCTCCTTTGTTTTTTCGTTTGCTTCTATGATCATTGTTTTTTTTAGTTTTTTCCCTTTTTGACACCTGATGATCCATGAATAAAGTGTGGTTTACTAAAAATATCCCGAATATGACAATTGAACATCAACGTCAATCCATCTGGGCAAAAACAAATATATAAACTAAGGTGGAGGGGAGAAAAAAAAAAGGGGGATATTCTACTTTTTCGTTTTTTTTCATTTCTTTTTTTTTCGTTTCTTTTCTTTCCTTTTTTTTTTTTTTTTGTTTAATAATCATCATAATATTCTCTTGAATCCAATCATCAAAAGAGGAAAACATCATCCTCTTTTTTTTTTTTTTTTTCATCACACACACCCTCAACATCAGCAAAAACGCGGCCATTATATATATAATAAAATTCTTATGTCCTCTTTCTATGAACAACAACCCCATCCAACTACTGAATCCACTCTAGTAGACTATGATTCATCTACTGAAGATAAAAAAAGGAATTATCAAGACTTGATGTCTTTTTTTCATCCTGATTCCGAAAAATGCAACAACAACAAAGACTATTCTATAGATCACCATGATGATGACAAGGATCAACAAGATGAAGATGATGATTTTAGAGAGGATATTTATGGTTGGTTTATAGTCTGTGCTGCTTTTATGGCTCAAATGACTGGTCTGGGGATTATTTCTAGTTGGTAAGTGGATTCATATTATTCAAATTCTACCAATATCAACTCAAAATTTCTGTCCTCTTTTTACCTCATTCTTTAGGGGTAAAATCCAAAAAAAAAAAAAAAAATAGTGACAGAAAAACTAGATAGAAACAATAAATGTTTAAATAACATCTTTTTTTCCCGCCTCTCCTTATTTCTTCCTATTTCAACCAACCCACTCGTCTATATATGAATGATGATGATACAGGTGTATTACAAGATCATTATGAACAACATGTTTTTGGTGCCAATGTCCATACAGCTTTTTATCTCAGTCTGGTCGGTGCACTTGCTAATTGCGTTATGAACCTGATGAGTGTGTTTGCTCAAATCCTTTTATCCAAATTCGGCATCAAAGGTGTTATGCTGGTGGCTTGCATTCTTTGTACTTCTGGTTTAGAACTGGCTAGTTTAAGCACCGAGGTAATATAAAACTCTTTCTCCCTCCCTCTCTCTCTCTCTCTCTCTCTCTCTCTCTCTCTCTGTGTGTGTGTGTGTGTGTGTGTGTGATAGGCCCTTTCCGTATTTGGATGGAAAGGAACTCACTTTTTTTTTTTTTTAGATATGGCATTTATTATTGACACAGGGTGTTTTATTTGGTTCAGGATGTTCTATTATCTTTTATGTAAGTGATCATCATACTTTAATGATTAGTTTGTTGATTGGTTTATTTGTTTTTTTTTTTTTTTTTGATGTTAGGTGGGTATGAGTACAGTTCCTCAGTGGTTCAAGAAAAGAGAAGGAATAGCATTGGGAATTGTATCAAGTGGGTCTTGTATTGGTGGATTAGTTATGCCTTTTATTATCACTCCATTGAATCGCTCTTTAGGTGTGTCCTGGTGTTATCGTGTATTGGGATTGATCAGTTTAGTGATCTTTGTTTGTGCTTGTATTTTATTCAAAGACAAAACCGCACGGCAGGAAAACAAAAAAATCAAGGATATTGTGGACTTGGCTGTATTAAAAAATAGGGATTTGTTGGTATGGTGCTTTGCCGATACTTTGATTGAAATGGGATACTATGTTCCTTACTTTTTTTTACCTTGTAAGATCTCTTTTTTTTTTTTTTTTTTTTTTTTTTTTAATTCAAACAAAAATATCATTATCCAACATCATCTCATTTTCTCTCTTTCTTTTTTTATTATTATTATTATTATTATAGCTTATGGTACTTTTCTTGGTTTATCAGATTCACAAGGTTCTTTATTAATTTCCACTGCTTCAGCATGTAATGCCATTGGTAGAATTATCACTGGGTAATTAACAAACAAATATCAAAAAAAAAAAAAAGATAATCCTCCTTGATATACAACTCATCCAATTTCTATTTTAGTCATATTGGGGATAAGATTGGATATATGAATACAACAATCATCAGTTGTTTCATAGCAGGATCAAGTTCATTATTACTCTGGTCATTTGCATTTGATTTTGGTTTATTAATGGCATTTGCTAGTATTTATGGTCTTACAGGTGGTGTATTTGTATCTTTGGGACCATCCATCACTAAAATTGTAGAAAAAGATCGATTTGATTCCGGCTATTCTTTGTTTTTGATCTTGACCATGTTGGCAATGTTTGGACCGAATTTAGCCGCTGCTGTGGAATCCTCTGTTCATTCTTACTCCTTTTTGACTTACAAACTTTTTACTGGCATGGCTTATGTAGTTGGTACTTTGGTCTTGTTATATTTAAAAATCAAATTATGTCATGGAAATCTCTTTGCTCGTTTATAGTACCTTATACACTTTAAAATAATATGTATTCATATTTATGATATAAATCTTTTTTGATATATTGGATCCTCTTTCTTTTTTTTTTTCTTTTGATGATGAGTGGATGACAATGAGCGGTAATATTAGGTGAATGATGGATGATGACGACGAACAACGAGAGTGTTTAAGGCGTTTTATCTTCAAACATTAAAATTCCGAGAATGCACAACGCCCTTTTTCCTTTCTTTTTTTTTTTTTTTTTTTTTTTTTTTTTTTTTTTTGTTTCTCTTTCGTTTATTTTTTTCTTTTTTTCTAGTCTACAATGATTCATTTTCTTCTCTCCGTCTTCGTATAGTTTACTCACTCTCACAAGTTATATTCAAAACTCTCCTTACATAACACCTGTTTATTATTTCGATGTTTAATGGTCATCAATCGCGTAAGTAATGTCAGAAGGAGAACAAAATAGTTCGGCAGTGACTTGAAGTGAAGTCAATATAATGATCTACTTTTATATTTCTTTTGTACAAAATAGATATCTCTATTATGCTCAATGTTGAAAGGACAATGGTGTATGATCAGCTTATCCCATTTAGTTTTGGCCTGATTGGTTCTCTCCATCTTCTGATATGATTTTGGTAAAGTTGTATCTTCCATACTGTCACCTCTTTTTTTTTTTCCAATCCAGTTTGTTTTCTCACTTGCCTCTCTATTTTGTCACTTTTTCTATATCTTCATTCCTTTCTGTTTTTCTATCCCATTTTTTCATTCTCTTTCTCTCTGTTAATTTGCCTCGTTTTTTATATATATATTCACTTTCTTCCCTTTCTTTGCTTTTGTTTCTATTCTAATCTTCCTTTTTTTTTTTCTTCTTTGATATAAACAGGATAAAATACGATATAGAAATTCCACAGGATAAAGCTGACCAAGGGCATGATATGATTCAACTGGAAGGATGGACAACGATTCAACTTTATATGCAAAAGTCAGTCGGATAGGCACAATGAAATTGAAACTAGATGACAAGATTCGATTGGATGGCCATGCGACAAGATTCGACAGGATATCAAAGGTAAGTCAATATACGCAAAAAACAATTTGAATTTATGGCATGAGGCTTTTGGCCAGAGTGATCATTTATTACTAAACCTAAACTAATGACTTTTTCTTCATGATTATGATAATCTTAGTGCTGTACGACAAAAGTTAAGGTGATGACTCAAAATTGATATCACCGTTATCAAGGAATATGAATGATTAAAATGATGGATTGAAACGCTTTATCGATATTTGACAAACAATGATTCATTATTTGTGCTTACAAATTCAATAGTCGAAGTAATATGAAACAAAATGAAGATGTCATGAATGGAAAGAGTCAATCGTTACTAACCTCATTCTCTTTTGATATCTTAGTATTTCGTCCCCATCTATTGTTAATAGGTACTTCTGAACTTCAGCATATTTAGTACTAGTTATGTTATGTACGAAATAAAATAGTTATCTTTTTGAATAATTCATTCTTTTTTTTTTCTATATTTTTCACCAATATTTATCTAGATTTATAATAATAATAATAATTCTCTTTTTTTTCTTTACGATTGTTAGTGTGATGACAATGTGATGATGATGATAAATTGAAAGATGTTTGATAATAATTGATGATGATACTATGAAGATAATAATCGTTCTTATGATGAGTCATTCCTCTACAAAAACTGTTAGTATGAAGATAGAATTCGATGATGATTATAAGATTGTTTTGATCATGAAAGCCAATGAAAAGTCTCAATATTTTCCCATGCTACCGTGACACATACGATGCCATCCACCAATGAAATGATAATATGCCAAGATAGTCATTTCCATCTCCACATTTGTCTTTAGAATCTAAAAAGATTTTTTTTGTAGCTGTCACACGAACCGGAAGAAGAAAAAAAATATGATGATATTAGATCTTAACAACGAATCAACGTCTGTGTTACCTATCCATTTTGAATTAAAGTTTTTTTTCAAACGGAGGAAGAAGCCTGCAGATCGTATTAGCGAATCAAGACATATAGATTTGATCTTCCGGTGATAAAAAAAAAAGAGACACGGGAGAACACTGGCAAAAAAAAAGTTTTTTTTTTTTTTTTTTTTTTTTTTTTTATATTTCTCACGGGCTGTAACACCCGGTGTTAAGTTTTATGAATTGAAAAAAGAGTTTCTTCTTAATGGAACGTAAAAAAAAAAGCTCGCAATTACAACATCATCAAGATAAAGTTTGAATTAGAACCTAATGAAAAGGTGTATCTTGTTGGATAATATCTTTTGTAAAATAGAAAAAGAAGTTAACAGTTGATAGAGTCTTTCAAATACCGTTTCCCTTCATTCCATCTCTTTCCGATATGATCAGGGGCAAACAACTAAGTTCTGTATCAATATTATGATGGAAGTATCAAATACTATCTGATTATAACAATGATTGATCATTGATAAGAAGTAAAAATATAATCTCGAGTCATTTTTATTTTTGTTTCTATTTGTTTCTTTCATATAAAAGTTTTCTTTCTTTGTTATTAAATAATAACGACTATTGGTAACTAGATGATGAAAGAGAAACCCACGGAGCGGAGTTATATTCCAGGATGGCTCTTTCAGGACAAAGTCTATCTTATAAAAGGCGTTAAATTTCTTTTTTTTTTTTTTGTTCCTTCTTTTCTTTATTTTTTTTTTTTATTATTATTATTCCATTCAAAAATCCTAAATAATGCAAAAACAACTTTGTATAGCTGTCCTAGTAACAGATTCTGTTTCAATTCCCATTCAAGAAAAGCATGGCGATATGTTTGACATGTTCCAAAAAGCTTTCCAACAAGCCGCGGCAATCAAAGCAACCGATGAAATGGATCCTCAACAAGTAGCCCTGCAATTTGTACGCTTTGATGTAGTGAATCATCCTCCACAATACCCTAGCAAGGATGATTTGGATGCTGGAAAATATGATGGAATCATTATTACTGGTTCTACCAAAACGGCATTTGACAATGAACCATGGATCTGTCGTCTTGAACAATTTATTCAAGATTTACAAGAAAATCATTATGATCATCAACAAAACAAATTGGGTCTTCCTTCCTTGGATAACCTACAACTACCTATCAGACGGTTCAAAGTACCTTTACTTGGTGTTTGCTTTGGTCATCAAATCATTGCTCGTGCTTGTGGTGGTGTCTGTCAACAAAATCCTAATGGATGGGAATTCGGTCCTACTCTGATTCAACTTACTGATGAAGGTCAACAATTTTTACAAACGAAAGGAAAAACATCAATGGTAATACCTGTTTTTCATTATTATTTCATTCTCCCTCTTTTTTTTTTTTCTTGTCTGATCAATTTACTCATTCTTCTCTTTTTTTTAAAAAATGATTATTATTTATTTATTCATCCATAGCGTTTGAATCAATTCCATCGTGATCATGTTCCTTATTTACCTCCAGGCTTTGTCCGATTGGCAACCACAGAACCTCATACTTATATTCAAGCCATGATGTCTACCGACGGACGATGTATCACATCTCAAGGTCATCCAGAAATCAATTGTGGTGCAACAGAAATGTATTTGGATCAATTAGAATCACATATTCCTCAAGATCTTGCTATGGATACTCGCATTCGACTCAAGACACAAGCCTCTTCTATGGATAGTCTTTGGTTTGCTGGTAGATTACTCGATTTCTTTTTGTGTCGATTGCCTCCTCCTTGTTCCTTCAACAATGATGATCCTAGTGTAGAAGAAAAACAATCTGAGGATCAAACTGTTCCTTCTGTGGCTATGTTGTAATGTAGCATAGACCTTTTTTTTTAGTTATTCCCCCCCCCATTGATCATATTTTTATCATAGTTAATACTTTAGCTAGTATGCCCCTGTCTTATACATATATTTATACATATACATACTTTTTTCTTTTATATATATATATATAATAAACCATTTGTCCCATACGAGCTCCGTTTTTTGAAGTCAAAGATTTAGATGAAGATTGATTTTATTGGTTAGTGAGGAAAATGACTTGTAATCGAATATGTATATAAATATTTTTGGCACTTCATACTCTTTTTTTTTTTTTTCATTTATCACTCGTCATCACCTTCCTTTCATATTAATGCCACTCCATATCGTTCAATCTTTTGTCACTATTATATTTTGAGATAATGGATCACGCTACACTATTCCCCCAACAGATGATAATCTTAAATATACATTTATTTTAATTGAGTAAAAAAAAAAAAAAAAACGACCATAATAACAAACACCTGACATAAACTATCTAAAAATAATTATATACTACAATCCATCCACGATGTTTCAGTTTTCATCCAACTGTAAAAGATATAGCAGTAATGCCCGATCGTTTTTATTGCATAATGTGTCCAGTTGACGTGTAGATAAGATCCGGTTCTCTGTTGATAGCAGTATTTAAATAAATGAGGAAGGAAATATGTAAATATGCCATATCACTTTAGTTTTCTTTTATTCCAGTAACTTACTAGCTTCGATATAGCGTTCTTTTCGGTATGTATCCAACTTGATCAACTTTTCCAGAATGTCAATAGATTCATTGTCCAATGCCAATAGTTCATCCTTATCTACTTGTTGTTGCTGTTGTTGATGATGATGAATCAATCGTAATTTAAGTTGCTGCAAGAAATGAACCAAAGTATGAAGAGTCCCTAGAGATACATAAATAAATAAAAAAAAAATTATAAGATTTAGATGCGAGACTCTTTTCTTTTTCCTTTTTTTTTTTTTTTTTTTTGATTTGTCTTTTTTTTTTTACCACTCTGATAACTTACATTTACTATCCGGTTCAATATCACGCAATTCTCGTACCATAGCAATCTGATCCTTGAGAATGGTGATAGGGTCCAATGAATACCAAGCATTTGAATCTTCAGTGATAGAGTCCTTGTATAAATGTATCAATTTTGGTGGACGAACCTTTTCCATTGTCTGTGAAATCTTTTCTGTCACTTTTTCTATCACCATTATCATCATAAGTATCATATAAAAAAGAGTATAATGTATGAGATTCATATCATTCTTTCATTTTTTCTAATTTCTTTTTTTTCGATGTTTCTTACCACAAGAAGTCAATACTTTGATTTCTTTTGACCAAATAGTATCTGATTCCACAGTCATTGCATTACTGATAGGGTGAACAGTATTGGAGTCAATTTCAATGGTGATTGGTTCATCCTTTTGTTGCTGATACTGTTTATCTGGGATAAAAAGCCATGCAGATCCTTTGTCGCTTCCAAGTCGAAGTGCTACATTTGTCGAGGTTGATGTTCCTGTTGTTGTATCGACAGCATACCAGCTCCCCTCTAATGAAGTACCATTGATTGTCATCACCTTGGGAAAAGAAGAAGAGAAACCAACCGCATCATTGAATCCAATCATCACAGAGTTCGAGTCTTGCATACGAAAAGCACCAATAACGGCAACAGGAGAAGGTGCTATTATAATGAAAACCAATGAGTTAAAATAGATAAAGAATAAAAATCTCTCTTTTTTTTTTGTTATACCATTTATCCTTTACCTTTGCCTATTAACCACCAATAATAAAGCCATGCTGATTGATCATCCGGTTCAGTAAAAATTGCATCGTTGACCATTTCCAATTCATTACGAGCTACTTGATTCCTTTCTTCCATAGTCATTTTGGCAACGATTTCTGGTAAAAGTTTCGAACGCTGATGCCAAGCAGAGTAATTGCTAAAGGATTGATGGATTTTCTGTGTGGTGAATTCATATTCTTGTTCTACAATACGATAATCTTCTTCCTTTGATGAAGCCAGTTTTCGCAACTGACTTACTACATATTGTCGATAATTCCATCCATGAACTATATATATATATATATATTTCAGAAAGAAAAAAAATACTCAATTCCTTGTCAATAAAACGTTATTTCAATATATCAACTTACAGTTTCGTCCATCCATGGTAAGCATCTTGTCAACTAATTTCAATTCCCCTTTCCAACTCGGTTGAGGCATTGTTTCCAAACACCAACGACGATGATTCCACATCCAATATGATTTTGGGTTGATACGGATTAGTTGCATAAATAAGTCCAGTTCTTGTAAATACACTTTTTGATTTGCTTCCACGTCAGAGGAGGAGATAGTTGACACCTTTGTTGCTTCTGTTGGTTCGGTTGTCAAAGGAAGCAATATACCTTTTAACAAAACTTGACGTCGAATATTCCAAATAGTATAGTAATCAGGATTAGTTTGAAGTATTTGTGTTGTAAGGTTTAATGTTTCTCTATCGAAAAGACCAGCTTGTACCTATTGATATCAAATATGATTAAGTACAAACTTACGCTATGTTCCATCGATACATATATATTATTCATACTTTATTGTTTTTAACCCACTTACTCTATCATTGCATTCTTTTACGGTATCATTGTATTGTACAATCTTGCTGGCGTCCTTTTCCCTTTTTGCTTTGATGATATCAGCTGATGTCTTTTCACGTTTTCTTCCATGCTATATGATAAATTAAAAACTATTAGATAAAAAGTTGGAAATAGTAATACTTTTTTTTGGGGGGATGGACTTACCACGTCACTACTCATGATAGAAAAAAGAAACAAAAAATCAATGAAGAGTAAAAAAAAAAGAAAAAAAAAAAAAGGTGATAACTCTATTTCCAGACGAACCCCGGCGACTGTAAAAAAAAAAGAAAAAAATCGAGTTCAATTGCTACCGCGCTTGTCATGGAACCCGCCCTTTGAAAAGTTTCCCCTTTGATTAAACCCCTCATTGTTGTAAACCCCCTTAGGTGATGCCCTAGATAATAACTTTTTTTTTTTTCTTAAGTGGCGTAAAATAAGTAAAAATTCTAATCTCATCTATCTACAGTGTATCATATGAAAAAGTAGACAATGTCATGTAAGGTTCTAAATATGGTTCATTTTTTTTAAAATACCATTTTTGTATAAATTTCAAAAATAGATAAATATTTGAATGACATCTGTTCATTTATGAATCACGATGGATAAATCATGATGATATAAGGAGGAATATAATATTGTTGACATAGTAACTAAAGATGGATATCGGAAAGAAAAAAAAAAAAAAGGATGATCATCATTTACACCCCCTCTTTGCATATATATAACGTGTAATCATATCGGCAAAAACCCTTACCTTTTTTTTTTTCTTTTCTTTTTTAGTTAGCTTGGAAGGCGTAATTTGACTCCACAATGTTTAGTTATGGAGGATTATATAGGCTAGTTTAAGAATAAAATATTCTGAAATGAAAATACCATAATTAGTATATTTGCCAACAAAAAAGGGGAAGAGGTAGGATGATATTTTTAGCTTTTGTTAAATGATAGAGTCATACAAATACAAACGCACATCAAGGATGACTTTTTACATAACACTTTACATATATATTGAAATCCTAAAAAAATAAATAGATATATATTTCTTTTTTTTCAATTTTTAACTAAATCATCCATTGAAGAGAAAGTACTTTTTTTTATTATTATTATTTATTTATTTATGATTACAGAATGATCATACGTTAGGTAGGCTGATTGATGAACATCAAACTCCTGACCCCGCACGCATACTACTAGAAACAGATAGATACATACAGCTAGCATGGTGCAGCTTTATTTTTCAATACTTCATAAGGAAAAAATAAGATTTCCCAAGGGAGCGGGAGTCGATATGATCAAGGTATGTCTCCCCTTATTTAACTTTTTTTTTTTTTTCTTTTCAATGAGTAAAAGCGAAATGGCAACCGCATAATCATCACGAAATGCAATAGAACCCCGACGCCGATACATTTTTGCCTCCCCCTTTTTCTCTTAATGGATTTGTTTCTTTCTCTTTCAGTTATTTTACATTTGATCATCCTCCCTTTTAATCTGTGGCCCCTAGAACATTATACAGCACACACTCACACATATATATATACGCACAATCTCTCTCATATATATATATATATCTACACCACACAAAAAAAAAAAAAAAAAACCATAAACGTCGATTCTCCCTTTTTTTTTTTTTTTTTTTTTTTGCCATCCTTTAAAACCTTGACTGGTTTTCCCTTTTATCCTTTTTTTTTTCCTTCTTCTTTTACCTAAAGAAAACAACAACTTCCAAATCCTTTTAACTATTTGATCATCCATTGTACTCTTATACTTTTCCCTGTACTCTATTTCTTATACCATTTATATTCTACTTTATTATACCTCTTTATATCTATTAACTTTACACCCATATACTTTATTAGTTAACTTTTTAAAAAAATATACAAAACCAGCGAAAGGCGTGAACAAAAGATTATAAAAACCAATCAAAACAATCATTTCAGGTAAACATAAGAACCATAATTTTTGAAACATATCGGATCACCTTGCTGACTTTTTTGGAATATTATAGGTATAATGGATCTCAAGCATATATTATGTCAACCCAAGGACGAATTTCCCTGTAAACCTACGATCAGATTGCCAACTCCCAACCTTTTGGAATTGAATGAATGTATTGAACCAGTGTATCAAGATAATAGTGATTATTGGGAACGTGCAAGATCCATCAGTACCAGCAGTCTTAGCAGTTGTAGTAGTAGTACTAGTCGCAGTAATAGTCTCATCAATGGTGGAAACAATAGTTTAACCAACAGTCCTTTTCCAACATCTCCTCGACAAAGGGTGCAAAGTGAACATTATCGTACTTCACCAGTATTATCATGGGGTTACCAACATCATCATCACCATCACCATCATCATCATCATCATCTTCATCCTTATCATTCTTATCGGGATGAAGTATTGATTGCTCCTCTTACTTCATCTATTTCTACTAATATGATTGTGACGCCAACTTCATCTTCTTCTTCTACAACAACATCTTCTTCATCTTCATCCTCTACAAGTTCATTATCGTCTCCAGTGACACCTACCATGTCAAGTACATCTACTGCTTATCAACGCCGTCGCCATCGATCTGCATCTACATCACATGTCAATCATCAACAACGACCATCTATTACTCCTCATGCATCCACTTCATCCACCATGCCAAATCAAATTCAGACTCGCACTCCTTGGACACCAATGGAAGATGAATTATTACAAAAGGGTTATGAACAAGGATTATCATGGGCTATGATTTCTGCTACTCATCTTCCTCATCGTTCTCGTGGTTGCTGTTGGGGTAGATTCAAAACACTTCAAAGTAAGAATTTGGTGGATATCAAGGTACAACAACAATCAAGATTGGCAAAACGTGCTTGGAAAACAATGGATATCAAGTAATCCTTTTTTTTTTTTTTTTTTTTTTTTTGATCATCACTTCCTTTTCTCTGTCTTTTTCTTTTCTATTCGTTACTATCATTCTTATTTTTTCTTTTCATCTTTTTATTATTTATTTATTTATTTATTTATCTATTTATTATTATTCATTTTTCATTTATTCCTTTTTTTTTATCTTCTTTTATGATGATGATGATGATGATGATGATTACTCTTTTTGTCATCTCCTACTTATGACCATATGATTTATTTTTATGCCAATATTATTTACTTATGCATTTTTATACACCTTTAATGAACAAAAGAGAAACATTTTACCATTCAACACTTTATCATATCCGGATCCTGGCGATTTCTTATGTACTTCATTTTTAGTTCAAAAACTGATGCTGCTCTCTTATCTATTTATTTAGTTTAATTTATATATATATATTTCATGAATTATTCAATAAACATCATTTACTTTTTTTTTTTTTTTTATTCTTTCTCGCGAATAAAGATTACCTAATGGGGAATGGATTTTCCCCTGGCCGGCATATAGGATGACTCTATTTTAAAGCAACGACTACCTGGAAAATTTTAATCTTTTCTTTCTTTCCTTTCTTTTATCTTTTCAACATTATATCCAAATCATGACCACTTCAAAAACAGATATCAATGTTAATGGTTTACAATTATCTGTCTATGGTTTGACCGAATACAAAAAGTTACCTGAGAATACCCCAGTGGCCGTCATGTTTGCTCTTCATGGTCGTCTACGTAAGTAAACGGTACTTTTCTTTTTTTGTTGCTAATATTGTCTTTGTTGTTATTTGTTACATAGAAAATAAATCCAAGATGGAAGCTATTTCTCAAGTACTTTGTAGTTTGAATGCATCCAAGGGAGGAAAACCACGTTCTCGTCATTTGCTGGTGGTAACCTTTGATCATGTCAATCACGGATCTCGTCTTGTTGATAAAAAGGCAAACTTTTCGTGGAAGGAAGGAAAACATCAAAACCCAAATCATGCTATTGATATGTGGTCCATGTTTCGGTCTGGTGCGCGTACGGTAAGCGAATTGATTGATGTATTGGAATACTATTTGTTTGATAGTGGTCGTCCTGTTCAAGTCTGGGGTTGTCTTGGCTTTTCTATGGGCGCTCATGCTACTTTTCTTGCTGCTGCTAATGGTAAAAAAATGATCTTCAATGGAACTGATGAATTTTTTTTTTCTAATTCATTTTTTTTTTTTTTTTTTTTTTTTATATATATGTAAAAGACCCAAGAATCACGGTACAAATAGCCATTGTTGGAGCAAGCGATTATCTTGGTTTGATGCGTGCTAGATTGGCGGAAGGAGGATGGACTGATGATTACTTACCCGAATCGTTTTGTGATATGGTGAAAGAACATTATGATGGATTGGCCAGCAAATTAGCTTCCACCAAAGTATTGATGATCAGTGGAGGAGAGGATGGATTAGTGCCTGGAAGATTCAATGATGGATTGGTCAATGCATTCAAGGCGGCAAATGATCAAAAGGAATACAGAGATTGGGCAAGAATTGTCGTACCTCATGTTGGTCATGCTTGGTGTCCAGAAATGTTTGAACTCTCTGCTGCTTGGTGTCTTCAATGGATGGTCTCTGCTACCGAAGATGATTCTTCCTTTTTCCTTGATTTACCCTCCTCTTGTAAATTGTAGTGATAGTCTTATTTTAGTTTGATATGTCAAAATAGAAAGCTCTTTTTTTTTTCTTATCCTTTTTGATATTTTTATTTTATTCATACGTAGTATACAACAATCTTATTTTGATCAAATAAATGAATGGTGATAATGATAAATGTGAAAGCGACTTTTTTTTTTTTTGTTCTAAGAACCCCATAGTGTGTCAAAATACAAAATCAATGATTGTCTATGAAAGATATCCATCATCGATCATCATTATAAATCATCATGGTATTTCTTTCTCTAACATAAATCCTTTATTTCAACCGGTCACAATGAAGTATCAGAGCATTTATTACATAACATAAAAAAAAAGGATAATGATAACCAATAAACAAAAAAATAAAAAAAAAAAAACTATAACGGGAATGGCAAAAGGAGAGAAAAAAGAATGAAAGGAAGAAAAAGTAATGACTAGATAAGTGTTATCCAGGACCAACCTTGGGGATATCATAATGTTCACTGAGATGTTCTAATTTGTTATTGAATTCAGCTACTCTTTCCTTGTGCGATTTTCCAGCAGCCTTGGACACCCGTTCCATTTGCTATAAAAAAAAATAAATCATCCACATCAAAAGAAAAACAAGAATGTTAATCAAATCTATTGACACATACAACACAGAGACATATACGCATCTATCCATCAACCTTTCAATTTTATATATTCCTTTCATTTCCTTTTTTTTATTCTTACCCTTTTTCGTTTTGTTTCTTCAAACTTGCGTTCAGCCTCAGTTTTATGTATCGTTTGTGTCACTTTTTGATGATCTTCAGATGCTGATTCAATCGCCTTGACCATTTTTTCATGATTTGATTTGGATTTCTTTTTCTTTTTTCTATTGAAAGAGAGTAAAAAAAAAAAAAAAAGAGTCGAGTCAGTAATCTGCTCTAATCTTGAAGTCTAATTGAATCGTATCCAACAATAATAATAATACTAAAAGTCAAGTAATATATATATATATATCCCATAAAGTGATATATATCCTTTTGATACCTTTGAATCAAAAAAAAAAAGATAGAACTTACTTTATTGAAGAGGATGATGACCCTCCTCCTTTGAATTTGAGTGATCCTCCACTAACATGATCATATGCCGACATGATAGTAAGACAAAGAGAGAAAGAAAAAAAAAAAAAGTGGAAAAAGAAAGCACTGGAAATTTGATTTTTCTTCAAACACCGCTAGTCGTTTCTCATTGGATTACCACGCAAATTGATCATAATAAAAAATAATCCTCCATTCATCAAAAAAGTTATTCTAATGCCATATAGTAGCAATTTTATCTGCTACCTTTATTTTTCTAGAGGATGGTGAAACTAAAGCAATGATCAACGCTAGATGGTGACCCAGAGCAATATCACACTGAGGATGCAGACATGTATTGCTTTCTAATGTTGTAATTCGCTCACAAAGTCATCATCATTGCACCAAATTTAGACAGAACAAAATATATCTCTTTTCATTATATGAATAACAATTTATACCTTATGTCCCAATTTATATAAAGTCAATTTAAAAGCATAGGTCAATATCGTCATCCCTCATCTAATAATGATCATCATCCAATAAAATGACCATCATTAGATTCCTCTTTAAAAAATAACTTAGTATCATCTAATATCATTTTATCGCTTACCTTGTCAACTAATGTACAATGATCACCAAAAGAAAATCATTGATTTTTTGAAATATTGCCTGATGACCCCTCGACGATTTATTTTTACAGCTAAAATTTGGCTGAGGAGTTTGAAATTTTTGGCTGTAAACGTTGAAAATTTTCAAGAAAAAATCCACCACTCTGAATAACTCTTATTATCCTTTCAACCCCTCATTTTTAAGCTTAAATCTACCATCATACCATGGAAACATCAATAACAAAATGTGTACATATTATCTATGGCTTTCGTTTTTATTGATGGATCAAGCTGTTATTAATACGTACAAATTGTACAAAAGAAGGTCCTTTGACAAGCTATAGTAATCTCATATGAATAAAAAAAAAAAAAAAAAAAAGAGCAGCTTTCAGATCCATTTCTTCCTTTTCTATGATAAATCAGTTAATGATTAGCTTTCTATCAATCTATATTTGTAAGCTAAGTAATCAAAGGATAAACATATAATCAAATCAATTTCAAACAGGACATTATTATTATTTTTTTATTTTAATATCAAACATGAATTAAATAACACTAATACTATAGAGAGGATTATTTTTTCCATTTGGAAGATAACACCTTGGTAAGAGCAGATTTGACAATAGTAGCAGCTTTGTCATTTTCTTTCTTGGAGAGTCCTACAGTGACATGAATCTTGATACTTGGTCGAGGTAAGCCACGTTCTTGATCATCCACATATTTAGCACGGGTCACCAAAGCACCTTGAGAAGCACATTCATCCACCACTTCTTGAAGCAAACGTTCTTCATCTTCACGACTAAGATTAGCATTGCGAGAAGCCAAAAAGGATGGCTTGATCCGGATATGGAAAAACGGTACCACAGCAGCATCTGGACCAGATGAGGTATCCACATCAATCAATGCATCCAAACTTTTATGAGCAAGAGTATGACGGAAGGCTTGAACACGTTCCCGGAGTTCACGTAACAGATTGGGTTGTTGACTGATGATATTGATTGCTTCAGATGCAGATATCGTAAGCATAGCTGGAAGTGAGGCTGAAAAACAATACGCGCTGCCTGATAATCGTTGATGATCTACAATTTCTACACTACCAGCACAAAATCCACCAGAAGAACATAACGCAGATGCCATGGATCCAACAATCATATCCACGTCCTTAGCCTATAAATAAAAAAAAAAAAAAAGAATTAAAAATCAAATTTATAAGATAAAAAAAAAAGACGTACATCCACACCAAAATGATCTGTAACACCAGCACCTCGTCGACCAAGAACACCAATGGATTGAGATTCATCTAAAATCAATCGATACTTGAATTTCTTTTTTAATTCAATCTATTAAAAAATAGGAAGAGTTAATATTACAAAAGGATAATAGGTAAAAGAATGGTATTCATACCAATTTAGGCAAAGGTACCACATCCCCATAGTTGCTGAATAATGCTTCCGTTACAATAAAGCGGCGTGTTAATCGTTTCTTGTGCTAATAAAAAAAAAAAAGATGAGAAAAAAAAATAATAATCCAATCTATTGTTTGATATCATTCAGTTTACTCTTAATGTATCCAATTGTATTTCATTCAAGACACGTTCAAGATCATTCATATCATTATGTTTGTACCAACGAACATTTGACCGAGAGATTTGTACACCTTTTTGAATGGCAAAATTGACACGATCATCACTAAAGAATTATATATATATATATATATATATAAAAGGGGATAAGTATAATTAAGGTCCATTGTTTTTTTTTCAGTTACACTTACACAACCAAAAGATCACCACGTTTGGAAAAGGCAGGAATCACAGAAGAAATAGTAGAAAAGTTTTGGGCATAAATAATGGCTTCGTCCGTTCCCAAAAAGCGAGCAATATCTTTTTCCAATTGCATATGAATATCCAAAGTACCATAGAATCCAGGAGGTCCACAAGTACCTACACCATAATTCTTCAGAGCATCAATTGCCTTTTGTCGAATATGTTCAGAAGAAACCAAGTTCAAATAATTGGTAGTTGCTAAATTCATCAAAGGTTTGGTATATCCTGCTACCTTGGTTTTGGCAGTTTGTGCACCAACAATCATGGGCGTTTTTTCCAAATTGAATTTGTCATATGAACTAAGTTTTGGTACTAACGATTCCGGTTGCCATTCTTCCACAAGTTCATCAATTTCCTATTGTTATATATATATATATATAAAGTCAGTATAAAAATAAACAAAAGGAAACAATACCTTTTCTGTTAACTTGACTGCATTATCATGAGGTTTGTATTTCTTGGATAACATGTAACGAAGTGCAAAGAAGACTAAGAAGAGTTCTAAAGCAATACGGAAAGGATCATCTTGATATGCATTCTTGAGATAATTAAAGGCAAGTGTTGAACCAGGAATAGCTACTACCAATTCATAAACGGAATGAACAGTTGAATTGATAAAAGCATGATCAGCTGTAAGAGGAGCGTGTTCCATAACAAAAGAGGAAGGGGAATCTTTTACTATAGGTATTAAGATGAAAGAAGGAAAAGAAACAAAAAAAAAAAGATGCTGTCAGCTTGCCCGCTTTTCAATAATCTCATCCACCCCCCTCGTAGTCAAAAATCGACGGGATTTAAATCAGTTTCCTTTTCTGGCCATCATCTTTGAATCAAAAGTTCTTTTTATTTTGTTCATTATATATATATATTTAATTTTTTTTTTCAATGACTAAAAATAGGAAAGCTTTATTGGATTTGTATTCAATGCATCTTTTTCTTTGTGCCTACTGGTCTCAATAAGTTTGATAGCAATCACCAAAGAAGTTGTTTTCCCTGATTTTCAGTTCCCGTCACTTGGCGTTGGATTTTTTTTTTCTTTTTCTTTACTTTCTTTGTTTCTTTCCCACTCTTACAGAATAGATCGTTTTAGATATTTGTATAATCTACTTAATACCATATTATGGTTGACAGTGTAAGAGAAAAAAAAATAATATATTTACATAATTATGAGTTTATTAATTATTTCTGATCCGATTCTTTTTTTCCAATTATAAATCATCGATTTAGTCAAGTCATACAAGCAACTTTCTTACCCGACGTCATTCAGCAGGAGACACTGGATCTCTTCCATCGGCACGACTTCCTATTTACCCAGCATCCACTCCCAATTTTACTTGTACTGACTTTATATCTCCTGAAGGTTCCTATACCTTGGCTCATACTATTTTTTTTCGGTCTCTTACACCATATTATAATGTTGGTACCTCGGCAAGTCTTGTCTCCATCAAATACAAAGAAACAACACCAAATATCAATCGTTATGAACCTCAACCTGGTGCACGAAGTTTTAGACGACTTATGTTTGGTCACCATGACACTTCTTCAACAAATAATAATAATAATAATAATACAACAACCAAGACACCACCTTCCTTTTCTTCAACATCTCAGAATGGTAACCATAGCATGTCCGACTTTCCGGAAGAAGATATGAATTCTATCATTGCAACAACCTCACCTACTTCAACTTTATATCCTACTACAACAAATCAGCAGGACGATTCAATACCACCTTACCCATTACAAAGAGGCAACTCCATACCCTTGACTTCTGGAGTCTACGATTCACAACAAGACCCATATTTAAAAACAATATCAGGAATGAATCGATCACAAACAATAGCAGCAACAACGTCCATTCCTTCACAAAACAAATCATTATATTCTCAATCCATGTCTACTTCATTATCGTCTTCCATGTCTTCTTATTCTGGTGGTTCCCCTCGAAAACCAAAAACAAACATTACCAAAACCAATTCAAGCTTCGTGCAACGTATCATTACCAACGATCAGCTGGCGAAAATCCTCGTGGCAAGAACAAGTGAAGATACCAATTTGTTTTATAATTGTGGATCTAATTTTGTTTGGATGGATGCTTCTTGTCAACCTATGGTAAATAATAAAATATATAAAGAAAAAGGAATCTGATAAATCATCTTTTTTTTTTTTTTGTAGGAACCTTTATCAAGAGTTGTATTTGCTCGAGCATATCCTACATCTCATGATGTGAACTTATTGACCCGTGGATCAGATCATTTGGATATCATTATTGGATTTACATCTGGAGATATTGTATGGTTTGATCCTTTATGCAACAAATATGGTCGTATCAACAAAGGGGTAAATGCTGTTTATTGTTGTTTTTTTTTATATATGTTAAAACGAACTCATCATGAGATTTTCCGTGTAACGTTTAGGGTTTGATGAATTCTTCTTCTATCACGATGATTCGCTGGCTTCAAGGTTCTGAAAATTTACTCATGGCTGCATTTCAAGATGGTTCAATCATGATCTTTGACAAGGAAAAAGAAGATGATGCCTTTCGTCCTGACAATGATAATGATGATGATGAAGATAATGATGATGATTTTGATAGTGGTGTTGATGATGAATTGTCCAGTCAAACATCACCTAAATCAACTGATTCTCACTGGCATTTCCACCATAAATATTCAACAGCAACAAGAACATCAAATCGAATCCCATCCACCAAATCAAATTCTCGGTCTAGAACTCCCAAGCAAACGTAAGTCGGATGATGAACAAACAAATGTGAACAAAAAAGGATATCAATTTTATTGTCTTTCTAGTTTCCGTGTGTCCAAGTCTTCTTCCAAATTGGCTGCCAAGTGCAACCCTGTATCTCATTGGAAACTATCAAATCAATCTATTACTGGTAAGTTCATTCCCCTAAAAAAGGATAATTCTTATGATCTCTCCTCTCATTATTCATATTTATTTGTTTGTCTGTTTTTTTTTTTTATTTTTTTTCTTAGCTTTTGCCTTCTCACCAGATTGCCAACATGTTGCCGTTGTAGGATTAGATGGTTACCTCAGGATCATCAATTATGTAAATGAAAAGTAAGTTTAATGTAGGACGTTAGAATGGAGGGAATCCATTTGATTTCAAAGAGAATTGACTATTACGTTACGTTTTTTTTTATGTTGGATTAGACTCTATGATGTATATGAATCTTATTATGGTGGTCTGCTCTGTGTAACATGGAGTCCTGATGGAAAATATATATTGGTAAGTGGAAAGTGGTAGAACAAAAAAAAAAAAAAGAAAGAAAGAAAGAAAGGATGGTACTAATGTGATTATTTTTGTTTATGCATGATTAGGCTGGTGGACAAGATGATTTGGTGACTATATGGGCATTTCGAGAACAACGTATCATAGCAAGATGTCAAGGTCATAGTTCATGGGTAAGTATTTTATCTTCACAAAGACAAGACTCACTGATATGATTTCAAAAAAAAAAAAAAAATTAGGTGACAAGTGTAGCATTTGATTCTTGGAGATGTGATGAACGTGTATACCGATTTGCAAGTGTAGGTGAAGATGCCAAATTGATTCTATGGGATTTTTCTGTACCAGCATTACATCGTCCAAAAGCAGTAAGATTTCACAAAAAAAAAAAAAGAAAGGTAATTGTTTATCTAATGAGTCCATTTATATTTTTTTTTGTTATTGTAGAAGGTGAATACTAGACATCGAGGAGCATCAGTATCATCCACCACCAATCCTAATTTGATTCAGAGTTCACCCAATCGACCTACGACAGTCCATGCTGTGGCCTCCAAAACTGAAGTTGCCTTTTTACAACCTACCGTAGTCAAGACTATTCATGCTGATCCTTGTGTTGGTGTTTATTATAGAGAAGATGCCATTGTAACAACTGATAAACGTGGTCGTGTATGTGTTTGGAAACGACCTTAATAAACTTTTTTTTTTGACACATGTTGATACTCCGATGATTTTCGACTTTGAGCGGTTGAAATGGTGGTGACTTGCGGATTACCCTAACCCACTCTTTTCATATTTCGGATTCCTCTCTTTTTTTTTTTTTGTTTTTCTTTTTTTGTTTTTCTTTTTTTTTTTCTTTGTTTTTTCTTTTGTCCGACCTTACATTATCATGTTCTTCACCCGACCTCTTTTACAAGCTACTACCAAAGTAAATGTCCAATATCATTGCTATAAACCAATATCTTACTTTTTATTATTATTATTATTTTTGTTTTATGTAGTTAACCACTGGTTTGACCGGTATCCCTGTTCATCCCAATCCTCGTCCTCATTTGATTCAAACTTACAACAACACTTTAACCGCCTTGTCACGTCTTCCTGAACATGCTGTTTATCGTCAGGCCACTGAAGGTTTCACCAAGACTCGTTTGGCCATTGTCGAATCAACAGAAAACGTCGCTGATATTGAAGCCAAGATTGGTGCTGGACAAATCGAACAATTGATTTTGCAAGCTGAAGATGAACTCAAGTTGGTGGGCAAGATGGAACAATGGAAACCTTGGGAAGAATTAGAAACCCCTATCCCTGAAGGTCAATGGAAATATCCTGGTTACAAGGAATAAATAGTGATTCACTTTCTTTTTTTTTTTTTATTGTATGATTCCCTTTCGACAAAAAAAAAAAAACGACAACAACAAAAAAAAAAAAAAATGAAACATCGTCTTTTACTTTTGTGCACTATTACAATTCTCTCACTATCCGTATCCTCGTCTTACTCTAGATAGCATCCTATTTTATATACATTATCTCAATAAAGCGAAATAAAACCTTTTCTATTTAATGAAGTTTGTCTATATTGATGCAAGTCATATTCATATTTTTTTTTTGTGATGATGAAATTGATATATCTGTCAAATTGAATTGACCACTATAATGAGATGGATTCCATTATGTCAAATATCCTTTTGCATTTGTCACGATGATTTTTTTTAGAAAAAAAAATTGAAAAATGAATAAGATATGTCCTCTCATCCAATCAATATTCAATGATTGCGATATCTCCCCTTGCCCATCATCTCCTATCATTAGTTCGTCATTCATCATTCATCATTACATATCATCCATTCATGATCCATTCATCCAATCAACCCAGCATTCAATCATCGTGCATCATCCACCCGACTTTGAACATTTATACATTTCAGAATTCACATCATGATAATATTGATCTATTTTATTTGTAAAGCATCAAAAAGTAACTAGTTGATTGATAGTTATTCTTTTTTTTAATTCTAAAAAAAAAAAAAAAAACTATATTATATCACTAAGCTTCTAGTCCTAAAGACTCTAATATTTCGTCTAATAAATCCAATTTCAAATTATAAGTCATTTCCAAATCAGTCCAATCCTCCTTATAATCCTCATTGACCTTGCCCGCTGCATTTAAATCAGCATCTTCTATACAATACATCTTGCCAAGGTAATAGCGTAATTCATCAATAAATGGAATCGAATCTAACATTATAAAAACATATTCATTCCATTAGTATTCAAACATCCCTTATATATATATATTTTTGATATTACCTGTTTCTTGTCTTCCAGAAATCGATTGGGCACTTTGACGAATCAAACGATAAAAGGCAGGATCTTTGGCAAAATCATCCAAATGTTTGGCAAAGTATTGTGTACACCATTGTTCCAAACGGTCGACATTAAGATCAAGAGCTATCTGCATCAAATCATAAATATCCATACATGGTTCATCTTGACCAGTGAGAGTGATGGCTGCCAACGCCTTGAGTCGATCCAAGAATAATAAATCTGCTGCTAATAGGACTTCATATGCCAAATCAATGGGAATAGTACATCGATCTGTATATAAAAATTCCAATACCTTTTTTTTTTAAAAAAAAAAAAAAAAAAGGACAGCATGAGTTTCTATGATGATTGTAATCATTGATGACTTACATATTGAAAGATATCAGAGGGTACATTTGTAAGTCCAACCACCGGTAAGGCCAACTGGATATCATCTTGTTGATAGATAATGGTAGATGGACTTGCACTTGCTTCTGCAAAAGTACTAACTAGCATGTTCCGAAAATAAGTTGAACGGCAAAGGAATGCTTTGTGGGTTGGGAATAAGGTATTATCATCATCCAATCTAACTGCAACATCGGCAAACAAAGTTCTTGGATCTGTAGATGAATCCTCTGGTAAGAGTCGTTCCTTCAATAGATAAGATCCTTCTTGTTGTTGTTCAATATACGCTGCAGCATAAAGGATCCTTTGTAAAAACTTTTCAAAATCCAATCGTATCTTTGCCATTTCTTTCGCATCGTAAGCACGGATCGCATTCGATTCATTGTTCATAGTTTCCAGTTCCTCTTGACATCGATTTGATAATTCAGGTAAGTCCAAATGTTTACCCACAAACACCATGTTCCTTAAAGTATCTTGATCGATATCACCCAATTGTCCAGTATAGAGATATCTTAATACAGCTGCAAATGCCACAGGATCTACCAAGGATTTGCTAAGCTTGATCGTTTGTTGTCCATGCCATCGTTGTAAAAGTTGTCGTTGGAAAAATTGGGATCTAGCCGCCAATAAGAACCTATGAGCTGAAAAGCTATGCTGTATAATATTGTCATCTTGAGTAGAAATAGTACTTGTTGGTAGTCGAATAGTAAAAGAGAGATCATTAAAAGGATGTTCATACAAAAGGTCGGATAAGAAAGCGAGATAAGGTTGATTGGTGTCTACAGCTTTGGTGATTTTATATGAGAGTAATAATGTTCGAATATCACTTGTTAGTGCGCCATATAAACATCGTTCACTAGAAAAAAGAAAGGGGAAAAAAGTAAGAAAAAGAGTAACCTTTTTTTCTTAAGTTACCCTTGAAAGGTATTTCTATCGCACTGAGCACCATTTTCGAGTAAGAACTTGACAATATCATAATTGCCACATAAGCCTAAAAAAAAAAAAAAAATAGTAAAGATAAACATATCCCTTTTTTTTGTATAATATATTTTTACATACATGCCCAATATAAAGCACTACATTGCCATTCGTCTACCTTGTTGATATTAGCACCAAAATTCTTGACTAAACTTTCGACTTTTTCCAAATCCCCTTGTTTTGAGGCTGTACACAGTTCGTCAAATAAATTGTTTGAATTAGGATCAATAGTAGGACCATTTTCTTCCCAATCTTCTTCTTGTTGTTGTTTTGCTCGTGCCGATTCTTCCATTGCTAATGTCATAACTATCGTCTTTGATACCAATGGTTTCTTTCCCATGATTTGATTGGTAATTAAAAAAAATAGATAAAAAAAAAAAAAAAAAGAAGTGAGAGACAAATGGAAATTCGCTGAGTGTGAAAACTGTTGCATTTCGTTTCGCAAGCTTCCAAACATACGCTATCATAACAGTATCTTTTCTACTTCTTCACAATTCATATAAACAAACAATATTCAGCTTTTTTATTTTCAAATAATTGTTAAAAAAAAAAAGGGATAAGACTATATACTATGGTGAGGGTTTTCCTTGAATTTTTTTTTCTTTTTTTCCTTTTTTTTTGCCAAATAAAAAGAGTAAACTATGTATAGATAAAAAAAAAAAGTTCTGATTTTTTAATCGACTTCTTCAACAGTTGGTCCATCTTCACCACTAGCACCGGGAGGAGCACCACCAGGGAAACCACCTGGAGCACCACCTGGACCACCGCCTGGAGCTATATATATGATAAAATAAAAAAATAAAAAAGGATTCAATAACAATGCTATATGATTCTTTTTTTTTTTTTTTTTTTTTTTGAAAACATTACCTCCACCTTGACCTTGATAAAGTTTCATCATGATAGGATTGGCCACTTCTTCCAATTCTTTTTGTCGACCTTCATATTCATCTTTACTAGCTTCATGAGAGTTGTCCAACCATTCGATGGTTTCGTGGATGGCCTTTTCCAACTTTTCTTTATCAGCAGGTTCCAATTTGTCCTTGACTTTTTCTTCTTGTAGAGTATTGCGCAAATTATAAGCATAAGATTCGACAGCATTTCGAGCTTGAATACGAGCAGCTGCTGCTTCGTCTTCTGCCTTGTATTTTTCAGCATCATTGACCATACGTTCAATATCTTCCTTGGAGAGACGACCTTTATCATTGGTAATTGTGATCTTGTTTGATTTACCAGTAGTCTTGTCCAAAGCACTGACGTTCAAGATACCATTGGCGTCAACATCAAATGTCACTTCAATTTGGGGTACACCACGAGGAGCAGGAGGAATACCAGATAATTCAAATTTACCTAAAATATTGTTATCTTTTGTACGAGCACGTTCACCTTCATATACTTGAATCAATACACCAGGTTGATTATCGGCATAGGTTGAGAAAATTTCTGATTTCTTGGTAGGAACAGTAGTGTTACGTTTGATCAAAGGAGTCATTACACCACCAGCTGTTTCAATACCCAAAGATAAAGGAGCTACATCCAATAACAATAAGGAATCTGTCTTTTCAGAAGTATCACCAGTCAAAATAGCAGCTTGTACAGCAGCACCATAAGCAACGGCTTCATCAGGGTTGATAGATTTGTTGGGTTCTTTGCCATTGAAAAAGTCAGATACTAACTTTTGAATCTTGGGGATACGAGTACTAAATAATGAAAAAAAAAATCATATAAGTATAAAAATAAATATAATAATAAATAATAAAAAAAAAAAAAAAGTATATATACTTACGAGCCACCAACAAGAACCAATTCATGAACAGAAGATTTATCAATCTTGGCATCACGTAAAACTTTTTCAACAGGTTCCATAGTTTGACGGAAAAGATCTTGATTCAATTCTTCAAAACGAGCTCTGGTCAAGGAAGTGTAAAAGTCAATACCTTCAAATAAGGAATCGATTTCCACAGTAGTTTGAGCAGAAGAAGACAAAGTACGTTTAGCACGTTCACAAGCAGTACGAAGACGACGGACAGAACGAGCATTTCCAGACATATCTTTCTTGAATTTACGTTTGAATTCTTGAATAAAATGATTGACCAAACGATTATCGAAATCTTCACCACCCAAATGAGTATCACCAGCAGTAGCCTTGACTTCAAAAATACCTTCTTCAATGGTCAAAAGAGAAACATCAAAAGTACCACCACCAAGATCAAAGATTAAAACATTGTGTTCACCATTGGTCTTCTTGTCTAAACCATAAGCAATAGCAGCAGCAGTAGGTTCATTAATGATACGTAATACGTTGAGACCAGCAATAGCACCAGCATCTTTTGTAGCTTGACGTTGAGAATCATTAAAGTAAGCAGGTACAGTGATGACTGCGCTTTCAACTTTGTTGCCCAAATAAGCTTCAGCAGTTTCTCGCATCTATTAAAAAAAAAAAGTCACTTGTTAATCATTTTTTTTTTCTCATTAGACTACGTACCCACGCTTTTCTTTTTATTATTATTATATTATTTATTATTTACCTTGGTCAATATCATGGAAGAAATTTCTTCAGGTGTAAAATGTTTGATTTCACCTTTAAAAGGAACTTCAATAATAGGTTTGCCACCTTTATCAATCACCTTGAAAGACCAATGTTTCATATCAGCTTGTACTTCAGGATCATTAAACTTGCGACCAATCAAACTATATTTATAACAAAATAGAAAAATAATAATAAGTGAACGCGTTCATATAAAATATAATATAATATATTTTTATTATTATTATTTTACCGTTTAGCATCATAAACAGTACCACCAGCATTCAAAGCAGATTGATTCTTGGCAGCATCACCAATAAGACGTTCAGTGTCTGTAAAGGCCACAAAAGAAGGAGTAGTTCGGTTACCTTGATCGTTTGCAATGATTTCTACACGATCGTTTTGCCAAACACCAACACAAGAATAAGTTGTTCCTAAATCAATACCAACAGCTTTTGACATTATTTTTTATTATTATTTATTTTGTAATAAGAAAAAAGAAAGAAAAAGAAAAAAAAAGAAAAAAAAAAAAAGATAAAAGGAAAAAAATTATAAACTCATTTTCTATTTTAAACGAAATAGCGCGGAGTGACTGTCGGAAAAGAAAAAAATGTCGTCTTACAGGTGTTTCATGCACCAAACATGGGTTTATTCTTTTCTGTTTGGAAGGTGCTAGAATCTCTTTTAGCATAGTTTTTCATACGTTTTTTTTTTCTTTGTTTATTATTATTAAAGGGGGTTTTATTCTAAATAATCATTACTATATAAAGCTGTTATTTAAACATATTATGAATGAAGAACTTTTTTTTTTATTGTACTCATTTAAATTCATGCAAACTCATGGTTCCAGTACCATCTTTATGATTCTTTTAATCGGAGACATTACTATTCAACTGGGGATACTAACAACCTTTTTCATTTTTATTTTCATTACACTAAACTATAAAACTATAACTAAACTAAAAAGGTGATTTCTTGTATTTTTCAAGTAAATCCACATGGTCCATTTCTTCAATCAAATGTCTAACAACTTGATTTGCAAGTCCATAATATTCAGGTCCAGATATCGAGTTTCTACATGATTTTCGTCGTACTTTATTCGCTCCTCTTGCAATCATTGTCCAACAAGCTGTTGCTGTTTTTCCATACATGACATTTTCTGGATCATCATCTGCATAAACAACAAACTAAAAAAAAAAAAAATGAATTGAGTTTCATTAAAAAAAAAAAAAAGAATAGGATTTTTTTTTTTATTATTACCAATGGTTCATCATCTTCACCTTCTTCTACCTTACAGGTATATGTTGATTGCCTATCAGGGTCCACCATACTCATATAAATGCGTTCCACGGTGTATCCAAGCGGATAAATATGACGAGCACAATGATAAGCAGGCTTATCATGAATAATCTTACCCAAAGAAATCAATTTAAGGGGTCCCAATGTCACTGGTAATATAGGTTTGCCATTAACATCGCGTGGTATATCTTCCAGAGTCACCATCGTACGTCTTCGTTTGATAACAGAACGACTTTTGCCTATGAGAAAAGAGAAGATATTAGAATGAATTTTCAAATAAATATTCATAAAATGATATCATTACGTTTTTCAGGTTTTTCTTGAATATCTTCTTCATCATTGCTATCAGTATCAGGGGCTGAGGCTTGTTGGCGTTTCAGTTCTCTTCCAAAAAAAAAAAAAAAAAAATTCACAAAGGAACAAGAGTTGGGTTTTCTTTTTTTTTTCTTTATCTTCTTTTTTTTTCACTAAATACCTATTTCGTGCTTCGAGAAGTATGATTCTTTGATTTGCTTGGTCCAAAGCTCTTTTTGCTTCTTCATGTTTCTATAAGAAGAAGTAGAAAATAAATAACAACGCGTGAAATATATACTTCAACTTACAGTGATAAAGTCAAGTAACTTGCGTTTCATACGACGATGCTTTTGTATATGGTTGTCATTCAAAGAGAATGTAGTCAAGTTTGATCCTAACATAATGGTATTACTCCACAAAATAATAAGAAAGGAAAAAGAGAGGGAGAGAGAGAAAAAAGAAAAGTAAAAAGTAAGAAAGGTCGAAGTAAAGGGCGTAAAAAAGGGAATCTTTGGGTTTTTAATTCCCGCGAGCAAACTGTTTTTTTTTTTCTTGGGAAATCTTTTTCTCTTTTTTCCTTTTTTTTTTTTTTATTATTTTAGTATCATATCTTATTATTACTACTACTACTCATTGTCGACTTGATCTTGATATCAATGTTTGTAGCTTCCACTCCTGGTGATATAAACTACGGCAAGTTATTTTAAAGAAAAGAAAAAAGATCTAGGTTTTTATTAATTTGGAAAGAAGAGTACATTGATAGGGAGGTAGGAACTTACTATTTTATCATCTTGGATTTATAATTATTTAGATTCTGATCGCGATTCACAAACAAGTACTAGTAGCTCACTTCAAAGTTGGGTATCTTGGTTTTGTTCTTTAACTGGCCATGAATATTATGTAGAAGTACCTGAAGAATTTATGGATGACGATTTCAATCTCACTGGATTATCTGCTTTAGTACCATATTACAATGAGGCATTGGAGATGATATTGGATATTGAACCTGAAGACTATGACGATACTTATGACGATGAGGATAAGAATGAAGATGTACAAAATAGTTTATCTAACCATAATTCAACCATACAACAAGAACAACAACAGTCAGAACAAGACGATGGATTTTGGAAAGAAGGTCAACCAGCAAAACGACGGCGGAATTTAGATGCTAGTGTGGTTGAACCTTATGCTATTATGCTTTATGGTTTGATTCATCAACGATACCTTTTGACTAGAAATGGATTAAGATTAATGGCTGAACGTTATGCAACTGGTGTATTTGGATCTTGTGCTCGCGTTTATTGTGGAAGATGTCCTGTCATTCCTTGTGGTCGTTATGATGAAGTCGGTGTGGAAAATGTCAAATTATATTGTCCAAGATGTATGGATATTTACAATGCTCCTGCTACTTATCAAAATGTCGATGGTAATTTACTTTTATATAATAGATATAAACTCCTAAAATATTTAAATTTATTGATTATATAAAATAGGTGCTCATTTTGGTTCAACGTATGCTCATTTACTGTTTGAAAATTATTCGGAACTAGTTCCCTTGGCAAAACCTCATATCTATCAACCAAAAATATTCGGATTTAGAATTAACGAACGATCACGTACTGGACCACGAATGCAATGGTTACGTATGCGACCACCAGCATATATTGATAATGATGATAATGATGATGATGATTTTGGTGACGCTGACTTGGATGATCCTGTTTATGAAGAAGAAGAAGAAGAACAAGAAGAACAAGATGATCAGGTAAAAAAAGAGAAAATTACATCACAAGAATACATGATCATCAATATACTCATATGATTTTTAATATGATTTTCTCCTAGCTAAGTCCATCCCATGCTTTTGATGACACCTCTGATAATATGACAAGGTTAACTGCCCAAATGGAAAGTTGGACTGTACAAGATTCTACGATTAATAGTTTCCTTCGCCGTTGGATTTGACATACACTTCCCCTCCTTTTTTTTTTATTCTATCCCATCTTTAGTTTTGCATCTTTTCTCTTCCCTTTATTTCCATGTTACATAGCTTTTCACATATCTATTTTTTCCCTCCTTTATATCACATACTCTACACTTTATTAGTCACTATTTTTTTTTCTCTTGTATTTACCATTCCATCTATTCATAATATTAATAATAAAAAGAAAAAACAAGGCATTGAAACCGCTTTCAATATATCTAACCAATATTTATATATATATATATATATATTAATGTTTTTTTTTATTGATTGTTCTAATGATATAAAAAAAAAACACATCAAGTACTAGCTACTTTCAATACACGAACACAGGCATCTACTCCATCTGAGCTTTGTCCAATTTGATGACAACATACTTCAAAAGCATCTTGCCAATCCGTTTCATTTTTCAGGATATCCGTCGCCAAAGTTTTAAAAAGCACAAGTGTCATCATATAAGTTTGAGTAGAATCCAGTACTACCATGGTTGCATCAGTAAATCGGAAGGTTCGTATCAAATTGACCAAATCCATTTCTAATTCACCTAAAATCCCCAATTGTGTTCGAATCAAACCATATCTTTTTATAAAAAAAAAAAAAAGAAAAAGAAAAAGAAAGAAAGAAAGAATAAAAGAATTTTAGTATAACAGCACTTTCACATATATCTATATTATTGTTATTATTATAATTATTATTTTGAGGGAACTTACGTTTCTAATATTTTTTCACTAAAGATATGTCCACGTAACATATTATCATGATCAAGTCCATCTTCTTCTAATAATTGTACAGAACTACTACTATTACTACCTTCAGCCAAAGTTGTAAGAAAAAGTCGTGTCGATTTCGTTGTCATACGATCCAACATGGTCCAAATCTTGCCAAAGAGTGACATTTCTGGTTCCTTCTTCTTTTTCTTATTCTTCATCTTTTTGGTTTGAGCTGCTGATGCTGCTGCTGCTTCTATAGCTGCCACTGCTGCTTTTGTTGCCTTTGTTGAGGTGGGTGACATGGGCCTGGATGTCTGTGTGGATGAAGTCATGTCTTTGGTTGGTGATGATGATACGGTATCTTTAATTGTATGAGCTGATAGAGTGTTCGATGATAGGTCTGTAGTGATACTATTAGTAGTAGTAGTGGTAGTAATGGTGGTAGAAGGAGATGATGGTAAAGATTCTTGTAAGACTGTTGATGATGGAAGTGGTGATATAGTGCTAGTAGGAGTGTCACGATCGAGATTCATCTTCTTGAGCATCATCATTGTTTCCATAGCGTCGTCCAGTAGAGATTCAGGATCCAATTCGTCACTATCTACTCCCTTTGTTGTATCATTGATGGTCGGTAAAGAATGATTTGTCGTTGATGTTTGATGCTTTGGTTTCAGTAAAATGGTTGATGGTTCGTTTTTTGATGACTTATTATCGATTCGGAATCCTTCAATAGCATCGTGAATACCTCCAAACTGAGTGTTGAGTGGCGAAGTAACTGAAGTCTTTTCTACAATGACCATTTTCATTTCATTTGTGTTGGTAGCTGTTAAAGGATTGAGAGTATTGTTGTTCGTTCCAAGAGGGACATTGGATAACAATTGTTGAACATATTCTTGTCGAAGATCTGAACTGGAGCGTCCTAATTGGTTTCGTTGTTGTTGTTGAGCCACAGCTTGTCTATATTAAAAAAAAATAAGTCAATCTATTTAATATATAAAGAAAAATACTTACTCGAAGTTTTCTTCCAATGTAATAATATGAATGTTAGAGGGAATAGAAGATGCCATATCACGTATCCATACTGGATCTTCCGATAGTTGCATATTGTAATATTTTGATTTCTGAAGACAAGGTAGGGAGCAGTAAGATGCCAATTCGGATTGATCAAATACTTTTCTTTGAGATAAAGAGATACGATATCTTGATTGTTGCTGTTGAGGTGGACGAGAACAAAGAGGATAACCACATATAGATTGAACACATCGTTCTTCGACAATTTCATCATAAGTTTGAGGTTGTAACCAGAAAGCCGCTTTTTGTAAATCTTCCACAGATACTCTTTCTTGAGTAAATAATTGTTCTTGCCAAGCAAATACCCGGTCTTGTACCTTTTGTCGTTGTTGAGCACTTGCTTGAACTAACTTCTGTTTAGGTGATAGCTTTTTTTTACGTTGGGAAGGATTGATATGTTTCGTTTTGGTGGTGGACATGTTGGGAATTAAGAGAGAAGAAAGAAAGAAAGAAAAAAGTTGATGTTTTTTTTTTTAAACAAAGGAAAAAAAAATGCGGCATTTTAAAACTTTGTAAGAGGGAAGAAAAGGCACCATATGCTTTGGAAAATGATGAAGAATTATTAATAACTGATGGTTTGAATCCGTGATGTATAATACTATAGTATATATATTATATGATGTATTATTTATTTTAAATTTTGAATCAAAAACAAGATATGTATGCATCATACCTTATTGTCACTGTGGTATTACGTTCTCGGTAATAATGATTATACTGTTTATGACTTTTCGTATCCAAGTGTATCAGATTGCAGTAAACTATTGTATTATTTCATATACATAATCATATACGTTGATCAGCGGATTAAAATACAGTAATTATTGACATTCATCATCTAGTATGAGTATGCAATCATTGTACAAGTTTTCAAACACCATGAACAAAAAAGGAATACTTCCAAATTGGGAATTGATTCCTTTTTTTTTTTTTTTTATGTTTGGCACCCGACCTTTTTATTCTTCTCTTCTCTTCTTTTTTTCTTTTTACAATTTTATTACTCATGACTTTTATACCCTTCAAAAAAGATACCGATCTTTCTGATCCTCTCAGTGAAGGTTTTAGTCAACTTCACTTGGATTCAATCAAAACCAGTGATAAAAAGGTACAGTCAAACACTGTATAGAGCAGCGAACTGAATTATTTATTATCTTTCACTTAGACTACTTGGACAGATAATGATATTATCAAACTAGAAGCGTTAATGAACATATTTGAAAAAATCAATCCTCCTGATATTGAAAAGAAACGATGGGACTGGCAACATATTGGAACACTCATGAACAAAACGCCTGGAGATTGTTTTGTACAATACAGTTGGGTATGATAGAAATAATGAATTATACTGAACCTTGTTAATCACTTTCTTCTTATGTTTTATAGAGTCCTTGGACACGTAAAGAATATCTCTCTTTATTTGAAGCGCGATCGACATTGACAAAATGGAATGCAACTGCTATTGCTAAAGCTATGTATCCTGACAACTATGAAACCAAGTTGGCTCAAGTTCGTAGTCGTATCCAAGATATATGCCTCCAAGAATTAGATACAATTGAACTATTTGAAGGGTTGGTAAGTTCAAATGAAATGAATTCATAGATGTATACGAATAAATATACTTATTCATGCATACTTTTTTTTTTAAATTTTATTTTTATTTCAAGACCGAAAATTATCAAGATATTTCGGATGATGTGGTAATAGATGGTCTAGTTATTCGACATCAGAACAGGATCAAAAAGAAAAGTTCCATTCAACAGAAACAGATATCACTTGATGAACATGTACAGATCGACCCAACAATAGATAATCATGATGAAAAGGATACTATCGAGCATAACATCGCAACCAAGGACGACCATCTGGACGATATTAATTCAACTCTTGGTAAAACTATTACTAAAAAAGTGGAAATGCTCAAACGACAACAGGTAAAAAAAAAATAAAAAAAAAAAAATACAAAGGATATCAAACACTCTTTTTTTTTTTTTTTTTTTTTTTTTTTGTTATGGTTATTTATTCATATGAATGTTTTCTTCTTTCCATACCCCTCCTTTTTTTTTTCTTTTTTAGATACGTATTACACAAATCAATTTGGAATGGTGCAAACGATGTGCGATTAGTATGATAAAAAGGGATTACGGTATCTATTTCGATTACTATGAAGCGGATGAACAACAAAGAAATGCCATTATTTTTGGGAAAATTGAACCAAGTCTGGATAATATGATGCCAAAAGTGATTGATGCCTTCTTACAATCGGATGATAAATGTGGTTACTGTGGGCGGACAATGACTTTTTGGGATATTGGGTGTCAAGGTGCAGATGCTCCAAAGGCAGCCTCTGGTGATCACTTTTATCCAAGGAAAATGATATTCAATGGTGATACATTTTTACATTTTATCTGTCGTCAATGTAATTAGTAAGTATATATAAAAACTACCATCGTTACACCATTTTTTTTTTTGAAGCTGACTCTTTTTTTTTCATTCTAGTGCAAAAAGCAATGCTTTGGATTATGTGTATCGATCTTACTTGCGCGATATCAAGCTATTACATGAAAATGAATCGCTCTCATGGCATGTACCTCTAGATGAAGAAAACAAATTGGAAGCTTGGCTTACATGGATGAATTTTGAATATGGGAAAGGCTACAAGGAAAGTCCTTACCTTAGGCGACGTGATGTACCAAAACTAATCTACGCTCGGGATAGAATCAACAAAGTAAGTGCACACATGTGGAAAGAAGACAAGTACTCGATCAAATTGTTTTAACTGATTATATATTATATATATATATATATTAGGTACCTCATCGCTGGCAAATGACAGCAAGAGACAAGTTGTATATGGATATGGTAGAAAAAATGGGCTTACGAGATCCAAGGACAGGCGCTTTAGGTGTATATGATCATACTATGCAAAACTCAAAACGTTTCACTATCATCAAGTGGACATGGCTCGACAATCCCAAGTATAACAAAATGGTGACTGATTTCGACATTGAACCTTTCAAAACATTGGATATCCAGGTGATTATGAAATTTACTAATGATGCTATGACCATTGGTGGTTGGGAATTCTTGGATGATTGGTTAAGCAATGTGGTAGCAAACACAAAATAATGGCAAGTCTCTCTTGGTACTCCCCTCCTTTTAGTTTGTATCTGTTTCACACATATACATGTATTTAAGTTATTTACTTTTGATATTCACACATTCTTCGTACATCTGCATCCTCTTTCTTTTTTTTTTAATACAATAAAAAACAACTTTTTTTTGGAATTACAAAGACTAGTATCATCATTATTGTCATTATTGAGTATAAAGGGAATCAATGTAGAGTCATCATCACGATCATCATAAAAAAATATCATACTGTTTTATCGAGTTATCATCATCAAGAACGAGAATACAAAACATGTGGGTAATACGAGTATTGTTTTTTTCTTCTTAAATACAAATACAGCTAGTTCCCATCAAATAATCATCATCGTCAACGATCAATCATCGTTTTTTGTCTATGCAATGCCAAAAAAAAAAGAGCGGATCATTAAAATTATTTTCAAGCACTAGAGTTAAAACAGAAGAATAACTTCCAAATCGGGAATTGATTCTTCTTTTTATTTGTCAGGTACCCGACTTTTCTTCTCTTTTCCTTTCTTTTTTTTTTTTTTCTTTTTACAACTATATTACCTATGACTATATCCTCCAAAAAAAATACCGATTCTGGTGATTCTCTCAAAGATCGCTTCGATCGATTAGCCCTCGAGCCAACCCGTGCTGAAGTCAAAAAGGTACAGTCATACACTATAGAGCAATTAACTGAATTCTTATCTTTTTTTTTTCTTTCACATAGACTGCTTGGACGGATAACGACAGATTCAAGCTGGAAGGTTTAATACCCAAGTTTAAATTGACCAATCCTCCTGATAAGGAAGTAGAACGCTTTGACTGGCGACGTATTGGACTGCTTATGAATAGAACCCCTGGTGATTGCTTTGCAGAATACAGTAAGGTAAGGTATAATAATGAATTATAATGGGCTTCATTCCGTGCTAACAAATTCATTCTTATGATTTATAGAAATATTGGGTATTTGAAGAAATAGATAAGAAGGAGGTATAACAATTGGATTGCACTGAGCTTCACTGTATGCTAACGACTCTATTCTTATGTTTTGTAGAGTCGTCGGAAAGGTGATTTAAGGTCCAAGGTATAATGATGAATTACACTGAGCTTCACTCCATGCTAACAGCTTCATTCTTATGTTTTATAGGAAAAATGGGAATGTGCACAATATCTCTCTCTGCTTGATGCGCAATCGAAATCAGAAAGTTGGAACGAAACCAAAATTGCTGAAAAGATGTATCCCAATGACTATAAAGACAAGCTGGAGCGAGTTCGTGTTGCTATCGATGATATTTGCTATCAAGAATTAGATAAACTTGAACTATTTGAAGGATCGGTAAAGTTCAAATGAAATGAATCAATGAATCTCTGCGCATGAATATACTTACTATTCTTTTTTTTTTTTTTTTTATCTCAAGACTGAAAATGATCAAGATACTTCGGATGATCCCTTTATAGGTCATCTACGTATCGAACATGACACAGGAACCAGAGACGGGTATCTGGACAATTTTACTCCAGCTCGTATAGCTTTTACCAAAGAATTGAAATTGACCGGGAAACAAGTTGTAAGAAATACAATGGAACATCGAAGTATTTTTTTTTTCCTTTAGTTGTGATTTTTTATTCCTATGAACGCTTTTTTTCCATCCTACTTTTTTTTTCTTTTTAGGATCGAATGAAAAAAATCAAGTGGGATTGGTGCTATAGATGTGTGGGTAGTATGATAAAAAGGGACTACCATATCTATTTCGACTACTATGAAGCGAACAGCAAAAAAAGAACTGCCATTATTTTTGGGAAAACTGAACCAAGAGTGGATGCTATGATACCAAGGGTGATTGATGCCTTCTTAAAATCGAACGACAAATGTCGCTACTGTGGACGGAAAATCAAATTTTGGGACAAAAAGTGTGATGATGCGAGTGCACCAACGGCTGCTTCTGGTGATCACTTTTCTCCAAGGAAGATGGCATTCAATGGTGGCACGAAGTTACAATTTATTTGTTACCAGTGTAACTGGTAAGTATTAAAAAAAAAAAAGGAAAAGTACCTTCACTTCATTTTTCTTGTCTAATATTCCCCCTTTTTTTCATTCTAGTGCAAAAAGCAATGCTAAGGATGGTGATTATCGATCTTACCTTGGCGATATCAAGCAATTCCACGACAATAAGACATCGATACAGCGCAAAAATCTAAATGATGAGCAAAAATTGGAAGCTTGGCTTATGTGGATGGATTTTGAATATGGGAAAAGATACAAGGGTTATTATCTCGATCGACACGAAGACCTAAAGCCAATTTACACTCGGGAGATAATCAAAAAAGTAAATACACATATATGAAAAGAAGACCTATATCTGATCAAATTGTTTTACTAATTATATACACATATATACTAGGTACCTGAAGAATGGGAGATGACAGAGAGAGACAAATTGTATATGGAAATGGTAGAAAAGATTGGCGAACGGGATCCAAGAACAGGTGCTTTAGGTGTATATGATCATACTATGCAAAAGTCAAACCGTTTCATCATCACCAAATGGGACTGGCCCGAGGAAGAAATCATCGTGACTGGTGTCAATCTTGACCGTTTCAAAAGATCGACCAATTTCCATGTGACTATGAAGTTTACAAAGGACGCTGCACAGAAAGTCGGTTGGGAACATATGAATGATTGGATAAACAGCGTGAAAGCAAACGAACAACTGTGACAAGTCTCTGTTGGTAAACCCTCGTTTTAGTTTACATCTATTTCACGTACATATATGTATCTAGTTTTTTTCTTTTGATATTCACACATCTTTGTATGTCTACATCCTCCTTCCTTTTTTTTTTTTTTTAATTCAATAAAATAACATTTTTTTTAATTACAAAGACTATGATCATCATTGTTATCGAGTACAAAGGAAATCAGTGTAGTGTTATCATCATTGAGTCATAAAATCATCAAGGAATTATCTTCACAAGAAAATATCAACCACTCATTAGATCAAAATAATCATCAAAAATAATAGTATAAAATATGTGGGTAATAAAAAATCGTTTTTTATTAATTAAATAAGATAAAGAATAAATAGGTATCAAAAAAAAAAAAAAGCGAATCATAATAAATAAATAAAATAAGGATGCCATCATCAAATTCCCCTTTCAACTGTCATCATCACTACTGCTACCAGAACTTGAAACATCATCGTCATCCCGTTGATCACCATCTATTCCAAAAAAAAAAAAAAAAAAAAAAAAAAAAAAAAAAAAGATGAGTCCACTGAGCTACAAAGAAAAAAAAAAAGATGGATTATTTCGAATTTACCTAATAAATCACGAAGAGAAGTTGGACCAGCAGTACCACGATGAGGTGTAGACATAGGTTGTTGATGAGGAGATTGTCGCATAGGAGTTGTTTCCAATCGAGTAAGAGGAGAAGCATGAATGTCATCTTCAGATAATCCACGAGAAATATTTTCAGCCAATAAATCCATATCATCATCGTCATCATCACTGTCACTAGAACTGGATCCACTATCATCACTTGAACTTTCAGATCCTGAAGATGAGGAACTATCAGAGGAGGATTCAGATCGAATGGCCGAAGCTGCTTTTCGTCTGGCTGCCAAGGTTGCAGCAGAAGTTGTCTTGCCACCTATTCTTGGACGTTTGTTTGCTTGTGGTAATGAGGATGTACCAGGGGCTGGAGTAGGTGGAGATGCATCCAATCTTCGAATAGGTACAGAAGCCATCTTTAAGGGAGGTCGTCTACGTTTTGTTGTTTGTTGTTGTTGTTGTTGCATGATAGGTTGTGGTGAATTGGAAGGTGGATTCACTTTATTAATGGCATCAGTAGATAAATGAGGTGAAGTGATAGTTTCAAATTCTTCTTCATCATCATCATCGTCGTCGTCGTCATCATCATCATTGCTATTGAGAATTTCATCCATATCACGTAAAATGTCTACATCAAAAGAATCATTATTGTCATTGTTGATAGATGGTGGTGTTGTTGGGGTATCTTTTTGTTGAGGAGGTAAAGCTAATGATATAGGAGATGGTTGTTGTTCATCATTATTGTTGGATAACCAATTTTTTTTTGTTGTTGAGGGTTGTTGTACAGTTGTTGATTTTGTAGTTGACGATTTACTAAGATCTTTGGAAGGAGTAGGTTTCTTCTTACGGACCTTTTTCATAGTCATTTTTGCTGTAGGACGTTCTAAAGTAAATGTCTTTTTTTTTTTTTTTTTTCAAAAGAATGAGTAAGGATTTTTTTTTTGTTTTTTCTATTTAATTTTGATTATTACCTGTGTTTCTTCATCAAATATTAACAAACATTCCATTTCTTGCATATTGCCCTGTGCTCCTTCATATGACATGACATTGTCATCCTATAAAGAAAAAATAAAAATAAAAATATATTGTTTATATTAAGAATATATAATATAATATAATATTTACCAAAAACCAATCAGCAAAGTACGCGTCCTTTTCTTGTCGTAAATTTGCTTTTCTAGAAGGTAAAGAAGGGTCTAATTTGGAATTGACTATTTTATTATATATTTTTAAAAGGAGGAGAGTTAAAACATATATATATATATATAAATTATATTATATTTTTTTTATGTTTACATCGAAGGGTATAATAATTATGATTAGTTTTATCTAAAACGGTTCTTCCAAGTTGAATGGCATAGTTTCCAGGATTGAATTCTAAAGTCATTAGGAGCACAATAGAAAGGAAGAAAACCTTTATTGGTTTATTATTGTTTTCAAAGAAGAAAAGAAGAAAAGAAAAAGAAAAAGAAAAAAAAGGAGCTGTCTTTGCCTCATTGATTGGTTTCAAGGTTTCAATTTCAATATCAGACCGGCCAACGTTCGGTATTTTTTTTATTTTTTCAAGGATAAATAAAGCCTTTTCTATTTTCTTTCTCTCCTCTTTTTTTTTTTTATTATTTTATTTTATTTTATTACTTTATATTTCTTATATATATATTCATCATGTCCTTACAAAACGATGTTGAACTCTTATATTTAAGAGAAAGCTATATGAAGAATACATCAAATAATATGTTATCCAATATTAATACTAGTAGTAGTAGTAGTAGTAGTACTAAATCTGAAGACATTCAAGAAGACGATCCACATCAAGGTTCCTTACACTGGACTTTAAAACATTGGTTTGGTAGATCAACTAGTTCAAGTAGTACTGATGATAATATACAAGAACAACCAATACGAAAACCAAATCAACGTTCAAGTACAAACGATAAACTCAATCGACTTATATCCTTCTATCTTTAAATTGCATCTTCATATCCCCCCACATCTTTTTTTGTACAAACTTATTTTACTCTGCATGTCTTCTATTTTTAGTTTAATTTAAACAATCTATATTCTTTCTTTTTATCACTTTAATAAAAATCATGTTATCATTCTCCATTTTTGTCTCTCTTTTTCTTTTTATTTTTTGATATTTATTTTTATATTTGGATGATGACAATATTAAGCAAGTCAAACATCAGATCATCATTCCCGGGTTTTCAAATCTTTTTTTTTTTTTTTTTTTTTTTTTGGTAAGGAGTTGACGGAATGATGATGATGTATCAAATCTTTTTATAGCACTCTCCTTATAAAAAGTAATTTACATTGATTTGAATACATAATTACTTTTTCTGATTCAATAATAATCATCTTTTCCCTTTATTCATTCATACAATTGAAACTATCATCTTTTCTTTTTTTTGCATATATTTCATGTGGTTCCATAATTATGTTTAGTTTCCCTGCTTTAGACTGAATGACCGTCAGAAGGGTCCCGCGTGGTACACTTGGCGAAACAACAGCACTCACATTCATCGAGTTCAGATTCCGACCTTGATTATTTTTCTTCCTTCTGCGCCAACTCTCTTTCACGTGCACATCTTTTAGGTAATAGACAAGTATACGAAATTTATGTGATTTATACCTAATTTATTTCCATTACTTTGTAGATATTTTTTTTTTTTTTTTTTTTTTTTTTAGAATGAAACTATGAAATTGTTACAAAGTTGAAAAATAACTGGAAACCTACTTTTTGATTTTATCATAATAAGAAAAAGAATCTATTCTGACATACCGGTAGTAGACGGAAGGAATTCCCGTATACAAGTACCATCACACTCTCTTCGCTCTTTTTTTTTTTTTTTTTTTTTTTTTTTTTTAATAGATGATTGAAGCATACACGAACCATAGGCAAAAGTCGGAACAACACGGAACAAACGGAATGATTTTTTTTGTTGACCTTAATGGAAGCAAACTTTATGCTACTGTAGTTACCTTCTTTTTTTTACCCCACCTTCGGATCAATTCTTTTTGAAATCATTAGTATATCTACTTCACCATGATTATAGATTAATCTTTAGCCTATTTCTTGAATACTCTATACCAATAAAGAAATATTGTTTGAAATGATAAAAAAACAACACATGATTGGATACTCAAATATATAGTGGAAAAGAAAGATCAGTATGAAACTAATGATTAGAAGGGAAGAGACATATAGAAATGATCACATCGTCTGTTCAGTTTGTCGTTCACAACTTACAAACAATAATAATAATAATAATAATAAGATAGGATGACTGGATTTCCAAGTATAATTGACTCTATTATTCCTTTCTTACCTATTCATCGACCTAACCAAGAGATCTATATTTCGGTGGATGTCCAAAAAAAGAAAAAGGAAAAAGAAAGAAGACCTTTTTTTTTTCGTTGAAGCTATTCATACCGAATTAGGACGAAATTTTTTTTTGTCATACACGCACAAAGAAGACAAAAAGAAAAACCATCCATCTTTTTTTTTTTGTTCTGTTTTATTGATTGCAAGTTTTCCATTCATATCTGATGGATAATTATCGAAGTTAATTTCTTACTATCTTCATTTAAAATAATAATAATAAAAAAAAACAAGAAAAATAATGGTAATGATCAGTAGATGCAAATCAAAAGGAATAAATAAGGTACCACAAATGTGCCTTTTCATTTCTTTTTCATGCGGCATCTAAAATACATAATAAGGATCATCATTCAACAAAAAGGCTTCTTCCATTCATTCTTTTGTCTATTCATTTACCTATATAAATGATGGATGGATGGATGATGGAATGGATCGTCTTCTTTCCACACGTCCATACACTCCTTTTATTCATTTACCAGTCTTTTACACGTGGCCACATCCATATAACCTCTTGCTATAGAACGGTTACACAATGGCTGTGGCTCTCATCAAATAATCCTTTTTTGATCAACCTTGATCCATCATTTGTATTATTGTATCTCTTTTCTTTTCTTTTTTTTTCCCTTTTTCCTTCTTCCTTTTTCCTTTTTTTTTATTTTAAATCAATAGAAAGAGATGAAATCACTGATGTTATTTGGAGTGATATCATCGCTTTCATTAGCGATGGCAGCAACACTTTCTCCTCGACATAAAGGAGGTAATCCTTTTTCATGTTATTTTATTTTCTTTTCTTTTTTTTTGATTAACTTTTTTATTTATTTATTTTTTAATTTATCATAAGGATGTATTGTATTGAATAACAATAAATTGTTTTGTTTCGGTGGTGCATCCAGTACAAACAATCCAACCTATTTGAATGATAACTATTTCCTTGATTTATCGCGTGATTATGCTGATCTTAACACGCTCAACAACGCTTGGCAACCGATGTCGCCTGGATTGGAACCCACAAGTGAATTTGTCATGGTTGCTTCAGGATCAATGAATTTTTTAATCAATGGTGGTACTGGATCAGCCAATGGAAAACCGATGCAGTATCAAACTGTCATCTATGATAGTGTCACTAATGCATGGACTAGTTTACCTTCTGCCAATGCTACAAACTCTTTGTACCAAGCGTAAAGTTTCAAAAGAAAAAAAAAAATACAATAATCTTATTCTGACTCTTTTTTTTTCTTTTTTTTTTTTTTTTTTTTTTTATTTGGCCTTCAGTCGAGGTGCAACAGGTGCCATAGATAGTGCTACCTATATTGGCAACAACAATCTCATCTATATATGGGGAGGTGAAATGTCAGTTCAATCTCCGGAGTCTCTTCTTTTTCCCAAATCTAACCTTTTTTTTTTTTTTTTGTTACTCTTTCCTTTATTTTCATTCAAACATGATAGGGATCCAACTATTGGAAGTACGAATACCTCTTATTCTGGTTCTATACTGACCATGAATGCTATTGTAAGTTCAATATATCAATAGAAGAAACATGGTTCCTTATTCTAATTAGCTTGTTATTTCTTATACATAATGTATTCAGACTGGTGCTTGGAATCCAACTGTTACTACATTTGGTGGTGTGATAAGTAGTTATACTCCTAGAATTGGCCATGCAATGATCCTAGACTATGCTACGATGAGCGTGATTGGTGGTCAAGAAGCCAAGTATGATGGAACGCGATATAACTTATCACCTGCAAGTATGACAACAATTCCTCAATTCAATACTATTACTATTACTTGGGTTCTTGCCAATGTTACTGGTGATATCCCCACTCCTCGATCATATCACTCTGTCACCACGGTAGATGTATCACATACAATTTTATATGGAGGTCTCAATACAGGTAACTATCAAAAAAAAAAAAAAAGAATCTTTACTCATATGATTTTATGTAGTGACGAATCAACCAGTCCAAGATACTATGTACTCGGGTCTGATTGAGGATGGAACGGTGACCTGGCAACGATTATCTCCTTCAGGAACTGGACCTGGGCCATTGTACGGTCATGCAGCTGTCAAATACATGTCTGGCACTCTTCTCCTTATCGGGGGTGTGGATTCCACAGGACAAACCACTTCTAATATCAATGTTTATTCGAGTCTTCAAAATACTTGGCGATCATCCTTTTCCTCTTCTGGATATTACTCTTCTAATGGTAATAGTGGCACCTCTTCATCCAATTCAACTGTGTGTCCTTCTTGTAGTGGTGGTTATTCATCCAGTTCTGTTAATGCACAACAAGCAGTGGCGGCTGGGATTGGTGCTGGTGGTTTTGTGGTAAGAAGGAAAAGAAAAAAAAAAAGGAAAATATAAATATTTTTTAACCAATCGATCATCACTTTTTTTTAGCTGTTTGCTTTGATCGGTGCAGGTTTATTCTTTACAGTGGAAAGAAGCTATACGGCTGTGGCCACATCAGATCAGTATGCAATAGAACAAATGCAACAAACAGAAGGATATCTCAAAGTGGAACTCGACGCTGATCCTATAGAACATCGACCTCTACCTCCTTCACCATTTGGTACTTCTGCAACTTCACATGCCAATCAATATCAACCCACAGGCGAGGCCGCTAGTTATCTTCAACACCATCCTCAACAATATCATCAGTAACGTTGACCCCAATTTATATTATTATTTTTTTTTTTTTGAAAAAAATCTAGTTAATGTTTTAGTATCGTTAATATTTATTCTACTCTTTTTTTACTTTTGAAATAAAGCGGATGAACATTGTTTTTCCTTTCATGACTTTCTATGATTAATAAATATATTGGTTGATACTTGATGATGAGATGATATTTGATTATGGAAGAAGAGGCAGGTATCATTGTATAAATGTGTGTCAGTGTGATTGTCTCCTTGAATAGATTTTTTAACCTAAGATGGAAAGCATGAGAATTGGATATTCCCTCTTTTTTTTTTTTTTTTTTTTTTTTTTTTTTTTCTGGATCGATGGGAAGATCATCTCAGTTTTTCTTAATTCCTTCAGATTTATGATTCTATCCTTCCAATGCGTCCTACTATTAATATGGGGGAATATACTATCTATTGTGTACCTCTCGACTAGCGAGAGGAATGATAAATCCTCCTTTATGCATGCTCTTTTGATAGATTCCCCATCAATGGAGTAAGACGGATTTCAGTTCCGACAAAGTCACTTCGATTATGTTAAAGATTTTTTTGTTATTTGTGTGGATGATTGCTTTATGGATTTGATGGATGATACTATTATAATAATAATATCATTGATGATTACTTGTAGTGAGCACCAGATCTTTTCATTAACGGCACTAAAAAGAAAAAAAAATTAGGTGTAGTAGACTCATTTTAACCCAGTACCCTAAATATGGCATTATAAAAAAATAAACTTTATTTTTTCTATGATTTGTGTTACAAAAGAAAAATCTACGATTTATGAAAATAATCTATCAGGTGTGTTTGACTTGCGTGAGCCCATTTCAGCGTCTTTAGCGGCGATTTTTGCTTCGATTGCTTCCTTGATATCGTAATCCAAAGGATCATCGTATAAAAGGACGTCATTGACGACTACCATTAGTTTCCCTTTTTGCTGTCCCCAAGGCTTTTTCTTTTCTTCAACATCGTCATCATCAATCATCAGTCATCATCAATAGTCATCAATAGTCATCAATAGTCATCGATAGTAAATCATCAATCCCGTTTATTATAAGTAAGTTGCATTTATTAGGAGAATAAAAAGTGTCTACCTTGTGGAAAGGAATGAATACAATATCGTAAAGGAATCTTAGTGGAAAAAAAAAAAGACAGAAAAAGGAAAGAAAAATTGAATCAGGGTTAAAAGATTTGACGATAGTTGGGCTTTGAATTTTCATTAACGGCATTTTGACTGTGGCTTGCATTAACGGCAGGGTAAATTTTCTTGGCTCCTAAAGCCGTTAATCCAAGTTTCTGCTGTACAAAACCTAAGATGATTGATTTCTTAAGAGTGGGCAAGTGATTATACAATCTTTTATTGAATTTGTTATAATAAAAGTTTGACTTGATCTTTGACAAAGAGGAAAAAATATATAAACTACTAGATGTAGTTATATACAAAAACTAAAGATTATTTTTAGATGATGATGATTAATCATCATAAGAAACAATGATAAAATAAAACGGATGAAACTGATAAATGTGATAAAAAATGTAATAACGGATGAAACTGTGCAAGAGGAGTGATTCAGATGAGACCAAAAGTATAAAAGAAGAGATTTTGACAGATGACAAGATAAAAAAAAAAAAAACTATTTCATAGTCAGCTTCAAAGGTTGATTTCATCCTAACAGTGTTAAGACTTTTTTTTTTTACCTTTTTCTTTTTTGGCATTTTCTTTTCTGTTTTTATTTTTTCTGTCTCTTCACATTCGCTTTACTTATGAAATCAACCACTTCTAACGATAATATCTGGGTAGCTGCTGGTAAGAACAATATCATAATAACATGAAAAAGAGAACTATATATAATGCATATTAACGAAATCTTTACCTTCTTTTTTTTTTCGACTTGGACAGGCGATGGACAGTTAGAACGTGTGAAGGTAAAAAGCTTAATTGCTCTCCATGACTCATTTTTTATTATCTATATACTGATGGATGATTACTTCTTTTTTTTTTTCACCATGTGGATTTATTGCCATTATACATATTAGGAATTACTTGAAAATGGAATGGATGCCAATATCAGAGACGATTTTGGGTATACTCCCATGTAAGTTGTCAGAGTATATGTGTGTTTATCATATCGTGTTACTCACCATTCTACCTTTTTATTATTACTATTATCATTATTTATCCGTATATCTGGTCATCTTTTTTTTTTTATAGTCATGCTGCTGTATCATACAACCAAAAAGAAATGTTAGAATATCTATTGAATCATGGTGGAGATATCAACGTAGAGGATCTGGATAAGGATACACCATTGTATGTATGTGAAACGGTGGACATGGCCAAGTTTATGCTGGATCGCGGGGCGGATGCATCACACAAGAATAGCGATGGTGTTACTGCGGCATGGTCAGCTAACGAAGAAGGATGGAAAGAGGTGGCTCAGTTCTTAGCCACGATTACAGGTGAAGTCCTGGAAGATGACCAACCAACAGATGATTTAGCTTATATTCAACGGGAAAGCGATGCTCAACCAGACGAACAACTGGAGGATGAAGCTAGTCAAGAAGCTTTTGCTCAACAAGTCGAACAAGTCATGCGCAATATACAGGAACAAGGTGGTGTACATGATGAAGAGGAATTGCGTGAAGTTGTCACCAAAATGGTTTTATCAGAAGTCAAACGAACTTTGCAAGAGCAACAAAAAGATCAATAGTCTTTTTTTATTATTACTTGTCATTCTTCGATATTGGTTTACATGTGTAGTATAGTCTTTTTATTTTTTTTTGTCATTCAATCCATCTACCCCAAATAAACAAATGTTTTATATATATCGACTAATCAAATACGAATGAATTTTTTTTTATTGATGGATGCGTATAAACAACATAAAGGTGGGAGGTGATTTTTTTTTTGGAGGATATGGAGAGATATGAATATAGAATAATAAAAGTAAAATAAAAGTAAAAATAAAGTGTAAAAGTACTAACTAAAGCTAAAGATAAATATGGATGAAGGATCATTTGCTTGTTGCTAAATTGTCGGTGCTTTGTTCCTTTCTCCGTAAATCATCAAAATAAGGATCTATTACAAAAAGGTCAGTGAGATGTTGTTTTTCCTACATTTTTGTTCAAACTTACGTTGAAGAGCATCGCTAGCTGTAATCCGTTTATCAGGTGGGTATTCCAGCAGTTTCTACATATAGATAATAAATGTTAATAATGTAAGCTCAAACCTGTGAAATCATTTTTTTTTTTTTTTTTTTTTTTACCTTTAACAGATCTATGCCAAGAGGATCCAATTTCGGTAATAATGATTCTAATGGTATAGGAGCAAAAATTTCAAAATCACGCTATAAACATAAAAAATAAATAAGTTCCATCATCCATTTTCTCTTAGTAATATCATACTTTGTATTCTGGAACTTGAGACACCTTGGGCCATGTTTCTTCTGTGGGGGTACCTAAAACTGTTCAATGTGGTCAAGGAGTAATATAAAATATATATATAAGGTTTAATGATGCCGAATATAAATAAATATATAGTAAATAAAAAAGGATATTTGAATATGCATTGTAACTGATCCGACACGGAACTACCGGGAAACAAAGGACTACCAGAGGCCATTTCTAAATAGGAAATAAAATCCGTCAATATTACCGTTACAAATTATCCCTCTTTCCATATTTACCTGCAAAAATACATCCTGCGGACCATAAATCAATTGAAGTGGAATATTGTTTTGATCCCATCAATACATCAGGAGCTCTATACCAAAGTGTGACCACATCACGGGAATAACTTCGTACTGGTATACCAAAGGCTCTTGCAAGACCAAAATCACCAAGTTTCAGTTCCCCTTTCTAATAAAATATAAATCAATCTATTTCTTTCTATATCGATTTATAGGTTCCTTTTTTTTTTTTTTTTTTTTTTTTACCTTATTGATTAATAAGTTTTGTGGTTTTAAATCCTACAATAAAAAAATAGATTTAAATTAGATCAAATTGTTTTTTTTTCCATTTCTCCTTTTCTTACCCGATGAAGTACACGGTGTTCATGACAAAACGCAATACCCTTTAATAATTGATACATCATTTGCTAAAAAAAAAAAAAGAATATAAGTATAAAAGAACTAGAATCAGATATATACAAGTGTTGTGTTCATGCTATCCTTCTCTTTATTATTTTACCTTGATTGTCCATTCGTCAATATCACCACCATTTGAATCCAAAAATTTCTTCAAGTCAGAATCCAAGTATTCAAACACCAAAATGAGTTTTCTTTCTTTATGTAATACATCGTATAGTCTATAAAGAATACAAATGAGGATCAAAAAAAAAAAAAAAGAATCTTGTCTATCTTATCTATTATTACCTAACAATATTCTGATCTTTCAATTCTTTTAACAGGGAGATTTCTCGAATAGCTGTGCAAGGTACCTAAAAAAAAAAGAAAGAAAGAAATGATATTGAGTTCGTAATCCCTGATTATTATTATTTTTTTCAAATGGTCTTCCTCTCCTCTCCTTTATTGACTTACACCTTCTTCTTCATTATCCAGTCGAATCCGTTTTAATGCTACAACTTCGTTCGTTTCTCTGTTTTGAGCCTTATAAACAATACCATAAGCACCTATATAATCAAATATAATTAGTATTAAAACCTATTTAGAAAGCTTTTATATTCATTACCTTCACCGAGTTTTTCGATTTTCTTTTGATGATAGGAAAGAAAAAGAAAAAGAACGAGTTAAATAAAAAGAAAATATAACATATAATCTATCTTCAATCATACAATTGTTGTTTCTTTATATGTTACCTGATATTTATCCATGAATTGAAAAAGAAAGAATGGTGATAAAAAAAAAAAAAGAAAAGGGATAAAAAAAAAAAGAGAGAGAGAGCGTAATAGAGAAGGAGAAACGAGTTTCCTTTTGATCATTTTTCAGTTCAAACCCAGTCATTCTTCTCTCTCATTTGGCATCGGAACACTGCGAACAGACTTGTACAACATAGTAAAATAAAAAGGATCATCATTAAATCACAGACATCAAATAAAAACAATAGTTTATTCACAATTATCAAAAAAAAAATCTAATTTTCCATCAGTTGATGAATATAATTAGCAATGGCAAGAGAAGAAGTAAGACCAGGACTTTCAATACCAATTAAAGAGTAAAATCCATCAAATCCATCCTCTTTTTCTTCCTTGATAATAAAGTCTTGAAAAGGTTCTCCCGGGCCAGCAAGTTTAGGTCTATAAAAAAAAGAACTTCTTTAACATTCTTGTTTTTTTTTTTAAAGGAGGTTTTCCTTTTTTTTTTTTTTTTTTTACCTTATACCAGCGTAATCAGGTTGTAACTTGTCAGGGTTCACATTAGGTAAATAAGATTGAATAGCACGAACAAAAGCCATCTTATGATCATTCTCTAAAGGTAAAGAATAATCAAAAGGATTGTCAACATACTGAACATCAGGACCAAATTTGATTTTGTTAGCCATATCCAAGGTCAAATGAGTTCCTAAACCAGCCAAATTCTTTTCAGGACAAGGATAAATCAAATGTCGAATGGAGCTAGGTGCATTGTAAGCGTAATAATGTCCTCGTGCATAATAAAGCTTGTACTTGTTTGGCATCAAGTCATTGCTAAGATGATGTGCATGAAGTCCTGCTGCATTGAATACCCGCTGTTGTGCCCATACTGTTATCTTGTTGTTGCTTTCATCCTCTACTTTCAAGTAATATCCACCGTTATCACCACGTCGTATATGTTGAATACATGTGTTGAGTGCAATGTCGCCACCTTGATCTATGATTTTTTGTTCAAGATAATCCATAAACGAATGAGAATCAAGAATACCAGTAGTTGGTGATACCAGGACTGAATATGCCTTAAGTTCAGGTTCCATTGACATTGCCTTTTCTCCATCAATAAAATAAGTTTCTACTCCCAGTGAAGTCGCCTTGGCTGATAGTTGTTGTAAATACTCGTGTTGTTCAGGTGATTGTGCCACTACCCATTTGCCAATCTTGTTATATGGAATCGTTGTCTTTTCAAGTAAAGCATAAAGTTGTCGATTGCCTTGGATACACAGTTGAGTTTTCAAGCTATCCTTGGGATAATATATACCAGCATGAATCACTTCACTATTACGTGAACTAGATATATACATTATAAAAAAAAATGAATGTCATTAGTGTATTTAGTAACAAACTGAATAAAAAAAGAGAGAGAGAGAGAGAGAGTATCATTAAAGGGTTACCTAGTTTCTTCGCCTAGTCTCTTGTTTTTTTCTACCAGAATAGTTGTTTCTTGAGGTCTATTCCTAGTAAGCATTTCCGCGATGGCCAAACCAACGACACCACCACCTATCACAACATTGTCCACTTCTAGATCAGGAGTTCGTGTCATGGAGAAGAATCGATGACCAGCATCTTGTAAAGGGTATCGTAATAAAGGAAAAGAAGCGCGTGGAACGAAGCACTTGAGTAAGAGCATGAATGTAGCTTGTTCTTTTTTTTTTAAAAAAAAAAAGGAGTGAAAGAAAGAAAGAACGGGAAAAAGAAAAGAAAAAAACGAACGTGAGAGAAAGAAAAGACGAAAGAAAATCGGATTGACATCTCTTAGTTAAAGTTTGATATTTCAGCTCGGTATTTCTTTTACCCTCTCAATGGTGATGAACATTTACAGTAAAGAATAGTTTTTTCTGACAACTACTACTTTACTTTTTTCTCTTTGAAAAAGTCAAAGGTTGATAGGATGAGATGATGATCTTTTTTTTTTTTTAGGTTATCAAAGTAGTCTACTTCATTTCGCTTGCCAAATAAAATAATAATAATAATAGTCATTTGATTGAAATATCACAAACTATTTTCCTTTCATTCCTTCATACATGAATCCGATATCTAACAATAAATAGTAGGTTCGATTGTCCAATACAAGGAAAAGAGCTTTATTATGTAATCAAGGTAGATGATGATCATGATTATAAGCGATGTACAAAAAGTTCACTCTTTATATATGTTGATAATAATACAAAGTTCATTCATTTTGATGATGTAAAATATATAAATATTTATATTTTTATACGTTTATGATATGAATCTAAAATCGACACATGATCACGTTCCCTATTATAGTTGATGATCGCGTTGCTTTGACGGCAAAGTTCGCTGACTCTGAATATACAATAAAAAAAATATCAATACAAAAGTTTGCCATCCATAAAAACCGCAGTGGGTCCACTTTATTAAAAAGAAGTAGACTTGTATTTACAAAATCACATAAAAGTAACATAACATCGTATATATATATATATATATAATAATAAAAAAAGAGGTGGAGATAAAGTTGTTGTTGGTTGTTTGTTTCCTTCTGACAAAAAAAAAAAAGGTAACTAACAATAGTAATAGTAGTAATAAGAATAATAAGGGAATACAATCCAGGCAAAATAAAAAAAAAAAAAAAAAGAGGAAAAGAAAAGAGGAGAGAAGAGGAGAGTTTTCAGTCCATATCATAATCCACTTTACCGATACCGAAGACTCGAACACGATGCATGATAGGTAACTTTGCCACCAATACAACCAATAAAGCAGTGAAGTTAATACCAAATAAAAAGACGTCGTAATGTGTATAATGTGTACTTAAAAGGAATCTATCATCATCATTAATAATAATAATAATAATAATAAGTGAATAATATATGATTGAGTGATCATGACTTACAAACAAATAGGAACAGCAGTTAAGAATTTTCTTGTTGCTGTAAATTGTACACCACCATCGATTTGTTCCCATAAAGTTAATCCATCATAAGCACCTTGATTATTTTCAAACGGAATTCCTTGTACCCAATGAAACATGATATAATGTCCCTATAATAATAATAATATAAGTTAAATTCTTATTAATATTTATATTGAACTATTACTTACAAGATTAAAAGAAAGATTGGTTAAAGTCCAACTAGCTTCAGGACTAATGAATGGTATCACCGTAAATAAGGCTTTGAGAGCAATAACGACAAAGATAGTAGTTGACCAAGCACCTATATATATATATATATTAAATGAAATGAATAATTTTTTTTATATCTTTTTATTATTATTATCATTATTATTATTTACCTTTATAATTAACCCATGAAGAGTTAAAGTTTGGCATGGAGCTTTGATCGAGTGTCATAAAAGCTTTCTTTTCTTTTGTTGAAGACATGATGAATAAAGAAGTTCAAAAGATGGAATAATTATAATAAAAGATAATAATAAAAAGAAAAAGGAAAGGAGTTATTATATATAAATAGAAAAAAGAGTCAATGATAATATCAATGAAGAAGAAGAATAAATAAGAAATAAAACAATAAAAAATAAAAAAAAAAAAAAGAGAAAAGAAATAGGAAGAGGACGCAGAAGAAAAAAAAAACGGAAAGAGAAAAAAAAAATTAGAAATTGAAAGAGAGAGAGAGAGAGAAGGAAAAGGGGAATAAGGGATTGAAAGATAAAAAAGAAATTCCCCTTATTCAAACATAACTATATATCTATATTTAATCATCCTTATTAAAAAAAGACTACTTTATCAATATATATATATATATTTATATATTGATTTATTATAATTATATGAATCCACGTTGTTTTGGTTTGACTCTTTTCTTTTTCAACATCCCCCAAACGTTCATTTTGAACCAATCATTTAATGTCATACCTTACATTTATTTCAAACTCCTTGACGTGTCTTATTCGACCAACCATCCAAAAAAAGAAAGTATCTATTCAGCCACTCTCAATGCCAAGACCTATAGAAATATGTCAATGAAGATCATTCTAAACTTTATTCATAATAAAATGAGGTATAGCTATCAATTTTATTATTATTATAAATATTAAACAGGGAATATATAATAAAACTGTTTGGTAATAATATAATCAAATGAGGAGAATAATCGAACATAAAAAAAGAAGAAGAATATAAAAGAAATTAATCCATATATTTTTTCCTTGAATCTTGCTAATATCATGTCATCATCATTGTTAAAATAATCATTATAGTCGAAAAATAATAATGTGACGACATGATGAAAGAGTCAATCAGAAGGCCATTCTTTCTTGAGAACTTCCAAACCAGGAACAATTATGTTTTCCGCAGGTGGCGTGGGTAGATATCCATTCATAAAAGTAGTAGGATGAAGTCCACTGGTTGTTTTCCAATCATCATGAGGAAGCGCCTTTTCCAAATCCACCGACTTTTGTCCTCGTTTCATGATACTCGTGATATTTGATGAATAAGTATGTTGTTTCATCTTCTTCTGGTTGTAACAAGATACATTTTCTTGATCCAAGAGTCGTTTCATACCGGTGATGGATAAATCTGATGGGTTATATGACGGGTCAACCTTAGAGACAACAGGGGATGGACAATGAAATGGACGAAGGGCAATGGATTTGCTAGGAAGACGATCAGGATTTTTCTTGCCACAGTGTTTTTGTACGAGTAATGTCCATTGTTCATAAGATTCCTTGGAGATATATAATTGATAATCCATCAATTGCAAAAACAAACGTTCAGAACGCGTGATTTGTTCCACTGGAAGACCTGTCAATGCTGCCCAGGATGTATTGCGATATGTACGATCATTTTGATATTTGTGAGCCAATATAACAGCTGATAGAAACATACGTCGTCCACAGGCATAATAAGGTCGATCACTTGGCATAGCAGTTGTCAATACGGTGGCCAATTTTGGTTTAAGACGAAAAAGATAAAAGATGGCAATCAATAATGTCGAATGGCGAGTACGTGATGCTTTGAGAAAGTGTTTGATAAAATGTTTTGTATCAGCTACTCTTCCAGTACGTTTAGTTGTATCGTTACAATTCGTCGTTGCATTGTCAGAAGAATGTTGTTGAGTTGGCCATATCGATTCAATAACATTCACAGTCAATTCTAAATTATAAAATAAAAAAAGAAAAGAAAAGAAAAAATAAGGGGGTGAGTGTTGATTCTTCCTTTGTTTCAAGTTTGACATACCGACAAGAGATCGTATATAATCAATATAACAACTAGATTCATGCGTATAATGGTAAGGAACACCTTCCAAAAGTTGTTGATGAGTTGGTGTATTTGGTGTAGTAGCTGTGGTATTAATAGTATTAGCGGATAGGAGCATGATGAATGAAAAGTAAAATAGTAAATGAAAGAAAGAAAAGGAAAAGAAAAGAAAAAAATAACGAATGATTTTCTTTCTTTATATATGAAGAGAGAAAAAAGAAGAAAAAAAAAAAAGGAAAAAAAAAAAAGAAAAAAAAGAAACAAAAAGATATATATATATATATAATGAATATGACATTTTTAATGACCCACCGCAGTGCGTAGTAATTTGATTGGTCAACCGTTTCAACAGTGAGCTGCGCGCATGAACAAATTATTTTTCTTGGTAAAATTTCTAGAAAAAGAATAAAAAGACGGAACTTAAAATTATCCGGAGAAGGGATGATTGTTTACACTCTTTTCTTCTTTCTTTTCTTTTTCCAAAAACTATTATTCCACCGACTCCTTAGTTTCTTTATCCGATAAGTGACAACAAAAAAAAAAAGTGACTTATGAATTTAGAACTATTAGGTAAATATGAAAGAAAGAAAGAAAGAAAGAAAAAAACAAAAAAAGAAACAAAGAAAAAAAAAAAGGAAAAAGTTTCTAAACCATTGATATTATATAGATCCTTGGGAACAAGAATACCCAAATAGTATTGAAGAAACATTAGAGGATGGATATGTATTAAATTGTCGTTTCAATCGTCGTGGTACATTACTTGCAGCGGGATGTCAAGATGGACGTTGCGTAATATGGGATTTTGATACTAAAGGTGTGGCTCGGAACTTGACGGGTCACGTAAAACCTGTCTCTAGTATTAGGTAAGAAAAAAAAAAAATAGAAAAAAAAATATATGCATAATGATTTATAATTTCTACTATCTATTTTTATCATTCATAGTTGGTCAAGAAATGGACGATATTTACTTTCTGCTTCTAAAGATTGGACTTGTATCTTTTGGGATTTAGTGACAGGCACGAAATATTCAAAAATACGATTTGATACTCCTGTAATGATGGCTCAAATGCATCCCAAAAAAAAGTAAGAAAAAGACAATAAATAATAATCTTTTGATTATTATTCAAACTAACTTTTTTTTTGTAGTTATCAATTTGTTGCTGCTTTACTTCAAGAACAACCAATACTTGTAGAATTAAAAGATGGCAAAATAATCAAGAAATCTTTACCAACAGAAACCAATGATGATGAAAAAAGTAAATCCAGTTCTTATGTATGTGCTTTATCATGGAATAAAACTGGAACGCGAATATATGCTGGAACATCAAAAGGATATTTGAATATTATTGATCCATTAACAATGAAGGTAACAAGAATAATAATAATAAAAAAAAAGAAAGGAATGAATATTGATTTGATTGTTTTATTGATAGATTACCTACGCTACTAGAATTACATCGACTTCTATTAAAGGTATTCAATGGAGTAATAATGGAAGGTAATAATTAAATAAAAAGAAAACAGAAAGATATAACAAAGAAAGAGAAATGAATTTATATTTTCTTTTTTTTTGATTTTATTTGTAGAGATATTATCATCAATGCCAATGATCGTGTATTACGTTTATATCGATTGGAAGAACATGATGGTATTCCAGTATTACAAAATAAATTTCAAGATCTTGTGAATCGTGTACAATGGAATCAAGCTTGTTTTAGTTCAGATGGTGAATATGTCATTGGTGGTAAGTAAACAAAATAAATTATTAAGGTACATAAGATAAACTTATCATATTTAGGATCTGGTCATAAAGCTGAACACAATATTTATATATGGGATAAGAAAATGGGTAATTTAGTCAAGATTTTGGAAGGACCTAATGAACCATTAGATGATTTAACCGTAAGAATGATTATCATGATAAATATAGATTTAATTAATATATTATTATTATTATTATTAGTGGCATCCTGATCGACCCATTATAGGTTCTGTTAGCAGTTATGGAAATATATATTTATGGACAACTAAACATGAAGAAAATTGGAGTGCATTTGCTCCTGATTTCACAGAATTAGAAGAAAATTTGGAATATGAAGAAAAAGAAGATGAATTTGATGTGGTAAGAATAATATATATATATATATATATATATATATATATATATATATATATATTTGTTATTGAATATCGTTCATTTTGTTTTAGGCTCCAGAAGAAGAAACAACCAAACGAAAACAAGATGATGAAGATATTCTAGTGGATGTGACAAGTTGTGATCAAATTCAAGCATTTTTAGATTCAGATGATGATTTGGAAGATGGTGATCAAGTTGTTTATTTACCCAGTTTATCATTTGCTGATGATGAACAAAATGATCAAGACGATATTAATGAAGATCAACAAACAATTGTAAAAACTGACATATCAACAACAACAACAACGGTGAAAAGGAAATCAACAAAAAAGGGACAAAAAAGAACAGAACCAGATCAACAAAGAACGAATAAAAAAGTGAAAAAGGAACCAACTGTTTCTTCAACATCTTCTACTTCCTCTTTATTGGCAGATTTCTGATTCTAGGGATAGATTAGAAATAGCTTTTTTTTGTTATTGTACATATTTATTTTATTTTTTACTTTTTTACTTTTACATAATTATATATATATATCATCCAATTGAAAATAAAGAAATCATTGAAATGTACTATTTGTTTGTTATTATTCATCATGCAGGTCCATCATAGAGATAAGATTGAAACACAATGATCCCATTGTTTAGATGTTTCAAAACTAAACCTTTTCTTTTGAATGAATGATACGTTCAAGGGATAGGTGTACAAGAAATGATAATATAGAAACTATGTCAATAAAGACAATCTTAAATCATTGAATGATTTTTTTTTTCTTTGTGATAATAAAAATACTTTTTTTTTTATGGATTTTGTAATAAAAAGCAATAATCCATAATGAATGCCAAGACTACCCAAAAAAAAAAATTATCGTGTTGACATTGGATTATTTTTGTTTTCTTTCATTATTGTTTATTGTAAGGATTTAAATACAAAGAAAGGCAAGTAGCCAAGAAACATGAGGAGGATCATTATGCATTGCTTTTTTTTTTTTTGGGGGGGACATGTGTTTGAAGGACATTCATTTGATGATAATTTGATGGATCATTATTGTTGTTTTCATATAATCATAATAACAAAAAAACGCCACAAATAACACCTCCTATCCATCACGCACATTCATTACAAGTCATCAGGGAGAGAAATCTAGGTCTATCGTATACTAAGTAAATCTTTATTTGTATATTTGTAATCAAACAATGTAAAAAGACTAAGATAAAACAAAGGAATGTATAAAATAGAAATGAGGAAGAATAAAATAAAACAATCAATAATCATTCAATAAGGAAAGTAAGTTTTTTTTTTTTTTTTTAAAAAAAAAAAAAAAAGAAATAAAATAGAATATAGATATAATAAACAAAGGAAGGTCATAAAAGTAAATAGTATCAAATCAATGTCCATGAAGCATAAATTGAGGGTTATGTAGATGATGGGATGGATGATGGTCAATAGCTGAAGTCATAGTAGAAGGTCCAGTAAGGGGTAAAGATAAGGGATCTAACGGTAGCCGATGTTCACCACGTGGTAAGTTATTATTGTTATTATTATTGTTCATCATGTTTCCAGCAGCATGCACTCGAATATGGCGCCTCATATTGGATTGTACACTAAACCGACGTCCACAATTAAAGTAAGGACATACATGTGGCTTTTCACCAGTATGAGAATAGATATGAATTCGTAATGATGATGGTCGAGAGAAGGTTTTATTGCAATGTGGACAATGGTACCGATGACGTTGTTGATGTGATACAGGAAGATGCGCTGATGATATTGAGATTGAGGATGAAACGGGAGTATGTGCATGATAATGTTGTTGTTGTTGTTGTTGTTGGGTTGATATTTTCGACATTGGCATATATGAAGGATGGCCAGGCATAAAAGTAGAAGAGGAAGTAGGTGATAATGAAGCTAATGAAGATGATGATGAAGATGATGCTGATGATGTTGATGATTGGTCACTATGAGGAGATATAGATCCTGCTGATGATGATGTTGGATTGTATGTAGTTGGAAGATACCCTGATGTCGTATGAGCTCTTGTTCTGCCTCTATGCAATACGCCATCATTGATTTGTGATTGTGAAAATGATGATGATGACGTTGATGCTGAATTCGTTGATTGAGGTGGTAAATGATAAGGAACACCAGGTTGCACTTGTGTCAAAAAAGAAGGTCGAGCTGAAGAAGAGGCAGAATAAGTACGTCGATGTCGTGGATTTCCATAATGACGATGATGATGTTGGGATCGAGGAGAAGGTGAATAATAATGTTGAGGATAATATTGAAGTTCAGTTGATGCTTCTGTAAAACGGTCTAATGTCTGCCCATTAGATTGATGTTGCTGATCATATTGATGATGGTTTTGATTCTGGTGATGGTGATAACGGTGATGATGTGCATAATTATTGGTTGGTGAACGTGCTAATGAGGAAGGCGTATGGATCATATCATTTGTAGGACACTGGCACATTGCAACAGATTTTGTGACAGGTGACAATAGTGGTGGTGATAAACACTCGTGCCAAGAATCAAACGTAAAAGCAGTGTTGATGCTGTTGATTTGTTTCATCGTTAAAGGAGCTTGTCGATAGTTTAGTTGTTCTGTTGAATGGCTGCATGTTGATGATTTTGGCACGGGTTCTGTCAAAAAAAAAAAAAAAGTCGCCTGCCATTAGCTAAATATTCTTTTTTTTTTTTTCTTTTGAACTTACCCTGATCTTCTTTGTGATCTCTTGATATATCAAAAAGCATTTGTCGAATAGGAGGTAAAGATACTTTTGAAGTAGTCATTGTACAAAATAAAGAAGAAAAATAAAAAAAATAAAAATAAAAAAGAAAGTGAAAAGGAAGAGAAAGAAAAAGGAAAAGAAAAAGTTAAAAAGAAAAAAATCAGATCCATCAAAATTATAACAGGATTTTCAGCTCCGCATCGAGAGATCCCCTTTTTTTTTGGATGTTGATATACCGATTGCATTGAAAATCAAAAGAATCAAGTGATTTTAGAAAAAAAAAAAAAGAGAGGGAGAAAGAGGAGATAAAACAACCTAGTGGCGTGTGTGTGTTGTTGTTGTTGTTGTTGGACTGGGTGTTGATTCTCTCCCCTTTACCCCTTATTTTCCTAAAGAGAATTTAAAAAGGAATCATGCCAAGTCTATACTAATAGTGCAGAAGATGTTTTTCCTTTCATTATCTTCTTTGATTTTTATTTTAAATATAAGTAAAGAGAACATACACATATACGAATGAAAAAGAAAGTGCACGGACAAGAAGAAAGAAAACATGATGGTATTACCTGGAACCAAAAAAAAAAAAAAAAAAAAAAAAAAAAAAAAAAAACGCCTCCATCATTCATCTCTCCTCATGAACGTCATAGAGAGTTTTTTTGTTCATATATAAAAATAAAAGCTACCATTCCTAATTTTCTTTTTATTTATTTCCAATCTTGATGGTACTAACGATTTGTTATTGTTGTTGTTGTTGTTGTTTACTGCGTGACGATGGATCTTCCTCTTCTAACCTGTTTCTGTATCACCAAACCAGCAATAAACCGTGAATGCACAATTATGACGACTCTCACGTGTCTCATGGTTACCTCCTTCCTTACATTGACAAAAAAAAAAAAGTCTGTCATTTCCATAATCATCTTTTCTTTCTCCTTGTCCCTTTTATGATTCGAAGATCATCATATAATCATCATTTATGCTGCAATTATTATCATTCTTTGTCTATTATTCATCATCATAAAGCCAATCAAATCAATTATGATATAATAGTAAAAAAAAAAAAAAAAAAAAAAAAAGTCATCACAAAACCCTCCCTTGTATTTATTAAATAGACCAAAAAAATATAAAACTAATAAATCAAAGATATATCATTTTCGATGTTGTTTGTAAGTATAAAATTGGAAGAAGATCTACAAGACAGAGAAACGAGAATGAGCGATTTTTTTTTTAGTCAACAGATCATCACCCGTTAATCTTGATATATTGTGTAATTGAGATCGACTTACAGTAAAATCAAAAAATAAAGTACCACCACTTCCAAGTAACCAAGGATAGTTGATAAGCAAATATGTTCGGTCAGTGGATTTTAAAAAGATAGACTAAAAGCAATAAAGTAAAAAAAAAAAAAAAAAAATGCATGTGTTAAGTAACAGGTTTGACCTTCTAACCTCACCATATCATCTTTATTTTATTTTTTTTTTTATTCATCCTTACCGCAGAATAAGTCAAGTTGCCAACCACACTAAATACAAACATCGTCAAGCTGAGTCCTTCCACACTTTCGTTTCTAAAGTTCTGCATGATTTGCGGTATACCTTAAAAAAAAAAAAGGGTGTTTCATCAACTTGCATATTCCATTTTTGGTTTTTTCCTCTAATGACTTACGACTACTACAATAAAGAATCGCCGAAGCCCAACCTAATGATTGAGAAAGAAGATGCCATTGACTAAGATCCACCTTGTCTTTTGCACCAGGCCACCAGAAGAATAAAACTGATCCTAATAAAAGAGTCAACCATAATAAGACACTAAGAATGAAGAAGCATCTAACAATCCAGCGGGTATGTTCCGATTGTTTCTGACTCAATACGGTGTGAGAGCTGGAATCACTACTTGATGGCCTCAATAAAGGTGCATTTTCATCATTATCAGGGGTACTTGCTGTTGCCATGGTATCATAAATAGTTTCGTCATTGTTAGAAGTATTAAATAAAATATCCTTGAATGTCCGTGTAGATGAATATGCATAACGATAATATATAACTTGACCCATTAATAAACAATCAGCAAAAAGATAGTAAACAGCTAAAAGAAGCTATGATTTGATAGAAAAAAAAAATTGATAACAAAAAAAAAAAAAAGTTTAAGGTTAGATTTCTTCCATGCGTGTGATCTATTCCAAGTGAGAGATAATCCCACCCTTTATCAGTAAATCAATGATAATATTAATATTTGGCCTTACCACTGTTAACATCAAGTGTTCCAATAAAGCACCGATCAAGTTAAAGATATCGCCAAATATCCATAATAATAGAAAACTGATCGATACGCCATCGGTATTTTTACGAGTATAATTTTCATATAATTGACTGTTTTTGGTATAAAAGAAAAAGTTATAAACAAAAAAAAAAGATATGTCAGTGTAAGATCTCGTTTTTTTTTTTTATGTACATCATCTATCTAGACTTACGGTGTAAAGACTACAATCCAACAAGCGATACTTGCATAACCAAACAGTTCAGCCCACTGTTCATGGTCAGGCATAGTTAATGAATCCATCGATGAAGGAGAAAATAAATAATAAAAAAGAACGTTTAAAAACAGAAAAAAATAATAAAAGAAAAAAAAGAATGGAAAACAAATTGAGTTTCAACTGAGTTTTTTTTAATTGAAAACAGAAAAAAAAAAATGGGAATACAAGATATCAAGCAAGAAAGGAGAAAATATACCATGAGGGAAGAGAATAGGGAGAGGGATCTATACTGCTAGTTTGAACCATTGTCTCCATTTGTTGCGTTTGGTAATAGGTCGATATCCATCAATGAATCGTACTTGAGTTTTATTAAGAGCACCTCGACGTCGTTGCCGTACATAACTGATTGCATCCTATAATAATGCATAAAATAATGAGTTCATATCACGAAAAAAAAAAAAAAAAAAGAAATACCAAAGGATCCATTCCACTTTCAATAAGTGATAAAGTCACAAGTACCTAAAATAATATTCCTTTTGGTTAATATATCTTTTTATTATTTATTTATTTTCTATTATCATTTTACCGGTGCTCGACCTATTCCACTAACACAATGTACCGCCATAGTGTGACCTTCTAATCGAGCTTGTTCGGCTAAATTCAACCAGTGTTCAATATTTTCTTGACTTGGCACAGTTCCATCGTCAAACTTGATATCATCAATGACTCGGATCCCAGCTAGTCGTTCCAGTTTCACAGCATCATAGTCCAAAGGACGATTACATATTCGTACTAGTAGCTTTACGTTCTCTTTCTTTAAAGGTTCAATATAACTTGCTAATGTTTGTTCAGTCGGCGCATCCAACAGGAGAAAACGTTGTTTAGATAAAGGTGATTCAACAACCGTTATCATTTATTCACTGAATAATATAAAAATACTATGAGCAGTAAAATATATAGATATATATATATATAGTAAAAAGAAAAAAAGAAAAAAGAAGAACAAAAAAAAAAAAAAAAGGGAATAAAAGGAGTAAAAAGAAAAAATTTACATAAGACTTGCATGGAAAAAATATTGGACCGTTAACGCCAGCATGATTGGATCGCAAATAAAACAGCGTCATCGTAAACCCTTGTGATTTGCAGGATGGATCTTCAATTCTCCATCTGTTTCATCGGTTTCTTGCAAATAAGGTCTAAAAAAATAATAAATCATCAATATTGGTATTAAAAAAAAATAATAATTGATCAACTTACAGTGGGACTGAATATACTTTGATTTGTCTGATATGAGTATCTCTTCCATTCAAATGAGTACTAAGAATAGCAATTTGTAATTGGAATACACGTACTGGTTCACTAAAAAAAAAAAATAAAGTTAATGATCATCAATATCATTATAGTAATTATTATTTTTTTTACTCCATAATAGATGATAGATCGGCATTTTTCCATCCCACCATTTCTTCGCATTCTAATTCAACAATTTCCTATAAATATCATCATTAGACACCATTCTTTTCCATTTATTGTTTTTTTCTTACATGCAAATCACGATAAGTTGTACCACCACGTATGGAGATTTGATGTGGTGAATAACTTTCATCTTGGAAAAAGTCAACAAAAATAGATACTTGCTGCAAAAAAAAAAGGATATCAATTTTCAGTGTTATTATATCTTTTTCTTCTTTTTTTTTTTTTTTTTTTTTTTTTTTTTACCTTGATAAATGTAGCTTGATGAAAATATAAATCAACAGTATGAGGTGTCCTTGGATTTGAACTATCTGATCTATATAAAATAATGATAAAAGGGATAAGTTAATGTTTTACTAAATTATATTCCTACTTACTGCCAATATGTCAAAGGATTATTATCACGAATCTTTTCCACACCCCAATCCGGTCGAAAAGTAGAGACTGCCCAAATAGCCTCGTGTTCAGCGATTTCACGTCCACCTTGAAGTTTTTGTTCATTGTCAGGATGAGTATCGTGATAGATTCGAATAGCCGTGTTTTCTCGTTCACTGTCATCCAAAATTCCTGTATCTTCGTCATCATCACCAGTATGATTATTATTATTATTGCTGTTGTTATTATTGTTGTCATTGTTGATTCTGTCTTGATCCATAGCGTCGTCATCGTCGTCAGCTGCTTCGGTCATATCATCGTCTAATAACTGTCGTTGCATCATTGGGTCTGAATCAAGATATCCTACTATCATGTCAGTTTCTCCTTCACTAACAGAAGAGGAAGAATGTAATTGATTCATATTAGAATGCCGATCTTCGTGTCCAAAATCAGTATAATGAGTTGTCGTTGTCACTGTTGCTGTTGTTGATGTATTCGCTAATAATACAGTATCATCAAACTGACTACTTGTCATGGAAACATTATCTGGAATATCATTGGACATGTATAGGTCAAGATCGTTTTGTTGATCTGACATTGATATGAGAAAAGAAAAAGACGAAAAAAAAAAAAAAAAGAGGTACAACGTGTAAGAAAAAAAAAAAAAAGAAAAAGGTTTTTTTTTGAGTCTTAGTTCTTTTACATTCGACCTCCGAACTCACCTTTCAAGCAAAGTGCTCAATATTGGTGAAATGCAAAAACTGTCAACCAATAGAATTACCTTTTTGTAGATTAGAGACAATTCAAGCATGTCTTTAGAAATAGCACCATCCGTCCATAATACAACATAAAACTACTGTTTTATCTTTTTTTTTTTTAAAAAAAAAAAAAGGAAAATAACAACCCTGTCACAATTTAAACCTGTTATAAAGCATAATACTAATTATCTCTCATATGAATGAGTACTTATTAGTTTTAGATTTACTTGATGATGTTCTGTAATAAAGAAAAAAAAAAAACCAAATAATTCTGGGTGATGCGATCATTAGCACAGTGGCACAATTTTTTTTTTTTTTGTTCGGTTACTTGGGATTTCAACTGATTAAGAAGAAGCATGGATGCATGTGATGAGTGATTAACATGAAAGTCTCTCCTTCCAAGCTTCTTTGAATCTTTCTGGACTTCATCCTACTGATTTGAACAAGCGTACTATAATCTAATCAAGGCATTTTTATCTTGACTTCATGATTTTACTAAAAAAAAAAAAAAATATCATACAATTTCTTTTCATCATCTACCGTATATACATTCTTTTTTTTTGTTTTTAATGAAATCATCTATAAGAGAAATCCCATTTTTTCTCGTTTGATGTAAAAAAGAAATCAAGGACTTTTTCTATTTATTTATTTATAAAACTGTTCAAAAGCCCACTCTTACTACCAAAAAAGGGATCCCAGGCGGAGGATCAAATGTCCCCTTTTCTCATCTGTCTCTCTCTTGTTCTTGCTGTTCTTTTTTTCCGTTACAATACTCTTTTTTTTATTGTTGTCTAATACCATTACTTAGTAAGCACATCATAAAATGGTAAACATACTCTTTCCATTCGAAAGAAAAAAAGAAAAATGAAAAATAACATCGTAGTTGTAACATCTAGGGAAAGATACAATCTACAATGAAAAAACCTCACTTTTTTTTTTTTTGGATTAGGGAAATTGTTGCAGTACAAGAACCAAAGATAAAGGACATCGATTAGGCTCAGCCAGTGAATTGGGAGAAGGACAAACATTATCACCAGGTCAAGTGGTAGGCAATAGTGGTAGTGGTGGTAATGCCGCCATGTTAGCCGCTGCTGAACAACGTCGTTTGAAGGTATGAAACTTCCAAGTTTTTGTATGAATGACTCATGTTCTCTCTTTTGTTTTGAAACTCTAGGCTGAATCTCGGGGAGTCCAAAATGGTGGTGGTGCTCTGAACAAGAAACTGAATGAGGAACGTGGCAAGAAACCAGTTCCCGAACAACGATCTAATGAACCTGACTTAGTTGTAATGATATAACACAAACCGTGGCATCTTACACTGACCTTTTTTTTTTTTATATATCTTTTTTAGTGGGATTGAACAACCAATGCTGTGTGCATATTTTGATACCAACTTCTCTATTTTTACTCTCCCTCTTTTCAAATTTCTCATTTTTATTCATTAGTATAATTTTTTTTTTCTAGGTTACTTCTATTCCCCCGGTTTTGTCTGATATATAAGAAATTATTTATTATCATGAATTGAATAAAAAAAAAAAAAAAGAAAATGTAAAGCCCATTGTTTAATAAAAGAATTCATTTCAAAAAAAAAAGTATGGCTAATAATATATGATAATGATGATGATGATGATGCTGTCTTTTGGAATGTATGTGTGTTTGTGTTATGGATGACAATGCTACTACTACTAATGATGATGGTGATGAGTGGTGATAGATAATCCATTTTTTCGTGGTAAGCCTTGCTCCAAAGATGATCCATCTTCAAACAAGCAATTCCATTGTTCTTCAGGTACCAGCGTGCCAAATAAAAGGGACATATTTTCACCAAGCTACTTGCCCCAAAATCAAATATAAATATTAAAAAAAAAAAAAAAAGGTTAGGGAATAATTATACATATTTAAATGGATTCATTACCTTGTCCAGTTCACGAATGATATCTTCCATCATAATGACATAAGCAAAATAAATCATATATGCTTGATCTTTCTCCTTTTGATTGTTTCCAATAGTCATCATAGAGTCAAAGGAAGATGTATCTCTACGTAATCGTTGAATCAAGACTTGCCAAGCCATACGTGCGGGAGGAAGATAAGGTGGTAGAGGTGTTTTGAGTCGAAGTGCTGATGCAAGTAAATAAAAGTACAACAAGACATTGCCCACCATTTCACGATTTTCACCACTGGCTGGATTGACAAACGTGCGCTGAACATCTACCATCCATACTTCTTTCAATTTGACTGTTCGAATCGACATGAATTTGTCCACAATATTTTGACATGACGATAGAATATCACGATACGTTGCCACAGGAAACGCTCCTTTCAATCGAGGTTCGTTAGGAGTTTGAACCAAAAGTGCTTGTAAATCAATCAACGTACGTTGCAGTCCAAGTTCTAATTCCATAAATCCATAAGCAAGTCTGGATTTTTCAAATGACTCATCGCCTTTGTGATCATTATTATCTACTACATTGGTATGCTGATATGCCAACGATGATGATGATGATGATGATGAATAGAGAGATACCAGTTTTTGATAAAGCCAAGATAGACGTAATAAGAAATCAGATAATCCTTTGCGTAATTCCACCCGTGCTTCATAAGGCCACACATACGCAGTAGCAATTAAACCAACTATGACACCGACCAGAATAGCCACACATCGTTGAATAGCCAATAACCATACTTCTACATTGTTTGTTTCTCGATCGTTGTACTTGTTAAGCATCACTAGATTGTAGGCCAATAACGTAAATTGTCCAAACTTGCCATGTTTGTGATGAAGAATCAACCAAAAATTTGGAATCGAGAAAAGCCATGTCAGAATCGCAAGTGCATACATATTAGCTGGAAATATCATATAAAAAAACATTGCAGAGAAGCACCCAAGCATTGTTGAAAAAATACGATAGACTGCTACCAGATTTGTTCCACCGACAGTTGGAGTCATCACTACCATGAGCTTTTTTTTATTAAAAAAAAAAAAAACGATTAGATAAAATCAATATTTTTTTTTTAAAAATCAAATTTACCGTGATCAAAGCCCATTCCATACGCCATTGACGAAATATATTAGAAGTAGATGATACAAATGCAGGAGTGGCCAATAAAATAGCAGCTATAGTAGACTTGATAGCATATCGTATCTTTTGAAGTTTAAAGAGAGAAAAGAGAACCCAAATCCGAATAAAGAATCTTCTCCAACGAGTAGTAGGAAGTGGTGTATGAAGAGTGTTGACCCTATTTCTTTCATTAGGAATAAAACCTTGGAAGGAGGATTTTTTGTTCAGTCTATTATTGTCTGTTGAAGGTGATTCTAATAAAAAGAAATAAGTTACATGGGTTAACCTTTTTTTTTTTTTTTTTTTTGATCTTACTTTTCAGTGAAGAAAACCATCTCGAACAACATTGCCACCAAGAGGAATTATAATTACGGGCATAACAGAGTCGATCCACAGCATCCACCAATGTAATAAGTTCTTGAGCAAATTCAATCATGTTGAAGACGAAAAAATAAACCAAAAAGATATCTTCTTCAGGACTTGCTAAAAGTTGGACATCGTGATGTATATTTGTTTTCCCTGTTCTTTGTTGATGATGATGTTGTTGTTGTAGTCGTTGAATAGCATGTCGTTGAGAAATTTCAAACAAATCGATGGCTTTGATAAGATTGGCTTTAAGGACGTAAAATTCAGGAGTCATATTTTTCATGCGAGAGGTATATGAAGATTGGGTGGAGAATCGAAACTGTAAATGGAAGATAGTTCGTTTGCAAGTATAGGCCAGAGATTTCAATGGTTGTCGAATAGTTTGAATATAATTGATAAGTGATCCTTCCGTTGTTTTTTCATTCTTGGTTGCTTGATCCATATTTGTTGCTTGATCATTCATCAATGGTGATCCAGTTTCCGACTGTAATAGCTCTGTAGTGAATTCCGCGTTATCAGTGGTGACTGGACTTCCAGGGTGGCTACTGATAAAGGATTCCTTATCAAAATTGAATGGTGCTGTCATATACGAGGCTGCAAGAGCTGATTTTTGTCGTTTCATTTCTGTTTCCAATTGTCGTCGCCTATATCCTGGTCTAATACTCCATGTATCACTTGTCATCATAGGCGAAAGAATTTTATCAGTGGCTGTGTCATCCGAGATAGGTTCGTTTCCAGTAGATCGAAGGGTAGATCCTTGTTGGTCTTTACTATTGATGTAATCAAATTGGATACCACAACTGCTACGTAGTCCACCTACATGTTGAGAGAGTCTTTGCATGCTTTTGACAATTTGATCATATTCATCGGTACATCCACGAATTTGTCTGTTCCATAACCGTTCCAATTTTGCTTCCTTAAGTGATTTTTGTAATGAGGTAAAACTAGCACGGTGAGATTCAATAGCAGTTTGCAATATACGATTGGCCTTGAACTCAGGAAGATCGTCGTCCAATAAGAATGTTTTTGTCAACAATTTCAAAAGTACTTTATAGGAATTGAGTGTTGTTTCTAGATCGTTTCTATTTTCATAATTATATAAATGTCAGTGAAACGTCATTATCCATGTATATATATATTGCAACTTACTGAAGTTTTTTCGTAGCCGATGTTGGCCAAAATACAATACAGGAAGTGATAGTGACCAAAGTGCCCGTCGCTACAGCAGAGGTGATTTGTTGGATTCGTGTCGTATCAAAATCCCCACGATTTGCCGAACCTTCCCTGACTACAACAATAAAGATAATGATAAAGCATAGACTTGAAGCTAAAAATAAACAAACAAATAATACAAATAAATAAACAGATCGATAAACAAAAAAAAAAAAGTTGTTTTTTTCTCACATCAAAATGATCAAATAAGTTTTTTTTTTTTTTTTTTTTTTTTTTTTTTTTTTTTTTTTTTTTTTTTTTTTTTTTTTTTTTTTTTTTTTTTTTTTTACCAGTTGCAACAGGAGGTTTGTTCCAATGTGCTTTCAAGAAAGAGACAATAAAAGTAGCACCAGCCAACCAAAACAAGAGAGATAATAGATGAGCAACAAGCATAAGTTTTTCATCGATAAAATAATCCGTCGTAACCATTGATCCAAGACACACAGAGAGAGCAAATAGAGTATAACCCCAACCATAAGCAGTGGCTTCTACCATTCCACCCAGAGTTTTTGCAGGATTAAAAAAGACTGTCGCAGTAGCCACTAGATGACTTGATACACGATTGTTTCCAATAAATTCATTCAGTGTAGGAACAAAAGTAAATAGAGATCCAACAAAATAGGCAAAGCTACATTTGAGCACAGCATGTTGTTGTGGCGTCAGTGTCATCCATTTCCCCAAATGATTCAAAAAAGATGATACTCTGGTTTTCCAAAAAAATGTTTCATCATTGTAAATTCCGTTATATTTCTTGTTATATCGTTGTTGTTGAAGAGTTAAAGAAGGATTATCATTATCAGATGCAAATATATCATCAGAATCACTGTCGTAAAGTTCATCATCATTTTGATGATCTTCTAATATTGATTGTTGAATAGGTTGTTGTATAGTTTGATAGTTGGTCTTGTGACGTTGTCCATTGAGTAATGGTTGTTTACTATCATTATCTCCCACAAAAAAAAAAAAAATAGGGTTTGGTTAAATAATTTGCATGTTTCAAAACATATATTAGCCATTGTTTATTTTTTTTTCCTATAATACCTTTCAGCCATACCAACTCGAGAAGGTTGTACATCATCCATATCTAAATGCGGATGATATGATTGATAATGATGCTTGCCATGTTGTTCAGGAGGAGGATCACCGAAATCATGATATCTTGAATCAAAAGTAGTTGATAAAGAAACTGTCCTTCGTTGTAAAGTACCATCATCTAATACCACTTCAATTTCACTATAACCAGAAGGTGACATTGGGCGCATTTCTGAAGGTTGTCGATTATTTATTGTACCACCAAAGGAATAGTTGGCATCACTATAATAGGAAGACAATGGAGAATGGGAGATCAAAGAACGTTGTTGAGAATTAATGGGTAGTGGGATAGGTGCCGCATTTCGAGGACGTCGTGCCAAATCTTGAGAGTTATTCATAAGATCACACTATTTCTTGAGAAAAAAAAAAAAGAAAAAGAAGAAAAAAAAAAAAAGAAAAAAAAAATGAATAAAATGCAAATAGGTAAAAACATAGAAAAAGGAAAAAGAGGAACAAACCTTACATGACGCCAATCCACCATTAGAAAATAGATCTGTAAACCTGTAGCATTCAACCGCCGCCTAAACCGTAAACAACAGAGGAGCAATCAGATTATTGTTTCAAAAGAGGAAAGAAAAAGAGTCAATCGTCATCATCCTTATTATCCTTATAATCAATTATTATTATTATTATTATTATTATTAATTATTGTCTTACCTCAATACCAAGTAGAATAACAAACTAACAGTAATATGGAGCTAGTTTTTTTTTTTTTTTTTGTCATCGGGTTACCGGAATCAGAAGGCCGAAAGTAGAATATAAGGAATCATCACGTTTTTTTATTTCTAATAAACATGCATAAAAAAATAAATAAAATAAACTATGAATCTATTGGTAGAAGCTTCCTAAGTGTCACACTAATCCTTGTTCCACGAACTATTATTTCTTCACCTACCAAATCGATATCCCTTTCAGCAATACCATGTTCCCAGAGATATCTAGACGGACCACTCAACATCAATACATCACCAGGTCGTAATATGATGTCTATGGACCTTTCATCGAGTTCTTGTTCCTGTTGTTGCAAATATCCTTGATGTATGGCTTGTTGTGGATTAGTAGTAGGTTTCATCGTCATACAACAACTTGAAAGAAGAGATAGAATAACAATTCCATCATCAAATCTAAAAAAAAAAACAAGTCAATACAAGTTTCATCAAAAGAAAAACACGAAAAACTTTACTTGGCCAAATCCACATGACTGATAATCCCTTCTCCTATTTGTATTTAAAAACTATTCACATTAGAAAATAGTTCGCTAATTTTTTTTTCTTTTTTTTTTGTTATTTACCTTTGTTATAAAAATTGTAAATAGCTTGGTCAAACAGTGGTACACGATGGGATAAATGGGATGGTAAAAGATGGTGGTCATAAATCCAAGTGGCAAGATTTTCAAGTTCAGGTCCAAGTTGTCCAAATCGCATGGCTTGGTTACCTTGTCCAAAAATGTTGTGATCAGTGATTGCTTGAATGAGTGCTATTTGTTGTGTATGATCAAGAGCATTGCGCCATAAACGTAATCCTGGGATCTGTTCAATTGTTTCCACTTGAATATCTACAAATTCCTTTGATCTTGTTAATGTTGTTGCTGTTGTTGTTGTGTCCATATCGTAGTCTTCATCATCAGAGCCAAACAATGTTTGCCAATCCTGCTGGCAATCCATAATATGGTATCAAGACACACACAAAAAAAAAAAAAAAAAAAAAAAAAAAAAAAAACAGAGAGAGACCAAAAAAAAAAAAAAAAAAAAAAAGAAAAGATACAAAAAAAAAAAGTATAAAGGATTTATTTGATATGCCGACAAAGCTAAATAATTAAGTAGGAATATCGTTCACTTCAAACACCATACCTCCATTTGTAGTCAATCGGTCGATCAATACTTTTCCTAGACCAGTAGCTGGAGTAAGAACACCTCCTTGTTTTCCAGGTAAAGAATCCAAACTATAAACAATACTTAACGCAGATTCGGCCACCATACGACAAGTGTCTCCATAACCAGGATCAGAGAAACCTTTTTTTTTTTTTTTTTTTAAATATAAACAAGTTAATTTCCATCTTTCTTTTTTCTTTTCTATATATTTACCTTTCACCACACCTCGGACGCGAACTGGAGGATCATAAGGTTCAGTTTCACCTGTACCAATCAATTCGAATTGAAAATGTCCTTTGGCTCTTTCTTCACGATTTGGACCAGTACCACCTGCAGGAAGGATGTTTTGTGCAAAACGACGGAATGGAGCAAATTTGAGTAAAATAGTGGCAATAGGCATCATTGTTAATAGGACAGATGTCAGTAGGAATGCTGGAAGGAAAGGAAGTGTCATACTATATAAGAAAAAAAAATATTAGTAAAATCATAACATCCAACTCTTTTTTTAATACCTTTCACGATATTTGAATAATTTTCCATAAGATTGACCAGGACGATCAGTATAAAGAGACCATGATCTACGTACAATTTTTTCATTGATGACTGACATGATGAAGAAAGCTTGCCATTTTCCACCAAAATCATAATCTTTATACATCCAAGGAATATAAGGTTTATCTTGTCCTTTGTGAGGAGATAAAAGATAAGGATCCAAGTTTTCAGTAGATGATAAAGATTTATCACTAAGAGATTCAATCAATGTTTGAATAGTTCCACCAGAAGGACGACCTTTGACTTTAACCAATGATGTTTTAACTTCAGCAGTATGTAATTGATGTTGACGAGCAAGATAATCTACAACCCTATATATATATATATATGAGTGACATAATTATTATCTCCTTTTATAATTGACTTACATAAAAGTACCAAGATCACTTGGAACAGAATCAAATCCACATGCAGGTATGATAAGTATATTTTCTTGTTGAGCTTTTTCATGATACTTTTCAATCACAGATTTTATCCAATTGTATTCACCAGTAATATCAACATAATGTGTTTTTTGTCGTAAACAAGCTTCTACCAAAGGAGTACCATACTTGATAAATGGCCCTATCAACAAAAAAAAAAAAGAATTTATAATCAGAACCTATTTCTTCATATAATAATGATAATAAAATGTATTACCCACAGTACTAAGGACTACTTTAGTTTGAGCAAGAAAAGCATCCAAAGATTCAGGATTAGATGCATCAGCAATAATAAGATCAATATCCTAATAACAGAAATAATAATAAAAAAAAAAGTTAATATATATATATATATATATTTTATTCTTAACAGTTAAAACATGTATATACCTTGATAGATTCATCCAACTTTATCAGGTTTTGTTTTGTTTTTTCCAACTTGGCCAAACTACGACCAGCTATAGCCCATTTCAAATCCTAATAAATAAATAAATAAAGTTGATATATATAATTATATTATTATTAATATTAATATTACTTGCCTTGTATTTTTGTTCAATGATATATTCACAAGTCAATTCACCAGTGAATCCAGTGGCTCCATAAACAACTTTTTTTTTTTAAAATAAAGGTTAAACGATAAATAGTAGAGATAAAAAAGTATTGTTCTTACCGAGATCATATTTTCGAGATGTCATCATATAATATTAATAAAGAAATAAAAGAAAGATATAAAATAAAACAAAAAAGTGGTGTAATTTTTTTTATTTCAAACAGAGAATATGAAAAAAAAGCAAAGACGCGTTTATACCCATGAATGGTAAAAAACCTATCCAATACACCGAGTTTGAATCACAGCTAGCATTCATGTGAAAGAACCCAAAAGGGAAAAAAAACTTTATTTTTCGTTTTTCAAATAGTGCAGTGAAAACGATATAAGAAATAACGAGAGACCAAAATGAATATAAAAGAAAAAAAAAAAAAGGGGGAGACAAAATAATAAAAATATTAAAGGAGAAGGAATGACAAGCAAATATAAAAAAACAACAAAGAGATCAAAATAGAATAATAGTAATAATAATAATAATAAGGTAAAATGGAATATATAAAAAAAAAGAGAGTGAGAGAAGGAGTGAAAAAAAATAAAAAATAAAAATAAGGAGAGGTATCGAGTAAAAGAAGTTCATTTCATAGCCACATTGGAAGAGGGTTCAATAGCACTATCTAAAACAAGGGTAACATCATCAACAAATGCTAAATCATATAAAAATTCTACAAGATCAGTCAATTCGGTATCATGAGGATCATTAAACCAAGTTGATACAGGTACAGCATTGGATGTATGGAAAAGATAACTTGTTGGAGAATTGTCCAAAATCAAGGTAGTAGCCAAATCACGACCAAGTTGTGAAAGATCCTAATTTAATATATAAATAATATGTTTAAAAAAACAATCCATCTTTTTTTATTCTTTTATATGTTTTTTACCTTGACATAACTGCCTTTATGATTAAAACAAGATTCCCTGAATAAGCGATGTTTCACCACCCGATGCTTATCCAATATATCTAATACAGGATCCGCATACTACATATATATATATATATATATTAATCCAACATTCGTTTTAAATAAATATAGAATTACCTTTGATAAACTTGCTGTAAAGACAACAATTTCATACTTTTCACCCATTTTTCGCATAAATTCGTCCACACCAGGTCGTTTAAGAACATATACATTGTGTACTTGTTGATCTATTTCTACAGGTACAACAAAATCAGGATTGGGAATAATCTAAAATAAAAAAAAAAGAAATTGTTAAAAAAAATCATAAATTATTCTTTTTTTTTCTAATTACCTTGAATGAACTATGAACTAAAGTTTCATCGAGATCCAATACCAAACATTTCCTTCCAGTTTGATCAGAAGATATTGGTGGTAATAACCATGAAACTGGTCCAGTCTAACATCCATCATGAGAAATAAATAAATAAATAAATAAAAAAAAAGAATTAAACGAAATTACACCTTGTTTTTCCATTCATCATTACCTCGGTCATTTCTATGGGATATAGTTGGCCAGACTGTGTATCAGTCACAGGCGTTGGTAGTAATGGATTTGTCGTTGTAGAAGTATTGTTTATTTTATCCTGTGGAATAGTAATGGTTGTAGATGGAATGTTGTTGGTGTCAATACGATCGTTATTGTTGTTCAATGTAGATGTTCTTCTTTGTTGAGATTGTGATAGTTGATCGTGTTGAGATCCAGTTTGTTTCGGATGATACCATCGACTAAACCAATGTTTCTTTTTTCGTTTTGATCTAACCGTATCCTGTTGTTGTTGTTGTTGTGTCGTTTTCGAAGTTGTTGTTGATGGTGAACTTGATTTAGAGATATTAGGATCCATCCAAGCTGACGTATCACTAGCACAGCAAAATAATAAAGACAAGAATCCATGTTTCGCACCATAAGCTGGGTGACGAGAAGTAGGGTTGACCATATCGTGAGATGACCTACTTGTATTCACTTTTTGCTTTTGTGGGTCAGGATATTCTTGTTGATCTATGTATATATTATAAAAAAAAAAAAAGAAAGGATTATGAGTTTGGAATATATCAAATAATAAGAGAGAAAGAAAAATATATATATATATATATATAAAAAGAAGAAAAAAAAAAGATTCATCTAAATAAAGTCAATGAGTCTAGTTTTCCTATCTTCTTTAACCCTGTCCCTCTCTTTCTTATTCTATCCTTAAGTACTACTCCCTAATAAGAAAAGGGATTAACTTACTTGAGACAGTAAGACCTTGAGGAGCTACTTGAGAATGGTTGATAGTAGTGGCATTATTCACTGGTGGTGATGGTTGTATAGCTTGAGACATAAAATCAATGCAATAGATCAACTAATACTTATCAATATGTAGCTATATGTATATATATGTATATCAAAAGTACAAAAGATAATATATAAAATAAAAAAAAAAAAAAGAGGGAGAGAAAGAGAGAAAGAGAGAGAGAGATAAACTGGGGAGAGAGAGAGAACAAAAAAAAAAAAAAAAAAAAAAAGGTGGGAAGTGGTTTTTTTTTTTTTTTTAAGGAAAGCCAGCTCGAACCTAACTTTCTTTTTTTCTTTTGCTTGTAAAATAGAGTGTAGTACAAGAACAAATGCTGAATATGGCACGTGCAATGTGGCCCTTTTACATTTTTAACTAAATCAATCGTATAAGCCTGTATGACAATTATCATTTATTCCATATGCAACAATCAATAACTTAATTCTAAATAATTTGCTTCATTAAAATCAAAAGAATCATCCAATCTTGTCAATTGAAGAAAAAAAAAATTAGTTTGTTATATTTGTTATACACTATTTTCGCTGTTAAGATGTCATTTAAAAAATAAGTCATACCACCAATATTGAAATAGAATGTTTGTGAGGTTGGAGAAAATGATGACAGAATGAAAGTATAATAAAATGTTGTACCAGAATTAATAGAATTGTCGCAACCAAATGAAGTATAAAAGAAGAGTTAATACACTTTATTCAATAATAAATGACGGAATTCAAAGAATAAGATGGCGCAAAAATAGGAAATAAAATATCGTAAGGATAGAAAATAAATGACAGAAGAAGAAAAATATAATTGTCGCATAATCAAATAGAGAATATAAGAAAATAGATATCATGAAAAAAAAGAGTAATCAAAAAAAAAAAAAAAAAAAAAAAAGGAAATCCACCAATTGAGTTCACCAAGTTAACATATATAAAAAAAATAAAAAATGAGTAATACTTATCCAGATAAAAATATTTCACTAGCTTACCATTTAAGTGTAACGAGATCGCCGTAGCGAAAGTAGGATGGCGATAACCATCCCGGAATTTGTTGAATAAAAAAAAAAAAGGCTGACCGTAACCACGCAAATGCGCATTAGCGACCACGGTCAAGCCCAAAAACAAAAAAGAAGTAGATCAATTGAGAGACAGACAGAGGTGGTTGAGTTATTAAAGGATGCTTGTAAGGAAAAAGATAGGCAAAAAAAAGAAGGCAGATCAAAAAGTAAGCAGGCAGGCCAAAAAGATGAATATAATGTAAAGAAATAAAAAAAAAAGTTAAATCAAAGGGATCCTTTTATAAGAAAATGAATCACTCGTGCAATTATGAACTAATTTTAGTTGATAAAATGATGAGACAAGATGTAAGCGAGTTTTATCATCTTTTTTTAAATATTAGCAACATTTCTATCTTTATATCGTATCTAATTCATCATCGTTTTTTTTTTTAGTATTAACAACATTTCTTTCTTTCTATTGTATTTAATTTATCATTTGTCTTTTTTAGTATCTACTTTATTATTTTTAGTATCTACTTCATCATTTTTTTTTTTTTTAGTATTAGCAACATTTCTCTCTTTCTATTGTATTTAATTTATCATTGTCTTTTTTAGTATCTACTTCATCATTTTTAGTATCTACTTCATCATTTTTTTTCTTTTTTTTTAGTATTAGCAACATTTCTCTCTTTATAATAAAGTTAATTACATAGATGTTCTACATTAAATTCTATTATTACAATATTTATGTACTAAGTGATACATGGTACTGACTTGTTTTTGCCGTGTTTTAGTTTAATGACTAGATTTTTTTTTTTTTTTTTTTTTTAGTGTTCTATTTTAAATGATAGTATGATTGTGCACAGGATACTTATTATTGCCATTTTTTAATTTCCATTGATGTGATGAATCATCATTATTATATTGATTTATCATGTTGGCTGATAAAAGAGTGTTTTGACATTTTTCAAAGAAAAAAAGAAAAGAAAAAGAAAATGTTGTTCTGTCAGAAGGTAACTAGAATGAAGTATTTTGTATTTTATCAGAAATTTGTACAGTGATTGACGACAATGTTTCATCATCCATCATACAATCATACAATCATCCAACGTATAATCATCCATTATCACATATCATCCATCATACAGTCATCCATCATCCATCCTGTAATCATCCAATATACAATCATCCGTTATCACATATCATCAATCATGAATCATCAATTATGAATCATCAATCAATTGATACCTAAAAAAGAATGGACAACACCCAAAGCTGCTAAAAATATGAAAAGCTTATGTTATTTTTCTTTTGTGTCTTTTATTATTAATAAACAAGTTATCATCAATGTGTTGTGTGTTTTTAATGTACTCTACCGCCATCTCTGGAGCGATATCTGAAAAAGTGGTAATGCGCCATTCATTTTGGGAAAGTACGATATTTTATTTGATAACATCACGAAAAGCATTTTCTTGTGACCCGACAAAAAACCTTGAAAACACTGTATATCATCACAAATATTGTGCATCATTACCAATATATATATATATATATATATAAAGAAATATATAATCCAAGCCAAAGCCAAGAGAGGAAAGGAGGTCATATAAAATAAAATAGTAATAGTAATAATCAGTATCTATCCAAAAAAAAAAAAAAAAAAAATTACATCGAAACTGTTTTTACCACAGAATGATGATCGCCACCTCAACACCACATCGCATGGGTTTTGTTCGTAAAATGTAAAAAGAAACACAAATCGTAACAAATATTGTCCAGTAACTTGGCCATAACAGCGTAAAGCGATGCAGGTAGATGATAAGGCATCACGATATAGTCGATATGATTCACAGTTTCAAATTGACGCAACAAGAGATACCATTATTCATTACAGTTTTCCAGTTCTTGATCTTTCTTGGGTGCATCACACGGCAAAAAGGAGCACATCATAGAGGTACAATGTTCACTGATCACAAGCATAATACCGTTCCTGTCTGCATAATCTTCGGTGCCACTTACCACCATATCGCCTTTGATTGGTGAACCGACTCCAGTTCCTGCATTTCCTATTGCACGTATCATATATTCTTATCGTTCGTTCATAATCATTTTCGTGAGTACACTTGTTTTGTGCCAGGATAACCCATCTTTTTTGTATCCAGCTTGTAAAAGTTTCGAAGTGTGTTCCCCTGTTCTCGTATTTTGAAATATCTTTCTATGAGATCCACTGCGTCTTTTGCATGGTAAAGTGTATTTTGGCCTATTACTTTTTCCACTATTCCTATTTCTTTACCAGCTGAAGTATTCTAGACAACGTCCACAAAAAAAAAAAAAAAAAAAAAAAAGGAAGGAAATCATAAGCGGTGATTTCTTTTTTTCTTCGATGGTCTTTTCAAATAACGTTTATCAAAGAAACCTATGATATCAATTTATTATCACCAAAAAAAAAAAAAAAAATAAAAATAAAAATAAATAAAGAAAGGCAATACTAATAATAAGAATAATAAAAATAATAATGAGATAGATTAATGTAAAATATTATAAAGTGAAGAAGTAAAAAGACAAAAAGAAGAATGCTAAACTAAAGGTGATATAAAGTATAATAATCAAGTAATAAACACACGCCCAATAAGGAAGATATATATATAAAAAAAATAAGGTGGTCTATCTACAAAACAATAATTGTTGATACTTGAAGCTTTGAGGTACCCTATGAAAAGATGCCGCCCCTAAAATGATATAGATCAATGTTCAAAAAAAATAAAAAGAGAAAAAAAAAAGAGTTGTGAGGATCCCTATTTCTTAATTCGCCCACTAAGAAAAGGAGTGAAAAGAAAAAATACGAATCTCTTCTTTTTTTTTTTTTATGTTGGATTTCTGTAATCATCACTTACTTGTTCCTAGTCACAAACGTTTTGTTCAATAGTTGAAGAATCTTGGAAACATTCAGTCCTACGTATTCCAAATCCAATAGTTCCACATTGTCTTGTTGCTATAGAGAGTGAATTCAAGGTTATTTTTTTTTTTTTACTTGCATATTTTTTTTTCCTTTTTGACATTTACCTTTTCCAATAAATCATCCAATTTGAGATCCATTTCCAATATTGCCTTTTCACGACCTTTGAAATGCATTGCAATGATAAATGTACCTGGTAATGGTGATGTGAAAGCAAAATATATATTTGGACGCCTAATTTTAAGAAATATAAAAGTAAATTATTTAAAAAAAAATATCAAGATTTCAATGTAATCAAAAGTTTTCGTATCATACCTGCTTTCAGGAACAGTACTTTGAGAAATAACACCATCTTTTTCCAATTGGCTATGAGAGAACTTGAATGGACCTTGTACACCAGTTCCTTTTTTCTTGTTGGTATGACCTGCATAACCACTTGTACCAATACCACTTCCAGAAGCATTTATACCATGGATTCCACTACCATTACCACTATCACCTACTTGAACACCAATACCAACAGATTTCTTGGTTTGTTTTTCAGCACCACTACTTTGAATTCGCACGTTTTGTAAGTATGCTTTGTAACTTTCTAATTGTCCCCGAAGATAAGTATTATGATCCAAGATAGTTTTGAAAACGCTTTCCAGGGATGCCAGCTCCAAAAGCACTTTTTCCTTTAGATTACCCAAATGTGTCAATTCTTGTGTGATTTCTTCCACCAATAATTTGTATCTATCCCTATGATCAATGATACCCATATCATCAAGTTCGCGTAACATATCCTTGACTTTGATTCCTTTTCGTACTAGTTGAGCATCCTTGGTGGTAGCTGCTGTTTCTGCAATATATTCCAAATCCAATCCTAATGCTCCACTGTTGGATAGATGAGGTAGAGATCGTATCAGTTGTACATAGATGGCCTTGGTTTCCATATAAAGAATATCATTTTGAGTAATGTTATTTTCAGACATCAATGCTGTAGTCAAATCTTTTGATAATAAAAATAATGTTGAGTGTCGAGCTTAGAATAATTTTTTTTTTTTTGATTACCTTGAATTGGAATTTCCCATCGACTGAATAGAGGTAAATCAATTGTTTTGTTTTCTTTGCGTGCCACTTGAGCAGGTGCAGAACCCATTTCTGTCATCAATATTCGAATACGATCTTTGTCTTTGGGAGCAATAGTATCCAGATGCTTTTGTACTAACGTCAATGTATTGAAAATTTCATTCAAAGAGATATTCAAAACAATATCTTTTTTCGATAAAGCCATATATTGATCCATTTCCAAAGATTCATAAAAGTCACTAACTTCACATAATTCGTTCAAAAATTTGTTGATTCTTGTTTTGTTTTCTTCCACAAATGGATTAGTAGGTAACATATAAGCTTCCTTGGCATAAGAGGGACGATTGGCTAGATTTTGTAACATTTTTGCAATCTAATCATAGAAAAATAAAAATAAAATTAAATATATATATGATATATATCATTACTTTTTTTTTAAAAAAAAAGGAAAGAAAAGTAATAAACATTCATTACCAAAGTCAAAGTTCGTCTAGGGTATTTTCCAGGTGCATTATCAAGTAACATATAGGCTCTTGGTGTGACGATAGCAGGATTGATAAAACGTAAAAAGAAGAAACCACCAATCATGGAACAAACAGAGAATTCAGATGCTTGAGGATTTTTTCGTTTGGTTAAGGAACGAATTTGTTTGCAGATCCAGCGAATACCATAAGGAACTTCATCTGCAGAAGAGATGATAGTCATCAAAAAACTTTCAGCTATTTCCATCAACATTTTCAATCTGGGTTGGATGATGGCTTGAACATCAGGATTACTTGCAGCAATTTCTGGAGTCACACTTTTTGGTATATCATCAGGTAAGGAACCAGAATCTTGTTCAATTTGAGCAACCATTTGTTCATAAACCTAACAAAAAAATAATATGAATAATAGTAAGGAGTAAAATATATTAGGAGACAGGGAGGATTGAATTTTTTTTTTTTTTTTTTTTTTTTTTTTTTTTTTTTTTTTTTACCTTCAATGGATTAATTTCAAGATTAAGATCTTTGTGTTCCACCAAACTTTTGATTTTTTCGGCCAAAGTAGCTTTCAAATAAGATTGTCCAGGACCACGTCGAGTATAAGTAGTCATCATACGAGAAACGGGTGTATTTGCACGTAAAAGTGATCCAAATTCAGTTGAAGTTTCAAATTGAGCAGCTAACACATTCTATATATATATATATATATATATATATAAATCATCATCAATCTTCAATAAATCTTATAATATATAATGATTACCTGAAACATGGTAAGTAAAAGATGTTCTTCACGACTTTCATATTGATTCCCATAAAGAGTAAACATCACAGTTTGTAAAAGAGTATCAATTTCAGATAAACTGACTAAGCGACAAAGTGTTGCAATATGACGAGGTTCACTTTGTAAAATAAAAAAAAGGTTGCCATATTGTTGAAGTTTTCTATCGTCAGGATAAACATCGTCATCACCATCACCATGTTCTTCCAAGTGAGAAGCCATTTCGGTTTGCTATATAAGATAAAATAAGAGATAAGTTATTATATATATATATATATATAGTTATATTTATTTACCTCAGCCAAAGCAATTCTATTTTGAATAAGTAAAGCAATACGTGAATCTAAATATCTTACATCTCTTTCTAAAACAAAGTTCTTTTTCGATTGAGCAGAAATTTTTGTTTTCAAGTCTCTTAGTTGACGTTGAGCTATATAAGTAAAAAAAAAAGAAGCTGTCAATAAATAAATAAATAAATAATTTTTTTACCTTGAGCTAATTCATCTTCTACTTCATTATCTTGTTCAGCAGCCATAGAATAAAAAGCAGAAACAGAATAACGTTTTGAACCTCTACCAGCTTTACTACGACTAGAATGATGATTATTGGCAGCAGCAGCAGCAACAGCTCTTGACACTACTTGAGCATTCCCAGTTGTTGAAACGGAAGGATACCCATATGATTGTACCATACCGTTTTGACGATCAGTCATCAATTTAGTATAAAATAAAGAATGTTGGTTTTTGATATATATAAAAAAAAAAAAGAAGATGAGAAAAGGAAAAAAGATACGTTGACAAAGAAAAGAAAAGAATAGAAAAGAGAAAAAAAAAATTAAGGGGGGAGAAGGAGTTACAAAAAAAAAACTATATATTTTTTGTGAGGGAAAAATTTGATAGGTGTTACACACACGCACACACATGCAAAAAAACTGTTATTAAAAATGGCACGTTTTTTCTTTAGATTGTCTATTAAAAAACATGTTGATTTTTTAAATATGATTGATTTATTTTCTTAACAATAAAAAACAAAACTATTTTATATACTGTTTCATTAAATCGTTTATATATATATATATATATTCAATCAAATGGGGTGTTGTCAAATTATCCCTTTTTCATATCCCGCTTTGATTTTTTTAATTTTAGTTTTTTTTTCATCTTTTTCACCTTTTTCCCTTATTTTGGTGACAATATGGTATTCTCTATATATATATATATATATATATAAACTAAAGTATAATTATATATATATTTTTTATTCTTTTTTTTTTAGGGTACTACATCTACTTGTGAAATAGATCCTACTTTGGTTGAAAAACTCAAACAATTTCGTTTTCAAAAGTTTAGTAGTAAAAATGCCGCTTTTGTATGTAAGTGAATGAAAAAGGTTTTATATTTTTAATTAATCTTTGACTCTTGAATAGTGAAAATTGACAAGAAAACTTTAAAGATTGAAGAAGAAGAAGTGTTTGATAGCATCTCTTTAGAAGACTTAGTTGAAGGTAAAAAAAAAAATATGATAAATGAATAAAATAAGAACATTGATTAATAAAGACTATTTATAGAGTTACCTGAAAACACGCCCAGGTATATTATACTTAGTTATGAAGTAAGTATATATAATATATAAATATATTAGTTGATAATAATAGAAAACTATATATGTACATTGTTTTATAGTTAAAACATAGTGATGGACGCACGAATTATCCTCTCTTATTTATCTATTGGTCACCGTCTACTGCCAAGGCTGAATTACATATGTTATATACTTCTGCAAAAGGTGATCTTCAAAAGGAAATTGATGTCATGAGAGTAAGTACCTTATATAATATACATAATACTGATATACTTACTTCTTACTGTATCCTTTTAGGATTTTGAAATTCGTGAACCTGAAACTTTATCCGATGAATACCTTACTAGTCAACTCAAATAGTTTTATTATATGTACAATCTCAAATTGTTTCAATAAAATATTCTTTTATTCAAAACTAAATGGTAATTTAGTATTCTAAATGTTATCTATCTATACTATTGTTGTTGTTGTTGATGATTTTGGTTTTCGTTCCCAAATCTATGCAAAAAAAAAAAAAAAAAAATTAAGATCATCATATCTATCTATATATATATACATATTTGATTATGTATTTACCTGGATATAACTTTCTGATAAAAAGATCATTTGAGGCATGATTTCTTCCACAATCAAATCTTGAATTTGATACCATTGATCTGTTCCACGATGTCTAACATGTACCTTGTAACTACCTTTTCCCATTCCTGGTTGACCTTCATGACTAATATTAGCTAATAAATCATAATGTGTTCCAACTCTTTCTGCTTCTTCAGATGTAACAACTAAATAAAAAGAATTAGTAAGTAATCTTACTTCAAACTTTTGTTTCATCAAAATTTTACTTACAATGAGTCATATCGACATTTTTAATAGGGAAATTTACAATAGTAGGATTCTTTTCATCAGTAAAATTATTCTTATTGAATCGTTTGATGTTGAAAATAATATATTTTGGAAGTCTTGTAATTTGATATCGTTTCTTTTGTCCAGCAATTTCTTGTACCGTCTTGCCGTCGTATTTGTTGAGAATGGTTGCCAAAGGTACTTGAGGAATAATATTTGCTTCAGCTTCATCTTGATATAATGGTGCAGGAGGAAGATCCAATGCCAAAAATAAGAAAGGTGATGATATTTTGTTTATAGCTAAGCAAATAATACCCCCCCAAAAAAAAACAAGAAGTATCATTAGTAAACTATTTATTTTTTGATTTCAATTCTACTTACTTCGATCTTCATCAAATACCAAAGCTTGTCCACTTTCTCTTCCACTATCTGCAGGTCCAATACTTTGTGATTCCATTTGTACCTCACCTTGGAATGTCCGATAGACAATACCTTATCATTTATTTTTTTAAAAAAGAAAATCACATCATTATCTTATATATGCATATATATACTGGTAATGTCACTTACTGCTATTTCGTTTTTTTGTACCACCCAAATCACGATGTAATGTATTCAAAAACCAAGATAAAAAATCAATAGCATTGCTTTGTTGTGTCAATTTGAATCGTTTTCCACTGGCACTAGATATTTCTTGAAGTAATTCATGAGGACTAACTTGACCTTTGTATGCTTTTGGATTCCACATTTTTCGTATCAAAGAACTGAATCGAATGACTATATATATATATATATATATATATGTATATATAAATAGGTATTAGCGATTGAAATTATTATCACATTTGTTGATCATTTACCAAGTTGAGATTTGTCTTGATTTTCAAAATCTTGTAGAATAAAATAATCTCGGAAACTTGGAATATGGACTAGTGCTTGAATAACCACATTGACATAATCATTAGCCTTGATATTGTTCAATCCAACAAAACCTATATTGATGCATCAAAAAAGTGATCAGTATAAAATATACATATCTATCTGAACTTCAGTATGTACCTGGGATGTACTTTTTATTATTCAAATCATATGAAGGTGCATTGTTTTGATCTAATTCAGCTACTTGTTGTTTTGTTAATGTTGGATTCAAAACATACTAGTATAGAAATGAGAATATTAGAAGGTCAATCCTCTTTTTTTTTTTTTCTTGTTCTTACTTTGATATCATTCAGTGAAGGATCGTCTACTTCATACCCATCAGGAAGAATATAGACCTATGAGAAAAGAATATAAGTACAAGACTTTAAAACTCGAAATCCTTATATTACCTTTAAAGTATGCAAGTTAAGAAAAACGTGGTGGTCCTTGTGCATACTATGAAAATAAGCATGAGATGACTTGCCACGGCCTAAAAATAATAAATAACAGAAAAATTCATTATATTTTATTTTTCATTCTTCTGATTTTTTTTTCTTACCTTGAAAGTATTTTCCACAAACAAGACAAGCGTAAACGTTGATATTGGACATGGATACTGAACAAACCTTTTCAAAGTCAAAGTCAAGCATATGGCGATCAATAGTATCAAGGTAAAGATCTCTTGATACTTGAAATGAATGTTCTTTTGTTTCTCCATTGGGAATTTCGTCTGTTGGAGTATCAATACGTTGCCGTTTAACAGTGGGTTCCATGGTATTGAAAATAATAATAATAATAATAAAAAGGAAGTGAAAAAAAAAAAAGTTGTTTACAGTCGAGAAAATTAGGTCGGGTTAGGTTAGTTAAACATAGGTCACCAAAATGGAAATGGGTCAAATGAATTTTAATTGGGTCAAGTTTTTCAATGTGGGCGAACTCCGCGAAAATGGGTCAAGCTGGCAGAAGTGGATCAGGTCAGTGAAATTGAGGTCATGCTGTATTTCAGTCTTTTTTTTTTTTCTTCTTCTTCTTAACATCAGTCTTTTTTTTTTTTTTTCCTCTTATCTTTATATCTATCATGGCACGTACCGTACAAAATTTCATCAGAAATAAAAAACTACAAAAACAACAAAAATTACTGCAACAAGAACAAGATGCTGATACAGACGATGAACAACCAGGTATGTTACTTTTTATAATTCTCTTTCTGAATAAGCTAATATCATTTACTAATTTTCCCATTATTTGGTAGCGAACAAGCGACAGAAAAAAGCTATTTCTAAACAGACTACCAAACGACGCCAGTCTAAGGACGAAAAGAAAGAAAAGCAAACTGCCAACCAAGGTCGACAAGAAGCTCTTCAACTAGAAAACCCAAATCGCAAACCGTGTCCCACATGTATCGCTGCTGGGCGTCTTGAATTGGCAAAAACTCATTCACGCTCCTCAAGTAATTTATGTCCTGATCAGAAAAAACGACAAAAGGTCAAGAACGAAGAACTTTCTGGTGCTCCTCTCCGAACTCACACGATCAAACATGGCCTGTATGGTTTACTCCTAGATATGACCGATGACGAAAAGACTCAGTTTGTTCAAGGTGTGGAAACTGTTGTGGACTTCAATCGCCAACTTGTGATCAAGGGTCATCTCTTTTTATTATATTTCTTCACATATCGTCTTGATGCCGGGTTACCTTTGCTCTCATGTTTCTTTCAACAAGCTTTCTTCTATGGTATCTTCCAGTTACTACTAGGTGGCAAATTCACCAATCAGTCGACTTTCGATGCTGCAACACGTGATAATATCAATTTTGTGTTTCGTCGATTTATCCAGCAATTTCCTCTGGCACGATGTGAAAAGGTGTCCTCCCCTATTGGTCGATCTCCAATTGCTTTCAGTGGTATTCTATCCTCAACAGCACAAACCTATTCAACTCATCTCCTTTCTCATGTTGTCGAAAATTTTGATGGATTCTATATAGCATATTTACAAGGCCGCCTTCGACGCATGATTCCTGTAAGTATATCTACAAGAACAGTAAAGGCAAATCAGTACAAATCTTCTCCTTCTCATCTCTCTTTTTTTTTTCCCTCGTGTGTAGGAACTGGCACAAAATCATGCTATGCATTTTGCTCACTTTGTTTACCAATCCACCGTCAATGATGACAAGTTCCCTCCAGTTTGGCCAGAAATTGAATACGATCCAGCTATTGACGACAAGCTCAATGAATCACTGTTGACCATCATGGATGAAGCAAGTACCGAATGGAACAATATACATGAATTGATTACTACGGAAGAAGCTCGACGTCGAAGTGTACAAGCATCTCGTGGCTCGTCTATAGCTAGCTCATCGACAGACCCACTCCCGGAGTCAATGGACATCCCGTCTCCAGCCTCAAGTGTAGGAAGTATAGGTATGACACAACTGGACCTTGAAACACCAAATCCTGTACCTTCAGCGAAATCTATTACGACTTCAACAATCTCCTCCTACCCAGAATTTTTCTTACCTGTCATGTTTGATATCTTACGCAAGATGGAACAATGGAATCAAATAGACTCTCAACTACCGGCCATACCTCAGAATGAAGCAAAACGCACGTGGACATATCATCTTTTATCTGGATTGCCTGAATGGACACGATTAGACCATCGCCGCCGATCATCGTTGACTCGCGCTATTACAAATATTATCAATGAAGGTGTACGATTTATTCCAGAGAAATTACCTGCTGGCTTCAGCGCTGAATCTATTATGCATATACAAAACGCCATTACTACAGCACAAACAGAGATTCGCGAAGGAAGATTTGCACCACCAGTATATCTGACAAAGCAGCAAGCAAGACTATTCACTATCATACCCATTCCAGGACTCACACGCAAATATATACACATCGATCATCAATCTCTTCGAACAATACTAAATCATTTTGGTCTAGGACGTTTGGCTACTCCATCTTCTACACCGATCCCACCAAACCAGCCTCACCCGAATTTTAATATGTTTGACTTGCGGAAGCTTAAAAGGTAAGAAAAAAGAGAAGAATGATCTAGTACTAATCTGGTTTTGTTTCATTGAACTAGACATGGAATTTTCGAAAACAGTTTTACGACAGATGGCTATGCAACCTCCTTTCCCTTCAAAAAAATAGTGAATCAAGACCGATTGCCTTCTCTTTCGATTGACGATATTACCAGTGAAGATATGCAAGAATGCAAGGTATGGGGGGTAGATCCTGGGGTTACTGAAGTCTTCGTGGCTGTCGACAATAGCGATCCTTCCGAACGACACCAGGTACGAAAGTTTTCCTCAGCAGAGTACTACGTGAAAGCAGGATATAAAAAGACGAACAACACTATTTGTGAAACAAAACAATCTCAAAATATCGATCGACTTGAATCTTCAATACCGTCGCCCAAAACAAGCAGTATGGAAGGTATACAATTGTATATTGAGCGATTACTTGATGTTTTACCCCAATTGGTCCAATTCTATGGCACTGAAATACAACGGCTGCGATTCCTCAATTACATCGGAAAACAAAAGGTACAAGACGAAAGGATAAATATCTTCGTTAATGGCGGCAAGAAATACAATCCGGATCCTGATCATCATCCAAGTGAAGCAGTTGTCATGGCTCGAACTAGAACAGATGGAACGACACGAAGAAAAAGAAGACGTCCACCACCGCCATCCTCTTTTGACGATCAACTACCACCATCCTCATCTGATGAACAGCCTCCATCTACAGCAAAGGAATCAAAATTGTAAGTAGTCTTTTTTTTTTTTTTTTTTTTTTTGTAGGATCGAGGACAGATAGACAAACACCTTTTTTTTTTTTTTTTTTTTTTTTTTTTTAGGAACAAGTGGAAAAAGCTTCCTTTTAGTCAAACACCAAGCAATATAACCACTGTCGTATGTGTAGGGGATGGATCATTTGGAAGACGCATGTTCAGAGGGAAAATACATGGTCTTGCAAATATTTTTCGGAAGCTACTTCGCAAGGCAGAACAACAAGGAAGATTGATAGTGGCTAACATTGATGAATATCTCACTAGTCAAGTTTGCAGCAAATGTGGTACTAAGTCCTTGGAAAACATGAAAGTTGGTGAATCTAAGTTGCATGCCGTCCAATCATGCACAAGTTGTGGACGTCTATGGCAACGGGATCATAACGCAGCTCGTAACATCTATTCTCTGGCGATGAACTATATCACAACTGGATCTCGACCTTCGGTGTTCTCTCGGTTGCAACAATAATCCGGATAACAAACATCCGCGACGGTTAAACGCCTGCGTTGTAAGTAAAAAAAAAAAAAAAAAAGTAGGATTTGAAGGCTCTCTTATTTGGAAATATCTGGTAAGTGCATGATTGACCCAATTTGGCAAGATGAATCCATTTTCACTTGTGTGATTTCATACTAACCGTCTCATTTCTATTTTGTAGGCTCATTTTCATGTATGCTGACCCAACCTTTTTTTCTCAACAGTACTTCAGTTATCATTTGCTGTGTCTTCCATTCAAACACCGCAGCGCGAGCTTTCTTAGCTTTCAATTTTTCCTTTTTCCTTGTTGTTTTTCCCACTTTTTTTTTTATTTTCTTTTTACCTCTTTCTCTAATTTTATATTACCATTCTTTTTCTCTTCTCCCATCTTCAAAATCAAATAATACCTGTCAACCATACTTTTTTTTTTACTTTTTTCTTTTTTTGCCCATTTCCATTTACTTTTTTTGTTTGATTATAGTTTTGATTTTTGTTTCCATTCTTTAGTTTATTATCAACCGTATCCATTCTTTTAGTTTTATTATTATTTTATTATTATTATTATTTTTATTATACTTCAAAATATTACAAGATTGCATATGCATCTTTACTTATTTCCTGACTTGAATTAAAACTATACAACAAGATGGCTGCAGTCAATTCCAAATCCAATACACCAGCATTGGCTTCTGAAACTACACAAACAACAACAACAACAACAACAACAATAAAGAATGAACCTTCAAAACCAACAGCAACTTCAGTAGATACAGGACCCGTTCAAGCATACGCCAAACTTGAAGGTCAACATTTCTGTTATTATATTCGTACTTTACAAGTGACATTGGGTAGAAAGGTCAATCGTCCAGGAAAAGGTGATAAAGTGGATATTCCTCTTGGCAATTTAAAGTCTGTTTCACGCCAACACGCTAGACTCTTCTACAATTTTACAACACAAAGATTCGAAATGATGGTCATTGGAAAAAATGGTGCTTTTGTCAATGACCAATTTATTGAACGTGGTATTACCGTTCCACTAGAAAACCGGTAAGTTGGAAAGATAACGATGTCCTTTTATTATTATTATTATTATTGATTCATTTTTTCTTCCTATTTTTAGTACCAAAATCACCATTGGTGAAGTACACTTTATCTTTTTATTACCTTACATGGACGCGGATGATACTGGCAACAATACGAACAAACCTGATTCAGTTGGTTATATATCGACTCCTCAACAGATTGAAAAGCAACGAAAACGAAAAGCTCCTCAGGACAATAACAACAATGGTACAAACACTATTACAACTGGTGGTGGTGGTGATGAAGATGATGAGGAAGAGGAAGTGGATGAAGAATTGAAGAAAACTATGATTGGTTATCCTGGTGTACCGAATCCTTATATTGGCAAAGAAGATAAACCACCCTTCTCTTATGCAAACCTTATTGCTCAAGCTATCAATGCCTCAACGGAAAAAAGAATGACTCTGAATGAAATTTATACCTATTTATCAACAACTTATCCATACTTCAAAAAAGTTTCATCTACTGGTTGGCAGGTAATGTTTATCTATATATGTGTGTGTATATTCACTTAAGTATTTTACCTGACTTTTTTTTATTTTATTTTTTTTTTTATTTACTTAGAATTCTGTGCGTCACAATTTATCACTGAACAAAGCTTTTATCAAGATGCCAAGGTCGAATAATGATTCTGGAAAAGGTGCTTTCTGGACAATTGATCCTAAATTGGAGCACAGTATCTTTGCAACAAATGTACCCATCAAACAACGAAATAGCAAACGTAGTAGTGGATTATCATCACCAGCAACATCAAGCAAGGATGGCGATGATGATAAGGTCAACATCAATATCTCCACAGAAGGACCTCCTGGGAAAAAACAACGTAAGGACAAGAACACAAAGGAAATGGATGATACGAAACCAAAAGATGACACCAAAGGCAACAGTAGTCCAATGAAAGTAGACGAAGATGAAAATCCATCATCCTCGACGGTAACATCAACGTCAGTCTCAGCATCATCACCATCAGATAATCAGACTGTGTCAACGTCAACTACCACTGTACCAATTTCTCCAACATCAGCTAATACCGACCAAACAATCGCAGATCCTGATGCATCTTCTCAAAACATCAAGAACAACAAAGTCAAACAGCGTAAATTATCCAAATCAAAAGCTACCACAGCTACCAAGGCATCTACAACTACCACAGTGACAACAAACATTCCAACAGAAGGAGGAACAACGACAACAACAGGTTCATCTTTACCAACGTCATCTCCTTCATCAACGACCAGTACGACTGTTAATGCAACTACCACTACTTCGTCTGGGACAACATCAACACCACCTCCTGCAACATCATCAACAAACACCAACACCCCACCTCCTAATGCAGCAGCTGCAAATGTACAGGCTCAGCTTCAATTACAGTTACAGAACACTATCAGGCAGCATTTATTGGATCCTATTCGCAATCCTCTTCCTCCCACGATTGCTCAACTTTTACCCCAAGCTATAGCTCAACTACCTCCTCAAATCGCCAATCAATTGTCCACCACCTTGAATGTAGCATTGAGAGCTCAACAACAACATCATTTACAGCAACAACAACAACAACAACAACAACAACAACAGCAGCAGAAACAACAACAGCAAGTAAAATCTCCAACGTCCCAACAACAACAACAACAACCACAACAAAAACAATCGACATCACAAACATCTCCTCAACCTTCTCATCCATCTTCACAACAAACAGAAGGAAGTTCACAAGCATCTACAGATGTGCCATTGTCATTATCACCATCATCAACATCAAATGCATCTACTTCAATAGGATCATCTAGCCCAACGACAAACTCAGCAACAACAACAACAATAGTCAACAAGGCGTCTAGTGCATCTACTACGAAACATGTGGACGTTGAAAAAAGTGATACAGACACATTAACCAAAAAAGAATCAGAGAAACCTGCTTTGGACAACACAACATCATCATCAAGTCAAGAAAAACAAGACAAAGAAGAAACGACATCTTAAAACATCATCAACGAAATATCCTTGCCCCCCCATTTTATAGTTAGTTTTATCTCATGTTTCTTCTTCCCTTTTCACATCCATAGTTTAGCTCCTCTTTTTTTTTTTTTTTTGTCTCTCTTTTTCTTTTATCATATTATTATTATCATTATTATTATTATGGTTGTTTTCCATCGATGTATATCAAAATCCCCTCATTTGGTCAATAAAGTTGAAATATTTACAATCTTTTTCTTCAAATTTGAAAACATATTTGATATCATTATACATATATATTGGTAGTCTTACTTTTACATTGGCACAACGAGGTTTCCAAAAAAAAAAAAAAAAATAATAACAACTAACAAAGTATTCATGATGATTTTTTTATCTCAATTTATATATAAACACATATACAAACTTTTACTTTTTGAAGGCCCTGGATCTTATGTATGTTGGCTGAGTAATAAGATAAACGGATGATTGGATCTATTATCAACAACAGTATTAAAGTAGAGGGATTAAATGAATGGTAATAGAGAGAAAATAATTACTTGATATTGTATCATTTGTTTTTCCAAAGTCTATGATAGTGCTATTACAATTCCTTTTTATTCATAACTAAACATATACAACAATATAGGCTAATAATATGGGAAGAATAGAGGGGAAAAAAAAATAAGGGATAGATGATAGTACAATATAAAAACAAAAACAAAAGAAAGAAAATATAGAGTAGGCTAAATAAGAATAATGATAATAATAATAGTAATAACAATAATCAAAATAAAAAATAAAAATGAGAATAGGATCAATTGGCAACAGCAGGAGGATTGGTAGAATTTGTTTTAGTACCAAGAGCAGAAACAAGAGAAGAGATATCCTTGACACCATTGGAAGTGGAAGTGGAAGTACTGCCAGAACGCATCCTATTCATTGCCTTGACCGCACGTACCGCACTTTTGAATTTACGTTTAGCGTTGAAATTCTCACGAACTGTATCCAAAATATCTACATCCAATGCTTCATTGCCGGTCATCCATTTGTTCTTCAAAGCTTCCGTTGCTGTGGGTCGTTTGCTGGGATCTAACTGTAAAAGCTGGCGAATAAAATCCTTGGCATCTTGAGATACATTACGCCAATATCGTTCATGGAATTCGTATCTCGCATGGGTGATTTCATCTGTTAATTCTACTTGATCTTCCGCTTGAAAAGGTTGATATCCACAGAGTCTATTTATAAATTAGTAAAAAAAAAAGTTAAATTAGATAAATAATAATGATGATGAAAGATAATACTTACAATGTATAAGTAATTACACTATAAAGCAAAAAAAAAAAAATCAGTATAGATACAGAAATGTCATTTATGCAAATAATACCCAATAGCCCACATGTCAACAGGAGCTCCATAAGATTTTCGTAACAAGACTTCAGGAGCTATATATATATACATATGTAACAGAAAAAAAAAAATAAAAGGCACGTTAATTATTTTATTTATATTTATTATTTTTTCATTTTTTACTTACCGACATAACCAGGAGAACCACATACAGTATTTAAAGAACTATCTTCATCACCAGCCTTGGCAATTCCAAAATCACATATAACAAGGTCAGCATCACTATCACTATTCTTGAATAATAAGTTTTCAGGCTTCATATCTATAATATAGTAATCAAATATGATAAGTGAATTATTTGGTTGTCATGTAACACAACTCAATAAACTATAAAAACTTTTTTTTTTTTTTTTTTTTTTTTTTTTTTTTACCTCGATGAACCACATCGTGTGCATGAAGGTATTCAAGACCCGTTAAGACAGATTTTATGACCAATACAGCATCCTTTTCAGTAAATTTTCCTCTTTCAAATAATCGTTCAAAGAGTTCACCACCAGTAGCTCTAAAAGTATGATAATAATAATGATAACAGTAATAAAAGAGATCAGTTCCTTTTCTTCTTTCTTTTAATCATTTTTTTTTTTTTACTTACAATTCAAATACCAAATAAAACTTGTCTCTATATAAGATTATTAGTTACCCTTTTCTTCTTCTTTTTCTGCTTCTTCTTTACTTACCTTGATTCAAACCAATCATAAAACCCAATAACATTAGGATGGTTCAATTTTTGTAAAACTTTCATTTCATCAAATACCATATCATAATGTCCTTTCACAATCTTTTTTGGAATCACTTTAATGGCCACTTCCTTTTTGTCAAATATACGTTTTGCTCTTTTGACCGAACCAAAAGTTCCAGCACCTATAATAATATAATATGAATATATTTCCTTTTCTTATTTTTTTTTTATTATTACCTAGTTCTTCAGCAAATTCATAGTTTTGTTTCTTTTCATATGATTCTGGTTGAGCAACTCCACCATGGACTATGGTATCAAGAGCACTAAATAAACCCATTATGATAACAGAAAAAGAAAAAAAAAAAAAGTGGATGAGAAAGAAGAAAGATAGATAGAAAAGAGAAAAAAAAAATTCGGTTCTTTCTTTTTTTTTTTTTTTTTCTCGCTAGTTCCGCTTTTAGAAATTTTGAGATGTTCCACCAATTTTCATTACTCTCATATGTTTGGCGTATCAGCCACACAGCTTATCACTTTATTTTTTTAAAGTTAATAATGATGGATTAACTTTATAACATACTATAAAATCAATTTACAATAGATTGGGGTTTTTTTTATCCAATGTAAGTACCTCTTTTTTTTTTTTTTGGTTTGGTTTGAACGAACTGTGGCTCTGCCCAAACGAGCAGCGGCGGGAAATAAAATAAGAAAGATAAAAAAAGATGTGTAGTTTAAGTGCTTCTCTTTCTTGTTTATATACATATATTTATTTTTCACACTCCTTCTTCTTCTTCTTTATACTCATGATCATCAAAAACGCTCGGTCTGCACTTATCAGTAATTTTGAAGTTTATAGTCTATTACAAGAACGAAATGATTACCAAAAGCAAGTGTTAGCCAATCAACCTAATGTCGAATACCCTGAACATTTACGAACTATTCAGTTTGAAGTAAGAAAAAGATAATGAAAGGATCAAAATAAAATCAGATCATTTATTTTCTTTTTAATTATTAGGTGATAGAATATCTCAAAGGAACTCCTACTAGTACCCAATCAGTTGATCAGGTCAAAAACTTTTTAGATCAATTACAACCCTATTCCCTGACTCTTGGTGAAAAGTTACAAATACTAAATTTAAGACCAAGAAGTGCTGTTGAAATATATTTGGTAAATCTTTATATTATTATTATTATTATTATTATTCAACTAAGCTTTGTTGTTTATATTTTATAGTTAATTGAAGAATGCGAAGAACGATTTAATGAAGAAGACTTGGAAAATATGCTTTCGATTATTATCAATACTTTACCACGTGATGATGATGAACAACAAGAGGATGGAGACATGGAAGAATAGTTTAAGAAATATCTAGTTTTGTAGTGTGTATACAGTTTGTTCTGGAATATTATATTTATTTGTACAGTTTTTATTTATAATAATAAAATATTCTTTTCTATGTAGATAATAATATTATGAATTTATTGCATAATGACACGGACGAATGGATGAATATTGGTAGTCTTGGCAACCAAACCAGCAGTAAAGATTTGTGTCACATAGACCTGTATTATAAAACAAAACAAAAAAAAAAAAAAAATAGGATTCTTCCCTTCTTTCTTTTCCTTTTCTTTATTTTTTTTTTTATGGACATTGCCACAAGAAAAAAACAAGGTGTAGAACGGCAAACTACTTTTGGCCCTTCTGCTCCTATAGATGAATGGGAACTAGAAAAAGCAACAGTAAGAAATTAAAATAATAACAATAATATATATCTCATTCTACTTATAATAGATCTTACGTGAAGCCAAGGAAAACAAAGAACGTGCTGAAAGGTTACAACAAAAACTAGAGCAAGATCAACTTACCTATGAAAAAAATACGTCTAGTGTAAGTCCATTTTTATATTATTATTATTATTATTTTCTTATCTCACTCAACCAGTCTATAGTTACTGAAAGAAGTCAAACTGAAAGAACTTACTTGGGAAAAACGTCGACAAGAAATGGATGAAAATTGGATGAATCAAGTAAGTAATGATGAAATATTTCAACTTTTGATTTTTTTTAATTTAATGATTATCATCATAGGTTTTGGAATTACAACGACAATTAGAGAAAGAGAATGATGAACATCAAGAGAATTTACGAAGCATCAAGGCACAAATGGAAGCAACACTACAAGCTGAACAAAAGAAAAATGATCGAAGGGTAGCCAATCTACATTCAAGATTAGAAGCAAAAGAAAAAATCTTACAACAATATCTTGAACAACAATCAACCTCTCCGATAACTCCATCCGCTAGTACTTTGGATAATCCATCCATTTCGTCACCTGTTACCCCTTCAAACGACACTCAACACATTCGAAAACTTGAACGGCAATTGGTCCAACAGAAACAGCAATATGAACAACTCCAGCAACGATACGATATGATATTATCATCAATAGAATCTCCATCTTCAACATCCTATACAACCATGATCGCAGACCATAACAAGAAGATTCAAGCCTTGACAGACGCACATGTGCAGGAACAACAACGACTTCGGGATAATTTTATGAATGAAAATAGTGCTTTGACGATGCATATGGAAGCACGACTTCAAAACCTCCAAAACGAATACGAAGACACGTTACGAGAAACCAGGGAACAGTTTGCTACTGAAAAGGAAGTATGGAGGATTGAACAACAAGCCAAGATGGATCACGCTTTACGAGAGATGGAGGAAAAACATATGGATCAGAAGAATGAACTCGATCGACAATGGCGCAATAAGTTACGAGACATGGAGGCCTCTCTTTCCAAGGATGGTACGGCTATCCAAGCACATTGGCAATCTAAATTACAATCACTGGAGGAACAACATCAGAAAGACATGACACGACTACGTGGGGAATTGGATGTTGTCAAGGAACGTCTAGGTAATGATATCGAACGACGCCATCAAGTACAAGCTCGTCTGGCTGCTTTGGAATCCAAGTATCATCAAGATCATTTAATATGGACCCGACATAAAGCACAACTTGATCACTTGTTACAACAACAACAAAAAACGACAAAGGTAAATAAAATAAAATAAAATATGATAGTTTTTATATATATGTATATATATATATTTCTGTAGATCGCAAAAGACAATGAAAAAGCAGAGCGAATGGCTTTGGATTTATTGAATATATTATCTTTGGATGAACAAAAATCAGCACCTTTGATGGATCTTTTACATATGTCAATACATCATGCTCTTTTATTGCAACAACACAATTTGGTAAGTAAAAGATAAAGAAAATATAACTTGGATGGATAATTGACGAGTGATTTGTTTTTATAGCCTAATACATATGATGATACCTTGGATGCGATTTCATTCAATTTGCCTTGAACTCCGTGATTAGTTTATATATTTCCTTATTATCCTTCCTTTTTTTTTTATCCCTCTATATAGTTTTCCCCTTTCTTATATCCATCATCTATAAAAAAAAAAAAATAATACCAAAATAATAAAAATATATATATATATATGGTCCTTTTTTTGAATCTTTTTTTATATAATGAAATTGTCTGATGTAAGAAAAAAAAAATACCATCTGGTCATGAGGACATGATCAATTTCTTTATTCAAATAAATAAATAAATAATTCATTGATAAGGGTTGCTGTAAGAAGAAGTATCGAAAGGTTCAATCGTCCATTGTTGATCTTCATGAGAATGATGTCTACGTTTGTTCAAGATCAATTTAGCCCCATCCTTATCACTACCACCCTAATAAAAAAAAAAAACCAAATCATTCCAAATAGAGGATGAGTACCATTCTATTCATTATGATTATGATTATTTACTTTGATATCAAAAACAAGTCGTGGATCAGCCAAAGTGTATAAATAACCATCTCGATATCCAAATCGTTGATTATGTGCCCTAGAATGAAAAGAAAAATGTTCAATCATCCCTGTTATTTATCTCTTTTTTTTTTTTTGACTTACATGGTAATCTTGCGTCCGTATTGTACAATATGAGTTTCGGCCTTGAGATCACCTATATGAAATATATATATATATAATCAGATTCAATATGCATCATAAGGTTTGTAGAAACAAAAAAAAAAAAAAAAAAAAAAGGAAAAATATTTACCACCACGAACATCCAAAGCTAAAAGAAATAATAATAAAAAAAAAAAAGTCATCCATGATTTAGTGAAAAAAAGAAAAGAACAAATTTGATCGATTTGCCATCCAAAATGAATAAGAGAGGCTTACCTAATTTGGACTTCATATTGAGTAAAAAGCCATCTTCATATCGCCAAAGCTGGAAATGTCACATAAAATATTAAAAAAAAAAAAAAAAAAAAAAAAAAAAAAAAAAAAAAAAAAAAGAGAGAATTAGTCTAAAAAAAACCTTCCCTCTTGCCATTGTTGGTACCTGATTATGGTTATCATTCATTTTCTAATAGAATACATAAAAAAAGGGGAGTTGAAGTTTAGTTACATGTCTTCCAAATTTTCGGTCATTCCGAGAACTCCATTCATCGGCCCGTCTATCCGCATCTACACCACGACTTAAAACACATATGATAAAGGTACCCAAAAATAGTCTCTACATACATATACATACCCACGCAGGTATGTATGTCCAAGATATATTCATTTGCCACTTTTTTTTCTTTACCTGAGGCCATAATACAATATTCGCATCTTCCTATAAGGTTGACATTGAAAAGAAAGAATGGTGGATAAATCAGTCAAGTGTTAAATAGTATTGGGACGATAAGACTTACCGTTGTTGCTCCATCATACACGTCTAGTACAGTGCTATTCTTGCGATTCTTGATATAAAAATAGGTATCTAAAGGAAATCCGTTCATTGCAATTGAAAGAAAAAAAAAAGATAACAGTGAAAAAAAAAAAAAATACAGAAAAAAGAAAGAAGAAGAAGAAAAGAAGGAATACGTCTGGGTTTTTATTCATTTTTAAATGGGTGATACATAATAGCATCACTGGAAAAATGACATTCTAAAAATAAGATCAATCTAAACAGATAACTATTCTACAAATAATGATTCTTTCTAACTAAGCAGCACGTCTGAGTTGTTCAGTTTCATTGGGATCAAGGAATAAGACTTTGGCTATTACAGGTACAAGGAACTAAAATAAAAAAAAAGTTAGATAAGAATCCATATATATATATATATATATATTTTTCTTACCTCTTTATTTTCAGATGTCAGAAATTTCAATACTACATTCTTGATATATTCCGCACTCATGTTTTGCCGTTTATCCATAGATTCCAATTTCCTAAAACAATATAAATAAATATAAATATATATATATGTAAATGCATGATGATGGTTTCAACTTACATCAGTTCATCCTTTAAAATCTATCATTTAATTAAATAAAGTTTCATCATTCCCACATTTGTATTCCTATTTCTTTATTATTTACCTTTTCTTCTTTCCGTAAAGCAATGATTTGGTCTTCTCGTTCTTGTAACATATCCTTCATTCGTTCCATTTGTATCTCCATTGGATCTTTTGGTTCTTGTCGTGGTACGAGCGGTGATAATAATTGCATCATTGATTCTATTGAAAAATACAAAAGATGAATCTTTCTTTCTTTTCATAATATATATATATATATATATATATATATATATATATATATATATGTTGCTTACCATAAACATCCACATGAGTTCCATTTTCTTGAAGAGATTGATTAGTCTTTGATATATCATCATCTCCTTCACCTTGCTGTGCTTGTTGTTGTTTCAAAATCTTTTGTTGTAGTTCGACACAGATTTGTTCCTTTTCTTCCAGAAGTCGTCGTAATCGAGTATTATCTTCATTCAAATAATCCATAATGGTTTCCATAGCCATTTCCTGTTCTTGTTGTTGATCAATGGTTTTTGTTGATTCCATTGTTGTCGCTTTTGAACTTTTGTTTGATTCTTGTTGTTCGAATTGGACTAATTGTTGAGATAAACGATCATTTTCTTCTTTGACTGCCTTCAGCTCTAATAACAAAACAAATTATTTATAATGGGTTTTTCATTTATCGAGTACGCCATGGATAGGGGATTGTACTTGCCTTTTTCAAATGTTTCATGATCATATTTGATTTGATTTTCCAATTGTATTAATCGTTCTCGTTTTTCATTCAATTCATCTTTGGTATCTTGATATGTTGTTTGTTTTGCTTGAAGGTCACGTATCCGATCCAATAATTGCCGTATGTCCAAATCCATCAATGCTATTTTCCTTTCTTGTTCTGCCCTTTCTGCTTCATAATCACTAAGTATATCAATAATAAATATGGACATCAATAATCAAATCAATCATTCTTTCTTCTTCATCTTTTTTTTTTTCACTTACATCTTTTGTCCTTCTAATTGTCTAATTTGATTTTGTAGTTCGGAAAGACGAGTATCATCTGCTTTGTTAGATTTTTGTTGTAAAAGTTGATGTGCTCGCTTTTTGTATTGTTCAAAATCGCTTTTTGTCTGATCCAGTTGATTACCTAATTGTCGCTTTCTAGCTTCCTATTTTAGATATGAGTATAATCACTATCATGACTTATTATTATTATTATTATTATTTACCAATTGATCGATTTTGAATTGAGATGTTGTTTTGACGTCTTTCAATTCTGATTGTATTAATCCAAGTTCATCTACATTTAATTTCAAAAAAAAAAAAAATAAACATTTGACCATTTGTTTTTCGTTTTCATTTACCTTTCAGTGTCGCCACCGTATTTTCCAAATCTGAAGCCTTGAGATTCATTTCTGCCAATTCATCATTGACACGTGCTATAGTCTGTTCATGTGAGGTAATGGTCGCCCTATACTTGTCGATATTCTTAGTAGCTTGTCCAAAGATCTCTATGAAAGTTATGTCAAATGATTGGTCCTTCTTGTTATTGATATTCGACTTACCTCTCATTTTCTTTAATTTGGCTTCATATTCACCTAACAAATATTGATTGAAAACAAATACTTAATATTGACTACTACCTTGTCATTTTTTTTTTTTTTTTTTTTTTTTTTACTTCTTTTATCGTTATTTACCGGTTCGAGTGGTCAGTGTTTCTTGTAAATGTATATGTTCTTCTGTTTTTGTTGCTACTTGATATTTCAGATCCTTAACCTAATAAATAAATAAATAAATAAATATGAGGTATGACGAGGTACTGAGTAGTAATTAGAAATGGAAAGATGTCAACATCTTCTCCTTTACTCCCCTTAATATTCCTTTTTATTTATTTATTGTGAGTTTACCTGTTCATTCAGTTGAAAATAGGCTCGTTCTTTGACAGAGACATCCATTTCTTTTGTTGCTGGCTTATCCTACAAGAAAAATGGGAAAACATGTGAAGGATGAGATTCTTTTCGTATATTTCTATGTGTACCTTGAGACGAGCTTTTAAAGCATCCAATTCTCTTTCGAGTCGTTCAACTTTTTTTTCAGCTCGTTGTGCTCGTTGAACAGAAGATGTATTGGATATCGTATCAGCAGCCATGTCGATAGATTATTATAGTAAAAATAATAATTGGTATCTTTGTCAATTAAAGAAAAAAGAGAGAGAGAGAGAAAAGGGAAAAAAAAAAAGTGCCCCGCTTCTTTCTTATTTCCAATGCGCCTATTCATATCCCGTTTCAATTGAATTTTAGAGTGATTCAAAGTCGCGCATCTATTCCCTTCTCTCTTTCTTCGTCAGCCCTTTCATTTACTTATTTTTTCTTTGACTTATTCACCACAAATTCAAACCATTGTCTTTTTCGCTATAACATCAATGGGATTGACAGGTGCCTCTTTCGTACTTTTGTAACTAGTTCAAAAATGATCATCATTGCACCAAATTAGGACTGAACATAGAATAGAGGAAGTCATTCTCTTTTTTCACTTGCCTTAAATTACAATTTATACCTTACCTCGAAATCTATAGAGTCAATTAAAAAAATGAAATGTCATTATTCCTCGTCCAATAGTGATCATCATCCAATAAAACTATGACCATTTTTCAAAAAGTGATCTAGTATCATCTAATACCATTTCATCACGAATGAAAAAAAAAAAAAAAAGAAAAAGAGAATCAATATAGTTGAATAAAATGGGTTTTATTTGACACACATATATATATATATAAAGGTTTTTAATAAAAAAAAAAAAGGAAACTATAAAAGTAAAAAAAAAAAGAAAAGATGCCCATGAAACTACAAATCCCATTCAAACATAAATGCAAATAAAACAAAGAATATGATGGAAAGCCTAGAGTAATAATATGACAACGTTGTAATGATAAAGATGATGACAAGAAATGCTATATAAAAGGGATATCAGTTCAATATAAAGTCCAATTTCGCTTTGCTGCTTTTCTTGCCAGAATCCTTGGGTGGTGTTGTTGCAGGTGCGATTGAATGATACGAAGTTTGAGGACGATAGGGACGTGAGCCATTATAATGTGAAGAAGATGCTGATGGAGGAGGAGGAGGATGAGGATATTGCTGTTGGCCTGGTGAAGAGTCTGCGTAATATTCAGTGGGCTGCTCATAGGCTGATCGATTATGTTGCATATAATGATAACCATGTTGTGGTCCAGTATGTCCATGATGATTGTAGTTGGAATGTGTCTGTCGTGATGATGGTGATGGTGGTGGTGGTGGTGGTTGTTGTTGTGGGTAATAAGAGGATGGTGAATAATGATGGTTACTAGATGGTGAAGGATAACCTCGATTTATAAGCTGATGACTCGTTGGTGTTGAAGAATAATTCTCACGAATATATTCTGGTTGGATAGATGATTGTTGCTGATACTGCTGCTGAGCCACTGTTGCTTGTTGTCCTACTGTCGCCTTCCATACACTCGTTTGATGTTGATGACGTGATTCCCTTGGTGACGATGATGGTGATACAGATGCGTTTTGCATTGTCGTCTGAGAAGGTCGATGGTTGTTAGTTTTCATTACTGGCGCACTTGTCATTTGAGGTGATTGTATCCCAGTCTGTTGCTGTAAAGATGGTGTTGATGTTCCACTACGAGATTTTCCAGGTGAATTTGCAGTGTTATTGTGATATTCACCTTGAATAAAAACAGTCTTGTGTCGAGAAGTAGGTGAACCTTGACTACGTGATCTTTCAGCATGGAAGTTGATGAATTGAACCGGAGGAGTACGGGTTACTGAACTGCATGATGTGGTGATTTGTTCTTGTGTTCGCTCTGGTTGATTTGGCTGATATGATATATTTTGCTGTTCATTTGCTCGAAATCCACTACTATATTTGTCTGTTTTTTGATCATCATCGCGTAGTATGGCTGATAGATTGTATGATCGAGATGTTGGATAAGACGATGCTGTTGCTGATTTTTCATTCACAGACTCAAGTCTTTTTGCTGGCGATGGTATTGGTTCAACTGAAGATGTTAATAAACTATGAATACTATTGCTTGATGCTTTTTTGTTGTTGGTAGATGTAGTCGAAACTGGTGATACTACTGGTGATATGGCTGTTTTTCCACGTTGCTGTGTATTCATCACTGGGGGAGATCTGGGTATCGATGATGATGAAGATGAAGATGATGATGGTGGTGGTGGTGGTGGCGAGCGCGCTGGGTCATAACGTGAGTAAGCAGCAGTTTGGTGTTGGAGAGAACTTTCAAAAGGAGTAGCACCATTTTCATTTTGTCCCGGATGTAATATTGGACTTGTTTGTTGAGTGTACCTTTGTTCATGATTGGTAGATTCCATAGTTCTTTTATCGCGATCTGAAACTGAGGATACTGATTCTGTCGACATGATAGTTTGATGTTGTTGTTTTGATAATTGTTTGGATTCCACTGTTGGTGTTGATAATGACGTATCGTGTACTTTCCTAACCTTTTTGCTGTTTGATGGCTCCTGAGCACTGTCGTCTTCATATAGCTGCCGATGTTCATTATCCGAAGCCTTTCGTCTACGATTGTTCGTTTTACTCTGCTTTGGTGTTGCTGTTGGATTTATTTCATCTGGTGTTATTTTTGAAGGTTGAGATATCGTGGTTTGTTCAGGTATTGTTATTTGTGCTGTATTTGTTTCCTTCACTTCCGCCTTGACTAAAGGTTCTTCTTCTGCTGATGATAGTTCCTTTACTGATGTTACCATATTTTGCGTTTTCAGAGTTGATTCAATGGCAGCTGTATCATCTTCTATCCTTTGTTCTGATTTATTATTCATCAAAGATGTATCATTGGTATCTGCATGTTCTTCCAAGGGTGCTTTCATTCGTCGTTCATCGTTGATCTGTTGTCGTGATCTATCCAATTCCGTTAATGATTTGTGCCGTTTTCTTTCCGTTTCTACAATTTCGTTTGCATGGTTGTTATCACGTTTTGATGTTGTTTCAGTAGACTGCCGTCGAGAAGTAGGTAATGACGTTGCTGTATTATAATTGATTCCATTGTTCTTGATATCAGTAGTATCACCATGGGACGATTCCGTATAAGTACCAACCATAGGATCCGCTCCAGAAAAACGTCGATCAGTCGATCCATAATCCAATGAACTTTGCCTTGACTTTGGAAAATAACCTTGCCCGGAGAAATTGCCAGTTGCTGGAGATGGGACTACTGGACTTGTACCAGTAGGAGTAACTAATGCTTGATTTGATGAGCTTGATGTTGAAACACTAGATATAGACAGTCTTTCACGGTTCTTCAGGTGAGCAGGTGGAGGTAGTCCTTTTTCACGAGCTTCACGAATTTCACGAGCTTCCTTAGCTTCACGAGCTTCACGTGCCTTCCAAGCATCACGTATAGTTTCCATATGAGCAAGAAGTTGTTCCTTGGATACACCATCTTGAATACTATTAAGAATCCTTTTAACATCATTTTCTTCGTTTGCTGCGTCCTTGTCATCACGGAAGCGTACAAATCTAAAATCAAAAAGGAATGAAATATAAGATCATCATGTCTATTTGCTGACACTGTTCTATGGATTGTTATTTCAATAATTACCTCCAACCACCCGTCCTTGTCACTGGTGCGTATCCTTGTTCAACAATGGTAACCTGCCAATTTGGATCATATCTATATATGTAATAAATACATAACGGTAAACACTGTTGAACTCTGATATTCCATTAATAGGAAGAAATAGATTACTACATACCTAAATTCAGCGATTCTACCGTCTGGTGGTTGATCTTTCCATCTTAAGAATTGGAAAAAAAAAAAGTAAATAAAAAGGTATGAGAAAAATAAAAAAAAAAGTGTAATACCCATTGTTATATTTCATTTAATACTTACTCAAAAGCCCAATCAGGATCTGGTTGGAAGTGATCAAAAAACTTGTAGGTAACATGTGAGAGTACATCCAAGGAATAGATAGGTTTGTGATCTTTGCTCCATTTGGCGTTGATCCGAAAATCCACTGTATTTTTTTCGGGAGGTTTCCATTTCAGTCTATATAGATAAAAAAAAAAAAAAAAAGAAAAATGAATGAGAGACATATACTGATTTTTGATATGTGGGAATACACTTACAATTTTTCACATATATTAGGTACATAAGGGCATTTCACAGGAGTCCATATAATACCATCACTTTCATGCCGTAATCTTGTCATTTGATCGAATACAAGGTGTAATCCATATGAGCGTTCCATTTTTTTGAGTTCAATACTGGTATATAACAAAAGAAAATAAAAAAGATTAATGATCATATTATGGTAATATCATTAAATTGCATTATTACGTAAAAGGAGGTACTTTGTTAGGATCAGATTGCAATCGTAAACTATTTTTGAATGGATGTATAACATCTTGTTGAAGCATCTGTAATAGAATAAATAAAAAAAGATAATAGATCAGTTTGAGTAATATATGATTTGTAGAATTATCACTTACCCCAAGTCTAGTGCTAAATGATCGTTGAACAATAGATTGTCCATTGACGGCCATCAAATCGAATATCAAGTATCGCCATGTTTTCTATATAATACATACACCACGATGAGTTGGATAACTAGTATGATAGTTTTCCTCTTACTTACTTTTGTTTGATCCTTGTCAACTACTAGTTCCCCATCCATCAAAGTATCCTTCAAATATTCGTTTTCTCTTTGTCTAACCGGAAATAATAAATTTGGAATGTAATACCATATCTGATTTCGATCAAGCTACAAAACAAGAAGATGAGATACATAAAATTCAATATATAAATATATATTGCATATATTACCATAAAACTGGCAGGGCCCTTTGGAGAATGAAGAAAAAGTAATAAACCACGTATTCCATCACTTTTTTCACAAACAAAATAATCTTCTCGTTCCAATATCGCCAAGTGTTTTGAGACAAAAGAGACAGGTTGTGAGCCAGGAAAACTAAGGGATAAAGTATTAGTATGAAGAATTGACTTCTTTCGTTGATTTTCTTTTATTTTACCCATTTTGTGGATATTGTAATAATTCTTTCACTCGAGCATGCAATGTTTGTGAATAAACTGGATCAACGCGTTTTCCAATATGATCGGGGAAGGTCGATAGATCTTGTTGTGATGTTGGTCCGACTATTGATGAAGTTGGTTGTGATGAAGGCTGCATAGTGGCCATGAGTGATAATTGATAAAATGAGACAAAACGTTGAATATGGATGTGTATAAAGAAATAGAATATAATAAAGTGGATTGAATAAGAGAAAACAAAAAAAGAAGCAAGTGAAAAAAAAAAATGAAAAATGAAAAAAAAGATAAATGGTTTGAAAGTAGGATAGATATTATATGTATATATAAAAAAAGAAAAGAATAATGAATAAAACAAAAAAAAAAGTGGAATGGAGGGTAAAGAAGGGGGAAATAGACCCAAATAGAAGTATACAGGGCTGCTTAGATACAAAGATATAAGCTTTTACACATCTGTTGCTTCAACAAGAAGAGAAAAAAAAAAAAGAAAGAAAAAAAATCGATTTTTAGTTTTTTTTTCTGCAACTTTTTTTTTCTTTTTTTTTTTTTTTTTTTTTATCTATAAGGATGACGTGCCTTTTGCTCTCAGGTGCGGTATTCCAATTTTTTCACTAAAGTCCATCTATTCACATAAACTAGCAGCTGCATTCAATAATCTAACTATCAATCTTAAACTGAGCATTCATGATCTATGTATCACACATTATTCATTCTAAAAAAAAAAAAAAAAAAAAAAAAAAAAAAAAAAGAGAATAATACAAGCGAAGCAAAATTTAATCTTAAATTTTACTTTCAAGGAAACCTTTTTTGTCAGCTGCATATGAAATTTTAGTATGCCAAAAAACAAGACTTGAATAAAGCAAGCAGCATTCCAACGTGTTCGGTTTTCTTTTACTTTGGAGATACTTTGATGTACTTTTATATTTTCATTTTTCCTTAAAATAGTGTATTGTCTTTATGGACTTAATATAGGATGCATTTGCTACCGTTGGTTTCAAGAGAAATTACCAAATACAATAAAATAAAACATCATCACCTTTATCATCTTGAAGATCTACACGAGTCATAGCAATCATCTAATATCACATATCATCCATCATTCAAATCATCATTCATTTTTCAATCATCATCCATTTACCCGTCATTATTTTTATGCATCAATATAAAATAAAGGGAATTGGGAGAATGAATAATGACTATACACTCTTTTATAGGTTTTACTTCAACTACTATGTCCTTTTTTCTTTTTTTAACAAAAACACGTCATGAAGACTGGATCCAGTTTGGTAGATAAAAAAAAAAAAATACAGGGTGAAACCAAGACAGTGTACTTATTTTAGATGACTGATGATGTAAAAAAAAAAAAATTCCTGCTTTTATTATATTGACTCGTTCCTGTTTCCAGGGCTAATTACTCTAGATTGGGAATAAGGCCGATCGCTCCATCTAATGAATAGATCAGGAGAACATCAGCAATGGGAACGAGGGGGCGGCGTTTAAAGTCTATTGCTTGCTTGCCTATTTCCAGATGCCCCTTTTTTTAAGGCATTTTCTTTCTTTTTTTTTTCTTTCACTTTTTCTTCTTTTTTTTTTTTTCTTTTTTTAAACTTTGTCTTCGTTAGCGATAGACAGAACTGTTTTCTTCTCCTTTTTCAATGACTCGGGCACCATCATCTACGGTGTATGATTATGATTTTATGGACCAAATTGGTGTGGGCTCTTATGGATGTGTCTACCGAGCAAAGCATAAAGTCACGAACTCTATGGTAAGAACGACATTTCACATCTCTTTTATTCAGTGGCAACTTCAATGAATTCAACGTGTTATCTTTTTTTTTTCTCCTTTTACTTTACTTTTCTAGGTGGCAGTGAAAGTCATGAAGAAAAAAGGTAGAAAGTCATCCGAAAACAACCATTGGCAAGAATACAAAACTATGAAACGACTTTCGAACCATCCTAATATTGTGCGTCTCTATGAAGGATTCACTGGACCCACGAAAGAACTTTATTTTGTAATGGAATTTATGAATGGTGGGAATCTATATCAATATCTGAAAGAACAAAGGGTATCCAGAAAGATACCAACAGAATCACAAGTACGTCATATTTTGTAAGTCATCATCAAATCAACACTATCAAAAAGGTATCCTTTTTTGCTTAATCGATTTTTTTTTTGTTATTGTTATTGTAGACGACAAATATTAGACGCTTTAGCTTCAATGCATGATCAAGGTTACTTTCATAGGGATCTCAAACCAGAAAATCTACTAGTGGAAACCAACCAAGAACATCCTACTCAACTGACCATTAAATTAGCGGACTTTGGTTTGGCACGAGAACTTAAAAGCAAGGCACCATATACGGATTACGTTAGTACCCGATGGTAAGAAATCAAAATGTGATCTCTTTTTTAAAGCTAGTAGTTTAGTAACCGTTGATTTCTCTCTCTCTCTTTTTTTTTTTTTTTCTTCTGTATCGTTAAAGGTATCGCTCTCCAGAAGTTTTACTAAAAGCGTCTGTGTACTCCTCTCCTGTGGATATTTGGGCTGTGGGCGTAATAATGGCGGAGCTATACACTTTATTTCCCCTGTTCCCTGGACAATCCGAAATTGATCAGTTGTACAGAATATGTGAAATCCTTGGCTCACCTGGCACAAATATCATTTCAAGAAAGAAGAACAAGATAAGAAGCAATGGATTTTCCCGAAAAAAGTCTGATATCTCGCTTTATTCTTCTACAAATATGGCAACAACATCCACTGGTATCCTCAACGAAAGAACATGTACTCTAGGTGAAGGTGGTGAATGGAAGGAAGGAGCCAAGTTAGCTCAGAAGATAGGATTCCAATTTCCTCAGGTAAAACAAAATTATTAAAATAATCACGCATTCATTTGATTTATTTATTTATTTATATTTACCTCTGTAGGTCGAACCAAAAGGTCTTTCATCAGTATTACCAAAAGCATCCAATTTGATGATAGATTTGCTACGACGTCTGTTATTATTTGAACCTGAAAAACGATTATGTGCACGGGATGCCTTGTGTCACCCATTCTTTATTGATTCCACTAGCACCCCTACAATACGACTTACAAGCGAACAACTTGATATACCAGCATCATCAACATCACCATGTCAAACACCACGAATTCCATCCATGGTTACTATCAGCACCTCTTCACCGTTAGGTACTAATCTAACCCATATGAATTCTTTACCCCATATTCCTTTATCATCTATGGACACAAGCATGACTCTGAACGATGATTCTATTCCTTCCAAGCAATCTGACTACGACATATCCCCTCAGCCTCAACGACATAGACATTCAACATCAATCGTTGATTTGAAACTACTAGACTCTTCTGTGGCTTTGGATCACCAGCTAGCTTGTCCTATCAGCCCTTTGAACGACAGCTTTGAAAATGTGATTGATCAAGTGATGTTTGATTTACGCGACGATGACAATAATGATGAAGACAACAAGAGCTCGGATATATCAAACGTCACATCAAATATACCGTACAGATTTGGATGCAGCGATGAACTACCACTCGAAGAAGACGCCAATAGTACTGACAGTCAACATTACAAACGAGATGGTCATATTCGCCATGATTCCTTGGACTTTTTAAATGCGCTAGATACACCACCGTTACCTCAAACTATACGACCAAGCTTTTCCTCTCCATTACAGCATGATAAACGAACCCAAAATCAACGAATACCAGTAAATGATCACTATACCCTTCATCATTCTCACCATCATGTGACTAACAACAAGAAAAAATCAACAACAAGCATTTCACAATTTTTCGGTTTACGTAAAAAGACTCGATCAGCGGAACAACAAACGACAATGCCGGGTTTGAACCAAGCACGACAAGATCGTCCACTATCAAAGAATATGCACTGTACTCCTGCCATCATGACCAATACTGATTTATCAAGTAAATCACCAATATCAAATGGTGTTCCTAGAACAGAAAGCTTCCCTTCCTTCTTGATGAAACATTTTACATCATCATCCACTTCTAGTCGACCCAATTTAACTCAAACAGCAAATGCACCGAAACTACTTGTAGATCAATCAAAAAAGGAACATACCTCTCTACAGCGACGATCATCCTCCATGTCTATATTAAATATTTATTACGATGGCGAATACAGTAAGAAGAAATCAAATTCCAAAGGCAACTTCTGGACGAAGAAACATACACACAATAACATACATGATACCCTTTTGGCACCTTCTCCTAGGACTACTTCATTGTCTACTTCTATTCCATCCATTCTCAAATAGTTTAGCACTCTTTTTTTTTCTATTTTTCTATTACCTTTTATATATATATCTTTTTTTTTATTTGGTTATTTGTAAATAAATCATTGTAGAGCTTATACTATACTTTTATGGACAGCAGTACCCCTGAATCTTTTATATTGCATTTTTTCAATAACTAGTTTATCTGAGTATTAACATTCTATAAAGTATGAAGTTGTGGCTTTGATTTTTTTTTCTCACTTTGATCTCAAGAGGAGTTTTTTTTTTTTTTTTTAATCTCTTCTCTTTTTTTTTTTTTTTTTTTTTTTTTACATACCTTCTATATATCTATATATTTTTTTATAATGCCTAAATCAAAGCGAAGCACAGTTGGTAAATATATATTAAGAGAAAAATGAGTTACGTATTTACCTGAACTAAATCTTTTATCCATGTTTTTAATCTATTCTAGTGTCACTCACCAAAACTGACAAAAAAGGTTATGAAGGAAAAGAAAAGTTGATCGAACAAGTATGTAGGCTCCAAAACAAAAAAGAGGAAAAAAAAAAAGAAAATAAGAAGAATGGATACTGTGGTTTTATTTTGCTCGTATTATGGACGATGAATTGATATTAGTTCTTTTTATTTGTTTGATATAGATCCAAGAATGTGTTGATCGATTCGAATATATTTGGGTATTCTCTGTCAAGGACATGCGTAATACCTTTTTGAAAGAAGTACGTAATGAATTGAAATCAACATCTCGCTTTTTTATGGGACGTAATCGAGTGATGGCTAAGGCTTTGGGTACAACGCCAGAAGAAGAGTACAAGGAAGGATTAGCAGGAATTGCCAACGAATTACATAGTGAGGTGGGATTACTGTTTACCAACAAATCACCTGAAGAGATCAAACAATACTTTGCCAACTATACACAACCTGATTATGCTAGATCTGGTAACATTGCTACGGAAACCGTGATTATTCCTGAAGGTCCTGTCAAACGTGGTGTTGATCCTATGCCTCACAATATGGAACCTTTGATTCGATCTTTGGGTATGCCAACTTCTTTGAAAAATGGTATTGTTACATTACATTTCCCTTATACTATTTGTCGTGAAGGTGAAACTCTCTCAACAAATCAAGCACATCTTTTGGTAAGTTCATATGGAACAATAGAAAATATTCAATCCTTTTTTTTTAAAAAAAAAAAAAAAAAAAAAGTAATAATACTAAAATAATTTGATTCTCTTTTTTTTTTTTAAAAAAAAAAAAAAAAATAGAAATTATTTTATCATCAATTGGCTGAATTCCGTGTAGATTTGACATGTTATTACCACAAAGGACAAGTCATTCCTGTTGACAATTAAATAGACTCTTTTTTTTTTTCCTTCTCTAGCTTAGTTTCTCTTTCTTACATCTTTATTATCACTTTTTTTTTGGACATATCCCATTTTGCATTTTCATGAAAATAGATAAATAAATAAAAATATTCTCTCTGTATTAAATTAACTTCTTTATTTCTTACCTTCTGCATAAAACTCCAAGCCACAATGCCAAAAACATGCGTCGGTGTTGATATATAAAATCATTCAAACACGAAATGCCTTTTCGTTCCTTTTCCCCCTTTTTCTTCTTTTTCTTTTCTTTTTTTTTTCTTTCTTATTATTATTACTTACTCTTGGAATGGCAACACTTACAGCATACGGTAGACTATAGAATAAATTATTCTTATATTGATATATCTATGATTCTTATTATCATTTTAATTTTGGTAGAGGAACAACGTTTGAAAAATATTGAACGTAATCGACAATTATTAGCAGACTTTGATATCAACAAGGCTCGCGATGATTTACTTGAAATACCAACTACACCAATGCCATCAGCAGTCAAAATAAAGTAAATAACTATATAATAATAGTAAAACCCCCCTTTTTTTTGAACTTTTTTTTCTTTTGAACTTTTTATATAGAAAGGATACTAAAACAAGAACACCTATTGGTAAGTACAACCTTATTGAAATGGATTTTCATTACAACATGGATGGTTTGACTTTCGATATTAATCATATTAACTTGACCTCTGTTTTTCTTTTTATTCCTTTTTTTTTCTTAGCCAAGAGGAAAAAACCTGTAGTACAACGACCACAACGAAAATCATCACGACTTCGAGGTATTGAAGCCCCAGCTATTGAATTGAATGCGGATGATCAAATTGAAACAACATCAAATGATGATCAACAGGTAAAAAGTCAAAGTACATATATAGATTAATGATACTTTATCTTTTACCAAATAATTCTTTTTTTATTATTATTATCATCATTATCATTATTACTAAAAGCAGGCTCTGGATGAAAATACTACTGATTCAATTGATGAATTCTGGGATGGGAAACTTATCAAGCCTGACGACTATTTTGATCAAGCAACTCGCGAAAAGGCTATACGAACTAATGGTCGATTTACAGGTAATCATCAACTTGATGCAAATGGATGATGAATGTCTCCTTACTATATACTGAAATGGAGCATAGATCAAAGTCTTAACATTATGATATCGTTGCTTTTTTTTTTTTTATTATTACTCTGATCAGGATGGGTCAACCCAGAATTGATTCAAAAATATCAATTTGAACTTTCAGCACAAGAAGCTTGGGAAAAGAATGGCGGTGGAAAATTCTCATACAAGGATCCTCTTGGTACTGGTACGAAACGGAAACCTGCAAGGAACAGTGCGAGGGTAATCAATATCATTTTTAATATTCTTATTATAGACTTGTTGCTTGTTGACGATTGCCTTTATATATTGATCCCTTCTTCTTAATTTTTAGGCCATTGCACAAATGATGTTCAAGAAAAATCCAAACATGTACTTTTACAGACATAATGAGCCTGGTGTGGTAAGATATACAGGGATGATCTCGCAGAAGCATTTAAAACTGACACACTGCACTTTATCCTTCGTATTATTAGGAACAATGGACCGGTGATTGGACAGAAGAAGAAAAGGATTTATTTATGAAAGTAAAAAAAAAAAAAAAAAAAAAATTAACTTGAACGTTATCTGTGTTATATCCATCATCTCATTTTACCTCTTGTTAGATTGCTCGAGAACATGGATGTGGAGATAAGGTATTACAAATCTCATCACAACTCTACAAAGAACATACTAATACATCTCTCTACTTTCCATACCTATAGTGGGGTCTGTTTGCAAGTTATATTCCTCACCGGTAAGATGATGAAATTGGAAATATTTACAGAATCACTGATCTTTTGATATTCCCATTTAGTGTTGGATACCAATGCAGCAGTGAGTTAAATATGAATGAAGTGATTCTACTTTGTAGAATTATTAGTATGTAATAGCGACCGACTTATTTTTGTATATTAGATTATTATCGAAGTGTTATTTTACCCACTGGTATGGTATTTGATGACAACTACGAGGTAAATAAAAAAAAAAAAAAAGAAGAGAGAGAGGATGGAGCATAGGGGAAGTGAAAATCAGATGTTTACGATATGAGCTCATGGCTGTGGATCTTTTTTTTTTTTTTTTTTGAATTAGTATACCCCGTCTGGAAAACCATTCTATGTTGGATCCCATCGACCAAGATCTTCATGAAAGAAAGAATGATGGTGATGATACAGGCGCATAATACAAGGAACTACAACAAAAGGCAGGCTACATTAGTCTTCCTTAACATATCCAGAATGATTAGTCTCTCCTTTTTTTTTTTTTTTTTTTTTTTTTTTACATCCCCCTTATATACGTTTATATTTATATTTATATTTGTTTGTCATGCCCACTTCCACTCTATTAGATTCATTTTTTACCTCTATACTGTATATTTGACTACCCTTCCTCTTTTTTTTTTTTATGTAATAAACTTTCTGGCTTTCAGTTAGAGCCTTTCCAAATCAAAGAATTTTATAATCATCATCATCATCATCATCATCATCATCATCATCATCATCATCATCACTTTCTTCGTCTATTTTTTTTCTTTAGTTTAAACAAAATGATTTTATTATGTTGTATCAAAAAAAAAAAAAAAATGAAGTGGATAACTAACAAAAAAAAAAATTATCGAAGGTGTAAACGTCTCTGGTTACTTTGCCAAGTTCTCTGAATGATGGAGTATGCGATCCAACTTCCCACAGCTCTATCGATACGGACTTGTTCTTCATGAAACATTGTTCGTTCAAGTCGACGGGCAGCAGCGAATCTCTGGGCATCAGAAAGCCGACCCCAATGATAGTCCTGGACATTTTGTCTTCTGTTCAAGCGGAACATGGATAGGACGACCATATCATTAGCATGTTCCTTCAATCGATTGAACATAGTACGCACATGTTGATGATTAGGAGGAAGACCCATTATTTCGCCCAAAGCATCCAGATACTGTGCATTTGCCACTCTTGCCCTGTACATTCTTGCATCGCCACCAAGTGCCACGGGAAAATGGATATCATGATCACCAGCCGCCAAGAGTTGAACATTAGTGTGAGGCGACTCCGGATGTGGTTCAGCATCTGGGAAAGTGAGCTCAAGAAAATGAGGTTGAGGTTCAGGAGCTTGATCTTCAAGAGCATTGGCTATTTCCTCGATTTGAGTTCCTTGTACAGCGACAACACCAGCCAAGTCGTCGAGTTGTTCACCTCGATCATCAACCGCATTGGCCACTTCCGTGATTTGAGTAGTGATCGCGTCTCTTGCTTCCGCTATACTTTGGTCGGTATGCTCCCTGAGTTCTCTCATTTGAGTACGAAATTCATCATGAAACTCGTCTAGCGATTGCACCGTTTCAAATTGTTGATGTTCCTGCTCTTCAAATCTATTGGTCAAGGCACGTAAGTTCCTTTCGTCCCGTGCAAGATGTTCTGTCAACTGACGCTGGATATTTTCCCGCAGTTGCTGGAAATTTTCTTCGAACACAGTACGTAGTGGCATCGCCATCTTGCAGTTGATTATTGATGTATAGAAAAGCACAAAAAAAAAAAAAAAAAAAAGATGAATCAAGAATAGGATGATGATTTAACAAATGATTATTTATTTAAAATGATGCTTCATTGTTGTCGCCAGATTATTATTATTATTATTATTATTATTATTATTTTAAAAAAAAAGGAATATCATATAATGGGCCATCATGATTGATTGTGTCAATCAGTATACTTTGATTAGAAATACCAATGACATATTTGATGTTCATTATCTATAAAAAGAAATGGATGCTAAATATAATGACAATGAATTTTAAATAATAAAAATCAGCAATACTGTGCTCAACATATACTGTTAGATTACAGTATTCTTTTTTTTTTTTTTTTAAGTTTTGAACGGATGAAGGATAAAGGAAGGATGGCTGATAATCAATGAACAATAATCGAATAATAATGATTGAATGATGAATGAGTGATGATGGATGAAATGATGATTGACAGAAATAATGACGATTTCTAGTTGGTTTCAATGTTTAATTTGAACCATTTTCCAATTTTATTAACCTAAAAATGAAAAAATGTTTTGATTTACATCTCAAAAAAAAATTTGGTCCAAAACTTTTGGGTATAAAATCCAAAAATGGAAGTTTGTTTTTTCCTCCTCTTCTCTTTTCGTTCCTCATCACTTTTTTTTTTTTCTTCCGCTAATCTTGCTTGGTTGATTCATCATCTTCTTTTTTGGGTATAGGACTATTGGATATAATTTCATTGGTGTATGAACCCGATTACAAAAGGTAAGGTCGATAAAAGAAAACGCAGAAAAGGAGTTAAACAAATTCTCATATTTCATTCTTTTCATTCGGGTCTCAACAAGTTTTATAGTAGAAAGGTAGTGCCTATGTACTGTATTGTTTCCTTTTGGTAAGTCTCCCTCCATTTGTACAGAGACTTCATATTTTTCTTCCTTCCCTTTTCTCCTTATGTTTCTCACTCTTGTTTTTTCTTTCTATTTAGGTTTCCTTCTTCATGGATTCACATTGAGAGCCATTTGTACAGATATCTGAATAGAACGCGTATGAATAATTAAACGCCTGGAACAACGCGGTGAATATACATCAGAAGGGACAGAATGATTTTATAACCGGATCAACTGGATACAGACATGATAGAAATTTGGATTGAATGAGTACACAATAGGACCAATTGGAGAAATGCTAGTGTAGATCAACTGGATAAATATGCTACAGTATAGGATGGAATAAAAAAAGACAGGCCAATGGTGATCAAAGAATATCTCTTCGATAGGGTTGCTCTGGTGTGATTGGTTTCTCTCTCTCTCTCTCTCTCTCTCTCTCTCTCTCTCTCTCTCTCTCTCTCTCTCTCTCTCTCTCTCTCTGGTTCTAACCATGGTGATTCTTTTATTGGTAGTTAGCATTTTTTTTTTTTAGTATATACTGATTTTTTCCTTCATAATAAAACTTCATTTTTTCTTTTCAACGCTGTGATTAGAGACTTATTTGTGTTGGGATTTGAACATATTTGCGGTGGTTCTTTCTTATATTATGGAAATAATTGACGTTGATGACAATGGAAGATGGATGATCGAAAAAAAAAAAAAAAAGAATATAAAATTCGGAGGTTACATGGTTTGCAGGCGATTGATCCATACGGATTCGTATCTACCATTTATTTTCAAAGAATATTTAAGAAGAATCCATTATCATATATCATCCATTCATCAATTTCTTAAATAGTTGTGATATTAAATGTCCAAGTAGAGATCTTTTGTGTTTTCATAACAGAATATGTAATAATTCCTCGTTATAAGTAATAAAGCCAAATCCTATTTTATAGATAAAAGATAACCGATTGCATATATGACAGTCATGAATCAAAGCTGATACAAGTTTTATTGAAGATATATCAAAAAAAAAAAATAGCTTGCTAATATGAATGTAAAATAGCGTAGAAGATGATGGGAGGAGGGGAATGAGTTGAATAAAGGAAATATATAGTGTAATAAGTAATAAGAATAATAAGAATGAGAGGAAAATGGAAGGATGAAGAGAAAGCATAATAACTATAATTCGATCCATCTACCTAGGAAAGATTGGCAGGACGCAAGAACTTCAAAGCATTTCGTACCGCGGAAGGACCAGTCCAAGTACCATCTAAAAGATTATTCCAGTAAATAGAGGGAATGATTTCTTTGTTGAGAAATTGACCAATACGAGTGATTTGACGTTGATCCACAGGGAAAGTTTCCAAAGGTTGACCAGTATATCCTGAGAATTCAGCAAGGATCAATTGTTCACGACCAACAATCAAAGGACAAGAGGTGTATCCATCATAGGCAGCTTGTTCCACCTTCTTTCCCTTCAAATCCGCAATCAAGTTATGCTAATCATTCCAAAAAAAAAAAAGTTATATTAATACGTCAGTTTTCCATACTATACAGATACACACACTCGCGTATATATATATACACTAGCTCTTACTCTCTTTTAGAATCCTTTATCCACATTTCTCATTTTACCTTGAGAACACCAGATTCACCAGTAATAGCGGCAGCAGTCTTGGAGGTAGGCAAAGAAGAGCAATCACCAAGGGAAAAAACATTCTTGTACTTATTGTGTCGTAAAGTATCCTTGTTGACATCTACCCAACCAGCAGCATCGGCCAATTTAGATTCTTTGATAAAAGTAGGAGGACCTTGAGGAGGAGCGACATGCAAAAAGTCGTAAGATTGTTTGTGAGTTTCCTTGGTAGCATTGTTACGGAAAGTGGCTTCTTTGTTAGCACTATCGATTTCAAGTAATTCTGTTTGGAAGTTGAGTTTGATACCACGTTCATCAGCCAATCGTTGAAGTACCTTGCCATAATGATCTACACCAAAGATCTTGCCCAAGCTAGTGTTGTAAATCACATTGGTCTTGTCACGCACACCTTGAAGTCGGAAAGCTTCTTCTGCCAAAAAGGTAATCTTGGTAGGAGCACCAGGACATTTGAGAGGAGTGTTGGGAAAAGTGAAAACAGCATTACCACCTTTGAAATTTTGAATAAAAGGATAAGTCTTTTGTACACTTTCAGGAGAGTAGTTCGATGTCACACCATCCTTGCCAAGAGCTTCCTTTAATCCCTTGATTTGATCCCAATTGATTTGAATACCAGCAGCCACCACCAAGTAATCATAACCAAGTACTTCACCGTTGCTAAGTTGAACTTGATTATTATCAGGGTCCAACTTGGTTACCTTGTCTTGAATCCATTCAGCATTCTTGGGCATTAATGAACCCATAGGTTTGGATGATTCACTAAAGTCCTTCAAACCACCTCCAACATATGTCCATAAAGGTTGATACTAAAAAGAAAATAACAAAAAAAAATATTAAGGGATCAGTCAACATATTTCTTTTCTCCAAGTAATGGTTAATATATATCCACGCGTTATCCGACAAACTTACATAATGTACAGACGAAGGCTCTACAACTGCTACTTGATCCTTGCCCAATAATTTGGAAATAGTAGATGACACTATTTAAATAATACAATAATAAGAAAAAAAAAGAAACACAAAAAGGTTATATATATGCAGTTGTCTACCTGAAAGACCACCAGGGCCAGCACCAATGACTACCACTTTGAAGTTCTTTTTAGCTTGAGTGGCAAAAGTACGAACAGAAGGAATGGTTGAAATACGATTACGTGTAATAGAGAACATGAATATGAATTATATATATAAAATAAAAAAAGAAAAAGAAGAAAGAAAAAGAAAGATGAAAGATGGGATTTATAAGGTAAAAAATATATAGGTCTGTTTCATGCGGAGATGAAATTGGTCCATGGCGCCATCGCCCATCTCTCTTCTCAGTGGCTATTTTCTTCTTATGATAACAATCACGTCTTCGATAGATTTATGATCGCTTTGTTCACTGAATCAAATTTTTGAATATATCAAAAAAAAAAAAAAATACTTTTCTTCCATCCTCCTTTAAAAAAAAAAAAAAAAAAAAGAAAAAGGACAATGGATCGGGGTCATAAACAGTAGCAGAATTGACGCATAGTAGACGAATCATGGTAATCATCATCTTTTGCACCCCCATCTTCCATATTTGTACACTTCGTCCTTATTATTAGACAGCGGGGATCCACTTTCTAAACAAAAATAAACGGATTTTTATTTTTATTTCTACATTGATTACATTTTTATCGTAAGATTCATCCGTCATCTTACGTGTACATACGTTATTCTCTTTTCAATCCCGATACTCTAATTTCCATATCACTTTAAATTATTTTTAATAAAAAAAAAAAAAATGAAACCAGTTATGATGATTATTTTTTGGAAATGTAGTCTTTATTGGATATAAAATAAAACTGTAATATAAATATAAATAAAAGTGCATTCATTGATCACACCCATTTTTCATCCCAAGAATTGGTAAAAAAAAAAAAAAAAAAAAAAAAAAAAAAAAAAAAAAAAGAAGATCAGTTAGTATCTTTGATGATCCATACCAATTGGTGAAAGGGATTCCAACCGAATACTCTGTTTTACATTTAGACATATCATAACAATCATATTCGAAAATAATGAATGATAAATGATTGAATGATAGATGAAATGTTATGTATAATGATTAAAAAAGAATGCATAACTATTGATGCCCACCATCCATCCAGACAAATCTGAGTTTTGAAAATTTCAAAAAGTTCAGTCACTCTATTTTTTTGTAATCGTCGCAGAAGAAAGAAAAAGCCTAAACTTATTTTGTTGGAAGGAACTTTTTCAACATTTTTTTTTTCTTTTTCTTTTTCAACTTATACATACACATATATATATTTATATAGAATCAATGCGAACTACACTTTTTGTCGCCGGGTTTGGATCCAGAACACGAGCAAGAGATCTTGCCTATGAATTCGAAAGGTAATGATATAATTCAAAAAAAAAAGATGACTTTATTGAGATGGACTGCCCTAGATGGGGGGAAGAAACTGGAAAAAAGGAGTAAAGACGGAATACGTGTCTTTATGACGAAGCTTCGACTACGCCTATCAGCTTTCGACTTCTTTCTCGATCACACCAATACTTCTTTACTACTTACCTCTTTTCCTTTCTCCTTCCTTCTATCTTTTTGTCGCTACGGATTTTACATCTTCAACTCGTGACGACGACAACGCGAACACGCTTGAACGACGTACATCCGATTAGTGCACTTCTTTTTTTTTTTATATATAAGGCGGTCTGTCTTTTCAACTTGTATATTGGATACTATTGACAACTAACGACTTATTTTTTTTTCTTCTTTCTTATTACCTATCCACTTTTTTATCCTTTTTTTTTTTATTTGAAATAGGTATGGTCGTCTTGTACGATGTGATATCCCTGCTCCCAAAAGTTTTTCTTCCAAACCGTAAGTAGTTTCTCTTTTTTTTTTATATCCCCAACAAACAAGAAGGGAACTATGTGTTTTTTTTTTTTTTTTTTTTTTTTACCTGAAAAGAAAATAGATACTAATGATTATTTCCTATTTCATATTCATAATAATATAGTTATGCCTTTGTAGAATTCGAAGATCCTCGTGATGCTGAAGATTCTTTCAACGAAATGCACGGAAGACGTATTGACGGTTATACCATTAGTGTTCAGGTAAATTAGATTATTATTATAACAAGAAAACAAATATATTAAAAAAAATGACTACTAACTTTTATTTTACATTCTCTAAAGTGGGCACGAAACGCACCTAGCTCTTCATGGCGCTTTGATCGATCACCACGTCGTCGCCGGTCACCTAGTCCTCGAGGCCTACCTCCCCACCCATCATATGGACGTAGTCGAAGTCGGTCTCCTTATGGTGGACGATCTCCTCCTCCACCACCACCTCCTTCTTCACTCCATCACAGCGGCGGATACCACGGTGGACATCATCACCATCATCATCATCATCATCATCATCGTGGCCCTCCTTCACCTCTTCGTGGTCGATCTCCTCCACCTCACGTACGCGACCGACATGATCGCTCTCGATCACCGGCTCCATTAGGTCGTCCTGATGATTATCCTTATCCTCCTCCTGGTGGTCGTCCTCTTTCCAATGAACGTCGTTCCTCTCGATCTCAATCTCCACCACCTATGCATCTTCGTGGCGCACCTCTTTCTCGATCTCCTTCTCCGCAAAGACGCTCCATTTCTCCAAGAAGGTCCCGTAGTCCTCTTTAATTTTAGTTTTAACTCTTATGTAGTTGGTAGCAAACATTTTCTTTTTATTCAAATAAAGGCTCTCTTTCTCTTTTGACGTGTGGGTGAACAATTAATAAAAAAAAAAAATTGTTATTGATGTCAACGTTTTACACTTGATTTTTTTTATAAATAATGATTGTTCAATGATATTTAAAAAATGATAATGTATAATTTGTTGTATTTTATTTCTAAATGTGAATGCAAAGTATAGTTCATTCTAGTATAATAAAACATGATATGATGACGACTAAATATATATATATTTGTATGTGTGTGTGTGAAGCAATATAAAACAATAAAACGGTTGATATCTTGAGGAAGACAAAATAGGATGTCATTGTATAAATAAGAGACATGTGTATGGACGAATAAAAAAAAAACAACAAAGAAAGAAACTACAGTTCACAGTTTGATCCAGTATTACCCAATGTCTCTATGATAAAAGATAATAATAAGATACGATTCAATTCTTTCCTATTGTTCCCAAATAAATAATCTTATTACCTTTATTTCTTTCCAGACTGTTCTTCTGAAAACTTGAGGTATTGTTTTTGTCGTTCATCCAAAACACGTCTTTTGTTAAAGTATTCAACCTAAAATAATAATAATAAAAAAAAAATAAGAATAATATTGATTGAATATATTCCTTCTTTTTTTTAAAAAATGACTTTACCCAACTTGCCATACAAGCATCTTCATAATGTTTCTTTTTATCAAGACAAGAAGTAGCACGATCAGGTTGTTTTTCCACAAGGACAGGATCTAGTATATTCAATTTATCAAGACAGGCAAAGTATTCATCTCGTAACTTCCAGCATTTCTTTCTTTCTTCACGTGTAGGTGGTTTATCTGGTGTAGATGACATGGTTGAAATGAATCTATATACAATCACAAAAGAAAAAAAAAAAAAAGAACGGAGATCTGAAATTTTTCACCCAAAAATACAAAAAAGATACAAAAAATTGACCCTGGTAGGGCTTTTGTTTCAATCGCCGGTGGACCAAAAAAAGGAAGAAGACATTGATCCAATTGATATTTTTTTTTTAATTTTTATTTAGAAATAAAGAAGACTTTACAAAAAAAAAGAAATGAAGGATGAATAATAAATGAATAATAAGAAGACTATAATGATAAGTAATTAGAAATGACAAAGTTGATGATGACGGTGAATAATACTGTAAAACTAATCTATTGCATTGATGACATTTCAATAAAGCAATGGATGGATGAGAGAAAGAAAAAAAAAAGGAAGGAATGGAATAATCAATCATTTTAAGGAAAGGGGGAAAAAAATTATGAAGCAGTTATATATGAAGATAAAAAAAAGGGGGGGTAATCATTCTATTATATGAATCTCTATTTTCTTGATGTATGAGTGAAATCATCCAAATCCTTTTCTTCCGAGGAACATTCAGAACCTTCCCTTGAAGTTGGTAAAATATCTTGTTTTGCACGTTGACCATCAAGTACCCATTTTTTTAATATCTCCACTTCAATATTACCAAGAATCAATTGTTCAACATGATAAAGTAAAAGAGGCGTAGATAATACACCCACAGTACCGGGATCACCATTCTGATAGAGTACATTGATTAATGGTACACCCATAGCAACTGTCTTTGTAGCACCACAGTACTATAAATAAAAGAGGATAACATAAAAATCGAGATGATGGATTTTTTTTTTTTTTTTACCATGACAGCAACAGTATCCTCACGAGAATACCTTAATTTCTTGATCCAATCTGGAGTTTGAATGTATGATGGTAACGGTAAACGAGCAAGGACCAAACATGTCAAAGAAAAGCTGATGTAAAAGAGAGCATTGATGATAACAATCACGAAAATATCCTTTACAGTGACAGCAGCAAAAGAACCAGAGTAAACAGCATCAGAAAAAACAGACCAAACCATGATCAACAGAGCAACACTACTTATATCGGATAAACGACATTTTTCCTTGATCTTGGCAACCTTTTCCGTGAAGAGCCACTGAATGATTTGACCCACAATAAGAGGTGCCAACACTGTTAATCCCAATTGTTTGAGTACTGATACAAAATCAACCACCCCTCCCACCTGATTACTACTTTCATCTTCTGGAGTAGCATCTAATAATGGTCCTTGAAATGTAGAAACAAGTGCTGGAGATACAAAGATACCTTTTTTTTTTTTTGATGTTTAAATAAAATAAAAAAAAAAGATGAGGATTGATAAAAAAAAAAAAAAAAAAGATCACATACCAAGTACATTTCCAAGAGCAGCATTCATCAGAGCTAATCCAGTCCAAAAAAGGTAAGAGACATGAGTCAAAATAAAATATATATATGCACTTACCTGAAGCTTCATTTCCTTTTGCGTTTTTCGTCATGACAACATTCGAGGAGACAGTAGTAGGTGTACTTGCAGCAATGACCACACCAATCAATAAGAGAGAACTCATGGACACATGGGCCTTGAAAAGGAGCAATACCAAACCAAAGACAAAGAAAGGGATGATGATCAGATTGATGATTTGAATCAATAAATGTAATCGAATACGAAGGATCGTTTGTGCCAAAATCTTTGTTCGTAATGATAATCCTGAGATTAAAAAGATGATGATCACAGCACCTAAAAAAAAAAAAAAAAAAAAATGAATAAGATCATGATATATATATATATTTATATATATATATTACCCCATTTGATAGACCATTCGGCATGAATATAACCACCTTTTCTTGCAACATCAGGGAATTGTGATGCTAATAAAATGACAAAGGCAAGTCCAAGCAAAAACCAGTATTTCTTCAATAGTGCACGTGCTCTTGTAACAACCCTTGATTTCCATGAGGGTTGATCATCATCATCATTTGATACTTGTTCATCATGTTTTTGAGTAGATGTGACTGATTTTTCTGAATAAGAGGAGGTGGATAATGGTCGTTTTTTGCCCATATCATCCTCATCATGTTCGGGAATGGTGACTTCACTGGCAAATGAAGCATGTGATTGTAACTTTGATTCATTCATCATCAATTTCAATAGACTAAAGAATAAAGAAGGAGAAGAAGATGATACCAATGTTTTTTCGTCAGTAAATTTCACCATTGGATCAAAAAGGGAATTAAAAAAAAAAGAAATGATAAAATGGTAAGTCATGATTTTTTTCTTCTTTTTTTTTTTTTTTTTTTTTTTTTTTTTAGGGAGACATGACGAAGGGGAAAAAAAGGTGTTCAAAGATTCATCAGTGTAATATAAATGGAAGAATTACCTTGTTTCAATTGTAAGATGAAGAACAAAGGAAAAGAAAAGAAGAAAAGAAAAAAAAATAGAAATTTAGGAAGAAATGCTTTATGTCCATTATTTCCTTTCCTTTCTTATAGTTTGTCAAAAAAAAAAATAAGTATATACATATGGAAGGAGCGATAAGCATAAAAAAAACAAGGGGAAGGGATACCAAAAAAAAAAAAAAAAAAAAGGAAGCATAGAACAGAGTTTAATAGGGAGATCCTTTATTCTACAAAGATAAACCAGGAGATAAGAAAAGGAGGGATCAAAATGAATATAAAGTACCAACGTTTTTTTCTTATTCATGTTGATTTAAATATGAATATGATCATTCATTCATCGATGATTCCTTTGATCATAAGCATGTAATAAGGTTATTCTGAAAAATGATGTTTGAGTTGAATAAACCAGGTATTGGGATTTTTTTTCATCAAACATATCTTTCCGACGTTTGGATATTCCCAAATCACTCATTTTATATACCTATTATATATATATATGTATATATATTTAAATAGACACATGATTTTTCTTTTACTCATTGGTTAATGCATTCATCCGCTACAACAAGATTCTACTTTATCGTGACTCGAGAATGTTCTTTGAAAGAAAATCTCAGTTTATTATGCATTCGCAGATCTCCTTTTTTTTTTTTTCTATTTTCAGTCCAAGATAGTCATTTTCTCGACATGATCTCTTTCAAGTATGTTTTTATTCTTGAATCAACAAAGATGAGAAAAAAAAAAAGATCATTTACATGATGATTTTTATGATGATTCATATGATGATTCATCAGATGAAGGATTCATATATATATAACACAAAAGAGTTTAAAAAAAAAGAAAGGGGAAGACGCGGGAGACTAATAACAGAAAAAAAAAAAAGATCTACATCATGTCATTCAACAAAAACAAATCTTTTTTTTTTTTATTTTTAGTGGATGACATTGGCCACCCCCTCTTTTTTTTTCCATTCCATATATGACTATTTACCTTTTGGGTTCCTTACCAATTTCAAATCATCACCGTTATTGTTATTTTTAATAATCCATGGTGGCAAAAAAAAAAAAAAAAAAAAAAAAAAAAAAAAAAGAAGAAAAGAAAAAAAAAAAAAACGCCATTTATCATTGACCTTTGGAAATATCAAAGTAGATACATATATGAGTCACTTTATGCAGTCCATGCTTGCCAAAAAAAAAACTTTATTATTTTCCCTTTTTTAAATTGCAGATGATAATTATTATCAGTAAAAGCGATCATCATCACCAATGCATTCATGTTATGTATGCATTTTATATTCCTTAAAATTGATGATCTCTTTTATATGTCATATCCTATTGTAGTAATGGGTGATATTGATGATCAATTGCTAATCATAGTAATGATATTGGTTCATGAAGCAACACGTGGATGAAAAAGACGAAATAAAAAGGAAGAAATTTCATGCTATCTCCCAATCTTTTTTTTCACTGTTGATATTCCATGATTAATAACATAAACTTTACTGAAATAATGCAGATGAGTAATTTTTATTGATATATATATATAAAATAATAAAACTATGTGTACAATAAACTAACCGATAACCATGATTTTTAAGAGATCTTCATTCGATTTGTTGAGGTTCTATACCTAGTTGACGACAGGCATAAATGTATCCTTTCATCACTTCATCCAACCATTTCTTTTTGATATTCTTCTTATGATGTTTGGCCCGTAGCAACATATTATAATCAATGGTCTTGTCCCCAAATAAGTAAAGATCCGATGTTCTGATCCATCCCCTGTTATCAAAAAAAAAAAAAAAATCGTTTAGATTTTTCCATTCATTTCTTTTTATTATTATTATTTTACCATTGATGATTTTCAGGTACCATAAAGAATTTGACTAACGAGCTTTGTGCTTTTGGTTTTCCAGTCCTTACATTCTTTGGTACATCTTCTTTATTCGGATCGACAATCTAAAATGGTGATAAGAAAAATAAAGTTTTCAATCCATCCATCCTTTCAGAATCCTCCTATTTTCTTATGATTGGGACTTACCTTGGCAGGATGGAAAGGAAAGCCAGATACACGTGCCCACACTACCTTTTCAATTGTGGTTGTCTGAAGATGTGCAAAAGTAGAGAGCGGTTCAACTTCCAAGGGTTGTTTTCCATGTGATAATTTGTTGCTTTTCTTGTTTCTTTTGCTAGAAGGAGAAATTATCGAGGTTGCATTGGTTGTCTTGATCATGCTATTATCACCTTGTTCTTCGTCATTACTACCATCTTCATCAGAGGAGGAAATATATACATAACCACGAGGAGCCCGTTTTGTCTTGCTTTCCTTGTATGATCCTTCCACATACGCAATGGGTTTCGTCACAGAGTCGCTCCATAACAGTTTCCTTGTTTCCGAATTCATCTTGCTATTCTTCATCGCACTTTTGGTTGGTACTGTCAATCCTTCTGATCCTGCACTTCGTGTCATTCGACGGGTCACCGTTGATATCGCTTTGTCTTTCTTTTTTATTTTGCGGGTATTTTTCTCTGTTTCTTGCGATAATTGTGGTTGTGGTGATGGAGATGTTGGTAATGATGATGATGGTGTGACCATGATTTCTGGACTTCGATCGCTACTGGTATTAGAAGAAAGTGCTGATGTAAATGAAGTAGATGATATGCTATTGCTTTTATCGGACACATCTGTTGACGCTGTTGCTGCCTTTCTTGCTCTTTTGGATTTTCGTGATTTTTCTGAAAGGTATTTATCGAGAGAGAGTTCTATCAGACCCGTTGAAGAAGATCGAGTAGTACGTCGAGATGATGTGGAAGATGGTAACTGTTTTTTTCGATCGGATCGTGTTGATGGTAACGATAATTCCTTTTCATTTTTCTTCTTTCCTGTTTCTTGATGCATTTGTTGATCCAATTCTTGTTGTGGTTCCTGTTTTGATATTTCTAGTTCCTTCTGTTGATTGTCATAGGAATCATGGCTTGGTTCCGGAGAAGGTTGTATTAGGTCATACGAAAATATATCAGGATCAATTCCCACCGCTAAAGTACCAGCTTGCAGTGAGATTTCCAACATGTTGTAATCTTGACGGGCTTGTGTCATCCATTCCTTTGCTTGTTCCTCCATACGCTGTGCCAATCTGTAATAAGAGGTATCTGATCTGTTGTATGTTTTACAGTTCTTCCAGATCAATGAGAGATCAGCCTAAATCAATAATATGATGGAAAAATGAGAAGATATTTTCAAAAACAAATTTTTTTTTCTATTTTGTTTGTTACCTCCACATCATCAAGAGTAGAATATTCATGAGCATGAAATTTGTCAATAATGTCAGAAAATGCCATTGGCTTGTCAATGATATTAAAATAATCTGGTGCCACATCCGTTGTCACAGGGTATAAAAAGAAATCCTTCTTGTCCATTCTATCAATAAAACGCGTATAAGCTTCCGATGTTATCCTTTTTTTTTTTTTAGACTTACTCCATAAGTTGATTCAATATAGGCTTAACAATATATTCCACAGGAAATAGTACCATTTCCACATATTCCTTTTGTCTTCGTATTCTTTCCAATTTCTGTTTTTCTCGTTTCTGTACTTGTTCCGATAACATACGTACTACTTCCAAATCAGCTCGAAGACTCATCATCGCCTATAAAATATAAATCATTATCTATTAGTTTGAATTTCTTTTTCTAACATTAGATGTTTAAATTCCGTGTTCTTTACCGATGCCTTGTGAGCTTTTTCCACTTCAGTTTGTTTCAATTGAGAAGAAGAGGCTGTCCATGGCTAATATGAAGAATATATATATATATATATATATATATATAAATTAGTACCATATTGTATAAACATTATATCTTCTCTATTCTTTTTTTTTTTTTGTACCTCCAAATGAAGGCGTTTGAGTAATGGAGCACCACGCCTAGATTCACGTTTCAATGACCAATATCGGCAAATACTTGCAATAAGTTGAGAACGCTTCTTCAGATGAGTTGCTTGTCGCACAAGTTTGATCTGTTCTAGCCGAGTCAAGATATAATCAGGAGCAATGGGAGCACCAGCAGAGTAATGATGTTGATGAGCTCTTGCTGCTTTCAGACTAGGTGTGAGTTGAGCTACAGGCATGACTTGATCTTGTTTTTGTTTTTGCTTCCTTGACGATGTTGTTGTTAATGATAATTTTCGTTTCTTGTAGACATGCGAGTGATATCGCCCTCGTCGTGTCTGTCGTCCGCGCCTAGAACGATATTGTCCGCTGCTACCGTCAACATCATCGTCGTCATCGTCGTCACCAAAATCATCATTGTCATCTTGACTGAAATGACCATCTTCTTCTCCATTCTCCAGTAAAAACTCATCAACGTAGCGTCTTCTTGGTGTATAACTTGATGTAGAGCGACCTCGATTTTTAGCTGACTTTGGATCCAAGAATTTTTGAGCTGCCAGAACGCATTTCTCCACATCTACTTCTTCACGATAATCACGAGGAGTATGTCGATCACAATAGGCCTTGAGTAATACACTATCATAATGAGAACCATGTGACTTCATTCGCATACATAAACGAGCCCATCTTGCACAAGTTACATGGAATGCGGTAAAGCAATGTTTGTTGTCGCATTGGATACAGGCGCCATGACGCTTTCGGCAAATATAACAAGTCAGTTTCCATCGGCTTTTAGGAATACTGTCAATATTGTCAATCGGTTCCATATATACACTATTACTGACACCGACTTCTGGAATCCATATTGCACACAGTAGATGTCCCCATTTGTTTGTATTGGTTTGTTTGAAAGCCCCGCCTTCATTTGGACAGAAGAGACATGTCACTGGCTTATCAGGAGATACCATACATTTTCGACATAACCATTGACCTTCAGGGATATAAGGAACCCCATAGCAATCTACAAATAAAAAAAACAAACAAACAAACAAACAAAGAATCCTAATATTAGAACCACGTTTTTTTTTTTTTTCATTTAGAAAAGAGTTATTTACCTTGATGTACCGCCAGGTTACACCCATCACAAAATACAATAGCGTTGCTGTTTTCACATTCACCGTCATCACATATGGCACAAGAAGAATCTTCAGGAAGTGAGGGTTCATCATTGACTTGTTTTGGAAGATTCTTCACCTATAGAAAAAAATAAAAATAATAAATATCCTATTGATCTCTTTTCATCTTTTTTTGATTTTACCAGATCGAACCATTCCTTTTCCAGTTTATCAATCACATTTTCAAAAAAGCTACAGGAAACTTCGCCTAGATCATCCTTTCTACGTTCTGCATTTAACATTTGTAACCAGGTTTCATCTATATAAATATATAAGTGAGAATCAATGAAATTAAGTTATCATCAAAGTATTTCGCTCCATCACATCTTCTAAAGTAGCCAATTTTTTTTTCTTTTTACCTTGTTCGTCCATATCATATTCCACCATATCAAATAACTCTTCTTCAGTGGGTTCTATACATAACAAAAAAAAAAAAAAAGAAAGAAAGAAAGAAAGGATATAAGTTAACAAAAAAAAAAAAGTAGTATTATTTCAAATATCATGATCTTACCTATATATCGAATATAATGATTTTCAGGTCGTTGAAAAGTCATGATACCCTGTTCAATAGATCGATCATCATCATCAGGAACAGTATCCTTGTGGATATGATGTTCATCATCATCATCATCATCTATCGTTCCATCCGTCATATCATCCGATCCATTATCACTGGTTCCATTATCAGTTTTGTTTTTCCGCAATTGTCGTAGTTTGTTCAAAGCAGTAGTTGACTTCTTTTTCTTTCTTGGGATGTCCTGATCGATAGAAATATCATCTTCATCATCAATTACCTTTTTGAATTTTGGTTTCGGTAATGAGGACAAATCCACAGCGCCAGATGCAGTAGTGTGATGAGTTTGAGGTCGAGTCGAGAGTGCTTGATAAGTATCACCTTCCTTTTGATCTCCATGAATGACTTTGGGTGAAGCTGTCCATGATTGTTCTGCAGTCGAAGGAGTTGAAGGTATCATTCCAGTTCTATCATCTTCTTCATCTTCCAAAGCAGATGAATTCATTTGTTGTTCATCGATATCAGTAGTTGTGGTCAGGTTGTTTATCGGTGTTGTGATTATTGGTGGAGTTGGAGTAATTGGTGTTGCTATTTTGGAACTTGTAGGTACGATAATAGAGTCGTCTGATGCTTCATCTTTGGAGAGATCGGATACATCATCCAAATCACCTAATGACTGATTGCTGCTACCACTATTGCTGGAAGTAGATGAAGGAGGAGGTTGTGGTGTTGATGGAGATGTATTATTCATGGCAAGTGATGTTGTTGTTGTTGTTGTTGTTGGATGAGTCATAGTAGAATCAGTAATTGAGTTTTGGTGATGACGAACAATGATCAGAGGTTGTTTGATGTTGAGATCAGGAAAAAAGTCCTTGTACGATCGTTCTTCTCGAGGTTTGTAAGTTGCAGAAGTGGGAGTTGTGAGAGTGGAAGAATAAGGTTGCGTATCTTGAGTAGCTTTGAGTGAAATAGTGAGACCTGATGAATAAGCTGAAGCCGATCGTGCCTCATCGCCAGTATAAGAAAGACCATGTTTTTGAGCAGGTGATATAGAATGACGTTTGGGTGGCCTACCTCTTCGACCTCCACGTCCACGAGGTTTGTATGGCATCAGTATTGTTCTTTTTATATACTATATTGTTTGTTTGACCAAAGAGAAAGAGAAGACAAAAAAAAAAAGGTTCCCTAAATTATCCGATGTTCCCATAAATACATTAGATAATAATAAAAATAAAAAAAAAAAAAAAAATAAAACAAGTATTAGAACAATAAAAATAAGGTAATATGTAAAAACGCGTTTTTATTGCACTATCCCAAAAGATCTTATTTTTAATGATTTACCAAAGTGAAGCCTTCTTTTCAGTTATTGACGTATAAAGTCAAAGTTAATACAATGATAACAAAAGAAGTTAAAGGGATCGATTCCTTTTTCTGGAGGTTTTCTTTTTCAACAAGTTTAAAAATAATAATAATAATAATAAAATAAAGGAAAAGGGGGGGAGGAGAATTTCCAAGTATATATAAAAAAAAAAAAAAAAAGAAAGAAAAAAAAAACCACTCACAACTTTACTGAGTTTAAATGTCATGAGATCCTCTTTTCTTTTTTTTTTTTTTTTGTTTGAGCAAAAACATATATGAACTTTTATATTTCAAATCAATTATTCAAATTTTAAATACTTATTCTCTTATTCATTATATTGAGAATAAATTATCAATCTCTCTCTCTCTCTCTCTTTTTACTACTATTTTTCATTTCCTCTATTGTATATGTGTTATGTATGTATGATGTAAAGATGACCATTCTGTTGGGAATTTATTCTCAGCTGCCTATCATTTTGTGAATATTCTCTTTTTTTTTTTTTTTTTTTTTTTTTCTCTCTCTTTCTTCTTTCTCTTTCTTTTCTGTCTTTTTTATTTTTTTTCGCGCCGACGATCTTCTCCATTCCCTTACCGTTGATTCAACGACATGCCCGAAGCGTTTTGGGGTAAGTTGACTATGTCAAATAGAAAAGAAAAAAAAAAAGATCATTACCTATTTCTAATATCAACATTTTTGATCTGTTCATAGGTTTGTCATTAGCACCTGAACAACCTCATGCACTTAACCATGTCGGAACGTTACATATCACTCAAGTAAGTAATTGTAGTAAAAGATATTGATTACATTACTAATAAATATAAACGAATATTTTAGGCAGTACTTTCATCGACTGAAGTTAAACCGGGAAAAACATATCTAAAGATCAAATCAAATGCTGATGAATACGTTTTATGTACCTTGGCAACAGACTCTGTAAGGAAAAAAAAAAAAAAAGAAAATCTTCATTTATTCTAAGTAATTACTTAGGTGCAACAACAAAAATTGGATTTATCTATCAATGAAAATGTAGATGATATTATACTTTTAGTTTCAGGACCAAAGTAAGTTTGGCATTGATGACCAAAAGAAAAAAAAAAACGATTTGAACGCGGTGCTTTTTTTTTTCTGATATTTTTTTTTTTATATAGTTCAGTATCATTGACAGGACGACTATTTGATAACGATGACGAAGATTTTCAATTAGATGAAGAAGATGAAGACGATGACACCTCTGGTATGCTTCAATTCCGGGATCCATCTGATAATCGATTCTTAGGAGGATTTGAATTACGCCACTTTGGGTTGGGGTCTCCCCCTTTGATGCCAACATGTGATAATATTAATTTACGACAAGAAGAGACAACAGAAGAAGAAAAAGTATTACAGTAAGTGTTTTGTATATATATATAGGCGAATAGTTTCTAATTCGTTGTTATTAGTGACAACATTGTACAAGGTTTAATTAATTCAATGTTCAATTCTGGTGATCCTTATCAAAGGCAGACTGCCAAAACGATATCAAGTAAGTTTATGCGTAATAATCAACAACTACAGACTCTAATTTTCTCTCTCTCTCTCTCTCTCTATATATATATATATATGTATCTAGAAAAACTGAAAAAGGCTGGCAAGAAAAAGATGAACAAAGGAAAATGAAATGGAAATGGGACTCCTAGGAACCGTATAGTCTATAGTTTATATATATATTCATATCAACAAAATTAATAATAAATAAAAAAAAAAAAAGGGACAAAGTACAAAAATAGAATCATATGGACTTTTTATTTTTATTATTGGTGGTGATGATTATGCTTATGATTGATTGTATATGATGTAATGTGACTATCAACAAATGATGATTTAGATAACTAATATAAAATAGGTGGACTTGCAAAAGACCTAGGACCAGAGTAACCTATGAATCCAATATATTGTAGGTCGATATTATCTTGTTCTCTTTCAGATCGTAACAACTTGATGAGGATGTATTTCCCTGATCTAAAAAAAAAAAAAAAAAAAAAAAAAAAAAAAAAAAAAAAAAGGTTATTTCTCTATAACCTTTCTCTTTCTTAAGTACCTATGATTGATATGAATAGTTTCTTGTGGTCGTTGACGATGAGAAGCACTGAACCATGCAATGGGATCGTGATCATCCCTATCCACTACAGCCGCGGCACTTGAATATTGATCATAATCCGTTTTGGTGAATCCATCGAATCGGCGTGTTTCTATAAAAGACAAGTAGTACAAATGATAATAAGCTATTGAATTTTTGTTTTTCTGTTTGATTGACTTACTTTCAACATCGATAGGGTAATGTGAAATAAAGATCAAACCTTCTTTACCTATAGAAAAAAAAAAAAAAAAAAAAGAGAGAAAGAGATTGAGATAAATATCAGTTCCAATGATGAAGGTTAATGATATGTCAGACTTTCATGTGATAATATCATACGTACAAGGAGCAGTAAAACTAGAAATAAACAAGATATATAACATTGGTAAGAAATGGAACTGGTCATTTCATTAGCACTACCCCTCATTCTTTTTAAATGTTTACCCTTGTAGAGGTGACCTGATGATGATTTTTGTCAATACACAATTTGTATCCATCAAATTCCGTCCACCTAAATACCGTAAAGATATATTGACTGTCCCCGTTCTACCTGAACTGTATTTCATCAAAAAAAAAAAAGGAAGGTTTAAAAAATGATCAATAATCACACACTAGCTATTCTTTCTTTTTTTATATAAAAAGAAAAAAAAATTACCAATAAACCGAAGGATCATTTCTTAAAACATTTTGAATATCATAATTGGAACTATATATATATATATAAAAGAAGTTATGCCGATCATGGAAGCGCTTACTCTAATGTTCATACTTTTCTCATTTTTTTTTTACCTATAACAACCACCATCATGAGATATAATCTTGAATTGTAATGGATAATAAGAATCAAAAGTTGGCAAATGATCACTACTGGTTGATAATTTCAGATGATCAGTCGTATTGGATGATCCTAACCAAAGAGGTGGTGAAGATGGAGGACTTGTAGATTGAGGGATATAATGATAAATACGATGATAATGTGGCTGTTCTTGATAATCATCTTCATATTCTTCTTCTTGTTGTTGTTGTTGTTGTTGCTGTTGTCGGTCAACTGAAAGTAAAGAAGTAATAGTGTCCACTGTTGGATTGTAACTACTAGTAGGAACAGTATAAGGTTCTCGTGATATAATAGAAGTTGATTGTATTGTTATTGGTGGAAGACTAGCATGTTCTTCTTGTCCCATTAAATCATCGTCGTAATTTCCCAGTGAAGGTGAGATTCCATTATGACCATTAAATACCCAATCTGAATTGACTGGTGATACTACCATATGGTCAAATGTTGTAGATAAAGTAGCTGTTGATGGCATATAAATATATATATAAATATATATTATCTATATATCGTTGATAATAATGCTAATAATATGAAAACAAAAAAAGAAAAAAAGAAAAAAAAATGTAAAAAAGAAAACCTAAAAAAAAAAAAGTAAAAACAGAAACACAAAAGACACAAAAATGACACAAGCGGTTTAAAAAGGGACAATCATGCGCCTAATCCTTAAACGGTAATTCCTTTTTTTTTTATGATTTTTTTTTTATATTATAAGATGAATCTCCTTTCTTCTTTTTCAATCTATCTCCCTTTTCATATATATATCTTAGATATCCCTTTCACATATAATTCATATATCAATCAACTATCATACAACTTCTTTTTGTATTTTTACCCGCCGAGGTCTAACATGAAATTGGTATCTCCTTTTGCTTTTGGTTTAAGATCCAATCACATAATGGAGAGACAAACCGTAGTATCCAACTTATTTAAAATACCGACTGACAGTGTTTAATTCCATCTTTTTTTTTTTCTCTCTCTCTCATTAAGATTATCATGATAAAGAATACGATTATTATAATCTTTTTTTTTTCTTCTATTTCAATATTTTCATCATTCGATAGCATATTATTTCAAAATATATATATATATATATATATATTTGATGACGTGATAAGATTTATGCTTTTATGCCAACTGTGTTTTAAACATTCATGTACTGTTATTCACTTGGTTTCTCCTGAGTTCATCCGATTGAAGAAAGTAAACAAATAAAAAAAAAAAAAAAAAAAGAACATACATCTGACAATTTGTACTCAGTCCTCATATCCCATATAACATCACCCAATCATCTCTAAATTTTATTGACATAAATTATAATAACTAAACATACAAAAAAAAAAAAAAAAAGGATCATTGTAATCTACGTCTAGATAATGCACGTTGTCTTATTTGTTCTATTTCTTCGGCTCGTCGTTTTTGTTTGTCCAAGAGAGCTTGTTCTTGTTGAATTTGAATTGCTTCATGATCCACCAATTCGATTTGTTCTTGTTCCATTTCTTCCACATCCGGTCGATCTTCACCATTCAATCTTGTTTTTGGTAATCGATCCAATCTTTTCAAACCTTCACTTTCTTTCACCCAATCCCAAATAATCTTACTGACCCCTTTCATCACTGCTTTGTTGGTATATGTGACATGCATATACATCACCCAGTCCAATTCCCTATATCGTATTTTGTGCCGATCCAACATGTCAGAAAACGAACAAAGTGGATGAAGATAAAGTGCCACCAAAGATCCCGTTGTATGATGATCGTCCAGTTGATGTTCCATCGATGCTATACCACCATCCATCAAAAAGTGCTTGTCAGGTGAATAATGTGAAAACACATGTCGATGTGCACCTTTGTTAGCAACGTTGCTGAAATAGCCTGTCAAAAATGATTTCAGTATAGGTATTGCGTCTATAGATTCATTTTCATCCTGTTGTCGTTTTCCTTGTTTGCTTGATTGGATTCGAGGTGCATGTACAATAGGTAAATTCAATTTCTTCATCACATCCATCAGTTGATCTCGAACTCGTAGTGCTGTTTCCAAAACTTTACCATGAATGTAATTGTCTTGACACCATTGCTTTTGCTTCATCTTGTCTTTACGATATCGTCTCCATTCGTTCCATACATTGAGATAGGTCAAATGATCACCACTATGATGAGCAAAACGTAACTTGCACTCTTCAGCTTCCATCATAGCTTTGTCCATATCTTCCTTGGTAATATGTGCACCACCACGACCACGAAGAGATGGGGTCTTGAATAGATCCATTTCACCAGCCAATAAACTTGCTATTGTCACTACTTCATAACTACATCCAAATGTGCATGAAGCCAATAGAACTCGAGATAACGACGGTGCCAGAGGGAAAGCACTCATTTGATCACCCAAACTTGTCAGTTGTCCTACTTCATCAATGGCACCCAATAGATAGAGATGTTTCAAAGCTGTCTTGACCAAAGTAGCATCAGGAGGATCCAAAAAAGGAAAATGAAGAACATCCACAATACCACGTTTCTTAAGTCCTAAAACCGTGCTGATAAGACTACTGCGTTGAATTTCTGGAACACTGTTGACACGCATAGCTTCAAAACTTTCTTCTTTGTATAATCGATACACTTTACCAGGTCCTGTTCGTCCTGCTCGTCCTGCACGTTGAATTGCTGTTGCTTGACTGATTTCGGTTACTAGTAATGCGTCCATACCCGTTGTTGCATCATATGATTTTTCCTTGACAAAGCCAGCATCTACCACATAACGAATACCAGGAATCGTCACTGAAGTCTAATGATAATGATAATAATAATAATAAAAGATGGTGAATCATTCATATTTCTAAAATAATAATTCCTTCTTTACCTGAGCCACATTAGTAGCAAATACAACCTTCCTTGTTCCTCGTGGTGAAGGAGCAAATACAGCTTTTTGATCCCATGTTTCCAAACTTGCGTATAAAGGATATATTTCCAATTGTAGTAATTGTTGTTGTCGTGATTGTTTTGCCTTTTCCTTCAAAGCTTTGCATGCCCGTTCAATATCATGTTGTCCAGTCAAAAACACTAGTATGCCTGTATTTTCATCATCGTCTTCGTCTCGGTGAGTAGTATGAATATGCCAAGTAGTATCAATAGCCAAATCAACAAAAGAAGATGCTAATGCCGAAATTCTTTTTGCTTCAGGTACATAGATAGTTTGCACAGGATACGTACGACCAGGAATGGCAAATAATGGACAACCATCAAAGAAATCTGAAAACTTTTCTACTTGCAAAGTTGCTGACATGATCAAGATCTTGAGTTCCGGACGTAATCGATGTGTTTGTTTTAGTAGACCCAAGAGGACATCCGTTTCCAAAGTACGTTCATGAGCTTCATCAATCACAATTACAGAATACTGCATCAACAAAGGATCCAATGTTGCTTCTCGTAAAAGAACACCGTCAGTCATGTATTTGAGTCGAGTGCTGTCGCTAGTCTTGTCTTCAAATCGTATCGTATATCCTACAGTTGTTCCTAACTTTACATTTTGTTCTTCACTAACACGCTTAGCAACTAGTTTACATTCAACATATTAAAAAAAAAAAAAAAGAAAAAAGAAGAAGAATGATACGAATAAATTAGTGCTTACAATGATAATAGTTGAATTTGTTTATTGTTCTTTTTTTTTTTTTTTTTTTTTTTTTTACCTGTAATAGCAGCAATCCGCCTAAGTAAAAAAGAGAAATATATGAATTAAAAAAAAAGAAGAAATATTTTTATATATATGAAATAGACTAACCTTGGTTGAGTGACACCTATACGTTTGACATTAAGACCTTCTAAAATGTATTGAGGAATTTGAGTTGTTTTCCCGGATCCTGTTTCACCAATTATGACAAGAATATTGTATTCTTTGATAGCATCAATGAGATCTTGCTTGTATTCAAAAGTAGGTAAAGATTCACGTTGCTTTTGTATACTTTCAAGCATGGTTATTCCAAAGTAAGGATCAGTGAAGCAAAAAGAGAAAAAAGGAATTAAAAAAAAAAAGTCTAATCTATGCCTGGGTTTTATGGTCCGTCGCCGCAACAGTCGAAAGAATTTATCGTCAACTTTTTGCTGGGCATAAATCATCCTCTTTCCATGGATGGTAAAACGAGAATGATTATTGTCATCAGATGACCAGATCCAATCATCATCGCGCAAACCTGCATAAAAATAAAACTATATATTGTATCGATTCAAACATACTATTCTTTTTACAAAAGATGATACTTTTATTTCAATTCTATTGCTAATAAAAGAAAAATCAAAATCAAAATAACCAGAAAATAACATACAAAGACAAAGTCTACTCTATAATAAAAGGGATCCTAATGATTTCATAATAACAATAAAATGAAAGATAAAAGACATGGGAGGAGTGTATCTAATAGAGACGATGAGGCTTGCCCATGGTAGACTTCAAGTACAAAGACTTGACGTTTTGCCAGTTCTTCTTGAGCAAAGAAACCAAAAAGTTAACAGCCAAAAGAATGTTAGCAGTCAATTGATCTTCAGTCATTTCAACGTGACCAACGGCAACACCCAAACAGAGAACCTTCTTCAATTGGAACTTGATGGTAGCACGGATTTCGTTGGCCTTGTCAGTAAGAGATTCAGAGTGAGAGACGGGCAAGGGGAACTTACCAACCCTATCATATAAAAAAAATAAAAAAAATTCAGTCGACCTTGATCTTCTCCCTTTATTCTTATTATTCATCAAAACTTACTTGTGGAGACCGGGACCCAAAAGACGAGGAATTTGCTTGATCAAAGCTTCAGAAGCAACGAAGGCATCGTACTTCTTGGCGAGCTTCTTGATGAGCTTCTTGTTCTTGTTGAGCTTCTTCAAATCATCAACAGATTGGAATTCCATACCAGCAGCCTTGGCTTGGTCACAGTGGAAAGCATCACCGAGAACACAGACAGACAAGTTGGGACGGGGAACATGGGGCAACTTGATGGTACCAGAGAAACGCTTATCACGTTGGGGATCGTAGTTCTTCAAACCAATTTGGAGTTCGATGGTTTCAGTGAAGTTACGCTTCTTTTCAGGGGCGGTGATAACAGCAATGGCTTCCCGGACGGCAGTACCAGTGACTTTGCTATAAAATAAAAAGGTACAAGTTTAGTATTAAAAATAAAATTTCTTATGATACTCCATCCATTCATCCCATTATATCATACAATAACATATATATATACTTTCAATTATATGACGGATGGATGGATGGATGGATGGATGGATGGATGGATCTACTAATAGTTACCTCATGATGAAATGATATAAAGGAAAGAGAAGGTTCCCATTTCCTGTCAAAAATTCAAAACTTTAAAAAAAAAGCTGCGGAAATTAAAAATGTTGCTTCTGGATCTTGAGGATTGCCATTTTAGATTTTTGACAATGCATAGACAAAGGAGGTTCCTGTATTTTGTCATCATCATCATCATTGTCAGCATATCATCAAAATTGTCAACGTATAAAAAGAAAATTGCCTAAAATATGTAAAAAAAAAAAAAAAAAAGAATCCTTACAGTAACATTAAAAAGAAACATAACTTCATCAATATCGACATAACTTTATTTCAAAACGAGGTAATAAAGTGTAAAGATGGACCAAATAAATAAAATAAACTTCTATAAACTACGATAAAAAGAAAATCAACCATCACAAATATGTATCAATCAATATTTCACCACACAGGGCCACCAGAGACAATCTTATTCGGAGGAATGGATTCACCAAACAAGGCATGACTGAGAAAGTTGTATTCTTCTTGGAAATGTTTCTTCTTATTTCCAGTGGCCACAGAAGCAGATGGAGGACGACCAGTATAATGAGGTTGCTTGCCAGTATGATATTGAGTTTGGGATAATGCAGTGGTAATACGTGGCTGGACATGTTGCCAGGCACCTGCATTCATAGGTTCTTCTTGTAACCAGATGATTTCAGCGTTGGGGTATTTGTCGACATGTTCTTTGACTTGTTGATAAGGAAAAGGATTCAATTGTTCTATACGAGAAATTGCAATGTCCGTCACTTTGTTTTCTTCGCGAGCTTTTAACAAACTGTAATATACTTGGCCCGTACACAAAATATGTTTCTTGATATCTTCTGGCTTCTGAAGCTGAGCAGGATGTACTTCGGGAAGATAGGATTGAAATATGGTATCGCCTGTTAATTCATCTAGGCTTGATTTCGCCAAAGGATGTCGTAAAAGTGATTTGGAGAACGGCAAGATCAACTAGATGAACAAGATGGAAAAAAACAAAAAATTGAGTTTTTTTTTTTTTTTTTTTTTTTTTTTTTTTAATAAAACATCCTTTTTTTATATATCCACACACATAGAGGTACCTCTAATTGCACTTTGATATGACTTACCGGTTTTCTAAAAGGTCGATGAATTTGACGTCGTAATACATGGAAATATTGAGCAGGAGTCGAAGGATATACTACTTGCATATTGCAATCTTGAATTTGTCGTTGTAGGGCAATGTCGGATGGATATACATAAGGAGAATCGTCACAGAGTAATAAATATCTTTCAATACGAGCAGATGAATGTTCTGGTCCTTGTCCATCGTAACCATGTGGAAGAGTCATCACTAAACCAGTACGTTGAAGCCACTTTTGTTCACCAGCTGCTATGAATTGATCCACAATACATTGTGCATTATTAGCAAAATCACCGAATTGTGCTTCCCACATGACCAAAGTGTTAGGATCCACCAAAGAATAACCAAGTTCAAAGCCAAGGACACCAAATTCTGAGAGTGAAGAGTTGGAAATCGAGAGTTTTTTTTGTTCAGGAGAGATATGATTCAATGAATTGTATGGTGTGCCCGTTTTTTGATCAAAAACTACCGAATGTCTTTGAGAAAATGTTCCTCTTTCCACATCTTGTCCAGACATCCGTATATGGTGACCCTCCATCAATAAACTACCCCAAGCTAATGCTTCTGCTGTAGCCCAGTCAATATTATTCCCTTCTTGTACAGATTTGTCACGATTTTGTAGAATTCTTTTCAGACTACGATGAACGTGGAATCCATCAGGTAATGTTGTTAATGCTTTTCCAATGTGTTCAAGTACTTCCTTGTTGACACCTGTTATTTGACCCGGTAAAATTTCTTCAGCCACTTCCTTGGGCGATTTGCATCCTAGTGAACAAGTCATTCAATATTACATCATCATTTTCAATTCTTGCCCTTTTTTTTTTTGTTTGTTGTATTACCTGGCCATGAAGTTGATTGCCATTCACTGGAAGTAGGTTTGTGAGTTTTGCTCTTTTCAAAATTTTGTTCCAAGATAGACCAAACACGTTTTGTATTTTCATCAATTTCCTTTTGTGATAATGTGTTTTCCTTGACCAGTTTTTCTTCGTATTGTTTGACCACAGGAACTTGTTTTCCAATAGCTTCATACATTTGAGGTTGAGTAAAACTAGGTTGATCTGTTTCATTGTGTCCATGTTTTCGATAACATACTAAATCAATAACCACATCCTTGTTGAAAGTTTGTCGCCATTCAGATGCCAATTGCATAACATAAGTGACAGCTTCTACATCATTGCCATTGACATGGAAAATAGGTGCATCAATAGATTTCGCAATGTCGGTACAATAAGGAGTTGACCTTCCTGAAATTGGATCTGTTGTAAAACCTATTTGATTGTTGACTATAATATGAATAGTACCACCTGTCGAGTAAGCAGGTAAATCATAGAATCCCATGGTTTCATATACAACACCTTGTCCAGCAAAAGCAGCATCACCATGCATAAGCACTGCCATAGCCTTGTTTTGATCGCCACCCTTATCAAGATATTGAATTGCACATGTCTTGCCAAGTACCACAGGATTCACTGCTTCCAAATGAGATGGATTGGCTACCAAAGAAAGATGCACCCGTTTGCCTGATGGTGTTGGTCGTTCATAATTCATACCAAGATGATATTTGACATCACCTGATCCTTCTACTGACGGTTCATTTGATCCACTAAATTCACAGAATATTGATTCGTTCGGTTTTCGTACAACATTGCTAAGAACATTTAGTCTACCACGATGAGGCATTCCAATCACAATAGATTCCACACCAAGATCAACAGATCGATCAATCTATACCATTTAAGATAATAATGAGTATTAAAATCAAGCATTGATTCCCTCTCTATTTTCTCTTATATATATATATATGTATTACCAAAGCCTTCATACCAGGAATCAGAGATTCACCACCTTCTAGACCAAATCGTTTTTCAGATGGATATTTAGAAGCAACAAATCGTTCAAAGCTATCAGACCAAATCAATCGATCGAGAATCATCCTTTTTTCATCTACAGAATATTTGTATGGCACAGGATTTTCAACACGACTTCGAATCCATTCACATTGATCACGATCAGGAATATGAACATATTCAATACCAATCGAGCCACCTAAAACAAATCAAATGATTGAGAAAAATGACAATGATTATTACTTTTTTTTTTTTTACTTACAATAAATACGTTGTAACTGTTCAATGATCTTTCGCAAAGTCATAGTTGTTGCTTGTCGATGATAAGTTGGAAGGATACCAGGACCAATAGTGAATTCACGATCTAAATCCTTGTCAGTGAAACCATAATACGTATGTTGCAATTCAGGAGGTGACGTATGCTCACGATCAGCAAATTGTATACCCAAAGGATCCAGTTTGGCAATATGATGACCACGAACTTGATAAGCGCGACTAAGGAGTTGAATTCTCATATGATCAGCCACCTTTTTTGATTGAGGATCTTGACCAGCTATTTGTTCACCAGGTAAAACAGGAAGACGAGCTGAACTGGAAGGAAAATAAGTTAAGGTATCAGGATGGTGAGGACGAGCACCAAAACCACCTTTACTGGGAGATACTTTTTCAAAATAAGTTTGCCACGACTTGTCTACTGATTTGGCATCTTGTAACCAAGCTTCATACATGGCATCCACGTAACTATTTGATTCATTAAAATCATTCCTACTTGAAGATAAATATCGTGTGAATTGTATAGATGACTGTCGTAATAAGCCATTCAAGTAAAAAGGTCCATGGCCAGTTCTTGAGAGGGTAGATAATCTATACATGAAGAAAGATGGAATAATGGAAAAAAAAGAGAGAATAAAAAGAAAAGAAAAGAAAATTACAAGAAAGAAGGAAATAAAAAAGAGGTCTTTTTTTTTATGGGAGAAATTTTTTTTTTTTTCCTCATCATGCTAACTTTTTCATACTCCGTATGATCATCATGTAAAAATGTCTACATATACTCCTACAATATTGTAGATCTATTCTTTAAATATACTCTATATATCTTTATCATTTATTTAAAAGAGTTGGATATACTACAGTACATATATGGAAGATGATGCATCGATGCATGGCTGATGAAGGGTCATCATACAGTATGTATTACAGTGCAAACGTGATCTCAAGAATGATCAAGTCATACTGTAATGTACAATAATCAATAGTCTAAAAGACCTATAGGAAAATACTACAATAGTTGGATGATACAATTTATTATATTAAAGTAAAAATGTATATACTGTGATAATATGAAATTTTTGAGAATATTTGTCCTTTTTTTTCAATATGTTTATATATATATGATCAGAGTTTGTTTTCCATAAAAGGTAAATGTCATCCTCTCACCATCTTTGCAAAAAAAAAAAAAAAAAAAAAAAAAAAAAAAAAGAAAAAAGAAAGGAAAAAAAAAGAAAGAAAATAGAAAGAAAAAAGAAAGGAAAAAAAAAAACACTTCCCCTTCATCATACTATACATCCAGAGTTATTATTCACATTTTTATACTATGTACAAAGGTAGATCATACAAATGTTGATTTGACTGATCAATAAGATATCCTTATCAATGACATCACACAAACTACTTTGATGAAACATTCAAATATTTTTCTTTTTCGTTATGTATTGATCAAACACATTTTCATTTGATTGGTAAAAAAGAAAACTGTACCTGTCAATAGATTCGCTAGGATTCTTTTATTTTTTTTATACAATACCACTGGATAGCGAGCGGGGTTTCAGTTGATATGATCCAGGACGAAAAGATATTATCCGTAAAAGGATGATCATAAAAGGTACAGTGCTTTTTTTTTTTAAAAAAAAAAAATAAAATTAAAAAAGGATTATCATTATTTTTTATATATAAAATGAGAATCATCACTAATATATACATATATATAAATGAATGAATAATAGTTATTGTCAATAATATATATATGATTATACTATCACAGGCTTATTATTTTCGCTTGATCCATACATCCGAAGAAAATTCTATTTTTTTTTTCTCGGAAAACACCGCCGTTGAAAAATTACAATCAAAACCAATGATTGGCTGTGGGCAAAACTTTTTGAAAGAGAGGAGTCACAAAGAAACCAAGGGGAAAACAAGACCGATAGGCTCCCTTTTTTTTTTAAAAAAAAAAAAAAATAAAAAAAAATAAAAAAAACTTTTTTTTTCCTTTCTTTTTCTTTTTTATTTTCGACCTCCCCTCTCTTTAAATAACATCATGCTTCCTCAACAAAAGTTCATCGCTTCTTCTCCTGCTGGTGATGTTGCCGCTCCTACTGGTGCTGACTTGTATGCCCGTTTCGCTTTGGCTGGTGCCGTCTGTTGTTCTATCACTCACGGTGCTATGACTCCCGTCGATGTCGTCAAAACTAGAATTCAATTGTCTCCTGAAGTTTACAACAAAGGTATGATCTCTGGTTTCCGTCAAGTCGTTGCTGCTGAAGGTGCTGGTGCTCTTCTTACTGGTTTCGGTCCCACTGCTGCTGGTAAGTTCATCTTTTTTTATTTTATTCTAAAAAAAAAAAAAAAAAAAAAGAGTGAAAGATAAGAGTTAATTTATTAATTATCATCCCCTTTTCTATAGGTTACTTCTTGCAAGGTGCCTTCAAGTTTGGTGGTTACGAATTCTGGAAAAAGACTTTTATCGATGCTGTTGGTGTTGAACAAGCTCGTGAAAACCGTACTGCCATCTACTTGGGTTCTTCTGCTATCGCTGAATTCTTCGCTGATGTTGCTCTCTGTCCTTTGGAAGCTACTCGTATTCGTCTCGTTTCTCAACCTGACTTTGCTTCTGGTCTCTTGAGTGGTTTCACTAAAATCGCAAAGGAAGAAGGTGTTATCAAAGGTTTCTACTCTGGTTTTGGTCCTATTCTCTTCAAACAAGTTCCTTATACTATGGCTAAATTCGTAGTTTATGAACTCGCTGCGTAAGTTACTTATTATTCTTTTATTATTATCATATTTATTAATATTTTTTTCCTTTTAGTGAAAAAATCATTCACCAAATCGGTATCCCCAAGGATGAACTCGCTCCTTCTACTCTTACTCAAGTTAATTTGGGTGCTGGTATCATCGCTGGTAAACTTAATCATTCAAACAACAAAAAAGAATACTACTAGTCTCGTATTTTGAAACTCAGGAACTGACCCTGTCTTTTTTTTTTTTTTTTTATTTTTATTTGTTATTGTGACTCTTCTTTCAGGTACCGCTGCTGCTATTATCTCTCAACCCGCTGATACCCTTCTTTCCAAGATTAACAAACAAAAGGGTGTTGAAGGTCAATCTATCACTTCTCGCTTAATCGGAATGGCCGGACAACTTGGAGCCAGAGGTTTATTCTTGGGTTTGGGCCCGCGGTAGGATTAAAAAAGAAGAGATAAAAAGGTCTGCTGGCTAATTTTACGTTTCATTGTATTTTTATTTTATTAGTATTGTCATGGTCGCTACTTTGACTGCAGGTAAAGAAAGAAAATAATAGAGAGGAAGGGCATTCTGTTGCAGATAGATATTGGATTGGAGGTGACGATTATTGTACTGTTTTACTCAATTTTGATTTTTCTTAATATAGGTCAATTCGCCATCTATGGTGATATCAAGCGTGTATTGGGTGCCACTGGTGGTGTTGAAATTGCCAAATAGATTATTATTAGTAGTTATAGATCATAATTATAGATCATCATTGAATTTTAATAAAAGAAGACATACACACATATATCTATCTACATTTATTTGGTTTTTTGTTGTAGTGAATACCACAAGGATTGAAGATAGGATTGACAAGTTGGAATTATATCGTCATTTCACTATTATTTATCTATTTGTCCTCGATCATCATCATTATCAAAAGGAGTAATAAGGAAGAATGGGTATGATTATCATTTCAGTTTCACTAAAAAATAAAAAATAAAAAATAAAAAAGCTAAACACAAAATCCATATACACATCGGTATCTTGTTTCTGCTATTTCTCTTCATATATTACATCCATCATTTTTAAGAATAGATATTCTCTTATTAGCAATCATCATCATCATCTGTGATAATAGTAAGTTGTACCTGTATACTGTTGATTGTTCGTCTTCTCTCTTAACGAAAATAACGATGTCGTTGACGATACTTTAGAATAGATCATGCACTTTATTACATAATACACTCAAAGAAACATTCTTATTAAATCATCACAACAATAGATAGTAGCAATAAGTACATACACAAAACATCATAGCAGGATAATTTAAATAATCAAACATTTTATTTAAATAAAAGGGTACTTTTACAAAAGAGAAGAAAGGGAATAAAGAAAAAAAGCAACTAAATAGTAACACCATAAAGAATATATACAATACTAGTGATGATGATGACAATGATAATAATAATACTAATAATAGTAATGGAGAGAGATATCAACCAAGTAGAAAATTGAATGAGACCATCAAGTATGGAAAAGACTAAGCAAATAGGAAGACACAAAAAAAAAAAAAAAGCAAGGACCATCCACGTAGAAAAGAGATCTCGAAGAAAACACCACGACAACGAGAGACAGACCAGGAAAACAGGAAGAGAGAGAGAGAGACCAATCAAGTAAAAAAAAAAAAAAAAAAAAAAAAGACTTTCAAAAAAAAGTAACTGTACATAGGTTGACTTGCATTTGGTGTGCAATCCAGAATCTAATAGTAAAAAAGGTATATATAAAAAAAAGACGATTAGTTCCTTAATCTATGTCTTACCTCCATACTTGTTATTCCATCCAGTTCAAAACCACTAGAAGAGCCATAACCAGCTAAAGCTAGAGAAAATAAGAAATGAATTTATGAGTTGGCTGAATTAAAATATCTTTCAAAGCAATCACGCATCTTTTCTTTTCTTTTCAATAAAGAAGATTTGGACTATATAGACAATAATATCTAAAAGATCAATAAAATAAAAGAAGAAATACATTAGTATCATTCCCTTTTTTCATCTATTATTTTTTTTTTTTAGACTTATCAGTTTGCACCATTGACCGCTTTGTTTGACTAAAGGTTAATATAAAGTAATGATGATCATTCGAGATTTGATTGCATAAACAACAATATTGTATCTACAGATAAAATCAACCAAAAAACAATACTCCATCACTGTTATTCTTATATATATCCATGTTACCTTGCTTATATCATCTGGCAGTGATACCGTATTAACCCCCATAAAATAAAAGGAAGGATCTAAAAAAAAAAAAAAAAAAAGAGAGAGAGAAAGAAAGAAACAAGTGAATATATGTAATATTATTTAATACCTCTTTCCTACTTACTAGTTTGATTTTCCTGATATCTACTTGTAATTTCACCAACATGAATACGAATCCACAAATAACGTTGTCTTTCTCTCTCTTTTTTTTTTTTTTTTTTTTTTTCTATCCTTTTACCTTGACTATATCATTCGCCAGTGTTGATACTATCCTTAGTCGCTATTGATAACGCGAGTAGAGTGCGGGGAATAGAGTAAAAAAAAAAAAGTGAGGAGAAACGGAAAGAGAATGAAATAAAAAGAAAATCGTGGAGAACGAAATAAAATAAAAAAATTTAGGCATTTATTAACATTATTTGATTTATTAACAATATTTGATTTTTTGACTAATTAACTATTTATGATTTGATAACAACTAGATACTTGACAAGTCATCATTTTCCATACGGTGAAAGATATATGTTTGCATTCCGTTTCCATCAATGTCAATATCGTATTCCTTGATAGGGCATGAAGGTGACACAGTATGGCTTTTCTTGACCCCAAAGAATTCATATGCTGCTGAGATCGATTCAAATTGTTCTACCACTTTTGGATCATTTTTCAGGTACACGATACATCCAACCTTGGATGAACCTTGTACATTTTCTCTTGGAGAGACAAAACGAAGGTTGAGGTAATAGTTGTTATCCCTAATACCGTCGATGTGATCCACTTGCGTCTTTTCAGGAGAGTATGATGATCCGTTGAAAACAAAGCAAACCAGGCGATGTGCAGATTGTCTGGTGAGTTTTCCAGTATTATCATCGTACAAGTAGTAAACCACGTATCCATCAGGTGATTTCGATATGGCGAAGATAGTCGATCTGTTGCTGGTCTTCCGTTTCAATGTTCCATACTGACTGACATAGTAATCCTTGTAGTTCCTTCCAGGCACGCTTCCGCCGATATGTCTAAAGCTTTCGTCATGTCGTAACTGAGGTTGACCGATGGTCTTGAAGATACGCGGTCGTTGATCAGGGTGCGCACGATAAAACTTGATGGCTTCAATGGCATTTTCAGAGATAGTCGCCCATTTCAAATTTTCCAATCGATTGTTGTGCGTGTTGTGATCAATGTGATGAACTACCTTTCCTTCTTCAATACCGTGATGTGATGATTTCACCAAGATATGCACCCGCATTGTTTTATATTTGTCAGAACCATTGCTTAAGGATACCTTTTTGGGCTTCTTGTATTTTATCCCATCGTATGTAGTGCCATACGGTTCATAGTCGGTGAGGAATCGTTCAGAAGTCAAAGAATAGATCGTTCCAACAGAAGAAACCAAGTAGTTTGTCAAGTAATCCGCTGAGACCTTTGGATATAAAGCGACCTTGAATTTTACCGGATGATGAATTTCTTCAAGCTGAGCGATGCGTGTCTGTTGATATTCTAAGAATGTTGCTTGGATGACATTTTCCAACGATAAATTCGTAGGGTTCTTGTCTTTGAAAAAAATCTTCAAACTACCATCTTGATCAAACTCACGAAAGGTGTCCACCATGATTTCTGACACAGGCACCCAGATCCTTGAAGAGCCAATTGTGATGTTCACCTTGTACAACAGTCCATTCATCTTGGTGGGTTTCAATTTCACACATTTTCCAATACTAGGCCATCCATAAATATCACCAAAAGTAGTAGCAACATATGAAGTATGTGGTTCTGATCCTATACCAAGACGACGACTTTTTATATATGCAACTTGAAAAGCATCTGTCAATGTAAAAAAAAAAAAAAAAGGAAAAATAGTAAGTATGGATTACATAAAAAAAAAAAAAAAGAGTCACTTACCGGAGTCGTGTTCCTCTTCCATGAGATGTTGAACATGGTCGACCTTGTTCATATATCTGAGATTGATCAACCTGTCATCCTTGTGATCTCCGTTCAGATGTACGATCACCATTTCAGGGTCTGGTTCGTCCATATCGCCAAAAGTGGATAGCATGCATTCATCAATACAGACGGTCTTCGTTTGCTTCTTTCCGTTCACTCTAAACCATAGCTGGACCAAGTGTCGTAAATATTTTGCATCGCGTTTCAAAGGATGTTTCTTGTTGTCGCCAAAAACCAAACCATCTTCCGTAATTGTATATGGATGTTGCGTCCCATTGATTTTATAGTGCTTTAATGGTCGGTATACTGTCGTTATAAAAAAAAAAAAAAAGAGAATTAGAAATACAATCGCTCTAAAATAAGATTTTTGACCAATGCAAAGCGTATATTACCTGTTTCATCTGTACTGGCTGAAGAACTGGAGCTAGATATATCGCTGGAATCATCAGAAGGAGAGGTCATTTTGATTAATAAAGAGAAAGAGAAAAAAAAAATACCGTAGATTTATTGAAATAAGATGGTTTTCTTTTATACTATTTTCATTTGTCGTTGATCTGGGGTTTCTTTATTTCATATGTTGTCATTATTTTTGCTGCTTCATCCGATAGGCTATCTTTTTTTTTTTTTTGGACTTTGTCATTCGAGATGTTATCATTATTTTTTCTACTCTTTCATCCGATGTGTTGTCATTATCTTTGTTGCTTCATCCGATATGTTGTCATTATTTATACTTGCTTCACATAGTAACCATATTCGTTCAATCATCCAATCATCCAATCATCACCTATCATCTATTCAACCATCCATTCCCTTCATTCATCATTGTTGTCCATTTTTCCATCGGCCTATTCCTTTCATCATATGATAATCAAATAATAAAAATATGGTTTTATTTAAATGTGAATATAAAATAAAACATTATAACTAAAAGACTAAACTACTGAATAAACCAATGATAAAGAGTTGGATACTTTTACCTAACTTGCTATTCTTTTTTATCCAATATGCAGTTAATCCTATTGTATATTCCTTCATATATCTTATCTACTATATGTCCACAAAAAGAGTAAAAAAAAAAAAGATTTAGTTCATAATATGAAAGACTAAGAAGAGAAAAGAAAAAAAAAGGAAAGAATAAGTATATAGTAAAGTATATAGAGTAAGTATAATATGTAAAGAATGACTTTTAAGTATATAATATAGATTAGTAAAGTAATGTATAATGGTAACTTACAATGTCCAAAGTGCCAGTGGTTAAAAAAAAAAAGTAAAAGAAATGCAAAAGTAAAAAAAAAAAAAAAAAAAAAAAAAGTGAAGAGCGCGCCAAATTTTTCTTTTTGTCAGAGCTTTGGTCCAACTTTTTTTCCATTGTCTCCAACAATTTTTTTTTTTTTTCAATCTCCAGATTTTTCTTTTTTTTGATCTCGACCTCCAGACTTTTTTTTTTTTTGATCCAACACACCCCACACATTGAGACCGGACTTTGAAGTTATACCATTTATGGAAAACACTTATGATTTTAATAAAGTAGAATAGATGAATAAATAAACAATAATAATAAATAATAAGCTATGATTTAGATTGAATTATTAGTAAATGATAATGATAATATGAAATGATGATTTTATAATTCATAATAAGTTGAATATTAACTATAGTATTATAATATATACTTTTGATGAACAAGTTACCTTTCTCTCTTTTTTATCAAATTCATATAATATGATAATATGAGTTAAGCGTTCATTATCATCATATAAAGTCATCATGATTTTAAGAGTATAATAATCATCATCCATTTACTTTTTTATTGCCCCTGAATTAATAAAATGTCCTCTCATTTTCTAAATCAGTCAAACCTAACATATTAGAATGTGTAGATCAATTTAGTGTAGTACATGTCCTAACTGCATAAAAAAATATCAATGTTCTTTTCTCAGCATGACATTAAGTATCAATGTATTTTTTTTCTTCGTAAAGAAATAATATATGTATATTACTACTACTATAAAAAAAAAAGAAAAAGAAGATGATTAGATAGAGCATGACACGTGGAGTTTGAAACGCATAAAAAAACTAAAGTCTTAAGAGCAAAAGAAGCTTTACATTCTTTTTTTTCTTTCTTTCTTTTTTTTTTTTTTTCCAACTTTTAAACTAAATTTACTAACACATATTACTCTTCAATTATTTAGATCGTTCCTGTATTATACCTTTCCTTTGATGACCACCTCATTCATCTTTTGTTATTGTTATTCTGTAAGTAATTAAATGAATATTCCAAGTTATTATTTTACTTATGGTTTCTTTTTTTTTATCTTCATTTGTTTAGATCCGAAAACAAGTAAGTAATAATAATATTAAAAAAAAAAGTTATTTTCATTACCAAACTAATCTAATTCTATTTATACTATATAGACCTTCAAAGAAAACTATGTGTTCTTAATGACATCCGTAAGTTTATATTCTATACATAATAACTATGACAACAAGAATGAATAGTTGACTAAAATAATTGTTTCTTCTATTATATTGGTATTCCGGTTGAGAAACGTTATCCAAAACTGGTGAAATGATAGAAGACTTCTTTTTTTTTTTTTTTTTTTTTTGCTGGCAAGACAAGAAACTCTGTGTATGAAGAATGATGCTTGTGATGATGGATCCTAAGGAAAGGTAATAGTATCAAATGAAATCCATCCTAAAACATCTTTGTTTTTTTTTTTTTTTTTTTTTTTTTTTTTTTTTTTTTTTTTAGTACAAACATTCTTTCTCTTTTTATAATAGGTATGATCGATGCCATATGAAGCTCTGATTGTAGCACCTCTTTGTCTTCTCAACGTATTGGGTATGGTGGACTACTTTTGTGTGTTCCTTTTTTACTCTTCTTTTGTAGTTGCTTCAAGCAAAGAAAGAAAGAGCTATGTAAGTATACTCTAGCTGTTTTTACGATATTTATATATGAATAGTCTACTCATCCTCTCATTTCCTTTCTTTTTTAGTTCTCGATGGTTTAATAGATACTTGAATCTAGTTGATATCTTGATTAGGCTTTGCTTTTGAACTGACTTTATCTTGATTCTATTTGATCTTTTATGACCTTCTCTTGGAGTTAGGTCTTGATCAAACTTGCTTTAACCGTAAGTCGTAAATGTCAAAATTGATTTCCAGTTAAGTCAGCTCTCAAAGGTAAGTCTAATCAAGATACAAATTGGATTCAAGTAGTCTGTGGATCATATCCATTCGACGGGTGGAAGGCAATATATAAAGAATATTATGCAATGAATACAGTATATAGTAGTATTATTAAAAATCAATCATCATTCCTTTCCCTTTGGTTTAGAAAATAGTAGAATAGATGTATAGTGTACTTTATTTTATTCAAATGATGGTTTTATTAGAAACTCAATAAACTCTTATTTTCAATATACTTGTCTCTCTTATTCTTTTTTATTTATTGACTTAATTTATGATTGTATGTGTTGTGATGTGCCAATATATATATATTGATGTTGAGGTTAAAGATGATGATAATAATGACTTTTACAGAGAGGTCTCTGTAACGACAATACTATGATAATCACTTTTTTTTTTGTTGTTGTTGTTGCAAAAATCCAAGGATTATTTAGTACTATTTTATTTGATAACCGATGATGACGCCAGAGACTATTGATGACAACGATTTTATGGAAATGATTTTATTGTGAAGATGATATACTATGTAAAACTTGGACTAATATTACTGTAACTATCTATATTAAAAAAAAAAAAAAAAAGAATCATCACGATAAAATAGAAAGATGGAGGAGCCAACCAAAATCGCGCGAGAGACAACCAAAACGAGATACTTTTTATTCGATTGTCTTTCCTTGTTCATCCAGTTGATAATACTTTGCATAATCCATTCTATTTATTCTGTAGTATCTAGCCGATTCTTGTTATGGTTAGCCAGCTGATTCCTTTTACATCCATTCGATCCTGTTGCATATCCCATTCTATCTACACAATAAAAAAAAAATAGTTCAAAGAGAGAGAGAGAGAGAGAGAAAAAATCTAATAAAAAAAGTCAGCATCATACATTTCATTTTCCTCAATATTATATTTCTGAACAGGGCATATATAGCGTTGTTGAATAAAGATATCCAGGTATCAGTATTCTATAAAATAGAGGATATTTTGCTAAAGTAATAGCCGTTAAGTATATATATATATAACTGTGATAATATAAAACATGATTTATTATAAAAGGATATAAAAAGGACTAAATAACATGAAAGGAATGATTTACAGGAAAGAAAGGAAAAAAAAAAAGGATTGAATAGGTTGGCATTTATTCTTCTGTTGTTGAAGTCCACCAAGAGGGAAGGAAAGGGCGAAGAAGAATTTCAGAATCTTTGATCTTGAATCCAATTGAGTCATTATGAGCACATTTTTCAATATGTTCCAAACGCATCAATGCCAATCCAATGTTGTGTATACCTGAGCAAGTTTTTCCAACACCACGTTTACTTGTTCCATTAGTCAAATTAATATCTAATTGAGGTCGATAATCGGTGGGTAAGGTTACTTGACGATTCACACTTTGAGTCTGAGGTATACTATATTTCAAAAAAAAAAAAAAATCAATTTGATGAATGTACGGTACACAGACTTACTTATCGCCTGGTTTGTATAATTGTACAGGAACAATACGCTTGCGAACAACCCCAGTATGGTAAGTTCGAATAGTCAATTCTTGTCCAACATAACAGCCCTTACGGAAATCCACTATTTATAAAGTTAGTTTTGATTTTTTTTTTTGATTTATTTATAATTACCTCCATTCATATAATCGAGATTTGATTCCAAAGGTAAGGATTGTTCAGGCCATATATCATCTACACCTTCAGGAATACCTTGTAGTAAACGACGAATGGTGTATTCTTCAGCAGGCAATTCCGAGTACTCATCAGATGGCAAGATATTGTCGATATCTATATCATAATCAAAGGATTCAAAAAAATGTCAGTTATACTATTGTTCAGAAAAACAAATATTTACTTTGATTATTTGGTATCACAGCTCTATAACCAAATCCAGGGACACGAGGATCAATACAACCAATATCTGACCATCTTGTATTCTTCTTGATCAAGCCGCCAACAGGTACAGGCATATCCAAAGTCGCCTTGTGAGAGTGACCCCATATATGATATAAAGAATATTCATCAGAGACATCCCTCATTTTGACCTTGGATCGAAGAACATAACGTTTCAAGTGTCGTAATAAAGACCCAGATATATCATTGGAAGGATAATCCAAGATGAATTTTTGGTGAGGAAAGTTTTCACCAACGTTCACGGGATAAATAAAGACATCATATAGTGTTCGACCCTTTGTTGTTCATAAAAAAAAAGATATAAAAACGAAAATTATTATTAATATATATATATATTATATATTGGTTTCTTTTTTACCTGAGGAGTCAAAAAAGCAGTATAAAACCCATCACCACCAGCAGAGATCAGTGGCATATGATTGGTAATCAATCCTTGTAAAAACTTGGTAGAGTCAGGTCCTTCCATTTCTAATAGTTGACGTTGAGGTACTTTTGCAAATCGATGACCTTGGTGAAGTGGATCCAATTCTTGAAATCCATTGGCTTTAGCTGTTGTAAGTGATCTACATGTCAAACCTAGTGATAAATAACTTAGTTCAAACTACTAAATACATTTTTTTTTTTTTTTTTACCAACTAAAGATTTAGTCAATACAGAGTTTCTTTTCAATAATATAGACATGAGTGACACCAAAAACAAAAATGGTCAAAAGTATAAAAAGAGAAGAAAAGAATAATGTAAGAAAGAAAGAGCAAGGAAACAAAACTGTCTTGGTTGCATTTTTTTTTTTTTTTTTTTTTGTTCCAACCCCCCTCACTTTGAACTTTTTTCTTGGACCCCTCACTCATTTTTGGAATAGATTTTTTTTTTAATGACCGGCCACGGTCACAGGGCGCTTAATTTTTTTGAATTTTTATTTACTTGTTAATAACACTCTTGTTTTCCGTTTTCTTTTTGTCCTTTATATAATCTTAACAATATGCATCACGGCAAACACGTACGTCGACTTAATCGCACTTCATCTCATAGAAATGCTTTGTTACGTAACCTTGCCTCTTCTTTGATTGAACATGGTCGTATCGAAACAACTGTTGCTAAAGCCAAAGAATTACAACCTATTGCTGATAGTATGATCACTCTTGGAAAAAAAGGAGGTGTTGAATCCAAGAAACGAGCCATTGGTTATCTCAAGGTAAGTAGAGAAAGAGATTATATTATATCCATGTTTGAAAATTAACTTTTTTTTTTTGATATTCGATAGAATCAAACTGTGACACTTCCTAAACTATTTGATGAATTAGCACCTAGATTTGCGAATCGTAATGGTGGATATACTCGGATTCAACGTATTGGAAGTCGATATGGAGATAATGCACCCATGGCAGTGATTGAATATATTGATGGACCTACCGACTTGAAGAAAGAATCTGTCACCAAGGTATTAGCTCGTGTGATGCAAGACCGATCATCACCTTCTGTACAACATCTTTTAGACGATGCCTCTGCTCATCTTCCCAAGTCTCTTATCCGTGATCTCAAGAAAGTTCAAATTTCTAATAGTCTCGAATCTATCCAACAAGCTGTTCAAAAGGAAATGGCTTCTCGCTCCTAGTCTATTCATTTATATATTTACTCTGTAGTCATCATTCTTCTTTTTTGTATCATAGATTTTTTTTTTAAAAACCTTTTCTCTCGCTTTCCCCCCTTTTTTTTTATATATAATTTTATCACATTGTTTTGTTATCTTTTACTTTTTTCATATACACCTTTGTCTCTTCTTATAATAAAAAAACACAGGCGGCTCTTCAATTCAATTAAATACTTCAACTTTTTTTTTTTTTTTTTTTTGAGGTTCTTATTCTTTTCTTCCTATCAATGGAAGCTCCTCCTTCCGAACGATTCCAACCATTTATTGCAACAGAATGGATCGAAGGTGAGATCCGACATCGACGCAAACTCTATAGAAAACTATTCTTTATCGATCTTTTATTACCAACGGACGGCAAGGTACAAGTTCTTTTTCGTTGCGACGATGGATCCATGTCAACATTGAATCACCAAGATTGTCTACGACTTGCACGACCAGGCCACAAAGTACGCTTACATGTAGGTCCACCCACTGATCCTACCGAAAGTCAAGGACGACCATTTAAAGTATGGCAATGTACAACGGTTCCAGAAATTACACAGGCCTACAACCAGTCTCAACCATTTATAACCGATCCACCATTGATGAACAAGAAACATGATACTATCAAGCAATGGAATGGAGAAGAGAAACTCAAAAAGGATTTGCCCTGCAAGTACTGGCTTAATCAACGGAAATGTTACCGTATCGATACTTGTCCATTTCAACATCCTACTGGTCCTGATTTTGAAAAGGCAAGAGAAACTTGGGTACAAGAGGTAATAGGAAAAAAAAAATAGTATATCCTTATATGTGTTTTATTTTATTGCTAATTTTTTTTGTTAGCGAATAGAGATTCGAAAAATCATCACATGCGATCCAAATGATCCTCATCAAGACAAAAAACCTCATGCCTTAAGAGCCTTGATCTTTGCTCAATGGATCTATGAACAGCTTTTGTCGAAACTGAAGCCAAATATGGACGACATGACTGTACTGGATATAGCAGGTGGGAAAGGAGAAGTATCGATGTTTTTATGTCATGCGTTTGGTATCCCGTCTACAGTAGTGGTAAAAAAAAAAAAAAAAAAAAAGAAGTTAGAACTTCAGATCATTTACGATTGTTTGTTCTTTTTTTTTTTTTTTTTTTTTTTTTTTTTAATAGGAACCTCAAGCAAGACCGCAACCCAAGTACTGGTTTACTCGATTACGACGATTGATGGAAAAACATATCATGAAAGAGGAAACTTCTTATGCACAATCATGGCCCTACCCAAATCTCAAGCCTACTTTCTTAACAACATTATTGGATGATCGCTTTTTACAACAATATCATGACTTGATGCTCCAAGTGACCTTGTTGATTGGTTTACATGCAGATCAAGCTACCGAACCTATTGTAGATACCGCCATCCAGCTGGGTAAACCTTTTGCTGTAGTACCTTGCTGTGTTTTTGGTCGAGAAAATTTACATCGAAGGTTAATCTCTGGTGCTCCTGTGGCCACTACTAAGGATTTGATTCAGTATTTATGCGAAAAAGATACCGGTGTATATGGTGGCAAGATACAGACTGCTTATTTGGACTTTGAAGGCAAGAATCAGGTTGTTTACTGGATACCCTCTTCCCTAGTATAGATATTCTGTGTTAGATTCTTAGTTTGTTTTTCTTTTCTAAAAAAAAAAAATTGAGATCATAATAAAAAAAAAAAAAAGAATGTGACAAATAATTATTATTATTATTATTCAAAAAAGACAAGATTTTATTAAAATGAATGGACTATCTATTATAAACGACTAGTACTAAATGTTGGTTGAATGATCCATCCATCGATGTGTTCCATGATTTGTTTGGTGACTTGATCAACTTTGACAATATCCTTTCCAACAATACTGACAATGACCTTTGCTGAGCTATCATTCCATGTAGGATAACTACCAATCTTGATTTGATCCTGTTGTACACTTTTTTGAAGTTGAGAGAGAATATCGGCAATCCATATCTCAGATTGTTTTGTAGCGACCTGTCGACGATGAAAAGATTGTTGTTGTTGTAGACGGGCATTGATATGATCTGAGAGAGAATCCAATAACAATTGAAACAAACGAGGGATCCCAGGTAGAATATATACATTCTTATTGACCACTACCACAGGAATAGGTAACTTGTCATGACCTCGGATCTTTTCACTAGGGATCGGGAACGTCGCCATTTGCTTGTACAACCTTGTTTGCTTGGCTTCAGAATGTGCAATGGCTCCATGTTGTTGATGATGTTGTTGAAGTTGTCTTACTTTTTCCCAAGTCTCATCGTCCACTTGCATTTCAAGTTCAAATGCCTTGGCAATCGATGCATAAGTGATATCGTCATGAGTGCTAATACAAAAAGTTCAAAAAAATCATATATATATATCATTCGTGTCAAAAGTAAAGTATCAATATTTTGTCTATGAGTATACTTTACGGTCCTACAAAAAGTCATAATAAGACGGAAGAACGTGTGATTACCAAGGGAGTTTTTTTCCGTACCACTACTCCAATTTTTTTTTTTTTTCACTTGCCTATGCCACCGGAAGTAAAGACAAAGTCATACAATGTAGAAAGTCGTTTTACTGATTCAGCTATTGCATCTTGGTCATCAGGAACCACTTCAATACGTTGCAACTCGATACCCTTCTGAAACAGAACCTGAGCTAACAAAAATATCTATTGGTCATTGGTCGTATTTTACTTCTTTTTTTTTTTTTCTTTCTATACCTAGATAGTAAGAGTTGGTATCTTGTGTTTTTCCAGACAAGATTTCATCACCAATCACTAGGCATGATGCTGTCCAAATAGTTTTAGTCATGATAAATATAGAAAAGGAAAGCAAGGAAAGGAAAGAGAAAAAAGCAAAAAAATAAAATATAGTGATCGACGACGGATCTTAAAATTGCCGTATGCTCTCTACAAGCGTGAAGAAACTTTGAATTTTCCTTTCTCGCTCAGAAATCATCATCATCCCTTCAAGCTTGGATTGAAGATACATGAAGATATTCTCTTTCACCTATCTTAATAACAATTTGTACTTTGCCTCCCAATTTATAGAGTAAATTAAAAAATAAAAGTCAATTCAGTCATCCCTCATCCAATAATGATCATCATCCAATAAAATGACCAACATTGGATTCCTCTCGAAAAAGTAGCCAAATATCATGTAATCCCATTTTATCGATTATCTTAACCACCTAATGTGTGCAATGAGAATGAAAGATTTCATTGATTTTTTCGAAATATTGCCTGATGACCCCTGGCAATTTATTTTTACAGCCAAAGTTTAGCAGAGGAATTTGAAAATTTTGGCTGTGAAATCAAAAAATCCATCTCATTTTTTCATGCTGGATACAAGCTTGAAGAAAACTTTGAATTTTCCTTTCTCGCTCAGAAGTCAGCATCATCATATCAAATTTGACTCGAACATAAGCAAACCAATTTATGTCACTTTACCTTATTGAATTTATAGATGATCATCGTATTTATGGAATAAACTAAAAAAAAAAAAAAAAAAAGATATATCACTATCGCTATCATCCGCCATCATCCGTATAATAGTAGTGATAATTGATATGTAGTGAGCACTATTTCCAAGTAAATAGAACAAAAAGGTAACATGATGATAAAAAAAAAAGAGATGTAATCCAGAGAAGGAAATGGAATGCTATCAAGTTGATGACAACTAGATAAGATAAAAAATAAATAGAAAAAAGGGATGAAGGTTTCTATATAAAGATAACCATATGGTACAGCTGTGGGATTTTGAAAAAGCGTGAGATGGCTGTAAAAATAGATTGTTTTTTTGTTTTTTGTTTGTTTGTTTAGCCCAGGACAATTAAGTTCTTCGCAATAGTTGTATGGTAGTGGCTGAGAGTGGTATTTTTTTTTTTTTTTGTTGATGATCACCCAATATATATATATATATATATATATGATGATCAATAATAGTAGTGTTAAGATCTTTTTTTTTTTTTTTTGTATGTTAAGGATAATGATTTTATATGATTGTACCAAATCTGGATTGAACATACATGAAGATATTCTCTTTCAATTGTTTTAATAACAATTTATACCCTATCTCCCAATTCATAAAGTAAATTAAAAATGATCTAATAACAATGATTATCATCAAAAAAAAAAAGCCAAGTAAGAGTATTGTTGTGTATCATAAAAAGCAATATAATTTTTATTTCAAACAAAAAAAGTAATCCATATACTAACTAGTAAAACTATCCATTCTACTCTATCTATTATATCAGAACCCTTCGTCCTAACAACAAGTCGCCATTCCTAACGTATAGAATTTTAACATCCAGTTAGTTATTCGTTCACGTTACCAATAAAATAAATCCAGGTCAAGGAATTTATATGTAAAAAAAAAAAAAAAAAAAAGAGAGAGAAAAACGACCACAAAATATTTTTCTTCATTTACCTGTACTAAATCCTACATCCAAAATGAAAGGGTTTCCCCATGTATTTTGTAAATCCCTTTTTCAAAACGCTCCAAATCTAATAAAATCTACCTTGACAAGATCGCACAAACAAAGAGGACACCCAATGTGGAAAAAAAAGTGAATGGAGAAAAGAAAAAAAAGAAAAAAAAAATTAAAATGGCACGAAGGGGTAGTTATTTTTTTTTTGAAGCCCGTCCACTAACGACAATTTGGCATGATTTTTTTTTCTTTTTTTTTTATCCCAATCCCCAACCTTGCCAAAATCCATGCCCATTCAAGTGTATATCTTTTTAATTTTTTTCTGCTCAAATAGAATTATAAAGGAATTTCACTGTCTGACTTATTTTAAATATAAAATGAATGTCATCAACATCGGTCAATCATGACTTCGAATCATCGTTGTAAAGCATCATACAAATCAAAAGAATAATATAATTATCCAAAAATCCATACTTTTATTTCAAATGTTGATAAAATAAAATAAAAATTTTGTATAAAAATAGAATAAAGTAAAACTAATTACGAAAATGGAGATCGAGCTTGATCAGACGAAAAAGGTTGTATCATAGATGGTTGAAGTTGAGTTCTTGACCACCGAGATACATTGCCATCGTAATGATTGTCATTATTATTGATGACGCTGTTGTTGTATGCATGGTCATCATAATCATGTTGAGGATTAAACGCTTCAAAATCGACAGCTTCACGTTGTTTCCTTGTACGTCGAACCATCCAAAATACAAATGCACCAATTAAGACTGTACCTATTACTCCACCTACAATTCCACCGATGATTGATTTTTGTGTTGATGATAATCCACCAGTATTTTGGTTTGCAGATGCTGATGGAAAAGACGATGACGATGGTGATGAGGATGAGGGTGACGACGATAATGATGATGATGAAGGTATAATGGAGCTACTGGTAAAGTCAGTGATGCTTGGTGTCTGTTGAGTAAAAGATGTCGTGATGGTAGTTATGGCTGATGATGCATCATTAGTTTCTGTTGGTAATTCAGAAGTGTAAGTAGTAAATGTAGATTCTATACTAGTTGAAGTGGGTACATCCTCTGTTGTGGTTGTTGTCATAATAGTAATAGTAGTCGTAGTAGTAGCGATATTGTCTGTAGTTGGATCAATATTATTTGATGTCATACTGGGTGTTTCAGTGGGTTGATCAGTAGGTAGCATAGTAGTTGTATCAACGGTTGGAATATCGGTAGATTGTTCAATAGATGGTGTAGTCGGTGATATAGGAACATCATCATCAGAAGTAGCGATTGGTGTAGATGGGTCGTTTTCTACATTTGTCAAATCTATAATAAGAAAGAGTGCTGTGTTTTAATGACGATTCTTTTTTTGGAACATCTTCTTGATATTTATATTCTTTTTATCTATCTGTATTTTTATTTATTTATTATTATTTCTTTACCTGGTGTAGTAATAGCATCAATGGAATCTATAAAGTAATAATAAAAAAAAAGTATCAAAGAAAGGATTAGTAAGAAAAAAAAAAAGAAAAGGTCAATGTACCTAAAGAATCATCACCATTATTTTGAGCTTGGACAACAATTAAGCATATGAATAATAGAATAGATAATTTTGATAACGATGATGATAATAACATCATTATGTTGACCCCTTTTTATTAAAGAAAGGAAAGGAAAGGAAGGGGATATGAAAATAGATAAAAGAAAGAAAGAGAAAGAATAGGAAATTCTTTAGAAATTATTTTTAAATCATGCTTTTTCTATATTCAGCGTCAGCCAATGAATAAAATAGGAGTTGAATGAAGGGTCCTAAAGGATAGATGTAGATGATATGATAAAAAAGATGATGACAGTTTACTCTTTTTCTCTCTCTCTCTCTTTTTTTTTTTTTTTTTTTTAAAAAAAAAAGTCTTCTTATTAGTATTTTATGATGATGATTTAAATAATATTGTATCATCATGTACCTGAAAAGACAAAAAAAAAACATTGACCACTTCTAAATGAGAGAATTATTTTTTTTTAATACCACTCAACCTCTTTTCTTTTCTTTTTTTTTTTTTTTTTTTTTAACAGAGATTAGATATGGTATAGGAGAAAGAGATTGAGGAGAAGAAAGGATGAGGAGCAGTAATAGGATTATGTTAACTTATGCTAAATGGAAACAAAAGGTAGTTCATCAGGAAAATAAGGTTTCGATACAAAAATATGATACAAAAAAAACGTGTGTATGTGTAACCAACGGATGAATGTATCTATTATTTATTATTTAATCGCCCCCCAGCCAACTTCTTTTTTTTTTCTTTTTCTCTTTATTCACTCAGTATTTTATTATACTAGTTCTTTCCACTCCTTCAATAAGAACCTTCTATCCCTCATCCACAAAGTCATTTCATTTATAAAGTCTTTTTTTTTTCCTTCTTCTTCTTCTTCTTCTTCTTCTTCTTCCTTCCTTCCTTCTTTATTTTTGTAGTTCATTTCCTTTCTTTCTTTTTTCTTTGTTGTGTTCTTTTATTTCTTTAAACTTGTGCTTGTTTTAAAGGAATATATATTTTTTCTGTTTGTTATCTTTTTATTTTTTTAATTAGTTTTTTGTTAGTTAGTTATTATACATGAATCCATATTTTGGTTACCATGAAGAACAACAACAGCAACAAAAAGATGAAAATACTTTGATAAGTGACGCCATTCAAGCCGAAGAATTGTATTTTGCCGAATATGACCATGCTATGTATTTGGAAGCTGATTACTTTGATCAACAGCAAGACCAACAGTATGATGATGAATACAATGATATCGATGATGATAATGAACAGCTTGATATAGATGAACAACAACAAGATGAAGATAGAATGGATATGGACTCAACTTATGATTATCAAAATGATGCTCTACTCAAATTGATAGTTGGTGTACAATCATATATCTCGGATCTTACTAGTGTAGGCGCTGATCGACAAGATTCTCCTTTACTTGATTTGCAATACAAGATGTATGTGTACCTAAAGCAAAGACTTAGTGATATGGGTGTGGACGCTAATACTTTAATTTGAATCATCATCATCTTCTCTCTCTCTCTCTGAATCTTTATTTTTTTTTTTTATTGGAAGTAGCACAACCAAAAAAAACAAAAAAAAATCAGAAAACATCTCCCTCAAAAAAAAAATCAACACATAATATTTATTCTCATTCATCCTTATTCATCATCTTTTTTTTTTTATCTTCTCTCCTATTAATATTACTATTGTATGATCTCCTTATGAAAACTATCCAAAAAAAACTTGAAAATATCTAGCCAGCAAAAAGTACACTAAAAAAAAATATCATCAGTTCTCGTCTCCCTCTCTCAACTCCTTTATCTTCTATTTCTTTTTTTGTGCCTACTTTTATTCTTCTTATTTATTTATTTAGTTTAAATCCTTCCAATTGGATTTTTTTTCTTCTTATATCTTTGTTGTATTACAAAAAAAAAAATAATAATAATAAAACATTGACATAAAACCCGTTTTATACTTATTATGTTCCTGATGTTTTTGTAAAGGTGATGTTCCAATCCTCATACTCGGAATTCATTCCAAAGTTTCGAACCCTTAGGATTTGCCATCTCCGTGAGTAAAAAAAAAACTGAACCAATCAAATGTAATCTGACTTTTTGATCATCAATCATATATATTTTTTTCTTTTCTTCTTTTATTTCCTTCTTTTTCTTTTTCCCCATCCCCACTTTTTTTTTCCCTTTTCTTTTAGGTGTTGTGTGTATTTGTGTGTATTTGTGTATTTGTGTGTTTGTCTGTGTCTGTGTCTGTGTCTGTGTCTGTGTGTGTGTGTGCGTCTGTTAGGGTCTATTTCTACTTCCTTGTTGTATTTTCACTCTTCTTATTTTGGTTATATGGAATGGACGATCAAGAATTACAATTACTTTATACTCAACAATTAAATGAAGAACTTTTACACCAAACTCGACAGGCTATTACCAGACTGGTAGAACAAATACCTTTAGAATTTGGATTAGAAAATCTTATTCCTATTAATCCTTCCTTCATGAACAATGTCCCTGAAAAATTGGCCTCATTATACCAAGAAGTATGTGAATATTACAACTCGAACGCTATTGAATTCGACCATGCTTGGGTAAGTAGCTTTATTATTATTATTATTATTATTATTAGAAATACTAACCCAACGTTATAGCATTGGTGTTTTGTTTGGCGACAACAGTTATCATATAAATTATTGGCAGAGAAATATGGAATGGAACGAGTAATCAATGCAACGAATCCTCGAGCAAGAAAAGCTGTCAAACAGATTTATTTAGAAAGTTTGGATAGCTATATGCAATGGTTTCCTTGGAATTGGTTCTCAAATATGCAATTCATCGGTGCTGGTGGATTTTCTGCTGTCTATAGTGCTGCCATGTCTCCTCCTTATGATGTCCAACCTACTCGTGTTGCTTTGAAAATTGTCGATGAAAAGTTACTCAATGAAGTAAGTATTATATAATAATCAAAATAAAAAAAAATAAAAAATAAAAAAAAAGAAAATGAATTGATCATGGTTTTAAATATACTTAGATCTCAGTACAATCCAAAGCATTCCTACCACTTTTATTCCAAGGATTAACAGTATGTGAAAGTACAGGAGATTTAATGATGGTGATGAAAATGAGTAATGATGGCAATCTAGAAGATCATATGTACCAACTTCCTTTGGCTGATTTGGATCTCAAGACAATAGCAGGCACTATTTTACGACTGGCTCAAAATTTGGCGGATCTTCATAAAGTAGAAATGTGTCATAGGAATGTCCATCCTCGCAACATCATGTGTACAGATAGCGACTATTTTTTGGTGGATTATCGATACGCAACACCTTCCAAGGAATCATCATCAGTAACAGCACTAACCAAGGCGGTATATGGAAGATTACCTTATATTGCACCGGAAGTACGGCGGGGAGTTTACACCGAAAAATCAGATATTTATAGTTTAGGCGTGATTATATGGCAACTGGTAAGCAAAGTGATATTCCCATCTCCCGACGTATTATTAGACGGCGCTTCTTCTTCATCCGATCCATCAGATAATCCTTATCGTATCGAACATGTTGTCGGTGTCCCTGAATGGTATCAGAAACTCTATGTATGCTGTTTAGAACCCAAGCCTGAAAATCGACCTGATGCTACCGAATTATGTATTGTTTTACAAGCGATTCATGACAAATTGGATTACTCCGTGCCATTGGACAGGCGTGTGACAGAATATATCGTGGCTCGACGTGCAGAAGTGGCGGATCATCAACGTACGTATGCCAAAATCAAAGGTATTGTCTCTGCGTCAAACTCTCGACTCTATACCCTCGCCAACTTGCCTAGTACCGAACATTTTATCACTCTTCCATTTCGTCATATTCCATTTGCCAATGCTATGACGCATCCTTTACCATAGTTCTCTTTGTATCTGTACTTTTAGTTTCCCTTTTTTCTTTGTTCTTATTTTGAAATAAAGTTGATCTTTGTGTCTTTGTTTGAAAAAAAAAAAGGAATGATAGGTTGATTTTGTATTTTATTTTCTTGTCTTTTTTTTTTTTTTTTAATGATTCACTTTTTTTTCCTCCTTTTCAAAATAAAGCAGTCATTCACTATCTTTTATAGTATATTGTTGACAATCTCATTTTGATCCATTCTTGCACCAAACTTTAAAAAAAAAAGTTTTTGGACTCAGTGCGACATTTCCTGTCACGGCGTTGAAACGCCGTCCCTAAGATTCTTTTTCTTTATACTTTTTTTTTCTTCCTTTCTTTTCTGTATTTCCTCCCACCAGTTTTTTTTTGTATCTTTGATTCATCATGTCTTGGGGTGAAAACGTAGATTTTAGTAGTGGACAGGCAAGTTTTGGTGCAGACATTGATTTTAGCAGTGGAAATGCCAATCTCGATCTAGGTGGTGATGCAAATAATTCAAGCAACAACAATGGTGGTTATGATGGTGGCTATAATGATACTAATGGCAGTGGTTACGGTGATGATTCTTACAATGAACGTCCCAAATTTGAACCTCGTCCTGGAGATTGGTCTTGTACAGGGTAAAAAAAAAAAAAAAGAATATTTTATCAATTCAATATGATTGGTATACATATATGTACGTGATTTTTTTCTAACCTCTTCCCTTTTTTATTCTTATTCTTGTTCTTATTTTTTTTTTTTTTTGTTATTATTATATATTGTTATTTCAATAGATGTGGTCAGAGCAATTTTGCTAAACGTACTGAATGTTTTAAATGTTATGAACCTAGACCTGAAGGTATGGGTCCTCCTCAAACTGATCGTCCTCGTTTCCAACCTCGTGAAGGTGACTGGAACTGTCCAAGGTAAATAGACCAAAAAAAAAAAAAAAAAAAAAGAATGCTTGTTTTTTTTTTAAACAGACATTAAATTCTTTTTTGTTTCTTTTTCTTTTTATAGCTGTGGTCAAAGCAACTTTGCTTCTAGAACAGAATGTTTCAAGTGTCAAGAAGTAAGACCTGAAGGTATGGGTGTTCCTCCTCGTGCAGACCGTCCTGATCGTTTCTACAACTGGGCGTCTAGTCGATCTCGTTATGAATACAATGAAAACAATCTCGATGAAAATGGTATGGCCAAACGTGATATTGAATTGGAAAAGGAATTGTTTGAACAAGATGCTGGTGATCAACAAACTCCTTTGGACTTTTCCCGTTATGATAACATTCCTGTTACTATTGAACGTGCTGGAGATCTAAATATTCAACTTGTCAAGTCTGTAAGTATCAAATAAAAAAAAAAAATAACAATACTTGTATAATATATGCTGACTTTTTTTCTTCATTCTATTCTTGTGTTAGTTCTCGGATGCTGATATTCACCCTACCATGAAGGAAAATATTAGCTTAGCTAAATATGTTCAACCTACTCCTGTTCAAGTAAGTTCTTGTGAAATAAACAATAAAAACAGGGATGTCTTACGTATTCTTATTTTTTACAGCAAGGATCTCTACCAATTATCACTTTAGGAAAGGATTTGATGGCTTGTGCCCAAACTGGTAAGAATCGAATGAGGATAATTAGAGAGGTTACGTATATGCTTATGTAATATGATCACTCAATGGATTTTGTTGCTTTTTTTTTTTTTTTATTATTTATCTATTTATGTAGGTTCTGGCAAGACTGCTGCTTTCCTTATTCCTACGTTATCAGCTTTATTCAATAAACGTGAACTCGCTCAACCTCGTCCTCAACCTTATGAAGCTCGTACTTTCAAGGCAGAACCTTTAGTTCTTATTTTGGCTCCTACTCGTGAACTTTGTTCTCAAATCTTTGATGACTGTCGTCGTTGGTCTTACAGAAGTCATCTTCGTCCTTGGTAAGATAATATAATATATCAATTTAAAATAGACTGACTTTTTTTTTTATTTCTTTGTCTTTTTTATATAACTTTAGTGCTGTCTATGGTGGTGCTGATAGTCGAACTCAATTAAATCAATTGGAACGTGGTTGTGATATTTTAGCTGCTGCTCCCGGTCGTCTTATGGATTTCATTGAACGTCGCAAGGTTAGTTTGGAACGTGTCAAGTATCTTATTTTAGATGAAGCAGATCGTATGTTGGATATGGGTTTCGAATCTATTATTCGTACCATTGTTCAAAAGCGAGGTAACATATATATATAATAATAATAATAATAATAAAACAGAGTAAATAGGGTATTTACTAACAATTATCTTTTTAGGTTTATCTCCTGATCGTCAAACTCTCATGTTTAGTGCTACCTTCCCTCGAAGCATTCGAAAATTGGCTCGTGATTTCTTGCGTCCTGACTATGTGTTCTTGAAGGTTGGTCGTGTGGGTGGTACCTCAAACTCTATCACCCAAAACATCCTATATGTGCAAGAAGAAGAAAAACGTGAAGCTCTCCGTGGTCTACTCAATTCCCAACCTCCTAGCCGTACTTTGATTTTCGTGGAAAGCAAGCGTGGTGCCGATAGTTTGGATCAATTCTTGTATGAACGAAGTTTCCCCTCTACCTCTATTCATGGTGATCGTACTCAAATGGAACGTGAAGATGCATTGTTGGCCTTCAAGTCTGGTCAATGTCCTATTTTGGTTGCTACTGCTGTTGCTGCTCGTGGTATTGATATCAAGAATGTCATGCATGTTATCAATTATGATTTACCCGATTCTATGGATGAATACATTCATCGTATTGGTCGGTAAGTATTTCTCTCTCTCTTTTTTTTTTTTTTTTCTCGCACATTCTTTTTCCAGTTTAGGGTTTATATACTTATGTTTTACTTCTATTTTTTTTTAGTACTGCTCGTACTGGTAAATCTGGTTTGGCTACCTCTTTCTATAATGAACGTAGTGAACAATTGGCTCCCGAAATCACGAAATTATTGGTGGAAAACAAGCAAAAAATCCCTGACTTTTTAGAACAATATGTTTCTCAAGATATGTAAGTATTATTTTTTTTTTTGATTTATGCGTGGTGATGATAATGATTTATATATATGTATATATTAGTACTTGGGCTGAAGACTTGGATGAAGAAGATGTCCCTGTTCCTAGTTATGCTGGTCAAGAATGGATTCCTCAAGAACGTACTGGACCTGGTGCTCCTGGTAGCTTTGCCTATGCTGCTGGAGATAACGGCGGTGCTGCAAATGGTAATAGATGAAGAATAAATGAATGAATGAATGATGATGATGGTGAACTGACCTTTTTTTTTTTTTAATGCTGATTAGCTGCTTTCAATGACAGTGGATATGGTAGTGGAGGTATCGAACAACGCGATGGCGACTGGAATTGTGAAAGGTAAAGGAATAAAATACATCGAGGAAAAGAGAGTTTCTGTGAATCCAGTTGAATTAACTTTCTTTTTTTTTTATTATTATTATTTAATTCATCATAGCTGCAATCAAAGCAACTTCGCCAGACGATACGAATGCTTCAAGTGTGGTGCCAGTCGTCCTGATAATGGTGAACGTCGTGGTCCTCCCCCTCGTCGTGATGGTGACTGGGATTGTACATCGTAAGTTTATTAAATGGTTCTGAGGAAAAAGGACTTCATATTTATTATTATTACTATTATCAATAGTTGCAATGCTGTGAACTATGCTCGTCGTACAGATTGTTACAAGTGTCATGCTGAAAAGGATGGTGCTTCCGGAGGCAACAACTATGGCTATGATCAACCTTCTTCCATGGATACTCCTAGCTGGAATGCTGAACCTAGTTGGAGCAATGAATCTGCTACTCCTGCTACTTCTACTGGTGGATGGGGTGCTGAATCCACTGAACCTCAAGCTTCTACTGGTGGATGGGGTGCTGAATCTTCTGCTCCTGTTGCTACAGGTGGATGGGGCGCTGAATCTTCTGCTCCTGTTGCTTCTACTGATGGATGGGGTGCTGAATCAACCGCTCCTGCTGTTTCTACAGGCGGATGGGGTGCTGAACCTGCTGCTGCTGAACCTGCTGCAAAGGCTTCTACTGATGGATGGGGTGCTGAACCTGCTGCTGCTGCTCCTGCTGCTGCTTCTGCTCCTGCTCCTGCTGCAAAGGCTTCTACTGATGGATGGGGTGCTGAACCTGCTTCTGCTCCTGCTGCTCCTGCTGCTGCTGCTCCTGCTGCTCCTGCTGTTGCCGTTGCTGAACCTTCTACAGCTGATGATGGTTGGGGTGCTCCTCCTGCTGCCTCTAATGGAACTTGGGCTGGTGCTGGATGGTAGATATTGGGTGAAAAAGAAAATCCAACAAATACGCATGGATCTTTGGAATGGGTAATCAATATACATACATTTGGCAAACAAGACAATCAACAAACAAAAAGAAAAGCTGTATAGTTTTAGATTAGTTGTTCTTGTTGTTTGTTTTATAATCCCTTTTGTCTTTTTTTTTTTTCTTATCCTTTCTTTCTTTTCTTTTTTTTTTTTTTTTTACTCTTGTACGAATAGTTCATGTATACAATTTTTTTTTCTTTTTCTTTTTCTTCCTTCTTCTATTTTTTTTTCTTTTGTTACCCGACACCAAATTGCAATCAAAACTTCAATAAAAAGTAACGATAATTTCATGATCTTCCTCTATTGACTTTTTTTACATGACTTTTATGTTGATGATGATTTCAAGACGTGCATTTAGTGCTTTGGATTCACATAATTTGGCTCCGATATTTTTATCTTAAGTAATCAGGGGGGGGTGCTGGTCTCTCTTTCCGATTTTTTTTTTTTCTTCCATACTTTTTTTTTTTTTTTTTGACATACAACATAATGGCTGGACCTATAAAACGATCAGGATTACAACAACAGATCATTCAACTATATAGAGACTGCTTTAGAGCAGCCCGAGAAAAACCAAAGGTATAGAGAAAAAAAAAGATTGATCTTTGGTTCATGGGTTGACACTCATATATATATATATACGCGACTGTATTGTTGTACCCTTTTTTATTATTATTATTATTACTATTTTTCTTTTTAACTTTAGGCCAACCGACCGCATTTTTATAAATTTATACGACAGGAATTCAGGAAACATGATATTCGAAAATCAGACTTTGCCACGATTGAATATATGCTACGAAAAGGCCAACGACAGTTAGATACCTATAGAAAACCAAGTATTCAAGATGTCCACGTATAGATTAGTCCCTTAGTTTTGTATTCCTTCTCTATCATAAAGTCTATCATTCATGTTTATTCGATTTCAATTAAAAAAAAATACACACATCAATCCTTTTTTTTTTCTTTCTATACAATTGTTGTAGGGATGAGGGGATACAAAATAGTCAAATAATCTATCAATCTACAATGGAGGGGATCTATTTCCAAGTTCTATTCCTTTTTCTCTTCCTTTTTGTCTTGTTCCTTTGCTTGTTTTTTCTTTGCTTGTTGATCACGATACGCAATAGAAGTTGCTTCAGTACAAAAATATAATTCCTTCAAAGCCTTGACACACTTTTCAGGATCGTCAGGATTGGCAGCTAAACATTCGTCATAGGCCATAATGGGTTTGGTACAATGTTGTTTGACAAATTTGAGGATACCCACACTAACAAAAAAAAAAAAAGAAAAAGAAAAAACAAATGAGTAAAGAAAAAAAGCATTACCTTATTTTTTTTTTTTGTTACAATACTTTTCTTCTGAACATTTGGTTAAAGCTCGCTTTTGTTGTAAACAACTCTTGTCCCAATTGTTTGGATAGTTTTCTACACATCGTTGATACATTTCTAGTTGTAATGCACATTTTTCGCGTACTTGTACAAGCGTATCGTCCATGTTGAAAATAGAAAGATCAAAAAGAAAAAGACAAGTAACAGAGAAAAACAGAAGAAAAAAAAGAAGAGATGGCAAAACCCCGCTCTGTTAGTCTTGTTGTCTGTTAAAGCTGAATAAACTGTAACACTTTCCTCATTTCATTTCCAGCATTCATCCTCCTCTTTCATAACATCAAAAAAATTCGCATGAATGTAGAAATTTTACATGTCCTGAGCTATTTATATTAGTTACCCATTGGGAAAAATCAATCGTACTACCAATTTTTTTTTATTTTGGTTACCATACCTTTGGATGGAAATTATATGTGAAAAAAAAGGGAACGTATATGGTAGCCAATCAGATGACCAGATTCATCTTTGTTCAATCGAGATCTTTTTTTACCAAAAAAAAAAAAAAAAAAAAAAAAAAAGGTAATTAACCTTATAAACTGAAAACGCGAGAGAGAAAGAGAGAAAGACTGTTGTGGGAATGCAATGCAATGCAGCTTTTAGACTAAAAGCTACCGTTTTTAATTATATTTATTTGTAGATCATCACCGCGGAGACTCAAGTTAAATGGCTACTTTTTTGCAATAGATGATTGAGAAACCCAAAAGGAGGTTAATGGAGTTGATAATGATAATGATGATAATAATAATGATAATAATGATAATAATAATGATAATAATAATAATATTATAATGATGATACATATTTGGTTCAACTGGATGCTTTAATGGTGTTACGAATATCTTTAACCCATCGTCCCTGTAAAATAAACTCGATAGTGTACGACGTTCTCTTTTGTTTGTACTCTTTTATCCATGTCAACTTCTTCTTTATAAAGCTTAGTTCTGTCCTGTCAACAAGTCAAATATTACCTTTCTATGATTCAACTAACTTCTTTTTTTTTTTTTTTATTCATATATCATCAAACTATCGGATGCCAACCGTGGGTATTTTTATTGGATGGTCAAGAGAGTAGTAGGACAGGATAGCCAGGAAATTAAAGCTTCACCAATCAGGGATTGTGCGGGGAGATAATCATCATTAATAGCAGAGTAAGAACGAATTTGTTTTTTTTCTGTCCTACTTGAGCTTTGAACACTTTATTAACATGGTAATATTTCCATCATCATCTTTTTTTATTACAAAGAAAAAAAAATGAATCTATCACTGAACATAAAAGAATGATGATGATGATGATGATGATGATAATAATAATAATAATAGGATGAATGTATGATATGAACATATTCATAAAAAAAAAGATTAAACTTGACCATAAGACAAATAAGCATTATAAGATGATCATTTTATTAAGGTTTCCTTTTTCCTTTTGGGCATCGGACCATCAAATCATATTTCCTTTTGGAGAGAGCGAGAGATTTCGTGTTACTTAAAGCTTACTCCATGTGAGTTTCCTATTTTCTTGTCGTTTCACGTATACCGCGGAGTCTATAATAATGGCCAACTTTTATAGTTTCTGTTCCTTTTTTTCTTACTCTTTTACTCTTTTACTTTTTTTTTTTTTTGTTCTTCTCACCTTTCCTTTCTATATTATATTCATATTTAATTGACTGACACTCCTTCAATATCGATACCACACAATGACTCATTTAAGGTAGGACATACTATTGTAATGACAATGACGCTTTGACAATGTATCACTGAAAAGTACAAACGTATACTGACTGATATCTATATTATTTTTTTTTAAGTGATTTTTCGTACTTAGGTAAACAACAATATATATATATATATATAAGGATTGATGATACTCATCGATGTTTCTATAGAACGATCAACCATGTTTGTTTATCTGGGTGCTTATTTGATCTACTCATTATGGAAAAATGATAGATTTGAATCATTGCGGCTATCAAAAATCTTATCTGGTGAACTCAAAAGTGTATTAACCGTACTATTAATGTTAATGACGTGTGTACAGATGACAGCAGGTAAAAAAAAAAAAAAAAGAATAGTATATATATATATATGTTCATCTGTGTTGAAAAAGAAAAACTTCTTTATTGATTGTATTTAGATGTCACGGGAACGTATATCAAATATTCAGAAGGTTTTATCCAAGTTCCTACTACCAATACCATTTTGACCAAACCATTTCAGTATTGGACTCCCGATCATCAAGAACTTAGCACGGTACAACAAAAGATCACACAAAAATAGAAAGAGTAGAAAGTCAGGATGTATAGGCTCATCTTTTTTTTTTTTTTTTTTTTTTTTTTTAGCGTATGGATTACGTACAATGTATTGCATTCTCTTTGGAAACTGGATTATTCTTTTTGGTACAATGCTTTTGGAATTATTTGTCTAATACTTTGGCAAAGAAGAATTTCATGTCTTCTTTTGAATTCAACTTTTTTGTGTTATGGTAAGAAAAAAAAAAAAAAAAAAAAAAAAGACTAGGGGATTTTGAGTGATTGATTAATGTAGGATTTATTTATTTTAGGGCTCTTTCTTCCATGGCTCTCTTCCCATTTTTACAATGGTACTATCGCGAAAATGCCCTTTATCGTGAAATTGTACCTCAAGTAGCATATAGTAGTGAAAGTAAGTGACAAATGTCAATATATATACCCTTTTCTTTATTAACTTCTCTTTATATGGATAGCCTTGATTACTGCTTTCCTTGGTATCCGCAATAATATACGGTTTAAACGTTTGATTTCTACTGTCAGAAAGAATAATGTTAGTACTGGTGTCATCAACAAACTCAACTACTTCCGGGAATGTAATAATATGATCTGTATCATCCTCTTTTTTTATGGGTCATCCTTCTTTATTTTATGTGTGGATGGGTTGACATCTCAAACCATTGCAAAAAACAAGCTAGCTTCTGATATCATCATCTCCAATGCCAATGTCTGTGTTGCTTTTTATTATCTTGTATTTGTAAGTCAATCATTATTTATCATCATTTGTTACTTACCCTTTTTTTTTTTGCCCTTTGGAATAGATATCTACATTCCATCCTCGACGTCAATTTAATACCAATAATAACAATACCTCAACAAAGGAGTCTTCTTCTCATGAAGTATACAAATCTCAAGGTCAAGATGTGGAAATGGATCAAAATCGATTCAGTCAACGAGTGACTCATTTCGTCGATATGCATCAACAACAGCGTCAAGCATCTATGGATCAACAACAACAACAACAATTACAATTACAACAACAAGCAGGTGGCAACACATCACAGAGTAAATTGTTTATTCGACCAATGAGTCCTATATCTGTGGATCGACAAAACCAACAACAAGATCAACAAGGTCATTATCATTATGGACAAGATTCAGCTGTTGGTAGTGGATATGGTAATGGATCATATACAAGCAGTCCACCTTTATCACATCAACCATCATACCCACTTTATCAACGTCAAGACACCCCACCACTCCATCCACCACCATCCTCAACGTCATCACCTACTACCAACTACAGTACAAGAGAAATCGCCGTTCGAGATCCTTATTCTTCGCAACCTGTCACTTTCTCAGTCATTGATCCTCAGTATGGTAGTGGAAATGGAAACAGTGCTAGTGATATCCCTTTACGTGGTCCTCAGCAACCTTACAACTATCATCCTATGAGCGACAATCACAGTGATTATTCAGTGGATCATCATTACATTGATGATACTCATCATCCTCGTATGGGTTAGTTAGATAGTGATATATACTTTAGTATATTATTGTAGTTTTTGTTTATTCTAGTTTTATTTATTTATATATATATGTATTTTTCTTTAATGACATGTTCTTCTCATTTTTAATACTATTTTTTTTTCCTCTCTCTCTCTCTCCCTTCATCAGAGGTATATCATTGTATACTTCTTTATTCAATAAAGTCATGTTTATGTTTTCATTACTATTTGTTTTTTGATTAATCTATTTTAATTATGTCAATGCTGTTCCTAATCATCAACAATTGTCATCCCTGCCATCCATGATAATTATAACAGCTCTCATGTGTATCTGATAACGAATGAGGAATCTATCTGCATGATGACTGACGTTAAATAGTTCATTACTCTTCCATTGTTACATTTGATTTATCCTTTGTCATCAACGTTTGTTTCTTTACGGGGGGGAAGAGAACGCTTATGGGGACCCCTATCAACATGAACTAGCACGGAGCGAAAATCAACTATCACAAATGAAACAGATATCCTCAGACAAAAATATAGATAAATGACAAGAAAATAAAAATAAAAATAAAAATAAAAAAAAAGAAAAGGACAAAAAGATATGAAAATACAGGTGTCATTATACGCTTAATTCATATTCCAAAAAACAGGTACCTTATTTTTATTTCAGGGGTCAATTCAAGGAAGGGAAATGAGGAACAGTTGCTAAAAACAGATGGTCTAGGCTTATTGTTTTTGATTGATTGATTCCATATATAATTATCTTACATTTCAAAATCAATTAATGAATTTATACCATATAAAATATACAAACGAAAAAAACATCAGAAATAAAAGATGTTATCACTCTCTATGAACGACAATTTTGAAAAAAGAAAAAAAAAATATAAGAATGATAAAAAAAATATGATTTATTCTATATGCATAACAAAAATGGATAACATCGATATGGGGTTTGACTAAATATGAAAGAGAAGAAAAATAAGCAGCCATCAAAGAAATAAATTAAAAAAAAAAGGAGAAAAGAGAGAGGAAGAGAGAAGGTGAGGGGACTAGAAAAACAAAAGGAAGTTAGTAAACAAGTTCTTTTGGTGGTGATGATTGATTTGGGTGATAGGATTACATTTTAGACAATAGAAGCAAGAGAAACCAAAGCCAATACCAATACCAAGATAATTTGTTGTGAAGAGATGGTCAAGGTAGTAGCCAAAGAAGGAGTAGAAGAGGCACCAGGTGAACTAGATTGACCACCACTTGCAGCAGGAGGAAGAGGAATTTGAGCAGAAGAAGAAGAGGTTTGAGAACCAGTTGGAATAGGAGCCAAAGAAACTGAGCTGCCAGCAGCAACATTACCGTAGCAGTAATGATTATGTTGATCAACACAGAGTACTGCTTGAGAGTTACAAAGACAAGAGGCAGTACCGTTAAATGAAGAACTACAAGTAGAAGGTACAGTTGGACAACCAGTATTTTGATTCAATGATTGAGAACCCCAACAGAATTGACCTTGGTTATTTTGACAAACAGTAAGTACTCCATTACAACGACATGAAGCAGGTTGAGCAATATTTTGACAAGCTGAAGGTGCTGTACAATTAGCATTTGGAAGTGTATCGAAAGGTAATTTATCTTCACGTTTAATCAATTGATGAATAGCATCAAGTTCATTGATAGGATCGGCTTGAGAGATGAAGATGAGGGAAAAAGAGAAAATAAATGATAGTAATAATGAAGATAATCGAGTCATTTGTTATTGTTAAGATAAGAAAAAGAAAAAGAAAGAAAGAAAGAAAGAAAGTAAAAAAAGAAATTTCATTTCATATAGAAAGCGCGCAACTAAAAATAAAAAAGGGAACTTAAGTTACCCTTTAACATTCCGCATTTTTATTGTCACACAAGTTTTATTGAATAAAGAGCCCACGTCAAGTCCTTTTTTTTTTTTTTTCTTCTTCTTCTTTCTTTTCCTTTTTTTCCTTGTTTTCTATTTTTTTTCCCTTTATATAACACGCATAAAGAAAAAGATTGTATAGAAAAGTTATGCATCTTAGGTAAAAATATATAAATAAATAAACTATATTTTTAATTCTTATTTTATTTCTTTTTTTCTATTGATATTTAGCGATTTCACCTATTTAGGTTAGTATTAATATCTATAAAAGAATAATAATCTGATAATATAAACTTTTTTTATTTATTTATTTATTTATTTATTCTAGAACGATGTACTATCTATGTTTATGCTATATTCTACTTTTTTTATTCAATATGGAAAAGTGATGGATTTCAATGTTTACGTTTGAAAAAGATTTTGTCAGGTGAATTGAAATCTGTTCTTACTGTATTGATGATGCTTACGATGACTGCACAAGTCGTTTGGGGTAAAGTTAACTTTTATTATTATTATTATTATTATTATCATTATTATATCATCCATTTGAAATTAATATAGATTCTCTTATTAGATTTAACATTCACTTATATCAAATATAATGAAGGATATATGGAACTTAATGGACAAGCTATTATCAAACCATACCAATATTGGTCTCCACAAAATCAACAATTGGCTCTTGTAAGGAAAAAAAAAAAACGCTTTGATTCCCTAATCTATTCTTTTCATATGCGCCACCCAGTTTATGTGGTACAAACATATAGACACAGTTACTAAAAACAACCAAACATTCATTTCCTTTTTAATAGGCCGTCAACTATATTGAAGCTGCTGCTTACTCTTTACAAACAAGTCTTTACGTTATGTTACAATGCTTTTGGAACTACTTATCAAACTCGGTGGCCAATAAGGACTTTATGGGTTCTTTTGAATTCAAGTTTTATATCGTTTGGTAATAAATTTATTTAGCTGCATCTGAGTGTTAAACGGAAGCATTAGATACTTATCTTTTATTTTTTTTTTCTCTTCTTTTTCTTTAGGTCTATCTTGAGTATGGCTATGTTTCCTATCCTTCAATGGTATTATCATTATGATCCTATCAAAGAAGAGGTCATTCCTCAATTTGCCTATGCCGGTGAAGGTAAAAAAAAAAAAAAAAGAAATGAAAATGAAAATAAAAATAAAAATAAAAAAAAAAAGGAATCATATGATAGAACTCATTTATTTATATTTATTTTTAGTCTTCATTACTGCTCTTCTTGGTATTCGAACCTTTCTTCGTTTTAGACGCATTATTCAACATGGACGTGAAACAAATGCTAACCCTTTGGTGATCAACAAGATGAAATATTTTATGGATATTAACTCTTTGATGACAGCCTGTTTATTCTCCTATTCGATTTCTTTTTTGATCATGTGTATCGATGGTATGACTGACGCCAAAGTGATTGCTACCAACAAGTTTGCTGTAGATTGTATCCTTGCCAACATCAATATTACTGTTCTCTTTTTATATATACTCTTTGTAAGTTTATATTATTTAAAACCTAACGCATCTTCTCAACTCTTTTTTTTTTTTAATTTTGTATAAATAGATTGCCGTCTTCCATCCTCGAAAGTTATACGGTATGAGCAACTCTGTTACCAATCCATCCTCTGGTCAACCATCCAACAATTTCAACAGCAAAAGTATCAACATGGATACAAAGGACACATCTATGGATATGGAAGAAACAACAACAGCAATGGCATCTGCACCAGTAAGAGCACGTCATGATAGAATAGGATCACACAAAAGATTTAGTCAAAGAGTGACAAGTTTTATTGGACAAAAATTCCAGCAACGTATGATGGATGCACCTACCGACTCATTTCAGCAAACATTTGAAAAAAATGAGTATCATCTTGACAATATGAGCAACGATATCATTACGAATCCACCTACACTCTCATCTTCCAACACCACAGCACCCTCATCATCAGTGTCACAACGCGCACGTGGATATTATGAAAGCAAGACATTTATGCGACCCATGAGTCCTGTAAGTGTGGATTATCCATCACCATCCATGACTGGTGATACAGTACCTTTGACCATTCCTCCTTCTCCGCAACACCCTCCTTCGCCATATGGATCATCCAGTTTTTTACTTCAACAACAACGATATCCTTTATCAACTCCTCATGATCGACATCATCAACGACGTGCAAGCAATGATTCTGTTTTAGATCTTCCTTCTTCCCCGCCTCAGACTCTGGAACAATCAGATTGGTTACGTCGATCTCCTGATCGTCGCAATCACTAGATGTATTGACCCTCTTTTGTAGCTTATAGTTCATTTCTATATTTTTTTTTTATCTTCCGATAGTCTCATTTCCCTTTTGTACTTTTATTTTATTTATCTCCCTTAATCTCCCACTAATAGTATAATGACCACCATTCACTCTACAAAATTCTTATCACCTTGTATTGTTATAGAAATATCAAAATAAAGACGCTTTTTGTAAAATTCACTCAACTTACTGATAATATACTTTGTCTTTTCATTTCTCAATCAAAAATGATCATCATCGCACCAAATTTGAAACGAACATAGATAAAGCGACTTTCACTTTAATTCATCTAATCCAATTTATAGTTTACTTCCTCATTCACAGAGTAAATTAAAATAAAATTGAAAATAGTCATCCCTTATCTAAAAACGATCATCACCAATTTAAATTTTGATTAGGCAACGATTCAATCATTCTCTTTCAATTGACTTGACGCCACTTTATATATTATCTTCCAATTTGTAGAGTCAGTTAAAAAAAAAAAATAATAAAGATCAATATCATGCATTACTGCTTTACAGATGTCGATCATTACGTGCTATTATCGTTATATCATTATCATCATCATACTTATCGTTATTATTATCAATCTATAATTATCAATCACCATTATTATGAATCATTTCTATTTACTTTGTCTAACAACCTTTTTTTTATTAATTAGAATAATAAAAAAGGAAACATATGAATGAATTTCATTGAGTTTTTTCTTGTCCTATTTTAAAAGTACTTGGATCATCTTTCAATTGGATGACACATTCGATGGTCCTCTATTATGATTATAAGAATAAAAAAATGACAGTCATCAACAAAATCAACCATATACACCATCATCATGTCCATTCTATATTACATTGCATTTTCCTTTGGGATGATAAAACGAATTTTGAGATAATGATTATTGTTGTCCCTAACACCGTCAATGTGGTCAATCTGGGGTTTTCTCTATGTTGATCCATTGAAAACAAATCACACCTGAGTAATAGTTTTTTTCTATCAACAACGGCGCCAGACGGATAGTTGCCAATTCTGTCAGTACCGTTCTTTGAGTTGTACGTGTCGAGGCCTTTTGGGGAACGACGAAAATGACGAGAGACTTGTAGGATAAATATAAAAATGGGACAAGGTAAGAATCAATGAGACTCACTCATGCTCGCCGTTGTACCTTATCCGTATTGGCCTTCTGCACTTTATCTTTATATTTAGTCGTGCCTATCGTTCCTTTGGGAATGACATTGTTTTATTCTAGTGTAAATACTTTGTCTAACAACCGTTTCATAAAAAAAAAAAAAAGGAAATTTGAATGCCTTATATACTCGTTATTTCTTTGTTGATGCCATCCCTTATTTTAGTTTGATCACCAGATCATGGCTTGTTTTTTTTTTATTTTTAGTTTGAAACATGGTTGTACTTCTTACTGACGTTTCTTTTTTTTGACATCATAGACCATCATTGGTATTATAATGATCAACTCAGATTTTGACAACCATTGATAAATATATCCTCTTTATAGAAATAAATAATCCATCATCACATATCATTCACTCATCTGCTGTTGCACAAGTTTCCAATTCAAGACTTAAACACATCATTTTTACCAAGGGATCCCATTTTCACTATATACAAAGAATAATAATAAGAAAAAAAGGTTCATTTCATCATTATTTTCAATATCCTACTTTTTATTTGATTTGTTGATTCAAACGATGACTAAAGTAAGGGGGAAGTAAATAAGGAGGGAAGGAGGAAGATAGAAGGGAAGAAAAAGGGGGAAAAGCGCGCGCTGGAGAGGATGAAGGGGGTAAACTATTCTTTTTCGGTACAGGTATCCACAGGACGACGATGATGAAGGACAGGACAAGATTTGGGCATCATTTTCTCGGGACCAAGTTCATGAATACAATAACCATCTGGATACACCTTGGGTTCATATAAAAAGAAATGAGGGACATAACGGCCTTGATCATTGGCATGGAATGGCGTACGCAACAGATACTTGGATCGAGGAAGACAAAAATAGCGGATAAACAATGCTCTTGCTCTGACGACGGTGTGGAACACAAGTTCCATGAGCCAATGAGGATGACGGAGTCCAAACCCATCGATCTCTCTCTTCTCCAACAGACAAGGTACAGTTGCATATACTATTGGCCAGATCATTCGTGGTAATCGCGTCAATAGATGTTTAATCGTCGGTTCAGCACACTTCCAATTGTTAGGTGAGTATCGAATTTCTTTTACTTCATAATCCTAAAAAAAAAAAAAAAAAAAAAAAAAAGATATGTTAAAGTTTTTTTTTTTTTTGGGTTTTTTTATTTGTTACCTCCTTAAACTTTAAAAGTGACTCTTTGGTGCTAGGCATATCTTGTATTTTCATGTCCACCCCAATGTCATGCCATACACGAAAGATCGCCTATAAAATCAAGATTAAGTATATGATTCTATTGTTAACATATCCTTTTTTTTTTTTACTTACATTTATTTCACGAATATCCAATTCTCTCCATTCAAAAGCATTGATCCAACGAATAGGTTCTGATAAAAAGAGAGAGATGGTATAAAGGTAATCACCATTGCGAATAGGATATTTGCCATGGATTTCATTCAACCGTTCAGTGGCGAGGGTTTGTCGATGGAATTGTTGATGAATTTCTTTCTCTGATACTGTATTGCCTTCCATTAGGTGATTCTGGATACGAGGGTAAGCATCAATCATTTCAGACAAAATAACTTCAGTATCTTCAGCCCGCTTGGTACATCTTTTTTCAAATTCACCTGTACCACAAAGTAACTTGCTAATGGGAGGAATCACGAACGTTTTGAATAGAGCAAATTCTAACGATGTCCTGGCAACGTCTAGTAATACAAAAAGGTTAGTTTAAAGTCATCATCATTATTTGTCATCATCAATATCATCAATCTATTTACTTGGGAATTCTTTTCTAAAAACATCACTGTAAATTTCATAGGCCACATCACGGTTTTCCAATACTGTATTAGGATCTGGATATTTCCTTTTCATTTCGTTCAAAACATTATAGCGATAATAACGAACAACACCACAATAGATTGCCAAGGTCATTAACACCCATGTCGTTGTAGAAGCTTGTACGAGATAATCCATAGTTCAAAAAAGGTGGATTTGAAAAAAAAGGAAAAGAAAAGGGAAAAGAAAAGAGAAAACTATTGTTTTCAAAAATAAACCTGTTTTTTATGCATTTTAGGGGCGGTCATTGAAAAATTGGAAGGTTTTCCTCAATCCTTCCTCCCTTTTGTGAAAACCCCGTTGTTATCAATGATACACATATCTACCACAAGGAGGTAATAAATGAAGTGGCGTAAAACAAGTGAATAGCTTGAGTGTACATACTATAGAAATATATCACGATGATGATGATAATGATGAATAATGTGACCTGATGATCGATTTTATCGACTCTTTTTTTTTTTTTTTTTCTCACCATTAAAAGTGTGATACCAGAACGATAGACGTTTGAACCCCGAATGTCACGGTTGTAACGTGTTAACGCCGATTTTTTTTTTTTTTAAATTATAGATATCTCTGCTTCGTGGTTTGACACGTTTTTTTTTGGGTATTGTAATTGTAAAGTTGTGCATTCAACCTTAGGTTTTACTTGATGATGACAGAATATGATCACCTAATCATAATAATAAATCCTCATACAAGTTGTGCATTTCCACGAGCAGCATATATTATACATATCATTATATATGTACTGCATATATTTTCTCTACTTTTTTGAATATTCTAAAGTCAATGATTTTTTGATAATTAAAGATGAAGGATGATTCATGCTTCAAGTTCAGTTTGTAAATGAAGAAAAAAGAAAAAGAAAGGGATTTCCTTTTTTGTCAACATCAAGTCACAATACTGCCTGCGGGAGTTTGTCCAGTGGCAGAGTGCAACCTACGCAAAAACGATAAAAAGGCTTCTTTTTCTCCTGCTTTTTTTTTCCTTTTTCTTTTTTTTCAGCTGAAAAGGCATAGTGTAGAAAGTGGCTGGTTTTTCCTTATTTTATTTTATTTTACTTTATTCTTTTTTTTTTTTTTTCTTTTTGACATTTATAATCTATTCTTGGTCTCTCTCTCTCTTTTTGTATATTGTAGAATATGGCCACAAGGTATTGATCTAATAGAATTACACTCATAAACCATATTAACTTTTTTATGTATTTTCTCTCATTATACGCGTTTGATAATGTCAATTATAGACTTGATCGTTTAGTGCTTTTATTAGATACTGGATCAACGTCGGCTATAAGACGAACGGCTGCACAACAATTGGGTGAAATTCAAAAACAACATCCTGGAGAACTATACAATCTTTTATCAAGGGTAAAGAAAATACGTCAAATTTAAAAGTATAATTATATGTATATATATATCTTTATTATTATTATTTAGGTTGTTGTTCATTTACGAAGCAAAGCTTGGGATACACGTTGGGCTGCTGGTCAAGCTTTGGAAGCCATTGCCACTAATGTACCATCTTGGGAACCTCTAGAAACATTATGTGACCCATCCTCTTCTACAACACCTAACGACATCAACAAACTTCGATTTGATCAATTTGATCTTGCATCTGTCTTACAACATGGAAAACCATTATTAGGATCGGCAGGAAAAGAATATGACATTGACTTTTCGGATATGACTCCACAAGAACGTTTGGAAATGCAACGACGAAATCTACGAGAACGCCTTGGTCTAGGAAGTCAATTTATGGATGGTAAAACAACAAAGACTTTCTTATAATATATGTGTGCATATATATATATAGCAAAATCTAATATTTGATATTATAGTGGATCTTTTGGACGACACGGATTTGGATACAAAGAAAAAAGTGAAATCAAGTCCTTCAGCTTCACCATCGCCATCAACCTCAACAACCTCATCTTCAACAACAACAGCTTCTACTCCAGTGACACAAACACCTACTCCTGTAATTCAAGAAATTAATATGGCTGGACTTTCTGCACGCGAACGGAATATGTTAAAACGAAAAATGAAAATGGATGCCAAAGCCAACAAGAACAAAGAAAAGTAATGAATTCTTGAAAATTCAAATCAAAACAAAGATGATATTTTTACTCATACTATTCTTTTTGATCCAAATAGAGTACGTGTAGTAGACTTTAAAGGCAAAACAGAAACAAAACCAATAAAAACTGAACCTGAAAATGAAGGTAAGAAATCGATAATGACCTTTTTTTTTTTTTTTACATTCTCTTATTATAATTCTTTTTTTTTTTTTTTTTTTTTTTTTTTTAGGATTCGACATTACAGCTCAACCTCAATCTGATAAATTTGTGGTGGAATCCAAAAAACCTGATAGTATAACTGACTATAATGATCAAACTCCTGTGGATTGGCCATTCAAAATGATATGTGAACATTTATGTATGGATTTGTTTGATCCTACCTGGGAAATTCGACATGGTGCTGGAATTGGTTTACGAAGTATATTAAAAGGTCATGGTGCAGGCGCTGGAAAAACAGGTAAAATATTAATGAGAGATAACTATATACATTGAAAGAATCTAATAACTAACAATTTTTTCTTCCTTTCGTTTAGTGGGTTTCAATCAAGCTGAAAATCAAGCCCTACATGTTTCATGGTTAGAAGATGTGGCTATTCGACTATTATGTGTGTTTGCTTTGGATCGATTTGCCGATTTTGTGTCTGATCAAGTAGTATGTCCTGTCCGTGAAACTTGCTCACAAACTCTTGGTGTAGTACTACAATATATGCAAGCTGAAGGTGTAGTTAAAGTTCATGAAACATTACTCAAACTCATTGCTCAAGATGACCCTGCTTTTGGCTCGAAATCTATCTGGGAAGTACGACATGCTGGCTTGCTCGGTTTGAAATACACAGTGGCTGTACGAAAGGATCTAGTGGAAATGTTAGTAGATGGAACAACGGGTGCAGTGATACTTGGTTTACGTGATCATGACGATGATGTACGAGCAGTTAGTGCTTCTACTTTGTTGCCGATAACGGAGGATTTTGTGCGAATGTCTTCCAAAGAACGTATACGCGATGTGATTACAACTCTATGGGATTGTTTGGTGGATTTGAAAGATGATTTGACTGCATCGACAGGGGCTGTGATGGATTTGATTGCCAAACTATTTGAACAACCTGGTGTAATGGATATTGTACAAAGTGGTTACTCGCTATCGGACCTAGTACCTCGACTTCATCCTTTCTTTCGACATACAATCAGTAGTGTGCGGGTTGCTGTCTTGAATACACTATTGACTTTCTTGGAATGTGGTACTGCAGCTGAATGGGTGGATGAACGTGCTTATCGTTTGGTATTCCAAAATCTGATGGTGGAAGAACGTGTGGATATTATCAAGAAAAGCTTGCAAGTATGGAAGAGCTTAACAATTGGTGGTAAAGTAGATCAAGCTATCGTATTACAAGGTACTCAAAATTGGCTTGGAAGTTGGTTCGAATTAGCGATGACTCCTATTGGTCAACCTCTTGATGTTGCCACTCATTTTTACAAACCACCTGGTGTATTTGGATTTGATAATTTTTTGGATAGCAACAGGAAATCAAAATTATCAACACCATCGACAAACAAATCAAATAAAGGAACCAGTGGTGGTGATATCCGGCCAATAGATTCAATGACGAAAAATGAGGAAGATGAACTTGGACACAATTTGGATGCTGGAATGATTGCTCAAGACTTCTCGATGATAACAATGGAACAAGTGATACGTGGACGAATTGCATGTACTAGCGCACTCGGTATGGCAATGAGCATATGGCCGGATGATTCAATGGAACACTCTTACCAAGAGGTATTACTGACACTTTCGACTTCACAATGGGCATTGAAACGACAATTAGGAGCCATGGTGGTGGAAGAATGGGCGAAAGCAGTGCTTCAAACTAGATACAACGCTGATTGTATTGGCAATGCGGATCCGACAGCTATCTTAGCAAATACACACAACTTTCCCAAAACGTTATCTCAAGCTATGATTACTAATCTTGAAGATGCAGCTAAGCAAACAGCGACCTTTTATTTTGAATTGGTACATCTTCTCAAACGAATTCGTGGTGAATGTCAAGCATTAATTAATGGATTTATAGAAGCTCGGCTACCTGCGGATACTCTACCTCAATTACCATTACTTGTCCTTGGGGAAGCTCAACCTAGTGAAGGTGATGGTGGCGAATTATTTACTATAGAAACGGCTGGGTGGTTGGCGTCTGAAGCATTTGATCCTATGGTGAGTCGCATTCCAAAATCAAAAGGTCGTGCAGCAAGTATTACTTCCTTACAAGAACGACAACGTCGTGTGGTGGCATCGGTTGGTTACTATGAAGAACTTAAGCAAAAAGTGGAAATCAATGTTTATGCTGCTACTGCAGGTGCAGTGGTGGAACTTGGGGTTTTACCTGCGAAATTAAATCCTGTCATTCGAAGTGTCATGAATAGCATCAAGGTACTAAAAAAAAAAAAAAATAAAAAAAAAAATAACTTTACTTATTTCATTATCTTTTTTTTTTTTTTTTTTTTTTTGGAAAAAATGAATAGTTTGAAGAAAATGCTGAGCTCCAACAACGCTCTGCTTGTACATTGGCTGACCTGATTGCAATGTGTTCAAGATCCACTAGTCGTGTTAATCCAAATGATCAAATCACCAAAAATTTGTGTATCTTTTTGTGCTCGGACTCGACAAAAACTCCTATTCTCGAAGATAATTTGGTTCAATCTGGTATCCAAAGCATTCAAAAGGAAGACAAACCTACAACCAATGTTAATACAAAGGAAAACGACTCTGATTATCGTGAAACTCAACTGATGAAACGTGGTGCTGAAGTTTCATTTCGTGAATTGTGTAATCGATTTGGCAATGAAGTATTTGATGTTGTACCGAAATTATGGAGTTGTATGACGGAAAAACTGATACAGGTATTCCCATCTGATGAAGTGGATGCAAGTCAAGCCAATCTTCGTATGCAAGACAATCTCCTTATAGGTCAAGAAGTGATCGACTCAATATCAGTGATTACTACGGTTGTACCATTCTTATCTCAGGAACTATGGCCACGTGTGATCTCCATTGTACCATATATCTGCAAGGCGCTACTTTCATGCTTTGCCGTCATCCGTCAAGTCAGTGCACGTTGTCTTGCTACCATCGCCAATGTGATTACTCCTGAAACAATGCAATATGTGATTGATCTTGTGATTCCCAATCTTGGTGATATGTTGAACCCTATCCATCGACAAGGCGCATCTGAACTTATCTATCATCTTGTGCAGTTATTGGATACCAAGATTTTACCATATACAATCTTCCTTATTGTTCCTGTACTAGGCCGAATGAGCGATGTAGATGAACCGGTGCGATTGATCTGTACAAATTGTTTTGCTCTCCTCATCAAACTTGTACCCTTGGAAGCTGGTATTCCTGACCCACCTGGCATGTCTGCACAAATGTTAGCGCAACGTGATGATGAACGTAAGTTTTTGGCACAACTCTTGGATAGCTCAAAAGTGGAGAACTTTGAAATTCCTGTCAAAATCAATGCTGAACTAAGACGATATCAACAAGATGGTGTTAATTGGCTGGCATTCCTCAATCGGTTCCATTTACATGGTATTTTGTGTGACGATATGGGTCTAGGCAAAACATTACAATCTATTTGTATTCTAGCAAGTGATCATTGTCTGCGATCAAGACGATATGAAGCCACCAAAGCTCCTGATTCAGTACCATGTCCTTCTTTGGTGATTTGCCCTCCCACATTGACAGGTCATTGGTATCATGAAATTCTACACTATTCTGAAAATCTCAAACCATTGTTGTATACTGGTGGTCCTGCGGAAAGAAAACGAATTCGATCAACTATGGACAAAGCAGATGTGATCATCATGTCATATGATATCATTCGAAATGATATTGAAGAACTGGGTGTCATCAATTGGAATTACTGTATTTTGGATGAAGGTCACATTATCAAGAATGGAAAAACCAAGATCACCAAAGCCATCAAATCCATCAAGTCCAATCATCGTTTGATTTTATCTGGTACTCCTATTCAAAACAATGTATTGGAACTATGGTCTTTATTCGACTTTTTAATGCCGGGATTCTTGGGATCTGAAAAATCATTTAATGAACGATTTGGTAAACCTATTTTGGCCAGTAGAGATAGCAAGAGTTCTTCCAAAGAACAAGAAGCAGGTAAATTTTTACAAATATATACATATATATATAAAAGAAAATAATTGACTCTTCTTTTTTTTTTTTTTTTTGTAGGTGCTCTGGCTCTTGAAGCATTACACAAACAAGTCCTTCCTTTCCTATTACGGCGATTGAAAGAAGATGTACTTCATGATCTACCTCCAAAGATCATTCAAGATTATTATTGTGAACTGAGTGAACTTCAGGTAATCAAGTCAAAAAAAAAATTGGAAATAGATGAAAATTATCTCACTTATTATTGTTATTATTTTGATATGTATAGAAATCATTGTATGATGAATTTGCAAGGTCACAAGCAAGAAACTCTGTAGAACAAGATTTGGACGTAAAATCAACAATGGAAAAAGAAAATAAACCCAAGTCTCAAGCTACACATATATTCCAAGCCCTACAATACCTTAGAAAACTATGTAATCATCCCCTTTTGGTTGTCAATGATAAACATCCAAGTTACGACAGAGTACAAGATAGTCTCCAAAGATCTAATCGTACATTACATGATATTCAAAATGCACCAAAATTACTGGCACTCAAGTAAGTACTAGCAATGTTTTTTATTATTATTATTATTACTATTATGCTTATTTACATTTATATTATCATCATAGACAATTACTTGGAGAATGTGGTATTGGAGTGACAACAACAGAATCAGAATCAGATCCTGCAGCCATGGCAGTTGGAGCTGTGAGTCAACACCGAGCACTTGTATTTTGTCAATTGAAAACGATGTTGGATATTATAGAAAATGATTTATTCAAGAAACTGATGCCAACAGTGAGCTATTTGCGATTGGATGGATCTGTAGATGGAAGTAAACGGCATGAACTAGTGACCAAATTCAATGCGGATCCTTCGATTGATGTCTTATTACTGACGACGCATGTGGGTGGCCTGGGATTAAATTTGACGGGCGCAGACACAGTGATTTTTGTTGAACATGATTGGAACCCAATGAAAGATCTACAAGCCATGGACCGGGCGCATCGTATTGGACAAAAGAAGGTGGTGAATGTCTATCGATTGATCACTCGCGGTACTTTGGAAGAAAAAATCATGGGATTACAGAAATTCAAGCTCAACATTGCCAATTCGGTGGTGAATCAACAAAATGCAGGACTCAAAAGTATGGATACAGATCAAATTTTGGACTTGTTTAATGTTGAAGATACAGAGGCAGAAAAGAAGAAAAAGAAGAAAGCTATGGAAGAAGAAGAAGCTGGAGCGACAACTGCTACTGCTGGTCTAGGTGGAGCTAAAGCTGTATTGGAAGATTTGGAAACTTTGTGGGACGAAAAGGATTATGAAGAAGAATATAATATTGATAGTTTTATCAGTAGTTTACAATGATATCTAGATTAGATGCAACTTTTTTTTTAATTCTATTATTGAATAAAGCACTTAATTATATACATATTTTTTTTTTTTACATATATAAAAAAAAAAGAAAATACAAGTTTGAATGATGATGTTGAGTTTTTATTTTATAAATATAAAAAAGGGTGTCTATATCTTGTAAAGGATGAATAGAAAGAGAGAGAGAGAGATATTGGTGGGATAAAGGTGAATCATAAAGTATCAAATCTATGCTTTGGTTGGCTGAGGTTGTTGTTCAGGTTCGTCAATGATATTCAAGCGAGGTAGACTACTTTGAGCAGCAGCAGCAGCTTCCTTCTTGGCCTTTTCTGCAGCTTGTTGTTTTTGATGAGCTTGTTTCAATTCTTCGGTTTTGATACGTGTTACTCGAGCGAACTAGAGAAATAATAATAAATGAGAAATTATGAGTTCTTAATTGTTTCTCATTCTATCCAATAATAACTTCATACTTCTTTGGTATGATGAAGGCATTCAAGATAATCGTCACGTTGAGCAAGACATTGTTGAGGGAAATCAGCAGAAGCATAACACTTGTTGAATTCTTGCCAAAATTGGAAGCATCGTCCACGACCTTTAAAACGTATTTCAAAAAGTAAATATAAGAAAAAAAAATAGTGAGTCCAACAAAATAATAATAACAATATATTGAATACAGTATCATATGAGTCCCGTATATATTTCTTTCATGTTGTTTCTTTACCACCATCATAACCAAAACCAGAAGCCATTTTGAATAATTTAAGAAGAAGAATAAAGAAAACGATGTATATTTAAAAAAAAAGAGAGAGTAGGGTGAACAAAAAAAAAAAACAAAAGAGAAAAAAGTAGCGATAGTGAGAAAATTTGAATTATCAAAGGGTGGGGGATGAAAAAATTGGGTCGTGACTGGTACGATTGGTTGAAAAAGGTCAAAATCCGCCCTTTTTTTTTTTTTTTTTTTTTTTTTTTACTTCTTTTCGTTTTTGCTTTAAACTCTTATGACACCAAAACCATCCGAAGAAGGCAGAATTGTACGCATTGTCTTTCTTGCCCTACTATTGGATTTACTTTCTTTTACTATTATCCTTCCGCTTTTTCCTAGACTTTTGAACTTTTATCAATTTCATGACACACATCAAGTAAGTCCCTGGCTCCTTTTTACGCATTCAACTCATCTCTTATTATTATTATTACTAGAATTCAATTCTTCAATATTTATTACGTTGGTTACATGACTACAAACTCTGGTTGAATAAAGAAAACGATGTTAAATGGGATACAGTCATTTTAGGTGGATTTATTGGCTCACTGTTCTCATTACTGCAGTTTATGGTATCTCCTTGGATTGGTTTTACAAGTGACAAATATGGACGTCGTAAAGTATTATTATGGACCATGATCAGCAATATGCTATCTACCGCCATTTGGCTGATTGCTCAATCATTTCATCTCTTTTTGGCTGCTCGTATTTTGGCTGGACTCAGTGAAGGCAACGTACAACTCAGTATTGCTATTATATCAGATATCACTTCAACTGAACATCGATCAAAAAATATGGTAACGCACAAGTTTTTTTTTTAAAAAAAAAAAGGAATAGTAGATTTGCTATTGGATTCATTCATTTTATTTCTATATAATAGGCATTAGTGGGCATTGCGTTTGCTACGGCGTTTACATTTGGACCTCCTTTAGGTGCATGGTTTGCTTCGATAGATATCTCACAAACTTGGCTTGTTGATTGGATCCCTGGATTGTACCCTTATTCTATGGCTGCTTTGGTGGGATTGATTCTTCTTGTCATTGAAACCATTTATTTGTACGTATCACTCCCAGAAACGGCATTTCGGACAACAACACAGTCAGTATCATCAACACAATACAAACAACAACAAAAACAACAGCAGCAACAACACGAACATATTCGAAAACTCAATTTACTTCAATGTCTCTTCTCATTTTTATTCTCGGGTATGGAATTTACGTTGGTATTTTTGACATTTGACATACTGGATTATAGTCATATGCAACAAGGGAAACTTCTTGGATATATGGGTATTCTTTCAGCAGTGATTCAAGGCGGATATGTACGACGACGAGGACAAATAATAGGCGAACGTCGATTGATATTACAAGGCATGATATCTGGGGTCATGGGTCTAGGATGTTTGGCTGTGGTTGGCATGGGTATTGAATCATTCAACACGACTTGGATGGTACCATTATGGCTTTATGGCGGTGTTGCATGTTTAGCAATGACTAGTGGGACGGTGGTGAATAGCTTGACGAGTCTAGTTAGTGTACAATGTGAAGATCATGGCAAGGACAAGGGAAAAACTTTAGGTGTATTCCGTAGCTTTGGTCAATTGGGTCGTGCATGTGGTCCTCTTTCAGCTTGTACTCTTTATTGGTTGGTAGGTCCTTCCTGGTGTTATGGTTTTGGCTCCATGGCTATGTTTTGTCTTTTACTCTTATCTATAGGCATTCTTCCCCACTCTCCTACTGCGATCAAAATCGATTGATCTATTGTTTATCTTTTATTATAGTCATATATCATCATCTTTTTTTTTTTTTGTATATATTCATTGTTATATTACCATATCTATATTTTACCTCCCACCTCTCTCTCTCATCTTTTCTTTTTTTTTTTTTTTTTTTTTTTACTTTACTGTGCATAATAATAAAAAAATAATACATACGTTTATCATCATCTTCTTCATGATCATTGTTACCAAGGTTGTTACAGGAATCATCATCAAAGACAAACGTCTTTTTTTTTGAATCGTTAGCAAGCAACGATATATATAAGAGTAGTGAATTCTTTTTTATTAATATTATGTAGAAAAGTATAACATCAACTGGAATGACTAAGTAAGGAAACATGCATATTTTAGGATTCAAACTAAGAGACAAATCCAAAAAAAAAGGGTTTCAGTTTAGTAGAAAGTCAAGGGGTTTGTATCAAAGTTTTTTTTTTTTTTTTCTTATTATATCTTACATAATTAGAGGGAACAATACCGGTAGTACCGTCTTGTTTTCTTGCTTGCCACCAGTTTCCTTTACGATCCAAAATATCTAAGACTTCATTCTTTTCAAAGGAGAGTTCATTAGGATCATCAGGACTTGCTTGATCTAAAAAAAAAAAAAAAAAAAAAAAAAAAGTTAAAATTAAAAATTGAAGATTGATTTATAGATAAGAGTCTTACAATTGTGTAATGCAGTAGCTTGAGTAACATTGGCAGAACTTTCAGCTAAATCCTTTTCAGTAGTGAATTGAGGAAGTGGACTGTTACGTGTTTTGGCCGCTCCACTAGTACCAGCAGCTCCAGTACGATTCAATTGACGTTGAATAATAGCAGGGGTGGCGATGATAGGACCAGCATCATTATAACGATGAGTTGTTTGATGTACCCAAGATTCTTCAGATGAACCAAATAAGAAGATCCAAATAAACTATCATCACATTAATAAAAAGGTGTCAAAATAAAAAAAAAAATATATGCATATAGGATGAAACATTCTTACCTCACAGATAATCAAGATGACTGCACCTCCAGAAGCAGCTCTAGCACCAACGGGTTCAGCAGACAATAAGATAGGGATAAGATAAGTCAAATAAACAATACTAATAGTCAACAAAATCATGATCTAATAATAATAATAATTATAAAAAGGTGAATGAAAGATGGATGAAAATATGATGATCTTTACCATATTTGTATAGTTAGCTAAAGTAGATAATCCAGTGCCAATAAAGACTAGAACAACAACAAAAAGATTATAAATGATAATCCACCATGTAATGCCATGGAAAGCAGCAACACAGCCGCCTACGAAAAGAATAAACCATCCAATCTAAAATAATCAAATAGATTAGGATATATAGATGAATAAACAATTTTTTTTTTACTTACAGCGGCCAAAATAGATACAGTTAATACAATAGGATTTGTTAAGGAAAACGAAGTGAAGCCCGCCATTTTCGTGTATGAGTTGTTAAGAAAGATTTGAAAATAAATATATATAAAAAAAAAAAAGATGGGAAAGAAACAGAAAGAAAAAGCTGATTTCTATTTATTTGTAAAAACCGTAGTAATATTTTGCTACTTTTGATATTAGTGATGATGGGTTTCAGATAATTTTTTTTTTTTTTGGCCATGAAAAAGGATAATAATATATAATAAATAATGGTTTTATACAGAAACCCAAGTAAATCGATATATATTTATAAAAAAAAAAAAAGAAGAATTTTTTATTCCAAATAGGGAGGGGTGTATGCTTAAACTACAAACTACGTACATATATATGAAGGGGTGATGAGAGGAACATGAGTCAAATACAACAGGGTTTTCTTTTGAATGAATAAACTATTGTCGTCTGTCGTGGTCTTGGGATTCCTATTTAACGGTACTGTTTTTTTTTATTATTATTAAAAAAGAAGTCAATTAATAATTAGATTCTTCTTTTTTTTTTCTATTTTCTTATATACCTTGTGGAAACCAATATCATTGGCATATTCACGGAAACATTGACGACAAATGTTCAAGTTGTACTTGCGAATCAAACCAGCTTGATGAGCACAAACACGGCTACAAAAAAAAAAAATAAGAATAAAAAAAATAAACAAATTGTTTTTGGTTTTTATAAAGTTTCTATCTATCATTTGTATTATTGACTTTACCATTGACGAGAACCTTTACCATAGGTCTTAGGACGAGAGTTCCAAACGTTAGCGTGAGCCATTTTGTTTCAGAGTAGTTTATAAAGAGAAAGAAAGAGAAGGAAAAAAAAAAAAAAGTCGTGGACAAATTCTACATTGGTAGTGGATTGCAAAAAGAATTGGGAGTCTTTTTTTTTTTTTATTGGTGTGGCTTAGAGCCAATAAGGAAACACCAATTTAGATTTGAATGACCGATCTCTCTTGGCCTCTATCCAACTAATCTTTTTTTTTTTTTCTTTTTTTTTTTTTTTTTCTCACCTCTCTTCTACCTTTCTTTTTTCTCTTTATTTTTCACTTTTATCTATATATATATATATTTTTCTTTATTCACTTGTATATTATTGTCGACTTATTATTATATAGACTTTTGGTAGACTATTATTAAAGAAGTCTTTTCATTTGATAAACAAGAGAATATTTACTTATTTTAAAAGTGATATATTATTCTCTCCTTCAACGTAAGAAAAAAAAGAAAAAAAATATTTATACAAAAAAGCACAATCTAACCAACGTGGTATGTTTTTAACCCTTTTTTTTCAATTATAGTCGTGTTACAACAAACAAATTTACGGGATTCAAAATCAACAGTAGGGTTCTTTTTTTTTTTTTCTCCCTGCACTTGTGTAGGTTAGCCACACTATGGTTTATATTACTGATGAAGACGGTACAGTCAGAAAATTTGCTTGTTTAACTTGTATCAAGGTAAAATATAGAAATATATCAAACTTATGTATGCTAATATATATATATATATATTTTACATTAGGGTCATCGTTCTTCTGGATGTCAACATGCTGATCGTGAACTAGTAGAAATTCGAAAAAAAGGAAGACCTGTATCTCAATGTGCTCATTGTCGTAATCTTCGAAAGACAAAGCAAGTGCATATCAAATGTTTGTGTCACAAAAAGTCAGAAGGTACAAAAAATCATCGTCATCATCATTATGATTTTATTCTTTACTCACTTTTTTTTTAAAAAACTTATATAGTACTATCAACATTGTCACCCAATTCTTCCCCATCACCTCCACCTCCATTACCAGTAACATCATCAACAGCAACATCAACAACGTCCTCTGCATCATTATTAACTTCAACTACCTTATCTGATGGTAAACATGTAGATTTCATGCATCATGATCTTCAACCACAAAGTAAGCTTTTATTATATAAAAAAAAAAAAGATGCTTGGAATTGCGTATTACCTAGAATATGAAATGATTAATTTTATGGTTTAACACTATTTTAGACTTGTTATCAAAATCTTGTGCTCGTTGTGATCGATCTCCTTCCTACTGTATATGTACCTTTGAAAGCCGAGCAAATCATGCTGATTATGGCTATCTGTCTTCTGGAAGTTCAGATGGTACTGTGACTCCACCCACTACTGGAATAACAACATTATCATCACCATTAGCAACCAACGAACAACAACAACAACAACAGCAACAACAACAACATCAACATCATCATCATCATCATCATCATTATCAACATATTAGTACTACTACTACTACTACTACTACAACGCCCGTTTCTTCTTCACCACCATCTTCTCCTTCTTCACCTATGTCCTTATCGTCATCATCACATCATGAACCTTCTTCATTACGACTTGTTATTCCATCACAAGAATTGGAAAATCAACATCATTCTTCTGATCAACCTTTAGCAGTAACAGTATCATCACCAATGTCATATGAAGTACAACATTCATCTTCTAGACAAGCATCTCCATTTGGTACTCCGCCTCCTTCTTCTTCTTCCACCACCACCATTCACTATTCCAAACAACAACGTACCCTTCCATCACCAGCTGGCCTGCAAACTATCATTCCTATTCATGACCCCACTGATGACTTGGATTCGGATACCCCAGTATACAAATCAGCAGAACAAACCATTGATCAATCTGAAGTATTAGGTGAACTAACAAATCGAACATCGGAAGAATTGATGAATCAAATCTACAATGAATTTTCAGCTGAAACTTTTCAACTCTCACATCCTCCTGTGGATTTTGCTACTGATGAATCAGATTATCATCAAGAACATCATCATCATCATTCAACCACCACTTCACCAACTCACTCTTATAGACTACAAAAACCTCCTGTATCTGATTGTCACGAACAACAACAACAACAACAACAACAAAAATGCTCAGCCACTTCTTCTACTTGTTCTACTTCTTCATGACCACGCGTAATGGAAGGGACTTTTTTTTTCAAATACATGCCATTTCCATTCTACTCTACTTCCTAACCAAGGTAAGAAAAAAAAAACTGCATTATATAAAAAGAATGACAGAAATGATTAAACTTTATTCTTTTATTATTATTATTATTATTATTACTATATGATTTAGATATACCTTCACATGAATCTGTCCTTTCCCTTACTCCATTCATTTTATTAGTATATAGTTTTAGATTTGTTTGTTGTGCTTTTTTTTTTTTTAACCTTTGTATCCATATTCTTTCCTTCTTACTTTGTCTTACCCTTTACTTTTTATTTTATTTTTTGCCCCTAGTATATTAATACATTCTCACTTTAATAAACATTTAGCATTTGTTTTATTATTATTTTATTGGTGATGTACATCTGTCTCCGATGATGGAAAAATATTCTAAAAAAGGGGATTATGGTCTCTTTTTGGATTGTCCTGAGTTACATCATTTCATTCGTTATTGGTATCATCTTCTTTTTTCATTATACGTTTCGAACTTATTTTTTATATGAGATGTCAAATAGATTTATCCATTTATGCATCTTTCTTTGACCAAAGATTGAATTCCTAGAACAAACTTTCCTCCCCCCCCCCAAAAAAAAAAAAACTCCCGAGCAAAAGGGGGTAAGTAAATCCCATACTCACGGACAATCCATTTTTATAATCGCGCTATCTTCTCCGTTTTCTTTTTCGCTTCTCTTTTCTTTTTTTTTTTTTTTTTTCTTTTCCTCTTTTTTTTTTTTTCTTATATAAAGGGGCGAAGATTCCACATTGCTCCAAAATGTTGGTTCCTTTCATTGGGGTTTTTACTTTATTAGTATCTTTGACTATGGCTCGTACTTTTACACCTGAAGATCTAGTTTCACTTGCGCGTCCTGGTGGTGTTTCTCCTGATCCTACTGGACACTATGCAGTTTATGCTGAATCAAACTACATTATTGATCAAGACAAGGTAAAAAACGATACAACAATATTATTTGTTTATGAATAACATTGAACTTTTCGATAGACTCAAAAAAATATCTATCTTCTCGACTTGGAAAGTTCAACAGTAACTCCATTAACTCAACCTCCTTTGGGTGATACTCAATCGGAACCTCTTTTTTTGGATGCTGACCATGTTGCGTATCTTTGGAAAACTAATAATTCTTTACCTCAATTGTATGTGGTCAATATTCAACAACAACAACCCTATGTCATTAGTGATTTCCCAGTGCCTATTGAAAATATCAAATTCAATCGTCACCGTCAACTATTGACTTTCTCGGCTTTGGTTTACAATGATAAGGATACTTTACAACAAACCAAAGAAAAGGATGATCAAATCAAGGATACAAAACAAGATACTGCTTTAGTCTATGATGAATTAATGGTTAGGTAAGAAAGAAGAAGAATAAAAAAAAATCATATATCTCACTTGTTTTTTTTTTCTGTCTACAGACATTGGGATACATTCCTTTCTGAAAAGCAAAACAATATCTTTGCCGTGTCTTTGGAATTTGTCAATGGTCAATATCAATTGAAAGGTGAACCTCGTAATTTATTGAAAAACTCTGGCTTGGTAAAATGAAAAAGGAGAGAATCAATATGGCAAAACTAACTGAACTCTTTTTTTTTCTTTTTTTGATAGCAATCTCCACTTTTTCCCTTGGGTGGTGCCTCAGATTATGTAGTTTCTGATGATGGTAAAAGCAAAAAAAAAAAAAAAAAAAAGAAAAGGGACTGACTTATCTCATTATCATCATGGGATTTTAGGTACTGAACTTGCATTTGTTTCCAAGATTACCTCTCGCGACAATGCTTGGCAAACATCTCAACATATTTATACATTATCTCTGGTGGATTCAAATGAAAGTACTCCTGTGGCTCTGAATGATGATATTCCTGCTGCTAGCTCTACTCCAACTTATGCTCCGAAATCTGGTCGTCTTGCGTATCTCCAAATGAAGACACCTCAATATGAAGCTGATCGTAATCAAATCACGATCTATGATCGACAAACCAAAACTCGAGTAGAAATTGCCAAGGATTGGGATCGTAGTCCATCTGAACTGATCTTTTCACCTGACGAATCAACACTCTATGTTGTGGCAGAAGAATATGGACGGGTCAAATTGTTTGCTATTGACCTTGCAACAGAAAAAGTCACTACTCTGACAAATGATCATGCTGTATCAGGTGTGTCACTTTTGGAAAACTCAAATTCGTTGTTGTTCAGTGTCAGTTCCATGAATCATCCTGCTATTGCTCATACTCTAGATTTGGCCAATGGTGATCTCCGTCGTCTGGCTACTTCTGACAAGTTGAAGACTGCATTGGAACAATTCTCGCTGGTAGAACCTGAAGAATTCAATTTTATAGGAGCACTTGGTGATTCAGTGCATGGATGGTTGATCAAACCTAATGGTCTGGATCCCAACAAGAAATACCCTGTGGCTCTCGAAATCCACGGGGGGCCCCAGAGCTTATGGGCTGACAGTTGGTCAACAAGATGGAATTATCAAGTAATTGCTTCTGCTGGTTACGTTGTAGTAGCTATTAACCCTCATGGCTCAACTGGATATGGACAAGACTTTTGCGATGCCATTCAGAAGAACTGGTTTACTTATCCTTATGAAGATATCATGACTGGTTTGGATTATGTTTTGGAAAATTACTCTTATTTGGATGCCGATCGTCTCATCGGTATGGGCGCTAGTTATGGTGCAACTATGGTCAATTATATCAATGGGCATACTGATCGTTTCAAGGCATTGATCAGTCATGATGGTATCTTCAGTGCGGTTAATGCTTACTATACTACAGGTAGGTGAGCCCCATATGAAAAATTGGAAAGAGAATGAACTGATAAAAAAAAAAAAGGGTTTTGGAATGAATAGATGAATATGACATTTATGACAGACTGACAATATCCTTTTTATTATTATTATTATTAGATGAACTTTATTTCCCTGAAAGAGAAGTGAGTGGGATAAAATAATAGCAATGGATAAAAACAGATAGATTAATCGATTTTATTGTAAATAGTTTGGTGGTCCTGCTTATGATCCTGTTGCACGAGTGACTTACGAAAGATTCTCACCTTCCAACTTTGTACATCGATGGAAAACGCCTACTCTTGTCATTCATGGTAAAGAAAAAGACTAATAAAAAAAAAAAGGGATGTTGAAGAGATTAACTCTTTTATCATGATTTATTTATTTTTATTTTCTTTAGGTGGACATGATTATAGATTGGTGGATGGTGAAGGATTTGCAGTATTCACTGCATTACAACGTCGTGGTATTCCTTCTAGATTGATCTATTTCCCTGATGAAAACCATTGGGTGTTGAAACCTGCCAATTCCCTAAAGTGGCATCATGAAGGTATAAACTCGAAAAAAAAAAAAAACATTATCATCATGACTGACGATTTTTTTTTTTTATATGTATCGATTTTATTATTATTCATCTTTTGGTTGGATGATAGTGATCGGATGGATGGATCGATATGGTAAAGAAGATCAACAAAGCAAGATTACTATCCACGGTCAACAATGGAAAGGACAACATCCATTGTATAAGGCTCCTGTTGCGTAGTACTCTTTACTTAGTTTCGTAGTTTAAAGCTAGACTCCCTTTGTATAATGTATATTTAAATCAATAAACATTTTGGCTCTTTGATGATGATGATGATATGTGGTGATGGATGACGGATCAATGATATGTGACGATAATATTGTGGCGATGAATACCAATCATTGTAACAAATCAATGTACCCGCTTCTCTTTTGATGATCATGTTATGAAAATTGTCCTGTTTGATTCTCACATTTTGATCCAGTTCACAGAATTTGACCCGGAGTTATTATATTGGAAACATACTTGATCGATTACAAAATGCATTCAAGGAATCTCATGAACGACAATAGTCTATTTTTTTTTCCTTTATCAATAATAAAGATTTCTCCTGTTTTTATGCTACGAAGATTTGTATGAATATTTATTTTTATTGAAAAGGAATGGACTATTGATGGGAAGGCGTAGATTACACTGTACACTTTATTCAATAAAAAATGACGGAATTCAAAGGATAAGATGTCGCAAAAATAAGTTGTCGCATAATCAAATAGAGAATATAAGAAGAAGAAAAAGAAAAGGAGTGGTAGTAGTTCCATTGAGTATTTTGAATAACAGAAAATAAAATATTATTTAGTCAATATATCCATTTTTTTATATTTATTTTAACTTACCTGTAGGGCATCATTAAATACATCCTCCGAAGAGGTGATAACATATTCTAATATGTTGCTGTTTACAGGTTGGTTATTCACTTTGAATTGGAAACACCAAGAGAGATTTCAAAACAGAAAAAAGAAAAAAAAGAGAAAAAAGAAACAGAAAAAAAAAAGAAAAATAAAATAGCACTTTTTTATATCTGTCACTTGATCAAGGAATAAAATAAACCTGGCAAAAATATCTCAGAAGAAAAAAAAAAAAAAGAACTATTATGCAAATTTACATTCGTTATCGATCGATCGAATGTCTCAGTTAATGAAAATAAACAAAGAAGACCCGAGTAAATGTATTTTTTTTTAAAAAAAAAAAAAAAGAAAGGAACTATTATGCAAATTCACATCAACATCACAAGATCTGAATATTACATTAGTATACCCTTGTCTTAACTGTGATAATTGATGATTGATGATACAATATAAAAAATATAGTTCTTTTTTTTCCAAATATGGCCTGTTGAAAAGAATCAGCTAACAATCAGTCATCAATCATCAATCATCAACAATAACATACTCTACCGACATCTCTAAAGCGATATCTGAAAAAGTGGTAATGCGACATCCATTTTGGGGGAGTACGATTTTTTATTTTATAACATCACGAAAAACATTTTCTTGTGACCCGACAAAAAACTTTGAAAACACTTTATTTTTTGCTTTTCTTTTCTTTTTTTTTTTTTTTTTTTTTTTTTTTTTTTTTACAGGGAAGCGAAAACCACAAGACCGAAAGACGGGAAATAGCCAGACAGCTACGACAAGAAGTAATGATATTTACGAAGATGAAAAAATGGTTACAACAAATGGTGATAACGATGCTGGTAGTGACTAATTATTACGTTCCTGTATGATATACACAGACGTTGGAACTATCGGAACATGGAAGTATCAAGCATATGGTACGTTCAAGATGCGCGGTGCTCATGGAGATAACCAGTTTCGAAAAAGCAGATGGTACTGGGTACTATCAGTACTGTCTATCGTGCCGGCTACAGGGAAAAAACGATCATATCAAGGAAATAGATGAATGGATACAAGACAAGGTAAATGACTGAATATGACTCTTCGAAAATATGTAGGGAAATATGCCTGGATTATTTGGTACTGATGTTTTATCATGAAAAAAACAGCAACGTGGTGGACATTCAGAAGCGTATTTTAAGCAACATATGCCGTGGAAGACGCACGTCAACAAGAAGATAATGGAACGCAGTCTGAAGAACAGCCTTGGAAGTATACTTGGTCGCTTGCAAGATCACATCAAGCATGCTCCCACATTGTAGTGTAGCTTTTTTTTTTTATCAATAAATATGTCTTTTTTTATTATGTTATGAAATTATTTTTTTTTTTTTTGAAAACGGATGGTATTTGATAGGAAGGCATGGATTATAGACTTTTTTTTGGAAAGGAAGGTGTGGTCTGTAGTATTTTGTTTTGAGAAGTGGTGATAAAAATCAATCATCAATCAATACTGTAATAAATTCAGTTTATTGATAAATCAGTTATAATTATTAAAGAATCGAAAGATATAATGGTAGTAGGATTTGAATTTTCATTAACAGCATTTGGCTCAAGACTCACATTACAGTAACAGCAGGTTAAATTTTCTTAGCATCAAGTATTATCAATGCGAGAAACTGTAAAACTGTAAACAGACATACTAAATACACCTTTAGTAAAAGTGACCTGAGTAAATGATGATGATGATAAAAGAGACAACTTTTTTTTTTTTTTTTCGCTGTGTCCAGTTCCAAATTTGGCAGCATGTTTTTTTTTTTTCTTTGTGAAAAGCGGCAAATTCTTTTATGCCTCTTTTCTTTTCCTTTTTTTTTTTCCTTATATTAATAGAATATATCGTAAACACTTATATATATACAAATAGATGTATCAAGAAAACAATGACGATATTGAACAACCTACATCACAGGAAAACTATGAACGACTGAATACTTTTGTACGCTCACTTCGACGAAAACAAAAAAACTCTCTACCGAACGCGTGTTGTTGCTGTTTAGATACAAGATTAGGAAGTCGTTTGGCTTGTTTTATTTGGGCGGTAAGAAGAAAAAGATGTTATTCTAATATTTGAGAAACTAACGAACGTAACTTTTTCTTCTTCTTCTTCTTCTAGGGATTAAGTTTATATTTTGCTTGTTTAGCTTTTATGAATAAAAGTCGTTAAGTATTTTCACCTAGAAAATAAAATTTATTTATTATTCAATAATAACCTTTTTTTTTTTTTCTACTTCAATAGCATTCTATTCTTATTTTAATCGAATACCACTTACTATCTTTGGTATTCTCAATCTCTTGTTCTTTTTCGTTAATATGGCTGCCATATTTATTATTACTTGGAAGGTAATCATCAAAAGAAATGATCATTCTAATTATACTCAAACTAACGGTCACTTTTATTTTATTATCTCTTTAGGCTGCACCCATTGTTCTTGGTCGACTATCTCAAATGATTTGGGGTTTTGTCATTGCTATTTTGGTGGATATGATTGCCAATTATATTGCTTTTTTAGCAAGACCTGGTGATTTCCAAACTTGGTGCTTCAATTTATCTCAATCCTCAATTCAACAAGCGTTCAATCAAGCTAATCAAAATACCACTATCACCATCCCATTTGATTCTACTACTGATTATTATAATTGTAATCGACTTTATCAAGATCAAGTCACTTGGACTTTATTATCTATTGTGGCAATGTCTTTTGTTTATGTAAGAATCAAAAGAAAAAAAAACAGTCAGGTCAATAATAATAATAATAATTATTTCAACTACTTCATCTTTTTGGATTAGATTCACTGGGCAATGGTAATTACTTCATGGGAACGATGGTATGTGATTCAACCTCCTAGAATGGCTCCATTCAACGAACCCAAGTCAAATCAACCATCTGTAGCTCCTAATTTAGAACAAGAACATGATCAACCAGAGATGACAAGTACCACTTTACCATCACATCACAATGCTTCATCATTTCATTCTGGATCCAACTTGACTGGTTCAGCAATACCAACAGCAGCGCAACAACAACAACAATATTATGAAGATGGTAGAGTTGAAGATCCTTCTATGGTTGATTATTATCCTTCTCAACGACCTATGGAATATATACCTCAAGATCAGCAATACCACCAATCAGATCCACAATTCCATCATCATCATCAACCGCAACAACAACAAGATCAATATATGAATCATCAGCACAATCCAGCACAACAATATCAACAATATCAGCAGCCACAGCAGGAACAAGTATATTATGCAGAAGATCAGTATCCATCAGGCAGAAACGATGGCTATTATCGCTATTGAAACACCGATTACAGTTTCTTTTCTTTTTGTTACAGCATTGTTAGGAATGGTTGCACCAGCCCGTGGATCCGGAGTCTTCTGATTGATTCAAGCACGTCATTTCCATTGATCATTGATATTGTAGTAATAATTTGTATGGTGTGTGCATTGAACCTTATTCTCATCAATTTTTTGTATTTATATAAATAAAGTATCTTTTTTTTAATTCTTTTGGTCTCCGTTCCTTTTTTTTTTTTTTCCTCCCTTTCTTTCTTCTTTTCGATTTTGAATATCTGCTCTCTACATTATCTATGACCTTCACTCTGTCTACTATACGTCGTGTTGCAGTTATTGGTGCTGGACCAGGTGGTTTGATAGCAGCCAAACAATTAAAAGAAGAAGGTGTCTTTGACAAGATTACTGTATTCGAACGGAATGATCAAGTGGGTGGTACTTGGTATGTTTCATTTTTTTTTTCTCTATATTATTGCTAAGCTCATGAACTTTTTATGTTATAGGATATATTCTTCAGAAACGAACAACAATCCACCTCTTCCTTCTGTCAATGCTTTACAAGTAGATCCTCCTGTTTTGGATAATAACAAGGTGCCTAAGTTTTGTCCATTAAAGTCAGCTGTCTATGCCGGTCTTCATACCAATCTACCCACCAGTGTCATGAAATACCGAGACTTTGATTTTGATGCCAATGTACCATTGTTTCCTTCTCATGGTCATGTCTTACATTACCTACAACAATTTACACAAGCTCATGATTTACAACCATTGATTCAATTCAACACAAGTGTGGTCAAGGCCGACTATGACGACAAGCTGAACGAATGGACTTTGACTCTTCAAACCAAACAAGATGGACTCTACACTGATACTTTTGATGCTGTCATTGTTGCCACAGGTCATTATGCTATTCCTTATATCCCTGACTTTGATGGTATAGACTCCTTGGACATAAACGGTATTTCATGGATGCATTCTAGGGATTATCGTTTGCCTGATACATTCAAAGATAAGGTAATTATATATATATATATATATATATGTAGATCAATTTAATTTTGTTTTGAACATCCATTCTAAATCTCTCTTCTTTTTTTTTTTTTTTTTTTAAAAAAAAAATCTTCAAATAACTAACTGTGATAGACTGTCCTTGTGATTGGTAGTGGTAGTTCTGGTCTGGACATTGTACGAGAAACATCACAAGTAGCAAAGAAGGTGTATCATTGTGTACGAAGTGATAACAAGCAATCAATCCAAGCGCATGCACAAGATGCCAGCAATGTGGAACGGGTTGGATTAGTGAACCGAATTTTAAAAGATGGACGTATAGAATGCAATAGTCAAAATACAACCACATCGTCATTATCAGTATTATCGGTGGATCATATCGTATTTGCTACTGGTTACCTTTACAGCTTTCCATTTTTCCCATTTGAACAAGACAATCTCATCAAGGATGGACAGAGTGTTGATCATCTACATGAATATCTTTTTTATATCAAGAATCCCACTTTAGCTTTTCTTGGGTTGCCAATTCGTATTGTGCCTATGCCTCTTTTACAAACACAGGCTGTTCTGGTTGCTCGTTGTTGGAATCCACACTCCTCTGTCTCGGTGCCTAGTCAACACGTCATGCAAACGACCTACGATCAATTGTATGGGGACGGCACAATACATCGTTCCTTCGTCATGAATACACAGACTGAATTTGCCTATGTGGATCGACTGGCCGCATGGGCTGAAGGTTACCCTCCATCTCTATCGACCGATCATCTCCTTCATTGGCATGCCAACTCAACTGATCCCATTACGCGTCCTTTGTCTGAAGAATGGAAACAATTACGTATAGATGCTTTGGTGCTTCGGAAACAATACTTGGGTTATTAATTTAGAAATGGAATATGAATAGATTTTTTTTTATTTGAATTGTATATATATATATAGAATAAATATTTTGTATTCTGACAAAAAAGTAATTCCTTTTTGATGTATGTATAACGGATGATTGGTTGATACGAGAAAATAATAATAAAATATAAAGATGATTTATTAAAGAAGAATATAAATGATAAAGCATCAGTAAAATATAACTGAGAGACTTATACTCTTTTGTGTAATTAATGTTGTATCCAAAGGTGTTTTATTGAGAATATAATACAACAAAATCAAACGGGATGAGTATTCCTTTTTTTTCCCTTTAAGTGCAAGGATCCACTTTTTTTTATCTAATGGTAGTAGCTTCATTGGATGAGGAATGATAATATTGATGGATGATAATACAAATGAGACAGACAAGAGAATAGAAGTTTTGCCGGATGAATGAACAATAAAAATACATCATCATCGTATCATCCACTTATAGAGAGACACAACAACCATAACAATAGATATTGAAGATTCAAATGCAAACAAATTTTTTATTTTATTTTATTTATTTTATATATATAGATATATATATATAAAGAAAGAGATGGATATACAATAATAAACTACACACTAAAGAACTATATAAGAGATGTATATCGAGACATGGGAGGGAAAAAAAGTAAGGAACAAATGATACTAGAGCATGACCAAACCAACCTTGCTATCATCCACATCAGGGCATCGCCAATTGTAAAGATAATAATTCAAATAACCATCACCAGCACCGAATTTTTGTTGTTGTAAGAAAAGACCATTATCCATCAGTTGTAAACCATTCATAACATCAAAGTTGAGTCGTTTGGCCATCACCAAGACATCTCCCACCAAATCATTCAATCGTTTACCTAATAACTTGGGAGGTTCTTGATCATCATCATCTTTACTATTGTCAGTTGCATTGATAACATCTGTAGCATAATAGTACAAGTAGGCAGCATTCAAAGTCTTATGTTTGGGATTACCAATCACGGAACTGGGTAATGAATAGAATGATATCATATCGGTGATCTTGTTTGTCTTAGGATCCTATTATTGTTTCAAAAAAAAAAAAATCTGTGAGTTTAAACTGTCCCTTTTTATTACTCATCCTCCTATTTTTCATCCATTAACTTACTTCCACGACATAACTCCACACGACTTCCTTATGAGGAAGGATCCAATGTTCCACATCTTGATCCGTTTCAAATACAGGGGCAAAATCAAAACGTTCCATATACTTATTGACCAACACACGGACTTCAGGGACATCCTTTTGTTGCATTTCACGGAAACCTGGAATGGAGGTTTTTTCAGGAACTTTGAAGTGTTTGATCATACGAGCCAAGGTCCATTTGTGAGGGATTCTTGAAAAACCACATTCTACCAACTTTTTAGGATTCAATGAACGATGGAAATATCTAATGAAAAAAAAAGGTTGATTTGAATCATGATCCATGCATGATTTAGATTTCTACTTACTGACAGGTTGAGATTGGTTTGGGCAAGATAGCACCAGCAGTATAGACAGCTTGGAAAATACCATTAATATGACTACGTCGAGTGATTTCACGAATCATCACTGGAGCTAAACGCTTTGATCGAAGTTTCTTATGTACATTCAAAAAGTTAATATCAGTCATTAAGGTAGATCTATATAAACAAGGAGATATTTCAATATAAAGACAATCCAACATTCATTCCAAAGGGACTTACTGATCAAAGGTACGTAATTGGATGGGAATAGCACTAATGAAAGCCACGAGTTTCTTGTTAGAAGCCACACGAACACCCACAAGCCATTCCTTGCGCCAATTAGGAGGTTGAAGTGCCCTAATTAAGTTTAAAAAAAAAAAAAAAAGAACCAATTCATATCCAAAGTTAGGTATGGCAGGTACTATCCTTTTTCTTTCCTTACCATTTCAAAAAGCTGATGGAATAATCAAATCGAAATTGTTCATCGTCATCTTCAATGTAATTCAAAGTCAATAGATCGTATAATTCCTTGGCCTACACCATATAAATAAAAAGAAAAAAGCACAAGTTAATTAAAAAAAAAAAAAAAAAGGACAGCAACACAATGATAAATAGGCACTAGACAAAACTTACATCTTTTTCAACATTCATATCCAATTCACACCATTCAAATTCTTTAGGTAAAGGAGCTGGTACCTTACTGACTTGATCTACTGGTATGGAAGGTTCAATAGGACCCATGGTGGTGATTTGTTCATCTAGGTGAAAAAAAAAAGTTAGTACGATGATTTACCATATAAACTCTTTTTTTTTTTTTATCTTACCATGTTTAGGGACAGGTTGAGTACTCCAAAACTTGTGATCCTTCATATCCTTCTTTCCCTTGCCTGAAGAAGAACCTTCTTGCAAATTCATCGAACGCATCAGCGCTTCCAATTTGGCTCGCATCGCAGCTTCATCCTTGCTTTTGTTTTTGGCAAGTTGTTTGACCAAGTTGGCGATTTCTTGTTCGTTTTCTTCGGGGAGCTTTTTCTTTTCGTTTGACATGATGTTTAGAAGAAAAAAAGAAAAAAAGTGAAAGAAAGAAAGAAATAGATTTTAAGACACGTTTGTTTTTATTTTTTTCTGGGCCGTCTTCGTCTCCAGGCAATATTCATTGTCCGCTTCTGTTGATTGTCGTCAATGAACCACACATGAATAAGAACATCATCGAATTTTCATTGTTCTATAGAGACAAAAGTAAAGGAATAATTTCTACGTACAATATGAAGATTGAATTAGTTTCTAAAATGACAAGTTTTTACTCGAAACAATCCTTACCTTCCTTTTTAGACGTTTTGAGTAAGACAGATCATATAAAAATGGATTTGGTAACAATAATCATTTTATACATTTGGTATATTGTAAAATAATAATTTAATCAAATATATGATTTATTGATGATGATTATCAAAGTCAATAAGTGAATGATATTGAAAATAAATAAAATACTAGGCGATGATAATAAAAAGAGATAATAAAATTTACATATGTACATATATCTAACAAAAAAAAAAAAAAAAAAAAAAGAGAGAGAGAGAGAGAAATTATCATATTATAGGAATGTTGCTTTTTTTGGAAGAGAAATACAAAGTTGATAAAATGCTGATCTATCTTGACCTTGGAATCATAAAATATATTGCTTTTTTTTCAAATGAATGAGTCATCTTGGGATGAATTGACAAATGTATAAACTAGAAATGTTAGATTTTTTTAATACTAAATTTTTATAGCATTCTCTCTTATTGACTTACTAAATAGTCTTTTCCACATTTGATAAATACGCATAATCAATCATACATAAGCAAACTGCTTTGGTAGAAATAGAGAGAAATCTAATCAAACGTAGAACAAAATGAGCATACAAGTAAATCATCATATCATCATTTCATATATATTTTATTTTATTTATAATATTTACCTAGCATGTTGTTACTAACAGAGGTAGTAGATCTCCATATCTTGTAGTCGTGAAGGAAACTAGGTTTCGTCGATATATTGCAGGCCTATGTTGTAAAAACACATCATGTAGGAGTCGTCCGATAATCTCTAATATATCCAATATTGATCCAGTTTTCTTTGACAACATATTGTTTAAAGTAGATGTCCTGTCATAAAACATTCGAATTTACCGTTGCAAGTTGAGTGAGATCTGTATTGGTACATTTGCAATACATGTACCTTATTTCTAGTAGAAAAGATATGTTAATCGAATTCATTTAGGTTTGTGTCCAATTTGTTACTGACCTTGAGCTGATTCTTTCAACATGTATAGTTGTACATAATAAGAAGTACTCCATCCATTTATTTTCGGCTTTGTCTATATATCTTCATATCGCTGCTGTTTCTTCAGTAGTGGCAATCGAGATGACTTTTCCAATCGCATAGACTGTATTCATTAACTGTGTTGTCCATCTTAAATTTGTATAATGGTTGACAATGGATGTTTTGCAACTGATTTTATCGTATGATATAGTACGCTTGGTATCTAAAGTAGACATCATGTTAGACGTTTTGTTGTTGTTGTGGTGGTGGCCATTGGTTTGAAAACCATGACTTTGTTGAATGAAAAGTAAAACTATCAATATACATAATAAAAGTCAGTCAATAAAAAAGAAAATGAAAGAAAGTGAAAATTGACGCGTAAGGATAAAAAAATAGAAAACGGACTTTAAACGTGCATAATCTAAGGCACGTATGTACCAAGACCATCAATCCATCAATAATGATATCAAAAAAAAAACCAAACATTTTATACAATCCTGATTGAATTTCAAATGGAAAAACTGCAATTAAAGATGATTTTCGGATCCATTCTTTCTTTTGGAGTAGATTAGGTGTTAAATTGGTAAATCCACTTGTTCTAAGTCAAAAACTAATCGATTGTAGAGATGAACTCAACCCTTTTTTTATTTATTTTATTTGGCTTATATCCATCCTTCCAGTAACATTGATCAGATTTACATTCTTATTCTTTTTCCTTTTTGTCCAGTTCGATTAGTTGGTTTTCAAGGTAGTACAGAATGTTGGATGTGTACGTCATGGGCTCACAAAAAAAAAAAAAAGAACATGGATGATCACCTGATGATTCGTTTGATGGATGAAATCAAGCTTTTTTTATTTTAAATGGCTACCTTAGATCTTTTTTAACTTTTCGTTTGATTGATGAAGTGAACCGAAGGTCATGTGGTTTCTTTCAAAAAAAAAAAAAAAAAAAAAAGGAATCTGGGGGAGGAAAACTTTAATCAGGCGGGGGGATAAGAAAAAAAAAAACGACTCCTGGGATCGACAAAAATCACTAAAGAATCTACCGATTTATTTTGAAACAAAATATAGAATAGCCTCAACAGTGGGGAGACGAAGTTTATCCTTCCCATAAAGGGTGAAAAAAAAAAGAAATAATATAAACGAATGCAATGTTAACAACAAACTAAATATACCTTGGATGATGACAGAAAAAAGGTCTCGGCTTTACCAAAAAAAAAAAAAAAAAATCTTGCTTTTTTTTTTTTTTAGTACTTGGATAGATCATCTATTTGAAAGCGAGAGATGATAATAGATGATTGGTGAAGGAGAATGTTCCTGAACCCCAACTCATATATATAAAGGAAAACACGTTCAATTGATTGGAAATGATCAGCAAAAAAAAAAAAAAAAAAAAAAAAAAAAAAAAAAAAAACTTTAATTTTGTGAACTGGATTTTACTGATGGTACTAGCTAACCATGTGGGAAAAACTCAGCTTGGCATGCATAAAGAGAAGAACGAGGTCCTATCATACAAACCTATTTGAAAATGCTATTTTATTTATAGTTACTATGGTGATGATAATTGATGATTTTTATTGATAATATAAGGGATAACTAAAAGTTGATGGGGGGAATAAAATATAATATAGATACAAAAAAAAAAAAAAAAAAAAAACTGATTGAGACAAAAAATATCCAAGAAAAGAACCTTCATGTATATTTTTTTTAATATATATATATATATGTCGTTGTTGAATAACAATGATGAGAAATGAATGATGATAATAACAAATGAAATATATAAAAAAAAAACCAATAAACACAAAGAAATCAAACTATTTGAATAATAATAATATGTATGATGATAAAAATATGAGATAAAATGATAATGAAAGGTATATTTATACTAAATGGATAACTATAACGAATAGGAGGGATATGATATGTGATATATATGTTCAAAAATGCATCAAAGAATCCAAAGGTCGCATGGTTGTATCTTGAAAGGCTGAAGAAGGATAATAAAAAGCATTGGTATCAATAGGTTTCAACATTGGACTTTCTTCATCTGAATAGGAGGAGGAGGATGTGTGATAATGATCCATACTTGAGTTGTTTCCTGTATAGTAACACTGTTGTTGTTGTTGTTGTTGAGGGTATCCCATAATAGGTGAAGTGGTTGGATCCATAAATAATGAAGAAGATTGTGGTGATGATAAACATGACAATGATGCCGCAGAACCATGATCCCAATCCAAATTGAATTGCCAATCCCTATTTTGTTGTTGTTGATGAGATGATGATAACAATTCTTCCATAGTGTTGGTAGGAGTTGTAGGTGTCACTTGTTGTTGTTGTTGATGATGATCATGTTGGAATGATTCTGTCTTGATCATAAGTTGTGCTGTAGATGAGACAACAGTGGGTGATGATTGACAAGATGAAATGGAAGATGAACTGGTCGAGGCGGACAAGGAAGGAAAATATTCACGGAAATCATCATCATGGTTTTCATCCTTGAAAGTCACAGTGATAGGTGGAATAGATGGCATCCAAACGCTAGATTGTTGATGATGATCATAAACAGATGGTGCAGGTGAAGGCATGTTCGTAGTTGTACATTGATAATTTTGTTGACGAGAAGTGGCATCATCCTCCTTTTCGTGATTGGTTGAATAAGAATATTGAGACGATTGTTGTTGTTGTTGTTGTTGTTGAGGTAAACCTTGATGATGTAAAAGAGGAGTATGATTACTACTATGGTCACTGCTGTCACTATGATTGTCATTAGTAGATCGTAATCTGCGTTGATGGGTCTTTTTGTGTTGAGCCAAATTGTCACTACGAGAGAATCTTTTACCACAAAGTCCACATAGGTAAGGTCGTTCCATAGTATGAGTTCGTAAATGTCGTTTCAAGTGTTCCAATCTTTTAAAGATCTTGCCACAAGAACTGAGAGGACAAGTATATAATCGAGCAGGATCATCTAACAAGTCGGATGATGATTTGGGGGAATTTGTACAAGAAGAAGTTGTATTATCATAAGGCCACCATGGTGTTGGTCGAGTTGAAGAAGAAGAATTTGTTGATAGATGATGACGTTGATGATCTGGTCTAGGGGAATGAGTAGTACGTCGTCGACGTTGTTTGTAAGTTGGAGAACCTTCAAAAAGAGAAAAATGACCAAAGACAGTACTAGTATTGTTGACGATAGGAGAAGAATTCATGTTGGTATGACGATGACTTTTGACGGAAGGAGGTGAAGATGATAATCTTGAACAAGTAGTTTTTCGTACACGATGTTCCCCATTCAAACAAGCATGTAAATCCAAATCACTAAGTAAATTTTTCCTGAATTCATCAAACATAGCTTGAGTAGTGTCCAAAGTAATAGCAATGGCAGGATGAGCGACAGCAAGAGAGGTAGCTTCTGTTCCTAATTTTTCTCGTTTCAAATCACGTTCCAAAGCATCCAAAAAGAGGCGATCATGAGGTACTGAGAACCAGTTGAAGACCTTTTGCTTTTTTTGAGTACGTATACAATTGTGTTTATATAAGAGATCCAAGAAACTTGATTTCGGTTCTTCCAAAGTAGCATCAGTTCCAGGTTTGAGATTTCGCAAGTCACTAAAGATACCTTCTTCAAACTTTTTGAGATTTTGTACAGGACGACCAAAAGCATGGAAACGAAAGATTAAAGAACGAACAATATCGGTACCAGAAATAAAAAAACCTTGATGCCATCGGACACAAGACACGGACTCTCCCGAAGGTAAGGAGTATCTACGCAGAGGAGGATCTTCTGGATGAGTATCCCAATGACTTGGTGCAGTTGCTAAAAAATATTTAAGTTGATTAATTTGTTCCAAACGCGTATCCACATCGTCTTCAGTAGGTGGTGGTAACATTATGTCTTCCATAGATTGATTCATTGTAAATAGATCTTGTATTGTCTAAAAAAGAAGAAAAAAAAAAAAAAGAAAAATAAAAAAAAAGATAGTATTAGTAGTGTTTATATATTAAAAAAAAAAAAAAAGAATAAACTAAAAAAGGAGGTTATTCTTCCCCAAAAAGAGTAAAATGCACTTCATCAAAAAAAGAAAAATAAAATAAAAAAAAAAAAAAAGAAATGGTACCTTGCCCTTGATTCTAATAAAAAGTAAAATGATCACAAAAAAAAAAGAACTGGTGGATAGTTTCCCTTTTTAAGTGATAAAAGAGGAGGTATGGTAGATCACCACCAAAGAAATAATAATAATAATAAAAAAAAGTGAAAAAGATGTAAAAGAAAAAGGTAAAATTAAAAAAAAAAAACCGCCTTTCAAAAAAAAAAAAAAGAAAGAAAGAAAAAAAAAAAAAAGATTTATAGTCTGGGCTTTTTTTTTTTTTTTTTTTTTTTTTTTCTAATCAATCAACGTGTTAAAAATGAAAAGAGTCATCGGTCTTTGTTTGTATAACTTTTGTATGACCCCTTCAAACACTTTTGTACAATGATTTTCGTATCACCATCTTTCCTAACCTCGGCTAATGTGTTTCAGGATGATCTCTTCTCTTTCTATTTCAAGTCGGTCTTTCAATGACGTAATACTAACCTATTCTTTTTTTTCCTTTTTCTTTTTTTTTTTTTTTTTTACACTTTTTTTTTTTTTCCTTTCAATATGCCGCTTACTTTTTTTTTTTAATATAAAAATGATATTCTATAAAGAATTACTATTAATATTATTATTATTATTATTATTATTATTACTATGTTTATCACTTATAGTTCAAGCCTCATCACCATCACCGCAGTTAGTGTATCAACCTAATGTACCCGACTATAGATTTACAAATGAAGAACAATCATTGTTTGACAAACTTGCTCCGGAATCAGATCTCTCCATCTTCCTTGAACTTTTGATGCATAATGACTTGATCTTCTCTTATGTCAATTCAACTACAACTGATACAACCTTACATACCTCAACTTTACAACATCATGGTGACCCTATTACAGTCTTTTGTCCAACTAATAAAGCATTCTTAGATTATTGGAAAATACACCCAAAAAAGACTTGGAAACGAATATTGGAACGACATATTGTGCCTCAAACAAAGTTGGATGCAAAAGGTTTAAAACATGCAAGTTCACTCAACACACTCCTTCCTGGTACTACCATTCATGTCAAACAACTTGATTCTTCTTGGCAACAACCATTAATCATTCTTTTAGATGGTGATACTTTGGTAGATACTAGTCATCCTATAGTTTCTCGTCTTAGTATAGCATATAAAATCAATCATGTATTACCTATTGAATAAACAAATCATCACATCCTTTTTTTTTTTTTTTGTTTTCTGGAATTGCCTTTTATGATATTATTAATGTAGACTCTTTTTTTTTTTTTTTAGGTTGCACATCAACAGTGGCGCCGATAAAGTTTTCTTTTTTTTTTTTTTTATCCAGCATTTTTTTCATTACCCTTTTTGGTGATTCCATTGGGATTATTCTTTGTTATTGTATTTACTGTTTATTTATCTAACCACCTACAATAAAAACAAATAAAAAAAAAAAGAGGTCTATGCATTCTCTTTTGTTTTACAAAGTTATCTATCACGCGCAATGTACCTTTTTATTCTTCCATAGAGAAGCATTTTTATTTGTTGATTTGTTTGACAGATAACTATACCTTTTTTTTTTTTCTCAAAAGAATGCTGGAACTAATTCTATCATGATGATGATGATTTCATTTTAAAAAATAACGAATCATTCCCACTTGCCTTTTTTTTTTCTTTTACTGATGAAAAGGGTGTTTGTGTTACTGAGTCCTTTTTTTTTTTCCTTTGTTTGAAGACAAAAGTGATGCTAACTTTATTTAATAGTTCATTTGAGAAATTTCGATCTCTCTCTTTTTCCATCCCCCCCCCCCAAAAAAAAAATAATTCAATAAATCATTCGATATAGACTTTTGGGTTGTCATCGTTACACACATTTCTTACCATGGCGTACTTGTTGAATCCATTGAAGCATGAATTAGAAACCTTTTTCAAAAAAAAAAAAAAAAAAAAAAAGGAAAAAAGTCTAAACGCCCAAACTCGTGTTACTTTACTTTTTTTTTTTAAAAAAAAATGTTTAGAACTCACATTATAGATTTTAGGTAAATCGCCGACATGCTTCCGTTCATGAATGGATTGAATCCGAGGAACTTTTTGTAATGGGTTTATAATGCATTACTATTGTGCATATATAAGTTGATATCCTTATCATTCATCTATTAACAATAAATTATTACCTTATCATCCAAGATCAATATTATCCTCTATTGTATCATCATTTATCATCAAATGAATCATTCTATCTATCGAATTTATAGAAATAAAGTCGAATCATCATGAATCACTTCTTATTTGACCACTATGAATCTATCTTAAAACACATACAGCACACAGACATTGCGCAAAGTATCCAAATAATCACATCATCCTCAAACAATTATAATCCATAAATAATAATAATAATAATAATAATGTCAATAATAAATGTTTATTGAAATAAAAAGAAATGATTATATATAAATAATAAATTGTAACTAAAAAAGGAAAAGACAAAAAAAAAAGATAATAAGTAGGAAACTATATTAGGGAGGAGGATGTATATAAAAAGAATAAGAGAAAAGATCTAGCCTATTCTCTAAAGGTGTATTTGACCTTGCTAGGATGTTGAGGCACCACCACCATAGAAGTATAATCAGACTTTGGAACAGAGTGACCAGGTTCCAATTCAAAATCAAACATGCGAATATAAGTAGATAAGATAGTCTTCAATTGAAGGTAACCAAATTGTTCACCAATACATCGATGACGACCGGCACCAAAAGGTAAGAAGGGAGATTTGGAAGAGATTCCAACAGCACCAAAACCATAATCAATGTTTGCATCATCACCTTGTTCCATTTGATGTACAGGATCTGATTTTTCAATCCAACGATAAGGATTATATTTGAGAGGTTCATTGAAGTAAGTAGGATCCACTTGAGTCACACCAGGAGCAGCACAAAGATAATTGCCTTTGGGTATTTCCAATCCATTCTTTTCATATATCACTTTATCAGCCACCACACGACGCATCATTTGGAAAATGGGAGGATGAAGACGTAAGGTTTCACGAATCACAGCATCCAAAAGAGGCAAGTCCTTGATATTGTCAAAAGTCAAATCCGCCTTGAGAGATCCTAATTTTTCAATTTGTTCTTCACGTAAACTTCTTACAAGATCAGGTTGAGCTGCTAATTCCAAAATAGTCCAAGCTGATGTCGTAGCTGAAGTATGTTGTCCACCAAACAAAACAGCAATCATCATACCAGCAATGTGATGATCGGGAATATTGGTTCCATCCTTATATGTAGCATCCATCAAAGCTTGAAGTAAGTCCATATTGCTCTAGTAAACAAAAAAAAAAAAAAAAGGGGGGAGATGAAAAAATAAAAAGATATAAATAAGACATCAAATTTTTTTTTGTTTAATTTTTTTTTCTTTTATATATATTTTTTTTTTCACTTACATTATCATTTTCAGCTTTTCTACGTTGAATAATACTAGAATACAATGCAGCCATCTTTTCTCTAGCGATATCACGACGACGATAAGAAGGTAAAGGAAGATTGGGAAAGATAAAGTTGATAGGTTTGAAGCCTTGATCCAGATCATAGTAGAGACCAGCCACCGTTTCATCCAAACTAGATCGAATTTCTTTACCCATCAAACAGCTAGATGCCGTCAAAATAATCAAATGTCCAAATGTTTCATAAGCTTCCATTAATCCACTAGGTTTGGTATATTTCTTGAAAAAGTCTTCAGTTTCTTTCACGATAATAGGTACATGACGACGGAAACAATCAGAGTTCAAACCAGCCTTAATGAATCTATATAAAATAGAGTGATGAATATCAACAATTTTTGAATAAATGTATATTCCTTACTTCTTTTGTTCCATAAATACGCTATGAGGAGCATCATAAACCACTTCAGGTCCAAACACAAACTTTGTCATATGATTGTAAGCTTGTGCGGCAGAAGACAAATTTTGTTTGTTATTGAAGACAAATTGATTACCATCAGCACCTAAACATACAGTAACGCGTTTTCCAACCATAGTAAAAGTAAAAATATCACCATATTTCTTTTGACAGTTTTGTAAAAACGTAATAGGATCCCTAAATAAATAAATAAATAAATAAATAAAAAAGTTTTTTTTTTTTTATCTTTATATCATTTTGTTTTAACTTACATTCCAAATTGAGCAGCATTACCGAAAACAGGAATCCAAGAAAATACTACAGGAGGTTGATTAGGATCTTTAGGACCAATCTATTATATTATATATAAATATATATATGTATAAAAAGTGAATTCGTTTTTTTTAATTTTCATATTTTTCTTTGTTTTACTTACCAATTGAGAAAGAACATGGATGGCAATAACAACACCTACAATTAAAATACCATAAACGAAAATAGTACTAGGTGATGGTAGTAATGTAAGAAGAGTAGTAGTAATAGCCATCACTAAAAAGATGATGAAAGAAAAAAGTGAGCGGTGAAAAAAAAAAGAGAAGAATTTTTCCCTCTTGTTCTTATAAACCTTTCGCTTTTTAAATTAAAAAAAAAAATAGAGAGAGAGAGATACCACACCACTTTTTTTTCTTTTTGGCGTGAAAAACCTTGACATGTTAGATGGTTTTTTAGACTCCGGGTAACCCTGTCAGTAGTGATTTCCTGGATACCAATGTCTGCCTTCAAGACCGGTTTATCAATGCTTATTTTAACAAAGCATTCGGGCCGAAAACCACCGATAGTACAAAAATCTGATTTTTGATCAAACAACTAATCAGTATTTGTCTAACTCTATTTTTTTTTTTTCAAGATAATACATATCCTATTTTTGTTCTATTGTATCGTTTCCCTTTCTCCGTTCTTGAATGATTTGATGACTTAAAAGAAAAAAAAAATACCAACTGATGATTTCGTTCTACTCTTTGGTACGACTTGAAGAAAATAATAGCGAAGAGGACTGTTTGTACATTCTCCAATCAAATCACTGATCTGTTCTTTTTGGTGTATCCAAAGTTTTTTTTTTTTTTTTTCACGCGATAGTGATGTGAAAATGCAAGTTTACTACCTTTTTTTTTTTGTAATAAGTTATCAATGATACATAATACATTTAGAGATATTATCAACTTTTTATAGAAAAAATAATGATCATCAATATCATCATTTGCCATCAAAGGAGAATAAATGATCTCTTTTTTTTTTTTTTTTATTTCTCCTTCTATCTTCGATCCACTCAAGGTATAGCTAGGGTAGGGGGGGAGAAAAACAGAATTTCCCTGAAGTGAAAGAGGAGGAATACTTTTATTAACGCACGGACGATCATCCATCAAAAAGAGAAGGGAACGTTTAGAACTAGATGTCTTGAAAAGGGATGACATGTTAATGCATAATGACCTTCCTTTTTTTTTTTTCTTTTTGCTAACATGGTATTCGATATTACAAAAGTATAAGAACAGGAGAAAAATATATAAAAGAGGATGATGAACAAATGATAGTAACATAACATTTCATATCATAAAATATAGATGTCATTAGATCATAAATTATCATTTTCGAGTCATCATTATTGAAGTTATAATGTAAAGGATCTTTTTTTTTTTTTTGTCATGAATGAAACGGAGATCTTTATTTTTTTTTTCTCTACATTATTTACGATAGTGAATCGACCATCAAATGATCATTATCATTGACTACATATAAATTGTTGTGATGGATATCATCAAATATATTTTGATATGTATCATTAGAATAAAAAAGGAAATATCGGCGTATAAAAAAAAATCATATATTCCAAACATATGGAATCCAGTATGATGTAACGGCTTAATTATAAAGAAATATCTCAAGATTTTGTTTTTATTCATTGTGATCATCATCAAAACTTATTTTAAAAAAGATAATTCGGTTCAAATAGGAGACAAAATCACAATAACTTATCAAGGAGATTATCTTTCGAAAACATCCCGTTTATTAACAGTTTCTTTTTTTTTCATTCAATGTTAATGGATGAAATTTGATTGGCTAATTCATACCATATTCCATTCTCCGCCTCCAATGGCTGGTTGGCTTTACACTTTAATTTGAAGAAGTAAAAAAAAAAAAAAAAAAGGATATATAAAAACAGCTGAAAAAAAGAAAAAGAAAAATAATGAAACAAAGTTATATGTCATTACCAAGTAGTATATTTGTTTTGATCAAGAAAAAAAAAAAAAAGAGAAAATCCCATAAAAGAAGATCAGCACTAAATGGAAAAATTGGGGGGAGCCAATCAAACCATAGTTGAGGTCACACGTCACATAAATTTTTTATAATACAAAATATACACTCTTTAGCTGCAACTCACTTTTTTTTTTTTTCGCACTTTTTAGGTGTTTTTCCTCCCCTTTTTTTTAATATTTTGTTTTTCCTTCCCCTAGCCCTTTTCCTCTCTCTCTCTCTCTCTTTTTCCTCCTTTAACTTTTTTTTTTTTTCTCTTTTCTCTCTCTCTCTTTTTTTGTTCCTCTCTCTCTCTCTCTTTTTTTTTTTTCTTCTCTCTTATATATATATATATATATATATATATATAAACACGCACAATCAGTCTATATCCGACTCTCGGGTCCAACCTTCTATTTTGTGTTGTTAAACTTATTGACGTATTACTTTATTCAATATAACACTGACCAACTAAAAAAAACAACAACAACAAAGACGAAGCATACTCAGCCTGTTTTTTTTAATCAATTCAACACCAAATGCATTTTAGTCCTTTTACTACTGTGGATGGTAAGTTTCAAAATATAAAAAACAAAACAAATATATTCAAAAAAACAAAAGTGAAAGATCTTGGGAATAATAATACAAAAAAGATGTGAAAGGGAATAGAAAAGAAGGAGAACACGGTCACTCCTTCTTGAAGAAATAGCGAAAGGGATAAACTTCTTTTTTTTTTTTGGATAGTGAATACTTACCTTCTTCTTTTTTTCTTTCTTTATGCAGACTGGTCGCGACATAAGCCTCAATCAACTGACAATATGTTTCCAACCTCTTTAGCTTTACCTGCACAATCTATACAACATTCTGCTCCAACTTCAACTGTGAATCAAACTGGTAGTACGACTCGTAATACAAATTCATTTTTGGATACTACTCTTCAAGATTTTATGCCTTATCAACCTTTTCAACAATTTGATGATTTAACTATAAATCATTTACAACAACAGCAACAACAACAACCTACTAAACCTCAACCACATTCATCTGAATCTTCTCAAAATCGTCATCATCATCAACATCATCAAAATTCTCAACAACAACAACAACAACATCATCATCATCATCAATTACAGCAACAAGAACAACAACATCATCACCACCAACAAGAACAACAACATCATCATCAACAACAACAACAACAACAACAACAACAACAACAGCAGACGATGCAACAACCATCTTGGACCGATCAACGATATACACAAACGTATATGCCAGTCAGTACTTCTTCTATATCCATGGGTCAACCACAATATTATGCTCAACATCAACCATCTTCACAACACCTTCACCATCATCTTCAACAACAACAACAACAACAACAACAACATCACCATCATCATCAACAACAACAATTACATCAACAACAAAGATCATTACCACCTTCACAACATATGCCATATCCTCAACAAATGTTACCACACCAACAAGCTTTTCTGGATTCATTAAATTCACCTCGACAACAATTACATCGACATCCACAATATCCTGGTATATCAGCACAACAATCATCACCTCAAATGGCTCAACAGTTACAATCACAGCAAACTGGAAGGAAACGAAAGGAGGATTATATGTTAGACGGTACTATGACTGTTCCCACCAAAAAAACAAAAAAGAAGAAGAAGAAGAAAGAACCTGAAGATCCTAATGCTCCTCCAAAACCAAAAAGAAAAACTGGTCTTAACAAACCTTTGATTTTGAGTCCAGCTTTATCTGCTTTAATGGATGGTGATATGGAAGTAAGTGAAGAGATTGGATTTTAATTAGGTTCAAATTTGAATTCATTATAAACCCTTTTTTTTTATATAGTTATCAAGACCAGAAATTGTAAAACGGTTATGGGTATATATCAAGGAAAATGATCTTCAAGATCCCAAGGATCGACGATATATTTTATGCGACGAAAAACTCAAGACTATCTTCCATGTAGATCGTGTAAACAGTTTTGGCATGAATAGGGATTTATCTCAACATCTTACCAAAAAGGAAGTACTACCTGAGGATCAAGATACGACTACTACTACTACTACTACTACAACAACAGTACAATCATCAGGATCTACTAGTTTATCATCATCAACACCAACAACAGATGACAATACGGCAATAGCAAGTGCTAATAATACCAGTATAAAGCAATCTCCTACCGTTACAGCTGATACTCCGGATGATGTAGTAACTCCTCAAGAAGGTGAACATGTTCATGGTTTAGCCAATAGTAATGGTACTGCCAACTCTATCATTGCCACTGTCAATACTATCACATCTTCTACTACAACTAGTTCTAGTACTGCCTCTTCTACCCCAACTCTTCATTGATTCCCCTTCTCTTCATTCTTTTGTTTATTTTGATCTCTTATCTTTTTTTTTTGTTTGTTGTCTTTTTTTTTTCTTTTATATTTTTTTTCTATCCTATTTCTATATTACTACTTTTTTTTTTATTTCTATTATCTCTTCTTTTCACTCATCATTCCTCTCATCATGTTTTAATCGAAATAGTCAATTTTACAAATAAATAAATAAAATAAAAAAAACCCATCGTTTTATGAATCATGTATATATTTGTTTAGTATCAATTGATAATGCATGAAAAACAAACAAAATGGGAACTGTCACTAAAAATGTAGGGGAATATCATCGGTAGTGAAAATGGATTTCTTTTCATCAGGGGTGATACAAGGGACAAAAAAGGTTTACCTTCAATTTTTGATATATTGACCCATTCTTCTCTTTTTTTTTTTTTTTCTCTTATAAAATCATTCCTTCCTTTTTTTTTGATTTATGTTATTTTATAACCATTGAACATTTTGATCGTATGGACTTTGATTTGGGTATTAATTGATATTTTGTAAAGGGCTCCTTTTCAAATCAAGGATCTCCTATAACGTCCTGATTTGGAAATCTTTCCCCTGATCTTTTTTTTTTTTTTTTTTTTACTCCCTTTGTTCTTGCATGTCAAAAATCTCCCCTTAAACTAAAATATAAAATAAAAATAATATTTGGTTTCAATTGGCTTCAAGCAAATATGAACAATTTGGTTCTTTCTTTTGTGACATGTTTCCAAGTCATTTTTATTACCAAATAATACGCTTCTTTATAAATGTAATACTGTATTTACCAAAGTAGGATGATAATATTACTTGTGACTAATCATTATCATTCTTCGTACTCACCAAAAAAAAAAAAAAAAAAAAGATTTAAAGGTCCCACGATACAAGACTGACGTGATTTATCAGTACAGCAGACTAATTCTCAGTTGCGAATACAAAAAGGTAAAATGAAAGCATTGCAACATCGGTACTTTCTTTCCGAATATGGACAAAAAGTACCGTTGATGCTATATGTCTTTTGGTCTCCGCTGATATCGCATTTTTGATGATTTATGTGAATTTTCTTTTTTTTTTTTTTTTCTTTCTTTCTTTTCTTTTTTTTTTTTTTATGTGAAAAAGGATATAGGATGAGTGACGAACATACTCCTCTCATCAATAAAACTAGTGGCAGCAATACAAACAATAATCACGAAGGTAGCAGCCAATATCAATGTCGTTTAAAGTCTTTGAATAATAAACAATGTTGTCGCACATTCAAGATCTATGGTCTGGTACTTGGATTCTTATTCTTATTGGGCAGTTGGTCAGTTTGGTTACAAGCACGTATGCCAACACCTTTAGGTGATGCTGAAGCTGCTCGTACTGATAGCTTTCCCGGTTTACACGCTTACAATCAATATCTCGTTGAATTTCACTCACCTCATCCTGCCAATAGTCGTGAAAACGCTCGTATCAAGAATTGGATTGTTTCCCTGGTGGAGGATTTCCAAACCAAAGCTCAACAAAATGGTATTGTAATGGAGATTATTTCAAAGGATGACACCAAACTGGGTATATTTGAAGACATTATGGGAAAAGGTAACGTATATATATATATATATATGATGAATTCTTATTTATATTTATTACTTGATAGGGGAATATTGGGTGCCAGATTCTCGAAATGTTTTGGCAAGAATTCATGGTACAGATCCTGAACTGAAACATCAAAGTATCCTGGTCAATGCTCACTTTGGTAAAGAATTATTATTATTATTATAATAATGATAATTAAAAAAAAAAAAAAGGAAATTGGAAGGAATCAAAGGTAGATTGAGAGATCTAACTCATTATTATTGTTTTGTATATCTGTAGATAGTGTGCCTACAAGTAATGGTGTTACGGATAATGGTATGGGTACCTGTGTCACTTTGGAACTTCTTCGCTACTATGTGGATCATCCTCCCAAACATACTCTGATCTTTTTACTGAACAATTTTGAAGAAGGTGGCTTATTTGGTGCTCATCTTTTTGCCAATCATCCTTGGTTTGAATCTGTCAAGACTTTTATCAATCTTGAAGGTGCTGGTGCTGGTAAGGAAAAGAATCATTCCACTTTTTTTTTTTTTTTCGTAATCCCGATCATGGATACTCATCCGTCATCTTTTTTTTTTTTTTTATTCTTAGGTGGAAAAAGTATTTTGGTGAGAAGTAGTACTTTGTTCGGTGTCAAACAATTGGCTTCTTCTGGCGCTCATTATATGCAAGCATCTCCTCTTGGCAATGATCTAATGAAATCCAGTATTATGAAGAGGTAATCTTTTAAAAAGAAAAGAAAAGACTGATGAATCTTTCTTTATTCACCTTTATTCTATTTAGTGATACTGATTACACAGTGTTTGACAAACATGGTCTTTCTGGTATGGATCTTGCCTTTTATGGACCACGATCACACTACCATACGCAACGGGATACTCTTGCCTATACTTCACCAAACTCTTTACAATACATGGGTGCTATAGCTTTGGGCACTCTACGAAATTTGGACAATAGCGGTCTGTTGAAAGAAGATATGATGGAACCTGTTGTATATTATGATATTTTGGGTCGATGGATCATTGCTATGTCTTTCTCAACTTTTCAATTTTTCAACATCCTTGCTTTGATACTCGTTCCTTTGGTACCTATCTTGTGGACTTTGAAAAAAGCACATCATCAAGCTGACTATGTTTCCGCCTTGAAACCATTCTTCTTTGATTCAGCCCAAGGCATCCTTTTGTCTCTCACTGCCTTTGTTACTGCACTTATCTCCATTGCTTTGGCTACCTTTGCTTTATATATTGTCAATCCCATGGTAAGAATTACTTTTTTTTTCTTGTATATTTCAAAAAAGAGAATCTAATTTATTATTATTATTATTATTATGATGGAATGGTAGGCTACCTATGGTGGATTAGGGTATATCATCATTTATTTGGTTGTTGCAGTATTCAGTGGAATAACAGGTGCTCTGATTCTTTGCGGCAAATGTCATTGGTATAAACGAAACTTGGAAAAGAAGCCAGAGATTTTATTACATGGACTGAATGGTGTGTGGTGGCTTCTCGTGTTAGGTGCTACTTATCTTGGCTCCAAGGAAGTTTCCGCTTTGTATTTCGCTATTTATTTCCTTGTATCTGGTGCTTTGGCTTCCTTGGTATTTGTTACTTTGCCTCAAGAAAACAAGTATCGTCTTCCTCTTGTATTTATCCTTCAATGGACTATGCCTTTTCTTCTTCTCCTTCAACTGATTTTATTATCCATGACCTCTCTTCGTCATATCACTGTTGATGGTACTCCCGAGTTAGCAGGTAACTTTTTTTTTTTATCTACATTTCACTCTTGTATTTATCATGTTTTCTTTTATATATTTAGTCTATATCCTCACTGATCTCACTCTTGTCTTGATTATTTTACCGATGTTGTTCTGGATCCAATTAGCAGGCAATCAAAAATCCGTGCTCAAGATCTCATCAAGTCTTCTTGGTATTCTCTTTATCTTCTGCTTCTTTATTTCTCCTTTCAACTCAGATCTGTCACCCAACAAACTCTTATATCGAGAAGAATACAACGCCACTGCGTCAACAACTCATGTTACCGTACGTTCCAAACAACTGGAAGAGACTGTACGATCTGTCTTGACCAAGGATGAACTGCAAACCTTTGAATGTCATACGTACGCGGATCTGCCAGCATTAAGAGAATGTAGCTATGATACAACATTAGTGCCTGTGTATGGACAATTGGGACTTGACAAGGAAGCTCAGTTTTCGATGGACAAGGAATGTGTCGATGGTATATGTACAGCAAAAGGGACGTATTCCACCAAGAACAGTTTATTGTGTCGTATCACATTCGATGAAAATGCAGCCAGTGTGGCCAAGGCTTGGATTTATGGTGGTCCTGTAGTGTATGCAAAGAATCAACCCATCACTGGTCTCGTGGCCTATACCGATGATTACAATACCGTGGTCCCATTTGGTTTCTCCTGGTCTGAAGCATCTCCTACTCCTCGTGCACGTTTCAACTGTATCTATAATGAATGGACAAAAGGGGAACTACCTGCTTATGTGTCTTTGCGTGATCGTTTACCTGCTGATTATCTTATCTTAGTTAGAGGCCAAGGTATGACATTTGTTACCTTCAAAGAATTGGACCTTTAGTTTTTTGTATCAGTATGATGAAATAAATGTGAAAGTATGGACTTTTTTTTTTTTTTCTGTTTGGTTTTTAATGTGGATTTTTATGGTCTTGTTTGGATAAATGGTATGATCTTTTCGTTTATTGCATCAATGATATTGATCACATCGACTTTATTATTGAAAGGTTTCAATGTTTGCAGGAAACTCCAGGGTATAGACAATATTAGCCATGTGACAATCATCTAGGATGACAAAAAAAAAAAAAAAAAAAAGAACGGGATAGATGATATGTTATAGATAATGATGATAGATACAAGTGTCATGAATCTCTCTATGAAAAGGATGATGAATTTCTATCATCGATAGGTGTCCAAATTGTAGATGAAAAATATTAAATGATAAAAACGATAAGAATAATTATGATAAGAATAAAAGAGAATATTTTTTATTAAAAAAATATATATATAACATAGATTTATGACAAAATTTGTCTTGTCAGTTTCGATCTTTTATAAAATAATAAAAACATATATACAAAATAAAAATAAAAATAAAAAAGGACAAATCTAAAAAACTATTCCCTTGATGATGATTCCATTGGCGTTGGTGTTATTGGTGTAGCTGTTTTGAGATCCTGAGAGATAGAATCACCATGTAGTTTCAACATCAATTTCCATTCACCTGTCATTTTGCGTATACCATCTCCATAAGTCCATGATCGAATATCTGTGATATAGTTATCCATATATGGTGATGATGTGATACCCATGAATGCCTGTAAATTGCCAATGGATCGAGTTCTTGCATTTGCTACATGTCGAATGGTGGATGATAGATATTGTTGTTGGGATGTTGGTCGACTGGAATGCTGTTGTTGTTGTTGACTAGATCCTACATTTTGTTCTATGGATGTATCAACAGACGCATCTATTGGTATGGTGGATCCAGTAGCATCTAAAGGTGAAACCGGTTGTGATGAAGGCGTCGATGAAGTTTGTTGTTGTTGTTCCTGTTGTTGTCCATTTAAAATTATATCTTTATGGGATGAAAGTGAGATAGATTCAGCAGTGTCATCGGGAAATCCAACCATGCTTAGTTGTGCAAGGTAACGTCGTCGTTGTCGTCTAGTTGTGTTATTGCTTCCCCAACTTTTCCATCGTGTTGTGGTTGTTGGAGTATTAACCGATGATTCAAATCGTTCTTGCTGCACATTATTTGGTGAGTATGTTGAATGAGGTGTATGTAACGATTGAGGTGAGTGAGGCGAACAAGGTGAACGAGGCGAATGAGGTGAATAGGATGAATATGAGGAGTGTCCAGTTGGAGTTGATGACAAGAATGGTGAATTAGTGGTTGATGATAAGACCGATGATGCCACGACCCGTTCTTTGATAAGTCCACCTAGTAAGAGAGCCAACGGTGTTTTATAATACATGATGAATTCAAGAAGATGCCAAGAGGTAAAGTCCAACAATGTATAAGCCGAAGATGTTGGTGTGATGGATAAAGTCGAATAACCAGGTGAGTGAGTATGAACTGAAGAATTTCTGACCCCTGCTTGTGTTGTTGTATCATTGAATATCATAGCTGATGATGGAGAAGGAGGAGGTGGAGGAGGAGGAGGATTAACGACAGGTGAAGAAAATCCAGATCTTGACCTTTTCTGCATTGTATTGCTGATACCAAGACTGTCACTATTGAATATCATCAGAGTATCCTTGATATAATAAGCCAGTTGAGTCCATACACCTTTCAATTTGTCAAATGATTTACTACCACGAATAAGTATAATCTTCAAAGCAATGAAACCAAATGTTGATAACAAAGCTGTAGAAAATGTAAGAGACTTTTTGTTATTGTTTTCCAATGTGCTGTTGGTACCACCGCCTTCTACATTTGGTGTTGCTGTTGTTGCTGTTGCTGTTGTGTCTACCCCACGATCCCCCGATACATCACTTGTACTAACAATATTGATCCCATAGTTTCCATCATCGGTTGTTACTATTCCAATGTTCGAACTTGAGTGATTGCTGATGCTACTAAATGCTGATAAAGAGAATCCACCTGCTGGAGATCGATATTTCAAAGTTTGAGCTTGACTACATGCTTTCATCACAAAGGACAAAAGACGTACCCAATAATCAGTTGGATCGCGTTTGAATCTGGAAGCACCCATAGTTGAAGGAATACGGTTGTTTTGAAGGTTAAATTGAAGGCATGTCGGAATGATCACCATCCCCATCAGAGATACAGTAGGATTCATCTTTTCAATTTCGCAAAATACATCCAGAGGCGAAGTTTCCATCATTGTCACCAGTAGGTTCACCAACGCTTGACAAAATGAATCATAGACACCCTTGCAATGAGAAGTACCACCACTGAAATCATCATTGATCATGGATAAGCCGTAAGTAAGATATCGATCTTTGATTAGAGTAGCAATGTCATTCATCTGGAATGATTTTCCTTGACCATGCTGCAGAATCAACACAAGTCCTTGATAAATACCGGATCCATCCAATACCTTGTGATAACTTTTCCATTGTGAGAGAATTTGTTGAAGTACCTTTTTGAACGCTTTGGTATAATTTCTTGTACCAACCATAGACCTAACAGCATCATCCAAGTAATTCTTTACCCATAATGTATTGCAAACATTTCCAGATAGACCATAGTCCCGCAAAAGTGTTCGAATGATATTTCCCATTTTTTCATGATCCACTTCAGACAATGTTCCTTGTAACTTGAAATATTGTCGAATCAACTTGATAAATTCCATCTTGATGGTAACACGATCGTTTTGTTGCCAATGCTTTCCAAACGCATGTTGTTGTTGAAAAGTAGAGTTTGCTGTTACATGATCTTGTAATAAATGTTGATGTTGAGATCCCAAGTTTCCATCTTCGCCTGATACATGATTTCCCATTTCTGCTGTTGCTGTTGTTGTTGTTGTTGTTGTTGTTGTTGTTGTTGTTGTTGTTGTTGAGTTGTAAAGTGGTACTGCATTCTTACTGAACCTTGTAAATACATCCACTAACGCTGCCATACCTTCATCAATCAAATCCACTAGATCACTTACTTTGTAAAATAGAGGGAGTAAGTACCGGTACATTTTCACAAATTGTTCAGCACGTAATGCTCCAGGATCATAGGCAATAATTGTCAGGAATAACTTGATAAAACTGGATAAAAGGAATGGTCGGTTTGTATAATTGTTGACTACCAAGGGAGCAATGGGAGCTGTTACACTACGAGCCAATGGTTTCAAAATAGAAGTCGATAGAGGCATCGTCATAGGATTGCTAACAACATCTATGCGCTCTTGAATACTACGTTCATGATCATCCAATTCAACCTGTAATTGTAATCCAAGAACATCTGAAGTAGCTCCTAGACGAGGTGGTCGGTTCATCGCTTGCATTAAAGTAAATAAATTGTCGATCATCCAGGATCCAAGTCGTGTAGATTGATTGTATGCTTTCAGGATGGATGGTGAGAGAGTTCCTAGCATTTGAAATACGAATGATTCTTCATGGACGGCATAAAATCGACACCAGGCAAATGTGATGGCTGATCGAATATGAGGATAGTTTTCTACTTGACAAAAAACCTTGAAGAGAGCCGGTAAAAAAGCACCATAACCATGATTGGATGAGAACAATCGTTTGAATCTTGTCACTACCCGGGTATAGAGAATCAAAGCTTGCCCAATAATTCCATAATCATAGCTGTTATTACTGATGATGTCGTTCACGCCACTGAGAATCCGTTCCAGTTCCTTTCGATCGTTGTAATTCTTATTCAGACCATTTAATAGAGTGTCAATAAATCGTAACCAGACGCGTGCTCGTAACAAAGATAATAATCCAGTATCTTCTTGTTCTTGACAGGGTCTTGGGAGAACAGTGAAGTGTTCCAGATTGTCAACATATGTAGTATCCAAATCGATCAGTTGTTCAATTCCAACACGAGCACAGAATCTGAGATCAGGAAAATCATGGCTGATATGATTCTGAAAGTGATTCATGTCGCTGTAACCTTCAATATCGCTGTTGATGACAGTAGGTAATTCTTCGTAATCTTGTAGAGTTTTCTTGATGGTGTATACCTCACGAGGATATCGAATCAAAAAGTTGGTCAAAAATTGAATATGACTAATACGAAGCATGGTTACTCCAAAAATTTCATCAGGGATATCCAATACTGTAAAAGAAGTTTGTCGTTCCGTCAGTCGTCTTGCGAACATGGAGATAGGTTGTTCATGAGTGAACCAGAATCGCCCAGTACTTGTAAGTAGCGTTTCAATCTTGTTCTTTCGCAAATCCCGTGTGGAGAGTTCGTTGGTGGATAGAACAAGTTGAGTCAATATAGGATGAATAAGTGACATCAATGTGAACCCATTTTTTGTTGTTTCCCTTGTAAGCCATTTGAGCATGCCAGCCAGGTAATTGAAGAGTGTATGTGTGAATCCAGGTGGTAGCTTCGCTTGCATAGTGACAAGATAATAAAGCCGTGTCAAAGAATCTTGTTGTACTGCCAAATCGTTTTTACCAAGATCACCAAGAAAGCCTCGTAAAAACAATTCAGGATCATCACATAAATAAGAGCTTAGTAATTCTCGTAAAGCGCCATGTACACCACCATAGTCATCACAAAGAGAGTCCACCATACTGAGAAATGCGACATTGATTGTTGGTATCATGGTTGCACGTTTTCTACGAGTGATTGTTTTGCTGACTAATGCTGATATGGTATCTTCACCGCCACCACCTGTAGTCATCTCGGCATCTTCCAATCGATCGTATTCTTCATCCAAATATAATGACGGTAGTAGTGTCAATGGTGTCAAGACTTTTTTGAGTGCTTCATATTCTTCTCCTTTGTCTTCATCATCCCAACCAAGTTCTTGGATCTGTCTCTTCAGTTCAATAGGAAAGTTGCTTGCATTTTTGAGTTTGGCCATCCATCGGGGTTCATCCATAGTGAATCGGTTGCTGCCAAGGTCTGTTGGTACAAAAGGAGTAGCAAAAGCACCACCATCACCACGGAAAGGTCGTCTTTTTGAAGAAATCAGAATATAGTCTTGAGCTAGAATGTTGAATCGGTACGCAGATAAAGATGCATGTTTCAATATGGTTTCCATACGTCGTCGTGGATCAGCACTATTATATGAATAAAATAAATCAATAAAGATTGCTTTACCTTCATTTTCGTTGTGTTTTTTTTTTTTTTTTTTTTTTTTTTTTTTTTTTTGTTATTATTATTATGTATTTTACCTGTAGAAATCACGAGCTGTCAATTGAATCACTGTTTTTGGAATCTTTTCACCACATTGCATAAATAAAAAGGCAGCAGGTACAAAGATATGAGGATAATCAGCATTCATAAATCTTTCCCAGAGAGGTTGGACCAATTTTGTGAATTCTTGAGGAGTCAATGTTGTGAATACAGCTACCAGTAATGAGAAAACAGCAGCAAATGGATCATGATGTATTTTGGGCATTTCTTCCAGTCGTCCTTTGGATAATTCTGAAGCAGGTGCCATATTCTTGTGATAATCGCTTTTCACTAAAGCTGGAGGAGCCAATTCTAAACTAGATGCAGCTTGTCGACTAATAGGATATGTCATGGAAATAATAAGTTGTCGCTTGGTTCGAAGAGTCAAAGGGTCATTGAGAACAGAAGTATGCATATCCTCTACCGTAAGACCTTTTTGTGGTAGCATAGACATAGGTCGTTCACCTCCATATTCAATATGTTCACTTGATTCAAATTCTAGTTGTTCCAATGTTGTTGTATATACCAATTTGATCCTGTCGAACATAATCGTCACGTCTTCTAGCATTGCCAAGAAAATCACCGGCTGAATATCGCTTGTCGTTGTTGTTGTTGCCTTGTTTGTATTTTTTGGATTTATGTTTTTGTGAGATTTGGTAGATAGCTTTTCAAAATATTCTGGTGTTCCAACATGTTGAGTAGCCCAATCAATCACACGAGTTAACCAACCAGGTCTATGTGTTGTATTGCAGAAGAATCGAATATCAAGAAGAAGATTGCATATAATCACACGTAATGGCATAGGGATCAATAAAAGCTTTTCCTTGGCTGTCATGAAGACTGCAAAACGTCGTTCCAAATCGATCAAAAACTTTTTCGCGATTTCATCTTCTTCCATATTCCGTGTTCGATGTTGTTGAAGATGTCGAAGTTCCCGAACTGCCCATAAGAATTCTGCGGCTATGACACATTGTCCTAAGGATGTTGTACCCCATTTGATTTCATTTGGATCTTCTTGCATAAGATGAGCAGCACCAAAACCATGAGAGTGATCTGTAGACTGATTCTTACGGCCCACATCACTGAGAAGTAATACATTGATCATTTCAGCATCTTGCATCCACAGTTGTACACCAGACATATATCGACGAAGACATGAGATCAAAACTAATGAAGACGTCACTTTATCATGATCGTTTGAAGCAACACATGATACAATAGGCTTGTAAAAAGAAGGACGGTATGATTGAGATAGCTTGAGTAGTAGACGACAAAGAGATGGAAACGGTGCAGGATAAGTAGATGTAAGGCGATTAAATAAAACAGGTAAAGATTTCTTGACAATATCTTCACTAATAGCTGAATCATCCAAGCAGAAGGCCAAGTTTTCATAGACAGTAACTGATCGTTCACCAGCAGAATCTTCCAATAATGCGATCGTATTTGACAAAATATTTTCACTGAATCCAGATTTCCAGAGATTTACCACATTTTCCTTCATACTGTTAAGAATGGTTTCTAAACGTTGTTTGTGATTGATATCAGGCTTAAATGGATCCAAAGTATCAATGCCACTAGAGTGAAATGAATCATTTGGCAAATCTTCATTTGAGGGTTGAGGCACGATGATTGATGAACGTTGAAATGCAGAATGTTTTGACGAAGGTTGAAGATGAGTAATAGACATAATGGCCAAGGCTGCATTAGTGATATTGGTGGCTACAGCGTCTTGCATCCTATCGCTACTCTTGTCAGGAAGATATTGTTGAAGTTTAGAGTAGGAGAGTTTTTCTTGAATAAAACTCCACAGGAGATGTACAGTAGATGTCGCTTGTACAAGATCTTCTACAGATCCATTCAGAAACTTTTCAATTGCTAAAATAAACAAGTAAAAAGGTAGTTAGTAAATTTTTTTCTTTCATAAAAAAAAAAAAAGATAATTTGATGTATGATTTTTTTTGACATACCAGCTTCAGCTAAGACAAATAGAACCAGTAAAAAGGCAGGTCGAGTTTCAAGAGTGGGTTCCAACCAGTATCTCTATAAATTGCGTATCAAATATATAAAAAAAAAATAAGATGAATATCAATTCTGTTTTACAGATATCCATTTTCATTTTTGATACTTACTTTTAATAACATTCGTAAAACAAGTTTGTCCCGAGTGCTTTCAAAGGATATATTGGTATAATTGCTTGATTTATCTTTGTAAGGATCCACATGTCCATATCGTCCAACCATTAATGTTTTGCATAACCCCTCTACAGTGCATAGTTGCGCCACTGTCACTGGAGTGTTAGAATCCTTTGTAGAACTTGTAAAATACTGATCCCAATGTTTGCCCATAACAGGTATAATGATTCCATTTGATAACCCATCCATCAATTCCATAATACGTTCATAAACATGATTGTAATCATCTAAAACCTCTGGCTGTCCATGTTGTGATGACTGAATAGTGTGATGAGCCAAGGCATCTGTAAGGGTATATACAAGAGAGTGATAGGCTGAAGGTGTGGAAGGTAGACTAAGTGATTTTGTTGAAGAAGGTACAAGTAATTGCTTGATCATAGTTGTAACACGTAACTATAAAGAATGAAAGAAAAGAAGAAAAAAAAATATTGAGTTAAAAGTCGTAATGGGAACCTATTCATATTTACCTTGAGAATCAAATGATCAATGGACAAGATTCTACAACAGAATAGTAATAATTCAAAGTTTTCCTATCCATCAGAAATCAAAAATTAGCTATCATCACATAACCATATTTAATTTTTTTTTATCTTACCGCTGCGTCAAGGTGTTTGAAACGATCTTGAATATAATCAATAATATCTAAAGCTTGATTACAATCATTGACTAGAAAAAAAAAAAAAAAAGGTATCAAAATGGTTAAGATGATTTAGACTCCAATAAAATATTTCCTCTCTCTCTATATATATGAATATAAATATTTACCTTGAACGGGAGTTGAATGGAAAGGTATAGATAGTATGGTGAGTATTTCATGGAATAGAGGAAGTCGACTGGATAATTTATGGTTCTGAAAGGTGTCCATGATGGAAGTTAAAATAGTATGAATTTGATTGGCGTTTTGAGAGAGTTGAAGGTTGTCATCTGTTGGTATATTAGAAGGTGAGAGTTCTGCTGGAGTGATAAAGAAACTAGCATGACGATTCCAAGTGTTCGGAGTAAGTAAGACCTTTTGTAAATCCCTTTCTAATCGATAGATATCTTGTTGTACATATGTACTAGTCGCATAAATCCCGCTTGACCCGCTAGATTCACCGTGAAAATGGCGACCAAAGTGACGTCCATAGTTATTCATACCAGCAGCTTGAGCAGCAGTAATGGTAGTAGCAACAAAATTGTTTTGTATATGTTGATGGTAATTGTGAGTATCTGTAACACCATTTGACTGTTGAGAACGAGTGAAAGGACCGAAAAGAGGATTTCTATGATTCAAACGTTGATTGAGAGTAAGAGGTGTTTGTGCACGAGTAGGAGTAGGTATATGTTGAGATATACTTGTTGGACTAGCTTGAGTAGATTTGGATAAATAAAAATTATCAGTAGCACCAGTTTTGACAGCATCTCGTATACGTTCCCAACGTCGAGTTGAAGTATCATTTTGATCTGTTTGTGGACTTTGTGGATGAGGAGACGTAGTAGTTGGAGTTGATGTCTGTCTTGAAGGTTGTTTCTTTCGATAGGTATCATCACCAGGATCGTCAGACATGGATAATAAACTAAGAAAGATTGAAAATAAAATAATAAGAATTCCATCCAAATATTAGTAAATCCCCGTAACATTCTTTTTGACAACTTGCCTTTCTTTTTTTCGTTTTGAATTTGTATTCAATGAACTAAAAAAGTAGTTTCTCTTCTTCAACCAATAAAATAAGTAAATAAAATAAGATAAAATAAAAAACAAAAGATACAATAAAAAAAAAAAAAGAGAGAGAAAAGAAAAGAAAAGAAAGTGAGATAAAGAAAAAAAAAAAAAAAGAAAAGATTTCGAGTTGAGCGTCCGACGTGTATAATAAAAAAAAAAAAAAAACAATTTATTGACAACTGTTAAGTAATAAATAAAATATTTGAACTATCAAACTAAACACCACCTTTCTTGACATTAAAGAAATTTCTCACCACAAAGACTTGTAAAGCGGCCATAGCAATGATAGCAATACTTTCCAAACTGGCAAACCAAAAGATACGTTGTTCAGTGGAGTGAACAGTACTTGAATTTCTATTTTCACGGGTTCGGAAGTACTTTTGAGTACGGGCAATATTGGTCAATGATCCAGACAAACGGAATAATGATTCTTCCATAGCACTAAGGGTTTCAGGTTGTTGTTGTCCTTCCATAGCTTTGGCAAAGTTAGGACGTACTTCATGTTCCAAAGTGATTTCAAAATCAACAAGTTTTTCAGCAAAAGTCGACATATCATTGGAAAAACAAAAAGAATATTCACCAGCATGATTGGCAGTAAAAACATAATCACCTTGTCGTTCTCCTTTTCCTTCCAAAACAACTCTTTCGCGTGGATCGCTTACCATGTAATCGATATCAAAAGAACCACCAGATTGTACCTTATATAAAGAAAGAAAGAAAAACAAAGTGATTCAAATATAAGTATTATATATAAGATGATATAATAGATGATGTTTTTTTTTTTTTCTTTTTTTACTTACGGCAAAGTAAAAACCAATTTTTTTTCCAGGTGTATCAGTCCAAGTATAAAAACAAGCATGTTCGTTTGCGGCCATGTTGTATGTCAAAGCCGTTGCAGATACTGATGATGGTAAGATGATGATGGCTGCTAATATGCTAGCCAAAAGGAATACAACCGACATGAATCGTTGTGCCATGTTGGGATATATTTATAAAAAAGGTTCAAAGAAGTAAAAAGGAACGGAAGAGAAAAAGAAAAATAGATTTGCTGGTAAAAAATGAGTGGAACTGAGTTTGAAAGGAAGAGTTTATTTTTATTGAATACATCAAGGAAGAGAGAAAAATCAAATATGTAAAAACATATGTAAAACAAAAAAAAAAATTAACAAAAAAAAATCAATAGATAAAAAAACTAAGCAGGGACAGGAGATGATGGATGTTGTTTGATAGAGTCTGTTGGTTTTTTTCGTCGACCAAAAGTAGTAGTCATGCGCTGAATGAAGGATGGTGATGATTTTTTTGAAGTTGGTGAACCTGATGATGTCAAAATAGATTCTTTCGATCCACCACTGTAACTTGGATCGGTGTAAACTTGTGATAAATCATGAGTAGAATGGTATTGCCGCATACTATCATGTTTATTGTATAAATGTGTCTGTTGTTGTTGTTGTTGTTGTTGTTGTTGTTGTTGTGCTAATGCGACTGGAGACCTGATCAAAGATTGTTTCCGTTCCTGACGAGTAGTACTACCAAGCTCTTGAGTCGAGATGGATCGTGGTAAGCCGCCAATATCATCATTACTACCAGTAGCAAAAGTGACAGGAGACTGTGGGTATACATTGTGATGATCCAAGTTTTGAGATGAAACTGTTTGTTCAGTTTGCTTGAATGGGAGAGCTTGGGTAGGTTGGTTATTGTTTATTTGTTGTTGTCCTTCATATAAATTATTCATCAAAGTTGATATTTGAGGTACAGAGTTACTTCTTCGACGTTGAGAACGGGTAGTAGTAGTAGTGGTTGCGATATTATTCGTAACTGATGTTGAATGAGAAACATTTGGATCCATTGAATTATATTGCTGAGTATCTTTGTAAGGAGACGATGAAGATGATGAAGATGTTGACAGATTCATCGTACGAGAAGAGGATGATGATGATGATGATGGTTTTGTCAAAGCCAACGTCGAAGGAGTAATTGCGTTGAATGGTGTTCCATTTTTATTCAGATTTGAGGTTGATTGAGAAAGCAATGGAGTTGACATGGATACATGAGTACTGATGGCGTTCGATTTGGATTTTGATGTCATTCCTGGATGATGATCGAAAGGTAACACAGTTTCCGAGTTCAACCGTTTTTTTCCAAATAAAGATACTAATTTGCGAATCGATTTTTTCTTGGTCAGTGGTTTTCTTGCCTGGGTATCTGTTTGTATCATCGTATGCTGAGAATTATTGTCGGATTGAATTGAATCATTATTGGTTTGTTTTTGTTGTTGATAACCATTCTTGTACTTTAAAGAAGACGTTCGAGTAGGAGACAATGAGCTACTGATGCGACGATTGGAGGAAGAACCGGTAATGATAGAAGTACGTTTGTTGGCTTTGGATACAAAAGAATGACCATCATAATTATCGATTTGGAAAGATTCAAAAGCAGGAATCAAACACATAAAAGAATCCACAGATGATCTATGCTGCTGTTTTTCTTTAAAATAAGTCAATTCAGGAAGTTGAGGAGCAGGTGAAGCATAAGGATCTAGATTAATATCGACTTTGAATTCCATATCAAATAAACTCATCAATTCGCCAGCGAGATGTTGAGAAGCCGCAAAGGAAGTCAATCCTGTATCACTAGTCCAACTGATACGATTTTGATTCAGTCTAAAGCTTTTTCGCCGTTGTTCCTTGATATCTTGTCGTTTTATGCCGTTTGTCGGAGCGGTAGTTGATGTAATTGATGAAGCAGTGGTAGAAATAGTTGTATTTGTTGTTGTTGTTGTAGTAATACTTGAATTAGTTGTGACACTTGATGATCGACTAGGTACTTTTGAATCCTTCAATTGTTGTATTTGTTGTTGTAGTAAATCATTTTCATCTTCAATATCATTTATCGTTCCAGCTGTATCTTCTACTGTTTGATGATTATTTGATTTGAATGAATCCATGATTTGTACATATTCAGATAGGATAGTTTCCAAACCTTCTTGTGTCATATCAATTTCATCCAATGATCTATCAAAAAAAAAAAAATTCAATATAAACATAAATATAATACATAACATATTATATGACCCTTACTCAAGTGTAAAGAATTCCCAACGAGTCATTTCATCTAACCATTCTTTTGGAGTAATATCATAAATATATTGAACTGTATTTTTTATAAGAGCAGTTTTTCTTAAAGAATGAATATCAGGAGGAGCAAAAGTGAGTTGAGCCAGTTTATAGTTGGAGATAGCTGCTAGTTGTATAGGAGAATGTTGTCCATCTAATAGTTGGTGTAATATTATTGCTGCATCTTGATAACTTGACTGGTTTAATAGACTTCCAACTCGTTGTGGTGGCATATATATAATAATAATAATAATAATAAAAGATAGAAATAATAAAATAAAATAAAAAAGTTAGGAAAAAGAAAGATAAAATATTATGAAATGTTTTTTTTTGTTGAAAAAAGACCCCATTTTAAAAAGACCGGTAACACAGAGAAAAAGGTTTTTTTGAATAGTTTATTTGCATTTCAAGACAACTAACTAAATTGTATGTATCATAAACCCCCAAAAGATGTATTTCCTAATCCACGACATTTTTTTGAAAATTCGTTGGTATATTCCTTGAAACGCTTCAGTGATCGATGACTTTTTGAATCAATAAGAAAAAAAAAAATAAGAATAAATAAAAATAAGAATAAAAAAAAAAACATTTTCTATTGATATTGCCTATTTTAGTCTTACCCTAAGATACCTTTGATAAAAGTATCTTTATCTTCTTTCGTCACAAGTCTAGAAGGAAATCCTTCCTATATAGAATATAATAATGAATTATTATGATTATGATTATAATTATTATTATTTGTCAACATCAATACTAGTAAATTTCAAAACTTACATGAGCCAATAAGATCTGTAACCAATGTCTACATAACTCCAAATATCTTCCAGTCAGTTTGTATAAAACATCAACCAAAGGTTTAGAAAAGGAACGTGGGACACGTCCACCAATACCCTAATAAAGATAATGTAACACAGAATCAAAGCTTGAGTAACACAAAAACGCAAATCATCTAATTTTTTTATATAATCAATTACCGCCAACAATTGTTCCATTATTTGTAATCCTAGTTCCATAATCATTTTATTTATCACTTCATCCATTTTACTTCCTTCTTTATAATCTTGAGCGACAAAATCAGCCTATAATATAAATATATTAATATTTAATCATTTTTTTTTCTTATGTATATTTTTTTTTACCATAAAATTGAGTGAAGCTTTCAACGCCAATCGTTCTTGTATTCCCATACCAGCAATAGTGAATTGGAAAATAGTATTCAACATAACAGGAGAAAGTTCATAAAACACCATTGGGCACCTTTGAATGACCTATAAATAATAATAAAAAAAAAATCATTCAGTAAAGAATCACATCATAAAAAAAAAAATTGAAATCTTGTGAGCACTGACCCTTGAAAGAAGATTAAAATAACTATCTACATTGTCTGGGTGTTCTTCCATATCTATCATCAATAAAATAATAATAAGAATAATAAGAATAAGAATAAGAATAAAAAAAAAATGCATTTTCAATGTCCTTATATGGTTTTCTTTTTAATCTTCTATTTCCATTTCTTTCTATATTACCTTCAGTCCTGCTGATAAAATTCAAGGTCTTTTCAGTTAAACTTGAAAGTAAATCTCGTAATACAATAACGTTGTTTTGTTGACCACCATAAACTGTCATGACAAAGGCAGTTGTATCCAACCAAGAGGCAAATCGGGATGTTTGATAACCAGTATCAATGAGAGATACCAATTCATGGAAAGGTAATGTTAATAATGGACTTGTTGATCGAATTCCTGCTTCAAGAAACTGTGATAATGCCTATAAAGAAAAAAAAAAGGGAAAGATTTTTCTAATTTAACAATTTCTTTATTTCATTCATATAAAAAGTGAATTACCTTCATCACTTCTTCATCACCACCCCATATCATCGTAATACGTCGAACAGTATCACCTATAGCAAATGTCATTTGTTCAAAACCATCCACATTCGTATACATTGCCGTCAATTGCCCACTTGCAAAGATATCATAAATATTGTTTCTAGCAGTCAATGTTTGATAATCATCTGTTGGTGTTTGAATACCTCGACAACATGCTGAAAGATTCTGTAATTGAGATAACACTGCAGTTCGAGTAGTAGCAGGATCTTGTACTAGTAATGTTCCAAGTTCTTGTAAGATACTGCCAGTCAAGATCTAAAGATATAAATAAAAAAATTTGTCGCAAATTGATTCTTAACTAATAGTTCTTTTTTTTTTTTAAAAAAAAAAAAATATTATTGTTTTACCATAAGAGGTCCCATGGATCGTTCTGGTGGTAATACTTGAATCACAGAAGCTACCGATTCCACTACTTTGTGCATAACATTGACCTAAAAATGTAAAAAAATATAAACATATCAGTTCATTTCTTACTCATCTTCCTTTTTTTTCTCACTTACATCAATTCTTGCCGCGGAAGTGGTACTATAAACGTGCATCAAACTATCTAAATCATCAATCAAAGACTCACGACATATGTCACATATATTGGAGAAGGCAGATGCTGCATAAGAAGCGAGTTTCGGAGAACTAAGACATGGAACTATATAATTCAAAGCTGGTATCAAAAACTCGGAACGACCCTTTAACCATTCCGCAAGGGATCCTAAATATTGAAAAGATCGATGTTCATCTTAGTTTTTTAGCTTTTTTTTTTTTTTTTTTTTAAAAAAAAACAGCTTACCTGTCAATGATAATGCAGTGTTTTGCAATCGAATATTGTTTTCAGATGGTAATCTTCCCAAGATATCAGCACCAAAGAGTTTTGCCACATGTTCATTTTCGTCCGCAGGAATTTCTTCAGAAACACTTTTTAAACAAAAGAGTGTCGCTTCCAAATCTAAACCAGGTGATGATATAGTGTTCCATTGAGCTAGTACCGTAAAAATATGATTGAATAAAACTGCCAACATATCACCACGTAAAACATAATAAGAATTAATAATAGTGTCACCCAAATCACGACGACATATTCTAAATTTATCCTTGAGATCTATATGATATAACATGTTAATAATAAGATAATAATCTTTCATACTATTATTTTTTTTTCATACCTTTTGTCCATGTTCGCCATACATCATCCTTTGGAAAGATAGCTTTTTGTTTGATCACTGTTACCAATCGTTGATAGAGAATTACAGCTGTTTCACCACAGTGTTGAGTCCATAATCTTTGTTCATCAGATGTAGTTGAATCCAGTGATACATCATCATCGCCATCCCGTTTAGCCATTTCAAATTGTCGAACAGGAATAATACCATGGTCAAATAATGTTTCTTGCAGAACATACCAAAAGTTGAGAGGGATTTCACTAATTTCTTGATCAACAGGATAATATCCTTGGAAGCCTGTCAATTGTAATGTCATATCCATTAAGCATTGAATATCTGATCTTGCCAATTGCAAAGCAACGAAATCAGTAAATGTTTCTCCAAAAGTTGTGAATAGTTTTGCCAGAGATCGACCAAGATCATCATCTTCGTCTAAATTAATAATAATAAAGAATGAATATATTAATCACAATTTCTTATTGATTCATATTTTTTTTTTTTTTTTTTACCTTGAATACAGTCAGCAAATTTCTTTTTCATACCATCACTTGTGAAACAAACTAAAAGATTGTCTCGAAATGAGTTGTACCTAGTCCAAGAGCTTTGTTGCATACCCTCTAATAATACATCCGCTGCTGCTTCAAATAATTCATCATTGGCTAGAAGAGACATTGTTTGTGTTAATAATAATGCCACATCTCTATCAAAAAAAAAAAAATTAATATATATATAATAACTAATTTCATTTTGTTTTGTATAATAAATTTACTCTATATTGATCCCATATTGAATCCAGCTCTGAAAACATTTCAATGATTTTTGGAGAAGGGACACATCAGTAGTCTCTGGAGCAAAAAGAAAGTTGGATAAAGTTGATAATACTAAAGGAAGACCATCCTTGAATTCTTGCATTAATTGAGATCTATAAGATATATAAATATACATTTAATATTATCTCTTTTCATTATTAGTTTTACTTTACTTTTGTCCACCAATAAGTTCTGCATTAGAAATCTCTTCGGGTAGCATTGTGAGGAATTCCAAAATAGTTTGATTGATATTTTCAGTCGATACACCATAAGCTTGAGCTCCAGATATAAATGCTTGGATAGATTGAGGAATAAATTGTTGCCAATAATTTGGTACAACTTGAAAAGCATAAGCAATCAACTAAACGAAAATGATTACATATGTCACTAAACATCTTTCTACTCTTTTTTTTTTTTTTTTTTTGAATCTTACAGCAATGCAAAGTTTTCGCGTGACAAACATAGATCCATTGCTGCATTTGATAATCCAAGTAAAAAGTTCGTCTCGAAGCCAGTCGATTCTATCTGATGGGAGAGTGTTCCTATTTGTATATAGACAGATATATTAGTTCCAACTCTTCAAGTACACACTTCCCGTTTCCCATTCTTTTTGCCCTACATACCAATCACGAGCTATCTTGACTTGAATTGTATGCGCTCCGAAAAATCGACAATGATCAGACTAAATAAATGTTTATGGGTAAGTTTCATATCACAGATTTCTAAAGTATAGAGAATAATAATGTAATGATAATAATGAATAAAATAGAGAGAAATACTTACCGGAATAGAGAGAAGATTTGATGCTAATTCCCATGCTTCTGGATGTCTTTGTATTGCTTGAAGTTGTTCTTGAATTGTTTTCGTTACTTGAGGATCTATAGAAGTGTATAGTTGTTCCACGAGCTACAGGGGATGAAAGTAAAGCCAATACGAAGAAGAAGAAGAGGGAAAAAAAAAAGTTCAGTAAGATTCATAAAGGGACGAAGACTTATTATTCTAATTTATATTCATATTTACATTTTTCACTTCAGTAACATGAAGTGAATTCATAGAGAAAGATACAATAAAACGAGAAAAAAAGAAGAGAGAGATGACAAGAAAAAAAAATAAAAAATCGGCGGTGTTCGAATCCTGGAGAACACCACAATGCTTCTATTACGGCAAAAACATCGTCACTTGGGAGACATGAGTGAAAATAACAAAAAAAAAAGGGGGAATCGGGTTTTTACACTTTTCTTTTCTTTTCTTTTTTTTTTTTTTTATATAACATATATATCTTATAACTAACTATATTCAAATATGAACATTAGACAAGCGACTGTAAGTTCAATATTATATATGTTATTTTTCAGACACTTTAAACATGGACAGTTTTGATACTAAAGCTAGTTATTTCTATTTAGGTTGATGACTTGATCGCTATTCAAAACTGCAATTTGCTTGACCTTCCTGAAAACTATCAAATGAAATATTGTAAGGAATCGAGGACATCTTAATATATATATATTAACGATACTATTTCCCACTTATATATAGATTTATATCACGCTTTGTCTTGGCCACAACTATCATTTGTAGCTGAAGACGATAATGGCAAGATTGTTGGTTACGTTCTCGCGAAAATGTAATCAATGATAAAACACACTATATATATATATATATATATGTATGTACTCTTATTAATACTTTCTCTTTTACTTTATGAATATATACAATAGGGAAGAAGAACCTTCAGACGTACCTCATGGACATATTACTTCATTATCTGTTATGCGAACTTATCGAAGACTTGGTTTAGCAGAAAAACTCATGACACAATCTTCGAAACAAATGATAGAAGTATTTAATGCTCATTATGTTTCTCTTCATGTTCGAAAGACAAACCGAGCTGCTATTGGTCTTTATCGTGATACATTGAAGTTCAGGTAACAAATTCCAAAGTATATGAAATAGAATGAACTAATCTTTTTTTTTCTTTTGTTAGTGTACACGAAATTGAAAAGAAATACTATGCCGATGGAGAAGATGCTTATGCTATGCGTCTTACATTTAAAGAACCCAAGAAACCTCAACTACGTGGTGTTGTGGAAGAAGTCAATGTAGCAGCTGCTAAATAGATTGTAGATTACGTTGTTTATGTTAGAATACATTCAATAAAAAAAAAATCATGATGTTTTATATATTATAAATAAATAGATTTATTATGATGTACTATTCAAAAAAAAAATATGTATAGTATATCAATATGTGTGTGTGTGCGTGTTTGTTTATATGTATATATGTATATATGTGCGTTGTGTACATTTGTGCGTATAGGTGCCCAAAAAAAAAAAAGAATATATATAAAAGAATAATATTGCTGTCAATCAGTTGTAGTCGCGGTAGAGACAGTATCAGTCAAGAACTTTTTAATAAGTACAAGCAGTTCTTTCTTGATCGATTCATTGATAGTACCTAAAGATAATAAAAAAAAGAGAGAGAGAGAGAGAGGTTGATACTGTAAGTATGAAGATAATAATATATAAATGAAATTTGCTCTTTTTTTTTTTTTCTCTTTTACTTTTGCCGTAATCTGAAGTTTCTTGTATTAGTTCATCCATAGTGAAGTTGTTTTTATGATCTTGCATGGTATCTATAAAACAGTATATATATATATAACAGACCAAATTATATATATATATATATATGAGTATGAGTGTGTTTTGAATGAATAGAATCATTAATTACCTCTACAATGTGCATAATAACTATCGTTCCAACTTGTTTCTGCTAATCTTGCTTTCAATAAAGTCAGCAGCCTGATAAACGTTAAGTAAAAAAAAAAAAAGTCAGTGAAATGATGATAGTGTTTGTTTTCATAGAATATAATTCACCTTTGTTTTTCACCAGAACTAACAAAATATTGATTCAATGCTGTCATAAGATTATCATCGGCTGACATCTTTCTTCTGTATAAAAGAATTTTAGAAAATGAAAAGAGAGTAAACGAACAAAAAAGAGGAAGAAAAAAAAAAAAAAGAAATCAAGCAAAATGGGAAATTCTATATCCCGCTAACGTTTTTTTTTTTTTTTTGCGGTTGAGTGACTTCCAGGTCACATCACTTTCCTTATTTGGTTTCTTTTTGAACTAGAAGATTTTGTTTGAAAATGCAACCATCAGGAATATTTTCAATCAATTTGTTATGTATGATTGATTAGATTTAATAGATTGTTTTTCATTAAATTTGAATAGATAGTCTTTTCGAAATGGTATTGTTATATGGTAAATGAAATGCTCAGACCAATTGTATATCTAAATAAGATTTTGAATAGGAGCGGATCGTAATTTAAAGATTGTGTGCTTTGATACTTGATTTGGAACTTCTTTTGATTCGGTACCTTAAACAAAAAATATCTAATCATCATCTTGTATGAAAGAAAGTCAACATCGGTGCTTGAAAAAAAAAGGAAAAGGAAAATCTAGAAAGAATATAATACCTTGTAAGAAATGAATGTTTGATAATGATGATGATAAAGAAAAAAAAAGAAACATACACTACTAGTAAATAGGTATAATTCTTTTCTTTTTTTTGTATATCAAACTAAAAAAAAAAAATACTGCTTGCTCCATTTGGAAATAAAGAAAAAAACACACCAATCCTATGGAAGGAAAAATAAAAAAAAAAGAAAAAATTTTCAAAGGAGAGATTGAGAATTGTTTTAATACACCGATATTTTGTGTAATAAAGAAGGAACAAAGTAAATCGATTATTATTATAGGAAAAAGTAACAAGTAAACAAAATAAAAGTGATATAATTGAAATAGAGGGTACAATCAAAAAATTTATTGTCATGTTTTGATAAACGATGATTGTTTTTCTTTTAAGCGAATCATTTTGATGGTTTAATATTCGTTTATCAAAGTTTTTTTTTTGTTCGATAAGCTTATCATTTTAGATTCCGTCGATATAAAAATCTCAATTTTTTTCTATTGTATCTTCCTTTTTTAGTTCTCTTCTCTTATTCTTGTACTTTTTTTTATTCTTGACCAACCTTTGCAATGGGTTTCGTTGATAATATAAACGATAGAATTGCACATTCGTTTATTGGAAAGCACTTTCAACTTGAAGGTTCAGGTGCTCGCCGTGAACGTATTGGTACCCGGTTTTCAACTGAAATTCGAGCTGGTTTGACTACTTTCTTTGCTATGGTAAAAAAAAACTCTTTTTTATTTCTTTATTTACTATATTCTTTTTCTTATTATTCATATTTATTTTTATTTAGGCTTATATTATATCTGTTAATGCTTCTATTCTTTCTGAATCTGGTGGTACCTGTGTTTGTCCTGCAACTGAAGCTGATCCTACCTGTGACAACAATGTAGACTATATGAATTGTATTTATCAAGTTAAACTTGATTTGATTATGGGTACCTCTCTTATTGCTATGATCTCTTCCATTTTGATGGGTTTTTTTGCTAATCTTCCTTTGGGTCTTGCTCCTGGGTAAATAGAATAGAAGATTTTTATTTTGTTGATATACTGAACCTTTCTTTTTTTTTTTTACTTCCCATATATAGTATGGGTTTGAATGCTTATTTTACTTATACTGTTGTAGGTTATCATGGTTCTGGCAAAGTATCTTATGAAACTGCTTTAGCTGCTGTCTTTATTGAAGGCTTAATCTTTTTGGTATTATCTATTTTTGGTATTCGTCAATGGTTAGCTAGAATCATCCCAATGAGTATTAAAATAGCCATGGGTTGTGGTATTGGTTTATATCTTTGTTTCATTGGTTTACAAGCTTCTGCTGGTATCGGTCTTGTTCGCTTAGATACATCCACTTTGGTCACTTTAGGTGGTTGCCCTGATGCTGCCTTGGACAAGAATGGTTCATGTTTATGGGGTCATATGGAATCTGGTACTATGTATATGGGTCTTTTAGGTCTTATTATTATGTCTATCTTGATGTTGTATCGTGTTCGTGGTGCTATTCTTCTCTCTATCATCTTTATTGCAATTACCTCTTGGCCTCGTAACAATGCTGTCACCTATTTCCCTTATACTGCTCAAGGTGATGCTATGTTTGATTACTTTAAACAAGTAGTATCCGTACACAAGATGACTCAGTAAGAAATTAAATTATATATATATATATATTTCAATCTAACATTTTTATTCTTATTTGTAATTTTTATTTTATAGTACTCTCGGTAAATTTAACTTTGATTTGACTGGCAAGGATATTTGGATTGCTTTGATCACTTTTCTATATGTTGATATTCTTGATACCACTGGAACTGTACGTAACTGTAATATTGGTCAAATGAAAAAAAAATTATTCATCTTTTCTTTTCTTTTCTTTTTTTTTAAAAAAAAAAATTAGATGTATAGTATGGCCAAATATGGTGGATTCACTGACAAGAGTGGTGATTTTGAAAAATCCACTTTTGCTTTTATGACTGATGCCTTGACAATCACTATTGGTTCTTGCTTTGGAAGTTCACCATGTACTGCATTTGTTGAATCTGGTGCTGGTATTGCTGAAGGTGGTCGTACTGGTATTACTGCTATCACTATTGGTTTTGGATTCTTTATTACTATCTTCTTCTCACCCATTTTTGCAAGTTTCCCTCCTTGGTCTACAGGTCCTGCCTTGATTATTGTTGGCTCCATGATGACATCCAGTATCCGTAATATTAATTGGGATTATCCTGGTGATGCTATTCCTGCATTCATCACTTTGGCTGTGATGCCCTTCACCTACTCTATCGCTTATGGTGTGATTGGTGGTATCTTCTCATATATTATCATCAATGGTGTTGTATACATTTTGGACAAGATATCCGGTGGTCGTATTCATCCTGATTATTCTACGCGTGAAGAATGGTGGCATGCCGCTTTCAGTCGACCCATGTCTCCCATCTGGATCCGTTATTTAATTTCCAAAGCTCGTGGTGAAAAGGACTTTGATTGGTATCAAGATGATTGCGAATTTGAAGATGAACAAGTGGATCCCAACGTTGTTGTGACATCTGATACTGATTCTGTAGTCAATAGTCAAATTCATAATCAGCATCTTTCCGAAAAAGGTGAATTATATCATTAGGCTATTCTTGTAGTTATTGTGTATTATGTTATACTATTATTATTATTACTATTATTACTCTTATTATTTTCGTTATTAGTTATTATTATCTTCTCTCCTCCATTGTCTTTCTTTTTTTTTTTTTTTTTATCATCTTTACATAAATCTTTACTTTAAAAACCTTATTCATCCTCAAAATAGCCTTTGGCCAATAAAATCAAAGCAGGCTTTGCTATATCTCTATCTTTATATATTAGTATATTCTTACTTTTACATAGAAATTAGAATACAACTACAGCTGGATATCATAGGTTATGCTTAATATGTAAATAAGTCGGATGATTCGATGTAGTTATTTCTTTTTTATTTTTTTTTTTTTTAATTGAAAACAAGTCATACTTGGAATTATCATCTAGAGTCACATACATCAAAATTGCGTTTGTTCTTTCCAACAAAAGGTTGTCATGAGTGCGTAAAATTGTTAACCGTTATGCCGGAGCACGAAAAATTCCCTCTTCCTTTTTTTTTTTTTTTTTTTTTTTTGTTGGATTTCCTTTTTTTCCCTCCTTTCTTTTTTTTTTTTTTTTTTTTTTTGCAGAATCTTAAGAAGATAAACATGCCAATAGGTAAGAACATGGTTAATATTCTTTGAATCTTGGTGGAAATAATGACAAAGGTTTATGGGCTTTGTTTTTTTGTATCATAGCAATGGTCAATTCAATACGAACACTTGCTCCAAGTCAGTTTGGTATTCAATTGCGGGTCAAGATCATCGATTGGTTAGTGACAGTGGAAACTACAATGAATGGTAAAAAAAATAAAAAAGTAATTTGTGTGTTGTTCTTTTGCGTTTGATTTGAATGATATGTTTGTTTTATTTATAATGTCTATAGATGAAACTATCGAGGTGAGCGAATACTTGGTGGGTGACCAGTCAGGTTGTATCATGCTGAAAACAAACGTCAAAGGTTAAGATAGAACATTCGCAATACATGAAAAGATGCTGATATGGATTTTTTTTTTCTTTATGGATGATATAGGATGTTCAAACGGACAATGGTTGGATATCAAGAATGGTTATACTCAAGTAGTGAATGGATCTTTACGTTTGGTGGTTGATAATAAATCAGATATCTCAATGGTTGACACTGATACTCTTACTGATCATGACATTGACACTTCATATAATGCTTCGTTTATTGAATTCCTGGTCAAACACTGATATTAAATTGTACCCTATAATACGACTATCATCTCTTATTTTTTATTTTCTTTTTTTTTTTGCCTATATGGATACCCCAACCTCATATTTATTTTTATTATTTTTTTTTTTTGACTATTTGTTTATTATGATACATTTGATGAATAAACTATACACAAATCAAGAATATAATGATAATCTAACTACTATAAAACTAATATTACTATACTTGAAGAGATTTGTTGACATTGTCCATATGATCGGCTTCCTTCTGTACGGCTTCACATGTATCCTTCAGTACCTTGTGAAGTTGCAATAGCACAATGATCTTGTGACTACCTTCTTGACCGATGATCGAGTTATGTCCTGGTAGACCTTGCTGAATATCCATTAGTGCATGCAAGATCTGAGGACTAAAATGAGGAAACGCACGGGCCAGTTGAGCAAATGACGGGATGATCTGCAGAAGGTATTCTGAGGGTACACATTGTTGAGGCTGTGTTGTAGAAGTGTCATATTTTCGATTCGTCGACATGGCCAAGGCAGATGTTGGAACAGGATAAGCAATTTTCATCAATCGAGGTAGTAAACATTTTTCTGCAAGAGCCAAACTAGATACAAAAAAAAAAAAGCATAAACACAATGAGTATTTATATCATAAAAACAACTCTTTTTATATATATATATATATATATATATATATATATATAATAAGAATACTTACTAGCTTTCCATTGGGTACTTTTCACATAATTCACATCCTAAAAGGATTCCAAATACTTGTTTTTCGATTTGAGGCTGTCTTGTTAATTCGGATAAAAAGTTGAAGACGATGTCTATTAAAAACCATAATAACAACAAAAACTCATTAATCTAATATCACCAGAAATATCCTTTTTTTTTTCATTCGTCCATATATAATCTTACATAGAGAAGGAACCAGTTCTACCATCATAGGAATCAAGTTGGGAGGATATGTTTGAAAATGAAGAGTTTTTGCAAGTAAACTATCACGATCTTCAACAAACACTCCATGAATAAATCGGCAAATCAATTTCCTAGCCATCATTAAGGATTCTAGATTCATAAAAAAAAAATAAAAAAAAAGAATAAGATATGAGTACATATAATCTGATTTCTAAGATTAAATTAGATGACAAGGATTACCTGGATCATTTCTGTCTTCTTCTCTTTCTTGACATAAATCTAATAATAATTGAAGCATAGCTGAATCTTGAGCATTGATCAATGCCATCACATTTCGATTATTGAATGGTCTCTAGATAATCAAGTATATAAAACACATATGATAATTAATAACCTTTTTATTTTCCTTATCATTCGTCTTTCACCTATATAAAATGCTGTTTTGGGCTTACTTTAATACTGCCTGTATGAAACCTTTTCCATATTCTATGTTTGGAGCTAGTTCTTAAACATGATAGGATCTGGTTTAAAAAAAAAAGGATGAAAACGAAGAACTTTTCATATACGACGCATCTTTTTTTTTTTTTTTTTGTAAAATTTACATGTAGCCATAGTAATAATAATTTTTTCGATCTGAAAATACGTGAATCAGATTGGAAGATAACAAATGGATTTTGGACAAGATCGTCAAAAGTGTAGTCTTTGCGTTGAGTATTCAAATTGTTGATTGTACAAATCCAAATTTGATGTGGTATTGATAGGTGGTAGTATTCCCAAGTTGAAATAAAAGCATCTATTATCCGTGAATCAATGTACCTGTATCAACAAAATAAAAGGTAAAGATATGGGCAAACTTGATCAAGAAAGTCTTTTTCCACTATATTTCATCATCCTTTTCTTTTCTTTTTTCAATTTACTTTTCCAGGCATGGCGATATTAACGTAGATATAACGGTTTCAGAGCAAGGTCCCATGTTCTCTAGAGAGATTGTTTGTAGTCTTGAGAGAACTATACAAATATAAAATGAATATAGTGTCAAAGTATTTCCTATATAATTTTTGATTACCATTCAATACATAATCAGGTTTCGAATTGTATTCCGATAATGCTTGTTTCAATTCATCTTGAGATATAAATTGATCATAGCGAATTGATCTATTATTTGACAAAGATATTAGTAAATTAGTACTTCAAAATTAATTTGAATGAAAAAAAAAAAAAAAAAAAAACTTTTTACCTTAATTGTCGTCCAAGATTTAATTTTCCATCATAAAGGAGGAAGCTCACTACATCCAAAAGTTCCGGATACAAATTGGCAGTCAAATTGGCTAGATCAGGATATATAGAGTGATAGACCTTGGAACCTTTTGTAGTTTCGACATGATTCAACATGGCGCGTAAAGGAATGGTATGTACAACGTCCAATAAAGTATAAGGCATGTGTTGCTGATTTGTAATGTCAACACCAGAGGCTCCGAGTAGAGAGATCAATTTTGGATCCGTCCGAAAAGAAATGATAGCATCGTTGAATTGGAGCATATAAAGCGTCAGTAATATATGTTTAGGTGTCATGAGATGAACTTGATCTAAGTGAGGTCGAATCCATTCTTCTGGTATTTTTTCCACTTTGTTGCTTGTTAAAAAGATACTAAAGTACAAAAAAAAAAATGTTAGTTTGAATTACCTTAAAAAAAAAAAACAAGTCAAATATTGTTACCAATAGACGAATTCTTTGATGAGAAGACCAAACTTGGAGTGTAAAGGCAAGGTGACATTAATCATACATTCCAGCAACCATGAAGTGTAATTCGTTTTGTAAAAGACACGAGTTTTCAAAAGTTGATAAAGTGAATCAATACTATGTGATGAGCGCGTAGTAGTAGTGTTGCTGCTAGTTGAAGAAGAATTGGAAGGAATAGATTTTATATGTGTAGCTACTTGCATAGCTGTGAGTAATTTGTGTCTAAAAAAAAAAAAAAAAAAAAAAAAGGAGCGACTTTTTTTTTCTTCAAACTTTTCTAGCTTCTACTGAAAAATCTGGCCAATTAGATCAATTTCGGTGGTCTAGTCAATCGAAATTTTCCTTTTTTTTTTTAATTCTTGTTTTTTTTTTCTTCTTTTTTTTTCTTCTTCCCACACACACATATTTTTTATATAATATATATATATACCTAATACAATAGGCGATGGAAGTGAATAAAGATGAAGCATTTCGTTGTCTTTCCATTGCAAAAGAGCACTTGGCTTCTGGAAATCAAACTGGTGCTTTGAAATTTACAAAGAAATCGATCAATTTATACCCAACAGATGAAGCAAAACGATTCCTTACTCAAGTTCAATCTTCCACAACAGCAACCTCTTCAGCCAAAACAACTGGTGCAAACACTCATCGAAGTCAACAATCAACAACATCTTCCTCTTCAACTTTTGCAACAACTGAAAAGAAACATACTCCTGAACAAGCTAAAGCAGTGAAGAATATTTTATCTTGTGGAACCGATTATTATAAAGTACTATCGTTAAGCAAGTCTTGTACTGAAGTGGAAATAAAAAAATCATACAGAAAAGTAAGCAATAGATTCATTAAATTGATTGTAGTTGAACTTATTATCCTTCTTTTAATTATAGCTTGCCTTACAATTCCATCCTGACAAGAATGGTGCTCCTGGGGCTGATGAAGCATTCAAGTGTAAATGATTATATAATATATCATGCTACTTGCCAATTAACAAATATTATTATTTATTTATTTTATCTTATTCAGTGATTTCCAAGGCATTCACAGTATTATCTGATCGACAAAAAAGAGAAATTTATGATGCAGGAGGAGGTGATCCAGAGATGCGATCATCAGCAACACAACATCAACGGTATTATAGTGGTGGTGGTGGGCCAGAGGATATGACGGCGGAAGATCTGTTTGATATGTTTTTTGGTGGAGGTGGTCTTCGACAGCAACAATATCATTATCGAAGGCAACAATTTCGACATCCATTTTTCACAACTAGACAACAACAAGAACAACAAAGACAACAGAGACAACAAACCCCCATGTCAGGATTACTTCAACTGTTACCTCTTTTAGTTTTACTTTTATATGCATTACTCTCAGGACTCTTCTCACAAGACACAACACCTCTTTACAAATTTCAACCATCGACGGATTATTCGCAGGCTCGAACAACATTGGATTTGAAGATTCCTTATTATGTCAACCCAACATCATTTACACCAGTTGCGAAAGAACGTTACAAATTACGACGTGTAGAACGCCAAGTAGAAAGTGATTATGTCAATGCACTGAACATGCATTGTCAAAACGAACGACGACAGCGATCTTTCCGGATATCTCAAGCAAGAGGTTCACTATTTGGATTTGGATATGATAAGGAACGATATGAACAAGCATTGAAGATGCCAATGAAAAGTTGTGAAGAAATGAAGAATTTAGGATTTACCCCAGAATATATCTATTAGTTTAGTTGTAGTTTTAGTATTTTATCTATATTCATTTTTTTTTTTTTTTACATTGATCTTCTTTTGGACTGCGTAGTTTATCTAGTGTAGTTTTTATATAGTAGATAGATAATGAAATGAATCATGATACTTATGATAGAATAAAAGATTAATATATTAATAATAGGATGAAAAATATGATATTATATTTAGGTTGATCTTCTCATTTCATCATTCATTCGTTTAAAGTATATGAATTTATACTTACTATTCAATGCTTTGTACTTTTAGTGAAGACATTCCTGATATGGTAATGATGACTTTTCTTTTCTTTTGTATAGTGAAATCAACAATATATTTTTGAAAAAAAAAAAAAAGAAGAATGAATGAGACTGAAATAAAAATAAAATGATTTGGAAAGTTTGGAAAGTGAAGAGAAGTTCTCGGGATTCTGTCCAACCATAAAGTTCACGGGTAAAAAGGATATATTTAGACCAACCTTTTTTTTTTTTTTGTTTTCCTAAATAAAAATAACATTGATTGATGGTTTTTTTTTTTATAGAGAATCAGGAAACAATTCAATAGAAACATAAATATTCAATTACAACATAGAAAATTGAATTTTTTTTTTGTTCAACGTCAATCCAATTTTAAAATAGTTACACCGGGAAATCAAAAAAAAAAGAAAAGAAAAAACTATTTTACTCTTCCGCTTTTTTTTTCTCTTTCTCTTTCACTTTCTTAACACCTTTCCTTTCCTTTAAATATCTTTTTTTTATTTTATTTTTATTATTATTTTCTATTCTCTCTTTTTATATATATATATTTCATGTTGACTAATTTATTCGTAATAGGTGCTATTGCCTTGACTACCATCAATGGTCAAACTACCAGTTTCACTTTTAAGGAAACTTATCCTGAAGCTGGTGTTGTTCCTACTGCTAAACCTGAATGGCTTAATCTTCTTAAAAATGCTACTATTACAAATGCTCCTGTTTATAAAGTTAGTCCTGGTCAAGGTAAAATATTTTTTATATTTTATAATAATAATAATTATTCATTATCTTTATATTTTTATCCTTTCATAGGTCCTCAACCTCAAACTCAAGGTGATCCTTATTGTGATTGGACTTTTACTGGATGTTTTGGAAAAGAAGATTTGTATCAATGTCCTAAAGGTCAATGGGCTCCTACTTACGATGATGGTCCTTCTGAATTTAGTGCTAAATTATATGATGAATTGGATAAAACCAATACCAAAGCTACTTTCTTTATGGTAGGTGGTCAAGTCCACAAGTTCCCTGAATTGGTTCAACGTGCTTATAAATCTGGTCATGAAATCGCTATGCATACTTGGTCCCATAGTTATATGACTTCTTTGACAAATGAACAAATTGTTGCTGAATTGAAATGGAATGAACAAGTCATCAAGGAAGTCACTGGTGTTAGTCCAAGATTCTTTAGACCTGTTAGTATATTTAAACAAAAAAGAAAAATTAGATTTGTATTTTTTTTTTTTTTAATCATCATGAATTTTTTCTTTCTTTTTATTAGCCCTATGGTGATATCGATAATCGTGTTCGTGATGTTGCAAAGGCTCTCGGTTTCTCCGGTAACAATAATCATATATATTATATATTTATCTGTATCGATTTATTTTTTATATTTCTTTCTCTTTCGTAGCTGTGATTTGGACTCATGACACCAATGATTGGGCTGTAAGTTAAACATATTAAAATTCAAATTGAATCATCAAAAGTTTATGATAAATATATTCATCTTTTCTTTTTTTCAACGATTCATATAGTTGACTGAAAATCCCAACTTCAAGGCTTCTTGGATCGATGGTAACGTTACAAAATGGGCATCTGAAGCTGCCAGTTCTCCTAATGGTGGTGTATCTTTGGAACATGATTTATATAATGTTACTGTTGATGCTGCTGTTCGTGTTTTGCCTACCTTTTTGGTAAGACGATTCTACTTCTTCATATTCTTTTCTTTTTTTTTAAAAAAAAAATCTTTATTTGATGACATAAAAATAATCTTTATATATATATTATAGAAAACCTGGAAAGTGACCACTGTCGGTGCTTGCAATCAACAAATTTCCTATAAAGAAGGTGCTGGTACTAGTGTTTCTGCTACTAATGCCACTACTTCTGCTGCTCCTTCTTCTTCGGCTTCTTCCAAACCCAATACTCCCTCCAACAGTGTTGCTAGTCCATCTGGTGTTGAAAGTGCTCAATCTCAAACAAGCAAGAGTGGTGCCGTAGCCATCAATGCTAGTATCTTTGGTCTTGGTCTTGCCTCCATCGTTGCCACTGCTTTAGCTCTCTGATCATTCCTTGACCCTATTTTATTATGTTCCCACTTTTATTATATTACTATATTGTCTTTTGGTTAGCGATGGTTTAGTTATGTACTCTATAATCTTATGAACCCTTTCTTTTTGTTTCCAACAATAAAAAATCTCAAATTATATCTGATAGAATTTACCATATATCATCCCGTCATCATCATCATCATATCATCCTATTCTTTTTCATCGTTTTCCAAAGTCAACCTATCTCCTCTTGTATTCTCTTTTTCCATGTAGCGTTCCTACTGTCGCTTGAATCAAAAAAAAAAAAAAAAAGTTATAGATATTTGTTTTCCAATCATCTAAGCATCCAATCATAACTTTCAATCGATCAATCAATCAAGAAGAGGGGTAAACAACAATTTCTAGATGTTTTTATTATACATTGATCATAAAATCAATCTAGCGGAAGAAGAATAAAAGTATATAAATATATGATAATAGAGTGAAGTAAAAACAAATGCAGTCATGATAAAGAAAAGAGGAGGAAGGTCTAATTATCCTAACTACTATGAGGGAGCAACAAAGTCAGGGAAACATTCATTCATCTTTTTTCCATGCTTGTTTTCGGCATGTTCAGTCAAACTAGATACAAATAAATATTATACACGTCAGTATTATTCTTACTATAATAATCATCCTCAAAATTACTTACGCCTTTTCTCGACTTGTACAAAGGAAAGTTTGGAAACAGGTCTTGCAAATGATGTTCTTAGCAGCAGCATTCTTTCATGTAAAGAACAAGAAGAGTGTAAGTATAAAATATAAAGTGAACTCTTTTTTTTTTCTCTATGCATACCACTTTCAATTGAGAAGAAGGACCCTTGGTAGCCTTAGCATTGCGTTCACGCTTCATTTGTGCTTTTTGTCCCTAGTAACGTAATCATCAGTAAAAAAAAAAAAAAAAAAAAAAAAAAAAAAAAAAAAAAAAAAAGGTACATATAATATTATAAGGTCTTACGTTGCCCATGGTGATATGTAGTAATAAGGTAAAAAAAAGAAGAGAAGAGAAGGGAAAAAGAAAGGGGTAAAGTAAACAAAAAAAATACCTCTTTTTCGGGGTTGAAAAAAGTTTTTCTTTTTTTTGAGTTACTCTTTTTATCAATGTTAGTCGTCGGCTGTTTTAGATATCAAACCATTTTGTCTCTTCTGATAAAAAGTATTATTGATTATTCCATACTAATACTCTTTTATGTAATTTGATCATCAAGGTATGATGATGATAGTGATGATATTTGAGTGGAGAGCGACGACAATGGAAGAGGTACATTGAAAATCACATATGATTGGCGCGGAATATCATTTTTGTAAAGTGTATTACGAAAAAAGTTTTCTAAGATAGTCTCTTTTTTTTTTGATGCATAATGATAAGGTTAGAAATGAAATGGATGCTGTTCGATTTCTTATATTTTGTTTAAATATGATATGATGGTGTATAATCTTCGTTTGATTTATGGTCTTCAATTGTATTTTGATTCATATATTGTTTATTGTATGGACATTCGAGTAGAAAAAACAAAAAACTATGGTTCATTTTTGACATTTAGACTCCCTCAATGGAGTTTTACGGATGATCATATCAACACTCAAGACGCATAAGAGTGAGTAAAAAAAAAAAAAAAGAAGAATATATACAACAAAAATAAAAAAAAGAAACCGATAAAATACCAATAATCATCATGATTGTCCAGATGTGTGATGATTAGGGAGAGCGATACCATCAATAACATTCCTAAAACTGACGTATTCTTTCGTTTAACAGTTCCTTCTTATCAATATCCAGATACGGCCATCCAGGTTGAGTCAATTGAGTTGAATAGGTTGCTTGCAAAATAGTAACAGTGATGGGTTAGTACAGTATCTGGTATACCTTTTTATTAATTTATTTTCTATAAAGGACTTACTTTTTTTCTGCCATTATGAATATCATCTTATGTACTACGTGTAGAGTAAATATAATTCCTGTTGTTCAGATATTCCATCCACACTAGTATGATCAACAGGATGTTTTCTAGACAACTGGTTCAACTTTTGATGATTGATATTCCTGACATGTTGGTGTTTAACAAGAATGGACGAATAAAAAGAGCATATAACAAAATTCATTTCCAACTATAATATATGATATCCAAAGAAAATATTGAGCATAACATTCATTAAAATAATATAATTAAAAGTAAGTCCTACCTCATCAATTCGATAGTGAATTCGGTTATAATAATGACTTGATAAATTATCAATCCATATGTTTTTCCACTTTGTCAGCAATCCTTTGTAGATTTGTCAAAGTCACAAGAGTTGTCCTTGTTATAAATTAAGTTATAGAACCATTGGAGAAGATATGTTTTGTGAATTTGGCCTTGTAATCGATTTTGTAGGTGGCTTGCTCAATTTTACGCTTCTTTGCTGTTGTTAGTTATTGGTGTTAATGTTGATAATGATGGTGTGCTAGGTAACGATGATGAAGTTGACAATGACGAAAAATTGGCCACCTCCTAGAAGTGATTTTATTGCTGACGATACAAGAAAGAAAAGAAAGAGGAAAAGAAATTGTGACACAACTTCCCAAAAAAGATTTGAGTCATATGCACACGGAGTTTAGATCATCCATTTGAAATGAGCTTTATGCTACACGAAAGCATGAACAAACTCGGGTCCAATATCATTTAACAGTAAAATAAAAAGTGGATTTGATAACATGATACTGGGAAAGGATTTCATCAGGTAATCTTATAGATGTGAGTGTATTACAAACTAGCCATAGTCGCATAAAATTCACCTGATAATGTCGCTCTTTTTTTTTTTTTTTTTCGTTACTTCTTTTTCCCCTTCTTTTTTTCTTTCCCTTTTCTATTTTTCTTTTTCTTTTTTTTTTCTATTAGTCTTCGTCTTTTACTTATATCCTGACTTCAAATTTATACTTTTTATGCTTTTATCAGAATTACCACCAGAACTCATCTTGGAAATCTACCAATGGTTATACGACGGAATGGACAATATTCGGTTGATAAAAGATATAGCTCGACGTCGTTTATGGGCTTTGAACGTTCTTTCGACTTGTAGTATTTGTAGGTCATGGTTCTCTGTAGGATCAGATTATCTTTCTATACGACAACGTACTTTACCATTCACTTTATTATCTTCTTTATTACATACTGTGGAATGTCCAACCTCTTTATCTCTTTTTCAACCAAGTTGGACTCATCTTTTACTGTCATCAAAACAAAATCGTCTTCCTTTTCATCTTCAAGTCCGTCAAATTGTACTCAACCTTACTTTATTATTAAAACCTACATCACAATCAAATTTGATTCAACAGCAATCATCTTGTGAACAACCCATAGCAACTGGTAAATAATAATAATAATAATAATAATAATAATAATAATAATAATCCATAGTTTAACTAACAACCCGTTTTCTTTTGTTTGGATAATATTAGAATCACTTTCGGCATCCATCAAGATCTTATTAGACACGTGCCCAAACGTGAAAACTGTGGAAATTTTATATGATTCTCAATATACCCCAAGAATGGCAAATCGTCATCGACCATCTCGTGTTTTGGCTCTTCCATCTAATATTATCTCAGATGCATTGACGACACATTGTATGAATCATCACCCTTCATCATTACTAACATTTGAAAACCAATGTACTTTTTTATCTCATTTGGTATTTACAGCTCGGGAACCAATACAAAGATGTCCTTGTTGTACTGGTCGTGGATGGGATCACACACTTCGACCTTTACTTCAACAATTACCAGTATCGACCTTGGAATTAGATCATGTGTTACCATCAAGGAGTGTACTGGAATGTCTCGCACAGAATCAACGAATACATACATTGGTAATCAGAGGAGGCATTTTGATACAAGCATCACGACTGGCTCGCTATGGTACAACAATATCAACACCACCACGATTCCCCACAGATTTACTTTCAAGAATAAGAATTTTGGAAATATATCTACACAGTAACAACGATGATGAGGATTATGATGATGATAATCAATTGGATTTATTGGCAATGTTTCGACAAACATATGATATGGTTCATCCTATTAAATCTTTAAAACAACTAATTATTCATGGTCACGAAAGGTATAAGATTTCTTCCTCTACTTCAACAATGATGACTGACTCAATGATTAGCAAAGATGTATGGAACAAACTTGAACTATTAGCGGAAAGACATCATCAATTGGATACTTTTATTTTGAAGAATATTCCTGGTTTCCAAGGTATATCTGAACAATCACGATTGAAATGTTTATTCTCTAGGGTAAATTTAGTTGATGTAGTATATAGTTTATAATACTTTTTGTATACAATATATTTTTTCCCCACACACCAAAAATAAAAAAAAAGAAAAAAAAATAAAAAACCAGTGTACAATGCAATAAGTTTGAATCTCAGTTCTTACTTTATTTTTCTGTTTCTTCTTTGTGTTTCCCTCCTTTTTTTTTTCTTCGTTTTATTTCTTTCGTCTTCTTTTATTTATTTATTTTTTTTTTATTTTTTTTATTTTTTTATTATTTTCTTTTAATTCATTTATATTGAATATGCCAGTATCTTCCTCTACCACTTCTACTCTTACAACAGGAACAATAATTCAACGATCTTCTCGTACACGGAATACTGTTAACAACAATAGTCCTACTACTGATACAACTCCTTCTACTTTTGCCTTCCAGTCCTTTTACATTGGTCGTGAAAACAGTAATACTAGTATAACAACACCAACACCAACAGCAACCTCTACAGCTAATCATTCAAGAACAACATCTACCACTAATACCATAAGTTCTCATTCATCTTCTCAACAAGGGAACTATTGTCCAGGTTGTAGTGGTCAACTTGACTTCCAGACGTGCCACAAGAGTCATTGTAACAAGTTTCTCACGAAGACTAGTGGCAATACTTATAACGGCAAATCAACCTTACCTTCTCAATCTTTACTAAATGAATCTTCAACTTGGCATCGGTCCTCTAACGACAACGGAAGAAAATGGACGAGAAACCGAAAAATTTGTTTATTGACCAATCGTACGGATGATGATCGATGGGTGGATCTCTCTGATCAACGTTTGACTAGTGGTAGTTTGGGACATCTTTATAGTGGATCTGAATTTATTGGTATACAAAAAGGGGCCACAAGTAATTACGATGTTGCGGTTGAAATCCAGGTAAGTAATCTTTCTCTTTTTTTTTTCTTGAAGACTTTCATTAAACATTCCTTTTTTTTATTATTTTTATGATAACTAGTATGTTGATTTAAAAAATGATGTACTTGGTGGTTATCTTCATATATCTGGTCTTACGGCTCTATATCCTGAAATTACTGTAAGTTAATATTTTGATGAAAGAAGGGAATATCCTTTCAAAATAGAAGAATAATAACATTTTTTTTTCTCATCATTAGACTTTTTTTGAAGGAGAAATTATTGGACCCAAGCATTCTTTTCTAACTAGAAAATGGTTGGCTGATCTTTCAGTGGATACAAAGCATTGGGTAAAATACCAGTAACAAAAAAAACAAAAAAAGAGATGATGATGAAAAGAAAATATTGATTTACTTTTTTATTTGGATTAGGGACGATTTGCTTCTTTTGCTCCGTACTTAGATATATTCAACAAAGATGACTTCCATTATGACCATTTGGACCAAGATTTCATTTATATGCGATGGAAAGAGAAGTTTCTGGTACCCAATCATCACCTGAATAGTATTGATGGAGCAAGTTATGCTGGATTCTACTATATTTGTTACCAGCGGTCTACAGGTAACATCAATGGGTAAGTCATCCTTCATCAATAACTACAATGCCTAAAAAACTGACTTTTTCTTTTTCTTTTTTTTGCTAGCTTTTATTATTGTCGCAGTAATATCGAATGGTAAAACTATATAGAATGATTGATTTTTTTTTTTTTTCATTATAATCATTTCCTATTTTTCTTTGTTTTTATAGGTTCCAAGAATTAACGCTCTCTCATGCACTACAACGGCAATTCCCAAGTTTTGAATTCCGTTGAAAAAGGTTTTCTGTGGCTGTCGGCATGAAAAAACAACAACAATCATCATCACTTCTGTGTATCCTCCCAAACGAAAAGAATAGAATAGTTTATTTTTTTGTTAATCCAATCTTCATCATATTTGGTTCTATCTATCTTATTATATCAAATTCAATAAATTACATTGTTTTTTTAAAAAAAAAAAAAAGGAAATCATCATATCTAAATCATTTCTTTTCCATTCACCAATCAAAGATCATTATGCGGTTTTGATTTCACTATGTTTGTTTGCTGAGTCTAAATTAATTCATTGTATTTTGAAAACAAAAGGCGCAATGTTTACACTTTCTTTTTCTCTCTTCTTTTTCATTCTTTGTTTTTTATTTTATTTGTTCTCAAATTTGTCAGTTTCTTCCTTTTGGTCTTTTTTTTTTTGACTTGATGACGCTGTGGATATGCCTATTACAATGACTGATCATACAGAAAAAGATCAATCTTCATCACCACAAACAAATCCAACCATGCCCAATACTGACAATTTGACGCCTTCATCCTCCACCTCACAACAGACCGAATGGTCACAAACTAGTAATTCCAACAATAGCAATACTTCTGGTGTCAAGTTACGAAGTGTACCTATACCCCAACCTCTTTTACTAAGAAATCGTGCAAGTCGTTCTTCATTTTCTTCGGTGGATGATTCTGGTGATACTTCTTCCCAAACTACTTCCAAACCTGGTTTGACGAATAAACTTTTTTGTGAAACTCCTTCAACAGTGGGAACTACTACAACTACAAAAAGTAATGTTTTTGGTGTCAATACTTCTTCTCCAACATCTCCCAGTCATGCCACTATGGAAAAAGTCTCTACCTTACCTACCTCCATCAATACAAACCATCGAAAATCTTACATTAGTGAGGGCGAATATTATACCGGTACAAGTCCTGGAAGCGACGCTGATGCAACTTACTTTGGTCAATCATCTTCAGCTCAAGGTTCTTCACCATCTTCGACTGTTGCCAATCCTTTTCCTTCTACTGAATCATCTACTCCACCACTTCAACAACAACAACAATTACTACAACAAACTTCTTCTTCTGGTTCTTATTCACCAAGATATTCTAGTCCACCTGCTGGATCTGGAGGAAAGTACATGGTCAAGTCAAAACGTGCAAGTTGGATTGATGCAAGTGCTTCTCATATGATTCCTTCTTCACAAACGCAACAACAAGCTATCTCAACTATCAACCCAAGCACTAGTAGCGGTATTACTCCAATCATGACGACAACACCTATCGACAATCGACAAACTCCAAGGAAGCGAACTAGTTCTATTAGCAGCAACAAGACCGATTTGGACTCTCCTGGTATCACTCCGGGTCACAAAACTGGCTCATTATCTCAGCTACGAGAACAGCAACAAAGATCTTCTGCACCTACTGTCAATAGTATCTCATCTATGTCTACTTCTCCTTCATCACCATCGGGTTTACAACGTCATCGAATCCTTCCCATTGCAATGTTTGATCAAGATACTATTTCTACTTCATCAAGTCAACCACTTCAAAGACAACAAAGGTATGGCTCAATGGATTCATACTTGGATGGAAATACTGCTGATATGGAAGATGTTATGGAATATGGGAAAGGTGATATCAATCATTCAAATATACCAAGTACACCAGGTAGACGATCTTCATCAGGCATGTCATATCGACGATCATTTCATGAACGCCATTCATCTGTTTCATCTGTTGTAACGGAATCAACTTCTGATGATTACTATTATTCTCCTGGATCCTCTCCTCAAGCAATGCAATCACCAGTGAATGTTAGTCCATTTCAAACTGCTATTGTTACCGACAAAGGTAAAAAAAAAAAAAAAAAAAAAAAAAAAAAAAAAAAAAAGTGTATTCTCATATGCTCATTTATTACATATATATTTATATTATTATTAAAATAGGCAAATCCAAACTAACCACTGGTTCTTCTACTTGCTCATCACCATCAAGATTCAATGTACCTTCTGATTATCTAGCTTCTGGAATGCCAAACACAGAACATCATCAACAAGCAATACGACGATCATCCATGACGATGCTTCGAAATATTCCCAGCTCTGAACTTGCCAATATTGTCAGCGGTAATTCACCAAATCCGATCATTGATGTTCCACCACCTCCTCATTCAACAACGACAACAGCAGCTGCAGTAACGCCCACAATAGAATCACCTCTTGTAACACCGGAAGGCACCACAGCAGAAATGAATCCATCATCAGCTCCAGGAGCAAACATTGATCCTAATGTCACAAACACTTTAGCCTATCAGCATTCATTACAATCCTTTCTTCGACGTCAATTATCAAGTAAACAACGGAAATCTAGAAGATCTCGATCAAGTAGTGGTGCTACTGCTGATCCTCTTATTCCTTCTGAATCATCCTCTACCAGCTCAACTTATGGACTTGATGCAGATAAAGATATTGTGGAAATTGATTTGGACGACAGCGCGATACCCCATCGATATCCTTCAACGCTAGTCACTTCACAAGAAATTTCTCAATACTCATCTTCCAGAACATCATCTACAAAAACAACGGATCCAAAACGACGTTCTTCTCAACAACGTGAACCGATGAAGAGTCCTTTATATCCTGCGCTTTTATTGGACGCTTCTCTTCCTGATTCTGGTGTCATGGACCCACACTACGTGTCTCTGCCTCCTCTCCCAAAACTATCGGCTGGTGCTGTTTCTTCATCAACAAGTACACCTTCCAACAACTATATGATGTCTACCTCAGAGTTACCCCATTGGAACGATGATACTGAACAGGATTACTTTTATACTAAAGACAAATCAATAACTCAACAAGAAGATGAAGGTAAGACTCCCTACCATGAAATAAAAAAAAAAGTTTAACAAATAAACAAACTGACAATTTATTATTATTATTACTATTATTATATATAGACTCTTTAGCAAATTTGAATGACCAGATGCCTTTCCGACCCTTGGTTCGGTCTTCGTCATTATCCTCTATGCGCCATCGAATTGGTTCTGATGAAGAATATGGAAGACGGTTATTTATGTCTCGGACGGCAAAGATTCGTAGATGGTGTACTCTCAAGTTTGAAAATCAAGATGGATGTCGACGATCATCATCAGCTTTACGAAGACGACGACAACAAAGACGACAAAGCAGTCTCAGTAGTTACAGTAGTACAGCGACAAGCGGCACAACTGGTGGTAGACGAGACAGCGACGGTAGCAGTATATGGCTTAATGGAAATCAGTCACCTCTTGCTCCACGATCTCCTGAAGCAAGAATTAGTCGAAGATCAACAAAAAATGGTTCTCGAATGCCTACTATCACTGTGACAGCACATGATGAACGATCGTTGGAAAATATACTGGCTAGTGGTACGGACGGACAACATACTCCTGATGAATATAGAGGTGGTCATTCTGGTGACAATCATGAAGGGAACAGTGATAATGGCGGTATCTCTACAAGTGGTCAACTTATCAATGCTATTCCGTGGGTTGACTGGTTAGAGGAATATAAACTTCTCAAGGCATCGGAAATGCGAAGAAGATCATCTGAAAATCCATCAAGCAAGGACTCAACACTATCACAGCCTTCAACTCCATCTCAGAAACCTTTATTACCCATCAGTAACAACGACACTACTCTCGTCCAGCAAGTGTTATCAACCTGGTGGAATAGCGTGAAATCCAATGCCGAACATTATTCTTTATCAAAACGTGTCGTGTACTTTCGCCGACGTGGTGGTCATGGTACTGAAACGAATAGGATATATTCAAGAACTGCTCAACAAAATACAGTTTTCAATGATTCTGATTTGATATCATCATCACCATCATCATCGTCTGATCGAATAGATTCTATCGCGCAAAAACAGCTCTCATCAACGCAATCTACTGGACGACGACATCGACATCGACCAGCTTTATCACTGGATTTCCACGACCTACCAAGAGCATTTTTACCTCAAGATTCTAATATCAACAGGGAACCGAAGAGCAACAATGATCACGATACAGGCACTTCATTACGACGAAGCTCTACAGTACCAGCAAAACGATCAAAATTGATTGACAATATGGATATGGATGATATCATGGATGTCGCAGCCAGTAATGATAGTGATAAAAACATGGTCAAGAATAATGACAACAACAATAGTACATCCTCAATGACTTTTACTGACACTGTCTTATCCAAGGAACCTTTACCAGAAGCACCTCCACCATCAGCTGCAACTACGTCATCTTATCAAGGAAGCGTTCAATCATCAACTGTCGACAGTCCATCTGCATCGCTTAGCTCATTAGTATCCACTCCTAGTTTACAGGGCAACAAGATTCTCCAACCTCCTTTGACAAGTCATAGTGTTCTACAACATTCCAGCAAGCAACAACAACAACAAGGTGCCTCCATAACAACAAGTGCATCATCATCACCATCATATGCTCGTGCTATTCAACGGCTTTCCTCTGGCACAAATCCTATTGAAAGAATTGGTTATCGATTTTACAATGCCGGTAATCGTATGGGCGCTTTTGGACATATTCTTAACCGTTACAACAAACCTTCGTCACATTCTGTTATCAAAGATCGGAAAGGAACGCAGCACTTATATGATAATACCCTCGGCGAAGATGACGACGGCGGTGACGACAACGATGATGATGATGATGATGACGATGATCCTTCTTCACAAGTTCAACACACTATCAAATCACGACTTCAATTTGCCAAGGAAGCTTGTGATAGTGAATTGCGAGAAATCATTGATGGATTGAACGAATATGTCGAACGAGGCTTACAATACGTGGAAGATATTCATGGGTATATTGACAAAGGTGGATTCGAAGAAGATAAGTCTGATGAAGTCCCTATATCAACAACAGTAGCACCTTTGACTATTACAAATACTGCCACTTCTGATTCGGTAATCACCTCACCTCCACCGTCATCACCATCAAGGCTTTACATGGATTATCCTAGGGTACGTCATGGTCATTTGGAAACTGGACTGGATGATATCGAAGAACAGGAAGAAACTATGGTGGATGAAGATTTGGTCTCATCAAATCCAAACAATGCTGAACATTTGATGGATCAAGATAACAAGAATGACAATAATATGGTGACCTTGATATCTGAAGATTCTTATTTACCTACTCCTTTTATCCTGACTCTACAAGAATTGATTAGCATGGCTCAAAATGTGATGGATACTTCTCTGGACACCATATTGGAATCACCAGGAACATGTGCTGATACTGTATCCAAGATTCAATCGATAGGAATGCAATGGGATGTTCATCCTGAATGGCCGTGTCGCGAATGGTACGTTCGACTTTTACTCAGTGTGGCCGCATTGAATCGTGTACTGGAATGGTGGGAAGCAGAACGTGGATTTTGGTTACAAGCATGGTCTTCAAATACACCAATAACATCATCTATTATACCAACACCAACGACAACTGCAACAACGGCAGCAACAAGCGATACAGAGGATACCACTGATTCTTCAAGACCGTCAAGAAAATCCTTTGCTTTGAATCATCGATTACATCATCATCATCATCATGTCGATAGGGACCGCGAGCAAGGTCAACTTTTCAATGAAACGGTCACATATGATGGAAATTCAAAATCTCGTGAAATCGATTCATATCAAGATGTCTTACAAGAAGCAGCCAATAAGAGCCAAAATTCCACAATATTATTAGAACTTAGTCTTGGAACTACTACGGTACAATATGTGAGTCCGGTTTGGCTTGATGTCATTGGGTAAAGTGCATGAAAAAAAAAAAAAAAAAAAAAAAAAAAAAAAAAACATGTAAATAATAGTGAATCATTAACATTTTTAAAATTTATTTTATTTTTTACCATTTAGATCCAATCCCGCTCAAGTAGTACATCAAAATATCTCAAAGTATGTCTCTTCAGATGGCCAAGATGTATTCAGGATGGCAACTGAAAAACTGCTAGCTGATGATTCTCAAACTGTGGAAGTACAATTCAATGCGTTGACTGCTGATGGACGAACGTTAGAAATGGATGGAAAAGGTATGCTAATGTATGATCGGGTTACTGGTGAAGCAAGTCATACTATGTGGGTGATCAAACCAATGTCTACAAGATTATGGATGGATCGTGCATTGACTCCAGTACAAGCAACAAGTGGAGATCGACAGTCTAATACTTCTTTGATGTCTTCAACCTCCGATAACAAAGATAAAGAAGAATTCTTGGCACCTCATCTTCGACATCGATCCTTGTCATTACCTACTATCGATACTCAAGCAATACATGATGGTACTGACAACAAAAGCACTACTATTGGTACAGCCTCATCAGAAACACCTTCGCTTTCCATCGAAAAGCTTTTATCACTTCCTCCTGCTATATGTCGAGTCTGTGAACGTTTAGTAGTTGCTGCCTTTTTCGAACAGCATTCTGAACTTTGTGTGGAAATACATCAAAGCGAAATGGATGTTACCATGTGCAACGACAACCTTCGTGATCTAAAACAACACATCTGTGAACTTCGGGATCAAGCCAACAATGAACTAGATGATTACAACAAACGCACCCCTGAAGAACGTGAAGCCATGGACAATGAACACAAACTCAATATCCAAGCAGCTCGTGAACAAGATGATGAAGATTCTATTTTTGGTTTCGAATTACCTGTAGAAGAGGCTCCAAGTGCAGTGGAATCCAAACTAGCGGAATTGGAGATTTATCAAGACCTTCTTGAAACGTTGGATGTGGCTATTGGAATTGGTATGCCTGGCGAAGTTCAACAAGATAAACCACTATCACCATCATCATCTTGTTCCTCATTCTCGTCAAACAACGATCGTACAACGCTACAATCTCTACAATCTCCTCGATCAAAGGATAGAATGATTCAAGTGATATATTGGCGACCCCCTGCTTCTGATGATCCTCATTTGACTGCTTTGATTCGCGAAGTAGAAGAAGTATCTCGTAACAAAGTCTCTACGGTCAACAGAATGCGTGATCGATTGGAATATAACGAAAGAACAAGGATGGATTTCCAGAAAGCAACTCACCAAGATATTGGATGGACGGAATTTGTTACTCCCAAGGATGATCTTACTGAAAATGACAACACAACTGACACCAACAAAATGGACAATATGAAGGAATCGGACAACAACAACAAAGGGACTGAAAAGAATGAAATTGTTGATGAAACCAAATCGTCGACAACACAGAATGAAACAACATCAGCTCCTACAACAGTCGAATCATCTGCAGCTATTACAAGTGAGTCAAGACCAAATCAATCATCAAGTGATCCAACAAAGAAATCGATACTTAGTCGTATAAAATCATGGAAAACAAAAGGAGCTAGCAAACTTGCAAGACGTAGTCGGGCTTACAGTAGAAAATGGGCAACAGCTATTGAACCTTTTACAACTGGTACAAACATGTCAATAGTAGAAATGGAAACAATTGATACACCTATGGGATCACCAGGATTACGACCAAGTCGGCCACCATCCAGATATAATATAACTAGTAACGACAAATCATCAACAGGACAATCAGCAAATACAGTGTCTCAACCTTCAGCAGCAACATCCTCTACGCCTCCTGTCACAACGGCAACAGGTCATGCAACTCCATCCAATACTCCACAACAACAAGAAGGAAAAGTACCATCAATGCCTCCACAAGGGTCTATCTCTTCTACTCGTGCTACAACGCCTAGTATCAAGGATTTCGATATCATCAAACCGATTAGTAAAGGTGCCTTTGGATCTGTGTTTTTGGCCAAGAAACGAACGACTGGGGATTACTACGCTATCAAGTTTTTAAAGAAATCCGATATGATTGCCAAGAATCAAGTAACAAATGTCAAAGCAGAACGGATGATCTTGATGACACAAACAGACAGTCCTTTTGTGACCAAGTTATACTATACCTTCCAATCAAAAGACTACCTTTATTTGGTGATGGAATATCTCAACGGTGGAGATTGTTCTGCTTTGGTCAAAGTATTAGGTCGTCTACCTGAAGACTGGGCTAGGAATTATCTTGCGGAAGTGACTTTGGGTTTGGAATATCTACAAAGCAAGAACATTGTTCACAGGTAAAAAAAAAAAAAAAAAAAAAAAAAAAATTAGAAAAGTGTACTAACTAGACTTGCTTTTTTTTTTTTTTTTTTTTTTTTTTTTGATGGATAATTTATAGAGATTTAAAACCGGATAACCTATTGATTGATCATAATGGCCATCTGAAATTGACGGATTTTGGACTTTCAAGAATTGGATTTTTGGATAGACGGGTGCAAGATGAATTATCAACGCGATCAACATCAACACCATCAGCGACAACAATACCACCATCATCAGTAACAGCAACAGCTCGTCATGGATTAGACCAGAATAGCAAAGAAATAACATCTGTTAACAACATTAGTCAAATCAATCGAAAAGAAACAAATCAAGATGAACCAGCCTCTCCTATGCCTTCACCTACAGGAACACCACCACAAACACCAGAAACAGCATCCGTTTACAACGATGATTTGACTCCAAGGCAAGGTGACGGTGTCTATCGTCATTCATATTTCAGTTTGCTCTTCAATCATCGACGTGATTCTTCTTCTAGTTTAATTTCTGACGACCCAAGTACGACTACCTACAGTGATCATTCTTCTTCACCTGGCAAGATACGCATCCCTATGACCGATAAGAATTTAGATGAATATGGTACAGACAACAATCCTAGTAGCAGCAAGACTAGACCTAATAGTATGATCGCTGGTTCTCGTAAACCTGCAACCAATTTGGCTAATGTGATTGATACATCTTCTCCTGGGCGCTCCTCTACCTCTGGTTATCGTCATCGTGGAAATTTGAAAGATACTTCTATCAAGCATGCTGTAGGAACACCGGATTATTTAGCTCCTGAATCTATTTTGGGGACTGGACAAGATTCTATGGTTGACTGGGTAATATATATATATATATACACTATAAAAAAAAAAGTTATATTGAATAATGACTGAGATCTTCTTTTGTTTCGTTTTTTTTTTTATTATTATTATTATTTTATTTAATATAGTGGGCACTTGGTGTGATTTGTTATGAATTCTTATATGGCTATCCACCTTTCCATGCTGATACTCCGGACAAGGTTTTTGAAAACATCCTCTCTCGAAGAATTGACTGGCATGAAAATGAAGTAGAAGTATCAAAAGAAGCTCGTGATTTTATGGAACAACTCATGACATTAGATCCTTCAAAGCGACTTGGTAGTCAAGGTGCAAAATCTGTACGAGAACATCCATTCTTCAAGGACATTCAATGGGATACTCTGATGATTGATCAACCATCTTTCATTCCACAACCAGAAGGTATGGAAGATACTGATTATTTTGATGATCGTGGCGCCATTATGATTCCAACATCATCCTCCTCCTCTTCTTCTTCTTCTTCCTCATTGCCTGCAAAGAAACGACATGACAAAACAAAGGATGACAATAAAATGCAATTGGATGCTAGTGCAAAAGCCAAAGTGGATCTCGCCAATGCAATCATTCAAGAACAGCATCCTACAGCAATGACAGATTCTTCTCTACTGCCATCTGAACCATCTACCACCACTACCACCAGCGGCAAACGACGGGATTCTTCTCAAGCGGAACAAAAAGCAATGGTGACGGAGACAAACGACGCTGAAAGGGAAAAGGATCATCAAGGTGCCGATTTTGGAACATTCCTTTACAAGAATCTACCAGTATTGGAAAAAGCCAATGAAGATACCATTCGCAAGATTCGACACGATAGCTCAGCAATAAGGGATATATCACCATCTGGAAGTAGTACAGGAACAACAAACAATATCAAGGATACATCTGATACTCCTTCATCATTCCGACCAAGCACTCTTCCACCCAAGGCACATCATTTGTTTTCTTCATCATCAACTGTCTCTCATTCGTCTTCTCTTCCTGGCACACCACAAACAACACCTTCAGTCTCCATGACAGGATTACACCCTCTGGCATCACAATCGACAAAACTCAATGGGAGGAAATCGATGGATATTCAACAGTTTGCTTTGGAAAATCAACGACCGGAACCTTTGCCCACTACCTCTGGAATGACATCCTCTGTAGCAATGACAACATCAACAAGTCAACACCAACGAACACGTTCATTATCTACACCTGACTGTCGTATTCCTACCGGTACAACAAGGACTAGTATTCCCTCAGCATCCAGCAGCTCAGCCGTTCCGCCCACTTCTATATGTGCACCAACAGCAACAACGACAACACCTCCATCAGGTTTATCGACATCACAATCAACCATAACACGAGCAATAATACCGATGGAACATCCAAAGACAGTATCAGCACATCGACTTTCTCAAGAATTGAATAGGGTGGAACAATATCAAATGAAGAAGGAAACTAGTAGTATACCCACATCATCATCAACTACATCATCATCATCACGAACTCCTCTCGCATTCTTAGTGGTAGATGATAATCCAATCAGCTGCAAGATCTTGGAAACCATTTTACATATGCTACATCATCAATGCGTGATTGCACGAAACGGTGCGCAAGCCATCCGGTCAGCAATGTGTGATGTGAAATATGATATCATATTTATGGATATACGAATGCCTATCAGTAAGTAGTTCAAGAAAAAGAAAGAAAGAAAAATAGAGACCAACTGACTGATTTTTTTTTTTTTTTGCTTATCTGTATAGTTGATGGGGAAACGGCGGCAAGAATGATCAAATCAACCAACAATGTCAATAGAGAAACACCTATCATTGCAGTAACAGCATATGAACAAACAGTTCAATTAGCAGGCGCATTTGATGAAATAGTATGTAAACCAGTGACTAAGAACGTGATCTCTCAATGTATAGACCAATTCTGTTATCAAGGAAAAAGACCCATCAAGTTGATCACCACGCCGGTAAATGGTCCCATCAAGATTGCCACTGTCGACAATCAAAATATTTCGAAATGAACATCTTCCTGTATATTAGTCTAGTTTAGTTTTATATGTTTCTTGTTTTATTCAATCAAGTCAAACACATCTTTTAGATACCCCTTTTTTTTATCCTTTTTTCTTTTTATTATTTAGTTTTATTATTATTTGGGCATCGATCTTTTTTTTTTCTTTGTGTATATCCTGTTGATCATCATCAACATAATAAAGAACATTTTATATGAGGAAGTATAATGATTGAAGGAAAAATCATTTTTTGATTTCCATTTATGTATAAATAATAATCCCTTGGACAGAAAATTTGTGGCAGTTTGATGATGGCTTAAAACGTTTGAAAGATGTATTTTATGAGCTTGGAAAAAGAGTTGGACTTCCCCCCACCTACATCGACTTGAGCCGAAAACTGATGATGCTCATCCCTTTATCATCATTCTCTTTTCATCCTGTTACTGCACGAATTTTTAATTGACCAATTTACAACAGTCATTTTTATCATTAGCCATATGAATGACGGAAGTCCTTTTTTTTTCAATGATATGAATCAAGTCATGTATTAAACTTGCCTAGTGAAATGGAGACAGAGTGGTACAAAATAGCGTGAGACCGTCAATCATGCATGCATGCAGAAAAAGACAATACTGAGTTTGAAAGCGTCGAAGTAGTTTTGGTTGGGGATGAAGGTCATATGTCCTCTTTCTCCCTTTTTTTTTTTTTCTTTCTCTCGCTCATATTTCTATTTATTTTACTTTTTATTTTTTTATTTTTAGTTTTATCTTTACTTTCCTGGTTTCAATCCCATTATGACGAAAAGATTAGCAAGTCATGCAGGTAGCTGGTATAGTGATTCAAGTAAGACATTTGACATATAGACATTTTTATAAACACGTATATATGGAGAAAGAAAAAGAAAAAAGGAACAGTGTTTTGTGATATCCTTCTTTTTTTTTAGAAAGTCGATTAAACAAGGAACTGGAACAATATTTGAACAATGTGCCTACTACAACCGAAAAAGGAGTTGGTTATCCTATCGATCAAGTTAGAGCCATCATTGCACCGTAAGTGATAAGAAAATAGTCAATACAAGAAAATGAAGGATTTTATTCTTTTTTTTGTTTTTTTGATGAATATTAGACACGCGGGATATACTTATAGTGGACCTACAGCAGCTTATGCTTATAAATGTATTGATGTTGGTACAATGTAAGTAGTATATAGGAGATAAAAAAAAAAAAAAAAAAAGAATGTGTTGTTTGACTTTTATATTTTATTTTTATCAGTCGACGTGTCTTTCTATTGGGACCTTCTCATCATGTCTATTTGGATGGATGTGCTTTATCGAAATGTGATAGTTATGAAACACCATTAGGCAATTTAGAATTAGATAAACAAGGTAAAAAAAAAAAAAAAAAATAGGATATAATAATAATAATAAATAGAAATAGAACTAATTAATAGAACTATATAGTGATTTCTGATTTGTATGATACTGGTCAATTCTCATGGATGAGCACAGAAGTGGATGAAGAAGAACATAGTATTGAAATGCATCTTCCTTATACATATAAGATCTTTGAAGAGTAAGTAAATTACTTTTTTTTTTATTATCAATGACATAATTTATTTATTATTATTTTTTAATATAGAAAAACACAAGATATCAAGATTGTACCTATTCTTGTTGGATCGATTGGATTGGTTAAGGAAAAGATGTATGGTCAAGTGATATCCAAATATCTTGAGGACCCAAGTAATTTATTCATCATCTCATCGGACTTTTGTCATTGGGGACGTCGATTCAATTACAATTATGATATGGGGAAAGAGATACCGATTCATGAAGCGATACGTAAATTGGATGATGAAGGTATGAAAGCCATTGAATCAATGAATGTGAATGATTTTTCTGATTATTTGATAAGAACAAGAAATACTATTTGTGGACGACATCCTATTGCAGTATTGATGGCAGGATTGGAACATTTAAAAGAATATGATAAAAAAATAGAATTTATAAAATATGATCAAAGTAATCGTTGTTATACAATAAAAGATAGTAGTGTTAGTTATGCTAGTGGTTTTGTAACTATTATGAAGAAATAAAAATAAAAAAAAAGGAATCAATTTTATGTCTAGTTTTCTTTAAAATGATTTCAAATTGACTGATTGTCTTAGATCCAAAAATAGACTTTTTTTTTTCTCGATGATGTTGTTCCATTTTCTTTTTTTTTTTTTTTTTGATACTCCTTTTTTTTTTTTTTTGTTTTCTTTTCTAATCTCCTCCCCTTTCCCCTTTTTTTTCCCTCTTTTTCTTTCTTTCTTTTTTTCTTTTTTTTTTATTTTTTTTATTTTTATTTTTATTTTTCTTTCTTTTACTTCAATAATTTGTATTATAAACTTTTATCTTTTTTTTTTATCTATCTTTACTATTTACTTTCTACTTTGAACTTTTATTGATTCCTCCTTTTTATTAAAGTCATGGGTCAGTCTGGAAGTAAACCTCCTGGTTCATTACCATTTGGTTATGTTGCTTATATGGATACATCAATCAATAATAATAATAATAAACAAGAAAAAGAAGAAGAAGTAAAAGAAAAAGAAGAAAAAATTGAAAAAGATAGATTATTAGTGGTACCTCATCAATATGGACTAATGAAACAAAACAACAACAACCTTCATACTCATCATCAATATCGACCGTACACACCTCCTTCGCCACCTACTCCTTTATCTTTCAATTTGTCAACTTCTACTTCTTCCTCCTCTTCTACTTCCTTCTCTTTATCTACTCATATCGACAACAACAACAACAAGAACGATATATCAAACGAAATGCCGCCTTCTCATTGGATGACACTCATGAATGATGTGACCTATATCGACTCTACTTATTATCAAAAAAATATTACACCATACAACCCTAGTGATGATCATACTACAGGAAATCCTCTTCCTCCTTTGCCACCTTTCACCATGACTGAAAAAATACTTACATCAGCGGATCTTCAAACCATCGACAAAACTATGCATGTTATTTCCTTGTCCCAACAAAATTTAATTCGTCTCAGTCCCTCTATTGGTCTATTCACTAGGATCTGCAAATTAGACTTGTAAGGTTTTTTTTTTTCTTTGAAAAGTTAAAAAAGAAATATATACTAATAATCATTCATTATTATTATTATTATTATTCAGATCAAATAACAAATTATCATCTATCCCAACTACTATTGGTTATCTTTATCAATTGGAAGCTTTATATCTCGGCAATAATCAATTGGACAGTTTACCTGATACTATAGGTTATTTAACGAAATTAGTTGAATTGGATGTATCACATAATCAACTTACTACATTGACTCCTTGTATGGCATATCTCAAGAAACTTCAAGCATTGACGGTGGCTCATAATCAATTACAAGATTTACCTGTTCATTTGGTTATTGGATTAAAAGGTCTAACTATATTAGATTTATCTCACAACCCTATTACCATTTTACCAGCTGAAATCACACAACTTCATTTTCTTCGACGATTACTTTTGGAAGGATGTCCCCTGATGGATCCTGATTCAACAAATATTAAACCACCTTGTTATCCTTTGGTTCATTCACCACCCAGTTTATTGGAATATTGCGCCCGCACCATTGTACGCGATACCAAACGACATCAATATTATCAACAAAGATTTCCTCAATTATCAGATCATTTGATTGAATATCTCAATTCTGGAACACCATGTACTCTTTGTCATGCACCTTATTTTGATACTTATGTAGCTCGAGGTCGACTTGTGGAAAGAAGTAATCGTTGGATTCCGGTCGAATATCGTTTATGTCAGGCTCATTTTACGGATGAAACGAATCGATTATTATATATGTTCTCATCATCATCATCATCACCATCATTGGATCATACATTGACCTCTTCTTCTCCATCATCAATATCTTCAACATTTTCTTGGCATCGACCTTATCGACCTCCTTTACCACAATTACCAAACAAAATCAAACGGAAATCTATATATAATCATTCAATCACTACCGATTCGATATCCACTATCACTGAAACAACTACTACAGCTGTAATGATGGAAAGTGTAATACAACAACAACAGCAACAACAACAACAACTATTGATGCAAGATGATACAAGAATGGATCCTATCAATAATAATGGTTGGCGAGCTCATAGAATGAAAGTAATGAACAAAAATCAATCTGGTTTTTTATCTTTGACAAAACTTCCTTCTAATGGCAATCGACAAAGTGATGATCCTCAACAACAACAACAATTGTGATCCCATTATTATTTTTTTATTTTATTTTATTTTATTTTTTTTCTTTTTTTTCTTTTTTTTTTTTTTGTATTTGACATATATTATATATTATCTAGTGTAGTGGTATTTTATTTTTATACCCCCTCCCTTTTTTTTTTTTGTATGTGTGATGATGTTGTATGCATGTACGTTATTTTAGATTATGTAGTCGATTCTTTCTTTTTTTTTTTTTTTAGTTAGTTATCATATCTTGTTTATATTTATATATACAAAATGTTTGTAGTTTATCTATATACCAATAAATACCCGCCTTTTTTTTTTTTTTTTTTTTGTAACTGTCATCAACTTTTATACAGAAATTGGGAATTGACTGACGAGGATTACCTTATTTGGTTACGTTTCGAATGTGGCTTCATATGTAGAAAAGAAAATAATAATCAAAAGTCTTTATGATACATCGAAACAGCTTTTTTGTTTGTTGTGCTACTGTATCATATGATATTTAAGAGAAGATTGATTCTGATGCCATATTTTCTTTTTTTTTAATCCTTGGTCTTTTGTTCCCACAAAAGGATTCACCTGTGTAACCATTTTACTCTTTGCCGAGCGGAGAAAATAGGTCATGTTGTTTCCCCCAACCTTCATTTATTTTTTTTTCTACTATTGTTGTTTTTTTTTTTTTTTTTTTTATTATTCTTTCTTTCTCATATTGATCTCTCTCTTCATTCTTTCTTTATTTATATATATATACTCTTTTTTTTTTTTAGTTTATTTACAGTCTTTATAGTGAAATAACAAGAGAACCTCGTCTTAAACTTATATTACTTACTCTCACGGAACAACATCCAGAAGATGCGTTTTGATTCACTGTCAGAGGAACTTCAATCGATCACCAAAGATTATGACTATGGTATTGTTCCTGGATCGGCAGCCGTGTTTGTCAAGGATGAAGTTATGGGTATTGGTCGGTTAGATTTGACTTTATTGGAAGGAATTATGATTGTAATTGAAGTTTCTAATGAAGGATATAAGGTATAAAAAAAAGTGTGTATTTCTTGTCGTTTGTAGTAACATCTTTTATTATAATAGATTGCATCATCGTCACCATTATCTGAAGATCCAGTAACTTTAGCGGCTGCAGATCAAGTTCAAGCATGTGTAGATCAACAAATCTTTGAAACCATGGAAAATCTCTTGATGACTGCCTCACCATTATTTCGTGAACGGTTTCAGGCCACTTTATATGATAAACTTGAAAAAGTTCAACAATTACAACTGATCGAACAACAACAACAACAACAACAACAAGTGGAAACTTCTTCTTCCCATCATACCAATTTGACGACCACTTCATCTTCGGCCTTCAACTCTAATACCTCTGCGACGACGGATCAACAAGACCTGATGGATGAAATTAATCAATGGATCCACTAGTTAGCTTCCTTTTTTTTTTTTTTTTTTTTACTTCACTATAGACCATGATCAATATTCTTTTTTTTTTTTGGAATTTTATTGAAAGGAATGACTCGAATAAAGAACTCGATGATGTATTATTTTCTTAATTATTTCCTTTTTTTTATATATATGATGAATGATAAGAATTGGGGCGCTTTTTTTTATTTTTATTACAGATGTATTAAAATACTATATAAAGAAAAATAGGAAGGATGCTGACTATTAACTACTATGATACAAATTAGATAAAAGTCCACAGAGTACCTGCGATGGCCAAAATAAAACAAAGGAAGACCAAGAGACAAAGGATGCACTTTTCCCATAGAGGTAAGACGGAGCCAAACAACTTGAGATAACAAAGGATAGGAAATACCCCGGCCAGAATGAAAGAAAAACAGGCACCCATAAAAGACATAATACGATCAAACCGAGGAACAATATGAGCCAATAACACTATCAACCCACTCACCATCACTTTCCCCATTACCATAATGACTTGACTCCGCAGTGGATGCTTGTAACACCATGCTTCAATGGAAGGCTGTCGCACCAAGGCAAGTTGCCAACTGAGGTTCACTGGATGAATGTTCAGGCCATATTTGGTAATCGGATTTAAGACCATCAACCACATTGTCATTTGATTCACTATTGTATTGTATTCTGGAACTGACATCAAATTTTGAGTGATCTAAGCATATATATATATAAAAAAAAAGTAATTATCCTTATCTTGCATTCACCATCATCTTACCTCTTGCATTGTATTGGATCCAAACATTCGATAACCAGCCACCGCCATCGTCATATAAATACATGCTGTGATAGTATAAGTCCAGTCCATGACCTTTGCATAATGTTTCGGTTCCTTCATATCACGGTATATACTCGGAAGGCAGACGTGAGAACTGAATCCATCTAAAAGAAGACCAATACTTCTCGGAAATATCATCCAATTGGCTGGCCACCATGTTGTATCCTTATCATCCATCAAACATATATATATATATGAAGCAAAGTTAGAGCACTGTCTTTTTCTTTTTTTTTTTTTTTGGTTTACTTACAGCTGCTTCAATCAAAGAACCAGGTTGAGTTGTTTTGATGGATCCCATGATAACCACGACACTAAGGGTCCATAAGATACTGATGATACCAAGAAGACTTGTATAAGATAAATGTCGGATAGGAATAAAACTCATGGGTGTGAGAATAAAAAAGGAGATCATACACATTAATAGAGGATCCATACTTGGAAACAGAGAAATCAATCCATCTATTAATAAGACGACAAGGGCAACACTACATGTATTACAAAAAAAAAAAAAAAAAAGACATCAATCTGTTATTCTTGTTCTTGCTTTCCATCTTTTACCAGAAAGCCACTAAATCAATCAGACTGATCGCAGACACTACAATACGACCTTGTTTCCCAAAAGCTTCAGCTGCGATATCTCCATAAGTATATGTTCCAGGATAAGCGTATAAACATTTGCCCAACATTTTTGCTGTATAATTCGTCAATCCCAAGCTAAAAGAAAAGAGAAGGGAACCCAATATCCAACCAGTATACTATTGTATAACAAAAAAAAAATTGTAAATCAAATGATGATCCTTTTTTTTTTTTTTTAGAAATACTTGCCTTGAATCCAAGAGGTATAGTCAATAGGCCTACACCTGCAAATATATTGATGGAATTGAATAGAGATTGTAAAATATTGGACTTTTTTTCATGATAGTCATCTAAAGGATCTGATATATCTTGACAAGTATCCGCCAAAGTAGATCTTCGGCTCTATCATATCACATCATACCGAATCATGTCATCAAACGAGAGTTAACAAAAAGAAAAAAAACACGAGCATAATGATTTCTTTTATCAAAAAGTTGTTGTTATTATTTTTTTCCTACCGAACAAACAGAAGAGACTGGACTTGTACCGTATTTCATCATATATCAATGATAGACTTGAGAATAAAGGGAAAAAAAAAAGGAAGAAGACCAGAACAGAGGAATAGATACAAAGGCATCATCAAACACAGAAGTGGTCAAATAATGGAGTTTTCTAAGGAGACCTGCATTGTCCATCTTACCATCCCAATAAACGCCAGAAAAGCTAGACTGACGGTGTGGAATATGATGATAAGCATTAAAAAAAAAAAGGATCAACGTCGGGAATGTGTTGTATTTAGTATCGTTTACATTAGAAAGGATTTTTGAAGTGATCGACATCATAACACACCGGTATTCAAGAACGGGTAGCATAAAAAAAAAAGATTAGATTATCATTTCCCAATCATTTGAATTCATTACCTCCTTTTCCCATACGTGAGTCATAAAATATGCTTGATTAACTTATCAAATCTACATTAGATCATCCAATCATCTTGGGCTATAACTAATTGTAAAGATTTGTGGTTTTTTTTTTTTATTCGGTAGTCGGTTCATCACATCCCTTTTGTTCGATATCTGACCAGTTTTAAAGCTATCAAAAAAAAAAAATTCTGCATCATTAGATTATCAATACCTCCTTGTTGTCTTCTATCTCCTTCGCGTCATTAACTTACCATCATCACAACACCGCGTTGCATGATTCCAATTTCCATGTATAGTGTTCCAATTGACTGAGAAATTTGGCTATAAAAATAAGAATGAGGTCAACTTATATATAAACTAAAGTTCTAACTTTTTAACAAAAGTGATTGACTTTTGATTCAAATGTCGATTCATTCGATAGAGAAATAAGAACGAATGCAGAGCCAGAATAACTTTCAAAGTCAATGCCGGTTTTTTTTTTTAGAGTACCTTGTGATATAATGTTGTTCTAATGGGTAAAAATAGATGTTGAACATCTAAGATGCAACATACAGGACCAGATATAACCATAAATAGATATGAGATCTGGAAGTGGATGACAATGGTCCAATAATAATAATGGTTGAATCAATAGTTCATGGTTGTATGTTTTATCGTCTAGTTTTATTTGTTATCTTATAAAGAAAAGGAGAGTAGTGACATGTAGAAAAAAAAAAGAAAGAAAAAAAGGAGAAATAAAGAAAAGAAATGAAAAATAAAGTTTTATGCCCGATCACACCGCTTGAGACAGAAAAAGTCGATGATCTTGGCCTGCATTTTTTAAGATCGTCTCAGTAATTTTAATGACTCTCCGTGCATTGATATCTACAAAAAAAAAAAAAAAAAAAAAACGATAAAGACAATGATGATTACTATATTTGGTCTTCATAGGATTCAATGTATTTTTATTTTTGTATACAAATGCGTTTAACCGAGTAAATGTAATAAAATAGAATAAATAAAAATAATCTAAGACAAGAATATCACAAAAAAGTCCAAATAGTGCCAACGATGCTCATAATCAAACAAAGGAAGAATAAAGCATAGAGAATGATTTTTTCCCATAGAGGTATATGCCCAAACAGTTTGAGGTAACAAAGAGTAGGGAACAAACCAGAGATGATATAGGAGAAACATGCGCCAAAAAAAGACATGATACGATCAAATCTTGGAATACCACAAGCCAAAAGAACCACTAATGCGCTTACCATCATCTTGCCAACCACAATCACACTTTGTTTTCCCCATGGATGTCGATAGAACCACGCTTCAATAGATGGCTGTCGTATCAAGGCCAACTGCCAACTGAGATTTACTGGATGCAAAATCAAACCATATTTGACAATAGGACTTAATGCAAATAACCACACAGCTACCTGATTCATTCCTTGATTATATTCTGGTATCATCATCACGTTTTGAGTTACCTACTCCAAAAAAAAAAAAAAAAATATTATAAATGAACCCCTATCTCTTTTTTTTTTTTTTTTACCTCTTGCATTGTACCTGATCCAAACATCCGATAACCAGCCACGCCAATGGTCAGAAAAATCAATGCTGTAATCATATAACCCCAATAAACCATGCTTGTGTATTGCTTTGGATTTTCCATATCACGATAGATACTAGGAAGACAAGCGGTACCAGACAAGGCAGCCATAAACAGACCGATACATCGGGGAAATATCATCCAATTTTCAGGCCATGATGCCGTATCCTAAAAAAAAAGAAAATCATGACTATATATCATCACAAGAACAAGTTGCTTTTCTTTTTTTTTTTTTCCTTTACCGCTGGTATAATCAAAGATCCCGGACTAGTCATCTTAGTGGCACCATCTATCGTCAATACAACAGCAATACAGAGCACGCTTAAAATTCCAATGAGACTTGTATAGGCCAAGTGTCGAATAGGTAAGAAGAGCATGGGCGTAAGAATAAGAAAGGTGATCGTACGAATTAAAAATGGATCAATGTTGGGGAATAAAGAAATCAAACCATCAGTAAGTAATACAACAAGGCCAACACTAATAAAAATAAAAAAAAAAATCGTCATACTATAGTTCTCTTCTTTTTTTTTTTTATTACCTGCAAGTAATAAGTTCGGCCCAAAAGATCGCAGAGATGAAAAAACGTCCACGTTGACCAAAAGCATTATGAGCCAGATCACCAATTGTTTGTGCTTCAGGATAAGCATCTAAACATCTTCCCAAAATATTAGCTGTGTAAATGGTCATCACTGTACTGAACACAAAGAGGATCAGACTTATTACCCAACCAGCATACTAAATAATAAATGAGTTATGGATGATACTAATCGGATGCTTTCACCTTACCATAAATCCAAGAGGTATAGCCAAGATACCTACACCAGCCAATAGATTAATTGTATTGAATATAGATTGTATAAAACCAGATTTCTTTTTAGTCATATCATTGCCGTCGGTTTTCAATGTTGAAGAAGGAGTATCTTGATAGGCACCAGCTAGAATAGATATTTCACTTTTAACATGAATGAGTTTTTATTTCCTTTTTTTTTTTTTTTTTTTTTTTTGTCATATATACTTTTTTTTTCTATTTCACTTACACAGCATGACAGCTTGAGCATTCATCCTCCATTTTATCTATCTACCATATAAAAAAAAAATGGATGGATGAATTTGTTTTGAATATAAAACTATATTGACTATCACCCTTTTGTTACCGTTGTACTCTTTTTTTTTTTTCTTACCAAACGGTGTCAACAAGAGTGATTGTTTGAACCAATAACATCAAAAAAAAAAAAAAAAAAAAAGGTGTTAGAAAAAAGTATAACCATTGTAAATATTATGGGATAATAATTTTTTTCATACTACTATTGCAATACGGATGATTTGGACCGGCGGTTGTGGTATCGGCTGTTCGACATGAGGTACGTTGCGAATTATCATAATGGATAACATGTTGCGACTCTTTGTCTTTTTCAACACTATAAGATAGATCCATGATTGGAAGACACTATAATACAGTTATGTCAAAAAAAAAAAAAAAAATAAGAAGAAAAAAAAAAAAGGAAAAGGAAAAGAAAAGAAGAGAAAGAAAAAGGAAAACTACTTTAAATAATAATCGATCGCGGAGTTCTGTTATGCACCACCCTACAAACAGGTGCCATAAGAGAAAAGCGAAAAGATGACAAGTTACGTCCCTTTGGTTTATTCATTACAGATCATCTTTTTCATTTGTTATGTTTGGTACCTTACGCTGATAAAACTATTGACTTACCAAGATCGATTTGTTATAGGGCAGCCATACTATACTTTATATACTTCATTGTAATTCATTCAGAAATCATCATCATCGCTCCAAACTTGGACTGAACATACATCAAATTATTCTCTTCCACTTATCTTAATAACAATTTATACCTTACCTCCCCATTTATAAGAGTAAAATAAAAAATAAAAGTCAATATTGTCATTCCTCATTCAATAATGATCATCATCCAATATAATGACCACCATTAGATTCCTCTCTAAAAAATAGCTTAGTATCGTCTAATAACATTTTGCCGCTTACCTTACCACGTTAATGTGCAATAAACACCAAAAGAAAATCATTGATTTTTCGAAAAAATGCCTGATGTACCCTCGACGATTTATTTTTACAGCTAAAATTTGGCTGAGGAATTTGAAAATTTTGGCTGTGAAATCCAAAAACCCATCCATTTTTTTTTATATTGAAGCGAGCAAAAACTTTGCCTTTCCTTGTTTAAAAGTCATCATCATCACACCAAATTGGAACACAACAAGCCATTTTTCTTTCACTTTATATTATGGAGTTTATCATTGCATTTGTAGAGAAAATAAAAAAAAATGATTTTATTTTTTTTTTAGTTTTAAATCCTTTCCATAAAAATCACTATCACTTTATATATGTCTTGGATGATGAGTGATGTTGATTGAGGGAAAACGGGTGATGAATGAATGACAAAGAGAATAAATAATGAGCAAATAGATGATGATGATATGTGATAAATGCATCATAGGGGGTGTTGATGATAACTGAGAATATTGGAAGGTAAGATGACGACAGATGATAATGAGATGACATCATGTATACGAGTTTAGTAAAAGAAAAAATATCGCCAGCTTTTGTTATCTCATCTTTAATGATTTTTTGATCTCAAGTGGTCAACAATATACCATCTACTACAATAGCCAACAAAATTCGATGTTCCAACTAAAATAAACCGTGATCAAAATGTTGATTATTCTGTTTTATAAGACAAACCAAAATGTTTATTGAATTTGAATGATAAAAAAAATTCTAACTAATAAAAATAATATATAGAAAGGAATATCTATAAAGGAAAAAAAATCAAATAAAGCTCCAAATCGTACCAACCAAGGCCAAGACAAAACAAAGGAAGAATAAGATATATAAAATCAATTTTTCCCATGATGACAAGGTATGACCAAAGAGCTTGAGATAACAAAGAATAGGGAATAAACCAGAAACGATAAAAGAAAAGCATGCACCCAAAAGAGACATGATCCGATCAAATTCAGGAATAGCATAAGCTAATAAGACCACCAGAGCACTGACTGTCACTTTTCCTACTAAGCTAATCACTTTCCCGCGCCACGGCTGTTTGTTACACCAGATGTATACAGAAGGTTGTCTTGCCAACGCTAATTCCCAACTTAGATTCACAGGATTCAAGGTCAACCCATATTTAGCAATTGGATTCAATGCGATTAACCATACTGCCATTCGATTAAACATTTGATTATATTCTGGAATAAGGACAAGATTTTGGGTAATCTATTGTTTGGTATTTAAAAAAAAAAAATTAGTTATTTTATCATTGAAAAAAAAAAGACTCATTTTACCTCTTGCATCGTTTTTGATCCAAACATTCGATAGCCAGTTACCGCTACTGTCAAATAAATCAATGCTGTGATGATATATGTCCAATCCACCATTCTTGTATATTGTTTCGGTTTTTGCATATCCCGGTAGATAGTAGCAAGACAAGCATGACCAGCGCACCCTGACATGATAATTCCAGTACTTCTTGGTAATGCCATCCAATCTTCAGGCCAATATGTTGTATCCTAAAAAAAAAAAAAAAAAAAAAAAAAAAAAAAAAATATTGATTGTCACTATACTGTTCTTTTTTTTTTTCCACATCTTTTTTTTTTTTTTGAACTTACAGCAGGTTCTATCAAGGATCCTGGACTAGTCGTTTTGGTAAATCCATCAGCAACCAGAACGATGATAATGGATAAGGCACTCATGATACCAATCAGACTCGTGTAAGATAAATGTCGGACTGGAAAGAATAACATAGGCGTGAGAATAAAAAAGGAGGCTACACGCATTGAGAGAGGATGTTCACCCGGAAAGAATAAAGAATCAAGTCCATCACTTAACAAGACCACAAGAGCAACACTAAAAAAAAAAAAAAGATCAGTCAAAACCTTAATCTTGTTCATCTAATATCTACTTACGCACAAGTGACTAATTCAGTCAAAAATAATATGGAAACCAGGATACGACCTCGATTACCAAATGCATTGTATGCCATATCTCCATAAGTTTGTGATTCAGGATAAGCATATAAACATCTTCCCAATAGTTTTGCAGTATAATTGGTCAATCCCAAGCAGAAGAAAAAGAGAACGAATCCTAGTATCCAACCAGCATACTATAAAAATAAAAGTACATAGAAAAGAATAAATATGAATGTTTAATTTTAAACTTTCTTTTCATACATATATATATATATATATATATATTGTTACTTGCCTTGAATCCAAGAGGTAAAGCCAAAATACCCACACCAGCCAAAATATTGATAGAATTGAAAACAGATTGTAAAAAGTTTGATTTTTTATGATGAATATTATGTGTTGAAGTATCATCTTGATAAGTATCAGCTATAGTAGATATATGACTTTGACCAGTATAAACTTTATCGATAGGTTGGTAACCAAGTAAGGAAGTCCGTTCATCATGTAAAGTTCCCAGGGAGTTTCGCCTTGATCTATATGGTAATGATTGTGGTGGAAAAAAAAAAAAAAAAAGATGGTTCAGTCTCCGGTTTCAACATCAGTCTATTCATCTATCTCATAATAAAACTTATATAAAGTTCCATTGTGAATCATCCAATATATAGAACACTTACCTTGGATTATAACTTGATATAATAGACACTTGATCATCGTTTGTATCCATCTGAAAAAAAAAAAGTGTAAGAGATGACATTCAGTGTTACAGAAAAAAAAAAAAAAAGAAAACTTTTTCATATTACTTACCAAAGAATCAGAAGGGTTAGAAACAGTGACATTTTCAGCCATATACATTAAGGAAGTACGAGAGAAAGAACCCACAAAAGAACCAAGACGATCAGAGAACGATTCAGACAAGGGAGTATCCGTAGGAGAAGTTGCATTATCATAATATAGACCATTTGCAGCAATAGTGGTGGTATCAGTGGCACGACTAGGTGACCGTTGAGAAGGATGAAGGTTGGGAATGGTTTGCATTTCTCCTCTTTCAACACTATTGGGAATGTTCATGTTTTTATAAACACTAACAGAAGAAGAAAAAGGGAAAAGGAGAGATCTAAATTGGTATCAAATAAAGAAATAAAGAAAGAAAAAAAAAGAAAAAGAAAGAAAGAAAAAGTTAAAAAAAGTTTAAAAACTTTTTTTTTTCTACCAGCGGAGTTCCACCAAACCAATGCGTGTTACAAAAAGGCTGACGAGAGAAAATGATATTTTTGTTTCGATCTGTGACAGAATAATCGTCCATTTATTTATAATAAAAAAAAAACTACTAAGCTATAAGTAATATGAGTATAATCTAATGAATGGATGTTGTTGTTGTATATTGTTGACTTTGTTCATCTGCAATGGTACGCAGTGTTTCTGTAATCTTTTTTCGAGCCAGCTCTACATAAAAAAAAAAATAGCTCATCAGTTTATTCATTTGACCTCCCCCTTTTTTTCTTTTTCTCTCTTTTTTTTTTTTTATCTTTGCATCGACCCCCCCCTTTACCTAGTTCCTGAACTGCAGCAGCATAGTTTTCATTTTCACGTTGGTTTTCAGCTTCAAGTTCCTCCAAAAGAGCCAACTAAAAAAAAAAAAAAAAAAAAAAGATACAAAAAAGAAGGTTAATCTTATTTGGTCAATCTGACACTTTCGACAAAAAAATTGATAACCACACGATAAAACACAATAAATTGTGACTTTCCTGTTCTTCTTCAGTCCTTTGTATGCCTGGTAAACCTTCTATCAATGTATCTATTTCTTTTGCCTTTTTCCCAAGATCTGATACAAGTTCCTTAACATTTTCTTACAAATAAACAATGTAAGATTACAAAAAAAAAAATAGACAGTTCTTCTTTTCACTTACGATCAAAAATATCTGGAGGATCGGCTTGAACTATATATATAATAAAGAATGAAGAGTGGATATATTGATCATGGTTTAAAAATTACAAATTACCTTTTGGTTGTAATACTGGAATATCTTTATTCAATTCGGCCATGTTTGATTTTTCGTGTACATAATAAATACTGTTTGTAAACATACGAGCCATCTAATACCGGTATGAGTTAATTAAATGGAAGTTACATTATCGTTCATTTTGTATATACCGTATCAATAGCATCTTGTAATTGTGTGAGTCGATCCATTTGGTATAAGTAAAGAGAAAGAAACAAAAAAAAAGAGAAAGCGTCAAAAAAAAAGAGAAAACCATACGGAGTGTGAAATTCCTCCACACTTACCAAGGTGAAACTATATATATTGGTATAAATAATATATGTATAAAAATTAAAACTATATATAATATGAAGGAATAATATCTTATTTATTATATTCTTTCTATTCGTTTGAATGTAAAATTCTAATAATGAGTAAAGGAAAATATAAAAATAAGCGTGTACCATAAGTGAAAAAGAGAAAGAAAAAAAAGAAAGAAAGAAAAAAAAAAAAAGTACTCACAGTGACTTGCGCACATTTGGGGAAAATCTATCTTTTTTTCAGGCGGCGGGTTTTTCACACTTGTTTTTTTTTTTTTTTTGTTTCTTTTTCCTTTCTCTCTCTCTCTCTATCTATCCTTCCTCTTTTTCTTTTAGTCAACTTTATATATTTACATACTTTCATTGTATATAAATATTTTTTTTTATCATTATCCGGTATCATTATTAGTACTTTTTTTTAATAACTCATATACGACCGTTACACCTATTCAACCATCTCCTGCCGCCTTCTACAACAGACCTACACAAACTCATCACCCTCACCTCACCTTCATTCTTCTTACATAACATCATACCGTAAGTCATCGTTTTATTTTTATGAACAAAGGAAGAAAAAGTGTTTTTTTGGGGGGTCATCTCTTGATATATATATATATAATATTCACAATCATGGGAAAGATACTTTTGATTGGAGGAGGAGGGGGATAACTGATTTATTTGGATCATCTTGGACATTTATATTAGTATAAAAGTGATTATCTCTCTTTTTTTACTTTTTAAATCCATCTTATTCATGAACAGGATCAGTTGGGGGTTATTGACTGTCAGATTAAAAATACTCATACTGAATCACTCATTCCCTTTTTTTTTTTAAGATTATGACAGATACAAACGAAGTCAATGTTGATTCAGTGATCGAACGTTTACTCGAAGGTAAAAAAAAAAAAAAAAAAAAAATTCTAGTCACCTTTATTCTTCTTCTTCTAATTATTCTTATTGTTTGTTGATGTTATATGAACTAGTTCGTGGAAGCCGACCTGGTAAACAAGTTCAACTGGGTGAACATGAAATCCGATTCCTATGTCAAAAAGCTCGCGATATTTTTATGTCTCAACCTATTTTGTTAGACTTGGAAGCTCCCATCAAGATTTGTGGTAAATATGATTAATAAAAATAAAAATAAAAATTTATTCACATTGTTTTTTTTTTTTGTTGATTTTAGGTGATATTCATGGACAATATTATGACCTTTTACGACTATTTGAATATGGTGGTTTCCCACCTGATTCGAATTATCTTTTCTTGGGTGATTATGTAGATCGTGGAAAGCAATCTTTGGAAACCATTTGTTTATTGTTGGCTTACAAGATCAAATACCCGGAAAATTTCTTCATTTTACGTGGTAATCATGAATGTGCTTCAATCAATCGTATCTATGGATTTTATGATGAATGTAATTATAAAAAAAAAAAAAAGAAAGGAACGAAGAAAAATTAATGATTTTTTGAATGTTAGGCAAACGACGATACAATATCAAATTATGGAAGACATTTACTGATTGTTTCAACTGTTTACCCATTGCGGCCTTGATTGATGAAAAGATTTTTTGTATGCATGGTGGTCTTTCTCCAGATTTACAAAGCATGGAACAAATCCGACGTGTGATGCGACCTACTGATGTTCCCGATACTGGTAAGAAACAAGAAAAAAAAATTAATTATGAATGATATCTCAATTTTCATTTTTTTTTTTCTAAAAAAAAAAAAAATTAGGTTTACTTTGTGATTTATTGTGGTCTGATCCTGATAAAGATATCAATGGATGGAGTGAAAATGATCGTGGTGTATCATTTACTTTTGGTGCCGACATTGTATCAAAATTCTTACAAAAACATGATATGGATCTCGTTTGTAGAGCTCATCAAGTAGTTGAAGATGGATATGAATTTTTTGCCAAGAGGCAATTGGTCACCTTATTCTCTGCCCCCAATTACTGTGGTGAATTTGATAACGCAGGTGCTATGATGACAGTGGATGAAACTTTGATGTGTTCTTTCCAGGTAAATAAATTAAATAAAAAAATAAGAAAAAAAAGTCATGGGGTAATCATGATTCCTGATGAATTTTTTTTTTCTTTTGTAGATCTTGAAGCCAGCGGAGAAAAGGACAAAGTACTATGCAGGACAAAACGCTGCCGTTAGAGGTGGAAAAAAGAATGCTGGAAAATGATTTGAATAACAATCTCCTTCTTTTACATCCTCCCCTCCCTTTTTTTTATTTTTATTTCTACTTCTTTTTTTTTATTATTATTATTATTATTTTATAGCTAGAGGACAATATAAAAGAAAAAAAAAAGATATAGGTAGTATTTCTAGTCTTAGTCTTGTTTGATTTTATCTTCTTTTTTTTTTTTTTTTTTTTATCCCTTCTCTCATTGTTTTCTCACTCACTCACATTCACACTCATTGTCTTTCTCTATCTATCTATCTATCTGTCTCTACTTTTTTTTTTTTTGGTCTTATATTTTTGGTCTTATATTATTATTTTTTTCTTTTTTTTTTTTTTTTACTTCAATTATTATTCAATAAAGAAAAAAAAAGCATAAAAACACATATCTGCTCATATTTTGGATGAATTGATTCTTCTGTAATGAAGAATAATAAAAATGTAACAAGACGATCATTAATTTTTTACATTTGTTTTTGGAATAGGGGACAAACAGAACACTTTTTTCAAGTTTCTTTTATTTAAAAAAAAAGAAAAAAAATAGGTTGAATCAAATGAAATATGTACAAGATGATATATATGTATATATGTGTAATATAAACTAAAAAAAAAAGAAAAGAAAAAGGTAAGCATAACGAGAAATATCCCTATAACCTATGCTTTACTATACTACGATGGATGATGAGGAGGATGATGATGGTTTTAGTCAAGAAAGCATATAATATATATATACTATATTATATGTCAAATAAAAAATAAATAATATGCTAGTAATAAAGAAAGAAAAAAAAAAGAGATGAATCGGTATGTAATATATATATATAAGCATGACAAATAAAAGAAAGGGAAAGTAAGGTAAATGAAGGTAATAAAAAGAAATATCATCATGATCCAAGTCGTACACCATTTCCATTATTGCCACTTCGAGTCACACGACCTTCATCTTGAAATAATTGTTGTTGTTGATCGTCTGATTGTGATTGTGTTCTTCGATGAGAATAACTACCAGATCCATATTTACGTTGAAACTTAATCAATTCCCGTGTAAGCATATCCATGATTTCCAAAGATGTTTCTTCTTGTCGTAGTTTTTTGTTCTTGTTGATAGCTTCTTCTGCTTGACTAGGCTCTTGATCTTCGTTCAAATCTAATAGTCGAGGAGATCCAGGTTGAGTATCATCTAGTGGAATTGTACTTGCACTACTGAGAGAAGACGAAGGTCCATCTTGATATCGTACTTCTGGAATCACAATAGCCGTTGGTTGTTGATGTTGTCGTGATCGTTTTTCTTCTTTTCGTTCAGTGCCAGCACCGATAACATCCTCATTACCCTTGTCTCTATTAGTTTTATTGTTGCTAATGGTTTCCAGTGGAGCTATTGGATGAGTGTTTGACTCTTGTGATAACGCTATCGATGATGTTGCGGTTGATAAATCAGTCATATCGTTTTCAATTCCATTTTTATTATTCTTATTATTACTATTGTTGTTGCTGTTGTTGTTGTTATTGTTGAAGTTTTTATTAGCCATTTCTACTTGAATAGAACTAATGTACTCCAAGATCTGTTTTGCGCGTCGATTCATTTCCGATATACTCATTCGTGAGGTAGGGTATCGAATTTTTGCCGGTGGTGAAGCTGCACGGGATTCAGCAGAAAAATGATTCAAAAGAACTGATCCCAGATTTGTACTATATGATTGCTGTTCCAATTGCTGGGATTGTTGATTAGTATGAGTATTATTGGCTGATGTTGATGCAAGAGTTGGTGTGTCACAGGGTTGTGGTGTAGATGTCCTTGATCTTGGTTTATTGTTGGTTTGCCTTCGACCAGCACCACCAATATTATTTCTTCGTCCAGTAGTTCCACCAGAATTTTGTCGCCCTTTTTTGTCATTGGATTTATTATTTAATGATTTTGTTTCTACAGCAGTTGCATTATTGGATTCAGTATTGTCATCAGGGGTTACAACCTTTGATCGTCCATTGACATTTCGTTTTGATTTTGTTGTTCGTGGTGTTGGTACGGTTTCGGGTTCAGCATGGTTAACTAAAATAAGACCAAAACCGAAAAAAAAAGTTTAGTATATCATCTTTCTATAAATCTTTTCCTAATTTTTTTTTTTTTTTTTTTACCATCAGACTTTGTTATTTGTTTTTTAGTATCATCAAGTCGAGTTGTATTTGCTGTTTCTGATACCGAAGAGCTTGGAGGAGATGAATCTTGTTTGAGGTCTTGATGTTCAGTCTTGATAGTCGTTGAATTAGCATCATCCCTTTTTCGCTTTCCAGAATTCAATTCTTGAGTATCATCATAGGGAATAACAGGAGAAGAGGAAGGTGATTTTGATGAACGATTGTGGCTAGTGGTATTGTTGTTGATGTTGAATCCAAGGGCCTGGCGAACGGCTAAGACATCTTCCAAAGATAAAGATGCTTCTTGGCTATTCATCGTCATTCGTTTCTTTGGTGCTTTTTTATCTTGAGCAATTAATGCTGCCTTTCCATCAGAAGAATATGACCGTCTAGTTCTAATAATCATATAAACCATTTATCAGTAAACACAATATATAATATAATAATAATATAAAAACTTGGCTTACTTTCCATTCGGTAGTCTTGTTGACGCATGGTTTTCAGGTCGACATTCTTCACAATAATATTGATCAGGTATGTCTTGTTCGGCTAAACCCATACATTCACAATGCTGCCATACTTCACACTTGTCGCATTGTACCATTAATCCAACATTATCTATTTTTTTTTTTTTAAAAAAAAAAAAAAAAATTCCCGTCAGTCACGCAGTTCGATGATAATAAATATTTATAATTGCATTCTTTTTTTTTTTGTAATGTTGAAACCTACGAGTTTCTCCACAAAGACAACGAGTAGTAGAGCCTTCATCAGTACTTCCTTCTTCAGAAGTTGATTGAGATCGTTGACGTTGTTGTGTTTGATTTTGTCGTTGTCGTTTTCTTCCATTTGTACTACTCCTGCTTCGTCGTTGAGCAGCTAAAAAAAAAAAGAGTGTTAAAAAAAAAAAGAATAAAAAGTGAGTTCATTATATTATTCAATCATCCTTTTTTTTTTCATTTGTAATATCACAATTAAATCCGATCCAAACAGTTAGAAGCGAAAGATCAGTTTTTTTTTTTTAATGTTTCGAATACTTACTCATAATGCTAAGGATACTTTTGTCACTTTGGTGGTCAATATATTTGTATATACACGAAGAATAAAGATAAAGAGAATAAAATAAACAAAAAATAAAGGGTAGAAAGAGAAAGGAAGGAAAAATAAATAAAATGAGATAAAAACTGGAAGTACAAAAGGAAGAAAAAATAAAAAATAGTGTAGAGAGCTTTTCCCTATTGTTTCTTTCTCAAAGTCACACGCATGTTTAATAACCGCCAGCCAATTAAAATCACAGCTTTACTAGAGAGGTAATAAAACGAACATCTATTACAGTTTATTTAACAATTTCTATAGATTCTATTTGTAATTGGCATTGAGTAAAAACATTCTACTGAATACTAGTAATCCACGAGCAATGGGAGGTTCAACAGAATGAGTTGCTATCCAATATTTCAATCCTTGTCGTAAATGATGTTGATCCAAGTCCAATGACCGCCTAAGAAATCAAATTTAAGATCAATGATCATCGTTATTACTACCGTTTTCACTTACATCCCACGTTCTTCTATTGCTTGTTGTAATTCACGAAGAGTCAAAGAATCCACACCTTCTTGAGAAATCAACTAAAAATAAAAATATAAGTTTTTGAATGAAATATATTATATATATATTTACCTTATCATCTTGTTTCAAATAATCAAAATGTCGATCAAGTCGTTTCCTAAGCATTCCACGAGTACCCCATCCATTCAATCCCATAAATCTAATCAATAAAATAAATAAATAATCTCATCCCATAATTTCAATATATTCTTTCTATTTTTTTTTTTTTTTTTTGTTACCTGCAGTAAGAAGCCAAGTGAATTCGATCAATTTGATCCAAATCAAAGTCAAAATCATAGTGTTTGGCAATCTTAGTAAATTTGGTAAGTGACAAGAAATCTTCAGCTGAAATCTATTCATTTAACAATTGAGAAAATAATTTCTTTAGTAATGTATAATATTGTTCCATATGATTCATTTACTTACACTCTTCACATATTGGGCAGATCTAAGGACATTGGCTGACATTGTTTGCCGTAATTTGTCTAACTTTTCACGTTGTTTGTACTAAGTAAAATAATAATAATAATAATAAAGAATCAATCAGTGATTCATCACAAATATATAATCTATTTTTTTTAAAAAAAAAAAAACTTACTATTTGACTATCCTTGATACATGTACTGGGTACTACACCAGGAGCAAACATGACAAAAAGAGGAATCTAAAAAGAATTATAAGAATCTTTTCTTTTTTTTTTCTCATTAATAGAATTTATTTCACTTACTGACTCAGGTAAAATCAAAAAAATTATACTAAAAGGAATCAACTTGCGCATATCAATTTTGTTGTGATGGATCTAAAATCATTCATTTCAAAGAAGTCGAGTTAGCCTAATTCTCTCTTTATTTTTTTTTATTTTTTGATTTTTTTTTTTTATTTATGACTTACAAGCTGGAATTCAGATCGGTTCAAACTATAGCCTTCTTGTTGTATTTTTTGTTGTAGAGCTTTTGCTGTTTTGTTGTTATTCCATAAAAGTTTTAACCCATCCTTATAGAATACCACCAGTTCCTTGGATTGTTGGTAAAGTTTCTTTAAGCGTGAAGTTGGTTGATCTTTTACATTATCTGTTTCCAATACTTTCTCTTTTTTACTACTATTAACAGTAGACACCTTTTGATCCGTTGACATTTGTACCATTGTTTGTTGTTGTTGTTGATATTGAGTCATTCCACTAGAAAAGGATCTAACAAAGAACCAATTTTAAATGACAAAGGTTAATAAAAATAAGTTTCATGTATTCTTCTTTTTTCTAAGTAAAATACCTCGTTGTCATTATTTTCAAATTTTGATACATGGGCACATTGATTTTCATTGCCATTAAAGGTGATCGAGTAACGGAAGGTTGGAAAGCCAGGGGCGAGACCCTGCAACCAAAAAAAAAAAAAAAAAAGAAGAAAAGGTAAATTTAATTTCTCTTTTGTATCGACTTTTCGTTTACCTTGGATTCAAACGGAAGGATCGACGAGCCAGCATGTTAGGAGCCAGCAAGTGAGGTAATTGCTTGAATAAGAAAAAAAAAAAGGAAAAAATAGGAAGAAAAGGAAGAAGAAAAAGGAAAAAAAGGGGGGGGGGTAATTTCTAAAAGACATTTGCGACATTTAATGAGATTTACAAGGCGGCGTTGAAAAGCTTTTTGTATCCGTCCCAGTCACTGGTTTATTGGCGCATTTGCCCATCAAAAAAAAAGAGAGAGACTTATAATAATATATACTTGTCTTTATTATTGAGTCAAAAGATAGAAGGATACAAAAATAATAATAAACAATATCAATATATTTATCTATTCACTACTATCATCACTATTTTCTTGAAATAAAGGTTGTCCATATTCTACCAAAAAGTGCGCACGAGGATCACCCAATCGATCTAGTTGTAACAGTAAAAATTTGACCCTAGCAAGACACCATCTTCGTAATTTGACTGTTTGTTCCAATTCACGTCGTTCGTCATCCAATCCAGTCACTGCCATAAAGATCCGCCAAGATGCCACTACTTCCTTTGCCATATCGTAACGTTTATCTACCAATTTGATATGATGCCATGCAAACAAAGGAACCACTAATAAGCCAATCATCCATCCAACTAGAGAGTAATCCATCAATCTCCACCAAAAATAGAATAGAATGCTGTAAATAGGTATAGAGAGAGTCAATGCTGAGACCACTTTATCTTGAGCTACTGATTCTGTATATACTTCATAGTGATTGATATATCGTCCTAATAGATACAGTGGTGAATTGATAATCATTCCAGGTAAAAATAAAGGAAGTTGTAAAAGTAAGGCCAAAACAGATGATACCAATCGAAAGAATGCATGTGTTTGCGTGATTTCATTTTTTTCATATCTTCGGATATCCAATGCTGATAATTTCATTCGTTTCAGATTCTTGGAACATAATATCAGTTGGGATTTGAGTTCTTTTCGTTCTTTGATAAGTGGTATTTTGTTATCTTCATTATTGTCTTCCAATATATCCGGCCTAAATAAATCAATAAAACTAAAAAGGAAAGGCGAAAAGACAAAAGAAATATATGTTGACGTATTCAAAAGAATAAAGCCTAATCAGTTATGATGATCCTTATTATTATTGTTATTATTATTATTACCTTTGAGAAACTTTGACGTAATCCTCTAATCGAATTCCACGAGTGTCTCCAAATAAAATGAATCTTGCTTCAGATGCTGCATGTGCTGTATCCCTATCATCATCATTAAGTCAAATATAATAGATAAATATTAAAAACATTTCCCATTATATATACACTTACCAATCAGGTGCATTCACAGTTCCGTTTTCCACTCCTTCAGCTATACGTTCAGTAAGTCGTTTCACTGCCGATTTTGGATCTCTTTGAAAGTCATCCAGATCATTTGGTCCAACAACAACAGGTTCACCATATCTAGAAGAGAAAGAGTAAATTATATTGAGAAAATATAATCAAAGTACTTACTCTATCACAACATCACTTCTCCATTTATTCTTGGTCGTATAAGTGATACCAACTGGTATAATTGGAAGCGGTGTACCTTGGAAACCATTTGCTTTTTGTTGAGTCAAGTATTCAAAAGTAGCCCATGATAAGCCGTCCTTAAACGGTAAATGGTTAGGTGCTGTATATGAAGTGCCTAATAAAAAGGATAGATGACGATAATAACAGTAATAGTAGATGAAACACAAAAAAAAAAAAAAAAAAAAAAAAAGCACAGTCAATAACACGGGAGAAAAAGATGACACGCGTTTCCACAAGTTCCTTTCCTACATACCCTTTCTTTTTTTTTTCTATAATTACCTTCAGGGAAGACGGCAATAACTCCTCCTTTCCCAAGACAGTCCAATGTATGTTCGAATAGTTTGGCATTGCTGTGAGTTTTCGTGTCAACTGGAAGCACTCCGCCTGCAAGTAAAAGTTGTCCAACGACTGGTATCTTAAAGAATCTAGCCAGGGCCCAAAAGTGACAAGAGCGAGCATGAGGGAATGTGGCAATCAACATGGCAGGATCGAGTACCATATTGGTATGATTTGCAGCTACAAGGACAGGACCACGAGTAGGGATTGGTGTTCTACAAATGACCTTGAGATGACGAAAATAGGACCATACTGCAATGCGTGATAAGACTCGTAAAATCTTATAACATTTTCCTTCTCCCACTCGTTTTTGAAGTACAGTTGTTGTTTCTTCCGAATGGTTTTCCATGGATGCTAAAGAAAAAAAAAAATAATACTTGTGTTTAAAACGAATTGATGGAACACCAGCAGGATATTTAGAAAAAGAACAAGAAAAAAAAAAAAAAGGAAGCCTAAAAGCAAAATTTTCAAAATTTTCGAGTTCGGCCTTTAAATAGACTTCAACCATCAAGAAACAGACTTATTCCAAAAGCAGTAAGTGAAAACCTAAGAAACCCTGTCAAGAATGTTGAAACATGAATGAAAATCTCCTACTGACATTATAAAGAGAAAAATAAAAATGAAAAAAACTATTGATGACTTGTTCTTTTTTTTTGTTCTTTCTTTTTCGTCAGGAACAATACATCCACTACTAGAACAGATGGGAAAAGACAGGCTAAGATCTAGTGCTTCAAAACAGCATATTTGGTTTCCATGGCAATATAATCAATCAATGATGATGACTGTCAAACCTATAAAACGTATCTTACGTGATGATGAATTGGAAGTACGTTCTTAATTTCTACACTGTTTTTTTTTCTCACTATTCGTTTACTTTTTACTCGCATCTAGAGCTATATGAATAACAAGATTACAAAAGTAATGTCCAAGATACAGAAAGAGAATATGGATAAGGATGATGATGAAGAGGAAAGAGAAAGGTACAGACAATACATACGCGTTTCCTTCTTTTTTTTTTTAGGCATCATTCCTCTGATTTTTTTTATGCGACCAATAGTTTTCCTATACATCAAATTGAACAGTGTTCACTGGATAAAATGGAGGATCAAGATATGAGTACTTTTAAATGTTGTGAATTGATCTTACCTAACGAAGACCCTGATATGTTGCATGAATTTTCAAATACCGATACATCCCATCTTTTCACTTCCTTGACTTTGGAGGCAGCAGCTAAAAAAAAAAGAGCTGCTCATTATTATCAAAGTATTAGAAGAGAAAAAAAAAGTGAATGAAGGAATAAATATATAAAAAAAAAAAACGTTCACCATCATTACTTTTATTTTTTTTTGTCTAATAGGAACAACAGAACTTGATCCAATTTTGGACTCAAAATGTGCAGAATTTTATTCAAGGTTAGTACAAATAGAAAAAAAAAATGTATACACTGATATAGCATTCGTCATCATTTAGAATGGGAGAGATATTGCAATGCTCTTCCTATATGAATGATCAAGCAAATAGCCTTTTTCTAAAAGGATTCATGATTATTCACCTATTGCCTAATTGGGAAGAGTTGTTATCACTTACAAGACCTGAGAATTGGTGTCCCCAAGCTGTCTATTATGCTACTCTTCAATTTTTATCATCTCCACATCATCATCAACTTAAAAGGTAAACCTACCCATTAAAAAAGAAAATCAAATAGACATCATGACAATGATCTCTTTTTTTTTTTTAATACATATAGTTTTCTTCAATGTGTCCTGTTGAAACAAAGTCTTGGATTTATTAGAAATCATCTATTTTTGGATCCTTATTTGAATTTAGCACTTAGAAGGGTGATGATGGTGAATCCATCCTTATTTTGTAAAGTGATTTTGATACCACTATGTGATGGACAACAAGGCGGAGGATGTAGCTTGAAAGAAGCTAGTTTATTTGGAGATATTATATTAAAATCATATATACCAGCATCATCAGTAGCCAACACATTGATTAGTATAGCACAACTTTCTGATCATCATTATTTTATATGTCATAGTGTATTTATTATCTTACTACTAGAAAAAAAAGTTGCTTTACCTTTCCGTGTACTTGAATGTTTGGTACACCATTTTTGTAGTATGAATCATCAATCCAAAATGCCATTATTATGGTATCATTCTTTTTACCTCTTTGTTGAAATGTAAGTTCATATAAATAGATTCACATATTATTGATTATTATTGTTATTGTTATTATTAGATATGTACATGAATGTGTATCAGAACAAAAGGAGAGACTAATAGAAACTATTCAATTAGTATTTCATCCTCAATGGTCTACATCAATTCATCAAATCATTTCTAGAACCATTTACTCATCGTTGGATAGTTGTCAACAAAATGATTCCACTATGATGATTGAGGATGATGATTCAACCAATTGGAATTTAAATTCTGTGTAACGCCATTTTCGCATAAAAATACTTTCTGTGGTCAATTCTTTTTTTTTTCTTTTTTCTTCCTTTCTTTCTTTCTTTTTTTTTTCTTCTTCTATATACACTATCTTATTAATTCAATTGATAAATAAAAACATATTATATGCCTTTGGTAAAATATGAACAATAAATATGTATATCCATTAGTCATAATAGTTTTTTCTTTTTCTTTTTTTTTTTATGATAGGAACACGCATTACAAAAAAGGTAAAAGATCATCGTTCAAATATTGTATAAATTTATTAATATCATTCTTCTATATAATAATTAGAGTTGGATTTCAATTTGATGGACCATGGAAAATTAGTAAAGCCAAACAATCTACTTTGAATCAAAAAATTGGTCTGGATGCACTACCAAATCAACAATTTTTGAAAACCAAACGCAAACCTATCCGATTGAATATAATGTTAGTCGGTAAGAATTAAAAGAAAAACAGATTATTCACTTACAAAGGAATACTTATATATATATATATATATATCTTCAATAGGGGATACTGGTCTAGGAAAGTCAACATTTATAGACACTTTATTCCAAACTGATATACATGGGGAACAAACTAATCAAAGTGACAAGTCTACAGTGAATATTGATCCAGTTACTTTTGGTATGTATAAAAAAAAAAATAAAAAAAAGATGAACATAAAAAGAACTAATTGCATTATATGGATAATAGAATTGGAAGAAGAAGGAATCAAAATGCTATTAACTGTCATTGATACTCCTGGATTTGGTGATAGGTTCGACCGTACAAAAGAGTAAGTTGATGATAAAAACTATTAAAGTGATAGTAAAATGTTGTTAACTATTCATTTGTTTGTTTTTTTTTCTATTTTTAGCTTGGAACCTATTATTCAATATATTGATGAACAGTTTGATGCTTACATGGATATCGAAACAGGGATTAAACCAAGACCTCTAGATTATCGATATGATACTCGTGTTCATCTTTGTCTTTACTTTATCAATCCTACCGGTCATCAGTAAGTATATAAAAGAATTTTATAAAATATTGTAAAATAATGGTAATTAAGAGATACCTTTTTTTTTTTTTTTTTTTTTTTTTTTTAGTCTGAAGGCATTGGATGTTTTTGCTCTACAATCCCTCTCAAGTAAGGTCAGTTTGATACCTGTTATTGCCAAGGCTGATACCATGACTTATAAAGAAAGATTGAATTATAAGGAAAAGGTAATAAAATATGATGTATTTTTTTTTCTCATCCATCATTCGTTAATCATTACTATCACTGTATCGCAATAGGTTCTTCAAGGTCTCAAAGATAATGCCATCCAAGTATATCCCATTGATTATCCTGATGAACATAGACCTGAGATGCCATTTATGGTAAAGGAAGAATAAAAAATCAATAGGTATTTTATTTTTTTTTCTTTGTACTCATACAAATTACTTTTCTTTTTTTTTTTTTTTGGATGATAATGGACCCAGAAAAAATATCCTTTCTGTGTGATTGGTAGTCGTGATATGGTGGTAGTGGATGGAAAACAAGTCCGTGGTCGACAATATAGCTGGGGTTCAGTTCAAGTGGAGAACGTTGAACATTCAGATTTTGTGTACTTGCGCCAAATGCTTATGGAATATTTATTACATGAATTCAATACATGGACACACAATTTGCATTATCGTAGCTACCGATTACAACGCCTTGGGATGAAATATGAACAACAATATAACAAACAACGCCCTCTATCCTTGCTACCCTGTGATGATGATTATGATGATCGATTGAGGGTCATGAAGAATGAATTATTGGAGGAAATGTACAACAAAGAAGTCAAGATCAAGGAAGAATATTTGGAGAAGATTCGACTTGCTGAAGCAAGACTTTATGGATGGGAAAAGGAGGCAAGTATTAGTATCATTCACTATTTAGTTTCTTATCATCCTAACGTCATTGAATTTTCTAACCCTTTCTTTTTGAAAGTTGACAAGAAAACGAGAACAATTACATCAAGAATTGGAATATCAGCAACGCATACTTGAACAAACACGCTTGCAACTGGAATATGAAGGAAGTCATGATTATCAATGGTAAACAAAATAAAATAAAAAAAAAACTACAACTTTTATTCAAAATCATCTATTCTAAATAGGAAAGTCAAGTCAAAGCATAACCAATAACACAAAAAGAAGTCATATCCATTATCCTATCTACCTATCCTATATCCTATCAATGATCCAAAGGTCTATTATAAAACAAACATATCAATAGTAGATTAGTTGATTCATTTTTTTTCTTTCATTACTTCCAATAAACAAGATATTTTTTTTTTATCTTCTTTCTTTACCTGTTGAATCCACCTCGTCGATTCATATATTGTCGATACTTCATTGGTTTTTTTACATTGGCTGCTGATACATCTGCACCCGCTACCTTCTTGTTTTTTGTTGTATCAAATCCACCAAAGCCCATTAATTTCATCATTTTGGTTTCTTCATCATCGTCGTCCTTTATGTTGTTATTGTTGTTACTGTTATCTATAGAGGGTGAGCGTTCCTTTTGACCAGTTCTTCGTCGACTATCAGATCTATATAACATTAATCATTTAAAAAAAGTCATTCATATTAATATGAGTTCGACTCTTTCTTTTTTTTCTTTCATTTTTTTGTTCTCTTCTTCTAAATTACCTTCTGGGACTACGTGAACGCCTCCTCGGACTACGTGAACGCCTTCTTGGACTACGTGAATATCGCCTGGGACTGCGAGAATATCTTCTAGGACTACGGGAAGTTCGTCGTCGTGATTTTGAAGACGATCGACTTGTTGACCGATGTCGTTTATTATCTATAACATGGAAAAAAAAATATTTAAGTAAAGACTAAATTTTCAATCAAAGTATTTCTATTTATTACCATCTACATCATCGTACGTTTTCCGTCCTCTTCGGTCAGTGCTACGCCTTCGTCTAGGAGATGGAGACCTACTATATTTTCGACGTCTGGAACGGATAGGTGATGGTGAACGAGAAGACCTTTCATCAGGATTATCAAGATCGCGATAACGTCGTTGGCGTCTAGGTGATGGTGATCTGGGCATAAGTGAAACAAAAAGTATATAAAAGAAAAGAAAAGAAAAGAAAAGAAAAGAAAAAAAAAAAGTAACCTTCTACCAAATTCCTTTTTTTTCCTTCATTTTTTAAATCTCTCGACCAGTCACATCACTTGGATTCAGGTGTTATCGGTAATTGAAAACCGCCATATAATACAACATTATTCTACAAAAGTTTTTCCTTTTTTTTTCTCGCTTTCTTTTTTTCTTATTTTTCAACAAGAAAAAGACTTAGTTTTACAATTGTTATATATAATATCTACACTATTTATTTTAATTGACGCATGTTATGTCGCTTGCTGGTTATCTCTTCGGTAACGTGGACGAACATGGTCGACTCGACAATGATTTAGACGAAGTAAGTATCAAAACAAACGGAATGAAAGACGATACAAGTGGACATGGATAAAAGAGTGAAAGTTTACATTTGCAAATTACAGGAAAAAGAAAAATGGAAATAAATGAAGGCTATTATTTTTTTTTATTAATACTAATTATTGTTATTAATTTATAGGATTTGCGGGAAACATTACAACATGTGGATTCGGACGTATTCTCAAAGATCTTCAGTTCAGATACTCTTGGGTTAGGCGTCGAAAAACAACAAGAGAAAGCTTCCAAGGATCATACTGGTGGTGATAATGATAGCGATCAAGAAGAAGAACAAGACGAAGACGACGATGACGATACAGTGGACACTGAACAAATATTAACCAAAAGTATTCCGACAGTTCATTCTTCCGATGCAGTTGACTACTCCGATTTTGACGAAACAGTACCCGATGATCAGATTTACTCTGACAAATACTACAAACGAGGCATGGGTATATTTCAACAACAAAAATCAACATTACCACGATCACGACTTCATATGGTTAGCGACAATTATGACGAAGAAGAAGAAGAAGAGGAAGAACATAGCAGTACAGTATCTTTACCTCCTCCGCCTCCCACTACTTCTACTACCTTGACTACAAATAAGAATACAACTTCTTCTATCACTACTCTTAAACTTCCTTGTTCACCCTCATTTATGTCAGCTCCTCCTTCTCCATCATCTAAATCACTTACAGCATCAATATCTTCACCTACAACAGCAACAGCTTATAATGTACCATCATCAAGTCCAGCCAGTTTAGTTAATGCCATCAAAGCATCAACAACAAAACAAAATGATGAAAAAGTAATAGATATCAAGGAATTGTTCCCAGCATTTGAAAAGAACAAGATTTTGAAGTTCTCAGATTTATTTATGACAAACATCAAACGACGTTCTAAATTACGCCCAACCAAAAAAGGTAAGAAATTTTTATTTATATATTGACAAGAATAATAAAAGTACTGACTTTTTTTTTAAAAAAAAAATAATTGGAATTGGGATGTTGTAGTTACATTTGGTGAAGGTGTGGAATATGAGATCAGTAGAGATGATCAAGCTTACTTCAATCGTACCTCTAAGGCTGATCGTTTACGATGGAAAATGGAACAAGTCTCAGCTTCAAAACGAAGAAAACTGGATATAGAAGTACAAGATGATGATATTCATCGATCATTATATTCAGATAGTGATGGTGATCAAAGTTCTATGGATGAATCGGATGAAGAAACGGTAAAAATAATAAAAATAATAAAAAGAAAAAGAAATATCATAATTATAGTGACTTAAACAATACAATTTATATTCAATAGAAAAAGTTGCGGGAAAATTTGGTCAAGCATATCGATAATGACAAGTTATATCACTCTGTTGTTCTTGATTCATGGGAAGACCAAATCATTTGGGGATCTGATGAAGATGAATCAATGCTTAGGTAAGCAGTAGAAAAAAAAAAGGAGGAATTTACTAGTTTGGATACTCATTTATATATATATCTTTGTTTCTCACTTTTTTTTTAACCTCCAGTAGGGATAACCAAGAAAATAAGGCAAGTATTATAATATAATAATATTCATTTTTTCATGTTTGCTAACTAGAAACTTTTATAACATTTTGTATATAGAATGTGGAAATCAAGCATACCAATAACGAATTAGAAGAAGGATCATGGTTATCTGCTATTCGATGGGATCGTGAAAAATTAGATCCAAAATTCATGAAAATCAACCTAGATTTGAATGATCCTCATATGCTATTTGATTGCGAAGAAGTCGAGGCTACAAAGGCTCAACTGGTGGTACCGAAACATGTCAAAAAAGGAAGAAAACCTTTACCAAGACCAATACCAAAGGTAGTAAAATTGATTCCATCAAAGAATAAAGAAAAAAGGGGAGGAGGAAATAAAGATATGAATCGAACAATATTCATTCTTCGCTATTATCTTTTTTTTTTTTCATAGATACCGATCATATATAATACTGACACTGAGCCACACAGCAAACTACCTCTCAATCGATTCAACTTATCTAATGACAAATTCTACGATTCTCTATATATTGGAAGATTGGTTCGTGTGCGACAAACATTGGGTGAATTGGTCGTCTCACACGCTTTACCTGCTTTGAAACTTCACCCTGCACTGGTAATATTCTAGTTTAGTGTATCATAAAACGCTGATTGATTTTTTTTTTTATTCTAGTACAAAACAAAACTCACAAAAGCTGAACTGCGATCCTTTCATCGACCTCTTTTCCAACCTCCTCTCGGTGAAGACATTGTATTCTCAAGGGTCAAGGCAATCAAACGCAAAAAGAAAGACAAGAAGAAACCATCATCAGAATTTATGCGCACTACCAAAGACATTTCTCTCAAGGATACATCATCTTTTGTACTTTTGGAATACTCTGAAGAACATCCTCCAATCATATCAAATCCTGGCATGGGTGCATTGATTATCAATTATTATCGAAAAACAGAACCTAAAGACGAATATATACCTACTGTAAGTAATCAAAACAATTTTAATCGTATCTTGATATATTAAAAAAAATATATATATTATTTATCTATATACTGTAGAATGATATTGGTGAACCATTTGTATTAGATATTGGCGATACTTCACCCTTCATGACATTCGGCAACGTAGAACCTGGACAGAACATCACGGTATTATACAACAATCTTATTCGGGCACCTTTATTTAGACATGAATCAAAGCATTCCGACTTTTTGCTGGTCAAAAGCACATACAAAGGGACGTCCAAATATTTTCTTCGTGAAATACCTGCTATCTTCACTATTGGTCAAACATATCCTGTACAAGAGGTACCAGGTCCTCATTCTCGTAAGGTGACAACGACAGTGAAAAATCGACTTCAAGTAGTAGCCTATCGACTGATTAAACGCAATCCACAACATCGACTCAAGATGAGTAAATTAGCTCAACGGTTCCCTGAATATTCTGATATCCAAATTCGACAACGATTGAAAGAATTTCTGGAATTCCATCGACAAAGCAAAGTGGGCGGTGGTGGTTACTGGAAAGCACGAGGTAATGGTGGTATGCCTCCTGATGAAGAGGAATTACGGAAAATGGCTTCTCCTGAAATGGTATGTCTCTATGAAAGTATGTTGGTGGGTGAACGTCATTTACAAGATTTGGGTTATGGAGATGTCAATGATGAAGATGAAGGTGGTGACGGTGATACAAAGCTGGAAGTGGAACAACAATTAGCTCCCTGGTTCTCTACTCGCAACTTTATCAATGCTAGTCAAGGAAAGGCAATGTTGAAACTTTATGGTGCTGGTGATCCTACAGGTCGTGGTGAAGGTTTTAGTTTTATTCGTGTATCCATGAAAGACATCTTTTTACGTGCTGGTGAATCTGCCGAAGAAAAACTAGGTATTTATAAAATGAAATGTCACAATCCCTAATCATATTCAATTTTGATTTATTGATTTATTTATTTACTTTATTCGTTATTCCTTTAGCTCAAATTGAAGCAAGGCCTAAAAGTGCTCATAGGTATAATGTAGCTGAACAACAACAGATTTATCGTGAAGAAGTAAGTTTTATATATATATATAAATGTGGAATAAAAAAAAATTCACTCACTCTTGATATAGATTGCAAGAATCTGGAAGGCTCAATTGGATGCACTGTCAAACCCGGAAGAACCTACTCTGTCTGATCATGATGAAGAAAGTGAAATTGATGAACAGGAACCACAAAGTCCATATATGGTAATGAAAAGTTGAGAACAGGAGAAATAGAGGATATGTTCTGATATATACCTTTTTTTTTTTTATTACTTATTACTCTTAACAAAATCTTAGTCACCTTCACCTGCTACACCTTCTTACCGTCGTTACGATCGTGCTACTTCTGAAATTGATGATGATGATATTTCTGTTACTGGTAGTTTAAGCTCAAGAACAAGTTACCATATGAATAATCCCAACAAACATTTGGTAATTCGAAGGTTGATGCGACAACCCAACGGTGAAAAGACATGGCAACAAGAAATCATTCGTGATCCAATAGTCATCAAGTCATATCTACGACAACGTCAGATGATTGAAGAGGAGGCTACAACGTAAGAGAATAAAAAAAAAAAAAAAAAAAAAAAAAAAAAAAAAAAAAAAGAAAGAAAGAAAGAAAGAAAGCAATAGGTCGTTTGAACTAAATATATTTTTGCTTCTTCATTTGAATAGCACCGAAGCCTTAGAACCAACAGACGATGCTGAAAAGAACGCTAGAATGAAAAAACGTATTCAGGACCAACTTGCCAAGCTCAAACGAAACGCTGAACGTAGACGACAACGACAACTGACAAAACAGGCTGGATTGGCTGAAAATCCAGTCTTGGGCTTGATTAGAGGAAAGCGTGGAGAAGGTGCAATGGTAAATGCAAACAGGCAAAACAAATGAAAAAAAAAAGTTACATTTTTCTAAATATATTGTTCATTTCTTTTTTTTTTATATAAACAAAGCGTCGATGTGGTAACTGTGGTCAACTGGGACATATGAAGACAAACAAGAATTGTCCAATGTTTTATATTGTGAATGGTCAACAAAATGGTAGTAGCACCCCTCAAACACAAGCAACAACACCATCTACACCAATGACTCCATCTATAGCTGATAACATGAGCTTTGTGACATCTCCTTAAAATCTACATTTGATAGAATAGTTTTTTTTTTTTTTTTTTTTTTTTTGTGTGTGTGTGTTTTTTCATCATTACCTGTTGTTTTGTTATTATTTGGAATAAATGATTTTTTTTTTCTAGTTACCTAATCATCAGATTTTTTTTTTTTTTGGCTGGTCCTCTTCTCACCATTCATATCAACATGTTGTTCATATCATCATATATCATCACATCATCACATAAATATCATATAACGATCAGTCTGGAGTAAAAAATAGATTCATAAACAAGTTTATTATAAATTGGAATTAGAAATATCATATATAGCACCAGTGTGGATGAGGGATTCTATTTCTTTGCTAGTAAGTCCAAAGTCGGAAAGGATTTGAACCGAATGAGCACCACCTTGGAGTAAAGTAGGCTTATCAGAGACAAATCGAGCAGGAGTACGAGATAAAAGAGGAGCGGGATGAGGAGGAAGAGCTTGACGTGGCCAATAGTGTTGCTTTGGTTCCGATGAATGGGAATTTGGAGTGTATCCAGGAATACTTTCTTCTGTTGACAACACAGGGGTCACACAAGCATCAGTACCATCAAATATTTGAGTCCATTCCAACTGAGTCTTTGTTGCAAAAATTTCGGTAAAACGTGCTTTCATACTTGGCCAATGTTCGGTTTCAAGTTGTCCAGGAAGGTCTGACTGTTTGTCTAATCCCAAACCATGTAACAATTCAGCATAAAATTGAGGTTCAATGGCTCCACTATATAAATAATATTCAGAATTTGTTATCATTTCCATTTTTTTTTTTTTTTGTAATTCATTTACACTGCCATATAGCGATCATCTTTTGTTTTATAAACTTCATAGAAATGGGCACCACTATCCAACATGTTGCTACCACGTTCATCCGACCAAATCAATCCTTGCTGTCGCATCAAATAAGGAAATGAGTTGAGATAGGCAGTACCTGATGTCTACAGAATGATAAGAGAGACAAGAAGATGAAGATGAATGGAAATAATTGATCTATTGTTTGTCATTTTTTTTTCTCTTTCTTTACCAAATTTGCATCTACAATTTGACCTTTACCAGATCTTGATCTTTCATATAAAGCTATCAAAATACCCATCACACACATCAGTCCACCACCAGCAAAATCAGCTATAAAATAAGTGAAAACAGAAGTGAGATATTAGAAAAGTCTATATTATTGACTTACCCAGTAAATTCATAGGGAAAGCAGGAGCTTCACCTTTACGACCAAGCATCTAATTAAAAAAAAAAAAAAAAAGGAAAAGATCCTATCAGTTATTCGTATGTATATTATAATTCTTTTATCTATTTATTTTATTTTCACCTCCAATACTCCAGAAATAGCTAAATAGTTGATGTCATGACCAGCTGCCATCGAACTTGAACCAGTTTGACCATATCCACTGAGACGTGCAAATATCAAAGTAGGATTGATTTCCAGCAAGACAGAAGGACCTAAACCTAATTTTTCCATTACACCAGGACGAAAGGGATCCAAAAGGATATCAGCCTTAGTTATTAAAGATTTGAATAGTTGAATTGAAGCAGGGTTTTTCATATCCAAAGCAATAGACTGTTTGTTCCTGGAGAGTAAATCTACATGAGTTGAATTGGGTCTATCTACTCGAATGACTTTTGCCCCAAAGTCAGCTAATATCATTCCAGCAAAAGGAGCAGGAGCAAGTCCAGCCATTTCAAATACTGTAACATCATTCAATGGAAGCATGTTGATTTAAAAAAAAAAATGTGGGGAAGAAAAAGGAAAAAAAATGAAATAAGATTTTTTTCTCAATTATTTCTACTCATGTGGTTTTGATTCCAAAGTCAGCGGGTATTTTCTTTTTCGCTTCCTTTTTATTTTGTCTCTTTTCTTTTTTCTTTCATTTTCTCCTTTTCCATCTATTTATTTATTTATCTAATAACTCTTCTATATATATATATATTGTCCATGCGAGAACAACAATCGCGTGCTACTCAAGAACGTCATGAAAGAAAATTGAACGAATTATTGAAACTTCCTGGGAATGATAAATGTGCAGACTGCAATGCCAAAAGTAGGATTTTGTATATTATACCAATAATATATATATATATATATATTAACTATTTACTTGATAGATCCACGTTGGTCATCGTATTCTTTGGGTATATTTTTATGTATTCGTTGTGCAAGTCTTCACCGAAAAATGGGAACTCATGTGTCAAAGGTGAAATCGCTTAGTATGGATACTTGGTCTGTTGAACAAATCGAGGTAAAGTCAAGATTAATATATATATATATATATATATATATATAATAGAAGCTCATTTTTTTATTTATTTATTTTATATAGTATTTACGTCAAAGTGGTGGTAATAATAAAGTCAATCATCAAGTCAATCCTTATCCTGAAAAACACCCATTACCTCTAAACTTTAAAGACGATGAATTGTAAGTAATACATATATATATAACTATAATGTTTCTGATTTTGTTTATTATTGTTATTATTATTATTATATAGTCAGCTGGAGTGTTACATCCGACAAAAATGGGAAAAAAGATCTTTTGAAGAGGTAAATAGAAAAATAGGACAACAAATTTCTGAAAACTAACTAATAATTATTTATTTTAGACTGCAGGATACGGAAAAGCTAAACAACAATATCATCATCATTTACCATCAACTCAATCTTTTGAAACATTACCAAGTTTACAATCTATTTCATCTACCAATACATCCTTTCTTGAACTTGCTGGTCAACAAGAAGAACACACAAATAATCCATTTTATATCAATACTAGTCCATCTTTATCAAATACAAACCCGTTTTTTACTACTTCTCCTATATCCTCCAAAAATCCTTTTGTAATCCCTCCCCACAATACAAATAATAATCCCTTTTCTTCTAGTACTTCATGGTGGAACGATACACAATAAAGAAATATTTAATTTGATATGCCCATATGACAATATGCCCAAAATATTACTTCACCGCGTTTTTTTTTTTTTTTTTTTTGACAATACCTGCTGAAATTCAATTTTCTTTTCTTTTTTTTTTTTTTCTTTTTTCTTATTTGACCCCTCTTAACAGTTCTTCCCCCCCCCCGTTTTACCGATATTTTACTTCTCCTTCCTTTTTTTTTTTTTTTTATCACAATTGATGTCTAATCCTATTGGTGAAGCAGCCGGTTATTTTGCCAAAAGGAACGAGCAAGTCAATAAACCTGTAATAAATCTTGGTGGTCAGTCTCCGTCTACTACCTTACCAAACGACGATGATGCTTTATCTCCAGCTTCACCAAAAAGTCGCCCATCTCAACAACGACAACAAGATAACGATAACGATAATGATACAACTTTTGACCCTAGAGCACAGTGGCAACGTATGTTAAACAAATTATCATTCATAGGAAACGAAGGATCCTTACACTCCCAGCATACTCGTTACAACCGATCATCTCAACAAAAAGACAATGATAATGATGGTGATAGTGATTTTAGTGATGATCTTGACAACAACAACAACAATAATAATAATAATAACACTAATAACAACACAATCAGTAATCGTTCATTGGAAATGTCATTGCTAGAACCGCGATTTGGAACTATGAAACGACGCCAACAAGACAATGATGCAACTTTACCAACACCCAAAGAACTAGAAGAACAATCAAATATGGATATGAAAAACAATTCATTTATTGAAAGTTCAGCTACTCCCAATCATACGATGAACAGCAACAAAAACTCAACTTCCAATTATTTTGCTCATCCATTCTCACCTGATTCACCATCTCCACCATCACTTCCTCATATCACGGTACCAGAAGCTACTCATCTTGGTGCCACTCCATCTACCAATGATTCTGATTCTACCTCCAAACATCATCATCATCATCATCATCATATTCGACATCATCTTCCTTATCATCATCGTCAACAAGAAAATGATGAAAATATCAGTAGTATCCATTCAGAAAATGAAGATCAAAATGACAACTTATTTGATGGTCGAGCTCGGTTACACTGGGGTAAAACTTTGGATAAAATTCGACTCATCGCCAACCTACAAAAACCTCATACTTCTAGTCAACCAGCGGATACCGATGCGTCAACATCATTGGTTCCTTATTGTTCTGCTCTCTTTGATCCTCCTTTTATAGCTCTCTCTAAAGACACTCATGGTAGACGACCCGTAAGTTTCAAATAATAATAAAAGAATCAATTTGATACTTATCTTATTTTTATCTTCATTAGCCTCCTATTTTACTTCAATTTCTTCATGTAATGTTTTGAAAAGAAAAGGGAATAATAAATGAAGGAATAACTTAATTTTATTTTCTTTCTTTTTTTTTTTTTTTTAGTTGGATATTACGGATTCAGTATTGGAAACACAAGGGATCAATCAATGGGTATTTCGAATTGAGTTACAATATGGTGATGTGAAATGGGTAATACGACGAACCATTGCTGATTTTGTTTCATTACATTATACACTCAAATTCAAGGCGAATCTTTTGGATAATATACCAGCACCTCCCAATTTCCCTAATCAATTACAGTCATGGATCAATTCAGCAAAAGAAACTCTGCTTGGAGACGACATAGGACATCGCGAAGATGAAGGTGGAAAGGATCGAAAGGAGATTGCACTACAAAGACGCCGAGAATTAACAAAATATTTACGAAAGTTATTGGATCGAGGTCATATTTTAGTTAGCTACGATATTTGTGAATTTTTGGAAATCTCGGCCATCAGTATTGTACAAGATATGGGTTGGAAAGGCAAGGAAGGTTATTTGGAAAATCGTGTCAATTTTGTCACTCCACGATTTTGTCACTTCTTTCGGCCTCATCTTTGGGCAAAGGAATGGGTGATTCTTCGTGATTCGTAAGTTCATAATAGATAAATGGAATTGATTTATTAAGAACTATTTTATATATATATATATATATATTGTAGATATATTGCTTTCTGTACGGATATTGGATCAACCTCACCTACTGATGTTTTGGTATTAGATAAAAGCTTCCGTGTCTCCAATAAACAACCCGGTATATTTGGACGATATCATCACCATATTATACTTTCCAACAACTTTCGTAGAATTGAAATCAAAGGCAGTAAACGACAGGTGGATGAATGGCGGGAAGGTATCACTAAGGTACATGAAGAAAGTCCATGGGTCAAAAATCATCGATTTGGCTCATTTGCTCCCATTCGTGAAGATTCCAAGGTCAAATGGTTTGTGGACGCGGAAGGTACATAGAAAAAAAACTTTCTCAATTTTATCTTGCCATTAACTTCAATTTTTTTTTTTTAATTTTATTAGAACATTTCAATGCTGTTGCTGAAGCCATTTTATCTGCAAGAACCGAAATTTACATTTGTGATTGGTGGCTCTCTCCAGAATTGGTAAAAAAAAAAAAAAAAAAAAAAAAAAAAAAAAAAAAAAAAAAAAAGATTGTCATCTTTGTAACTAATCTTAGATTTATATATAGTATTTGAGGCGGCCTCCTGAAAAGAACCAAGATTTCCGTTTGGATAGATTATTACAACGTAAAGCTCGTGAAGGGGTGATGATCTATATTGTCATTTATAAAGAAATGTCTTTGGCTCTTCCAATCAACTCGGCTCATACAAAATTATGGTTACAAGATCTTCATCCCAACATTATTGGTAATTTGACTCGCATTAGGGTTTTCTTTTTTTTTTTCTATTCTGGTTCTGACCTTTTATTGTTACTATTGTTTATTAGTTCAAAGACATCCTGATCATCGCTCTATTGACAACAATGTATTATTTTGGTCACACCATGAAGTAAGTTAAAAGTCCACCATCAATAGTAGCATTAAAAAAAAAAAAGATAGTACTAGATTACTCAAACCTTTGTTCATTCTATGCTGAATATTAACTTCATCCCTTATAGAAAATCGTAGTGGTAGATAATCGACTGGCTTTTATTGGTGGACTAGATTTATGTTATGGGTAAAAAGAAAAAAAAAATATTAACAGATGTCGACGGGAAGGGAAAACAGTTGGACTTACCTCTTTTTTTTTTTTTTTTTTTTTTTATTACTTAGCCGTTATGATACACATGACCATAGTTTGATTGATGCACCTGCAGAAGGCATAGAATATGAAATTTTCCCTGGTCAAGATTACTCTAATCCTCGTGTCAAGGATTTTACAAATAGTAATGAAATCACTTTTTTTTTTATTCATTTATCACTGTACTTATATATACTTTAAATTATTTTATAGTTGTGAATTATGATCTAACGCTGGTGGACCGAAAAGTGACAGCAAGAATGCCTTGGCATGATATGACTATTGGTGTTGTAAGTAGTGAAGGAACTGAATTGAAGGATAATGAAGAACTGATATATGTATATTGTTACTTATTATAGGTTGGACCAGCAGCAAGAGATATAGCTCGTCATTTTGTACAGCGATGGAACTTTTTGAAGGCAAGCAAAGGTATGCATCGATCAACAGTACCATTCCTAATGCCTAAAGGGGAATATGTGGCAGCAAGAGATGAATCCAAATTCAAGGGAACATGTAGAACTCAAGTATTACGAAGTTCGGCCGAATGGAGTTCAGGCATTGAACGAGAGGTAAGATATCACCTTAAATTATATTCATATCATAAAAACAAACTCATCTTTTTCTTTTTTTTTTGTTAGCATTCAATTTACAATGCTTATATGGAATGTATTAGCAAGGCAAAACATTATGTTTATATTGAAAACCAGTTCTTTGGTAAGTGTTCAAAAATAGATTTGATGATTTGTTTTTATGAACTTAACTCTATGAATGTGATTATCAAAATAGTGAGTTCGACTACATATGACAAAGTCCTCCGAAATAAAATTGGTCAAGCTATTGTAGAACGCATCAAAAAAGCTCATGCAAAAGGTGAAAAATTCAAGATCTTTATTTTGATTCCTCTGATTCCTGCATTTGAAGGTGATCTTTCTAGCTCTGATGCTTCTGCTGCTAGGTAATGATTTATATTATCCTTTCTCGTTCATTGACTCTGCTAGTTTCATTTATTGTTGATAATGATGACTTTGTTTTATTATTATTAGAACTTGTATGCACTTTCAGTACGTTACTATATCTCGTGGTGGCAACTCTATTGTGGAAAAGCTTAAGGAAGCCAATATCGATCCCACGGAATATATTGGATGGTACTGTCTACGAAACTGGGCCAAAAACAAACCTACTACGACAAACTCCACTACAAAGGACACAACTACAAAACAAGACAAATTCAACAAGGATAAACGAACAGATAGTGGCACAGTAGTAGAACAACAACAAAACGGGTCAGCTCTAGTTTCGGATGAAACAAAATCAAATCTCTCTTCACCATCAACCAATGACACACGCAGATCATCACCCATCGGAAGTTCATCATCAAGAACGTTACAACCGGCTGTAGCTAGTGATACCGTGGTGAACGATCCTCTCCAAACTAATGCCTACATGAATGAAAACGATGAAGTGGAAGATGATCGCAAACATTATGTTAGTGAATTGATTTATATTCACGATAAACTTCTCATTGTGGATGATCGAATTGTATTAGTGGGTTCTGGTAAGAAAGAAGAAAAGGATTATTTTTTTATTTCAAATAATGCATTTTTTTTTATTTATTTATTTATTTATTTATTTATGCTACTAACATTCTTATAGCAAATATCAACGATCGGTCTCAACTTGGAAATCGTGATTCTGAAATTGCCATGCTGATAGAAGATACTGATATTGTGACGACTGTTATGGATGGAAAAGAGGTAAACATTTGGATGATATATCCTTTTTGTTAGTATATAATATGTTATTATTTATGCTGACTATTTTTATGTTCTAGTACAAGGCCTCTAAATTTGCTTTATCACTACGATTACAATTGATGAAGGAGCACCTGGGACTACTGGATTTCAACGACTGGGATAAATTGATGGAATTTGAAGATAATACATCGAACGATAATCATCTCGCATCCGCGACCATGAATGCGACCACAAGAGCAAGACGGTCGAAAACAGTGACAGAAGAGGAAATCAAAAAGTACGAACAAACTCGACCTGACCAAGTCTTGGATGATGGATCATTAAAAACAATAGGAAACAACAGTAGATTACACAAGGACGATGAAATCATTGATAGTACTAATGGCACACCAAAAAAATCATCATCAACATCGAGTCCAATGATATCTGACGAAAAACGGGCAATGGATCCACTCTCTGATCAATTTTATTATAACATATGGCGACGCACAGCAAATCGCAACACATTGATATATCGCGATCTCTTTCGATGTGTTCCAGATGACACCATTCATACATTTGAACAACATCGACGATTTTTGGCGGATATTCCTCATGGACATGTGGCAGATCCCTCTCTCTCAGAACATGATATTCTAGCAAAGTTGAGCAAGGTACATGGGCATCTGGTGGAATTCCCTATGGATTACTTGAAAGATGAAAATATGCTTGGTTCTTATCTTCGTGAAACGGTCACTCCTATGGTTATTTTTACTTGATCTTTTTTTTTTTAAAAAAAAAAAAATCCTAGTTGTAGTTTCTTTTTATTTTATTTTATTTTTTATTTTTTTTGTTATATATTTTGGCATGATACCGCTCATTGATTCTTACACTTTTTTTTTAAAAAAAAAAAAAAAATGAATACTATATATCTTAATATGACCCATTATTAATAAAATTTTCGTATTTGTGTCTCATCTTACCATTTGCTTTGGTTTATTCTAGCTATTTGAAAAGAGTACATGATAGCGTCAGGTCGTAGTATTTTGATTCATCCAAATTCATCCAACTCTTTCATCCGTCACCTATCCATGCCATATGATCAATTAAATAATTAAAATAATAATAATATTATCGTCTATCTTTTATACAACATTACATTTCTTTTTATTATAAAATTTATCCTAAATTTCTATTCTAAACTGTATCTACTACTATCAGTTTCCATTTTGCCAAAAGCTGCTTCGTCTGAATGAGGAACTCCAACCAATCGATACCGACGTTGACACTTTGTTTTCTTGTTGATAAATCAAGCCATAACATATCCCGATAATCTATTATGCACTGCTGCCAAACATGCGGCTAAGTTAAAAATCTAAGGAAATCATTTCAAGAATAAAAAAAAAAAAAAAAATCTACTTTGGAAAACATGACAATAGAGTTAATAATCATGGATGAATACTTACCTATCCCGCATATATGGTCTTGAATTATAATTTGATAGAATATTTGGCAATCTTGAAGCGATCGAAGGGCAACTATGCTACCATCAAGACATCAATACCACTGGTTCTCGCTTTCCAATCAAAAGGCTGATCTGGTCATCGTCCTGGAGAAGTTTACTAGAAAGTTTCATTTGTCAATATGGTGATGCAGAGTCCAAGAGCACATGTCATCCAAAGAAAAGACTTTGATGGTCAATATTATTTTCTCTACGATAAAAAATGAGAAAGGATCTAGTAAATAAGGTTGCTTTAAAAAAAAAAAAAAAAAAAAGCTAGCGTTCGACAAGAAGTACCATAACAATAGATTCCCTCATTGAAATTGACTTTGTAGTTCGCTTACCATCGTATATATACTTTTACCAATAAAAGGACCAATGGTAACAACTTGTGAAAAGATATGACTGAAGCGTTGACACCTTGTAATGACATAACTTCTTCCTTCTGCTGACAGGTTCGGTGTAAAAGTAATTGCTGATCACAGAGGCATCGTTCAATCACCAAAAATACTTCATTCACCTACACGATAAACGATACAAAGACAAGGATATAAGTGCACTAGAAAACATAAATATTCATTGAAAAAAAAAAAGAAACGTTCAAGAAGACAAAAAAAAAAAGTACGCGGAGGAGATATTAAAAAAAAAAAAAATGTAACCAATGGTGTTTAAAAAGGATGGAATATTCAAGCGCTTTTTTTACTTTTTTTTTCCTTTTTTTTTTTTTCAACCAATATATTATAACAACTATCTATTATATACATTAAAATAGCAATATCTTTTATCTACCAATCGTCAGTGTTACATTGTAAAGCATAATTAAGCCCTTCTCTCAACCTTTTTTTTTTTTTTTTTTTTTTTATGATCCCTTAATGCTCAACTTCCATTCTCATATCATAACAAACAATGTAAGTATGTTATCAATCTGAAAATAGTGTTTTATTTTATTCTATAAATATCTCTTTTTTTCACTATCTTTCATTCTTCTTTGAATAGGAAACAGTGTGGACCAATCAATAGATAATACATGCGAAACCTTGGAGAAAGGATGCAATAGAGTTTAGACGACAGGATGATACACATAGGAGAGAATGAGACATACAGTTAGTACGATACCTACAACAGGATAATACATATAACAGATTGGCACAACACATACAGTATTATCTATGGTATAGTTGTATATAATCTCAACAAAGTGTAATATAGTATTTGATTTTGAAATAAAGTATTTATTTATTTATTTATTTATCTTACTGAATTTATTGATTTGTACGATAATAATGGATTGCAAGAGGAAAGGATGTTGTATAAAGAAAAGATTGTTTTTCTTTGGAAGAAAGTATGATGATTAGCAAAAGAAAACATTTTGGTCGTTCTCTGTTGAAAATACTGTATAATATATTACATTATTGATGATGATGATGATGCATGTGATCATGGTAGCTTTATAGTATAATGATTACTGTGTGGTGATGGACCTATGATAACAACGCTATGACAATGACGTTTTTATAGTATGATCATGAATACTATAGGTGACGATAGAATGATTGAGAATATTGAAAAGGATAATGACCATGAAGATAAAAAAAAAAAAATTGAATATGACTTTATTAAATAAAAAGATACAATAGATTGCACTATACATATGCTATATGGTAATGAGAAAATCCGAATAAGAAAGAAGTCAAACCAAAAAAAAAAAAAAAAAAAAAAAAAAAACATAAAAAGACCATTAGAAAGATATTTCTGTACCATTGATTTACCTTTGTTGTCTAGTCAATGCCAAATAGATATAAAGTATTCATCCAATTGATCCAACCGTATATTCAGCTAGTTGAATCTATCGCATGTCTACCTAATATCGTATTGCACATTCATCCAACTTGACCATGCCGCTGTAAAACCATTTAATTGATCAGTTGTATATGTACATTATCCATTTGATTGATTTACGTACGTATATGTATCTGCTACGTATCCAGTAGTATTCTATTCGTATAAAGTGAATGCATACAGGTAAAAAAAAAAAAAAAAAAAAAAAAAATAATAATAATAATAATAATAATAATAATAATAATAATAATACCGTAATTAAAAAATAAAAAAAAAAGCAGAATGAAAGGAAAGAGAATAAATGAAAAAAAAAAAAAAAAAAAAGTAGAATGAAGAGAAAGTAGAATAAATGAAAAAGTAGAATGAAGAGAAAGGTAGGAAGAAGAGAAAGTGGAATGAAGGTAAAGTGGATTGAAGATAAAGTGGATTGAAGAGAAAGTGGATTGAAGAGAAAGTGGAATAAAGAGGAAAGAAAGAAAAAAGAAAAAAAAATGACGGAGGAAAAGTATGAACCCACTTTTTTACTCATTTATGTGGTATTTGAATGAAATTTGAATGAAATTTGAGCCCAATTTTTAGATTGGACATATAATATTGATTTCAGAACAACATTCAACAAATCCTGGATGTCCGAGTGGTCTAAGGAGATGGTCTTAAGATCCATTCACGAAAGTGGCGTGAGTTCGAACCTCACTCCAGGAACTTCTTTTTTGTTTTTTGTTACTCGATAACTGAGTTACAATGGTTTTCCCTTTTTAAGTATTTAGAAGATCAACATCGTTCTATTTTTTTTTTTTTTTTTTTTTTTAATATTATCAAATGTGATGTATTGATGATTTTTGATGATTATCACTTTTTTTTTAAATGAATAATAAATGTATTTTTGTATATAAGGAATACCTGTTGTAATCGATTAGAATAATAATAAAAAATAGAGATGTTAAATTTGTGTGTAGATAAAATAAAATAAAATAAAAAATATGAGTAAGTCAGTGAGATTCTTCTTAGTTTATTAAAAAATAAAAAAAAAAAGTTGATTATTGTATCTACACTTGAAAACTTTATGTCTCTTTTATATCTGTTTGAACAAAAAAAAAAAAAAAAATTAATCATCATATGATTATTGAATACCATTATACTCTTTGTTGGTACATCTAATCAGTTTGAACGATATATATGATTAATTCCCTATGATGATTATTATATGGTAAATATATTGACATTCTTCATTCATTAAATTAAAGAGTAGAATAAATTTCAAAGTCCCCTTTTTTATTATTTTTATTTTTTATTTTTTATTTTTTCTTTCTTTTTCTCTTTCATTGATTTTTTTTTTATGGTTTTATTATATACATTAGTGTAGTCGTTAGATTACATTTTTTTTTTTTTATTCAATAAAGTTTTTATTTTATTACAACTATTTTTATTACATGTCAATGGGGTCATTTCCATCTACAAGATGTATTATATATATGAATGCATTCTTTTTATTTTTTTATTATACGCATATGTTATGGGTGCGAAATACGCTGATACGACAAGAGACAAGGAAGTCAGTGAGATTTCCTTTTATTTGAAAAATTGTGTTAAAAAGAGACGAAGTATCTACATAGAAAGTTTTATTGATCTTATATATACATTCGTGTTGAGTGATACGTAATACATTGGTGACCAAAATTTTATTTTCTTTTTATTTTGGTTTGTAATACTGTTATACAGAGCGTATATTTTTATTAGTATTTTATTTCTCATTGATATGATGAATCATCATATGTGTAGTGATTCATTATGTTAGTTGCCCTGGAATGCTTATACTGTATACTTGATATGTGTCTTTCTTGATAGTATCAAAAGATCATGAGCATAATAACTTTCAAAGTCAGTATTTATTTTTTATTTTTTAGATATGCGGTAATTTTTATTTTCTTTCTATTTCTTTCCTTTCTTTATAACAATTTTAGTTATAGTATATCAATTACTAGTCTTTAGTAGTTATATTTTTATTTAATAAAAGTTTTTATTTTTATTCCAACTACTTTGTTACACGTCAATGTAATTGATTCCATCTTACGATGTATTTTTTTTATTCTTTTATTTGTGAATGCATTCTTTAGTTTTATTTTATGGATATGGTTACGGGATACGCTGATACGATATAGACTAAATGTTGTCCAAAGAAAAGTATACGTATATTGAAATACAGTATATGATTACACTTAATAATTAGGATCAAAATAAGAAAATAACTTGATAATAAGACTTGGTGATTGAAAAGTAATCAAGATGTTTGATAAAAATTACAACTTTTGATGGCGATCCAGGAGAATGAACAAGTAATTTTTTTTTTTCTTTTTTTAAAGAAAAGAAAAATTTATTGCTTGAAACTGTAATAATATAATAAAAAAAATGACTGATTAACTATAGGGATACTTGCACTGTATAAAAAACAAAATAATATAAAAGAAATAATAAAGAAAGTGGAAAATATATGACGATGTGAAGTATACTTTATTGAAGAGAGGAAGAGAGAAGAAAAAAAAAAAAAAGAAAAAAAGGAAAGGGAAATAAACAAGGAGCCCATTGAAGACATCAAACACATATTGTTTTCCATAAACATCTTTTCATCATCTATCCACAAGTCCAATAAACGGTAGTAATCACCATCATAATAATGTAAGAATAAAGCTGATCCTTCAAAAAAAAAAAAAGTAGATCCAAGAGCAACCATTTTTATTTAAACCTATTGTATGCAAAATTGAAAAAATATAAATGAGTATCCTTCTATAAAACTTGTTCTCTATATTACTTTTTACATTGGCCATGTGATTGAATCTTGTAGCAAAAGAGTCATAAATAAAGTAAACGTGGTAGGTATTGAGTTTCTTTTATTCAATTCATTCTTTTTTTTTTTTGTTATTCGTTGACTTACATTTCATTTTTGGCCATCTGGTTGAATCGCTCGGGCACACAAGTATAGAGAGTAAAAGGAAAGGAATCAAAGTAGTTCAGTAAAGAGATTTCGTTCCATTCAACCTTTTCCCGTTTTCATTTTCAAATAAAAAGGATATTGGCATTGGTGGCGAATCATTTTGGACACATCTAGAGTTTGTAAAGAAAAAAAAAAAAAAAAGAATATAAAGCCTGTAAGGAGATCTCAATCAATTCAAGTACCTGTTTTTTTTTTTTTTTTTTTTTTTTTTTTTATTTCGTTCTTACCTTCATGACCTAGTTCAAACACATGAATACAACCTGAGAGTATACTGTACATAGAAAAGAAAAGAATCATATAGTCCATCAATATTCCATTCAACTTTACTTTTTTCCATTACCTTTGTATTTTGATTCAGTTGTACATACTTGCTACAAAATCAAAGTAAAAGATAATGACTAGCCTGCTTTTTTTTTTTTTTGTTCATTTTTACCATATTAACCATGCCTTCATTTCAAATAACACCACTTTGGTAAACTAGACTGTAATGTACATAGAGCCCCCTATACTCATCCATAGATATTCCTAAATCAAGTATATATAAAGCAATAATGTTAGCCACGAAGACAAAATATTGTCCAACTTTATTTCAACTAATGGATATATTATATTCAATGTTTTTTTTTTTTCCATATGAATGAGCTAATTACATGAGTAGTGTTAGCCACGAAGACAAAATATTGTCCAACTTTATTTCAACTAATGGATATATTATATTCAATGTTTTTTTTTTTTTTCCATATGAATGAGCTAATTACATGAGTAGTGGTAAAACATTATAAAAAAGGGAAGAAGAGAGAGGGGAAAAAAGAAAAAAAAATTGTCCGCTTTTGACTTGTTGAAGAATTTATTTTTATCTCTCTCTCTTTTCGGACTTCTCTCACTCTCTCTCTTTTGAACAGGCTTTTTCCCTTTTTTTTTTTTTTTATAAAAACAATATCATCTTGGTCACTCTTTGAAAATAATCATCCGAGTTTTAATCATTCAACATCAAATATATTACTTCTTTTATTTTGGATTACTTTCTTAACATATTTTGGTGCTCACTACAGGGGAAGCTTTCTCTAAACAGTGCCCTTTCTGCCAACGTAACTTTGGAGGAACAATTACTGACAGTCAGTCCCATATTCGTGCCTGCGTTAATGTTGAAGGTTTTCCGACAAGTCTTACTGGACCAGGTAAATAAATAAATAAATAAAAAAAAAAAAGGCATTAAATAATTATACTGTAATACTAACTTGCTCTTCTTTTTTGTTCTCTTTGTTGAAGCAGCCCAAGTTAGCAGCTAGAATATAGTGTTGATGGAACAAGCAGAACAACGCTACTGTCACTAACGAACAAAGTTTGGAAACGGAAACTATACCAATTGACGATGTGGAAATGGATATTGATGATGGATTGACTGGAACTAGCTCCGTGGCTCCATTCACTGCTCTTGAAAGTATGTTGGGAAGAGTTGTGCGTTTATAAGATAAGCAATTATTAATACTGTTATTATTCACTTCTTAGATCCCACTGAACCGAAGATGTACTCAAGTGCCAACTTCCAACGACCTATACAGAATGATGATGACCCTAGTACTGCCTTGTTTGAAATCTGTCAACAACATAACGTCTCTCGTGAATGTTTCAACAAGATTGCGAAACTGATTAACAAGGAACTTCTTGAAGTCTATGGTAATGTAAACGAAGAGCTTTTTAGTTTGAATTATAACAAACTAATATACCTTTTCTTCATAGAACCTTTTGGGCGACGCATCCAGTCAACATATGCCAACAGAAAGAAGACCAGAAACGACTATCCAATCACCTTTACTCGGTACGATGTGTGTCCGAATGGCTGTCGAATGTACCTTGATGATGAACCTGCGCTTGGACCCTGCCTGAAGTGTGATATTTGCAAGCACGATCGATACCAGAAAAACAGCAAGATTCCTCATCAATCAATGACTTTCGCTTCCATCAGTGATATTATGGCTTTTGAATTGTACAACCCCCTCTCCCGGCAATAATTGATGCATCGAAGCAACAGATCATTTGATAACACCACCACAATGACTGATATTTTCGATGGACGTAATTATACGGATATGCGGAAAAATGGATTATTTGATTCTGAATTTGACATTGCAGTTGGACTCTATGTAGATGGATTTAGACCCTTCGATGGAAGTTATAATCAAGGCACTTTGGTGAATTTAGTCAACTATAATATCGATCCCCGTAACAGGTAAAAAAAAAAAAAAAAAAAAAAAAAGATCAAAAGTACAAGCTAAACTGATATACATATTTTATTAGGTACAAGACGCACAACTTGCACCAAATATGCATGATTTCCGGAACAAAGAAGCCTGGCAACCTTCATACGTTTCTGACACCAATTTACAAAGAACTCGATCTCCTCTCAAGACTTGGTATTAAAGTTCACACCCGTGATGGTTTATTGATTCGCTCCAAGGTCCATCTCATGACATTCTTAGGCGATATCCCTGCTGTTGCAGATATCATCAATCACTCAGGGCATACGTCTAGGTCTGGTTGTCGTATTTGTGTTGTAAAAGGATCAAGCTCTGAAGGAACCGGTATGTACAGTACTTTCCTGGTCGCGCATCACACTGCTCTCTTCGTACTGTTGAACACTTTCGTCAACCTCAACCCTACGTAAGTAAAAAAAAAAAAAAAAAAAAAAAAAAAAAAAGTAACCCTCATTAATATTTTCCATATTATTTCATAGCTTGGAATCAGGATAAGTTCAATATCTCTTCTTCAAACATTCAATGGAACCAACTTTTTTGGTTTGGATGAAATGCATCTTTTGGGTCCTGGTCTGGCGAAACAATTGAAAGATCTTTTTGGTTCACCTAATGTCAATGAAATGATTCCAGACAGAAACGTTGCTGGTGGCGCATGGAAAAAGTTCCCCTTCTTCCTTGATGGTGTCAAGCTCGTTAATGTTGGCGAAGCTATGCTCTCTTCCAGGTGCAACATACCTGCTGACGTTTTTGAAGGCAACTGGGACGATATTATTAGAAGTGGACGTGCAGTGGATTGGATAGATTTCTTGCTTTTTGTGGTACTGACTACATTGAACGTATTGGTGTAATGATGGATTCGACTACTTCACGATTAATGGATATTAAGGCGTATATAGACAAACCTGATCGTTTCTATGGAACCGAGGAGGAAAATCCTTACCAATGGTTACGCAACATGGATTTATTACGGAAAGGTGTTCAAATGAACGATGAGGACATTATCTTTATAGCATCTACATTAATGAAAGGTATGGCTGCATCTTGGTGGGACATGGCCGAAAAAGAAATCAATGATTGGCAAGAATTCAAAGATAAATTCGAAGAATTTTTTGTATCTGAACAAACAAAGGATGGCTGGTGGAATGAATTGGAAGGTGCCAAACAAGGAAATCAAACAGTTGGGGCATTACAACTTTGTCTTGAAGAATTATTTCCAAGATTAAGCATCAAAGATGAAGCGACAAAGAAACGTTATTTCTTAAAGGCTATGGATGTATCACTTGCGTATAAAGTGGAAAGGACCAGTATCTTACAGTATGTGATGACAATACAAAAAGCTAAACGAGTGGAATCATTGAAAAATAAATACAAGGGTGGTCGTAATACTCAAGTACCAACTTATTTGACTACTGGATCCTCTTCGGTGATGAATACAAGAAGAATGGCATCTGGATCAACGGTGGAAAGTAAAATGAATTGGTTGGTGGAAGAATTCAAAGCTTTGAAGGTGCATCTAGTTCAATCACCTAAACAAAACAACGGCGATCAAGTTACAAATGAACGTCATACGTATCAAGGAAAACAAGTTGGATGATATTTGGTTGGACCCTATAAAATAGCTAAGGTGAACAAAAATGGAACTTATTGGCTCGTAGGTAAAGGTGGAAAAAGGTTAGATGGTGCTGTTAACGGTGTTAAACTACGATCTTATCACGAACGGAAAAACATGATACCAAGTGTGATGGACTCTCATGCTGCTGAACGGTTGGAAAAGTATACAGTATACTCATTTATCATTACAATAGAACAATCATCATCGACAATACAAAAGTATCGACAAATTAATCATCATCATCATCAGTATAATTTTTACGACAAACACCATACGTGACATGGTTGACAAGCTGTATACTGGATTATATTTTCCACCCAACGATTCTCGCAATGTGGTTGGTCAATATGGTTTGGCGGTTACTTTTCAGGTTTTGGACACGGCAATCGGCTTTGGATATAATGTGGATTCCAGATCTACATTATGAACCTCAAATTAAATTTCAGCCAATCATCGTATAGTATTTGGATCTTGGTGTTACTATGGACCAATTCATCCTGGATTTACTTCAATTTTGGTTACCAGATTTTGGGATCTGGTCATGCGACCTTTAGGACTGGGTTCTTTTTCAGGCTTTCTTTTTTTCTCTTTTTCTTTTTTTTTCTCTTTTCTTTTTTTTTAGTACTTTTTACATTCATTATCTTTTTATCTTTTTATACTTTTATCTTTACCTATCTTTTTTATATTTTTATATACAATAAACTTATATTCGTGGGCTTTATTCTGGTTATATTTTTGTATATTCGACGTTACATTTATTCTTTTTTTATTTATTCGACATTACATTCATTTCTTTTTCTTTTTTTTTGAAAAACGACCTTTACTTCTCTCTCGACTCAATTCATTCCCTTCTCCCCCAGGTGCCCTAACAATAACTGTGGTTGAGGTAACTCCAACTCTCGACTCAATTTTTTTTTTTGATCTCATTTTTTTTTTTTCACCACTTTTTACTTCTATCACGCAATACTCGTATAATATTTAGTTTAACTTATATTTTTATTTTATTGGATAGTTATTAGTTTATTACATTAGTGAATTACGACATTCTTTTTAGATACGACATTCGAATAGTTTTTTTTTTTTATTTATTGTTGGATTTAGTTTTTACTGGACAAAACTTACCTGGGATTACTTACCTTTACTTCATGAATATAGGTAAACCAAGAAGGAAACCGGTTAATCGTATATTACAAGTTCTTCTGATTCATTGTTATTTGTCCTTATTTTGAATTGGCTTTATATCTACCTTCTAGGCTTTACATCATGTCGGCTTCGCTAGGTGGCCACACTGTGGATGATCGTGGTATATCAGTGGTGATGCCTGCTGGGTCTAAGTGGCGCAAGAAAAGACCTAGTACAAAAGTCCCAAAATGACAACGACAAGAATAACCATTCCATTCCTTTTTTTTCCATTGTTTTTATTATCATCCTTCCTTTCCTTTTTTTATTTTTATTCCTTTTTATACTATTAGTTTTATTCCTTTTTTATATATTAACAAACATCATAAATAGTATAAATAATCATCTTTATTTTTTTAAATAAAAAAATAATCAATCAACTAAAAAACTATTTTATAAACTATTTCTATTTTATTTTGGTAAAGTATAAAAATAATCATCTACATTTTTATATCTTTACTTACCTTTACATTTCCTTTTTTGGCCGATCCAATTCATATATTACTTACAAAACGACAACAACTGTTAGGGCACTCGGGGGAGTCGACGACCAACTTGCAGCACCATATCGCTTATTGATTCTATCAACATCTATCGCTTTATTGACCACATCATCGAACACAAAAGGAAGACCATTTCTTTCAACATGAACAGCAACCTCTTGATCAATTGCTTTTAAAAAGACACCAATCATCAACGAGTCATCAGTTATTTTCATCAATCCAAATAACTGTTTCAATTTCAATGAGATACTTTCGACAGATTCACCAGGTGTTTGTTTGACGTTGTGGATTTCTTGCCAGTAGACGGTACTCTGTTGATGACAACATTTATTTTTGAACAACTTTTCGAAATCATGCCAATTCTTCGTCTTTCCTTCATATAACGACCACCACACCTTAGCTAAGCCCTTCAAATACGACCCGACTACCAAAAGAGCGTCATCATCAGATAAACCAGCACCCTTGCGAATATGATCGATCGTACGTAGCCACACCATCGGATTTTCATCATCATTACCACTTCGATTCCAGTTCATAAGCTAGATCAGGTCTTATAGCTTGCACAAAAAAACGTACTTTCGTTTCTTCATCTTTGATGTTGAGAGAGCACAAAAGTTCTTGCAGATGAAAAACCAGATCATCAGTTGTTTGATTGTCCCTTTGTCGTAACTTATATAAATCATCCCATAAAGACCTTGATAGATTTGAGTCAATAAATTGTTTTTCGAAAACTTCTTTGAACTCCTTCCAAGTGATCACCGTATCTTCATTCCAATCCCAACACTTGAGAGCCCGTCCACGTAGATGAGAGGTTGCTACCAACAAGATTTCTTCGTCATCCATATGCATACCCTTGTATAGTCTTTCCAGTGACCTAATCCATGTTTTCCCATTCAATCCAGTTTGAGAGCCGTTCAACACTTCTGGTCCACCGACGAATCTGCCAAATTTGCTTTCCATAGTTCAGTTCTAAGATTGTTCTACAGTATACTTGCTTGTTCTTGAATTTTGCACCCCCTAGTAGTCTCACCAAAGATGATACGTGTAGGAATAGTGAGTGTGTAAAAAAAAAAGATAAAAATAAAAAAAAAATAAGACGATAAATAAAAAAAAAAGAGTGTTGGACTATAAAAATATCTGTTGCGAAAAATAGGAGAGAGATTCGAGTTGTTTATTGATAAAAAAAAGATACAAAGGTTGAATATAATTGAAAGTAAAGATAAGTTGCAAAAGATGTAAAAAAGATGAATGATATCGTAAAAGAATTCCATAAACTATAAAAATATGTCGTTCCTATACCGAATGTTGCAATTAACTAACGTGATAGACTAATATTCCTCCAATAAAAAAAAAATAAATACATTGTACTAAATAATTAAAGGTATTGCGTAATATATATAAAAGTGGTGAAAGAAAAGATAAGAAAAAGAAAAAAAAAAAGAAACAAAAGAAGAGTAAGATACCAAAGGAATTGCGTCAGAAATTGGAAGCCAGCTGTCCATGGAAGAATCCGAAACCGAATACCGAATTCCAGGATCGGGAAATATTTCCACCGAATGGTTTCAGCCAATCATCTTGCGTAAATCGTTGGATGGAAAATATAATACAGTTTACGAATTGTCAACATTGTTAGGGCACTTGGGGGAGAAAGGGATAAATTGAGTCGATAAAGAAGTAAAGGTTGTTTTTCAAAAAAAAAGAAAAAGAAATGAATGTAATGTCGAATAGATAAAAAGGAATGAATGTAACGTCGAATATACAAAATAAAACCAGAATAAAAAAAAACCACGAATATATGTTATTGTATGTAAAAATAAAAAAAAAATAGGTAAAGATAGAAGTATATATATAAAAAAAAGATAATGAATGTAAAAAAAAGTAAAAGAATGTAAAAAGTAAAAAAAAGAAAAAAGAAAAGAGAAAAAAGAAAGCCCGAAAAAGAACCCAGTCCTCAAGGTCGCATGACCAGACCCCAAAATCCGGTAACCAAAATTGAAGTAGATCCAGGATGAATTGGTCCATCGTAACACCAAGATCCAAATACTGTACGATGATTGGCTGAAATTTAATTTGAGGTTCATAATGAAGATATGGAATCCACAACATCACTGGTCTCAATAGCTCAGTTGGGAGAGCGTCAGACTGAAGTTCTGAAGGCCGGGTGTTCGAACCACCCTTGGGACATTCCTTTTGTTAAATAAAGATTTTTTTGTAATGTTAAGTGTTATCTAAAGCTTTTTAGTGTTGGTCGCAATTTGGTTGATTTTTTGATTTTTTTTTTTTTGTTTGATGTTGGGTGATTTTTTGGTTTATGGGTTCAAAATTGAAAAAGTAAAACGGATGATTGAAAGTTTATATTGATTATAGTGAGCACCAGTACTTGATTACGCAAGCACACGTATAAGAAAAGAGATAAAATAAAACAAAAAGTAAAGTAGAGAAAAATAAAGTCTTGTTCCAAATTTGGAAAGTAAAAGTAGAGTAAAATTGTTCTGGCTTTAAATATAGAACAAAGTGAGCCAATCAAAAGTGATAATCCACAATACAATCAAGTAGGGATGAAAAGAAAAGATTTATTTAAAAAAATATATTGATGATTAACTAAAGAAAAAGAAAAATAAAGGAAAAAGGTGGGGTATTTATACTATTTGAAATTTAAGGTTAAAAAATATAATATGAAAAAGAAAATGAAAACGAAAATAATAAGTGAAATAAAAAATAGAATGAAAATAAAAGGGGAAGTAAAAATGAAAGTAAAAATTGAAAATAAAATTATTTCTTTTTTTTTTTTTTTTTATAAAATCTTTTTTTTTTTTTTTTATTCAACATTGATTTTTTTTTTTCATTGATTGATAATTAATTTTTTTTTTTTGATTGATGATAGTAATAATTTCTTTCTTTCTCTTTTTTTTTTTTTTTTTTTTTTTTTTTTTTTACTAATAGTTTAGATAAGAGAAGTAATCTGTTGCTTGTGTCCAAAGTATCTTTTTGGTTGTCTTCATTTGTTCATGTATGGGCCTGATTACAGTGGTAAATTTTCTTATGAATCTCCGATAGTAAGATGCTGGTCCTATAAATCCCCAGATTTGTTTGAGATTATTTTGAAGAATCTCTTTCGCTTTTCTTGTTTTTTCTTTATTTATCTTGATTCCAACTTTTGTAATTATGTATCCAAGAGAATTCAATTCATTCTTGAAAAGATAATACTGGTTCATGTTGAATAGTAAGTTACCATGACGGACGTATTTGAAAACTTGTATGAAATGGTGTAAGTGTTGTGTAAGTAATGAAGAATATATATTTTGTTTGCTGTAGTCCAAAACCTTTTGGTATTCATCGTTCTTCTTTTTGACTTGTATTAGACAATATTTCATCGGTGGTGACTTATCTTGTAATATGGTTTTGTTTTCCAAAAAGACAGTTCTTCTTTTTTTGTTGTTGTGCCAATCATATATACTCTGGTATTGTGTCTTCAGATAAAAAAAAAAAAAAAAAAAAAAAAAGGATTGTTGTATACTTGGTAGTAAGTTGCCTAACTGTATTTTTACTTGTTTTATGGGATTCCACATATCTTTAATAGATTCATTACTTGTCTATGCTATTCTTGTTTGGCTGTTTGATTCATTTGTTTCCATATATACCAACTTGTATTCTGCAGCTTCTTCTGTTTCTTCTTTATTTATATCGTCAAGGTAAGGTTTTGCAATCAAAGTGTTTGTTGAATATTTTTTGATTTCTTCTGTGTCATTATTCATATGATACTGAATATTTTTTGATTTCTTCTGTGTCATTATTCATATGATACTGAATATTTTGTTTTTCTTCTTGATAGGATGATTCCATTGACATGTTTGAAAGGATTAGCATATCGTTGGCTTTGACTTCAGATACGTTTACAGGGCATTTAGTGTATGTAGGTAAGTAGGATTCAAATTCATTGGTGTTTATTTGGACTTCATTTTGTGTAGTATAGTCAATTCCTCGTTTAGCTGTTGTCAAATAAAAATCTTGATCTTCATCATCAACTTCCGTTTCTTCATCGGTCCAGTCTTCTTCATATTCTTCATTATCAGTAGATACAGATTCTTTTTGTGGGATAGATGATGATTTGTTGGTTGTATCTTCAATACTATATTCCACGTATGATGTTTTTTCTTTTGGTGGATCTTGTACTTGGATGACTTCGGGCGGATTTTCATAGTAGTAGGGATCAAAACTACTGTATATTCATAAAAATAAACAGAATTATAAATTTGTGATGATCGTTGGGAACAATCACGAGGTTCAAAAGGATTATTTGCCATTGATAATTTTGTAGGATGATAAGCTGTCCACCATCCATTTGCTGTTCGTAACCATTGATTAATGTCTTTACTTCCAGTAGTTATACAATGTTGTTGTATCAATGGATGTAAGCCAGCACGAAATCTGTTATGGATGATTGCTTCAGATTCAATTGATGGTAGTAGATTGAAGAGTTTTTTTTTTTGTTTTTTTTTTTTTTTTTAAAAAAAAAAAAAAAATACTTGATATGCTTATAATTGATTTTAATGGCTTCCCCTGTAGTGAGCACCAAAATATGTTAAGGATTTTTTTTGTTACTTAACGGATGTTTGAAAATATAGATTGGATGGATGATATTATTAAATTAATAATATCGAAGATGTTTGATATGTAGTGAGCACCAGTCCTTTTATATAAAAAGAACAAAATAGAATAAAGTATATTTAAATGTAAGTTCCAAATATGGAAGTAGATGACTTGACTATTTGATCACACTTGATGATGATCAAATAAAATAATAATAACTTGAATGTAACTTGATAATAAAATAATAAATATAAAACTTAAGATGATTGATTTCTTAAGAGTGGCCAAGATGATTTGATTTATATAATCTTTTATTTTATAAAATTGACTTGATCTTTGACAAAGAGGGAAAAATATATATAAACTACTAGATGTATTTACGTATACTAAAACTAAAGATTATTTTTAGATGATGATGATTAATCATCATAAGTAACAATGTGAAAATAAAACGGATGAAACTGATAAATGTGATAAAAAATGTAATAACGGATGAAACTGTGCAAGAGTAGTGATTCAGATGAGACCAAAAATATAAAAAAGAAAAGAAGGTCTTGGTCAAAAGTGTGAGAAATGGTTGTGAATTGGACAAATGTCAAGATTTTGACAGATAGCAAGATAATAATAATAATAAAAAAAAAAAAAAAAAAAAAAAAAAAAAAAAAAAAAAAAAAAAAAAAAAAACTTGATTCACAGTCAACTTCAAAGGTTGATTTCATCCTAACAAGTGATTTTTTGGTTGTTAAGGCCAAAATTGAAAAAGTAATTCGGATGATTGAGAGAGAATAATGTAATGTTAAATGATTTTTTGGTTCAAATAGCCAAAATTGAAAAAGCAATTCAAATGATTGATTGTTTAAAAGGTTTATAGTGAGCACCAGTACTTGATTACGCAAGCACACGTATAAGAAAAGAGATAAAGTAAAACAAAAAAAAAATAAAGTAAAGAAAAATAAAGACTTGTTCCAAATTTGGAAGGTTCTTATAAAATAAAGTTGTTCTATCTTGGAATAAAGAACAAAGTGAGCCAATAAAAGTAATAATCCACAAATACAATTGAGATGGGATGAAGAAGGAATGTTTTTATTATTAAAAAAATAAAATATAAGTTGACTAAAAAAAATAGAAAAAGAAAAAAGAAAAGAGGGCTATTTATATAGAGGTCAAAGTGATGTATGTTATGGGGGATTCGAATTTAAAATGTGAAGAGAGGGATTTTGTTATCAGTGAACCGGGGGGATAAAATATATATATAAAAAAAAAAAACTTTTTTTTTTCTCTTTTATTTTTTTTTTATCCAACAACCAACGTAAGAAGCCAACACGATTATTCACGTATGCTTTTCTTGCCGTGCTACCATGAGACTTATTGAAATTGTCATGTAAGATTTGTATCACTAGAGGTATGTCTTTGTTTTCTATTCTTTTAAGCTCATCTTCCTTCTCTCTGAGCTCCCGCATCTTGTTTATGTAATTAGGTACCAGCAAGTGTAATAATTGTTCAGCATCGTCATTAGTTACTTGGAACGGGGCTATCGGTTGGATGAAGTGATTATTGTGGATATTAAGATTATTGTGGTTCTAGAGAAATTCATGCTTTTATATTTTTTTTTTTTTTTTGTTGAGGGAAATGGTGATCATGGATTATGGTGTAGTATATGAAAATCAATGATGATCATGTTAAATAAAGATTTTGATGATGAACATTGATAGTATTGATAATGATGATTATTGTGGTACATGTCTCCTTTTCCTTCTTTCGTTTTTTTTTTTTTTTTTTATCTTAACAATGTTTAGGATTTTTCTTGTTACTTGAGTGGATAATTGATTTATAAAAAATATAGATGATATTATCAATACGATGATATTGATGATGATTGATCGTATAGTGAGCACCAGTTCTTTATATAAAAAGAACAAAAGTAAAATAAAAAAAATATAAATGTAAGCCAAAAAGGAAATAGATGTCTTGATGAATTGATCACAGATGATGATGATCAACCAAATAACTTGAATAAAATGCTTGATGATTGCTTGATGATAAAAAAAAATAAAGATAAAACTTAGGATGATTTATTTCTTAAGAGTGGCCAATGTGATTTTGGTTAAAAAAAAAAAACTTTTTGTTGAATAAAAAAAATATAAATAATGGATGTATTTATATATATAAAAAAAAACTATTGATTAAAAATAAGGGGAAAAAGCCTGAGAAGGGGAAAGAGTCTGAGAAGGGAAAAAAAAAAGCTGTGGAATTGGTGTAGATATGGTTAGTAAAAAATAAAAAAGGGAGACAAGAACAAGTCTGTGAGATTTCTTTTTTATTTGAAAGTGGTTAAAAAAAGAGACAAAGTACCTACATAAAAAGTTTTGTTGGTCTTATATATAAGTACGTAGTGAGTGATACGTAATACTGATATCATCATACTATATTTATGATTGGTGATCAAATTTTATTTTATTTTTTTTTTCTGTTCTGATTTGTAATACTGTTATACAGGGCGTATAATCTTATTAGTATTTTATTTCTCATTGATGTGATGTTATCATCATATGTGTAGTGATTCATTATATTAGTTGCCCTGAAGTGTTTATACATTGATATATATCTTTCTTGATAGTATCAAAAGACCATAAGCATAATGACTTTCAAAGTCCGTACTTTTTTTTATTTTTTATTTTTTAGATATGCGGTAATTTTTATTTTCTTTTTATTTCTTTCCTTTCTTTATAACAATTTTAGTTATAGTATATCAATTACTAGTCTTTAGTAGTTATATTTTTATTTAATAAAACTTTTTATTTTTATTCCAACTACTTTGTTACATGTCAATGTAATTGATTCCATCTTACAATGTATTTTTTTTTTATTCTTTATTTGTGAATGCATTCTTTAGTTTTATTTTACACGTATGGTTATGAAATAAGCTGATACGACAAAAGTAATTGTTGCCTAAAGGTAACAGATAGTTCTTTATTGTTGTATAAATAAAATAGCATATTTATATCTAAACTAAAGAAAGGAGAGACTAACTAATGTATCATGGTTGTAATGAAGCAAGGAGAAAAGAGGAGAAGAGGAAACAAAAAGAAGAAGTAAATAAAAATACTGTAATAAAACTCAGTATTTTGCATGATTTTTATTAATATCCTTGACAGGATGATAAATTGTAAGATGGATATGTTACGGATGTTCAACCTAATACTATAGTCAATCAACAGCCACAAGAAGACTTCAATAGAAAACACGTGCGTGAAAAGAAAAGAAATCTAAGAACTAAAGTACATTACGGAGAATGATACATTTTAGGAAAAAAAAAAAGGAATCGATACCATTAACAATGTAAAAAAGAAGTACTTGGAATAAAAATAGAACCCTTTATTGAATCAAAATATAACTAGTATACCAATTGATATACTAAAATACAAAGTAACAACATCAAATAACTACAAAAGAAAATGAAAATTACCTGCCTATCAAAAGCATCCTTGTCCGTTTGCATTTCTTCTTCTTTTTTTTTTTTTTGTTCAGCTTATCCCTAATAACAGAAATGACAAAAAGAATGGTCAATCAGTTTTCCACAATCCACAAACTACTAGTTGGGAGGAATAAGGACGTCTTTATATAACTATACCTTATATAGAGTCAAGCAATTCAGAAGGAGAGATCTATTTGTTGATAAAAAAAAAAAAAAGATAAAAATAAAAGACAAATGTAAAAGAAAAAGAAAGAATTCAAGGTAATATATAAAATAACATTGAGAAAAGGCTAACCTTTTTTTTTTTTTTTTAAAAAAAAATGAAGTGGTATTCACGATGATAGAATGTAAAAGAAAGAAGAGAAAGAAAATAAGAGGAAAAAAAAAAAAAAAAAAGGATAAAAAAGATAAAAAAAAAAATGGGCGACCAAGATGACTTTATTCCAACGACCCCTCCAATAGAATCCATCCATCTACCAAAGAAATTTTCTGTGTTAAAGCTACAGTATATTACCTTCATATTTTCCTTTTTTTTTTTTTTTTTTTTTTTTTTTTTTGTGTAAAAATAACTTTGCTTACCTTTGCATCACCAATGACCAAACTTGAACAAATAAAAAAGGTTGATGTGATTGACCTTCTCCATCAAGTAACGGAATTTCACAATGTATAAATGGTAATGGGACCATCTTGATAACATGAATTGAGACGATCAAACGATATGCCAAAGTTTTGGTTGACCTGACGCTATTCCATCCTGCATACTGTATGACTACTACATTGTCTATAAAAAGAAGCTAAAATATATAGCGTTAATTTATCCTTGTTATCCATTACCAAAGCACTTACAATATTCAAAGTATCCGTAATGCCACAGACCGCTTTGCCGCACAATAACAATCATCCATCGCTATTTTGATGAGAAATGAATAGAAATAGATAAATAATATTCCAGTGTGTTTCAAGATAAGTTACCTGGTCTACCACAATCACAATCAATTGAACATACGATCAACACAAGTGATACCATTTCAGTAATATAAAGATGAGTTCACTTGAACTTGATGAGCTCAAGAATACCCTCCCCTACAACTTGGTCTAATCCAGGCTAGTGTCATGTCGACTAAGAAGTTCTAAAACAAATTGGGCAATTAAAAATACAAATTTTCTGTCTGGTATTGATGGATATCTGAATTGATTGATATTTTACCTGCCAAGATGTGAAGAGTCACTAAGAATGATAGGAGATGAACTCAAAACTGTTTTCAACAATAGGTATGGACCATTTGGATTCAAAATCCTTCCGTATGCTTTGACCAATACTGATGAATAAAGAACTAGGATTTGCTTGAATAAAATAATTGTAATCTAAAAAAAAAAAAAAAAAAAAAAAGAAAAAGAAAAAGAAAAAGAAAAAAAAAAGAAAAAGAAAAAGAAAAAAAAAAAGAAAAAGAAAAAAAAAGAAAAAGAAAAAGAAAAAAAAAAAAAAGAAAAAGAAAAAAAAAAAGAAAAAGAAAAAAAAAAAAGAAAAAAAAGTTAGTCGCGAACTTGAAAAAAAAAAGGTAATTCATCAAAACAGCGTCCATTTTTCTATTGTATTCTGTACTTATAACTTACAATATAAACATCTACGTTCTGTAGTAGAATCCAATTTATCAATGACGTACAGTATTTAGAGGTGTTGGCATCCATATTGAGTTGAATACAAAGTTGTTGGTCATTTTGTTCGGTCTTGCGCACTTTGTTGTAAGTTGTTGAATTTGCATTGTTGTGCATGTTCGTCCATCAGCTTTTTTGAATACAATTTTATTCAAATCGTAAAAGAAATAAAATAGTTTGAGCATGAATAAAATAAATTAATAAAAACTAATATAAAAAGATAACAAAAGAAACAAGATAAAGATACAGTAAAGATATATATAAGGTAAAAGCAAAGTATAAAAAGAAATTTTTAAAATAAAAAAAAAAAAAAAGGCATTCAAGGAAATTCAACCCCCCTCAAAAAAAAAAAAAAAAAAAAGGTTCATGACCAAATCTGTAAACAGTCCAAGAATACTCAAATCTGATTGGCTGAAATTAAGATTAGATTGATATAAAAATTGTCAGCTCAAATTTCAACCAAGCCCGTGTGGCGAAATTGGATATCGCTTCGGACTTCTAATCCGAGGATTGCGGGTTCGACCCCCGTCACGGGTACGTTCATTTTTTGATTTTTTTGGGATAGGAATCGGACGTGGAACTTATAACAAGGACTTTTTTTTTTTTTAAAAAAAAATATTTCTTTTTTATTGTCAATCAACCATGTCAACATTGTCGAACAGTCAAAGTGCAATGCTGGCTCAGTTGATATCTTCATATTTGAATGATGAAACCAAGGTGCATGGTAGTTTACCTTTTGTAATGGATGCTCTTGTGACACGGTGTCTACTTAAAGATCAAGAAGAAGAAAGTGAACAATTGTCAAGTGTACGACGAAAATGGACCATTCGCCTTAACTCGTTGATTCAATCCAAACAAGCTACAGCTAGGTGGACAGCTATCGTATTGATCAAGTTAACATGTGAACAATCAAACTCTCTTCTTTTCGCACATATTCGATCTTGGACTAGTCAACTGTTGGGTGTGATTGCAGTAAGTATGATAATCTTTTTTTTTTTTTTTAAACGAGCCTTTTTCTTTTTTTTTTCATATAGAAACCAGAAACAAGTATGATACACAAAGCTGCTATTGAAACGTTATCTTACCTCTTTACATTCACGTCTTCGAAACCGGAATTACAACGTGAAATCACTATACCGAATTTGCCTCGATTCAACCAGATATTGCTCTCGCTTTGCAAGAATGATCTTCGTGTAAGAAAAAGAAAAGATAATAGAAGAAGAATATATCTTTAGGATTCAAATAAACTTACTAAATACTCTCTCTCTTTCTTTCTTTCTTTTTTTTTTTTTTTTTTTTTTTTTTTTTTTTTGTATTATGGTTGTAGCCGGTTGTGTTTTCAGCGTTGAAAGAAAACATTATACACTTCCCTTCTCAATCGCGTCACATTATTGATCATTGTTTGAAGCTTTGTCTTTCTTGCTTGGATGGTTCTGGAAACTTTGATAAGGATACAATCTTGGCTGCTTGTCAATGTCTTGCTGTGTTGCATCATACTGGAGGCAAGATTAGCAACTCGGATCAATGGGAAGAAACGCTCAATCGTCTTGTGGGAACTATTCATGCATGTTTGAATCGATTATTTGACACTGTCGATGAAGGTAAAAAAAAAAAAAAAAGAAGAGAATAAATATTATTATAGTGGTTGAATTCAATACAGCTAGTATACTCAACATTTATATATCTTTTGTAGAACTAGAATTGGGAGAACTTTCTCCTTCTTATCCAATGACTGACTTATCTCCTGATCCTATTGAATCCTTTCCATTGATTACTCGAAGGATACAAGCTCTGAACAATGCTATTGCCACATGTTTAAGGCAAGTATGATACATTTTTAATGATGATAACAGAAGTGTTATAATTTTACTCATATTATATTATTATCATTATAGTTCTCCCACGTTGAATCTAGTATCTGTTCCTGTTGTACAACTAGTTGATTTGGTTTGTCGTATCTACAATGCATTCGAAGGATCTCTGGTATGTTTTTTTTTTTTTTTTTTTTTTTTTTTTTTTTTTGATTGGGTGTTTGCAAATGATCAATATTATGTTTAACATACTTATCGTTTATTTGTAAATATGATAGATGCGTGAATTTAAAGACAAGAATGAATTTACATGTTTGATGATGTGTCTTCCAACTCTTCATTTGAGTGCAAACAAAATAGTGTCAGCTTTACTACTCAGGTAATACACGATCATAATAATAATAATAAAAAAATATATATGAAAAGAATGATGATATGAAATAATAATCACTTTCTTCTTTATCATACAGTTCTGGATGCCATCTATCAAGATATACCAAATTATTTTCTCGGATTTTTATACGACTTTTGAATGAATACAAAACTCAAAGGTAAGCAGACCAAAAAAAAAAAAAAAAAAAGGTTAGTTATATGTTAAATTAATTTTATTCTATGTTCTAGAACCATGAAAATTTCAGTATATAACAACATTACGTTATGTTTGCAACAATTTGGTTATGGTTTCGGTGAATCTATCGGTAAACCTCTCGTGGCAAGCGTTCTTAAAGATATATTGGTGACTGAACAAAAGGTGACTGATATGATTCCCACGGAAGTAAAGGTAAAATGAGAGAAAAGAGAGGAAACATTCAGTTACTGATGGTATTGCTTTTTAGAACAAGTCAATGAAAAGAAAACGTGATGCTTTGACTAACTCGGATAGTTTGACAGCCATTGGAACCAGTACACAAGCTCCTTTTGATATTCAAGTAGCTGCTTTGGAATCTTTACAACAACTTATTAATTGCTTTGGATCATCCATGGACTTACAATCTCGGAATACGATTGATGCCAATGTCATTTCTCGTCTTTTGTCTATGACTCAAAAAACACTTGGATCCACCACAGAAAATGAATTGCTAATCAAGGAAAAGCTCTATCAATGTCTTTTGTCCTCTGTCATGAACCCTATTGAAGTACAAGCTAATGTTTTACCTCATGCTATTCGTATCTTTTCTGCTGGTATCAATGAACAAAATCACAAGGTAAGAGGTTTCCTTTTTTTTTTTTTTTTTTTTTTGGATGAGAAAGTATCTATATTCAGCTACCTTTTTTTTTTTTTTTTTTTTTTATTTTCATTAGCTCCAAACAATATGCAAATATGGATTGAACATCTGTGATCTGATTATTCATCCTCGAATGCCACCTATTCAATCTACTATGAATACTATTACAACCAAAATCAATCAAGCAGAACAACAAAATGATAAGACTATGAAATCCAGTGTCAACACTTCTACGTCAAGTTATCCTACTACAACTGACACCATCACAGCAAATATTTCTCAAAAAGTTGATAGTACAAACTCAAATATCAGCATGCCCAAGCCAAGTTACCCCGCAACAACAAGCATAGTTGGTCAACAATTCAATGGTACAAACATTCAAGTCGCAGAAACAATCAAACAAGTTACAACAAACCCTTCCGATATTGAACAATCAGTTGGTGCCTCAAATGGTAAACTTGAACAAAATGATATCGAAAAGACAGCAAGCAAGTCGATGGTGACTGAAACTATAGAAAACGTTGAACAAAGTATTACATCAACGAGCAGTTCAATTGTACTGGATGAAGAGGTGATAGAGGAAAAGAAACTATCGACAAGCGAAATTAAATTTGATATCGACGATGAGATGAATCAAGATGAAACGGAAATAACAATGACAACAAAGCAAACCGATATGAATGATAAGGGTGGTAGCATAGAATTAAATAGCTCAACTGCAACCAATCAAGATAAAACAATTTCGACGAGCAACACAATTACAATTGAAGATGATTCGGATGGTGAATATGATGTGGATATGGCTATACCTGATATTGACATGACTGGCCCTGATACAGATGAAGAAGAAGAATACTAATTATAGTGATAGTTTTGATATATATATATATATATTGTATATTTGTATTTTTTTTTTTATTATTTTTGGCAATTTCTTCATATTATTGCATTTTATATTCATTCAATAAATCAAAAATTCATTTCATGATTATCTATTATATTTCATCTTTTTTTTTTTTTTTTTTTTTTTTTTTTTTTTGGCATGGAAGGGAAGTAGAGTATTACAAACTACGGAGAGGTATTTTCCGTTTGTATATATTTGATGATACTAGTTAAATTGAAAAAAGTACTTTAAAAAGCATCAATATACAAAAAGGGGAATTCATTGTTCTTTGTATTTGTTTGTTATTATCAAACTTGTCTTATTATAAAAATGAAATATGAAATATCGCTCTTTTTTTTTTTTTTTTTTTTTTTTTTTTTTTTTTGTTTCCTTTTCTCTTCTCTTATTGTTTGATTTACGAACGATCCATACAAATCAAATAAGTTAACAACATGATGATTTGGAATAATGGCTACACACCGCGACGATCCAGCCAAATGAAGTCGCGTAAAGATTTGAATTCGTATTTTAATATTATGGTCATAGGATCTGCTGGATCTGGTAAAACTGCTTTTATTAGAACTTTATGCGAAAGAATGAAACCTCATATTGTGGAAGGTAGCTTTAAAGAATCTACACCACATGTCTTGGATGGTCCGTTACAGTCAACTGAGCAGCTTTATAGTGTCACTATGCAGTTTGAAGAGAATGATCAACGGACTGCTTTTACTGTCATTGATGCTCCAGGTCTCATAGACGGTTATGCTATTGATTATCAACTTCAATATCTTGCCAAATATATTGATTATCAATTTGAACGGACTTTTGCAGAGGTAATTTTTATATATTTATTTCTCAATTCAATTCATTTTCTATCTCTCTCTCTTTTTTTTTTTTTTTTTTTTTTTTTTTTTTTTACTCATTTTTTTTCTTTTCTTTTCTTTCTTTCTTTCTTTCTTATTTTTTTTATATAAAGGAATCCAAGATTAGACGTGATGTCAAGGCACTTGATACACAAATCCATGCTTGCATTTATTTTCTCGATACTGACTCTACAAATGGACTAAGTGCTATTGACCGTTATTCTCTGAAACTACTTAGTTCTCGTGTGAATGTCATTCCAGTTCTTGGCAAGGCAGACACTTTATCTACTACTAGGCGTGAAGTGTTGAAAAGGAATTTTCGTGCAGAAGTATTTGATATTCTCAAAATACCTTTATATGGCTATATGGATTTGGATGATGATGATGATGTCGAAGAGGATCAGGTTGACGACAATGATAACGACCATGACAGTGATAATGACACAGACTTTAATGACAACAATCATAACAACAATGACTTTAGACGGAATTCGATAAGACGCAATAACAATAATGGTTTTTATAACAACAAAAGTAACAGCAATAGCGGCTCAGTGACATTGGATACGATTATGGAAATACTAGAAGAATCTGTAGAACTAGATGGCGATGAAGATGCACGTGCTATGATGGATTACTTGGACAATATGCCACTCGCTCTCATTGGATATGAACAGGATGTCACTAGCGGAAGACCCATTGTGATCACCAAGGAAGTAGAAAAAACACCACCAGTAACCAACAAGTCCAAAAGCAGCTTCTTTTATTATGATGATGTATTACCTCAGAATCCATATGACGATGATAATGATGACGATGATGATGACAATAACGACGACGACGACGACAACAACAATAAGAACAAGAATGATAATTCTATTTCTTCTTCTTCTGTTCATATGAAGCGCAACAACAAGAGTATGACGTCCTTACGAAATCGTAGAAGCAATCACAGCAACAAATTTCCTGGGCCTCCTTCAACTACAACCATCTTGGGAAGAATTTATCCTTGGGCTACGGTGGATTGTTTCAACCCTAATCATTGTGATTTTGAAAGATTGATTCATATGTTGTTATCAAGTCACCGTGAAATGTTACGTATCGACACTGTAGAACGCTTTTATGAACAATATCGTACAGATCATTTATTGACACGACGCATGGATGAAATGATTAGTTTGAAATCAAAAAAGAATCAATACAATTTAGCATAGTATCTTTCTCTCTTTCCCTCTCTCTCTCTCTCTTTTCTTTTATCATTATTGTTATCCTCCTCCTCTTCTTTTTTTTTTTTTTCTTCTTTATATATATATTCACTACCACATGATATCCATATATTCAATAAAAACAAAAAAAAAAAAATAATGATGATGATACAATTTTTTTTTTATTTTGTTTGAATCAAAAGATATATATACAAGATCAATGTCTAAAACCACTACGTAAAGTTTCAGTAGCTCTTAAACTAAGACTACCAGAAGAGGATACACCAGATTTCTTTTTTGCTTTGTTTACTTCATTGATAGCAGCAACAATTTCATTCATATTTGTTTCCAATACCATACCACCTTGAATAATTTCAGATAAAATATAATGTACTTCATCAAAATGAAAAATCTATATACATATATAAAAGGTTATTATTATTATTTTTTTTTTTAACTTATTGTAAAATGATTTTTCATTACCAAATCCAATTCACACACATTTTCAAAACATCTATCTAAACTTTCTACAAAGACCTAAAGAAAAGAAAAGAAAATAATAATAATAATAATGAATAAATTAATAATAGTAAATAAATAAAATATATAAAATATACTTTACTTGAATCAAGTCTAAAATTCCTAATTCACTTTCACTTTCATCTACTACAAAGACAAAATAAAGTGTTGCATAATGTCGATAGATGACTCTAGTATCTTTTCCACCAAGTAATTTACTTCCTTCTAAAAAGTTACATGCAGTATCAGGTCGTTTTGATACCAAAGAATATATTTCTTGAACCAAAGCTTGTTGTGTTGCTATATCCTAAATAATAATGAATAATAATGAATAATGATGAATAATAATGAATAATAATAAAAAACTTACAATTTGTTGATAAAACTTGATAAGTCTTGGTTTACCATGATTATTAAATATTAATACAGACTTTATCATTGTTTCTTTAATGAAAAGAAAGAAAAAAAATCCCCTTTGAGTTTCATTTCAAAAAGACTAAACATTATTTATTAAACTCCGTTCTTTCTTCCTTTTTTTTTTTATTTTTATTTTTTTTATTTTTTTTATTTTAATTACTTTCTCATCTTGACATTTACTCTTCTCCCCCTTTTTTTTATATATATATATTTATATTTATTTATTTTCACCATTTTTATATCAATAACTTATTTTTAATTATCAACATTAAATCAATCTCATCTTTTTGTTAAATATATATATATGGAAATCAACAGTGGGTCAACTTTAAGACGAAGTGTTGGTGGTATTCGAAAGTCTCAACGTCCTATCAACCCAATATCTGTTTATGATTATGCTTTACGTTGTGCTATTCGAGCTTGTTTAGAACAAACTAGTAATTTACGACCTAATTCACAAAATAGTCGATCAGAAAAGGATCGTCGCTCTGTCCATCTTGGTGTTAGTGATATGCTTGGTAGTTTGACAGAACGTTTTGGTGATGAAAGTAAACCTGATAAATTGACAAGGGAAGTAGTACGTGCCTTATTAAGAAGATTGGATGATATCAAGAAAGGAAAAGATTCCAGCAAAATAGAATACCGTGAACAAAGGTTTTTAAATGTGGTGGCTCAAGTTCAAAAATCTGTACAACAACATCGTTATCGACCTTCTGGTACTATTAATGACTTGGTAATTGTCTTTTTGAAAACATCAGAAACAGAATTCAAAAAAGAAAATCCAAATATGGTTGCTTGGCGTGATGATTTGACTCGATATGTGGCTCGCTTTGCTGAAATTCTCAAACAAACTGTTCAAGAAGATGCTCCTTCTTCATCATCACCTGAATTAATCGATAAACTTAATGGATTTATTGGTAGTTCAACAAAAACTTCTCGACAACTTTCTGATAAACGAAATCAATCTGGTCCGGGTTCTCCTCTTCCTTCTTTGGCTTACGGTTCCATTGAATCTTTTGAAAGTTTTCCTATGATCAAAACAGTGCAAGCCTTATTTCAAGTAGACCCTATTGAACATAGAAGAAAGCTTAGGGAACTTCAACCTATTTGTACTCAATCTGTAAGATTATTTTATTATTAATTATCATATGTGTATATTCATCTTTTTTCTTTTTGTAGGCCTTTATGCATGATTTGAAGAAATGTATCAACAATGTCCATACCAATCAACCTTATCCTGCTAAATCTGATGATTTTCCTAATCGACAAACTTATGATGCTTGGCAAAAACGTGAAGTGAAACAACTATCTGAATTATTGAAAACATTGACACTTTTAGATCCAAACTTGTCTATGAATGCTGGTGATCATGATACCAATGCAATCAATGGAAATAGATCATCCCTTTATGACCCATCATCGGCAATGGTAAAAAAAAAAAAAAAAAAAAAAAAAAAAAAAAAAAAAAAAAAAAAAAAAAAAAAAAAAAAAAAAGGATCTTATATTTCCTTTATGCAATCAGAATTACGTATCTCACATCATTCCTTTTTTTTTTTTTTTTTTTTTTTAATAGACCGGATTTACGTTTATTCCTAGTGATCCTCGTGCATACTTCCGACTTCTCATGAATATGTGTATAGATTATGATACTGAAATTATTCCTGATTCTGAAAGGGCAAAAACTAGTGTGTTATCGCAACAATCTGATGATTTATTACGGGAATGCTGGCGAACATGGCGATTATCAGCACCTTTTCGAACTGTACTATATGTGGAACTTATCAAGAAACGATTTGACGAAGGAGTCTTTAACATGGATGATATTCGAGATGCAATTCGTACATTGGATAAAGCTCTGAAGGAAAATGACATCAATAGTTGGACGTTAACGGATCGCGCAAGTTTAAATTGGATTTATGAAGGAATGGAACGTACTTTTATGCGAGAGTTGGCCAATGGATTATCTGAATATTGGAAAATTAGGTATATTTGTTATGGGAAAAGATGTATCAATATGAATAATAATATCTTACTCTCTCTCTCTCTTTCTTTCTCTCTTTTTTTTTTCATAGTCCTGATTGGATTCGAGATTTAGTATCAATGTTGGATAGAATATATGAGAATCCTTTTTATCTATCTACTCATCCAAATCCTCTTGGTCAATTTCAAAGCTTGGTTGAAACTGTGGAGGTAATAATAATAATAATAAATATATATACAAAGGTTGTGATTATATTCTTCACTAAATAATTATATCATACTTGCTTTCATATAGGGTGCTGCTGTTGAGCGATGGAGAAGTTTGGAAAAAGCTTGTATCAAGGATGAAGATGATCTTACCAATTTACTTACATTGGCTGACAAGTTAATCAAGGAATTAGTATCTCTAGCTACAAAGAAATTCAAATCTCCTATTAAAGGGTAAGTTGTTTGATATTGATCGATTCAGTATAGACTAACTTTTTTATTTATTCTTTCTTTTCTTCTTCTTTTCTTTTTTTTTTTTTTTTGTTCTAGTGTACTATCTATACCGGGTATTGTTATGACCATTCAAATGCCTTATTTTGCGTTAGAAATGGAAAACTGGGCTTATCTTCCTGCCGCTCAAGATGCTCCCATTGAAGTCACTTTTAACCTATATCACAAGGTTCTTAGTTTAAAACGACTTTATGATCAATATGGCCCTCAGTAAGTTATTATAGGCAATTATTTATTCTATCGGTTGAACTAAACCTGACCTTTCCCCTTCCTTTCTGATTTTTTTTTTTTTTAGGCAAAAGGCTGCTTTATTCAAGGTGGAATCCTGGTTTTTATCTCATGTGCGACGTTGGCTCAAGACAACAGATGGTGCAACCCCTGAATGGGTAGGAAATGCGATCAAACAAGATGAGGTAATACCAATAAAGAAATCAACTGTTTGATGATATTGAATTAATCTAACTATTTTTTTTTTTTGTTATTCTTTTACTAGTTCAAGCCAACGAATGATATCACAATGCATTCATCTTCTATTGTGGATCTCTTTAGTCTATTCCATCAATCTGTGGACTTTGTTCAAAAATTACAGTGGCCCAACGAATATCAAAGATGTCGATTCATGACTGCGCTATCCAAGGTAATTGGAGTGGCTCTTACTCAATATACATATGCTTTAGAAGATATGATTACGGAAGACATTTATCCTCACACCATACATGATCGCAATGCTCCTGGATCCCATTCTTTCTTGGACAAGGCAAAATTACAACTTACTGGAAACCGATCTTCTCTGCGACCTGATAGTATACCAGATGACTTTACAATCGAAGTAAGTTTTGATAACACATTTAAAGAAATAATATATTAACTACTTTTTTTTTGAATACATTCTAGTTATGTGTCAAAATCAACGACATTGAAGCTGCAAGGTCAAGATTGGATCGATTATATCAAATCATGGATGTGGATGAAATCGCGGAATATCTTCGTGAAAATGGTGGAGTCAATATCGAAAAGGAAGATCAAATCAATTTTCTTTATTCCATCAAAGCAGTACGTGCTGAAAACTTACAAGCAAAAGATAGTAATGGACTCAGTGACCCTTATGTGATTCTTGAAATTGATGGAAAACAAGTATGTCGAACAAGGACTGTCTACGAAACGTTGAATCCACGTTGGGATCAGACATTTGATTTATGGCTTGGGAATGAAACCGTCAGTGTACTTGCTGTAGTATATGATGAAGATCTTTTAACTGCTCATGATGAATGTGGTGGTGCTTGGTTCAAGTTGTCTCCTGAATACTTTGATGATTATCAATCACATGAAATGGTTTTGGATCTTCATCCTCAAGGAAAATTGATGCTACGTATTACTATGGAAGGTGAAAAGGATGATATTCAATTCTGGTTTGGTAAAGCTTTCCGAACATTAAAACGAGCTGAAAATGATGCAGCTGGACTTATTGTTGATAGGGTAAAAAAAAAAAAGGAATATGATTACATATTCTTATTGATCTTTTTTTTTTTTTTTTTTTTTTTTTTTTTTTAAAAAAAAAAAAATTAGATGGGTCGTTATATTCGTCATTGTCTATCAAGAAAAATCTTGGACAAGTTATTATGCCGTGATCGAAGCTTCTTTTCATCTTTCAGTCGCACCAATAACAAACTAGTGGAACCTACTTTGCAAGACTGTGAAGATGCTATCAACCCATTACTCGATTATTTGGAACGCAATCTAAAGATTCTCAACGATCATCTTTCGGAAACGAATATGCAGCTGGTTATATTAAAGATTTGGAAGGAAATTTTGATCGCTCTTGAAGGTGTTCTACTTCCACCTCTATCTGAACATCTCTCTGATATGAAACCTCTTGATGATTATGAATTCCATATTGTGTATAAATGGTTGGAACTCCTCAAAGTATTGTTCAATGGTGGTGAAGATGGTGATGCGGTCCCTCTGGAAAAATTAGAAAATTCACATTATTATGCATTACTGGCTATCAATGTAGCGTACAATCTTGAAACGGAACAACTCATGGAAAGCTACCATGCAGCAGTTAACAATCAAGCAGAACTCAAGCAACGTGGTGGTAGAAAGGCAGATCGTAGCAAATCAGTTTATCATTCTAAGAATACCGTACGAAAAAAGAAAACTCCAAAGAAGGTACAAAGTGTAGCGGCAACAGCAGCAGCATCTATCGACCTACCAAGTGGTGAAGTTATCTTGCGGATTCTACGTATGCGATCAGGAAAGAATGTCCGTGAATTCTTACGAACCGAATTTGAAAAACGAAACAATGCTCCTCCACCCGTCCCTCCACATGCCGTAACTGCTGTTGCAACTAGTCTTAGAGATTCCTCCATCAATGTGTCCGCTCCTCCTCTTCCTCCTCTTCCTCCTCTTCCTAATACTAAAACATCCTCTTTACCCCCTCCTCCACCAGTTCCAGCTCATTCAGTGTAATTTATACCCTTTTGTGCAGAAATAAAGAATTGAATATCCGATTTTTTTTTTTTTTTTTTAAACCTTTGACCTTTTTTTTTTTTTTTATTTGTTTCCTTTCTTTTTCTTTCACTTTATCTATTTGACTTCATGAACTCTTCTGATTCTACACCTTTATATGCCTATCTGTCAACTCAACATCCTGAACTTATCAACAACTCTGCTAGGTTAGATTGGTTATATGGATCGAAAAAGGAACACGAGCAGAACGATGGTGACGACGAATATACAAAACAACTTCATTTAGAGTTTTGGCGGGCAACCATTCTCGATTGTAACCTTAGAGGTCACTTGGGTTCTTCACAATATTATCTTGCTCTAGATATCTCAAAGCTTGATGATATATTTTGTCGACCTGATTTGGGAAAACCTTTGGCATTGTCTTATGTTTTGGTAAGTTTATATAAAGAAACTATTTATTTTTTTTTTATTTATGCATATATATATATATATATATATTTCTTTTTAGGAAGACTTGAAACAGACTGAAGATATTATATCTATTGAAGTATTTTCCAAAACATTTACTTCAACTTCTTGGTTACGACGTATGTACAGCACAGTCATCAAGGCACCAACACGATGGTCTTTATTACCTTGGTCAGCAACTTCGACATTATCATCATCAACAAATATATTTGTAGTCATGTCAAGTATACAAACCATTGCACGATCTATATTGCAACAACATCAACAGAATGGATCTCGTTTCAGCAGTGTGGACGCTGTACTGACATTTACAGAATTTCGGACAAAATATGGGACCTATCGTGACACTAAGCTGACAGATGATGATCTTTGGTTACTTCTCAGGTACATGAATTCACAATTTGGTCTTGCTGTGGAACCAAATATACGAGGATATGGACAACTACATGTGGCGATCAAATTTCCTGAATATAGTGACGTCTACTACTCGGCTGTACCTACAACAACAACAACAACTACTACTAGTGCTATGATGACTACCTCAGCCACGACAACAAGGATGATATTGTCACCGGCGGAAATCAATGAAAGTGACAAGGCGATCATTAGTTTGAAAACCACGTGTAAGGCTCTACATGATCAAGTGGATGATTTACAAACCAAAATGGAAGAGTAAGTTTTAAATGAATAGGATAACTGGTTTGATATAGGTTATATTGAATTTCTTTTTTATCTATCTATTTTAGACTTATCAAATTGTCAACACAATATTCAAGCAAGAAACAAACTCCTCAAGCTCTTTATACTTTAAAGAAAAAACATTTAGTGGAACAAATATTAAATCGTCGATTAAAGTCTTTGGAAACTATGGAAACTCTTTTGTTGAAAATCGAAGCCTCTCATAATGATAAACAGGTAAAAAAAAAAAAAAAAAAAATCAAACCTTTATATACCCTTTACTTGTCTAAATTAAATACGTACCTTTTTTTTTAATTTATTTTGATGCAGATCATTCAAGCATTTAACGTCGGTGTAGTTATTTTGAAACAAATGTTCAACAATAGTGATTTGACAGTGACAAATATAGATGAAACGATGTTGAAGATGCAGAACACATTGGAAGAACAAAAACGAGTAGAAGACGCTATTACAGATGGAACAAATCAAGTGATGGATTTGTATGATGAATCAAGTATCGTGATGGATGATGAACCCGTATTGCATGACACTGGATTACAAAAGGAAAAACGAACAAGGGAAGTCATGAATGACGAAGATTATACTAGCATCATTGCTGACGACAACAATAATGATGAATATAAAGAATTAGTAACACTATCTCCACCACCATCTACAGCACCCAACTCGGAATTAGCTAGGTTACATTCAGTTTTATCTACTCTACCTCAAGCACCTATTCTACCACCTCGATCAAAACAACGAAGACGACTTCAACAATTGGCATGAAAAGCACTTCTTGTTAGTTATAATAATATATATCACCTGTCTTCGCTTTGTTGTTATATCATCATTTGTATTCCCCCCCCCTATGTCCCATCTTTTTAGATCTGTATATACTCCATTTTTCTTTTCTTGTATATGAATACACTTTGGTAATAAAAAAAAATTGTCTACTTTCAAACTTTATTTCCAAAAAAAAAGCACTTGATCTAATAAATCTATAATAAATATTCAACCAACACATAATCCACTACTATTTAAGAGATGATCCTAATGTTTAGCTATTCTTGATTTTCTTGATATATGCTTCAAAACCAATAGCTGTTTGAAAAATAAAATAAAATGGAGAATTAACATCTATTTCAGTATCTTAATGACTTTTTTTTTTTTTCCTATTTTGATATACAATGTACCTGAGAATACAAGAGCAACACCAATCCACTGACCAAGACTAAGAATATGATGAAACCAAAAGACACTGATAAGCATAGTGAAAAGTTTCCTTGTCACGGTAACAGTGACAAGACGTAGACTTCCATAGCGTTGTAGGGTATAAAAGATGAAACATTGACCAAGGGCACCACATAATCCAAAGAGTAAGATATCACGGATAACTGCAGGATGGGTAGCACAAAACGCAATAGCTTGTTGTAATTCATTATTGTAAGGATGTAAGATGAGATAGCTGGCGGAGAAGAGGGAGCCAATGGCGTTCATATAAAACATCATATGTTGACCACTTACAATGGAGGTATAGCTGTGAAAGATTTGGTCTTGAGTTGCATTGGTCAAACCGTCAATGGCTAGATTGGTGCACAATAAAAAGAGTCCCCATATCGAATTGCTATTGTTGTTATTTTTGGTTTCCACTGTATGATAAAGCATAAACATGGACACACCGGCCGTGATCAGACCAACACAAAAGTATTTATATAGAGGGAACCGACGACGATATACAAGAACATTCATGAACATAACGGGTACCAACTTGCAGGACTTGCCCAAGATCATGGTAGGGTAATCAATATGCTTGAGAGATGCATAGCCAAAGGGGGATCCAATACAATTGAAAAAAGCTACTTGTGCATACTTGATATAAAGTCCTCTAGGTGTCGATTTCAAATTGATTTGTCGTCCCGTTGCTTTGACATATAAAAACGCTACCATGGCTGCAATCATAGATTGGACAAGATTGAGAACAATGAAGAACTTGAATTTTTTCGGTGAACCATGATCGCCATATGGAGTAGTACTGACACGTTCTTGGACAACTCCCCATGTTAAAAAGCATGCGTAGATGCCTATAACACAAAAGGCAAATCGAAGCATTCTACAAAAGAAAAAAAAAAAAAAAAGGCTGTCTCTATATATAAGAGTTGTAGGTATAAGAAAGAAGAGAAAGAAGTAGAAAGAAAAAAAAAAAATGGAAATTATTGGAAAAGATTTAAGGAGTGTCAAAAAGTTATTGGCCAATTCCCTTTTTGGCCCAGATTGACTCTGGGTTTGAACCATATCATCAAGAGAGATCCTCACAGTTTATTCAAACTGCATATCCTTTTTCCTTTTTTTATCTGTTATTCCATGTCACTTATGGGTAAAAAGTACTGTTTATTTTATACTGAATGATTTGATAGTGGATGATAGATATAATCTTTGTTTTTTTAATCATAAACATGATTTCTAAGACATAATAATGATCAACCAAGTCTTCTTATTCTAGATAACTGTATGATATAATATATGCTTTTTCACATATACAAAATATATTCTTTCTGTAACTGCGGGAGGTTCTTATTTCAACTAAAAAAAAAAAAAAAAAAAAAAGTCAATGGCCAATCTTGTTCCATGGTGTTTGTTTTCATTTTTCTTTTTATAACTTGCAACTCCCTTCAGCACAAAGAGGCATGATATATCCATCCTCAACCGATCAAGGATGAGAAGAGATCAAGGTTTGAAATATATTATCAATATTGTTATTGTCATTGTCTGTTGATGAATTTGACCGATGGAAGGATGGAGGAAGTTTGCTTGTTGCCATCATCCAGTGATGATCCCTTTCGAAATCCTTAAATGGCGATATTCGGAATATGAAAATGCAGCCGATTTCCTTTCTTTTTTTTTTTTTTTTTTGTTCGTTTTTTTCCACTTAAGCTTCTTCCTTTTCCTCTTTTATATCTATGACTTCCAAACGTAGACAAAGCACTAGTTACGGTGAAGAATTATTTGAATTTGTTGACTATACATCAGTGTCCAATTTTGAAAGGTTAGTAACTGCTATTGAAGAAGTCTTATTATCTTGGAGGATCAAAAACAATTCTTATGGCGTGTTCTCAGACGAAGTCCTGAAGATGGCAATAGATGCTGTGCCAAGTACTTCTTTGGAATATTCACGACATGAATCTATATCAGTGGGAGAAGAAACATACAAACTGACCTATCATTGCCATCCTTATACTGCAGCTATTGACTCTTCAAGTACTCAACCTTTCCTCTTAGATAATTATTATACCTTTGATAATCCACTCACTTCCGGTGAAACAACTACAAGGACAACGTTTCATCCCCTACATCGTTGGACTGGTCTAGGACGGTTTTTTATTCTAGCACCTGTATCTGATTCACTCAAGTCAAAACTATTTGCTTCCTCCAAAGTTTCTGTCGATATCTATCAAGCCAAGTTATTACTCTCTGCCTGCTCGATTGCCTTCAACAATGTGCAGTGTCCTGTCCCTGTCTTTATATCTGTTGGTCAAGCAAGATACAACAACTACACTGGATATATGCTACATTATGACGGCAAAAAGGATCTAGAAATACGCTTCAATACATCGGTAATATCATTCCCTCTCCATTGTCATATGGCTGGTTTACAAGATCTCTTTATACAAAATCTGAATGCCAATCGATTTGATAATGGTAAAAAAAAAAAAAAAAAAAAGCTTATTGATTCTTATTGTTTCAAATTTTGTATATGTCTATATTTTAGGTCTTCCTCCTATTTCACCTTTGGAAAAGCTTTCAATATGCAAAGGTGCCGTTTTTACTTATAGTCTCAAAAATTGGTACAACGAAAACTGGAAACAATGGGACGATGATGATGAAGCCAATGAAAGTACTTTTGCATCATTGAAAACAAAATCTACTCAAATGGATGATTGGAACGATGGATTTATTAGGTCATTGAATTCAGCCGACAGCGTTCTATTACCACCCTTACCTTTTGGACCTTACAATGACCCATTACGAACAATGACTCTTTCTGCTGTTTTTCCTCTTGCAGATGACGGAACTGGCAATTATACAGATGATGCGATACACAGCAATATGGATGCACTTACTGCTAATTTTTGGGAACTTTCTCGCGAATTTGCGCCATCTACACAACAACGATCGTTTTTATCAACGTTACTGGATCAAGCGATTACTTCATGGATCAAAGACCCTTCCAATCGTGATTACTTGGCTCCTTATGACTCCAATAATAACAATAGTTTAAATGGTGAATCAGTCGGACGGGATAATTCAACTGGACTTGTACGGAATTTATTACATGCAATGAGTCAAAACAGGACTGGCTCCATCACTCAACAGGGAAATCAAATTACTGTCATCAAATCAGATCAAGTGGAAACAATCATCAACGCATTATTCCGGACCAACATGGATGATGGTAACAAGAATAAAAAAAGTGATAGCAATACGGATCATATCAAATTACGTAATGCAAATTCTGATATTACGCTATATACATCTGGTGCACTTGGATTACGACTGAAGTATGGAGCATCAGTACCTAAACAATCGTTTTTATGGAATATGGTGACATTTGAACTACACGCTTTACAGGAGATGAACAAAGGAGGATATAGTACCTCAACATCGTCATCATCATCATCATCTTCTTCTTCATTTATGGGTTTCCTACGGATATTATGGATAGAAGTTGTTCGACAAATTCGATGGCACTGGGAAAATCTGATACCTATACCTCACGTAGATCCCTTCTTATATCGACCATCATTATCGACTGATAGTGATGATACCCTCAAAAAAGACTCGCAACATAATGGAACTCTTGGTATTGATCTGAATTACAACATTGTAAGTAGAAAAATAAAAAGCAAATGGATTATTTGGAAAATACAATGATTTAATAATACCTCTCTTTCTTTTTTTCTTTCTTTCTTTTTTTTTTTTTTTTTTTTTTGGTAACTCTATTTTTTGACTATTCGAAAATATTTAGTTACACCAAAAACTTGCTATGATCAACTGTTGTATTCATCAAAGTATCAAAACTTTACCTATGGAAGAAGATTCCTCATCAGTACCAACATCTGGCAAAAAGATATCAACACTATTCGACAAGGTTCATGATTCAAGGATGACTTCTAACAACAATAGCAAGAATGAAAAAAAGCTTGGGACAATGGATAGATTCAACAACTTTTTAGAGCAGCTGGTAGATGGGGACAATGATGTATCCACGGAAACAAAGGTATGGTTTTTCAAGATCGAGTAAGAAGATGAGAAGGGAGTTAATAATAGAGAATTGATATGAATTTTTTTTAGGACAAAATGACATCTGATGTGAATTCTGACATGAGTGAAAGCGAACTCTTCTTTGACTCAATAGACGATATTGAAAAGGCAACAGTACTTGATGCACCATCAACATCAGTCAAACAAAATCAACCATCCTCATCCTCATCCTCTTGTGGATCTTCTCTGTCTGATGTATCTGAATTGGCTCATCCAACATCAATGCAAGAATCATTTGTTCGATTGAATTATTCAGCAAGTGCAGAATCAGATCCTTGTCAACACGTTCCTAGTCATCTTGGTGATATTGAAGACTGGTCTACTGGTCTCAACAGGGAGTCTGAAATACAAGATCCTAACGCATTTGAAGGAAGAAGTTATCAACATGAATCGATCAAACTTTTGAAAACTGATACTCCTCTATGGGTACCAATCACACAGGTAAGTCATATTAAGAAAAAGGAAAAAGAAATAATATAATATATCTTGACTTTTTTTTTTATGATGATGAAGAATCCAGGTTTTATGACAGAAGATATGATACAACAACAAGCTGATGTGTTTGAAAGCCTAGGTACCTCGGATGATGCTACTCAGTTACGTGCGAAATTGCAATCTGCCCAACTATTATCAGGTATATATATAAGTTGTAATATTCAACTGTATATTTATTCTATTTATTTTTTTTTTTTTTTGATGTAAATAATATAGATATGCAAGCATTCAAAGCGGCCAATCCATATGCTGTATTGGAAGACTTTGTTAGATGGCATTCACCCAAGGATTGGATTGAATCTCCTGGATGTCTAAGCGCAAGAATGTCAGAACCTACTAATATATGGCAAGAATTATGGAAGGTGAGGTTTTTTTTTTTTTTTTTTTTTTTTTTTTTTTTTTTTGAATGGAATTAGTTTTTAACCGGTATATTGATTTCTAGTGCTCAAGAAGAATACCTGTCTCACGTCAAAAATCATTATTTAATCTTACTGCTGAAGGAGAAAAGGCTTTACATTATTTGGAGAGTTTATCGGTACATGATGTTTTCTCACTGTAAGTCATTTTTACTTCAATACAAATATCTTATGTCTAATATTCTATTGATGTTTATTCTGTTTTTAGATTACTTCCTACTATGGGTCTGATCATGTACGATACTTTGGCTAGTCAACCTATTGTGAAATATATCCGCCCTGTGGCCTTGGGTCTCAATGAATTGGCAACTGCACTGATGAACTATCCTTGGGATGCCTTGAAGTAAGTGAAAGCAGGAAAAGAACGATATTAACCTTTTATTTTTCATAGGAATGGAAAGTGTACGTTCGATGGTTTGATTTCCAAAATCAAAAAAGAAGAATCTTCTATATGTAATTCAATATCTTTACTTCGAAAGGTAGAAAAAAAAATATTCTTGAGCTTGTCTTTTTAGCTTTGATCACTAATACCTATTTTTTTTCCCTTTTTGGTTTCTTATAGTTCCCAAGACAGTATGATCTCGTTGAACGATTGGTGGTTAATCCACGGACTCGAATAAAAGAAGGTGACGAAAGGGCTGCGGTATTCAATCTGTACAAAAATGAATGTAAGATTTAAAATAATAGAAAAATTATACTTCATCACAATGTGTTGACTATTTCTTTCTTTCTCTCCTTTTATATACTAGACAATATGATTTCTAAACCTTCTTACAAGGAATATGTGTTTTATATAAACAGCTCCTCTAGTATAGAAACGCCATTACCTCAACGACAATACGTTTTAGTGAAAGATAATGAATTAAGGATGGTAGATATGTATAGTACTGATGGTCGTTATTGTTAGTCTTTTTTTATTTCTACCATCAACGCACAATAAAGATCAAACAGTGATACCTCACTTTTGAATGTCCGTCTCTATCTTTTTTTTTTTTTTTTCTGTTTTTTCCCGTTAATTTTCTACTTTCTTTTCTTTCTTTTAGTTTTGGTTTAAAATGTGGCGAAAAGAACAACATTTTGTGACGACAAAAAGTATTTTATATGATACGTTTTCACCTATGGTAGATGGTAACAGTCGGTCCTACTTTGAATGTCATGGTGTACGATCTTGTGGAAAAAGCAACTATGATATCTATAAAGGACAAGAATTCGATATCTTTGACAGCAACACTACACAGAACTATGACCAATATCCTTGTACCTGCCATAACAACAACAACAACAACAACAACAACAACAATAACAATAGAGACTCGAATGTATTATCACCTTCCTTACCACTGTGTAATAGCAGTGCAACAAGTAAAACCAATGACAGAAAACGCAAATCTGACCAAGATAGAAATGACAACATATTCTTTCGAAACAAACTTTGTAGATCTGCCACTCATATCAATAATAACAACAATGATAATAACAACAATATGACTATTTCTCCTTCTACAACTTCAAATACTTCTCGGACATCAAGGTTAGGTACTCACTTTTTCTTTCAAACTTATCCTCCTGGTACCTCAGTGGATGTATTCAAAACTACTATTGATAACAATAACTGTTTTTGTACTCAGCATGATATCTATTCTTGATCCTTTATAGATGTTTTCTTCCCTTCATAATATTACATTTGTACCATAGTTTATTTCTACTCTCAATCATTCTTTTTTTTTTTTTTTTTTTTCACAATAAAAAAAAAAAAATACATTAAGATTATACATTGATTTTTTCAGATTTTTTTTAGTTGCTATGTATTTTTTTTTTTTTTTTTTTTTGGGTCCGTCTTTTTTTTTTTCTTTTTCTTTTTTCTTTTTCCTTTTCTTCATATCTTTTTTTTTTTCTTTTCATGTCAACGGAGCACGCTATCCTAAACGTTGACGATTTTATTTCTGCTGACACTTCTTCAACAACCACTTGTACTCATCCATCTAACATGACCCACAATAAATATTCAGTCCTTCTTCCTACTTATAATGAACGGGAAAACTTACCCATCATCACTTGGCTTTTGGCACGTACTTTTACACAAGAAAACATTGATTGGGAAATCGTTATTATTGATGATGGAAGTCCTGATGGCACTTTGGAAGTGGCAAAACAACTTCAAACTCTTTATGGAGAAGACCATATTGTAAGTTCATGATTGGATACTTGGTCACTTTCTGACGCGCTTTTCTCTTTATCTTTTAGCAACTACGACCGCGTGCTGGCAAATTGGGTTTGGGTAAAAATAAATAGATCAATGGTGACAATATATGCTTATGTTTTGTCATTAACTCATTCTTTTTTTTTTTAAACAATTCAGGTACTGCTTATGTTCATGGTTTACAATTCGCCACCGGAAACTTTATTATCATCATGGATGCTGATTTCTCTCATCACGTAAATATTATTAGTTAATATTAATGACCATTATTATTTCTTAGTATTCATTTTTTTTTTTTTTTGGTTTAGCCTAAATATATTCCACAAATGATCAAGTAAGTATCCTTATAACTCCATTATTCCGTTTTTAATATATTAGTATTTCTAGTCATGAAGTCATGATATATACTGATTTTTTTTTTTATATGGACATGCATCTGCATCTAATGCAATAGGTTACAAGCGGAACATAACTATGATATTGTCAGTGGTACACGGTATCTTCCTGGTGGTGGTGTCTATGGTTGGGATTTAAAACGCAAATTGGTCAGTCGTGGAGCCAATTATCTAGCTACTTTACTATTAAGACCCAAGTCTTCTGATTTGACTGGAAGTTTCAGGTAGATCATATCTATATATATTTATAGCAAATGAGATTAATTGTTTTGCTATACTTCTTTCATATTAGATTATACAAAAAAGAAGTTTTATTCCAATTGATCAATGCGACTTTGGCCAAAGGTTATGTTTTCCAAATGGAAATGATTGTAAGAGCAAGACAATTCAATTATTCTGTTGGTGAAGTACCAATTACTTTTGTGGATCGTGTTTATGGTGAAAGTAAGATGGGTGTTTCTGAAATCACTCAATATGCTCAAGGTGTGTGGCGACTCTTCATGACCATTTAGTTTAGTTTTTTTTTTTATCTTCATTTATACATACTTTTTGATATTTAGATATGATTCCATCCTTTATATTAACTATAATAAAACAAATTTACATCCGAATGTATAGCGATATGTGATATGGGTATGATGATAAAGTAATAATAATAAGAATGAATACGATTTTTTATTGGATATATAAAAAAGAGAATTGTTTGTCTGTATGGTAGCGTTTTTATTAAAAAAAAAAAGTAATATAGAAAAGATATAAGAAGGGGGAAATAGTTGATAATAATAATAAAAAAAAATCACAGTGATGATTAGCTAAAAAATAATTGGTACAAGCTATCATGATACATCGGAAGTTTGTAAAGATTTGAGTAAAGCTTCAGCAGATAAGGTATCATCGTCAACATCATTGCATTGTTTTTGTCGAGATTTTTGTTTGCCACCAGTACGTCGTGTCCGAACTTCTACATCACCTACTCTTAGCTTGGCCAATAAATCATCCATCATATTTCGATCCGCATCTGTCCCAGTATTTGCATCTAATAATAATACAAAAAAAAAAAGAAAAAGAAATGAGCAAAATAAATAATATAAGAAGTTCATTACCTTCACTAATATCCACACCAGTAATTCGTTGTGATGATGATTCATCCTTGGCAGTATCTTGTATTTTCTTCTTCTTTTGACGTTCTTTTCGTGCCAATTCTTCTTGTTTGCGTTTTTCCTCACGTTCGATCTTTTGACTATGTTTTTCTTCCGCAATGCTTGCTTCTTTCCAAGATGTCACAAATTGAGCAATTGTGCTGAAAAAGTCATCAGGTCGCATCGCTTTAGGATTTTCGCCATAAAACATCATCACATCCTTCCATTTGGCATCCATGTTGACATAGAGTGTTTCTAGGTCTTCAAATCGATTGTTTGCTGCTTCACAATGTTCAGTCATCACATCCAAGAAACGATCACCTTCTTCGAGTGTCACATCTTCTGGTTGCCATTTTGTCCCCAGTTCCAACGTTAATTGTTTCAAGCTTTGTCTCATTTCCGTGTATTGTTGTACCATATCATTGATACTGGCCATCACTAGTGAGATAAAAATGATCAGTCATCACTTTGCCATATCCTTCATGTCTTACCTCTTGCCGCTTGCGGTGCATCTTTAAGATCCCGTACGAATTGTAGCACATGAGGAAAGTGTCGTCGAACAATACCAGTAAGGACATGTAGTAATGTTAAGGAAGAGACATTGGATGCTCGTGTGTCGACCAACTAATCAAATGAAATGGTATTAGAGAAATGATTTCTCTTATTCTTGTCTCATTACCTTGTTGATACTCGATATACGCATACCAAATGCACCTCCTTGAAGACTTGAAGCATTCATATAATTCCCAAGTAAAAGAATCACCTATAACAAATCAAGATAATAAAATATGAGAAAAAAGAGTACCTTTCAAAGGATCAGATGATATCAAGTCTATGACTTACACAAAGTAATTCCTTGAAACTACTTGAATTCCGTAAAGCATCCGATACCTCAAGAACCACAGTCATATTCTACATCACAAAAAAAAAAAAAAAAAAAAAGATAAGAAGACAGAAATGATTGATCATACAATTATTTACCTTTGTCAATTGATCATATCGCTCCCAGAACTGTACACGGAAAAGCATAAATTGAATTCTTGTTTCATAGCGATACATTTTCATCATCTATGTGAAAAAAAAAAAAAATAGGATGAGAATTGTATCCATACGCATTTCTTTCTTTTTTTTTTTTTTTTTTAAAAAAAATGAAAGACTTACCACAATTGTAAAGTGATCAGGTTCGGCTAACTCTTGACATTCTTCGGGTGTTGCTTTGAGGTATTTCTCCATGATCTTGAGATCATCTTGTTTATCTGGAACATAAGTGACCAAATTACTGAGGAATGTTTCAGTACATAAATCATCATCCATAGCCAAAATATGTTGTCTTGCTTCTTCCAAACTGGTAAACTTGCTAATTTTTGGTAATAGAGCAATACCTAAAAAAAAAAAATGAATGGACTATCAGAATAAATAGATTCGTGTCACTTACTAATGCTTTTTCCTTTGTCTTTAGCCAAAAATCTAATAGCATCCTTCTTTTCTTCAGCCTTTTTGGCCAATCTTCGTTCAAAGAAAGTATTCACTTTAGCAGGGAAGAGATCTTGAATCTTTGTAAACACACCATTTTCATCCAAAGCATCTTCTAGCGCATCTTCATCCACCGTTTGAGTCGTCCAGATCGTCTTTTCTACATTACGAGCATCTAGCTTTTGCCATTGCAAGTTCTTGAGTTTCACTTCAGGATAATGTCGTAGTTCTTTTCGTAAGGGTCCAAGAGGAACAGCAGGTACCAAAGGTCCACGGGCACCTATTTTTTTTTTTAAAAAAAAGATATAAGTATAAGTATTCACGATCTTTCTCTATCTAATGGTATACCTGGAGGTGGGGGTGGAGGAGGTGGAACGCCAGGACCGCCAGGTGCTATTGAAACAAATGTGATAAGTGACTCTAAATTCATATGCTTCTGATCTCTTTTCACTTACGAGGTGGAGGTGGAGGAATACCGGGACCACCAGGAGCTAGGAAAAAAAAAAGATATTCAAATCAGTAACTAAAGATATAGGGAATCAACTTTCTCTTCTTCTTTGGCTTACGAGGAGGAGGGGGAGGAATACCGGGACCACCAGGAGCTAGGAAAAAAAGGATATTCAAATCAGTAACTAAAGATATAGGGAATCAACTTTCTCTTCTTCTTTGGCTTACGAGGAGGAGGGGGAGGAATACCAGAACCACCGGGAGCTACAACAAAGAGAACAATGTATTGATGAGAATTCATGTGTTTATGATAGAATCGCCAAATGACTTTATTTTGGCTTACGAGGTGGAGGAGGAGGAGGAGGAATACCAGGACCACCAGGAGCTACAAGAAATATAGTGATAGGAAGTTATCAGCGTCAATCAATATTATTGTAATGTCTTGTTTTTACTTACGTGGAGGAGGTGGAGGAGGAACACCAGAAGTAGTAGGTGCTATAGGCAATATCAAAAGAAAAAATAATAATAATAGATCAATATATGGTTTAATCTTTTTTTCTTTCTTTTTTTTTTCTTCTACGGACGCCTTACGTGGAGGAGGTGGAGGAGGAACACCAGAAGTAGTAGGTGCTATAGGCAATATCAAAAGAAAAAATAATAATAATAGATCAATATATGGTTTAATCTTTTTTTCTTTCTTTTTTTTTTCTTCTACGGACGCCTTACGTGGAGGAGGAGGAAGAGGAATAGAGGAGGAATCTGATCCTATATAATGAGAAATAAAAGTAATCAAAAATATTTTCTTTTCAAGTCTCATTTGTATATAATAATATGAATCATAATACTTACCATGTACAGGTGGTGGTGGAGGAGGAAGAGGGATATCCGTTGAGGATGATTGCTCTATAATGATAAATAGTAAATAATGTTAAATCAAGTGATGATCAAAGCATGATTAATATTTACCTTGATTTTCGGTACCATCTGGCGTTGATTTATGTGCTATACAAATGCGTAAAATATAAATAAGTATATTGGATTTACTCTTTTGTCTTTATATGCGCATATTACCTTGGGAATCATCTTGTTGTTGTTCAGTAGAATTGATCAATGCACCCATATCGGCATTAGCATTCTAACAAATAAATGATAAAAACGAGTTGATAATGTACGATGAATATAAAACGAGTATGTACAAACGCACAAAAACACACATATGTATTAAAAAAAGATAATTTCTTACAGTAAATGATTGCTGCTTGTGTTTGGAGATTCCACTTGACAATTTCCATTCGTTCCCTAACACAAGCCCTGGCGATTTCCCATCAGATGTATCTTTATCCTTGAGTTCTTGCTGTAGCATGGCAATAGTTGCTTTGGATGTACGTAGTAGTGCCCGTAATGACGCATTTTCCATTTTGAGATTCAATGATCCTAATATATATAAAATTAAAAATACTATTAGCGAAACTTTTTTCTTTCATATATCACACTTACGCCTTGGTGGTTCAGATTCCTTCAACAATGGTGTATTGGCACCGCTACCACGTTGAGATCGTAGATATTCCATTTCCATTCGTAGTTCTTTGTTTTCCGCTCCCAATCGTAATAGTTGTTCCCTTGTTTCTGCTTCTTGTTCTTCTAATTGACGTAGTCGATCCAATTCACCAAATTTCTGAATAAGATGACCCACAGATACACCATAAGCCGAACTAAATGCTTCTGTTCCTACACTGCTGCGTCGATCCATAACTATTTGCTGTACAAGCTCGCTAATCATATGATGATAATGAGTTCTAAAGAATAGAAAAAAAAAGAAGTCAGCTTATGGTGTAGGTTCATATTTTTTTTTATCAATCAATATCATTTACTTTGAATCCGGTTCACCTTTGATCAGTAACATACTTCTAAAAGTTGCTACAAGATATTCAACAGCTTGAGGAGCATCTGCTAGATTATCCATAATTAGTTCAAAAAGTTCACTTGGTTGGGATACTTCAGAATACATGGATAATTCATCACCAAAAGCTTCTTCCAGATCATTTTCAGCAGCATTCTTGTATGCATTAATTTGAATAGTCAATAGATGATAATCCAGAGCTTCTAATTTGGGAAGGATGCGAGCCATACCGGATGCATTGAGCATATTTCTAAAATGGATTCGTTCAGTCACTTCACTGGGCACATTGGTCAAGACGTTCACCAACATCATATTTGATAACTATCAAAAAAAAAAAAAAAAAAACAAAACCAACCGAGCCAATATGAGTCGACAATTCTTTCTTCATTTCTCTCTATCTCTCTTTTTTTTTTTCTCATTTTTTCGATTACTTACAGCATATTCCATCAAATGATTATCTGGGGCATTATAAACACCCAATCTTTTCAGTTCATCCGCAGCACCCACCAAGGATCCCATTCGTCCACGACCATCGACTGTTTGTTCCAAGTCTTTCATCCATGAATCAAAGATACCAAGACTTTCTCGATGTTGTTGTAAGAGCTCAAATCCTTTCATAACATGATCATGACCTACAGGCACTTCACAATGGCATAAAAAGAAGAGCATATCACATGTGATTTTGCGAGTTTGCCAATGAGGAGATACCAAAGAAAATACCAATGTATGCGTATAGTTTGGATGAGCAATTGCTTCGCGAATACCCCACTATATATATATATTAATGTTAGTCATTTGTACATGTATTATTTCAGAATGCAACTATTTGTTACTTACTCTTGTATTCAATATGACTTTGATGCACTTGATGATTTCAATTTCCAAATCTAAAAATCGATCTTTCCTATTTCCACACAAAATAAATAATAAAAGAAAGGATGATGAATATAAATGGTATCATTGACTGATTTGTTGGATAATACCTTTCCGTTTTATGATTCACAAATGATAAACCGTTGATTAAAACATGGAAACCTTTAAGATTAATAAATTTGATGATCCAACTAGTTGAAAAAATATATATATAAATAGAATAGGATGAGTCTCTAATGATAATAATAATAATAATAATAATATAGAATAGTGACTTACTCAATAGGTCGAGTTCGTAAGCTGACTTCAAGGTGAGAAGCAATAGCAGGAGTCACAGCGCGTAAATCAGCTTCCATGAATTTTCGAATATAATACTCTGGTGTATTGCGATCGGAAGAGAGAGAATTTGGATCATTGGAAGCAGTATTAGCCGATGTAGTAGAAGAAGAGGGTGAGAGATTTGTTCCAGAAATAGGATCACCAGAAAGTGGTCTAGAAGTATGTTGATGATGATGATAGATAGTTTGTCGTTGTGAATGTTTTTCTACAGCTCTTGAACCTGCATCTACAGTTGCACTCCACATTTCACCTGCTTTTTCTGCTAAAATATTGATCAGTGGTGGTGGATCTTTATCATCACTCCCTGCTGCTGATGCTGATGTTCCTGATGCCAGTATTTCCGCTTGTCGATCTTGATTTATCATCAGCCATTTCTTTGTCGTATCCCAAGCTAACATACTTTCCCGTACTTGTTCATCACGTATTCCTCGTCTAGCCTATATATATATATATATATATATATATCCGTATTAAAAAAAAAAAAAAAAGAAAAAAGAATTGATCATCAGTTAGTATATGAGTTATTTTAACTCTATCTTAAAAAGTATTTTTTTACCAGCATTTGTTCAAACATATCATTCACTTGTTCAGGAGAAGGTAGGTCTTCAGTCACAGGTTCACCTGAATTTCGATTGGATATAATAGATCGTCTCCCATCAATGGATTGTCTATGACCTAAATATGATGATTAAATATTATTTCGTACCTTTTTTTTTTCTTTATTATTATGAAACATACTTGAGAAACTTTGTCGTTGAGAATAATTAGAAGAAGGTGAAGTTGACCTTTTTTGTTTTCGTCTTCCAAGACTTCCGAAGAAATCAGACATAGTATTAAACTCTTTTTTTTTTGTATAGTAAGTTTGTAGAATTGAAAGAAAGTAGTAAAAGATAAAAAAAAAAAAAAGAAAAAGCGTGTTGGGCTCAGTCTCATTCTATGAAGAGAATATTCATACCCCGAATGAATTTGGTCTTTTCTATACAAGAAGAAAAAGGGCTTTGATCAAAAAAAGGACCCAGGCCCTTTTTATTTTTACAAATTTTATACTTTATTCATTTATCAGATGATGATTCAAAATGATATTAAATTCATAATTTAGAAATATATAATACATAGAAAAAGAGAGAGGAAATTATCATTTAGATATTTAGAGATCAAATCCATTATTACCTTGTATAAAAAGACAAAAAAAAAAAAGAGAAAGAAAGAGACAATAGATTGTGTTACAAAGTCTTTTTTTTTTTTCTTTCTTGTGGCAACAGTGAAAAGTACTAAAATAAGAAGAATAAAAATATCGGAATTGAAATGATCAAGCCAATGATGATCATTCAATTTACACTTCCCACTTCAAAAATCAAAAGTAACGCCATTGTAGTACAAAAATAATAGGTTGTACCTGAATAAAATAATAAACTTTAACGAAAGATGACCTTATTTCTCTTTTTTTCTCTCAATTTTCTCATCTTTCTTTTTCACTTCAAACATATTTTTTTTTTTTAAAATCCATTCCTTTCCTTTTTATATCTATGGGACGTAAAACACAAAGAGCAAGTCAGTTATTTCATTCTGGACCTAAATGGAAAAGAGAATTTGTGCCGGACCACAAGTTTGATTATATTGATTTGACTGAATTTCGTTCAAAAAGTTGTTGGTATTATATACGATATATGATTATGTATATAGCTATCATTATCTCTTTTGCTGCTTATTGTGCTGATATTTGGTCAGCTTGTATTTTATTGATTTATAATGTAAGTAAATTTAAATTTTTTTAAAAAAAAGATAAAGATTGATTCTTTTTTTTTTAATTTTTTTAATTTTAATAGCAATGGTCTTTATCAAGTCCACCCAAAATTCCTCTCTATATCAGTAAATGGATTTTTGTTGGTTGTATCATATTATCATTTATTCTATTAGCTTGGGATATTCGAAAAGCAAGAATTGTTATGGCATCACGAGATATTTCTTATGCAGCAACAAATAATATTGCCTTTAGATATATGTCTGTTAAAAGTTATAATGCTTTTTGTTTATTTCTAAGGATTCAAAGTTCAAGAAAGTTTAGTGATACTGCTGCCTTCTATGTCTTCTTCACATTAAAAGGTATTTGATTTTAAATCACCGCGATCAGTTCCTTTTCTTATTTTTTTTTTTTTTTTTTTTTTTTTCAGGTTGGAAACGACTATTATTCGCTCAAGGTCCTAGACAAATTATTGCTGGTATTACTGTATATGCTATTCTTAAAACAGCTTGGACTAATGAACAAGGTAAAAATTATTTATTACAAATAAAGTACTTGACTAACTTTTTTTTTTTTTAATATCATTCTAGGCGGATTTCAATTCGACAATAATATGAACAAATATGGCAAAGATTGGCAACAGGTCATTGCTCTTTGTCTTATGAGTTTTACTTGTCTTTATTGGATCATTAGTGTCTTAAATCTATTATGTGCCATTCTCTTGTATATCCCTGTCTTTTGTCAAATTCAAGGTAATCTCAAGGAATTTTGCTGCCACAAGATTGATAAACGTATCTCTGAAATATTGGCCAAGCAACGCCGCAAACGACTACTAGCGCAAGAAAAGAACAATGGTAAAGGTAGAAAATATTCTGGTAGTAATGACGACAATTTGGCAACCATGACTCCTACATTACCTGTCTTGGTCGATGAAGGTGATCTATATAACGATAAACGACCACTCCATGATGATTATTACGGCTACGACTATGCCCTTAGTGAACCTGCGACACCTTATCAACATCATGCTATCACCTCTCCCATGCCTCCCATGCCTCAGCGTGCCTATACGCAACCCAGTCCGTATAACAACAACTATCATCCTCAACATGAAGAACCGACCGATTATTTTGATAATGCATCTTATTACTCATCGCCCAAACCAACTCCACATTATATAAATGATTACAAGTATGAGCTCACCGTAGATAGTCCATCCGCTTTCTCAACCACTATCGCATCACCTTATCAACCTCACTCGAATCACTCCATTCCATCTCCTTACCAACAACAACGATCTATTACTCAACCCATTATTACTAATTCGCCTTATTCTCATCCTTCCATCCGATCTCCCGATCCAAGACGACAACAACATCCACCTTATCATCAAAATACTTTTTAGTTAAGTCTTTTACCCATTTGTTTAGTGTATTTTTTTTTATGTGTATCATTAGTTTTTTTATATATATATTGATTTGTATTCAATCATCTTATTCTTTTCATTTACACCCAACCCCCCTTTTTTCTTTTGAAATAAATTATCATATGATTATTTATTCATGTTTAAAACTTTTCTTCGGTTTGAAAATTTTGATCCTTTTATTGAATAATCAATAACTAATATATTGATGTTTGATGATCATCTACTATCGTCTCTCTTTCTAACATTCCAAAAATGAAAAATAATACCCCCCAAAAAAAAGAAGAAGGACATAATGTTCATCTGGTTCAAATATAATGACAATTTATTTGATTTGTACAATGTAAGAATTAAAACTAACTAAATCCGGAAAAAAAAATCGAATATATATATATATAATAACAAGGGAATAGAAGAGACAAGTGATGTAGACCATTCTTCATGCAAAGGTTGTTTTAGGGACCATATCTTCCATTCTGATGATGTTTTTTTGATATAGGGTTGAAATGATCAATCAAACGTATAATATCCGGGAACACAATATCTTCGATACCAGCAGCCCAAATAAAATCCAAATGTTCCCAAGAATCAATTGATTTGATATATGCCAAAGGTCGAGGTAGATCACGAGATAACACTTTGAAGTTCACCAATAAGTCAGATCCACCATAAAATAAGGCCATGGGTGTTGTAATTTGTTTTGTAGGAAAACGAGGAGGAACATGATCCGTCACACTTGATTGTCGTTTGAATGGTAGTCTACTGGGCATTTCATCAAACATTTGAAATTGACCAGTGCGAATGATTTGGAACCAGTGCTAATAAAAACCAAAATAATATGAATCATTCATTGAATATGAGTGCTTTCTTTTTTTTTTTTAAAAAATAATAATCCATCTTACCACTAACGTTTTCACACTTGTTGGACTATACAAATGTTGATAACTAACGAGTTTTTGCTCTGGAGTAATATTATTGCCTTGCCAACCAAAAAGAAACTTGACACAGGTATCAATAATACGTACATACAATGGAGGACTGACCATACGTTGCCAAAACATTGCCAATTCCAGAGGCATTTTTCGACCAAAGATAAGATAAACTACAGAAGGAGCTGCCTTTACAAAAGCATCAATCAATGGATGATGTAATCCAATAGGTGTTGTAGCTGGAGCAAGAGCAATAAACAAATTGACCTTTCTGTTAAGATCCTGATTCACTGAAAGAGAAGAGAAACCTAATGCTGTGCCTTGAGAAAATCCAATATACGTCAAATCCTTGCGTCCAGTGAGTTTCAAAATATACTACAAAAAAAAAAAAAAGAATGTCAAGAAGATCAATATAATAAATAGATATAGAATAGATTGACACTTACATCAATAATATCTGGTAAATCATACATGGCCAATTCATTCAAAGAAAAATTCCAGAATTGAACATCATTCGCACTAAGTTTCAAGTGAGCTTGACTATACTTGTTTCCACGAGCATTCCCTAACCAGACATCATATCCACGGGTAGCCAAAAGTAAAGGAAGATTTCTGTATTCATCTATATTGCATGCCCATATTTCCGAAGACATCAAAAAGCCATGAAAGAGAAGTACCACAGGCCTAGTATCAGTCTTGTCATCATGGATTCTAGGAGGAAAATGATCCAAACAGTCTAATACATTGATACCTTGTTGATTGGCAATGATAGGTTTATTTTGATTCATATTCTTGTTTGATTTTGTACATATTACCCGATGAACACAGAGTAAGTATTCATCTTTTGATTTCACCAAATGTTGTTCACATTGATAATTTTTATCCCTGATTTTAAGAAAAAAAAAAGATTTAGGAGTAATTATTTTAAATATATACATAAATCACGAGTTGTTTACCAGAATTCTATTAGCTTGTCGAATGTTTGGGCATTTTCAAGAGAACAGACATGCGGTTTTTTATCCAATTTTGACAACCAAGGGAAGTAACTAAGAATATCCAAAAATAATTGATTCTTTTTTTTTATATATCTACATGTTTCCCTCCCATGCCATCATTCACTTACGCTGCAATAAAGGCATCGATAAGATCAATAACAAATTGCGGTAATACAGTAACGATGATTCGTATAAAACTTTCAAATATAAAAAAGATAACGGTAAAGACAATACTAAAGGAAGAATCGTAGAAATAAGTGACAGTTTTTATTATTCTAGATTATATTTACTTACTTTTGGAAATCACGAAAGGACAGTCTATCAAGAATAGGTATAGAAAGATACATATTACAAGGGAATGATAATGAAAGAAAAAAATAAAAAAAAAAAAAAGAGAAAAGAAAAGAAAAGAACTATTTCTGAAACGCATGCCTGGCATTTGCTTTATTCATGATTGGGCACTCAGATGGCCAGAAATGGTAACCATTTTGATCCTAGAATTGAGCCCCAGCTGACGTTCTACCTTTTTTTTTTTCTTTATCATTTTCGACACGTCTTCCTCCCCCTTCTTTAGTTTTTCTTTTTATTTGAATTTGTTTTTTTCTTTCTATTATACATATAGTATGGTCTTAGTAACTCAAGCTTCATGGTCTCTACCTTGTATTCTTGCTGCTATTCAATTAGTTCAAGCTTCTTCTTCTACTATCAAGGGTGTTGCACCTGAAAGTAAGTATCATCCAAAAAAATTAAATGAAAAAATAACAGGATGAATATACTCTCCTAAGGAAAACCTGTTTATATAGCTTTGTTCACTTACTTTTTTTTTTTTTGTCTAGAAATTGCTCTTTATCAACCTGATAGACAACAAAACTGGAAGTGCTTAGACGGCTCCAAGACCATCCCGTTTAAAGCCATCAATGACGACTATTGCGACTGCCCTGACGGATCCGACGAACCAGGTAAATCAAATCACTTCAAGCTTACTATTTTTTGATACTTACCCTTCCTTCCTTTTTTTTTTTTTTTTTTTTTTTATTAATAAAGGTACTTCGGCATGTCCCAATGGTTATTTCTACTGTGAAAACAAAGGTCACTTACCAGGATATATCAAAAGTTGGGCAGTCAACGATGGTGTTTGTGGTAAGATTATATATAAAAGAAATCATTATTTGATACGGAACTTGATCATTCATTTATCTCTCTCTCTCTCTCTCTCTCTCTCTCTTATTATTTAGACGAAGCTTGCTGTGATGGATCGGATGAATATAATGGTCTGATTCAGTGCGCTAATCGATGCAAAGAAATGGCTCAGGAATATGAAAAGATACAAGCTGAAATCCGTCGATTGAACAATGAAGGTTATGCTGTCAAAGAAAAATTGATCCGAGAAGCTGAAATGACAGTGCGTGAATGGTTAGAAGAAAAATCAAAATATGAAGATGCTTTGGCTGCCAAACGTGGCGAATTAGATCGATATGAACGTAAGTTAAGTTTTTATTTTTTTTACTTTTGTATGATGATCAACATTATTTTATTTTAGGTGAGGTGAAAGCTTTAGAAAAAGAAGGAAAGCAACATACAACCACGAGTGAAAAACAATCTCATGCTTGTAAACAACATAATAGCGCCCGACAGGAAATCTTGGAGAATCGTGTGAAACAATTACGCGAAGAAATTGATACATTAGTATCCATCTTGCACGATTTGAAGCGGGATCATAACCATAATTATCATGATATGGCCGTCAAATCAGCTATCACCGGTTATGATGAATTCCTACCAAGATATGAACAATTACGTGGCAATATGGAAGAAGACTTGGATGCTACTATTGTGGTCGATGATGATGGTGATGATGGTGATGATGATGAAGAAAATACCTTTGAAAATGAAGAATACCAACAAGATGCAGCTGAAGATACAGGTAAACAATAAAAAAATTATTATTATGTTTTTATGACTAACTACTTCATTTATTATTGTTATTATTATTATCTTTTATATTTTCTTGCCTTTATTTTTACACTTCTCAAACATGATCTTTGGATGGTATGTGATGACTTCTCTTTCATATATAGGTAAGCAAGTGAAGACATTGACTAGAAAAGTATTGGGCAAATTGGATACACTTCTTCCTTCTAGTTGGAAAGATCGATTCTTCTCTTTCGAACAAAGGGATGATGGGAAAACTATTTCAGGTGGGGGAGCATGGTTATATATTCAGAATATTTATTAACAGTTCAATCTCTTTCTTTTCATCTTTTTTTTTTCTTTTTAGAATTAGATAAAGTACGTCAAGTACGGGATGGATTGGATGTTGAAGTCAAAGGGTTGGAAAATCAACTACGGGATGTTAACGACAAGCTGAACTTTGATTATGGCAAGGAAAAGGAATGGCTAAAGTTGAAAGATACTTGTGTTGAAAAAGATGACGGAGAGTAAGTTGGTTATTATTATTATTACTATTATTATTATTATTTTTTTTTTTTTTAAAAAAAAGAGAAAACAAGACAAAACGAGAAAATGATGAGGTTTACTGATGATCAACTCATTTTCCTTTCTTTTGGATATAATAGATATATTTACTCGTTATGTATTCTTGGAGGGGCTAATCAAAAGTCGCATAAAGATGGAAGCAATATCAATCTTGGGTAAATAGATAACCTTATTACGAACGATCATGATGACTTATTATTTATTATTATTTATAGTCAATTTGAAAGTTATGTTGGTGAAGGTGATGATTTATATAAGGAACATGTACATACTCATGGATTACGATGCTGGAATGGTCCTGAACGTAGTGTACGAGCTATCTTTGAATGTGGTGGAATAACTGAAATCTTGGATGTCATGGAACCTGAAAAATGTGAATATCATTTCCGTATGCGAACACCAGCTGTATGTCCAACTCCTGATGATGAGAATAAGTCTGAACCGAAAATCAAACAACATATTCATGAAGAATTGTAGATATCAGTTAGTTAGATATGATTGATTCTTTTTTTTTTTTTCTCTTGTTGGTTTTGAAATAAAGATGGTCTTTTTTATGATATCAATGATGATTATGATGTACGATGATAGATGGATGACAAGATAAGATGAATAAATAGATAATGATGAAAATGGAAATTCCAAGAGATAATGATAATGATAAGAAGAAGAAAAAAGAGACCAAGATAGAATTTGATAAAAAATATTTATTTGTTTTGTTTTATTTTAATGAATGAAAAGGATATGAATATAAAAAAAAACGTAAAGTAAATAAAAGTATTGAATGGGGAGGGATATTTGAATTGTTTTTTTTTGTTTTCAATGCAATAATATATGAACTAAAAGTAGATTAAAAAAAAAAAAGAAATAAAGTATAATATAATAGTATAAGATGTAAGTAAATATATAAAAAAAAGACTATTTAAGCTTTCACAGTAGGATTGACATTTTCAGTAGAAGGATGGGAAGATTTGAGACCAATAGAAGATTGAGCATAAACAGTATAGTAGTGTAATTGATCTTGAATGCCACCAACGGAAGATTGAAGGAAGGGAACAATATAATCATGAGATAATTGGAGGATGTTGGTTGCCTTTTGGAGAGGAGCGATATCTTCTTTGAGAGCTTCGGTACGGATGATATTGTATTCATGACCAGCAAATCCAGCCAAAGGTTCCAAATTCTTTTGTACAAAGTCAGGTAATTTGGTAGAACGGTCCTTCAAGAATTCAGAGGCAACATCTAATCTATTGAATAATTCCACAGTGAGATCATGAATGCGTTGGTTTGTCATAGCTTGAGTTGATTCCAATCCACCTTTGATATTATCACGAAGTCCTTGTACACGATTTTCAGCCAATTGACGAGAATGTGTCACCCATTCTTGAAGTTGATGATTGATCTTTTTCACATGAGCCACAGTATCTTGAAGGTATTGATTTGTTTCAGCCAAACGAGCCACTTCCTCTTTACTACGAGGAATATGTTCAATTTGTTGTTGATAACGTTGATGAAGTCTATCCTTAACATTATTAGCTAAATAATAAAATCGTGCTAAAGCCAATTGTTCATCTTGTTGTTGTTCATTTGTATTGTTATCGGTTGGAGGTAACCATTTATCAACAAGAGTTTCAATATTTCCAGCAGCAGTAAGCATATGTTTATTGACAGGAGTAGAAACAGAGGATACAAGTTGTTGAGGAGATTGTCTGACAGCTTGAACAAGTTCATCAGTAGATTGAGTAACAACAGGAAATCTTTGTTCAAGAATATCTAAAGATCGACAACCAAGAGCATCGGCTTTTTTGATATATTGTTCAGTATAAGGAGTAGCCATTTCACTAGCCTTGGTAAAAGTATTTTCAGCTTGTTGAAGAGCATAACGACTAATGGAGGTTTGATTTGCAATTTGTTGTACTTTGCCAAGACTATCTTGAACAACAGGGAATGCAGATACACGAGACCAAAAAGTGGCTATAATATATAAAAAAGTAGCTTTTAATAAAAAAAGAAATATAATAAATATTTATTTTATATTATTACCTTCAGTTGATTCAGGAGCTGTAGTGATTTGTTCTGTCATATTAGGAAAAAAAAAAAAAAGTGTTGGGAAAAATAAGAAAAAAAGAAAAGGGGACGTGCGGTCAAAATTCTCTTTTTATATATATATATATATATTTTGAACTATTCATTTTGACATGTGAAAAAAAGAAAAAAGCCGCGGCATTCGAAAATTGTCCAAAAGTAGACCAAAAAAGCAGAAGACAGATCATGAAAGAAATCAAACATATCGGATGACAAAGATTTCTATAGAGAGAGAAAAAAAAGAAGAGTTCTTTTTTTATTATTTTCATAATTCGTTATCATTAAATAACAACATCTCTTCCTACAAGAAAAGAAAAGAAAAGAAGAAAAATAAAGTTTTTTAAAAATTATAAATGAATGGGGTTACTAGGTGATTTTTTTTTTTTTACAAAATAATAAAAATCATATACACGGCTGGAAAGACATGGAAAAACAAATGAACACTATGCTTATGATTCCCCCCCATCATTGTCTTTTTTTCATCAAGTTTTTTTTTTTTTTTTTTTTATCTTCATTGAAGATTCAACTCCGCAATGCTTTGTTGTTTGTTGACTAAAAGCAACCGCGCCTTTTTTTTTTTTTATCTTTTTCTTTTGAAACCTTTCGGAAAGGATTATGATAAAGCCGATATTTTCCTTGATATCTCATCGATCAGTAAAAGGTAATATAAAATATTAGAAAAAAAAAACTTATTATTTATTTATTTTATATAGCTTTACAATATCGAACAATAATAACAACAACAAAACCAAATGTTTGGGTAGTCACTAATGGTGGTATTGAATCTACTTTACAAGCTGCTACTATTGGAAAACATCTTGGAAATCTTACAGTCAAAACTATTGTATCAACTCCTCGTAAGTTTGAATTTTTATATATAATAAAATAACTAAAAAATTATTATTTATTTTATAGTTTTAAGGTTATTTCCATTGGTGATTCAAAAGTATATTGTAGACTGGGGTTTGAAAAGAAAAAAGGAGAATGGATTAAAAAAACTTCCTTGGTATCTTGAAGGAAATGATGATCAATTGGATGGTCCTTTACCTGATTATGTCGTTTGTAGTGGTGATGATGCTGTACCTGGATGTTTACAAGTAATCAAATCATTTCCATCAAAACATCCCTTTTCAGGTAATCTCTTTCAATGTCATTTTTTTTATTTTAATTTTATTTTACTAATTTGGTCTTTTTTTTTTTTTCTGATATAGTTTTCCTTGGATTTACAAATTTACCTTTTATCCACTTTGATCAAGTGGTGATACCAAAATATGAAGCAAATGTGAAAATGGCCAAATTGGGACCTTTGGCACAACAAAAGAATTGCATAGTGACAGAAGTAATTTTTTTTTTTTTTTTCAGATGAAAGAAAGGATGGAACACAAGCTTATTTTATTTCTTTTGATCTATACTTGGTTTAGGCACCGATAGTGGATTCTTCTTTATGGCCCATGTCTCCGAAATCAAAAAAAGTTTATACTGATTTACTTCATCATCTATCTTTTCAAAACAATTCTGATTTGACTGTAATAGTGATTGGTGGTCATACATCTCAATGTCGATGGTATACTGAAAATGCTCTTAACTTGGTTGATAATATGAAGGTAATTCAAATATATACCGGAGTTTTGGATGATATTCTTGGAAATTCATATGCCTTTTTATATATGTTGTACATAGAGAATGGTGACTCAATTGGATACAAATCTACTTGTGATCTATACTGAAAGAACAACACCTTTGGTAAGTAAGAAAAATTAAAAGGAATTTACTTTTTTCTTTTTATAGATATAAATCAATCTCTCTCTCTCTATATATATAGATCAAAACAACTATACAAAAAAACATCAATAAAAGTATTCCGGATCATGCCACAAGGGTTGTCACATGGGATTCAACAATAAGTGGATTGAATGGATTGGAAAAGATGGAAGCATATGATAACTTGATTCAACAAGCTTCTAGGGTGGTACTAACCGCCGATCTTGATTATATCACTGCACATGCTACCATGAAAAGGTAAAGAAAAATTATATTCTCATCAAGATGATCACTCATCATTATTTTGATAGAAAACCAGTATATATTACATTTGGTGGATTATGTAGAGGTCATTTATTACAATTCCATCGTTGGTTACGTGAACATCGATTGACAAGGAAATTAAGATTGGATCGTAAACGAAAGAAAGCTTCAACCACTGATCATACTGATGCATTTAGTTATCTTGGTCATCATCCCCCTTTTGGTACTGCTGCAAAATTATTCCCCACCTCCACCTTGAATAAAATCGCTCATGAAGTAGAGACTATTCGTCAGGAAAAACTTACTGGAAAACGACGCCAGGATTAGGTAGAATTGGATTGGAGATCATTGTATATATAGATAGATAGATAGATAAATAGATAAATAGAAGTATAGACAAATAATATATATTTTTTTTTATTTATTGAAATAAAATTGGATGATGAAGTGCATATCAAAAAAAAAAAAAAAAAAAGAACTAAACTGCGGGATATATATATATATATATATATATATAAAAGGACCGAGACACATAGTGGATTTACCTTTACTAGACCAACTTATTCATGGGTATGACATAAAAGATAGAGAGGACTTATTTGCCTTTGTCATGGTATGATGATTGTTGCAGTCGTTTCGTCATAGGATATCCAGTATGTCGACTAGAACTTTCTGAGAAAGGAGGACTGTGTGCAGGTGCAATAAGAGTATGCGTCACTGTATCATCATCGTCATCAATACATGCATGGTCGTCCTCCGATAATGATGGATGCTGTTGTGAAAGTCGTTGTTGATTAAGAATATCAAATTCATATATCAATGAATTGCGTGGTGATGATGGTGCCTGTTGAGATACATTTGTATAAGCGGTAATATCCTTAGCGTTACCTGGTCCCTTGATACGGCGTCGTATCATCCACGATAATGTTGCAGCTACTAATCCCACCATACCTACAAATAAATAATAGGAAACAGATGTTGAAGATGTACTATCGTTTGCTGGAGGAATCGATCCTGATATAATGGTATCCATATCATCATCAAAGAGAGGATAAAGTGGCGTAGGATGGTTGATGTCTGTCAAAGAGGAAACAGTCGCAATGATTGGAGACGTTGTTGTTTCTGTCAATGATACTGTTGATATTGTTGTTATTGGTGTTGGTTCAATTGAGGCAGATTGTTCTTGAGAGATATTACTACCAGATGATATTGTTGAGGATTCATGATCAAATGATGTGTTGGGTACATTGTTAAATGGTATCGTTGTTGATGTCGTGGTCACAGGTTCAGGAAAATGAATAACCTCGCCTTCCATTTCTTCCACCATTTCACCCCATAATGTCAATGTCCAATTGGTAAAACTGCCAGTGAATTTTGGGTTCCTCCAATCGATGATTCGTAATGTCCAATCTCCCACAGGTTCTTCTTCCCTATTAGAGTTAAAACATAATGAATACACACAAAAAAAAAAAAAAAAAAAAGAAAAGGAAATATATTCCTAGTACTTACCAATGCTTCACAGTCATAAATGTCCAATCAATCAAACCTTCCGTACTAATATCATATTTTCTTGGCGCACCTAGTTGACTTGTCACATTTTGTGGACTTTCTAACAAGACTTCCAAATCGCCTCGTCTACCATGTTCGATATACACTGTAACTGTCACATGTTCTAATCGAGAGATACCAGCATTGTCGACCATATCTTGAGTGATAGTGATGGTGTCTGTCAAATCATCCAAGCTGCCAATGGTTGCTGAACGATCAGGGATAACACGTTTATTCTTGGGTGCAGATACTTGAAGATATGTTTGCTCACGCACATTTTCAAAATATTTGGCTTTTTCCACAATAGCATACGCATCTAATTTCCCATATCCAAACTTGTGATTGTACATACGACCTGAGGGTAATAGAGTCCAATCATCATCTTCTAGTGATAGTGGTAAAGCTGTTTGTACACAAAGATGTTGCATGTCCCGCCATGTCAAGTCAGATCGGACCGATAATACCAAAGCGAAAACTCCTGCTGCCAAAGGTGCTGCTGCCGATGTTCCACCATGTCGATCAGTACATTTATTCTGCCCAATATCAGTTGTGTACTATATATATATATATATATATATATATATATATATATAAATTAGTCATCTCTTTTTTTTTATTCAACTTTTTGATAAAACTTACAATATTTCCACCACTTCCACTAGAATATGTTACAACCAATTGAGCAGAGCATCTTTCAGCATAATAAGGATGATTGCCTAGTCGATCAATGGCGCCCACTGTGATTGTATAAATACTATTTGTATATCCATCAAAATTGCAATTGTCATCGTTGCCACCACCATTTCCGGATGCAAATACAAAGATAGTTCCTGTTCCATTTCGACCATTCTTGATTCCATTTTTGATGGCATCCAATACAATTCCTTGAGGTGCTTCTGCTACTTCACCATAGTCTGGAGGACCCCATGAACATGAATAAATATGATTTTCTTGATACTTATAATTCAATGCTCGAGCTTCATCTTCATCTGTAATATCTGCCGAAAGAATTCGAACACCTATAAAAAAAAAAAAAAAAAAAAAAAAAAAACTATTAGACTAGTTCATTATGAATTTTTTTGTTTCTTACCTGCTACTTTTGCTTCATATGCCATACCAACACCACAAACACCATTTTTGACAGCAGCAATTTCACCAGCACATCGAGTTCCATGGGTATCATCAGGGAGTTTTGGTTTAGGTAAATTGGAATGATCATTAAAATCATAAGATCCGGCCGCAAACTATATTAGAAATAAATGATAAAAAAAAGTTATGATTTCTCTTTTCTATTTTTTCTTCTTGTTTATGTTTTATAACTTACAAAGTTATCTTTCAAATCATCATTATCCATATCAAGTCCATCATCTAAAATAGCAACCACCACATTCTTGCCGGTAATACCTACAAGATGTCGAGTTAAAAATAGAAACAGAATCGTATGAGATGAAAAAAAAAAAAAAAAATAGGAATCATAAATCATTAATGATGACAATATTTTTGTTACCTTGACTCCATACACCAGTGACATTCAAATCATGACCATGCTGTTCTTGATTGATCTATATAGAGAAAAAAAAAAAGGTATGAGCTTTTCATCTGTCAAGTATATCTATTCTCTTGTTATTCATTCTTACCAAATGCCATTGTTGATCAAAGCCAGGATCTTCGATTGCCAAGGTACGTTTCAAGGTCTGAAAACCATCAGGACGGGTCAAAAATTCCTGGGCAGAGAGAGCATTTTGCCATTGTTCTTGTTGTATATTTTCCACCACAGGACTATCATCGTCTTCTTCTTCTTCTTCCCCTTGGAACATATCCTGTCGTTTGCAATGATGATGATAAAGCTGAGTTGGAGGCATACGTTTCACTAATCGTCGACGTCGAGTTGTTTGAGGTCGTAGTGATTCCACCTGAACAAGTAAATGAGATGATTGTCGTTTATGCCTTGGGCTATTACCATTTTCCTGCTTGAGTTGTTCAAAACGTTTGACCATCATGTCATCTTGGTTATCTTCCAACAACAGATCGCGTTTATTCTTGTAATATGATGGTATACTGATTTCATGGTATTGTTCTAATTCACCAATATGACCTTCGTATCTTGCATCTAGTTGTTGAGCCACATGGATCGCAGCATCACGATTACCACTTGGTATATAGAGAGTATAATATGATCGTTGATCTGGTTCACGTGCATATAATGAAGAGGCAAATGTAATAGGTGTTATATATACTAATAAAATAAGTAAACAATGATGTAATAGCAACATTGTTGAATGTATAATAGATAGACAAAAAAAGGTATAATAAATTGTTTATTGATAGTATAGAGAGTGTATATATACAAGAAGAAAGAAAGAAGGGAAGGGGGGAAGGAAAGAAGTATTAATGGTTGGAAGGGAAAGGGAAAACGAGGTAAGGAAAAAAGTAAAAAAAAAAAAAAAAAAAAAGTAAAAGAATCCAAATTTCATATTCCCAAATATCTAAAATAATTAGAATTAACAAAAAAGGGGGGGAGAAAAATAGAAAAAGAAGGGGGGGAGGAAAAGAAAAAAAAAGAAAGGAGAAGCGGGGCATTAAATTATATAATAAAGGTATGATTTTTTAAACCATTGGCTAATTCTATTTCATTACGTCGTTTATGCATCCTTGTCTTGATATCTTGTTTTTCCTTATCCAACATCTTTAGTACTTGTATTTGTTCTTTTCTTTCTTGATTTAATCCCAATTGAATAATATTTTGCCATTGTTGATGTCGTTGACATTCTTTCCTTTTGATTTGACATTGTTGTTGACTATGTTCATCCATGATCACATCGTCTTGCCATAATAAATCATCCCATACTAATCTTGTATCAAATCCACAAATATCATCCGTTATCTGCTCCATTCGTTTTTCCACTGTGGCAAGGAATTTTTGTTTTTGTTCAATCATTTTCACCATATCTTGCGCCTTTTGTTTTTGTATCCTTAATTGTCCCAATCGATGTTGATCTTCCTTTTCTGCATAGGATGTTAATCGTGACTGTCGCTGTTGCTTAATGATCAATTGAGGTATGTTTTCAATTGTTGATCCACCATCGCCACCTTTTGCCAGTCGTCTCTTCATTTCATTTAATTCCAATCTTGCTCTAGCCACTTGCATACCACAATTATGTGAACAGTATTTTGATATATAACCTTGATGTGATCCAATCCTTGCTGCCTTTGAACAAGCTGGATTACCACACTGTGGTTTCCATGATGTTGTTTTACCAGTTTCTAATTGAACAAAATAATAATAATAAAATGAATAAATTTCATCAAATATAGATCAATTCCTTTTTTTTTTTTTTTTTTTTTTTTACCTTTTCCACAAACATCACAGAAATAAAGATCAATAAATTCACCTTCTTTTTCACTGATACCAATACATTCACCATGAAACCATTGATCACAACGATCACATGCAATCATAAACCTTGGAACATCATAAGGAGTTTGACAGATACAATAAAGAGCACCAGATTTCGCTAAGCTTGCTTTTGAAGGTCGACCACCGCCAGATCTTCTAGGTTTGGATGGAACGGCATCAGGAGTAGACTTGCTATATTCGGAGACATTGGATATTGGTGGTCTCCCTTTCTTTTTTCTGACCTTTTTTGGCTATAATCAATCAAGATAATATAAAAAAAAAAGATATATAGGATCAGTCCATTGTCTATTAATAAACATGCATTATATATATATATATATGTATATATATTACTTTTTCATCAGGAGCCCATGGCGATAAAGAGGAAGATGATGGATGAATGTTGTCTTGCCGATCTGTCGGTAAAACATCAGAGGACTATTGATAAAAAAAAAATAAACAAACATGATTATTATTGCTAATATATAAAAAAATCATTCTATAAAAAAAAATTTACCTCCAATATATTTTTGGTCTTTGTCCAGTGTTTTTTCAAAGGTTTTTTGGTCTTTTGCATTGATGTAACTGTTGGCTTCTTACTTACAGCAGATGGTGTAGTGATGGTAGTAGCAGGTTGTATGATCACAGTTTGTTTTGATTGTCCACTACCTATATCATCCTCGTCGTCATATGTTGTATCGTCCTTGTGTCGCTTTTTATTTTGTTGTTGTTGGTGAAAATAGTCTTCATCGTCAGTTTCCGTCGTTTCACCACTATCGTCCTCAATATTCACAAGAGGTGAGGAAGATCGACTACTGTTATGGGAGCTATTTGTCGTTGTAGTGATTTCATTTATCGGTTGATCGACAGACGGAACTACCATTGCTGCCTCTTTGGTCGGAAGAGTATCGTTCGGTTCAGAGATGATAGACTGAGAACTGGGTATAACAGGTGCCGACAAATTGGGTTTGGTGAATTGTTTTTTCAATGATTGTATTCGTTTCCTTGGTGGGAGATGTTGCTTCATGACATCAGTAGTTGTCATGGTGAAATGAGTCGTACTGGTGACTGAATTGGTTGAAGTAGTTTGTTGATTTGCAGGATCATTGAGTGAAGAAGGAGTTGCTGTGGTTGAATGGGAATAAGATGGACTATGTTGATGAGCTACAACATGTGGAGGAGTCAGAGTGGGTACTAATACTATAGGTGGTTTATCAATATCTTCAATCGAATGATTAGGTGGAGAATAAGTAATGGGTTGAGTTTGTTGCTTTTGTTGTTGTGAATCTGTGGGTGTATTTGCCATATATAAAGGAAATAAATTGAATAAACTAAGTTTGTGATACAAAAGAATAAAAAAAAAGAGAAACAAAAGAATAAAAAAAAAATCCCCGCCTTTTCAAATGAAATGCAACTTGGCCTTCCGCCTCGAGTTTGTGTACCCTTATCAATAACAAAAGCCCAAGTTTATTATTCATAATAATAATTATTTAAAAATATAAAAAAACTACAGAATAATTACAGAGTCTTGACCTTGCCACGGAATTCTTCCACAGACTTGTATCCTTTCTTCACCATAATATCTTCCAATTCCTTTTTGACACGATCAAACATAGCAGGACCTTCTTCTTTCAATTGAGTTCCAATTTGTACAGCAGATGCACCCGCCAAAATATGCAAGAATGCTTCTTTACCAGATACAATACCACCCACACCAATGACTTGTTTTCCAGGAAGACGACGATAAAAAGCATTGACATTGGCAAGAGCTGTATTGAGTACCATCAAACCACCCAAGCCACCAAATCCATCTTTAGGTTTGATCAAAGCAGTTTCCGTTTCCAAATCAATAGCCAATCCATTACCAACTGAATTGATACAAGTAACGTAAGCAAGATTATCATATTTGTTGACAACAGCAGCCACTTGATCAAAATGAGCAATATCAAAGTAAGGAGGAAGCTTAATACCAAAAGGTTTCTTGATCAATGGCGCCAAAGTAGCAAGAGCAGTATCCATAGCTTCAATATCATATCCAAGTTGAGGTTTACCAGGTACATTGGGACAAGAAAAGTTAACTTCCAACACACAAGGTAGATTGGCTTGTACAAAGGCTTCCACCATCTTGACATTATCGGCCAGCGACAATCCGGATAAGGAGATGAACAAAGGCTTAGATTGGGTATAGTCAAACTTGCGAGCATAATTGAGATAGTATTCATAGCCTTCGTTAGGAAGTCCCATAGAGTTGATGCTGCCTATTCCATTGGGTAAAGGAAGATAACGAGGAGAAGGGTTACCTTCACGGAATTCATAGGTTGCTGACTTTGTGATCAATGCACCAGATCCACTTTCCACTAATGCTTGCAATTCTTCTTCTTGTTGACACCATACACCTGAAGCATTGAAAAAGACATTGGGTAAAGACACACCAGCAATGGAAGTAGAAAGGTCAACCATGTTGTTCTAAACGTGATGGAAAAAAAGAAAAAAAAAAAAGAAAAAAAGAAAAGTGAAAATCAAAAAAAAAAAAAAAAAATAAAGGACCTTGTCTTTCTCATTGAGCTCCGATCGGTGGCGCTTTCTAGTATCGACTTTCGGATGGAGGTTTTCCATCCCTCTCTTTGAATTATACCATTGATTTCTCTTTTGGATTATTCATTAAACATTCAAACCATTGTATTTGTATTGTCCGTAACGGGGTAGACCTGCACCTCTTTATACCTTTTGCAACTCGCTCAAAAGTGATCATCATCGCACCAAATTTGGATACAACATAGATGAAATCATTCTCTTTCACTTGTCTTAATAACAATTTATACCTTACCTCCCAATTTATAGAATAAAATAAAAAATAAAAGTCAATATTGTCATTTCTCATTCAATAATGATCATCATCCAATAAAATGACCACCATTAGATTCCTCTCTAAAAAATAGCTTAGTACCATCTAATACTATTTTATCGCTTACCTTACCGCGTAATGTACAATGATCACCAAACTATTTCATCGTTTTTTCGAAAGATTGCCTGATGACCCCTCGACGATTTATTTTTATAGCTAAAATTTGGCTGAGGAATTTGAAATTTTTGGCTGTAAAATCACAAAATTTTCAAAAAAAAAAAGTTCATTCAAAGTTTTCAAAAAAGTGAATCTACAGCTCTAATCAACCATTTTTAGATTTAGATCTATCATCATACTGTATAAACGCCATTAACAGAGGACATGATGATAGTATGGTATGTGATATGTATGATGTATGTAATAATCTATGATGCGGGATGATGGATGATGATATAATGATATGATGGATAAATGAATAAAATAATATAAAGTTATTTTTTTTAATTAAAATATATGCTTAGATTTTCATTTTACATCGAAATAGATTTACATATCAATTTGTTCTCGAGGGAAATCTATTCTCACTCTATGATTTTATCAAGTCGTTGTATATCGTAGTATTCGTATGAACATCAACCACATATTATGCAAACTTAAAAAAAGAAATGAGATGTGTACTACACATAATAAGCCACCAACAATACCACTTCAATCTAACTCGTTAAGATAACCATTATATACTATGAACATTTTACTTTTTATGATAGTGACATATTCCGCTATCCAATGGTTTCATCGAGTGCCAGATTTAGGGTTTATCAGTAACCAATCAGAACGCTGGCTTAGAAAATCGTTGTTGTGAGTCAATACGGTAAAAATTATGCCTATTTCTTTGGAAAATTGTTTCTATCTTTTTTTTTTTTGTTTTTCCTTTCTCTTTCTCCCACTTTTTTTTTTCTCCCCACTCTTTCTCTAGTATTATTTTCTCTTCTTTGTGTATAGACATGGCCTCTAGGATACTTTCAAGAGCAACACCTCTTACTACTCGTTCAATGTAAGTTTCTTTAAAAAGTGAACATAGAGTATATATGTTGTGTCAACTTTTTTTTTTTTATAGGCGCGAAGCTAACAAAGCTGTACCCATTGGTTTAAGACATTATGCTGCTACCACTTCTGAAAAGAAAAAGTTGAATAAATATAGTTCTATTATTACTCAACCCAAATCTCAAGGTGCTTCTCAAGCTATGTGTAAGTGAAAAGAATAAGAGAGATACAGAAATATATTTATGTGAGAAATGAATCGAGTCAGACTTGAACGTGTTCAGTGAATTCATTCAACTTATTTTTTTTTTTTTTTGATATAGTGTATGCTACTGGTTTGACGGACGAAGATATGAACAAGGCTCAAGTCGGTATCTCTAGTGTGTAAGTAGATATATACTTTCTTTTTCATTCAACTTTTTAGCTAAATACCTCTCTCTCTCTTTCTCTTTTTTTTTTTTTTTATGATAGTTGGTATGAAGGCAATCCCTGTAATATGCATTTATTAGATCTGGCTGGCAAGGTCAAGGAAGGTGTTCAAAAAGCTGGATTGATTGGTTACCGATTCAACACTGTAGGTGTTAGTGACGGTATTTCTATGGGTACTCGTGGTATGAGTTATTCTCTTCAATCTCGAGATTTAATTGCTGACAGTATTGAAACCGTAAGTGAAAAAGATGAAGATCATGGAATGAAAATTTTGTATGGATATATTTATACATATTCTTTTTTTTTTGTATATATAACAATAGGTCATGGGAGGTCAATGGTATGATGCTAATATCTCTATTCCTGGCTGTAAGTGATTGGAATTATTCTTTTTTTTTTTTTTTTTTTTTTTTTTTTTTTTTTTTTAAAAAAAAAAAAAAGGATAGAGATCTGATCTGGATATTTTGATTTATTATAGGTGACAAGAATATGCCTGGTGTCTTGATGGCTATGGGTCGTCTCAACCGTCCTTCTATTATGATTTATGGTGGTACTATTCAACCTGGAAAATCTTGTGGTGGTGGCAATCTTGACATTGTGTCTGCCTTCCAAGCTTATGGCGAATATGTCTCCGGTAGTATTGATGAAGACAAACGTTATGATATAATCCGTCATGCTTGTCCTGGTCCTGGTGCTTGTGGTGGAAGTAAGAAACGATCATTATTAATCATTAAGTATTGAACTCATCTTTTTTTTTTTTGTCTTTATACATGATATTAGTGTACACTGCCAATACTAGTAAGTTTCTTAATACATACAAAGTTAGATATATATAGTTATTATCTGTATACTTTTTTTTTTTATCTTTGTATACTAATTTGTGTAATTATATGTATAGTGGCCTCTGCTGCTGAAGCTATGGGAATGTCTTTACCTTACAGTTCATCTACTCCTGCTACTTATCCTGAAAAGATCCAAGAATGCTTGAATGCTGGTCCTGCTATTCTTAACTTGTTAGAAAAAGATATCAAACCCAAAGATATTATGACTAAACAAGCCTTTATTAATGCTATGGTGCTTACTACTGTTTTGGGTGGATCTACAAATGCTGTTCTTCATTTGATTGCTATTGCTCGTAGTGTGGATATCAAATTGACTTTGAAGGATTTCCAAGATGTTAGTGATCGTACTCCTTTCTTGGCTGATTTGAAACCTAGGTAAAAAAGGGATAAAGAGATAGAGAAAGGAAAAATCAAATATGTATTTATATGATATTTTATTTATTTTTTATAGTGGCAAATATGTGATGGAAGATTTGCATGGTATTGGCGGTATCCCTGCTATTTTGAAATACCTTTTGGAAAACAAAATGATTGATGGTGATGTGATGACAGTTACTGGCAAATCTTTGGAAGAAAATTTATACTCCCTTCCTGGACTTCCTCAAGGTCAAGATATCATCCGTCCTTTATCCGAACCTATCAAGCAAACTGGTCATTTACAAACACTCTTTGGTAATCTAGCTCCTGAAGGCTCCGTTGCAAAGATCACTGGTAAAGAAGGATTGAGTTTTACTGGCAAGGCAAGAGTATTTGATGGTGAAGAAAACTTTATTTCTGCTTTGGAAAATGGTGAATTCAAGGTTGGTGAAAAGGTAGTTGGTATTATTCGTTATGAAGGTCCCAAAGGCTCTCCTGGTATGAGAGAAATGTGTAAGTGAAAGAAATACTGTTACTACTAAAAAAGGTAATTGATCTTTTTTTTTTTTTTATTGTTGATGTTGAATAGTGAAACCTACTTCTGCCATCATGGGTGCTGGTTTGGGTAAAGATGTAGCTCTTCTTACTGATGGTCGCTTCTCTGGTGGATCTCACGTAAGTACAATTAGTAGTAAAGGATGAAGATTTGATTTGGCTGATATTGATTCTTTATTCTATTTCAAAGGGTTTCATCGTTGGTCATGTCTGTCCTGAAGCTTATGTTGGTGGACCAATTGGTTTAGTAGAAGATGGTGATATTATTTCCATTGATGCCGAAACTCGTGAAATGAACATGCAAGTATCTGAAGAAGAATTGGCCAAACGTCGTGCTAATTTCAAAGCTCCCGAACCTAAATATACCAAAGGTACTCTTGCTCGATACATCATGACCGTTAAGAGTGCTAGTGAGGGTGCTGTTACTGATGAAGTGTAGATAGATAGTTAGTTATTTTTTTTTTGAAATAAAAAAAAAGTAGAATATAGAACATAATTCATGATTAAATTGTATTCAACAAATGATTTGGGAGAACATGATGAATGAGAACTTTTTTTTTAGGTGAATGATATCATATTCTTCTCATATATTCTTGTCAATATGATCTTCTAAATAACTAACTTTTGACATCAGAGCTATCTGTATTCTTTGCGGCTGAGTATTTCCTTTTTTCTATTCAATTTGTGTGTGCAACCATAAAAAGAGTTTGAAAATCCGTAAAATGCACCGTGTTACATTTCGAACCTTTTTCTTTCTTTCTTTCTTTCTTTTCCTATTCTTCTTTTTTTTTTTTTGTTTCTTTAAACTATACTTTTTTCTTCTTCTTCTTCTTCTTCCCCCCTTCCTTTCTTTTATTTAAATTTTTTTTTATTGTTAGAAGAAAATTATATATGATTCTCTTGACATTCCTTTCTGTTTGTATTCTAGGTACAAGTGTCATTCATGCCAATGACAATCAACAACCTTCTTTGATACGCCTTCCTTTTATTGAAAAAACATATCCAACAGATTCTATTATCAAACGTGATGGATATCAAAATTTGTTATACAATTCTCATTCTTCACAATACCTTATTCATGTTGATATCGGTACTCCTGGTCAAACATTTGCTGTCACTTTAGATACTGGAAGGTAAATATACAAAAAAAAAAAAAAAGAATAGGTATTTAATATATATATATATCTTTTCTATAGTGGTGATTTATGGGTCCCTTCTACAGATTGTCCATCAGTCGTTTGCCCTGTGCCTAAATTTAATCCAACACAATCATCTACATATAACAATACTACTATACCTTTCAAGATTACTTATGGATTAGGATCAGCCAATGGAACTTATATCAAGGAAACTGTGACAATAGGTGGTGCAGTAGTAAAACAACAACAACTGGGTTTAGCAATTGCATCTAGCAATATTTTTACTCGAATGACTGCGCTTGGTTTACGAAATACGACATCAGACGATCAAGTTCCTGCCAGTGGTATTTTGGGATTAGGTTATCCAGGTTTAACTTCTATTGCACATCAAAATGGATCAGCTTATAATCCATTTGTTTTCAACTTGTTACAACAAAACTTGATACAAAATCCGATCTTCTCTATTTACTTAAATAATGCTCAAACACTCGGATGGTCTGGTGAAGTGATCTTTGGTGGTATAGACAATACGAAATATTCTGGTTCCATTAATTATGTACCTGTGCAACAAACAACTGCTGGTGCAAGCTCAACTGGATATATGTTCTGGACTGTTCTTGGTCAAGGCTTTAATGTCATCGGTGGCAAAGGCAATACATCTAGTTTACAATTCTCATCTCCTGTACCATCTATCATCGACACTGGCACTACATTATCTTATCTTCCTCTGAACATGGTCAAAGGTCTGATGCTTTCTATTTTTGGTCCTGGTGTATATCAACAAGATGTCAGTACTGGGATGTTTATGGTAGATTGTGCTATGGCTTCTGAAAGTAACGTCACCGTTCAATTCCAAATGACAAGTTCTTCTTCAGCAACCAATAATTCTGCTGCCGTGATCAATGTAGCATTGACAGATATGATACTTCAAGATGCAAGTGGATGTTATTTGGCTGTGGCACCTTCTGATGATACTTCCTCTTCTACTTTTGGCCCATCCTCGACTCTGATTGGTCAATCCATTTTACGAAGTGCTTATATGGTATTTGATATGCAACAAAATCGTATTGGCTTTGCACAAACTATTTTTACTTCGGCAACTAACAACAATAACAGTAATAATAGTGGTGGATCATCTGGTGGTGGAAAGAATGGTAGTACTAGTGGATCTTCAATAGTTAATTTGAATCATGGTTGGAATAGAATAATATTAGTTAGTGTATTTGTTTATTATTTGTATTTATTGTAAATTTATATAAAATAATAAAAAGATTATCAAAAGTGTCTTGGAATAAATCAGCCAATCGGAGCTAATGATACAACTTTCTTGGCAACTTTTTGCGGGAGGTGAAATAACATACTGTTAGTTTCTGCTTGGATTGTGTGTAAGTTTTTTTTTTTATTTTATTTCCAATACAGTGCCAAGAACCAACTCCCTTTTCTTTCCTTCTTTTTTTATTTTCGTATTTTTTTTCTTTCTTATTCTTTTTTATTACACTTTTTCATCCTTGGCATAAATTTTTTCTTTTTTAGTTATTTTTAACTTCTTCATCTGTTCTTTGTCTCTTCTTTTTCTTTTTTTATTTATTTATTTTCTTTAACAAAACTCTTTTTATACGGTTATGGATAACGAAGTTTTTACCTGTCTTTGGCAAGGCTGTACTCAACAATACTTTGATGCTGAACAACTTTATAGTCATTTGACTAACGATCATGTAGGAAGGAAATCAACTGGAAACTTGTGCCTGACTTGTCATTGGGTCAATTGTGATGTTACAGTGGTAAAAAGGGATCATATTACTAGTCACTTACGAGTTCATGTTCCTTTGAAACCTCACCGATGCTCTTACTGTAAAAAGGCTTTCAAACGACCTCAAGACTTGAAAAAACATGAAAAAATTCATACTGATGAACACTTATCCAACTTGCGACATTATTCTCAACAACAACCTCAACAACCTTTGACTCCTCCAAGACAAGCTCAATATGATGTTGGTCATCTTAGTCCTTTGAATCATGCTTCTCCTCAACACCCTGTATCTCCTCCTCAAAGTGCTTATTCTGAAGGTAATAATAAAAAAAACTATTTATTATTAAAATTTTTTATTGATTTTTTTTCTTTCTTATTTTCTCTTAGATTTAACAAACACTTCCAATGAAAACGGTGGTGGTTGGCTTTATGCAAGTGTATCACCTTCCACTGATATGTCTGATCAATTCCCTACTGATCATCATCATCAACCGCAGCAACAACCATCATTCTCATTTGAATCTCCTGAACAAGCCATGTCTGGATTGATATTCCCAGTGGACACCAATGCCAAGGCCGTATATAATGATGACATTGCTCAGCGTTTGGACTACTTACAAAATATGATGGATACAGATAGCATTACACCTTCACAACTTAACATCAATATTAGTAGTGAACAACAATTGGCTGATATGAATGCATGGCTTGCTCAACTTAGTGAAAGTATTGGATCCCCTGGTATGTTACAGCAAGTAGATAACAACAACAACAATAATAATAATAATAATACGGTTTTCGACAATTACAATGTACTTTTACAAGATCCAACTCCATCACCTCCTCAACAACAACAACATATGTACAATGATGCCATGATGATGTATCCAGTAGCCAATGATGATATGTATGTACGATCCTTACCGATACAATCATCTACAGATTTGTATCATGATCAGCAACAACTGATGAATCAAATGGCACAACAACAAGAACAACAAGGATACCAACAACTTTTGATGACAACTGGACAACGACAACATTATACATCTATTCCTGATATGGCTCCAATGTTCCAGCCTGATGTACGTAGTGCGTTGAACTTTACCAGTGCAAAGGGATCTGAAAAATACAATAATCCAACCGATGCCAAGATTGACAAGAAGGAATCACAATCATACAAACCAACCAAACCAAATGTGAACACTGATCATGTACAAGACAAACAGAATGTGACAACTATGATCAATGTATTTGCAAGCTTTGACACCGCAAAAGACAATAACAAAAAGACAACATCACGCAGCATTGAATCGTCATCACTGGATGATGAAAAGAAGAAGGGATTGGAAACAAAGGAGGGTAGCAATGTAACAGATCTCTTGGTCAGTTTCGACAATTTATCTGTATTGGACAATGATGAAAAGGCGCAATATCCTACTAAATCAAATACAACAATAACAAAGGTAACAACAGCCAATGTCATTGCTTCTTCTTCAAATGAAATACAAGATCGACATCGATTATTATTAAAACAAGTTGGTAAATGGATCAACGATATATATAATCATCAGAAAGCAACATCAACAACAACATCATCATCATCATCTCCTCAAAATACTGTCAAAGTGAATTGATTTGAATAGGCTTAAATGTACTGGATGGCATTTGGTTTTAGTTTAGTTTAGTTATTTTTTTCTTTCTTGTTATTATATCATATAAAATAAAACTCTTTTATATACTCATTATTAGTTTCTTTTTGATTTGAAAGATCCACATTGTCGGATAATGAATTAAAGCTTCTTTGAACATGATGGATCCACGTGAAGGTTGAATTGCTGACCCCAATCTTTTACAGTATCATAAGCGTTGTCTCAAAATTTTATATAAAGCAAAATTTTAAAATTTCATTGTTCCTTTTCTTTTTTTTCTTTTCTTTCATTCTCTCTCTTTTTTTTTTTTTTTTTTTTTTTGTTCATTATATCCTTTTTTTTTTCTTTCTTCAATATATATATAAAATGGGCGCAGGTAAATCAAAATAAAAAAAATATAATCATAGATTGATATGTTAATTGTTATTATATATTAGATTCGTTATTACCAGTAGTAGCAACAGGTGTAGGTGGATTTATTGGAAGTATGTATCTTGATGCTCGATTCTTACTTAGTAGAGATTATCATCAACTTAAATCTGGTGCTGCTGCTCAAATTTAGTAAGTTCTCATTTTGTTCAATATTGGGGATTTTTTAATTTTATGTTTCTCTTTTTTTTTTTATTAAAGTCACAAGCTTTGGTCATTCCAAGACAAACTTCATTTTTATTATCGTTTCAAAGAAAGAGCAAAGGCCAATCCTGATCAAGTTTATCTTTTATTTGAAGGCAAACCTTATACTTTTCGACATATTGAAAAAGGTAAAAACTCCTACTCGATGTTACACTGAATTTCCTTTTTAGCATAGTTTTCACTGACAAAAATCATTCTTTTCTTCTTCTTTTCTTATGAAATTCAGCTTCCAACAAGTTGGTAATGTCTATTATTCCTAATCTGTTTTCTTTTTCTTTTTTTTTTTTTTTTTTAATATCCTAATCTTTTTTATAAAACAATTTATCTATAGGCCCATTGGTTACTTGCTCAAAATGTTAAATCCAAAGGTAATTAAAAAAAAAAGTAATAGCCAAAGGTTAACTCTTTTTTTTTTCTTTTATTCGAAAACGCTAGATATCGTTTGTATGATGCATCAAAACCATCCTACCTTCTTCATCACTTTATTCGCTATTAGTAAGATTGGTGCTATTCCTTCCTTGGTTAACAATAATTTGGCCGATGCTTCTTTATTACATTGTATCAAGATTGCCGAAACCAAACTTTTCTTATTTGATCCGGTATACGAAAAACAAGTGGCTACCGTGATCCATCAAGCAACTGGAGTCCAATTCTTTAGTTATGGTGAAGCAACCGAACTGACTGAAACGTCTATTGACCTATGTCCTACTATCACTCCTCAAGTTCTTCATCCTTACTCTGACCATGATACCGATGAAAAGTACCTGAAAAATATCTCTAATTCTGATGCCGCCTTTTTGATCTATACAAGGTAATACATATGTGATAAGCGAAACAAATGGATTTAACTCTTTCTTCTATAGTGGAACAACTGGTATGCCAAAAGCTGCTGTTAGTCAACATTCTCGTGTCAATTGTATGTCATAGATCAATCTGGTCAAATTCTTTTTCAATAGGTCTAACTTTTTTTTTTTTTTTTTTGGATGAAATAGTTGCTATGGTGATGTATTCTGGAGTTACAGGCGTTACTAAGAATGATCGCGTTTATTGTGTTTTGCCTATTTATCATAGTTCTGGATGTACGTCAAATTCCTTTTATACACACACACACACATATATATACCATCGGACAAAAAAAACAAACTAAAATCTTTTATTTTTCTTTTAGTGATTGTATCCTGTTTGACGACTTTACAAGCTGGTGGAACGGTTGTACTTGGTCGTAAATTCTCTGCTCGTCGGTTCTGGAATGATTGTGTTGATTATAAGGTCACTGCCTTTACTGTAAGTATATAAGAATGAAGAATTATTTCCTATATTTTTTTTAAACATTCCTTTTTCTTTTTTTAGTATATTGGTGAATTCTGTCGTTATTTACTCAGTCAACCTAGTCATCCTCAAGAACGAAATCATAATGTCAAAATGGTCTATGGCAACGGTATGCGACCTGATGTATGGAATCGATTCCGTGATCGTTTCAATATTCCACGTATTTGTGAATTTTATGCTGCCACCGAGGCACCTACTAGTTTATTCAATGTGAACACAGGTCCTTTTGGTGCTGGAGCTGTTGGTCATCGTGGTTATCTTTTCCGAAGTATTCGTCGTGAATTGAAATTAATCAAGATTGATCCCGTCACTGAAGAACCTTTACGAAACCAAGAAGGCTACTGTGTCGAATGTGCATTTGGTGAACAAGGTGAATTGATTGTTCGCATGGATCCCAACAATGCTCTTCAATTTGATGGTTATTACAAGAACAAGGAAGCTACTGACAAAAAGATTCTCAAGAATGTAGTTGAAAAAGGGGATGCCTATTTCCGTAGTGGTGATCTGTTGAAATTGGATGCCGATGGATTCTTTTACTTTGGTGATCGTGTAGGTGATACTTTCCGCTGGAAATCTGAAAATGTGGCGACAACTGAAGTAGCTCAGGCCGTAGGATTATATCCTGGTATTGCTGAAGCCAATGTCTATGGAGCTTTGGTCCCTCATCATGATGGTCGTGTAGGTGTATCTGCTGTCAATATCCAAAAAGGTCAAAAACTCGATTTCAAGGACCTATATCAATATTTGTATCGCAAGCTGCCCAAGTATGCTATCCCCGTCTTCATCCGTATTGTACCTGCCATGGAACTCACTGGTACTTTCAAACAACAAAAGGTCCAATATAGAAACCAAGGTATTGATTTGACAAAAGTGCCTAAGGATCAACCCATATACTGGCTTCGTGGTGATACTTATGTTCCTTTTACTATGGAAGATCAACAATCCATTATTGATGGAAAGGTCAAGTTATAATTGGATTCAAAATTTCACATACATATATATCATTCATGATTATCACCCTCTATGTCTTTATTTCTTTTTTTTTTTTCTTTGGTTATTCCCTGTTTTGTTCTTCTCTCCATATAAATAAAAATAAAAAACAATAGACTTTTCTTTCGATTATATATAATTTAACTACGATGAACATTGTTGATTTGATTTATTGTTATTGATGTTTCATAGTACACTCCACAATGTAAAAAAAAAAAAAAAAAAAAAAAAAATCTATAAGGAAAAATAAAATGTAAAAATATATTTTTTTTATTGTAAGAATGATGACTAAACGCGAAAAAGTATATAAATATATGTGTATTTCAAATCAAAATAAACCCACATACCCATCAACAAAAAAAAAAAAAGAAGTAAGGAAAAAAAAGGAAGTATATATATATGAGATTTCTAAACTAAAATCCACCACGACCAGGTGCACGACCTCTACCACCACGGAATCCACCTCGTCCACCTCGACCTACAATTAAAAAAAAAAAAAAAAAAAAAAAAAAAGCGATATAAAATGAATAACCAGATATTTTCACCATCTATTTTTTTTTCTCTTTCTTACCTCTGATAGGAGTAGTGCCTCGTCCTAAACCAAGCCCTCTTCCTTTCATAGCACCAGGAGCTGCACGTTTGAACATGGGAGCATTCTTGAGCATGTCTGGTACAATGAAGAACCGTACACTTGATCCACGAATATATACTTGATCCAGTTGTGATACACGACCATCCCGAGCGGTCACTGTGATTTCCTTAAGTTGAATATTCATATTGTCTTCGGCTGAGTGAATAGATAGATGAATCGTTCAAAAATAATAATAAATGATGTTGTCCATGATACAAAATGTGATAGTTGAAGAGAGAGAGAGAGAAAAGATAAGATGAAGCACAAGAGTTCGTTTCGCAAAAGGTGTCCAATATAGATTATAATAACAATAAAAAAAAAAAGATCTTGGTGAGTTTACTGAATTCAATCATAACACACATACATATATACACATATACACGTATACACAATATCTTTTTTTCGTTTTCCTTTAAAGAGAGCAAAAAGAAAAAAGAAAAAAAAAACTATTTGTTCTTTCATGTAAGGCAGTAACTACTACCAATGACAAACAGCTTTTTTTTTTCTTTTCAATTGCCAAAATAACTTACCTTCTAATAATTTGCCACGGTACAATTGTCCAGTTTTTAATTCCAAAGTAATGATATGACCTTGTGCTTCATGAAGAAGTTTGATGGGAACACCGATTGACATGTTGAATATATGTGAAAAAAAAAAGTTTGAAAAGGAAAGTAAGAAAGGAAAGGGAAGAAAAAAAAAATGAATAAAGAGAGCGAAAACAATTTTATGACGACTTTTTTTGTAGACTGACTTCGAAATTTGAAAAAGGAAAAAAAAGACTATCAAGACAATCAGAATCGCTCTACTGGATCTTTCCCTTGGATTGCGTTTATTTTCTTTATTATATATCATCATCCATTTTATAAATAAGTTTATAATCTAATTAATTAACTAAAGAACCAGAGATAACGAAGGCTTCGTTGTTCGGTTTTCTTGATATAAATGTCTATTAAAAAAAAAGAAGTTAGTATGAATAGATTATCTTCTTTTGGGTCCTTACTTTTGACTTGTTTGACGTTGATGACATATAACCTATTCCCTAAATATTAAAAATGAATAATATATTGAATACATTTTTTATTTCCATATCCTATTAATAATCTCTACCAACTTACCATGCTTTCCGTAACATGACCATACCAAAATTCGATCTCTGTATATCCATAAAAATCAGCAGTGTTTTTTAAGTTAAAATATATCCCTATCCTATTCAAATAAACTTACTTTTGGATAACCTTAAAGCAATCAATCCTACTGATTTATCGTCATACATTGTCAAGAAAGGAGAATCTAGTTCCATTTTTGTTAGTTCATATCCATTCCCCTCATTCTATCTTTTTTTTTTCTATTGATTACCTAAAAAATCCTTCTTTAGTGCAGAACTCAAAGCATGATGCATATCATCTTCGATAAGTAATCGATCCATACATTTGTTGGTAAATCTACTACGCATGATTTGTTCTCCAGTACCAGATACACTACAAGCCAGACCAGCTGTGTTTGTTCCATTTTGGTTTTGAGCCCAACATCCACTACCATACATAGCAGCCTAATCATATATATATATCATCAATAAAATAAAACAATAAAATAAAATATAAAGAAAGAATGTATCAGTGGGTTATTTCTTCCTTTTTTCATCTATCCAAACGTACTTCACCTATTCTTCCTGGAGATTTTAATGAGATCCCACCACTACTGACACCTGAAGCTATATTGCCAAATTCATCCACACAAATTGCACCTACAGTATCATGTCCAAAATCAGCATCACTACTACTACTACCTTGTTTCATATTGTCGTGGACCATTTGCATATGAGTCATATAAGTATTGAATGCTTGTTCTAAATCATTTCCATATAAAAGTGGTTTGAAAGGAATGTTCAGTTTTTTCCTTGATCCAATGCCATAAAATCAAAAATTATAAAATTACCTTCAATCAAAGAATCTTCGGGAACAGTATCCACATGGTGTAATTGTGCCCATTCTTTTGCCCCTGATCCACATAGAAATCTAATATTTATATTAGTCAAAGAGAAAAAAAAAAAAAAAAAAAAAGAGAATTTAGAACAACTACCTATATAGATAGATGACTTACATAGGAGGAACTCTACCTAAAGACATCAAGCCTTTTTTGTTTTCTTGTACCATTCGTTGACATAATTTAATTGGATTCTTTACACCGGAGACTGCGCCCACTCCACCGAAATGACTAGATTGACCATCCATCAAGCTAGCATCACATTCCACTTTTCCTTTGAAGGTCAAATTTGATCCATAGCCTGCATTCGTAATAGGATGATCCTATATGATAAAAACATTGAGATTTGATAACTTTTTTCTTTTTTTTTATGCTTCACGTCGTCAACTTACTTCAAGTTCGATAATGGCCAATGTCACAGCATCGACTGCCGTGGCTCCTTGTTTTAAATAGGTCATGGCTCTTTCACAAGCACTAATGAAGAGATAATAAAAAAAAAAAAAAGAAGAAATAAATAAATAAATAAATAAATGATAGTTCCATGGATGACCAACATTGTATTGTCCATACTTTGCACAAGCTGCTCGATACTTGTTTTCCTTTTTGTATGATAAATGACCTGAAAAATAAGTACGCGTTTCCATTAGTAGTGGATAAAAAAAAAAAGCAAGTTATCAGTATAACATTACCTGCACCAACATGAACTGCTATAAAACAAGGATGCTTTTCGGTCATAAAATAAAGAAAACTGTGGAAAAGAGAGAAAGAAAAATTGAGATGTGCGGACTTTTTTTTATCGGTAACTCGGAAGAAGTGATCCGTTGTAAACCTTTTTTTTCTGAAGTAATCACTATTGGTGTTATCATCATCATCACATATCATCTATTATCCACCATCATCGGTCTTCTGTAGAAAGCGAAAAATCTAATCTTCGACGATATTATTCGACAGAATAAATACTCATTGAGATAAATCAATTGTCCACGCCACCCTTTAATTTCAAATATATATATATAATTATTCTAGATGAGCACTACAATGTTTTATTGTAAACGAACCAAATTTTATTTTTAAAAAAAGAGAATAGTATACAGTGAATAAATAAAATGAATCTATGAAAAAAGAATGTGTACGAATAATCATAAAATAAAACATAAAGAGTGAGGGAAGACTATTCTATGCAAAGGGATATAATGATGTTAAGTTTTTTTTTTTTTTTTTTTTTTTTTAAAGTTTGGATTTGATGTTTCTTTCCCATGGAAGACATAAACATTGATGTCTATAGAAGAAAAAAAAAAAAGTGAATGTAAGGATTAATATTTCTCTATCGCATATATATATATATTTAGGGATGATATTCTTACCTGGTAGTAACTAACAATTCACCTCGATCATCCCAGATCCAACCATCAATATCAAATCGACTGTTTTTCAAAGTATGAGTAACAAAACTACTTGCGATTTTCTTCAAACCATCATGACATTTTTGTTTGAATTGAATTTCCATTTGCATTGTAGCACACCAGATTTGACCATCAATCATAGAGGGGCCTAACATATTGGGAGGAGAAACAAACATATCACACCAGAAAGCAAGTGATTTGGCATCGATGGGTCGTCCGTCACGGAAGATAGTGGTTTGATGTACTTCCATAGGTTGTGGAGAATCAGGTACAGGCCAGAGTGAAGCATCGGAATGAGTTACCACAATATCCTTCAAATATTCACCTTGATGAAGTGTCAGTGTACGGTCGCCATTGTTAGGAGGAGATGGTAGATCATGATCGGCAGAAAGTCCTTCTTCGTTATCCATATTCCCCATAGTAAATACACCATATACCTTTTCTACATAATCCTCAGGATGGTAATCCGATAGATGTTCTAGTCTTTGCTTGCTCTGTTTCACTGGTTGCTTGATCACGGCTTTGGTTAAACAGTAACCTTTACGACTCACCTTGATATCTGAGACTTCCACCACAAGAGATCCCAAGTCGGTTTTACGGAGAAAGAAGCAGTTCAATGCAATAGGATCTACTTGATATCGTGTAGAGTAATGTCGAAGTACAGAATCAAACATGACAGATAAAACATAACCACCCTATAAAGTCATTGGTTAATGTCAGTCATTCTATGTTCATATATTGACATTGTCTACTTACATTGGCGACTTCACCAATAGCAAATTCCTAAAAAAAAATAAAAATAAAAATAAAAATAAAAATAAAAAATTAAATAAAGATAATATGACAGATTAGAACATAGATCTTTAATAAGAATGTCATTCTTTGTACCTTGATAGTTTCGCCACTGTAGATATGAGATCCTTCAGGGGTTTTGCCAAGATAGGTTGTATTTGTTCCACGATCGAATAAATAAGTATGTTCTTTTACTTTGGAGAGTTCCATATTTGAATATATGAAGTGTATCTATATACTTTTTGACAATAAAAAGATAAAGAAAAAAGGAAAATGAGATCGAACAAAAAAAAAAAAAAGTTTATATATGGAAACACTTTTACCGCGGAGAAGGAATTATTCAGCCTGAATCATCAACAATAACGGTTGAAATATTAACCATTTAGTTTATGCTGATCAACTCTTAATAATGGTGAAATTAAAAAATGAAAAAAAAAAAACGAGATTATGAATGTTCATTTTATATGCCTTATCCGATAAATCAAAGTAAACCATATATTCATTTTATGTAGCATATAAAGATCTTCCACTCCATCCCTTCGTACCCCCCATTATTACTTTTTTTGGGGGGAGTAGTGTAATAACTGACAAAGTGAAACATAGTCAATGTGAGAAAAAGAGAGAAAGATAATATAATCCAGTAGTTCATCATCATCTACTATCGATGAGTCGTGATGATAATAAGAAAAGTACTCCAAGTATCAACGAAAATGATTCGAAACAATATTCTTTTGTTTACTGAAGATTAAAATACAGCGTGTCATTTTACTTCCATTTAAGAACCATTTTGTTTATTATATACCTTTTGTCATCAAATCCACCAATCCACTTGATAAAGCTTTATTGATATCCATAAGATACTCCTTATCTCTCCGGTATTCCCAAAATGTGGTCTTACCATCTCCGCTGACATGATGACTTTTTGATAAAGAGAATTTAAGTAATTCTTTCCTTTTTTTTTTTTTTTTTTTTATTGTCCAAAACTAAAATAAAATAAAAAGTTAATTTCAAATCTAAACTAATGTCACTATGAAAGTCTTTGGCGTTTCTTGATAACGTTTGTTTTCATACTAATCGGTCTTGTTTCTTGGTGAAGCTTGGCACTAAAAAAATCAAGAATGATAAAAAGTAAGAAGAACATCATTAATATGATATGTAGAAAGGACGACGGATAATGATGGATGATATGTGGATGATGGGATGATGGATAATGATGGATAATTGAATGTAAGGATGATAGGATGATGTGATGATTGTATGATTGAATGTATGGATGATTGGATGGTGGGATGATGATTCACTTTTTTTTTTTTTAATACGTACTATAAGCCACATGCATTACAAAGAGGAGAACCATCTTGTTCATTGCGACGCCAAAGAGGAGTGGTGAGTGTTTTGCAATTGGAACATTGAGGAATGAATTGTTTATCATCAGATCTGCCATTGTCATCGTTACCATCATTATTATTCTTGAGAGGAGATTTCGTTACGGATGGTATCAAATGATCGGGTCGTGGCGAATTGTGTAATTTCCGACTAGTATCATCAATGTTTAAAAAAAAAAAAAGAGTTCGAGATTAGAAGAGAAGATAAACAAATAACAATGACACAACATCAACAGCACCAAACAGAAAGATTCTGTTCAACCCCCTAGATCTCATGCTTTTCAACTTCGTCCCCCCCCCCCAAAAAAAAAGGAAAGAAAGAAAGAACTTACTAGAGTCCGCATGCATTACAAAGATTTCTGTTTTGATAACGACGCCAAAGGGGAGTCACTCTGGTACCACAATCATTGCAGGTTGAATTTCCATTTCCATCGGCATTAATCACTGGTAGAGGACGACGAACACGATATTTTTTTGGCTTTTCCTTATTGCTATTTGGAGGTGTAGGATTGATAGATGATGCTGTAATATAATATGCTAAAGTTGAAGATACTAGTGCTGTTTGGTTATTTGTAGTGTTGATTGAAGTAGGATGATTGATATATTGATAAGATGATGATGATGATGATGATGCAAATCGAGATTGAAGGGAACTTTCAAGTGATGTTGATAAAGGTGTTGTTTCATCAGAGGCAACGTACATAGCTGCATGAGTACTGTTTCCATTGGCAGCGGTGGTAATAACAGAAGGATTGCTTGTCAAAATAGGTGAAGTGGATGAAGTAGTTGAAGTCATGGTGACACAGTTTGACGGTGGAGGGTGATATTGAGTATCGATAAAAACGGAAGGAACAACATTGGCAGTAGTGGATAAATTTTGTTGGCATTGTCGTTTTTGTTGTAAAAGAAGACTACGTTTATATTGTTGTACAGTTTGTTGTGAAGGTAGAGAACGAGATGTTGAAGGTTGATCAAGTTGTTTTTTCAAATACCATCTTCGCCATGAGATGTTTTCCAATCGTGAACCTTCTTCAAGAGCTTGTTTTGCATTCGTACAAACTCTCCAAGTATCTTGTAATTCGTCCAGGTTTAAGTTATCTAGTATGTTTGAAACTCCATGTAGTTTCAAAAGAATGGGAGCCATTACAAAAGGTACTGAAATTCAATAACAAGGCTAAAAAAAAAAAAAAAAAAAAAAAAAAAAAAAAAAAAAACGGGAAAGAAAGGGGGAAAAGGGGAAAAAAAATGCATGAACCTCTTTTTTTTTTAAGAAAAAAAAAAAACCAATCTTCCTAAAAAAAAAAGACCTCATCAGTTACCCATAAACCAAATCTTTGTACCTTTTTTTTTGTGCTACAATACAATGTGTAGGTCTGATCAACGTCAATTTCCATAGATTGTATACATACTTTTCTCCTTTTTACACTGTTTTCAAAGTTTCTTGTCGGGTCACAAGGAAATAGTTTCGTGATGTTATAAAATAAAAAAATATCGCTCTTTCCCAAAATGGATGTTGCATTACCACTTTTTTCAGATTATCACTCCACAGTATGTCAAAACACATTGATTGATGATGATGATGATGATGATGATGGTACAGTATTAGTTAAAATAAATATAAAAAAAGAATGGATATGTTGACTAAACATATATACATTTTATTTTCTGTTATTCAATATATTCAATAGAACTACTGTCACTTCCTGTATTCAATTTGGATTATGCGTTTCAACTTCTTTTTTTCTTCTTGTCATTCATTTTCTATCCTTACTATATTTTTTATTTCCTATTTTTGCAAGATCTTATTTTTGAATTTCCGTGATTTATTATTGAATAAAGTGTATATCCGATTTTCCCATACTAAACACAGGGCACATTTTTTTTTATTTTATTTCACATGATATCTTAAAAAGATTTCTACTTTTTTATAAAATTAAATTAAAAAAAAAAAGATAAAATGTAATTTTTTTATTGATTGATTGATTGATTGAATGAATGAATAGAAGAATGATGAATCTAATGCTATATATAGATATAAAAAAACAGAGAGATAAAACAAAACCATTATTGTTTTTATTCTGGGATATCCTTGTATCGACTTTCTGCAGAGGTGGCCAAAATGTCAGTATGATTTGATTTGATAGAAATAGGAGCAGTAGTCCGATCTACATCTATACTATTCCTTTTGCCTACTGGGGAAATGTAGTGTCTATTTTGATAAGAATTGCCCAATGATGATGATGTTGTTGCTGATGATGATAATGAAGAAGAAGAAGAAGTCGATGTTACTTTGGCACGTGTATGCAAATGATCTTCCAGGTGATGTTCCAAGACTTGCAATGCTGGTAGATTTTCATATCCTCGAGGTATAATGATATCAGCATACTTTTTAGACTATATTCCAAAATAGAAAAGAAAAAAAAAAGGTTAAAACAAAAACATATATTTTTAAATATATATTTATATATTCCTTACTGGTGCAATAAATTCATCAAACATTGGTTTGACAAAGTTCACATATTCAGATAGTAATTCTTTAATTGACATGGTTCTACCAGTTCCTTCCGTCAGTTTCTTGGCTATCAATACAATAATAAAAAAAAAAGTATTATAATGAGTCAACAAAATTTACCATTTTCATTTCTAACTTACTTCTTCGAATTAATCTTTGATCACTATCCACATCAATAAATACCTTCATAAACATAAGATCACGAAGATTTTTAGGATACAAAGCCAAAGTACCTTCCAATAAGAGAACATCTACAGCTTGAATTTTACGTACCCCCACCCTATATATAAAAACATGAATGATTCAATAAATAAATAAAATAAATAAATACATAAGTTGTCCAATATAGTTACTTTGTATGTTTTGCATGATCCCATAAGGGTATATCAGCATCCTTATTTTGTAATAGTCTTCGTAAAGTAAATTCTAACAAGTCAAAGTCAAATACATCTAATAATAATAATAATAATAATAATAATAAAAATAAAAAAAAAGGTTATATATATATATATACATATATATTATTTATCACATACTTGGATGATCCAGGTTGAAGTCGCCTGACTCGAATAACACGCGTTCATCGGGTGTTAGTTCACGGTAAAAGTCGGTCAAACTGATAATGGCTACTTTTGTTTCATGACTTCCTTTAAACTTGCTCATAAGAATTTCACATAATTCGAACTGTTATTATTTTTGTTATAAAAATATATTGTTAGTATGTGGAACCTGACAAATAAAAGTGTTTGTTTTTCATACTTTTCCAGCTTGAGCACCTCCTGCAATACCAACAAGCATTGGTGTTTGTAAAGAGACTTTGAAATAATTAGGATCTGCATATGCTGAAGCGTCAATAGACATGATTAAATTGTTGTAAGTGATAAATTATAAATAAAAAAAAAAAAAAAAGAAAGAAAGAAAATAATTAAAAAAGAATAGTATTTTGTTAGTGTTTTGTTGGTTTCAAAAAAAAAAAGAAAAAAAAGTTTATTCATTCTCCGATGTCCTCTTTTATGACTGTGCGTTCAAAAAAAAAAAAAAAAAAAAAGATATACAAAAAAAAAAGATACAAAAAAAAAAGATTATAAAAAAAAAAGATGATAAAGATAACAAATATATAAAAAAAATATCTTTGAAAGGGAATAAGACCCGAAAAGGGATCAGTGAGATTGAGATGAACCTTATTACGTCATTAAAATGATGAGAAGTTGGTTTCCACTCCATTCGTCCGCTGAGAGTGAAAATATATTTTCCATAACTCTCTTTTTTTTCCCTCTTTTTTTTTTTTTTTTTTTGTTTTCAATCTTTTATACTTTTTCTTCCTTTCCTTTTTTTTCTTTTTTTTTTCTATTTTTTTTTTTTATTTATTTATTACATATTTACATAACATATCAATACATTATTACTTATCTTATATACAATTGTGTGTATCTATATTCTTGATTAAAAGAGTTTACTATTTCTAGTTAAACTTTTTTTCATTACAATACATTTCAACAAGTATCATGATGATAAGTGAACCGACCAATATCAACGCACCACCTCTATTCTCTTCTTCATTGGATATGAGAATTCATCCATTATCAGCTTCACCTGCTACCAACGCCTTCTTCCAAACTGGTACAAATTTAACAGATGATGTTACAACAATATTTGTAGTTGGATTTCCTGACGATATGACTGAAAGAGAATTTCAAAATATGTTTACTTTTTGTCCTGGTTTTGAAGCTGCTTCTCTCAAATGGCATTGTAAAGATCAAGAAGACGATAACTCGGTTGGATCTAATGGTGGAAAAAAACAAATGGTAATAATTAATATATATAGAATAATTATAATTTTGACATATTTAAACTTTTTCTTCTTCTTCTTTTGTATAGATTGGATTTGCAAGATTTCGTACTCGATTAGAAGCAATGGAAGCTGTTGAGGTTCTTGGTGGAAAAAAAATCGATCAAGAAAAAGGAACTGTTCTCAAAGCTGAAATGGCCAAGAAAAATCTACATGTCAAACGAGGATCTGTTGCACCGACAACAAATACTTTTCTTCCTTCAACTCCAACAACTCAACAAACGTCTTCTTCTATTCCATCTGCTGTACCACTTGATTCTCCTACAACTTCAACTAATTCAACATCTACAACAACAATATTCCCTGGGACATCTAATTCCTCAATAACTGCCACTACAACAAACCCTACTACTACTACTACATCATCATCATCAGCAACTTCAACAACAATAGAAAATACAACCAATGAAATAGCACCAACTACGACAATGGAAGAACGAACAATAACAGCATCTATATCAACTACACCAACATCATCAACACCAACATCAATGGGCGGTAATAGTAATACAATGATTGGTGAAGGGACTATGAGTCTTCTTTCTAAAAAGCTCGGACGTCAACATGGAACAACGTCAAGTGGATCTTATGATGCATTCTCTCCATTACCAAGTGATCTTTTATCGCCTGCGGATTACAAAACCGATCCTTTTATGAATGATCCCTTTACTTGCTCAACACCTACCACACCTATCTTCTCTGACGCTTTATTTGGTAATCTTCGATCCAATTCTTTTGATGGTCGCCAACCTGATATTGGTTTGATGTCACCTCCTCGTCATTTTGGAAATGGCATTGGTATTGGAAATGCATCATCAACAAATACCAATAGCAACGGTATACTTGGATTCAATCAAGGGCAAAGTAATGGCAACAATACCAATTTCAACAATAGTGGGAATAATAATTTCATCATGGGTCCTTCTCCTTTGGGCAAGACAAACAACTTTGGAAATCTACATCATCCTCTTCAAAATCATCCACTTCATCATCCTTATCAAATACCACCATCCTTTGGTAATAACAACAACAATAACAACGGTAATAATATGGACGACGATCATTACAATTACTTGTCAAAATCATCACCAATATCAAACGATCGATTATTTGGAACATCACCCATATTTGACGACTTATTAACTTCACGTATGGGATCCTTGACAATGCAAGCCAATAACTTGACCGATTTAAGATCACCAAGTATTTCATCTATTCACCGACCTTCGAATCCAGCAGATCAGAATCCTCCTTGTAACACCCTCTATGTCGGCAATTTGCCTCCCAACACGAACGAAGATGAACTACGCCAACTGTTTTCTCAATGTCGTGGATACAAAAGAATGTGCTTCCGGAACAAACCTCAAGGTCCTATGTGTTTTGTGGAATTTGAAGATGTGGTTCTTGCTACTAATGCTTTGAATGAATATCAAGGTCATTGTTTGACTACGTCGGCCAAAGGTGGTATTCGTCTCTCTTTTAGTAAAAATCCTCTCTTCATTAAAGGTCCTGGTGGTACTCCTATGAATCAAAACAACAGCGGGGATAGCAATAATAAAGGTGGCAACAACAAAAATAGCATCAACAACGGAAAGATAGGCGTCTCTTCTACTGATCAACAACTTTGATGGTGATGGATGATTCCCCTCCCCTCCCTTGTACTCTTTTTTTTTTTTCTATTATTTTATTTTCTGATGTTACTTTTATGTATTCCTTATACACTCCATTCATCTTCTTCCTGTTTTTATTTTTATTTTTATTTTTTTTTATTTTTATTCTATTTAGTATTTTATGCATCCATTTTATTGATCTATTATATCTTTCACTTCATTCTTCATTTTTCATCATCACCCATTCCCCTCCAATCGATCTTCCTTTATTATTTTCTTTTGCATCCATCATCATTCATTCTCCCATCACCTATAATCTTATTGATTTCATTGGACTCCATATTATCTTTTTTTTTTATAGTATATCATTTCTCATCTACTTTTTTTGCTAGATCTTTCTTCTTTGTCTTCTTTTATTCTTTTTCTTCTTTTATTATTATTATTTTTATTTTATTATTATTATTATTATTATATTCTTACTTCAATAAAGCTCTTTTTCATTGTCATACATTTATCATTCGATTTTGATAAAACCTTGTGTTCATCTCAATAACGGGATTGTTTGTTTGGTTTTTGTGGAATCTTCGGTTCCTAGTGTTCGGAGTGTTTTTTGAGTCAAAAACGTAAAATAAAAAAGAATGATTTTCGATGACTGTCATGCCAGAAAAGGTAATCTTCGTTGCCACTGCTTTTAATGGGATGACCTGTACAACAGTTCTTTTATGGAATCAGTCACAGTATCATGCTGACGGGATATAAATTCCCTCTTTTTCTCTTTTTTTTTCCCCTTAAAAAATTCGAACTTCTTTTTTTCTTTTTCTTTTCTTTTCCTTACTTCTCATCTTTATTATTTTATACGTTCTCAATTTTTATTATGAAGAATATTGTCATTGTTGGTGGTGGTTATGCTGGTATCAATGCTGCTAAAAGCTTAGAAAAGAAATCACTTGGTGATGATACTCGGATCCTATTGATAGAAACAAGGTCTCACTTTTATCATTCAATTGGTGCCCTTCGAGCTGGTGTACAACCTTTGGATGACCGTATCTTTATTCCATACTCTAAATTATTTAATTCTCCCAAGAACAAGGTGATTCAAGCTACTGTGACCCATTTTGATGAAAAAGTTCTTTATTTGAATACTCAAGTCCCTGAGTTTGGTAATCAAATTTCTTTTGATTTTTTGGTAAATCTTTTTTTTTTTTTTTTTTTTTTTTTTTGGTTGATGTTCATTAATTTAACTTTTATATCCATTCTTTTATTTATTAACAAAGATTATCGCTACTGGTACGCGTAATACCATTCCAGGGAAGCTTCAAGTACCTACATTGGAAGAAGGCAAAGCACAACTTCAACAGGTTAGACAACATATTGAAAAAGCAGAACATATCTTGGTGATTGGTGCAGGTGCCGTGGGTATTGAACTTGTCGGGGAAATTCGGCAAACATATCCAAGCAACAAGCAAAAGAAAGTGACATTGATCCACAATGAACAACAACTTGGCAATCCATCCACTGTCCCACTCAAGATGCATAACAATTTAATGAAGCAATTGGTCTCCAGTAATGTGGATGTGATCCTAGGCGACAAAGTCAACTTGACTCCACCTTCTTTAACAACATCGGCAAACATTTATGATAATGGTGTGTATATTCCTTCGTCTCCTTTACCATCTACAGAAAACGGTAAGGATCTATCTAGTGTAGATTTGGTACTCTGGGCTACGGGTAATCAAGCAAATGTTGGTTGGATTAAACAAAGTTTCCCCGAACTCGTACAATCATCCAATGGTTATGTCAAGGTCAAGCCTACATTACAAGTTGATCATCCTACATTATTCAACGTGTTTGTCATTGGTGATGCTGCTGCTTTATCTGAATCGAAGATGGCTTACCGTACTCCCGATCATGCTGCGGTCACTACCGAAAATATCACTCTTCTGTTGCGCAATCCCAATACCTCTACTCTCAAGAAATACAAAAAAGGAATAGATGCCATGGTACTTACTTATGGCGAGGTAAAAAAAAAAAAAATGAAAAGAGTGGTTTTGTAGTATGATGGATGAATGGGTATATCTCATTTTATTTTATTTTTTTTTTTTTTTTGAATAGAATGGAGGAAGTTGTGTATTCCCAATGGGTATAGTGGCTGGTTCTTGGGTCGCATCTATGATTAAAAGCAAATCTTTATTCATTGACAACTTTTGGAAAGAATTGAATCAAACCCCACCAAGGTCAGTCTACTAAATCAAAAAGGAATATACATATATATATATATATATGCATGTGATGAATCGTACATCTTACCTTTTTTTTTTTTTTATTTTTATTTCCTTTTGGGAGGGTGTCCAAATAGATCATCGTCATCTGGATCCAACGATACTCCAAACTCTATTACTTATTACTTTGGTTTGTCTGCCACTATTGGTGCCATAGGTCTTCTTCTCTATTATTATTCCAACTCATTCAAAATTTAGATTAGATAGTTCCCATCCCCTTTCTTACTATTCTTATTCTTATTATTATTACTATTATTATGACTATTAACTATTATTTCATATGTATTACTTTGGACATTCCTATATTACTTTTTACTTTTACCTCCCTTTTTTATTAAATAAATAGACTGTTGATATTATCATTCTTTGACTTGTACTATGATGATGAATGGAGAGTGGGATCATTGGATGAGCTTGATGATGAGATGATACGTGATGATAGATAATATGTAATATTCAAATGATGAGATGATGCTTCGGTGAAAAAATAAAGCTTTCTTTACAACACCGAGTTTCCCCGAACTTGTGAACCATCAAAAGCCCTGTTTTGATTGGCGGAAGCCTACAACAAAACCAATAGAACTGAGAAAAATAAGGATTCTTCTACCTTCTCATATCCTGACCAATATATTTATTTCTTTGTAATTAATATGAGTAAACTTTTTAACACTAATAATCATAGTTTAATATTAATGGCTTCTATTTTGGACGATATGGGAACGTATTGAAGATCATACAAAAAGCATTTCCTAAAATAGATAATAACCGATTCATACTTTCCTTATGTCAAGTTCCTCGATTACTTCAAATTTGAACTTGGGTTACGATCTTTTTGATCTTTCTATACTGTACAAATAAATAAAAAAAAAAAACTAGATTAGTGGAAATCAGAGTTCTTGATATAAAAAGAAACAAAGAAACTTATACTGTAGTATTGGATCATACTGTATTCTAAAACATTTTAAATGGTCAATGTATAAAGTACAGTATCGTATCGTAGACATGATGCCAATTTCACCATCATTGTTTATTCATCATATTGAACAGCACTGAGATTGAGAAAGTAATATACAAACAATGCCTTTTTTTATTATTATTAATAATAATATGTTCAAATTCAATAAATATCAATCAACTAACTGATGCATTATCTCTGATGTATAACTAATACTAAAAAAAAAAAAAAAAAAAAAAAAAAAGAGATGGATTGACACTTACACTTCATACAGCAAGCACATGTAGCAGGACATAAAAAGTTTCTTGTAGATCCACAATCATTTCTTTTCATAGGCTTGTAACATATGACGTCTACGCTGTTCAGGTGTCAGGGTATTCAAATCATCCACAGATAAATCATCAAAGTTTTCACCAATGACAGGTTTAACTGGTTCAGCAGAAGAAGATGAAGTCGATGATTCAGAAGAAGGGTAAGAGGCAACAGTCGTAGTAGTAGTAGTAATAGTAGTGGCAGTTGTAGTTGTTGTTTGATTGGTAGTCGATTGTTTTTGCTGTTGTTCCATCAATTTTCTATTAAATAAAGAATATCACTATCAGTCACATTGTTTCATTATTCTCTTTGATTTCTTTTTTTTTTTTCTTACTTTCTAGCTTGAAGTACCATGAATTCCTTTCGTTTTTTTAACATTTCTTGACGTTTATCGGCATCCTTTTCCCAAACCTTTGGTGGTTCTGTCAATTCGTCCTGTTTCAAGTCCTTGGCATCAATCTTGTATCGTTGAAGTAAACTACTGTATGTTGTTGGTTTTCTTGAAGATGAAGATGAACCATTATTGAGAGAAGGAGATCCCGGTTGGTTCGCTAGTGCTGCTGGCTGTCAACATTGAATAGAATTAAAAGGAAAAAAAAAAGAAGTTAATGTTGATCATAGAAAAGCTGATATATCTCTATTTTACCATAGGTAAACCACCATCACGGAGAGCATTATCGACAGTTGTTTCCACTGAACCAGTTCTTTGCAAGTCAGCCTGAATGGCAGCTGTAGGTACGTCAGGGAACATTGAGCGTACCATTTCAATCTATTTCAAAAAAAAAAAAAAATAGTAGTTAGCTTTATAATATATGTATATATTATTATTATTATTATTATTATTATTATTATTATTATTATTATCATACCATCTGAGGGGTTACACGATGGACTCTTCTATTTGCTGGTCGACGTTGACGCTGTTGTTGGTTTTGTTGTTGGCTACCTACATATATATATATAAGTAAAAAACGAGTTATAAGTATGACACTTTCTAATGTATAGTTGTTTATATTAACCTAGCATCCATCGTAAGGCAATGAGGATTAAAAAGACCGCCACCAGTATCGAAACACCGTCATTCATGATAAAGGTGAAGAAGAGAGAGAAAAGAAAAGAAAAGAAAGAAAAGAAATGAAAAAGGAGAAAAGACAAAAGAGGGGGAAAGACAGTGGAGTTTTTTTTTAATATATAAATCTGTGTGTGAGTGTTCTTTTGGTCAAACTGAGATTTTTAAACCCACGTCACAGGAATTTTTATACTCATTTTTTGAGCCTTCGAGACAAAAAGCAAAAAAAAAAAAAAAAAGTCTTCTTACTTCTCTCCATCCTCATATATATACTTTTTTTTTTTTTTTCTTACCGTCCAATTATATTTGTTCTCCCCCTCTCCTCCTCCCCATTCAACTAATTTTATCTATTGATGACATGGAAGCAGTGGACACTGAACTTACTCAACTGAACCTTTGTAGTCAACTACGAGCTAATTCATCTTTCATGAAGGTCTTGGCTACTCTCTTTTATTATGGAAACCAAACAATGAATGCTGCTCAATTGGTCGTAGCTGTTAGAGCTTTAGAATTACTTCCTCTTCGGTAAGGATCTTTTTCTTTTTATCTATATATTCTTTTTTATTTTATTTTTTTGATTCAAAGGGAATATACTCACCATGTTTTTTTTTTTTTATGGATGGATCTACATACAGAGGTGAAACACCAAAAAGTACGATTCAAGGCATTATCTCCACGGCACGTAAAACAGCAAGAGATCTGAAAAAGCCTGATCCATTCCGTATTGAAAAAGAAGGTGTTGGACGACAAGCAAAGTATTGCATTTCAGATGATGTACTTAATGGTGCTACTGTTCCTGCCATTCAAGAGATTCCTGATGAACCAATTCATTTGAAACCTGTCGAATATTCCACTTCTCACTACGCATTTACGAGCAATCGCAACAAACGACATCGAAAATTGACAAAGTAAGTTAAGAAGATACGAATCATTTTTCTTATTGGGTATTGAATGAATATTTTATTATCAATAGATTATCAAAATCAAAACGTAGACGAAATGCTAGTGGTGATTCTGATGGGAATGGCTCAGATATTGATATCGATTCTGATGAAGAATTTGGGTGAGTGAATTAGACAGAATTCAAAAGAGATTGTAGATAAATTAAATTATGATTTTATTATTATTGTTTGGTTTAGATTTGGAATATCCGATGATGAGATCATAAAAGAACCACCACCACCTGAAGAAGATACTATATTCGACTATTCTTTATTATATTCGCCACCAGAAGATGGTAGCTACATTGATGCTATTGACTTTGGTTCTTATCCTGTGGCTTCTCATTTTGCTATAGTACAACAAAAAGGCTATTCTTATCCGCGATTCCGATCTCATGAAAAAATCAAGATTCCCAAGGTGCAATGTGAAGACAAGTACAGAGTGACAGATATTATTGGAAAGGAAAAGGATGTCATTGGACGCGTATTTATTCTTGCTGATGGTCATGGTGGTCCTGGATGCGCCGAATATTTTGTACGAAATACACCTCAAGCCATACAACAATTATGCGATAAATATGATCCCAATGATTTTGCTGACAAGACAACACAACAACAATTCGAAAAAGGTGTCAAGGAACTAGTTACAAATTTGGATGAAAAATATTTACAGATCAAACGAACACAACTTTGTTATCCACAACCTCCCAACAGATTATCCACATCTCAGCAACCTGACAATAAAGTATCAGTCAATCATATCACATCGAATAACAGTGACAACAACAACGATAATGACAAGGTGGTGAATGAAAATAACGATAGTAACAATAACAAGGATCAACAACCTTCAGATATAAGCTCAACGACAGTAGACAATGATGGATGTACTTTGATTATCAATATCTTCTTTGGTATTTGGTTGATCAATATCAATGTTGGTGATTCACGATCTATTTTGATATCAGCACCAGAACCAGGGACATCATCACCTCCAACAGCATCAGCAACACACAACAACACAGGTGGCTCTGCATCAACAAGTCCATATGTTACACCACCAGGTGGATTTGACAAGGATTATATGATGGACGTTGCATTTGCATCACAGGATCATAAGCCTTATCTAGAACATCTCGTACGTGAAATCTTGGAAAATGGTGGAGAATTCATTGACTCTGTACAAAATCGTGTGATCAAGGTGGAATTGGACAAGCTTAGAGAAGATGGAAATCGTCAAGCAAAACGATTCGCCTTGAAAAATGCTCGTATTCGACCAAAGGGATATCAGGCTGGCCGAGACTATTCCAATGGTAATGCTACTTCTAGCTGGACAACACAAAGTGCTGTTCGAACGACAGTCAACACCAACGACATCCATAGTGATAGTATTGATGATCAGCAAGAACGACAACAAATAACACCTCCATCGAGTGATACACGAACAAACGGTGGACGAGGTCGATCACGTCATGATTATGCACCTTCTCTCAATGTGGCTCGATCATGTGGCGATTTGGATTTTAAAATGGATAGCAAGAAAAAAATCATCTCCTGTGAACCAGATGTAACATTTATACGTATTGCCGACGATCGTCCGTCATCAACCGACAAGGAATCTGATTCAACAAACTCATCATGGACATCAATAGCACCTCACACCTATGTCACATCAGGACCATTCAAAACAAGAAGACGCAACTTTTTATTCATGAGCACAGATGGCACCTTTGATTACATGTACGAAGAAACACCAGAACGACAAAATCGAGCCATTGCCAAGGCATTGGGACCTCTGATTGAAGATGGAGAAAAAATCGGCAAATACCTTTTGGAAGAAGAAGAACGAAGTCAAACTATACAACACCATCAAGATAATGATCACAAGAATACCAATGAACAAGAAAATGTCGTTTCAGCAATCAAGTCGGTGGCAATATCTATGGATATCGACAAGACTGTGGATGTGACCGCTACCAGCTCACCGAAACCTGATCAAACGTTAAATGATGAGAACGCCAAAATGGAAGAGGGCAAAAACACAAATATCACTCAGGACACATTGGAAAACGGGGATATTACAAATAATAACGATAGCAATGATACGGATAACAAGAATGATACGGATAACAAGACGAATGATGACAATAATAATGGGGACAGCGACAAAAAAGAAGAAGTATTACCTCGAAAACCATTGCTATATCGGGAACTTAGTGAAAAAGAAATCAAGGTACGCAATACCAAAGAAAAGACATTGGCGATGGCTGCAAGATATTTTGCCAATCGTGAGGGGGCTCATGGATTCTTCTCTTCAACACTACAAGATTATGATGATTGCACCATTTTACTGGTTGAAATTTAGATAGTCTGTTACCCACTTTTTAGTTTTATTATATTATTTTTATTATCATTGTTATTTTTTGTTGCTTTTTTTTTTTTTTTTTTTTTTCATCAGCATTTTTTAAATAAAAATTTCTTATTCCGATTTGCCCTTTTTTTTTTTTTTTTTTTTTTTTTTTTGTAATCTTTTTTTCTCTTACTATTTTCTTGTAGTTTTATTCTACCCATGTTACCAGAATACCCAGTGGATCTGGCCATTCTAGGATCCTATTTTGCCTTGATTGGTATTTTGGTGTGGCGCATTTCTCCTCAATTGATTCAAAGTTTCCAACAACCAGGGGTTGCAACGACTTGTTGGCTTGGACGAATGGGTTTCCTAGGATTAGCAGGTGCTTCTTTTATGGCTACATGGACCTTTATGTTTGCTTATTTTGCTCATAGCTACTTGTTGTGGAAATCATATTATGGTGTGGTTCAATCTTTTTCACTCAATCTCATGTCTCAATGGTTACATGGTGTACAACTCTTTGACGATGCTTGGCGTACGGTATGTACTGGCAACTGGGCCTGGCTATGGAGCATTCAACTTTGTACTTTTACTGTTTCTGTTTGGACACCTATTATTGCTATTGAAGGTAAATACATTGGAAATCAATTAATATGTAATAATTCTAACAATTTTTTTTTTTTTTTTGGGTTCAGGTTACCGTCGCCGTGTGCCACATGTATGGGCTTATATGATCATTGGACAAGTAGTTGCTATTTCAACATCATCAGCATTCTTTTTTGCCGTACTTTTGATGTGTCAAGATCAACAACGACAACAACAATCATCATCTGCATCATCCACGTTCCCTCCTTGGTTCTTGATCTTTTTACTTGGATTGGTCAGTTTTGGTGGATTAATCACGGTCGCCCTCACGCCTCATCTGACATCTTCCTATCGATTTTTACCCAATTTGCTTGTCATGCATGGATTACTCTTACTGCCTTTGTTGTATTTGGCATTCACATCATCATCATCAAGTACTCGAATCAAACAGACAGCTGTGTGTCATCATCTTAAATCGTATGCCATCATTGCCATCTATTGTTTTGGAGCATGTGCAAATACATATCTAATTATTCAACAATGGAAACGGACAGTATACTCTAATAATATGATCTTGGATCCTCTAGTAATCTTGTCTCATCTTGCAGATACATTCTTACAACACCCTGCTCAATCCAGTATCAGCTCTGATGTTGTCTTTGTTTATCTTATCTCTATGACATGGATGATTGTGGACTCTTGGCCTCGCACTTTTACTTTTGTTACCCATCCTTCCCTTGTGTATTTCTTAGTAGCATTGACCCCTTTCTCATCCCCATCTATCACTCTTCCTTTATATTTAGCATTGAATGAATATTGTCATCATTTATCTATCTCCACTTCTATCAAAATAGAATAATGAAATAAAAAAATTTGACAAAAGTGTCTCTCTCTTTGGTTGTCTCTTATGACTTTGATTGGCTTCTCTATCTCCCTGTTTATCGTGATGATTCCTTTTTTTTTTTATGGACAGTTACGGTAATATTAGTCCTAGTTTTACATAGTATATCATCTTCACAGGATCGTTTCCATAAAATCGTTGTCACTAATAGTCTGAAGTCTCAAGCGTAGTCACTGGTTACCAAATAAGATAGTACTAAATCATCCTTGGATTTTTGCAACCAAAAAAAAAAAGATGATTATCATAGTGTTGTCGTTATAGAGACCTCTCTGTAAAAGTCATCATCATCATCTTTAACCTCAACATCAATATATATATCATCACATCACAACACATACAATCATAAATTAAGTCAATAAAAAAGAATAAGAGAGACAAGTATATTGAAAACAAGAGTTTATTGAGTTTCTAATAAAACCATCATTTGAATAAAATAAAGTATACTATACATCTGTTCTACTATTTTCTAAACCAAAGGGAAAGGAAATGAGAGGATGACTAGACTATTCATATATAAATATCGTAAAAACAGCTAGAGTATACTTACATAGTTCTTTCTTTCTTTCCTTGCAGCAACTACAAAAGAAGAGTAAAAAAGTAACGCACAAAAGTAGTCCACCATGCCCAATACTTTACCTTTATACATGCCTTGTTTATTCCTATCAGTCATCCATAAAACGTTGAAAAGACAAAGTGGTGCTACAATCAGAGCTTCATATGGCATTGATCATACCTATTATAAAAAGAGGAAGAATGGTTGTACTAAAAAAAAAAGATGTTTTAGGATGGATTTCATTTGATACTATTACCTTTCCTTAGGATCCACCGTCATCACTAACATTCTTCATACACAGAGTTTCTTGTCTTGCCAGCAAAAAAAAAAAAAAAAAAAAGAAGTCTTTTATCATATCACCAGTTTGGTTAACATTACTCAACTGGCAATTCCAGTATAATAGAAGAAACAATTATTTTAGTCAACTATTCATTCTTATTGTCATAGTTATTATTTATAGAATATAAACTTACGGTGTATAGACGTCATTAAAGAACACATAGTTTTCTTTGAATATATAGTATAAATAGAATTAGATTAGTTTGGTAATGAAAATAACTTTTTTTTAATAATATTATTATTACTTACTTGTTTTCGGATCTAAACAAATGAAGATAAAAAAAAAAGTATGAGTAAAATAATAACTTGGAATATTCATTTAATTACTCACAGAATAACAATAACAAAAGATGAATGAGGTGGTCATCAAAGGAAAGGTATAATACAGAAACGATCTAAATAATTGAAGAGTAATATGTATTAGTAAAATCTTTGTCTAAAAAGTTGGAAAAAAAAAAAAAGAAAAAAGAAAGAAAAAAAGAATGTAGAACTTCTTTTGCTCTTAAGACTTTAGTTTTTTTTATGCGTTTCAAACTCCACATGTCATGCTCTATCTAATCATCTTCTTTTTCGTTTTTTTTATAGTAGTAGTGATATACATATATTATTTCTTTTCAAAGAAAAAAAAAGAGTATTGATATAACGTTATGATGAGAAAAGGATATTGATGTTTTTTATGCAGTAGCACATGTACTACACTAAATTGATCTACACATTCTAATATATTCTAATATGTTAGGTTTGACTGATTTAGAAAATGAGAGGACATTTTATTAATTCAGGGACAATAAAAAAGTAAATGGATGATGATTATTATACTCTTACAATCATGATGACTTTATATGATGATAATGAACGCTTAACTCATATTATCATATTATATGAATTTGATAAAAAAAAAGAGAAAGGTAACTTGTTCATCAAAAGTATATATTATAATACTATAGTTAATATTCAACTTATTATGAATTATAAAATCATCATTTCATATTATCATTATCATTTACTAATAACTCAATCTAAATCATCTTATTATTATTGTTATTTCTTCATCTATTCTACTTTTATTAAAATCATAAGTGTTTCCATAAATGGTATACATTCAAAGTCCGGTCTCAATGTGGGGTGTGTTGGATCAAAAAAAAAAAAAAAGTCTGGTCGTGCGAGATCAAAAAAAATCTGGAGATTGAAAAAAAAAAAAAAAAATTTTGTGGAGACAATGGAAAAAAGTTGGACCAAGCTCTGACAAAAGAAAAATTTGGCGCGCTCTTCACTTTTTTTTTTACTTTTGCCTTTTTTTTTTTTTTGTTTCACTTCCCTTTTTAATCAATGACTCTTTGAACATTGTAAGTTGCCATTATACAGTACTTTACTTAATCTATTTTAAGTCACTCTTTATATATTATACTTCTATACTTTACTATATTACTTACTTTCTTTTAGTCTCTCATATTATGAACTAATCTATTTTTTTTTTTTTTTTTTTTTACTCTTTTGTGAAAATATAGTAGATAAGATATATGAAGAAATACACAATAGGATTAACTGCATATTGGATAAAAGAATAACAAGTTAGGGAATAGTATCTCTCTTATTCTTCTTTAGGTTCATTTCCCTTATCATGGAAATCAGTTTATTCAGTGGTTTAGTCTTTTAGTTAATCGTTTTATATTATCTTTTTTTTATTATTCTCATTTAAATAAAATCATATTTTATTGTCATCCAGTATTATCCTATCATACTATCGATTCATCCATTTGTTATCGATCATTTACGATCATCATCGTGAGCGATAAGAAAGAACGGTATAATTATCATATTTTGTTTTTTCACTGAAAATAAAGAAAATGCTATTTTATAAATGAAATTCCATCATCATATCATCTATCAATACAATAGATATAATAAATTCAACAAAAGAAAAAATCATGAGAAAGACATCTTCCCCCGTTTTTTTTTTTTCTCAGCCTTCCACATCATCAAAAGTATGTCTTTTACTCTTTCCAATTTTTTTTTTTTTTTTTGTCTTTGAAGAAGAAACCTTTGGGAACCTCGTAAGGCGTGGACTAAACTTAGTAAGTTGTTAGAAAATCACTATTTCTATTCTGGAGGTAATTATAATAATTTTGTATCCTATAGGTTGTTTATTTACAATAGTTACAAAAAAAAAATACATATAATGTATATATGTAACAATAAGAATAATAGTAATAATAATAATAATGATAATAATAATGATAATGACAATGATAATAAATATATATGTATATTTAAAGGAGAATACTACTACTGCTGTTTGCTAAAAAAAAAAAAAAAAAAAAAAAAGCTTCTATTCTAATCTACACTATTCTACAGATCCCAAACAATTTCCGTCATATATACAATAGCTGTCTGTCGAGTGTCACCGATAGCATCCATATCATCCACATGTATTTTAATTTGTTCAGGCAAATTATCATCCGGGTTAGCCAAAGTCACAGTCAAAGGAAGGGAATCACCAGGGAGAACTTGACCAGTGCCATCAGGGGCCAATGGGGAGATATCAATCAATTGTTCAGCAGGGAACTCGGTAGGAGCTTCGATCATGATCTTGAATCGTAATGGTACCTTGGTAGCATGATTAGTAATGATCAGTGGATAACTTTCTGGAACACAAATGGCTGGCGTTGAGCTAATGGAGTTGGCGTCATCTGATTCTTCCATACGTTGTCGTCGTTCATCATCATCATCATCATCATCATCATCATTATATTTGTACTGTTGTTCACGATAATAAGTCACCAGTTTGAAATCCATGCGTCGTTCACTGAGAGAAAACATTGGAGTGTCCACTAAATAACTGCGAACTGGAATCACTTCACGCACTGTTTGATCTTCATCCTTTGGTCTTGTTGTCACCCATAAATTCGCCAAAATCACGCCAGTGGTATCGTTCATCAAGTCTGGTCGGTCAAGAGGTAATCTAGTAGCTTCGTTTGGTGATGCACGTATCCGGACTTCCATTTTACCTTGAGCACTGACAGTGATGCCGCCTTTGAGTGGTGAATTAGAATACCTTGATAAAACATCCAGTTTGATATAGTCGGCAACATCAGGAGATAAATCAGCTCCAATTTCAAATCGAATATCATCATCTGTTGTATTGCGGATCACAAACCAATTGTCACAACTCACATTCGGATCAGGAATAGGATGTTGTAGTGTAGGAAGTACCAGTTCACCATTCATCAAACGTTCAAAACAAAGTTCAAAGGTCGTCATGATGGCTTTGAGTCGTAACATCATCATGTTGTTTGGATTGCGTTCGTTGATAATCTTTATATCATAGCGTCGATGTCCAGATCCTTGATCATCCAAAAGACGAGGGTCTAATACTCCTTCCACTGTCTGAGATTTACGAGCAGGAATATAAAAGTTCTTCTTATCCCTATTAGGAAGAGCCATGCCATTCTTGTCCAAAGGTGCAAAGTGGAAACACGATGTTGCTTGAATAGTATACGACATGGCAACATCAGCAAGATTTCGAACGGAGAATTGGAATTTGCTTGGTTTCCAGGAATTCACATGACCAATCTTGCCCAAATCAATTCTATCCAGCGATAAAGTACCCAGAGACACACAAAATTGAGCTTGCAATTCCACCGCCATGACTTCAATTTGTTGTCGAGCATCATAAAGTACCATCATACCATTGAGAGATCCACTGTGACCATTCAAAGCAAGAGATCGTTCATTCTTGGAAAGTTTTTGAACTGATGGACAATGAAGTTGAACACGCACACGTTGACCAGGTTGAAGCGCAAGCTGATCACTGCATCTAGAGAAAGGAATCATTGTTGTTGTTTTTTCCACCGTCGAGTCATCCACAAGTTTGGTTTGATTCTGTGATAATACCCACGAAGCCTTCACATCTACATCACTAGCTGCTATCAATAACATAGGTTGCCCAGAAGTGTTGGCTACTTCAATTTCACGGATACATACACGTTGATGGTCTTGAGGAGGAAGCATAATCATTTTCAATCTTGGTACCCCATCATCATCATCATCATTTTCAATATTGCCGTTGATATCATCATCCTCAGGATAGGTATAAATATTTTCCCATTTGATTGTACGCAATGGATAAGCTTCCCTATGATTTGAATGGTATACATTGTCCAGAGCAACCTGTCTAGAAGGTATTGATAAAATATCCATTTTCCCACTATCAACAAAGAGGCGTACTTCAATTTCAAACACTTCCTTGCTGTTGTGCAGGTTGGTCACCAATAAACGTTCATTTAACAGTCCAAGTCGGTAAGAATAGATTCGGAAGGTGATATGTGCCAAAGATGTCGTCAAAGCGTCGCCATAGATATCTTCATCATCCTCTTCCCCACTTGATCCATGTACTTTCAATGCACTTGTGCCGTCTTTCCATCCATACAGAGTCCCACCACGTCGATCCAGAACAATATTGCCACTAGTACATTCTACTTCATAATCCAAAGGTAGTTGTCCTGACTTGTTTTGAATAGTGAAAGCACCATAAAATTCTTCATGTAGTATATCAGTATAACCCAAATTGATAACTTGATGAGAAATTTGAAGATGAGACTGTCCAATCACCGAAGTAAACTTGACAGTTTGAGTCCACATGAGATTAAATGATCCTTTTTTTTTGTCCATACCATCGATATTGCCTTGATCAGTATCATCATCACCATCATCATGCTTGGTATAAATGGAAAACTTGATACCACCCACCAGTTCCCGACATTCATCACCAGAATTTCCCAAGTAACCAGTCAATAGGTTCGGTTGAACAGCTACCCATACAGTGACCATATTACCATGTTTGAAAGGCATCATATCCACTAACCCACGTTGTCCAGATTCGTCCATAAATATCAGCACTTGATGAGAGAGATTGCTTTGACAAGTGATATAAATATCTTCATCGGTAATATTCTTGACCAGCAATGGAGTTACTTGAGAATACTTGTTGCCAGGATCCACATAGGAAAAACCAAGATCCAATTCACCATTTGTATCTTCAGACAAAGAAGGAAATGTCAAGTATTGTTTGCGATGAACAAGAATATGAAGAGTAAATTGTTGTATGATCATTGTATCATCGTTTCGAAGCATCAAGGTATGTTGTTGTTTGCCAACAGTAGTAGGGTGAATATCAAACAAGATTTTTCGCGTTTCCAAGGGTTCCAAGGGTGTTGTAGTCGTTGGGAAAATAAAAAAATCCTTTTCTTTTTCATTATCCACCACAAAGCTATACCGAAGAGGTTTGTCCGATTGATTGGTAACACGTACATAAAATGTTGAATGTTGATTGATTTCTACTTTACCACCATCAAAACTTGTTCTTTCCAATACTAGAGCTTCTTTAGTTTCCATTTCCTTGACAACAGCTACTTGATTTTTTAATGAAGAAGACAAAGGAGGACGAATAGGAGCGGAAGGAGATGATGATGATGATGATGATAATGAAAACGGTGATGAAGATGCCACAGTTGTTTTTATCGTTGGTTTGCCATCCAGTAAAAGTTCTTGATTGTAATCCTCTTGATTCTTGCATATCAAAGCCGTATATACAATATTCTTGCAAACATCCGTGTTTTTGTATTCATGCACCATGATCCGTCCCTTGATGTGTAGAGGTGACATATCCGTGTTTTCATGTGATTCCCCTTGTTTTAATGGTCTTAGTACTGCCTTGAGATACACCGTAATTGTCTTTGTCGCATGAGGATCCAATGGAAATACCACACTTTCAGACGTTTTCTTGAATATCATTGCAGAAGCATCCTTGTTACCACTACCACCACTATTACTATGATTATTGTTGATATCGTTGCTTGTTTGATCCGTTGTTGTTGTTGTTGTTTTTAATTCAGTTGTATTTAAATCAGATGATACAGCTGTTTTCAAAGTTGTCGATGCACCGCTATCATTATCTCTAAGCTTGGCAAGTTTCTTGACATACTTGTTGATCTTGTCAGGTTGATCCTTGCGTCGAGCAATCTTGAGTTTTTGTTCCAGATTTTCGATTTCTTCTTCAGCTTCTTTAGACAATGTCTTCTTGGATTCATCATCATCCACCACAAAATCAAATTCACCAAAGTAACAACCAAAGATAGCTTCATTTGGATCCACCCGTACTTCAAACATCCTAGTTTGTTTGTTGGTATTTGTCACCACGATTGTTTCAGTACGAGGACACACATGATCTACGAGACAAGGACCGAACATCATTTCCAAAGATTGTATAAAGAACGTCGAAGGTTTCCGTACAATGGCCTTGAGAGATAAAACTTGATCATTGTGTCGATCACGAATGTTTTCCACAGTCAATTTTTCCATAAAGTTGCCAGGTAGTGTTGGTTCAAAAGTAAATTCGATTTCCCGTTTGCCAAAGGAGCGTACTACACCATAGCGACCAGCACCAAGATCAATATCACCAGAAGCAATAGAACCAGATTTCCTAATAGCATATAGCAAAGGTGTTTCACTTCGATTGTGTAGAAGGATTGATTTGGCATGTCGTTCATTGCGTTCCACCATTCCAAAATTGATATTCTTTTGACCCAAATCCATCACTGATCGACAAAGTTGAGCACGAACGATGACTTCACGAAGAGGTATATCATTTTGGTCCAAATCCAGCAAATTTTCAAATTCTGTCTGTTCAATATCACGGTCAAAATCCACAAGGCGTAAAAAAATCCGGCCATCCTGTTTCTTGGGAGCACTTTTGACATGCGGTTTGGTATCACCATTCGGAGTAAACACAATCACAACTTCTTCTTCGCCTTCAGGTTCCACATGTACCAAAGAAGTTTGTACCAGATCACCTTTTTCAATCAATCTGTCGAGTTCACGTCGCCATGCAAGTTGATGTCTAACAAATTGTTCTTCTGCCGCTTGATTTGGGAATAAAGGTGGTGCTGTTTTTGATCCATGTTCTAATACAGATAAAAGATCTTCAAAAGGAACACGAGCTTTGCCTGCAATATCTGACCAATCCAACTTTTTGCGTGATTTGTATCGAGCAGCAGTTATTCCCATAGGTCGTTGTTGTTGCCGTTGTTGTGATTTGAGCTTTTGTTGAGTATCTTTGATCGATCCATCTTTGCTAGTACCATTTTCCATCCTCACTAAAGCATTCGAACTGTCGTTGAGGCCAGTTTGTTTGTTATTGCTGTCACTAATCCTGTCATCATTGCTTTTGTTACTGTCGCCATTGCTATTTACATTGATGCGTTTCTTTTCATGCTTGTTTTGGTTAGTCATAACGCCAGTTCTGTCACGTAAATCATTGAGTTCCTTTTTGTTGATAGATCGTAGTAACCGTCTTTTACCATTCATGCGTTGTTGTGGTGCGATTGCCAAATCTAAATAAGCAGTTGAAGAATATGTTGCTCGATCAGCACGAACAGTCCGACGTTGTTGCTGTTGTTCAGGAGTGACGCTGTTACTATTGTAGTTTCCAACCATATTGTTACCATCCTTGTCCAAAAGCATACGATGTAAGTGTACCCGTCGATCCTTCTTCTTGATGTTTGTATCTGAGCTAACAATGGTGGGTGATGATGATGGACGATGAGGTGTTATTGGCGTATGTGGAGCTGATCGATGGTTGTTGTTAGTTTTGCTTGATTTATTCTTTTCCCCAGTTCGCTTTTTCTTGACATAAATGACCAAATCATAAGGTATTGATGTTGTGATTTCTAAAGTCAAAGGTTTGTTGCGAATATTTTCAACTGTGAATGTTCGTAAGGATGGTGAATTCAGAGCAATAGAACCAAAATCCAGATAATTTGCACCAGTTGCTGTGAGGATACGATAGAATAGTGAATGAAAGGTGACACGGTTCTTATCAATATTGGTGCTTTGTACTTCGATGATTTGATCATTGTCATTGTTGAGATAATTGACCAGAGTAATTTGCTTTCGGTATTCAGGATTGACCTTGCGAGGGTATAAGTCCAGTTTAAGCTCGACATAACTTCGTGGTTGAATAGCAATTTCGCCCCGTAAACAATTCAACACCTTTGATGAGAATTCCAATTCCACTCGAGCCATGATATCTGATCGATTGAAGATATTGATCGGTATTGATTTGAGAGTACCAACATCAGTATCACCAAAATTGATTTCTTTTGGAATGACTTCTACAAATGATGTACATGTTCTTGCCCTACATTGTATTGATTTTCGTTCTTTGGATTCCGTACTTCGATAATTGCCATATTCAAGTACAATTCTAAAGTTTCGTCGAATCAATTGGCCTGCATTGAAATCAGTCAAGTTGGCATCCTTTTGAGGTCGATAAGACACTTGCACAGTTCGTTCTTTACCAGGTTTCAACATCAGATCTTCAATTCTTGAATAATTTTCCACTGGATCTAAATCAAGTAATAAGAATAATAATAATAAAAAAAAAATAAATACGAAATATCTTCTTTTGGAAACAATATATATATATATATATATATATATATATATATATATATAAGAATACTTACGTGATGAAGTTTGTGGTTTGATATCCAAATCACCAGCTGATCGTATTGATGTTGCCGCTTGAGAAGGAGTATGAATACGAACACCACCCCAAACACTAGATGATTCCATAGAGATAGGTGATGATGATCGAGAGAAATCACTATCAGTTGCAGAGAGATCACTGATACTAGCAAGAGTAGTTGTAGGTGTCAAAAAGGAATGTCGTTGTTGTTCAGGGGTTGCTGCTGCCGTTGTTGTTGTCGTTGTTGTTGTTGTTGTTGTTGTTGTCGTTGATACTGATGATGATGATGCTGCAGCAATTTCGGTAGAGGTAGGATCCAGATTTGATTTGATATCAAAAACAACATCAGCACCTTCAGGTAAGAAACGAACTTCAACCACATTTTCACTAACATTGTTGAGTACCATTTGTTGTACGGCCCATTGTCCAGAGATACAATCACCAAAATCTATCACGTTTCCACTTGTCACCACCAAAGATTCCTTGTGTGCTACAGAACGAACAATGGCATGGATCTTTGTTTGTACCACGTTGCGAGCATCATTGAGATTTTCTAATTGAAGGTCATAATTGAATTCACCCACTTCTTTTGGAGTAAAAGTCACACGAATTCGCCGGAAAGAACATCCTTCGATAGGTCCATAGTGTTGATCCATCAAGCTAGCACCAGTATCAGCATCCATAAAATCTAGCCATCCGTGTTTAAGATCCACTGTGTTGAGTTTCCAGTATAAATCAATATCAGATTTATTTTTCACAATAAAATCTTGGTAGTATGTTTCACCCATCACACAATCATCAAAATTGATACCAGTTTCAGTCACATCTGTCCATAAAGTAGATCGACATACAGTTGCCCGGAATTTGGTAGAGAGTTGATAATCAGCCATATTTGAGACAGCATCCACATAACCAAAAAAGAATAAACTACCTGTCACATTAAACCAATTGAAGGTATCCATTTCAGCATTATCCTGTTGTGTGAATATCCCGCCACTTGTACTTGAATCGTCGTCATCCTCCCGTGCGTCTGGTAAAAATCCAAGAATCAAAGGTTTTGTTTCATGAGGTTGTAATGTCAATTCGTCTATATGATTCACAATATTGAAAAGTTCATTTACAGGATATCTATTATTATTGTATGATTGTTGTTGTTGTTGTTGCTGCGACCATGCCACAGTGTTGGTTGTATTGTCACCCACGTCACATTCCACCAAGTTTTCATTTTCAGTTTGAAAACAGATTTGATTTCGTAAGTTGGATCGCATACGTACAACTATTTGTCGATCAGTCAAGTTGCATATTGAAAGTCGTTTCAAGGCATGTAAACCATTTCCATATACTTGATCCAGAGTCAATCGTCCAAGTACATCCACGAGTTCGAAAAGAATTGTACCTTCACTTTCATCTTGTCCAAGCATTGAATATCTTTAAAAAAGATGGAGAAACCAAGTGACCAAGAAGAAGCAAACAAACTGGTAAAATATATATATATATATATATAAAATTAAAAAAAAAAAGAAAGACTATAATGTGTTAAGGAATGGAGTAAAATACAAAAAAAAAAAAAAGAAAGAAAGAAAGAAGAGCGGAAATGGAAAGAGAAGAAAGCAAAAGATTTTTTTTTTCCGTTCAGGTTTTTGTGTGGAAAGTTCACTTCCACCAATCAACGCATTTGACTTGACGAGTTTTAAAAAAAGTTCACTTGATGGGAAGTTTGCTAAGACAAGTGACCCCTCTCTTCTTTGATTAAAAAAAGTCATGATTTACATGCATTTATATATGTTAAATCATAACAACAAAAAAAAAATGTTTTATATAAATTTATATAACACCAAGTGTCTAATTAAGGTTGATACTTATACTAAAATGCATCAATTCAATGCTAAAAGAAAATATATCATTGTAACTGATGGTAGTGATGATCTCCCTTTTTGCTCAATCAACATCATTCAATTCGAGTACCGCATATGGTTCATCAGTTGAAATCCTTTTGTATGCGTGTTGTACACATGTGTCTCTGTGTTACAAAGAAAATCTTAAATAACCATAACATAAAAAAAAAATGTATAAAGTAAAATAAAATAAGCATAAAAAAAAAAAGTTGAATCACGGGACATCCAAACAATATAGTTTTATTATAGAGGCGATCAAAAAAAAAAAAAAAAAAAAAAAAAAAAGGAAGTGTGTTTGTACAAAGGATTAATTTTAATTTATATACAAAAAGAAGAAGAAAAAAAAATATGATAAAGAATAGTAATTGGGGATGATAACTACTACATAAACATGTCAGATGATGACTCGAGTTTTGGTTTTTTCAATTCACCGTTCTATAAACAATAAATGGAAATGAGTATATATATTTTACGAGATTAACATTTAACTTACCTGATAATTATCGAGAGGGGCTTCTTCATGTCCACGTTTGTTCTCGTTCATGACTAGTGTAGGAGTGTTCATCATTGGATTCGTCATTACAGTATTTGTACCTTCATAATATGACAAATCTTGTAAAACAGCACCTTCCGCTTCCGCAATTTCACGTTCCTTGTCCATGTCGATTTGTATCGTTGTCAATCCTTTTTCCTTGCACAAATTAACGAAATCTTGCTGAAGTAACCTTCCCCATTGTGCCACAATATCATCCGAAAGATTGAAGAGATAACAATTCACAAAAACTTGTTTGATATCTTGTAGTAAGGCATCCGCATTAGGATATTTGTCCAATTTTTTCAGGATGGTGCCAAAATCCATAGGATGCTATAAATATATATATATATATAGTTAGTCATCAACTTTCAAAGACATATATATTCTTTGTTTTTAAAAAGTTTTACCTTCACATAATCATAATAAGTAGGAATCTGAAGCGCTACAGGATCAACAGGTATAGCAAATGCAGGATAGTATTCTTTCGTCTTCAATTTGTCCAACACAGGTTTGTATTTCTTCACATCAGGTTTGATCGAGGATGTAGATGAACTTGATTTCTTGCTACCAGATTTGGATCCAGAAGTTGGTTTGATACCTGCCATAAGTTGCTCTTCTTTCAATTTGATCGGCTGTATTTCTTTGTTGAACACTGTTTCTAAATCTTTGGCAAAACCTGATATCACATGATCTGGACCATTGAATAAGATACAGTTGGTGACGATTAAACGGAAATCTGCTTCAAATTCTTTTGTGGTTTTGTAGCCTCCAGATTTCAGTTTCTTTGTCCTATAAAATCAATAAAAAAAAAATCATTATTATTGAATGAACAATCACATAGTATTATATATGTTGATGTATCCAATTGAAAAAAAAAAACACTTACATAGTACCAAGATCCATAGGATTAGGTACAATGGTTGTATAATGAGGGATTTGTAAGGCAATGGGATCAACCTATATTAAAGAATAATTAGCAAATTTTTCCTTTTTTTTTTTATTTTATTTCTATTTCCTTACCGGTTCCAGAAAAGCAAAAGAGTTCTTGTTCTTTTTCAGTTTGCTTAAAAGACTTTCCAATTTGCTGTAAAGACCAGGTAAAAGTTTCGCTGGTGTAGACGTTGGAGTAGTATTTGATATTGAAGATGAAGGAAGACTGGTAGATGATGATCTAACAGGAGGAGTAACACTAACTGCTTTAGTTGGTGGTGCTGTTGTTGACCGAACTGTGACATTAGTGGGGGGAGAAGGTAATGATGAAGTCGATGTTACTTTTTCAGTAGCAGTTGCTGGCATTTGTTTGACTGGAGATGCTTGTTTGTGACGTTGTTGAGTTGTAGTAGAAGTAGGAACTGAAGTAGTTTTTGAAGTTGCTGATGATCCTGATGGTTTGTTGGTAATAGCTGAAGTGCCTGCCTGTCGTTGTTGGTGTTCCTTGATACGAGCTCTGATTTCTCTTCCACCATTGTTATTGTAATACTTTTCCAAACGTTTTCCTTGATCATACGCAAAAGATTTCGAGTTATTGAATTTGAAACAATTTGCAAACATGAGTCGGATATCCGCATCTACTTGTTGTAATGATGAATATCGTCCAGTTTGTAACTTTTCTGTCATTGTACGAAGATCCATTGGCGACGTAATACGTTCTTTGTATTCAGGTATAGCATAAGTATCGACAGGTTCAGTGAATAGAGCAGCATATTCATGTTTCATCATATTCGACAGCATGTGTTTGGCGGCACGTTCATCATCTCCTTTTAGACAATCAGGTTCAGCATATTCGTTGTACCAAAGATTGTTGAAGTAGGATTGTAGTGATTGAGCTTGTTGGCTGATCACCGACATCGAATCGTTGAATCGAAAACAGTTCCAAAAGATTTGTCGAACATCCCTTTCAAAATCCCATATTGTCTTGATGTTGCCTTTATCCAAGTTTTCTCGTACAGTTGACAAGTCCATCGGACGCTATAAGATAAATGATGAATAAATCATCCTCCTTTTTTTTCTTTTTTTTTTTTTTTTTTTTTTTTTTTTACCTTGATAATATCTAGATAAGATGGGATATTTAATGCCACGACATCAATCTACCAAAAAAAAAAAAAAAAAAAAAATTAATCAATGCCCATCCTTTGATAATCACATATAAAACATATCATCTTTTTAAACTTACAGGATAATGGAATGCAAGTGATTCAGGTTGATTCCAAAGTAGAGACAAAATATGTCGACATTTTTCCGTATTTTTTTCATCCATCAGAGGTTGAATAGCCCGATGCTTTGAAGGACCAGTAGAACCAGGAGCAGGAAGACCAGTAGTCAATGGACCAGTAGGGACGTTACTGACAGAACTCTTTCTCACTTTTTCCTTTTTGATTGCTGTAGGCGACGAAGGCACATGTTGATCCAATTTGTGAGACGCAATCAAAGGTGATTTTGCATGTTGTCCAATTGTAGGTGAAGCAGTAGCGGCTTTGGTGACTGAGATAGGTTTTTCAGCAAGTGTTGTTGTTGTTGTGGTATCAGGAATAGTTGTGATATGTCTTGGTGAGACAGGCGTTGATGTCAGTCGTTGAGTACCAAAATATGTACCGTACTCGTTATTGTAAACCTCTTCTAGCTGCTTGGCTTCATTGTAGACATATGTATTCGGAGGATTAAACTTGTAGCAGTTGGATAACATCAGTCTTACATCATCATCAAATTGCTTCACTGACAAATATTCGTTGGCCTTTAATTTTGATTTGATAGTTCCCAAGTCCATTGGTTTCTTGATGATTTGAGTATATTGAGGTATACCTTGTTTGATCGGATCCACAGGACGAATAAATTCAAAAGCGTGACGAGATTCCATTGTCTTGTTCAAGATAGCCGTACAGATATCTTTGTCTGTACGAGGTCGAGGAGCGGATACAGGTATAGAAGATGGTACCGGTGCTGATGTTGCTAATGTTGATGCTGAGACTGGTGTTGATGGAAGTGGTACAGATTGAGTTTTGGTAATTAATTTCGGTTGAGTGACAGAGGATGGTTGAGAATCCATGACAGTATGTGTTGGTTCCTTCCGTTCCTTGACCTTTATCACTGGCTGAGGTTGACTTGATAGAAGTGGTAGTTGTGGCACTTGTGACGAAGGCGAGAGAGAAATAGTTTTCGATGGTATTGATTGGGATGGTGAGAATTGGGATGATGGTTGAGGTTGTTGAGGAGTTGGTAAAGATTCGATTGGTTTGGAAGGAAGAATCAAATTTGCACCTCCACTGGGTGATGGTTCACGACTTTCCACAATGGTCATATTTTGGCTTTCATCAGCTTCACGTCCTTTGGCAAGTTCTTTTTCCAAAACATTTTCTAGTATTTGACCTTGATCATAAGCAAAAGAACCGGGCAAGTTGAAAATATAACAGTTGTTGAGCATCAAACGGACATCGGCTTCAAATTGAGAGAAGGAAGTATACACCTTTTCATCCACCTTATTCTTGATCTTGCCCAGATCCATAGGATTCTTGATAATATCATAATAGCCAGGAGCGCCATCCAATTCTTCGTTGACTTCCTGTAAGAAAACAGCTGCAGCCCGATGTTTTTGTAACTTGTTGTATATCCGTCTGATCTTTTTTGATTCTGAAGATGGCATTTTGTGTGATTTTTTAACAGTAGACTTCGATGTTACGGGTTTAGGTGATTTGACCGTTGTTGTGAGTTTCGTTTCTGGCTGTGTCGTACTAGCGATCAAGGAAATTGGTGATGCTGATGAGGAGATAGCGGATACTGGACTTGACTGATCTTGACTGGAATCATGAACATTACCGTTTTCAGATACAAAAGATCGAATAGACGATGAGATTTTGATGGTTTTGGCTACATTGAGTATTAAAAAAAAAAAGAAAAGAAAGGATATAGAAGTCAATATCGTAGATACACAATAAAGAAGAAAGAAAGTAAATAAAAAAATTCATTACGTTCGATTTCCTTCTTCTCCTTGGTAGGTAATTTAGGTTTGCTAATCCGTAATATGGGTTGAGTTGGCGTTGCTGGTTCAGATATATCTTCAGACACGTCTTGTGGCTAAAAAAAAAAAAAAAAAAAAAAAAAAAAAAGAATGAATGAAACCAATCAATATATACATATATATATATATATATTAGTACAAAAATTTTTACCTGCAAGGCTGGTACCCTAATCGTAACCTTGAGTCCAACATCAATTGGTTTGTACATATATTCACAGAATTGCAATAAGTATTTCCGAATTGAATGATCAATGGTGATATTTTCTGGCGAGCTATTGGCAGAGAGATTTCAAAGTAGTATTTTATTTTAGTTTTAGCTTTTGTTCTTTCTGTCATATGTTCAACTTACTTCAATAAGTCCCAAAGGTTCTGTTGTAGTTCAATGTTATTTTCAAATCGTTTCCGTAAGACTTCCACGCTGGATTGAAACTCTTGTTGTACAGTTTTTTGTAATCTTCGTTTTTCGTCTTCAATTACCACTTTGCCTTCTTCTTCAGCAAATTCTTCGATAACTTTCGTTTGAGTCGTTTCTGATTTGTCCTTGAGCGCCAAACCAAGCCATGTCAGCATCGCCCTTGAAACGTAATGGGATACATAAGCTGAAGGATCTTCTTTAATCACAGTCAAAAAGTAGTTTGTCAGTTCTTTGTTGAGTAATCCAGCCAGCACAAACAAACTGTCGAATGCCGTCAATCGAACTTCCAAATAGTTACCATATCTAGATGAACATCACAAATAAAGAAAAATAAGAAGTCAGAACGTTCCAAAAAAGTATAACATTTTAGCTCTCTTTTTTTTTATATTCTTACCGAGTATAAGGCATGAATGTAGCAAGGTTCACATCCATAAGATTATTCATCATTAGCTTGGTAATAGTCTAATTTCAAGAGAAGAAAAAAAATGAATATCACCGAATATATTCAATTTTCTATTTTTTTTTTTCTACCTTTAAACATGATACACTAACAACGTTGTGATAAGTTGGAATGACATAATCCAATGTCCGGAATCGTTCAATTTCAGAGAGTGCAGCAGCCACCAACTCTTTGCCTTCACGAGAATCAACTTCAATAGCCTCAGGAGCATTTGACGAAGGTATCAGAGAATCACCAAGTGCGGATATCATAGTTGCAATATAATAACAGTCAGAGAACTAATCAAATAAAACAAAGAATGAATGTTTTATATCATGAATAATTTGAAGTTTCCTTTTTCCTTTTTTTTTTTTTTTTTAAAAAAAAAAAAAAAAAAAAAAAAAAAAAAAAAACTTACCTCATTTCCAATATTATCATTATACTTGAGCAGATCCAAAAGAAACTTTCGTACCTTTTCAGGGGCCAGCCCACGATCATCACGTATTTGAGAAAACGCAATTACTACAGCTTTTTGGATGAAGTAATCAGGAATGTTACTAAAGTTGTTCGGTTTCGGAATAGCTAATGCCAAAGGGATGTCATCATCGTCACTATCATCAGAAGAGTTGATGGGGAAACAATATCGTTTTCGAAACATTTTGCCCAATTGAAGAAGTCCAATCCAATCCACTGAAGGACTTGCACACTGGAAAAAAAAAAGGAAAAATGAGTAAAAGTTTTATTGATAAATATTTCCTAAGAACAATGACTTACGGATGCTAGAGCATAAGCAGATTCCATTCTGATTTTGTAGAAGCATTTTTGATCCAATAAAGCACGTAACAAACTAGTCGAAGTTTGTGGAGATGGCATATGCTGTAAAGCAGTAATAGCCTAAAAGAAAGAGAGAGAAAGAAGTTGATTAATAAATGAACCATAACCTTTATATATATATTCTACTACTTACATCATGTTGAGCAACAACGTCACGATCCTTGGTGAGTTGAGCAGCCCACATATAATCGGGCTGTTGAAATTCGATACTTGTTAACCATTCAAATTCTGCATCCAGACGAATCCAATCAAACATTGCACTTGCAGCCCCACTGGTATCTTCTCCACCTTGACCCCATTCGTAAATTCGCCATTCTTGTTTCTTTATTGGATCTTCGAAGACAGGCATTCCAAGTCCCAAACTAGGAATAATACCTAGCATACTAGTTGTTCCAGATTCCGCACCTTCTTCATTTTCTTGTTCCTCTTCCGCTACAGCTGCTGCTGCTGCTGCTTGTTTTGCCCTGAATCGTTTGGTGTTTCGTCGAATACGCTTATACTTTGTGTTGAATTGTACTTCAAATTTGTGTTCTGCTGATTGAATATCCAAAATATGTTCATAGGGAGTCCCATCTGCTTCGTGAATCCGTACTGTGAGATTTCCAGTAAACAAAGGTGTCATGAATTCTTGGTAGTTTACAATACCACCGTCCGTCAAAGGAGCATGTTCCCCATCCTGGTTGCTTGAAATAAAACTGTTGGTATTTTCTTGCTTCATAAAAAACTCCACTACCATCTTTTTCCGATTGAAGTTGAAAGAAAAATTGAATTTAGGACATCCACTTTTGTAAATCCATTGATCCGCAAATGTTTTAGTGTCGAATCCACTAATTTTCCGGCAAAGTCGCATAAAATAATGGGTACTGATCGCATTCTGTGCCAATTCACCACTCATGGCCGAAACAAGGATTTTGGGTATCACACGAGATAAACCAAGAGTTGAACCTGCTTTACACATACGTCGATCCAAAATATATAAAACAAGAGGGGCCTTGAGTTCCAGAAAACTAAGATCATCAGGGTCTAATGGTGAAGGAAGAGCTGGATTGTATAATGGAGCGCGATTGATATCCAGAGAACAACATAATTCCATATCCTATATCCCATAAATCAAAAATAGTAATAATAAAGTTATAAAATTCGTCAATTTACTATTATTATTATTATTATTTAAGACAAATCATCATCCCAGTTTCATCGTTTACCTTTTTCAGTCGAAGCCGATATTCGTTATTTCCAAGATGTCGTTTAATAAAGAGAGATCCCATGAGATTAGCAAGACCAACAATCAACCAAGTATCCATCCATGTTTTCTGAATAATATGAACACCAAACCACTGTCTCGCGAGAGCCAAACTTAAAGCATGTCGAGTATGATATGTTTGATCAATAATGTCCGCATCGTGTAGAAGACGTGAGCTATAAAAAAAAAAAAAAAATAAAAGGATTAATTCGAGTTAATATACAGAAGTGGGAAAAAATGATAGGAATATAAAGGGATAATATACCTGCAAATTGCCAATGAAGCACTTGAAGCAGTGTCACACCAAGCATCATCAATAAATACCAGTTTGAAGTCAGAGAAGGGATATGACCCATATTCTTGGGCATAAAAATGCATGGCCTATAAACATAAAAAAAAAATGTGTATCAGTATTTCAACAGATCATAAATAGTAGATAACTTACATGCATCAAAAAGGAACAACTAATATTCAATTCTTCGCGAAATCCAGGTAAGGCAAAAGCATAGATATTTGACATCATATTGATTTCCGCCATAAGGCTTTGTTGTTGACTTTCATCTAGTTCAGCAGCATTGAGTACTTCTTCTTGTAGTTGAGATGGTGATAATTTGATCATCTCAAAGGGACCTATTGCAAAGCCAATAAAAGGTGCTGCAGTTGGAACAGACAAGTTATAGTGGACAATTTTCTTTGACGGATCTTTAGGGTGAATCACCTATCAATTATACAACATAAAAAAAAAGTTACAGTTAGTCATTTTCGATCTTTTTTGATATATTACGATGTTCAGTACCTGTTCAACCACTTCACCGCTACAAACAACGACAGTTGCATCTTCATCATATGTTGTATCAGTATCCATATCCATAATATTTCCACCCATTCGACGGGGAACAACAAATTCCATATCCCAGGTACATCTTTCAGCAATACGATCAATACAAGGTAGCCAAGCACGAGTAGCACCAGGCAGTGGTTGATTTACAGTATAGAGATGATGTGCACGCTACAAAAGAAAGAAAAAAAAAAGAGAATAACCATATCAATATCTCATAACTATCACTTATATAAATATATATTCTGAACTTACATAAGGAGCAATTTCATCATCAGGTTCAACAAAAACAATACCAGCCCTTGGATCTTCCAATTTGAAATCGATTCGAATGACAATGGGAGCATAAGATGGTGAGTTTTGTTCATTCATACTCGTTGATTTTTCATTGGTATCGTCATTGAGATCTAATAATATAAAACATATGAGATCTCTCTCTTTCTATTCTGATAGTACTTCTATTCCTTTACCTGCATGACTTTGTAAGAAAATTTGATTACTGATCAATTGAGCTTCGGATTCAGTCATCTAACAAGAAAAAAAAAGTATGAGTCACAAAGAAATCTTAGTCATAACTGATGTATATAATTGTACCTGTTTGATGCAACCTTCAGGTATTCTGATGGATAATTCACCGTCGTCAGCATCACGAAGAGCTGCTAAATATTTGCTTTTGTAGACTTGGTGATGAGCAATTGTTGTATTTCCACCAAGAGTAAGTTCAGACACGGGATCAGACAAGTCGAAATCTACTGGAGTACCATTTACAAATGTTTTCGTAATATCTATATTAACATGTTGAATATAATATAATGAGTATCAAATATATATATATATATTGCCGATGTGTTTGAGTATAATAAGTATAATTTTCATAAACTTACAACAATGACTTTTTGAATTGATACGTATATTTGATAGTTGATCCAAAGGTTGTATAGTTAGTTCTGCCGAGCCCTAAATATTATCATTTAATCAAGAAGAATAGGAAGTTGTTAGTAAAACAAAACAAAACAAAAAAAAAAAGATACATCATTAAACCGTTGCCTATTTTTTATTTACCTCAATGAAACGTCGGCAGGGATCAACATCCAGTACGAACCGTTCATGACTTGTAAAAACAATCAAAAAAAAAAAAAGGAAACGTGTTAGTTTTTTATATTGTTCAATTAAAATAATAATAATAATAAATAATAATTTAGTAATATAAAATAGAGGAGATACTTATAATGTAAAGTTCTTTTTGTTCGGTTCCCTTTGCATGACAATCCTACTATAAAAATAACTTTATCAAACAAGAATATTATAGTTTGATCAAGTATATTATAGAGTAAACAGAAAAGAAGTAAAGGAAAAAAAAAAAAAAAAAAAAAAAAAAAAAAAAAAGCATCACATTCTGTTGGAACGGATCTTGAATTCAGTCACACCTATAAATCAGAGACTTAAGAAATAAAAAAAAAAAAAAATTTGAATTGCTAGATTTTTCTTTCCTCTATTATCCCATTTGTTTCCTTTTTTTTTCCAAATTGGAAGCTATCCATCCATATTATATCAAACAAAAGTTTTTAAACTAATTTCACTTTCTTTTTTTTATTCCCAATATATCATGACTGATCGTATCAAAAGCAAATCACCTGTTACTAATAGTACTAAAGCTGTTGTAGAATCTTCAACTGCAACTTCAACTGCCATTTCTGCTACAACATCGACTGACCCCAATAACTCAACGTCAACAACAACGCCAGCCACAGTAGCCACGTCATCGACTAGTACAACCAATACAGCGTCCAATCGTATGACTTCCTCTATGAAGCCTACCTCCTCTTCCAATCCTGCCAGAAAAAAGGCTGTCAACAAGGCTCAAAGTAGTAGTGCAAGACGGTAAGTGAAGAATAACTGAAAAACTGTTGGAATAATGTATCTCATTTTCAGTTTTATTATTCTTTTACTATTGTTATAGTATCTCCAAAGAATTGGCTGAAATAGCGTTAGATCCTCCTTCAAACTGCAGGTACATGAAGATTTTTTAAAAAAAAAAAAAGTAATGATCAAAACTGATCCATGTTAAAAAAAAATAATGATAATTTTATAGTGCTGGACCAAAAGGTGATAATTTGTTTGAATGGGTATCTACTATTTATGGCCCTGCTGATTCACCTTATGCTCATGGTATATTCTTTCTTGACATTCAATTCCCAAAGGAATATCCTTTCAAGCCTCCTAAAGTAATATATACAACACAAATATTCAGGGTATTATTATCGTACTAACTTTTTTTTTTTATCTTGTTGGGAATAGATTACCTTCAGAACTCGTATTTATCACTGCAATATCAATAGCCAAGGTGCCATCTGCTTGGATATTCTGAAGGAAAATTGGTCACCTGCTCTCACTATTTCCAAGGTGTTATTATCCATTTGCTCACTATTAACTGATGCAAATCCTCGTAAGTTTGAATAGAATTTAATTTTCAGCCTTTCATAACATCTTTGTTAATCCTTTTTTTTTTTTTTTGTTTCTTATAATAGATGATCCTTTAGTTGGTAGTATTGCTCAAGAATACCTTTTGGACCGCGAACAACATGATCGTACTGCCAGAGAATGGACCAAGCAATATGCTTCGTAGACTGGACCATCCTTTCGTCTTCATGATTCATTATTTCAATTTTACATTATTTTGCATCCATTTTCCCCACAACTCACTACTTAGTACCTATTTTTTTTTATCAACTTTATATTATCTTCAATCAAAAATAAAAAAAAAAATTGCCATACTTCATTTTATTATTATGATGATCATTGTTATTTATTGTAGAGATCTTTAGTCAATGCGGCCAGGGAATCAACAATACCAAACGATATACAGAAAACGCCAAACAGAGCGATGGAGGCAGCGATGATGGATTCGATAATGAGACCAATGGGACGATGTGATGAAGATACGATATTGGAATGATCCTTTTGCCATGCCAACTTGATGAAAAATGCACATGGTAGAACAAATGTCAATGATTCAGCAGCAATGGTCCCAATTAGGTTCATGACATCGGCAAAATAGGGTATCAACATGGCGAACAACGCACATACGGCAATTTCAAGACTACGAACCAATACACGGGCCAGGATGGGATGATTACATAGCCATTCCAGAAAGAGAATACTACGCTTTACAAAATAGTTTCTTCCTTTCTTGATAGACAGTGTTGTGGGAGCCATCATATTAATAGTAGTAATAGTAAGAGGAGAAGGAGGAGAAGGAAGCTTTGTAGTGTCTATACATTCAGTCTCTATTATCGTACGAAGAGTATTGCTGATGATCTTATCATCATCATCATCATCTTTATTATGATGATGTTCGCAATTGTAAGTATTGATAATAGCGTCATCATTACTGTTGTTATTGTTGTCGTTATCTGCGCGAATAGGATGTTGTCTACAGGCAGTATTGATGTCATCAGTGGTCGAGGATAAAGGTGCTGAGGAATACAAGTCTTTTGTTCTCATTATGTTGCTATTAATTTTACTGGCAGCTGGAAAAAGAGGAGAGGGTGATGATGATGATGTTGCTTGTAGTGATCGTGCTTTCACTGAACGTGGATGATCCATACCATAAGCATCACTTGAAGAGTCTTGATTGTGATAATACAAAAGCCCAAGCCAGGATTCAATCCGAATGGTGAATACATACAAATATAATGGAGAGGCTAATAAAACATGGATAGTGGTGATGATCATGGCAATATTACGTGAGGAACCTAGTAAAGTAATATATCAAGGATGAATGGATGATCACGGATGAATGGATGATAATAACAAAAATGGATATCATTACCGTAAGGGAGATTCAGAAACACTGGATTTAAAACTTGATTGCCATAAACTAAATAACAGACAAAGCCAATGATCACATACATTACTGTGACAATGATAGTGGCAACCATCAATACTTTGGACCAATGTCGCGGATGATTCATGCAGCCCTCCAAGTGAGGATAAATGACATTACCACAATAAGAAAAACTAAAAGTACTAAATGCCATTGGAAACTGCCTAGGGATAGCGATATGATGATGATTTTGCTGAATATCTGTGTCATTTTCAATCCGATAATCTGCTGTGGATGCTACACTAATAATGAGAACAAGAGAAACTGATGCCAATGTAGCCACTACACTTCGTTTTTTTTTTTTAAAAAAAAAAAAAAAAAAAAAAAAGGATGGAGCGTTTCCATAAGAATTTCTTTTTTTTTTTTTTTTTTTTTTACCTCATAAAAGAAACATCCCTCATACTCCTTATCATGACAAAAGGAACGCCTACAACAACAGAGACCATCCAGGCACATACTTTAAAATCCAAGAGAATGCCAGCTGATAATAATAGATCAGATATGTTACTACTTGCTAATATAAAGTAGACAATGGGTGTAGCAAAAAGTAAAAGCTGAGAGAAAATAAATCCTATGACTTGTCCTGGTCTACCAAAGGCAGTATAACCTATTTCGGGAAATCCGTTTAAACGCTTTGATCTAATGGCACAAAAAAAAAAAAAAAAAAAAAGGTTTGAGAGATCGGTCTATCAACATTGTCCTCGCAGGATTTTTTTTTTGATACTTTACTGTCCAAGATAAAGGCATCGTATGATCAAACATCCAGTATAGTGTGATATACATGCACTTAAGATGAGAAAAACCATTCCTATCCAGCCAGATTGACTCAAAGCATAAGGAATACCGAGAGTACCGCTACCAGCAACAACACAACTAGTCAAATAAAAGAGTATTTTGTTGAAAAGGGGGAGAAAAGAAACAATTTTGCATTAGTAGAATAACAGATGATATCTCAAAAAAAAAAAAAAGGTAAAATCGATCGTTCTTTTGGTCTCTTTTATATTGATTACATGATGCTTGATAAAATGGAGGTATTGGAAACGTTCCTTGGTAAATTTTGCCAGGAACAAGACTGATTATCCATAATATCATACTCATTTTTAACTTGGAGTGATATTGGCGGTGATGATAATATATAATCCATACGTTGTCGAATAGTTGATCCATCATCTAACAATAATATGGATTGTCAATTTATTTATATATACATATATAACTGGTGTTACCTTGACAATAGGAAGAAGAAGATCTATCATTATCATCCATCATCAGGTGAAATAGAACGGAATAATAGACAAAAGAAAGACAATAAAGAGAAGAAGAAAGTGAGAAAGGAAGACACTTTTGCCAAAGGTAGAGTCTTTTTCCTTTCCATAATAGCTTTTGGCCGAAGATGAATCCGAGTAAGCATTATTCCCCCAACTGGAAATGAAAATTCTCTTTTTTAAGTCTATTTTTACCGGTTTTACTTTTTCCCTTTTCTTTTTCCCTTTTTTTTCACTTTTTCTGGTTGTTTTGTTTTTCTATATCTAATCACTCCTTCCATGGAATATCGGTACTTGGGATCCTCTGGTATAAAGGTCAGTGCTATTGGTTTAGGAACTTGGATCACTTTTGGTAAGAAAACTTCCTTTTATTCGTTTGATAATTATCATTATTAACATATTTTCTTTCTCGTTTCATCCTAGCTGCTCAGATCAATTGTGGTAAGCAATATATATATTCAAGAAAAAAAAAAGGAATATTTACAGTAACCATCTTTCTTTATTTAGAAACGGCAACGGAATGTATGCGCGTAGCTTTTGAAAATGGTATCAACTTTTTTGATGTTGCTGAATCACACTCTGGTAAGAAACGCGATTAGATATATACATATATATATATACAATTCCTTGTCAACGAATTCTTATCGTTGCCTCTTTTTTTTAAAAAAAAAAAAAATGGGACGAGGGTGACCTAAATAGGTGGACAAGCACAGATCGATATGGGTATAGCGTTCCGTAGACTTCAATGGCGTCGATCCGAATTTGTAGTGGCGACCAATATTTATTGGGGTGGCAAGGGACCAAACGATAGAGGATTATCAAGGAAACATATTATTGAAGGATTAACAGCATCATTGAAACGATTACAACTGGATTATGTGGATATCGTATATGGTCAACGACCTGATCCAGATACACCTATGGAAGAAATCGTACGCGCTTTTAGTTGGTGTATTGATAAAGGAATGGCACTTTATTGGGGTACAAGTGAATGGCCTGCTCATTTGGTGATGGAAGCTATCAAGGTTGCACAACAATTGAATTTGATTGCCCCGGTGGTAGAGGTAAATATAAAATAGGTGATATACTATGCAAAAGAAAAGAAAAAGAAGAAGTGATTCATATATAATCTTTTTTTTTTTTTTTGTTTCTATGGGATAGCAACCTCAATATAATATGTTTCATCGGGAACGTGTAGAAAAGGAATATTTATATCTTGTTGACAAATATAAAATTGGTATGACATCATGGTCTCCATTGGCATCTGGTAAGATTGGAAGAAAATAAATATATCAACATCTCACGATTAATTCTATATAATTTATCTAGGCGTATTGACAGGGAAATATAATGATGGCAAGATTCCTTCTGATGCACGATTAGCTATTCAAGATCATCCAGTTATCAATCGGCTACGAGCAGGCTTCTTCAGTGCAGAAGGACATCGAAAAATAGAAAAAGTACAACAATTAGTGGTAAAGTCGAATTAAAATCAAAATCAAAAAAAAAGAATGATCATTTTTCTCATCAAAACAATTATATATTTTTTTTTATCATTATTATTATACTATAGTTGATAGCGAACAAACTTCAGGTAACCCCTTCGCAATTAGCTATTGCATGGTGTTTGAAGAATCCTATGATATCAAGTGTAATTACTGGTGCCTCCCGACCCTCTCAAGTAGAAGATAATGTCAAGGCTATACAATGTTTACCTCTCTTGACCAAGGATGTGATGCATGAACTTGATACGGTAAAACAAGAATATAATCAAAACAGTAGACTTGATGATTCATTTTTCATTACTTTATTTCTTCTCACTTTAGATTCTTGGCAACAAACCAGAACCAGTCTTCAACTTTAGATCATCATGATAAATGGACGAAATTGGATACCTTGGTTAGATTGGATCTACTATTCTTATTATTCTTTTTTATTATGATTCGTTATAGTGATAGAAATACATATTAGTATAGTACTATTTCAGATATAAATAAAAAAAAATTCTTTTTTTTCCATGATCAAGTCAATGGAAGTAACAGAAGAAAAAGGCACCAAGAACACATCAAATCATGAATGATCGGGGCTCTTTTTTTTTTTTTTTTGTCACTGATCAGGGAACGCGGGGAAAGTGATTATCGTTCGAACAGAAAAATCATCATTACTGGGAAAATGAATGCTTTACATGTCTTTATCTTATCTTTGTTTTTTTTTTTTCTATTTTTTTTTTTAGTGTCGATCCTTTCTTGATTGAATCAAGGAATAATATTCCTTATTATTTAACAAAAGAAAAAAAGAAAAACTCTTCACTATATTTCAAAGGAAGACTGACAACATCTTGACAATGGTTCCTTTTTTTTCACAAAATAAAAAAAAAAAAAACGACGATCAGGGAGTCTGGATCATCATTGTAGAGATTAAAACCAAAGAAACAGTGATTGATCCGAAGAGAGGCCATGAAATCGGATGATGAAATCATAGAAGGATAAGAAAGAAAAGTGAAAAAAGAGATGTTTTCAAACTGAGAAGTAATTCATTCTGTGGTTTGGATCCTTTTCTTATATAAAATACCACTTTTTTTTCTATTCTTTTTTTCTCGGATTGATATCATCATCCTTTCGTTTTAATAAGACATCTTCCATTCCACCTTTATAGTAATGATGAACTTAATGTCAATGATAGTTCCCTTTATGATGATCATCACGATGACAATAGCTTCTCCCTCTTTGGAAAAACGTGAATTTACTGGTGAAGGCACATATTACAATGTAGGTTTGGGTAGCTGTGGCAAAACCAATGATGATCATCAATATGTAGCTGCTCTTAATGCTCCTCAGATGAATAACGGACCTAATCCCAATTATAATAAATTGTGTGATAAACGCATTAGAGTCACTGGTCCCAAAGGAACCATCACTGTCAAAATTGTAAAGCAAAAAAAAAAAAAGAGTTCCTTTTTTGGTCAACTCACTTCTGTTTTTGTTTTTTTTTTTTTTTTGATTAGGTTGATACGTGTCCACCCTGTAAATCTGGTGATGTTGATCTTTCACCATCAAGTTTCGCTGCTATAGCCGATCTATCCGCTGGACGAGTGCCCATCACTTGGTAAGAAGAAAAAAAAACAAGTGGTATATGTCTCTGTCTGTTCAAACTCATTCTTTTTCTATTTATTAGGAGTTGGGCTTGAAGAGAAAAGCATTCCTTTACATTAAAAAAAGGAAATAGTAAAATGATGATGATAAGCATGAAAGCCGGTTCTTTCTTAACTTGATGATTCTCTTTTTTTTATCTTCTTTCTTTATTGTCATTTATTTTTGTTGTACACATTCAATAAATAAAATGAATTATCCATCTCATCCATTTACGCCTTATGCTTGATGTTCTCGTATATCATCATTATTAATATGATAGTTCAATCATCAACTATTTTTAATTTGGTGTGGGTACAGAAAAAGTTAACAAAAGTTTGTTAAGAATGAGACTACGATGATGTAGAATGATAAAAAAAATCCTCGTTTGGACGACAGGTTGGAAGGCCTTGGTCTTTTTTTTTTTTTTTTGGTTAAACCCAGTAGTACTTTAATAGTGATGATAAAATACGATATTATTAAGTAGAAAACTAATGATGATGATGACGATTTGATCCCCAAAAACAGGGCATGTACTAATAGCAAACTATCATGATTTTTATTAAGCAACCCAGCGGTTTCCTTTTTTGTACACAGTGAGAATGATGATGAGGAACTTCTATTGGAAAATATCGATTGATTGTTCGATTACCGATATCATGCTTGTTTTTCTATCGTTGATGATGATAGTGACGATAGGAAGGGTGGTAATTTCAACTTTAGAAGGATGTTCTTTTCAGTATATGCCAAGAAATAATAAGTATGATGAAACAGGTAGAAATGAACATAATAAAAATGTCAACCTAACAACTAAGGCAAGAACAATGACAATCATATAGGGACAAATACCAAAAGTAAAAGAGAAAAATAGACATATATAATATATATATATATATATATATAATCAAAATCAAAGTTGTAATTGTGTAAAGAAATGTTTTTATTTATTTGATTAATATGTAATGTAAATAGTCCTAATAATAATAAAAAATAAGAAAGAAAAAGATAAAAAGTAAGTTGTAGATATATGTAATAATAGTAGTAGTAATAATAAAGAATAAGAAAAGAAGAGTGGGGAGAGTCGAAACTAAAAAAGAAAAAAAAGAATCCAGTTGTTGTCCAGTAAATAACGGTATTATCAGGTCGCAGATGCGGCTGTTGTCGTTTCCAATGTTTCATCAGTCTTTGCTTCTTGTTGTCGAGCTGCATGAATGGCAGCAGTGACACTTCCTTGTTTGAATTCGGTATCGCCCGTGTATACCTTTGGTAGTTGGTCCTGATCAATTATCTTCGTCAATGAGGTCATCATTTCAGAGCTATCATAACGTTACAGATATGTAGAAAATATTAAATAAGTTAGACATATTGTATCATTTAAATTATCTACTTACTTTGAGCATACAACAAATTTCTTGATGGTAGCTTCAGGTAACAAGGGTTTAATCAAATTGAAGATCTTGCTATTAAATTAAAAAAAAAAGTTAGTTGTCAAAGATATATATCAAAAAAAAAAAAGACAACATTCTTGTCTCCCTAATGATTTTTACCTTCCCCACCAAGGTACATTCACAAAGAATTTGATAGCCAAGAATTCTGGATAATTGTCTTGTAAAAGTTTGATAAGTTCTTTAGTAGCAGCTTTGGCATTAGCTGTACGACCAAACATGGATGCACCACGATAATCATGGACTTGAATAGTAGCATCCACATTAATAAAATCGACCAATTGAACAGACTTTTCCATAAGTTGCAATCGCCAGCGTATGAATCTATAAGAAAAAAGAATAATCAATATATATATATATATATATATATCTAAATCATCATCAATCGATACATACGTTTGAACATCTTTAAAGACAGTTTCTTGATCAATATCACCATAAAAATTGTAACAAACAGGACGACCTTTCTTATCTTTGCCATGTAAATAACCAATAGAACCATACAAATCTTGATCAAAGGTTTCAGTTAATAATTCATCGGCTTTGAATTCCTTACGCCACTTTAAAGTATTAACAAGCATCTTGCGTGCTTCAGGAAAAGAGAGTGAACTAAATAATAATATTAATAATAATAATAAATAAATAAGTATCAACAAATATTTATTGTATCATGTTTTTACCAGGCACGTATAAACTTGACTAAGATAACATCCAAACGTTCATCGGTAGATTCTTTATCCAAAGTAACACCCCATAATGTATAAGTATCTTCCGAACCAAAAGCTTCTTTTAATATAGCGGGTAAATCTTGTTTAAGTTGAATAACCCCTTCTTTTTCTGCTGGTTTGAATTCCTTTACAAACTGATTAGTCATTTCTGAGATAAAGGTAAAAAAAGAAAAAAATGCTGCGTACCCAACATATCAGGTCAAAAAAGCTCACCAGTTTCTGAGATAAAAAAAAAGGAATGTGATTGGTTATACGAATTCTTCAAAGACGCGGCCAAAGAGAAAAAGTCGCGAAAAAAAAAAAGACATTTCAATTTTTTTTTTCTCTAGTCACGACTTTTTTTTTTTTTAATTTTTCAGAAGACTATAAAAAATGTCCTTTTCTTTTTTTTTTTATTTCTTTCTTCTTTTTTTTTTTTTTTATCCTTTTCCCTTTATTTTCATATAAACTCATTTTATACAAGATACCATGTCTGTCTCTGAAGCTACTCAACAGTTGGAAAATTTAACTCTCAAGCATAAACGTCCTACTCGTGAAGCTGAAAACGAAGAAGAAATCCTTCGTGAAAATACTCGCCGATTCTGTCTATTCCCTATCAAATACCATGAAGTAAGTTTTTTTTTGCATAATTTGTTACAGACTAAATTAAATCATTTATATATATATTTAGATTTGGCAATTCTACAAGAAACATGAAGCTTCCTTTTGGACAGCAGAAGAAATTGACCTTTCAAAGGATACCAATGATTGGGAAAACAAGTTAAATGACGATGAAAGATATTTTATCTCTCATGTATTGGCTTTCTTTGCAAGCTCAGATGGTATTGTTAATGAAAATTTGGTTCAAAACTTTATGGATGAAGTCAAGATTGCTGAAGCCAAATGCTTTTATGGATTCCAAATCATGATTGAAAATATTCATTCTGAAACTTATAGTTTATTGATTGACACTTATATCAAGGATCCTGTGGAAAAAGAAAACTTATTTGATGCCATTGAAACTAGTAAGTTTATTTTTTTTTTACATCATATTATTAGACGCGTCTCTTTTTTTTTTTTTTTTTTTTTTACTTTTTGCTTCGGATGGTGGAGCTTGAAATACTTAAAACTCATTATGTTTGATTTGCTTTATAGTTCCATGTATCAAGAAAAAGGCTGATTGGGCTTTCCGTTGGATTAGTGGAAATGAATCATTTGCTGAAAGACTTGTTGCTTTTGCTGCTGTAGAAGGTATTTTCTTTTCTGGTGCCTTTGCTTCCATTTTCTGGCTCAAGAAACGTGGATTGATGCCTGGTTTGACTTTCTCCAATGAATTGATCAGTCGTGATGAAGGTCTCCATACCGACTTTGCCTGTTTATTATTTGGTCATCTTCAACATCAACCTACTCACGATCGTGTACTAGAAATCATTGTTGAAGCTGTTGCCATTGAACAAGAATTCCTTACTGAAGCCCTTCCCGTAGCTTTGATTGGTATGAACAGCAAACTTATGTGTCAATATATCGAATTTGTTGCCGATCGTCTCTTGGTTGCTCTTGGTTTAGACAAACATTACAACTCCACCAATCCCTTTGATTTTATGGATCTGATCTCTCTTCAAGGCAAGACAAACTTCTTTGAAAAACGCGTTTCTGATTATCAACGAGCTGGTGTTATGAACAAAACTGCAGAAGAAAAACAGTTTACCTTAGATGCTGATTTTTAGGTATCATTTGTATATATATATCCTTTTATTTTCATTATTATTATTATCATTATTATTATCATTATTATTATTTGAAATTCTTATTTCCCTTGTTTTTATCAATAAAACCGTCATTTGTTTATATTCTTTGTGTCTTATCATTTGATGAATCATATCTAAAATATTCTTTGTAAAATGAAAGTTTTATAAACATTTACTACTACTACCCCTTCAAAAAAAAAAAAAAAAAAAAGTATCGACGATTTTAAGCTGTAGATCATTGATGACAAAACTAACGTCGAATGTATTCAGGTATTTTCGATCAATGATTAGGATACTGCAAAACTTAAGTTGACCTATATGTATCCATGATTGTAAATTCTTTCTACAACTTTTAAATCCAATGTGTCGATATGAATAAAGATAAAAAAAAAAAAAAAAAAAAAAAAAAAACTAAAAAAGAACCCTGCTTTTTTATTATTATTATTATTATTATCACTCTTGCGATGCAATGATGTTCAAAAATGATTGAAGAATGCTTACTGTTTTATTGATGTTTGATATAAATATTTATAACTACACATATTCAACTAACACTTATTATTTGGCCATTTCCTTAAGGAATTCTTCATGTAGTTTCTTTTGAGTATCCCATTCCTTTTGTAGTTTCTTCTTGCGACTCTTGGTGACTTCTTCCCCATCCTTAGTATGTGTTGGTAAACCTTGATCATCAAATTTGGAGAATTCATCCACACGAGATCTAAACAAATCCATAGGACTCACCCGTCCTTTTTCCAATTTTTCTAATCGCTTGCGTTCCCGTTCCGCTTGAGCTGCTTGTCGTTTTCGTTCCTTGTCTGCTTGAAGGGCCGCCTTCTTTTCACGTGCTTCAATCAATTCTTCTCGAGGTACTAACTTGACTAAAGCTGTTCCATCTGTAATAATGTGTTCAAAATAAAGGGAAAAATTTCCAGATGAGATGATGTTTCACATAATATCAACCGTTTTTTTTTTTAGGGATTACCTTCTTGGTCGTCAAGTGAAACACCCAAATCTACCATTTGTGTATCACGTAGACTATCGCATGCTTCTAGGAATTGTTTGTGAGGGACGTTGTCACGGGCCATACGACGAACTTGATCTCGGAAACCAGACAAAGTATGCAAATAAGGCATCAAAGTTTCTTCAGCCTAGTAGATAGATGAAGGAAGAAAAATAATGAGTATGATGAGGATCAGTTGATTTCATTCTATGATATGACATACGTTTCCACCAACTTGATCGGATGATGTTCCAAAACCAAGCTCGACACCGCTATCAGCAACACCAAAGATCTATCAAAAAAAAAAAAAAAAAAAATCAGTTCAGCAATTTCATTTATTTATTTTTTTTGTTTCAGAAATTTCAGTTCAATGAGTAAATGGCTCTTTTGAGAAAAGATAGTTTACCTTCATCATGGAAGTGACCCATGTAGCAATCTTGTTTAACAGATGAGGATTAACCAATTTGGATCCATTGGCAATATATTTATTAGCATGAGAGACCATGTTCATGATTTCATCCATAGCAGCAGGTGTGTTGATAGAGTCACAAAGAGCAACATGCACAGCATCTTGTTTGGATTGTAAACTATCAATAACATGAAAACGAAACACATGAGTTCCTAGAAGAATCATCCTTCATTCCTTCTTTTTTTTTATTATTATTATTATTACTTACAGTGATAACAATTGAGCTTCGGCTGGGCCAAATCGATGAGTCAATCCACCATCAGGTAATTCTGTAGCTCCACGGCTTCCATCACTACGAATCTTATGCAAAATACCCTTCACGTTGTCAAAGAAGTTCTATATAAATAAATAATCACCAACCCATCAAAAAAAAAAAAAAAGAATCAGTAAACTATAGGATAAAAATATCTTTTCATATATTTGTGGATCCAGCCTTTTCTTTTTTATACTTACCTTCAGAGTAGTTTCACCTTGAATAACTTCCAACATACTTGATTGCTTGAAATCCATCTTGGCATCCCATTGGAATTGGAGGAAGAAGAGTCGAATCTGACGAGGAGTATATAACTTGAGGGCTTCCTGAATGCTGATAAAATTCTTCAAACTTTTGCTCATCTTTTGTCCTTCTACATGAAGATGACCGGCATGTAAAAAGTAATTGACCCATTGATGACAGTTATAATAACCTTCAGCTTGAGCCAATTCATTATCGTGATGTGGGAAGGCCAAATCAATACCTCCTGAATGAATATCCATGCTATCCCCCAAAATTGCACTATATCATAATAATATTATTACGGGTAAGATATAATTTATTTCTTTTTTTTTTTTTAATTACTATTATTACCTTGCCATCACGGAACATTCAATATGCCATCCAGGACGACCAGCACCCCAAGGCGAATTCCAGGTAGGTTCACCAGGCTTGGAAGCTTTCCATAGAGCGAAATCATTTTTGCTTTTTTGACCTGTCAATTTAGAACCCAATGAACCTTCACCATCTTCAATCAAAGCAGTGTTTCCTTTAGACCATGGTTCCAACTTGGCATAATGATGACCATCGTGACCATCATATTTGTTGGTATCAAAGTATACAGATCCTTGAGCCTCATAGGCATATCCATTATCAATGATTTTTTGTACATACTCGATAATTTCAGGTACATATTCGCTGACTCGTGTTTGAATATCAGGTTTTCGAACCTATCAAGTGTCCCCCCCCCCAATAATAAAAAAAGTAAATATGATTATAAAATAATAATACAATGGATCATTTGATCTTACCTTCAATGCTTCCATATCTTGGAAATAGGCATCTTCCCAATAGGCAGGCAAATCACGGAAAATTTTGGGATCATTGACTTCAGCACCGTGCTAGATTTAGATATTAAAAAAAAGGTTAAAAAAGACGAAGTTTTTAATTTTGATAGCATCTCTTTTTTTCTTTAAAAAAAAAAAGTACCTTCTTATCCAATGAGACTGAGAGAATATCTTGAGAAGCATCTAATAGAGCATCAGCAGTAGCTTTGGAAGTGTCATTTTCAGCTAATGATTTCTTTGCGTTTTCAATGGCAGATCGAGAAGTTTGCTGAAAAACAAAAGAATATAGTTAGTCAATGACTTTGTGTAAATCTTACATTTAAAGAAAGAAAGAAGAAAAAATGATTCCTTACTAACGCAGCCAAATACATTTTGAACTTTTCATCAAGTAATACAGCCTTCGAAAGTTCTTCAGGGGTCAAATTAGTTTGATAAGAATTCCAATCCTTTGAAGCTGATTCCACTGCACCAGGAATTTTGTTCAGTTTTGACGTCATGTATTCGATCCAAGCTTCTTCTACAGTGGTGATCAAGTCGACATCTAATGATTGTGTTTTTTCCTTGAGGTTGTTGAAGAGATATTGTTGACGAGCACGAAGAATAATCTATATCATCATCATTAAGAGAGTAAAAAGGGGAGAATACAGATCAATACAAATATCCTTTTTTTTTTCTTGTTCGGTCTTCCTTTTACCTTATCGTCAATATCGGTCACATTCTGTACAAATAAAACATCATATTTGAAATAATCTTCGAGTACACGACGAATGATATCCATGGTAAGGTAAGTACTACAAGAAGAATAAATAAGTACAATAATAATAATAATAATAATATTTTGTTTTCCTTACCGAGCATGACCCATATGAGAAGCATCATAAACTGTAGGACCACAGTTATACCAAGTTACTTGTCGACCACGCTTTGGGATGAATTCAGTCTATAAAAGAAAAAAAAAAGAAAAGAAAAGTCAATAAACTACTTGATTTGTTTTTGCCCGTTATTTTATTGTTTTTTATACCTTCGTTTTTGTCAAAGAGTTTTGTAACTTCAAAACAGGTCGGACAGTAGAAGTAGGTACTTGCCACTTGGGTTGTTGTCTACTAATGTCAGAGGTCATAGCACGTCTTGTTGTGTTAATAAAAGAAGAATAAGAAACTCTTGGAGGAATACGAACAAGGTTTTGAGTCAAACAAAAGAACACTTTTGGCATTCACACACTGACAAGAGGTAAAATGCACTTACAACAATAAAGAAATGAAGAAAGAAAGACAAATAATAAAAAAACGGAGAGCTGTTAAAAAAAATAAACCTGGGCGGAGTTGTATATACATTGATGGTTCAATGGCCTCACAGCCACAAGCCACTTTTTGCCACAAAATCATGCATTAAAAATAAAGTGTAAAGAACTAGTTACATAAAGGAACGTATATGATATTGGTCACTGTGACTCATGTCAATTCCAACCCCTTCTTTTTTTTTATTATTATTATTACTATTATTATTATTTTCAACAATGATACACAAAGTAAAACAAGTAACTATATACAAAACACAATCATACTCACTAACTAACTAATTACCTAACCTAGGGAAGTGCTGTAATCTTCTTTTGTCGACTTTCAATATCCTTAATCGTCCATAATGATACACCTGTTTGATTGCTTTCAATTGGTTGCGCCATTGTCCTTAAAAATTTCTTCGCTATGCCAATGGCCATATCAGTTGACAAATTGGTGGATGCCTCTGTCACATATTGATTGATCCATTTCGGTAACTTAGCACGTTTATCGGCTCGGGCAAATCTCTAATATCAATTTAAAAAAAAAAAGTTAAAGTTATCATAAACTACATCATATTATTTTCTTATTATTATTTTATTTACTTACTTTGTCAGCAAACACCATCAATCCATAATCTGTTTTTCCTCGTAGTACTCGTCCTACACATTGAGCAGCATGTCGCATAGCATCAAAGGTCAAAAAGTCATTTTCTCGAATATGATGATTATCTCGTAAATATTCCAATCGAGCCTATAATTGTGAATTTATATAGAATCATCTATCGGTTTCTAGGGTTATATCCAAATTTCATTTTACCTTTAAAATTCTTGATTCCGTATATTGATAGGGAATACCGAACATGATAACTGCACGGCCATAATTATGATCAAAATCAATCCCTTCTGATACCTTTCCACGAGCCACTGAGAGAAGAATAGCACCCCGACCATTGTCACACGCCTTTATAAAAAAAAAAAGAATACGGGATCATTAGAGTATTTCTTGAATGATATTGCTGCATCTTTTCTAATTTATATTTACCTTTCGATAATTGGCAAGAGCTAAACTTGTTTCAGCTGCGTCAGGAGTTTCAACGAAGATCAGTTTATGTTTCCAAGCTTCATTCAATATACCCTATTAGTAACAACAATAAATAAATAAATTAATAAAAAAAAAGGATTTTTATCCAAATCTAAGCTTTTCTTTACCATATCGTTCCACATTGAGACGATTTGTTCCATATAAAGATAACTAGGGAAGAAACATACAACACCATCTGGTACTATTTTTGCGAATTCCACCATAATCTGTCCAAAATTTCGCACAACTGCAGGATCGTTTCGTACCTCGAATTTTGAACTAACTGCAACTTGATCTGAACCACGCGTAATGACCTAAAAAGTAAGGAAACAAGATTAATCAGTACATATATCTCCTCAAAAAAAAAAAGTGGATGTGCGTGAATGTATTTTTTTTTTTTATTATTACCATTGGTAAGAAACAATTGCGAGTCAAAGTCATGGCATAACTTTCTTGTACAACTGTTTGGAAATTCAACATTTTGGGATACATGTCCAAAGGTGATAGAGTACCAGACGTAATAACTACTGTACTGAATCTTTCAAACACCGGTTTTATAGCAATAGAGGCATCCAAACATCTATAAAAGAGATATATATATATAATTATAAAACACATCCTACTATTTGTGTCAAGTTGTTTGAACATACGTGAAATGTAATACTGGATTGGGTATTGTTGCCATATCGGATTCAAACGGTTCCAAAATAAGTAAAAAGCCTAATCAATAAAGAAGGAAAAAAAAATAGATGCATCAGATACGAGTAGCTGTAATCTTATTTTATATTCTCAATATATTGTTTTGCCTTTGTCATAAGTTGCTACTAAAGTGGCGAAAGCTGCAATTCGTTGTAAACTTGAGTAATGTTCCAAATCAGTCAATTCAAGAGTTCGTACAAGACTTGTCAACCTTTCGGCACAAAATCGCAGTGGTTTCCGTTCAATAAATGTAACATCTTTCACATGTTGTAAAAACGATGTTGGATTTTCAGCAACAACATGCATCACTCTCATTCGTGTCTATAAGTAAATATAATATTTGAGATGAATATTTCTATATCTTGATCTATTTTATTTAGTTTCTTTTTTTTTTTTTACCTTGAGATATTCAATAAATCGTCGTAAAAATGCTACAAAATGTTCAGCACGTCGAATATTGCCAGGTACAGCTTCCTTCAACAGATCATCAGGTAACACCGGATTGGCCATAAAAGTGTCTTCATCTCTCGCTGAACTAGCATCCCGTAATCCTATGAGAAAGTAAAACAAATGAATATCGATAATAAATCAATAAAAGATTCAAACTTATACCTTCAACCAGCTTTGAATACTCTTGTTCCAATTTTTGTCTATCTGTCTTTTTGATTCTATAGAATGAAATAGAAAAAAGTTAAAAAAAAAATAATACACGCCATTTATCTACCAAGACAATACTTACTCAGTGATTCTATCTGCCAATAATCCTACACTTCTTGCCCCAGCATCGAGAATAGGTCGAGTAAGATCTATGCTCAGAGATTCGATACAAACGTTATCTACAATATATAAAAAAAAAAAAAAAAAAAGAAAAGAAAAGACAAGTTAATTTCAAACTTTAAAATTGTTTTGTTCCATTCATTTACCAATATTGTGGGCTTCATCGAACACCACAATACAATCTTTGGACATTTCTTTGGAAACAAGTTCTGCCACCTTGGGATCAAGCATATAATGATAGGAGAAGATCACCACATTGGCAAATGGAAGCTATATATATAAAGATTAGTTTTTCCTAATTAAATATTTATGGATGTATTCCTATTACCGTTTGTCGAACAAGATAATAGGGACAAAATTTCATTTTCTTTCCATAATTTTTCAGATCCTCGAGAGTATAAACACCATTTGGAATAGGTTTAGGAGAAGGAGTTGATTCTAATTGTTCATAAAAGTCGCATAGTTCAATATTGGTATCCACCTGAATTGTTGTATCTTGTTCCTGTTCTTGTTGTCCACGTTTCAATTTTCCTGCTCTTGCGCGCACCCAACTTGCTGTCATATCACGACATTTTGAATCTACAAGTTTCCCTTTCTTTTCTTTGGATACCACAGGATGTAGACATAGATTTTTTCTTGAAGTCAAACCAAGTGCAAAGAAGTCTTCTTGTAGTCCTTCCTTCCGCCTATACTCCATCAAGTGTTCTAATTCTGCAAGTGCTTTTTCAATTTCTGGTACAGTTCGAGAGCAGTAAATCAGTTTTCGATGTTGTTCAGGGTATTGCTATTATATAAAATAAATAAAAAAAAAAAAACAAGTCAGTTGTAAAGAAAGAAAAAAGAAAAAAAAAAACAGGCTAAATGCTCACCATTTGATAGGCGACAATCAAAGATAAAAGAGATACTGTTTTACCAGTTCCTGATGGCATTTCTAAAACACAATGACCCTATAAATAGAGAAGACAGATTAGAATAATAATAACAATATTAATAAGAGAACTTACTTGTGCATCAAGTGATTTCTTTAAATCACACATGTATTGATATTGTTCTGGATATATTTTGTCATAAGGAAAATGAACAGGAAGGTCATCGATATAAAAACTAAATAGAATAAAGATGAATATAAAGTTACAAATTTTTCATTATCTATTTTATACATACATCATGGATACAACTGTAAGTAATAGAAAATAGTACCTTGTTAAAAAGAAGAAAAAACCAAAATAGCAGGATTCGCAGCAATTTGACATAAAAAAAAAAGTGTGACGCTTGTTGAAATAAAAACGCCGCCTTTTATTCTTTCTTAATTTTTTTTCTTTTCTCTTTCCTTTTTATAATAATAATAATAATAATGTCACAATCTACTCCACCACCACCTCCTCCTCCACAAGGTGTACCATTACAAGGAATGTCACCACAAAATATATCTTCCCAAGGTGTACCTCCACGTGGAATGCCACCTAATCCTTATGGAGGTCCTCCACCACCTGGTTTTATGAGACCTCCACCTCCTGCTGGATTCCCTTCAAACGGTACTCCTCCTCCTCCTCCTCCATCTGGTGGTTTCATGGGTCGACCACCGCTTCCTACTCCTGTTCCTGGTGTTGGTATCAGAGGTGTTCCTGCTGGTTTACCTGTATCAAAACAAGTATTAAATACAACTCCCAGTAGAACTATCTATGTCAGTAATTTGAACGAAAAAGTCAAGATTGATGGTAAAAAAAAAAAAAAAAAAAGATTTCTTTTACACTTTCTTATTATTCTTCTTTTTATTTTTATGATAGTCCTTAAAAACACGTTACGCAATTTATTCCAACAGTTTGGTGAAGTTCTTGATGTAGTTGCCCATGGAAATATCCGAATGCGAGGTCAAGCTTTCATCGCTTATCCTACTGAAGAATGTGGTGAAAATGCGATCAAGGAATTACAACACTTTTCTTTGTATGGAAAACCAATGGTAAAGTAAAAGAAATTATATCTAGACGAATTTGATCAGTGGGAAAGAAGCTATTATTTAACTTTTTTGATACGATTCTCTTTACAATAGGTCGTTCAATTTGCTCGAAACAAATCTGATGTTCACGCTCGAAAGGATGGGGATTACGAAGAACATTATAAAGCACGAATTGAAAAGAAAGGTAATAAAGGGAAAATTCGATGGATTTAATATCTAACTCTATCTTTTTGGTATTGTAACTTAGAACAAGTCAAATTATTACCTCTACCAGGATCACACAAACCCACGTTCAAGGCACCAGGAAGTAAGTTAGAAAAGAATGATTTATTCTATCATATATTAATCCTTTTTTTTTAAAAAAAAAAAAATGATGATAGCTCGAAGCAAGACTGCAAAAGCAGGAGCACCTCAACGAAATGCCATTCCTGACGACTATTTACCACCCAATAGCATTCTATTCTTACAAAACTTACCAGAAACAACAACTCAAGAATATCTTGTGGAACTATTCGAAACTTATCCTGGATTTAAGGAAGTACGTATGATCCCAACCAAGAAATCCATTGCTTTTGTGGAATATGAAACCGACTATCAAGCCTCTCTTGCGAAAATGGAATTGGCCAACCATCGTATTGATGATGATCATCTCATGAAAGTTACCTTTGCAAGGAAATAGATATAGATCATTTTCTTTATCATCATCTTATTCATATTGTTTTAATCATGATCCTCCCTTGTTTATATATATACATATATATTTGTTATTATGAACATTGCACTTCCGTTCAGTGTAATATAGTCTCCTCATTTTTATTATTTGAATAAAAATCGTATATTTTCTAATATTTAATCATGATGATTTATGAAAATTGTAATTACTTTATAAAGATATAAAGATATTTAAAGTAATAATATAGTAGAATTGATTGAAAAAAAAAAGAACTTTATTTGTTAAGATGTAGATGGTAAAAAAAGATGATGATCATATATAAAAAAAAAGTAAAAAGTGGAAAATTGTATAAATAAAAGATGACTATATATAGAGAATGCGAGGGGGGAAGATCTTACAAGGTCTTGCCAGCAGCCAACCAAGTCTTCAATTGTTGAATTTGAGCAGTAACAGATGATCGACTAGTACCACCAGGAGTATTTCTATTTTCAATACTTGTTTCAAAACTCCATACAGACGCAACATCATCTGCAAATGAAGGATGTAATGATTTAAAATCATCATTGGATAATTCATGTAAGGATACTTGACGATCTTCTGCTAACTTGACAGCAGCACCAGAAATATGATGAGTTTCACGGAATGGGACACCTTTTCGTACAAGATATTCAGCAAGATCAGTAGCCAACATATCAGCAGATAAACTAGCACGCATTTTTTCAGGGAAGATCTATGGAATAGAATAATACAAAATAAAGTTAAATGTTTTGGCCTATTTTTTTTTTTTTTTTCAAAAAACAAATTTACATTCATTGTGCTCAATACACCAGCAGTGATTTGAAGAGATCCAGACAAAGTATCAGCAGCATCAAACATAGGTTCCTTATCTTCTTGAAGATCTTTATTATAAGTACTTGGAATACCTTTGTATGACATCATAAATCCTGACATCTAAAAAGAGAGGAAAGTATCAGTTACTAAGTCTATTTTATTTACCCAAACAATAACTTGCTTTTTTTTTTTTTAATATACTTACACTACCAAAGACACGACCACATTTACCACGTAATAATTCCAAACTATCAGGATTTTTCTTTTGAGGCATCAAACTTGATCCAGTACTATAAGCATCTGCTAACTTGACAAAACCAAATTCACCACTAGAATAGATAATCAAATCTTCAGCAATACGAGAGATATGAGTCATTGTCAAACTAGCCCAGAATAAAAACTCAGCGACAAAGTCCCGATCACTGACGGCATACAAAGAGTTATTGATGATACCACGGAAACCTAATTCCTTCGCCAAAAAATCACGATCAATATTGAAGGCATGTCCAGCCAAAGCACCAGATCCAAGAGGTAAAACATTAAATCTATCAATCAATTGTTCCAATCGTTCCGCATCAGCTTGCCATAACCATGCATGGGATAATAAAAAGTGAGACCATCGAATAGGTTGAGCTCTCTATTATAAACCAAAACAAAGAAAAAAAAAACGCCATTTTTTTTTTTTAGTATTTTCTTTATTTATTTGTTTATTTGCATATAACTTACTTGTAAATGAGTATAACCAGGCATCAATACGTCAATTTCCTTTTCAGCGCGAGACACAGTGATAGAGATGAGTTCCTTTAAATGAGCCAAAATAGAAGAAGCTTCATCACGCAACCAAATACGCATATCAGTAGCAACTTGATCATTTCGACTACGACCAGTATGTAACTTGCCAGCTACAGATCCAACCAGTTCACCAAGACGACGTTCATTAGCAGTATGAATATCTTCATCTCCTTGTCGCAATTCAAACGTCTTGTTATCCCATTCTTCCATAACCTTTTCCAAACCACCAATAAGTTGATCTCGTTCTTGTTCAGTAATAATATTATTCTTAGCAAGAGCCTTGCAGTATGCGATGGAACCAATACAATCAGCAGCATACATACGACGGTCAAAGTGAATAGAAGCATTGAACGCGTCCATAAGTGGATCAACAGCACCAGTAAAACGACCACCCCATAACTTTTTAGGTTCAGAAGACATTATAATAAACTTTTTTTTTCAATTGGAAAAGAAAAGAAAAGAAAAGAAAAAAGAGAGAGAGAGAGAAAAATTTCATTTTAACTTCCAAAATGAAAATGACTCATTCAGTGTACAAAGTGAAAAAAAAAAATCGGATATTCAAATCCACATAACACTAACATATGTATAAAACATAAACCTTAACCAGTCCAAATCTAGGACAATAGATACCAGGTAATAGATACTATGAATAAAAATCTGAAGAAGGGAATAAAATAAAGTCTAATAGATAGTAAGTGTCGTGATTACTTAACTCATGATGGAAATTTGAGATCAAACAACCAGAAAAAAAAAATAATGCGCTTATTCATTTTGATTGTATCACCGATAGTAAATACTGCATTAAGAGAATATCCATCAGTACTGTCATTTATTTATTATAAATATATAATATGTGGAGAAGAAATTGTTTCCCCAGTAAGAAAATAAATTGTGATTGATCAATTGCTATATGCTCTTCATATAAAAGGGCCTTTGACGGGTTTATTGTTCATTGGAATATCTTTGGGATCGATAGGAGTATTTGTATAGTTTAATGCTTCAGTCATAAAACTGAATACATTATTAGCAGTTTTATCAGCATCACCTCGGTTGAGAGATCCAAGGTCCCAATTTTGCTAAATATAAAAAAAAAAAAAATAGATATGAGTAACCCACTCTTCTTTTTTTTTTTTTTTTAATGTGAATAAACTTACTTCTACTGTGTTCAAAGTAGAATAGTCTTAATAAACGGAAAGGGAGAAAAAATGTATATATTAGTAGAATGCATAAAAAAGAAGTTAAAAATTACACATTGGTGATATACTTACGACTATAATAGGTATCATCCTGTGTCCCTTGTAGTTCCTTTGGAATGGCACCAAGTAAAAGAGAATAGATGTGATTACGTTTCCTGGTTGATCCATTTTCATCGAATGTTATTAAAATAAGTGTTTTTTCTAAGAATGATGGATTAATCATCAAAGTCGACCGATAGAAGCCTTCCATCCATTTCCCAGCAAAAGAAGGATCAGTGTCTAAAAAAAAAAAAAAAAAAAATGTTTGATTTGATTAGATTCCGTCGATTAACTTGTTTCTCTCTCTCTTTCTCTTACCATGACCATCGTTCATTATATTTGGTGTATAACTGCAGTATAATCAGAAAGATATTGATTAGACTCTGGATAATAGTGATGATGGAATAATGATGGAATAATGATGACGATTTCTTTTTTTTTTAAAAAAAAAAAAGAAAGAAAGAAAGAAGAAGCGACTTACAACATCCAGTTAGGGAGATTATCGGACAAAATATCTTTGGCAAGTTCAATTCCAGGAACGATATTTTTTGAGCGTTCAGGATTTTGGGCGATAGAATCAAAGCTGATGGCAGGATTGTGCTTGCGAAAATATCTACCAGCCTTGGAACCTGCAAAAGCCACACTAGGGATATCTTCTTGATATGTTTTCCAAGTGAGATTCTTATCTTCCAGCAAATCAAAAATAGTAGTAACATTTTCTGGTATATTGAAAACACTATCACTATCAACACCCATAGTGGATCCAGCAGCAGCAGCTATATAATTAGGTTGACTAGGATGGGTAATCGCTATAGTATAATAAATGTAAGTGATATTTGTCATGATGATTATTAATTTGTTCCATTTTACCATTAAAATTGGTCAACAATATTCCTCTTTCAGTCATCTCTTTCCAATTTGAGTTGCGATTGACAACAGCAAAATTCTATCAAAAAAAAAAAAAAAAAAATATGATGATTACTCTTATTTCAGCTTTATATTTATATATTTAATATCATCATTTGTCTACCATGTTTTCAAACCAAATTTGTAGGAAATGATCGAAGACTTTTCCTTTCGGTGCTTGAGCTGATGCAATGGTAAAAAGTGTAACAAAGGCGATTATTGATGTCAATAACGGATACATGATGCAGTAATATTGAATTGGATACGAAAAAAAAAAAAAAGGAAAGAAAAAGTAGTATTTTTTTTTCTTTATAACATGCTCTTTTATACCCAATGACAAATGTTAGTAAATTTAGAATGGCAAAATTTTCGGTAATCCATTTATCGAAATAAATACTTTGTAAATAGAAATAACTACAATAATGAGAGAAAGTTGGATGTAAGATATTATTACATCATACTAATCCAAACTCATAATGATAAAACGTATGTATAAAAAAAAAAGGAACATCTTTTGGTTTTATTGTAAAAACACTAAATAAGCTATAACTACAATTAAACTATACTCTATTTTCCCATGTTGGCCCTTTCCCCTGAAATATATGAATAATCACCAATAAAATAGAAGATTGTTGTCGTCCAAAAAAAAAAAAAAAAAAAAAAAAAAAAAGAATCCCTTTCACCGGTTGATTTTCTAATGATATCCATCCAGATCCTTCCAATAGATCTCTATTGAGTGAAAAGTATAATAGATTAATTATTAAGTATACCGAATATATGCTTAAGATCAAACCCCTTTCTCTTCTAAACTTACTTTTCTTGCGGACGTACTTTCTGATAGCATGAATTGGTCAGTATGACAATATCCCGTCGTCTTGATCCATGATCGATGACTTTTACGTGAAGGTCTTCAAAGTCCAGTCATCAATCAGAAAATTTCCAACTGCAGGTAGAGGGGAAAAAAAAAAAAAAAGGAAGTCAATGAGCATCATATACATTCCTATACTTTCTTTTTTCTATTATTATTTGGTACTCACTTTCTTCCAGTGCTAAAAAAAATATGGATGAATACCGTTTTTATTATATTTTTGCCGGATTTGATTGTTGATTCAGTCGCGCCATGCTAGTTATCGCGTCTTGTCATTTCAAAGAATGGTTAAAGTTGGTTATGACATATACTATCTATATATTATTATTATTATTATTCCCTGCTAGTTTACCTTTCATTATTATATTCTATACTCTGGTGTTCTAATGTTTTGATCATTGGTATATACTTTGTTTCTAAAAAAAAAAAAAGTGAAAAAGAAAAGTAAAATAAAAGATAAACTACAAGGAAACGCTTGAGGGGAAAAAAGGAATGATTTAAACTCAGTATGGATTTTTTTTTTTCTCTATTCGCTTGTCAGGCCTTTTTTTTTAACATGCAGACAAAAAAAAAAAAAAAAAAAAAAAAAATAAGGAAAAGGAAAAGATCAATCATAAAAAAATGAAAAAATCCAATATATAAATACATACAGATAGATAAATAGACAAAGGTAAAAAGAAATATCCAGAAAATGAAGTAAGAAAATAAAAAAGGTTGTACACTTTAGAATTTGAACCAAAGACTGTGTAACAGAAATACTCGACGCTGATTGGCTGAAATTACGATTGGCTTTATAATGAAGTTTTCAGTTTTAGGAAACTGTAAGTCACCTTGGTGTAGGGGTTATCACGCATGCTTCACACGCATGAGGCCAGCGGTTCGATTCCGCTAGGTGACATTCTTTTTGTTATTTACAAAATCAATGTCGGAGATGTAACAACGAAGTAAGTTTTGGAGCAACCTTGGAAACTGTGTTGTTGGGTAATTTTTTTTTTCTTTTTTGTAAAGTGATTTTTTTGGTTCAAATAGCCAAAATTGAAAAAATAATTAGGATGATTGATTGATAATAAGTTAAATAGTGAGCACCAGTACTTGATTACGCAAGCACACGTATAGTTATAGTAATAGAATAAAACAAAAAGTAAAGTAAAGAAAAATAAAGTCTTGTTCCAAATTTGGAAAGTAAAAGTAGAGTAAAATTTTTCTGACTTTAAATATAGAACAAAGTGAGCCAATCAAAATAGATAATCCACAATATAATCAAGTAGGGATGTAAAGATGTTTTTATTTAAAAAATATATAAAATATTGACTGATTGAACTAACTAACAAAAAAAAAAAGGAAAAGAAGGGGTATTTATACTATCTGAAATTTAAGGTTAAAAAAATAAAATATGAAAAAGAAAATGAAAACGAAATGAATAAGTGAAATAAAAAATAGAATGAAAATAAAAGGGGAAGTAAAAATGAAAGTGGAAATTGAAAATAAAATTATTATTTTTTTTTTTTTATAATTTTTTTTTTTTTTCATTCAACAAAAGTGTTGGGTGATCTTTTTGGTTTATAGTGTTAGAGATTTATTTGTTATTTGATGGATGATTGAATTAAAAAAAAAAAATATAGATGATAATATCAAGGTGATGATATTAATGATGATTATTCGTATAGTGAGCACCAGTTCTTTTATATAAAAAGAACAAAAGTAAAATAAAAAAAATAAATGTAATCCAAAAAAAGGTAATGGATTTCTTGATGATTTGATCACAGATGATGATGATCAATCAAATAACCTGAATAATATGCTTGATGATTGCTTGATGATAAAAAAATAAAGATAAAACTTAGGATGATTTATTCCTGAAGAGTGGCCAATATGATTTTGGTTAAAAAACCTCTTATTGAATAAAAATATAAAAAAAAATTGACAATTCCAAAAGAAATGATGAAAAGAGAGGGAGTTATATATATATACTAAAAGATAAATGAAAATAGAAATAAAAAAAAATAAAAAAAATAAATTTGTTTGATAATTTTCAAACAATGAAAAAAAGATTCAATGTTTGAAAAGTGTCAAACATTGAACAAAAGGATCAATGTTTGATAAATTTTTTTAAAAGAATAAGTTGGCCAAAAAAAATTTTTTTTAAAGGCTGGGTTCTATTTCTACAATAGGTTCAAAATTGAAAAAGTAATCAGGATGATTGAAAGATAATAAGTTAAATAGTGAGCATCAGCACTTGATTACGCAAGCACACGTATAGGAAGGCAGTGTTAAGTGTTATGATTTTTTTTTTGTAATCTCGATTAGACTATATTTTGTAAGATGGATGGATGGATGGATGATACTATTATAATAATAATATCGTTGATGATTACTTGTAGTGAGCACCAGATCTTTTATGAAAAAAGAACAAAACAGTATAAGGTAAATTTAAATATATGTTCCAAATATGGAAGTAGATGTCTTGATTATTTGATCACACTTGAGGATGATCAAAAAAATAAACTTGAATATGAAAATTAGTTTGATGATTGCTTGATTATAATAAAATAATAATAAATATAAACCAAGCTTCAGATGATGATTTCTTCCTAATGGCAGATAAAATAAAAAGAAAAATAAAGTTCTTAGTCTAACTTCAAAAAAAAAAAAAAAAAGGGTTGAGCGAATCAGAATGAATAATCCACAATTACGGTTAAGTAAAGGATGAAAAGATATTTTTTATTTAAAAAAGATATTTATAATTGACTGAACTTCTTCCTCAAGAAAAAGAGAAAGGTGGAGTATCTATATTAAATTGATGGATGAATAGAGGGTAAAGATTTTATATAAAAAAAACATATGATCGTTGAAAACATTGCCAACAAGGATGATGATCAAAAAAATAAAATAATGTTGTATAAAAAGATGGATTTAAATAAAAATAAAAAGTATGATTACCTTCGTGATTAATGATAAAGTCATTAATGACTTCTCGAAAGCATGATTATTATATTTTGAATACAACACTGTATGCATTTGATTACAAATGATTGTTTGAACAAATGGTCAGTGATGATGATGATGTAAAAACTTGGTGATTGCTTGTATAAAGTGCAATGATGATGATAAAACAATCTAATTAGTAGCCAAATAAGCTGATTTTTTTATTTTGATTTAAAATCGATGATCACAAGTTCTCTTTTTCTTTGAATACCAATAAACTCTTGGACATTTTGGTAAAATCTTAGACAATTTACGCAAACATTTATTTCTTTTTTATGGAATGACAGAATAATATCATTTGTGACGATGGATGATGATAAGCGACAGATGATGAACCATGATGATGAAAATCCATTTGATGAAGATGACGATGATAACATGTTAAATTAAGGCAAGAGATAAGGTTAATAACCGTTTGACATGTTTTATTAAATGATGGGCGAAAAAGATGACATGAAGAATATGAATAATGTAAAAAAAAAAAAAAAAAAAAAAAAAAAAAAAAAAAAAAAAGGATATAATAACAACAGCAAAGAGTAACTATACAAATATACAACAACAACAATAACAAAAAAAAAAAAAAAAAAAAAAAGAGATGAATACTACATACTAGTCGGTGGAGGTGGATGTTTCCGGATGTGTACGAGCGCAGGTATTCAAATGTCTTCCACGGTATTTGATAAGGTATTCCCCTTGACCCTTGAAAGTCACTGTCTTGTTCACATGACAACCCTAATATTAACCCAAAGAGTAATAATTAGTTCCATAGCCGTTCCCTACAAAATATCCCTTACCTTGGCCGAATTAGTGCACTTGTAATAAATACTTCGTTGACCTGATTTTTTATGTATCGTGTTACCATTGTTTTTCCAAGTATAATTGTCATCATATGGAAATTCCTTTGTCTCAATGATCATACTGATAGATTGCATTTCTCTTCGTCGACGTTTTACTGGACGGCCCGTAAATGATGACGATGATGATAGTGGTGATGTTGGTGATGATGCTGATGCAGATGATGGCGATGATACACCATTGTCGTTTTCATGATGATGATGATGATGATGATGATGATGATGATGGCGATTGACAATTTGTGGAATAGGTAATTTTTTATTCATGGTTGCCATCATTGGTGTTGAATTTGTTGAATCATAGGTCATAGATGGCGAAGATGATGATGAGGGCATCGATGATGTTGGAGGAGGTGCTATTGGTGATGATGATGATGAAGTGATGGTAGTAGGTGGATCATCAGGTTGCAATAAAATGTCGTCACGTGGTGAGTTGATACTGGAAGAGGAAAGGAGAGAAGGTAAAGTAGTACGGGCAGGAAAAAAAGAGTGGATGTCTTTGTTCTTGTCATTCCTACGATCAAGAGTATTAATAGATGGAAGTGGTTGGATATTGACGAGAGGTATTTTTGGAGAGTGATAATTGTCAATCATATGATGTTGTTTATTATTGTGAAATAAATCTATAGCGTGATTGGCTTCTGTCAAATGTGGAGGGGTATAAGAACGATGTCGTTGCAAAGGAAGTGATGATTTGTGAGGAGCTGATGTTTGCTGCGTATATTGTCGAGTAAACGTGGTTGATGATGATGGTGATAATGATGATGACGATAATGGAGATGATACAGATGATGATATATTATTATTATTTGCTTCTTGATGTAAAAGATAATCCAATTGTTTTGACTTGAGTTTCGCTTCTTCAGTACATCTTCTATCTTCTTCCACTTTACTTGATAAAATGAGTTGAAGCAATTCCACGTTATCCCCAAATTGTTCCATTGCCTTGTCCAAAGTAAAAGTAGAACATTGATCGATTTCTGTCAAAGATGATTGTCTAATAACAGGATTGGTATTTTCATTATCGATCTGTTGTTTTCCCATTTGTACAAATCAAATCAAATAGTGAAAAAGAGCAATCACGGTAATAAACAATCAAAAAAAAAAAAAAAAAAAGAAAGGGAAAGAAAAGTGGAGAAAAGAAAAGTGAAATAGTTGACTAAAAATGGGATTCGTTTTTGTATCACATGGAATCCCATTCACTCTTTTTTTTTTTTTTTTTTTTTTTTGCCCCGCCCCGTTTTTTTTTTTTTTTTTTTTTTTTTTTGTTCTTCTCCACAGACCCACATTACGCCAATGACAATTGAATGGTTCCTTGCCCCGCTTTTCGATCCTTCCTTAAACTTCCGAACTTTTTGTTCTTTTCAATCATCATTACCATTATAAACATTTAATCCATATAATAATTCTATTTTATTTTTTATTTAAATTATCATCTAATCAAATAAACTCCAATTTATATATATATATATTGATTCTTCCCCACAAATGTATAATAATAATAATAATCATAAATCTCATCATCTGTCATTCATTGTACAACTTGGATTTACACTTTTTTCAAAATGATTGGTGTGCATGGCGCATCCAACAAATTTACTTGAAGGGACTTACAGGGCTCAGTTTGGTACTACTTTTTAATTTGAGAACAAAAAAAAAAGTTTTATCTTATGAATCAAAAAATTAAAAAAAAAAAAGGAACAAGGAGGATGAACATATTTTATTGGATAAAATAATAAACGCATATTCAACAACCATATTCAATCATTCTTTCATCCATTTCTGGGTAACAAATTCTTGTATTACCATCGGTTGATCGATTACAGCCTACCAAGGACGAAGTTCAAAAAAAAAAAAAAAAAAGAAAAGAAAGAGGACTCCATTAGTTTATATATATATATATATAAATATCACATATAATCCTTTATTTATATTGATGTTCTTTACCATATGACCAGCATCAAATACACGAAGAAAAGTTAACTTGTCAAAAGATCGTACTTGTCCAGTCGGCTTCTCCGAGGTATCGGTGTATAGTTCTCTATCCATTGCCATATTGAATCCTTGTTTGCCATTCCATTCTAATGCCAATGCCCATGCCTTGTTTCCCTTCCTATACCATGGTGATAGATGAACATAATTTCATTTAGTTTTTCCATCTTTTTTTTTTCATAGTTAAATATATATCGATAATCTTACCAATTGCAGATCCAGTCCATGTCCCCTAATATAAATAAAAATCAATATACAAATCTATCTTGCTCATTACAAATTTTTTTTTTTAGTTACCTGCATATAAGAGTACGGCAATACCTTGGTTCAAAGCTTCGGATATAAAAGGTGAGTGATCTAATACACTGCATTTGAATAAAAAGTGTATGTCAATGACAATCATTCTTTTTTTATTTATTGCGTAATATACATGTTAAACTTACGGGTCCATTGCAAACAAGAAACGTTCATTGATACTGGACCGGCAATATTGAAAGGGTGGTACCTGATTATCTACACCCAAAGAAGATCGTACATCTTGATTGTTGGCATATATTTCTAGAGAATGTTCAATCCAATAGCAATAATTTTTATCCACACAACGTTTCCGAATATCCATCGTGTTCAATCCAGTCGCATCATAAGGAGAAAGTTGAGTATATTGACAGTAAAGTGATCCAGGAATACATCCCCATTTTGTAGGATATTTGTAACAAATTTCCATAAGGGATTGACATCGCGGTGCTGATGATTTCATACTTGTACATGTTCTGGCATCAAAAAGAGGTTTATCTGCAAATAAGTGAGTAACATACAAAAAAAAAAAAAAAAAAAAAAAAAAAAAAAAAGAAAGAAGAACAAATCAGATAACGTAACAATTCATGATTCAAACAACTTACATTCATTGTCATCGTCACAGCCAAAGGTATGAAAATTTACCAATTGAGTTTTGGGTTCTGTCCATCCATTTCCAATAATGATAGATTTCAAAGCAAGTCGAATTCCATTCTGTTTACCTTGGTCCAATTGTTCATTTTGGAAAAGAATTTCACCTGATAAAGCCGGCAAATATTTACCCGCTAACGCAAGTATATATACAAATATATATATATAAAATCAGTTGGTTAGTTTTATTGTGGTATGGTATTACCATAAGATTCACCAGCAAGGATAAGGGATGTTGGTATATATTGGGGCAAGGCATTGAAAAAGACTTGAAGGAAAGTATAGACCTGTTTAGCAGCTTCGGAAGATGTTGCAGTTTTTGATCGTCCATAGCTGAAACCTGTTCCAATAGGCTACTAATATATATATATATATATATAAGAATAACATGAGTTAACAAAAGATTGTGAATTTCTTAGATATTGTACCTGATCCAGAAATAGAATATTGTTGTGTTTGTTCCAAGTGTAAGGATTTCGCACAGTTTCATTGCTATATTCGGTTATATGACAAGGTCTAACAAGAACGGTAAAGCGTATGGTTAATATGAATTATTTCTTTCATCCTTTTGTTTCTGCTTACCCAATACCAGCCCAAGCATCCATCAAAGAACTACAGCCAGGACCTCCGTTAAGCCAAAGTATAGTCGAGTCTTTGAAAGGATTGTCTTGTGAAGGGTTGAAAATGAAAAAGAAGTGGTCATCAAGTAAATCAACATAGCCGGAATACTAGAAACGAAAAAAAAAAAACTGCAGTTTGAATTTTGTATCAAACCCTCCAATCTTATTCACTTTTTTTTTTTTTTTTTTTTTGTTACCTGCAACAAATGTTCGCAAGTCCAAGATTCCTTAATACGAACAGAATATGTCGGTGAGTCATTAAGTGGGGACCGAGTAATTATCCAATGTAGCCTCCATTCAACAGGGAAGAAGGGAATAACATAAAAATAAAAGTAAAAAAGGGAGATACTAAGCAAAAAATAAAAAAGAGTGTACATAAGGAAAAAGAAAAAGAGAAGAATAGAAAAAAGATGAAAGAACTGGGAGCATAAAAAAAAAAGGGGGGGAGAGTTGCAAGTCAGACACAATTAGCCAATAAAAATGAAGGATTCTTTATCTGCCATTGTTACTTGTTTTGGTTGATAATGATAAAGAAACGAGTCTTTTATGTTTTTTGAATTTTTTCCACTTTCTTTCTATTATCTTTCACTTTTTTTTTTTTATTTTTTTTTATTTTATTTTCTATACCATAATTATTACTACATACCATTTGTGTATGCTTCAAAGCTACTATTACTATTGTTTTCCTGTGTCAAGATCTATTTTTCAAATATGGATGATTCTTCTTCCTCGTCTTCAGCAATTAATAGTGAAACAGACAATACTATCATAGCTCAATCAGAAGAAAATGAAATACTATCTGGGTCTTCCTCACCATCATCGTTTCAAGATACCAGCAATAACACAAGTGGTATCGGTTATAGCGGTCAAGTACGTTGGAAACCTCCTATTACAAAATGCTTCAACTGCGAAACCACAACAACTCCTCTTTGGAGAAGAAACGAAAGTGGAAATACTATATGCAATGCTTGTGGACTTTATTATAAACTTCACAACGTTCATCGACCTATCACCATGAAAAAGACAACCATCAAAAAAAGAAAACGTTTCAACAATATTATCAACCTGGGACGAAATAGGCGACATGAAGATCATCATTACCATCCTCAAACTACCAGTACGATCTCTCTCCCAAATGCAGCCTGTTGTCATCAAGAACATCGGATATTGCCGTCATCATCATCGAACACCAGTAATACTACGACTCCTACAACCTTGCCTGGATCATCATCATCATCATCATCATCATTATTTCCATCAACACAACAGCAACAACAGCAACAACAACAACAACAACAACGACAACAAGAAGTACAATCGTCTATATACGAGTCTATTGCTAATCGTACATCTTCTGAAATGCTTCAAAATATATTACTACCAACATTACAATCAATCAAAGCATTGGCTGACGAACAATACCAACATGAACTCAATACCCGGACAACCATCAGAAAATCAACTACTTCAACGACACCATCGTCTCATCATCACTATAAATCACCGTTATTACCTCCATCAACCTCATCAGCATCATCATCATCAGCAGCATCATTATTTGACCCAAGTAACTTGATTTCAGCCATCACCACTATGATCTTGGACCCAACTGCTTTCCGAGAATCATTGCAATTACGACGAGACGAACTACAACATCAAGTGGAACACATCAACCGATTATTACAACAAACATCTGGACTTTTGGAAAGTATTGAAGTGGTGATAGGAAAGCCTACTATTGAAAAGTACAAGACAACATTAAATGATACTAGACGCATGATACCCGTGATATCTTCCGCTGAATCGTCAACAGCAAATGATCATCAACATCATCATCCTTATCAATATCAACGTCGACCTAGTGCTTCATATGATCATCGCATTCCTCGGCCACCAACACCACCACATATAGCCACCATCTCAACTTCAACGACCGACTTTTCATCTTCCTCTAACTTCTCTTCCCCTAGTTCAGTGCATGGACTTTCTGATAGGCAACATTCTCCCACAAGTGAATCCTTTACTCGAATTTCACCAGTACCAGCAAGAAAGTGACAAGCCATCAAGAAAGAAAGGAAGAATCGTTTGGTCCTTATATCTATATATAGTAATTAGATCCCTTGTTAGTTAGTTGTCCATTTATCATCTTATCATCATTCGTAATGAAATCTTAGTTTGTTTGTTATTCAGTATCAGATAATAAATATATATATATATCTTCCTCTTTCCTTATTATTATTTAGTTTAGCCTATGCAGACTAAACCAATATGAATGTGTGTATGTGTACATACAATTGAAAAATGCTTATCTTTCTTTCTTTTTAAGGAAATAGTGATATGTCTAGGATGGCGTGCTTTGAAAAAAAAAGTTATCTTTTATCTCATTTCAGTTACTTATCATTCAAAATCAAAAAGGCAAGATAAGGAAAGAGAAATTGTTTGATTGATATGCACATATACATATGAGGTAATCAAGGAGGTAAAAAAAAGGGGGGGGGGATACAGTGTTTTCAAAGTTTTTTGTCGGGTCACAAGAAAATGTTTTTCGTGATGTTATAAAATAAAAAATCGTACTTTCCCAAAATGAATGTCGCATTACCACTTTTTCAGATATCGCTTTAGAGATGTCGGTAGAGTATGTCATTGATTGATGATTGATGATTGATGACTGATTGTTAGCTGATTCTTTTCAACAAGCCATATTTGGAAAAAAAAACGAACTATATTTTTTATATTGTATCATCGTCATATTCACAGTTAAGACAGGGGTATACTAATGTAATATTCATATCTTGTGATGATGTGAATTTGCATAATAGTTCCTTTCTTTTTTTTTTTTAAAAAAAAAATACATTTACTCGGGTCTTCTTTGTTTATTTTCATTAACTGAGACATTCGATCGATCACCTTTTGTATAGTTGACAAATGTAAATTTGCATAATAGTTCTTTTTTTTTTCTTCTGAGATATTTTTGCCAGGTTTATTTTATTCCTTGATCAAGTGAGAGATATAAAAAAGCGCTATTTTATTTTTCTTTTTTTTCTGTTTCTTTTTTCTCTTTTTTTCTCTTTTTCTCTCTTTTTCTTTTAATTTCTTTATCTATTTTGATATCAATTTTTAAACCAATTTACAATAATACAAGACCTTTACATCCATCCATACCAAATACAAGTTTTTTTTTTCCTGGACTACAAGCTTACAAGATTCAAGACGGGCCTTTAGGTCCATTTGCATTTTTTTTTTTGTATATACTTATTGGAATTCCTTCTTTCTGTGCCTTGCATCAATAGTAAGTTTCTTTTAATGATGATGATGATGATGATACAGTATATTAATCATTCTCTTCTTTTTTTTTCTTTTTGAAATCTCTCTTGGTGCTCAAAGTGAATAATCAACCTGTACAGCAACATATAAAAATATGTTATCGCCTCTTCGGAGGACGCATTTAATGCTTCCCTACAGGTAATTTGAAATAAATATAAAAAAATGGATATGTTGACTAAATAATATTTTATTTTCTGTTATTCAAAATACTCAATGGAACTACTACCACTCCTTTTCTTCTTGTTCTTTTTCTTCTTCTTATATTCTCTATTTGATTATGCGACAACTCTCTCTTTTCTTCCCCGTCATTTATTTTCTATCCTTACGATATTTTATTTCCTATTTTTGCGACATCTTATTCTTTGAATTCCGTCATTTTTTATTGAATAAAGTGTATTATCCATTAACCCAAAGGGATTATTTCATGGTCATTTGTCCTTTTTCTTCTTTTATCCATATTGCTTTATCTGTAATAAACTGAATAATCCTTTTTTCTCTTCTTTCTACATGAAGGTGATAAAAAAAAAATACAATTTTTATTTGCTTAATAATATTACTAACAATTAATACTATATAAATCCAGGTAGATGGTTCGAAACGATAATATGGAAAGGAAGAAAGGCAGGAAAGAAAATAGTGAGAGGGAGTTGGGTATCAAACAAAACCTAACTAGTGTCTTCAATGAGTTCACGATCTAACAAGTGCTTCAATATGTCAATCACCTAAAAAAAAAAAAAAAAAAAAAAAAAAAAAAAAAAAAAAAAGAATATATTAATCACTCATTATCCTATTATCAGCAGCAGTTTCTTTTTTTTAAAAAAAAAAATCACTTTTGATTGAAACTTACTCGATGAATATCCGGTCGAGCAGTAGGATCAGCAACCAACATATGGGAAATCAAATCTTTCACTGCTTGCGAGTAAAGTTGATCTAATTCAGGATCACTGGGGAATCGGAATTGTCCATTCAGTACAGCCAAAGCGATAGATCCACCTTGTTCATTCATTCCCGCTTCAAAAGGAGATTGTCCATATGCCATACAATACAGTGTACAGCCTAGTGACCAAATATCGACTTTTTCGTCCAATGTTGTCTCTGATTTGACATCAAATAGTTCAGGTGCACGGTAAGGCATGGAGCAATGTTCTGCAGCAAGATCCTAAGTAAGGAATATATATATTAGTCACTGTCATACCTTATTACTGTTTTACTTATTTACCTGTTGTGCCAATGCTTCTTGCCTAGTATGGATGGGAATACGTGCTTCACATGATGATCCGAAATCCATCAAGATTGGTGTCATTCCATCGTCGGATATCAACACATTCCTATATAAATATATATAAATCAAAAGAGAAAATCGAATGAGAAAAGTCATCATCCTAATTGCCTCCAACTTCTTTTTTTTTTAAAAAAAAAAAAATTACCCTGGTTTAATATCTCGATGAGCCCAAGGTACTATTTCATTTTCCATTCCAGGTTTATGTGTTTCAATCCGTGATGATTCCTGTTGTTGTTGTTGTCCACTGAGTAAGGGTTGTTGGTCTTGGCGAGGATGATTATTGTCGTCTTCCATAGGGTTCTGTCCATTGGCAGCATATTGTGTCCTTGTAGCACCAGGTGGTTTGTAAGTATGTAAATAGGCTACTGAAACGCATATATCATGGAATAATTGAAGCATTTGTTGTTCAGTAAAGTGAGTTTTGTTGAGATTGTTACGGTTGATGGCGTCCTGTAGATTCCCTTTCTATAGAGCGAAAACAATACATTCATATCATATCATTCTTTTAATACCTTATTGTTCCCTCTTCCATTTGTTATTGTGTTTTTTTATTTTTATTTTTTATTTTTTTTTTTTTGTACCTTGTAATAAGGAAGAAAGATATAGATCGTCTTGCTACCGTCGGATTCAGTGATGGTGCTAGTATCCTTGAAGAAAAAGAGTAAACATATAGGTAAATTGATCAGAAAATCCTCCTTTTCTCTTTTATTTTCCTTACCAGCATACGAATGATATTTGGATGTTCAAAAAGTCGGTAAATGTCCACTTCACGTTGTGCCTGTTCAGCTTCTTCTGTACCCAAGGTACACCGAATTTTCTTCAAAGCATATAGATTACCAGAACCGTCTTGAGCTAAATATACAAAAGAGAAACCTCTAATAAAAAAAAAAGTTTGTATTTTAGTTTGACTTTTTTTTTTTCTTCTTCTCTTGTTCGTTGTACTGCCGAAGTAGTAAGTAATATTTTTACCCTTCGCCAAGAAGTTTGATAATACGATAAGCACGACCATTGATACTAATGTTGGGATTTGGAATACAACAACTGGTAGCAGCTACAAGAGCATCAAAGATGGAAGAGAAAACTGACATTGTGTGCAAACAAGGAACCTTAGCTCGACCAGTTATATATAGTTTGTAAACTAAAAATAAAAATAAAAGCGGAAGAAAAAGATTCAAAAGAAAAAGACTATTCCAAAAACATAGGGCAAATTTTGAGTACAAAATTCGAAAACCGCTTGTTAATAATTTAACTGAATCTTACAAGTAGCCTTTTATTTTATGAGATATGAATTCTATATACTATTTTATGATATATAATGATTGGATGATTAATTTGATTTAATAGAATAATCATCATTATTTGATAGTTTCAATGTAACAATATAAAAGACACTTTCTTCTACAAAAAAAAAAAAATATTATTTGCTTCTTTTTGGCTGCTTCCTTGTTGGTATCTTCTTCTTTCCGTTCACCTGGTCACACCCGACAGAATATTGATTCTTGTTTCCCCATTTTACTCGTCGTTCTTTTGTTTTTGTCGTGCCTCTGGTTGTTTGTCCTTGCGTCTTCTGTCTGTCTTCCGTGACGTTTGGACCTTTCTTTCTTTTTTTTTTTTTTTTTTTTTTTTTTTTTTTTTTTTTGGTAAGTGCACATATACAGATAATATTTAGTTGATCATAACACGAACCATTTTTTCCATTTCTTCTTTTCAAACATCGGAATGGGAGGGGAGAAATACGTAGATCCGATGAATAGAAATAATCATAAGTACGATATATAATAAAAGTGATTCATTTATTTACTAATACATATAATTCTAAAAATACAATAAAAAGAGATATCATAAAAAAAAGGGATCTAAACTAGTTTGGCCACACTTTCGTTTGTAGTTGTTTTCTTCATAGAATTTTGACCTTTTCCTGGACTAGAATCATCACTTGTTTCATACAGATCAGTAAAGTCATTTTGTTTCCGCCATTCAGGTACAATACGTTGAGCGCGCCTACGAATAATACCACTACCAATAGTACTGATGACACTCAAAACAACTACAACTACAATAACAATCACGGTAGAGACCCAGACAATATCATCCACGGACATGGAACTTCTGATCATAAGTAATTTGGCAATAAATTCACCCATCAAGCAAATCCCCCATAGACTAGTCAACACATAATTGTGAATACGGAATACAAGTACATGGCTCCATAAGAATTCAAAGAGTGGTTGTTCCTGTTTCATCCCATCCTTATCCGTCCATCGTATCGGTGGGAGTTCAGATATCATTGATTGTCCAAGTAAGTATGTCAAAGGTCGAACTACAATCCATCTTGTATTGAGAGGTACAAGTGTTATTAGAAATACACTAGCAATAACACAGGTCACTGTGGAGTCACGTAAAAGAGCAAGTCGAGCATCACCTACAAAAAAAAAAAAAAAAAAAAAAAGATCAGCTTTTGAAATATAATAACAATAGAGAATATTAACTTACCAGAAATCAGAGATAGAATACCAGAAAGAACATATGAGAACACAAATATACATCCAAGAGCATCCACTTTTCTTTTTCGAATGAATTTCACTATCACCTTGATAAGAGGAGGAAGACCAGATAACACTAAAGCTACCACCATACTGACATACATCTTGAGTACATAATAAATAGCCAATGGTAAACCAACATCAATAAGCATCATCAAAGCAAAGGCTCTCAGTTGTTTAATAAGGAATTTTCGCCTATCTTGTGGAGTTGGAAATAAGGCACTATGTGTATTTCCATTCTTTTTATTGTCTTCGTTCTTATATTGATCGTTTATGATTGAATCTTGTTCTTCATTGTTAGTCATATGTTGAGTATTATCTTCTACTTGAATTGTGGTCGCCATATAATGTTTTACTGTAGTCATATATAGTATAAGTTTGAGTTTTCTACTTTGTTGTAATGTTTAAAGGATATATATATATATGAAAAAGAGTAACGAATAAAAAAAAAAAAAGCCAAAAAAAAAAAAGGGAGCTCCTTATTTATACGATCGGATGGGAAAGTGGCGGAAGATTTCATTTTCCATATATGGGCGATATTAGCCGTTTCTGTGTCACTATTCTTTTTAACTCACTGGATCATAAAACTATGATAGAAACAAAACTTCCTTGTGGCTTCTTTGATCCATCTTTACAAACTCATTCACTGAATTCTCTCATTGAATACTAATATCTATCTAATTCTTTCTATTTCAGGTTCAATCATTAACAACATTGTCTTTTTTCTTTCTTTCTTTCCTTTTTTTTTTTTTTTTTTTTTTTTTGTAACGGATACATCTGAGAGAGATGTTTCCGATAGAAATAGGTCTCCCTCCGTAGCCATCATAGTTACACAGTAACGGTGAAAATAAACCCAAAAAGGAAATTGATTACTGCACTTACTTCATTCCGAAGGGAATAGCGCCCTTTCACCCGCAGCCACCTGTTCATATAAAGCACACATAATACACTTTACCATTTAGGGTATGTCTGATCCAACAATAATGCAATGACTGATATCATCATTTCAATTATAGATGTCGATAATCGAGAATATTGGATGATTAAAAAAAAAAAACTAGTAATAGTGATGGTGAAAACATGAATAAATAGGCTTACATTAAAGAAGAATGAAAATGTAGTTGATATAAATGCATAGAGCATTAAAAAAACTACACTCAAGCAGTTGGGAAGTTCATCAAAAGAAGATACGGAAGAAAAGGAGGTGAGATAGTTCAAAAAGAAAGAAGAAAAAAAAAAAGTTGGAGCCTATAGAAAAGAAGAGGAAAAAAAAAAAAAAGAAGAGTAATGACTTACCAAGATGAATGACAATAGTAAGCAGTGATGATGATAAAAATATGATTTTATTGAAGAAGGATAAAAAAAAATATCCTACTATTATAGATAACACTAAGACTAAATTACTATCTACCCAATAAAACATCATGATCCGTACTGGACAAAAGAAAGAGAAGCCCAAACCATAAAGAAAATCTATTCAAAGGATACTTTTTTCTATTCCGTTCTTATCCATACATTCATATACCTATATTATTTTGCATCCATCCAAGTTACATTTTATAAAGATGTAGATTAAAAATAAAATAGAATAAGTTTAAAAGAAAAAGAGAAATTTCATTTTTGATTTTTTATGCTCGATTTACTTTGGTAAAACTTATCCAATAAAATTGCTTCTTTCCTACTCTCAGTCATCCACCAGTTGTATACTTTTGCAACTCACTCAAAAATGATCATCATCGCATCAAATTCAGACTAAACATACATGAAAACATTCTCTTTCATTTGTCTTAATAACTATTTCTACTTTACCTCCCAATTTACAGAGTAAAATAAAAAATAAAAGTCAATATTGTCATCCCTCATTCAGTAGTGATCATCATCCAACAAAATGACCACCATTAGATTCCTCTCTAAAAAATGGCTTAGTAACATCTAATATCATTTTATCACTTATCTAGCCACTTAATGTTACAATGAGCACCAAACGATATAATCTATTTTTCCAAAAATTGCCTGATGACCCCTCGACGATTTATTTTCACAGCCCAAATTTGGCTGAGGAGTTTCACATTTTTGGCTGTAAAATCAAAAAATTTTCAAAAAAAAAAAGTGACCCCACAGCTCTAATCACCCTTCAAATCCCATTTTTAAGTTTAAATCTGTCATCATACCGTACAAGTCTATTAACAAAACATGTCTATATTATCTATGATTACTACTTTTGTTAGTGAATCAAAAGCACAGACTGTCGATCATGCATAGAAAATCGTATAATATATGATTATATTTTTTATTAATGTATCAAAGAAAATCTGCTAATATGTCGCATTAAAACTACAAAATGTGAAAAAAAAAAGGTTTCTGGACTTCGAATTCTCTAAGCTTTTTTTTTTTTTTTTTTTTTAAAAAAAAAAAAAAAAAAAGACTATCATCATCCAAACAAAAAAAAAAATATCACGTACTCTTGCTGCTTTCATCAAAAAAATTAAAAAGATTTATACCTGGGCGTTTGTATAATGATAGAGGCCATCTTTTCTTGAAACAACATATTTTTTATTATAAATAATCCTCATATTTTTATTAGTTTACAGTGTCAATCTTAGCTTGCATTTTTTTAACAAATCAATAAAAGATTTATTTTATAAATCAAATCATCTTGGCCACTCTTAAGAAATAATCATCTTAAGTTTTACTTTATTTTATTTAAACAAACATCTATCTTATACAAACAATTCTTATATTATTTTATTTGATCGTCGTCAAGTGTGATCATTATCAAGACATCTATATTTGGAATCAAGTATCAAATCATCTTATATTTATTTTGTCCTTTTATATAAAAGAACTGGTGCTCACTACTCATCAAATATCATTGATATTATTATTTTAATAATATCATCCATCAATTACATAAATCAATCATCCACCCAATAACAAAAAAATCCTTAACAAATCAATCATCTACCAAGTACAAAAAAAAAAACAACCCTTAACAAAAGAAAACCGTAACAGTATAACGACAGTAATGAATAAAAAAAAATTTGCTCCGTAGAGCATTCCATCTCAGAAGTTTAGTGTCATCCTTGTGCAGGGGCCATGCTAATCTTCTCTGTATCGTTCCAATTTTAATATGTGCCAGAGGACCCGAAGATCTTGGCACTTGAATTGTAAAAACGCCAGCTATATATATTCCTTTTTTTATCACTGATTGCAAATTGTGGTATGAACACGTTTTTAATATATTCAAATTGCGAAATAAGTCAAATCCGAAATTGGCTGGTGGCTGCTTTTTTTTTTTTGTGTGTCAGAAAAAGGAGGGAATCGCGTTTATTTTTTGCTTTTCTTTTCTTTCTTTCTTTCTTTCTTTTTTTTTTTTATCTTTTTATCTTTCTGTAATTACAAAGCTTTTTGTTCCAATGAACAACAATACATTTGAAGTTCTGGCGGAAGGCTCAGAAGAAGGAGAACGTACTGAAATAGAGGTAAGTTTGAATGATCATTTATTCGTTGAATTTTAGTTTCGAGTTTATTAAAAGCATTCTCGTTCTATTAGACCTTCAAATTCACTGGATTGGTAGCTGATGCGAAAGTCTCCATTCAAGAAGAAAGTTTTAACAAGAATGAATATCCTTCTCACGTATCTCTTCTGGCTTGTTCTGGAAAATATGGTTATTTTGTTGTTGGTCATATTAAAGGTTAGTATTATTTGTTCTTTTTTTTTTCTTTTTGCTGCTGCGGGCTTATCGTTAAACTTTATACTTATATATATTTAGGTTTCTCCTTTGGACAAACATCTGCACTACGAGCTGTCGTTTATCGTACTGAAAAAGGTTCGACAACAAAACTGGACGATAAAATTATTATCTCTTTAAATCAACCTGTACATCACATTCGATTATCCTCTGATGAACATTTCATACTTGTTGGACTTGCTGACGGATCCTTACTATCATATCGCGTGACTGACCTTATGGAACAGGTATTTTGAAACCAAATGGTGAGGTTGCGCAGTACCGTTATTTACTCTTTTTTTTTTTTTTCTTTTTGATTTTTTTTATAGAAAGAAAATGCTAAACCTGCTCATTCAATCAGTGTCAACACACCGATCATCGATTTACGACCGAACACTGAGGCTTATCCGGAATTAGCTTGTGTTCTTTTGAAAGGTCATCAAAGTCGCATCATCAATTGGAAAACTGGGGAAATTGTCGCTCAATTACCAGAATCTGATTTCTCTGCTATTAGTTGGTCACCCAAAGGAAAACAAATCGTTTGTGGTCGTCTAAACGGAACTCTTGAACATTATGATACCTCTGGTGTGAAAAAGGATTCTTTACCCCCTCCTGAATCTATGCAAGCTGGTTATGGTGATGAACAAGTGAATAGGAATGGTAGGTTGAAAGGATATATAAAAAATTATATGTTCTATTTTTTTTTTAACTCATCATTTCCTTTTTTAGTACAAGCTGTTCTATGGATTGAAAATCATCAATTTCTCGTTATTTATTCCAGACCTCCTGAACCTGAGAGTGATGAATTTATCAATGATGGTTATGTTGTTGATCGCAAACCCAAGGTTGGTACTGGCCCGAAATATACTCACTTGGCTGAAGTCACACCCATATTCTCTCCTGAAGGTCGCAATAATCACTTTTATATGGAAATGATACGTAACTTTGGTACCAAGTTCCTTCATATTATTATTTTGGCAAATGGTGCTACGAATGAAGTCTCTGTAGTTGGTGAAGATGCTGAAGGAAACTGGTCAACATGGGATTTACCTGAAAACGGTATGGCGAGCTTACCTCTCTCTGAAGAAACTAATTTTGATACCTTTCCTCTTGGTCTGGCCCTTGATTTTACTGCTTCTGAAAAATTACCACCTTATGATCCAAGTGAAAGCGATGTTGGTGTTGAACCTGTACCAGTACTTTTCCATCTGAACGATGAAGGTCATATTGGCTCTTTCCATTGCTACAGCGAAGAATTTGCAAGTTCCGGACAAAAATACCAAGGCATGCAGACGCCAACTACACTATCATCTACTTCTGAACCAATAACAACAATAACAACAACAACAACAACAACAGCGAGCACGACTTCCATTCCTACTACTACTACTACGACAACTACACCCAAACCAGCTTTTGATGCTAACAAGGTTGGAACAACAACATCTTCTTCTCTACTCTCTTCATCTGCCTTCTCTTCGGGTCCATTTGGTGCTGCATTACAATCAGGATCATCTGGTACAAGTTTTGCATCATTGACCAAGGTGCAAGGTGCAACCACTCCTTCTTTTGGCAATCTACAAGGATTTGGATCCCTTGCCAAGAATACTGTATCGAACGCTGTTACTCCCAGTTTTGGATCAACTACTAGTTTTGGTTCTATGGGTCAAGGTTCTACGACAACACCTTCTTTTGGTTCTACCACTAGCTTTGGATCATCAGCTACAGCAACTCCTGCGTTTGGTTCTACTACTGGTTTTGGAGCTCTAGCAAAGAAAGAATCAACTACATCAGCAACGCCTGCATTTGGTTCTACCACTGGTTTTGGCGCTCTAGCACAAAAGGATACAAGTGTAACAACATCCACACCTGCATTTGGCACTACGACTGGATTTGGCGCTCTAGCGAAAAATGAAGGTATGACTTCAAGTACTATGCCATTTGGACAAACTGGTTTTGGCTCAACTTCTACTGGTTTTGGTGCGTTTGGACAGAAAGATACAATATCAACATCAGCAACAACTACTCCTACATCTGGATCTTCATCGAGCTTTGAAATTGTGAACAAAACCGACACTACTGCTGATGAGCTTTCTTTGGAGAAGGGGAATGATGATAACAAGGCTGTGTCGAAGGCTGAAGAGGTGGAAAGCAAGGATCAACAGGTTGATCAAGACGAACGACCCAAAATTGGCGAGGAAATTAAGACAACGACAATAACTACAACAGAAACGACAAAGGGTGAAATAGAAGAGGAAAAGACTACGGATAAAACTACTACGACAGACAGTTCAAACGTCACTCCTTTTACAACCGTCGCTAAATCTACGGGAAGTTCAGCTCAACCTCAAAGTACATTTGGATCGTTTGGAACAGCTGTCAAACCCACTACAGGGGATGCAGCGAAATCATTCAGTTTTGGTTCCTTGGCGAAAAACACTGTACCTGGCGCTGTGACTCCATCATTTGGAACAAATACTGGTTTTGGTGCTTTGGCGAAAAACACTGTACCTGGTGCTGTGGCCCCATCATTTGGAACAAGTTCTGGTTTTGGTGCTTTAGCCAAAAATACTGTACCTGGTGCTGTTACTCCTACCTTTGGCTCTTCTTCTTTTGGTACTCCAGCTCCTAAAGCTAGTATGTTTGGAACCTCGACTTCTACTACAGCTTCTTCTGTTGGCTTTAGCGTACCAGCGACAACAACAACGACGACGAAAACAATAACAACACCAACAGCAGCTACGCCCATCACAACTCCTTTGCCCGATAAAAAAGTCTCTAGCCCTTTGACAGCTGAAAAAGTGGAACCGAAATCAATAGTCAAGGAAGAAGAAAAGGAAGAAAAAGCCGAAGAATTAGCAGAAAAGGAACCATCACCGAAATCCGAAGCGAAAGAGGTAAGGGAAAATAATGAAGAAACATAAAAGATATATTTATTGACTTTTCATTTTTATTGTTATTATCAACTGTAGGGTATGGCCAAGGAATTCGAAGCTCTCTTCTTCAAGATTTCAGCAGAATTGGAAAAGGTATGGAGTAAATATTGTTATAGGATATCTTTTCAGTTGACTAACTAAGTGAATACTTTCTCTTTTCTATAGCTTTCTTCTTTACAGGTTGAATTTGGAAAACAATTACAACAACATGACCAACAATTGAACAGTATGACGAACAAAGTACAAGATTTGACAGATTGCGTACAACAATGGCGATCAAATGGATGCAATGAACTTGGTACTGTGGCGGTTACTGTCACTGAAAAATTGAAAGACTGCAATATCAAGGAACAAGAAGAACAAATAGCCAAACTGGAATTGAAGACTATGGAATGTAAGTATATATATATATATTGGTTGATGAAGAAGAAATCATTATGATGATCATTTGGACTAAAAATTTTCAATTTTTTTTTTATTTTAGTGATGTCTAAAAAGGGTCAAGTCAAACATTGTTTGGAAACAGAAGAAGATGCCAATCTGATTACTCTTCTCAAGGAGCGTGAATTGGATGAATCTACGCGTGATGAATGCGAAAGACTGGAAAACCGATGTGCAAGCAATGGCAAACTTTTGGACGAATTGGAATACCGGATTGTTGATAAGAAGAACAAACAAAAAAAGTTGGCTTCAGAAGATACCAGGTAAAAAAAAAAAAAAAAAAAAAAAAAAAAGTAATTATTATGACTCCTAATACTCAATACATTTGTATTATGAATAGGAACTTCTCATTTTATGACTTCCATTGCGCTATTCAAGATGTGGAAAGAGATTTAAGGAAAAAGGATAGCGAAGTCAAGGCATTGGAACAAAGGTTATCTGTACTTCGATTCCAAGAAAATCAACGCAAAGCAGAGCAGTCCCCTTCAAGAATTACGTTTGAAGATCTCACGGATGATGATGACGATGATGAAGAGGTTAGAGAAGGAAATCAAGGATCTGGTGAATCTACAAATGTTACTCGTGGTCAATTCTCCGGTGCGCATATCGATTATACTGTTAAGTACATTCAAGGTGAACAATTTTTGAACAAGTTATATGATGTTACAAGTAAACGATCACCTTTATCTGTCACTGTGGATATTTCTGGCAATGAATTCAAACAATGATCTTCCTTGTATCTCCTCATTTTTTTTCTTTTTACTTCTCTTAGTATAACATCTTTATTTTTCATATCTTCCCATACATAGCACTCCTTTTTTTTTTATTATTCTTTTCTTGCTTTTTTATCATTTATCAAACAATATAAATAAAACAAATTGATCATCCATTCATTTTTTTTTTAAAAAAAAATATTAAATACAAGACTTTATTCGATAAAGCTGGATGTGTGGAGTATAATAGGAAATCAAATCAGCAAACAAATAATGGAAGTAGGGGAACTTTTTTTTTTAGGTGTCTTTTTTTTTTTTTTTTTTCTTGGATGACGGAAAGAATATTTGGCTAGATATTGATATAAAGCTACTGATATGTATGTGTGTGTGTGTGTGTGAGCGAGAGCGTTGATATATATATAATATTGAGTGTTCCTATAGTATGATGTTCGTCCATGAGCTATTGTACCATCATATCCTAAAGAAATAAAAAAAAAATTAATAATTCACGGAATAAAGATAGCTTCTATTATCTCTTTCTATTACTTGATCCATAGGTTGTTGTGTAGTTTCTTGTTCGTTGTTTTGATCTTGAGTTTGACCTTGACCATACCAGTCGATATTGTACCTAAAAAGAAAACAAAATGATGAATATTATGAATATTTATTATATATTATGTCTTACCGTGTCACCTTGGGTTTATCAGCCAAAATATTGCGTTGTAACTTATCAACCAAGACTTGAGGAGGAGGGTTTTCACGTAATTCTTCATCCGTGTATTCATTATTGACATAGTAGCCGATACGTACAAATTCTTTGTCATGATACAAGCAACTGAGTAGGACTACAGTGACTTCTAACAGATCTCGTTGAGGTAAAAGTTCTAGTTTAGGAGCATCGGCCTATGTAAACATTAACAAAAAAAAAAAAAAAAAAAAAGATAGGACATATATGTTAGTTATTACTTTTCTTTTATTGTTTTTTTTTCAGTTTACCGAAAAGATGAATTTGTTCACACCAACAGGAATAGGTCCCACCATGATGGAATCCAACACTTGATCGTATTGAGGGCTTTCGGCTGAACCTACATAGATCATTTTCCATTCCAGATCTTTTTTGAGTTTCAATATAAAATAAGTTAGACATAAAGAGATCTTTTTCATTGACGTAATAGATGTTTTTTTTTTATTAGTTTTATCCTTTTAATTTTTACCATCTTTTAATTCTGCGTTGCATTCAAAAGTGATTTCAAATTTAAATTCATTGTGAAAACCAGTAGGATTGTCAAGGACTTGGATGTTCAAGATATTCACCAAAGACATGATAGTGTAAAAAAGAATAAAATTAAACAAAGAGAAGAAGAAAAAAAAAAAAAAGGGAAAAAGAAACGCGGAAAAAGTTTCGTGCCACACGCGATGATTCAGGTGGAGAAAGAAAAAAAAATCAAAACAAAAAAAAAAAGTATAAAGGCTGCGCGAGGTATCGAATCCCCTCTACTCTTCCTTGGCTTTCATAACTGGGTTTTAATGAGCTCGCAGGTACCACTTCTTGATCATAGTGATAAAACTTGCCTGCTATTACCATGATTGAAATAGAGCTGACTGATGATTGGATAAAAAAAGGGATGATAGATGATTGAACAAGGAGAAATGATAAAGTGATGAGGAAGTAATTAATAGGTGATGATCATCTCATGATGGCAAATGAGAACGAAGACTATACTAGAGAATATGATTATATATATATATAGGATAAATATTTGATTGATGATGACACTCTCGTTGTATTGAGTTAACATTACTTATTATTTAATCATCACCAACTTTTGAAGTATGATGCTGGTGACATTATACTGTTCTATATAAATGACCACTCAGTTGAAAAAAGTTACCATAGCACTAAAGGTCAATGTCGGAATCTCAATTATCCGGCCAGTGGTAATTGTGCGGTGGCGGCTGGGAAGGTCTTTGATGCTGATTTTTTTTGCAATGAGGTATTGATTCTTCCTTTTCAAATCTAACCATGAAGTTCAGTGCTGGTAAGGATCATCATTAACTTGTGATATATCGAACAACAATCACTTTATTATACGAAACGGAATGGATGAATGAATAGATAGATAGATAGATAGATAGATAGATAGATGGATGGATGGATAGATGGATAGATGGATGAATGACTGACTATTGAAGGAAAAAAGGGGGAATCATAGGATGAACGTTATATACACCTATGACTATATATATATATGTGTATACAAAGGGGAATGGACTGGAAATGATTTATTGATATTTATTTTTTTTCTTCTCTTGTATTTCTTTTATATAGACGTTACTTCCTCCCGCAGAAAGTGCAGAAAGGCTCACTTCTCTGCTCCTTCTCACATTCGCCAAAAGATCATGAGCGCTCCTTTGTCCAAGGAACTCCGTGAAAAGCACAGCGTAAGTGATATATATATATATAGAGAGAGAGACAGATACATAGAAAAGCATGATATGGATTTACCTTCTCTTTTTGATAATTTAATGATAGGCTCGTGCTATGCCTATTCGTCGGGATGATGAAGTTACTGTTGTCCGTGGTACTTACAAGGGTCGTGAAGGCAAGGTTGTTCAAGTTTACCGTAAGAAGTGGGTTATTCACATTGAACGTATTACCCGTGAAAAGGTCAACGGTAAGTTATTATATATATTTCTATATTCTCATGATATTGATGATGATTACTTTTTTTTTTTTTTTAGGTGCCACTGCTCCTATTGGTATTCACCCCTCCAATGTTGTCATCAATAAGCTCAAGTTGGATCACAGCCGTCAAGCTGTCCTTGATCGTAAGGGAAAGAAGGAAGCTATGCAACAAGTAAGTCTACTATGATTATTTTGTTTGAATTTTATACTCATTTTTATTATTATTATATTATTATTATTATTATTATTTTCATTTATAGTAAATTCTATCACCATTTTTTTTTACGAAATAAAGAATTCCATATCTCCATTTTGTTTCAATAAATATATGTAAATCATCTGTTTTTAATTACAATCTGTTATTATTATTATTATATATATATGTGTGTGTGTGCATTTTAGTATTTTCGTTTTGACAGTTAACAACAACTGCAGACGGGTTTAAAGAACCGCTCTCAATTTTTTTGTACAACAAGCTCATCATCTGTTTTTTTTTTTCTCTCTGTTTCTTTCCCCCCTTTTTTTTTTTGCTTCCACTGCTTATTTTGAATTTATTTTATGGATCGTAGAAAAGAAGAATTAGAAAAGAAACGACAAAAGTTAGCTGAACTTCGAAGGGCAAGAGAAGAACGAAAAGCTATACTTGAAAGTCAATCTACTCAAACTCATTCTAGTACAACTACTACTACTTCGGTATGAAAAAGATGAAAACAAAAGAGCGCGTTAACTCATATATTTATTTCCATCTAGTCTTCAAGTGCTGGAAGAGATAGACGTGCTATTGATGATTTAGTTGCTCTTGTTCTAGGTGAACGTTCTTCAACTTCATCTAATGCTACTGGTGCTGGTTCTGACCGTGGTTCCGATACTGGTTCAGACTTTACTTCCTCACGTCCTACATCTGGTAACTACGGTTCTATTCCCAGTACTCCCGTTAGCAAGTACGTTAATATCAAAAAATCCATTCTTTTTTTTTATATAGATAAAAGAAAAATGATTTAATATTTTATTTTTTCTTTTCTTCTAGTGACCCTCGTTTATCTGTTGGTTCACAACCTATCATTCATACTCCAACTTATGTAGCCGAACTGACAGAAACACAAGCTTTTATTGCTGACATTCCCCCATTGGTAAAAAGGACGATTCAAATATAAATATTACGTACTTATTTATATCTTTTTATAATCAGGAACACGTGGTTTATAGTAAAGAAATCCAAACTTCTGAAGGTTCGTTTGATGTTCCTCAACTATCTGAAGAAGAAATTCGACAACAAATCATGGAAGAATTGGAAATCAAGGAAAAACAAAAACAAGCTCAATTGGAAGAAGAACGCAAAAGAGCAGAACAAGAAAAAGCAGAAGAATACCAAGGTAAATAAATTATTATTATTATAGATTAAGTTTTGATTATTTCTTCTTATATTATGACAGATCTGACGGAGGAAGAAAGAAAGTTGATTCTAGGTGCACCTGAATTCCTCGATTTTGTGGATAATTCATCCAAAATGGTGGAACGAGCATTGAACGAAAAATACGATTTTATGAAAGATTATACCCTTGGTGTCGATATCGAAAAGTAAAAAAAAAAAAAAAGATTTGTGAATCCATGGATTTATCTTTTTTTTTTTCCTTTTATAGTGATGAAAGCTCTGGAAAACGGGTGAAATATGTTTGCGAATTCTGGGATGAACGATGGTCAAAGAATAGATCAGTAACGGATGTAGATTGGTCATCAAAGGTTGGTTATCATTGAAACATATATATATTGTTGGAATTGACATGATTATTTTCCTTTTTTTTTTTTTTTTTTTGTTAGTATCCTGAGCTTTTGGTTTCATCGTATAATAAAAACCCAATGGCACCAAATGAACCTGATGGTGTAGCTCTTGTTTGGAATTTACATCTATTGGAACGACCTGAATTTATATTTCATTCGCAGGTAAAATCTTCTTGAATTGTATAAGAGGAAAAATGGATACATACTGATTGTTTTTTTTTTTTTCTCTCTTTTGATAGTCTGATGTTCTAAGTGTTAGATTCAGCAAATTCCATCCAAATTATGTTATTGGTGGTACATATTCTGGACAAATTGTTTTATGGGACACTCGAGCGAAATCATTACCTGTTTTGAAAACACCTCTCTCAGCAGGTGGACATACTCATCCTGTTTATTCTCTACAAATGGTCGGTACTCAAAACGCGCATAATCTTATCTCCGGAAGTACAGATGGTTTTATTTGTTCTTGGCAATTAGACATGTTAGCCCAACCACAAGTAAGAAACAATGTGAACAAATACGGATATTGAATCTAATTTAACCGTTCCTCATTTTCTTAGGATTATTTGGAATTACAACATGCTGCACATAATAAGACTGAAGAAGTTTCTGTAACAACTGTCGGATTTCCTGACAACGAAACGACTACTTTTTGGGTGGGAACAGAAGAAGGCAATGTATATCAAGCGAGCCGTTATGACAGTGCTGGAAGGTAATCATTCTTCATATATATATATTCATATATATTGACAGTCAATCATTTTTTTCTTTTCCTTTTCTTATATATATATAGTAAAGCTGGGATCAATCAATATGATACTTATCGCGGTCATTATGGTGCTATTACAGGTCTTCAATTCCATCCTTTATCTGGTCCTGTAGATTTCTCTGATCTGTTTTTGACTTCATCTGTGGATTGGACTGTCAAATTATGGAGAGCCAAGGTAAGGAGAGGGAAAAAAAAAGATAATAAATTTTTGGGAAATTGATTTCCTTTTTATATATATATAAATATAGTCAGCGTCTAAATCATCAACACAAGCTACACCAATTGCACCTTTGTATTCTTTTGAACACTCTGATGATTATGTTTATGATGTGAAATGGTCACCCTCTCATCCTGCATTATTTGGATCTGTTGATGGCAACGGTCAATTTGATTTATGGGATTTGAATGCCAATACTGAAGTAAGTTTTATAAATATACCAGATTAAGAAATATTCAATGATATATTTATTTATCCAAACTAGGAACCATTTGTTAGTACACCTGTGGGATCCGGGAAAGCACTAAACAAGTTAGCTTGGGACAAGGAGGGTCGAAAAACTGCTATTGGTGCCAGTGATGGTCGTGTTTATGTTTATGATATTGGCGAGGTAAGACAAAAATTGATCTGAAATCAAAGTTTTAACTTTTTTTTTTTTTCTTCTTCTTCTTCTTATTTTTCTATCATAGATTGCTAGACCCAAGGCGGATGATTGGCATTTATTACAAAAGAATATATCGGAAATGATCTCTAATCAAGAAAACCTTACGAAATAAAAGAATTCTATTTTTATATATCTTTCAATGATCTTGTGTCCCTTTTATCATTTGTTTACTTTTTGTTTCAGCCTTTTTTGTGTTTTTTTAACTCTTGGCGACTTTTTCTTTTTCCTTCAGCTGAGTAGTTAGATGGTAACCTGGAATTCTTGGCTCGGCTTAGTATATTCAATTAGTTAGTATCAATGTGATTACCCTCAATGCGAGTTTCTAATCTCCAAATTGGGATATTTTATGCTTGGTAACAGTTACTTATTTTTTGATATAAATTTTTTGATATAAAAAAGAACTTGATTCAATGATTTTCATTGAGTTTATTTCATTGTATTGATCTTTTTCTTTTTTTAATAAAATAAAATTATGTCAAATCCATCTGTACCTAGTGGTCATGAACCTTTATTGGAATATCAAGAACCAGACAAGAACATCAAAGTCCATCAAGTTGAAGGTGCTGTTACGAATCATTATGATGATGATGATGCTACGAGACTCGCTAAACAACAACAACAAAAGGCAACGAATAAGGCTGCTGTTTTTCGACAAATCCGGATGTTTGCTATGATGATCATCATTGACATAGGATTACCTCTTGCTTTATACTTTATATTGGAGATGTATACTAGCCAATTGATAGCCTTGATTGTGTCAGGCATTCCTCCTTTACTCCATGTTTTAGTTACCTTCATCATCAAACGACGAATCGAAGTATTGGGTTGTATTTGTGTCTTTTCTTTTATTCTCTCTGCCATCTTGAGTTTGATCAGTGGTAAAAAAAAAAAAAAAAAGATTAAAAAAACGATATATATGTATTATTTTTAATTAAATACATTATTTTTCGTTACAATAGGTGATGCTCGTCTTGCTCTTCTTCGTGATTCATCAACCTCAGCAGTGATTGGTACCGCGTTTTTAATAACATTGATTCCTATTCATACGAAATGGTTCACCATCTATCCATTGACTTTCCTTATCGCTCAACAAATGTTGTCTGAACTCCCTCCCAAGACTTGGATGGATCAATATGGAGTGCGTCATAGTCTTCCCGTTCCTGAATTTTTTTGGACTTATTACCGTGGTTTTCGTTTACACAGTCGTTTTTGCACTGCAATGTGGGGAGTGGTACTTTTGACAGAATTTACAATTAAAGTGATCATGATCGAAGCTACTAGTTTATCTGTCGATCAGATCGTACTGTATGGTACTATTATCAACGTCAGCATCCTTGTCTCCTGCGCTACATTTTCTGTCATCAGCACAATCTTTATACGGAGAAAATGTGCTACTTTTATTACTGAATGGTTGAAGGTAAATGATTATACTAATCATCACACCGCCACCGATGAAAATGTATAGCCCTATATAGTGATTCTTTACCTTTTTTGTACATCTGTAATATATTTTCTACTATATATATCTTTTTTTTTCGAAATACAATAAATCTAACATATCGAGCTTATATGCTATTGATTTCTATTGTGATTGTAAGTTGTTGTTATATATATGCTGATCTTGCACTTTTGGATTTTTGAGGCCAGCAGCATGTCTAAATTTCTTTTTTTTATTTTCAATCTCTTTCTTTTTGCTTTACATTTTTTTTCCCGCTCTTTTTTCTCACAAATATAGATCTCGATTTTACTTTAATATAGAAAAAGAAAATACATTTACCCTATTTGACGATAACAACAATAACTCAAATTAGAGAGTATGGACACAACAACCTTGGATAAAAACAAAGACCATCAACAAATAGCTGCTATCTTGGTGGTGGGCTTCCATCATGCCTACGGTCCTGTGGTTGAATTTTGCCATCCTCCTTTACCTCAACAACCTCAAAATGATCAAACCTCTTTAGAAAAGTTGGAATTACCAGAAGACTGGAATTTCTTACCTTTTCTTGCTTTACCAGGTAAAACCTTCTTGTATGAATCAACTTGAACTCACTCTTTTTTTTTTTTTTTGGTGGGTTTTGTAGATGGAGCTCATCAAAAAGACGAAGACTTTGCTTACTTTCATTTACCTCCTGTACCAGGTTGGTCTGTTGCTGAAACAACCTTATTCGGTATATCATGTAATCGTCAAATAGCTACCAAGGTAAGGAACACCATGCTACTTAGTATGTTTTAATGACTATTGATTTTTTTTTTTTTTTTTTTTGGCTTCTATTCTCCCTTAGGATTTACTGGTTACAACACCGGATATTACTCGATCTATAGTACAAAAAGCTGTTGTAGTCCTTGCTCGTCAGGTAAGATCAAGGATGATATAAGGAGGGGAATTGATAAGTAAAGAGACTGTTTATATATTTACATTTTTGTTTTTTATTATTGGATGATCATTGTCTGTAGCCTATCTTTGGCCCTCTACGACAAAAGTTGGCTGTGATTACGGCAGCTTGGTTTAGTCAACGAGATTTTACACAACTGGGAATACTATACGTAAGTACTATTCTTATAAGCAGGAGAAGTAGTGACTTGTTCGATTCACTATCATATTTCATTTTAGAATCTATACAATAATTTGACAAATACCTTTTGTGGACCAATTGATGATTCAACTTTGTATATGGGCACTTCACTGCGGGAACTCTTACACAAGTTTAAATACAAGACATTGATTTTATTGAAACTGTTACTACTAGAAAAAAGGGTAAGAGAATGATAGTGTTTTATGGAAGAAAGAGAAAAATGATGGCTTATATATATATATATATATATATATATATATATATATTTTTGAATAGATATTATTTTATGGCTATCCAGTAGAAAGACTATGCACATTTGAATATTCCTTAATATCTCTTGTGCCTGGTAAGTAAATGGAAGGAAAAAACACGTGTTCATTCTCTGCATATTGATATGTTTTTCTTTTCTTTCTTCTTCTTTTTTTTTTTTTTTTTTTATTCGTAGGGCTACTACGGTCATTGCAAGACTCTGGAGCACCTGAACTTGATATATCCAACGATGATTTACAACAAATAGAAGCAAAAGAATTAGAAAATGGAAATAAAGCCAGTCTATTACGTTACATGGGATTACCTCTACGGGTGTTTGAAAAGGTAACACTTTTTTTTTTTTTTTTTTTTTTTTTTTTTACTTACATTATTATTATGTTTTATTAGGGCTCATTCTTCCAACCTTATTTACCATTGCAACAAATCAATATGTTATCTTCCAGTAATACCAAGTCATATGTTGTTGGAACTACGAATCAAATCTTTTTTCATCACAAAAGTGATATTAACATCGACGTCTTGGTCAATGTAGGTGATGCGAATAATACAATGAATAAAAACTGATTTTTTTTTTCTGTCTATGGGATTCTAGGTGGAAAATGGTACATTGGAATTCTATGATCAAAAATTGGCTTCTATAGTGCATCCAACACTTGCTGATAGAAGGTGGATGGAAAAGATTGTCAAAGTGGTTCATGATACTTGGGATGACAATGATCCTGCTAGACCGATGCAAAATACTTATCTTGGATCTGATGATTATCTTCGTGCTCGCTTTGAAGAATATGTGTTATCTTTATTATCAAGTACAAAACATGCTCAAGATACGAATGTACTTGCATCCATCAATGGAACAGCTTTGGCAGGAATGGGTTCAGCGGATGCATATTCTACTCAAACAACAGAAGATGTGATGCTTGATGATGACAAAGGTAAAAAAAAAAAAAAAAAAAAAAAAAGAAGAGGAATATTTATCACGATGACTTGAAAAAAAGGGGGAAGGGGAGACTGAAGAGCGGCGTATTGACTCTTTACGTATATGCATCTATTCATGCATCTATTTAGAACGAAATTATGTATTGGACTATGGTATCAAATGGTGGATAAACTGGAGAGAAACTGTCAATTTCAAACTTTGGAATCAATATACAGATCACGAAATATATGAAATTGTGGAACCTGGGTAAAGAAATGCAATTAAAAACGGTGATAGTTAACTAAATATTTTTTTTTAATATGAAATTATAGTCATCCTGGTATGGGTCATATATCTATTGTAGACATTCAAAATACGTTATCAAAGTAAGTAATGCTTAGGAAAAAAAAAAGGGGGGGATGGAGAAATCCAAGAATCGAAAAAAAAAATAGACTAAGAAAAAACAAACAACAAAAACCTAAACTCCTTTATGCAAATCGTAAGTCGTTTTCGAGATTTACAGCTCCGCAATAACTTGGGGCCTTTAGGCAAGACACTATCCAAGGCAATGTCAGGTGGTGCAAAAGCAGTATCTAGTGGTCGTGTCAGATTATTACGTGGTGTAGATGCTCTTTGGAATGATTTACCATCATATGATCATAGCACTTCAAAATCTCCATCTCATCAGGACCCTGGTAGGTAAAAAAAAAAAAAAAAAAAAAAAAAAAAAAGGTGAAAAGGGGAAGGGCGGGAAACGAGTGGCAAAAAAAAAAAAACTCTGAAATTCACATGTTTTTTTTTAGATAATGCGAATCAAAACCCTATTCACGCCCATACATCCAACAGAAACGATTCATTCTCATTATCATCACCACAACGACAGGATGAATCTGCGGAAACTACATCCCAGCAAGCTAGTCGACTTTTTTCCAACTTTTCCACTTTTTTATCAAGAAAGCAAAAGGAGTTTACTTTAGCCATCGAGGTAGGACTAGAATAAATTGGAAAAGAATGAAATTAACCTTCATGTATGTTTTTATTTTGTGATATTAGGAATCTATTCAACAACCACAACAACAACAACAACAAACTTCCTCTGCTGGAAAACAAAATCAGTTACGTCAAGGATCTGTATCGCCTCCGGTAGTGATGATCAGTGACGATGATAGCAGTTCGACTTTTGTGGATGTAGCAGCAATGTACAACAACAAATCAAACAAGGAAAAGATCTTGGATAAGACTCTGAGCGATACTAGATGATCTTTTTTAGTTTTTTTTTTTAGCTTCTATTCCAATAAAAAAAAAAAACTTGATATTCCAATTTCGTTTTTTTATGATTTAACGTATTTTATTGAGAAATGATCGTATCGAATCGAACTCTAAAGACTACAAAATAGGAGAATAGACAAGGCGTTCCAATTTGATGGGAAGAAGGAGTCATGCGTAATCCTCATGAACCTGTTTTCTTTCTTTATATAGTTTGACAAATGACTGTTCGGACGGGTGTTACACTGGACAATGCCTTCCCCCTAGAAATGATCACGTTTGAGTGGGAAAACAATGTCATTATCTCCTTTTTTCTTTTTTTTATTGTGCTCGTTGATATAAAAATACATGACCAACTTTTTTTTTTCTTTTTTTATTCTTTTTTTCATAACATTCTATTGTTTAAATCATGTTGACAGCTTCTACTATTGCTTCTTTACCCAAACAAACCATGGTCAACATGGGTATTGAAACACCTATGGCCAAAAACAAAGAAGATGTAAGAATCAAAAAAAAAAAGATCTTTGATTGACCAATTTTAATGATGATGATGATAGATTTTATTGGAACCATTTCAATATCTATGTGCTTATCCTGGTAAAGATGTCCGTGCAAAAATGATTGATGCATTTGATGCTTGGTTACATGTACCAAAAGATAAATTAGTCGTCATCACCAAAGTAATAGAAATGTTACATAGTGCTAGTTTATTGTAAGTGTATTGTATCATGTCATGAGTTCTCCCATTCATATCTTTTTTTTTTTTTTTTTTTTTTTTTTTTGTAATATATAGAATTGATGATGTTGAAGATGATTCAGCTTTAAGAAGAGGTGTACCAGCAGCCCATCACCTTTATGGTGTACCTCAAACTATCAATTGTGCCAATTATGTCTATTTTTTAGCTTTATCTGAACTTGTCAAATTGAATAATCCCAATATGGTGAAAATTTATACTGGTAGAAAAGCCAAAAAAAAAAAAAAAAAAACTCTTATCATGACTCATTTTTTTTTTTCAATACATATAATTAGATGAATTACTCAATCTTCATCGTGGTCAAGGTATGGAATTATTTTGGAGAGATACTTTGACTTGTCCTACTGAAGCTGAATTCCTTGAAATGGTCGATAATAGTAAGTAAAAAAAAAAAAAAAAAAAAAAGGAAAATCATGCACACTTAAAACACCGCGCTGATCTTTTGGTCTCTATCATGTTAGAAACTGGTGGCTTGTTACGCTTAGCTGTCAAGTTGATGCAGGAAGCCAGTGATGAAGACATGTAAGTACAAAAAAAAAATCGATAATAAGGGATGATGTTGAGAAGAGGAAAAAAAACGGCACAAGTAAACTATTTTTATTTATTTATTTATTTATTAGGGATTGTACGGGACTAGTGCAAAAGATTGGGATTCATTTCCAAGTACGAGATGATTATATGAACCTTCAATCCAATACGTATACTGACAACAAAGGATTTTGTGAAGATTTGACAGAGGGTAAATTTTCATTCCCTGTCATTCATGGTATTCGTAGTGATCCCAACAATCGTCAACTCTTAAATATTTTACGTCAACGCAGTGAATCAGTGGAATTAAAACAATTTGCCTTGCAACTTTTGGAAAAAACAAATACTTTTGATTATTGTCGTCGATTCTTGATGGATATGGAAAATCAAATGAGGGATGATATCAAGGCTCTTGGTGGTAATCCTAAACTTGAAAAAATTGTCTCTATGCTTAGCGTACCTTTATAATTGTCACATTATGAATAAAAAAATTTATTTATTATTCAACTTGACTCTTCTCCTTTTTTGTGTTACTATTTTGACGTTTTTTTTTTTTTGTGCCTCCCTTTTTCTTATTTTGGTATGTTTGTATTCCAATAGTGATTTGTTTGTTTTTATATGTAATCCATTTCAAATGCCGTATTCTTATAACAACTGCAATCTTTTTTTTTTTTTTTTTTCGCACACTTTTTTTTTTTAGTTTGTTTTCCCATCCCCACTTTTTTTTTTCTTAAAAGATAAGATCGTTTTCTTTGATTCGTGATTTTTACTATTTGAAATCATATCCAATCTACCTCTGATGACTACTGCCACTTCTCCTTTATGCTCTTTCTGTAATGGTGATCATGCTGCCTGGAATTGCCCTAAACGTCATCGACCTAGATAAAAAAAAAAAGGTCATCTTTACGTATTTATTTCTTATCATTGTCTTCATTATTATACCGGTAACATATTTCCCAATATATTTCATGTCCAATTCATATTGATAATAAACTAGACATCAATTCTTCTATTATCCTAAAAATCATCAGGTTACATTTTTATTTATTATAAAACATATCTATCTATATTTATTCTATACTATATGATTACAAAGCTACACGATCCAAAGTCACGATTTCTTGATGAATGATCAACCTCATGGAAGAACAGTAACTAGATAATCTTGCCGAAAAGATATTCCTAAGATGATCCACTACTTGTTGTTGTTCCTTCGCTGTTGGTAAGATACATGTTGGATAAGTGAAACTGAGAAGTGAATATGGTTGTTGTCTTGTTGACATCAGTTGTTTTTCTTGAATTTGTAACTTGACCCATACCAATGGAATATTTCCCAAGCAATTGACACGCGGTTCCCATTCATCAAAGATGTCACCTACTTGGTGACACACGTACACCATAGGATACTCTAAAAGCCAGCCTGTCAACGCGACCATGAAACAAGGCAAGTTGGATACCATGAATACCTTTTCGTCATCTTTGTCGTTGGTGATAATGGACGTTTTTTCTAGTTGCTCCACATATGGTTGCAGTTGCTCTTCTAGAAATTCTTGTAGATCATCAGGTACCTTGTCCAACTAAAATAAAAAATAAAAAAATAAAAAATAATAACAAAAAAAGAATCCTAATAAGTGAGGCAAATAGTACTGTTCTTACCTTGAATGGTATCTTTCCTTGAACATCAATATAACAAATCTCCTTGACTGAACTATGACAACGTTCTAGTAACCGTTTCCGATGGCCAATAAATGTGTAACGATCTGTAAACTGTAACAATATCAGGTCACGTCCATCCTTATGCTAAAATAAGAAAGAGAAAAAAGTTAAGTTTAAAAGTAACTTTCATGGTCATGTTTGGAGAATACCTTACGTAGATGTTGAAGAAGCTGTTTTGCTTGATTTGGAGTAAGGTGATAATCAATCAAATGAGTAGTGCTGAACAATAGGAATGAGTAAGAGTGTCATATTATGGTGCTATATCATATTTACCGAAGACCAAGAGCAACAATGTATAAAGCTTATAAAATGAAGGAATATAAGACAATAGGAAAAGGTAATTTGTATAATAGTTTTTTTTTACCTTGAGACAAATTGAATAAAACAGAAGGTGATAATCTTGTGTGTTTAAAGCATAGTTTGACAATTGTATCAAAAGGTGATTGCATAGGAAGACAAAAAAAAAAAAAAAAAAAAGAGAAAAGAGGTAAAAAAAAAAAAAAAAAAAAAAAAAGAAAAATTGTTCAGTTGAAATCAAATTTATCCAAGCTTTTTTTGTACACCGAATAACATTCACATGAAATTTTGTTTTTTTAATTTTCTTCTTCTTATTATTTTTCCTTGTCTACATGTATTCATTTTCATAACTACTTCTATCATCTCTTCCTCCATTTTATCACTATTTCATTCCTTTTTGTTTCTTCTTTAATATCACATATCTATGTCTCTACCTGTTATTGATAGTGAAATCAGTCAACACCACAATAAAGATAATAACAACAGCTTAGATCAAGGTATCTCACCTCCACCTTCACCTCCACCTATTCATTCATTATATACAGAAGGTCATGTTTATCCATCGCTATCAGGTTCCATCTTATCTACACGCAACAATAAAACCTCCAGTATCAACCAAACCAAGCTAGACCGAAATCAATTTCTTTTACAACCCAAACAATCCATGCCAACAAAAAAGGATGATCCAAGCCATCAAGAACCAATAACAAGACGACAAAAATTCTATGGATACATGCGACAATTGATGATCTATTTACTGAAGCAATTGATGAAGAAGAACAATCTTGCCTTGGTGATCAATGGGATTCATCAAGTGTGGCGTGCACGGTTCTTCATGGTACATACTGTTCGAACGACTTATCATGTATTGACCTCTTATCCTTACCATCAAGCCTATCGAGAAGCTTGGATGATATGGGCGCAAATTGTCAACTTGGTTTTCTTCATTGCAAAAAAGGAACAACTCTCGGTCCACACCTTAGCTTCCTTTAGAAATTTGGAGGATGATATCAAGTCACTTTCTTGGATAAATATCATGATGGTGGCGCGTATGTATTTGTCTCATCTTCAGGGCTTACTTCGATTGGGAATACGAACTGGTGTACGTGCTTTGAGACATATAAGTGCTTGGGAATCCGTTGTATTAGCTATCACCTCTGTTGCTTTGACTCGATCGTTACAAAATCCAAGTCATTGGATGTAGATAGGTAAGGTTATCTGACTTTATCATTTTATTGTTCCCTTTCTGATGATTAATATTTATCTATCTTGGGCAGGTTTACTATCCAATCTCTTATTATTCTTATTGTTACTTTCCTTATTCATCCTCTTTTATTTTATCACTCCCTTACTTCTTGTTCCATCTTTTATCCTTATGTTTACCCTCCCTTTTTTTTTTTTTTATCATACCAAAAATTAGTAGATCTTGAAATATAGTTTTTGTACCTAATAATAAATAATGATTATTATTCTCTCTGTGATATGCAAAAAAAAAAAAAAAAAAAAAAAAAAAAAAGAATGATGTGAATGATGATGATCATGTGTATGATGATGATGATTAATATGTATGATGACTATATGTATGGTGTTGCGATATGTTATCTTCTGTTTATAAATAAAACTTCAGACGACCATTGTATATGAACGGATCTCAAAATCAAAAAGAATGACCAGAGTAGATTTCATCACTATATAAATGTGGGGCAGGTGACCCCCGCTCTCTCTCTCTTTTTTTTTTTTTTCGTTCAACTATAGTCCTATATTTGGTATAACAAACTAAAAAAAAAGAGATCAATGTAACATATATATTGAAAGTGACGCTATATCATCATCTCCGCCCAACAAGGTACCTTGTGGAGTTTTCAAAAAAGATTGGATCGTTTTCAATTTCCGTAAGGACTTTTAAAAATACTTTGATTCTACTGGTACATTCATGTATGAAAAGATTTTCCATTTGGCTAGAATCAAGAACATCGGAACAATCTCATTGTTATAGATTGAGTTTAATGATGACAACGGGATGATGGATAAATAAACTATTTCATTGAATGTCATTACTTGGTTGTTCAAAAAAAAAATAAAAATAAAAAGTTTAATGATGATTTCATCTTCATCTCTGATGAAACAGGAAGTGATGAGTCTCGTGGTCGTACTTGATAGTAACTTTATCATTGTCTTTTATGAACATAAAAAAAAACATAAAACGAGTTTCTATCAATTTAGTACTTGCATAAAAAAGGGGAGATCATCATAGGTTCCACTTAAGGCTAGTAAGATAGCGTTGTTTGTAATGGTTTATAGATTATTAGTCTTCTCTCTTGGTAACCCGAGTCTATGATAAACCAAATGAAGCAAGTGGTGGTACAACAGATGTCATTGTCAAAAAAAATACAAAAATATAAATAGTGGACATCCTGTCACTTGCTTCTTTTTTTTTTTATCAGTATAACAAATCATGTCTTCTTTTTTTTCTGCCATTCTTAAATATTGTAAACGATCTGTGTCTCCTCAAGATGATATTGTGGCAAGAGTAAATACAAATAGCACCACTACTACTAGTACCAGTAGCGATAGTTTTAAAGTGTCCTATGGCAAACATCTTAATGATCCTATGCGTATCTCTGATCGTCCTGATATGATCGGTCAATTCAATGATCCTATGAGTATCGGCAAACAATATTCTACTTCCGTTGGTCATGATGTAACTTTTACTGGTGCTTAATTATTACTTTATAATACCCTCTACTTTCCACCTTATATATATATATATATATATCTTGTTACTTTCCCTTTGTAAATATTTCTTTATCACCATTGTATATATTTATCCATATCAACCTTCTCTCATCATTAAGAATAGTCGCTTACCTTCTTTTTTTTTTCTGAATAAGATCTTTTTTTTTTTTAAATATCAAGATGATGATCATTTTAATCGATGATCATACTCAGGAAACCAAAAATACAGGTTCCAATTAGGAAGGAGGGGGATAATGTATCGACTTGTCATATTTAAATCACATTGAAGAACAAATCGCATGATGGATGGATGGTCTCGGAGAATGAATTGGTGTCATAAAAAAAAGGTTGGCTCCCCAGAATGTTTTATGACACTTTTCTTTCCTTTATTTTTTTTTTTTCTTTTCAAAAAAGTTGAATACTAACTTTTTGTCAGTCGTATTCCTCTTTCTTTTGCTGGGTCGTTTTATCTATTTATTTCTAGAATCAATCAGTTTTTTATTCTTACCACGAGAGATGGCTCAAGTAAAACAAAATTGGATGGTGACACAACTGTATGTGGATGAATAGAGGAATGTACTTCAACTGGATATTGATGATATTATAGGAATTGGAATGGAAAATCAAAGGTAGATCAATGACACAGAATTAAGTATGACTTGATAAATAGGAAAGTAGTCAATAGTAACATGATATCATGTTGTCTCTATATTTTTTTGTTTCTCAAAACCTGTTTTTTGTTTCTTTCTTTCTTACTTTGCCTAAAAATCAATAATAAAAAATCTATATTATTCACCCAATCTTTGATTCATTGTTTAATATATAACGTGCTCTTTTTTTTTTATTGTTTCCTTTTGTTTTATGTATGCATGTGTATTGTATGTGAGGGTCCTTTTTTTTTTTTTTTTTTTGAATCTCATTCTCTGCAAATAAAGTTTTCTTTTCTCAACAGACAGGAGTCTAAATAAAGAAAACTATCTCAAGACAAGTACCTATTAAAAGTACCGTTTGTGTCACTTTGTTTTATCAATTAACAATATCAATATTCCGTAGAAAAAAAAAAAAGATGATAGACTAAGGATGATTGTTTTGATGATGAAAAGGGAATCATGAATATAGGTATATGCATAGATCTACACAATAAATAAATAAATAATAATAACAATAAAAAAGAAAGAAACAAAAAAGAAGTTATGCTGTAGAGAATAGGAGAAGAATCAAAGATATTTTCTTTTTTGAGAAAAAGAGACCCAAAAATAGAGTCATCATGATTTATTCCATATATTCTATAGAGATAAATGTAACTTGTCAAACTAACACATGATTATACTATATTGTTTTATTAAATGGATTGTAAAAAAAAAAAAAAGAAAAAAAAGAATACTATGGTAAAACATCAAAATACTCTCAACAAATAGAGAGTATTTTTTTTTTTTTTTTTAAAAAAAGGGAAAATATGAGGTATGGAGGCAAAATAAGGAGGGGGTGTTTTGAAAAGATGAATGTAAAGCAGAAATAAGGAGGAGGGCAATAGAAAATAAAATAAAAATATGGATGATCAAAATGCAGACAAAGACTAAAGGTTAATCCTTATAACACAAAGGCAATACCAGCAACAGCAGTCAAGGCCATCATAGTCTTAGTAGTCAAATCAAAGTTCATACGAGAAGCATCACCAGTAAAGATAGAACCACCAGAAGAAGTAGGACTGGAACCGGAAGCAGATCCAGACTTGGAGAGTGCAGTAGAAGAAGCAGCAGGTAAGATGGAGATAGGAATGTCCAAAGGAGCACCATTGGCGATAAAGGAAACCTTGTAACTACCGGGAGTTACAGTAGTGGGAATATTATAGTTGACAGAATGTTCGTAATAAGTAATGTTACCATTTTGATTGGCAGAATTAGAAGACTTGGATACATCAGCATTAGTAGCAATAACCAAAGTAGTATTGGAACCAGCAGCAGTAGAACTCAATTGAATGTTGAGGGTAATACCTATAAATAAATATATAATTTTAAGTTTAACACGTTCCTTTTTTTTTTTTATATATATATAGATAAATATCTATAAATTTAATAAATTTATCACTTTACCAGTGGTATCAACGTCTTGGAATATACGGTATGTACAGGGAAGAATTTGTTGAGCTACATAGGGGGAGTTGGGAGTAGGAGAGGTAACGTTGAAAATACCAGTAGGATTAGGTACTTGAGCAGCTACAGTAGCAATAGCAGATACAACAAAAGCAGCAACAGAGAACTTCATATTATAGGTATGTAGATGATTAAAATAATAAAGAATGGGGTATGATAAAGAAAGAAAAAAAAGAAAAAAAAAAGAAAGAAAAGAGAAGCTTTTTTTTTTTGTCGCGCTCTTTATACAGGGGAAAAAAAGTTTATTGCCAATATATTTTTTGGCGGAGTCCCGCTTGATTTGGGTAGCACACACATTTTTGTATAGACATGCAAGTCTCCAATCAAACAAAAAAAAAAAAAAAGTACCAATTGGAATAGAAAATGATTGACCATATTTGATATTTTCAACTATTTATAAATTGTTTGAAAACAGTGTTTTCATATATATATATATCTCTTCTACTCTGTTGTACCTTATCACCTTTTTCACTTCGTTTTGCGGTGTTGAAACTCTTTTTTTTTTTTTTTGTTACATCCTTCATGATATTAACAAACTATAATACATTATATCCTTTTTCCATTTTCACTCAATATTTGTAACAAGACCCTTCATCAAAACTTTATTCGAGTTATGCCTATATTTCTGTGATCCATCTGTCATCCGCTCAATTTAAGTTATTCGATAATAATAAAAAGTAATTTTTATTGATGTATGTACACTGAGAATGAGATGAAAGAAATATACAAATGCAATTTTTTTTTCTTTCTCTGTCAGTGCATCATGTAACCGAGTCATAAAACTAAGTAGTATGTATATCAAAAAGGATAATAAAAAAGAAGAGAGAATGGAAGAATAAAAATAAAAAAAAATAAAAAAAAGGATGGGTGAAAGGTCTCAGCACTAACTACGATCATTAAGAAAAGTATGAAGGGAGGGTTGAATAACTAGAGAATAAATATATAAAAAAACAAAAAAATCAAATCTAGATAAGTAACTTTTCGATTTGGTTCTTGATAGACAAAATTTGAGGCTTCAAGTCAGAGGCTTCATTGGTGGTGATGGAAGTAGAAATAACAGAGCGAGAGACACCACAAGCACGGCCGAGAGCAGTCTTGGAAGGAACAAATACATAAGGGACGTTCTTATCTTCACACAACAAAGGAAGATGCAACAAAATTTCAAGAGGTTCAGTATCAGCTATATATATATATATATAAAAGAAAAAACGTTAATAATAGTTCATTCTATATGTATATAACTATCACTTTTTTTTTCTTGTTTTTTTTTTTCTTGCTTCAGAAAGACTAATCGATATCATGTTCATAAGAATGTCTATTGGACATGTTCTTCGATATTTGGGTAATCGCTCATCCTTTGCAAGAAAAAAAAAAAAAAACCAACAAGAAACAAAAATCCATGTTTTCTTTTTTTTTTTTCTTTCTATGTACTTACCAGCCATGACAATGAATTCAGAGATACCACGGTTAAGGGTCTTGGTGGCTTCGTTAGCACCCTTCTTCAATTGCTTGTAATGAGAGGCTTGTTGGACAAGATCCAAAATAGTGTTGGTCAAAGCAGCATCAGCAAGAGGGAAAGCTCTAGGATTGATAGACTATACATATATACATATAAAGTATAAATAATGAGTATATTTATATCGAACAAGGATCTCGCAAAGATAATCCTATATTAGACACTTACCATGATGGAATAGAGGACAAAAGGTAAATTAAAAGAAAGAAAAAGAAAAAAGGGAAAAAAAAACACGACTGAATAAATATACAGTCGGAAAGGTAAAGAAAAAAAATTTTTTTTTTCTTTCGAGACTCTAACAAAGTCTACAGCCAATCATTTTACAGGGCACTGCTGAGAACTAAACTCTTTTCCCCCCACCCTCTCTTCCAAATCCAGTGTATTACTTTCTATTTTCTTCTTTCTTTGCACTTACTTATCCATTTTATATATAAAAGGCGCCGACTTTTTTTTTTTTTTTTTTATCATTATGCCTATTTTTGGTCGTACGACTCGATTGTTCTTCCGAGGTAGCATAGTAGCTCTCCAGTTTGGTTGTTTTGTCCATCTTTTCAATCAACATGTAGCAGAATTGACTTTTGTAAGAGAAAAATAACACTTGTAGGAAAAATGATTAAAAGAATGTTTTAACTTTTTATTATTTAGTGTGTAGGTCCATCCATGTTACCAACTTTCAATATGACGGGGGATATTATGCTTATAGAACATATTTCACAACGCTTCAAATCCTTGCAAACTGGAGACGTGATCGTTTGCATTTCACCTTCTGTCCCTGGTCGTGCCGTTCTCAAGCGTATCATTGGCATGGTAAAGAATAAATTGATACGAGTTCTTTTTTCACTCAACATTTTTTTTTATTATATAGCCTGGCGATAATATTTGTGTAGATCCTACAGCACCAGATCGGAAATTTCTTGATGTAAAACAAAAGCAAAGTATCATCCAATAACAGATATAGATCATTGATATATTGTCTATGTATATATGTTGCATGTAGGTCCCTGAAGGACATGTATGGATTGGTGGAGATAATCTCAGCAACTCAACGGATTCTAGAGAATATGGACCAGTGGCTATGGGCTTGATACGTGGAAAAGTCATTGCAAGAGTAAGGCCCAATCTTGTTTTGCTAATTTGTACATTCATCATAATATATCTTTTTTTTTTTTTTTTTTTTTTTTTAGGCTTGGCCTGAATTCAATTGGATACGCAACGGTCTTATACCAATTGATACAAAAGATAATTGATAGATGTTATTTTTTTTTTTTTTTAGTCTTATATATATATATATATATATATATATATATATATTGTATAGTTATGCATTATTTATTCCCATCTACCTTTTTTTTTTTTTTTAAATATAGAAAGTATTGTTTTAAATTCTTTTGATATCCCCCCTTTTCCTTTTTATCTGTACAAAATAAACATTTTAACATTCATATTAGAAAATACAAGCATACCCACACACACAAAAAAAAAAAGAAAAGATATTCAAAAAGCAATCTACTAAAAAAAGGTCTTTATTGATTTTTTTGTTTCTTATATCTACGTCAAGACAATAATAATTAAAAGGTAAGAAGAGAGAGAGAGAGGATATATATACTAACTAACCTATGATGTGGATGGTGATGAAGAGGATGAAGCTTCTGTTGCTGATGAAGGTGGCGGTGCTGTAGTCAGTAAAGTTTCGGCGGCACGGTTCAAATCATGTCTTGATGATATTAAGGCATTTGCAGCAACATCCCTTGAACAATGAGGGAACATTGAAAGTAATGCATCAATGTTTTCAGACGATGGAGGTAACTATTGTAATAGGGAAACATTCTGTTATTTTATTGCTTCTTTTCCTTTGCCTTCATTTTTTTTTTAACATTCCTATTATAACTTACGTCTACTTGATTTGTATTTCGTTGTCGAACATGATTGCTGGAATAACTAGTGGATGATGAAGCGCCAATTATCGTATTGGATGATGGTCGTGATAGGTAATTAGAGGATGATGGAGTAGGTGAGGTTGTACCAAGAATAGGAAGAATGTAATTGGATGCAAAAGAACGAAGCCAACTTGGAAATCTCCAATCTTTCATATTGCTACCATCAAAATTATAGAGAACTCCAGATAATAATCCATAAAGAGAGGGTACAATCGAAGAAGGTAATTGTAATAACAGTAGCTGGATGAAGAGAAGAAAATCAAAGAAGGATCAATAATAATATTAAAACTATATATATATATTACCTGAGCTGCAGCTGCATAAACATATGACTTGTCAGTCATTGTTATTTTCATCAACACTGGAACTTGGTAAGTTGAAGGGACAATAAGATGGTATTGATATAAGATGGCAAAGATCAATGCATAACTATACAGGATAATAAAAAAGAAAAATAAGTTTGAGATCATGTCAAATACGAATAAAACCGTCTATCACTTCAGTCTATTATCGCTTACGGTCCGGTCAAAGTAGATCGAGAAGTAGCACCCAAGGTCAATCCAGTCACATGATGAAGTAGAGATGACATAACAATAGAGATAAACGCCAAAGCCTAACAATCAAGTACATATAAATGATTGATTAAAAAACCTTCCTTACTCGTTATCATTATTTTTTTTTTTTTTTTTTTTTTTGGGTGTATGTCCTTACGGCAAATTTCGAGCTACCGTATCGTCTTTCAATAATGCGTAGTCTGTATATCAACCAAGTGCCTACAATTGCCGAGCCAATGCTGGGAAAAGTCCATTGTGAGGAGATTGTTCGCCAGAACTATAGAATAAAGAATTCAGAAAGAGAGATAATGAGTTATGACTTCATCCATTACTACGCGTATTCTAATAGTCATTATTTTTTTTCCTTCTTACCGAATTATGTAATGGTATATGGTTAGCTTCATATAGACAAGATATTGCCGAACAACTACCAATGACAGTAACTAGTACTTTTGTGACAGGAGCATTGCGAAATCCTAATAGTTGAATGATATCATGAAAAGAAAGAGTGAGAAAAAAAAAAGATAAAAAAAAAACAGTAGATGGAAGCTAGTATTTAGAGTCATTGATAAATATTATACTGAATATGATGTAAATGGATATTTACCAGTAAGACCGATTGACATGATAGGATTCCAAGTTATAGGATGAAGGAAAGAAAATAATAAAAGGAAACAAGTACTATTGAGAAAAAAAAAAAAAAAAAAAAGCGATGAATTCATTTTCTGTTTGAAGTTGGCCCTGTTTTTTGAATTCAGCCAGCGATTATCTTCTCTAGTGGAAAAATTCTTCCATTTTCTGTTCTTTTTTTCTTTCTTTCTTTTTTTTTTTTTTTTTTTTTCTGCTTTCACCAAATTAGATTACCATGCTTGGATTACAGACGTTGAAGAGACGCAGTGTTCTAAGGCTATTTGGGGCTTCTATCGTTGTTTCCTTGATACTTTTTGGCTCTTTACATGTACTATTTTCGACTGGGGATTTTTCTTTTCATGGTCGTACGAGCGCCATCTATCATTATTCCTCTAGGCCATTACAACATCCCAATCCCAATCTCAAAGCAGCTTTCGTCACATTCACAAAAGGAAATCAAGAAAGTTTGGAAAAGTTACGCTACACCATTCGAGATTTAGAAGATCGATTCAACCGCGACCATGGCTATCCTTATATTGTATTCACCAATGAACAACTCACCGAGGAATTTAAGGAACTAGTGGCTTCTTTGACTAGAAACAATATAGCTTTTGAATATCTCGATAAATCTTACTATGGATACCCTGAATTCATTGATATGAACAAAGCAAAGCAAGCTCAAATAGACATGAAAGATATTATCTTTGGTACCAGTGATGATTATAGATTCCAGGCTCGATTCATGGCCGGTTTGATATTTAGGTAATCAAAAAAAAAAAAAAAGAATTAAATAATGAAAGATAATTCTTTTTTTTTCATTTATTTATTTATTTATTTTATTTTTTTTTGTTCATTTTAGACATCCTGCAATAGCAGAATTGGATTACTATTGGCGATTTGAAATTGGAACAAAATATCTTTCTTCTGTAGATTTTGACCCATTCGAATATATGAAGGAACATGGCAAGAAATTATCCTTTTCTTTTGCGTTGTATGAATACCATGATACCATTCCAAGTTTATATTCTACCGTTCAACGCTACATTGGTGATCATCCTGGTCAAGTCATTCATCGCACAGAACAAGATAATCTTTGGTCTTTTATTGTCGATTCGGATTCATCTGATTACAACAACTGTCATTTTTGGTCCAATTTTCAGGTAACAACCTACTATATATATATATAATATGTGATAACATGAACCATTTTATTCGATATGATTAGGTGGCTGATTTAAGTTTCTTCAAAGGAACTGAATATCAAGATTTCTTCGATTATATTGATCATAGCGGAGGTATCTTTTATGAACGATGGTAAGAATAAAATGAATTTTAAAATCATACTAGGTGAATAATCTTATTTTAATATATTGATTTTAGGGGTGATCCTGTCATTCACACCATGGCAGCTGTCCTTTATCTCCGGAAAAGTCAAGTTCATCACTGGGAATCTATTGGTTATCAAGTGGCCGATAGTTTCATCCACTGTCCTAATAACAAATCAGTATGGCAATCTGGTGTTTGTCGACCAATCTCTAATTTTGATAATCAAGGATACAGCTGTTTACCCCGTTTTATTCAATAAAAAACTCTATTTTTTTTTTATATATACATGATACTGTATGTATTCTTTTTTTTATTTTTTTTATTTTTAGATTATGGAAGAATGGTACAGTTACATCATTAATTAGAAGACCGCAGTCTTTTTGCTTCGGGTGTCTTTTTTGCTTTTTGTCATGTTGCCATTTTTGAAATTGTTTCCTTTCCCTTCTTTCTTTTCTTTTCTTTTCTTTTCTTTTTTTTTCAATTTTTTTTTTTTATCAATTGTTAATGCCAAACTCTATTATTACTGTTACCAATGATGAGAATGTCAATGATGACTCACAAATATACTTCAAACCCGATACCATTGATACTCCAGTGTACGAAAAACCGAATGCTTATGAAGAGGAAGAACAAGTGGACGCTTTGGTAGTAGGATTAAACTCAACACAACTCGACAAAGTCAATGAATATGAAGATGACGGCGAAGAACCTATACATACAACAGTGGTACGATACAAGACAAGAAAGTCAAAGATGGCACCTCCTCCTCCGGCAACCTCTCCCTTACTTAGCCATGGTGCTATGACAGCAACTACGAGTACTACCATTATTCCAGAAGACGAATTTGTCAAACGACCTTTATCAACTAGCAGTTTTGATTCACAAGCAATAAGTCCCAGTGTCAGCAGTACTAGTACTACAGATTCGATTCAATCTTCAACTTCATGTAAACAAATGCTTCTTGATTCTTTGAAACGACGGCCTTCCAGTGATGTGGTCAAGTTTGATTTACGCAAACAGTCACTTGTACAGCCTCACCATCATGATATCTATCTTGGTGGTACTAAGCAACTAGTATATCGAAAACGACAACCTCATTCTTATTCTTGGGGTTTTCAAAATATCTTGTATCTGGTGACGGATGACGACAATTTCAATAAGAAAACGAAATATGGCATCAAGGTGGCGGAAGCTAGACGACGAGCTTTTCAAAAACAAATCACAGTGGAATGGGGATTAAATGAAGATGATGATAGTATGGATGATATCAAGTCAGATCGATACTCTGAAAAGCATACCAACGATGATGATGATGATGATGATGATGATGATGATGATGATGATGATGATGAAGAACAACAACGACAAGACGACGAACGACAGGGTACAAGAAGTAATCAACTAATCAATTCAAATAATACTCGCTTATTATTTATATATACAACTTATTTTGAATCCGATTTTTGTATTCGTTGGCGACGACCTAGTCTTGTATCTCATGATATGATATGTGAAATCCGGCGTGTAGACAAAGAAGAAGAAGAAAAAGAAAACAACAAGAAAGTAAAGAAGAAATGGCAACTTTTGGCTGAATTTGATAGTCATGGTATGGGTTACTTGATTCATCTAGGACAATTGATGATTGATCGACGAGGCTTGTCATTAGTAAATAATCCTGATCATTTGGAATGTCATCTTTTGATTACTTGTTGTACTTTGGTGGATCTAATGCGTGAAGTGGTGCAAAAGGCTATGGGTCTATCCAATGGTGGTGTTGCTAATGGTTAATGATTAGAATAGTTTATCATAGAATTTATTATTATTATTATTATATTTTACAAATAAAAATTATATCTCCTTTATTCCCTTTTTTACTAAAAAAAAAAAAAAAGAAATAGTATTAGTTAGAATATCCTTTTATTTAACGTCCCTGTCAAATTTATGGAAGTCTTTACCCCTCACATTTTCTTTATAGCGGGACATCAATGAATGGTGATACAAATCGACTTTTGATTGAAAGAAAAAAAGTAACCGTTCTTTTTATTATTATTAGTTAATCAAGTTTTGATGATCGTATGATAGTTTTCATTTTATTACAAAAAGATAGAAGATGTTCTTATTTAGTTGCATTCACTTAAATATACTTTTGAAAAAAAAAGGAAAGAAAATTAGTGATACAAAAAAAAAAAACTTTCTCTCATCATCGAATTTCAAGATACGATATATTGAACAAATCATGATTTCCAAATCAAAAAAAAAAAAAAAAAAAAAAAAAGGAAAAATGTGTACATGTTATGTTCAAATATTGATGATAAACCTTTCCATATGATAAAATATATTTTATATAAATAAAAAAGAAAAAGGGAAGATTCAGAAATAAGTAACTAAGCTACAAAATAGTGTTCATCAACGAAAGGTTACACTAATAATCCTTTTTATCACGCTTTTCCCATTCGAAAGTGGAATCAGGGTATACTTAAATATAAATATTACAATTATTAATGTCTCATGATGAGAGAGATTATTTAATTATCCATACGTGTATACATTTTGTTAAAATGTGCGTATCTGTGTGTTTGTATGACAAATGACAATATGTGATGTTGACTTGTCAGCGGGGAAGAGGAGAGGGGGTAGCAAGGAAGGTTGAATGTTACACTTTGTTTCGATCTCCGGTATGAACTATCTTTCTATTAATCATTTTTCATTTCATTAATCTTACCTTTCTTTTTTTTTTTTTTTTTTCTCTTTTCCGTATACTCATATAAAAATACCACTGCTTATAAATTTACCATCTAGGTAAGAAGAATCATATTCAAGAACGAAAAAATAAAATCACGTCATTGAAAACGAGAAACAATATAATAACACGCTCCCCCCTTTTTTTTTCTTATAGCAGACTTATAACCTTATTCGACATACCTTTATTATTATTATTACACCAACAATATGGGCTGTTGTTCATCTGTAGAGGCAGGCGATGGTAGTGGCAAATTACGTACGGAAGAAATTGACAATCAATTACGTATGGAAAAAATCAACATGAGGAACGAAGTCAAACTACTTTTACTTGGTGCTGGTGAATCTGGGAAATCAACCATTTTGAAACAGATGAAGCTTATTCATGACGAAGGTTTTTCACAGGATGAACGTATTGCTTATACTGAAATTATTTTTAGTAATACTATTCAATCAATGCGTGTCATATTGGAAGCCATGGAAATTTTGGATATTAACCTTGCCAATCCCGATAATCAAGATGCTGTCAACCTGATCATGAATCAACCCAATCAAATTAGTTCCTGTTCCTTACCTTTGGATGTTGTACGTGCTATTCAACAATTATGGGCTGATGAAGGTGTCAAAACTACTTTTAATCGAAGCAATGAATATCAACTCAATGATTCTGCATCTTAGTAAGTTTTTTTTTTTTTTTTTTTTTTTTTTTTTTTTTTTTATATATATATATATATATATATATATATATATATATATTAATCATTTATCTTGGATTTAGTTACTTTGATTCAATTGATCGTATTTCTCAAGATGGATATTTACCTACCGATCAAGATGTTCTTCGCTCACGTGTCAAAACAACTGGGATTACAGAAACATCATTCAAGATCGGTGATCTTATTTATCGAATGTTTGATGTGGGTGGTCAAAGATCAGAAAGAAAGAAATGGATTCATTGTTTTGAAAATGTTACAGCTATTATCTTTATGGTGGCCATTTCCGAATATGATCAAGTCTTGATTGAAGATGAAAGTATCAACCGTATGCAAGAAGCCTTGACCTTATTTGATTCTATCTGCAATTCACGATGGTTTGAAAAGACATCTACCATTTTATTCTTGAACAAGACTGATATCTTTAAGCAAAAGTTACTTACAAGTCCTTTATCCCAATGCTTCCCTGATTTCCAAGGTGGTACTGATGAAGAGGCTGCCCGTGATTATATTATGAAACGATTCGTTTCTATCAACAACTCTCCTGATAAACAAGTATATACTCACTTCACCTGTGCAACGGATACCGAACAAGTCGAATTTGTCATGTCAGCTGTACATGATATCATTCTTCAAAGCAACTTACGAAATGTAGGCCTGATCTGATCAATATTTTCTAGTCTGATCTGGCTTTTTTTTTTAACCTCTTTATCATCATTACTATTAGTTCTTTTTTTTTATCATATATATTCTCTCTCTTTTTCTTTATTTTTTATTATCTTTGTAATTTTTAGATTTTATTCCCTTTTTCACTCTTTTTGTAACCCCCCTTTTCTATTATTATTGTTTTTATTTCTATATTCCAATCAATACTGTATTAATGATAATAATAAAATGGATATCTTTCCACTGTGTATCTCCTTTTGAATGATTTGAACGCGATCGCGTTGTAGCATTTTGGAAGGCGGTGTTCAAAAAAACTTGCCCTTCGTGTTTTTTTTTTCTCTTTCATTCTTCTTCCCTTCCTTTTTCACTCTATATAATGTTATCAGATCAACTTACAGTGAAGCAAGGTCCTCTTTCTCGTATCTGGATGGCCTCCCATTGGGAACGAAAAATATCCAAAGCTCAGTTTTTACATACCAATCTTAATACTGCTATAGGTAAAGAAAACACGCCATTCTTATTATTTTTAGTTTGTTGCTTAACAACCATTTTTTTTTTTTGATAGATTATATTTCCAACAATCAAACACAGGAACCTATTGCTCTTCGTATTTCTGGTCAACTTTTATTAGGTGTTGTTCGTATTCATTCTCGAAAAACTCGATACCTTTTAGAAGACTGTAATGGTGCTCTATCAAAAATCAAAACGGTAAGAATCATGATGAATAAACAGGAACAGTCTTTCATTCTTTTTTTTTTTTTCTTCTTCTTCTTCTGTTTTTTATTAGGCATTCAAACAAGGAAATGTTAACATGGCAGAAACAGCCAATTTGAAAGCCAATATGGATTCCATCACTTTACCTGAACGGTTAGATGACTTTGATCTTCTTTTACCTGATACTCCATGGATAAGGTAATCAAGTTAAACACATTAAAAATTCAACAAATATATTGATTATGATTTTTTTTTTATCGTTAGCGAGCTCAATGGACGTGATCCTCTTCTTGATAATCTTCTTACTCAAGATATCACTTTAATGGATACTCAAGATACTTTTCTCTCTTTCAATGAAGCTATTGAACAAGGACGACTTTTGGATCAAGCAGAACATCAGCATATCGGTGATTTTGGTACAGGACAAATGAATGAAATTGAAATGGCACGTCGTGACAATGAACCTGAACTTATTGATCGTTCGTTTTCTGCTGATTTGAATGATGGACCACTCAACAAGCTTGAACAGTTGGATATTAATAAACAAGGTGATACACCAATGGATCAGGATGGACTAGACTTCGATTTCGATTTTGGTGATGATGAAGGCAATAACAATACAAACATTCGGGATCAAACACCTCTTCCTGAATTTCATTTACCATCACATGCTGCTGATCATATGGATAGTTCAATAGATACATTGATGCAAACAGGTAATGAATTATCCGTACTTATTTTTTTATATATATACTTATTATTATTGATATTTTGTTTATCTATAGGTATTGTTCCTGTATCGAACTCTGATCATATTGTTTTTGGTATGGATGATGATTCAAATATTCAACAAGAACAAACTACACGTAGACGACGAAGATTGGTAGTGGATAAAGTGACTGAAATCCCTCACGAAGAATTGAAAAGATACATGCAAGATACCTCATCTATTGTCAACAAGGTAATATGAAAGACTCGAAGACGAATTATACTGACATCTTATTTATTATAGCCCATCAATGAAAACGCATCCTCTAATCAAACCATGTCTAAGAAAATAGACTTGAGGGTACCTTCTACATGTATTCAAGGCTCAGAAATTGAAAACATAGTGACTCGATGGAATCGTAAACATCACACTTCATTAATCAACGACAATAATATATGGGATGCTTCTTTGGATGATATACGACCTGCAACAACACCTTACAATGACACAACTACAGCTCTTGGTAATGATGATGGAATGGACTTTGACTTTGGATTCAATGATGATGCTGATATGGCAATGGACCAGGTAATATACTTCTAATTTTTATTGAAAAGGAGAAACCATATGTTATCTAATATGATTTTATTTTCCTTAGGCCAATGTATTTGATACTGGGATTTCATTTTCTTTGAACGAGGACGATTTGATCGATTCTCAAGCTTACGAAAATTCCATGACACAACAATCCACTTTTGGTGCTCGTACAAAGGAAACTATCGATACATTACAACAAAAGTTCCAAGGACAAAAATCAATTACATTTGATGAATTAGCAGACAAATCAACATCCAAAAAATCAGATGCAGCAAGACTCTTTTTTGATGTCTTATTATTGACCTCCAAGAATGTGATCAAAGTGAATCAAGCCGAAGCGTATGGTCCTATTCAAATCCGCCAATAGTTTAGTATATTTTCTTTTTTTTTTTTTATATATATTATATATATATCAATAAAAAATCAATAAAAACTTCTTCAATAGGATAAAACTTGAATTTTAGAGTATCCATTCGTGGAGGTTGAAAATAATCATGTCAAATCAGGGAAGGATAGTGATACGGATTTTTTTAATTTACTCTACAAATGCAACAATACTCTATAGATTTCATTAAGTAAAACTCAAGAAAATAGTTTGTTTTATGTTTTTTTCAAACTTGGTGAGATGATGATAACTTTTGAGCAAGAAAGGGAGAGGCAAAATTTGTTTCCAAGCTTGTACGCAGGATGGGAAAAAACGGGATCGAGTTTGGGATTTCACAGCCAAAATTTTCAAATTCCTCAGCCAAATGTTGGCTGTAAAAATAAATCCTCAGGGGGTCATCAGGCAATTTTTCGAAAAATCGATAAAATCTTTTTGACGATCATTGCACATCAGATGGCAAGGTAAGCGGCAAAATGATATTAGACGATACTAAGCTATTTTTTAAAGAGGAATCTAATGGTGGTCATTTTATTGGATGATGATCATTATTGAATGAGAAATGGCAATATTGACTTTTTATTTTATTCTATAAATTGGGAGGTAATACATAAACCGTTATTAAGACAAGTAAAAGAGAATGATTTCATCTATGTTGTATCCAAATTTGGTGCGATGATGATCACTTTTGAGCGAGTTGCAAAGGTACATGTTTACAAAATGTGATGTAACAGTGCAAAGACAATGGTTCAAATGTTTAATGGATAATCCAAAAGAGATCATCAATGAAATTACCAAAAAAAAAAAAAAAAAAAAAAAAACACGAGTGGCAAGATGAATAAATGAGTAAATGAATAAAGGGGAATGGACGTGATTTTGACAACCTCCAAGAGAATAACTTTTCTTCAATCAGATGAAGCGGAGTATCAACTCGTCTATCCCACTTTTTTTCTTCATTTTTGACTTCCCTCTCTTCCTCCTTTCCTTTCCCCATCGGTTGATCAAAGACATACTCACATACATTCTCACATTATGGAGCAACCATCACACACTATTACATATACTTTGGAAGAAAAGGAATACGATACACCGTACTATTCAATTCGGCAAAACTATCCACAACAATACCAAGGCACAAACATTCCATTGGTGATAGACAATGGTAAATAACGGAACACAACTACTATCTCCCCTCACACACACACGCACACACACACACATATATATGTATAATATTTAAATAGATAGATAAAGGAACCATTCTAATATTATCGCAAACTCACTCAAAATTATCCGCTTTATATATGATAGGCTCAAATCAATGTCGTGCTGGTTGGGCAAACGAAGGAACGCCATCGAGTAAGTAGTATCATTATAAAAAGAGGACGAATGTATGAAGGACAGGGTGAAGGTACAAATCTGTGAATACAAGATTGCTCAAAAGTGAATTCGATCTTTTTTTTTTTTTTTTTTTTTGAAAACTGGTTTCACTGAATTCTACGGTTTTTGTTGTATTTGATAGTGATCTTTGACAATGTGGTAGCAAGGTATAGAGACCGGAAAGCCAATGTTAATGTGGTGACAGTTGGGATGGATGCTCAAAGTGATCCTTCTTCTCGATCAAGTGCACGCTCTCCATTTGATGGCAATGTTGTTTGTGACTTTGATAGGATGGTAACATCTTTTTTTTTTTTTATTTTATTCCTTGATACTCACTTTTGCTTTTAATATAGGAAACAGTATTGGATTATATATTTACAGTACTTGGAATTACCACGTCAACTATTGAACATCCTCTTGTTATGACTGAACCAGTCTGCGTGCCTCAATATAGTCGAAACCGTAAAGTTATTCTAGTATCTCAAAAACTACGACTTTCATTCTCAACCATTCACTTCTTTTTCATTTAGTCATGTCCGAATTACTCTTTGAATGTTATAATGCACCCTCAGTAACATATGGAATAGACGCGTTATTTAGTCATTATGCAAATGGTGGAGAAAATGAAGATGGTATCATTGTTTCTTCTGGTCACAACTCTACTCATATCATACCCACGTTACAAGGCAAAGGCATTCTGGGGAAAGCAAAACGGTAAGATACTTAGAAAATGTAAATGATTCAATTGGTTCAAGCTCTTTTTTTTTTTTTTTTTTTTCCTTTTCTCTCTTTAGGATTTCTTATGGTGGAACACAGTCAACGGATTATATGTTGAAACTGATGCAACTCAAGTATCCAACATTTCCTGCTAAGATGACGTCTGGTCAAGCGCAACAATTAGTACATGATCATGCCTATGTTGCTCGTGATTATCAGCAAACTTTACGTGATATTGAAAATCGGGATACATTTGGAAATATTGATCGACTTGTACAATATCCCTTTACAGCTCCTGTAAGTGCATCATCATGTTAATGGATCTAGGTATATGATGAGAATTTATTTATATTCATTTGTATATATATATAAATATATAGGTGATTGAAGAGAAAAGTGCGGAAGAATTAGCTAGACAAGCAGCGAAGAAAGAAGAAAACTCTAGAAGGCTTCGTGAAGCTGCTGCCAAATCACGACTGGAAAAGGTATAGTAAATGGATACAAAAATGATTCGATTAATTTTTATGTCTTTTTGTCTCTTTATTTTATTGCATGGACGAGTATAGTTGGTTGTACGAGAACAAGAATATGAAGCTTTCACTAATCTGAAGAATGCAAAGGCAACTACCAAGAAAATAGAATGGATGGTAAAAAAAAAAAAAAAAAGTGATCCAATATGTTATTAAAATGATATATCGTTGTCTTTTTTTTTTTTTTTTTTTTTTTTTTTTGATGTAGTCACAACTCAAACAATCTGGATTTAAGGATGAACGTGATTTGGATGAAACAATCAAACAATTGGATGCTGCTATTCAACGAGCAAGAAATAAGGAACTTGGGATCGATGAAACCGAAGAAAAGGAGCCACCTCCAAGTAATCTATTGGATATACCGGACGAAGAACTCAGTGAAGCTGATAAGAAGGAAAAACGCAAACAACGTTTACTCAAGGCGAGCTATGATGCTAGGATTCGTGCAAAAGCAGCCAAAGAAGAAGCAAAAGCAAGAGAGGTAAGTTCAGTGTATCTTTTTTTCCCAAAAAAGAAAAAAACCTGTCAACTTTTAGGTGACTCATCTTGGCAAATGATTATAGGCGGAAAATGCACGTTTGGAAGAAGAAAGGCGTCTTCAGAACCCAACTCAATGGATTGAAGAAACTCAAAAGAAGCGACAGGTAGGAAGAAAGGATTTCTTTTTGATGATGAGTCTTATGATATATGTTTTTTTTGTCTATATTTAGGATGTGATTGATCGAATCAAAAAACGAAAACGATTAGCAGCTGAATTATCAGATCGTCGTAGTAGAGCATCACAATTACGAATGAGATCAATTGCAAACTTAGCCAGTGATACAAATGGATCCAAACGACGAAGAAAAGGACAAGAAGGTAAGAGAGGAAAGAAAGAAGATGAAAAAAAAAGAAAGAGTCATTGATGTTGTATCTTATATATATATATATATATATATATTTATAGAGGATAATTTTGGTGAGGATGATGAAGATTGGATGATCTATCGAGAAATCGTAAGTATTAGAAGGAAAAAAAAAAAGAAATGGAATACTTATTGATATGTATTTTTTTTTTTTTTTTTTTGTATGTTGCTATTGTGGGGGTAACAACTATATAGAGTCGCGATGAAGACGAAGATGATGCAGAAGAAGATCTTGCACTACTTAATCATTATGAATCACAACTATTACAATATGATCCTGACTTTCTTCCGGAACATTCATTTGAAGCAAGTTCATCACCCATCAACACACTTTTACACCAATTGGCACATGGAACTCACCCTCCGTATGATCCTATGGATATCAGTCAAACTTATCAATTACATGTGAATATTGAAAGATCACGTGTAAGTGAGGCATTATTTCAACCTAGCATTATTGGTCTCGATCAAGCTGGCATTGTGGAAACATTAGATGATATTGTCAAGACATTTGATATTAGTACTCGATCACGTATACAAAAGGTAGATAACATTGAGAAGGATGATTGACAATTACTAAATTTTTTTTTATATATAGAGTATATTTTTGACAGGTGGATTTACATCTTTACCTGGTTTTTCTGATCGTATATTGGATAATGTACGATCTATTTTTCCTGTTGGATCACCAGTACAAGTTCGACATGCAAAAGACCCTCTTCTGGATGCTTGGAAAGGTGCTGCCAAATTTGCCTTGTCATCTTCATTTAAACAATATTGTGTTACTCGAAAAGAATATCAAGAATATGGTGGTGAATATATCAAAGAACATGGATTAGGAAATGCATTTAGATCGTAGTCTTTTAGATTTTTTTTTTTGTTTAATTTTGGCTGTTGTTAAATTTTGTTGCCACGCGAAATCAATAAAATTCTATTAGTATTTATTCTTCTTCTTTTTTTTTTTTTCTTCAATCCATTGTCTTTTTTTTTTTTTTTCTTTTTATTTTCATGGTTTATAGGTCATGTATTCAATCCATCTATTCCTATCAACATCAACTTGCCTGTGACCAATATTTGTCCTGTTTAGGTAAAAACATTACAGTATTGATTGAAGATTCATAGACATATAAAAGACTTATCATTTTCGAACGCTTATTATTAGAAGGAACCAAAGCGATAGTATGGATCCCCAATCCTCGACAACCCTCAGAAACACTTTTACTATATGGAAAAAAGAAACAACGTCGACGACACCATCCTTTCATCTATGAAGCAACCATTCATTGTTATGATCCTGTCAGTCTAGATCTCATTATCGATGCCGCTATATCAGCAACTCATCAGGATCAAGTATCAAGTTGGTGGCAATTGCTCGTGTATGGATGTTTATTAGCGACTGCGGTGGATACCAGGACTCAAATCATGCAAAATAGCAAGGATGAACTAACATATATGCTGTATCTCCGTCTGGATGATGATTATATTCGACATAGTTTTCAGAAAATCAACATGATGGGGTAAATTCAAGAAAAATAAAAAAGAATGAAACAATGTTGATGAACAAAAAAAAGAACTGATTCCTTTTTACTACTACTATTATTATTGTTATTGGATGGATGATCAGGTATAGATTGACTTGGAGGGTGGCAACCAAAGAAGACATGGTGGCATTTACAAGTGTATACTTTTCAGTTCTTGGTGGAGCTTATAGTTCGTTAGGCAAATCCAATCACAAATATGTAATGTAATCTAAAAATTTAGAATTTTGTGACTAATGTGAATAAGTAAAATAGGCATATAAAGCAGGTACGTTGGCTAGACGCCAAATCAAATTGGCAAAATGGCTTCAAGATCCTATTTTGGAATGCAAATGTTGGTTGTATTATGCAGAAGATATGGTGATGCAAGGTCGTTATAGAAAAGCTGCTCGGATTCTTGATAATCAAAGGTTCATTGCCCATAAACTTCAAAACAACATGGTAAAGCCAAAAAAAAAAAAGGAAATGTTGAGATATAACTGATCGTAGGACTCACTTTTTTTTTTTGTGTGCTCAATATAGTTGATGACGATGTGCGACTTTGTTCTTTTGAAATGGAAAACAGCAACAAAAAGTGATAATCAACAACAATTCAATCTGGCAGCAAAAATATGATCTCTTGGATAACAATGATAAAATAAAACACCTCACCTCTTCTTTAGTGTAGATTTCCTTTTTTTTTATTTTCTGTATGATACCATTTTTTTTTACAAGTTAATCATTCATCAATACAAAGTGTATTTTCAAAAAATATTTCTTTATTTACATACAAATACATCCAATGCAATAATAAAACTATACAATTCTATTCTATCTAAACTAAATCAATCTTGATGTTTGTAGCCCCCAATTTTCTTCCAAATGATCGATGATGGCTGGGATACTTGATAAGGTATTGAATGTTTTCTTTTCCGCATTACTCATGATATCTTCAAACATAAACATCAAATGATGATGAAAGATAAATGGAGGTGTACCATAGCCCAATCCCAATCGTACATACTCTTCAATACATTCCCATGGTGTATAATCGTAACCGGCAAAGAAGGCTGGATTTCGTAAAAGCCCTCTTGCTGACATGACACCTAATAATAATAACAATAATAATAAAAACCATGAGATATAAGATGGAAGAAAAAAAAAAAAAACTTACCATCGACACCAGTTTTTTCATACATTTCATCGACATCCTGTTGACAAAATATACCACCATTGGCAATGACGGGTACATTGATAGATTGTTTCACTAATTGAATACCTTCAAAATTGACAGGTTCAGTTGACTTTTGCCAGCGAGTACGACCATGAACAGTCAAAAAGTCAACACCCATCGATTCAGCCCGTTTCACAAATTCATATGTCTTTTTCAGATCAGGATGCACTCGGATCTTAATACTACATGGTATATCCACTCTTCCTTTAACTGTTCGAATCATGTCCCGTACCGTTTCTGGATCTGACATCAAGTGAGAACCAATCTTTTCTTGAATTGCCCATCGTTGAGGACACCCACAATTGAGATCTATAAGAAAATAAGAAGGAAGAGAAGAGATCAATATAAAAGTCCAATATATATATATATATATATATATATTGAAAGTTTACCAATAGCACCAGCATAAGGAGACACTAATTCAGCAGCATCGGCCAAATCAGCACCATTACTAGCTGCAAATTGGACAACCATAGGATTATCATTAGCATTCGTAGAAAAATCAGTATCACGAGCAAACTCGGAATTCTTGAAGACATCGGCGAGCATCATTGGGGTATAAACAAGGTCAACATTGTACCTATCGTTATAGAAGAAAGAAGAAAAAGGGTGGAAAGCAAGTCAAGTGTTGGTAAGTAATAATAATAATAATAATAATAATAATAATAATAATAATAAAACTATAGTGCTTTTTTTTTTTTTTCTGATCTTACTTTAAGAGTAATTCCCTAAATGGAAGTTTGCTATATCTAACCATGGGAGCACAAACATTGATCCTTTTTTTTTCTTCAAAGAGTTGTAAAGGGGAGGTTTTCATTTTCTGTCAGCAAGTGAATATAAGGTTGGAAAGAGAGAAAAAAAAAAATGAAAAAAAAAAGAAGGATCTCCGTTTGATTGGGTGAATCGGCAATCGAAACAGGTTTTTTTTTTTTCTGGGGAGATGCTCCCCTCATGCTATTGGGGAGAAATTCAATAGAATAGTTCGGTAGACCGTTTGACAACGTTATTCGTGTTCTGATTAGGGTTTTTCTATTGTGGACAACAGTAGGAGGTCATCATTGATGAATAATATGATGATGATTGATAATGATTGATAATGATGATCGACAATAATGACTTAATGACGACGATGATGGTGATGATGATTTTTGGATGTAGTGCATTTACGATAATGATAACAATTGAGAATGAACAGGAGTAAAAAAAAAAAAAAATCATACAGTTAAATTCAAGGTTGATCAATATGTGGGGAATTCATTATATTTATGCCACGGACAAGCATGCTTTCTTATCTATGCCGATTCATCTGTAGATTAATGGGCAAAAAGTGTACTATTATAAAAAGAAAGGGGGGCGTTTAGATGAATCTCGTCTCCCTTGCCCAGAAATGACATAGTTTACTCTCTCCTTTATTATCAGTATGGGAACTATTCTTCTTATTAATTGCTTTACCTTTTTTTTTTTTATCTATCTCATTTTAACTTATTTTTTTTCTTCCTTATCATCATCATCATCTGTTCAATTTGATCCAATGTTTTTATTATCAACAATAACAATCTTTTTATGGATTTATCTTGATCATCTTTATGGATTTCAGATCCCTAGCCTTGAAAGTCAAGAATTTCATTTTCCTTCAGTCACTGATCCATTCAAGGTTCCATTACATTTTATGGATGGTATTGTATGTTGATGACAGACCGTTTGCATTCATCACACATCATGTAACTGATCTTTTTTATTTATTATTTATTTTATATATGAATTGATAGCCAACAGTATCATTTACTATTGGATCACCTCCACAATCAGTAGTAGGTGTATTTGATACGGCCACTTTGATATCATGGGTTATGTCAGACAAAGTAAGTATGATCATCCTTCTTTTCATCAAGAGTTTTATATAATCTGCTTACCAGTTGAATAATTGTTAGTGTAATTCCACTGTTTGCTCTACGGTAGAAAATAAATTCAGTCGAGAAAAATCATCAACAAACACTGCTTTGGATTACACTATTGGAATTAAATATGTGGATGGAAGCTTTGTTCGTGTCAGACCTGAACTGGTACAGTATGATATTTTTTTTTAAAAAAAGGAAAAGAAAAAGGGAGATCCAGTAAAAAAAAAAAAAAAAAAAAAAAAGGAAACTCGCTCACTCTGTCATGCATTTTTTTTTTCTTTCTTCTATCCATTATTCAAAGGATACATTGACCTTGTTGGAATCATCCATTTCGTACCCAGAACATCTCATAGGAGAGGCATATGAAGTTTATTATCCAAAAGGATATCCAACTGCTGCAAGTAAAGTAGACTTTTTTTTCCCTTCTACTTACTGCCATCGTCCGGATGACAAAAAAAAAAAAAAATAACTTACCTTTTTTTTTTTTTTTTTTTTTTTTTTTTTTTTTTTGGAAAGATGGTCGTTTAGGTGTAGGAGACTTTGGTGTCTTTCAAAAATACCTAGATGATGCCCAAGGTAAGATGAAATGAATAGGATTATGAATCATCTCTCAAAAATGGAAATCAAAATGGAAATCTGACAGCGTTGTTTATCTTGTAGGCTTGATCCAAGGAGTTGATAAAATTGTGAATGGTATTTTGATGAGAGCAGGTAAGCAAGGTTCCAGTTTTGATGATGATTAAATGTTGATTGAATGATGATGTTGATTGAATGATGATGTTGATTGAATGATGATGTTGATTCCATGATGATGTTGATTCAATGATGACGATAACTAATGATATAAATATAATTAACTAACTGCTTTACTTCTTCTTCTTTTTCCTAATGATCTTCCAGTGGGTGATGATCGAACATCAAGTGGTTACGCAGCCTCTGGTTCTCCAGACTTTAAGAAAAGAGATGGCGTTCATGCTCCATTTTATTGGACATTAGGCAGTGATCCTTCCAAGTATACTGGTAAATTATATGATCTACCACTTGCTTCTGTTAGTCTTAATGTACTGTCTCCATTTTGGAAGTTGAATATGCATGGTATTAAATTGATCCCCTACCAACAGCCTCAAGATGACGATAACAATCAAAACGATACGGAAAATAAAAAAAACATGCTTCCAAAGCAATCATCCGCTTTATTGCGGCTTACATTATCAGATACATCTTTTGGTTCTATCGATAGTAGCACCCCTTATATTCATTTGCCCAAACATCTCTCGCAAGCATTAAATCAAAGACTGGGTGCACAATATGATAACTCTCTGAAATTGTATACGATTCCTTGTGAACGTAAAAAAATCGAACCTCTATGGCTTATATTTGAATTGGATGGTGTGGATGCTTTGATTCCTGCTCATCAATATATGATTGAACGTCATAAAAAGTGTCATACAGCAATTGTCGATAGTGATGATGATGATCAAGTTCATCTTGGTGGTCCTTTCTTTAGATCGTTTTACTTGGAATATAGATTGACGGCAAAGGAAGTAGGTATTGCTGAAAGTACAGCTAAATTGGGTCTTTTACGACCACCATCCAAAACTGGCTCTTATGATTTACTGAATGTGGATCTTAATGAAATGGAAGTACCAATTTAAAAAAAGAAAAAAAAAGATGCCAAGCTGATTCAACAGTATCTGTACCACATCCCTTTTTTAAATGACTGACTTTTATCCACCAATAGATGATTAGTAAATATTTTAGATAGTTTAGTATAGTCTTCAAAAGTTATTTAAATATATGTACCACAATTGATAACTATAAAATAGAGCAAAAAATAAAAAATAAAAAAAGAATTGCCAACTTAGTATTATTTTATCATGTCATCCAATCAATTAACTCTTCCTACTGCTCAACGTCAATATTATTCGTTGTTTTCCGATGATTATTCTTGAATTAATCGTCTTATGCATGAAAACTTAATTCAGTCAAGTTTGACGTGTTCTTTTTGTGGCAAAAATTGGAGCATCTATCCAAGAAAAAGAGCTACAAAGATAGCTCATGTTTGGAAATGTAGTCCATGCAATACAGAAGTTGGTTTTATTTCAATTCTGTATTCAATTACTCCAACTTCACTCCAAAGCAAATCATGGATTTGATTTACTTGTGGGTCACAAGTAATGTTGTTGTCTTTTTTTTTAAAAAAAAGGAAGTTATATATAATAGTACTAACTCTTTATTTATTCAACCTATAGGAAATAATCAGTATATTGGAGACATTGCTAAAGCAGCTGGATTGGAACGGCACTCGATTAGCAAGATGTACAATAAGTTAGGAATGCAATCATTGAAGTAGTTGACTTTGATGATTCTACCTGGGATAACAAGATTGGTGGTCCTAATACTATTGTTGAAATAGATGAAGCCAAGTTTAGCAAAAGAAAATTTAATCAAGGAGCAAGAAGAAAAGAAAGTGGGTAGTTGGTGGTTATGAACGTGGTAGTAATCCACGTAAAATGTTTCTTTTTCCTGTTGATGATCGAACAAAAGAAACATTGCAAGGTATTATCAAAAACAATGTTCTACCTGGTACATTGATCATCACTGACGGATGGAAGGGTTACCATGGTCTTCAAGATCTTGTAGGATATGATTATCAACATCAAGTTGTTAATCATAAACATAACTTCAAAAATCCTATTACTGGTGCCTGTACAAATGGTGTTGAAGGAAACTGGATGCATGCAAGAAAATTGATGCCTTCCTTAAAAAAAGAAGATGAACTGTTTGGCAATTACTTAATTGACTTCATGTATAGAAAAAGACATAGAGATGCTTTGTATAGAGGTTTTGTTGATGCTTTGAAAATTTAGATTACCAAATATGTTAAAGAATAAAACGATGCTTTTATTGGCTATTAACGGAAAAATATCTTTTTTAAGATTGATCGTTGATTACGACATCGATGTAACGTATCTATGCTATAATCACAAAAAATATAAAAAACAAATGGGGGTTGTGGTATGAATCCTGTTGAATTAGTTCCAAGTGCCAATAATTTATTGAGACAAAAAAAACCACATAATAAAAATAAAGAATAAAATAAAAAGAAAACTAAACTATACGTTTACATAAAGTACATGACTTTTTGTAAATCAGGCTTGATGGCAGCAAAACCGGCCGTTTGAGCACCACTACCCATCGATTCGCTAGCAGCATCAGTATCTTCCCAGTTTTCACCCTTGCAATGGAGACGAGCACGAGTGGCGACCAAATCAGCATAATATAATGGCTGACATTTAGAAACAGACCGAGTGACACGGCCAGAAATATAACAAAGGTGGTAGGTAAGTTTTTGGAGATCATCGGACGAAAAATTGTTGTCATCGTAAAGGACGTGGTAGCGAGTAGGGCGAGGAGTACCTTGGACATCAGCATGGGATTGCAAATCTAAAAAAAAAAAAAAAAAAAATTAATATATCATCCTAATACATGTAATCATCTGAATACTTACAAAAATCAAATTCAAAGGGATGTACGATATCGGTATCCACAACAGTACCCGGTCGGCAGTTGCCACTTTGATCAGTGTCATCGGGCCCAACAGGGAAGAACTGAGCATGATGACATTTTTGAACGACCACAAAGGTGAGAGGAGGCTTGTAAGTCTTATCCAAGGAAGCACAGGCAGCATGGATGGCAGCAACTTCGTTCTTGAGCACTTGATCAAACTGGGATTCAGAAATCCCACCACGGTAAAGCAAGATCTGCTGAGGCCTACGTCTGCGATCTTGAGAGAACCTTTGCAATAATTCCTTGACCATATTGGCTAAATCAGCAATTATTTCAGTATTCTTGGCTTGTATACGGACGGTAGATTCATAACTTGAGCAATCCATACTAGCAGTCAAAGCAACAACGGAAGGTCTGTTCATATCACCAGGGGCAGGATGAGTGACTTTAGCTCCAAAAACGATAGTGTTTCTGCTGTAGATAAAAGGAATCTGGGAACGATCCATAAACAAGTTGATACCACCAAGCTTCATATTCACTTTCAAACATACGTTGGCACAATAATGTTTCTTGGGATCACCAATATGCTCACTTTGGACACATTGAGTAGGAATACCAATAACTATATAGAAAAAAAAAAGATGAGAGATTACGTTATGAAGATCATCATCATCATCATCATCATCACCGTTATTTTTTATATGTTTATTTTACCTGTATCAGAGATACGCTTGATTTCAGCATAAAGTGAAGCACCAGTATTGGGCAAGATACAGAATATCAATTGAGGTTTAGCCTTGGCAGCATTACCAGCCTTCAACCAAGCTTCTTTAAGAGTACGTTCGATATTGCCTTGAGGATTAGCATGAGTAATAGGTGGATTGCGGTTGATGACATTCTATATTTTTAATAAAAGAAAAAAAAATGTTAGTACTCCTCATGATTTTCAATTATTATTTTTTTTTTAAAAAAAAAGGAAAAACGAGCTTACCAATCCAGTATCAAGGAACGTTTGACATAGTTCACGGATAAAACGTTGGATCATATCATCATGTACTTTGCTTGCAAAATTGACAACAGACCACGAACCCAAATTGACACCCTTTGCGACTTTCTTGTCACGAAGGTTCCATGCGCCGCCTGTAGGAGTAAAAGTAGCATCTTGAGATGAAGCATGATAAGAGATCTTTGGAGGAGGAAGAACACGAGCATTGATCATGGTCATATCAGACTTGACATTGACACCAAATTGTTGAATATATGGGTTATCCTTGTATTTGAGAAGATTGACAAATTGATTGATCTTGTTGGCACGGACATTGGATTTCTGGTAAATAAACTTGGTCATCTCAGCAGTTTGTTTTTCATTCAATTTCTTCGTATAGCGTTGGCCAGGAATGACTTCACAAACTTCCATAGGCAAAAAGATATCTTTCTTGACAACAACACAGGGTAAGAAAGGAAAGGCCAAACGTCTATTGTAAGTCTTTTGAAAGTATTGAGCAACCGTAATTTCATTTCCAAGATCATCCTTGAATACAGTATTTTCAACAGAAGTAGGAGTGAGCTTGTTAATCTTGTACTTCAATCGTTTTTCAGCACCACGATGGACAACAACGATCTTGAGATTCTTGAGTATTTTTTCAACTTTGACACGATCACGATCAGGAATACCACGACGAAGATCATCAAGACTGCGGCGGTCAAGTATCTTGGGTAACATTTCATGAAGGGGACCAGATTCATAGAAAGCAGTAGCACTGACATCAACATTGACCATTATTTTGCCTATAAAAATGAAATAAAAAAAAATTAACAAAAATCATAGGATATATCTATATAATATATATTACCCTGAGTGGGACGAGTAGATTGGTGGAAGCCTTGCCATACTTCAGCGCCATTGGATAAAAGAATTTTGTCTTGAGAATTGAAGAAAGAACGACCGATAGTTGGATACATCAAGCTGGGAACTTGGCGAAATAGAACATCAAGAAACTTGATGGCTGTGCATTTTTTTTTTTTTTAAAAAAAAAAAGGAAACCAAAGGTTAATGAAAAGAAAATACAAGATGATGATAATATGCTTTTTTTTTCTTACCAGTGCAACAGTTATTGGTGAGACCAATCCTCCCATCCAAGAAGAACTGTAGTTCATGCATGCTCACTATACCCATAGGCTTGATATTTAGCTTAAAAGTGCCATCAGAACGGTTTCCTTGTTGAAGATTGATCTATAAACGAGAACAATGATGAATATGACAGAACTAATGAAAAAGGATGATCGGAAGAGATAATAATATATGATAAAAAAAAAGGTGGTATCGAGAAGGTATTTTTAAGTGAACTTACTTCAAAGGATACTCCAAGATTATTGCAATCACATTGTAGAGGAATAGATGAAAAAAGATTTGAATGGCCATCATATATCGCCTTGGTGCTGTTAAGGAATATTTGACCTATTTCACTATCTTCAAAGTAATGCCACACCTTTCTGAGAACAGCAGGAGGATAACCGTCGGGTAAGACTTGTGCATTAAAATGATATATATTTTGGGCTGGAAGAGTAGTCACTTCAAAGAAATTGCTTCGTACACGTACTGGTGTACCCACTTCACCAACAGCGGGACGCATAACAAATTGAGTCAAATTTCGGTTGAATGCTTGAGCCATCATATTTGATTGATAATAAAACGTATAAAAAAGTAAAGTAAAGAAAAGGAAGAAAGGAAGAAAGAAAGAAAGGAAAAAAAAGGGAACAAAGACTTTTTTATGTCTACTTGATCGGAGTTTGTCTAAACAATCCTGCAAATCAACCAATTACAGATTCAGTACCTTTTTATATACAGGTATATTTAACAAAGGATATGAATTGGTTTTTTATCTGTTAACATTATTATCTAAGAAAGCATGATGATGATGATGATGATGATGATGATGATGATTACATGATATGAGGAATGGATACATAAAGAGCTGACATCGATACCACTGGTTTCGTGAATAGTTTCCCTATCTTCATTGAAAACCAGAAATAGGGAATAAAAAAGACAAGGCAATCGATTCATTTTCCATGGATTGATATTCATCGTCAACGTTTTATTTTTATTTTCTACCTTCAAAATGAATGGAGTTATTGTATATCGCTGAATCATCATATATGTTTAGTCACCTCCTTTTACTTTTTTTTCAAAAAAAAAAAAAATAGACGAAGAAACGTGCATACAAAGACAATGAAAATAATGCAGCGCACATACAAGGTGAACTGTTTTAAACTTATTTTTTTTTCGGATCACATGTCTTCCTTTTTAATTCGACTTACATGCAAAGAGAAAGAAAAAAAAAAAAACGGTAAATACTGATGGAAACTGTTGCCTCGGTGTATATAGATACTAAAATGGAAATGGGACAGAGTAAGAACTAGAGGGTATCCTTATATTATTTTTTTATTAAAAAGAGTTATTAGACAAACTATCTTGCACTATTCTGAGAAATACGTAATACTGGATTTATTTCCATCCCTTACTTTAGTTCGATCACCAGGAGTGATTTATTTTCTTCTTTTATTTTGGTAACACAGTAACATAGAGATCACTTATTTCATGCCTCTATTTTCTGTGAATATCATTGATCATCATAGAGTAACCGCTTTTCGATGTTTCTTGATCATTTTATATCACTAATGTTAGACTATAGGCAGAGTGATTTTCAAAGTTCGTATTTTTAACATTAGACTGTTACAATTCATGATTCAGCTTGATCTTTTTCCTAACGTGAACGTTTTCTCTATTCTTTTTTTTTTTTTTTTTTTTTTGCTATGCCATCAAAGTGATTCTCAATATATGATGGAATTATCTCTATTATGCTGTTGCAATCGCCATTCTTCACCCTTCATCGGATGCTAGTGTACGCTTTGGAACAATGAAATATTTTTCTCCTTCAGTTTTTTAGAAAGAATATAGAAATCATCCAAAAAAAGAACAAAGAAAAATAACCAGTATGCCTTTCCTTTTTGGCAGCGCTTGATCCCAATCGAGTGACATTCATATAAAAGGGACATCAAATTCCTTATTCCTCTTTTTTTTTTTTTTTTTTTTTTTTTTTTTTTTTGCTTCATTTTATATACAAATAAGTTTTAATACTGTATTTTTTTATAACTGAATATGGTACCTGATACTAAACACGTTACTGCTGGACGACCTCCTCCAAAGAATTCTGTCTGGGGAACTTCAGAGTTAGCAACTACACCGTTCTGGGAAGAAAGTGGCCTTGGTACTTGGAAGTATACACCAAAAGTAGACCCACCAACTCCTCAAGCTCAATCATCACCAACCTCGGTTTTTTCTTCTCGTTGTGAAACTGCCGCTTCCAAATATGCTACTCCAGCTCCAGCTCCAACTCCATTTATTGCTGCTTCTGCTCCATCACCAACAACGGTTCATGGTACCGTCTCATTATCCGATCCTGAATCTGTCAAGCCTGCTGTCAAAGTATTTTTACAGCTCAACATTGAATTGCATCCTGGTGTTAGTGCAGTCCTTCTATTTTATGAAACCAATGATTATCGACTATTAGTACGTGAATTTGCCGCAAGACATGGCCTCACAATCACTTCTGAAGCTGAAAAGTCCTTTGCGCAAAACATTGGACAAATGATGGCGAATATACGACAGCAAAAACAACGTCAATAACTATGATGATGACAGTTTAGTTTAGTTTGGTTTTTATATTTTCTGTTTGATGATTTAATAAAAAGCAATTTTATATCTATATTATTGGTGTGATCGTGTCGTTTTTAATCTGAGCGCGCCCTGAAAAAATCGCATGATGGTGTAAAAATAGTTCTGTTATAAAATTTTTTTTTCCATTCCCTTTCACTTCTTTTTCTTTTCCTTTTTGTCACAATTTTTTTTTTTTTTTCGTATGTTATACATTTATCTTTTAATACAAACTAAAGCAGGTATGAGAATAATAATAAAAGAAAAAGACTTTTATAATACCATTGTATTCATGAACTGACTTAATCATTCTCTTTTATCGCCTGTGCAATGGCGTCTAGACAAAACAAGTGAACGCAAGTATCTTTATAAACTGTTATATGCTATATTACTCATGTTTATTAAGATAAGTTCATTTCATTATACCACCATGTTATATGATGTTGATCTCATCTTTCTTTTATTTGAATCTATACTCTAGATACGGATATGACGATTGAAGTGCAACAAAAGAAATAATGATTCTGTTCTTTTTAACCTTTCCTTCCTTTTATACACGAATCATTCCAACCTCTTTACTATATCCTTTTCTCTATGTGCTTTTACAGACACTCACTCTTATTAGTTGTAAGTTTCAAAAACAAGTGCTCTCCCTCTTCTTATTTCTAACTTCACTTTTTTTTTTGACTATATCACTATATCACTATGAGAAAAGATCTGAAATAAAATTTATTTTTCCTAAATACTTTTATTTTGTTTCCTGACTCGATTTAATACAGACATTCTTCATTTCTGATTTTTCTGAAATGCATTCAGTCGTTTTCCAAAGTAAATTAGATTTGATTCCAGAAAACCTAACTTCAGAGGACAACAATATACAGTCATCGGCCATTATAGACAAGAAAGGGATTTTATTTCATTGATATAGCCATACTACATAACTATACTACATAACTATAGTAATAAATATCTACACTATAAGGATAACGTTCACCAGTACGACCAGGACCAACTTATACCACCTCCAAGATAATGATCATGACTTTCACTTTGTGTATAACTATTTTATTTGAAGCGAGTCGATCTTGGCTTGATTGTATAGTTTGCAACCTACAGATAAAATTAACAAGCAGTAATCCATCATAATCCATCAACATCACTCCTTTTTCTTTTCTTTTTTTTTTTCTATATAAATGTTACCTTGGCTTTATCATTGAATGTTTGCATCACCATTATTATGTAGACGATAAGCTAGCAAGCTATGGATAAAATCAACAAGATGAGTAGTAATCCATCAATGTTTATTTCTTTTTGTTTTCTTTTTTCTTTTTTTTTTTTCTATATAAATGTTACCTTGGCTATATCATTGGATGTTTGCATCATCTCTATTATATAGACGAGAATCTAGCAAGCTATGGATAGAATCAACAAGATGAGTAGTAATCCATCAATGTTTATTTCTTTTTCTCTTTCTATATAAATGTTACCTTGGCTATATCATTGAATGTTTGCATCATCTTTATTGTATAGACGATAATCTAGCAAGCTACAGATAAAATCAACAAAATGAGTAGTAATCCATCAATGTTTATTTCTTTTTCTTTTTTTTTTTCTATGTACAAGTTACCTTGGCTGCATCATCGAATGTTTTGTACCACCAGTAAATCCAATGTCATCATAACAGTTGGCTCGGAGAGAAATAAAGGCTTGCCAAATGCAGATATCAGACAATTTCAGATCATCAAGAAAGATAGTTGTACCGTCTTACGTGTAGCGCTCCACTATCAGTCATTGATATGATCCTCAATAATCTTTCCAAACCAAATACCACAAATATCAGGACTTACAAGGATTCCGGTATGAAACAACACGATCAACAGACAATAACTGAATTTCCTACGTGTTGCATTTTGCCCTCCACCTACTTAAGCACAAAATTCAGTCACTAGATTCATAAACGATTCTAGAAATTGATCATCCTCGACCGAGTCCATTGCCCGTAAACAAACAAAGATCAATACACCATGATCTTCGCTTGACCAAATGTTAAGTATAAAGTAATGATGACCATCCGACATTTGATTGTATAGACCACTATCCTGATATCTAACAGATAATAAAAAAAAATAAACACAGTGAGTAGTAATCCATCGATCTTATTCACTTTTTTTTTCTTTTATGTATACATATTACCTTGGCTACATCAGGCGCCGATATTGATATACCAATCATAAAAACCAACACCAAAGAGATAACCAAAAGTACTTTACGTATAGTATACGTTGTTGACTTTTTGTCAAAGAGAATGGAGATAACCAAAAGAACAGGGGCAGTAGCCTAAGACCACGAGAGAGAATGATAATAGGGAAACACTATATCAACTGGGAAAAAACAAAGGACAAAGACCAACAATGCAGGAAGAAAGATCTTGAAGAAAACAACACCACAATGAGAGGGAGAGAGAAAGAGAGTCCAACCAAATAGAAAAAAAAAATAAGATGAGCCACCTCTTGTACTTTTTGTTTCAAGATGTTTTTGTGATTTCTACCACTTCTTCTATCAGGAATCGCACCAATTCTTTTAATTCATTACTAAACGGTAATGGTATCCAAAGTGTTCTTCAACCAATATTTGGCTTGATAATGCTTGTGGGAATATGGAGGGCACAGAATGAGCTACAGTTTGTCATGTTAAAAAAAACAAGTGAATTAAACAAGAAAGAAAAGCGAAGAAAGCAAATAGAGTGGATTTTCCCTTTATGCTAATGACTGACTTTGAATCGACTTACCATTCTTTTTCTCTTTGATTTTGTACCTGAAATGCATTCCATTTTTACGAGATCCATTTTATTTCAAGACGAAATCAATTGAGGAAATCTAAATTTGGTTTTTGTAAAATAAAATGAAGTTCATATTTCCGGAATTGATTTTATGATAGGAAATTTATTTTGGGTTTATGACATTGATTTCATTTTCAAATGAAATGTTTCATGAAAGAATTGGAAAACGAAATCAAACGAGCTTCATTTCAGAAAATACTGAATAGATTTAGGAAATACGAAAAGGATTCCGTAAAATGTCGGAAATCTGATATTGCTTTTCCCATAGTGATCATATTACTTTATCATGTCGTTACATTCTTGACGATAAATAAAAGTACAAGTTAATGGCAACTCGATAGTACTCTTAAAAAGAAAGGAACAACGCTATTTTTTTACCCTCTCACCCACCCTTTTTTTATTTATATAAAAATAATAGTAATAATAATAATAGTAATAATAATAACAATAATAATGATATGTACAGTATATATGTAAAAAGTATAAATACAACTAAAAGGAATATAAAAATGACATAAAAAATACAGGAACTAAAAGAAAAGACCAGCAAACCGAGAACCAAATTCTGTTCGCAATCCATCAATGCACAAGGATTCAGCTGCTCGGACCATAGCTCCTTTGCTGACCTAGAAATATATAAATACATACATGTAGTATTAGTCAGAACCATCTATTTTTTTTTTTGTTACCTTTGTAAGATAGCTGTCCGGGTATAGGTCGGCCAGACAAAGAATCCATGGCCCTCCAGCGGCTTCGACCAAATCACCATAGATACTACATTTTTTTATCATATCGTTGATTTTGGTCATAGCGTCATCTTTGTCTTCGTCGGCGAGATGTTGCACTATGATGGATAGATATTAAAAGGTATTTCTTTTTCGTGAGTAGTTTGCAACCTTTCCGTGCGTATTTCATATATTTTACTTACCACAACGGGAAAGGAAAGCGGAATAGGTGAGTTTACTGATGTTCTTGAGGTGATGGAACCTTTTTTGATATTGGAACATTAACGCTGCTTTGGTGATAGTGGTTTGAACAGCGTATTGTTGGTAGTTGATGATGGTGTTTGCCAAATCAATAAGGTCCGATGGCGCTACTGCTGTTGTTGCTGCTGGTACTATTGCTGTTGTTGTGCCTGTTGTTGCTCCTGAAAGTAAATTTTGGACTAGTTGCCCGTAACTATCAATTCTTTCTACACTGTTGGCAATGGTAATGAATGTCGCTGGCGTTGGTAACTATTATAATTTCAAAGAATTTCAAGTTAGAACTTTTTTTTTTTTTTTTTTTTTTTTTACTTACTTTTGGTTTGATTCCACGATAGCTTGGATCATTGTTAATTCTTTTTCTTTTGGTTGGTTGTTGTTGTGATTGTTGTTGTTGTGATTGTTGTTGTTGTGATTGTTGTTGTTGTGATTGTTGTTGTTGTGATTGTTGTTGTTGTGATTGTTGTTGTTGTGATTGTTGTTGTTGTGATTGTTGTTGTTGTGATTGTTGTTGTTGTGATTGTTGTTGTTGTGATTGTTGTTGTTGTGATTGTTGTTGTTGTGATTGTTGTTGTTGTGATTGTTGTTGTTGTGATTGTTGTTGTTGTGATTGTTGTTGTTGTTGTTGTAGCTGCTCTCTTTCTTTTTGTAGTCGTTGTTGTTGCTGTTGTAACTGTTGTTGTTGCTGTTGTAGCTGCTCTCGTTCTTTTTGTAGTCGTTGTTCTTGCTGTTGTAGCTGCTGTTGTTGTCGCTCTGATTGTGGTGATTGAGCTCTTGCTGCTGCTCTTGCTGCTGCTCTTGTTGCCCGCGTTCCTGCTGATGCTAATGAGGAAGATGAAGATTCTGGTTGTTGAGCCATGATTTTGTACTGCGGTCCACCTGTCATTACTTGGGCAAAGATATTGCCATTTTTGAAGACCCCACGATAGCCCCCCTTTCTCAATGCATTGTTTATATTGGAGAAAAAAGATTTGGCTGTTTAAATGAAAAATTAAAATACAGTACACATAAAAAAATTAGAATTGTATTTTTTCGTTTAATATATATATATATATGTTGGTATACGTACGATCAGCTTTGAGATCCTCGTAGTAATCGTTCATTATTGTTGTCAGTAAAGAAGTAGTAATATATAAAAAAAAAGAGAAAGAAGAAAGGTGAGAGTAAAAAAAAGTGAAAAAGTAAAGAAAAGAGAAAGGACGAAAAGAAAATGAGAATTTCTTCATGTAGACGGATCGTAAGGATCCGATTTAAATACTTCCAAAATGTTTTTAAATCGGCGAATGAATGTTTTTTATGTGGCATCATTATCTTTCTAAAATGGCAAATCAAAATTTTCATTTATTTTAAAAACATAAGACATTCTCATAAGTGACAAGTTCAAACAGATAGATTAATTGTTATAGTATCTAAATAAGATAAAAAGGTAAATAGTTAGTAGCATTATTTCACTTTATAAAAAAAAGAGTAACGCCATTACCTTAGGGTCGTCATTCGATTGTTTATTGCCATCTTGAATAAAAAGTAAAGTAAACGCCACGTTCAAGCAGATAGACCAACTGCTATAGTACCTAAAGAAATAAAAAAAATTAAACAGTTAGTAACATTCTTTGACTTATATAAAAAACGTAACTACATTACCTTCAAGCCATGAGATTCCTATGTCATCACCAACATGAATAAAACAAAAAGAGGTAAACACCAGTTTCAATAGATAAATTAGCTATTATAATATAAATAAAATAAAAGAAAGAAAAAGGTCAGTAATATTCTTTCGCCTTATATAAAGAGAAGAGATTGTATACTTCATTACCAAAGGTCATCATAATATTACTTTTGTCATTAATAGATGTGAAGAAAAAAAAAAAGGAAGGAAAAAGAAAGTAGTGGAAAAGGTGCCTGTGCGCGCCTGATCCATTTTCCTTATTTTTACGTCCCGCCACTCATTTTTTTTTTTCTTTTTCTTTTTCTTTTCTTTTTTATATTCCTTTTATTATTCAATAAGCTAATAAATACCAAGGTATATGTTAATCTCATCACATGACGACTTTTTTTGGTATCAAAACTATGTTTATAAGATAAAGTAAAAAAAATATAACTGGCTATCCTTTCTTTTTTATTATTATTAGTGTTATTTATTTATTTTTTCTAATCAAAGTAGAATCACTTATACAACCGAATCAATAAAAACACAACAGATTAAAAAAGTAGACTCGCTTCAATATAGATCAATGAACAATGTCAACAAAAGGATTCAATCTCACTAGGAAGCTGATCTTCCACAAACAAAGGCAGAATTAATCGAATACCATTTGAACAATACCATTATGATAGATTTGCAGCTTCATTTTTATACAGCCTCTCTTTTTCTTCTTCTCCTCCTTCTTCTTCTGGCGCGATATATGAACTCGATACAATAGGAAAGTAAGTCCAAGAAAATAAAAACAATGGTTACTCTCACGGTCAACCTCTTCTAATTTATTCCTGCTTTTTTTTACACAAACTGTCTCGAACCACTTTACTACATCGTCCTGCATTCCTCTTATTCTTGCAAACTATGATGAAAGGCAGGTATTATTACAAAACAAGAATATTTTCTCTCTTTCTAACCTTACTCCTTTGTTTTCTCTTACTCTTCAAGTATAAATACCTGCTCATTCTTTGGATCTTGGACTCTTTTTTTTCTTTTCTCCCAACCGTTAGTATTCGATATTGTGTGGATGGCCTCTGCTATTGATGGTAAACCTGAAAACAAAGTGGGACGAAAGAGAAATATAGATACTCAAATACTTCCTACTGCCATTTTTTTTTTTTAAAAAAAAGATGTTGACTTACAGCTAGGGCGAATGTTCAATAGAATAAGTTGAATGAATGTACAGCAGGATCAACAGACGGAACGTGACAGAGTGATGCCCTGATGACCTCTAGGTAACGCTATTCTTTTTTATAAAATACAGCAATGGTAATACAACTAACTTTTTTAATGCTATATGATGAATAGACGACGCGACGAACAACGGTGACTGAAAGATGGGAGTTACAGGTAACATATGAAATAAATGACAGTAATGGACTCTTATTCTATTATTGTCAATCTAAAAAATAAATAATAAAATAAAAAAAGTATAAAATACAATTACTTACTTCCTTGATAGTTAGTTCATGTCTCTTCGGGTTTTTACAATTTCAAGATTTCTCTTCTTCTTGGTTGGACTCTCCCTTATTTTGTCGCTTCCTAATTGGTTGCCACCCTTCTATATATCTCGTAAGTCACTGTGGTTCCTTCAACCTCTCGTTTCTAATTTGTTGGATCTTCCTCCCTTAGGCTCTGGTTCTTTGTTTTTCTTATATGTCTCTTCTTGTGGTGCTACTTCCTTCAAGATTCCTTTTCTATCTGGTTGGACTCTCTCTCTTTTGTCTTTCCCTTTCTGTCATCTATCTCTCAATGTGATGATATTTCCTTCTCTATCTTACTTGTTTCTTCTTAGGTTACCAGTCCCTTTTATCGGACTCTCCTGCCATAGTGTTTTCTTCGATGTCTCTTTTCCATTTGATTGAACTCTTTCTCTCCATGCCTCTCGTCCGTCATTCATTTGGTGATGATTTATTGAAGATTTTATTTCCAAGTCGTTGCTTTTTGTCTTTTTTTATCCTTACCACTTGGTCTGATATCTTATCTCCCGCTTATTGCACCCTCCCACGGCCTTGGTCTATTCTCCATTCCTTTCAACAAAAATCAGTAGCTGTGGTTTCGCCTATACTACTTGATACATCAACACTGGTGAATCCTGTAATTAAGGTAATCCATACATTAAAAAAAAGAGAGAATAACTGTGATGAACTAGTACTCGTTTTACTGATTCTATTTGTAGATACCACAGTTGTCGTCTATACAATCAAGATGATGCAAAACATCCACTGGTGTTGACAAGGTAACATGTATAATAAAAAAAGTAATAACGTATTGCTATTCATTTGGTTTATTCTTATCTGTAGGTACCGTGATTGTCATCTATGCAATCAAATAAGTAAGTTATCAGGAAAGAAAAAGGAAAATAGGTGGATGAATCAATATTACATACAATCACTTGTCTCTTTCTCTCTCTCTTTTTTTTTTTTTTAGATCCTTCCTTTTATGTATCACGATTGATACGGTATTACTGGCGATGACATAACCAAGGTAACATGGATATATCTACATAAAAGGGAATAAGAGTGATGAACTATTATTCATTCTATTGATTTTTATTTTTTTTTTTATTTGTATATACTATGGTTGTCGTCTATACAATATAGTTCGCTTGCCTTCTTCACTGAAATGACTCTGTTATGTGGCCAAATTGAAATGTGGAATATCAAATAAAATAGCTCTACCAAAAATGAAGGTCATGATAATGGTTTTGGCATCGGTTAACGATAGTAGTGGTGCTCATGGACGTTACTGCTTGTAGTGTTAGTTATCTGTTATTATTGTTACGTAGTATAGTTATGTGGTATTTGGTATTGGTGAAATAAAACTCCTTTTCTGCAGGTAGCATATGTGTACTGACGAAATGAAATTCAGATCCAGAGATCAATTTAGGAAAAAACGAAGTGTTATATTGTATGTTTTCATTGTGATGACAATAATGATAATGATGATGATTCAGCCTTCCAATTTGATAAAAAAAACAATCAATGAATTCTATCTCTTTAATATTTAGGGAGAACATGGATCATTCAAGAATAAGGAAAAAGAAAAAAAATGGAAAGAACAAAGAAAATAACTAGGATGCCTTACCTCTTTTGGTGGCACTTGCCAACAATCGAATGACCTTCGTATAAAGAAAATACCAGTTAACTATTTTTCTTTTTTCTTTCTTCTTTTTTTTTTCCAATACACACATAACGATCTCCTCTTTAGTTATACGCTACTTTAATTCCTATAACTTTTTTTTATTTTACTCTGAACTACACTCTAAATTCTTTTTTCAATATGGAACAAGCTGCACAACAAGTACAAGATTATGCTACCTGGACTAATGCTCAAATCATTGCTCATAAAAAGCAAATGAAGTACCAACGACTTCATCCGGAAGAAGGTAACACGCAGAAAGGTTTTGATTTAATATAGGATCATCTCACTCATGATTGTTTTCATTAATATCTAGCTGAAGTACCATCTCCTCCTGGACCTCCATCTCCTCCAGCTGATGAACCTGAATCAAGCACCCAAGCGCAACAACGTCTTGGTAAAAGAAAAAGACAGCAATCAGAAGAGGAAAAACAAGAGAAACGAAACGCAGCCAAGGCCAAGAGAGCTGCTGAGAAAGCACGACATGTTGCCAATCCTTGCAAAGTCTGTCTTGACGCCGGGAGAGAAGAAGTAGCTTATACTCATAGCCGACGAACAAATAGCTTGTGTCCAGACTATACCGCCCCAAGAAGACAAGTACAACAACAACAAACTACATATCATTTGGAAGACATCACAAGAAAGATCAGTTTGCAGAACCTTCTCAATATGACAACTGACGGAGACAAGCTTCTTTTTATTGACGCCACAATGAGACTTGTAAGGTACAACCGCGATGTTATCATCAAGCTCCATCTGTTTCTGACCTTCTTTGTGTATCGCCAATTAAGCATGCACCGTAAAATCTATCCCGTTGTCTTTACCAAGAATTTCCTCTATGGCATATTCCAGGTGCTTACTCAAGGTGATCAAGATCGAGTTTTGACCCCGCCAACAAATCAGGTTATTTTTCAAGGCGAACTTCTTACCCATGTTATGGAAGCATTTGGTGTTTACAGGCAACAATTTCCAAATGGCATGATGAATCTACTACAAGGCAGTAATCGTGGTGGTGTGATTACCAATTCCTTGGATCACTATGTTACTGGATTCACAAGTAATGTTGTGGAGAATTTTCAACAATGGAAATTGAACTATATTTCTGTTCGACTTCGACAATTGGTTCAGGTAATCACCAAGTTATTCTTACTACATGTTATAATAGTATGTTAATTTCTTTTTTTTTTTTTTGAAACAGAACTTGCAGAAGCCTGATGCAAACAAACTGGCCAATTATATCTACGCCGTTGTTCAAAGTGGACCTGATTCTGCGGTATATTATCCTGCTAATCTATCCTTTGGTGCTGAAATGGGTGGTGAAGTTAACAATGCTGTTGGTCAAGTAACAGATGAAGTGCAGGTTGACCTCAATATTTTGTTTACACTGGGCCAAATTGTGGAATACGTGGATAATGGAAACATCACGATGGCAGCTCAACGTAATGTGGTCAGAAATTGCATGCTTGATTTATACAGATTGCATAATGATGCCGTTGATCTAGCTGATGCCATAGTAATAAATCGCAACAATAATCATAATCGACTTCCTCAACTGGTGGCAAATCTAATGGCACTCCTCGAGCTGTTGAATCAAATAATGGGATTACATCAAGAAACGACTGCTCAACAATTTGAGACGCCTATTGACTTTGGTTTTGCAGGATGGGATCAAGAAGATGCACAAAATGAAATCGCAGGTGTACAAGAATCTATAATGCGCTGGGAACAACATGATCAAGCCCAACCGCCTTCTGCAGACGTGGTACGCTTTCAAAATTCATTACAACAGAGGATTGCTGCTCTTAACGGTGCCATTGGTATGCTAACTAACATGGAAAATATATATGGCATAGCTCAAAACGAACGTGACATTTGTTTGACGGAATTTTTTGCAAACGATCAGCTTGGCAGTCAAGTTCTCCTCCAGAGGGTTACACAGGCCGCAATCACCCTTCATCTTCCGGGTTTTAGCGATGATGATGCACAACGCGTTAGAACTGTTAACCATGATAATGATGTCAATGATTATCTTCAAGTTGCTAGTGCTGCTGAAGAAGGTGTTCGCCAAGTCATGATGGAAAATTTTGCTGACAATATGGCCGCTGCGGGTATTCCTGGATATGGTGATCATGAACGACTGGTGCAAACATTGAGCACTGCGTTTATATCAAGGCACATTCAACTATTTGCCAAGGTCGGATACAACATTGCCTCTCATATGGAACAGTATAATGATGGGCAAATACGATTGGCAAATGATGTTCAAGTGGAAGCCACAATGGTATGGGCACATCGACAAATTAGGCAGCTCTCTGAAAATGACACCTTCGGGAAAAGACGCAGGAATCTCTTGGCTAGGCGACTATATAGTGCCGTTAACGATAATCATCCATTTGTGCGGGATGGAATAAACGGACTATCTGATGAATCTTGGCACCATCTGGATCAAGTAGTTGTCGATACTCAGCAACAAATTGAAAGATCAAGAGAATATTTGTCGTTACCTGATCCTGACCCTTATATCCACGAAGAATTATTCTTGCAATGTTTTCGTCCGGAATTGTTTGAAATTGCCAAGCTACAACGGCTGTTCAACTTGGTGCCGAAGCCGTCGTTCGTCAAGAAGTATATCAAAATAGACAAAGGAGTTTGCCAGATGATTCTTAGAATGGCCAATCTGCAGTCGTATATTCAAGGAGCCGGGACCGTGGAGAATATCATTGATCTACGGAAGATTCGCTATCATATCGAGTAAGTTATACGAATGATGAATAACCAAAAAAAAAAAAAAAAAAAAAAGGAAGCTAGAACGTAGGGCTAACTGTTTTTTTTTTTAAAAAAAAATAGACGTCCTGGAGCAGATGGAAGAAGTGTCTTTTTTGGTGGATACTTTGAAACCGATGGGTATGGCGCCTCTGTCTCCTTCCGTAGGGAAGTGATTCCAAACCCGGTCAAGTCGGTCACTCTTACACCCGAAGATTTTGAAGACTGGGAGATGCCATTCATGAAGCTATGGGGTGCCGATCCAGGAGTGACTGATATTTTTGTGGCTAGTAGTGGTTCAGACAATGTCTATCAAGACAATCCAGATGACCAAGATGAAGGTAAATATTATAAAAAAAAAGACGATGACGATGATGATGATGATGATGATGATGATGATGATGATGATGATGATGATGATGATGATGATGATGATGATGATGATGATGATGATGATGATGATGATGATGATGATGATGATGATGATGATGATGATGATGATGTATATACTGACAACTTTTTTTTTGAATTGGCCTTTATATAGATATTGATGAAGAAGACGTCCCAGAACAAGAACCCGGTGAACCACATCAGTATGATCTACAAGAAAGGTATCGACAACGCCAGCAGCAGGACCCTCATGAAATTAGAAGATTCTCATCAGCTGAGTATTACACGAAGGCCGGATACAAGAAAACTACAAGGCTGATTAGGGAGGCTAAGGATCAGCATCATATTGATGAAGTTGAAGCCACCATATTGACCAATAAAACGTCGACTATGCAAGGGATCGAAGATTATATTACATCAAGGTTGACCGTTTTTGACCAACTGACCGCATTCTATGGTCGAATACTGTTTCAGAGAAGAAAATTCAGCAACTACTGTGGCCGTCAGCGTATGGATGCCGAATTAGTGAATATTTTCACTAACGGTGGAACAAAATATGGCGATCACCACGAGACATATCTTGTAAGAAATCAAGAGCTTGAAGAAAACTTCCGAAGGACGATAAAATACAGCCGTAGGCTCAGGGACCGAAAAAAGCAAAATCCTGACTGGGTGACAGATAATGAGCAGGGTCCAATGGCCTTGATTTACACTCCTATGGCTCCCGTTGCTCGCGAACCTGCTGGTCAAAGAACATTGTAAGTTAGAAAAAAAAAAAAAAAAAAAAAAAAAAAAAAAAAAAAAAAAAAAAAAAAAAAAAAAAAAAAAAAAAAAAAAAAACTCGGATCAAAATATGATATTAATAGTAAATGATGGTTTTATATTTTTATTATAGCAAATGGAAGAAAGCGCCCATTATGAATGATACAGATCGTGTTCCAATCGTCGCCTTTGGTGCTGCTGAATTCGGTCCTCTTGCCTTTGGCGGTAAACCCACTGGATTAGCCAACAAGTGCCGGTCTTTATTAAAAAAAGCAGATTATGATGGTAGATTGATTCTTGTGGATATTAATGAATATAACACTTCCAAAGTTTGCTCAAGGTGTGGTACTCGTTCCCTGGAAACAGCACGAACAGAACATCATAGTCTTTACAGTGTGTTATCTTGTACTGCGTGTCGTACGATATGGCAACGTGATGTGAACGCTTCGCGTAACATGCATGGTATCTGGCTATATATGATGCACCATCATCATCGTCCAACTGTGTTTACCCATCTATGAGGAATTAAAATCCCCATAGTTACGTGTGTTGTGTAAGTTTTTTTTTTTTTTTTTTTTTTATCTCACAAAAGATGTTTATCCAACTAACCCAAATCATCTTCCTAATTTTAGCATAAAACACTGTAAGGTCCCAAGTAAGAGAAACACTGGTCCCAAACGTTTATCTATTCATATGATAATAGTAATAATAGTAGTAGCAGTAGTAATAATGACGATTTTATAATAATAAATAAATAAACCATATGATGATCTATATATACATGTAATACTAAAACTAAAGCTACAAAAAAAGAGGGAATAACATACTTTCATAAAACTATCACTACTATACATTCAGCTATATGTAACATAGTACTAACCAGAAGCCTTCGTCCACCACCAAGATCCTAACAACAAGCTGCCATTCCTAACGAAAAAGAAGTTTGACATCCAATCAGTTTTTCGTTCATATTACCAATAAAAAATATATCCAGGCCAAACTCTTATCAAAAAAAAAAGTATAAAATATTTTTATCATTTACCTGTACTAAATCCTACATCCAAAATGAAAAGGTTTCCCCATGTATTTTGTAAGTCCCTTTTTCAAAACGCTCCAAATCCAATAAAATCCGCCATGACAAGATCGCATAAGCAAGAGGACACCCAATGTGGAAAAAAAAGTGGATGGAGAAAAGAAAAAGAAAGAAAAAAAAAATGAAAAAAAAAAAGCAAAGGGCGTGATTAATTTTTTAATTTTTGAAGCCCGTCCACTAACGACAATTTGGCATGATTTTTTTTTCTTTTTTTTTTATCCCAATCCCCAACCTTGCCAAAATCCATGCCTACTCAAGTGTATATCTTTTTAATTTTTTCTGCTCAAATAGAATTATAAAGGAATTTCACTGTCTGATTTATTTTAAATATCTATCTACATCCATAGTAGGATACAAAATACGTATGAGTTTCCACCTGATTTTTTTTTCTTTTCAGTACTTCAAACCTTAAGCTCTCTTCGTCATTAGCTGCACTGCTAAAAGGTATTTAAACATATATTTTGGCTTTTCGTTGCTTAACTTGTTCATACCGAGAAATTAGATCCATGATGTCTTTTATTCTGTAACATCACTTTGAGTGGGCACGTACCTGTTTATACTTTTGTAATTCATCCAAAAAAAATCATCATCATCCCTTCAAATTTTGATTGAAGATACATGAAGATATTCTCTTTCACTTGTCTCAACAACAATTTATACCTTACCTCCCAATTTGTAGAGTAATTTAAAAAATAAAAGTCAATTCAATCATCTCTCATCCAATAATGATCATCATCCAACAAAATTACCATCATTGGATTCCTCTCAAAAAAGTAGTCAAATATCATGTAATAACATTTAATCGATTATCCTACCACCTAATGTGTGCAATGAGAATGAAAAGATTTCATCAATTTTTCGAAATATTGCCTGATGACCCCTCGACGATTTATTTTTACAGCCAAAGTTTGGCTGAGGAGTTTGAAAATTTTGGCTGTGAAATCAAAAAATCCATCTCATTTTTTCATGCTGGACACAAGCTTGAAGAAACTTTGAATTTTCCTTTCTCGCTCAGAAATCATCATCATTACATCAAATTATTTGACTCGAACATAAGCAAACCAATTTATGTCACTTTACCTTATTGAATTTATAGATGATCATCGTATTTATGGAATAAACTAAAAAAAAAAAAAAGATATATCACTATCGCTATCATCTGCCATTATCCGTATAATAGTAGTGATGATTGATATGTAGTGAGCACTATTTCCAAGTAAACAGAACAAAAAAAATAATATGATGATAAAAAAAGAAACGTAATCCAGAGAAGGAAATGGAATTTTATCATGTTGATGACAACTAGGTAAGATAAAAAAATAATAAAAAAAAAAGGATGAAGGTTTCTATATAAAGATAATCATATGGTGGGATTTTGAAAAAGCGTGAGATGGCTGTAAAAGTAGTTTGTTTTTTGTTTGTTTGCTTAAGCCAGGACAATCAAGTCCTTCGCAATAGTTGTATGGTAGTGGCTGAGAGTGGTGTTTTTTTTTTTGTTGATGATCACCCAATATATATATATATATATATATATATATGATGATGATCAATAATAGTAGTGTTAAGATCTTTTTTTTTTGTATGTTAAGGATAATGATTTAATATGATTGTACCAAATCTGGATTGAACATACATGAAGATATTCTCTTTCAATTGTTTTAATAACAATTTATACTCTATCTCCCAATTCATAAAGTAAATTAAAAATGAAATGTCAATTCCGTTATCCCTCGTCTAATAACAATGATTATCATCAAAAAAAAAAAAAAAGCCAAGTAAGAGTATTGTTGTGTATCATAAAAAGCAATATAATTTTTATTTCAAACAAAAAAAAAAAAAGTAATCCATGTACTAACTAGTAAAACTATCCATTCTACTGTATCTATTATATCAGAACCCTTCGTCCGCCACCGAGATCCTAACAACAAGTCGCCATTCCTAAAGAAAAAGAAGTTTGACATCCAGTTAGTTATTCGTTCACGTTATCAATAAAATAAATGCAGGCCAAGGAATTTATATATATATATATATATAAAAAGAGAAAAACCATCACAAAATATTTTTATCGTTTACCTGTACTAAATCCTACATCCAAAATGAAAGGGTTTCCCCATGTATATTGTAAATCCCTTTTTCAAAACGCTTCAAATCTAATAAAATTTACCATGACAAGATCGCACAAACAAAGAGGACACCCGATGTGGAAAAAAAAAGTGGATGGAGAAAAGAAAAAGAAAGAAAAAAAAATTAAAAAATACAAAAGCGCGCACAAAGGGGGGTTTTTTTTTTTGAAGCCCGTCTACTGACCAGAACTTGACAGATTAATTTTTTTTTCTTCTCTGAAGATGGATCTGTCTGAAATATTGTTCGTTTGAAAATTTGGTCGTTTGAACTTCTATACGTTTCAACTTTTTTATTTATTTATTATATGACTAGTTTTTTTAGATTTATATATATCCTTCATGTCTTACACTTTTTTCTTTGTCAATTTCAATTTATATTTTATTATCAATAAAAAAAATTTTTTTTAAAAAAATCAAAACTCATTATTATGGCCATCCCATTGGATCATCATTCAAGGCTTTAATATTATATCTATCAATCATCAAAGTTGTTATATAAGCATCAAGTTATTTTATGAAGTTATTTTATATATTTTCGATTATCATCAAAAGTGATCTCATACATCAATTGATTTCCTTTTGTGGACGACCTTTTTTATCGAGGCGCTTTTCATTATTTCTTTATAAAAGAACTGGTGCTCACTGCATATAAATCATTATTATTTTAATCAACATAATAGCGTCATCCATATATATTGCATATCATCATCATCTTAAGATTACAAAAAAAAGGCTAACATGGTAATTCATCCAAAAGATCATCATCATCCCTTCAAATTTGAAACAAACATAGATGAAGACATTTACTTGTCTTAGTAACAATCTATATCTTACCGCCCAATTTGTAGAGTAATTTAAAAATGAAGTGTCAATATCGTCATCCCTCATCCTATAGTGATCGTAATCTAATAAAGTCACTACCACCTGGTTCCTCTCAAAAAAAAAAGAGCAGATCATGAGACTTGAAACAAAGAAAAAGAAACACCCATCATGTTGGATCTAATCTATGGATCCGCTCTCTTGGATCTCTCTCAATTACAGCACCAACAACATTCAACATCACATGTCATTCACTGACTCATCAATGAACATAAAAAAGAAGGTTGATTAAGGAGTTAGTACATACATATGTCTATTCATTCATTCTACCAATGAGCATAGAAAGAAGATGCTAGAAATCAAGTGCGTAAACAAAGAAAAAGGACGACTATTTATTTTCCTTTTGATTGGTTAATATTATATGTCTATTCATTTATTCATTTATTTTCTTGACAATTACGGGGAGGTTAACTAAAAAATTTTGAGAAAAAAGGTTGTCAAAAAGAAAAGGAGATGGTCCAACCTATTTCCTTTTGATTGGCTAACAGTATACATCTATTCATTGATTCATTTGTTGTTTGATAAATATGGAAAAAAAGGAGAAAGGTTAATTAAGAATTTGAGAAGAAAAAAAAAGGTTGTCAAAAAGAAAAGAAGCTATTTAATTTCATTTTGATTTTTTACCAGTGCTATGCATTACATCATTGTACGTCTATTCGTTGATTTATTACTATTTCAAAAAAAGGGGAACTAAAAAAAAAAGAATGAAGCAAAACAAAGAAAATGTTGCCCAGTTCAATTGATTTAATATAAAAGAGGGATGATTGTGATTTTTCCTTTTTCCTTTCAAGCACATCTCTCTTCCTTTTTTTTCTAAACCCTCAAAGCGAATTTCTCTCTCTCTCTCTTTTCACTTTATATTTTTTTTTTATCAATACTCCAAAGAAGAAACAAAAACACAAGTAAGTAACAATTGATATTATAAGATAACTATTTTCATCATCTAATATAAAATCATCATCATTGTAGATCTAATCAAGAGGTCCTCTTGGGCCAATCTCTGTGGTTGTCTGGTGTCTCTGTACAGTTTATTCAAGGCAAGAGGTTTTTTATCGATCATGTCTGTCTGTCTGCTTTTCCTTTTCTTCCGTCCTCCTCTTATTATCATTATGGTTCGTGTTGATGTGCGTGGGCCTAAGCTACCATCAAACAAAATGGCATTAGTTTAACAAGCTCCCGTCAACCAATACCAATTCTCCGATCATCCTGTCAGCAACAGCAGTCTTTCTTTTTCCTCTTTGCTTTATCGTCCTGACCGTAGTTAAAACGGTCTTAGTTACGTGTTGTGAGTAATCCTTTTTTTTTTAATAATAATGATGATGTACTAACTGATATATATTTTTTTATTTTATTTTCTAAATATATTATCCACTTGGTATTCTCAATTTGATTTTCCCTTCTCTCTCAATTTGATTTTCCCTTCTCTCTCAATTTGATTTTCCCTTTCCTCTCAATTTGATTTTCCCTTCATTCTTAATTTGATATTCCTTCACTCCCAAATTTATTTTCCCTTCACTCCCAAATTTATTTTCCCTTCACTTCCAAATTTATTTTTTCCTTGTCTGTATCTTTTTACCCTTTTTTGTCTCAATTTAAAGTGAATAAACTGTAGTGTACTTTTATGCATACAACGTTGTTTTCATTCTCCGTTCCATTCTTTTTGAAGGGGGGAAGAATCAAACTCCTTATTCACCCTCTTTCTTTCCTTTTTTTCTCACTTTTTTCCCTCTTTTTTTTTTTATTTCTTATTATTTTTATTACTATTATTAAACATCAATAAAGTGGAATGAAATCATGTCCTTACAACAACACGTGTCATATGAAGAAACATCTATATATCAACCTCGACCAAAAGGAATCACACTCTCTGGCGTGGCCATTGTCAAATTGTACGACATTATTTATATTTTTGGCAAAGGGAATGTTTGGAGTATTGACTTGATACACTTATCTGATGATTATTCTGATCAATGGATAAACTCTGATGCCATCAACAAACCCAACTGGATTTATACACCACCTGGTATACCATGGGATGCAAACAAGTTCTTGGTCATAGGAAGCGCTCAAGATGATCCCTATTTATCTATGCAGATCTTTGATACTTCAACTCGTTCTTGGTGCTCTTTTCCAAATTGTTCCAGTACCACCAATACATCATCATCGTCATCATTATTATCAGAAGGAGCAAATGATATACCAGCATCATCTCAACATCATTCAGCTTTTCTCTTAAATGATCATCAACATATTCTTCTTTACGGTGGACAAAACAGCACACATGCACTTGGACAATTTTATTCCTATGATATAACGGCTCAACAATGGACATTATTATCATTACCATCAACAATGAACGTGATGCGTTGTGGTCATTCTGCCAATTTGTTAGAAAACGGTCTATTATTAATCTTGGGTGGTTTTATATGCGAAAAAGGACAGGTTTTGAATGACAATGGAAACCCAAGGATCTTAGCGAACATGTCGATGGCATTGGTATACAATACAGTGACAACTCAATGGACTGAAAAATCTACTTTTGGTGATTATCCTAAACCAAGAGCATATCATACTGCTGTTCAAAGTAAGTAGATGACTTGGATTCGATTGGTTTTTTGACATTTTTTTCTTTTTCTTCAATCCATTTCCTATTTTAGGTTCTGACATTATTACAGTGATCGGCGGTAAGTTTTTTTTTTTTTTTTTTTTTTTTTTTTTTTTTTTTTTTTTTTTCCTTCTCTTTTATTCACTTTTTTTTTTTTTTTTTTTTTTTCTTTTTTTTTTTGTCGATGTTATTACCAATTGATAGGTCAAGATGGTGTACCTCCACCTTATCAAACATATTTATCATCACAAGGACAATTGCAAGATATGATGGCGATACTAAATACAACTAATTGGCAATGGAGTTCCGTACAAGGTTCATCTTCTACAATGGACCAACCTTTACCTCAATCAATGGCATCAGGGCTCATGATAGACGACCACACTCTTATGTATGGATTTGGAACAAGTTATCAAACTGTATCTCGTGGTATTTATCTTTTCGACATCAATACACGGTCCTGGGTATCTTCTGGTGAACAATGGGCTGACTTAATGGATGACAATAACCACGATTCGGTAAATTTACCTTCAACACGTATGGAATTTCATATTATTATAGGCTGCATTAGTATTGTTTGTTTAATAACAGTCTTGATTTTACTTTATCGGATGGGTCGTCAATGGAAACAAAAGTCGCTGGACCTGCTTTATGCATGCAAGAAGAAAATATGGAAACCGAGGTAAATGAAAACTTCTTTTTACTTGAGATTGATAAACTTACTTATTTGATATATAACTGTTAGAATTGGCGAGCCTTCTTGGACTGAAACTATACGGCTATCTCTCTTGTTTGTGTATGTATGCTTCTTTTTATTCTTGATATTCTCTTTGGTGGAACAAGTTGTCAACAGTCCTATTATTGATCAAGTTTCCTATGTTGAAAATCCTACATCTACAGTTAGTGCTCCAGGTAAATTTCTAACATATATAAAAGAAAATTAAAAAATAGAAAATTAAATAAAGGTTGATCGTCTTATACTACTTCCCTTTCTTCATTTATTTAGATATACGGTTTTGTTTGGACGATGAACACACTGTGATCCGATGTGGTACCGATATTGGAATGCAATGCTCAAATTATATTATTTCTATAACTTCTTCTATGCCTCGGCGAGGTCGAAAGCAATATTGTTATCTCTTCCGAGCATCACCCTCTTTTCGTCTAGGACAAGCATCTGATCGTTTAGCAAGCAATGGCTCATACCTCAAATTTGATTACTACTTTGGTCAACCATCACAAGTGGAGGTGTCATTCTACAACTCATATCATAATCCTAACTTGGCAGTATATTCTATTCAAGATCCTTTTGCGGAAACTACACCACCTTTTAGTTGGAACAGCCCCTCAGAAGAAATAGCATTTCGATCATCAGATAACAAAGGTTATTTGTCAAATAACATTTATCATTTGGACGTGAACGTAGTATCTACTGGCAGTTATGAACTTCTTCAACGTGTATCTTTAAGGGACAGCTTTTGGAATTATGTTGGATTTGCACCCAGTGTGGATGCCTTCTATGAAATTGACAGCAAAGTACAAGCGGAAACAACTCAATCTGATTACTCAAGTTTACCTCGTCCTCTTGGTTCTTTCCATGTTTATCCTATGCGATATGAAATCAAGACCCTTCATGAACAACGTGCATTTGCAATGTTAAATGCTACTGGTGTCTTTGGTGGTCTCTTTGGTCTTTTTGTTAGTCTCCAAGCTTGCCTATTTGGTTATCGCCCTCGAAGTCCTCTCGGTTTGATTCATCGCTGGTCCATTGGCGATATGAAAAGATCTCTATTATATGGATTGAAACAAAGTTTTGTACCTCAAACCTCCAATATACCCATTGTCCATCCTATGCGTGATCAAACCTTAAATTCCGTCCACAATTCAAAACCATTGACAACGATGATGGAAAATCCGACCTCGACAACATCGTTACCGTCTATGATGAATAATTCAAAATCACAGAAAGCGGACACAATCAGAAATGCAACATCAGCAACGAATATGGCATCATCAACAGGAACACTCTCTCGATCATCAACAGTGGTGCCTTCTCTTATGATATCATCTTCACCGTCTCGACCAACAGGGATAGTTACTAGACAGTATTCAAGAGCAATGACTCTTCAACATTCTTTCCCGACGACTTTATTGGGGAATGGCCTTGTAGAAGAACCAGAATCATACGATGATAGTTATCTATTTAGTGGTGAACGGTTGACAAGAATAGAAGATCGGATGGAAGTGCTTGAAAAGGTGTTCCAGGCATATTATATCAATGATGAAATCTTTACTGCATTGGAAATGGCAATACAAGTTGAATTAAGTCCTTTTCAATCTCAAACACACCAACAACAAGAACAACAACAACAACGACATAGAATGACTCTGCCCTCCTCATTACGATCAAGGATACCATTTCGAAGGCGGTCTTAGAATAGATACAATTTTTTTTTTTTTTCCTCCTTATCAATTTTTTTTTTCCTCCTTCACTTTTTTTTTTTGACCACCGCAAACAAGAATAAAATATCTTCTTTTTTTTTTTTCTTTTCATTCTTTCGTCACGTCGTTTGTGAATGTTTGATATCTCATGGATCCTTTTTTACAATCCGTAAGTTATAGATCATAGCTTTGTATTGGAAACATGATATTAACCGTATACTTGAGAGCGGGAAGAATGGAAGAACTATGCATTTTAATGATCTTATTTTTTTTTTTGTTTAGACTGTAGCTAGAAATCGACAGTGTTTCCCTTCACGCTCAACGCCAACGTCATATCCAGTATCAAATGCTAATAATGCTTGTCGTGAATTCCATACACCTGAAGGCTTATACCGACTTCAACAGGATTGGTTGATTCCTACCATTATACCACAATTTGCGATCGGTAGTCATATTAAAACAGCAAGGATTAACTCAAGTAAACAAGGCTTTGGTAGTTCACTTGGTCCTCCTATTACCAAAGCATCATCAACAGCATCATCTATCTCGGATATTATCTATGGAACTTTACCTTCTGTGGAACACATAGGGATTGTGTCACCTTCTGGTTCGTCTCAGCCTGAAAGCACTGGCCATTCTGTAGATATGTCACTTGGTAATCAAAGAATGGGACGTTCTATCCATGGTTTCTCTACAATGACTGGGAATACACCATCACCAGATATTCAAGTTAGCAAATCAACTAGTACTCAGTCTATGTTTATGCTTGCATCCTCTTCGACCACAACAGCATCTTCTTCTATCAATACTCCAACTACCGGTTTACACCATCGTCCATCTTTCACTAGTCATAGCATTCCATCTATCGACGTATTCAACACCATTAATCCTTTGACTACTGTGCCAACTCTTTCAGTAGAAAATAATCTTAATGAAGATATATCCAACTTGTCTTTGGCAGCCACCAGTAGCAGTACAGGTTCATTCTCGTCTTTATTTAGCGGCCATTGGCGTCATCATCATCATCATCAACCTTCATCATCTACTTCATCTCATACCCGTCTTCGACCTAAGAATAATTTATCCAAGTTAAAATCTTCTTTGATTGAAAATGTCCAAGTGCATGATCATCTTTCCAAAATTCTGACCAATCGGCATGATGATGATGCCTTTATATTCTGTAATACTGGTGCATGTTTTCTTTGGTTGGATGCAAACACAAAGGTAAATAATAATAATAATGTTATTATGAATAATAATAAAGAAAATAATAAAAAAAAAGAGTGTGAAAATAATAATATTATATTCATCTATTTTTTTTTTTTGTTGTTTTGTGTAGGATTATTTGACTTGCATTACCTTTTCAAGATCTTATCCTACGTGTCATGATGTGAACAAAACAACTATATCTAGTGATCATTTAGATGTCGTTATTGGTTTCTCAACTGGTGATTGTATATGGTATGATCCATTATGTAATCGATATACTCGGTTCAACAAACATGTAAGATGGAAAAAGAATAAAAAAAAAAAAAAGGCTTGTATCATTTATTTGTATATTTGATTAGGGTTTACTACACAATGCCAAAGTGACAGGTATCAAATGGGTCCCTGGTTCCGAAGATTTATTTATGGTGTCTTTTAACGATGGTGTCGTTCTAATTATGGATAGGGATCGAGAAGATCAACCTTTTATAGCAGCAAGTGGCAAATCAGTGGATCCTTATCAGTAAGTTGAAAAGAATGCAGAAAAAAAAAAGTTGAAGCAAAAATCATTGATAAAATGTTTTATTTCTTTTGGGTCGGTTCACTGTAGATTTCTTGTCACTAAACCACATCAAAAACAAAATCGGTACAATCCTATATCTCATTGGAAAGTCAATCAAAGTGGGATTACTGCATTCGAATTTTCCAAGGATGGATCTCTTGTTGCCATGGTGGGCTCTGATGGACTTTTACGGATATTTGATTTCAATGAAGAAAGGTAAAATACAATACAAATTATTACAATGAACAAAAAAAAAAAAAAAAGAAGGAAAAGGATTCCTGTACTCACATCAATTATCCAATCTTGCTTTATTTAGATTATATGATGTTTTTAGTTGCTATTTTGGAAAACTATTGTGTATAGCATGGAGCCCAGATAACAAATATATCTTGGTAAGAAAGAAAAAAAGATCAATTAAGAACCTATTGATTTAGTTAATACAATCATGTTAGACGGGCGGTCAGGATGATCTTGTTACCATTTGGTCTTTAGCGGAATTACGTATCGTGGCTCGTTGTCAAGGACACAAATCTTGGGTAAAAAAAAAAAAAAAAATTAACGGAGGAACGATCTTTTAAGTCTATTTTGTTTTTTTTTTTCTAATTTATTTATTTAGGTGACAGGCGTTGCTTTTGATCCAAGGAATTGTGATGAAAAGGTATACAGGTTTGCAAGTGTAGGGGAAGATTGTAAACTGATATTATGGGATTTTTCGACAAGTATACTTCATAAACCAAAAGTAAGTTCGTTGTAGTGGGAAAAAAAACAAACAAACATCATGCATGATAACTATGGTAACACATACATTAACAAAATTTGTTCTCTCCTTTCCCCCCCTTTTTTTAATGCTCACGTGCATTGTAGAGACAGCGACATTCACCAAGCTTAGGTACATCAGCACAGACAGCAGGTCGATTAACAAAACTATCTGGTACAACATTCAATCGGGATATGAAAAACGAATTACATTATAGAGGAACTGCTTACAACAACATCAACAATAATAACAATGTTCATAATGACAATGATGATGAAGATAATGATGACGATGATGATGATGATGATGAAGAAGAAGAAGGCATTGTCTTGAAGAAACATACTACATCACCAAATGGACCAATGATGACCATCAAAACTGACAAGCAAGACAGCAGTAACAGTAGCAGCAAAGCCTCCTTATTTTTACGGCGACATCGGTCTGATTTGAATAATACAACAACGAAGAATAAAGATCCTTTAGCAACGATGATTTATCCTACTACGAAACTTCCTACAACTGTGCATCCTGTGGTGGATAAGTCTCATGTTCCATTTTTACAACCATTGATGATGCGAGTGGTACATCCTGATCCATGTATAGATATTATTTTTGATGAAGATGATAGTATAGTAACCTCTGATCGTAGAGGTTGTGTTAGAAAATGGTCCAAATAAACTTTTTATTCCTTTTTTTTTTTTTTTTTTATTATAACGTTCCTATGTCTTCAAAAAAAAACAGGTGATCTACGGGGCTTCAAATAGCCTCATTGTTTCACCGCGTCCTTTTTTGGGAAGGTACCAAGTCACTTGTTTTTTTTTTTTTTTTCGTTTTTCTATTTTTCTATCTATCCCTTTCTAATATCTGCACTTGTATTTTTTTTTCTCTTTTGTCTATTTTCTTTTCTTCCACTTCCTTTTATAGTTTTTCTTCTTTTATTCCGTCTCATTACACAGCATGGCTTCCTGGTGTAAGTTTAATACTATAAGATGGATATTCATCATGATGATGATGTTTCTTTTGATTGACTTCTTTTCTTTCTAGTTTCTCAATTATCAAGCACTGTTTCCAATGTCACTGGTCTTGGCACAACGGTAGAATCCATCAAGTCAGTTGGTGAAACTGTTACGGATGGTCAATATTATAGCAAGTTGACTGAAAATGATCTTGACTGGACTCTTGCATCTGGCTCATCCACTGAAAACCAAGTATTCTATGTCACTACTCGAACTGGAGGATTCGCTTTTGTTCAATTGATTCATTCCAATATTGGGTAAGCATAAGAGGGATAAAAGGGAAATAAAAGAAAAGAAAAAGATGAAATGCATATATATATATATATATATATATGGGTATGTGTGTGTTTGTGTGTATGATCTTTTCTTTCTCTTTTTTTTTTTTTTTTTCTCTGATTGACTGACTAACTGACTTTTTTCTTTTTTTGGTTTCAACCATCATAGGATTTGGAATCCTACTATTTCTTTCACGTGTCGATTCTACGATCCTACTACTAATACCAACGTATTCAAAAATATTAATATGTCCAACTTTGAACTCTCTGATGATCGTCGTTCCGTCAAGACTGATCATTTCAACATCACATTGGATCCTACCCAACAAACTTATAAGGTACAAATTACTCATCCTGATTTGGTAGTGTCTTTGGATTTCAGTCGTATCGATAAAGGATTCAAGGTGGGTGAAGGTCGTACTTATTTAGGTGGTGATCAAGGTTCTGCTGCTGGTTTTGTCTCTCACAAGTTCTGGCCTCGTGCTCAAGCCAAAGGTACTTTTATTGTGGATAAGCAATTACATGATATCGAAGGTGATGGTATGTTTATTCATGCTATTCAAGGTATGCAACCTCAATTGATCGCTTCCAACTGGAATTTTGTCAATTTCCATGCACCTGAAGCTGCTCTGTCCATGATGCAATTTCAAACTACAAAACAATACGGCTCTGTCAATATTAACCAAGGTTCACTTGTACTTCACGACAAACTTATCTGTGTCTCTGTGGACAATCATGTGGAATTATTGGATTTACAAAAAGATGAAGAAACCGAATATGATATTCCTCAACGTATCAAGTTGACTTGGAAGGGCAAGACAATCAAGGAAGATGGAAAGGAAGAAGAAGAACCAAAGGATGTGCAAGTTGAAATGATCGTTACTGTGAAGAATCTGGTGGACAAAATTGATGTCTTGGCGGAAATTCCTTGGTTTTTAAAGAAATTGGTTCAAACTTTTGTTGTCAAACCTTACATCTATCAATGGCTCGACAAGGCAACGGCTACTATTACTGTGGGTGATGAAACAGTTCAAGTCGAAGGAAACTGTTTCCAAGAATTGGTCTTTGTCTCTGGTTTTTAGTTGATTCGTCTTATTATTACTATTATTATTATTATTATTATTATTTACCTACTTTTTTTTTTTTTTTTTTTTTTTTTTTTGTTATTGTTAGTATTTCTTATTTTATTTTGTAATCTTTTTTTTTTTTTTTTTTTGTGTTTTCTCTTTGGGAAGAAGGGTTTGTTTTATTATCATCTTCTTCTTGTTGTAGTTTATGAAAGGGGTAAAGCTTTTGTTTAATCAACTAGTTTTATCTCTTATTATTATACTTTAGACATACCCTTTTTTTTGTTTTGCTTTACTCTCTCATTCTCTTAATAAAAATCATATTTATCAAAAGACAGTATTATGAAGGGTATTCTTTAAATCTACATTACCAATTGGCCATAGTTGTATTGATTTGAAGGTGATTGATCTGACATGCATCGTACCCAAAAAAGGAACGCGGTGTTTTAAAGTTTTTTTCTTTCTTTCTATTTTTTATTTTTCCTGTTTTGCATCCTCATTCTATTTATTTGTTATTTTTACACATTATCATTTTATTATTATTATTGTTATATAATATTTCTATATGGCTGATCTTTTAAAAACCAATCAAGAAGGACTTTCATGGGCTGATATCGTAGAAGAAGACTTGGCTCAACAGTCATCCTTACCTGATAGTGATATATTAGAAGATGACGATGACAAAGAGAATTCTTCTCCTAATCTACTTGAAAACACATCCAGTACTTCTTTACCCTCATCATCGGTAAAATCGTGGGCCAATGTCGTTGGACAAGATGAAACTAGTGGGGCAGTGAAGCAAGTTATCCAAGACAGATCATCTACGCAAGATTCAGAAACTACATATCATCATGACGATTCGACGAAAAACCAAATCGCACAATGGCATACGTACGCAAAGAACTTACAAGCAGAGGAAGCAGCTGAACGGGCGGCACAACGAGCGAAAAGGGAAGCTTTGACATCCAACAAAACAGAACAAGATCATGTAGAACAAGATGCCAGTAGTGAAATCAAGGGACTTAGTGCGTCACGCTGGGCAAATGCTCCTTCGACATCTCCTCGCCAATCCTACAACGATCGATATGGTGACAACGAAAACAACAACAGACGTCGATACAACGAAAATGTTTTCAACTATCCCAAGCACCGAGATAGAGAATATGACAACAATCGATATGATAACAATGAAAACAACAACAGACGTCGATATAATGATAATGTTTTCAACTATCCCAAGAATCATGACAGAGAATACAATAATCGATACGATGACAACACTTACAACTCTTCTCGAAGTGGAGATAATGACTATGGCAACAATAGATATGATAGTTACAATCGGTATGGCAACAATAGTAGGTACAGAGACGAAGGTGGCAACAATGAAGATAAACGATACAATCGGTACGGTGATCGGATCAGAAACACTGGGTATGGAGATTACAATAATCGCAACAGAAATGACAATGATCGATTTGGTGACAAACAATATGATGATCGCGACAGAAACAACAGATACAATCGATATGGTCAACAGGACTATAACTACAATTCTTCCTCTGGACGATATGATAGAAACAGGAATTTTAGGTAAGATTAGTATGTCCTTTTTTTTTTTTTTTTTTTTTTACTATGGAGGATTTGCTCACCAATATGAATCCAATCTTTGTTGTATAGAAATAATGATGATGATCGAACATCTCGAAAATGGGAACGCGGCCACCATCTGGATGATCTTCCAAATGATGATTTCTCTTCACCTCAAGACAATGATGAATCTGCCACCGGAACAGCAAGATCAAAATGGGCAACTTCGACGTTGACTTCTAAATGGGCAAATAATCCAGCAGCTGATTTGAGCACAGTAACAACAGACGACACTAGCACTGAACAAACTTGGAATGTGAATTCAACAAACGACATACAAAGCAGTGACAACAACAAAGACAACTCGTCCACGTCTTTCGTACCTTCATCTACATCTAATGAAGACAACAATGCTATTGCTGATACTACTATTACCACAGCAGACGATGATAATGATATTGATTCTTCAAACTCTTGGAATGCCGAACAGACCTGGACAGCAACAACGGAGACCTCGAACATAGAAACAACGATGGATGGTTGGGGCTCGGAATCGATGGAACAAACAATTGGATGGGGCTCTGATCAACAGGAACAACAAAACGAAGCAGCATCGACCAAACATATTACGACATGGAGAGATGTTATCCCAGTGACTGATGATGCAGAACCAGGACTCGCCAATCAAGCTTGGAAACTTGCTGCCGCAGCCGCACCGCCACGAACTCGCCGCACATCCGTTACTTCATCCACAACACACAGCCACAGTGTACATAGTTATGATAAACACACCGAAGATATAGCAGCGACAACATCCGACTGGGTAACCAATGACAACATGGATCAAACCTCTTTGGAAACCTCTGGATGGGGAACAAGTGAAAACAAGAATCAAGTTTCAATGGAATCATCTGGATGGGAAACAAATGAAAACAAGAATCAAGCGTCTTCAGAAACCACAGGATGGGGAACTAGTGAAAACAAGAATCAAGTTTCAACAGCATCTTCTGGATGGGAAACAAATGAAAACAAGGATCAAACCTCTTTAGAAACAACAGGATGGGGAATTAGTGAAAACAAGGATCAAGTTTCAACATCATCTTCTGGATGGGAAGCAAACGATAACAAGGATCAAATGTCAATGGAGTCTTCTGGATGGGGAGTCGATAATAACAAGGGTGAAACTGCTTTGGAAACGCCATCTTGGGGATCGGATGAAGCAAAGGATCAGACATCAGCGTCATGGAATTCTCATCATCATCAGAAGGACGAGGAAAAGCATATGGAGGAGCCAATGTCTACTCAACAACCAGCTGCTAACAACGAAGCTAACCCTTGGCAAAAATTTGCAATAGAAGAAGTTGCCCGACAACCACCATCAATAGCCAATCTGACTAGTTCTTTGAAAACAAGACCATCAACACAGGCTCCACACCATTCAACATCATCAACAACAAGGAACATTGAAAATGAATCTAATGCCATACAAATACCTCAGCAAACAACAACTGAAGCATTGGAAGATGATTCATGGGAAACACTTCAACATCAAATGCAGCAATCTTGGACTACTTGATGATTTTTTTTTTTTTTTTTGTGATTCCCCACATTAATGTATGCATTATTTTTATTATTATTTTTATTATTAGTTTCTTTCTATGTAGTACTCAATTTTTTGTTATCTAAATTCTTAAAATAAAAAAAAACTCTATTTTTTGCGCCACGTTTTTTTTCTTTTTGAAGACCCGAACACACTTATATATATTCTGTCTCTTTCTTTCTTTTCATTTGACATTAACAAAACTCTTCAATGACCGCCAATGAACGTATCAGTATTATTAACAACAAAGGTGAAAATATTGTTGGTATCCTAGAGAAAAAGCCTGAACTTGACGCTGGACGCAAGCAGCCTCGACTTATGCTTATCAGTCATGGTGTACTAGGTATCTGAAAACATTAAAGTTGACATGCAATGGTTTTACAAATGACAAATCTACTTGTACTTGACCTTTCTTTTTTATTTTTACATTATGTATAGGACATAAGGACTATTTATTTTTTAGACTTCTTGCACAAGAACTTCCTGTGAGCAGTTTCCGCTTTGACTTTAGAGGCAATGGAGATAGTGAAGGACAAGCTGGATATGCAAATATGGCTGTGCGTACTTTAAGTTTTCTTTTTTTTTTTTTTTTTGCTCAGCATTGTTGTACTGACCCTTTTTTTTTTTTTTTTTTTTCCTGTAGGAAGACGCTGATGATATCGATACTGTGGCCTCCTATTTTAGAAAAGAAGGATATGAAATTTTTGGTGTTATTGGACACTCTCGAGGTTAGTGTATAGTTAAATTTAATGAATGGATATTTTAATATATATATATATTTCTTATTGTTGTATTCTTAGGTGCTGTTGCATGTTTGAAATATACATCTAATTGTGAAACAGCTATTCCTCATGTCATCAATTTGTCTGGAAGGTACAAGATGAATGATAATCAAATATACAAGAATAGACCAGAAATTGGTGCTGCTTTGGATAAGGATGGTTATTTCAACTGGGAAGTGAAACAGCGTGATCGTATTGTACAAATTCAAGTGACAAAAGAAGATGTGGATAAATTCTGTTCTTGGGATAACTCTTATGGTAATATGGATATAATCATGGATCATCATATTAGGAACTGACTTTTTATTATTATTACTTTATTTATCATAACATATATAGTCAAGAATATGCCTCTTTCTACATGTGTTTTAACAGTTCATGGTATCAATGATAATGTAAGCTATAATCAATATTATAGACTATGTTTTTTTTTTATGATTTTAATATAATTGTTTGATAGATTGTACCTGTTTATAATGCTGCCATGTATGCCAATGCTATTCCAAATCATACTCTTGTCTTACTTCCTGATGCTGATCATAACTTCAAGGGTCATTTTGAGGAAGTTGTCAAGACAATTGTGGATCATTTGAACGATCATGAAAATGACGCTTACAAGAAGATGGATACCATGAATTATCCCTCTGCTGTGTTGATTCCTCGTTGGATTGATGTGGAAGGTGTTAAAAACTTTCGAGATGTTGGTGGATGGCCGTTAAAGGATGGTACTGGTTACGTCCGAGAACGAACTGTGTTTCGCTGTGCTCAGTAAGTTCTTACTACATGAGAAGAGAAAAAAAGAAAGTGTTTATATGAGGGTATTATTTGAACTGACAAACACTTTTACACATATTTATAGCTTGGGCCAAATTACCCCTAAAGGAGTAAATGTTTTACATCAGTTACATGTCAAGGCCATCTTTGATTTTCGGGCAGAACCTGAAATTGAACGTTATGGGGAATTTCCGTAAGCAGATTTTTTTTTTATTTTTATTTAATATTCCAATCAATTCATTCTTTTATCTCTCCTTTTGTTCTAGTGGAGCCGATGGAATCACTGTCTATCCAAGTTCGATGTACTCCAAGGAAGATTTTGAACCTGAGAAGATGGCCGCTAGTTTTCAAGACTATTTTGATGGACCTCCTGGCTTTGCAAGATGTAAAAGTAATATCCAGACAAAACTTGATACTAATGATATTACCTTTTTGATTAGCATATATGCAAGTTTTATCAGTAGCAAAGCAGCAATATGGCAAGATCTTTCATTACATGATCAAAGAATTATCGCGTGATTCGAGAAACTCGTTGATTGTTCACTGTACTGCTGGCAAGGTAAAAAAAAAAAAAAAAAAAAAAAGGTTACACCGTAGGTTGATTTGCATATATTTACAACCTTTCTTTATATTATCTCACGATTATTCTATAGGATCGGACTGGATTATGGTGTGTGCTTTTGTTGGGCTTATGTGGAGTTGATGAAGAAGTCATTGCAAGGGAATATGCATTAACCAATTTGGGATACTGGGGTAAGACTCAAAAGAAAAAAAAAAGATTGTTGATTTGTTAATGTTCATCATCATCTTTGTATTATTTATAGTGGAAGATAAGGAAATTGAATTTCGAGCCAAGTATACCAACACTACTTTTGAACAAATGAAAACTGCCTGCTCTGCACCGTAAGTAATGATATTGATAGGATGAAAAGATGATACGCGACGCCACATCTTCTATGATTTTTTTTATTTTTTATTTTTATTTTTATTATTATTATTTATAGATATGAAGCTATGAAGATCTTTTTGGTGTCCGTGAAGGAAAAATATGGATCTTTCGAGTCATATATTCAAAATGAATGTGGATTGACAGCAGATGAATGTAGCACTCTTCGGCAATTGATGGTGATACCTATTCCGTTTGAACAAAAACAACTCTATCGCAAAAAAGTGGACTCGACATAGAGCACAATGCTTTTTTTTCTTTTTTTTTTTTTACAATCTACTTGGGATAGTACCCTATGTTTAGTATTTAAATATATATATCTGTATGTATTATTATCTTTTAGTATAGTGAATTGGTTTGTCGTTAGACATTTGAACTTTTTATTTACAAATAAAGGGAATAAACATCAACAAAAAAAAAAAAATTATTGACTACATAGAAACGATTGATTATCGGTTATAGATAGATGAAGTTTCATGGTTTTATTTCTTGATCCTTCTTTTTCAAATTCATGGATAAAAGTCAAAATGAGAAAACAAACGAGTTCGTTTATTCAAAGGTATGATGTACATTGGGAAGACTAATCTAATTATCTGGAATCAAGATTCTATCAAAGGAAACTAATAGTAATGATGATGATTATAATTTTCAATAGAGATGTATGGGAAGAACTTCTACAATAAAGAAATGGCGTGCATTGATTGGTCAAAGTAATTTTTCAAGTCATGTTGTTGTATATATCGATCCAAGATTTGATCCTTATCATCAAGAGAAGGATACAGTTGTAATTCACCAGGTTGTAGAATGTATTCATCCAGACCATCTATAAAACATTGATTAGCGTTGAGTAAAAAAAAAAAAAAAAAAAAATGGATAAAGTATTATAGGTTGTCTCTCTTTTTGAATCATCTTACCTTGTTTCTTGCATAATAATAATACACGGTACATAACAGTTTGTCGCAGTAATGCTAGTGATTCGATGTTGGAATATCCTTTTACGCATTGATCAAGACGCTCCCAACTATTAAAAATAATAAACAAATGGAGTCAATATTTAGTTATTTCAATGAAATTAATTACTTACTCATCCCTTAGATAGATGGTCTTCCAAATGTCGTTCACAATGATTCTAGGATCATCGGTATTTCCATCGTTCTATATATATATAAAAACCACAAATCAATCAATTTTCGTAATAATAATATAGTATCACCTCTTTTGAAATTCTTACCGATAAGAGTTGAGTGAAGTAAAGAGCACTCACATAGTTTTCGATTTTTCCACCTTCATTGTCCATAGACTTGAGTAGAGAAATGAATTTTATGGGTTTCAATGCATTGCCACATAACAAGTCATGGTAGGAGATACTCTATAATAATAATAATAATAAAAAAAAAGAAAGATAAATAAGAATCCTAGTTTCTTGATCTTTTTTCTTTTCCTTTTACTTACAAATTCGTCACTAGAAGGATTGTTCTCGAAGAAGTTCGATGCTGTTCTACGGATAATATATTCGACTTGTTTTTTGGTACCATCAAAAGACTGACCAGGCAAGAGATCCTTGAAGTTTGCTGATAGGCGTTCTTGTGACTCCATCATCTCCAACTGAATGGTGATACGTTTCAATTCAGATGACACTATTGTGTTAAAAAAAAACCAATTAGAAAGGGCTACATATAATCATCACATTTTCTTTTTTTTCCATCTATTTTTTCAGTTCAACATACCTAAAGTAGTGGATATTGGTATGGAATTGTCCTTGTCAGTCTTGTCCGCCAGGAAATATAGTTTTGCTTGGCAAAATAACATCTATAAACAATATAAATTTTTAATATAAATTTTAACGATGAATAAACAAAGTTGATGATTCGGTTCTTCTTTTTTTTTCTTTCTTTTTTTTCTTTTTTTTTTTTTACCTTTTTTTCATAAATCGAAGTTTCCGATGTTGCAAGTTTGTAAAAGATATCAGACACCAATCCATAGTTGTGATATTTCATATGATACTTTAAGGCAGTCCTTGGTTTCTTTTCAAGTATTTTAGTCACAATATGTTCATAGGCAGGATCAAAATGTAGTAGTTCTTCTTCAAAACCTATATATAAAGAAATAAAATAAACATACATATATATATATATATTAGACACTGAATTTCTTCCTTTTGAGCATCCTATTTTACCATTTTCAGAATAGTAGGAGAGTAGATGATAGACAAAATCATCCCCGTATGTCTTAATATATTGTTCTGTCATTTGCTGACATGTAATTGGAGATTGACATTGAGAGTATATAACTAACATACCACAATCTTTATATTGAATGGCCAAGGAGACAGCATAATCTTGCATGTTCAAGTCCCAGAAAGTCTTGATGATAGTGTGCTGATCATTCCGATATTTTTCAGTATAGCTTGAGAATAAAAAGTATCAAATAAGGTAAAAAAAAAAAAAAAAAAAAGTATTGTTGTAAATAAGCAAAGAATTATATCTATGCTTCCTTTTTCTTGACATTTATACCTGGAATCCGCTTGAATTTTTTCTTGATATATATTCAACAGAATGACACCGTATTCACGAAGTAGGGTACATAGGTCATGATATACATCTGTCATATTATTTTCTGCTTGACTGAGACATTTTTTGATTTCTTTAAATTGGGTTCCCAATATTTGAGCAACACCGAAAATATCGACAAGTGCTAGAAAAATATATATGAAAATAAAAGAGGCAGATTAGTTATATTGGTTATAAGTCTTGTTTCATTTAGTTTAAATAACTTACGTGAGTTATCATCAGTATTCGATTCCGGAATATATTCATTTACAAAACACCGTTCTAATAACCATACAGATGATAAGATTTCCTAATTTCATCAAGTTTAAAAAAAAAGTCAATCAATTATATTTATTATATTCGTAATTTTTTTTCCTATACCTTGATAAAATGAGTGATTGTATAAACCACTAGACAGTGTTCGGTACTTCCAAATTTTGGATAATATGACAAATGTGGATTGAGGTATTCGAAACATTTTAAAACTTGCAGTATCTATAATAACAATAATAAGCACAAGTAGAAACTAGTCAGATCAATGAAGTTTGATATTGACATCAAAAGTCCAATGATTACGTGATTTGTCAAAACTTCATGAAGGCTGCTATCTAAATTATCCGTATCGTCAATAAGATCAGCACCAAGAGCATTATTTATCGAATGTATCATGCAATATTTGACGCGTTCCAGCATTTCGGAATCGCTTGATCTAAATAAAAGATTAGTTTTAGTGATGGCATACATAAGTAGATTGTGAAACTTTCAGGCAGGGCAGATGATTTTACCTTTTTTCGTTGCAAAAGTCCATTATTTTGATACCAATATGATATGATCCAATGATGGCCAATAAATCACTGATTGATTTTCTTCCCATCTGTTTAAAAATGAAAAATGAGAATGAGAGGCTCACTCTTTATTTGTATTTTTTTTTTCTCTTTTAGATTACCATATCCATCCATCCTTCTTTCTTGATAACTTTTGGAATCCTTTCAACAAATTTGATGACATTCTCCATGTTAACCTTGATATCTTGGGTACGAGTTACCAAATCTACGATTAGATAGTCCATGAGGAGAACATGAATAATATATATATATATATATATACATTTCCTATTCTATATATGTATATATCCTTACCACCATGTATAATGTCTTGTGCTAAGCCTAAAGCCACTTCACCTAAATTATACTGTTTCTCAAGTCGAATGGGGAAATACAACGGGTTCTAAGTATAAAAAAGAAAAGCTTAGTTAACATCTTCCTTTTATTTCTAATATAACTTACTTGTTTACTGAATCCAAAGAAGATGGCTTGCTCCAGTTGAGATCTTGCAAGGTCCATATCACGACTCTATATTAAAAGAGACAAGTGAGTCAGCCTGTACAAGAAAATAATGTAACATAATACTTACTTGCGCATTTTCATAATCGATTGCATACATATTCCTATTAAAAAAGATCAATTCATCCTATTAGTACATGTAATGGTGAAAGGAAATTGTCATTCACATGTTTTTTTTCCCTTTGTTCATTCTTACCCTTCCAATTGAGATTTTGAAATAAAATGTTGATCCACTGTATATTTTAAAATTCCACTTTCTGTCGTAAATACCAAAGCTGAAGCCAATGTCGTATTATCAATAGATTCATCAAGATCCTTCATCACCGTCGTTCCGATAATTTGGTTCTGTACATGATCATTCCGAAGGACAAGAGTATGCTCATATAATGAACTTGATGTGAGCGCAATAGACACCACAGCATCATCAAAAGTAATAAAAGCAATGGTACCATGAGATACTTGAATATCTGGTCGTTTTTTCAGAGTATCGAGTACCTAAAATAAATGACAAGGATATCAATTTTCCATTTCATCCATTGTTTGACAACTTACGGTAGAATAAGGTAGTGAATATGCGTTTGTAAATATATACGGAGTTTGATCATCTTGCTTCATTGTTGATTGTTGTTTCATGCCGATAACTGCATATTGAGAGAATCTACCCATTTCTGGTACAGAATATGATACAAGGACAGCCCAATCGGATTCACTATTCGATCAAATGAAAGAAAAAAAAAGATAAGTTGGAGTGGATTCAAATGGATTATCTAGAGATATTTTCTTTTTTATTCATTACCCATATTTGTCTATATCAAGAATACGAATTTGAACATTGGATGCTAGTTCTTGAGGTAATAGTAATGGTGCAGCATATTGTTGAATCGAGGTTTGAAGGTCCATCCTCGATACCAGCTAAAATAATAATAATAATAATAAAAAAGTATAAGTCATATGTTCGAAAAAAAAACAAGGTAATGCTTTTATTTACCGTATTTCCATTGGTACTTGACAATCTCCACGTTTGGATAAATAAGGAACTGAGTACTACGATTTCTTCCCTAATATATATAAGATTACTTTTCCTGTATACATTTCTTATTTTATATATCAAAAATACCTGTGATGACCTCGCATAACCTTGTTGATACTGACATTGATGTTTTCTTTGTTTCCCGTCGGTAAAAATCTAGACCATAACGAACCTAATCGTGTTGATGGTACTGTCGTTTCATAGAGAATTGTTTCTGATATAGAAGAACCTGCTAGTTCGACCAAATACACGTTTCCGATGGATGTACCGATGATGATTTGATATAATGATGCTTTTGGTATGTCAGTAGTAACCCAAGTAACTTCTTCATGAAATCCTAATGATAACTGAAATATTGCATAATCTGATGAATTCTGTAGTGCATCAGTCCATCGAGACCAGTAGTGAATCTTTCCTGTACGCGATATGATAACGATCCCTATTGCATTGATATTCAATTCCAAATTTGAAATCGATTCGTTTGTGTCTGATGATGATCGAATGAGGTTGATGAAAGGAGGACTGACTGTACCTTCTGGCGTAGGAAGTACAATTTCTATTATGCGAGTATCCCTTTTGTCTATCTACACAATATATATATATATATATAAGATAAAAAGAGTTTAGTTCAAGTTTAATAAAAAAAAAATCTTGAATACATTTCTTTTACCTCTTCAAGTTGTATCAAACCAACCGCCCTTTTCTTTGACGCCATTAGTATGTATTTCGAAGTTAAAGACACTATTACTTGTACAGTATCTAATAAATAATAGGGTTAATTATTAAGAATATATTAACGCGATATTTCATATAATATCTTATTACTTTTTTCATTGATAAGATCTTTCATTGATGAATGTAGGTTGCATTTGTAGGATATAGAGACAGCTTTATTAAAGCTAAACAGAGTAGGATCAAGCCAAGGTACTGAATAATGCGTTGGAGTAATACAAGAGTTGTTAAATATATTCATTTGTTGTTGAAGTTGACTTGACTTGTGAAATGTATTTTCAAATGCATTGGTAGAAGTTTTGGTCATAACTTTTGTTTCATTAAATATCAAATAATGAAAAGAAAGAAAAGAAAGATTCAATTGTCACCAGCAACAGCTTTTTTTTTTTTTTTTTTTTTTTTTTTTTTTCCAAAGTGGTAGAATAAGAAAACTCAGCAAAAAAGCTGTGACTCCTCCAGCCAATAGCGAATGACGTTTGGAATACTTCAAAATAATAATAATAATAAAAAAAAGGATCAGGATGTTAGCGGTATTGAATTCTCTTGTTTTTCCCTTTCTTTCCTTTTCTTTTTTTTTTTTTTTTATTTTATTTTATTTTCAACAATGGATCACTTTGAAGGTGCATCACAAGATGATTTTACCTTTTTAGAGTACGCTGCTGACACTCAATCCTCTCAATACGACTATAATGACTTTACACAAACACAACATGATCACGACCATGATAATGATCTATCTTTGGCTTCGTTATCCCTGAACAACCATGATATAGGACAAATGGGTAATAAGACTACTGATCAAGACTTGAAATCTTTTTCCAACGAGCTTCGTTTTGAAGAAACAGATGACTTTGATAACTTTGGTGATAACCAACCCGATGAGCTCGACAAAGACTTACCTGCTCATGCATGCAAGTACTGCGGTATTCATTCACCAGCATCCGTTGTCAAGTGTGTAGCCTGTGATCGATGGTTCTGTAATTCTCGTGGAAATACTTCTGGATCTCATATCATTAACCATTTGGTACGTGCAAAGCATAAGGAAGTTATGCTTCATCCTGAGTCTCCTCTAGGCGAAACTGTTTTGGAATGTTACAACTGTGGATGCCGAAATGTCTTTTTACTTGGTTTCATTCCTGCCAAAAGTGATACTGTAGTAGTCCTTCTTTGCAGGTAAATTAGAATCAATTTATTATTAGGAAAAATTTCTAACATTTATTATTTTTATTATTATTATTACTATTAATTAATGATAGGCAACCTTGTGCTGCTGTTCCTTCTTCTAAGGATATGAACTGGGATACCTCTCAATGGATGCCTTTGATTGACGATCGGTGCTTTTTGACGTGGTTAGTCAAGATTCCTCCTGAACAAGAACAATTACGTGCTCGACAAATTACTTCCAATCAAATCAACAAACTTGAAGAATTATGGAAGGATGATACAAATGCTACTTTGGAAGATTTAGAAAAACCAGGTGTGGATGATGAACCTCATCCTGTGCTTCTTCGGTATGAAATATATATATATATAATGATATCACAATAATGAAAGATAATTAATTTATTTTAAATCTATCAATATCTCTATTTGATGATGATTCTATAGATACGAAGACGCTTATCAATATCAAAATATATTTGGTCCACTTGTCAAGATGGAAGCAGATTACGACAAAAAACTGAAGGAATCTCAAGTGAGTATCTTATACTAGAATTATCTCCATATTGAATACTATTTTAACCTGTTTTTTTTTTTTTTTCTTTTTTTTCTCTTTTAAGACTTGTGATGATATCGTTGTAAGATGGGATGTTGGTCTGAATCAAAAGAACATTGCTTGGTTTTACTTCCCTAAGCTTGAATTGGGTGAAGTCAAATTGGCTGTTGGTGATGAACTACGTCTACGTTATCGTGGTGAACTTCATGAACCTTGGGAAGATGTTGGTCATGTCATCAAGATTCCTAACAGTAAGTATATATATATATATGGAAGATTACGTCTATATTAATGATATTTTTTTTTATTTGATATGTCTGATTTTATATAGATATCAATGACGAAGTTGCTTTGGAAATGCGACGATCTAACAGCAAAACTCCTGTTCGATGTACTCACAACTTTTCGGTGGATTTTGTTTGGAAATCAACAAGTTTTGATCGAATGCAACATGCCATGAGGACATTTGCTGTAGATGAAACAAGTGTTAGTGGTTATATTTATCATCGTTTACTTGGACATGAAGTGGAACCTCAAGTGCTCAAAACACAAATGCCCAAAAGGTAATATATATATGTACAACGATTATTATATTAAGATACTCATGTTGTTTTTTATACATTTATTTGTACGCGAATAAATAGATTTTCTGTCCCCAATTTGCCAGAATTGAATCATTCTCAAGTCTATGCTGTGAAATCTGTGTTACAAAAGCCTATTAGTCTTATTCAAGGTCCTCCAGGTACTGGTAAAACTGTAACGTCTGCTTCCATTGTATATCATTTGGCCAAGATGAATCCTGGTCAAGTTCTTGTATGTGCACCATCCAATGTTGCTGTCGATCAATTATCCGAAAAGATTCACAATACTGGATTAAAAGTGGTACGTGTCACTGCCAAATCTCGTGAAGCTCTGGATTCACCTGTCTCCTTCTTGACTCTCCATGAACAAGTCCAAAACAATGATACCAATGTGGAACTTCAAAAGCTTATTCTGTTGAAACAAGAACAAGGAGAACTCAGTGCTAGTGATGAACGAAAATACAGATCATTGACTCGTGCTTGTGAAAAGGAAATATTGCAGGTAAAAAAAAAAAAAAAAAAGTAAAGATTATATATATATATATATATATATATATATATACAAGACTGACCTTTCTTTGATTACTATTATTTCTATTTTACTCAAAAGGCTGCTGATGTTATTTGTTGTACTTGTGTTGGTGCTGGTGATCCTCGTATTAGTAAACTTAAATTCCGTACTGTATTGATCGATGAAGCCACTCAATCATCTGAACCCGAATGTATGATTCCTCTTGTTCTTGGTTGTAAGCAAGTCGTATTGGTGGGTGATCATCAACAGTTAGGACCTGTTATTATGAACAAAAAGGCAGCACGTGCTGGACTATGTCAATCCTTGTTTGAACGTCTAGTTATCCTTGGTATCCGTCCTATTCGATTACAAGTACAATATCGTATGCATCCATGTTTATCTGAATTTCCAAGTAACATGTTTTATGAAGGGACACTTCAAAATGGTATCACTACTCAAGAACGTATTCGCAAGAACGTTGATTTTCCTTGGCCTGTTCCTGAAACTCCAATGATGTTCTATGTCAATCTTGGTAATGAAGAAATCTCAACCTCCGGTACATCTTATCTCAATCGTACTGAAGCCTCCAATTGTGAAAAAGTGGTGACTCGATTTATGAAATCTGGCATTCTTCCCTCTCAAATCGGCGTTGTCACTCCCTATGAAGGTCAGAGGTCTTATATTGTACAATATATGCAATTCAATGGGTCTCTTCGCAAAGATCTTTACAAAGATATTGAAGTTGCTAGTGTGGATGCTTTTCAAGGTCGTGAAAAGGATTATATCATTCTCAGTTGTGTTCGAAGTAATGAACATCAAGGTATTGGTTTCCTTAGTGATCCTAGACGATTGAATGTGGCACTGACTCGGGCAAAATACGGTGTGGTGATACTTGGTAATCCAAAGATTCTTAGCAAGCATCCTCTTTGGCATCATTTGTTGGTTCACTACAAAGAAAAGGCATGTTTGGTCGATGGTGCACTCAATAATCTTCGTGTTTCAATGATCCAGTTCAACCGACCTAGAAAAACATACAATAAGGAAGACAAATTTAGGCAAGGATTGGCTCATCAGATTGATGCTAGGGAAGCTTTTGCCAAAGCTCCATTGGCTGCAGAGAGTAAGCCGATTGTGATGATATTAGTGTTACGTTCTATTTTACTGATTTTTTTTTTTTTTTTTTTTTTTGTATATTATTATAGGTCGTCGTGGTGGGACACGTGCTTTTGGTCAAGATTTTATGCATACTCATGATCCTGTTGGTTATATACCATCTGATCTTGGTTCAATTCCTTCCTCACAAATCAGTATTCCCTTTATCCCATCAGCAACTGGACCATTTTCTCAAGACTTATCACAATCAAGTGTGTTCAATCGGAAAAACTACAAACAAGCTATGGAAAGTCAAAGTCAATCACGATATGTTCCTGGATCATCAACATTTGCCAATCATACATTTGGTTGGGGTAGTGGAAGTATGGCATCACAAAGCTTTTACAACAGTCAATCATCTATTGGATTGGCATTATCACAAAGCGATCGATTACGTATGATGTCCGAAATGGCTAGTCAAACTGGTGGTATCAATGGTGGTGTTAATCAAGGCAACAATGTATCTGGAACATCAGGACTTATGAGTCAAGATGGTTTTGTGTTTGAAGATTACAAGTCCCAAGATATGTCGACACTTAGTCAAGATTTTGATTTACGTAGTCAAGCTAGTCAAGCATACACTCAATACTAGAAAGGAATGGGATATGTATTCGTATGGTGTACTACTATATAGGTGATCCTTTTTTTTTCGTGGACGACTTGACGCTATATGGAATAGGATATATTATTCTTTGTCTGGTATGATTGGTTGGGTCCCTTTTTTTTTTTTCTTGATCAATATTATCGTTTGTAATTTATTCTTTCCCTTCCTTTTTCGATTCATTCCCATTTTCTTGTTTTGTTTTTTTTTATTCTTTTTAGTTTTATTGATCTTTGTTTCTCCATGTACCCTATTCATATATGATGATTGAAAGGAAAACAAGATGGATTCTGACCCTGTCCTCCCCCTTTTTTTTTGTATACATATATCTCAGAAAAGAATGTAATCATTATTCCTTATTGCTTATATAATATATATATATTGATGAAAATAAAGAAATAAAACTTGAAGGATGATATTTAGTGTTTAAATTGTTATTGTTTGTGATTTCACCATATTTGATCTCTATCATGCAGAAAAAGTCATTTCTTTACTTCATTTGGTGAAACAAAAGAAATGAAAAAGATGAAACTAACAAAATATCAGTGGCTGGCTGTCGTTCAATTCCACGCGCTAATAGTGCATTGTCCATTTCTCCTAGGGTTTTTTTCTCTCTCTTTTTCTTTATACTTTTTTTTTTTTATTCCTTCCTTTTTTTCTTTCCTTTTTTTTTTTTTTTCTATACTAAAGTCATGTCCACCTCCAAAAACAATTTTAATACGGTAGAGGCGGCACTCAAAAACAACACCAGTTCTAAGGATCCAACCCAATCTATCAAAACCTCTAAAGTAGATCAATCCGCAGAAAATGACAATACAGCTACTTCGTCCACATTAGCATCCTCCTCTGCAACCTCACGAAAGAAATCAAATTTGCCTACAGCTACATCAACAACATCTGGAATAAAGGCATCATCGGAAGAAACTCCTACTACCACAAGGAAATTTGCTAGTAACAGTAAGTTTTATAATAACTATTTTATTTATAATACCTATGTCTTAACTCACTTTCGGTTTTTGTATTTATTTAGCGCCAGTTCTTGATAAAAACGAACAAGTCAAACGATTGGAACAAGATGTACAAAAACTAGTCTTATGGCAAAACCCTGTTCGATCTGGAGCTTACTTTGTATTGATTTTGGCTGGCCTGATTCTCTCAAAATCGTATTCTTTGATTCAACTCTTGTCTGCAGTGATTACCTTTGCAATTGCCATCAATCTTGTTTATGTCAATGTCACTATTCAAACTCAACGCATTTTGGCCGATCGTCCTGGCGTAAATCCTTACAGGTAAAATAAAACAAAAGTAGGAAAAATTATAGATATAAATAAAAAGGATGTTGATTATAATCATATTATCAGGTTACTCATCTATTTTTTCTTTATAGCTCTCTTTTACAGGATGAATCCCTTGGAACAATGGATCGACATTTTCTTCAGCGCAGTACGGAATTGATTGCAGATGTCGTGGAAGCAGTGTTGCAAAGACTATCAAGTATTATCTTGATTGAGAACACAAAGTCAAGTACAAAGGTAAGTGAATTAAAGACATATTGATGGAAAAGAAGTACGATTTGATAATGATATTACAAATGTTTGATTCTTATATATCTTATTATTATATTGCTTTTTTTTTTTTTTTTTTTTTGTATTAGTGGCTCGCAATTTTTTATACGATATGGAAACTCTCAGCTATCATTTCTGTACGAACATTGGCTACCTTGATCACATTTTTGGCCTTTAGTGTCCCATTATTGTATAGAAGCAATAAAAGTTTCATCGATTCTCGCATCTTACAAGCTCAAGCTATATGTCAAACTCAATTGGAACATGGACAAGATAAGATTCAACATCAATTGAGTCAACTCTGTACTCGATTCAAATTCCCTCAACCTGGACCTTCCACCTCAACCACGTCAACTGAAACACCTTCTGGAACTTCATCATCATCGACTAAGGAAGATTAGGAATAGTTTTTACAATTCGTTATTGACCTGACTTGCGATTGATTTGTCTGTATACATAAAATAAATAAAAAAAAAATTCTTTATTAATATGGTGCTGTCTACGATTACCCTAGTGAATGATATACATCTTTATCCTACATAATATAACAAATCGTATCGTATCTCTATTATACAGTAGATAAATGGATCATTGTGTTGATGATATGTATGTATGAACGCATGAGGGATTGCATAAATCTGAATTTTATTGGTTCAAAAATACCACACATATATAGAAGGAATAAATAAGGAATAAGTATACTAAACTATAGTTATATATACTAAGGTCCATTGGAGGATGCCTTTTCGCGTGTCTCTTGTTCAGCTTGTTTCTTGGATTTCGATTTGGGATCAAAAAAGGGAACTTCGGCCATAGGAGTAACACGATAGCCATGTCTACATAGAAAATATCAAAAAAAAAAAAAAAAAGGAAAAGAAAAGATTAATCTCTACCGATCTTATATCCAAATATTCCTATTTTCTTTTCTATACCTTCTGCCCTCATCAAGGTGGTCAATGATAGCACAATGAAACGTACATCGGTTATCCTGACATAAAAAAAAAAAAAGAAATGTATAGTGTAAGTAATCTGAAGAATAAAGTATATCATGATTTTGGTTATCCTTTCTTGTTTGATTCTTACCCAGACAGCCACGCTTCCAGCTATCGTGAATAAATCATAATGAGTTTCTTCGTTACCAAATAATGGATGATTTCTCTTTTTTTTTTTTTTAATTTCCTTACCTTCCCACTTGAATCGAACAGAGAAATCTATAGTGTTGTTAAAAACAATCAATAAGCACATGTCATATTTTAGCTTTATATATATATATATATATATATTTTACCATAACCACCAGCAACATGATCAAAAAGGAATTTCAAAATGGCGTCAGATTCATGTTTTGTCATACCAACAATAGATTTTGTGAAACCAGGTTGAACAAAGAGAGCCTTCCAACCAGTGACAGGATGAGTACTATTATAAAAGAAGTATGAACATTTTGTTCTCATAATTCTATTCATTCTTTTTTTTACCGGATAACAGGATGAACAGTGTCAGGAGGGAATTCTCTACGAATGGGTCGACCTGATCGTTCCGCCAAGTTTTTGTGATAATCTCCAGTATGTACAGCTGATAATCCTTCGAGGAACTTTTGCATAACAGGTGATAGACGATCATAAGCTGCATAACCAGACCACCATATAGTATCACCTGTGACGATAAAAGAAAAAAAAAAGTTAATGACAATGGTTCCCTTAATTCTATTATTTTTTTCCTTTTTTTTTTTTTTTCTTATTGCATAAATCAATTATTAACATACCTCCAGTTCGAGGAGGAAGATCCACTTTCAGAATAGATATACCAGCAGGTTGTTTTTCATAACTAATATCAGTATGGATACCTATTGTCAAACCACATTAGTACGAGATGTTAAATATTTTGTATATTTTTTTAATATTTTTCTATTTACCATCGGATGCCCAAGAATTTGCAACACTGGTACGAACCAAAGGACTATACATAAAGAAGAACATATCATCAATTATTCATTTGTCACAATATTCAATATTATCTTATTTCTCCAGATTTACCTGTTTTCATCTTTCATGACAATGACTAATTCGGGAAGACCAGGAGGATGACCATTACTATTGTGAAGATGACTATAATAAAGCATGATATTGATTAGTTAACTCCTTTTTTTTTTTTTATGATGTACGTTTATCTTTATTTTCTTTTGATTGATTGCTTACAGAGGACCTATGTAAAAAAATGAAATTGAAAGAAATAGATTAATTTACCGGATGATATGATATGGATGCTTCTTTTTTTTTTTTTTTTTTTTTTTTTTTTTTTTTTACCAAAATGTCGACCAAAATCAACAGCTTGATAAGGAGTAATATCTTGATCTTTGAAGAAAACAACACCACGTTCAGCAGCAAGTAAAGCCAAGTCATTCTTTTGTTGATCAGTCAAAGTGGATAATTGAAGTCCTTCAATAGTGGTACCGACGTGAGGAGTTACATCATAAACATTTGTAGCGCTATCAAAGAGAGATGATTTTTTGGGATCAGCCAAATGTCCAGGGTCCTTATGTTCAAATGGTTCAAGTGGAGGATACTATACAAAAAAGAATAAAATGAGAAATTTATTTTCCTCTTTTGGTTAATTACCTTCACATCAGGGAACACAACATATTTTGCTCCAACTTCGCGAGCTAATTTTACGAGATCAAGTTGTTCTTCAGGAGGAATTTCTTCAGTTTTAGAAATATTGGGTGCCATTTTATTTATTTGACGTTGACAAAAAGAAAAGAAAAAAAAATTGGAAACGTGAATTCCCTTTTATACTTGTTTTTAAATACCGAAGTAACAAAGTGATGCTATGTGGTGAAAAAATGGCGCCAGCTTTAAAAACTTTATGGGGTAGTTTGTTATGTAATATGTAATCATTTCATATTTCTTATATGATAATTTTTTTTTTTAGGGAAGAGAAGGTTTAAACTTTTTTTTTATTTCTGGAAAATGACCTATTTTGGAATGACCAATGAAATATGATTGGATGAAACTCACATGAGTATTTTGTTTAAAGCATTTACCTTGAGTACATAACATCATATAATCATCGATTCATTTTGTACATTAAAAACATATAATATAAAATCAAATGAACGTTTTCAGTTAGTCATTTTATTTCAACATGAGAATTCATTATTCTCATCTCATATCAATACATCAATACTATCATACCATCATTCATGAGCAATTTACTTAATCAAATGCTATAACAAATTGACATCTCTAAAAGTTGGACGGATCAAATGATTGTTTTATTGATTCAAAAATGACTTTCACAGAACGTTCATGAAGAACATACTGTATAGAAATTCCATACCGATGAAATGTACAGATATATAATAATAATAACAATGGGACTAAACTATGACCTTGAATATACCAAAAATTATTGATCATGACGAGAGGATACCTTTTCAGGCGCTTCTTGTTCAGCTTGTTTCTTGGATTTCGAGTTGGGATCATAAAAAGGGACTTCGGCAGTAGGAGTAACGCGGTAACCATGTCTGCATAAAGAATATTGAAGTAAGTTTTGATGGATCATTATATCTTTTTTGGAACATCATCATTTTTTTTTTCTTCCTATACCTTCTTCCCTGGTCAAAATAATCAAATATAGCTGCGTGTAAAGTACATCTATTGTCCTGAAAGGAAAATCCAAAAGAAAGAGCAAGTTAGTATCATGATATGTACATCATAACATCATCATCACTATCTTCTCTTCTTTTTTTTTTTGGATTACCCAAATGGCCACGCTTCCCTCTATTATAAATAAATCATTATAATAAGTTTTCTTTTCGTTTTCATATGACATACGCTTCTTTTTTTTTTTATTCTTACCTTCCCACTTGAACCGCACAGAGAAGTCTACAAAACAGAAAAAAAAAAGTCAGTACATACCTAGCATATTCTTTCTATATATATATATATATATATATTATGCATCTTACCATAACCACCAGCGATATGATTATAAAGGAAATTCAAAATGGCATCGGATTCATGTTTCGTCATACCAACAATGGACTTTGTAAAAACAGGTTGAACAAAGAGTGATTTCCAGCCAGTGACAGGATGAGTGCTATTGCAAAAGAAGATGAGAATGGTTTATAAGAGCAGCAAAAATCAAATCGATATATTCTTCTCTTTCTTACCGAACGACAGGATGAATAGTATCAGGTGGGAACTCTCTACGGATAGTTCGACCTGAAAGTTTCGCCAATCTTTTATGATAATCTCCAGTATGTACAGCTGATAATCCTTCTACGAACTTTTGCATGGCGGGTGATAGTCGATCATAAGCAGAGTAACCAGACCACCAAATGGTATCACCTATTAGAAAAAAAAAAAAAAGAAGAAAAAGAACAACGGTCAATTTCTGACGATTGATTTTTTTTTTTGTTTTCGTATCTATAAAATTTACCTCCAGTAGAAGGAAGAAGATCAATCTTCAAGATAGATAATCCAGCCGGTTGTTTTTCATAGCTGATATCCGTATGAATACCTAGTTCAAAGTAAATAACAGCAACAAAGAAAGAAAAAAAAAAGAAGGGATCAATATGTATGATGATACTAGCGTTCTGATCTGAGATCATTTTCCGCTCTTCTTTTCATTACCATCAGACGTCCGTTTGGATTCTATTGCAGCGACAGTTGCAGGACTAATCACATGGGAAAACAAAAAAACAAATTAATATCCATATTTACCAAATAATTTTTTCTTGATTACTTACTTTTTTTCATCATAGAGGATACTAACGATTTCAGGCAGACCAGGTGGATGACCAGCATAATTGTGAGTATGGCTATGTATAATGATAAAGGTTAATAAACCATTTATTTGTGCATTGATTATCATTGATGATCCACTTGCTATCTTACTTACAGACGACCTATGATATTGATATAACGAGAGAATGAGTAATCCAATTTATCTAATTCATATTGTATATTCAAGTGTTATATTTGATTATGCTCACCAAAATATCTTCCAAATTCAACAGCTTGATAAGGGTTCAATTCTTGTTTTTTGAAGAAAACCACACCACGATCAGCAGCAAGTAAAGCCAAGTCATTTTTTTGTTGATCAGTCAAAGTGGATAATTGAAGGCCTTCAATAACGGTACCAACATGAGGAGTAAGATCATAGATTTTATCAGCATGGTTAAAGAGAGATGCCTTTTTTGGATCAGCCAAGTGTCCAGGATCTTTATGTTCAAATGGTTCAAGAGGAGGATACTATATAATATAAAGATATTATTAAAAATTAGTTTGAAATACATTGTATAATAAATATTTTACCTTCACATCAGGATAAACGAGATAATTGGCACCAACTTCACGAGCGAGTTTGCCTAGATCGAGTTGTTCTTCTGTTTGACCTTGATCGATTTTTTCAGTATTGGGAGCCATAATGATTGTGTTTTGGTTTTAATTTCAATAATAGTAATATTTTTTATAAATGGAAAGAAAGAAAGAAAGAAAAAAAAAAAGAGTTCCTGCATTTTTTTTTTTTTATTTATGTTATATCAGAATTCAGTCACCGCTGTAGTTATGGCGCGATATTTTGATTAGTTGATGAAAGAATCACGAAAGTACCAGTACAACCATTATTGATTCATCTTATAGATCTTCTATTCATAATTATAGTTTTATACCTTATTGGATGATGTAATTTTATTTTGGTGATTAGTAAAGAAAGAGAAGAAAATAAAAAGACCAGGAAAGTACATTTTATAGAAAAGTAGGTTCATTGTTTTTCAAGTGGTAGTAACAAGTTGTCAATACTAGATGAGTAGTGATCCGATGATGATTGGTTCATTTATGAAGAGAAATAATGAAAAAAGAAAAATATGTCTTGATCCTGGAAACAAGCAAATCATTAATATAAACTCTAATCATAACGCAGAAAAAGAAAAATAGTAAATAATCTATATTTCATATATGACAAGACCGTTATACAAAAACTCTCTTCTAGTCTAACATAGTTCCAATGGATAAATTGTTCATTATAATCATTGAACAAAGATAATATGAATATATATATATATATAGAGTTTTTATTTTGAAGAAAACCTTCACAACTTCTCTAAGGCTAAAACCATTCTAATTGACTAGTTTTTGTAAGGTTCAGGATAATATTGGAATATACTATTCGTCGCCATCGATTATCCTTGTGTTTTTTTCTTCCCACCATCCTTGATCATCATCCATCTTTGCTGCTGATAACAATGTTTTTTTCTTCTTCTTCTTCTTGATCCAGACATTGGTAATCTATCTGTTTGTTGCCATTATAGTTGCCTTCTCCATATCGTTTACTGTTGTAATATTCATCAAAACGTTGATGTTAATGTATAATGAGTGATTTTTTGGGAGTTGGTTAGTTGATCCTTTTTTTTTTCTTTTTCTTGTCTGCATTGAATTGATTGGATACCTTGGATATATACATATATAATGGATGGATAACGCAATGATTAGTAACTAGGAAGTACAATTAAAAAGAGTTGCATTTGTTCGTGTACCTTTTTCATATGCATTTTGATATTTGATTCATACTACTTTGTTGGTATCATACATACTCCAAGTTTATCGAATGGTGTTCAAGTTTTCTTTCTATTGCTGTCAATTCCAGTTTTATATCTATTTCATTCATTCATAACCATTGTCGAGTCAACGAGAAGGAATATGGGTATATGATTAAGAACTTCATATCAAATTTCATTCTGTTATCGTATGCGTCGAGTCAGTATATTAAAAGAAGATCACAAGAAGTTGAATCATAATAACAATGTTCATTTACAATATAATTAAATATGAAATGCGTAAAAAAAAAAAAAAAAAAAAATGAATGAAATTCGGCATAGCTTTTTTCCATTTGATTTTATTAATCTGGGTTTGGAACAGAGACAATAACGCGTAAGATCTTCAAAGTTCAAAAAACTATTACTTAATCTTTTTTGAGTTTCTTTTTGATGATATTTTTTTTTTATGTTGAATGTCAAATGTTCATCATCAAATGTTCTCCCACACACACACACACACACACACAGAGTAAATACAAAACTTATATAAATAAGCTTCAAATTAATTCATTTTTATAACCTTTCTTTTTTTTTTTTTTATCAACAAATAAACTAAAAAAAAATGACTCCCAATGTTACAGAATCATCAACTCTTTCTGAAGAAGAACTTAAGAACTTCGATCTAAAGAAATTAGTTCTTGAAAATGGTGACTATACAATTTTTCCTGATGTGGAGGTGAGGAAAAAAAAAATATGCAAAATATTATTTTAGGTTGACGGAATTTGAAACCTTTCTTTCTTTCTTTTGTAGTATCCACCTTTGGTTTCTTTTGAACATGACGACCCTGGAAAGCGTGCTGATCCAAACATGACTTCTCTTTTTGAAAAGGCTACTAAAATTGAAAAACTGACACCAAAGTTGGGTACTGTTATTTATGGTTTACAATTATCTGAACTTACTGATCAGCAAAAGGATGACCTTTCTCTTTTATGTGCCTTACGGGGTGTTGTATTCTTCAAGAAACAAAACATAACTCCTTATCAATTTGTTCAACTTGGAAAATACTTTGGTCCTTTGTAATTTATATAAATATCATATTTATACAATATTAATCCTTTTTTTTTAAAAAAAAAAAAAAACAAAAGACACGTCCATAATGCTTTTGGTCATCCACCTCATTTTCCTGAAATCTCCACCATTTACTATGATCGCAAATCGGCAGTAATTCAAGAAAAGTTTAGATATTATCGATCATCAGATGCTTGGCATAGTGATATTTCTTTTGAAGAACAACCTGGAAGTTTATCCTTTTTGAAAATTGATACTCTTCCTTCTGTTGGAGGTGACACTACTTGGGCAGATGGTTATGCAGCTTATGACAAATTAACACCTACCATGCAGCGTATTGTAGGTAAGACAAACAAAATCAATAAATAAATAATAATAAAAAAAAAAAAGAAAGTAAATAATATCCTATTTTTATATATTATATAGATGGATTGGAAGTGGAACATACTGGGGAATATCATCGTCAATTGGCAGCAGCAAAAGGAACCAAAATTAGAAGACCTTTTATTGATCATGTGCATCCTTTAGTTCGTACTCATCCTCTTACTGGAATGAAATCACTCTACTTATCACCCATCTTTACCTCTCGTATTGTTGGTCTCTCCTTGCATGAATCCGAAGCCATCTTGAAACTTCTTAACGATCATGTTATTGGTGGTCATGATTTCCAAGTCAGATACAAATGGGAAGAAGATGATGTTGCTGTATGGGTATGTGACACATAAACGCAAACTCTTACAATATACCTCTTTGAATTCTCACGCGCCTTTTTTTTTTCCTTTGACTTTAAAAGGATAATCGGTGCTGTGTACATAATGCTATTGTTGATTATTTTGATGAAGGACTACGTAAGTTGTTAGATCAAAAAAAAAAAAAAAATGAAGGCTTTCTCACATTTCCCTTTACAGGTCATGGATATCGTGTGACTCCTCAAGGTGAACGACCATTCTATGATCCATCGAGCAAGTCTCGTCGTCAAATGGAACAAGAAAAGGCTGCCAATGGAAACAATTAGTGATGATCTTCTTAGCAATTACTTACGTATCTTTACAGTTATAGTTGTTTGATACAGTGTGTAGTTTATCATACTTTCTGTCTCTTATCTTTTTTTTTTTTTAAGAAATAAACTATCTGATTGATCACCTGGAATATTTCGAAATCAACTATTTTTATGGAAGATTGATTCTATCGCATGGCATGATAGATATCCGTCGAGATGATGTTCATCATGATGATGATAATTGACGGGGATGATGGTTGATAAGGATGATGGTTGATGTGGATGATGGTTGATGAGGATGATGGTTGATGGCTATTAAGAATATTGAGGATAATGACAAAAACAGTAATGACAATGATAACAACGGGACTAAAAATATAAATGTAAAATATAAAGAAATATGATTCATGATCAACGTCAGTCTAGGTAAAGGTCCATCAAATCGATCATTATCGTCCATCATCATCCATTATCGTATATCAAAGACAGATCAGAGTTTTATTTCTTTATTTCTTTATGGTAAATGAATATTTAAATAGAGCTGAAGAGATAAAACATACGGTTCGAAGTGTGTAAAAGATGGGAAACTAATAAAAAAAAATGGTAATAAATAAGAATAAAAAAAAAGAAAGAAAGGGAGAAAGCAAAATGAATACATAAATTGGGAAGAAGACGGGAATGAAGAAGTATAAAATAAATAAGAAGATAAAAAATAAAAGCGAAATAGTGTTATTGATTTCATGGAATGCCATCACTTGTAGGAGTACCGGGTGCTTGATTCAGTACTTCATCTAGGCTAACGTGGCGAGTCAATTCATCATATACCTATAATAATAAATATAAATTAAAATCATAAAATTATACTGTACACTTCTGTTTCAATTTTTTTTTTTTTTTACCATTTCATCTAATGGGATAATACTCTTTCGTCGGAATTGTTGGAATTGTTGTGGATCAGGTTCAAACTGTTGCTACAAGAAGGGGAAAAAAAAAGATTAAGTAAGGGTTGAATACAAACCAAAATTTACTAGCTTTCATCTATTGCTGTCCTTTACCATATCAGGATGAATATCATCAGATTGTTCAGTATGTTCAACGGATTCGGATTGTCCTGGACATGTTTCATCTTGATCTTCTTCATCAAAGTCCATAGTATCATCATAAGGTCCTACATACACGTCATAAAAAAAAAAAGAACAAAATAAAAAATACGGTTATTGTTCTTTTGATTTCCATTCCTTCTCCTTATTTTACCTTGTTTAGCAGGGAATGAATAACTAAGTGAAGAAGAAACAACTACAGACGCAGCTTTTGTCTTCTCTTTTAGTATTCTCCAATTTTCTTCACGTTCCTTTTGTTGTTTGCGTTCCCTACAGAATCGATCAGTTTCTATTTTTTTATTGTTTCGCTTTTTTTTTTCACTTACAATTGTCTCTGAAGTTTGTATTGATTAGCACATTCATCAAATATGACGGGGTTAATATCCATACATAATTTCAATGCAGTATATACGAGGCCAAGAATAGTCTTATTCCAATGAGTTTTTGATGTTCGATACAAGGCAGGGAATACAATAGGCATAATGACTTGGATATTTTCAGCAATAAGGCTTACAATATAATCATTGTTCCAATAATACAATGATCGTTCGGCCACCTAAAAAAAGGGGGAAAGAATCATTAGTACAGTCTAATTTTTTTTTTCTTTCTTTTATTTTACTTGAAAGTGAGGACTTGAGACACATTGACCAAGTTTTGTGAAAAGAGGTACCATGATTCGTTGAAATTCACAAGCATCAATTATATCCATCATTTCTTCAATTTCATTCAAAAACATGACTTCCTTGGGACTATTCACCTTTGGCCAATAACGAAGTAATCCCATCACAACCTAAACAATCATCATCATCAGTATAAATATCTTCTTTTTTTTTTCTTTCTTTACCTCTTCAGTTAAAGTTTGATCCTTTTCAAGAAATTGTACCACACAATAAGCCAATTGAGGATGATAAAGAGCCAAAGATTTGACTTTATGTAATGGAATCAAAACACGAGTCAAAAAGATTTTGTGTTCTTCTTTCAAAGGCAAAGCAAATCCATTGATGATACTTCCAAGAATTTCCAATAATTCAGCAATCCCATTATGATGTTCGGTTTCGTAAATGAATTGAAAGAAGATGTTGTTGATAGATCGTCGAATGAATGCACGAAGGTTGAGGAATTTACCATATATTCGGTGTAATGTTGTTTTTAAAAAATCCCTTTCACGAGGATCCTCACTATCAAATAAATCCAGTAACTATATATTCATAAAAAATAAAAATAAAAAAATTAAAAGCTATTCAATAGGAAAATTCCTTTTTTTTTTTTTTGTTATTATTATTATTAGTTTTTACCTGATGAATAAATTTATGATCAATGTGTTTTTTAGCATAATTGATATTAAATTCAGGTGATTCCAAGAATCGTAAAAAGAATTCATAAACAACTTGTAAATGAGGCCAGGCTAATTCCAATACAGGTTCATCTTCTTCAGGGTCAAAAGCATCACCCACTGGATTGACTTGAGGAGGAATAGGACGGAACAAGTTGATAGCAAACTAAGGAGAGAGAAAAAAAAATAAAAAGAGTAAAATTAGGATTTATATAATTTGTAAAGGTTTTTGTCTTACCATATTGATAATTTCCGGATAGACCATTTCAGTCAATACGTTCCGACCCATAACAATATATTCCAATATTTCTTGTAAGGTACTTCGTTTGATTTCTTTTTCGTTGAGTTCAGCTGAGGCATCACTAAAGTCAAATACCACTGTACATTGTCGAATCTTTTGAATAAATAAATCTTGGCGTAAATGAGGAGGTACCTCTATATATATATATATATATATATATATATATATATATATATATAAGAGTAAAAAACTGTCAGTATATATATAGAGAGAAAGAGAGAGAAAGAAAAAGGCCATCATCATCTACCAAAAACTTACCGTGAAAAGCAGGAGTTCTTTCCAATTGTACTTTTTCAGTCACGTAGAAACGAGATGATTTTTGTCGTCTGGGAGCTTTACTGATAGGGATCTGATCTTTTGGAGCATTCTTTAATCTATTCAAAGCACCTGTTTTTGGAATATCGCGTTCAGTAGATTTACCACCATGATGCATAAAAGAAACACCACCTGGTGAACGAGTTTTAGACTATATAATATAAGAGATGAGAAAAGACTTCTTTTTATTATTATTTTATTTTTGTTCTTACCATATCTTGATGACTTTCTGTATTAACAACCACAATAGAAGGTGCTATCGGTAATTGATTTGTTGGGGAAACTGGATTAACCATGATATATATAAAAGATGAACTAATAATAAATATAAATAAGTATATAAGATCATCAACTTAATAATATAGTATATTTTCATCATACTTAGTTTGTTTTGACTATTCAAGATGGACAAGGAGTTCGAGATGACTGTAAAAAAAAAAAAAAAAAGATGATGGGTAAAAGTGGGGAGAAAGAATAGAAAAGAAAAGAAAGAAAGAAAGGAAGATAGATAGATAAAAGTCAGATGAAGATAAAAACAAGTAATAAAATAAAAAAATGGGAGGAAAACCTGTGGAAGAAGGAAGACAATGGCCTTCTTTTTTTTTGGGTCTTTTTTTTTCTTTTTTTCTTCTTTTTTTTTTTTTTGCTTTAAAATGAAGGGAAGAAAAAGGAAACAACTACCGCCGCCAATTTTCAATGATAAAAAAAAAAAAAAATGGGGGAAGAGCGGCAACTTAACGTTTCTCCTTCCACCTTTTTTTTTTTTTTTTCATGTTTTACCAAAGACCGGTAAATATTCTATTATATACTTTTTTTATATTTATTTACTTTATTGTTTCTAGTTATTAGTTATTGGAGGTGTTGCACTAGATATTACTGCAACTGCTTCTACTAATACTAATAATGGTATTCAATCATTATTACATACTTCTACTCCTGGTATTGTTAGACAAACTTTAGGTGGTGTAGGTCGTAATGTGTGTGAAGCTGCTTTAAGAACTGGTACTTCTTCCATCTTATATTCTGCTATTGGTAATGACTTGGCTGGTTCTACTATACTTAAAGGAATGACAGATATGAATATGGATACCTCATTATTAGATGTCTTACCTACCAAAGCAACAGCAGTAAGATATATGCATATTTTTATTTTTATTATTATTACTGAACTTATTCTTTTTTTTTTTTTTCTTAGGTATACAATGCTTTTCATTCCAAGGATGGTCAATTAATTACTGCTGTAGCTGATATGGATATTTTTGACTCATTATCGATGAATAAGGTCAGTATATAAGAAGAACACATTGTAACAAACTATGGTGAAATTAATTTTATATTTGATTAAATCAAATAGCTTCAAGATGTGTTTAAAAAATTCCATCCATCCTTAGTATGTTTTGATGGCAATATTACAGCAAAAGCAATGGAAATGGTAACTTCTACATGTGTATCCTTTGGTGTACCTGGTAATTATCTATTATTATACTTACCAATTATACTTGATTTTGATCCTTATGATATTCTTTTATAGCATTTTTTGAACCTACTTCTATACCAAAATCACTCAAGATCTTTGATTCATCAAAAACTCTATTATCTGGAGCCATACAATATACATCACCAAATCAATTTGAACTAGAAGGTATGGTAGATCAAGCGAAAACACGATTTCAATCATCATCCACCGAAAAATCAATGTTACAATATCCCGTACTACCAACCAATGCTCCACCAATAGCACATCAAACATTACCAGATGCATTATATCTCTCCAATTATATTCCTCATATTATCACCAAGTTAGGCGAATATGGTTGTCTATATGTGGGACCAAAACAAGGTCAAAAACATCAAAAGTCTATGCATTATTTTACACCCGAATTTTTGGATCCTGATACTGTCAAAAGTGTTACTGGAGCTGGAGATAGGTAAGACAAATATATATATATATATATATTAAGACAATTGATTGACTAATCTACGAATCCATCACTTTTGTATTACCCTTATTTTTTTTTTTTTTAAGTTTTGTGGGTACTATCTTAGCCAATCTGGTGAAAAACCCTTTCCCTGAAGATCTCAATATATGGCAACGAATTATTCCTTTTGGTCAACAAGCAGCAATCCGAACTTTACAATCAGATTTAGCGGTTAGTCCATTAATTGATAAAGATTTATTATTATAAAATAGTTTAAAAATTGTTGTATTTTAGTTACATATTAATGAAGATCATATTCATTCTTTTTTTTTCTTAACTTTTTTCCGAACTTTTTTTTCGTTCCTGATGAATCACGGTGATATCCAAAATGATGAACCGATAACATTTTTAAGTCCCGTCGTCGATGGCAGGAAGAGGTGACTGTGAACATGGGTAGTGGTTTTTTTTTTTTTTTTTTTTTTTTTTTTTTTTTTTTTGAAGGGGAGAAAGCCTAAATGGTGTGTGTCATTCTTTTTTCTTTTTTTCTTTTTTCTCTTTCTTCATCTTTTTAACTTTTTATTTTCACAACATGTTCGCTGCCACTCGTGCCTCTGCTTTCGCCGCCAAGCGTGCTTTCTCTACTTCTGCTGCTAACCTTTCCAAGGTCGCTGTCCTTGGTGCTGCCGGTGGTATTGGTCAACCTCTTTCTCTTTTGTTGAAGGAAAATCCTCATGTTTCCCACTTGTCTCTCTATGATATCGTCAACACTCCCGGTGTTGCCGCTGACTTGAGGTAAAAAAAAAAGGATCAAATTATTACATGGTTTTGTATTTTTGAAAACTTCATTTATTTATTTATTTATTTATTTTTCTCTTTCTCTGTAGCCACATCAATACTAACTCCAAGGTAAGGCAAAAAAAAATAAAAATAAAAAATAAAAATAAAAAATAAAAACAAAAATAAAAAAAAAGAGGAAAAGAAAGGAACATAAGACGTGTCAATAATAGATATATTGGTTTCATTTCATTTCTATAGGTGACTGGTCATACTCCCGCTAACGACGGTTTGAAGGCTGCTCTTGAAGATGCTCATGTTGTTGTTATCCCTGCTGGTGTTCCCCGTAAGCCTGGTATGACCCGTGATGATTTGTTCAACACCAATGCCTCCATTGTTCAAGGTCTTGCTGAAGCTGCTGCCAAGTAAGTAATTTACGGAAAGAGGGGTTCATATGAAGATTTATATAAAAAACATCTGAATACTGACCGTTATTTTATTAGGTACTGCCCCAAGGCTCACATCCTTATCATCTCTAACCCTGTTAACTCCACTGTTCCCATCTTTGCTGAAGTGTTGAAGAAGGCTGGTGTGTTTGACCCCAAGCGATTGTATGGTGTTACTACTTTGGATGTCGTTCGTGCTTCTCGCTTTGTTGCTGAAGTCAAGAACCTTGATCCCAAGGATGTCAAGGTCACTGTTGTTGGTGGTCACTCTGGTGTGACCATTGTTCCTCTTTTGTCTCAAACTGGTCTCGATTTCACCAAGGAAGAATTGGATGCTCTTACTCACCGTATTCAATTCGGTGGTGATGAAGTGGTCAAGGCTAAGGATGGTACTGGTTCTGCTACTTTGTCCATGGCTTTCGCTGGTGCTCGTTTCGCTAACTCTGTCTTGGAAGCTACTGTCGGTGGTAAGAAGAACATTGTTGAACCCACCTTTGTGAAGTCTGATGTGTTTGCCAAGGAAGGTGTTGAATACTTCTCTTCCCTTGTGGAATTGGGTCCCAATGGTGCTGAAAAGGTAATTTAAAAAAAAATCATTCTCCTTATCCTCATCATTGAATTTTTTTTTTTTTTTTTTTTTTTTGATAGATCCATGGTCTTGGTGAAATCTCTGAATATGAACAAAAGTTGATCGATGCTGCCATTCCCGAACTCAAGAAGAACATTGCCAAGGGTAACTCTTTCTAAGTTGATTTGGATTAGATAGTTTAGTGTAGATTGAAAATTGGATTAGTTTAGTTATGTTATATATTATTATTTTGTTATCCTTTGGAAATCTTACATTGATGTAATATAATAAAAATAAACAATACATTGTTTGTCAATAATTGCAAGTGATCCATCTAGTGCGGGGTACGAATACGCAAGTCGTCCAACTGGGACGCGTCATGTTGAAAAAATGTTTTTCCCTTTTTTTTCATTTTTCTCTTTTCTTTCTTTTTCATTTTTTTTTTTATCTCTCATCAAAAACATACATAAATCAACACTACTTGATACACTATGATTTCTGCATCCGAACCACATGATGGCATGTCTGTTCCCATCGAACATCGATTTGAACCTTATGATGATAATGGAGGGTAATTAAAGGAGAAAAAAAAAAACAATTGAAACTTTTGATATGTAATTTTTTTTTCTCTCTCTCTTTTTTTTATTATTATTAGAACCAGCGTGGCTATTGCAGGCGAAGACTTTTGTGTGATTGCCGCAGATACAAGACAAAGCACTGGATATAGTATTAATTCACGAACATCACCAAAAGCATACGTTTTATCCGACACATCTGTTATTGCCATGAATGGATTCCATGCTGATGGTTTGACTTTGAAAAAGGTATTGGAACAACGATTGAAGGTAAGTAATAATATCAAAACAATACTTGTATATAATAAATCTCATTATTGTTTTAATAGTGGTACAAATTCGCACACGATAAGGATATGTCTTGTGATGCCTTGGCTCAAATGCTTTCAAACACATTATATCAACGACGATTCTTCCCTTACTATGCGTTTTGTGTTTTGGGTGGTGTAGATGAAAATGGTAAATATACACACAGATATTTATATATAGGAAGTATGATCAACTTGCCATTTCTTTTTTTTTGGATTTGATAGGTAAAGGTGGTGTATACTGTTATGATGCTATTGGTTCTTATGAACGAGAATTGGCACGAGCATCAGGATCTGCCTCTGCTTTGATTCAACCATTCCTTGATAACCAGGTAAACTTTTGATATAATATATATATATATATATATATTTGTATAAAGGAGCACTCATCCTCTAGTTCAATTTTTTTTTTTTAAAAAAAAAAAATTAGGTGAATCGCAAGAATCAACAAAATGCATCTAAGGAACCTTTGGAACTGGACGAAGTACTGAGGATTGTCAAGGATGCCTTTACATCAGCTACTGAACGTGATATATATACTGGCGACAACCTTCAAATCTGTATCATTAGAAAGAATCAACCTGTGGAAGTACAACATTACCCTTTGAAAAAGGATTAGCCTTTTTTTTTTTTTTAGTAGTCGAAATAAAGTATATTTTTTTTTTATTCTATTGATTTTTTTTTTTTTTTTTTGATATGGGATGATCTATAATTATTATGATTTGATAGGTGCTTTGACGAGAATGTCTTTTCCACGACGTTGACCCCAAGCAAGACATAATCTTTTTTGATGATCATTCAAAGTGAGCAAGACGTTTCTTGCGACCAAGCAATCGACAGTAGACCAATCATCGATCAAATAACACTCCTTCATTTCAAAGACAAGCAAGTTGAGGCAATGATCACGCAGAGCGTGGATGGCATGATTGGTGAGTTGTTGACAATGGTTGACGGAAATACGTTCCAGGGCACCACGACGATAATGAGCGAGGGCAATGATAGCATCATCATCAATGGCACAACCAGCCAAACCAAGCACTTTGACTTGTGTATGTTGGGCGATGCAGATGATGGCTTGACTGGTAATGCGTTGGCTTTCTTTGACACGGCCAACGTTGAGATGGGTCAGTTGAGGACAACCTGTGGCCAAAGGGATCAAGCTGATGTCTGAGATTTGCCCACACGCACGCACATCCAGATGTGTCAGTTGTGGGACATCGCGTGCTAGCTTCAACACCGTCGCATCCGTTACTTGGCAACATCCCGCAAGCGATACATGCGTCAGATACCGTCCGCTATGACTTATCAGTGTCATCACCGCATCATCTTGAATCCCGTCGCAGATGTACAACTCTAGTCGCTCCACGTATTTGGTATGTTTTGCTAGTTGCATTAGTGTGAAGTGGACATCCTTGTCCTTGAGACGCCGGAGTGTCAGGGAGCGCAAGACTTGTCGGTAGAGATCATGCCTAGATGATGATGATGATAATGATGATGATGATGATGATGATAATGATGATGATAATGATGATGATAATGATGATGATGATGATGATGGTGGTGGTGATGATGGTGGTGGTGATATTAAAGGTGTTGACAAAGAAGGTATGGTTGCTTTCTTTTTTATGGTGCACTTAGAGATGGAGATCCGATGATGATGATGATGATGGAAAGGGATAGATAAGGATGACAGCGTAGAGGATGATACTGAAATGGGAAGAGTCTTCGGGATGATGGGTGTTTGGCTTAAAACGCTTGTGAATTTCTGTAGTGCAGTCAAATCAGCAATGGTATCTTCAAATACCACATTTTTCCATAGATGACGCACGGTGCAATCATGCCATAAGCGATTGACAAAAAGACAGGGATGTAACAAACGTTTCTTTCGATGAAGGATGGTAGGTTGAGCGGAAGAATGATAAGGAGCAAGGAACCATAAAATTTGACTGATCAGCTCAGGTAATTGGATGACAAGATGTTGTTGTTCTGGATGAATCGTCATTGATGATGAAATAATATAAAGAAAAAAACACAAATAAAAAATAAATAAATAAAAAAAGAGAGAATGGTCTTGATGATTTACGTGACTGATCAGAAGAATAATAAAAAAAAAAAAAAAAAAAAAGAAAAAAAAAAAGTTGAGAAATCCAACATATCAATCATTAAATTCTTTGTCTTGTCGATTATTAATATCTAACACATCAACATCAAGGTAGTGATAATTATGATGATGATGATGTAAATTGTTTGATTCATCACGGAGTTTTTTTTTCTTTTAGTCAAAGGAGAAGAAGGAGAAGGGGGAAACATTCCTTTTCATTTCGATGCCCACAGACGTATGTCATGAAAGCAGAATCAAATCCAAAATAGGGAATGATGCTTTCTTTATCTCATCCACTCCTTTTTTTTTTTTTTATGCTTCCTCTCCTCGCCCAGCTTTACATTGGTTCTTATGAATGCAAATTGATTCCACCTATATGCAACTTAAAAGACAAAAAAAAATCAACCTCCTTAAAAGATCATCATTAAAAAAATATATGCAAGTAGTAGGTTGCCCGCTTTCTTTTTTTTTTTAAACAATTTTTGTGGACAGTGCGTGTGATATATGCTCCTGAGTGGTAGTGGGACATAGTCCTTTTGGCCTCTTTGCGTCAAAACGCCAAATCACCTACTCCACGTATCATCATTATCATCATCATCATGCTCTTTAACATATTTTATGATGGGAAAAAAAAAGTATATAACCAAGCGTACATAAACAATCTTATATTCTTATTGCAAGTAATGTTGATATGAACACAAATACATGGAATAAAAAAAAAATTAGATTTTCTCATTTTGGGTTCTTTATTAAGGATGATTTGTTTACAACAATAAAAAAAAAAAGATAATGATATCATATGCAGATCTAAAAAAAAAAAAAAAATGTTATAGTATAAATAATAAAGGGTGGAATCGAAGGAACAAATGGTCTAATTCATCATAAGTAAAGCTAACTAGCTAACTAATTAACAACAAGAAGGAGGATTTTCTTCTTTTGTCCATCCAGGTCCACAGGTACAGAATGCCTTGGTCAGTTCCTTGACTTCTTGAGATATACGATCCACTTCTCTTTTCACCACATCTGTCATATATTCTTCTTGTCGGTAGCCTATTAATGTGTCTTGCAAATCACGAGGAAGTGAGCTGTACAACATGCGTGGTGATCCTAAGATAAAGAGAGTTGCAAAAGCAGCATGTTGATCTACTTGTTGGTCTCCATTATTATCAATCAATGGTGGTGATGGTTGACTTGGGTAAAGAGTTTTGAACACAATTGGATACAGAGGAGATTTTGTCGTATCTTGCAAAAGAAGTCGAATGTAATTTTTGGCTTGATCGGGTTGGTGCTGTTGTTCTGAATAGGCCTTTGACGATGCCATAGATTGACTGGCCAAAATCCGAGTGAATTCAGGAGGAACATTACGAAGGACCACTTGAATTGCATGTTCTAATGATCTTGGCTTTTCCAACCACATATTTTCAGGTATACGTTTACAGAATGTTTGAGCAATGGTAGACCAATTCAGTAAAGTAGGGACGATGGATGATGATGATGACTGTAATCCTGTTGATGTTGTTTTATTGTTTTGTTGAGTGGGATTGCAAAGACGGACAGGAGGATGTTCTATGTCGTAACTGATCAAAAAGTAACCACGAGGTCGACCGGTTTCCTTATCCACGGGATTCATAGATTCATATAAAGTATCAATAGGACACCAATAACTAGGGTATTTGTATCGAGCAGTATCCAGAACCAATACCATCTTGCTATCAGGGTTGTAAGCACCAATAGGAGAGAAATGTCCATCCCCAGTTTGACCAAGTGTTTTTCGAGAAAATGATACAACCAAAAACTTGTCTGAACGTGCTGTCACATCGATCACATCTTTTTGAAATTCATCAAAGCTAAATGTTGGAGCTCGTTTGGCTATCACTTCACTATGACACTTGGCAAGACAGGCAAACTTGTCAAAAGTAATCCCATTTATTTTCATTTCTTCTTTAGACAAACAACAATCCAAGAGTTCATCTAATAATAAAAAAAAAAAAAATTGAATTAATAAAAACCTATCTATCATTATTGTTGATCTATGACCTTTTTTTTTTTTCATACCAGAATACCAGCGCCAGTTTCCTTTCCACTTTCTCTTAGGATCCACTTCTAAAGCATTCAGCACCATAGCCACTATAAATAAATATATAGGAATAAATAGATTAGTCATCATAAGAAAAAGTTATATATATATATATATATAACTTACAAGAGCTAGGACCACAATAAGCAGGTTCCGATTGAGTTGTAAAGTTACCAGTTAGAGGAAAGAATGCTTCAGCAAAACCCAATTCCATAGATTCTCTAAACAGAGACTTGCCCTTATCAGAAGAAAAACGAACTAATGTTGCTGGAAGTTCCCGTTGATAAAAAGTGTTTTCCAAATCACGATTGGAGTCATTATTGAGACCAAGAAGATCCTGAAAAGCTGCAGTAGGGTTGGCTGGAGGAGGTGAAGGTATATGTGTTGAAGAAGACGATACATTGACTGAAGATGGTTCTGAAGAAGAATTGAATGAATGCTTACTTTGTTGGTCAAGTTGTTGTGATAAAGGTGGAATACTGTCAGGTCTTTTGTTGACTTTGTCCAAGTTGGTAGATTTGGCTGTAGTAGTTGATATACTTCTTGAACAATTGGCACATAATGGAGTAGTCTTCAAGGGTAATTCTTTATTGACTTTTTTCCTTGAATGTAATCGTAAAGAAGAAGTAAAGGCTTTCATACACATGACCTTATTTTTTATTAAAAAAAAAAAAAAAAGGAAAAAAAGAAAAAAAAAAAAAGAGAACAAAAAAGTTGACCCTTTTTTTTTTTTTTCTTATACATTCGGTCAGAATTCACTCTCCGCTTATGAATCTTTTTGCTCCAGCACCATGCTGAATAACGAAGGAACTTCCTCTTTTCTTTATTGCGAATAATGGACACTCTTACTCTTCGTGGTACCCTTGAAGGTATGGAAGGATTATTTATTTTATTACGAGAAATATATGTGAATAGACGGATGGATGGATGGATGGATGGATGGATGAAATGACACAATAGTAAAGATATAGAAACGATCAACTAATAGACCTCTCTCTCTCTTTTTTTTTTTTTTTTTTTTTTTTTATGATGCGCATTATTTACGATAATAACTTTTAACATATTAAAAAGGTCATGGCAACTGGGTCACTGCCATTGCTACTACTGCTGAAGCTCCTGACATGGTCTTGTCTGCCTCTCGTGGTAAGAAATTGGGATATGAAATAAAATAGAAACGACAACTGCATAGACGATAAACGGATTATCGATGGAAAGGAAAAAAAAATGGAATATTGATATTATTTATTATTATTATTACTATTGAATAGACAAGTCTATCATTGTCTGGCACTTGACCAAGGACGAAGTTAACTATGGTGTTCCTCGCAAGGCCTTGACTGGACACAACCACTTTGTTGAAGATATTGCCATTTCTTCCGATGGTCAATTTGCTTTGTCTGCCTCTTGGGATAATTCTTTGAGATTGTGGGATCTTGCTTCCGGTGTTACTACCCGTCGCTTCATTGGTCACACCAAGGATGTTCTCTCTGTTGCTTTCTCTGCTGACAACCGTCAAATCGTTTCTGGTTCTCGTGACAAGTCCATCAAGTTGTGGAACACTCTTGGTGAATGCAAGTACAACATTACCGAAGACGGCCACTCTGAATGGGTTTCCTGCGTTCGTTTCTCTCCTAACCCTGCTAACCCTGTGATCATCTCTGGTGGCTGGGACAAGATCGTCAAGGTGTGGGATTTGACCAAACTTAAGCTCAAGGCCAACTTTGTCGGTCACAACGGTTATGTCAGCACTGTTACTGTGTCTCCTGATGGTTCTCTCTGTGCTTCCGCTGGTAAGGATGGTGTTGTCATGTTGTGGGATTTGAACGAATACAAGCACTTGTACTCTCTTGAAGCTGGTGATGTTGTCAATGCTTTGACTTTCTCTCCTAATCGTTACTGGTTGTGTGCTGCCACTGCTTCTTCTATCAAGGTCTGGGATTTGGAATCCAAGTCTATTGTTGATGAACTCCGTCCTGATTTCACTCAAGTTGGTAAGGGTCGTGCTTTGGTTCCTCAAGCTTTGTCTCTCGCATGGTCTGCCGATGGTTCTACTCTCTTCTCTGGTTACACTGATAATCTCATCCGTGTCTGGGTTGTCTCTCGTACTCTTTAAATTTAACTTCTTTTTTTTTCCTTTTTTTGTTTTGAAATAAACGGACCTGTCTTCAATTAAAAAAAAATATATATGTATACTATTTGTGTATGATATTGTGATCGTGGATAATTTGATATAATGATGTTTGATGGATGAGGATGGTAGATGATAAATGGTTATTATTATTAAATAATGGGTATTTCGAATGATGATGATCATGATCAAAAAGTTGATGATTGTCCTCCTTTGTTCGAGTAATCCCAAAAAAATAACAAATCAATATGTATCAAATACTGGCTATGTTTCATCTATATTAGTAGATTTCCATGTGTATAAATAATAAGTCTTTTATTGGATACAATTTGTCAAAAAAAAAAAAATCTATACAATCTATCATAATTTTCTAAACCCGGCAATTGGTAAAACCCATCACTAGAATATCAGTAGCACCTACATCACTTAAAGCATCCATAATATCACCCTTGAGTTTCTTTTCGATCATAGAAGAGACAGCCACCCAACCTTCGTGAGAATCCAAACTTGAAATAGTAGGGCCTTGACGTCCAGGAGTGATCTTGACAGCTGATGCCAAATTTTGACGTTCAATATTGTAGGTACAAAGAACGTACTTGGAAGCTGTGATAACACCGCGAATACGAGAGGTCAATTTGGTAATAAGATCTTGATGTGTAGAATTCTTGTTGCCAATCAATACTGATTCGGTTGTCATCAAAGTGTGAATATCGTGAAGACCCGCAGCTCGCATTGTTTCACCAGATTCTAAATAACAAAAAAGGAAAATGAGTCAGTCAATGGGATGTAAACCAAAATAACCAAGATATATTGTTAATACGTACCAACAAGATCGACTATTAAGAATTAATATAGAAATAAAAAAGGAAGAGATACATATATATAAAAAAAAAAAATAAAGTGAATTAGTAACTATAACAAATATCATGAAATCATAACATTCCTTTTTTTATTATTATTATTATTATAATTATTCATTTATATTTTGTAGTTACTTACTGATACCATCGGCGAGACCTAAAGCACAAGCAGCTTCTACAGATCCAGAGACATAATTGATAGTAGTCTTCTTTCCATTTTTAGCATCTAAAGGTTCAAAGACCTTACGAGCAAAAGCATCAAAGCTAGTGACAATACGCTTTCCACATAAAGATTCCAAAGTTTGATGTTCTCCCTTGACAGGTACTTGTACACATAGTCGACATTGACCAAATCCAAGTTCCATGAGTTCAGTTACCTTATCCTTGACTTCGTTTTCTTCCACCATATCTTGACCAGTAATTCCCAAGTCCACATTACCTTCAGCTACATATTTGGGAATATCAGCAGCAGGGAGGAAGATCAAAGCAACTGGTAGATTGGTGCTAAGAGCAATATCTTGTCGTGATCGACGATTGAAGTGAATGTCAGAACCTTGTAAAAGTTGTAAGCATTGTTCATAAAGACGACCTTTCTTTGGTACAGCAAATAATAGTCGATTATCAAGATCTTTAACGAAATCCATAATATATATAAAAAGAAGAAAAGAAGAAAAAAATAATGAAAGAAAGAAAAGAAATAAAAAAGCCCATTTTTGTTTTTGTTTTTTTTTATTTGATATACATTCGTGTCGGAATATAAAAAAGATGACTGGAAATGATAAAAAAAAATTGCTTGATTTGATATCAAGAATGTTCTACACTGCAAACCTTTTGATTTTCTATTATATCTATACCAATCTATATCTAATGTTTAACTTCTCCACCTAAGATATGCATCGTTTTTTCAAACATAAATACAGCAGCAGCATTTGTTGGGAAGCTTCGTAACAAACTAGGACCAAAACCTATTATAAAAAAAAAAAAAAAAGAGAGAGAGAGGAAGAGAAGAGTATACGTTAATCAACTTTTGTACTCAACAAATCTCCGCCATCTACCCGCATTTTCCTTTTTGTATCTTTAAATTACCTCTATAGAATCCTCGTAAACCAGCTGTTTGATAAATATATTTCATGACAGAAGTAGCTGTAGGGTATTTTTTTGGGACTATGTCAGGCTGAGTCATATAGGTATTTTTGACTAAATCTATTGTTACAATAAAAATACATCCAAACAAAAAGGTGAGTCGTATATAGTTATATATATATATATATATATATAGTTGTACTTACCAGATGGGAAAGCACCAATCCAAAATAAAGTTGCACTTAATCCACCAGCAATAAAAGTAACTGAACCATCTGATAATCCTTGTTTCTTCAATTCTCGTACAAATACCTATAAAGAACAAATACATAAATATATATGATGAGGGAGGTGATTCTATTTTATATCAATAATTTTACATCATAAGATCCCCAAAAGACAAAGAACCAGCTTCGAAATGCCATAGTTGGAAGTAATCCAGTCCATAAACCCTGAATACCATTATTACGGACTATCTTGCGTACACAATCGATAGGACCTGAATAAACTTTGGTGGCTGCATCATATTGAACTTGTAATCGAGCCTTGACTTGTTCAACTGGAGTGGCCACAAAAGATACTGTAAGTCCACCTGCTAAACCTGCCAAACCATGTTGAAATGTAGATAGAGGTCGATCACCATTCATGCGTTGCTGTAAAATACGAGCGTTATGCAATGTTCCTAACCTTGTTAAAAAAAAAAAAATAATGATATATCATTTTCATTGCCCTTATCGTGATATCCTTTTTTTTTTTTTACCTTACATGATACTATCCATAAAAGCCCAACCAACCAGTGGTGGAGTACTTCCTCTATATAGAGCACGAGGTCCTTCTAATTTAATAGTTTTCATTAAACAGTCAATTGGTCCTTTGAATCGTCCTTCTGCAGCTGTACTCGTTTGTAATCGTACTTTGATAGTATCTATCATTTTTATTAAAATAAAAAAGTAAATTAATTTTTTTTTTTTACTAACTTGAATATATAAATAATATTCTTTTACCAAAAGGATGACCAACTGCTAACTTTGTGACTCCAGATACCATACCAGCGGCAAAACCACGAAAACGATTATAAATCGAGTTGTCATGTAAATTAGGATCAGCCTTTTCTTTTCCAGTAACTACTAAAAAAAAAAAAAAAAAAAAAAAAAAAAAAAAAAAAAAAAAAAAAAAAAAAAACGCTAAGTTAGTTATGTATATACATTAGATAATTATATTCTAACCTTGAGCCATATATGTATATATATTATAAAAAGAAAAGAAAAAGATTGAAAAGTGAAGAATGATCTTTTTTTTAAAAAAAAAAAAAAGTTAAATCTCCAATCAGGATAAATGCTGTGTTTTAAAGTGCAATGAGTCAAGTGGCTATAGATTAGTTTTATTCAGGGCACATCAAATAGACTATGAAATCAAATATAATGACTATATCTCATAGAAACTAAACATCAGATGATGAATTATATATATAAATATACGTTATAATAATAACTATTAAAAGTAGTATACTAGTCGAATTGATTTTTAATCTAATTTGTTGTACTGCAAAATGATATTGATTAAAATATTTCATTTTTCTCTTTCTTTAATGGTAGATCGCCGTACAGATTTGTATGTCAAAAGGCAATGATCATTTGAATCCGAGATGCATATTGGGGTCTTTTATATGAATATGACGCCACTAAGAAGAATAATCATTTTTATAAAGTATTTCTTTTTACTTTTCAAATAGTAAAAGAATGATTATATATTTTATTTGATCATTTTACCATTGACCTTCTAATAAGGGCAGAATTTAGCTACTAGAATGGATTGAAGGCTGCTGGTTGGTCAGCAATACCTGTGGAGTTTTTTTTTTTTTTTTTTTTTTTTTTTTTTTTTTTTTTTCTCTCTCTTTATTTTTTCACACACCCATTTTTTTTTTTTTTCTTTTTCTTCTTTACGCCCCTTTTCTTTTTTCTATTTTCTTTTCTTTTTTTTCTCTCTCTGTTTTTGTTTATTTCTGTTTTTTCTCTCTTGGACAATGTCACAAAGTGCGGCAACCTCAACAGGCACTTTATCTGATTTAAACTTTGGAACTTTTTTTGGTTTTGATCAACTTAACGGCAATAACAACAATAATAATAATGGCAACATTGATCTGGAGAATAAAAGGAAGAAGAATCTAGATATTATTTCCTGTATTCATTGTCAAAAGGTTTATATAAATATATATATAATAATAATAATAATAATAATATTAATAATGTATATATTCATTTCTTTTTTATTTATTCTTTCTTTGTAGGCTCAACTGACTTGTGATGGTTGTAAGTAAACAGGAGAGAGAGAGAGAGAGACCCCATGACCACAACTGACCATACTCGCTTTTTTATTTTTATTTTTTTTTTTTTTTTTTTATAAACCTCGAACTCAGCACGACCTTGTCAACGATGTATTAAACGTGATTTGGCAACCACTTGTAACGATGGTGTTCATAAAAGAGAAAAACAGGAATCATATGAAGATTGTAAGGTTACAAATAGTTATTATATTGGAACATCTTAACTCAATAATTTGTTATATTATATACATATATATATATATATATAGTTACTCCTCCTACCCCATATCCACAAGAAGAAACTACAATGGGTAAAAAAAAAAAAAAAAAAAAAAAAAAAAAAAAAAAAAAAAAAAAGATATTAGAAGACAATAAATTTTATTGAACTTTTTATATATTTCTAGGAACAAGCTTTTTGGATACAAGTCAGTTGTTAAACTTCTCTCTTGCAGACCTTGGGTTCGGGTCAGAAACAGCCGGACTGGAGTATGGCATTATTGGGAATATGTTACAAAACCCTATGGATCTCATATCTGGTACAACAAATACAACAACTGCAACAATAACAGCCTCATCATCATCACCAACCATAACTACTCCTACTCCTACTTCTTCCATCAACAATATTACATCATCCTCGAACGTTATGACTCATACTATTCCCACTACAACATCTTCTATGCCTTCAACATCACCTCTTTCCCAATCATCTGTTACCCCAACCTCCTCCTCTCATTTAGATCCTATGACCTCAATCTCTTACAATCCCACTACAACTTCTTCGTTCTCTCCTAACGCCATGTATCCCTTTACTCCTACCGTCTCTACTTCGTCTCCAAATACCATGATGTTAAATCATCCATCGCTCGCCCATTCACAACAACAAGCTATAATCAAGCAACAACAGCAACAACAGCAACAACAGCAACAACAACAACAACAACAACAGCAACAGCAACAACAACAGCAACAACAGCAGCAACAACAGCAGCAAAAACAGCAGCAACAGCAGCAGCAACAACAGCAGCAACAGCAACAACAGCAACATCAGCAACAGCAACAACAACAACAACAGCAAAAACAACAACAGGCGAACAATAGGTCGGCTATATCACCGAACCATCAACATCATCATCCTAGTACCATCAAACGGGAAAGTGTGGCGTCCACATCCAGCGCAAATAGTAGTAGTCGGAGGAAAGGTAGTAATGGGAACACTCCTGAACAGGTTTACAACAGTGTCAAGAGACCATTCAATTATGCCGAAGGATTTCATTACTTAATTCAGTATGTGAAACAAAAGTAAGTTATTTACAGAATTGATTTCCCTCCCTTCCCTCCTGTTATCTCCAGTTTTACTAACTTGTTTTTAATTTATAGAATGGGTAGAGATGATCTGATGAGGATTAGTCGTGCATTGGCTTTGATTCGACCTTCCTTTTTGGCATTGATTATGAACTTGACAGAAGAGGATCTAGTATTTATGGAAAAATGCTTCCAACGAACTTTATTGGTAAGTAGATGATAATAAACAATGGCAATTCCTCAGTGATCATTGGAAGAAGGAGGTAGTCAATTTCTTTTAACATGTATTTTATTATATCAAATTGAATAGGAGTATGAAAAGCTGATCAGTTTCTCGGGAACCCCTACTGTGGTATGGAGAAGGACAGGAGAAGTCTGTTTAGCTGGCAAAGAATTCTCATTACTGACACAATGGACCAAGGATGCATTACTAGGGAAGAAAACATATATTTATGAGGTAAAGAAAAAAAAAAAAGACTGAAAATTATTATTATCATCATGTGATTATTGTTGAGATACATTTAACTTTTTTATTTTTTATTTTTATTTAGTTGATGGACAATCAATCAGCTGTAGAATATTGGGAACAATTTTCAACTCATGCATTCGACAATACTGATAAGGCTTGTATTCATTCTTGTATCCTGCGAACTCCTCAACAACGACCTGTACCATGTACTTTTTGTTTCACTATCAAGCGTGATATTTTTGATTTACCCAGTGTAATTGTCGGCAATGTAAGTGAAATTAAAATAGAGGAAAATCATTAAATATATTTCATATTGACCTCCTTTTTCTCATTCTCTCTCTTTTCTTTTGTAGTTTTTACCTATACTTAGTTGATATTAAGCTTCCTTTTTATCTTTTATTGTTTTATTTATACCGCGCCTCAAATTCTCCCTCTCCTCGATTACCCCTCACACCATAGCCCTACCTCATTCGTTTACTTTTTACCATAGTTTTATTTTATTTTATTTTTTATCTGATACGCCTCTTCTGTAGCTCTTTATTTTCTTTCTTTCTTTTTTTTTTGGCATTATATCATAATCTACTTTTTACCTTTTTTTTTTTTTCTTTTCTGAAATTAAAGAATTTTATACAGTATTTTACCTATATTATCATCCTAATTATGATTAATAATGTGTTGTAGTGCTAGAGAAAATTGGTCATTTGGCATCTTATGACTAAATGATGATGGTTCTTTTTTTTTTTTTTTTTTTTTTTTTTTGTGCTTGACCTTTGATCTTTTGGTGGTTGATGAGAAATGGTAGCAGTTGATGATAGATGATGAATGATATGTACTAATATGACAGGTCATGGATAAGAGATAACATGTGATAATACATCAAGTAAAACTCACTGTCATTTACTTTTTGATCGTCCCGGAGAAAAAGGAAATCAATGCAGATTTTATTATACATTTAGACTCTTTCAAAAAAAGATAAGTGGCCAACCTTTTCTTGTTTATTAGTGGTAATGATGATGTACATATATAGTTTATAAGAAGAGAGATAAATTATTATTATTAATTTACTGTTTACAATTTTTATCGCCTAAAAAGCACCATTTGATTGGAATGACACCAGTCTTCGCGTCAGCCAATTTGTTAAAAACAGATGGTGTCATGTCTAAACTTTCTACAAAGTAAAAACAATACAATGAGAAATTGATGAGCTGATAAATCTTTTTTCTTTCTTTTTTTTTTTTTTAACTTACTTTCTTTACATCCAGGGCATGCATCTTGTACGGTAGCCACAGTTTTTTTATTTCCATATTCTATCAGTACTTTTTCACCACAAAATCGACTTTTTTTATTCATTGGACCATATTGAGCCGAATTCTAATCAATACAATGAGATGTATGAATTGTAATGATAGATTCGAAAATATATAAAATAATAATAATAATTTACCAATGCTACGATATCACTTGAGGAAGATTCTTTTTTACCACCACAAGCTCCTTCTGCTCCACCTTGAGACACTGGATCAAAAAAAGTACCTGAACCGGAATAGTAATCATCGTCTCCATCATGTTCACCTTGATCATCGCTTTGTTGTTCAGCCTTTTGAGGTTTTTTCTTAATAGAAACATCGCCATTTGTCTTCTTATCACTTTGTCCCTTTTTTTGAACAGGTCGAGCTTGCGCAGTCATCAATATTGTCATCATCCAAAGACATAACGTCAATAATAAAACCATACTTTTACATAACATCTTTTGCTACCAAAAAAAAAAAAAAAAAAAAAAAAAAGAGGACTTTTGATATGAATTGCAAGGGAATGGAAAGAATCACATTTGGTATTTATAGTTGATGGACAAAAAAAAAAAAAGACAGTGATAACTCCTTGTAATGCAAGAAATAGGGGTTTATGTATGTAAAAGTTACGATATATTTGCTGTTGCTAGTAAGACGGAGTATGTATGCGAAAAAGAAAGACGAGTATTGGTGATATAAAAATAAGAAAGGGGTACACTGTACAATCTGCACTGTAGAATACCCTTACTGAAATCACTTGCTCGTTTAGTAAGGTTAATTATACAAAAATGTTTATTTCAGAGTACAAAAACGATGATCAAGTGTCTACGATAAATTAAAAATAAACATCATTTCCTTTGATATAAAGGTTCATTCATTGTAGTGATTTGCGTTTGCATAATGAACTTTTTTGGGAAATTTATTCGGCCACCGCTTTGATCATTGTCAGTGGCTGGAATTCGAAAACAAAAAAAAAAAAGTTCCATTTCCTATTCTTATCCTTTTTTCTTTTTCTATTTTGACATTGTTCTTTTTTTTTTTTTTATGACCTTACTGCTTCTTCAAGTATCTAGGCGAGTGACATGTTATTCTAGATATACTCGTCGTATTGGCAATATCTCCTTTTTACAAAACTGCCAACGACCTTATTCGAAAAGCACGACAGAAGTAAGTAAACGAAAATGACAGTTCTTTTTTTATAATTAACTAAAAGAAACATTCATGTTGTTAATTAGAAAATAAAAGCAGCCGATCCAACGAAAACTATCGATTTACCATCCTTTCCAGCTGAAAATATACGTAACTTTAGTATTATTGCTCATATTGGTAAGTATATATTATATACTGAATGGAAACTATGAACTAATCACCATTCTTTCCTTTGTCTTTTTTTTTTTTTTTTTCAATGACCAATAACTTTGATATAGATCATGGCAAAAGCACTCTGGCTGATAGGTATTATAAAAAGAGAAATCGTGATGAATTTAAATATTGACATGTATTTTTTTTTAATAGATTACTCGAACATACCAATACCATATCTTTACGAGGATCCAACAAACAAGTTCTCGATAAACTCAAAGTCGAACGCGAACGAGGGATTACCGTCAAAGCACAGGTATTAAAAAAAAAAAGAATTGAAAAAACAATTATGTCATAACTAATCAATTTGATCTTTATATATGGTTATTATTATAGACTGTGTCCATGTTTTATAACTATAAAGGAAAAGATTACTTACTCAATCTCATCGATACTCCTGTAAGTACAAGAATCAATGGAAAATAATTGATATATATCATCTCAATAATAACTCTTATTACAAATAGGGTCATGTGGATTTTAGCTACGAAGTATCACGATCATTAGCAGCATGTCAAGGTTGCTTATTATTAGTCGACGCAGCCCAAGGCATTCAAGCACAAACTGTGGCCAATTTTTATTTGGCTTTTGGTGAAGGATTACATATCATACCTGTTTTGAATAAGGTAAAGGAGAAAAAAAAGGGAATAATTATTAACAAACGATTGATTTGAATGTTTTGAAAATGATAGATCGATCTTCCTGGTGCTGAACCTGAACGTACCATAAAACAACTCGAAAGTGCATTTGAATTAGATACATCATCTGTTCTTCAGGTAATAATTTGATAAGGATTGAAAAATACATATATACGATCTATTGATTTTTTTTTTTAAAAAAAAAAATAGATCTCTGCGAAATCTGGTATCAACATTGACTCCATCTTACCAAGCGTTATCGAAAACATTCCATGGTAAATTGTATTTATATATATATATATGTAGAATGATATTGATCCAGGCTTTGTCTTTTATTTTTATTATTATTATTGTTTGTTTCTAGTCCTTCTGGGTCCATTCAAAAACCATTCCGTGCACTGTTATTTGATTCTTGGTATGATAAATATGTGGGTGTTGTCTGTATGCTTGGTGTTGTCGATGGTGTATTACGAAAAGGTAATCATTGTCTACTAATTTGTTATGATTATTCATTTTCGATTTCTTATATAACACTATGTAGGTGACAAGGTATTATCAGCATATTCAGATACCAAATATGAAATTACCGAAGTAAGTGGATTTGGAAAAAAAAAAAAAAGACAATGAGTGGATGTTTTATATATCTTTTGATCTTGAGAAAGGTACTAACTTAAGGTGAAATATTTTATCTTTTTTAGGTTGGTATCATGTATCCGGAACAAGTCCCAACCGGTTATCTGTAAGTTGATTTCTTCATATCAGAACAAAAAAAAAAAAAAGAATGTTACCAATAAAAAATCTTATCAATGTATAGGCACGCTGGTCAAGTAGGTTATGTGGTGTGTGGGATGAAAAGTGCTTCTGAAGCTCATATTGGTGATACTTTCCATCATATCAATGAAAAAGTCGAACTTTTACCTGGTTTTCAACCTGCACAATCCATGGTAATTGAAGAATAGCTGTATATATTGATTTTTTTTTTTTTTGTTCTGATCTTTTATCTATTCAAAACAAAAGGTATTTGCAGGTATCTTTCCAGTAGATACAAACGATTTTAGAAAATTAGATGATAATATCAAGAAGTTAACGTTGAATGATGCAAGTGTTAGCGTACACAAGGAAACAAGGTAAATGACTAAAAAAAAAAAAAAAAGGACAACGACTGTCATGGTTCAAATCTAATTTTGATCTTTTTCCTTTTTTTTTTTTTTTTTTTTTTTTTTAGTAATGCTTTGGGACAGGGATGGCGGCTTGGATTTTTGGGAACTTTGCATATGGATGTTTTCCGACAGCGATTAGAGAACGTAAGATAGATGATATATATATATATAAATAAGGATAACTGATTTATTCTTTTGTTGGAATAGGAATATGACGCTAATATCATTGTGACTCAACCAACGGTACCTTACAAAGGTAAGACATGAAATATTCAATTCACATTGTTTCTTATTCCATCCATTCTACATTCCATAGTGGTATTCAAGGACAAAACTACGCGTATTATTAGAAATCCTTCTGACTTTCCCGATTCGGAAGAAAAGGCGTTCAAGGTGTTACGATTGGAAGAACCCATGGTCTTAGCAACAATGATTTTTCCGGAAGTAATATTATCAATCACTTTAAATCAAAGATAACTGACTCTTTTTTTTTGTATAATGGTTAGGAATATATGGGCAAGATGATTGAACTTTGTGGTGTAAGCATTTCTTTTTTTTAAAAAAAAAAAAAAGGATTATTCATTTATTTATTTATTTATTAGAGTCGTCGAGGGGAACAACGGGATTATGTTTATGTTGATGATAAACGGGTGATGATGAAATATGTATTGCCATTAGCCGAAGTAGTGCAAGATTTCTATGATGAATTGAAAAGCCGCTCATCTGGGTATGCGACTTTTGATTATGAAGAACATGGTTATGAAGAAAGTGATTTAGTCAAGGTAAATTCACAAGAAATGAACCAAAGTTAAAAAAAAATGACATGATTTTTTTTCTTCATTTTCTTTTATATTAAAAAAACATGTTTTTATTATTACTATTATAGATGTCGGTGTTACTGAACTCAAAACCAGTGGATGCTTTATCTGTGATTTTACATCGATCTCAAGTGGAACAAGTTGGTCGAGATTGGGTTAAACGATTGAAAAATGTCATTCAACGACAACTCTTTGATGTGGTTATTCAAACAGCTTTGGGATCTAAGATTGTGGCAAGAGAAACGTAAGGAAAAGAAAAAAAAAGAGTCGAGATTTTTGACTAGACAGTGGAGTTGAATGGACAAAATCTTTTTTAATTGCACCAACTTTGTTTTTTATGATATATTTTAGGATATCTGCACTCCGCAAGAATGTTACTGCGAAATGTGTAAGTTGACAAAGTAGAAAAGGAAAATGAAACAGTAATCTTATATATATATATATTTGACTTTAGTATGGTGGTGATGTTTCAAGAAAAATGAAATTATTACAAAAGCAAAAAGAAGGCAAGAAAAGGATGAAATCAATAGGTAACAAAAAAAAAAATTTTTTTTTCTGTCAACAATGCGGATGATTGCCTTTTATGGCCTGCGTTTGACGCTCACTGACTTTTTTTTTTCTTGTTTTCTTATTTTTCCTTTTTTATTAGGCAACGTGGAAGTCCCGCAGTCTGCTTTCTACCAACTGATGGACAAGAAATCATAGAAACCTTTTTTTTTCTTGGAACCTGTTTTGTATCATAATGTATCATATATAGATATTCCATTAAACAATAAACTACTGTATTTTTTTTTTATTTGAAGAAGATGATAAATAATGACTTTATTAGGGGAATGTATTAAAAGTTATAGACCAGGGTAAAATATATATGTGATTATACAAAGTAGGACAGAGAGAAAAAAAAACAATTGGTGTATGTGTATCAATAATAAAAGAATAAGATAATAATGATAAATAAAAGAGTAATGTCACTATAAAAAGAAATAATAATAAATAATAAATAATACTAACAATAATAATAATAATAAAATAAGAAAAAAAAAAAGTTCAATAATTTAACCTAAAACGCAATTTTTGGGAGTAAGAGAGAGTTTCAGGGTACTGCCACGACGACCAGAGATGAGATCTTCCAATTCCTGTTGTCGTTTCTTCTTTTCCAAATCACGTTCTAAACGAGATACAGAAGGAAGTGTTGTATCGGATGCATATCGTTGTAATTTGTTTTTTTTCGAGGATGTGGATGATGATCGACGTTGTTGTTGTTGTTGTTCGGGTGAAGAGACATTATAAGTTTTAATTTTGGAATGAGGGCGTAAAGGTGTAGATCGACTTTTCTCCAATGACAGGATGGAATGATCAGCAGAATGAGTGTTGTGTGAAGAAGCTTTGGATGATAACAAAGAAGAGGCTGAAGTAGATCTAGAAGACGAAGATAACGTGGCGGTGGATGAAGATGATAACGAGGTGATGGATGATGATGACATAGTAGCAGCAGCAACAGATATAGCAGCTGGTGAAGGTAATGGAGGTTGTTGTTGTTGTTGTCGTAAAAGTCGTGATGAATGAGATGTAGATGAACAAGAATGTCGTCGTAAATTCTTCTCATTTTTATCAGAGATCGATGATGTGGATGATAATGATGTGGCTGATGATGTCTTATTGGTAAGTATTTTCTTCTTTTGTTGCTGAATAATGGGTGGAGGATGTTGTTCATATTGTTTCAAAAGAGTCGGGGCAGGATGAGTGGTATGGTGAAGAGAGTGAGAACGGCGGCCACGAGGAGTAGTTGGCGACATCATGGGTGTCACAGACGATGTGATTTTTGTTGCACAATGAGGAGAAGAGGGTGAGAGACAAATGTTGTTGTTGTTCTTTGACGACGTTCTTGCTGTTATAGAACGGCCTGAAGGAATAGGAGGTGGTGGTGATAACGGTTGATAAAGATTATGACGTGCAGCTGCAGCTGCTGCCGCTTCCATAGGGTTGCTTCTAATTTCAAATGAAGTTCGTCTAGGTGAAGCCAAAGAATAGATGTTTGTTGAGTGTTGTAATACTGGAGAAGAAATCATGGATGACTTTTGATCAAGGGCTAATGGTGAGACATTAGATTTGGACTGTAACATTCTTTTTATCCTAGAAGTATGTTTGTGGTCGCTTTTATTATTATCCAACATTATGTAAAAATAAAAAGTAAGAAAAACAAAAGAAAAGAAAATAAAAGGAAGAAAGCGGATGAATATCCAAATACGAGTCTATTTTATTCTCTTTTCCCCGCCATAGTAACCAATTTTTTGCAATTAAGCCGTGATTTTTTGTTTTCCGCTAATATCCCATTCAACTCCATCCCATTCTACTTTTGGATATGATCAAAAAATAGTTTTGTCAAACAGAATAGTAACATTTCAATTACCTAAAATAATAGAGAACCATAATGATCTAATAGTGATAATAAGGACGGTTTTTTATTGAGATTTACATGAAGAAAATGAATTAAAATGGATGAAAGAATAAAAAACAAATAAATATACTACTAAAAAAAAAAAAGATGAATCTAACGTTTATCTTTTTTTTCTCTGATCTTTCTTCCTAATCCCCAAGTCCTAGTTCGAGTTGGTGTTGATGGTTGTAATGTATTGTTATTGGTCAAAATATCATTGGATAAACTAGAGTCTAGATTTCGTGCTGTTGGTATCGGTACTGCTTCCGTTCTCTTTGTTATGGATTGGTAGTAAGAATGATCTGTTGAATCTGTCGCCACAGGTGTTGAATGATTGATGGTAGGTGATGGTAATGAAGTTGGTAAAGATGATACCATGGGTAATGATACATTACCATTGATATGTGGGCGATATATACCATTTTCTCTATTATTGTTGTTGTTATTATCTAATCCATTCGATAATTGGATTGAATCCATAGTAAGGTTCACTGCTTGATAAAACAAAACATATCCAGATCCACTACCAGGTAAGTCACTAAAGTATTTTTGGATATCTTCTTCTTGGATATTCTAATAATGAAATCATTAATTTAGTATACATATCATAGATTTGTTTACTTTCAATTTACCGTCACTTCATCATCGTCAAATAACATCCATTGTCCATTGCTTTTGATAATTGTCACATAATGTCCATGATGAGGTCCACTATATAAAAATAAAACTATCGATAAGCACTTCCTTTATATATATATATATATAATATCTTACCTTCCGATATGAATAACACAAGCCCACAATTCATATAATCGATCAGCATCTTCAGTATCATCACACTATTTCAATCAATCAATACATATATATATATTAGTACTAGGTTGATATTGAGTTTTTTTTTTATCTAAATTTTACCGTATTGAATAGTCTAAGCTCAAAAGGAAATACTACTCGATAAGTAAGCTTGACATATTTTTGGAGTTGTTCCTGATATTTGAATCGTTTCAAATGAAGAGCCAGTATATTTGGAAGTTTTTTGATTTTCATTCTTCGTTCAGCTTCTTGAAGTCCAGAGCATTCATCACAAAAATATTTATTCTTATGACAAAGAGTTTCACTAGCAGAGAATTGTCGTAAACAGGAAGTAACAGATGAGTTCATTTCAACATCGATTGATAAGTCCATAAATGATTCATCGCGACTTGTCACCTTTAAAATAAAAAAAAAATAAATAATGATCAATCTTCATGTGAAAAAAAAAAATGAAATCTATGCATAAAAAAAGAATATGATTTACCGTTTCACAAGTCAAACATTTCGTTTCATTCGAGAAGATACCTTCAAATAGCTGATGTACCCAAGTCGATGGAGATTTTGAAGAGGAGGTATCCGAGTCTACATTATAAGAGTTTAATATTAATTTTTTTTTTTTTTTGCTTAATCCTATTTGGTGACTTACCAGTATTTGTATCTGTTCCATCACTACTAGACGTATGAATGCTTTCTTGGCCACCATTATAATCAGAACGTTGATCTAGTCCACTTCCATTTTGATCGATGATTTTCTTTTGATATTTTTCCACATCTTCTGCAATGGTATTCAATAAATAATTCAAGAATTCATGAGCATCTTGATGCATACTTGATCGAAAAAGTTCTAATGATATGATTCAATATTATAGTTAGTACTTTGATGAATCCTTTTATTATTATTATTATTATTATTATTATTACAAAATTACCATTTTCTTTCTTTAGTTTGTTAATAAAATTTACAGGAGCAACGACACCAGTTTTCTTTCTATGAGTTGATATTTCCCAAAATAGATCTTTCAAAGCTGCAAATAGAGTATCTTCCATACCAGGGGATAAATTGACACCAGTTTGTCTTTCAGGTAGTATTCCATTACGAGGTGCAATCTTAGTTGACATGGAAGTATTATACGAAGATGGAACATTGGTTCGAATATTGGTTGGTGATGACGAGTCTGTAGGTATTCGGTGTGTTTTATATCCTGGTGAAGAAGGAGAAGGCGTACCAGAAGTGATGCCATTGTGATAACTATTTGAAGATAATATAGTGGGAGCAGCATGAGGAAAGTTGGTCAGGCATTCACGAAAAGGTTTGCAGTAATATAAAGCTTGTAAAACAGAGTTGCAATAGCTATAATATATAAAAATGAAAATTTTGTTAGATAATACTAAAAAAAAAAAAAAAAAAAAAAAAAAAAAAAAAAAAGAATGTATGAATTTACCATGTATTTCCAAACTATAAATAATCAATGAATAAAATATATATATATATATGGTTAATACAATACTTTCTAATACAAGTGATATATTTATTTTTCTATTAACATACATTTTCTAGACCAAAATAACGTTCCCCTTCTTCATTTTGATTTACTTCGTTTGGTGGTTTTGCTGTTGTACCCTAGAAAGAGAAAAAAAAAATAAAAAAAAATAAATAAAAGGTTATGAAAAGGAAATAATGATAATATTTGTTTACAATGCCCATCCATTTGAATAAAGAAGTACTTGACATTATTCAGATATATTAGATAAAGAAGAATTGAAATACAAAGCTAGGTAAGGATATATGAAAATAAGGAAAGGAGAGAGAATTGTATTTAAGTTCCAAGCCAAGAGAGAAACAAAAAAAAGGTAACCTGAGTTTTAATATTTTTATCGCATTTTGGGAGACATGGTCACTACAGTTTATATATATATATGAGAGAAATCAAACCAATGTAAATTAAAGTAGAGATTAATTAGAAAAAAAAAACAAATCATTACTTATAAAAATCAATGTATTATATATATATATATTTTCTTCACCTATAGGTCCTATTAATTATGTAATTACAATTTTCAGTAACTGTGTGACTTTACCTTCTACTTTTTTTTTTTTTTTGGTGCCGTTTGAAGGTGGGACCAATCATCATCACTGGATAATTCACACAAAAGTTTTCCTTTCCCCAAACCATTCTTTTTTTTTTTTCTTAACTGTATCTGTGTAACGAATTTGCTTGTTATTATGATAATTTGGTCATGCTAATCCATTGAAAGAAGGTATACATGTTATCTTGACCAAAATTACAATCATTTCATGATCTTTTATTTTTTTAAAAAAAAGAATTGACTTCCAATGATGATTTTATTCTGAATGAGAAATCAAAAAGGGATCATTTTATATATGATCTCTAATATTATCAAAAAACTTCACTTCTAGTGTTCATATTCATATGAATGGATCATCACATGGATTAACAGACTATTATCAATGAATGATAACTAATTAATTTTTTTTTCTCCATCTTTTTTATTATATTTATTTTTATTTGTAGTTATATTTCCTTTTCTTTTTCTCTCTTTCTCTTCTTTGATATAAACCATTTTAATCCGTACCTTTCGGGACAAATTGAAAAAAGACATAAAAAGTTATCCAATCGAAAACGTGCTATTTTAACTACCGCCCAATATTTTTTTTTTCTTTCTTTCTTTCTTGTCGAGTCAACCTTTTCCCGTCTTTTTTCTTCCTCATTTCTACTTTTTCTTCCTCTTCCTCTTCTTCTTATTATTATTTCAACCTATAGTCGATACCCTCAACATATCTTATTTTTTTTTTTTTATTATTTGGTTATTTATTATATTGAAAAACATTGTCATGCCATCTTCCCTAGATTCACCTTCAAGTGACAAAACCAACTTAATAATGAACAATAATTCATCTCCATTGGAGACGACCCTGGAAAACCCTGATCAAGTGATGGATATGTTTTTACATCAAGTGACCGAATATAATGCACAACAACTTTCTTTTGATGACAGAATGGCAAACGCAAACGGTAAAAAAAAAAAAAATTACTATTCTTTGAAAAAAAGTCAAGTTTTGTTTATTTCTTTCTTTTTTAGACTTTAGTAGCTCCCATTTTTTTTCTTCCAATGTCGACCATAATGGTATCAAAGTAGAATCAACTTCTCAAGATCTATCTCACTTTTCAATGCCAACGTCCTTTTTAGGGGGACTTGAAGATCAGTCCATTTCTACTCAAGCACAAGTTTCTTCTTCCTCTTCAGCGGTATCTATTCAACAAGAACAACAGAAAACAACTGAAGATAATAATACAACAAAACGACATTCCAAACAAAAGTCAAAAGAGGGTTCCTCACTATTACATGTAAGTAATCCAAAAACAATTAAAAAAATATGACACATCTATTTTGTGTTTTGTTTACATTTCTCATTAAAATAAACAAATCATTTTAGGTTTTCACCAATCCCTTATTACATGCTATTCCGATGCTTGCAAGAAATTGTTTAAACTTTGAAGACTTTTTGACTCAAGCTGCTATTCAAGGGTAATAAAAAAAAACTATAGACAGTATCTTTTTCCTAATTTTTTTTTTTTTTTTTTTTTTTTTTTTGGAAAACTAACTAGACAAAATGGTTTGCTGGGTTCCAAAGATGGCAACAAAACCAATAATGGATATACAACTCCTGATAGTTTGATATTGGATCCAACTAGTGATAAATCACTGATGATGTAAATTAGAAGAAATCCTTTATAAATTTGAATATGCATCTGATTCTCTTTTTTTTTTTTTTTTTTTTTTTTTTTTTTTGTAGGACCAAACCTGAATGTCCTTGGCATGTGAAGGTACTTGGTTTACCTTTAACTGGAGCAAAATCTCGTGTGGAAACTCAAATCAAGATATGCTTACAACTTACAAACTCTGCTGGAGAATTAGCAACTAATTGGTCACATCTGATACTTCCGGAACATATGGTGGCAAGGGACAAACTTAAACGGCGAAATCAAAAATATACAAATACTGGTGAACTTCATGCATCTGATGAAAAATCAACTTTGGCAGATTCCGATTTATTGAAACTAGAAGCTGCTGTTGTATGTGATAGTCACGCTGACAACGAAATCATCATGTGTTCAAGTTGTGTTCATCGTGAGGTAATAACATCTATATATTTTATTTTATTTTATTTTACTTATTTCTTTTATACATATATATTCATAGCGCAAACGAATGAAAAGAAAACGTGACAATAAAGTGGCGCGTGCGGCAAACAAGGAAGGGGGTGCTGCTAAACTTGCGGCTTTATTTGCCAATGATCTACCTGATTTGACAAATGAAAACGTAATGGCTGAAGAACGAAAGAAAATTCTGCTCTTCAACTGCAGCGAATATGTCGAATTCAACAATGGAGAAGCTACTTTACCAACAAGAGTTACATGTTACTGTAGACATCACAGCGAAAAAGTTGGATTTAGGTAAATTACTAAAAAAAAAAAAAAAAAAAAAAAAAAAAAAAGTCAAAGAAAAGATGAAATAACCAAAAAATTATTTAATATCTTTTAATTCTTAGAATTGTCTTTACTATCAAGGATTGTCACAATCATGTATTAGGAACTGGAAGATCACCACCCATTATGATAACTGACGATCACAAGAGTTCCAAAGCTCAATCTGCTACACCAGCTCCTCAATCTGTACCAGCAACATCACAACCAACAACAAGTAGAAAACGAAGTAGAAACGATGATGGAATGACCGATATGAAACCTCCAGCTCTGTCAAAAAGGAAAGGTGCTTGTATTGTAGAGGGTGAATCTGATTCCGGTATATCGAGTCCAGTGACATCTACACCTGCTACACCTATCTCCAATCCTGAAGAAACTCCATCAAGTCCAGCTATTCAATGTCACAATGGTTCTGCCTCAAGATCACCTTCTTTAGTCGATCATCCAGCAACTCAATCCTCATCTAACCAATATGGACATCAACAAGACATTAAAGAAAAATATACCAATAGTTATTCTTCAACTCAACTTCAATCAACATCACATAGCACCATATCTCCTTCAACATTTGCTGACCATTTGCAACAAGGTGGACTTTATGAATTTTTGAATTCCAATAACTTGAATATGAATCAGTTATTACCAATGGCTGGCGATCAACATCGTCATATTCAACAAACATTGTCTACTTCACATAACGATCAACCTCTTCAGCAACAACAACAACAACAACAACAACAAATGATGTCGATGATGCAACAACAACAAGAACAAATATTATCTCACTTGTCTCAAAATCCTCTTCAAAGTGTATCGAATCGTAGACGTCCGGCTAGTTTATCACATCAACAGCAACAACAGCAACATTATCATCGTCAATCGACGTACACCCAAGCAGAGAATTCGATTGGAAACAATGTCTACACAAAAATACTTCAACAACGAAAAACAACGGAAAACAGCAACAAGAATAGTGTACCTCGATTACATCGACTGATACCTTCAGAAGGACCTATTTATGGTGGATCAGAAGTGACGGTACTTGGATCTAATTTTTATGAAGGTTTAACTTGTCTTTTTGGTGAAAATCCTGCTATACCTACACATTGTTGGAGTGCCAATACTCTTCTCTGTATCCTTCCTCCTGCTGTCTCTGCTGGACCAGTTGTGGTATCATTTAAAGAACATCCTCTTATGTTGGAAGGGCAAGATGTTGTATTATTTACTTATTTTGATGAAAGTGATCGAGCTTTGATGGAATTGGCCTTACAAGTGGTGGGATTGAAGACAATGGGAAAAGTAGAAGATGCTCGACAAATTGCGATGCGGATAGTACAAGGTGATAGTAATAATCAAGATCGAAAGAACAACAATAGCCGAAATACAGCAACGTCATCAACCCCAACGACGAAAAGCTTGGTTAATACTCGTCGACTATCTTATCGACATTATCTTACCACCAAAGCAGCTCAAGCGACCTACGACAATGCGCGCATGTTATTTTACACACGTTTAGAGGACCAAATTATTGCAGCATTACTGGCTATTAGTGCCATGGAAGCAGAAGGAAATGGATCTCATCGTCAACTTTGGATTAAAGACTGTATATCGATTACCAACCGCAACCGACATACATTACTTCATTTGGCAGCCATTCGTGGTTATGCAAGATTGGTACATATTCTTGTGCATTTGGATTGTCCGGTGGATCAGATGGATCGTAATGGGTTTACTGCTCTTCATTTTGCTAGCTGGACTGGCAAGGTGGCTATTGTCAAGGCTCTATTGGATAAAGCAGACTCTAGGATTGAAACTGTAAGTGGAAAGACAGCTTTACAATTGGCAACAGATGCTGGTCATGAAAATGTAGTGGCTTTATTCAACAATATGAAAAACAACAACAATAACAACAATAACAATAGTCAAGTATCTTCATCACTATTATCGGTACCATCTCGAAGGCGCTCATCAAGTATATCTTCCATATCATCCATGTCATCCTCATCTGGATCATTTACGTCTGTTGCTGTTCGAGTACCACTGATCGACATTATTCCTTCATCAGCAGCTGTTTCTTCAGCCAAATCTATTCTACCTGATAAGCTCTTCAACATGTTATCATCTCTTTACACTATCTCAAGTAATACATCATGTATCCAACAACTCAGCCAATCTGTTACTACAGTTTATACCTCCATGTTGGACCCTTTTTGAATTTCATCTTATTCGTTTTTTTTATTATGTTATGATTCTTTTATTTTTCCCCTTGACTTCTTTATTATTATTATTATTATTACTATTATTATTATCGTTATTATTATTATTATTATTATTATTGTTATCGTTATTATCATTAATATATACACACTTATATATATATTTACATATATTATATACTACTTTTTTTTTTTATTTTGAAACGAATAAAGAATTATACTTTTGTTTTTCCTATCATTTCTTTTGCATGAACAACAAAATGTAATCTCATAACATTTGTTGTTCACTTTGGGCGGGGATTGGAAAAGGGATTCAGTGAAACCTTGAGACCACTCCCTTTTTTTCCTCTCTCTCTTTTTTTTTTCCCCAGTCTATCTTTTTCTTTTTCTTTTTTTTTTGTTTTAGTACGTGATGAGACTAACGGTGACAACTAACGATGATGATATTTACAATCTGGCAATAGATACTCAAATGTCTTTAGAAGATTTGAAGGCATTATTGGAAGGTGAGGTACGTATAACTTTATCGAAAAAAAACAAGAACAAAAGGAATAAAAGGTATAGGGTTATGGGAACAAAATGAAGAACGCGTCATTAAAAAATAAAAATAAGATTATTATTGGTGACATTATCTAATATTTTACTTATTCATAATTTACTGTCTCTCTTATAATTGGATTAGTCTGGCGTTCCTCCTACTGAACAACATTTGTATCACAATGGACAAGAACTATTGGACCTGAAGAAGACAATGGAACAATATGGAATAAATGATGACGATATGCTTCTTCTGCAACGAAAAGTGACTACGACAACAACAAACAATGATTCTGATAATATAAGGTAATATAGATTGATTTCTGTTTTGACAACAATGATATATTCAATTTTCTTTTTTTTTTTTTGTGAATCTAGTACGGGGAATGCCAATTTTGATCTTATGCGTCAACATGTTCTCAGTGATCCAAGACTCTTACAACAACTTGCGAACGTAAGTTAAAAAGAAAGAACAAAAAAAAAAAAAAAAAAAAAAGAAAAGAAAGAAAGCAAAGAAAGATAGATTCACATAGTTCTAATGGGTGGGTGGGGAAGATAGTTAAATCCTGAACTTGCTCGTGCAGCTATGAACGATCCTAGTCGATTTACAACAATGGTACAACAGCTGGAACAAAGTCGACAACAAGCTGAACATCAACGGACTCAAATGATAGCAGCCAATGATGATCCTTTTGATGTAGAGGCTCAGAAACGTATTGAAGCTGCAATCAAACAAGAAAATATTGCTGCCAATTTGGAGGCTGCTATGGAATACAATCCGGAATCTTTTGCTAGGGTAAAGAAAAAAAAAGATGAGCAAAGGATATTAAACATCACTAAACATGATATCTTTTTCTTTTTTTTTATAGGTGACTCGCTTATATATCAACGTTGAAATCAATGGCAAAAAGTTGGTGGCATTGGTGGATTCTGGTGCTCAAAGCACTGTGAGTAAGTCATATTAAATTTCCAAAAAAAAAAAAATAAGATATATATTTATTTACTGTTTTTTTATTTATTTATTTATTTATTTACAATGATAGTTAGTCCTGAAACAGCTGAACGGTGTGACCTTATGCGATTAGTAGATACTCGATTTGCAGGGATTGCAAAAGGAGTAGGAACAGCCAATATTCTCGGTAGAGTTCATAGTGCTCAAATGAAACTTAGTAAGGATCTCTTCTTGGGTTGCTCATTCATCGTGGTAGAAGGAAAAGGATCTGAACTTTTACTTGGTTTGGATATGCTTCAAAGACATCGTGTAAGTATCATAATCAAAGAAAGAAAAAAAGAGATTAATTTATTCTTATTCTTTCTTTTTGTTTTTTATATAAGGCTTGTATTGATCTCAGAAAACATGCATTAGTATTTGATGGTTGTGAAATTCCTTTTTTGGCTGAACATGAATTACCAGAAAAACAACGTATGATGGAAGTAAGTAATATCATTTATAAAAATTCAATTTGATATATATATCTATATGAAATACGTGTTTGATTTTCTAGGTTCATGGAAGTGCTGAAGATGAAATGCCAACAGAAGCTCGTTTTGCTGGTCCACTAGCAGCAGAGAATGCTGAATCATCAACATCAGCAACAACAGCAGCAGCAACAACAGCAGTACCAACAGCAGTACCAACAACAACAACGACAGCAACAAGCCATGTAGCTGGTAATATAGAGCTGGTAGTCAATTGGAGATAATATTCATTTTTTTTTTCAATGTATAGATACATCATCAAAATATTCTGAAGAACATATCAAAACATTGACGAATTTAGGCATGTCACGGCAGGTAAAATGTTATCTTTTTAATTATTTATTTTATTTTTACTAATAATAATAATAATAATAATAATAATAATAATAATAATAATAATAATAATAATAATAATAGGAAGCAATCAATGCATTAGAAATGTCTGGTGGTAATATTGACTTGGCAGCTAGTTTATTATTTTGATATGTATGGGTTTAGAAATTTTGTAAACAGGTTGAATACACTTTTATTCAATAATAAATGATGAAATTCGAAAATAAGATGTTGCAAAAATAGGAAATAAAAAATATAGTAAGGATAGAAAATAGATGATAGAAGAAAAAAGAAGTTGAAACGCATAATCCAAATTGAATACAGGAAGTGACAGTAGTTCCATTGAATATATTGAATAACATAAAATAATATATATATATATATATTTAGTCAACATATCCATTCTTTTTTTTATATTTATTTTAACTAATACTGTATCATCATCATCAATCATCAATCAATGTATTTTGACATACTCTCTGGAGATGATAATCTGAAAAAAGTGGTAATGCGTTATCCATTTTGGGAAAGTTTGATATTTCATAATATCACGAAACTATTTTCTTGTGAACCCGACAAAAAAACTTTTTGAAAACACGTTTGAATAATAAAATGTATTGTTTTTACATCTCCATTTATGGAATGTGTGTCCTTTTCTCTTTCTGTCTTGGATTCTCCTCCGCTCATTCCCCCTTTTTATATATATTACTTATTTTTTTCTTGTTTTTTTTTTTCTTTCTTTTTTGTCTTCTTTTTCTTCTTTTACCTATTTTTTATTTTATTTTATTTTATTTTTATCTTTTTTTGTTTTTGACATTTAAGTTTGTCAGATTATATACATATTTACATTCATAATGGTAAAAAAAAAAAAAAAAAAAAAAAAAAAAGAACTCACTATTGAGCAAAAAGAAATAAAGAAACGATATGAACTCTTATATATATATATAGAACTCTACAAGGCATTCTACTGATCCAGAGACATATTATCGCAAACATGAACGTATTGGTATGGTAACAAAATAAGGAAAAAAAAAAAAAAGAAGTTTGATCTTTAACTAATGTTTTTTTTTTAATATTATTTTATGCATATAGGCAAGGGCTCATTTGGTGAAGTTTACAAAGGGTAATATATGGATTTTTTTTATTTCTTTCTTTCTTTCTTTCTTTCTTTATAATAAAGAAATAAAATAGGGGGAATATGGGAGTCATGACATATGTTGATATTGGCAAATGAAAAAAAAAAGAGGGGCGATTTTTTATCATACTAATATCGTCATATCACTTTATAGGGTTGAAATCAAGACAAATAAACCGGTAGCCATCAAAATCATTGATTTAGAAAGTGCAGAAGATGAAATCGATGATATTCAACAAGAAATTGCCATTTTATCTCAATTAGATTCTTCTTTTGTGACAAAGTAAAGTAATGACATATAAATACTTATAAAGATTATCAATACTTATTCCTTTTTTTTTATCATCATCAAGATATCATGGATCTTTTTTGAAGGGTACTGGATTATGGATTATTATGGAATATTGTCATGGAGGATCTTGTAGTGATTTGGTAAGGAAAAAAAGAAAATCATATGTATTTTCATACCTAATATACTAGATATCTGGGGTTAATCATTTAGAGGATCTTATTTTTATTTTTTATTCCTTTTAGATGAAATCCGGGGCTATCTCTGAAGCTCACATTGCCATTATCATTCGAGAACTACTGAAAGGATTAGATTATCTTCATGGTGAAGGCAAATTACATCGAGGTAAAACACAAAATATCAAATGAATCGTCAAAACCTGAACCTTTTTTTTTTCACTCTCCACTTATTATTACTACTATTATTATTATTATTAATTATAGATATAAAAGGTAATAAAAAGAATAGATATTTAAATGGTCATGTCCTTCCTTCCTCCTTGTCTTGGATTCTTATATAAATTCTTTCTTTCATTATATAGCGGCCAATATATTGCTCAGTTCTGATGGTGGAGGTAAGAACTAGGAGCTGTCATCCGGTATTATATCATTGATACTCACCTATTCTTTCATTTCATAGTCAAACTGGCTGATTTCGGTGTCTCTGGTCAGGTAAAGTAGAATGAGATAAAAGGGAATATATATATGTGCGTGTGTTTTTGTGCGTAAAGATGTCGTTTGTTCAAACTCACTCAGCCTCCTTTTTTTTTTTTTTTAATATTACTATTATTTCCTTTTACACAGATCACGGCAACTTTGACGAAAAAGAATACTTTTGTTGGAACTCCTGTAAGTATCTTCTTCTCATTTTAACCAAATAATAAAATATACTCAATCTGAATTGATTATATATATATATATATGTATTAGTTTTGGATGGCACCTGAAGTTATTAAACAATCTGGTTATGACTACAAGGTAAGAAATCAAAAAAAAAAAATCCTTCCAAATGACCATACAAAACTAAACCTCCTTTAATTTTTTTTTTTTTTGACAATAAGGCTGATATTTGGTCACTTGGTATTACAGCTATTGAATTAGCGAAAGGCGAACCTCCTTATGCAGATATTCATCCTATGAAGGTCTTATTCTTTATTCCAAAAAATCAACCTCCTACTCTTAGTGGTCCTTATAGTAAAGCATTCAAAGAATTTGTCAGTATCTGTCTTCAAAAGGATGCATCTCAGGTAAGAAACTACTTCACAAAAAAGAGAAAAAAAAATATTGACTATTATTATTATTATTATTATTACTTTTAGCGACCTTCTGCTAAAGAATTACTCAAACATAAGTTCATAAAAACCAGCAAAAAGGTAGCATATCTTACTGAATTGATTGAACGTCATCATCATTGGAAAAATCAAGGCAACGGACAAGGTAGTGACTCTTCAGACGAAGATGGAAAGTAAGTGGATTATATTTTGACATTTAAATCATATGATATCCATTAATAATATTTTTCTCTTTTACTTTTATAGTGGTGATTTAGAGGATGGTGATGGTTGGGACTTTGGTACGGTCAGACAATCAGCTCCTCCTCCACCACGGTCTACTACAGTGCAATCAGTTTTACCTTCAACACCCAGTCGATATTCTATCGGTGGTTATACTCCTCCAAATGTCAATACAACCACTAACACTTCTACTACAAATTCTAATGCTTCTACTGCTTCTAGTTCTTATGGTCAAAAAGTCACAAGCAAGAATCAAGTCCAACCCCTTTCACGTAACAACGATATCAACGTAAGTGGAATTTATAGTGTGTAAAAATAATTAGTGATTAAACTTTATTTCTGTATATTCTTGTACGGTAGGCGGCTGTGCAAAATCTGACTGTTCGTCAACAACAACAATTGGATGGTACCATCACATCGAATCAGAACACGGTGCGTGCTGCCGCTGAAAAGTATACCCGACAGACGCAGCAACAATCTATAATTACTCATATGAATCACCATAACAACAATGGGAACAACCACAGTAACAACAATAACAACAATAACAGCAGTAACAACAATAACAACAGTAACAACAATAATAACAATAGCAACAATAATCATGAGCATACATCCATACCTGCTGGGTTACCTCCAAGAACACCTTCTTCAAGAAGTATTAGCACCATCAAAAGTGATACCATTCTACGTGATACCGTTGCTCCTATGCTAGCCAAGGTAACAATGCAGACAGACAGAGAGTGAGAGAGAGAGAGAAGAACAGGAAGATAAAAAAGAAATTAGTGATTGATATTCACTGATTAATTTATTTATTTATTTATTTTAGTTACAAGCTGGATGTCGCAATCATAAGAGTCAGGCCGCTCTTGAATCACTACGAAGAGCTTTCCAAGTCGCTGAACGAGAATGTCCTGGAACAACTCAAGTCCTATTTGAAGAAGTCAATAGAATATTACGAACAGAATAAAAATTTTTGATTTTTATATAGGATAGTCTCATTTGTGCCCCTTAGTTACTTAGTTAGTTAGTCTATGTTTGATCCTCTTTCCTATATATATTTATATACCTTTGAAAAATGAAATAAACTAATTGACCGTTGATGGCTTGATGATGATGATGATGATGACGATAAGTAACGATTCTATCACTAAAAAATATATATATAAAAAGTAGAAGAAATAAATGAATAGAAACAAATAAATCATGAATTGCTGATCGGTATACAATAGCTTTATTTCAATAAATAATGTTGATCACAAACAAAAAAAGGATAACAGGTGGGGGGATTCAAAAACGTATAATAAATAACTAGATAAAGAGGATGGTAGTAAGGGAAATTTTAGAAAAGACAATATCTAGTTGGACAACACCAAAGTGACAAAGTCTAACGTGGAGGGAAAAAAAAAGACAAGGTGAGTCAGGATATAGTTATTGATGGATGTGACTAAAACTTACCGACATAGTTGATACGACCATCTTTACCAACTTCGACTTCTTTCAAAAGTTCATCGACTTCTTCATCAGAAAGTTTTTCACCAAGGTTAGTCAAGACTAATAAAAAAAAATAAATCAGTCAAATTTGATATAACTTCACTATGTTTCTTTTACCATAACGAAGTTCACCAGCAGAGATATAGCCATCACCTTCCTTATCAAAAACTTGGAAACCTTGAATAAATTCTTGAGAAGATCCAGCAGGCTTGAATCCATCTGGACGAGTGAGAATGGTCAAAAAGGTACCAAAGTCAATATCCACCTCTATTCAATCACAAAAAATATCCAGTTAATGTATCTTTTTTTCTTTCTTTCTTTTTTATTGAACAAAAGAATCCCTCATTTGTTTGTTTACCTTGCTTATCACTGCCACCTACAGACTTGATCAATTCTCGCACTTCTGCTTGAGTAGGGTTTTGTCCGAGACCACGTAACAGATCACCAAGATTGGTAGAAGATACGGTACTATTTCCCTTCTTATCGTATAAAGAGAAGGCTTCCTTCCATTCTACATTTCAAACAAAAAAAAGAGATATTAATAACCAATGAAAATTTTTCATCTTACAAAAAAAAAAAAAAAAAAAAAAAAAAAAAAGATGAAAGTAAATATCACGTCTTTGGGTTATTTACCATCGAGTTGTTCTTGGGTAGGTTGGTTCTTTAGATGATAATGAAGAAAAAAAAAAAAGAATAAAAGATAAATAAACTATTTGCTTGTTCTATATAATATGGTTACTTACACTAGGGCTCATGATGTGTTTGTATAAAAAAAAAATAGATATGGAAAGAAAAAGAAAGAAAAGGAGGAAACCCGACGGAGAAAAATGATGTTTTTTTTAAAAACACGAAGTGTAGCGGTACTTTTGATTGGCTGGTATCATGCTTACAAGAAGTAAGGCTTATTTATTCAGTGGTGGTTATTGAAGTAAATCACCTGCATAATATATAATCGTTTATTTTTTTTTTTTTTGAAATCAACAATGTGTAGTCGTCGTTTTGTTTGATATAATAAAAAAGAAAATGAATGTTGTTGTGAAGGATGATTTGATAGACTTTCATTGGTTAATGCAGAGTGTTGACCTTATCACTGTAGAAGGAGAAGATGTGATCAACAGAAAAGTAAAACATCAAAAGCCCAACAGCATTCATCTAATCCTTTTTGTATCCATTTAATCATATAAAAAAAAAGAAATTTATTTGTTGATATATACTAAAACATATACACTATCTATTTATGAGAATCTGCAAACACAGCAAAACTATCTACATAATAAGTTGGTTTGATCTTGTTTTCAGGGTCCAAAAGTTCTTGTTCAGAAGACACACCTAAAAAGTATTATAGAATAAGTATATTATATAACATATTCCTCTTTTTTTTTTTTTTTCCTCAATTACTCTACCTGTCAAAACACATAAGGTTTCCAAACCACCTTTCAAACCAAAATCAATATCTGTATCTAATCGATCACCAATCATGCATGTTCTTGATTTTTCCAAATTGTACCTAAAAAAAGTGAAATCAATTTAATGTTTTCGATCACTATCAACTATCATTTCAAAAAGTAACTTACTGAACAAAAATAGCTTCCATCATGTTTTGAGCAGGCTTGCCAAGAACAATATCAGGTCGTCGTTTTAGTGCGGTGATAAGAGGAGCTGCAATGGAACCAGCACCAGGATGAAGAGAGCCATGAATTGGGAAAGTTGTATCTTCATTAGTGGCAATGAATGGAATATCTTTATTGTTTCGAAGATAGGTAAAAGCCTTGGCATATTTCTTGTAATTGACTTGAGTATCTAATCCCACAACCACAGCACCAATAGAAGGATCATCAGGAATAGGATCATTGTCTATCAATCCACTGTCAGCCTATTATCATTTAAACACATAGAAGGCACACAATTTCAATATCAGCAATCATCCCCAACAAAAAAAAAAAAAAAAAAAAAAAAAAAAAAAAAAAAAAAAAAAAAAAAAAAAAACTATCAAAAATTATACTTACTTCTGCACCACAGCTTTGGATACCTTCATGGGCCAGTTCTTCAGTAATACCAGACATACCAATGACATATACCTTCTTATCTTCAGGAAATTTTAATACGTTTTTCAAGTATGAAGCAGTAGCGAAGGCAGAACTAAAAATTTCTTCCTGAAGAGAGACAAAGTCAGTGTTGGTTTCTGTATTCAAAGTTGATGTAGAGGTGTCATTTTCCACATACTATATCTGCTTGTATACCCAATCGTTCGAATTTCTTGAGGAAGGATGCTCTTGAGGTAGTACTATTATTGGTGACAAAGTAGATCTTTTTCCCTTCAGTAAGAAAAGAAAGATTTAGAATTTGTCAGTAAATAATATGAGTGTGCCTTTTATATATATATATATATATGTATCTAATCACGTTTTCCTTTTTTTTTTTTTTTTTTTTTACCTTTTTCACGTAGTTTTTTCATGGCTTCAAGGACACCAGGAATAAGGACATTACCATGCCAAAGTACACCTGTAATAGAACGAATACGTCAGTATAGTACATTTTTTTTTTTTTTATGAAAAAGAGATAATTCATACCATCACAGTCAAAGAGGTAATTATCAAACTTATCCAGGAATTCTTCGTGTTCTTGAGCACTGATTAGCTTTCTAGTCATTGTCGCCCTGAAGTCTAGTGAAAAAATCTAAAGAAAAGAAAAAGGGAAAAATGAAAGCAGAGATGAAAACAGTAAACAAAAAACCATCCATTTCGTATTCCGCCCATTGCTTCAAATCATTCTTTCCTTTGTTAATAAACATGTCACTTGATCAAATGACTATCAAACTAATCTTTTTTATCATCCCATCATCATTATCCATTATAGGAGACAACGATCAATCAATCGATATCATCGCATGAGCATCATTGGACACGCTCATTGGAGAAGATAAAGAAAATTACAACCCAGCTAAATCATTCTTGATATGAAAATCTAGAATAGTAAAGTTTTTTTTTTGATTTTATTATATGTACAAATATCAAGAAAAAAAGAAAAAGAAAAAAACGTGGAATATCAATAGATGATATAATTATACTTGTTTTAAATTGTAAAGACAAAAAAAAAAAAGAGCTTCATTGATCCTAATGAACGATATACATTGTATTTTATTATTGACCAATGCAGTACTTTACTGTATGATGATGATGATGATGATGAAATCATGGCGTAAAATGCTGTTATTTTAGAAGAAAGTTAGATAAAAAAAAAAAAAAAGAAATGCTCTAAAATGGAATACGTCTAAACTATTTATATGAATGAAATTAAAGCAAAATAAAAAATGATGGTTAAGAATGAAAGACTAGATTAGGAAGATCCAAAAGGTAACACAAACTGGGGATGATTGGAGGGACAAAAAAAGAACTATAAACAATTTAGACATTATAATCAGAGGCTAATTATCAGTGTAAAGAAAAAAAAAGCTATATAAAGTACAGTATATAATATGATGAGTTAAGGAGAAATTGTTGGTATAAGAGAAAAAAAAAAAGGGGGGGAATGGAGGAAGGAGTATTGAAGGAGTATAGTCAAACTAGCAGAAAAAGCAAAATATCGGTTGTTAAAAAAAGATATCTACTGAATGTGTGAAAGGAGGTCAATCGTTTCCTTGGTTACACTTATAAAGTTAGTTTTTCCTTTTCTTTTTATTTTCTTTTTTTTTTTTTTTTTTTCTTCTTCACACACAAATGAGAAACTGATTTGATTTATTTTATCTTTCAATTTATACGAAATTTATTCGGACTCTCTTTCTCTTTATTCTTTTTTTATATATACATAAAATATATTTGTCGGTTCCTTAACTGCTTTTTTTTTTCTTACCTTCTTTTTATATCTATAATATATTCTGTATACTTTTTTTTTTTTTTACCTTTTTTTTATATTTTGTTCATCACAACCCACACAATCTCATTCCTCCTTCATATATATACATCTACCTCCTTATACACATTGATTGACTGATGGACCATACCACTACAGCAACAACAACAACAACAACAACAACTGCTACTACTATAAGTGCATTGAATCGTAATTTATCAACGTCATCTCGTTTTAGTCGACGGGACGCTAGTATGGATAATGACGGCACAATAAGGACACCTAGACGACAGAAATCCCTTGTACGACCTGAACGTGAACGAGTAGATGCAAATCATCGACAATATTATTATCGTCAACGAGCTGCCAATCAAGATATAGTAGCACCAAGTACAACAGGTAATCAACCATTACAACAAAACGAACTGGACCTACAACAACAACAACAACAACAACAGATCGGACGGGTTCCATCTCATCGACGATTAGAAAGAGGATCAAGTATTAATCATCATCGACAAAATAATATCAACAATATTACAACTGATGGATTAGAACGACAATCTTCAAAGCTTATTCGACGTGGTAAAAGTATTCTAGGAAGGGAAAAACCATCATCAATAGCAAGACGACAAGGAGCTCATGGTCAAATCACAGATAAAGATACTGAAGAAGATGAATATGAATATGAATCAACTGAAGGTGCTATTAATTTGTCAAGACCTTTAACTTTTTGGGAAAGATTACCAGATCCTTGGTTAACCTATTGTCGCTTATTGACCTGTTGTATACCTGGTGCATTTCTTGGCGTCTTTGGTAAGGACATATATTGTTGTTGTTGTTTATCACCGAAATAGTAAAAATAAAAAAAGAACTGATCTTTTTTTTTTTTGTTTATTTATTTATTAACTTACATTACATTATAATTCTGTGGGGGGATATAAATTTAGGTATTCCAAAAGGTCCTGCTCAAACAGCATGGCGTGAAAAGATTGGTTTATTATCCTTTATTTTGATGATCATGGCCTTTGTTGGTTTTCTTACCTTTGGTTTTACTCAAGCTGTTTGTCCGACTCCACCACTTAGTGTTCAAGGTGGTCAAGTTAATTCTGGTTATCTGATCATCAACGGTTGGGCTTATTTATTAGCTGATTGGAATGGTCATCCTGCTGCTCCTCCTAATATCAATGCTTCTTCCAACATTTTATACCCTCCTATCAATGCTGGTGGTTATGATGCTACTTTTTTATTTCAAGATCAATCTACTGCTGGTTGTTCCAACGTTTTGACTCCCAAGAATCCATCCAATGTACCTGAAATTTATTTCCCTTGTCGCCTCTTCAATCCAAATCAAACCATTGCTCCTGATCCAGCTACTTTTACCAACACTTCGGGTTGTCATTTATCTTCCGCCGCTCGTTCCATGTTCCACCAATTTGTTAGAGATGGTGTCCCTAATAACAAGCATTCATTGACAAAGGCTGCAAGAGTATATTATAGTTGGGAAAATATTAAATCCTCCAAAAATATGGTCGCATACAATGGGTAAAAAAAAAAAAAAAAAAAAAAAAAAAAAAAAAAAAAAAAGGATCTTATTTCTGAATTACTCAAATTTATCATCACTATCATCATTAGGGATATCTTGAATTTGGAATTACTTAAATCACTACCTACCAATATTTGGAATATACCTGCAAATGGCTTGATCTCACACTTGATTCAAACTCCTGAACAATATTCTGGAAAGGATATCAGTCATTTGATCACATCGAATAGGGTCCAAGGTTCGAAATTTATAGAAGAAGCTCGATGTTTATCCGCTATTATCAAGGTGGGTTCTTTGGATACTCTTAGTATTGGATGTATTAGTTCAGATATTGTACTTTATGTATCATTGGTGGTAATCCTTGGTGTTATCGGTACAAAATTCGGTTTGGCTATGATCTTTGGCTGGTGTTTATCTTGGAAACTTGGTAACTTCAAGGAAGGAAGCTCTTATTCGGCACGTATGAAACGTGAAGCAGAAATTGAAAACTGGGCACAGAATATGTCAACATCAGGTCCTCTCAGTAAACCAAGGATTAACAGCATGTACTTTGGCAACAATATGAATAATAAACGCAAATCACTTTTCCCTCAAACATCTAGGTTTACTCAACCTAAAGCTGGCTCTACAAGGTTTGATACTGAAAAGGTCCCTACGACTGTATGGAAAACTCCGACTAGGTATGAATAGAAGAAAAGAGTGATTTTTAATATTTTTAACCTTCTTTCTTTTATATTATTATTATTATTATTATTATTATTATTATTATTATTATTTAGTGCATTAGAAGGTTTTGCTTCTCGACAATCAACATATTTTGGTTCTTCCTCACCTTCCGTCAGATTCTTTGGTGAATCAAGTCCTAGACGATCATCCATATCCTCCGATTTCAATAGTGGCGATTCTTCATCTTCAGGCAGTGTACCATGTCCATTCCCTCTTTCACCTCGCGTTCTTCGTCAACCTTCAGCAGATTATATGCCTTTCAACTTTCCTTTGGTTCATACAGTTTGCTTGGTGACTTGTTATTCTGAAGGAGAGGAAGGTTTACGTACAACTTTGGATTCCATTGCAACAAGTGATTATCCTAACTCTCACAAGGTTATATTGGTGATTTGTGATGGCATCATTACTGGTTCTGGAAATAGTCGATCTACTCCTGATATTTGTGTTTCAATGATGCGTGATCTTGTTATGCCTGAACATCAAGTTCGAGCAACTCATTATGTAGCCATTGCTGATGGTAGTCGACGTAATAACATGGCCAAGGTGTATGCTGGATTTTACAAGTACGATGACAATACCATTGATCCTTCCTTACAACAACGTGTACCTATGGTTACTATCGTGAAATGTGGAACTCCTGAAGAAGCATCAACATCTAAGAAACCCGGCAATCGAGGCAAGCGTGACTCCCAGATCATATTGATGCAATTCATGCAAAAGGTGATGTTTGATGAACGTATGACGACGATGGAATATGAATTTTTCAATTCTTTATGGCGTGTTACTGGTGTTCCTCCTGATCAATATGAAATTTGTTTGATGGTGGATGCTGATACCAAGCTTTACCCCGATGCGCTGTCACGTTTGATTAGTTGTGCAGTCAAAGATCCTGAAATTAGTGGCATGTGTGGTGAAACAAAAATTGCAAACAAAATGGATAGTTGGGTCACAATGATTCAAGGTAATTATGATTATTTAAAAAAAAAAAAGGAAAGCTATGATTGTACATATAACTTATATTCCTTCCTTTTTTTTTTTTTTTTACTTTCTTGTTCTAGTGTTTGAATATTATATCTCACATCATCAAAGTAAAGCATTTGAATCCATCTTTGGTATTGTGACTTGTTTGCCTGGATGTTTCTGTATGTATCGTATCAAGAGTCCGAAAGGTCCACCTGGACATTATGTACCCATCCTTGCCAATCCTGATATTGTGGAACATTATTCTGAAAATGTGGTGGATACCTTACACAAAAAGAACTTGCTGCTCCTTGGTGAAGACCGGTATTTGTCGACGTTAATGCTTAAAACATTCCCCAATCGAAAGATGATGTTTGTCCCACAAGCTGTGTAAGTGAAAAAAAAAAAAAAAAAAAAAAAAAAAACTGTATCAAAACTTCTTACTTTATTATTCTAATTCCTCATAGGTGTAAAACGGTTGTTCCTGATACTTTTTCAGTTTTACTCTCTCAACGAAGACGATGGATCAATTCTACTATTCATAACTTGATGGAATTACTGTTTGTACATGATCTATGTGGAACATTTTGTTTTTCGATGCAATTTGTGGTATTTATGGAACTGGTTGGCACATTGGCCTTACCTGCAGCTATCTCGTTTACATTGTACTTGGTGATCATGGCGTGTATTGGACAACCTGCTGTCCTTCCATTGATTTTATTGGCCTTGATTCTTGGTTTACCTGCTGTCCTAATTGTGATGACAAGTCGAAAAGTGGTATATGTCTGTTGGATGCTTGTGTACCTGATTTCTTTACCCATTTGGAATTTTGTTTTGCCGGTGTATGCGTATTGGCATTTTGATGATTTCTCATGGGGTGACACACGTAAAGTGGAAGGCTCGGACAAGAAACAAGAAGCTAAAGGTCATGGTGACAAGGATGGTGAATTCGACAGTTCCAAGATTATCATGAAAAAGTGGAGTGATTATGAGAAAGACCGACGTATTCAAATCGCCATGGAACGCAACTTGCCTTTGCCTCGCTTTATGGAACGACCTCGTAGCACAATGGATATCTTTAAGGAACATGTTTTAGGAAACAACAATAACTATCGATACAACAACTATTATGGCAGTAAAACTGGTTCAGCTGGATCAAGTAGTAGTGATGCTCCTTTGACTCATAGTCAAGATACTGATGGTGACATTAGTGACCTTCCATTGCAACAACAACAACAACAACAACAACAACAACAACCGTATCGTCATGATCAACATTCACAACCCAATGGTATTCGATTACGATCATTACAAAGTGACAACAACCATTACAACAGTAACAGTGGTGATTATCATAGTGAATTACCATCAAATAAACCACTTCCTCAACGAGCTCAGTCACCATTACAAACAATCAATAAAACAACAACAACAGCAACAACTAATATGATTGCTAAACCAACTCCAGAACAACAACGGCACTATTTATCGCCTACCATGACGACAGGATCACACCCCCAATGGCTTAGTACAACTACTACTACGTGGGCTGACCCTGCACCTCATCATCAAACCGACACTATACCTGATATGGCGGATCGTCCTCTTCCTCCACCTCATCGACAATAGGATTTACTGTAGAAACTTTTAGTGTTGGTTATAGTTTAGTTATACTTTTTTTTTTATGATCTACATTCCCATTGAAAAAAAATAAAGAATAAAAAATAAAAAAAAAAGGAGACTGATGTAATATTGTTGATTATATATAGTTCTGTTTTATTTATGATGATTCTTTATTTTATAAATATGTATGTATATGTGTCTGACCTGAATGGCAATTTCTGTGCATGAGTTGCTAAAAGCGTTAAATACCATTTAGCCGATGATTTCGACCGAGTCTATATATGTACATAGATGTCGTATGATGATGATGTTAATGAAAGTTGACTATCGGTGAGAAGCGAAAAAAAAAAAAAAACTCTTTTAGTTGTTATTATGATGATTATTTTCTTTTGAGTATGTAGTGTACTACAATCACTACTTTTATTTCTTGTAGAACAAACTGGAGGTACAAGAAATGATCTATATATGGTAGTTGTACCACTTTATTCTTTGTTGCAAGTTCCCGGTAATTTATCAGAGAGAGAGAGTGAGAAGGGTTTAGTTTAAAATGAAAAAAGAGTTGAAGGAGTCTTATGTCAATCAGTCTAATACACTAGTTTTGTTGACTTTATTGGGTTTAAACTAATTCTCTTTATTGAATATGTATATATACATATACTCATATATAAAGGGAATCTTGGATGTAAAGGAAATTGAAAAATAAAATAAAAATAACAAAAAAAAAAATGAAAAAAAAAATGAAAAGGACAACGTTTCATCACCAAAAAGGAACGGAGTTCTTTTGTTTTGGAAGAAGATGGACAAAAGAGAAATGATTCACATTGTACAAGCGCATGATCTCCAAGTCCTACCATTTTAAGAGGTTCATATTTTTTCTACATATTCGATTAAATGAAAAAAAAGGAGGTAAAATATTTATAAACAGATTGGATGCATAATAGTGAATAGTAAGATGATGATGATGATTGAATTTTATCTAATAAGAAACTAAATATCATTCACTATTTTGTTAATAAAAAAAAAAGAAAAGGATGACCATGGAAACAATAGAAAACTGTTTTATAAAGTGGTACTTATTTTGTAGAACACGTGGGAAACTTGAGTCAGACTTTCCCTTTCTCTTGGGTCATTAGAATAGTTGTGATACAAAAAGGAGTAAAAAAAAAAAAAGTTTATTCTTGCCGTCAAATCAATAACAAATAAGTTTGGATCAGAGAAAAGGATCAACTTTTTGTTTATATATATATGTATATATACACACACACACAAATATATATATATAACGTATATATGTAATATACTTATTATATGAATCTATTTTCATGTTTAATAATAATAATAATAATGTCATGATAAAAAAGAAACAATCACTATTATAGATAATTCGATATAGAAATGCATGAATGCGGTATTTTAAATATGAAGTGAACCGAATCAAAGAACCATAAAAGTAAAATGGATCACGTACTTTTCCAATGGGAAAAGAAAAAAGAATCAATAGAAAGAAAAAAAAAAAAAGAATAAGGGGTGGAATGACCTGAAAAAAGAAAAAAAAAAAAAGTATATTCATCCTTATTATTATTATTATTATGTGACATTTGTTTTTTTTTTTTTTTTTTTTTGTGTGTGAATGGGAATTTTAAAAAAATAACAAGGATTTTCTTTTTGGTAATCATCAAATTATTATGATTCTATTCTTTGATAAAATGAAAAATTATTCATAATCAAATATATAAAAAAGAAATTATCATTAAAAAAAAAAGAAAGAAAAAGGAAATAATATGTAAACTGATAAGTTTAAAGTCTAGTCTAGTTCAATTCATTTTCTGCGTATAATGGCTACTTTTCAACCTCCGAGTGCGCGTTAAAAAAAAAAATTATGGTAGAATTGTAGAATCACCTCTTTCTTTCACTTTTCTTTTTTTTTTTTCTTTTTCTTTCTTCTTATTCTCTCTCTCTTTTTTCCTTTTTTTTTTTTTTATTTATTTTAGTCCCATTGAATTGACATCGTTACTACTCTGCCATGGCGGAAGAAAAAGCTATCAAACCTGACAATAACGAAAAGGCCGGAAAAGAAGAAGAATTCGAAGAACAAGAACATATCGAACATGAAGATGAAATTTCGCCTGAATTGGAAGCTTTACTTCATACCGATCCATCCATTGGTTTGACCTCGGCTGAGGTACAAGAAAGATTACAACAATTTGGTCACAATGAACTTCCTGAAAGAAAAGCCAATCCGTTCCTCAAGTTTATTCGTTACTTTATGGGTCCCATTTCCTATTTGATTGAAATTGCTTGTATTATTGCTGCTGTTGTTGGTGATTGGATTGATTTTGGTATCATTTTGGCTCTTTTGTTTATCAATGCTCTGATTGGTTTCATCGAAGAAATGAAGGCGGAATCTGCTTTGGATGCCCTTCGTCAAACTTTAGCTCTCAAGACTCGTGCCATTCGTGATAGCAACTTGGTAGAAATCGAAGTACGTGAATTAGTCCCTGGTGATATCTTTGTGCTTCGTATTGGTGATATTGTTCCTGCTGATGGTCGTTTATTAGGTTTGGGTGTCAATGGTGAAGAAAGTTCAGCTGAACTACAAATCGATCAATCTGCTTTAACCGGTGAATCTCTTCCTGTGCACAAAAATAAAGGAAATACCGTCTATTCCTCTAGTATTGTCAAACAAGGTCAACAACTTGCTGTGGTCACCAAAACAGGTTCCAATACTTTTATCGGTCGTGCTGCTAACCTGATTGCTATTACTGCTGATGAAGGACATTTCCAAAAAATCATTGCCAAAATTGGGAATGTTCTTATCTGGTCTACCGTCGTTTTGGTCTTGATTGTTTTTGTTTATCAAATGGTGCATTTCCGTAATACTCCTGAAGGTGATTGGCGAGTGGTTCTCGAAAATTGTTTGGTCTTAACTGTGGCTGCTATTCCTGTGGGTTTACCGACTGTGATGTCTGTTACTATGGCCTTGGGTGCAAAACAACTGGCTGCAAAGAAAGTGATTGTCAAACGTCTGACTGCTGTTGAAGAATTGGCTTCGGTTTCTGTTTTATGTTCTGACAAGACTGGTACACTAACTCTGAATGAATTAACATTTGATGAACCATGGCTCAATGACAACTATACTGCTGATGATATTCTCCTTTACTCTTATTTGGCAGCTGAACCTGGTGCGAATGATCCTATTGAAACAGCTGTCCGTCGTGCTGCTGAAACATCAGTGGATATCTTACGAGATAGACCGGCAAATCAACGTGATGTTCCCGGATACAAAGTGACTCAATTCCAACCGTTTAATCCAGTGACCAAGATGACTCAAGCAACTATCATGGATTTGGAAACAAATCAACCTTTCCGTGTCGCCAAAGGTGCTCCTCAAGTCATTACTCGTCTTGTTGGTGGTAATCAAGAAGCAGTCAAGGCAGTGAATGCTTTGGCTCGTCGTGGTCTTCGTGCTCTTGGTGTGGCAAAAACTGTACCTGGTGATTTAGAACGTTTTGAATTAATTGGTATGATTTCTCTCCTGGATCCTCCTCGTCCTGATTCGGCTGATACTATTCGTGATTGCAACTCTTTGGGTGTGGACGTCAAGATGATTACTGGGGATCAACTTATTATTGCAAAGGAAGTCGCTGCTCGTTTAGGTATGGGTCGTGTTATCTTGGATGCAAATCATTTAGTCGATCCTACAAAGTCTGAAGAAGAAGTTACTGTCCATTGTCAACGTGCTGATGGGTTTGCACAAGTGATTCCTGAACACAAGTATCGTGTAGTAGAACTTTTACAAAACAAAGGACTTTTGGTTGGTATGACTGGTGACGGTGTAAGTTTTTTTTTTTTTTTCTCAAAAAAAAAAAAAAAAAAAAAGGAAGATTGTTTAACTTTTTTTTTTTATTTTTTATTTCGTAGGTGAATGATGCTCCTGCTTTAAAGAAGGCTAATGTAGGTATTGCTGTTTCTGGATGTACTGATGCTGCTCGTTCTGCTGCTGATATTGTCTTGTTGGCCCCTGGTTTATCTACCATTATTGATGGTGTCAAGACTTCTCGTGCTATCTTCCAACGCTTGCGATCTTATGCTCTTTATCGAATTACCTCCACCATTCACTTTTTGATCTTTATGTTTATCATCACTATGGTGGAAGATTGGCGTATGCCTGCTATTTTATTGATTATGATCTGTGTTTTGGTAAGTACACAAACAAACCAAGAAAAAAAAAAAAGGAGGGACTCATTATTATGACGATGATTATAGAACGATGCAGCTACTTTGGTGATTTCTGTGGATAATACTCAAATCTCTGATCGACCCGATAAATGGCGTATTGGGCAACTCTTAACGCTTTCCTTTATTTTGGCCATCCTGCTCTCTGCACTTTCTTTTGCTCACTTTTATGTTGCTCGAGATGTATTCCATGTTGGTAAATATGAACTTCATTCTATCATGTATCTTCATATTTCTTCTGGTAAGATAACACTCATCAAAAAAAAAAAAAAAAAAAAGGTATGTAATGATTCTTATTATTATCTTTTTTTTTTTCTTGGGATCATCCATCCAGCACCTCACTTTGTTATTTTCTCTACAAGAGTACCTGGATTTTGGTGGGAAAACATGCCACACTGGTTATTTGCAGTTTGTGTGTTATTAACTCAGGTCCTTGCCCTCTTCTTCTCTGTATATGGTGTTTTCGGTGAACGAGAGGAAGTGGCTGGTTGTGGATGGCCTTGGGGTCTCGCTGTACTTGGTGTCTCCTTGATATACTTTATGATTCTGGATGTGGTCAAGGTGTATTGTTTCCGATACTGGAGTTTCCAATTGACGGCCAAGATGGTACCTACAAAAGGACGTCGCTCCAAGTTGGAAGGTCGCAAGTTGGATCAAGCTTATCAAAAACGAATGGAAATTTCTTGGGGAAAACTACAACATACTGTACAAGCTCACAATATTGTCGCTGCCTTTAAGCATCTAGATGAATTCAGGAATACAGCTTCTGGTGCCGCTTGATGGATTGATCTTAGTCATCTATATCCTTTAGCCTTTATCTTTATATTTTATCTTTATATTATACATTTATATAGTCTTTGTATACATTGTTTTTTTTTCTTATTATTATTTTTCTTATTATTCTCTTCTTTCCTTTTGATATATCTTGATTAGATATTTAGTATTGTACTACACTTTTTTTTTCTCTCTCCTTTTTTTTTTTTTTTTTTTTTTGATTACTATTATTATTTTCCTTCCTATTCTTATCCCTGTTATTGATTATTTTGAATTGTTGAAGTTTAACTGATAAACTTTGTTCGTTTTATTATTTTGATTATAATTGTTATTCAAATGAATGTTGTTTATTGATTGTTTGATGATAAGTGATGGAATATAAACTTTCTACAAAAAGTGATGATATATAACATCCCAGATGATTGTCATTTGGACAGAAATTTAAAAGTATCACAAAAAAAAAAAGGGTGTTTGTAAACATGATGATCATACAGGTGCCAACGTTAGGGAGATATGGATTCTATTCCTATGGTATGATCCTATCGTTCACTAACGAAAACTTAAAAAGAAAAAGCACGAATTCTAATTTCTGGAGTAAGGCGTTAGGCATCATTTGACTTTTGCATGCATAATAAAAACAAGTACATGATCATCAATGCACAAAACACAGAATTCTGTCTTGGTTCCTTCTATATGACTTTTTTTTTTTTTATTTATGTATAAAATTTATTTATTTCCGTATATGTATCAATCTATAAGAGATATGTATAAAGTAATCAAATAAATGGAAATATAAAGATAGTTGAATGCCAAAAATCAAAACAGTGATAATAATCAAATATGGAAGGGAGATAATACAAACTGGATAACAAAAATATACTAAAACTAACGAGTTGTATATATATATCGATTAGGATAAGCATTCCGTCACTGATCAGGGATCTTGTTGATTTCAGTTTTCACCTCTTGCCATGATTCAAGGTTCTATAAATTTCAGAGATGATTAACAAAATTATTTTGTTCCCTTTCTTTAAGAAAAAAAAAAAAACTACCTGTTGACAATAACGAATGTGTGCTTTGGCGTAGGCAATCAAAATCTCTTTCAGATCCTTGATTTTTTCTTGTTGGAATCTATCTAAATCTGCTTGTACATCTTTTGAAATCCCAGCAAGATCTTCCCGTGTAATCGTCAAAGCTTCTTCCAACTAAATGAAAAAGAAAAATGCTAAATTAGATATGTGACATATTTTATTTTTTTCTGTTCTACTTTTATTTTACCACAGTAATAGCATCTTTTGTTTTCCCAATTTGATTGCGTCTTGTTGCCACTGGATCCACATCAATCAAACCTTGTAAAGTATGACCCACAGCATTCATCATTTGCATCGGTGCTGACCAGGCATATCGTGATCGTCGTCTGGAAGGTGTAGATAAAGAAGTCGTTGTTGAAGTAGTTGTCGTTGTTGGTGAAAGTGGCGAATGTTGATCATATTGATGATGATGTTCTGATGCGTAAGGATTATTATCATATGAAGAAGAAGGAGAAAGAACATTTCCGTCTGCATCCACCGTTCCATTATTAAGTTCATCAATATCCACTGCATTCCGTCCAATGGTATGTTCCCGGGCAATTGCTTCTTCTAAACGTCGTGCTTCGCCTTCCATTTCCGAAAGTATATCCAGAGATTCCTTTTTGCTCTGTAGTGATGCTTCAATCATTTCCACTTGAGCATGCTTCATGTGTCTGAACTTGAGTACTTGTTTGATAGTTTGAGCAAATTGGGCATATTCTTGAATGGGTTCAGCAAAATCACCTTCAAGCATGGTTACCATTTCACCAGTGTTTGAATAAGAGGCATCCACGGCTTGACCAATTTTTTCAATCGCATTAGCTACTTCCCCTTCTTCATTAAGACTAAATCCATTATACACAGCACCTAATTCAGCATAATCATTAGCCAATTCTAGCATAAATAAATAAATAAATAAAAAGAGTTAATTTTCCTTTTTTGACATGCATAATATTTCTTTTTTTTTTTCTTTTCATATTAAATTACCTCCTAAACGCCGGATCACTTTGCGTTGACTTTTTTCCAGATGGTTGTTCATATAGTTGGCAACACGGTAAGTAAATTGTTCGGATTCTTCGAATCTTTGATCAGGGTGTTTCAAAAGATAGGCTGATGAAGGTACAGGTATCAAATGACTGGTAAGAACATTGTTGATAATACCATGGGTAGATGCTGATTGATTGCTGAAGGTCATTTGTAAAGGATTTTTAGGTAGTATTGATAATGGAGGTGAGTGAAGTACATCAGACTATACGCAAAAAAAAAAAAAAAAAAAATATGAATTTTACTATTATAATTGTTAATAAGCTCTTACCCAAGGAACACCACTTTCCAAAAACCTATGAAAAACATGATCATGACCAAGGATAGGATGTTTGGCAACTCGATTCAAGAAAGTTTGCAACATTCGTTTCCTTTTTTCCACCATGGGTAAATCATCCTTTACGCGTGTTTGAAGAGCTGCATAATCCACTAGAAAATATATAGAAAAAAAAAAAGAATAATAAATACATCTTTGAGTAACGTATTCACGTATTTTATTGTTCTCCTTTTCAAGTCGAAGCATTTACCTATGGAGTGTTTTTCGGGTATAGGAGGTACAATAACTGTGGGATGAAGTCTGGTAAAAGATTTACAAAGTGATTCAAATTCGCTATACCGGTGTTTGGTTTCTATGTTCTATAAAGTAAAAGGAGTTTAACCATGGATATTCATTTTTTTGTAATTGTATTTTTGGTCTATTGTTTTCTTTATTCTTTTTTTGGATCTTTACCCCAAGTCGAATGTTGTAGGTTACGTAGGATTTTCCAGCAGATGCATCGGATTGTTTCTGTGAACCTGTAATAAAAATAAAGGTGTCGTCGGCGGATAATAAACGATTGATATTGCAGTTACAAGAAGCTGCTGAGAATGGATGTGAATTCATATTATATCAGTAAGAAGACGGTAGGCTATGGGTAATGATGAAGAAAAGAAAAAAAAAAGTGAGAAAGGAGAGAAAAAGAAGAATGAAAAGAAATGGAGGAGTCAACTCAACTTTCGAGCCAAGGGAAAATTATCAAATTCAATATCCGCTAAATCTATTTGCTATGAATAACAAGAGATGTATTATCAAATCTTTTTGCGATCATGATTCCTACCTAATATTATGCCCGTGCAATAGGTGTCATTCATATATATCGTTGTATACAAAACCATCATTCAAAATAGAAATCACAGCAATCATTTTCCATCACCTGTCGTCATTAGGTATCATCCTGTATAATCATCATATATTATTTATCAACCTACATACACACCATTATATTACTATTTATCATCATAATTCATCCGTCATTGTATGCCATCGGTAACCACGTATCATCCACTCTATCAAAGGAGTTGTCTTTTCTTTTTATTTTTCTTTTTTTTTTTTTTTTTTTTGTGACGTACCAATCATTGATATTAAATCTTTTTCTTATTTTTTCTTTTTTTAGGACTATTAATGATGGTATCACCTATTTTGCTTGGCTGATTGTTAGGTTATCTTGAAAGTGATGCGGTGACAGACTTGGTTCGATGGGATATGCCAATAATCAACAAGCGAAGAAAACAAAATGGTACAATTGAAAAGACAGATCCTTCTCTTGATTTGACAGATAAGGAAGATATCAACTTTTTATATATCGATTATAATGTATAGTTATAGTTTTTATAATCATAGCATTCTTTCCTTTTTTTTTTTTTTTTTTTTTTTTTTACTTTAGAATAAAGATGAATCATATAAATTATATTAAAACCAGATGAAATCCAGTTAACGATGGCTAATCCATGAAATTACAGTACAAATAAATGAAAACTATATAATATGGTTTTTATCAAATGTTTACTTTTTACCAGATGACAGGTATACTGGATGATTTCAGGCTCAATTTTATTACTACTTTTTTTGAGTGTGCATAGTATGATGATTATTAGAAACTATGCAATATGGTAGAAGGTCTTACGAATGCACCTTTTTCTTTTTTCCATTCACAAAAGAAAAAGAGTTTGATCTTTGTTTTATTGTTAGGACGTTAGAAAAAAAAAATAACCGCAGACTTTTATCCAAAAAAGGCAATATGACGTTATTTTTGTTACTTTTTGAATCACCTTGTCTCCTTTTTGAACCAATATGGGGAAGAAAAAATAACCTAAACTGTGAGAGAAAAAAAAATAAAGAGGGTATACATCTACTGAATAAAAGTTTTCACACTATATATAAAAGCCATTTTGATAGTTTATAATCTATAGTCTAGATGTGAACGAAAAAAGGTATAAAAACGAGGCTTTGAAATTTCACACTTTTGTTCTCTTTCACTTTGATTTTTTTGGACAACTCACTATGTCTCTTGATAAAACTGAAATAAAAATGGAGGAAGATGTTGTGAACCGTACAGGTTCATTTTCCAGTATGGATGATCAACCATTTGAACAATTCAAAGAAGAAAAAAAGTTTGTACGAAAACTTAGTTGGTCTCTATTGCCATTAGTCTGGTGTATTGTCTTTGTTCAAGTAAGCTTAAATTAATATAAGGGACGACTAGGTGATTTCTTATACTCTCTTTTTTTTTTTTTCTTTATCTTGTTAGTTTGTTGATAAGGCAATGTTAGCAGTAGCCGCTGTCACAGGATTATTACAAGATACTCAGATGACAGCATCACAATACAGTTGGGCTTCTTCTGTAGTTTATTTGGGCTATCTCGTTTATCAAAGTAAGTGTACATGCATGAATTTCATCCTCACCAAAAAAAAAAAGAAAAAAAAAAAGCATTCAAAGGCAGCATTTTCCCCGTTTTCTCATTTTTTTCCCTCTCTTTTCCTTTTTTTTTTTTTTTTTTTTGTTTCTATAGTCCCGAACAATATTTTAATTCAACGTTTACCACATGCTAAATATCTTGGTGTTCTTATTACATTATGGGGTGTCACTGTATGTGCGACTTGTGCAGTTCAAACTTTCCAACAATTGATGGGTTTACGGTTTTTATTAGGGTAAACAAAAGATACCTTTTTATCAGGACGATACTCATTATTTTATGTTTAACATAGTCTATTTGAAGCTGGATCAAACCCCGTCTTATACATCATTCTGAATACTCTCTATAGAAGATCAGAACAATCAGCTGTGTTCGGATTCATGATCATCTCCTCTGGTAGTGGGTCTGCTGTTGGTTCTGCTATTGGTGTTGCTATCACTTACACCTTAGATCATGTCCATGGATGGCGCGCTTGGAGATGGTATAACAACTCCCTCTTTTTTTTTTTTTTAAAAAAAAAATGGATATATTTTTTTTTTGTTAGACTAACTTTCACTCTATTTTGTTTTTTAGGGGTTATCTCATTTTTGGAGTGATTACTATCTTTTTAGGCATTGTGACATTTTTCCTTTTGATTGACAAACCAACATCGAAATTATTACGACTGACTGAAGCCGAAAAAAAGATTGTAGAGGAACGTGGCAAAGACAATATGGTGGTCAAAACAAAACTAATTAAACGATATCAAATTTGGGAAGCTCTCAAGGAACCTCGCCTATGGTGTTTATGTTTTGGTATGCTTTTACTCAATCTTCAAAATGGTGGTTTGATTTCTTATAGTGCCCTTTTAGTGCAATCTCTAGGCTTTACCGTAAGTATTAATTATATCCATTCATATATTACTCTATTAGAAACAACAATTCATCTATTGTATAGTCTCAAGAATCTGTAATCTTACAAATTCCCAGTGGTATTGCAAGCGCCACCTATGTTCTTATTTCCATCATTGGAGCTAGAAAATCAACACAAACCATTTTTACAGCTATGACATTGATCTGCGTTTCACTCATTGGCTTGATCACTCTGGTTGCTTCCAATAATGTCGGTGGTAGGTTGGCTGGCTATTATCTCTCATGGGCACAAGCTGCAGGTCAAGCTCTTATCATTACAATCATTGGTAACAATGTTTCTGGTTATACAAAGAAGGTAACGTCAGTTATAGAGAAATATGAATTATAATCTTACTTAATATCTTTTTTTTTTCTGTTTTACATATTAGGTCACATACAACGGTACCTTGACAGTATTTTTCACTCTTGGTAACTTTATAGGTATGGTACCTTTCTTCTTGTATAGAACTACCAACTGACAATTATTATCTTTTTTATTCTTTTTACTCTTTTTTTTTTTATACAGGTCCATTGATGATGGTACCACCTACTTATCTTGGAGGATTATTGGGATATCTTGCAAGTAATATAGTGACAATTTTATTACTTGGTTATGTTCGATGGGATATGGCAATAATCAATAAGCGAAGAAGTCAAAATGGTACATCTGAAAAGACAGATCCTGCTCTTGATTTGACTGACAAGGAAGATGTCAATTATGTATATCGATTGTAGGCTTAGTATTTAGTTATAGCGCTATATATATATATATATTCACTTCAAAATAAAAGATGATTTGTTTGTATCTGATAACATATGAATGAAATAGAATAAATGATCATATATTGAAAACAAAAATTAAATGGTGAATGTTGTCTATAATAACTTGTCTTTATATTGGAAAAAACGTTCTATTTTATTCCAGATGTCAATACATTTGGATGTCTTGTTTCAAACCGATGCCCTTTATCTCCAAAATCTATCTAAAAAAAAAAAAAATCATCTTCCTGCCCAGTTTCCAAGAAGAAAATTTGAAACATCATCAGAAAAATATCATATAGTTTAACGCGTCAGAGATCTCGTATCACTTAAACGCATCCGTGACAGATTGTATCAACTCTTTTCAAGGTCCTGAAGCAGAATGCACTTGAGAAAAGAAAAGACGAAAAAAAAAAGTAGACTTTAGACATCGTTCACATTTCATCCACCAATAATGGATCATCTGTGAGCAATACTTCTAATGTAACGAAAGATGGAGAGAAAGTTTAATTCAGAAAGATCCAATCAAATACCATGCCTTTGATTCCATATTTTCTATTTCAAGCTCAAGGCACATTGTGAATGGATTGGAAAAAAAAAAAAAAAGAAAGTGCATGAACGATAAGCGTTTTGTTTGAGAAAAAAAAAAAAAAAGAGTTGTGAATGATTCTCAAGGGGAAGATCGTATGAACGTGGTTATCAAATGAAAGAACGGAAGACGATGGAAGAGAGAAAAAAAAAAAGAAAGAAAGTCATGTCATCTTGAATGTCAAAAGCATAGATGATTTTGTATGTGAGAGATAAGAGAGTGTGTGAGAACCATAGAAACCAAAGAAATAGAATATTTTTTTTTTATGACTACCCCACAATCTCGGATATCTTATTTTGGAATCGTTAAGTGACACAAAACACTGAGGAATTACTGTTTTGGTTCAAAAAGGAAATCGTCTACTTTATGAATTGATTCAAGAAAAAAACTCCCAAGAACTTAATCAATTCATTCACTCATCTTAACTAAAGTGAATAAATATGACAAAAGGTTTAATGTCGTGCGAAACTTTTCTTTTGATCGTTAATGCAAAAAAATAAAGATCTTTTTTTTTCTTTCCCTTTCCTTGGATTTGGATATTGAGAATCTCGGGATTTCAACTCCGTTACTCTTCCCCTTATTATTTAAAAAAAAAATAAATCTCTTTCTTTCTTTCTTTCTTCTTTCTTTTCTTTTTCCTTTTCTTTTCTTTTTTTTTTTATTTTTATATATTTTTATTTTTATATATATATATGTCTACTGAAATAAAGGAAAAGATTGAAGTGGAACATTCTGAATGTCATGACCATTTCAACGATACTATTGAAGACAATTCTCCAAAAGCAACTGTGATCAAATCTGATGCTGAAAAGATTTTTGTGAAAAAACTTAATTGGACACTATTACCTTTTATTTGGAGTATTATCTTTATTCAATTTGCAGATAAATCAAGTTTATCTTTGGCTGCTGTTTTAGGTATGTTACAAGATACTCATACAAGTCAAAGTCAATATAGTTTTCTTGGATCAGTATTTTATATTGGTTATATCGTATGGCAAATACCCAACAATTATTTTATTCAACGACTACCTATTAGAAGATATCTTGGTGTACTTTTAGTTTTATGGGGTATCTCCGTTGGATGTACTGCATTATGTCAAAATTTTACTCAATTAGTTATCTGTCGTGTTTTACTTGGTTTATTTGAAGCTGGTACTTATCCTTGTCTTTATATTGTTCTCAACTCTTTGTATAGGTAACTCTTCTTCTTCTTATTCAAATAAAACTCATAGATTTCCTTTTATAGACGTCAAGAACAAAGTGCGTGTTTTGGATTTTTATGGATGTCCAACGGATCAGGAACTATATTTGCTGTATTGATTTCTTATGGTATTGCTCATCTTGACGGTGCTCATGGTATTGCTGCCTGGAGATGGTAAAAAATCAATTATATATATATATATATATATATATATTATAATAATACGGATGGTAACCCACCTTTTTTTTTTTAATTGATTCGGATAATAGGAATTACATGATTTATGGTATTCTTACCGTGGTGATTGGTATCGCCACCTTCTTCTTCATGGTCGATAGTCCCCAATCAAAATATTTACGATTAACAGAAGCAGAAAAAAAGATTGTTGAAGCTCGTACTCAAGATAATGCAGTGGTAATGGATCGTGCAGTCAAGGTATCTCATTATTGGGAAGCTGTCAAGGAACCTCGTTACTATCTTGTTCTTTTGGCTGCCTTTTGTAACAATCTAAGTAATTCTGGTCTTGTGGTATTCAGTACTCCTTTTGTTGCTACACTTGGTTTTACAGTAAGCTATTATTATTATTATTATTACTATTATAATTTGCTCAATCTTCTCATGCCACTTTTTTTTGGGGGGGCCAGTCACTGAATTCCATTCTTCTTCAAATCCCAAGTGCCGCTATCTCTGTCTTATTTGTATTATTGGCAGTGGTTATTAATCGAAAATCAAAGAATATGTCTTTACCTACAATTGTTTGTGGTGGTATTGCGATGATCGGATGTATCCTTTTGGCTTGCTTACCTCACACTTCTATCAAGTTATTGGGTTATTATTTAGCCTGGGGTTTCAATGGCTCTTATGTTATGTTATTAACCATCGTATCTAATAATGTTTCTGGTTACTCAAAGAAGGTATTATTATTATTATTTTTTTAGTTTTATTTTTATTTTTTTTTTTTATCTTTTAAGGAATGCATATGATATTGATTCAGCGATTTTTCTTATAAAAAAAATAGATTTGGTACAACGCTTCAGTGATGGTGGCCTATACTGTTGGTGCATTTGTGGGACCTCTTGTGATGTTGGACTATGAATTCCCTGTTTATCGTACTGGTATGATTATCTTTGTGATTGGCAATTTATTGGTGGTCTTATCAGTATGTACAATGCTTTATTTAATGAAACGTACCAATAAAAAGCGTGCTCAAAATACTCATGGTGAAAAAACGGATGCTCATCTTGATCTTACCGATAAGCAAGATAAAAACTTCTTCTACAAGCTTTAGTATATCCTTCTTTAGTATATTTCCTTTCTTTTTTTGTATTTTAGATCATTATATTTGTAGTTTTAGTTTTTCCTTTTTAATGTACTTAATTCTTAATAAAATGATCTTTCCTTTTTTTTTCTGTTAATAATAGTAATGATGGCTGAGAGGTAACGATGGATGATGATCAGATGATAACTGATAATGTACTGGTTGAACAACGATGATACATGTCAAACTGTCAAATGCAAAGAAGTACCTTATCGGGAATACCTATTTGGAAAAATAAGAACAAAAGTTTTAAGATCATGTGAAAAATGATAGCCAGGTCTATCAATAGTTCACAAGCATAGTCAAATTGTATTCCCATTTGGATGATAATCAAATGTTTATTAAGAAAAAAAAAAGAAGTAGAGAGGAAGAAATGTGATCACTATATCGATAAAGGGACGATGTAGAACATAAGGGGTATAAGAGAAATAATAGAACCAAAACTAAAAAAAAAAAAAAAAGACACTGAAGCTATCTACTACCACCACCAATTTTAGTTAAACCGCGTAAACTTTCTTTGACAATTAATCGAGGACGGTTGATAAATACAAATTTTTCCCTGATAATTGATGTGACACTATATTCGACTGCTGGACCTATATCATTGTTATTCCCTTGATCAATATCCATGATTTCCTTGTCTACTTTGTGAATCACAGCCAGTGGTTTATGTAGTTTCTTCCGACTGCCTTCTATACGATGATGTCCTATAAGAACATGTGCTAAATCCTATATACGCATATATATATATAAAAGAAACAATAGTCAGTATATGATTCAATGTAGTTTGTTCTATGAATAATTTACCCCTTCAATTTCAATATCGCCAATCTTGACATTTTTCACTGATTCAGTGGCACTTTGGAAACTTCCTTGAAATTCAAGTAAGATCAGATCTTTTTTGTCTTCAGAATGAACCAATGAATGAATAACTGCATAAACCATGATGCATCTTGATTTTAATAATAGGAAGAAGTTTTTTTTTTAAAAAAAAGAAAAAGAAAAAAAGAATCAAATACATAAGACTTCTTTTTGAATCTTCATTTGAATTCAAATCCCGCAGGTTTTTTTTTTTTATTATTACTTTATTGTATACACAGAAAAAAAAAAAGGAAAGCTAAACATTGTATAGAATATGTATTGGTTTTTTTTTTTTTTTTTTTTTTTGCTAGTAGTGATAGGATTTGAATCGAATTTCAGGGGTTACGGTTGGCGTAGAGCTGTTTCCATCTTGTAAATGAGTAAATCCATTTGAGTTTCTTCTTGGTCGTCTTCTATTGGCGTTTTCTCCAGCAGGTACATATTTGCGTTTCTTGTCCAGTAAGTCAGTGGTTGTTGAGTAGCTTTGATTTCGATGATCGTCCTGATAATGTGATAATGAAGATGTGGAAGAAGGTGATAATGGTGGATTCAATGTAAGTTTGATGGTAGGACGAGGCATATGTGATGATGTTGATGTGTTGTCAAATGAATTTTGAGATAAAGAAGATGAAGTTGTTATAGAATGTTGAGATGAATTCACCGGATATATGTTGTTATTTTGATGTTCTATATTGACATCCATAGGCGTAGGAGGATGAATATGGTTTGATGATTGATAATATTGTTGATGATTTTGTTTCTGCAGTTGTCGATCATGGTTTGATAATTCACGCACTTTTTTGCATAGGAATTCCGTTTCATCTTCCAAAGCGATGGACAGACCATAGAGTTCCCTAAGATATTGTTTAATTGTATAAATGTCATCCACACCAAGGATAGTTTTTGACCGGCAAAAGGAATAAAGTTCATCACGGTAGGAAGTCATCATCAATACGATTTCTTGTAATTTTGGGTAAACTTGTGGCACCAGTAAAAGATCTTTGGCTTCATCCATCATTTCACAGATTTCTTCAAATTTGGGACGACGGGAAAAGTGAGCAAAATCAAAGGAGGGATCACATACAGGGCATACATAACTGGAGTTGGGATTCAATTGTCGTCTTGAGACCTTGACACAGCTACCATGATACCAATCTTGACAAACATCACAATTAATCATAAATCCAGATTCAGGTTCACGGCAAACACAATAAGGTCGGGTTGCTTTTTTCGAATATCTGTTATGCGATGGTGGCTTTTTCGATTCCTGGTGCATTTCTAAAATATGTTCAATATTTGTATACATATCGTGTAAAATAGTATCAAAAGTTTTTGGTGGGCTGATTCGATACGTTAGCAATCTTTTGATTTTCATCGTCCAATCATCGAGTCGTTTTAATTCGTGGTTAAGTGTTGCAGATTCTTGTTGCACCATGGCGGAAGGAAACTGTTGCATTTCTTGTTGTAATATATGTACATCTTCAGCAGTCGGTCGGTGTAATAATTGTTGTTGCTTGCATTGCATCATCGTTCGAGTGAATTGTAACATCCAATGTGATATTTTCTTTCTAAATTCCTGAAGCTCTTGATAAACACTTCGTAGAGTCGGTACATCTTGGTCCACATTGAGAATTTCATCCAAATCTTCCAATGTTGCATCACGATTTCCAACTCCACCAGGTAATAGACGACGAGCATGTTTTACCCATCCTTCCCCTAGCCGTAACTTATTTTCCATGGCTTGATATTTTGCATTGCTTGTAGGTATGTTGCATTCGTCAGCTTCCTTTTTCAAATCCAAAATTGCACTATGATCCAATGGTAATTGCATAGCTCGAGGTTCCAATACGTCCATCCAATATCGTTGACGTAGAGTTATCACCAATAAACCCATTTCTTCAACATCTGTTTTGAGTGAGGTACCACGATGTAACATGTGTTCTATTTCGGAGGTAGCTATATCTTCCTTGGAAACTAGAGATCGTGCTTGTTGTTTGAATTCATCAATTTCATTCTTCAAATTTTCTAGTCGGTTGATGGTAGGTGATTCAAATGCTATAGTTTTTGATTCTTTCAATAAAGAAGTAAGCTGTCGGTATCGATCGCCATTATAGTTGACCTTCAAATCAAAAGTTATCTGCTGATTTAATCCATCTATTGGCTCCAAGAATGCTGATGCTTGATGTTCCCATTGTTGTACTTGTGCCAAAAAATTGCGAACCTGCCTTGTTTCTTCAAAAGGTACACCGATGTTGTCTGCCTCTTTTAGTAGTTGTTGTAAATGCTGTATGCTAGGTAAAGTTCCACCAGAGAAAATTTGTCTTGTTTTGCTTTCCCAATCGGATGTTGTACGCGCTACTTTGAATGCCACTTCAACTAATTGTCCTAATTGTTCATCAGAGAATCGTATACGGACGTTCTTCTTGTTGTCTGAGCATTCACATAACTTTTCAAAAAAAAAAAAAAAAAAAAAAAGAGAGAGAGAGAAAGAGATTGAAGTCAATAAAATGAATAATAAGATTTTTTTTTTTTTACCTCGTCTATATGGTTCAAGCATGCTACCCTTTTAGTGCATGAACATGTGACGTGGGACAGGTAAGTGTAACAGTGACAGAAAAGGCATTGTAGTTGTTCATTAGAATCATCATTGTCATACCATCCCAATTGCTTGATTTGAGGATGTTTTTTCTTGCATTGTTTCCTTTCAGTCGTTTCCCTTTCTTGCATATCCTGTAAAGCATCTTTAAGCCATTTTGCATTCTTTTTGGTAAGATCCATTTTGAGAACGTTGACTAGTAATTCATCATGAGAGAAGCAAGGTTGACGTCGATATTCTTTGTAGCGTTTGACACATTCAAGGCCAAGATGTACCCAATCCACTGGAGCAAAATTGACAGCTTCACAAAAATTGAACTATATATCAAAATTAAAATGGAATATAGAAACAATCAGTAATGAATATAAAAAAAAAAAAAATAATAATCCATGTTTGATAAAATATATATATATATATATAATTCTTACACCATGATTAAATCCAGAATGATAGGCTTTTGGGAATGTGACAACAAATTCACCTGGACGCTGATCCACAGCATATACGCGTACTTTTTCTTTCAATAAACGACCAGGGCTAAGCATTGTGACTAACTGGAAGAGCAGATTGGGTTGTTGTTCAAAGAGTTCTGGGACAGCTTTTTTCATTGTATCTTCAAACTTGGCAGTATCTTCGCCAGGTACACCATACCATGTCTTTGTTTCACCCCAATGCATATAATTGATAGAATAAGTAAAATGATCTTCATTGTGCCAACAAAAAGCCGAGAAGCACATTCCAATATATAACCAAGGGACCATCATACCACTAATATCTGTTTTGATATGCGTAAACAAGGAGTCAGGAAGAATGGGGATCATATTGAGATTCCAAGGATCATCGCCTTTAACACCATCAGGTCCACGTTCAACAGAAGCAAATCCACTATAAATATATACATTGATTAAAAATAATATGATTTAACATTGTATTTTAATGTGACTAACCTGCCATGTTGTGTGCTATGAAGATCAGCACCATATTCCACTTGACATGTTTCATGAGGATCATCTACCAAACGCCAAAATTCATCTTCACAATCTTCCTCAGTTACCAATTGGGATTGTTCAACAGGTTGCTTCTTAGAAAACCACTTCTTTTTAAAATTGTCACAAAAGGTTTGAAAATCGGATAGAGAATATTCATCACCATCTTCAAAACCATAATCACCACCAGCAGCCGTGAGGCATTTGATACAATACCATTCAGCTGGAGGTACAGAAGTCAAAGGAGGAGATAAACAAGACATATGATAGGCACGATCACAATCATCACATAGTAAAAGTTGATGGGCATTGTCGTCAGTATGACAAATTTCACATAATTGACTACTATCTTCGCTTGCATGATCATCATCATCATCATCTAATATATAAATAAGAAAAAAAAAAGGGAAGTTAGGGAGGATATCATTCTTTCTTCTATTAGAGAGAGAGAAAGAGAGAGGTATTTACCATGTGTATCGACTGGTACAGGAGTTGATCGGTTCTTGTATTTTGCCAGCCAAAGTTCATAGGGTAGAATAACACGACTATAAGCAGATTTGAGAGCATTGGACATTGAGGTACATTGTCTTCGAGTATAATCAAGTTCTCTACCAATTTCAGCCCATCGTTTTTCATCACACACCTAAAAAAGGAAGGTATTTTAACATTTATCATCCATTCACATAATTATAATAATCATATGTTTTTACCTTTTGATAGCCACCTTTTTGCGCCACTTCTTTTTTGAGCTTATATAGATCAATAGGACGTTTATCCAAGTGAGGAATACGTTGAATAGGTCGTCCATGTAGTTTATGAAATTTTTGTAATTGTTCCAGATAGTTGAGATTGGTTCTTGTTTCACCTTCCATACTGTTCAGTTTTTGAATTCTAGTTCTGAAGCGAAAGATCTAGTAATGAAGGGGAAAAAAAAAGTTCAAGTCAAATGTAAAGATAAAACATTATCTTTTTGTTAGACAAACCTCCGTATTTAAGCAAAAGTCCGGTTTGTAGTTTTTGGGAGGGACGATTTTGATAATGCCATATTGTTCAGCTTCTGGTTGAATGAGTCGAATGTATCCAAGAGGATCTTTGAATTCTTCCGTTGTTGGATGATATGTTGGTGCTTCTGTTAATCCAAAAATACGTTCTCGTGTTCGTGGTACTGCGTCATTTGTTGTTTTAACAGTTGAAAGGTCTAAAGGTGATGAAGGACGAGCATCAGATTTTCGTGTAGTGGACTTGTTGGTAGATATACGTTTCATGGATGGTGTATTAGAATAAGGAGACGAAGGTAAGGATGACAACAACTGGTAACAAGTAAATGAATCACTTGATGAATATTAGAATAATAAAAAAATAATACTAATAATAAAATAAAAATAAAAAAAAAAAAAAAAAAAGAGAGGAAAGAATAAAAAGGGAAAAAACAAGTAGAAGAGAGTCAAATGTCGAATGTTTTTTTTTTCATTTTCCACTAAGAAAAAAAAAAAAAAGGAAAAAAAAAAAAAAAAAAAAAAACTAAACCAGCCAATCATTATCTCAAAAATTCGATCTGTAATAAACAATACAATTATTTTTTCTATTTTAATTCTTTATTTTAACTAGTTTCTAGGAGATGACTAACTACACGTTCTAATACTGGCATACAACGTACATAAGCTTTCCAATGAGAAATATCATCAGCTCTTGTGGCCCCGCTTGTGAGAAGTCCAATAGGTTTTCCAAGTTCTTTTGCTAGTCGTACCAAACGATAACTTGAGTAGGTAGCTAATGATGACCCAATGACCAATACCGCTTTTGCTTGATATACCATGGATTCTGCTGCTTGATGGATAGATTTTGGAATACTTTCACCAAAGAAGATTACTTTAGGTTTCATCATTGTACTTGAACATTGAGTACATGTTGGAATACTAAAGTTTTCATAGGATATATTTCCAGGTAGATCGACGTCGCCATCAGGATTGATCATTGGTTTTTCGCCTTTAAATGCCAATTGTCGTTGATAGTCCGCCCAAGAAGGATTATGAGCAATCAATCGATGTTGATAAGATGTTCGATCCACTGAATGCTTACAAACCATACATTCCACAAGATGAAGAGTTCCATGTAATTCTATAATTCGATTAGGATTTGTTCCAGCAAAATGATGTAAATGATCTACATTTTGAGTGATGATATTTTGTATAAAATTTGCTTCCAATAAAGAGGATAATGCTACATGTGAAGGATTGGGTTTTGCCTTTACCATATCATTCCATCCAAGAAATCCACGTGCCCAATATCGCTGTCTAAATTGTTCACTAGATGTCAATTCATGATAAAGAATAGGTCGATGTTTTGGATTGCGAATATAAGTTCCCTACATATAAAAAGCGAATATAGTTAGTGATTGAAAAAAAAAAAAAAGATGTTTATTTTTAAAAGTAATGTTTTTTTTTCTCTTTTATTACACTTTCTCCTCGGTAGTCAGGTATACCTAATAAAGAAAAAACAACAAAAAAAGATTGGTTTTTTTTCTTTTCTTTTCTTAAAGAAAGACAAATGATTTAGCTTTACCACTATCTGTACTGATGCCTAAACATTTGAAAGAGAAATATATAAATTGAGAAAAAGAACATAGTTATATATATATTATAATTACCTGCTCCAGTAATAACCAAGACTTGGCCGTTATGTTGTTGTATCAATTCTATTACTGATTCAGTTGCTTTGTCAATATCAAAAATAGGAGGTATAAGTGCCATAGAAGGACGAAATTCAGGCATTCGTATTGTTGCTTTCCATACTTTTGAAGATGCCGATAACTGCCGTTTATTATTAAGTAAGAATTTACTTGGAATCATACAAGTTAATGAAAGGACGAAAAAAAAAAAAAAAAAAAAAAAAAAAAGATAAAAACGATTTTATGGGATCTTCGTATTTCGCTCTGGGCCTACTTATTTTCACCCGCATTTCGGTGGTTGAAAAGAAGAAATGGAAAACTGGTTAGTGTTATGATCAACTAAATATTATTTGTATATGTGCACTTACCAAAAAAAAAAAAAAAAAATGTATAGTATGTTATTATCTGCTATTGGATAATAGAAGGTTGTGTCTTTTGGTCTTTTTGTTATTGATGATAGTGAAGCAACCCTTTTGTTTGGTAAGTTATCTCGACTTTTCTATGGACTGTGGCTGTTTTTTTTTTTCTAATTTACTATACACATTTATATGCATAGAGAACGATTAAATGGGTACAGATCAAGATCAACTGATTGAATATACTATTGGACCAACATGATGCGTTTTTGTAGTACGATTTGACTCTATATGAAAACAATACTAAATGTGCAAAAACAGCTCTTGTTGAACTTCGAAAACGACGTGAGTACGTTAACTCAATTGATATTCATCATTTATCAAAATGCTTAGTTTTCTTCTTTTTCCTTTAAGAGATTGCACCATCGTTTCTCTGTCGGATTTCAAAATATCGACGCCAATGAAAAAAAAAGAAAAAGAAAAAAGAGCATAAAAAACTGTGTTTTACAAAAATGAACTAAGATACTGTATAATTGATGATACTGATGATTAATGTCATTATAGACTCTAAATTATTTATTAATATTCTTTTGATTGATTAGTGGTTAGATTTCATAGTTTTAAAACAAGAAATTATATATAATAAAGATCATTGTAATGTGTTCCAAAAATAGGAGGATAAAGAAAAAAAAACTTTAATGATGGGGTAAAGCGGAGAACGGATGATTTTTTTTTTTTTTTGCCTTTCACCCAGTCACTTTATTGGCTGGTTGGAGTTTTTTTTCACTCTCTTTCTCTTTCTTTTGCCATTATATAAAAAAAAAAAGACACGTTCACTTTCTTTCATCCTTTTCTTTTCTTTTTCTCTTTTTTTTTTTTTAATTACACCTAGAATTATTCAATTTCCCTTCATTGGGATCTTTTAGACTGTACATTTTTTTTTTTTTATTATTATAGAAGTGGTAATAAAATTTAGACAATTCTTTTGTTTCGAAAGCTGTTATTAACTTGATCGTTTTTTCTTTTTTTTTATGGTTAGTGAATCAACAAAACTCTCCCACAAAAACAAAAACAAAAAAAAAAAGCCTGGATAAATATTTTGTAGATTGACTCCAAAAGGTAAAGATGATGATGATATATTCAAGTTAATTAAACTTATATTTCTGTTTTTCACTTTTTTAGTATATATATATTCTTTAGTTTAATTGACTCATGCCACAAGTAAAAAAAAAAAAAAAAAAGAAAGAAAAAGAAATATATATAAAAAAACAACTTATTATCATTATCGTACAACCATTGTCTTACTTTTTTTTTTCCTTTTTTTCTTTCTTCTTAGAACAACAATTCTCGACTATCGAAAAAGGTAAATAAAAAAAAGAAAAAAAAATTATCTTATGCTTTGATCGATATAGGGAAAGCAACAAATATGATAACCTTTTTTCTTTTTTTTTTTTTTGTCTCACCGACTTTTAATTAGACTGAAGAAACGGGTCCAATTGGTATTCCAGGTGTGAATCCTACATCTGCTGATGAAAATTGGAAAGTTGTTGGTAGTCCTTCCCGACGCGGTAGTTTGGCTACTGGTATTATTAATACATCTACTGATAATCAAAGTCCTGCTGCTTCTCCTACACCAAACTCTGTGGATATCCCTAGTGCACGACGACCTTCTCTTGATCCTTCTCAGTGGGGTTCTTTTGGTGGATTTCAATGGGAAGGTCCAGGTATATTCGATAATGAAGTACGCAAATCTTCTTTTTCTCATTCCTCACAAATCTTACCACCTCCTCCTGAAGTATTGATGGATGATACTTCTTTTACTCGTCGTCTCTCATTCGCCTATGATAATAGTATTCTATCTGTACCTATGCTTCCTGGTGTATCTATGGAACCTATTTATCGTCAGCAACGAAGTCTTTCCTTCTCAGTAGGTCAAGATCCAACCGTCTTTGGTTATGATGATTATGATGATAGTTCTGTACCAAACTCCAACAATAATATGGCATCTATGACTTATGGTTATAAAAACTCATTAGCTACAATGGCTGAAGAACAAGATGATGATGATGATATTTTACAAGATATATTGGATCAAGAATCAAATGCTGCTCGTTGGCGTGCTCGTTCTCAATCTTCTGGTGCTGCTTTTGGTCTACTTTCTCCTTCTCAACATGCTGCTTTACTTAGTCAACAATTACGACGTGGATCAGAACAACATGATGATTTAACTCAACAACGAAGACGATCTTCGAGATTCTTTGGTACTATGGATGGATCATCTACAACCGGATCTAATCAATCTACTTATTCACAAATGTCAATGGGTGATAAAGAACGTTTAGAACTTATTCAACGTCGTTTATCTCAATCTCATGAATATAAATTCCCTGATCAAAGGTAAAGTACAAAAAAAAAGGGGGCGGAAGAAGGAAAACATTTCTTTTTTTTTTCTCTTTGTTTAACTCATAAACTTTTTCTTTGTTCTATAATAGTTATAATCTCCTACAACAACGTCGTCATTCACTCAATCAACCTCATCACCCTCATCATATACAACAACTTTCAGAGCAGTTAGAAAATACTCATTTACGACAATCGGAAAATGGATACAATTTAAATCGAACAGAAACATATGGACAACAATCAAACATACCTCATACTCATCCAACTCAACCACAATATTTATCTCAGCATCAACAACCCCAATTACATATGAATAGACCTCATGAAGAATATTTCGATGCCGAACATCAACAGCAACAACAATTACAGCATCAAAACATGATGATGAATGGCGCATTCCGTGATACAGGAAAAGGTATTCCTCTTCAACGACTACCTCAACATACTGCACTATATTCTGTGGAATTTAAAGCTGGTCGGGTGGATTACTTTTATGTGGCTTCTGAACCTGGTACTACACCTATCAAATTCCAAATGGGCGATTTAGTCATCGTGGAAGGTGATCGTGGAAAGGATCTTGGTAAAGTGGCAAGTGATATTCTGAAAATTGATACCGTTGAACAACTTGTTTCTCAAAAATTACTACAACAACAACAACAACAACAACAACAACAACAACAACAACAACAACAACAACAACAACAACAACAACAACAACAACAACAACAAAATACTCAAGAAGATGATTCCAACAATGACAAACCCAAAGATGTACATATCAAACGACTTTATCGATTGGCTACTCCCGAAGAAATCAATTTACTCCTTGAAAAAGGTCAAGATGAATTACGTGCCTTGGCTCTTTGTCAACAGAAAACAAAAATGCGAAATCTTCCTATGGTGGTTGTGGATGCCGAATATCAATGGTAAAATGGTTTTATATATCGATCATAGAGACTTGCTAATATTCATTCTCTCTCTCTTTCTTTCTTTGATCTTTTTTTTTTTTTTTTTTTTTTTTTTTTTTAGGGATCGTCGCAAACTCACATTCTTTTTTGTCTCTGATCGCCGTATTGATTTCCGGGAATTGGTCAGAGAATTATTCAAAATTTATAAAACTCGTATTTGGATGTGTGCTGTGAATACAAACAATGTAGTAACAAATGGTCCTACCACTTCAACTCCACAAGGACAATCCAATGAAATGAAATGATCAATCAGTAGTTTAATTCACTTTTGTAGTTATTCTTTTGTTTGTTATATATATTTCTTTCTTTTTTTTACTTTTTTATACAATGTTTTCAAAGTTTTTTGTCGGGTCACAAGAAAATAGTTTCGTGATATTATAAAATAAAAATATCAAACTTTCCCAAAATGAATGTCGCATTACCACATTTTCAGATTATCACTCCAGAGACGTCTATAGAGGATGTCAAAACACATTGATTGATGATTGATGATAATGCAGCATATTAATCATTCTCTTCTTTTTTTTTTTTTTGAAATCTCCTTTGGTGCTTCAAAAGTAAGTAATCTACCTGCATATATAAATACGTTATCACCTTTTTTGAGGATGTATTCAATGCTACCCTACATAGAAGTTAAAATAAATATTAAAAAAATGGATATGTTGACTAAATATATATATTTTATTTTCTGTTATTCAAAATACTCAATAGAACTATTGCCATTCCTCTTCTTCTTTTTCTTCTTGTATTCAATTTGGATTATGCTAAAACTCTTTATTTTTTTTTTTTTCTTCTTGTCATCTATTTTTCTATCCTTACTATATTTTATTTCCTATTTTCGCGACATCTTATTTTTGAATTTCGTCATTTATTATTGAATAAAGTGTAAGGAGGTTTACTCTATCATCATTTCTTTCTTTTTTCGGTATTATCGTCAGTTGGATCATTCTTTTAAGGGTGGATGAATGGAGATTCATAGTGAAAGACGATGGATGATTTGGAAGGGTAGTGTTTTGATGAAGGTAGAGAAATCGTTGAGGGGACATCGATATGCAATATTGGTCAGAAAAAAAAAAGTGATCACCCAATTCATCAAGCTTTATTTGAAATATATAAAAAGGAATAGTGAGGGATAACTAAACTACTAATGATTATTGTTTTCTTCAATATAATTGGCAGGAACAAGACCCTGTTTTCCATTGTCTAAAGAGGCAGTCCACCAATCACCCATTGATTTGTCCAGAATAGTCAATCTTGCACCGGCTTCAAAAGTCAAACATCCTTCATCTTCAGGGCCACTATAATCATACAATGCCACACCATTTGATATGGGTATCAATTCTACATTATCGTGCAGATGAAAAAAAAAAATTAGTTTTATTATGATGGATACGTCATACAAGAAGCACATCCTTTCCTTTTTTTTTTTTTTTTTTTTTTTTTTTTACCTTGATCATGTTGATTGTCTGATCCAATATCACCACGTTCGACATAGTTACGAGGGAAGTAACCCGATTGCTTGGATTTCTTCAAGGTACCATACCACCAATCATCAGATTCAAGACCATTCTTCACCAAAATAATATCATTAGCTTGGAAGCTCAAATCATCGGTCCCTTGTCCTAGATAATCCCATAACGCCATATATTCTATTTCTACTTCTTCGTTGACAAGACCTCCTGTAGATATTGCTGAGGATGCTTCTGTGGCAGTCATAGGTGTTTCCGATCCTGTTCGTTTCTGTAACTCGGCCAAGAAGCCTGCACTAGCCAAGGGTCCTGATGGAGTTTCTTTTCGTTCAATTGCCGTTTCAGAAGAACTTGTTGGTAAGCTTTGTTGAGAAGCATGATTATTTTCTACTGAAATCGGAGCGCTGCTAGTATTGTTATTGTCTATTACACGTCCTAATCCACTTGTCTGGCTTTTATCAACGGTGACGGTCTTCTTTAGTCGAGTTCCTTGTACAATTTGGCCAAGTAATGCAGACCGTGCAGGTGAGTCATTGCTGGAATTAGATGGCTGAGAGGGTGCTGGTGGTGCTGGAGGAGCTGATGGCGGCATTGGAGGAGATACTGATGGTGCTGGAGGAGCTGCTGGAGGCGCTGGAGGAGCTGCTGGAGGTGCTGGAGGAATAGCTGTAGGGATAGAATCAAAGGGCGTGGAAGATGCTGATGGTGATCCAGCTAAAATGGAGAAGAAAAGTTGAGTATCCAAGAAATATATGTCCTCTTTTGTTCAAAAAAAAAAAAAAAAAAAAAAAAAAAAACTTACTATTTTGGCGTTGGCTCATGGCATCAAAAAGTTTTCCAGCAAGATTTTTTGCGCTACCAGCAGCAGGGAATTCTTCATCAGAGTCATCTTGATGTACAACATCCCATCCATCGTCATCATCGTCCGAATCACTATCATTGTCATGACCCTTCGTGGCGGAAAATGCCGAGAATGCAGCGAAAGGATTGTAACTAACACGTTTGTCGGCAACTGCAGTCTTTGTAGGTTCTTCCTTGGGTTCTTCCTTGGGTTCTTCCTTAACTGTTTGTCCAATAGATGTTGATTCATTTTGTCGCTGTTGCTGTAATTTTGCAAAAGGATTGTTGCTACTCATTGATGCATCCTCTAAACTGCTTGTTGATTCGATTGGAGTAGCTGGAATTGGAGCTGCTGCCGAGGATGTTGCTAGGGTTGCTGTTGGAGCTGCTTCTGCTGATGATGGTGGTGGTGGAGGAGGAGGTGGTGGTGGGATAGATGCTTCAGGGATCACTTCAATATTTGCGGCAGCTGCACGTTCTTCTTCCTCAGCTTTTTCAATGGCTTTCATTCGAGCTAAACGTTGTTCCTCTTCTTTCTTGATGATAGCTTGTCTTCGCTGTTCCAAATCTTTTTCTTCATCCAGTCGACGTTGTCGATCAGCTTCCTCTTGTTGTCGCAAAGCTTCTTCCTGTTGTCGCAAAGCTTCTTCCTGTTGTCGCAAGGCTTCTTCCTGTTGTTGTTGTTCAACTAGTCGTCGTTGTTGATCAGCTTCATAATCCCTTGTAACAGGCAGAGGAGATTCTTGTCGAGGTTCTGATTCCTTAAGCTTAGCTTGAGCGAGCTGTTCCGCTTGTCGTAAACGTTGTTGAGCAGCTTGTTCTTCAGGATCCACTTGTGGTACTGGTTGAGGTGATCTAACTGTAGGCGATGAAGTCTGGCCGCGTTTTGCACGTAAATTTTCCAATCGTTCTTGCACACGTCGTTCCGCCTAATTATCATTAAATGGAATCAATCAGTACTAATTCTCCCTTTTTTTTTTTTTTTTTTACCTCTTTTTTGATTTCTTCAGCGGTCCTAGGTTTGGAAGCAGTTCGAGTAGACGGAGAATTGGAGTTGACAATAGGTGATGATGATAATGACGATGATGGTTCTACTTGATTCTGAGCAAACGAAGATGATGGATCACGACGATTCACAATAATTGATGAAGATGGAGGGGAGAATCCTAAAGGAGCTTCACGATCTAATTGTTCAATAAATCTGCGTACTTCGTATGACATATCTTGACCTTTTTCAAAACGTTTCTTGTCTAATACAGAACTTGATTCCACAAGTTGATCCAAATAACGCAAGTCACCACGAATGTCCCGCAATGCATCACGATTTCTTTCCATATCTCGTTCAGCGTCATCAGCAATTCGATCATAGGTTTGTTTTTCTTCTTCAGCACGGCGTAATTCATAATCGGCATCTTTGCTTGATCCAGTTCCAATTTTTCGAGCAGCCATCATCGCTTTAGCTTTCGCTCGTACTCGATCACTTTCAGTGGTAGTACCCCCAGGTCCAGTAGGTTGAATATAAGCAGTGTAATCTTGCCCACCATCATTCTTTCGTCCATAGCGAACCTTGGCATCGCGTAATTCCGCACAAGAAGAGCGTAATTGACGGGCTAATACTGGGATATCACGATTGCATAAATATTGTATTTCTTCTTGAAGTGATTTTTGAGTTTCCAACAAATCCAAAAGAGTTTCCGTATTTTGAAAGTATTTGTTTGTCGATGGGTTTCCACGATAAGCGCGACCTAATTCATCTTGAGTTTTTCGGATATTTTCCTTGAGTTCTTCCACAGAATATCTATTTGTCGTTGATGAAGATGATGGGGAGTAACGACGATTGTCTTGTTGTTTGGTTAATCCAGCTAATCGTTTCTTAGTTGTCGAGATTTGTAGGCGTAGTTCATCCAAAGCTGCAGAATCTTGTTGTTGTTCATCTTCATCACTTTCATATGAAGTAGGTCTACGATCAGGAGCAGAGCTCATAAAACGACTTGGACCTTTACGACCAGCACTTGATACGTATTCATCACCACCACCGATAGATTGTCTTTGTTCTTGATAATTTGCAGGAGGAGGAGATGCTGTAGCGGGAGTAAATGGAGGAGGATTTGAACGATGACCAATGACGAATTTTTTGAGAACGCTTGAGGGAGGAGCCAATTCAGCAGGTAAAACAGATGGAATATCAAAGTTATTGAGTTTTCGATAAACCAAATGCATTGCTACAGCAAACTCATCTACATCCAAGCTACCACGATTTTCTTTATCAGCCAAATTCCATATCTTCATCAAATCAGATTCTTGTAATTGAGATTGTAAGAATACTTGACGAGCTACTTCACCAGACAAATATCCAGTACCAGAGGTTTCCCAAGCTTGAAAGATTTGACGATATCGTTGTTTTTCTTCAGGACTGATTTTCCATGATATAGCATCTTGTTGATGGGTACCCAAAACAGGGGCAAGAAGATTGTGTCGACTAGATTGATTGGGCATCATCTTGTTAGCAAAGTCAGTATTTTGCACGCGAGTTCTGTTGACATTAGTTTGAATAGGTCTTCCAATACCAGTAGTCATAGGAGCTTGAAGAGGTGCTTGATTTATATAACCAGTTTGTTGTTGTTGTTGTTGTTGTTGATAAGGTTGTATGGGAAACCCAGTACGCATTGGCATTTGAGGTTGGGGAGAAGGTACACCTGTCATCATTGGCATCTGAGGTTGGAATCCAGTCATCATTGGCATTTGCTGTTGAATTGATTGTTGTTGTTGTTGTTGTTGTTGTTGTTGTGGCATGCCAGTCATCATTGGAACTTGCTGGGGAATACCATAACTTGTAGGTTGTACTGGAGGAGGAGTTGTATTTGTATTGATGAGTTGAGAAGTTGAAGTAGTGGTTTCAGTTGAAGCTAGAGTTGCCATTGCTATTTCAGTTTCTTCTCTTATTTCAGAAGGTAATTGGTTCGGAATAGGTTTGCCAGTCAATTTGGTAGATGTCAAATACATGGCAACAGCAAATTCAGGAAAGGTCAAATAAGGAGTCTTTGCAATAGAAGCCAAATCCCTAAAGAAAATATAGATATATGTATGTTAGTAAATTTATTTTAATAGTTTTCCACTATTTTATAATTATTCATCTGATATTACCATATTTTAGCCAAGGAATCATTGTCAAGTCTGGAACGAGTTAAAAGGTCACGAACAGCATTGGCTAAAAAGAAAAGAAAAAAAATGGAATTAACGTAAATAAAAAATTCAAGAATTTCTTATTTTTTTTTTTTTCTATTTCTCTTACCACTAATTTGTTTTCCACCAGTAGTTGCAGTTGCCCTTTTAAAGAGATCTTCGAACTTGGTTTGGTCAGCAACAGTAATGAAGTTCAGTCTGAGACCTATTCAAAAGATGTTTGTGAGAAAAAAAAAAAAAGTTTTGAATTATTACTTACCACCAGAAGGATTGGAGGAAAATTGTGTTGTCCCCACGTTATTATTGTACATTTGAAAATAACGAGGAGAAAAGGATGTAAAAAAAAAAAAGAAAGAAGGAAGGAAAGAAAGACAGATGAATGAACTGTAAATTGCGCACATTCGATACTTCCATATAGAGTAAATCGGAACTCAGCTGTTTTAACCATAAGACTTGGGACCTTCAAAAATCAAAAAAAAAAAAAAAAAAAATCAAAAAAAAAAGAACTCGAAAAAATGTTGCTTTTTTACTCTTATCAAACAAATGACTTTGCAACATGATTTAAAATATGGTGTATATCCTCCTTGGTGTCTTATTGAAAGCAAACCAGGTAAACCATCCTTTTATTTTTCTTATTTATCTAATAACTAACCTATTTATTAGAAACTTTTTCTACAATGGCTCACATGTATGGTGTTCAGGACGTGATTGTTGAAGAAATATACGATATTGATAATTTACTAGTGAATGCAAGGTATCTATTATATAATATTATTTATTCATTTTTATTTATATTAAATATCTTTTCTTTTTTTTTCTTTTTTTTTTTAATACAGGTCAGTATATGGACTTATCTTGGCGTCTCCTCTTGATTCAAAGGCACCCTTCAATACAATATGTGATAAAGAAGATGCTGACGGAAAATCCCTTTTCTTCTCTTGTCAAGTATGTATCTCCTATGTTTATTTTATATCCATATTTTTATACAAACTCATTCTTATAATATACTTTTTTTTATTAGATTGTTACAAACGTATGTGCGACGTCTGCTCTTCTTGGCATTCTCTTAAATAATGAAGACAACGACTTGAATATTGGTCCTCACTTACGAGAATTCAAGGAATTTACTAAAGACTTTTCACCTATCGTAAGATTTTGACATAGAACATGCACGCATATAGAAATAGAGAATAATATTAGCTTTTTTTTTTTTTTAATTAATTACTTTGATATAGGACAAGGGATTAGCTATTGCTGGACACAACTTACTTCGAACAACACATAATACTTTTGGAAAGTATGTAAAATAACTTCGTTATATATCAATCATATCTGATTCCTCTTTTTTTTTTTTTTTTTTATTTCTCTTTTCTATTTAGTTATGAATCTCGATTGGATGCTCTACAATACCCAAGGTATGACGATATCAAACCTACAAAGAAAGGAAAACGATCAGAAATGGAAGATGAACGTTATCACTATATTGCCTTTGTTCCTGCGAATGGTTTTATTTGGGAACTGGATGGTTACAATAAAACACCTGTCAAAATATGTAAGATTAAAAGAAATCTATAAGGGAAATAAAAATATTAACTCGATTCATATATATGATTTTAGGTCCTATTTCTGAAAATTGGTTAAAACTCTTACAACCAGAACTCAAAAAAAGAATGCATAGGTAAGTAGCATATGTGAATAAAAAAAGAAAATATTGACTTCTTTATCCTTTTGTTATTTACCGTTATAGATCGGACGCATTACAATTTAGTTTGTTGTCTGTGACCAAAGCCAACACTCCAACAACTGAAAAATCATCAATACCTCCACCTTTATTATCGACGATATCGGCATCACCATCAACATCATCATCATCACACTCTCAATCCCTCAGAAAACGACCGAAATTGATGGAGCAAAGTCAACAAGATGATCAAAATGTAGAACAACAGCGAATGCAGCTTAATGATGAATTACGAAAAGCATCTAATGCGCGCTCTTGTTATATCGATTATGTTGGTAGGATAGAACGAAACCTTGATGATTTTGTAGGCAACACTTGGCGAATAGACACACTCGAAAAATTCAAATCGTCATCACCTCCTTTGCTTCCTGACCCCAATGTTATTGACAGGATGACAAACCAAGAAGATGTCACCGAAGAATTTAAGGATTTAGTGAATAAGACATTGGAACGTACCCGGATAAAAGCCTTGATCGAATTGCGTAGCAAACTCCTTGTTGCAAGTGACCGTTTTGATCGACAAGTAGCCGACTGCCACCAGAAGTTAGATTTGCTTACTAAAAAATTGCCATCATCAACAGCAGTAACAACAACAAAAACAACGACAACATCAACGACAACATCAACAACATCAACAACAACAATAGCAGCGGCAGCAGGAACAACAACGACAAGTAAACCGGCAGTATTATATCCGAACGCTGGATATACCATAGAAGAGAGCAAGGTAAATAAAAGAAAAGAAAAAAATGTCTTTCAAATACAAGAGATCATGACTCAAATTCGATTTATTCTTTATATATATATATGTACGTATGTATCAAGCTCATTTCCCGTCTTCAACATGATTACAATCCTCTTTTGAGAGCTATTTTTGAAAAACTTCATGATAAAGGTTTAATGAATGATTTGTAGAATATCTAGTTAGTCTTTATATCAGTTTAGTGCTTTTTTTTTTTTTTGAAATAAATATGTATATGAATAGAAACACACAATGAGAAGTAAAAACAGTTTTTGATATTGGAGTCCATTCAAAAGAGAAAAAAAAAAGATGTCAATTCGCTGGAGTAGGTAGTATACTGATACAACAAGCTTATTTTTATTTCTTTACTTCAAAAAGGATAAGGGTAACAAAAAAAAAAAAAAAGAAAAAGAAAAAGAATACAGATCAAACTAAGCTAAAGAGTATTATCCCGGTAGGATGATTTTAAATTGTAAGCTTCTGACACACGTCTTGGGTTTCTTCCATTTCCAGAGCCATCTGCTGTCAAGGCTACATTGGCCGATGCCTTCAAGGAGTAGACCAGTTGAATCATTTGATCTTCATCACGAATCAATTGCATACCATGTTGACTTGAGTAACTTTGCTCTGCCCGTAAAATGCTTCGAATTTGATTTTGACACTTGTCGAATACTTGTGCATTTTGTCGTAAACCAAGAAGTTGTGCATCACCCGCACCAAATCGATATTTTTCAATTTCATGACATAACGATGCAATATCAAGTAACTGAGATAAAATATCACTGTTGCTGTCCACTTGAGAGTTTCCATTCTATATGTCGCATAATGGAAAAAAGAGGAAGAAGAAAAGATGTGTTAGTATTGCGCATTTGAAAAGCATTTTTCTTTTCTTTTTTTTTTTTTATACCTTTTCGTCATAGACATTGTCTTTTCCATGACTTCGATCAGACACCATAACCAGATCTTCATTTGTTTTAATGCCAAGTTCCAATAATAATATTTGAGCATCGGGTGATAGTTTTGTCTTGGGGTGAACTGCATCGATGAATCCAATGGCCATAAAGTTGTCCACAGCATTTTGACTTGCTTCAGTTGACAATACTTCCCGATACACTGTCCTTCGCCCACTAATCAGATGAGCAGCAATCCACTGAGAGAGCACAGGGACAATCTTGCGAGGCATATAAGGTAAATCACGAAGAGCCGACAATGAACAAGACGTAATCCAATAGGCATCCAAAGTTGGGTATAAAAATGAAGCAAACAAGCATATCTGGTTGTAATCCTTGTGATCAGAATCATGCATCACTGATTTTTCAAATTGATGATCACCTTTGACAACTAAGAATCCTTTACTAGAAAACCATTGCAGTAGTTGGTCGAATGTCTATAAAGAAAATAAATGGTTATTAGTTTCAAACTAAAATATTTCCGTCCCTTTTTTTTGAATACTTTACTTCAACAATATTCCAAGTATAGATAAACTCATCTTTCAAAAGCCGAACTAGGAAAGTAAATTTGGCAAATAGTTCATCACGAGTTAACACACTTTTAGGTCCATAGGATAAGTACACCACAGAAAAAATTGCTTCAGGCAAAAAGATTTCAATGATCTAGTCCAAAAAAAAAAAAAAAAAAAAAAAAAAAAAAAAAGAGAGAGAGAGAAACCGTCAGCATACTTGTGAGCTTTCATTTTGAACCGTATACTTTTTTTTTCTAATATTTATGTACCTGATTTGCCATATAAGATAAATCCATCACATTGTCCGCATGATCCACTACTCGGATGGTTGTATTCTCATTGATCCTTTTACCTCCTTCAATGATGATGTTGGTCTTGATATCCAATAAATTCAATGAGTATGCAACAATGGTTTCTGCATCTTCACCATCTAATAAAAAAAAAAAAGATAAGCACCATTTATGACATTGTTGATATGTTATCTTCCTCTTTTTTTTTTTCTTTACCTTGCCAATCAATTGACATTCCTTTTTCCCTCACTTCATTTCTGAGCCACTCAGCATGTCCATTGATTTTACCCAAAGAAATACCATTGCTTGTGCGACCAAAAAGTACAATTGCAGCAATGACTGAGACAGGACTGACGATAGTGGATGAGTGTTGTTGGTGTTGGACCGATTTGGCAATATGAGCTGCTATTTTGGCATGTTTATCCACTGAAGAGAGACTAAAGAAAAAAATCACATTGAGTAACACTATTCAAATGTTGCCGTCCTTTTCTTTCTTTTTAAAAAAAAAAGAAAGAAAAAAAAAAGAAAAGACAGTTTTGCTACCTTTCATTCTTATCCAAAGAGTCCAAGACTTGATCTTTTGCTTTGTTGATATCCACCACGTTTCCAATACCAACGTAGACTCTCCCATATTTCCCATTCTCAACCATACCATTTTCTTTACTGGCAGCACGACCAGCAACAGATGTACTTGGACGAAGGAATGAGGTTGAACGTGACAATCGAGTAGTTGCAGCACCTTTCATTGGAGTACCATCAAGAGTAGCAGGAGGATCCACCTTGGCTTCTTTTGCTTTTTGATCCAATACTTGATCAATCAACATACGAAGATCGGGTATCTTTTCATACGTGATATGAATGGGCACCACCACTGTTTCTTTTCCTGTCGATGAATCAAGGGAAGATGTTGTCGTTTGATGACTATCAAAAGAAGGTGCAGGTGATGGAGGAGATGATTGTTGGTTTAATGTTCTAGGCACTTGTTGATTTCCTTCTATCGTTGCTTCTACCACCATATCAAGAATACCATCTGCATATACCGCTTGTATTCGGCCAGTTCGAGATCGCGCCCGTTCAAGTAACATCGAGAGAGCACCATGTTCATGTAATAAAGCTTCAGTATATGCAGCTGCGACTGCTGTGTTTAACGGAGATCTTGTCATTTTATCACGTCGTATAAAGTAAGCACCAGCAATACGAAGAATATCAGATATAGGTCCAAGAAGTGCCAAAGCTAACAAAAACACAAAAAAAAAAAAAAAAAAGAAAAAAAAATGACAACAGAAATCGTTAACGTGCAGTCCACTTTCTTTTTTTTTTTAAAAAAAAAAAAAAAAAAAAAAAAAAAAAAAAAGGTAATAATAATAGTGATAATAATGATATACCTTCATCGCAGACGATCGCAGGAACAGGTAAATGATATCGGAGACAAATATACCAAACCAAGAGTTGATCCAATAACGTTTTCGATACTGGAACATAGACAACATTTTTTCCTTTAATTTGTTCCTTCAACTAAATATGATATAACATTTAGATATCAATACACTAAATGGATAATTTCCTATATCATCATTCATTCCCTTACCTTGAAAATATCTTCATCGCGCACACGAATACATGCAAAAAGGCGTTTGAATAGTGCATCCAAGAAAGAACCAGCAAACCAAACATAGGCCAATTGTGTACGTTCACGCATCCTTTGAACGATTTTTAGTGCTTCTCCAACTACAGTTTGTTGAGGAACACCAGACGATTCTATGATCTATTATACAAATGAAAAAGTAACCATAGTTAGTAATGTATAAAAGGGGAAAATCAACATTTATCCCTTCTATTTGGTCGCTAGTTGTCTGTTTGTTTTATTTATGTATTTTATTTATTTATTTATTTATTTATTTTACCTGACGAATACTTGCACCAACTCGACGATCATTTAGAACAATAATCTTGATAGCTTCATCATGTTCACCAATTCGAGTTACCCATCTACCAAGATCCGCTGTATGTTTACCATCAGTAAGGATACCTGAATCATCATGACACCAATCGTCCAAACTTGTATCAAAATCAGCAATCCAATCTTCCGATAACTTTTTGTTGTTATTACTATTGTTGCTGTCATTCAATCCATTGAGTGAACCTAATTGAGCCAGCGTTGGTTGTTCCAGAGAAGTAATGACCTGCGTCAACATGCGATCTGTTCGTTTTTGTATGTCGGCCAAACTAAAGACTACAGATTCGATTTGTCGGTCAATGATTGAATTCCGTACGACAGGTACCTTGGAGAAAAGAGCACAGTCCCAACCAGGTGCCAATGTCAAATTTCGAGTACCAATAGGGCCTTGAGCAATATAAATATGTGCACCATAACTAAAGTTCGTCATATAAGAATCCCAATCAAATCCATTTGTATAGAAACCAGAGAGTTGGAAATCAGGATCGACTTCCAAATGTGACTCTAATTTATATACATTGTCATTTTCAAAGAGCCATTGATGTCTTAATAAAGGTTGGTTTGCTTCCGCCATTCTTGATGCTACTTCAACAGTCCGGTTGATCACATTCAGTTCCATACGATTGTTTGTTCCAAATGCATTGCTGGTATTGCTGCTGCCGTTTCCACTGATAGCGGCAGATACGGCGTTCAATGATTGGGGTAATTGGTATTTCATAAATAAACGAGCTTTAAATAATGATTTGTTGGATACAAAGTATTGTTCAGCAGTAGGTAGAGTTGCTTTGGTATTTCTTGTCCAATAGTGACGAACGGATTCATAGATGTGTTTCCATGATACAGGTTTCATGTTCCTAGCTGATACTTGATGGATGATAGGAAAGTATTGAACTTGAGGTAATCTTTGTCGAGTGGGCTCTTCATCATCACGAAGAATTTCATTGTAAGGGAGAACAAATTTGACACCAGGAGATGAAGTATGAACTGGGCTTCCAATGATGACACGAGAAAGGAAATCCACAGGTACAATATCAGCAATATTGTTTCCAATATCAGGTTGAAGTACTTGAATACCATGACCCATCAAAAACACCATACCATTCATTCCAGTGACACCATCCACCTATAAAAGAATAATTAGTTTTGTACTTTTTTCTTTTCTTTTCCTTTTTTTTTTTTTTTTACACTTACCCAACCAGGAAGGGGTTCCAAAGCACCAGCACCCACATGAGTAGCACGAACTATTGATATAGGCCATTGCGCTTTTCCACCTTGAATTTCTTCTACACGATTGTAATCCACACGTTTTAGTATCAGATGTTCGGTCAATGATTTGGTAAAGGTATAGGTATTTGGATAGTGTTGTAAGATGCGTTGGGTCATTTTTGGAATATCTATTATAAACATATATATAAATATGTTAGAAATGCAATTTTACATAAAAGGATCAATTAATTTCATAATTACCTTGTAGTTCGAGAGCCACAATTTCTTTCAATAGATCTTCTGGATCACCCAAATCCATAGGATATACACGTTCTTGAATATGACCATCAGGTAAGTTTGCATTCAAATAAGCCAAAGATACATGTACAAAAGATTCTATATTGTGTAATTGGAAGAAAGAAAAAAAAAAGATGATGAATTTATGTGGTGATCTTTTATATATATATATATATATATATTGTTCTTTACCCATTCGAACACATTCATCAGCTAAATCCATCAATCGCAAAGTACCCAAAGTGTTTGTCTAATGTAGATAATGTAAATGAATAAATAATCCTTTTTTTTTTTTTTTTTTTTTTTTTACCTCTAAAGCCAAATCCAATCGTTCATGATAATCCACGGTTGCAGCACAATGAATCACCACATGTACATTTTCTATCACATTTTCACGATCTTCATGAGACATTGAAAGGTCGGGAGAAATGATGTCGCCACTAATAGGAATGATTTTGTTTTGAATAATAGTATCAAACACTGATTCTCCCATACTATGTCGAAGAGAGACAAACGCCTAAAATATAAAAGATTTAATAACCTTTTTTTTTTATTTCTTTTTGGTGATAGTAATTTTACCTTGTTGTTCAATATTTCATTTTTAATACGATCATTAGGTCGACCCATTTTACTTCGTTTTGTATTTCCATTTCGCACCAAGAGATAGATACGACCCAGGTTACGACCAAGGGAGTGAATCAATTTCCAAAGTACCGCTTTACCAATAAAACCAGTGGCACCTGTCAAAAGAATATTCTTATTTTGATAATATTGAGCCACTGAACCTTGAAGTATGGTATCTGCTGCTACTGTTACATCCATTGCAGGAGCTGGTGTTGTCGTGATAGATTCAGTTGTCATATCAATATTGGTAGCTGAAACTTCAGGTTGAGTTTTGGTTGACGTGATACTGACTTTTATATCTTCCGTTGTAGGTTGTTCAGTTTCAAGTTCAGGTACAATAGAAGGACTATCACAAGAGGAGTTAATTGAGACATGATTACTTTCTTCTTGAATAAGAGATGGGCTAGGTTGCTGAGTAGGTATTTCTTCCAACTGTGTTTCTTGAGGTGAGACTGGTAATATTTCATTTGTTTCGATAAGACTATCCTCCTGACTTATGACAATACTAGGAACATGTTGTTGATCCAAGTCAGAATGAGATATATTATCATTTTCAATAGTTGGCGTTAACGTCATATTATTACGTTATTGCCACTAAATGAAAAAAAAAAAAAGTAAGAAAGAAAGAGGAAAGAGGGAATAGTTACAAAAAAAAAAGAAAAGAAAAAAAATAAGATTTTGGCTGAAAAGATATTTGCAGCCCCCTCTTCATTGCAATTCATCCTAAAAACAGATTGGGTCGGCGTTTACATTGTGGCAAATCAGAGAACCATAGAAATTTGACCCAAAGGAACAATCCCACAATCCAAAAAATGCGAAGGAAACCTTTTCATCCACCGCGCCTCTTTCTTTTTTTTTTTTTTTTTTTTTTTTGTTGTTGTTTTTTAATTTTTTTCTTTTATTACATTGAAATATTATTACATTCTAATTAGCATGCCAGATGTTACTTCACGAAAAGAAGGGGAAACTTCAGTAAGTGTTGACTCTTAAAAAAAAAAAAGATTATAATGAAACCTTTTTTCTTTTTATTAGAACGCACAACAACCATCTAAATCTGTTACAGCCAATGAACCTCCTCAAGTAACACGACAGAAATATGACGAAACTAAAATGGAATTACAAGCTTTACTTAATCGTAAAAAACAAGTAGATACTAATCTAGTAAGTTTTTATATTAAAAGAGAAAAACAAAAAGGAATCTCATTTGTTTATTTATATTTTAGATCAACTTGGAACATTCTATCTATTTATTTGAAGGATCATATCTTGAAGATACACAACAAAATGGAAATATAATAAGAGGATTTGACGGATATTTATCAAGCAGGCCTGATAAAAGAAAACAAAAATTCACAGAGCTTGATCGACTTTTTTCTTTATCTTCTTCAACATATCAAAAAGTAAAATAATTCATCCTATTTGCGATTTATTTATTTACATTTTATTTTTATAATTTAATTAGGCATTAGCTCAAAAAGAAGATCAAGATTCTAGTCAAGATGATCGAAACTCTAATACACTTTCAGGAAGAAAAGATAAGAAAAGGAAACTGAAAATGACTGGTGGTGGTGATATGATACGAAAGAAGAAACGAGCAGGATCAGTTTTAGCTACCGATGATGATGATTAGTTTTTGTACATATAAAATAATAAACTGAATGACTGATTTTGAATTTGATCAAATACATAAAAAAAAAACTCCCCCATTGAATATCCCCAATTTTTCTTTTCTTTTCTTATTTCTTTAATGTTTCCAACCTTAGTACGTCGCTCTTCTACTCTTGTACATAAAGTACTTAACGTAAGTGTACTCCTATCAAATTATTAAGGAAACTCATTATATATTCTTTTCTTTTCTTTTTTTTTTTTTATTTTATTGATTCAATATAGAGTTTCCAGACAACAGGTGGATACGATAAACATGTCCTTCCAGGGGTAAAGAATCTCCCGAACCTACATAGTAGACTTGAATATACTAATAAGTTTTCTTTTTTTTAAAAAAAAAAAAAAAGCTTCGTATTGTTAATGCTGAAGAAGGTCGAGTACGTGCAGAATTTAAGGTGGAAAAACATCACTTAGTAAGTCCTGAATAAATAATATTATAAAATGTCAGTCTTTACAAACTCATTCATCCTACCTTTTTTTTTTTTAATAAGAACCGTTTACATTCAGTTCATGGTGGTTTACTAGCAACAGTTGTAAGTTGAGAAATTTGAAAAAAGATATTCTTAAATAAAAAAAAAGAAAAGTTAATATAGGATATTCTTTTAGGTTGATATTGGTGGATCATTGGCCTTAGCTTCCAAGGGATTATTCGCTACGGGTGTTAGTACAGATATCAACATTAGTTATATCTCAGGTGCCAAAGAAGGAGAAATGATTACAGTAGTAATGAATCAGGATTATAAAATACATATATATATATAAAGCTCACAATCTATTATGATGATGATTATATAGGATGCTATTTGTGATAAACTTGGAAAAACTCTTGCTTATACTTCTATAGAACTTTCTTCTAATGGTCGAAAAGGTAAAACATATATATAATAGAAAGGAATTATTTTAAATCTGGTTGGTTTTATGAAATAGTTGCTCAAGGAAGGCATACTAAATTTGTAGCCAAAGCTTATCAACATCCAGAAAACGAAATTAGAAATAAGTAGAAGATATCTTATTGTTGTTATTTGTATTAATAGTAGACAGTGTATTGTATATGAAATAAAAAGAGTTCATCTTATTCAAAGGATTGAAACATAGTATCATATATTTATGAGATATGAATTCTATATACTATTTTATGACACATAATGATTGGATGATTGATTTGATTTAATAGAATAATCATCATTATTTGATAGTTTCAATGTAACAATATAAAAGACACTTTTTTATTTTCTCCTTTCTTTCTTCTACAAATATATATATATATATATATATCTTATTTACTTCTTTTTGGCTGCTTCCTTGTTGGTATCTTCTTCCTTCCGTTCATCTGGTCACACCCGACAGAATATTGATTCTTGTTTCCCCTTTTTCCTTGTCGTTCTTGGTCTTGTCGTGTCTCTGGTTGTCTGTCTTTTGCATCTTCTGTCTGTCTTTCTTGTTGTTTGGATCTTTTTTTTCTTTTTTGGTAAGTGCACATATACAAATAATATTTAGTTGATCATCACACTAACCATTTTTTCCATTTCTTCTTTTCAACCACCGAAATGGGGGATGCGAAGGGCGTTACTTATTTTCTGTCGACGGCTAAATTGGCGGCTTCGGGAAATTTTTATCCGAAATCTTTTTAAGGGTGACCCTTCCTTGTTTTTTTTCTTGCACTCTTTTTCTTCTCTTTTCGTTTCTTTCTTTTTTTTTTTTTTGTATTGATTTTAGTGTTAGTATATCATTTTAGTAGTCTTTAGTAGTTAAACTTTTATTTAATAAAGACTTTACTTTTATTGAAATCACTTCATTACATGTCAATGCAATTGATTCCATCTTCGAATGTACCTTTTTTTTTTATATGTGAATGCGTTCCTTTTTATTTTACTTTTTTTTTTATAGATAAGAGAAACGATACGATTCCAATATTCTTCACTTCGATATAAGTTTTTACTGTAGATTAGTTACTACGACAAACCAATGACTTCGTCACCAAACCACACTACTTGTGAAATAAATAGTGATACTCCTTTTTTTAAAAACGTTTTTTTCTTCTATTCTTTGTTTTTCTTTATATTTTCCTTTTCTTTACTACAGTGATACCTACGTAAATAACAACATGTGCCGTATCAGCGTATTTTGTACCTGTAATATAAGCGTATAATAAAAAATAAAAAGGATGCATTCATACACATAATACATCGTGTAGATGGAAATGACCCCACTTATATGTAATAAAAAAAAAAAAAACTTTATTGAATAAAAAAAATGTGTAAAGTAACGACTATACTGATGTATACAATAAAACCATAAAAAAAGAAAACATAAAGGTACGCGTATTAAAAATAATGAAAAAAAAGAGTCTTCACCATTTTGATCCAATTTATTCAATTCCTGGTCAGGCATAAACATTCATGCAGGAGTCCATCAGCTAAACAGTATGGTCCACTGGTGAATGCCAGTATCATTGTAAAAGCTCATTCATTATCTAAATATAAAAAAGATAAAATGCATACTTTGATTTTTTTTTCAAATCGAGTAACATACCATCGCCTGATTGAATGATTGAATAATAAAAAAGTTTGCTATACAGCATTTTATTGAAATAATATACTAATCATGAGTAAAATAATATACATATATAAGATAAAATAAAACGAAGTGCTCTTCCAACCTGTGGGTGCATTTCAAGAAATTGTATTCGATTGTCGTTGTTGTTGATAGTCGTAGATGCAGGCAGAGAAGAGAATGTAGTAAGACCAGCAGGAATTCAAATAAGACGTATAACCATTGTTGGAAGTGCCTTGATGCAGAAACTACCCTTGGCATTGATCCTTTTTGCTAATCACATTTTCACAAACTTCAGTAAACTGTGGGTAATATCAGCTTCGACGCCATCGGCTTTGTCCTCTACAATGCGTTCCAACTTGATTCAATAACAATCATTTGACCCATAGAATTCCTCTATATCATATTGACAACAACTAGCAATCATAACTTCAGGTAAGATACAGATTATTTGTATAAAAAAGTATCCTATAATAAAAAAAATACATCAGATCACCATCAGCTTGAAAATAATACTTCTTACAAGGTTTGTTCCAAAAAAAAAAAAAAAAAGAATCCTGCCATAATAATACACTTTGCTTGCATATTGGGTGCATCCTTGAGAGTTTGTTCCATTTCTGGTTCACATCCTGATATCTTGATTGTTGATGAAGAGGACGGCAAGAAAGTAGTCATTTCAATATTAGTTGCAATCTCTTAAAGGAAAAAGAAGAAAACCAAACGTTTTGATAAATGTTGAATATAAATTGAGTTAACGTACTCACGTCGTTTTCGAAGTTCAACCAGAGGTGTTTTTGCACATTTAGTATTGCTTTTATATAGAGTCAATTCGTACTACAAACGCATCACGTTGGTCCAATAGTATATTCAATCAGTTGATCTTGATCTGTACCCATTTAAACGTTCTCTATGCATATAAATGTGTACAGTAAATTAGAAAAAAAAAAAAAAAACAGGCAGAGTCCATAGAAAAGTCGAGATAACTTACCAAACAAAAGGGTTGCTTCACTACCATCAATAACAAAACGACCAAAAGACACCAACCTTCTATTATCCAATAGCAGATAATATACAATTAAAATATAATGGAAACAACAAAAAAAAAAAAAAAAAAAAAGAAAAAGAAAAGAAAAGAGAAGATACGAGCATTTGAGCCTTTTTCGCGGAGTTGAATTTCCTTGATCGCATAGAATAATCATTATTTGATAGCTTCAATGGGATTGGAGGAAAAAAACAATATAAAAGACTTTTTTTTTTTATTTTCTCCTTTCTTTTGTTTTTCTTTCTTCTACAAAACACAAAAAAAAAAAAAATTCAAAATCAAAAAATCAAAAAAAAAAATTATTTGCTTCTTTTTGGCTGCTTCCTTGTTGGTGACTTCTTCTTTCCGTTCGCCTGGTTAACGCAACAGAACACTCTCATTTTTGTTTGTGATTCTTGTTTCTCCGTTTTCCTTGCTGTTCGTGTCCTCGTTGTGCCTCTGGTTGTCTGTCCTTGCTGTCTGTCTTTCTTTCTTGCTGTCTGGATCTCTCTTTTTTTTTTTTTTTATTATTATTATTATTATTATTATTATTATTATTATTATTATTACAATTATGATATTTACACTATCCTTTTGCGTCGCGCACATCCTGGATGGGTTGATGCGTGGCGACCGTGCCTCAGAGCCGGAGGGTCTTCTTGTTTTTTTTTTTTGGTAAGTGCATGTACACAAATAATGTTTAGTTGATCATAACACTAACCATTTTTCCATTTCTTCTTTTCAACCACCGAAATGGGGTGAAAATACCGTCGATAGAAAATAAGTAGGCCCGGAATGCGAAATACAAGCGACGTTTTATTTTATTTTTTTTTTCTTTTTTTTTTCTTTCATCTCTTTCATTGTGATTCTCATTTATTAATAAACTCTCTTCTTGTATTCTTCATCTTTTTATTTCTGTTGTATTCTATTTTGCTTGTTCTAAAATGAACAGTATCAACAGCATCTCGCAACAAATCCTTTCAAAGTTACCTCTTTACCGTTTAAAAGGTATAAAATATACTCTATTTTTCTCGATGGACTAAATTACACTTATATAAATATTATTCAAATAGATCTTATCAAGGCTGTCCGTGCTTGTAAAACTGCCGCTGAAGAACGGGCTGTCATCCAAAAAGAAAGTGCCAATATTCGAACAGCTTTTAAGAATGAAAACAACGACACTCGGCATGCTAATGTAGCCAAATTGTTATATATCCATATGCTTGGTTATCCCGCTCATTTTGGTCAAATGGAATGTTTGAAATTAGTGGCAAGTCCAAAATATGCTGATAAACGTTTAGGATATCTTGGTATCATGCTTTTGATTGATGAAAAGACCGAAGTATTGACCTTGGTGACCAATAGTTTGAAAAAGTAAGTCAAATGGATAATCAAATGCGCGTATGAAATTAACCAACCTATTTTTTTTTTTTAATTTTATTTTTATAGTGATTTAAATCATAATAATATGTATATTGTGGGCCTAGCTCTATGTACTCTTGGCAATATCTCTTCTTCCGAAATGGCTCGTGATTTGTGTGCAGAAGTGGAAAAGTTACTCGGTAGTTCCAATACATATATTCGAAAAAAGGTAATATCAATAGATTTACATATATGGGATTGTTAATCAAAGTTGCTATTTGATAGGCTGCTCTTTGTGCTTTACGTATCATTCGTCGTGTTCCCGAACTTTATGAAAATTTTATGGCTCGATCCAAATCTCTCTTGAATGATCGCAGTCATGGTGTTTTAATCACTGGTATTACTTTGGTAACTGAAATGTGTCAACAATACCCCGAAAACATTGAAGTTTTTAGAAAAGTAAGTATAAAATGGATGATGAAAACAAAAATGTTTAAACATTTGGATCTTTTTTTTTTTAGGCTGTTCCTCTTTTGGTTCGTCATTTGAAAAATCTAGCCAGTGCTGGATTTTCTCCTGAACATGATGTTACTGGTGTCACTGATCCCTTCTTGCAGGTCAAGATTCTTCGTCTTTTACGTATTCTCGCCCAAAATGATCAAGAAGCATCTGAAGCCATGAATGACATTCTTGCTCAAGTCGCTACCAATACTGAAAGTACTAAGAATGTAGGCAATTCTATTCTATATGAAACAGTTTTAGCCATTATGGATATTCAAAGTGAAGCTGGATTACGTGTATTAGCTGTCAACATTCTAGGAAAATTCTTAAGCAATAGGGACAATAACATTAGGTAAAGAAAAAAAAATGTTTTTTTTTTTCGTCTCAATCTGATTATACCACTTATTTTATAGATACGTTGCTTTGGAAACGTTGAACAAAACTGTGGGTATCGAAACTCAAGCTGTGCAACGACATCGAAATATTATCTTGGATTGTCTTCGTGATGGTGATATCTCTATTCGTCGTCGTGCCTTGGAACTTAGTTTTGCCCTAATCAATGAAGGAAACGTGCGGGTATTAACTAGAGAATTATTAGCCTTTTTAGAAGTGGCAGATACAGAATTCAAGCAGAGTATGACAACAAAGATCTCTCTAGCAGCGGATAGATTTGCTCCCAACAAACGATGGCACATTGATACTATGTTACGCATGTTGAAATTGGCTGGAAATCATGTACGCGAAGAAGTACTTGCTGGATTCATCCGTTTAGTGGCCCAAACAACCGATATGCAACAATATACTGTACAAAAACTATTTGCTGCATTGAAACGCGATATTTCTCAGGTAAGGGAAAAAAAAAAAAAGGATTTTAAGATATAGTATGAATGACCCACTTTTTTTTAATACTAATTTATAAATAGGAAGGGCTTGTTTTGGCTGGTGTTTGGGTGATAGGCGAATATGGTGATGTCTTGATTGATGGTGGTATATTTGAAGATGAAGATACTCCAATGGAGGTATGTTAATTGATAATATATATATATACGAAAAAAAAAAGTAATGTTATTCCTTCTCATTATCTTTTTTAATATATTATTAGGTATCTGATACTGCAGTAGTTGGTTTGTTGGAATCGATTCTTATGGGTCCTTATGCTAATCAACTCACCCGTGAATATGTCTTGACTGCATTGATGAAATTATCCTCTCGATTATCAGATGGTATGGTTCAAGAAAAGATCAAGGAAATTCTCAACAAACATACTGTAAGCATGGAAGTAGAAATTCAACAACGTGCTGTGGAATACACCAATCTCTTCTCATTTGATACCATCCGTCCAGCTGTACTTGAACGCATGCCTGTTCCTGAAGGTCATACAATTATTGAATCTGGAAGCAATGGTCCAAATAGTCCTGGTAAAGAAAGAAAGAAAGAAAAAGGAAAGACATTTCTGGTTGATTTATTTATTTATTGTTTTCAATTCATTCATTTCTTGTTTAGTCTCGGGTCGTGCATCATCAAAGACTGGACCTAGCGATCAAGATGTAAGTATAATCAAAATTAAAAAAGAAAAGGGTACTGATTTATGTTCATTTTTTATTTTTATTTTATTTTATTTTTTGCTATGTTAGCTTTTATTGGACTTGATGGGTGTTGGTACTGCTTCTAGTGGTGGCGTTTTGGAAGAATCCGAAGGAATCCCTCAAAGTCCTGTAGCATCGAATATGTCAACAACAACTACAACCCCTAAACAAAACATCGATATTTTGGCCGATCTCTTTGGATCTAGTGGATCAACATCAAGCTCACCTTCTCAACCGCAACCAACAACAACATCGACTAGTTATGGTGGCAATTCTTTGATGGATTTACTTGGAGGTGATCAACCTACAACGATAACGACAACGACAAACGGAAGTGGATTGGATTCTTTAGCTGGATTATCTTCAAGTTTGGATACAATGAGTTCACCTTCAATGACTACATCTTCAGTACCACAACAACAACAACAACAAAACATACCAGGATATGAAGCTTATAATAAAAACGGTCTTCTTATCCATTTGGTACCATCTCGTGATCGAAAGAATCCTGCCATTATCAATATCCAGGTCTTATACAACAATAATGGAAGTCAAGGTACAATTACTGGACTTCAATTCCAAGCTGCTGTACCGAAAAGTCAACGTTTACAAATGGCGGCTGCTAGTAGTACAACTGTAACACCCTCTAACATGGAAAAGCAAATGATGCGCATCAACAACCCACAACAGGTAAGATTTATATATACATACATATATATATATATATATATGTGAATTATATATTTGATTATTGATCATGTTTGCTTTCTCTATCACTAGACTGCTGTCAAGTTACGACTACGTGTCTCCTATGTATTATCAAGTACTGGACAAAAGGTGGATGATATGGCTGAATATGGACCTTTCCCAGATGGTGCATTTTGAAACAACTGACATCCAGCTACTATTACTTACTATTAGTTGCTTTTTATGCTTGTTCTGTTATCCCGTATCCTTTTTTCTTTTTACTTTGAATTTATATATACAATTTTTTTTTTTTTTTTTTTTTGGTTAAAAGACACACGCATGCACACAAACACATATAGTTTAGTTTATTTACAAAAAAAAAAAGGAAAACATTTTTATAATAAAGGAATGATGCCACAGCAATAGATAAAGATGACGATATGATGATGATAATAATAATAAAATGAATGATATAAGAAGGATACAATAAAAACAATGGGAGTATGATGGTAAGAATTTTTTTATTGTCAGAAAAGTGAGATGTATGTACAAAAAAACAAAAAAAAAAAAAAAGTAAAGAGTATCTATCGATATGTTTTGTCTAATTAGTAAACCAGATATATCCATATAAAAAAAAACTTAGAATCCCTTGTTGGCCAACCATTGTTTGAGTTCATTGACATAAAGACCTTTGATGATGATATGGTTGTTGGTAGGATTGATCTTGACATGACTTTTGGGTGCATCGGGGAACAAGCTTGTCAAATCTGCTTTCAAGGCTTCCACATCTCCTTCAATACGTCGAATAATGGTCAATTGTTGGGTGCCGCCATTCTTGATATCAGAATACACAGGAAGACTATGATTGGAGGTCCGGGAGACAATATATGGAGTATCCTTCACAGAAGAGAAATAACGTTTACTAATAGGTTGAAGCAAAGATCGAAACATCTATTAACAAACAAATATAAATAAAAAGGAAAAGTAACGTTAATATGGCATGTTCTTTTATTTTAGATCTCTTGGAAAGAAAGAAAGAAAAGAAAAAAAAAAGAGTTAATAATCAATATTTCTATTATTACATTTGAAGTAAGAGATTGTAGAAAAAGACGAATGAAAAAAAAAAAAAAAAGAAAAAATTCTAAAGCGAGAGAATAAAAAAAAGAAAAAAATGGGATTGAGACTGCTGGCAAGGGGCGTTAAGTGGGTGGGAGAATGATTCACTGTCCGATCAGAGAGGTGTACATTTTATTCCAAAAAAGGATGGTCATATCATGAAAAGAAGAAAACATGAAACGAAAGAAAGAAAAAATGGGTAGATTATCCAATAAAGAAGGAGAAGCCATGGAAGAAGTGGATGGAGATAATTGGACTGGATCAGCTACACTGAACTGAATATTTTTAAAATAGGCAAAAGTATCATGAGGAGTGGCGTATTGAGTGGATGATCCACCAAAAAAGGTACTGAACATCAAACTAGAGATGGCAAAGGCATTGTTTGTTCGATAACGTAAATTGGTTAATTCCACTACTATTTGATCATCCTGCCATACTTGAAGTACACCATTACTTTCACTGGGTGGATCATTGACTTTTGTGAAGATCTCAAACTTGGTCCATTTACCTCGAGGATAAGTGATCCGTCCACGTGATACGCTAATACCATATTGTTTATTGCATATCACTTCTTCTGTTTGCTTACATAGTGTTTCTGAGGTAGGTACATACATATACACCTCTCCCAATCCTAATCAATATAAAAATAACAATAAAATTGAGACACCGGTTTCTTTCTCTTTTTTCCTTTTTTTTTTTTTTTTTTTTTTTTTTTTTTTTTACCATTCTCTCTCCACATGAGTCTTACTGAAAAACACGTGTCACCATTGGCTTGATGACCACCTGAACATCCTCTACTTGGTATACCTAAGGCAAGTATATATATATATCGATAAAGATCATTCAAATAAAAAAAAAAAAAAAAAAAAAAAAAAAACTTTCAATATTAATGACTTACCTCCATAGATACCTGGCCATTTACCACCCAACATCCAATCAAAGTTAGGATCTACCGCCATATCATATCGTACCATAGCTTGTGCATAGGATTGATTCCCAAAAGGTCGACTGAAGAATACGGTGCCTCCTTGTACATTATCCTGGGTGTTTCCTTTAGGTGAATAAGAACCTTGACCGTACAATACGCGCATGACAGTATCTAGTTTCTCTGAAGTGGTATTGGATTGGGGATATGGATCGGCAACAAAAGAAATATCAGAACTACCATATATATCGCTCTCACTTGTACGCCACTGTTGATGGACAAAATCTTCATTGGCATGATTTCCTTCTGGTAGTTGTTCTTGATTTTGTAGATACGGTGGCATTGGTGCTGACCATACTTGAACGAATCCTTGACGATAATCTTTAGTATTAGCTAGAATAGATTGAATTAGGATAATAAAAATGAAACTTATGATCAAAATATTGTTGTTATGTGTCATCATGATTTAGTGTTTATAGGATGATGGTAGAAATTATCAGATAGTGAATAATCAAGGGCAGTGAGAGAAAAGATGGGATATAGAGAGACTTATATCTATATTAAAGATCATATATCTTTCCGACTTTTTTTTTGAATGAGGAATGCGATGAAATTTGATAGTTTCTTTATTAATATATTTGTCATTAACGTTTATTGTCGATAGTAATATATATATATATAATAATGATAATAATGAAAAAGAGGGAAAGAGCGAAATCATTGATATATCATATAAAAAGATATCAAAAGATGACAGTTAAAAAAAAAAAAAAAAAAAAAAAAAAAAAAAAAGGAGAGTCAAAAAGATAGGGTAGGGGATAAAGTTTTTTTCCAAATAGGATCATCCAAAGTTATTCAAGATCGGCTTGGGACTGGTAAGCTGGTTGTTTTTCAAACATGAGGTTACCATCACCTTCTTTTTCCTTTTGAACATCATCATGATCTGCTTCTTCTACTTGCACGTCATCTTCGTCCATAAATTCCAAATCATCATCGTCACCCAATTCCATGTTGCTATTGTCGTTATCATCTTGATGATCAGGTTTCATGAATGATGATGATAATGTTTGATAGTGTAGATGATCAGAGGTTGATGGTAGAGATGATGATGATAAAGTTGATGTAGATGATGATGGTGATGATGGTGTTGATACTGATTTCTTTTCGTGATGATGTTGCTGAGGATCAATAGGAATGGTATTATCATCCTCATCATCATCGTTATTATTATTTTCTACTTCTTCCTCCCCTTGCGTCGGCGGTTGACGTTGTTGTTGGTGATGATGATGTTGTTGTTGATGTAATAGTTTTTTGAGCATTTTCTCAGCCATCATCTTACTTCGTAACTTATCACAGGTGGATTTCAATTGTTGATTTTCCATTTTGACTTGTTCCAACTGCCGAAGGAGAACATCATTTTCTTTTGTCAAAGAATGAATCATTGATCTCATATCGTGATGCTGTTGATTTTTCTTTGCTCTGTATTTTGCTGATGCTGTTTTGTTACGTTGACGTCGTTCTTGAAGGGACAGAGGACCAGTACTATTGGAAGGGGATGATGATGACGAAGGGGAAGTGATCATCATGGTATCGCTGTGTATAGTATTGTTATTGGTTTCATCATCACCATCGCTACTGCTACTGCTACTTCCTCCACTGCTTCCTGTACTACTAATACTACTGCCACTCATATCACTGTTGCCATTACGCGAAGATCGTGCAAGGGGAGATGGAGATCTTGCTGTTGTATATGGAGATGGACTGTTCACAAAACTTGTAGAAGGTGAAGAAGAACAAGAAGAGAGTAATGAACCATAGTGATGATCACAGCCTGCTTGTTGGGATTTTGTTGATAGATCCCCCATAGAATGAGAAGAAGAAGAAGAAGATGATGATGATGATAAAGGATGAAGTAAAAGAGTATCACCATTTGTACTGGAACAATGAACAAACGGAGTAGAATTATTATCATCATGACGGCGTGTATAATATTGATGTGATAATTGGGAATGATGATTCTGATGATGTTGTTGTTTTTGTTGTTGATGATGATGATGATCAAGATGAGAGATATAAGAAGGTGATGACAGAATAGGAGAAGTTGAAGTAGTGACAGAAGAAGGCACATTCAGAGGTGATGTGATGGATGATATGGCCATTGGTTTTTGCTGATTGAATGACGCTGTTGTTGTCATATTGTGAAAAAAAAAAAAAAGAAATAAAGAAGAAAAATAAGAAGGAAGAAAATGAACAATTTTATATAGAGTTTATTTTCATGCAAAAAAAAAAAAAAAAAGGAACCAGGTTCTAATTGAGTTTTTGGCGTGAGATTGTGAACCGAGGAGAAAGAAAGAAAAAGTTTGGAAGAGAACCAAGTTGATGAAAATAATGGGGAGCAAAAAAAAAAAAAAAAAAAGATCATCCATAGGAAAGGAGAAAAAGTCAAAAACAAAACTCAATTACCGAGGTTCGATTATTAGTATAAATATAATCATAGTTTATTATCTAATATCCATATAAATGATAATTGTAGTAATAGTAATATTAATGATGATGATCCATGATAACTTAATATATAATGTAATAAACTAAATAATTTCATGATGACACCCTAATAGTGGACCGAAGTTTGGGGATTTCAATCATCAAAGTATTCACTAACCCTAGATTTGGATGATGTCGAGGTACTGCCTTTCTTTGCTGTCTACGTCGAAAAGAAGCTGGTACTACAGATGATCTTGCTGCTGCTCTTTTTCTTGTTGATTGTGAAATATATAAATGAGGTGGTACTGGTGGTGGTGGTGATGTTTGATTATTAAATCCATTATTTACTTGTTTTGCAATTTGATTCAATTCCATCGAGAGTGACATGATCTAAAAAAAAAATAATAATAATAATAATAAAAGATATATATACATATAGTAAACATCATATAATCTAACTTACATCTGCTCCCATCATATCACCAGCACCCATATGGCCCGTATGCTTAAAGTTGGTTGGCTTCCCAATTATACTTTTGGTAACTTTTTTATACTTTGGTGGTTTATTGGATCTTTTATTTACCGAATTATTGCCTACGTAATGATATTTGCGATGATTTTTCTTTTTCTTCTTTTCCTTGATTTCCTTGGTAATGGATTGAGTTTTTGGTCGTGATAGTATCGGTGATGATGATGAAACTTCAATCTTTGTTGACTCTGATGGTGCTGTAGAATGAGACATGAATGGTTTAAATTGGATTTGTTGTTTAGCTTTGGATAAAGTTGTTCCCATTATAAAAAAGAAAAAAAAAAGTATACTTGTAGTATATATATAAGATGTTTGTTTTGTTCTAAAGAAAGAAAAAAAAGAAAAAGAAAAGAAAAGAGAAAGAAATGATTTGTTTTTTTTTTCTTGTCCTCTTTTAATATAAAGGATATGTTTTTCTTTCCTTTTTTGAAATGGGCATAAACAATTGTTTAGTTTCAAAGTTTTAGCCAATCAAACTTCTTTGGTTCCTTGATTGCTCGTTTTCACTCAGTCTTTCAATTTTTTTTTTTTTTTTTTTTTGCTCTTTTTTTTTTTTTTTTTTTTGGTTGCTTGTCATGTTTAGTCTTAACAATCGATTTATATCGAAAAGACGACCTCTCATCTTGATATGTATCTCTTTATTACTTCTTTTTCATCTTTGGAATGTGACTTACGATGTCAAAGATCAACAAAATATAACCAACAACAATCCACCGAAACAATACAAAGCACCTGATCGTTCTCATCCGGGTCCTGACTTGGAACATTTGATTATAGAACATGATACCAAGGAGAAACAACATAACAATACACAATACTTATTTCAATCTCGTTTACCTCATATTCAATTCGACTTTGAACCTGAATCTCAAGATTATATCACTTTACGACAGCAACGCCAATCTGATATTAAGAAAGCTTTTTTACATGGATGGAATGGTTATAGTAAGTCAAATAGAAAGAAACCTAAAATAGTATATATTCATTTTTTTTTAAAAAAAAAAAATAAAAATATGCTATGGGTCATGATGAATTGAAACCACTCACCAACAGAACAAATAATCCGTTCGGTCATTGGGGTGCTACTTTGGTTGACTCACTTAGTACGATGGCTATCATGCAATTGGACAGAGAACTAGAAGATGCTCTTCCAGAGGTAGAGAAAATTACTTTTGAATTGGAAGGAAGTATCATTGTTTTTGAAGCTATTATTCGTTATATGGGTGGTTTACTTAGTGCTTATGAACTCTCAGGACAAAAACACAAAGTTTTGATACAAAAGGCTGAACAACTTGGAAATATGTTATCTCCTTCCTTTGATACACCTACTGGACTTTTTCCTCATCAATGGAATCCTTCAAAGTAAAATTAAAAAAAAAAAAAAGAATTGTTTAATCTACTACTTACCTTTATATATATATATATATATATATATATATATATATATTTATAGTCATGATTCTCCTGATAAAGGTGTTTTGGTTGCTGATCTTAGTATGCATTTGGAATTATTCACATTATCATATCATACCAAGGATTGGTCATTCGCTAAGAAGGTACAAAAAAAAAGAATAAATCTTTATATGTAATATTTAATTATTTTTGTTTTGATTTATCATCATATAGGCACAAGCGATTACTAACTTTATGGAAAAAATGGATAAAGATCATGGATTACATATAACTGGTTTATATCCAACTGGAATCAATATATATACTGGTCATTTCACTGATCCTGTTTGTCGATTAGGTGCCATGGGGGATAGTTGGTTTGAATATTTACTGAAACAACATTTATTAGTGGATGGATCAATGCCACAATATAGTCGAATGTGTAAGTTATGAAAATAAAAATAAAATGAACACGTTAATATGAATATTATATAAATAGATTTGGAATCCTTGGATGCAATGAAGAAAAACGTATTTTCTCAGTTACCTGGTCATGAAATGATTTTCGTACCACCTTTTGATACCTTGTCTAAAACAAAACATATTACAATGGATCATTTAGTAAGTTGAAAACATGGATTAGGATTTTTTTTTCCCTTCTTCTAACCGTCAACAATGTATAGTCATGCTTTGTACCCGGAATGCTTGCCCTTGGTTCCAAAACATTCAATCAACCTGAAGACTTGGTCATTGCAAAAGGAACTCTAGAAGCCTGTATGCATTTGTATCGCACATCAAATACTGGATTGGGTGCAGAAATGTGGTCGTTCACTGGCGCAGAACCATATAATCGTGTAACTTATCAACACACCATCGACCAACTGGAAAAATCAAAATTATCATCAGAGAAACAATCAGCAAAACAAAATGATCCTCTCTATCAATTACCTCCTCGACCTTCAAGATTAGATCAAGTCCATGTGATAGATGGCAAATATCACTTACGACCAGGTAAATACAAGAAATCTAAGATGATTTTTGTTTGTGAATATCAAACTTTACTAACCTATTTCGTTCTATACATATATATAGAAACGTTGGAAAGTCTGTTTGTTCTTTATCGTATTACCGGTGATCAAAAATACCAGGTAATTGGACGGAAACTGAATAGTTAGCCAACATACCTTGGATAATATGGATACAAATAGAGGCGCTAAGAACAAATTATTCACCTTCCCACCCTTTTCTTTTCTTTTTTTTTTTCTTTTTATATAGGAATATGGATGGGAAATCTTTCAAGCGATTGAAAAATACTGTAAAACATCTAGTGGATATGCTGCTGTACAGAACGTGGATAGAGACATGTCTGATGATCAAGTAGAATACAATCAAATGGACTCGATGGAAAGGTATTCATAATTACAATTATTGCTTTTTTTTCTTTTTTTTTTTTTTTAACCATATACCTTCTTTTTTTTTTTTTTGGTAAAGTTTCTTGTTTGCCGAAACATTCAAATATCTATATCTATTATTTAGTCCAACGGATGTGATATCTCTTGATCAATACGTATTCAATACTGAAGGACATCCTATTCGCCGTAGACATTGGAAACGACAAAATTGATTAGACTCTCCTGGTTCTAGTAAATATATTTATTTTATTTGTTTATTTTTATTTGTTTGCCATTTCCTTGTAGACGTACCAACTTCCAAAGATAATAAAGTTTATTCTTGATTCCCTCCCTTTTTTTTTCTTTTCTTTTTTTGTGTGCCACTGACTTTAGCCAGCATTCATCATCATCCATCGTCACATATCATCCTATCGTTGTACAGTATCATCTATTCATCTGTCATCACTACCCAAATCATTATCAAAAGAAAAAAAAAGAACTCCACAAAGTTTCGATAGTCAAGTACCAATGAATCATTTCCTTTTTTGGGCGCTTACCAAGAAATCCGTAACTCATGTCTTTCTGATCTTTCATCTTTTGATCAAAGTAATCAAAAAACATTTTTTTTTTTTTTGTTCTATTCAGTTAGAACTGATTGTTTATTACTGTTAGGATGAAAACATCCTTTGAATAAGCTGGCTATGAATTAGTTTTGTTTTTTTTTTTTGTTTTTTTTTTTTTTGTTTTTTTTTTTTTTTTTTTTTTTTTTTTCGCTGTTGTTTTTTTTAATCTTACTATCTGTCAAAATCTTGACATTTGACCAAGTCTTACACTTTGACCAAGATCTTCTTTTTTTTATAATTTAGGTCTCATCTGAACCACTTCTCTTACACAGTTTCATCCGTTATTACCTTTCTATCACATTTACCAGTTTCATCCATTTTATTTTCTCATTATTTCTCACGATGATTAATTATAATCATCTAAAAATGATCTTTAGTTTTTGTATATAAATACATCCAGTAGTTTATATAATTTTCTTTCTTTGTCAAAGTTTTATTATATCAAATTCAATAAAAGATTGTATAATCATCTTGACCAATCTTAAGAAAACAAACATCTTAAGTTTTATATTTATTATTTTATTATCAAGCAATCATCCTACTTATATTTATATTCAAGTTATTATTATTTTATTTGATCATCGTCAAGAGTGATCATTTTACAAGACATCTATATCTATATTTGGAATCAAGTTACAAATCATCATATATTACATTTTTTTTTTTATAAAAGAACTGGTGCTCGCTACATATCAATCATCATAGACATCGTTATAGTACTAATATCATCTATCAATTTTATATTTTCAATCATCACCCTAGTTACAAAAAAAAAAACCATAACGGATGATCATCATCAAATAACAAAAACTACCAGATCATTCCCATTAATTAAATCTGTCGATACAAAGACCGTTTCTTATATAGAATTACAAAAATAGAAAAGGATCAAGTTGATCTTTTGTTCTTTTTAGTTCAGTCCATTTCGAACTTGAAAAATAGTTTCTACAATATAAATAGAATTAAATCAAAAACAAAATAAAAACAATCATTCTACTGTTGAGCGAAAAAAATAAAAAAATAAAATAAAATATCTTCTTTCTTACTCCCCCAAATTATATTCTTCATGATTATATCTTATTCCTTCAATGATTCTATCATCCCTACTTAACTGTATTTTGTGGATTATTCATTCTGATTGGCTCAACCCCCTTTTTTTTGAAGTTAGACTAAGAACTTTTTTTGTTTTTTTACCTACTTTATTTGTCTCTTTTATTTTATCTGCTTTCCTATACATATGCTTGCATAATCAAGTACTGATGCTCACTATAAACCTTCTAAACAATCAATCATCCCATTTACTTTTATTATATTGGACCTAACAACAAAAAATTTACCCAACACAATCAATCATCCTGTTAGAAAAAAAAAAGATTAATTTTCTTCATTTTATTTCCTTATACATTAACAAATGGCTAACATTAAAACTAAGACCCAACTATTTGCTCTGGATGAGTACACAGTATTGGATGCACATATTGGATGTTGCGCATAGTCATTTCACCAAACCATATGATGAATTCACAAAAGCGACCTACGAAGAAGAAAGAAAGAAATATTTACAATGGTTGTTAGATGACCACATGCCTCGACATATAATGTTTACTTTCATCAACAAAGTAAAGAAAATGGATACTTGGATTTGATGGGGACCATCTTTATTGGGGCGAAGGGATGTCAAGAAGGAAAAAAAAAAAAAAAAAAAAAAAAAAAAAAAAAAAAAAAAAAAAAATTTAAACTCATATATCTTATCCCCATATATCTAATCATTATTCTCTTTTTTATCCATATAATTTTTTCCTTTACAGTGCTTTTTATATAAAAGAACTGGTGTTCACTACACGGTCAATCATCATCAATATCATCATATTGATAATATCATCTATTTTTTTTAAATCAATCATCCACCCAATAACAAAAAAAAAATCCTTAACACTCTTGTCCCATTATACATAAATATTTTAGTATAAATAGCCCAAGTTTTCCTTTTGTTTTTTCTTTTTCTTTAGTTAATCATCAATATATATTTTTTTTTAAAATAAATCTTTACTTTCTATCCCTACTTGATTGTATTGTGGATTATCACTTTTGATTGGCTCACTTTGTTCTATATTAAAAGTCAGAACAATTTTACTCTACTTTTACTTTCCAAATTTGGAACAAGACTTTATTTTTCTCTACTTTACTTTTCTTTTTTTTTTATTTCTTTTCCTATACGTGTGCTTGCGTAATCAAGTACTGGTGCTCACTAAACAACTTATTCTCTTTCAATCATCCGAACTACTTTTTCAATTTTGAACCTATAAACCAAAAAATCACCCAACACATAAATCAAAAATAAAATAAAAACCATCATTCTACCCAGTAAAAACTGAATCCTCCAAACGATACATGCGGCGCTCAAAATAGATGAAGTTTAGCAAAAAATGGATGTCCCAAGGGTGGTTCGAACACCCGGCCTTCAGAACTTCAGTCTGACGCTCTCCCAACTGAGCTATTGAGACTAATACGTGTGTGGAAACCGATCACTCCATTATAAAGCCTATCATAATTTCAGCCAATCAGCATCGAGTATCTTAATCCCAGACCTTTGTTTCGCCACAGGTGCCCCCTTTTTTCAGGGTTTATCGTGTTTCGCTTTTGGAGACTTTTTTTTTCTCTTATTTTTATTTTCTCCTTATCTTTTCTTTTGTTTTCTATTGACTTTTAGCATATTAATTAGTTTTAGTAGTTATATCATTATTCAATAAATTTTTTTATTTTTATCCCATTTTACTTTATTACATGTATTCTGGTTACTTGTGATGCACCTTTTTTTTTATTTTTATTTTTAAATGCATTCTTTTTATTTTTATTTTTATAAGTTAATACGAATGCAATACATTTCATTCTTATTTCAATAAAGTCATATCTATTATCATTCATCATTCCCAAGTCAATTTCTCCAGAGGCAACTATTATTATCGTCATCATATTATCACAATCCTCACAAAGTCAATCCACAATAAAAGCTAGTAGTGATGTACATATATATATATATATTTGATTTTTGAGAAGTAATGAATATTTATTGTATATAAAAGAGAATACATTGAATAAAGTGTAATAAAATCAAACACATCAACCAGTGAGTAAAAAAAAAAAAAAAAATAGAACATATAATAAAAATAAAATAAAACTAACTACAAGAATATACTAGATATAAATATATATAAGTAAAAAGTTACATTTGCATTTCAAAATCATTCCAACCCGATCCTAATAAAGTGTTCGAATCCAACATAAAAGCATTACTGACTAGTTCGGGTGTCCTTATTGATAGTGATGCATGATTGACAGCGTGAAATGAGGTTGATGAAAATAAATGTTGATGTGGGTTTTGATCATAACGTTCATTTGAATATCCGGTAGAGAAGCTATGAGGAATCCAATGATGATTTTGTATGTCGGATCCAACTCCATAAGTATGATATGGTTGCTTTTGTTGTAGATCATGTAATTCTTGATAATTGCCTTGTGATTCATTTTCGGATAAAACAGGAGTTGATTCTGTATGTATAGTTGTATCTATCAATCAAATAAATATGTTTTTATAAATAATTTTACTAACATTATCTTTTGCTTTTTTTTTTTTTTTTTACCTTGAGAAACATTTGCTATACAGTAAGATTGGCTTGGATTGGTATTGGGAGATATGAAGGTAGTATTTGTTGGATGATGATTGTTTGAATGGGAAGCTGGAAAATAGTCACCAGTAGACATCTTTTGTTCCTGTTGTTGTTGTTGTCGAGATGTATATAGATTTTGTTGTATTTTATATGATTGGAATAATAAGTTATCAGTTGATTGTTGGTAATTTGAAGAAGGATCTATTAATTGAGTTTGATTGATAGGAATTGAGTTATAGATTGCTGAGTAGGATGGCTTTTCTGGTTTTGATTCTGAAGTATGATTGGAGTTAGAGGAAGAAAAAGAGTTCACAGAGGATGGTGTTGAAATGCCATTACTACTATTACTATATCTTCGTGATTGTCGATTGTTGGATAGTTGCATATAATTTGAAGGTTTTCTTTGTTTTTGCTTTGTTGCTTTATCTAATGTTGAAATCTTTGTTGATTTGTTCTTCACTATAATATAATAATAATATTTATAAAATTTTTTTTATTATTATTATTACTATTTTTTTTTTTTGTTTTTTTTTTTTGTTTTTTTTTTTACCAGTAGAGTCATCATCAGGAAAAAAAGGGATTCTAAAGTTTTGTCCACGAAGTAGGTCAGCAGATATTTCAATCAAATTTAATTCTGGTATATCTGAAGGAGTTTTGAATTTGTTTGCGAGAACATCTTCTTTGCTGTAATAACTAACGAGATGTTGTTGTACACCATTAACAACGATTGACATTGATTTCTTGATAAGTCCATTAGGTTTAAAACGATAACTATTCCGTAAGGACCCAACCAAAGCTCTTTCACGTTGTCGTTTTGATAATAATGTAAGTCCAGAAGTAATAAGTTGATTATCTTCTTGTTCATCGTCTTCAATACTTTTACGGTCGTCCAGTTCTCGATATATCAAAAAGTTACCAAGTATTCTAGAAGGACTCCAAACAAGTCCATCAGTCCAACGTTTTATACCTAAATAATAATAATAATAATATATGAGTGAGTTTGATATCAAAAGAGAAAAAGAAAAAAAAAAGATATATATTACCACTTTCATTTTCATCAAAACAAAAGACTGCACCACTTTTTACTAATTGTCGTTCTTGTTCTTGTAACCTTCGTCTTACTCTTGGTAAACTACCTTGTCTACAAGCTTCTAATAATATCAAAGAATCACGAGTTGTTTCAACATAACCAAAAAAAGTTTCTACAACAGGCATGAATATATATATATGTAAAAAGAAGTGTAGAAAAAAAAAAAAAGACAGAAAGAGAGAAAGAAATAAAGGGAAAAAAGAAAAAAAAAAGGCGGAGAAGATTAAAAGCCCAAATTTGGTAAACCTAATGGGAAAAACCATGTCATTCCGTCATAGGTTCAAACTGGGGATTTTTTCTTTTTTGCTTCAATCAATTATAATACATATAACAATCATCATCTAAACCTCACATGGCTATTTCCTTGCACGTGATCGTTATGATCTCATAACCCAAAAAAAAAAGGAGAAGGAAAAAAAAAAGATCGTTTCGACTTTTATTAAAAAAAAAAAAAGATTTTACATGTTATCCTCACAATGATAAAAAAAAAAAAAAAAGATTGCCTTTATAACTGTTCTCACTCGTTTCAAAATCCTTTTTCTTTTTTCTGTTATTGTTCTTTTTGTCCTCGTGATCTCTTTTCAACAAGTTTCTAGCTTGATCAAAACTGAAAAAGGAAAAGAAAAGTACCAGTCCGGAGAAAGTCCGATTTCACCACAATTTTTTTTTTGTTCACTTTTTTTTTTTTTTTTAAATCTATATATATTTCTTTTCTAGAAAAATGGCCTGTACACATATTAACACCACTAGATTTTCTCCTCCTTCAATTTATACTCGTGTTCATAAAGAAGAATGTACACAATGCTTTGATTCTCAAGTAATAATTATAATTATAATAAAAGAAAAGAATATTCACTTTTTTTTTTAATATTATAAATAGGACTTGGCTGAAGGAATTGACGTATGTCTTACGTGTTTTAATGGTGGTTGTATTTCTACAGAACGTCAACATGCAAAACTTCATTATAACAAAACTGACCATCCATTAGCTGTAAATATTCGACGCGTCATCAAATCCAAAAGGGTAAATCATACTGCGGAATAATACAACATGTTGTCTAATTTCTTTTTTTTCTTTTTTTTTTTTAAATGTATACATATATATATATATATATATATATAAGGATGAAGGAACGCCACCTCCACAGAAAATGAGCAAGTTAGCCATTGTACCTGAGGATACTGAACCTTCTTATGATTACATTACAAAAGTACGCTGTTATGCATGTAATGGCATGGAAACAACAAAAGACACTAATACTGAGGTAATATATGACAATTTGATCTTATTTTATTGAATTTAACATTTTTTTTTCTTCTTCTTTTATTGTCCTTATAACTAGATATCTTCTATTGTTGATGCTATACTATTGGCAACGTCTTCAGCACGTCAATCAGATGTTAAAGCATGGGAAGAAGATATCACTGCATGTGAACATACTCTCTGTCTTACGCAAGAAGAACCTCGAAGATTGGAACAACAATCTCTGGCTCATTGTACAAAATGTGAACTTAATGAAAACCTCTGGTTATGTCTGACTTGTGGTAATCTGGCTTGTGGTCGAAAACATTATGATGGCTCTGGTGGAAATAATCATGCTGTTCAGCATTTTACTGAAACCGGTCATTCAATTGCTTGTAAACTTGGTACAATTACTCCTGAAGGCACTGCTGGTAAGAAAAATGAACATTTACATATATACATATATCTATATATACCTTTTATTCTTTTTTTTTTTAATTTATGATTATTTTATTATTATATAGATATTTATTGTTATACTTGTGATGATGCAAAACTGGATAATGATCTCTCTACACATCTCGCCAATTGGGGAATCAACGTCCTACATCAATCCAAAACAGAAAAAAGCATGACCGAATTGGTAATACAAAATAATGAAAAATAACAAAAACAGATGAATAAATAGATTAAACGTGATGTTTTTATTTTGATAATAGCAATTAGAACAAAATCTCAAATTTGATTTTAGTATGACAACTGAAGATGGAAAACAGTTAGAACCGAAGTTTGGACCCGGGTATACTGGTATTAAAAACCTTGGGAACAGGTAAATCAAATTGAATAACTATTATTGAAATGAATCATTGACCATCCATCTTTATTTATAGTTGTTATATTGCTTCCATTTTGCAAGCTGTATATGATATTCCAAATTTCCAGACTCGTTATGGACAACAACTAGCTGATCATGCACTATCATGTTCAATTGAAGATCCTGCTAATTGTTGGTACTGTCAACTTTTCAAGATTGCTGATGGACTTTTATCCGGACGTTATTCTCAACCTCATCCATCATCCGATAATAACGATGTGCCTACTCAAGATGGTATTTCTCCTGGAATGTTCAAATCACTAGTTGGAAAAGGACACGAAGAATTCTCTACCATGCGACAACAAGATGCCTACGAATTTCTCCAGTTCTTTTGCAAGACTATTTCTCAAAAGGAACATTCGAACAAAGGACAAGATCCTACAAAGGTGTTTGACTTCAATTTAGAACATCGATTACAATGTGGGAAATGTCACAAGGTGCGGTATCAAACCAATGAAAACAGTAGTATATCGATCAATATTCCAGCACGCAAGATAGGTGAATCCGATAACAACAAAGTTGAATATGAAGCCGTTGATTTTTATGAATGTATGGATCTTTACACTAAAAATGAAACTGTAGACGATTATCAATGTCCAAACTGCAAAGAAAAAACAGTGGCCCAAAAGTAAGGATGAGTGATCAAAAGGTATAATCCGAAACTCATTACATATTTTTTTTTTTAAAAAATCTTATGTTTTAGATCTGTCAAGTTCAAAACATTCCCACAAGTTTTGGTTATTCATGCACGAAGATTTGCTTTTGTGGACTGGGTACCTCAAAAACTAGGTAAAATAGATCATCTTTTTCGTTGTTGTTGTTATTATTATTGTTTCATATATATACATTGATTTACTAATCATATCCTTCTTATCTTTATATTGTAGACATCAGGATTAATTTCCCTGAAGGATTAATTAATCTTGACAAGTATTTAGCTCAAGGCAAACAAGATGATGAAGAACTTTTACCAGATGATGAAACAACAGGTAATAAAAGAAGAAAGGGTGATCAGCAACATTATTGTTATGGTTGACAGATTTAACATTATTATTATTATTTTTTTTTGAAGAACCTGAATTTGATGCTGCAGCTTTGGATCAATTGATGGCTATGGGCTTTGGTTTAAATCGATGTAAACGGGCTCTATTCAACACTGGCAACAATGGGGCTGAAATAGCTATGAATTGGTTATTTGAACATATGGAGGATCCTGGTAAAATGAATAACAATAATAATACTAAAAAAAAAAAAAAATACAAAATATTGCTTGAATACTGATGAATAGTTTCTTTTTTATAGATATTGATGATCCTTTGGAAACCAATACAAATCAATCTAGTGGTACACAAGAACCTTCTGCTGACCAAATCACAACATTATGCGAAATGGGCTTTGCTCCTGCCCAAGCCAAAAAAGCATTACGGGAAACGGTAATTAAAAATTGTACAATGATGAATGATGATCCTATATATTTATTTGTTATTGATACTTTATAGAATAATGAAACGGAACGAGCATTGGATTGGTTATTTAATCACCCTGATGATCAAGGCGAAGAACAAGATGAATTTCAAGGATCAAATGAGATTATGGCGGGTGATGATAGTCCTCCATTCAATTACATTATTAAATCATTCGTCTCTCATAAAGGAACATCCATTCATTGTGGACATTATGTTGCTCACGTTCTCAAAGATGGACAATGGACATTATTCAATGATAATAAGGTAGCATTATCTCCAAACCCTCCTATTGGTGAAGGATATCTTTACTTCTTCGATCGTAGAACTAGTTAGATAGTTACTTAGTAGTAGAAATAGTATTTTTTTTTTTTTTTTTTTTTTTAATTCTAATTTTCTTTCAATGAACTTGATCCTTTGACCAATAAAACATTAACCGGTATTTTAATTTTTTTTTTTTTTTTCACTCTTATCTGAAATTTTTGATCGTCGTCGATTTCCCCCCTTTTTCGTTCTTATTTTTATTTTCTTTTTGTCTTTGTTTTTTTTATCTTCCATTATTTATTTACTTTTGTCAATAATAGTGGATGCCAAACTCCCCACAACAACAGTATCTTAGTAGTCCAAACCAGTCATCCAATAATCCTTACAAACATGTTACAATATCGGTAGCCCCTGATCAAGATGACTCGTCAAGTTCCACATTTATGAACTTTGCTACAAAGCCCGTTCATTCATCTAATTCAACTTCTCTAGAACGATCCTATACCCAACGCAATCCACCTGTGAATGTACAAGATTTTAGAAATGCATTTGAACATGCCGTTCCTTTACCTCCAAAACAAGACAATATAGAACAAGAACTTAGACCTTTTACTCAAACTTCAGTTTCCAAACAGACCACATCGCAATCTCAACAATCATTCGAACCTTCTATATATGACAGCAACTTTGACGATATGGATTATTCTGATACTGCCAAACTTACAGATAACGCTGCTGCCATTACACGCGATGACCAGCTCAATTCATCTTTGACACCTATGCCTCCACCATCTTTACCGTCGACAACAACAGCAACCGCAACGACAACACAAATTCGACGTAGTTACCAACCTGCAGCCATAGAGCAACATACTAATCAAAATATAGGACGATTATCTTTGGGTAAACTACTTTCTGATTATGGTGCTACTTTTTCCCTTCAGTTACGCAATATGTCAAAACGCATTATCAACTTGGAAAATGTTAGTGATACCCTCCTTTTACCAACACCTATCAATATTCAGGAAAACAACACAATCAACAATAACAAAGGAACAACTAGCGACGTCAAACATGGCGATATTGATGGCAACAACTCGGTATTACCTACAAAATATCAACAACAATCCGTATCTCATAATGAAGATGATTATCATGATGACTACTATGCTATCACCAGTAATGATTATTTGGCAGCTATTGACAACAATCATTCACCATATCACAATGACTTTGAGGAAAATATACCCATGACATCAACTCGTAATTTTCAAACTAAACAATCAACTTCGACCTCAACTATTACCACTAGCAACAGCTTCAACAGTAACAACAACAGAAATAGAATGGGACTATCTGGCAAAAGTTGTTGGTTATTTGGTCCTGATAATTCATTTCGAAATTATATTGCCAAAATACTATTATGGAAGTAAGTTAATTTTCCAGGAAAGAAAAAAAAAAAAAAAGAGGAAAGATACAAACTCACTGCCCCCCTTTTTTTTTCTTTCGTCAACGTTTAATAGATGGACAGAAACTATATTGATGATGGTTGTGATTCTACATGGATGCGTGCTTTTAGCTGCTGGGTGGGACAACGGCCCTAATCCTGAACCTCAGACGTCTTGGGGTACAAGTTGGGATCAATATGTGATATTGAGTATATTTTGCATATACACGTATGTAAAAAACAAAAAAAAAAAAATAACAAAGATAGATAACATACGGAAGTTACTCGTTCTAATCTCTCTCTCTCTCTCTCTCTCTCTCTCTTCTCTCTCTCTCTCTGGTAGTGTTTATTTGCTACTACGAGTGGTTGTTTTTGGATTCATCTTCAATAATCAAACATCACAGATACAACGTTTCAAACCCTTTTTACGGCATAGTTGGAATAGAGTGGATTTTATATCAGTGGTATCATATTGGATTCATTTCGGACTGATTATCAGTAATCAAGAAATTATCGATGAAACAAGAAGGATTACTGTGTTCAAAATGATGTCGGCTATCATTCTCATGCGTCTGTTGAATATTAGTAAGGGCAATGCGGTGATTCTCCATAGTTTGAAAAAGGCGGCTCCTCTCTTGGTGAATGTTTCATTCTTTGTACTCTTCTTTTTTATTATCTTTGCGTAAGTCGATATATATATATATATAGAATATTAGGAAGATATTTTTTATTTTTTATTTTTTTTTCTTACTATTTTTTATTTCTTTTTATTATTTTGATCCGTTTACTTATTTCATGATATATATAGTGTTATTGGCGTTCAATCATTTAAAGGATCTTTTTTACGGCACTGCGTTTGGACAGGTAACGATCAAGGGACTATATATTATTTATTTTAGAACGATTTCTAATGTTACTAGCATAGATCCAACAAATAGTACTAATACTCAAGAATTACAACAATTCTGTGGTGGCTATATAGAAAACGGAGTACGACAACCTTATATTAAATTAGATGGAACTCAAGCTTCGTGGGATAAAGGCTTCTTATGTGATAATGGACTTGTATGTCGTGTAAGTTATCCATCAAAGTTATCTTTTTCAATGAAATATCAAGGATGATGTTTTAACAATATATTATATTCTATAGGAAACAGAAAATCCTTTTGGCAACACTTTTAGCATGGATAATGTCTTTTCATCAATGTTAATGGTTTTGGTCATTACTGGAAGTAAGTATATACATGCATAAAATTAGGATATTGAGTGACTAACTTGATTACTTTTTAGAACAATCATGGACAGATCGAATGTATGATATGATGGATGCCGAATACTTTGTTGCCTGTCTCTACTTTATTGTTATTGTTATTGTCATGAACTTTTGGCTGCTTAACTTATTTGTCGCTGTTATCAATGAAATGTTTGCCAAGGTTCGTGAAGATTCTCAACACTCTGCTTTTACAACATCAAAGTAAGTAATTGTTATATATATATTAAAAGGTGAAAAATTAACTTTTTTGGGTTGAATTGTAGAGCTAGTACTGTTTTGGCCGACGTTGAAGGAGGATGGTCTTTTAGTAATGAAAATATCGCTAGAACAATACGAAGATCGCTGCTTTTTGAATGGGTGGCAGCAACAAGACCGTTATGGATACTCCTTGTGGTTGCTGATTTAGTCGTAATGGCTATCAAAAACAATAATATGACAGAGAAACAAGTGACAAAATTGAGTATGTAAAAAAAAAAAAAAAAAAAAAAAAAAAAAAAAAAAAAAAAAAAAAAAAAAAAAAAAAAAAAAAAAAAAAAAAAAAAAAAAAGAGTATCACATTAAATAATTTTGATCTTATTACTAATGCTTGATATTCTTGATATTTTTATTTATAGATTCTGTGGAATATGGATTCAGCTTGGCTTTTATGGTTGAAATATTCTTACGGTTCATTTCAGAACGACAACAACTCCGGATATTCTTCAAGGACAAGGCAAATAGAGCGGATATGATCATTAGTATTATGTCCTGTATCATTTGGATCCCTTCCATTAGAAACAATCCTGTAGCATTTGCTTGGCTCAGCGGTTTCCCAATCATGCGAATCTATCGAGTCCTGGTCGCTATACCTAGATTACGACGGTTGATTGTAAGTAAGATAAATTATTCAAGATTTCTCTTTGGATTTACTTATATATATATATATTTTGAAATGAGTAGGCTCGTGTACTTGGTAGCGTGTATGGTTTTATCAATTTGATCTTCTTCATCATTTTGTCTACTTTGATTTGTGCCATTATTGTAAATTTATCATAAAAAGATATGATGGCATCTCGTACTAATTTATTTATTTTTTGTTTTACTATAGGCTTTTCAATTACTTGAAGGTGAGCTGAATGAAGCTGATGATGAAATGCGATTTTTCTCTGTTTACAATTCCTTTGTGGCCCTTAATCAGGTAAGCAATTAACTTATTATCTCCCATCGTGTACAATACTCATCAGACCTTTATTTGTCATTACATATTGTATAGCTCTTCTCTGGTGAAAATTGGACAACAGTTCTGTACAACGCTATGCAATATGGTCGTCCATCTGGAAATGCTGCTGTAAATGCTCTATTTTTATCTATCTGGTTTGCTTTCTCCAACTGTAAGTCATTTAAGAAGAAGAAGAAAAAAAAAAGGAAGGTCATTTTGACATTTATACTTATACTATTTATTTATTTATTGATACATGATCGATGATAGTCATTATGGTCAACATGTTCATTGCAATTTTGATGGAAAATTTCGAAACAGCCGAAGAAGAAAAGCGACAAAGACAAATTCAGCGTTATGCGGAAATACACGATTCTTTTGATGACAATGCGGAAGCGATTATTAGTAGATGGAATATTTATCGATACCTACGAGCGAATCCTAAAAATGTGGCGGTGAAGAACATACCAGCAAACCTTACATTAGCTTTAGAAAAGAATGACCTCAAAGACTTTATGACTACTACCGTTGATCTTGAAAATTCGACACAAAACGACAAGAAATTAAAATGGTATGGTGGCGGACCGCGGCATCGACAGCAAATATCAACAGATTCAAACAAGTCTTCTTTTCGATCATTTTGGAACTACATAGGTGATCACATCTCTCAAATCAAGCACCAACCCACACACAACACCTCAGGAAAAAGTATGCAATTTGATGGACAGACAACTTTTGATCAACTTCAGACATTTTATGATATCAATCGGAATCAAGATGAAAATGCTGTTAATAGTTTACGATATGCTTTGGCACCATCTCTACGGGTCAATATTGCAGCGTCAGTCGAAGAATCTAGCCTTCATGATTTGGAAGAACGACGTGCCATGCAACGGGATTTTCTTCGTGCTCATCCATCTTATGACAAATCTTTGTTTATATTCTCTCCTCGACATCGTATTCGTTATTGGTGTCAGTTATTGGTATCTCCTAGTCATGGTGAACGAACATTTGGTACCCCTCCTTCTCGGTGGCTCAAGTTAATGTTTTTGTCTCTTGTCATTACATGTGTCATCACCAACGTTATCTTGACAATCTACAATTCACCTGTCTATCAATTTGAACACCGTGATGACCTCTCAAGTTTACGACCTTTGATCTATGCTGATTGGGCTTTTACTATAGTGTTTACATTGGAATTCTTAGTCAAAGTGATCGCTGATGGATTTATCATGACTCCCAATGCTTACATTATGAATGGTTGGAATGTATTGGATCTTTTTGTACTGGTCACTCTGTACATGTCGAACTTTGGTCGGTTTGCTTCTTCAACAGGATTGGAACGTGGATTCCGGGCATTCAAGGCGTTACGTGCTCTTCGATTGATCAATCTCCTCAAACCTGCCAAGGATATGTTTACAGTGATCTTGATTCAAGGTCTTCCATTGATGTTGGATGCTGGTGCTCTAGGGTTATTTTTAATTGTACCTTTTGCTCTCTATGGAAAGAATATATTTATGGGACTCTTCTACACTTGTAACGATGACAGTGTCCTGAATAAGGTTGGATGTATTAACGAAGCGATGCTTGGAACGGATGCGCCAGTTTATGAAGGGACAACGATATTGAAACCTCTTGTGTGGTCCAATCCTTATGTGTACAGTTTTGATGATTTTTGGTCATCTCTCTTGATTTTATTTGAAATTGCCAGTGGTGAAGGATGGGTGGATGTAATGGAAACAAGTATGTCTATTGCCGGCAAGGATTTGACGCAACAACAAGATGCTAGTCAGCTTTATGCGATCTTTTTCATGGTATACAACCTGGCTGGTTCTGTTTTTGTGATTTCTTTATTCTTGGGTATTATTCTGGAAAACTTTGCCAAACGAAACGGAAGTGCTTACTTGACTGCTGAACAAAGAAGATGGTTGGACTTGAAAAAGCTTCTGAGTCAAATTAGACCTGCCAAGAGACCGAAACAAATCCCTGTGAATGTTATTAGGAAAAAATGCTTTGATCTGGTGGTGGATAAAAGGGGACGCTTTTACAAATGGATGACCGCCGTGATTGTTCTCAACATTTTGGTATTATGTACTGATACTATTCGAGATGATTCATTGCCTGTATTGAAACTGGTCAAAGGTAAAGATGAGTGAAAATAAGAATTTTTTTTTGTCTTCTAAACCATTCTCTCTTTTTTTTTTTTTTTTTTTTTTTTTTTTTAATAATATATATAGAATATGTTTATCTCGTATTCGTATTGATATATTGGTTCGAGGTAATGGTAAAACTGTTAGGTCTAGGTTGGACATCCTTCCGAAGAAACTTGTGGAATCTTTATGATTTGGCTGTAATCATAGGTAGTGCGGTTACTGTGATTTTTAGTCTTGCTTCGAACGATCATCAAGTCAATGTGGAATCCCAAAAATTATTCATGACCGCTCTTTGTTTCAAATTGGTACAAAGAAGTGATGCTTTGAATCAGCTTTTTACAACAATGGCGTAAGTAGATTAAACAGAGCGACCTTTTTTTTTTTTTTTTTAAAAAAAAGTTGTATTGACTCTTTTTTTTTTTTTTTCTTCGCATAGAGCGTCAGCATATCAAATTGCCAACGTATTTGCGGTTTGGTTTGTGGTGTTGACAACATATGCGATCATGTTTATGGAGATTTTTGGACTCACCAAGTATGGAACTCAGGCTACTACTGAGCATGTCAATTTTCGAAGCTATGCAAATACAATGGTGTCCTTGGTACGATATTCTACTGGTGAAGGATGGAATACAGTGATGCATGATTTTACAGTGGAAGCACCCCAATGTCAAGAAGCTGATAATTATCTCGATTCAGATTGTGGTTCTCTTCGATGGTCCTATTTCTTGTTTCTCAGTTTGAATATCATCTCCATGTATATCTTTACTGCTGTCTTTGTTGCCGTTGTCTCGGACAATTTCTCCTATGTATATCAAGTTGCTGCCAATTTCTCTTTAGTCAACAGAGATGAAATCAGAAAATATCCTTTTTGTTTATATATATATGCGTGTGTGTTTAGTGATGATGTGATGAACTTGTACTATTTATCTTTAACCTTTTTTTTTTATATTTCTTTACATATAAGAAATGCTGGGCTGAATTCGATATAGAAAGGACTGGATATATCAAAGTCAAGGATTATATGTCTTTTTGGAGAGTAAGTAGAAAAATGAAATGAAAAACAATGATGATCTATAGGATGTATCAAATTGATTTTTTTTTCTTTGCTTGTTTATATAGAAACTGGATGGAATGTTTGCAATCAATATCTATGATGATGAATTTTCCTATAAGAACCTGGTGAAGGCATGTACTCTTCCTAATCAAGCGGATGATTCTAAGGATGATCGTTATAACACTCGAATTAATCTCAAGAAACTTAATAAAATACTCGAACGATTGGATAGAACAACGATTCATAAACGAAAACATGATATGAATATGATTTATTGGGTAAGAAGGAAAAAAAAAGAAGAAGATAAAAATACTGAATGTTAATGTATGATAATATATAGGAAACTGCAATGACAGAATCAGTACAAGGTGTTTCATTTAATCAAATGCTATTGATGCTTGCTCAAAGAAAATTGATTGTACCTGAAAATGCTTTACTGTAAGTAAAAACAAACTCATCAAATATTATTAGTACTTATTTTTTTTTTCTATAATTTAATTTAGATTGGAAGAACTTTTAGTGAATCGGAAAAAAGAAGAAGCGATTCATACATTGATTAGCATTGATAGAGTGAAAGGATTATTGGAAACCATAGCTTTACGGAAGAAGTTTCTACGACATATGGAATTGAAGAAACAAAAACGTAAGTCTACTATTATTATGTATAAAACTAATGATTCTATTTTTTTTTTTTTTTTTTTTTTACGTATAGTATTGAAGTTTGAAATGGAACAAAAGGAAACAAAACAATTACATATCGTACCTACTACTACTGGATCTCCTATGGCTATTGAATCACCATTGATATCTCCATCTCTGTAAGTTCCCTATTTGGTTATAAATTTGGATGATATAATTTATTCTCTCTTTCTATATATATATTCTTAGTGCTTCTTTGGGATATTTATCTGATGAGAACGAACCAGAAGTTGAATGGAATTCTTTGGCTGGAGCATTAGGACATAATCCAACGGATGATAGACATGAATTATGGCACAGTAAGTTTTGACAATTTTTTTTTTTTTTTTTTTTCTTTGGATAATATAATTTTTACTGACTTGCACTTTCTTTTATATATGATGATTTTTTATTTATTATTTATTATTATGATTATTATTTATTATTACTTATTATTACTTTTTTTATACTCTCCACTATGTATATTCCTTTATTCCCCCCTCAACCTTTCTTTTTTGTGTTATTCCAAATTACACCAATTCCTTAGATCTTTTACAATCAGAAATAAAGTTTGAACAGTAGTTATCTTTTATATGATTGGCCGCCGCTACAAATTTTAGCCAATAAAAATTAAGCCTATGACGAAGAACCATGAGAAAAAAAAAAAAAAAAGAAAAAAAAAAAAAAACAGAAATGGACTTTCCTTGTGTTGTTTTTATTTCTTTTCTTCCTTGATAACTCCCTTCCCCCTTTCCTCCGTTTACTTTTTAATTGATCTCACTTACAAAAGTCTAATTGGTACAGTGGCTTTTGATTCCCACCGTCCCCCCATTTTTCTTTTCTCTTTCTTTTTGTTTTATTGATTCTTTTTGCCTTGTCGTTGTTTTGCTTTCATTCCTTCTACGCTCTCTTCCTCCCTCCGTTCAAGGCAACGAAAACATAGCTTACTATTCTCAACTCGATATCTACTTTTGATGGATTACGCCTCAATTCGGCTGAAAGGATTTATGTAAGTTCACTCTGAATATTTATAACAAAATGGACAGGTACCAATCCTTTTTTTTTTTTTTTTTATATATTCAACCGATATCTTTTGCCGTGAACCATAACGACAATAACGACAATATATTTATTCAACAGTCAAACACATGAAAATTTAAAACATGCAATTGCTGGTGCTGGCGCTGGAGTTGTCTCGTCTATGGTAGTCGTACCTTTAGATGTTGTCAAAACACGGTTACAAAACCAAGGCAAAGCGAAACCTGGTACACTTTTATATCGAGGAACAGTTGGTAAGTTTATCTTATTTTATATATATTAGGATGAATATTCAATTTTTTTTTTTTGGACGAAAAAAAACAAAAAAACAAAAAACTTATTATTGATATTTCGTAGGTACCTTATCGAGGATCTGGAATGAAGAAGGTATTCGTGGGCTTTATCGTGGACTTGGGCCGACTATCTTTGGTTATCTTCCTACATGGGCTATCTATTTTACAGCATATGATTACTGTAAAGCACAATGGAGTAAGGACTTTGGTAGGTAACCAAAATAGGGTTTAAACGGTAAAAACGTTAAATAAGGTGGAACTCAACTATTCGTTTATGTTATATAGATGGAACTGGACATGAATGGTTGGTACATATACTTTCTGCAATGACTGCTGGTGCAACTTCTACATCTTTAACAAATCCATTATGGGTCATTAAGACAAGATTTATGGTAAAATAATTAAGAATAGTGGTTTTTGGATTTGATTCTAATTCTTTTCTTTTTTATTGATAGACACAAAGTGATAAAACACCATATCGCTACAACAATACGATACATGCTTTCCGGACAATTGCAAAAGAGGAAGGTATTCGTGGATTTTATAAAGGGTTGGGTCCATCACTGATTGGCGTTAGTCATGTTGCTGTTCAATTCCCATTATATGAAAAGATGAAATCATGGTTTGGTAAGTTGAAATTAAAAAAAAAAAAAGATGGATAATAATTTTTGATCACGTTTCTTATACTTTTTTTTTTTTTTTTTTTTTTTTTTTTTTTTTTTTAAATAGCTCAAACCGATGCTACTGCTGGCAACACTGGAATTTTATTGGCATCATCTTTATCCAAGATGGCGGCAAGTACAGCAACTTATCCACATGAGGTGAAAGAAAAATAGAATAGAATGATTGAATATATATTGTTACTGACTTTTTTTTTTTTTTTTTTTTTTTAGGTGATCCGTACTCGATTACAAAATCAAACCATCAAACCATTCAAATACAAGGGAATCATTCATGCATTCAAAATCATATTAGAAGAAGAAGGATATCGTGGATTTTATAAGGGAATGCCAACCAACTTATTACGAACTGTACCCTCCTCTGCGTTGACCATTTTGACCTATGAAGTGATTGTTCATCGGCTGGATATATTGAAAAACTCGTAGATAGCTTACCTTCCATCTTTTTTTTTTATATATATTTATTCTTTTTATTTGTAGCTATTATTATCATTCTCTCATTCTTGTTTTTCATTTTATAATTTTATACATACATTTTACACATACACACTTTTATATTCTTATTACCATCTTTACATCATCTGCTTTTATTTTCTCAATGACCATCAGAATAGTTCTTTCATCTCATACCAATTCAATTCCTCCCTGTTCGCCTTTTATTTTTAATCATGCATTGTAAAAAAGAAATATTCACAATACCTCCCCTCCGTAGATTGATTTTATTTTATTAAAATATATGAAAAACTAATTGAAAAAAAATTTTTTTTTTGCTTTTGTAGTAGTTCGTTATACTGTTGAGAAAAAAAGGTTGGGTCAGCATTCAAATCCTACTTTTTTTTTTTTTTTTTTTTTTTAACTTACAACGCAAGCGTTTAACCGTCGCGGATGTTTGTTATCCGGATTATTGATGCAAACGAGAGAACACCGAAGGTCGAGATCCACTTGTGATAAAGTTCATAGCCAGAGAATGGATGTTACGAGCAGCGTTATGATCACGTTGCCATACACGTCCACAACTTGTGCATGATTGGACGGCATGCAATTTAGATTCACCAACTTTTATGTTTTCCAAGGACTTAGTACCACAATTGCTGCAAACTTGACTAGTGAGATATTCGTCGATGTTAGCCACTATCAATCTTCCTTGTTGTTCTGCCTTGCGAAGTAGCTTCCGAAAAATATTTGCAAGACCATGGATTTTCCCTCTGAACATGCGTCTTCCAAATGATCCATCCCCTACACATACGACAGTGGTTATATTGCTTGGTGTTTGACTGAAAGGAAGCTTTTTCCACTTGTTCCTAAAAAAAAAAAAAAAAAAAAGTGTTTGTCTATCTGTCCTCGATCCTACCAAAAAAAAAAAAAAAAAAAAAAAAAAAGACTACTTACAATTTTGATTCCTTTGCTGAAGATGGAGGCTGTTCATCAGATGAGGATGGTGGTAGTTGATCGTCAAAAGAGGATGGCGGTGGTGGACGTCTTCTTTTTCTTCGTGTCGTTCCATCTGTTCTAGTTCGAGCCATGGCAACTGCTTCACTGGGTTGATGATCAGGATCCAGATTGTATTTCTTGCCGCCATTAACGAAGATATTTATCCTTTCGTCTTGTACCTTTTGCTTCCCCATGTAATTGAGGAATCGCAGCCGTTGTATTTCAGTGCCATAGAATTGGACCAATTGGGGTAAAACATCAAGTAATCGTTCAATATACAATTGTATACCTTCCATACTGCTTGTTTTGGGCGACGGCATTGAAGATTCAAGTCGATCGATATTTTGAGATTGTTTCGTTTCACAAATAGTGTTGTTCGTTTTCTTATATCCAGCTTTCACGTAGTACTCTGATGAGGAAAACTTTCGTACCTGGTGTCGTTCGGAAGGATCACTATTGTCGACAGCCACGAAGACTTCAGTAACCGCAGGGTCTACCCCTCATACCTTGCATTCTTGCATATCTTCAATGGTAATATCGTCAATCGAAAGAGAAGGCAATCGGTCTTGATTCACTATTTTTTTTTTTGAAGGGAAAGGAGATTGCATAGCCATCTGTCGTAAAACTGTTTTCGAAAATTCCATGTCTAGTTCAATGAAACAAAACCAGATTAGTACTAGATCATTCTTCTCCTTTTTCTTACCTTTTAAGCTTCCGCAAGTCAAACATATTAAAATTCGGGTGAGGCTGGTTTGGTGGGATCGGTGTAGAAGATGGAGTAGCCAAACGTCCTAGACCAAAATGTTTTAGTATTGTTCCAAGAGATTGATGATCGTGTATATATTTGCGTGTGAGTTTTGGAATGGGTATGATAGTGAATAGTCTTGCTTGCTGCTTTGTCAGATATACTGGTGGTGCAAATCTTCCTTCGCGAATCTCTGTCTGTGCTGTAGTAATGGCGTTTTGTATATGCATAATAGATTCAGCGCTGAAGCCAGCAGGTAATTTCTCTGGAATAAATCGTACACCTTCATTGATAATATTTGTAATAGCGAGTCAACGATGATCGGCGGCGATGGTCTAATCGTGTCCATTCAGGCAATCCAGATAAAAGATGATATGTCCACGTGCGTTTTGCTTCATTCTGAGGTATGGCCGGTAGTTCAGAGTCTATTTGATTCCATTGTTCCATCTTGCGTAAGATATCAAACATGACAGGTAAGAAAAATTTTGGGTAGGAGGAGATTGTTGCAGTCGTAATAGATTTCGCTGAATGTACAGGATTTGGTATTTCAAGGTCCAGTTGTGTCATACCTATACTTCCTACACTTGAGGCTGGAGACGGGATGTCCATTGACTCCGGGAGTGGGTCTGTCGATGAGCTAGCTATAGACGAGCCACGAGATGCTTGTACACTTCGACGTCGAGCTCCTTCCGTAGTAATCAATTCATGTATATTGTTCCATTCGGTACTTGCTTCATCCATGATGGTCAACAGTGATTCATTGAGCTTGTCGTCAATAGCTGGATCGTATTCAATTTCTGGCCAAACTGGAGGGAACTTGTCATCATTGACGGTGGATTGGTAAACAAAGTGAGCAAACTGCATAGCATGATTTTGTGCCAGTTCCTACACACGAGGAAAAAAAAAAAAAGATGAGAAGGAGAAGATTTGTACTGATTTGCCTTTACTGTTCTTGTAGATATACTTACAGGAATCATGCGTCGAAGGCGGCCTTGTAAATATGCTATATAGAATCCATCAAAATTTGCGACAACAATCGAAATGAGATGAGTTGAATAGGTTTGTGCTGTTGAGGATAGAATACCACTGAAAGCAATTGGAGATCGACCAATAGGGGAGGACACCTTTTCACATCGTGCCAGAGGAAATTGCTGGATAAATCGACGAAACACAAAATTGATATTATCACGTGTTGCAGCATCGAAAGTCGACTGATTGGTGAATTTGCCACCTAGTAGTAACTGGAAGATACCATAGAAGAAGCTTGTTGAAAGAAACATGAGAGCAAAGGTAACCCGGCATCAAGACGATATGTGAAGAAATATAATAAAAAGAGATGACCCTTGATCACAAGTTGGCGATTGAAGTCCACAACAGTTTCCACACCTTGAACAAACTGAGTCTTTTCGTCATCGGTCATATCTAGGAGTAAACCATACAGGCCATGTTTGATCGTGTTAGTTCGGAGAGGAGCACCAGAAAGTTCTTCATTCTTGACCTTTTGTCGTTTTTTCTGATCAGGACATAAATTACTTGAGGAGCGTGAATGAGTTTTTGCCAATTCATGACGCCCAGCAGCGATACATGTGGGACACAGTTTGCGATTTGGGTTTTCTAGTTGAAGAGCTTCTTGTCGACCTTGGTTGGCAGTTTGCTTTTCTTTCTTTTCGTCCTTAGACTGGCGTCGTTTGGTAGTATGTTTAGAAATAGCTTTTTTCTGTCGCTTGTTCGCTACCAAATAATGGGAAAATTAGTAAATGATATTAGCTTATTCAGAAAGAGAATTATAAAAAGTAACATACCTGGTTGTTCATCGTCTGTATCAGCATCTTGTTCTTGTTGCAGTAATTTTTGTGGTTTTTGTAGTTTTTTATTTCTGATGAAATTTTGTATGGTACGTGCCATGATAGATATAAAGATAAGAGAGAAAAAAAAAAAAAAAAAAAAAGGACTGAAATTCAGCATGATCTGATCTTGGAAAGGTGACATTTTTTTTTTTTTTTTTGCGGTATTCAAATTTCCGAAGAAAAAAGAGGAATAGAAAAGGAGTTTTGTCTTTTCTGCACACTCCACTGCACTCTTTCTGTATACTAATCATAATGTCTAAACCATCTTTGAAAATCAAACTGAGGTTATCGTCTCCTCTCGATAGCAAAGTATCCACACCGCAATCCTCTTCATCAATATCATCTACATCCAGTTCTCCAAAACAAATGAAATCAGAATCACCGTCCAACGAACCTTTGTCAAAAAGATCAAGGGTACGCTCCAAAAAGACATCAAGGTAAGACAGATGATCTATTTATTTTGGTTTGTTTCATTAATATATTTTTATTTTATTTGCATAGTATATTACAGGGTGCTTCCAGCAATACAATATCAGGTGATACATCTACAACCACCAATCCAGGAGACGACCAAGGTAGAGAAAACAAAGGGAGCGACTATAAAAAAAAAAAAAAAAACTTACTCATACTCTCGCTTTTCTTTTGTCATATAGGTCTACAGAATACTAATGCAAATCGATCTCAAGTATCAAAGTCAAGTCCACGTATTAGGGCCATTTTTACACATAAAGATACTCCTACTCGCAAGTGGCAGAAACGTCCATTGAAATTTTATACCTTAGGTGGCGGGGAAGTACAACTTCCTACTGGCTGTTGGAGATCAGGTAATAAGATCAAAAAAAAAAAAGGACACCTTATTCATTGACAAGTCATTGTATATCTTTAGATGAAGATATGAAACTCAACAAACGAACAACAGAACCAACTAGTGTAGCCGACATTGATCAACTATTTGCAGTGGAAAAGGATTTTCGACCATTCTTATGTACTCATGTTGGCTGTTCAAAATCTTTCACCTCATTCGATCTACTTCAAACTCACGAAACAAATATGCATGGGATCAAGAAAATGGTATGTGGTATAGATGGTTGTTCGAAAGGTTTTGCTACTTCTGGTCAATTGACGAAACATCGAAAAATGGTCCATTTCCGAGCTGCTCGCAAGGCCAAAAAACTCGCTGAAGCCGAAGCTGCTGCCTCAGCTGCTGCTGCTGATTCTGCCAACACTACTGCTAATGGTGATAATGCTGATACTCCCATGACTACCTCCTCTACTCAAGCAATGGATGAAGATTTTTCTTGACTCTACTCTTTTTGATCACTTATCTAATATTTGTTTCCTGTTCTCCTTTTTTATATACATTAGTCTCCCTGTCCCTTCCGTTCTCTTTGATTCAATCTCATAAAATAATAATAAAAAAAAAAACAATCAAAATAATTCAATTGTTTTATTGTAGATGGCAAATGTATATTTTAAATAAAAGTAAACTATCTATCCAGCTTTTTGTTTCTTGTATTTCGTCAAGATATTCCCATCAGTTTCCATTCCACTGTTGACATGGACCAATCGTCGTTTTCGTTCTTCATCATGAGCCCTTCGCGTCCTACCAAAACCAAGATATATATATATATATATTAATAATAATTCAATCATCATCCCTCCTGTTTATGATATCTCACTTACTTTTCTTTTTCTGACATAAGATTTCGAATTTCAGGGTAAGTTGGAAGCATCGCAGGGTCTTGTGCTGATATGTGGGGAGAAGGATGAGTAAGTTCATGATCACTATGATTATCGTTTTGCTTTATTATTATTATTATTATTATTATTACCTCTAGGTGGTTCTCTAAAGTATGGATGTTGTAATGCCTGTCTAACAGTGAGTCGTGATCTAGGATTATAAGTAAGTAAACCTGCCAGCAGGCTGATGGATTGATCCGATATTCGTGGGAATACCAACTTGAGAGTATTCTTGTCTTGTTTTGGTAACATAAGGGCTTTTCCTAAAGGCAATTGAGTGAAACCAGGCCAGATATGATCATTTGGTGTACCAAGTAATTTGACAATCAGGTTCAATTGAGATTGTTCAGTGTTACCAGGTAACAAAGGTCGATGCTGTAGTAATTCCCCCATGATGCAACCTGCCGACCTAGGTATAAGGAAAAAAAAAGAAAAACAAAAAGATCAATACTATTCTTTTTTTTTTTTTTTTTTTTTTTTTATCATTTCTGTCTATACCATAAATCTACAGCAGTTGTATAATTGGCATCTCCATATAGTAACTCTGGTGATCGATACCATAAAGTTACAACATTGGGAGTCATAGGTTTTCCAGGTAAACTAAGAGTCCGTGCCAGTCCAAAATCAGCTAGTATTGTATATAAAAATTAGATTTGACAACCATATAAATCAAGTTGATTGTGAGTAGTTTACCTATTTTGAGTAAGCCAGTTGATGTGAGTAGTAAATTTGACATTTTCAGATCCCTATAAGGTAGATATTTAAAAAGTCGATGGTGAATTGTATTTCAAAACATAGAATATACTTACCGATGAATAATAGAATGACTATGACAATATTCCAATCCTTTCAAGAGTTGAGTCATGAGACACTTGACTAAATTTGTGAGAATATATGTCAATATTGTATGTATATCCATTTTTTTTTTTTTTTTTTTTTTTTTTTTTTTTTTTTTTTTTTTTTTTTTTTTTTTTTTTTTTTTACCTTCGGAAAGTGTATATGGTGTTGAGATCATGTCAAGTAGAGTACCAAGATCTTGTTCACAGTATTCCATTACCAGAAAGATAGAGTCCAGCTTAGGTCCTACTGCAACATCCGAGACATTGACAATATTTGGATGCTTCATTCGTTTTAATATACTGATTTCCCGTAGACTAGATATAGGCATTCCATCCGTTTCCCTTTCCATGCGTATTTTCTTCAGTGCCACCACACTACCAGACTTTGTGTCCTTCACACGACTAAAAAAAAAAAAACAAAGCAGACAAAAGACAAACAGACAAACAAAAAGTAAGAAAAATGAGAGTTATATTTATTCATTCCAATTCTTCTAGCTGTTCTTTTAACTTACTAGACTACACCATAGGTACCTTCCCCAACACGATTCAGCTTCTCAAAGTCTTCCACATCACGACAATCACCATAGAAAGCAGTATCTGGACAATATACTTTCTTCTTTCTAACAGTTGTCAATGTAGTATGTGAATCATCATAATTGGCAGTATTATCTGTCATGAATATAAAAAGTAAAGAATAAAAAAAAAGTGTGCTTGAAGGTGATCAATAGTAACAAGACGAAAGAGAAAGAGAAAAAAAAAAATAATTAAAATAAAAATGAAAAATAGTTTTTTCAAGTTTTGCCAAAAGTCAGCTGCGGGAGATCAAACATCACAAAGCATATAAAGATCATAACAATCAATTGTTTTATATACTATGTTTTATTTGTACATTTTGGAATGATAATAATAATAATAATAATAAAAACAATAACAGATCTAATCAGAAGAATAATCCACCACATACGCAACGTCGTGTCAAACTATGGAACCAAGACGAGAAGGATGTAGGATCCAAAGTATCAGACATCGTAGGAAGGTATAGTTGTCGACATCTAATAAAATAATACCAATTCAGTAAACCAAATTCCAATTCTTTTATTATTATCATTATTATTACCTGATACAACTTTGTAAGCCCCCACTAGTATTGCTAATACGTTTCTTGCGAATAACATCAATTGGGTAATCCTTATGAGTTTCCAAATAAATAGCAGGTACGGCGCATTTGCTTCGATATTCTCCAGTGACCTTCTTCAGTTCATCCATGATTTCCCCAGATGGTAATTTCGATGAGATCAGGATGGACCACCTACTAGACTTGTTGTTTCTAACTGCTTCTTCGAGATCTTTGATGTTATCCAATGCCTGAAGAAAGGAAATGACATCGTTGATAGGTACAGGTTCACTGGTAAGTGTTGTTGATATATGTCGTAATAAAAGTGACTTGGTTTCTACCATATGTTGTAGTTCATATTTAGATGTTGTAGCATACTGAATAAACTGTTGGATCATCAACAAGATCTTGATAAGTGATATTCGAGATTCCTTGTGTACTAGTAAGACAGCATGTGTTTGCTTTGATGATAAATCTTTGTTTCCTGGATTATGAAAAAAAAAAAAAAGATATTAGATCTGATATTCCTTTCTACTTCTATAGATTTTTTTTTCCATTACCAGAAGTTTTGGGATGCCGGCTGTTAAAAAGTATATTCCATTCCTGTAAAGTCCATCGTACATAATCTAATGTCCAAGTTGATAGAGATACTAACGACCATAAACTATCTAATATATCAATATAAAACAAGAAGGATTGAGTTTTCTTAGAAATAGTAAATATATATATATATATTACCTGGATTAAAAGAGAGAAATTTGGAGCTTTTATTGTTGAAATCTATAATAAAGATTCATTCGATTAGTCTCTAAAAGATGATTTATCTTCTATCATTATTTTATTCTTACCTAAAACCTCATTCATATCATCTAGATCGGATGTACAGCTTCCCATAAAACATTCAAGAATAATAGGCAATTGGATAGCTTTGGTCAAATTTATGAATTGCATTCGTTTACCAGAAAGATATCTATAAGGAAGCGAGACGTAAAATTGGTTAGAAGACAAGTACTAAGAATGTAATGAGAATCCAAACATTACCGGTAAGTACCAATCGCAAGTCCATATGCTGGTCTTGTTCGTGCAAGTGTCCATTCTTCAATATCGTTTCGTTTGATAATATTAGATTCTGGTGTTGCTTGTAAAATGTTCAAATCTTGTTGATAGAAGAAGGATTCATATGCCAACAAAACATTCTCCAAGATTTGATCCGATATATCTAAAATATAATCCAATCGTAAAAAAAAAAAAAAAAAAGAAAGTTCCACGAACCCATGTCAACGTCCTCTTCCTTTTTTTATTTTTACTTTATGATAATCTTTTTGTACCTTCGTATCCTGGCAGTTGTCCAATTCGAATGACTTCAGATATCAAATCAAGATTATCCGTTTGATTAAGTAGACTAAGTTTCATCTGCTGTTCAAGTGATTTGATAGTACCTATCAAAGAACCAATCAGTAAAATAAGTAAAAACAAAAACCCATCCTTATTTTTCTTCTTCTTCGTACCCCCTTCATTATCCTCTGTAACTGTATCCATGGTAATTCTTGCTGAGCCAATACGACCCGATGAAAGAATATGAAGAAGATGGGTCTCACAGGGAGAGAAACAAATACCAAAAACAGGATCTACACAAAGTATCATCAGGTTAGTAATTGCACTTGTCTCTGTCTTCCATTTTCAAAAGGACTTTACCGAAAAATTCGTCTTCATACATATGAGATCCAACCACTTGCCAAAAGTTGGAAGAAAGTGAAGTTGTTTGGTTATCATTTGAATATCGCGCAAGATGAAAATCAGATCTAATGTGAAAAACAGAAATTGGTAACTCTACTATACATACACACACACACACACACACACACATATATATATATATATATATATATAGTTTGCATTATTACCTATTTTTTTGAAGTTCCATATGAATGCTGCCATCAGAAAGTCCCAAAGCTAATTCTCCTGATCTACTACAAGATATAGATGTAACGAATCGGTCACCCAAAGCGAATCCAGAGACATATTTCAATTCCTAAGAAAAGTATGGAATGGAGGTGAGTTCATCCGGTGGAAAAAGGTATTCTTGTTAATATATATATGTATATCTGGACTTACTATTTGTTCTCTTCGTATAACATTATCACTGTATGTGTTTCCATCAAAATAGTTTCCACCTATTTGTTGTGTGATGTGTCCCAAAGTCCATTTTCCATAATATCCCGAATACTGCTTTGTTGATACTAAAAAAGAAAAAAAAAAAGGAAGAAAGAGTTAATATCCATCTGATTTATCAATTATTTTCAACTATTACTTACCATCTTGTTCACCGAAACATACATGTAACATAACCTCATCGGAAGAATGTGATAATTTGATTTGAGTGATGGCCATTTCAGGATTTGAAATAGATTCTAAATAAGGATCAGGTACTGAATTGAATCGTAAATTTGCTGTTGACTGACAAAAGATAGCACCATTTTCGGATTTGCAAGGAAACTGAATGGATATTTTGTACAAATAGATCGTTTTTGGTACACACTCTGAATAATAGGATGCCAAATATATATCTCCACCTAAAATAAAAATAGGGTTAAATAATCAGACAAAGAAAAGGTGATGATTACCTTTTCCTAAAACCAACGACGCGTGTGACATTCTTTGCCAATCATCCAAACCAGCAAGTGCCATACCATAACAACCAGTATCTGCACGACTTGTATCTCGATGTCCCGTTTTTGGTAATGTTGTTGAGAAGGTAGAAAAGATAGAGCCATTCCGTTGATAGTGCACACTGATTTCGCCATGAACTGTGACCGCAATGAAAGCAAGATAACCAAATGGATTCCTTGGTCCAAATACATTTTCCCTGACAAACTCGCAACGATCATCATTTCTATAAGGAGCATACTATAAGAAAATAAAAAAAAAAAAAAAAAGAATCATTAGTTTTCAATTTATTTTGAATATTTTTATTTTACTTCTCGATCTGCATTCAGCCAAAGTATTGCGGCCACAGGTTGGCGTAGATCCACTTCATATGTTAAAGACCAACTATCTACCGAGTTCTTTTAGAAAAAAAAAAAAGAAAAGAAAAAAAGAAAGAAAGAGAGAAATGAGTCAATAAAAAAAAAAAAGAACAAAAGAATCAATAATATTATAACATACTTCTATATTCCACAATGCCAACTTTCCTGTTTCGTCAACTGACGCGAGTGTCGTTCCTTTTTGATTCCAGTTGAGATGAGTAATGGTATGTTCTTTATGATAGTTTTCCGCCATTCGAATAGGTACTTTTTTGATGTTATATGTCAATGACGAAGATAATGCTGAATTGTTGAGAGTATATAGGTCACCAGATAAACAATGGATACTGGAAGGAATGGGTCGAGGAGGCGCTGCTACAACGACACCTTGTGAAGAGTTAGTAAGACAGAGTGGCGATTGACGATGAACTATACTAGAAAATAAATACGATAATGGGTATCTAGTATTATTCTTCAATGAAGAACCCAATCGACGTTTCTTATTTTCATTTGTATTGTCCACCTTTCTTTTCATGGAATAAAATATATAAAGAAACAAAGAAAGAAGGAAAAAAAAAAGAAGAAGAAGAATAAAGGAAAAGTGTAAAAGAAAGAAAAAAAAAAAAGGGCAGCAGGAGTTGAACACTTTGTAATGGAGTCACAGCTGCCGCCGATCGGAAACAGAACACCCAAAAAAGGAATGTATTTTTTTTTTTTGGTTGCCCCGCTAGGCTTTTTTTTCATTCTTTTTCTTTTTTTTTTTTTCAACTTTCTTTTTTCAACTTTCTTTTTACAACTCATGCCTGGTACAAGATCAAAAACAAATGCCAAAGTAATAGCTTCTAAACTGGAGGATGCCACCATAGAATCAATAGCAAAATATATTCAACAAAACAAAGGTAAATAAAAATAAATAAATATATATAAAAAAAATGGATCAACTAAACACGCTTTTTTTTTTCTTTTTTTTTTTTGATAGTCAAGAATATTGTAGTGATGACTGGTGCTGGTATATCCACTGCAGCTGGTATCCCTGATTTCAGAAGCAAGAATACTGGTCTCTATGATAATCTTCAAAAGTTCGATCTACCTTACGCTGAAGCTATTTTCGATATTGATTATTTCCAAGTAAGTATAAGCAACGAAAAGCAAATATCTCATCTAATCTCTATCTCTAAGGAACGTCCTGAACCTTTTTATGCTTTAGCGAAAGAACTATATCCAGGGAAATACCTTCCTACCAAGACACATTACTTTATTCGATTGCTACATGACAAGAACATGCTTTTACGTAACTTTACTCAAAATATTGATACTTTGGAACGGATATGTGGATTGGACGAAGATAGGATTGTAGAGGCTCATGGTAGTTTTGCTTCTGCATCTTGTATTCAATGTGATGAAAAAGCTGATATGGAAGAGATCAGATCTCAAATCTTACTCTCAAAAATTCCCAGATGCTTGGCTTGCAAAAGTCTTATCAAACCCGATATCACCTTTTTTGGTGAAAGTTTACCCAAACGATTCTTCAAGCGTCTTGTAGTAAGTGTGAAAACAGAAACAATGTGATTTTTATCTGCTTAGTTATCAATTCCTTTTCGTTCTATCTCATTATCGACAATATCATAGGATTTTGATGAGGCTGATCTCTTGATTGTGATTGGGACAAGTCTTCAAGTACAACCATTCGCTGCTCTTATTGATAACGTTCCCGAACATACGCCTCGTTTATTGATTAATAAGGATTTGGCTGGTGTTGTAAGTAAATAATAATAATAATAATAATAATAATAATAAAAATACAACAAGATTAATCTTCATCGTCTTTTTTATGCATTTAGCATCATTCACCACATCATGGGTTTGACTTCAAATGGAAATATGGAAAGAAACGTGATTCTGTATACTTAGGTGATTGTGATGAAGGAATTGAAAAGCTAGCTGAACTTTTAGGCTGGAAGGTACGTCTAACAAAAAAAAAAAAATAGACAATTATAAGTAATATATCTATCTTTATTGTATATAGAACGAACTGGATCGACTTTATGAAAAGGAAACCAAGAAACTGAAGGAACGGTGGGCTACAGAAAAGGTGCTTGAACAAGAACAAGAAGAACTGGAAAAACTTGAACTAACGGAAGAAAAGCCTGATAAGGAAATTGACCAACTAGCTGAAGAATTAGAAAAGAGACTCAAGGTTCCATCTGACAAGGAATGACTACTTCCAAAAAACAAGATTTGTATTTTATTTCACTTTATCATCTTCACCGTCATCACATTCACATATATACACATATACGCGTTTATTGACCTTCTCTTTTCCTTTTTTTTTCATATATGTAATAAAAAATGACTTTTTCCTCATATATTCGATATAATTTTTTTTTTATTGTTTGTATAAATAATCCCTAATAAAATACTAAACTATTCAAGATAATACTGCTAGTCCCCTCCATCGCTCGTACTGTCGTGTGCATCGTTATCACTGTCGTCATTGTTTTCATCGTCATCGTCGTTCAATTGTTCGTTGAACTGGCTATAATCCACTTTCTTACCTCTTGTACGGCGACCATTGTTGATGATGACAGAGGTATCTAATTCTTGTACTTCGTCCGCTATCATTTTCAAAAAAAAGAATAAAGATCAGTCATGGTCATAGTTCTTGGATGTTTCATGCATGAATCGACGTTTATAAACCCAGCCTGCGAATTCCCCCCTATGAAAATACTGTACCTGAAAAATCATCATCATCTTCATCGTCATCATCGTCATCTTTTTTTCTTCTGTTGGTCTTTTTCTTGGTTTTCTTGGATGCCGAAGAACTTGATACTGAAGATCGCGTTGGACGTTGAGACGTGCTTCTTCTTTCGATGGATTGACTTTCATCTGATTGATCTTTTATGCAAATCAAAAAAAAAAAAAAAAGAAAACACCATGGTAACAACTTAGTACATTTTATTCGTTTTACTTTTTTTTTCCCACAGGTTTCCGTCACCTTTTTTTTTTTTGGGCTTATCTACCTTCTTCACTGTCGTCATCAACAATAAACCCATCTTTCTTGCTGTATCTTTCTTCTCGTGGTCTATTACCAAAACTATTTGAGCTTTGTTTCCTAGTATGAGATCTAAATGAATAATGTTATAAGTAAAGATGAGTAAGAATAATAATAATAATAATAAAAAAAGAACGTTTCTATGTGAATATGATGTTTACCGTGTCTTAGTTATTTTCGGTGGACGTCGTTTAGGTGTTCTCTTGGTACTAGTGCCATAATTATCTCCACTGTCATACTCCTCACTAGAGGATTCTTCATCTTCACTTGAGGACCTGTAACGTTTTTGTGTCGTTGGTATACTTGGATGGGTCATAGCGAAAACAAAACAGTTGAATATCCCAAAAAAAAAAAAAAAAGGTAAATTCGTGAGATCGCTTTTTGAATTTGGATGAAAGCTTACCCTTTTTCTTCAGACCAATGAGATTGGTAGGATGAAAAAGCGGATAACACATCCTTTCTTCTACCATTTTAAACTATGATAATTCAAACAAATGAAACATTTTCCTTATCATATTGAAACTGTCTAAAATAAGTGATGATTTATAAAATGATGATGTACCTATATGATCATCTGACCACAAGTTCCCTTTAGTAAGCTTACTGAACTGAGACCAAAAAAAAAAAAAAAGTCATCATCCATCTTTCTTTTTTATTAGACCTGCACATGGTGAATTGCATATCATCGTTCAATTCCAACCCAATAAGTAAACTTCCTTGGTATTCCATTTTTATTTAGTTATCGTATGATCACATTGTTGTCCAAACGTCTTTTTTTTTTAAAAAATAAAATAAAATAAAATAAAAAGCCTGGATATTACAAAGTTGAAATAATGTTTTCCAAATTGGGACAGATGAACATTTAATTGATGACTGATGACGAGTCATCCATGATCATCAAAAATAGTGCTGATATAGTAGCGAAATTGCATTAAAAAAAAGAAATCCTCGTAGAGTATGATCAGTACAACTTTTGTTTCTACCATGAATGAATGAATGAATGATTTATTATGGTACGATGTTTTCTTCTTTTCAGAAGTAGATGATGATAAATAAATAAATAATAATAATAATATACTAAATAAACTAAATAGCGACAGCCGTTCCATCAGATAAACATCGATACCTTTGATGACGCCAAGAGATTTCAGTTCCCACCATAGCATAGAGATATAACGGTAGAGCCAACACTTCCCGAGTGATCCACGCGCGTAAAAAGTCAGGCCAGGCATATTGAGAAGCCAGTTTCTTGGATCTATAAATAACAGGAGAGGAGGATTGATCCAATAACGTCCGATAGAGCCAGTAATCGTTCATACACCATGCGATCCAATGAAGAACAAAGACATAAGTCATGGAAGTAAACGTGGTAGGCCAAAGATGATGTAAGGCCCATGCACCCATAGATCCACATACAATGGATTCCGTGAATGGTTCCGTCAACGTCGCTGCTGTCACAATGTATTTCCGTAATCGTACCCATCTTGCTCGTCGTCCACAGTATTCCTTAGGAGAGATCTTGCCTAAAACTTGACATGCCATATCTGCTGACATGGCGTGGCGTAACCCTTGAGCCCAAAGCGCCTCCCCAACGATATTATCTTCAGCCATGTATTTGCCAAACATAGCCAGTCCTCCCACCTTGTCCAGATCAGATCGTCGATATAAGTTGGATTTACCCATCACACATGATGCAATCCCTACAGCATTGATGGCGAGATACATCTTGGCATGATTGGTATTGAGAAAAACTTGTTCCACTTGAGCTGCATAACTGGCTGGTTGTGTTGCCATGGGAAGATGATGCACTAATCCAATACCAGGCTTTTGTAGTTCATCCACTGACCTTCCTAGCGTGTTTTCATCCACATGTACATTCGAATCCAAAATCCAGATAATATCGTATTTTGCACTGTTATAAGATTGTATCATGTTGTTAATTTTTGGATTGATGCCCACTATTTGTTCCCCTATAATAAATAATATATATATTTTTTTTAGTTCTTTTTTTTTTTTTTTTTCCTCTTGTGAGCTTACCAATGATTAATCGACTATCCACTTTTGTATATTCATTCATCAATCGTTGAACCACTGGAATACAAGGATCGTCTGCTGATGCCACTGAGAATAAGAGTTCGAACTTGGGATAATCTTGTTGAAAGGAAGACCTTAGATTCGCTTCTAATTCAAGATCCAATCCTTTCATCGGTCGTAGGATGGAAACACCAGGTACTTGTGAGAGAGGTAAACTAGATGACTTTGGCTTTGGTTTCTTGTTATATCGTAATTGTCTAAAAAAAAAAAAAAAGAAAGTATATTCAATGTTATGACTAAATAGGTTGAATTGATATTTACTTACGCGACACATTGTCCAAGAATACTGAGGATAATCATAAAGACATACCATGTTACAAACACGTAGGCTATAATATCGTCTATTTGAATGGTCATTTGTTGGCTGCTACTTTTGTTAGTAAAGATATAAAGTACAGTAAGAGAGGAAATATTATTATTGTACAAAGATGAAAGAATAGTTCACAACATGAAAAGAAAGAAGGAGAAAAATAATCAAGGGAAAAAAAAAAAGGAACGAGAAAATCCCATTTTGTGTTTTTTGCAACTTTTTCTTTGTTCATTTTAAGCCCCGCGAACGATGATGTTTTAACATTTGACCCTGAATCTCACCTTAGATCTCAAGAAATTGCTAAATATTCAGTACTGTTATGTCATGAAAAAGAAAAAAAAAATACTGATGCAAAAATGCTTTCTGTTTTTGGCCGTAAAGATGGAGAAATGCATCTTATTTATTCATGCTGCATTCAAGCTGGAGAGTAAAACTTTTCATTTCTTACTCAAAAATGAACATCATTGCACGAAATTTGAAATGAACATATATGAAATCATTCTCTTTCACTTGTCTTAATAGTCATTTATATGTCACCTCCCAATTTATAGAGTAAATTAAAAAATAAAAATCAATATTATCATCTCTCATCCAATAATGGTCATCACTCAATAAACTTACCACCATTAGATTCCTCTTAAAAAAGTAGTTTAATATCATCTAATAATATTTTATCGCTTACCTTGCCACCTAATATACAATGATCACCAAAAGGATTTCATCGAGTTTTCGAAAAATTGTCTGGTGAACCCCTGACGATTTATTTTTACAGCTAAAGTTTGGCTGAGGAGTTCGAAAATTTTGGCTGTAAAATCTCGAAAGTTTCAAAAAAAAAAAAAAAAAAAAAGAAGTGAATTTTCCTTTCTTTTTCTTGTTGCTTTACTTGATGGCAAGTGTTTTTAATGAGACCACTCAAGAAAGTTATCCTTTAATACCTAATGTACCTCTCATCTTGGGAAGGAAGCATGTCGATAGGTCAGATCAACGTGTTAGCCGTGCTCATGGTAAGTCCATCTTTGTAGGAAATAAGAATGTTTATTGACTCTCTCTCTTATACTAGTCCAAATCACTCTTTTAGATGACCAACGTTGTTTTGTTAAAGCTGTAAGTAACAAAAAAAAAAAACCACATTAGAGTCATTCAACCTTCCTTTTTTTTTTTATATGTTAGCTTTCGACCAATTTGTGCACTCTTGATAATGCCATATTACCCAAGAAGCTTAATCAAGATGGAAATGAAGAAGGAGAAGAAATCGAAGCTTTCAACTCACAATGGATCCATCTTTTACCGGTAAAAAAAAAGGAAAAAAAAATAATCCAATAGAGTTCATTTGAACTTATGTATGCTTAGGGCCAGCTCTATCCTTTCCGATTGGATGTACCCAAAGTCATGACAATACCTACTCCTCGCAAGCCTTTACTACTACAACAAGATGAAAACGATGGAGATCATGAAGATATCATGATGGATTCTTCACAAGAAAAGGAACAGCAAGAGGACAAATCAGAGGATGACTGGGTGGGAAGTAATAACAGCAGTATCATCTCAACAGAATCAAGTTTACTCGGTAGTGAAGAATGGTCAGAATAATGGAGATTGATTAGTTTAGAAGATAGATTCATCTTGTTTTGTTTGTATAATGATGATATTTTTTTTTCCAAATAAAAAAAGACCTTTTTTTTTATTATTCACATTTAATGGATGATGGAGGTATTCATATTTAATTTAATATCCTATAAAAACGTATATCAACTCTTCCATTGTTCTTTTTTTTTTTCTTTTTGTGTGTATATCTACGGATGAACTCACATCTTATCATGTCCGAAAAAATAAAAGTTAATTTTATTGTATGAGATATATGCAGTGATCATCCATCATGGCCAAACTGTACGTCAGAAGGGCATTACTTTATTTGGCAGCCGACCAGAATGCGTCATTTTGTTACGGGAGAGGGAGAATTTTGCATGAAAAAGAAAAAAAAAGGGGGACTGGATAAAAGTCGTCTTTCATTCTCAGCCATAAATGACCGTAGACAAAACTAAAACCATACATTAAAAAATGATCATTTTATTTGACAAATATCTTTTGTGTGAGGTGTGGGGAGAATAAAACTAGACTACAAGATAAAACTACAATGGGTAATACAGAAGGATTTAATGGAATTTTCCAGGGACAATAGGATGAGAAGATGACAAACCACCATCCACTGCGATAGCTTGGCCATTGACATAAGAAGCTTCATCACTAGCAACAAAGGCAACCACAGCAGCAATCTAGGTCAACAAAAAGTGACAGCATTAGATGAAACCATTCTTACATATATATATATATATATATATATATATATATATATATATTTACCTCGGCAGCAATACCATAACGTTTAGTAGGATTCAATTGACCAATCTTGTGAGTAGATCCACGTTCGCGAGCAAAATCAAAAGTAGTTTTGGTCATTCCAGTTTCAATCAATCCCTACTCAAAAATAATTATACATATATATATATATATATGACTTTTTGTTTCTTTTTCTTACTTACAGGACAGATAGCATTCACACGGATATTTGTACCGGCTAATTGAGAAGCACCTGTTTGACAAAGATTGATGACACTAATGTCGTCCATCCATTTCAAAAAAAAAAAAAAAATGAATAAAGGAAACTTCCTATAAAATAGAAATATACCACTTACGCAGCCTTGGAAGCAGAATATTCAGGTGAACCTGCACCAGAACGGATCCCAGCAACTAATCATCAAGAAAACAAAATGAATGGATAATATAATATATATATACATATTTATATAAAAGCATAATTGTATTTTACCAGAGGCAGTACAAATAATGGAACCACCAGATTGATCCTTTCCACCCTTTCCAATTTCCTTCATTGCCAAACTAGCATACTTGATACCAAGGAAAGCGCTATAATATATGTAAAAGGTCGGTCAAATCAATTCATTATTATCATTATTATTATTTTACCTCAAGGCGTTGACACGCATCATAAACATGAATGACTTTTCATCTTCTTCATGTAATCGAGAACCAGTGGCGACACCAGCATTAGCAAAAAAGACATCCAAACGGCCATATGTATCCATAGCATCCTTGACCAATGCCTTGATATCAGTTTCAGAAGCTGCATCCACTGCCTTAGGAATACATTCAATCCCTTGTTGACGAATGTCTTTGGCTAATTCGTCCAAATGAGTGTTATGAAGATCAGTTACATAAATCGCCTTGGGTCCACGTTTAGCCAAAGCATACACAGTAGCACGACTAAGAAAAAAAAAAAGTAAATGAGAAAAAAAAAAGAGTAATAACGTTATTAGTTTTACCCAATACCAAGAAGTGAGCCTGCACCAGTAACAATGCAGACTTTGTCCTTTAAAGAGGGACCAACACTAGCTAAATGAGAAGCAAGTTGAGCTACACGGTCATTGGCAGTATTTGACATGATGAAATGAGAAAATAAAGAAAATAAAAAGAAAAGAAAAGAAAGAAAAGTTTTCACTTTCATTCTTTTTATAAAAAAGGCATCCCACATCGTTGTAAAGTCCGCTGCCCATATTTTTTATAAGATTTTTCTCATGACTAAGGTTAATTCACCAAGGCATAAATCAGGGACCAGTGAAATAATAATAATAATAATAATAAAAAAGGTTGATCATTTATTAGACATCAAAAAAAAAAAAAAAAGAAAAAGAAAAAGAAAAAGAAAAAGGAAAAGAAAAAAAAAAGGTCTATCATAGACAATAATATTAAAATAAAAGGAATCAATAAAAGCATAATATAGATATATATATATAAAGGGAAGGGAATGGGAAGGGTTCATAATAGTAAACTAAGTAATAAGAATAATAAATAATAAGTAATAGAGAAGTCTAAAATCGAATAAAAGGGGACAAAAACCGGCGAGTTGAATACTTTTGTTTCTTGGGTTTGCAAGTAGGCATTGTTTGATTGGCAGCAAAACCAGCTTGTTTTTCATTGACTTGTACAGAGAATCGAAGGTCCAAATCATCCTTTCCAAAATCAAATTGATCCAATGATTGTTGATTTGTTTTATCCAAAAAGAAAATATCTGGTACCAAAGATGAAGAACGTATATTATCACCATCTGCAATGTTGGTAGAATAAGAATCCACAGTTGGTTGTCGTTGTTCATTTCTATGGTTGCTTTCACCACCCATAACTTCATCATGTGTATTTCGTCGTTTTGTGGTTCGTTGATCATGATGAATTGGTAGGGGAGAATCCAAATGGAAACTATCAATATCCGAGAGCATACTAACACTGCCACGTTTGCGAGCTGGCTGAAAAACAGAGTCATGTTGTTCATCATCGTCCATATTGGTGGGAACGAGTGCATTATCTGAATGATTATCATCAGTTGTAGGATGATCTGTTTTGTTACTGTCCTGCAGCAACATGTCCGTTGATGATGATGATGATGATGATGGTGATGTTTTTGTTTTTGTTGCCTTTGGTGCCAAATCTTGATTAGTAAAAGAATAACCTTCAAACACGTCCTGCATGTCTTGAGTCAAATCCACTTGTGAGCCAATGGGGGTGAGGGTTGGTGACATTTCCAAAAAAGTGGGATCAAAATTAGAGAAATCCAAATGAGAGGTCAAAAGAGGAACATAAGGAGGTTGAAGTCGTTGATGATATACATCATCCCAAGAGATATCTGCAAAGTAAGGATGTGATTTGATTTCATCTACACCTTGAGCACCTAAACGAGAGGAAGGATCACGATCCAGAAGACCAGAAAGGAAATCGGCTGTATCAAAATCAATTTCTGGTAAACCATTTTCATCTTGAGCAGGGAATTCAAGAGGATCTTCTAATACCCGTCGATACATTTCCATATGATTATCTGCCCAGAAAGGAGTGATACCAGCCAACATTTCATAAAGGATGGTGCCATAACTCCAATGATCGATACCAAATGAATAAGGTTCACCAGTGAGAACTTCAGGAGCCAGATATTCCGCCGTGCCACAAAAGGTTTCTGTATAGTGAGTATCCACTAGCCATTTGCTTAGACCAAAATCCGTCAAAACCACATGGCCTTCCTTGGTTAATAATACATTTTCAGGTTTGAGATCACGATAGAGTACACCAAGTCGATGAAGTTCACCAATACCTTCAATCATTTCAGCAGCATAGAAGAGAGTTCGTTGTTTGGAAAAAGTCATACATGTACTCATCTGAGTTGCCAAATCACCACCACAATAGTAATCTGTCACTAAATAAAGTCGATGTGTATCTTGAAAAGCAAGATAGATTTTCGCCAAGTTGGGATGTTGTATATCAGCCAATGTTGCCAAGATTTCACGTTCTGTCAATGTATGGGTAATTTCTCGTTGTTCGATCACTAATTCCTTGACAATACTTTTCAATGCATAGAGTTGATGATTGATATTGGATCTAACCAAGAATACCTAAATAAAACAAAAAATAAAAAAAATAAAAAATGAATGAACAATATTATATATATATATATATATATATTGATATTTACCTTTCCCATACAACCTTTGCCAAGTACAGTCATCTTATCAAAGTAATCAAGAGGAAAAGGTTGTATTTCTTCTACTTCTTCTTCTTCTTCTTCTTCTGGTATTGGAACTGATTCATTTTGTGCCAAATCGGTAGGTATAGGAGGAGGAGAGATAGAGTCACGAAGGATATCACGTAAAGAGACAAGATCATCGGTTTTAATATCATCATCCTTATCATCCTTGGTAGGTTCATCTTGGTCTTGTTGATCAATTTTATTGTTATCCTTGTCTATCGTGACATTAACAATAGGTGGCGTTGGTGGTATACCCAAGGGATGTATTGGTAATTTTTGATCTTCATCACGTTGAATAGAGAAAAAGTCGCGTACAATACTTGATTGACTAACCACAGGATCCAATAAACATTGTTGTAAATATAATTCAACCTTTTCAGCGTTTGTCTTTGAACGATGATGATGATGATGATGTAAAGAGGTAAATAATTGTCGAAGACTAGTACGTCGTTTGGCCTTGATAGATCGAATCTGTTGCTCTTGTGATAGGACTGGGAACGGGATTTTCACCTTGTGATAATGACATTTTATCTATGAATAATAAACATAAGATATCATCATGTGATTTCCAAGGAGTGAATTTTTTTTTTTTTTTTTTTTTACCAATTGATCGAATTCTATCAAGTCAGGAATATATCGAACCAAGGAGAGCGCATATGAGTCTGTTTGAACAATAACATTGAGTAGCTATATAAATAATTATATTAATATATTAATATATGTATATGTATGACATTTTAAGTTACTTGTAAAGTTCGCATAGAAGAAGCGCCATCGGCCACTACTGCTGTGGTTTCAATCACTGCTATCGAAAAAGTCATGACCAAAGTAGGTCTAAGAACAAAGAAAGAAGAGAAGGAGAAGAAGAATCAAAAAGGATAAAAAAAAAAAGAACTATATGCTAAATGACAAAAGGGATAAAGAAAAAGGGGCAAAAGAAAGAAAGAAAAAAGAAAAAAAAAAGTTAGAAATAGGGAAATATGAGGTGCTCCTGATTCAAAGTCAGTAAGCAGTAAGACACACGATTCAATCCAAAAAGAGAAATAAAAAAGTAACTTGTACCTTTTTTAATCAAACCAAAATGATAATGAATATATTTTTTTTATTATTATTATTTACTTACCAAAAGTAAAAAATATATATATTTTCCCAAGTGATTTTAAAAAGAGAGGAGAAAGGGAAAAATGATAGAAAAAAAAGAAAAGGAATTGGAGATGGGATTTTGTTTTAAAAATTCTTTAAAAGAAGCAAAGAAGCTTCTTTAAAAAAAAACAAAAAACAAAAAAAAAAACTTTGTTATTATTGAAAAGAAAAAGAAAAGAAAAGAAGAGAGAAAAAAAAGGGGGGGAGGAGAGAAAAGGGGAGGAAGTGTACAAAAAACGTTTTCTAATGTATTCGGGTCACTAAATTTTTTGTAAAACGTTACCTTTTTTATTGGCTCCCATTTTCTTTTTCTTTTATATATAATCAAGGATGTATACTTAAAAAGAAAACTATTTATATTCTTAATTTTACATTGTTTTTATCTTTCTTATTAATATTAATGTTATATATATAATTGTCAGAAAATTATAAATGTTTTTGTATATAAAACTTTTTCATGACTATCAGTCGGGCGTACTTATTTTCCATCGATGGAGTTGAAAAAAAAGAAAAATGAGTTAATCGACATATCAATAATGAGGGATTGTTTTTTTTTTTTTTTTTTTTGATACTTACAGCCCAACACTATACAAGTGTTACCTTCCCTTTCAAACCTCCAGCATGAAGAGAAGATCTTTCGAATTGTTTAATTGTTTGACAAAAGGCGAGCTGTTCATATCCGATTATTGCTATGTTGATAGAAGCATTTTCGTCTCGTCCTCTGGCGGCATATCCATTCTTCCGGCTGTAGCAATCAGGGTTGATGCAAACAACCGTTCCTAAATTGGTGATCTTCTTTGATTTGTCCTTGTTTGTCTTGACAGGATGAATGATGGGCATGTGACAGAAGGCACACAATTTTGAAGAACGATACTCATCAATAGACACCACTGTAGCTTTTTCAGAGAGTTTCCCGATAAAAACATCATGACTACCACGAGTATGGCCACCGATTCTTGATCCGTGTCCACGTCCAGCATCACCGTAGAAGCAGATTGCCTTCTGACCTCCTAATAAACTTTTGGCTGACTTGGCGTACGCTTTTTCTGTTTGACACAATCTTGTTCTACGTTGTCGTTTTAGCCAGTTGGTTGTATGATAAAAATCTTGTAATGGTTGTCTACTACGCTTACTGATCTAATTTAATAGTAATTGTAAAAAGAATAAAAAATGAGTGGGATTTTTTTTTTTTTTTGCTGTTAGCGTAGTAAAGCCTACCCCATGATATTCCTTCTCGTTCTCGATATTGTTGCTGTATAACGTTTTCATCATAGACCGAGATAAGTCAGCTTCGATATTTTGAACAGACTTTGTTCCATTCTTTTGACACTATTATATTACGGGAAGTTAGATATTGTGTTGTATTTTCTGATGCGATTTCTTTTTTTTATTCTTTTACTTACTTGGAGGTGATTGCACTTTTTTCGATATTCTAGGGTTCGAGAGAATAATGACAATCCAGAGTCGGTACGCAATTGATTCGTCTTTATGCTTCTCACTTTGGTCTTGAATATGGTGCCAACATCGTCAATTTCCATTGCGTTGCCGGGATCTGTTGTTGTACGTGATCGAATATATTTCACCTGTTCTTGAGTAAGTGCGACACATTGAGCCATTGTAACTAATCCAGGATCGATTCCAATAAACTTTTCAATACTGTCGATATCAGGCTTTGTCGTACAAATGGTTGGTGTCATCGCCTTGTTGTCACTGCTGCCAAATATGTCTTGGTATATATTCATCTTTCTTTTTCGATGATCCATAATTGAACATTTTACTTTGACGATAGATCGTAGTAGGTCATCTCGTGTCACTTTCATATCTTGCCGCTTATTGATTAAGGAATATAACGGTTCATCAATATCATCAATATCTATATCTTGCGTAGGAGTCTGAGCTATGTTGATTTCTTCGATAGTCTTGTCCAGACTTTGTCGATTTCTTTTGTTTTTCCGTGGTTTCCTTGCATCGATCTTTTTCGTGATGGCTGAAATATCTTCTTTGACGTTCGATAATTGTTTTTCAAGTTGCTTGATCGCGTAATTGTCCTTGTTGATATTTTTGTCAATATCCTTCATCATATTGCTGAAATCCTCCTTTTCCGATCCACTTTTGCGTTTCCCTTTTGATACAGATTGTTTGCGTAAGTTATCACCACTATTGTAATCGTCACTATCGCTGTTGTTGGCTTTATCTTTAATGATGGACTTGCATTGAATTCTTGCGATACCAAAACTTGTTACTCCTACTCTGTAATCGAACTCCATCGAACGAGACTTCGCCAATTCTTGCATATGAGATAGATCCAGAAAGCCTGCAAAAACTTGATCTTTGTATAAACGTGCCTTGGTTAAGCTGGAGATGGTGTCACCGTTAACGAATATATCGAATCCAAAATCATGGAAAGGTGGAGCCTTGTCGTTCTTGGTGCCGCCTTGTCTACCTTTGAGACAACAAAATAGATAGTACATAGAATCTGAATTCAGGAACACCGCGTAGTTTTTTGAAGGATTGACCTTTGGAACCAGCTTTCTACAGAATTTGGCGTAATTGGTGACGTACAGAATAGTATTTAATAGCAGAGCCAGCGGATAGTTGAGAAGTGGGTGATTATCAACAATTTCGCTATTCGTTTTTGGTAGAACATAGGGTGATATAAACTTGTATAATTGCATGACCACCGTAGCTTCATTATCATTGAAGTCCAAGTTGTCGTATTTCATCTTCAATTGGTGAGGTGTACTATCAAATGGTATTCCTTTCTTCCAAAGCAGAGATTTCAAAACGGATCGTAATTTCTTCAGTCGATTCATTGACGGTTCTGTTACTGATGCTGAGACTACTAATTTTGGTATTGGCGTTGTTGGCGTTGTTGGGGTCATAGTAGTTGTGTTGGTAGTCGCAATTGTAGTCGAAGTCGAAGGAGACGACACTGACGCACGCAGTCTTTTTCTTGGGATTGAGGTGTCTTCATCGATAAGATTGTCCATAACAAAGTCCGCATCATCTTCCATATCGCTATCCACATCGTCCGCCTCGTCGTCCTCGTCATTTTCCATGTCATCTGTGGTGTCATGTTTGCTGTCCATATTCTTCTTCTTTTTCTTGTGAGCAATTAGTTGCTTAATTCGATCGATAGCTTGACTTTCTTTGGTGATGCTGTAGTGTTTATCAACGTCGTTATGTTTTTCCAAATTTGCCAGTCGTCTGATGTGCTTGCGAAGTCGATGTTTCAGAATAATCATTGTTGGAAGAATTTTGTCAGTGTATTGCTGTCGATTGCTGAGGGTTGAGTCAGGTTCTTCTCTAAAATACATATTTAGTGTAAGTGGACAATGAATGACAACTTTACAATTCAGATTGGCATCTAATCGATGGACTTACCTCTTTGCCTTCCGTTCTTGATAACGCTGTTCCCGTACTGGAGAGAGGTGGCACCGCAGAAGAGTCAATAAAGCCTTGTCCAATAAATATGGTATCATATTACCACGGTATATATTCAACATGTTTGTAGAAAAAGTTGTAAGATGCGGTCCCAGAAGACTATCCATCCCAGGAGGAAACTTAGTAATCGTCAGACCATTTGTACAAGATGCATCCAAATTCCAGTCATCCATACTTTGCGCTGATACTGCTGATGTGGAGTCTACTGCCGTTGATGAAGATGCTATTGCTGAAGAAGAAGTGGCTTGAGAAGTTTGCATAGAGGTGATGAGACGAGTGAGGTGATTTGCTGAATATAGATCCACCATTCTGCGATCCGAACTTGAAGTGAGCATTGATTCTGCCAGGATACGCTTTTGATCATCTAATTTAGGAGGAGCCAAGCACAGCGGTTCATCTAATTCCTTGGTAAATTTTGATTGAGGTACAATATCAAAGATTTTCACTTCAGATCCACTATATATGAACGGTAAAAAAAAAAAAAAAAAAAAAAAAAAAGGTTAGAGAAATATATACATTCTTTTTTTTGAAAAAAAAGTTTACTTACAAGGTTCTAGTCTGTAAATCCATTTTAACAATACTAGCCACGTCCATCATTACGTTTGTGGTTGCTTCGCTTGCACATGATATCGTGTCATTAATGATTTGTTGCTCTTCTACGTCCAAGTCCGACCGCAAGATATTTTTCCATGGGCACGATACTGTAAGGTATTTGTATTTAATCGATGATGATGATCGTTGTTGTTGTTGTTGTTCGTACAAGATTCTTATTCGGTCATCCAAATTTTCGTCAATAAACGTGTTCCACTGGCGAATATAATCAATGGACAAAGAGTCAAAGGAAGCTTTCACTTGTACACGGTTTATTTTGTTACTGTTGACTAGAGTAAATAAGAAGATAATTCAGTATTGTAATATTCCTTTCTTTTGCTGACTATTAAGAAAGACTTACCTTCGTTGTATGCAGTTACTACATCATTGTAAATACCATATATCGTTTTTCTTCCCTTTTGTTTTCTGAGATACGTTTCCTTTACGTGACTTGATACGTCTTCGAATGTTGTTTTGTTGTTCTTCGTCAAATACTTCACCAAAATGGGGGACACTTCTTTTCTTAGCCGTGATTCAAATGCTTGTGTGAGATACTTTATACAGCCAGCTTTTGTGAGTTGTTGTATTGGTGTGGTGCTTCTTTTCTGGTCAGGTTTGTGAATTAACGCTTTGGGATACATTGGGTATAATAAGGTGTGGAAGAGGTATCGTTTATCATTAGGTATAGTTAAAGAAAGAAAAAAGGATTGACTAGTACACAAAAAAAAAGGGCGACCTGCTTGAACGTGGCTCGTTTGAGTCCCCGACTTGAGTCCGGATTTAGCCGTCGACAGAAAGTTACATCCCTATCAGTCTGATCACGGTGTTTCAAATCTTTTCTTTTACTTCTCCATTTTTTTTTTTTTTTTTTTTTTTTTTTTGTTTGTACATAATATATTAAAATGAGTGATTCAGTAAATACTCCTAGGTTATCAACAAATTCATCTATTTATACTGAACAACGTGTTGCTCGAGGAAAAACTATTCTTGATCGTAATTTGAATAAAACTCGTGGTGCAGAAGTAAGTTCATAAATAACAAAGAAAAAAAAACATGAAACTAATTTATTTCTTTTAGGTCAGTCTTAGTGCACAATCCTTTCTTTTTTCTGAAATGCTTCAATATACCCAAAAACGTGTCAATGGTATTCAAGATTTGGAACGGAAGTAAGTCAACCTATTTTTTTTTTTATAGTTGTGAAAGAAACCTCATCTTTTTTATTTATATATAGACTTAATGAATTTGGATATCGTGTTGGTACTCGCATGTTGGAACTATTAACATGGAGAGAAAAGGTAGCAAAACGGGAAACTCGTGTACTTGGTGTATTATATTTTATTCATAATGTTGTATGGAGGTCTTTATTTGGAAAACAAGCTGATTCCTTGGAAAAAAGCACAGAAAATGAAGATGAATGCAAGTATAAATTTGAATAATCTTATTAATTATATTTTAACCTTTTATTTATTTATTTTTATTTTGTTTTTAATAGATATGATATCTGATAATGATCCAATTTTGACAAGATATATTTCAGTTCCCAAAGAATTATCTCAATTGAATTGTAATGCTTTTGTAGCTGGTATTGTAGAAGCTTGCTTAGATGGATATCAATTCGTAAGTCATATATATATATATCATTATTAGATACAATGATTGATTCTTTTTTTTTCTTGTCTAATAATAGCCTGCAAGAGTCACAGCACATACTGTACCTATTGATGGATTCCCTCAACGAACTACTATTTTGATCAAATTGGATAAAGAAGTTTTACAACGTGAAGAATTATTGAAATAGATTTCTCCCCTTCACTGGTTTATATCATCTATACTACACACGCATATATATATTAATAAAACAATAACAAAAACATGTTTTTTTTTTATTTATTTATTTACATTTCAAAATAACAACATTAAAAAATATATGTAAAAAAAAAAGAAGTCTAAACTACACTAAACTATTTTTTACCCTTTCCTTTTTTGGCTGTCTTGTCGTTCACCATAATGAGTTTCTTTGGTACACCTTTCCTTAATAACAATTCAGATACATGTTTCATTTGTGGACCTTGAACCATTATTTCATATAAAGGTGCTTTGGGACTTGTACCATGAATTTGATTATCTATATTTATATATAGAATTGATTTAATCCATATCAAAATAAAATAAAATAAAATAAAAAAAAACTTACGAGTAGCACTACTAGCACAAAGTTTTGTCAATTCTTTACAAAGATCATCAATTTCCAATCCAAAAGATTCCATGCCTGTCAATTTAGTCACCGTTTTTCGTCCTTGTCGAATTTCTTGTGTCACTTCAATTTCTTTGGGTATTCCTTTTCTTAAAATCGGTTCCTTTCCCGGTAAAGTCACCAAATGGAATGGTTGCATTTTCGATAGTAATCTATCAATTATCAATCAATCAGTCAAACATCGCATTCTTCTTGTTATATATATATATTACCGTTGTACAATTTGATCTCGACCAAGTTGATTCACAGTTTGATATTCTGATTTATTCAAGATAGCATCAGTTAATATAGGATTCATATTGATCATACTAAAATAAAATAAAATAAAATAAAAAAAAGGGTATCAATATATGTAAAATTAGTCAAATGTTTGTTTGTTAATTTTATGATTTTTTGTTTTCAACTTACCGTTGATTTTTGGAATCCACTAAATTTTCAGCTTTTATATATTCCAATATAATTTGTCGTACTTCCACAGATGAATACAAGGCTGTTTTATCATTCTTTGTGAGTTCAAAAAGAGGGATAGTTGACCCTATAGGTTTGTACATGTCGAGAATTTGGATTTGATCGGACGAAGATGTATCTGCCGAGATTGTATTAGATTTGCCAGTCGGTTGGTTTTCAATAGAGGATGGTGTTGATAAATGTTGTTGTTGTTGTTGTTGTTCTAACATCAGCTTTTCCACAGTTTTGTATGGCGTGACTCCTTGTAAGCTTAAAGAATCAATATTAGAAAAGATAAAATAAAATAAAAAAGAGGGGATGAGTTCCATCTTCATCATCTGATTTATTCACATACCTTGGATGTGACCAATTGATTGTAGTGACATTGGTTTCTCCACGTTGTTCCTTGAGTTTCAATAATCCAGTCTTTTCCATTGTTTTCAAAAACTTTTGTACCTTTTTCCAACTGGATTTCTTGATATCGACTTCCAAACCACCTCTTCTTGGTCTACTAGGGAGAATGTATGCAGTATATAAAGAGGATGCTGATATGGGAAGTACAGATGTCCCCTTTTCTGGAGTCAACTTGAATAATAAACCTTGATAAAGTGATTCTTTCAACAGATCATCAATTTCTAAATATATTTAAATCAAATACAAAAAAAAAAATATCGCTTAGTAAAAGAAAAGATATATATATATATATATATATATATATATTACCGCTAGTAGTATAGTTCATAGATGTATCTTCCTTCATTGTTGTAGAGACTTGAGATGATTGTTGTATCTCTTCTACTGTTGTTTGATTGTCATCTTGTTGTTGATTATCATTTTCATCTTCCTCTTCCATGTATTCATCATCAGATATATCTTTCATTTCAGGAGGTTCCGATTTATCACCCATAGCCCATAAAAAGTCATGATAAACATGTAAAACATAAACCGCCTTTCCTTTCATCCCAGATCGTACCTTGATATCTGAACTTGAGATTGCCATCTTCCCCACTGCCAAAGGATATCTATTGTAAAAATAAATAGTAATAATAAAATAATAATAAGAATAAGAATAAGAATAAATTCAATTTCTAAAAAAAAAAAAAAGGAAATATATATATATCTTACTTGTAACCTCTGATAGTGATCGCCACCAAGTCACCTTCTTTCACTGAAGGTAAGGTACCATCAGGACCATTCACTAATCCAGGAATCATGAGATCTAATTCATATATTAGTATTGAATTTTAATAATTAGAATATATATATATATATATTTATTTACCTGCGCCTTCTATGAGTTTTTGAACCACTGGACCCCAAGTATAAAGTGTAGGTAATATAGTAGGATATCGCCATAAAGTATAGACTAAAAGAAAAGAGATATATATAACTATAAAGTTTTTTATTCTTATTATTTTCTTACCAGTTGGAATAGGAGGAGAATCTAACGTTTTAAACCATGTAGGTTTACCGTCTGCTTTGTAGATGATACCAGGTCGTTCAATATGAGAAACAAATTTGGCAGCTTGAAGAGTATCAGGCATTACGTGAATATTTTGTTGAGTACATTGTTCTTTAAGTTCAGGATACGCGTCATAAGCTTCAGTTTGAAAACGTCTTCTATCAGAGGACCTTAAAGCACTAAAAGACTTTAAAGAAGTCACCGGCTTTTTGAACATGACAAGGTTTAAAAAAAAAAAAAAAGAAATAGAAAACAAGTAAAAAAAAAGAAAGGTGCTGCGAATTTTTCATAGTCCGTTTTGCACTTACTATTTGAAAATAACAATCAAAAAAAAAAAAAAAAAAAAAAAATGGAAGATGAAACTTTATGCAGAGAACATTTTTTTTTTATGGTTAAATGAATGATGTTTCATCTTGTGAGATATCAACCCTTTTTTTTTTTTTTTTTTTTTGGTGGACTGGTCTTTTTCTATTTTTTTTTTTTTTTTTTTCTTGGGGTCGCCAATTTAACCATCCTTTTTTTCCTTTCTTTTCTTTTTTTTTTCTTCTTCTCACTATCTTCTTTTTTTATTTCTTTTTTAATATATATTTATAAAATTTAACTTACATAATATAACAACAACAATAACAAAAAAAGAAAGATTTAAGCCATGGCTTGGTTTGATTCTCGTACATTATTCTTATCTGTTTCTTTATTTTGTTTACCAGCTCTTGTGGTATGTGCCGTTTTATGTCTTCCCCTTGTGATATTCTTTATTGGTAAATATTATTTTTTTTCTTTTTTATTATATATTCTTTTACTAAGAACTTCTTTTTATAGTAACCTTATACTTTATTGCATGGACAATGTACTTACTTTATGCTCAAAGAGACGTGGAATTCAATTTACCTTATAATCCTGCTCGTGTTTTAAAAGTTAATGTGATTGTATTCAGTCATGTCTTGAGTTGGATCACGGATACTCCTATGATTATCTCTTATCTATATTGGCGTTATTGGCAAATTGGCACTGATAAATTTAGACGCATTGTTAGGTAATAACAACAACTTAATATTTAATATCAACATCCTTATTGTCTTTTTTTTTTTTTTTTAACTAGTCGGAACGTAGTTTACTCAAATGCTTCTAATCAATGTCTCATGGATATTTATCACCCTGATATCAAGAATAATAACAGGAAACGACCAGTGATTATCTTTATTTATGGTGGATCATGGGCTTCTGGACAAAAATTATTATATACTTCTATGGCTAATACACTTCGAGAATTGGGCTATGTGGTCATTGTACCAGATTATCGAAAATATCCTACTGTCAAGAATGTTGATACTATGTATGAAGATGTACGTCAAGCTATCAAATGGACTTTTCATCATGCTAATGATATTGGGGCAGATGAGGATATGATTTATGTGATGGTAAGTCATGTGAATATGATCACACTTTTTTTATAACTCCTTTTTTTCAATGTATTCTATGTAGGGTCATAGCGCAGGCGCTCATCTGGCATCTCAAGTTGTCTTATTTGATCTAGTGGAAAAAGCCAAACATGCCTCATTATCTGCAAAAAAGAAATTGGATGGTGATTCTATAGTGGATATAAGTCGACGCAAAGATTTCTTGCCTCAAATAGAAGGATTGTTATTGTAAGTCAAATAAAATACAAAAAAAAAAAAAAAAAAAAATAAAAATAAAAAGGAATTCTATATTGATTCTTTTTTTTTTTTTTTTTTTTGTATATAGATTTGCTGGTGTATATGATATTGAATCTCATTATGAACATGAAACAATGAGAGGTGTGGAAAAGATTTCTGCAATGGGTCGTGTCATGGGCTCCACAGTGGACAATTTCCGAAAACAGTCTCCATTCCATTTGGTCAAAAGTCATAGTGATCTATTTGCTGATTCTGAAGATCTACTTGATTTTGCTCCTCGTATTCTATTTGTACACGGTGAAAAAGATCTAACGGTACCTATGGAACAATCCACTACAATGTACAATATGCTTGGTGAAGTTTTACCTCCTGCTAAACGGGATGAAGTCGATGTTCGTGTACGTCTATACAAGAAAATGGATCATGCTCATTGTGTTACTGGTAAAAAAAAAAAAAAAAAAAAAAAAAAAAAAAAGAAAAAAAAGAAAAGAAAAGAAAAGAAGATGAGTCCTAACGCAAATGAGTTTTGTTACTTTTTTTCTTTCTTTTTTTGTTATTAGCTTTGATGCCTAGTATCTTTGGTGTAGATAGGATGCAAAAACCATTGATTCGGGATATTGTGGAATTCTTGGATGTTCCTCCATTGGATGGTCATTAGTGGATGATCAGTTTCTTTTATATTTATATCGTTTTGTATTTATTCTTTTAGTTATCTATTTATTATATATATATTTTTTTTATTTATTCCCCTTCACACATCTTTTATCAAAAAAGAATAAATACTATATACACATAGTGATACACAAAAAAAAAATGTAAAGAGGTGGTTTTATTAGTTGAAGTTTGATATACATAAATGAATGATGGATGGAATAAGAAAAGTTCTATATCGATCTATGCTAAAAAGAGATGGGAAGGTCAAGAAGAGAAGAGGGAAGAGAAAGTCGATTGAATTCCATGTTCACCCAAAAAGTACCATAAAACCAACGAAATGCCAATAGCCTTGTCTACTACTATGTTCGATGAAGGAGGTTGTTGTTGTTGTTGTTGTTGTTGTTCCACAATGGGATCCAATATCTCTCTTCTTTTGGTCCTACTAGATTTCACACGTTGATCAAATGCCTTGACCCATTGTTGATTGATCTCTGGGTCGGTAAAATCCATATCCACACTATCGTTCTTATTATTATCTGTTGGCAGTAAAGTGGTGATGGTCGGTCGTACAGGTGTGGATGTTGTAGATGATCCGCCTAACGATTGATGAACATAGGCCGGATGTGTTGATGATGATTCGGATGGTGATGACATGATAGGTGAATTTTGGCTGGGTTGTCGACGTGCACTGGTACGATTACTGACTTTGAGATCAAACGCTTCCACCCATTGTCGATCATATCCTTCATCCTCATTCACCTTATCTTTGTCAGAAATATGGGAACTTGGATCTGTTGTATTCGATTGAAGTGTGGAGAAGGACGACGATGTCACCAAACGATCAATGAGTTCATTCTTCGTTCCAGACACATCCAACTGATGTTGATCCGCCAAAGCAACCAAATCCGATTTCTTCAATCGTCGTAATGCTGTTCGAGTATATTGATATTGTGTAGCTGCATGATGAAATGACCTTTGACTGGCATAAAAAATTCGCATCATGGTGGTGGAAGGAAAAAAAAAAAAAAAAGAATAGGGAAGAGCAAAAGAATGTATCTGTACAGGTTTTCACAACCAAAAAAAAAAAGAGATGACACAAACTCCTCAGCCACCAAAGGCAGGAAACCCGGAGTTATAAATTATCGGCATGGATCATCCTGCCACAAACTTTATACTATTTTGATCCATTTGTTTTTTCATAACCGTGACAGGATGACGCCTATCCATAATAATGACAATGAATCTTGCCGATAAATGGCCAAGGCATAAAAATAGGGAGATAGAGTTCAGTCAAGAATGAGATTTTTATTGAAAAAAAAAATAGATATAGAGATTGAAGGAGGAACGGTAAAGATACTGGTAACAAAAGAAAAATCATCAATAGTGATAATAATAATAATAATAATAATAATAATAATAATAATAATAATAATAATAATAACAGTAATAATAATAATAATAGTAGTAATAATAATAATAGTAATAATAATAATGGTACTAGAAGTAAGTAAGTAAGCTAGTAAGTAATAATAATGATATAATAATAAAGAAGGATAAATAATAAACACCAATAATCATAAGAAAAAAGATCATTAGAACTCCAATTCAGTTTCAATTTCCTTGATGAGATCCATATTGTTGAAACCAATGATAGGCACATGATCCAAAGCACCACCAGTTGAAACAAGTACTTCAGTAGATCCATCAGCAGCCACGTACAAAGATGTACTAGAAGAATTTTCAAGTTGCATTGATTTTTCCAAAGCATCACAATAATGTTGATACTTGATAATGTCGCCGAGCAAGTATGCAGATTTCATTCCCCAGTTCGCCATAGCCTTTTTGTAATTGAAGCAACGTTGTGGAAACTTGACCAACATTTTTGTCTTGATGTCACGATGTGCGTTAATTTCAGCATGGAGCCAATGTAGATGTGTTTTGAGTGTAGCCAGTTGGGTTACCGGATCATCCACATGTGGACTGGATACAGAGGTTGTTGCCATAGGAGGTTGCCAATCATAAATCATCACTGCATCTGGATCATCATCCTCTTTGTTGTTATCATTATTACTGACAGTAAGACCCGTCCATCGATCACCATTTTGAATAGCATCCAAATCCACAATCACATTATTCAAACAATCACCCCATCCATAATCCATATTGCCCACGCCACCTTGGAGGGGAGGTTTGCTTTGTCGTGCTGCCCAATAGTTACATGTCAACACCCATGAAGCAACTACTTCCAAAGAAATGCCTTGAAACAAGTATACACCACCGTCTGGTTGTTGTAATGCAAATACATGTGGTCGATATTTGTTATAGCCTGGTGGTGGAAGCACATTAGATAAGGTATGATGTAATGGGATCGTCAATATCAAGTAATCCTAAAAAGAAAATAATACATCTTGGAATCAAACAGTTCTTTTTTTTTTTTTTTTTTTTTTTTTGGATGACTTACATTCCAAGAAGGATCAAATCTGGAAAGAGGACCTTGAATTGGACGCCTAGAACTACGGCTATGAGTAGGACGAAGAAGATCAAAAGATCCTTGAGCCATACGATCGACTTGTTTATGTCCTGGGAGGTCATATAATTTAAGTAAACCTTGATCATCATCCACTACCATAAGTTGTTCCTTCCATTCTCTTGATTTGGCCTTTTGATTTGAACTTTGTAACAAGTGCTTACACATCACCACACCTTCTTTTGCATAAGGAGAATCATCAAGGAATGTACCAGGAGTAAATAAAGCAGATGGTACAGTTGATGATACTGCCACACTACTGGTTCTGCGTTTGCTGCGTAATGATGTTGTTGAGGATGACGATGATGGATTGCCATGGGTTGTTGCTGTAGTTGTATCATCAGTCGCCAATATACCAGATCCATCTAAACTTGACACTGTAGAAGATCCTATTGAAGTTAATGATGCGTTGTTGGGGTATCTTGTTGTTGTTGTTGTTGTCGCTGGAGAGATGGGCCGGACTGATAGTGATCGTGAGAGTCGCCTTGCTGTTGATGTTGATGTTTTAATTCTATGTGTTGTACCAATAAATGGTGAAGACGTTTGAGATAAAGAGGATGATCTTGTTGTTGATACTGATGATGTAGGATATAAAGGCGAGACCGGTCGTGATATAATATTCGATGTATCTTCATTTGGCATCATCATCATGCTTTCACGTCCTGCACGTCGGATAATAGAGTTGACTCCTCGTTTCAAGCTGACCACATGACGTAAACCTGTTCCCTTTGCTGTTGTTGAGTTTCCATCCGATAATGGTTGTAAGATTTGGTAGTTCTTGACCGAGATATACAAATCCTATTATGAATAAATATGATAGTTAGTACTTTCGTTATTATAAAAAATGTTTCACTTACTTTAAGGTAATGTTCCATGTCAGTATTAAAATGAGAAGAAAAATCAATTTCAGGATGTTGGCGGATTTGAGCATGGACGGCCATCATGGTATTATTGATGAATTCTTGTTTCGTCATTCGATGATGGTTCCCCTTTGCCACGTGTAAATCAGTATTGAGCAGTAAAATCGAGTAGACAACAGCATAAACAACATCTACAAAAGAAAAAAAAAGTAAAAATCTTTAATCACATCCCTTTCTTTTTTTTTTATCTTATCAAGTACTTACCTGCACACGTAAATAGTGATTGTGGATTACAATCCCAATACCGGTGAGCAAAGACTTCTAAAATTCGATCGATTTGTTGAGCTTCAGCCTTAAAATATAATTTACTACATAGTTTTCTATTTTTTTTTTTTTTAAAAAAAAAAGGAAGTTATAAAATGATGGATCACTTTGAAAATAATAAAATTACCTGAATGCACTATCCAATTGCATGTTTGTAAAGTAAAAGAGGTCCATATAACATACCAAAGTTTCTGCATTGAGTTGATTTCTAGATTGGAAATAAATTGTAAAGGAGTCAATATCAACTTGTATTTTTTTTTTGTCTATTACGTTTGACCCAACCATTCTGCTACGCGATGAGCAGGCATAAATGAATGATCACCATCCCATATTCGTTTTGCAGTTTCCTTAGCCTTGACAGAGAGATGAAGTGGTCGAGTCCATGCATTAGATAACCGAGGATCACGGACTTGTTCCACTAATTGTTCCGATGATAATGAGTTATTCCATGCTTCATCCAATGATTTTGAAAACATTTCAGAAAGAGCCTTGATTGAACGTGATCTTCCATGAGATCGTCGAGATGAAGGAGGTGTTGGAGGTTGGTGCTGTAAATGAGTAGTTTCATGATTGTTCCCCATCAAAATATCTTCGGCACGTGCTCTTGATGCTTCCTTGGCTTCCTTTGATAATTCAGTACTATGATCATCATCGTCGTTATCTTGTTGTACATCTGGATCTGTAAGTAGTGTTGCAGCTGGTGAGAGAGGTAATTCCATCGTTGTCGTTGTATCGATATTGGCAAGTTGACTATATACACTGATCCGTTTGTTCACCATATTTTCACTATCACTTTTGCGTTTCCATTCCAGCATAGCCTTGGTTAAATCTTCATCAGGAGGAGAAGCCGATTTTAAACGTTGTTGTTGCTGCATAATGCTATTTGTACAACTATTACGATAGCCACGTAATGAGGGATGCATATTTACCACTAATCCGCCAGCACTACTGAATCTTCCGGCACTTAATCGTTGAGTAAGGCTTGCTCTTTTGTTGTTGTTTGACCCAGAATCAATTTCTTCAGACGCGTCCACAAATGATTCATCACTACTGCTGTTATTATCATCATCATCGTCATCATTGTTATTATTGTTTGACACGCTTATCAATGCCGACTGAATGGTATCATCATGTTCTGTTGTAAAGGTTTTAGTAGTTATTTCTGGTGTAATGATGGGTGATTGAACGGTTGAAGGCATAGTAGAGGATCGTCGTCGTTGAGCTTTGATCTGTTGCTGATGTTGTATTGATAGATTATTGTTGAATTTTGTTTGATCATTTATGCCATTATTATAAACAGGAGGGGTATTGACAGTTTGAACTTGGTAACCCGGCTACAAAAAAAAAAAAAGAAAGGAATGATTAGTCTAATGTATCCCATATTCAATATTTATCATTATACCTTTGTAAACTTTTTCAATAGTCGTCTTCCAATGCTTTTGTTCTTTTTACTTGTCGTTTTCTATTATGTACGAATGATGAGATTACAAATAATATATACCTATATATATAAACAATGGTTTACTTACATGAGTATCGTCGGATGCAATTGTTGCTGTTGATATTTTTGTTGTTGTTGTTGTTGTAGGAGAAGTAATAGCAGAAGAATTATTTGTATTGTCGTATGAATAAGGTTGAGGGGAAGTAGAGGAAAGAAACTTGTGTAAAAAATGCTTTGACTTTGATTCACGAGAACTATCAGTAATGGATGGAGAACATTGAGTCATGACTAACTAAGCCTTGAAAGAGGCGTCAAAATATAAAGTTTATTTATATATATATATATATATATATAATAGAATAAAAAGAGAAGAAGGAAAGGAAGAAAATAAAAATAAAGAAAATGATATAATATACAAAAAGAGAAGGGGTAGGGGATCAATTGACGGAATTCAAAAATATAGATGTCGCAAAAATAGGAAATAAGATATAGTAAGGATAGAAAATAAATGACAAGAAGAAAAAAGTATAGTCGCATAATCCAAATTGAATACAGGAAGAAAAGGAGTGGTAGTAGTTCCATTTGAGTATAAGAGATTTTTGAATAATAGAAATATATATATATATATATATATTTAGTCATCATATCCATTCTTTTTTTATATTTATTTTAACTAATACTGTATCATCATCATCAATCATCAATCAATGTATTTTGACATACTCTCTGGAGCAATAATCTGAAAAAGTGGTAATGTAAAATTCATTTTGGTAAAAGATGGATATTTTATTTTATAATATCACGAAACTATTTTCTTGTGAACCGACAAAAAACTTCTGAAAACACTCTAAAATTAAGGTGTAAATTTGATGAGATGCCAATAAACCAGGCATGTAATTTATCGGTGAGACGACTTGTGTAACAAAACTACCCAAAGTGCTTCATCCAAAACATATGGCAAAAGGACACATGCTATTCTACATAACGTTTACGCATCGCCCGATATTTTCGTAAATAATACATCATTTCTAGTTCTACAAATATATAAAGTAAATATCATCCCTTTTTTTTTTTTTTTTTTTTTTTTTTTACCTTTACACACATATTCTCCTAAAGCAATAGCTTTTTTGATTTCTTGTTCATCTGTAAGATCCTTTTTCTTCATAAAAGCTGCCTTCAACTTGGGTCGAAAGAAGTTGTGATAACCTGCTGGATATTCTCGTCCGAGGTATGTTAACTAAAATAAAATAAAATAAAAGTAAGATATCTATATAATATTATATATACATTACTTGTTTATATAAAGCAATGACTTGACTCCGTAACGGTTGCTGTGCCATGGCTAGTATAGAAAAGAAAAAAAGAAAAAAAAAAAAAAGAAAAAAAAGGAAAGGTATGAATGAAAAATTTCAAAAACTAGTTTACGATTCAATTCCCGCATTAACTTTTGTAGTAAAAAAGGAATAACAGTTTATTTGATTTGGACATAAAAGTTGATATAAATAATAAAATAAAAAAAAGGAAGAAAAAACAAAAAAAAAAAAAAAGTAGATTTGAATATGCGTTGATAAATAAAAACAATAATGATAATAACTTTCAATAAGAAGTCGAGTGAGAGAATCCATTTATGGTCGCCATCCAGCATTCAGCTCCATCAAAGTCATCACAGCATCCATTGGATAATCATTCTTTTTTTCTGAACCTTGTTGTTCTTTCTTGATATCTTCATTTTCTACATCTTGCATTACTGTATCCTCTGTTGCAGATGATGATGTCGATACTGCTGTTGTGGATGGATGATTATCAGATGTCGTCAAAGTTGAGGATGAGACTGCAGTCGATGAAGGTGATGTTGATGACGGTGGTGATGATGATGATGAATTCGTTACATTGTTTGTTGTTGATGATTCGTCTGTCAAACCAACTTGATCCAAACGATGAGTAGATCCAAGACCCTGAGAAGTGAATTGTTTCATAATTTCAGCAGCTGCCAAATCAATCTTGCTTTGATCCAGCTCCATCTGATCCATATCTTTTTCTGAAGATTTTGTCATATTGTCATTATTGTTGTTGTTCTCATCACCTTTATTATTATCGGTCACCAGCTGAGTATAATGTGGTAAAGACATGAATGTCGAAGATGTTTCATCAGTAGTTTCGTTTGATATGTCATTATTAGGTGCCATAATCGTTCCCAAAGATTGTTGCTGTTGTTGAGATGATGATGCAGATGTTGGTGACGAAGATGACGTTGACGTATGTGGTGGTTGAGGTATTGTTGGTGCTGCCGTTGCTGCTGTTACTGTTTGAGCTAAGAGTTGAGAGAGTTGTAATAACTGAGGATTTTGTAATGCTGCCACCAGTGCAGCTGTGCTGTTTTTTGTCTTTTCCGAGTCTTGTTGATCCATTCCAAATAAACTTTGATAGTGTTGGAGTAACTTGTGTTGAAGCTGTGAGATCGTAGCTGAATCAGAATCATCTGGCATTGATGTAGAGGAAGTAGGATGTGTAGCTGCCAAAGCACCGTTCACTGCTTGCTTACGTCGTTCTTTTTCTTGTCTTTTGGCTCGACGTCGTTCAAATTCTTCTTCCACCCATTTTTTCTTGTGTTCCGAAGGTTCCATCCCAAATAACTTTTGCGCACGTTTATTAACTCGGCATCGCAAATCATTGTCCTTGTCTAAAATTATAAAAAAAAAAAGAGATCATCAATATATGTAATCTACTATTTCTTTTATGTTGTTCTTACTTCGTTCTTCATTGTTCACCCGCCACCGTTGCTTTCTTGTTCTATTTTCATCACGGATCTAATAATAATAATGACAATAATAATGACAATAATAAAAGATTAATGAATTGTTAGAGACCTATTTTTGTTTACCTTTTGCTTGATCATTTGTTGCTTCAAAGCTTCGGCTGGTGACAACTCTGGAGTTTCGGTGATAGGTTGAGGAGTCATCACAGGGTATGCATTACCTTGACTGAGACCATCAAACGTTCCCGTTCGAGGAGATAGTTGCATGGTAGTAGTTGGTACGGTTGTAGCCACAGTGGAGGAAGGGACGGATATTTGTGCCAAAAGAGTGGTTGCTGACTCAGAACTTGTTGCCGATATAGAGTTATTACTAGCAGAACACGATGATGTTTGTAACCCAGACTCCAAAGATGACGATGGTGATTCTGATTGTGATTGTTGCTGCTGCTGCTGCTGTTGCTGTTGCTGTTGCTGTTGCTGTTGTTGTTGTTGTTGTTGTTGTTGTTGTTGCTTCGATTGTTGTTGCTGTTGTTGCTGTTGTTGTTGTTGTTGTTGTTGTTGGCTTAGAACATTCAAAGCATCAAATACACTCTGTATGGTGGCTTCCATTGCTGTAAGACAAAGATCATCTTGTAAAGGTAAAGACATGGGTACTTGTTCTGTACTATAAGCTGGCCCTGAAGTAGTCGTACTTGTGGAAGAAGGTGTATCTGAAGTTGCTGTATTGTTGACAACTATGGTCTCAACTTGTTCTTTCTTGATAAGAGATTCGTCCGTTGTTCTGGTCGCTGACTCTGTTTGATTGACTGTTTCTCGGCAAGTATCTTCACGTTGCTGTTGAACAGTAGGAAAAGCTTCTGCACCAACCTCTTCACTTTTGATAAACATGACGGAATAAAATAAGATATAAACACACAGAGGGAAATAAAGGAAGAGAGGGAGAAGCACTATTTTCAAAAAAAAAAAAAAAAAAAAAAAAAGAAAACAGAAAAAAAAAACAATCAATGTCAATGACCTTTGTTTTCAAATTACTTTTTAATATATGTATATTTTTGGTCTCATAGCGTAACTTACCTAAAGTTTCAGTAACTACTTTGTTCAATGGCGAAAGGTTGCAGGAATATTCGTAGGACTGTTGATTCGTGACAAAGAAAAAAGAAAGAGACAACTCCTATTCATAACGAAATAAGATAAAAAAAAGTTTTTTTCTTGTTCGCTTCGGAGTGCACATGTAACTACCAATCAAAATCAAGGTATCCATTAGTGACATTTTTGTGATCAAAAAAAAAAAAAAAAACGTCTTTTTATTTTATTGAAGCAAAAAAATCATTTTCTATTAAATCTAAAAGTTCCACTAAATCCATCAACACTTCACTATCTGTCGAAGGTTTTAGCAAAGCCATCATCAATTTTTCACGTATACTTGTCACATCCAGTACTTGATGAGCATAAGGGGATAATAAGGTTGAAGGAGATGCAGTATCAGAGTTCTTGTGATCAGTTCTGTTAATACCACGTATCAGAGGATCTGTTCGTCTGGTCCGTACACCATCACCACCACAGAGTAAACCGCGAATCAATTCCATTCCACGTCGAGTTACCACTGAGAAATGTTGATTGCCACTTTCGCCTAATGTGATACTGAGTCGTAAAATTGTCATGGGTGCACTCTTGTCGCACAAAAGTAATCGATCCTTGAATGATGCCTTGTCTACAATCATATTGATATCGTATAATCCCATCATCACCATTTCTAGAGTGGCCAGTTGTCCCATAGTGATATTGCCAAGTACCCGACCATCAGCAATAAAGAAATCCTTTCGAATTACTGCCGTCAATTCTGTCCAAATCGCTTCCATCCAAGGGAATTCCACTTCAGGATCGCTATTCACCAGAGCCGAAAAAACATGTTGATTTTCATATCCCACAGCAATCTTTGCCCAAGTTTCAATTGCCAACAGAGAGTAATAAGTATCAGGACCATGCGTCAAAAAGTCATGAATCAGTCGAACAAATGCCCTTGCTACTGATATGTCGTGTACCTTGAGACTGACCGCAATATTAGAAAAGATCATCAATACACTTTTGCGATGATCCAATGTATCCATCCGCCGCACACCCACAAACCAAGCTTGGTCTCTATGAGAGTCATCCCAGTCTTCATCCTTGATACCACGTGTGTAGTTCAATAGTTTGAGTAAAGTGTCCACAAACCGCCGATGGTTCGCCAAGTACTCCAGATTGTTTGGGATAAATGAAAAGTTGCGTAGTAAATTGAGAATACACAAGCACCGTTCTCTGAGAGATGTCCATATTTCCGATGTTGAATCCTCTAACATATGAATCAAGCTTTTCATTTCATCCAATGACATGTCGAAAAGATCAGCGTAATTGACTTGTACTTGATCTGGTATACTGGATCGTCTTTGTGAAGACGGAGAAGAGATTGTATCTGTCGCAATATTTCTATCATTATCATCATTCGAAAAAGACTTTGATTTATAGCCGAAAAAATCTTGATCCAAAATATCCAATAGTACATCCAATAGATCATCGCAGTGAGCAAGAGACACAGGTGTGTGTACCGTGAGCATTGTCAATGTATTCAGAGCGTTGGCCACTTCCATTTTCATTCCAGACTTCAGAGACATGATCAGAGCATGAACATCAACCGCACCTAGTTCTGGTAATTGAGCCACCATGGGTTTGATCTCAAATTTGTCAAAATACTTCAAATCGACACCACCATAAGTTTCTACGTTTCGTGTTTTAGGTACATAAGTAATCAAAGGCGGGTTACGTTCTGGTGTTATCGACGACGTTTGTTCTTGTGTTGTTTCACTATTTTGAGCTACATTCATTTTATCCTGTTCCTGTCCAGCAGTTTCGTCATTTACTGATTGCTGTGATGACATTGGTGATTGGTTTGATTTGACTTCATTCACGGATTGATGTTGGTCTCCAATGTTCTCCGTTCGTAATTGTTGGCTTGATTGTTGCTGTTGCTGTATTGGTATCGCTTTGATATCATTTGTTTGTCTAGGGGAAGGAGACGGGTTCTGCATTGATGGTTGGTGTTGTTGTTGTTGTTGTTGTTGTTGCTGCTGTTGCTGCTGTTGTTGTTGTTGTTGTTGTTGTTGTTGTTGTTGTTGTTGTTGTTGTTGTTGTTGTTGTTGTTGTTGTTGTTGTTGTTGTTGTTGTTGTTGTTGTTGTTGTTGTTGTTGTTGTTGTTGTTGTTGTTGTTGTTGTTGTTGTTGTTGTTGTTGTTGTTGTTGTTGCTGTTGTTGTTGTTGTTGTTGTTGAGGCAGTCGTATATCCTGTTTACCATATGAAAATATAGGTGTGAATATCATTTATGTAATTTCCTCAATATGACTCAACTTTTTTCTTTTTAATACCTGAGTTGCCGGGTAAGGAGATGATTGACTATTGGAACCAGCGGTACCGGGAGAACTGTTACCACCTTGAAACATGGTTGTATTTTCCTGTTGATGGGATTTTACTTGCTGTTGTTGCATGAGATAAGGAGAAGCATGGATATTGGCCGTTTGAGATGAAATAACACGATTCTATATTATTCAAATAAAAAGTTTATAATTAGCGAAACTAGGTAATTTCTTTTTTTTTTTTCCTTTCTCATAGCAGGATTTTACCATTTGTGGAGATGGTTGTATTCCATTGATCTGACCTTGAGTTTGTGGTATTGAAGGATTGCCTGCTTCAAAGTAAAATATTAAAAATCAATTCCTATATTATTTAAACTTTATAAATCATCAGTCTTACCAAAATCAGTACTCATTCTTGATTGTTGTTGAGGACTGTTTGCTGCCATAGGTGATTCTATAGCGGTGTGATGAACAGAACTAGGTGAACTTGGTGATTGCTGTCTAACTATAAGAACACAAATAAACCTGTTTCGTAACAAAAAAAAAAAAAAAAACATTTCGAAATATAAACATATTCTAAACTTACTTCTATTCATAGCCATAGCAGCGGCAGCAGCTTGTTGTTGTTGGTATAAGAGACCTTGAGGATTGCCTGATGCCATAGCGTTTGCATGATACATTGCCCTTCCTTGCTGAAACTGAGCTTGTAAAGCTGCAACATTCACTAGATAATATACACAACTGGTGAGTTACAATTCTTCTTTTACTTGGTTTTCTTTTTCTTCTTACCAGGTCCAGCGTTTTGTAGCATAAGGTTTTGAGGAGAATACACGGTGTTAGACTGTTGTGTAGCTACAGTTGGAGAGAATGGTTGTTGAGATTGTTGTGATGAAGCTATTCCCTGAGGTTGTATGACTGAACCAGGACTAGCGTGCGAGATCGCAAGACCAACACCTTGTTCTAAACCGAATTCGTTCATACCCAAACCATTATTGAAATTCACAGGATTACCAAAGTTGACATTGTTGAATCCGAAAGCATTGTATTGATTGAGATTATTACCGGGAGAAGATTGGTCTGGTTGTTGTTGTCGTTGTTGCGGCTGTGGTTGTTCTTGCTGCTGTTGCGGTTGTTGGAACGGCAACATCGAGTAGGAAAAAAAAAGAACGAATGAATAAATGAAAAGAAAAAAAAGGGAAAAGAAAGGGGGACGAATAAAGTGAAAGAAAAAGAAAATCAAAAATATGAACGTTTTTGATTTCACGTCCGCCGTCACATTGAATTTACTGACCATTGATTGGTTATTCACTTTCTTCTCTTCTTCTTTGATCGACGATTGCTAACCTCTGATTCATAGGCAAAATAATGAATAAATATAGCAAATTTTTTATATTTATAGAAAGAAAATCCTTCTTATATCTTTAATTAAGACAAATCTATTTGATTCAATGAGTAATCACCACCACATTCAAAATCCCAAAAAAGAAAAATAGAAAGCAGCGGAATCACAAATATTATATGATAAAAAAAAGAGCTTTTATTGCTTGTGTGAAAAGTATAAAACTGGGTAAAAGATAAATAACATAAATAATACAAATTAAATAGATTTTGATACACGTCTTTCAATTGAGATGCCTCCGTTTGATTCCATAGCAGTTATATTGTAGTTTCTTATCAAGCATGTGATAATTCCTTTTATTTGATGAATAGCAAACCAACGACCTGTCAAAAAAAAAAAAGTTATTAGTTAAACATTATAATATTTCATAATAATAATGTTGGATCATCTAATCTTACCAGGACAAGCACGTCTGATTGGCCCATAAGTACAGTGAGTTTGTAAAAAAAAAAAAAAAAAAAAAAAAAATCGTTAGATTACCTATTATAGATGATCATGGTTTCTACTTACTTTCCCATTCCAAATAGCATAAAATCTTCACCCAACTTTGTCGATGGTCTTTGTTGTCCAACGTGTCGGAATGGTTCGAATTCTTCCATGTCCTTGTCATCAATATTATCCTTTTTAGCCTGTTGATGAACGGACCAGAGATTGACATATACTTCTTCGCCTATATACCAAAAAAAAAAAAGAAAAGTTCCAATTGAGTGAAAATGTGATAATGGAAAAATTAGATAAATGTTACCTGGACGGATAATAGCACCACTTTTCAAGACAATATCCTTATCACTGATATTTGTATGTGGATGAGCCAAAGATCGTGCGCCATATCTGAAGAATTCCCTAATGTAGCTATCGAGTTTCACCAAACGCCTGTAGATATGTGCTGCATTTTTCATCAAGAATTCATCACGGTCCTTTGGTACTTCGTTGGCCGATAAGACGCCAGTGCGTTGTTGTTCTTCTATTTCGTCATCCAAGGCTTGTTCTTGTTCTTCAAGCAATTCCTTTATCATAGATGTATCTTTAGTAATCATGTTGATGATACCTATTGTGGATCCAACCGTGGTAAGCACACCGACAAAGAACATGATTAGGATATAATTGGTAAGCGGCTCGATGATGGTTGCACTGTCTGATCTAGAACGAATATATTCCATTGCATATTGCAAAAGGTCATCCTGCAAAAAATTTAAAAATAAAGCGTTTAGTATTTCTTTATGGAAAGTTTATTGAAATCATCATTTGAATCTTACCTCTTTCGTTTTTTCATCTTGGCGACGAGAAACTTCCTTTATAATAACATTTTTGATATCCAATCGATGCTTTTGCATATATTCCATTCTTGGATATTTCCATCTAAACAATAATCATTATCATAAAAAGAGAAAAAAAAATAAAAAAATAAATAAAAAAAATTGAGTGTGATGATCCTAATAGCTTTTTATTTATTATTATTATTATTATTACTTACTCCATATACTTTTGATGGTACCATGGAAAGAGTTGATGCCAAAGATTCAATTGAAGTTCGGGGACAACATCTTTAAACATAGTAGAGAAAGTCAAAGTCAAAGTAGTATTCTTGCATGCATCAGATCCCAAGAAAACGGCCAAACAGGATTGAGAAATACATTGCACAATTAAAGGAGTCAAATTTTCAATGATCACTGGCTCTGTACGATAAATAAATGTAAATAAATATTATTATTTTTTTTTAATATGGATCTATTATAATGATTACCTTTGGATTGTTCAAGTTGACTAGCCATCACAGTTTTGAACTAAGAGAAATCAAATAATATAAGTTTGATGTGATTCACAATGATTAAACTATATTTGATTACCTCTGCATAAGCACGTGGACTATAGGATTTGAGTTTTGGGTTCAATTCTTGCACAATGGAGTCTTGAATAATATTTGATTCAGGAGAACTATGGTGAGCTTTAAAGAAATAACTAGCATCAAATTTCTTTCTATGGCTAGTATGGAAGCACAAACCAGGATGAGTAAATACTTGTTCGGCGTGACCAGCCCCAACAATGGTGACCATCTATCAAAAAGTAACGATTAGAAGATTATAAAATTAACCAAAGTAAAACAAAGACTTACCCTTCCAAATAAATGAGCACGATAAACAGGACCATATTTTTCAGCAGTAGTTTTTGCAAATTGATATTCATCCTTGTTGTGAATCAATGTTGATCCAAAAAGAGGCCATCTGTAAGGTACAGTAGGAATATTGCCATTCTATAGTTAAATAAAATTGAATCAGTTCAGATCAATCTAAAGTCATATGTCTGTGCACTTACTTTGGATGCAGATGTTCCTTGCATAAACCATGTTGCTCCTATAGCAACAGCTGTTGTCGCAATACCAACTAGTACATATTGTTCTTTCAACTTGTCATTTTCCAAAAGGTCTCTTGCAATTGATCCTAACATGATAAATAAAATATTCAAATTAAATAAAAAAGAAAAAAAAAAAAGAAGACAATAAGAGAGGGGTTTTTATAGTCGTGATTTACCATTGGTGTAACTTGTTGCCTTTTTGGTGCTATATTAGCCGAAGACCGAACAACTTTCAATGATAAAAGACTAGCAAAATTCACATTGTTTGCTCAGCTTTCCAAAATAAGAAGAAGGACCCTTTTAATCAATAAAAATAACATAATTGGATTAAAAATATCTTGACTACGCTTCTTGATTTCGACCATTGTTTAAAAAGAAAAAAAAATAAAAAAATAAAAATAAAAGAAAAAAAAATTGATGCTTTTTTGTTACATTTGTGCTTTTATTCTTGCTTGCATTTTGAGGTCAGCCAATCAGAATCGTCGATAACGTCATTAGGGATTTTGAAGGGGGCTTGACGACTAAGAACAGAAAAAAAAAGTTTTCACTTTTTTTTTTTTTTTTCTTTCTCTTCGTCTTTTGCTTTTCGGTGCATCTGTTTTAATCTTTCTAAACCGCACCGATTCACAATCCAATAGGTAATGATTTTTTTTGACTTATTACCCAAGCTTGATTAACTTCATATTATATAAACAATGTTTTAATGATACTAACATTTTTATTATTATGATGTTGTTTTTTTCTTTAAAAAAAGCCACCATCTATTAGGTCCTACCTGGGATATGCAATATTGAAAAAAAAACTCAACTAATGAACAGCACTCCCAACATAAACAAAAACACGAACGCAAAGTCGACTCCACAAGCAGTGTTCAACTACGCACAAGCTGCCAAGCGCAACTCTCAAAACTTGGAACAGCAACAAAAAGCAAAATCAACTGGACCAGTCAAACCTAGTAGTAAACCTCCAACTCCTCCACCAAAACAACAACAACAACAACAAAGCACTGACGATAATACTACCAATACGAGTACAACTGCTTCAACAAAAGGAAATGGTAACGCAAACGTGAACGGATCAAAACCTTTGGCCAAATCTTCACCTCAATCTTCATCAAAACCTACCTTTGCTGCTGTAGCTAATGTGTAAGTATTATTATTAGTATTATTATTATTCTAGATCTTTATTACTCATCTTTTTTTTAAATTTTTTTTTCTTTTTAGCTCTTCCAAGCAAGGTCAACAAAGCTCTAGAAATGCATCTGTGCAACTCCCAAGGGCACCACCTGTAGATAAATGTAAGTTGGATTCAAGAGTTGGATTTGGAATGAGTGTTTATTAATCACATTCTATATTTATATAGCTCCCATTCAATTTGGTTCGATCAATCAAACATCAGAAAATGCTACTGAGCCTGTTACAACTACTACAACAAAGCAGGAAGAACAATCATCGGATTCAAAAATGACTTTTGGTACCGTTTCTGTAGATAAATCATCTTTAGTAAGTGAAAATATTCAAGTGTGCTTATTATGAATTTTTTTTTTTTGATCTTAATCTATCATTATTTTTAATTTTTTTTTTGTGATTAGCCGCAATCCCCTCAACAACCTCAGTCACAACCTCAACCATCCGTTCCTTATTCACAACAACGAAGAGACTCTACACATTCAAACCATTCAGTTGGTGAACATTCTCCAGCTCAATCTCCTCATTATCAAAACAATAACAACAATAACACTAACCGACATTATGGTTCCCCACGACACTACAATCAAGGAAAACATATGAATGCATCTTATTCTCCCAACATGACTAATGCTCAACCTGGTTATATGCCTCATCATGCAAAGAAACCCATGTCACCTCATATGGCTTCTACTTCACCTTCTGCTCAAAATATTCCCGTTGCTCAGAATTCATGGACAAACTCAATACCTGGTCAATATGTAAGTTTTTTTTTTTTTTTTTTTTTTTTTTTTTTTTTTTTTTTGGTTGTGAGGATGATTAATAATGAATTTGGTTTTTATATATTAGTATGTTGCACCCAATTATGATCAACGACCTCCTCCTCAAGGTTATGATGCTGGACCTCCTCAATATTATACTTACAATCAAATCCCAGTACCAACATATACTCAACCTGGCTCTCGTCAAAATGGTGGTCAACAAAATTTTGTCCCTCAAGCAGCTCGTACAAGCAAAGCCATTCCTATCATCAATCCTGCTACCATGGCTCCTGTCAAGGCTGATCCATTGGCTCCTGCATCGACTAGTCCCTCCATTTCCAAAACCAAAAGTCCCGTTAGTTCTGACAAGAAAGAAAAGGATTTCAAGATTCAAGCCTCACCATCTCCTAAACGTGGCATCACCATTGTTGATCCTGCTGTCAAAGAATTAGAAGAACGTGAAAAGCGGGAAAAGGAAGAAGCTGAACGTAAGGCCAAGGAAGATGAAGAACGCAGAATCAAGGAAGAAGAAGAACGCAAGATCAAGGAGGAAGAAGAACGCAAGGCAAAAGAAGAAGCTGAGCGAAAGGCTAAGGAAGAAGCTGAACGTCTTGCCAAGGAAGAAGCTGAACGCAAAGCCAAGGAAGAACAAGAACGTAAAGCCAAAGAAGAAGCTGACCGTCTCGCCAAAGAAGAAGCTGATCGCAAAGCCAAGGAAGAACAAGAACGTCTTGCCAAGGAAGAAGCTGATCGCAAAGCCAAGGAGGAAGAAATCGCCCGAAAGGAAAGAGCTGCTGCTGCTGCTGCTGCTGTGGCTGAAGCTGAACGCAAGGTTAGAGAAGATCGTGAACGCATCAAGGCCGCCGAACGTAAATTGGTAGAAGAAGAAATTCAACGTGTAAAACGCCAATTGACTGAACGAAAGGAAATCGAACAAGGTGGTAAAAAGACTGAAGATGAAGAAAAACGAATTGCTGCCATCACTGCTGAAAAAGCCACCAAACCTGCTCCTGGTCGTCTTGATATGTCTGGTATACCTACTCATGTATTGGAAGGTGAACCTCAAACTTTATCTCCTTCATCTCCTTCTACTTCTGCTGCTGCTCCAACTGTCAAGAAAGTAGAAATCCCTCGTCGCAAGATCGTTGACTTTGATTCGATTCAATATCCTGAAGGTGTCTCCAAAACCCCTACCAACTCTAGTGGCAAGATTCAATATGATGCTGAATTCTTACTTCAGTTCAAGCCACTTTGTACAGAATCAAGTGAAGATCTATCTGCATTCCAAAATATCGGTGATGATAGCAATGAACGAGGTGGTTCTTCTCGTGGTGGAAGTATGCAACGTCGTCAAACATCTGAACGTGGTGGTCGTGGACCTCGAACTCCTGGTGGTGATATGTATCGCAATAACTCCCGTGATGGACGTATGGATTCTATGGGTAAATTTGCTGGTGGTCGTCCTTTGGCTCATCGTACTGGCAGTGGCGGTATTCCCTCTCCTGGATCCCCTGGTGGTGGTATGCAACGTGATGGTTCTCATGGTGGTCGAAGCCGTAGTGGTCGTGGTGGAGGTAAAGGACGTCATCCTCCTCGTGAACAACAAGGTGGGCCTACTATTCCATTGGATCAAGTTGTTCCTCTCGAAAAGAGTGAAAACAGGTGGACTCCTACAGTTGTTGCCACTGGTGGTGAAGCTGGTACTGCTCCTGTCGCCAAAACAGAAGATGAATTGATCCCTCAAGAGATCATTGTTCGTAAGGTGAAATCTTTACTCAACAAGTTGACTCTGGAAAAATTCGACTCTATTAGTGACCAAATTTGGGAATATGCACATCAATCAGCTAAGGAAAAAGATGGTCAATCTCTTCTCACTGTTATCCAACTTATTTTTGACAAGGCGTGTGATGAAGCTCCATTTGCTTCCATGTGGGCTCAACTTTGTCGCAAACTACACGATACCATGGCGGCTGCTAACGATATTACCGATGAAGACAATTTACTCGATAAGAATGGCAAACCTATCACCTCTGGTCACTTGTTCCGCAAATACTTATTTAATCGATGTCAACAAGCTTTTGAACGTGGTTGGAAATTCGAAATCCCTGATTTAGAAAAAAGTGTTAGTGGTGAAGTAATGATGACGGATGAATATTATGCTGCTGTCAAGGCCAAGCGACAAGGTTTAGGTCTAGTACAATTCATTGGTGAACTCTTCAAACGTGGCATGTTGACCGATCGTATCATGACTGAATGTTTGACTCGACTTTGTCGCAATCCTCAAGAAGCTGAAGATGAAGAAACTGAAACTATGTGCAAACTGGTTACCACCGTGGGTCGTGAATTGGATCGTCGTAATCGAAATATGAAGCAATGGATGGATGTTTTCTTTGATCGTATGAAGGAAATGTTGGAATGTACTACTTTATCTTCAAGAGTCAAATTTATGATCCAGGTAAATAAATAAATAAAAAAAAAATTGGGAAGGGAAAAAAAAAGGAATAGCAAAGAAAAATATTGAACATTTTTTTTTTTTTTAGGATGTGATCGAATTACGCAAGAATAAATGGGTACCTCGTAGCGGTGGCCAAACTGGACCTTCTACTATTGCTCAAATTCGTGAAGAAGCTCAAAAAGCCAAGAATGAAGAAAAGGAATCAATGAAGCGTTCTTCAAGCTCTCGTGGAAATACCCCTCAGGTCATGTCACGTCAAGGCTCTCGTGCTGGTCGCAATAACAATATACAACGTGAAGGATCTCCTAGTAGTAATGCTTCTGGCGGTGGTAGTGGATCTCCTGGTTCTGCTGCTGCTTCTACTGTCTCAGATGGATGGAGTACTGTGGGAACAACACCAACTGCAACTACACCCAAGGGACGTACCAACGAATTGGATGGTTTTGGTCGAACAGATCGCAGCAAATCAAGAAACAATGTACTTGGTCCTGGTAGTAGTCCATTCCAAACTTTGATTCGTCCTGGTGCTAAGAATGCTAAGTCTGATAGTAAGAAGGGAAGCCCTGCCGATAGTCGAAGCTCAAGTCCTGCTTCTTCCATGTCAAATATGTTTAGTGCTCTTGGTGGAGGCGATGAAGAACATACTGAACAACGTCCTGAACGTAAGAAATTGAATATGTTACCTCGTGGATCCACTTTACCTATTGCTGATGAACAACAACAACAACAACAAGGTGAACCTGAGACTATTTCTGAACCTAGCAAACCTAAACTGACTGAACAACAAATCGAACAAAAGGCTAAAGATATCATTGAAGAATTCATTCTTTTACGTGATGCTAAGGTAAAAAAAAAAAAGAAATGGGGATTTACTTTATATATACATGGACTAATAATTTTTATTCATCATCATCCATATTTAGGAACTTGAACAATGTGTAAAAGAATTAGAAGCACCTTTGACTTTAGTCAATAAGATGTTGACTGTTGTGGAAAAGAAAGAAGATGACGTTAAGGGTGTATGCGAAATGATCACGATACTCAACAAAGACAGTCTGATCAGTAAGGATACTTATGTGGAAGCCCTCAAGCCATTTATGGAAATGTATGAAGATTTGACCATCGATGTGCCTCAAGCCCCCAAGTATATGTCTCAACTTCTTGTCGCCATGAATGTGGATCCTGCTGAAGTAATGGAAATTGAAGAACCTTATGATACCGGTTATGTCCCTGCTAGTGCCAAACTTAAGGAACTTTATGATACAGCCAAGGTACAAAAAAAAAAAAAAAAAAAAAGGATGGTTCATTTTTTTCTCACATATACTTTTTTTTTTATTTTACAGACATCGGCTTGAATTACATTTACTATTTGTTGATTTGATCCTCATTCTTCTCATATATTCTTTATTACTATTCCTTATCATTTACACTTGTACATCTTCCTTTACAACTTTTTTTTTTTTGATACTTCACAACATTCTTTTTTTTTTTTTTATCTTGATTTCCCCCTTGTTTTCATTTGTGAATTATATTATCTTTATCTATCATCATTTTGTCACGATTGATCTTTTTTCAGTTTTTGATTATTATTATTATTATTATTATAATTTGATATACATATAAAAGCAACCCTTTTTTTCAGATTGTCATTTCCCCCTCCCCCACTTCCTTCATTTATAATTATCAATTTTAGAATTTGAATATATTGACTAGTGTATATATTCCATCCTTTTTCGTATCGATGTATGAAATAAAAATCAAAAAGTAGTCGTTTATTATTTTTATAAAACAAATAAATAAATAAATATTACTACACTACAAAAAAAAAAAAAAAAAAGAATATAATCTATTAAGTCATGTCCAGATATCATTGGTATTCTTTTAATTCTTGATCTTCCTTTTGTTGATCTTCTAGTTCCTTTTCTTTTGCACGTTGTTCCATGATGGTCTGCATCCAGTATTTGACATCTAATTTCCATACCGAACGAGTCTTGTACCAGCCTAATTTTGTTCTTGATACCAGCTTGTAACCATGACGTTTTTCCAATACTTGTTCCATTTCATATTGCAATTCATCGGTTTCAGCATACAGATAATCGATGTTTTGAGAATGAGCCCAAAAACCAACACGTTTGAGTAGAGGGGTGGAGAGTCCATGACCTTGGAATTCAGTCTTGATAGCTAACCGACGTACACTTGCTTCGTTTTCTTGATGGACAGGGAAAAGGATTTCCTGTGGAGATTCTTTATTATTAGGAGTATGGAATCGATCACGCACCAGATCAGTAGCACCCACCAGAACTTGTCGTACAATATCATCAATGACAGCCAAAACATATGCAGTACGCGGCCATTCAGCTTGAGCCACTTGAGGAGAAGAAGTCATACGAGGTTGTTCAGAGGCACGTACGTAACGTCGTCGACGAGAAGGATCTACTTTTTTCATCACAGGTTTTGTATGCTGGTCCACACCAATGCAACCCACTACATCATCGTTCACAGTTAATACCCAAAATTGACCCTTACTAGCACCATTGTCATCATCCTTCCGTTTGAATGTTCCATCGTTGTGTTCCACATTGTTGTCCACAATATGCCATCCTCGATAAAATGATTCAATGTCACCAACATCATTGTCGATCCCATCCAACACACGTTCAGAAACATCGTATGTATCCACATACCACAAGAGTAGTACAAGTCCACCACCCACACTGACAAATACAAGTGCAGAATAGACACCTACCATCATTGCCCAAGGCCAGCCAAGGGGAGTCACCACTATGATCGTGAGTTGGACCAGAGCTGCAAATGCACAAAGCCAGATCGTAGATACAACAGGAGGCCAAGACAGAACTCGCAACTTAACTCCACGAGGTACCAGATTCAAGTATGTCGAATAGAAGAGATACTGTACATATTTGCGATCCGTTTCTTCATAATATGGTCGTAATTCGATCTTGGCTTCTTTTCGTTCATCATCAGAAGCATGATTTGTATTAGAATTGTTGTTGTTAGTAGTTGGTGTTGCCATTACAATTCTCTTGATCGACCACAACAATGAAGAGAAGAGAAAAAAAAAAAAAGAAAAAGAAAACAAAAAAAAAAAAAAAAGAAGAAGAAAAAGAAAAAAAAAGTTACAAAGAAAAGCATTGATTCTTGGATTTGAGCGGAGTCGATTATGAGATCCCACGTTGCTGATGTTGCAGGGTCAATTGGTACTTGATATGATCCAATCACGATTTAAGATTCGCTACATTTCAAAATGAAATGTTATGATCTACCAAACTTTAGTAATAAAAAAAAAGTTTAAATTGGACGTCCTGATCATTCTACTTTCCAAGCAATTTTTTTTTTTTGTTCCTGAATCATCGAACATGCAACAAACAAATATGGATAGGATCTTGTATTGTATGTAAAAAAGATGATCATTACAAGTTTATATTTTCTCTGTTGCACAGAAACAATAAGAAAAGGCAAGATGCCCTGTGGCATGTGCGCGCAACTCACGAAATTCGAAAACAGTAACTTAATGTATACGATGTACGTGCTAAAAACGGCACGAAAATGACAACTATATCATCCTTGGAAAGTGTTGATGTACCTGGAAAATTAGCGTTTAAATAGTAGTAATGATCAAATATGAATATGATTTTTATAAATAAAGACTAGCTATCAAGTGTAACAGTAAGAAGAGTGAGAACTAGAAGATGATCATCAAAAAAAAAAAAAAAAAAAGATAGCTTTCTACATCATAAACGTATTATGATTTCTGTGACAATTCATTAACAGTGATTTGATCGTTCCTCCAATCCGACAAACAGAAACGCATACATATACATTATATAATATATGATATAGCTACAAATACATATACATATATGTAGTAGAAAGAGAGTGAGAGATATAAAAGATGTATAGAGAAACAGTTTATTCGTCTATGATATAATAAGTATGATGTGTATAACAAAACCTAGACAAGTAACGACAGCTTCAACCAAGCTAAATATATAAACATAAAATATAAATGGGAAGAAAAAAAAAAAAAGAAATACAGCGTTCAAAGAGTTTTGGTTTTTTGCTTGATATGATAACCATGATAAAGAGTCTTGACCAGCTTTACCAATCCAAGAGATATAATGATAAAAATGGATCCAAATGAAGCAATAGCCAGAGCATAGATATCCAGATTGTGTTTCTTGGCAAAAGAAAGGGAGCGAGACACATCTTCACGGTGAGGCATCAATGTTCCTTGACTTGAAAAAGCAACTTCTTCTACCACATCAGCTGCACGAATAGGAGCAGACTTGCTTTGGATTTGCATCATGGCTTGATATTTATTGATTTTTTCTTGATAGTGGCCTTCACGATCGAGAATCACCTTTTCCACCTTTTCATCAACATCTGCCAAATCTGTAAGATGATTAAAGTATTCAGATACACCGGCTTGTGATAAATGTTTTGCGGTACCTATCATTGAAAATAAAAATACAAATGAGTTTTTTTTTTTTTTTTTTTTTATGACAAGGATACAATGGATCACTTGCAATAAATAGGTATATTTACCGGGTTGATCACCAAAGAAGGGATAGAATAGTAATCTCTTTCCAGCATAAAGACATTCAAAGAGGGAATTAGCACCACCATGGGACACAAACACGTGAACAGAGGGATGAAGTAAGATAGCCATTTGAGGGGACCACTTTGATACAAAGATATCATCAAGAATATTACCTACTTTACCCTTGTTGCCATCGAAGAAGGAAGCTGTACTGTAAGTCTTGCGAGAGTAGGATGAAGTAATAACGGTAGGGAAATATTTTGATTCTGCGAGGACACTGGACCAAATAATACCATCAATATGACCTTTTTCCAGTTGATGAATCAGAGAAGTTAAAATGCGTTCAACATCATGTGCAAGAGGACGAGCATGTTGTCCAAAGGCCACATAAACCACTTTTTGTCGGGCATCCAAGTATGATTTGAGTTCTGTAGTCAATCCATTGTATTCCTTTTCAAGCATAGGACCCACAAATTCAACCAAGGGACCAAGAGGGCGAGCCGCTTCAGGACCAAACATGTTACCGATAAGTTTCACAGCGTGAATAGACCTTGCGTTAGGATCATCATTCCATCGAGCATTGATCAATCCACTTTCCCTTTTCACTTTAGCCATTCGTTCCAAAATAGGTCGTGTTTTCCAGATCACTTGGATAGGAAGGATGAATTTGTTGAAGAATCTACGGTAAATTGATTGATGTACTGTTGTGTATTCATCCATAGCAAACATATTGGCGTTGATGTAAGGGGGAGCAGCATCTATAATGAAACATCGTTGTTAGTTGTCTTGATTTTGATGTATATTATATATGTCTTGTGCAATTTACCTGGAAACAAACCAGCAGTGGATGTGAGAATAAAGGGCAATTGTTTGGTATTGGCAGCTTCCATACAAGCATTGGAGAAGAAATCGCAGATGAGGACATCCGCCTTATTCTTTTCAATTTGCTCCAAAATAGCGCGGTATTCTAAAAAGAAGAGAATTATAAATATATGATGCATATAAGATTGCATTTTGTTACCTTTTGGCCAACCTGGAATGAAAGCATCAAACAAAACAGGGAAGAGTTCCAAAAAGGGCTTGTGGCTATCATTTCCTTCCATCATTCTTTTATGATCAAAATTGCTACTACCCATAGAGACAGTGTTGAGATAAGGATGAGAGTAACTATATTTGAGGTTTTCCTCCTATATAAAAATAAAAAGTGAAGTAAATAGTTTAGTTTATCTGATATGATTAATTTATATATATATATATATATCGATTTCTTACCACCGTAACCATTGTGATATTATGACCTCTTGCTGACAATTCATCAAGGAAGCGTAAAACCCAAGTGACATGAGAAGAACCAGGTGCATTGGCAACAAATAAGATGTTTTTGGTAGATCTGAAAGTGGCATCAATACGTACTCGTTGTTGATCAACTTGACCAAACACAAGGGTATATACCAAGCTTAATATAAGAAAGATATTAAGTTTCATATAAAAGTATAAAGAAGTAGAAAGTATTGAAAAAGAAAAGAAAAGGGGAAGAATATTTTTTTTCGATCTAATAAATAAGGAAAATGTTGATTTTTTAAGAGACCGCAAAGTTAATCAGACGGGCTTAGAGTTGATCCTGGCTAAAATACTGTTTGATGTACAAATCAACTTGATATGACAATAACACAAAAGGCATCGGCTCTCAAACTTTATCCGTTTTTTTTTTTTTTTTTTTTTTTTTTTTTTTTTTTTTTTTTTTTGCTTGAAAGTTGAACCTAATATGACACATAATTTAATTCCTATGAATTTGACTTAGCAAAAAATCATAAATGTGACCTTATGTTTACATCTGATTATATTAATCTAAAAAAAAACTCATTGAATGACATTGTATTGATATCCTCTTTAGACAAACTAATATAATCATAAATATCATGGGTAAAATCAAAAGAAAAGAATTTGTTACAAATGTCAAAGATTTCTGTAGTAATAGAACAATCTTGATCAATTCACGGAGATCAGATACCTTCCTATTTCCGAACGGATAAATTCTTCCGTCTTCCGGTAGAAATCAACCATATGAGCCTTAAAAAAAATTTTTTTTAATGGGGATTTTCGGTAATACCAAACAAGAATGATGATGTCTCCTTCACACTTTTTTTTTTTTAATTAATGATAAAACTGCAGCAAATATGTTCATGGCGTAAATAACCTAGACTATGTCTTGATAGGCATTCGATTTCCGCATTGACTGTACAAAGTGTGAGTTTGAAAACGCAATCCTGTGAAATCATATTTTCAAATGACCATCGCCTTTTCCATTTGAGGGCAGAGACCTATTGTATAAATATGAATGTCTACATTTTATTTTGATATAAAAAAAATTTATTTGATGAATAAAAAATAATCAAACTAAATAAAACTAAATAAAACAAGTATGATATCCATCCATTGACTTTAGAGAAACTTGCTTTTTTGTTTGATTTGGTAACCATGATAGAAGAATTTAATCAATCTTGCCAACCTAAAGGATACAAAAGTAACGAACGATCCTATCAAAAGAATCGCAATAAGATAGACATCCAGGTTGTACCGCTTGATAAATGACATCGAGTTTCCAACATCTTCTCGATGAGGTAAAATTTGACCATCATGTGAAAATGCAACTTCTTCCACTAGATCAGCTGCACGAGAAGGAGCCCCTTTGCTTTGTATTTGAATAATGGCTTGATATCTTTTGATATTGCTTTGATAAAATCCATCACGATCGAGAATCACCTTTTCCACCTTATCGTCAATATCTGTAAGATCTGAATGGTTGTCAAAATATTCTGAAACGCCCATCTGCGAGAGTTGTTTTGATGCACCTTTTATAAAAAAATAATAATAAAAATAATAATAAAAATAATAATAAAAATAATAATAAAAATAATAATAAAAATAAATAAGAGAAAGTAAAAAAATCAATAGACATAACCAATGCGATTCTTTTTTACCTGGTTGATCAGCAAAGAAAGGATAGAACAGCAGTCTCTTTCCAGCATAAAGACATTCAAAGATCGAATTGGCGCCACCGTGAGATACAAATACTTGAACAGAGGGATGCAGTAGGATTGCCATTTGAGGGGACCATTTCGTCGTATAAATTTCATCCAAGAGGTCACCTGATCTACGGAAATAACGTTTCTTATTGGTATTGAGAAGGGAAGTAGTGTTATAAGTCTTGCCAGAATAGGATGAAGTAATAGTAGCAGGGAATCGATTTGCTTCTAAACAACCACTAGACCAAATAATGCCATCGATATGACCCTTTTCTAACTGATGAATCAAAGGAGTCAATACACGTTCTACATCAGATATTATAGCACGACTATGTTGTCCAAAGGCCACATAAACCACTTTTTGCCGAAGAGACAAGTAGGATACCAAATCAGAATCCAATCCAGGGTAACTTCTGTCAAGCACAGGACCTACCAGTTCAACCAAGGGACCTAAAGGTCTTGCCACTTCTAATCCAAACATATTTCCAATGATCTTCAAAGCATGTGCTGTTTTGTCGTAAGGATTGTCAATCCATTTCGCATCCAATATTCCGGCCTTTCGTTTGTATTGTAACAATGTATACATTTGACGTTTGACTGTCCAAATCACCTTGAGAGGAGCAATAAATTTATTGTAGAACCGACGAAAAACGGATTGATTTACAGTAGTAGGTTCTTCTGATGTATAGATATCTTGATTGAAGTATTCTGTAGCGGAATCTACAGCCAAAAAAAAAAAAAAATGTCAATGTTACTCACTTCCGGAATAAGCATTTTTTTTTTTTGCCATATTTGTAATATTTACCTGGAGTCAAAGTTCCTGTTGCGGTGACAATTAATGGTAGTTTCTTGGTATGAGAAGCTTCAATACATGCATCTGTGAAGAAATCACAGATAAGTACATCCACGTTGTACTTCTCAATTTGTTCTATTATCAAATTGTAGCCTATATGTATATATGAGGCATTAAAAAAAAAAGAGAGAGAGAGAGGGAGAGAGAAAGATGAGCCTACTATTATTTGATTTTTTTCGTTTTATTTCTTACTTCTTGGCCATGTAGGTAAGAGAAATTCATGGATGGTAGGGAAAAGAGTAAACGGAGATGGATGGCTATTTGTTTCTGTAAACAAGGCAGTATGATTGAAATTGGCTGGACCAAAAGAGGCAGTTGTGATAAGAGGATAAGGAGCACTATACTTTACATTTTCATCCTACCGGATTCATTAAATATAGATATATATATATATTAGGACAATCTTTTTATGTTCTTTCTTTCTTTTTAACTTCTTACCACTGTGGCAAAGGTAACTTTGTGACCACGTTTTGTTAATTCGTCAAGGAAACGCATTACCCAAGTGACATGAGAAGAACCTGGAATCGTAACAGCAAATAAGATATGTTTGGTAGATCTGAAGTTTGAATCAATTTTCACTCGTGCTTGATCAAGTTGGGCAAATGCAAGGCTACATATTAGACCCAATAAAACAAGTAGACTGGACTTCATATATAATAGAAGTATATGTTTTTTTTAAAAAAAAAAAAAAAAAAAAAAAAGGAAAAGGAAAGAAGAGAGAGGAAGTAGTAAAAATTAACAACGAGCATACTTTATTGTCAAATTTTAAAACACCGTATTCAAACGCTAGCATTAAAATGCGTACCTGTGATTTCCCCCCACGGAATAAAAATTGGCATAAAAATTGAACTTTTTTTTACAACCACGGATAATTCTGTACAAAGAGCAGCTCTACATATTTTAAAACCGGATATCAATGATGACGATTGTATGATAATAATAATAATAATAATAATAATAGATGATGATGGTGATTCTACAATGATGATGAATAAGAAATGATGATTGGCATAGATGATGGAGGACTCCTTCGATAATAAATGACTTATAAGTATTTGCTAAGCATATCGTTAAAGTGAAAAAAAAGAATAATGTTTTATTAATAAAAAATAGTTGGTAAAATATTTACAGTTAAGTTTAGACTTAGTTTTAATAGCTTTCTAAGGTAGTTATATTTTCTACAGGACGTAACATATTCATTGTTGGAATATCATCTATATCCTCCTCCTGCTCTTCTTCCTCTAACTCTGACCAATGATCATATTGTGTTGATAGATTAGTGAAGAACAAAGGACCAGCCACCATTTTAGTATTGATTGTCAGTTTGGATTGCTTTTTTCCCTTTTCTATACATGGTGATGATGGTGATGATGATGTTCCAGGAAGACTTGAAAAATCCAAAGGAGTAATGAAAGGTCGAGAACTTGATGATGGTTGTAACTGAACCGAATATGACATGGGAGAACCCAGCTTTTGAATATGAGATCGGTCATAATCCGCGGCGCTATAAGTATATTTAACGACCTCTGGCGTAGTGCTAAATCGAACGTTCTTCATTTTACCGTATTTTCGATGATGATAAAAAAAAAAAAAAAAGAAAAGAGAGAGAGAGAGAAAAAGAGGATTTCTATTTAAGAATATTTATATATGATTGATCAAGCATGTAAGTGGGCTCATCGTGTAGCATAGCCACTTAAATTGCCGTCATTTTTTTATATATAATTATGTGTGTGCAACTATTTACCCCAAAAGGTTGGTAAAGATATTTTCATTTCCAGTAAATCTATTATTATTTGTTGTGTATACAAATGATGCTCAAGGGTCAACTGATGTAGAATCAAGTCAATCTTATAAAAAAGCAACTTTTGTAATGGCTTTGTTCTCTTTGAAGGGAAATCGTTGCAATTTCATTGTAAAAAGAAAGTTCAACACTGTCTATAATTCAAATTTTAAAACATGAAGTTCATCATTTAGGAGACATAATCGCCTTTTTTAGGAAACAATCTAACTGTGATCGAATTGTGGTATTAAAAAACTATTCTTCGTCCAATAGAATCAAAAAGATTATCATCACAAAAAAAAAAAAAAAAAAAAACCACTTTATTTTGGAATCAAAAAAAAAAGTATAATGTCAACAGGGTACTTGTGTCATATATATGTATCAAAACTATCATTAATAAAATGCTAATCATTACTCTAATCTACGAATCATTTAATTCAAACTTCCACGCTATTGGTATGAATTCCATTTGCCATTGTTGTCCTTTGTAATCCTGTAATACCTGATCGTTGAGGATGCTGAGTTGCTACTGATGGATGTTGTTGTTGCTGTTGTTGTTGTTGTTGTTGTTGTTGTTGTTGTTGTTGTTGTTGTTGTTGTTGTTGTTGTTGCTGTGGCTGAGATGGTTGTATTACAGAAATAGAGGATGCTGATGTAGTCATATAATGAGGCGTGGCAGAAGATGAACTGGAAGAACCTTGTGATGATGAAGAGCTGCTATTACGATCCGATTCATCTGTATCCATACGACTTGATTGAATAATAGAGGAAGGTAGGACACCATGACTAAAGCTATGAGGAATATTAATATTGCTGTTTGCTGATGATATCAATGTAAGTGCTGATGTTGACACTGTTGTAAAGTCCGACGGAGACGATGTGGCTGTGAAGGAAGAATTGGATGATGTTGATAAAAATCGTGATCTACCTACCTCCAGCACCGCCTCTTCAGGCACAGCCTCCAAGAAAGCATGTTGTACAGAAGGAGATACATGCATGAGCACGTTTGACTTGAGCACTGATCCATAGTGGCGAAACATAAAGTCTAATGTCAATAACTTGAGTCCAGTTTCATCCGATAGTATTGCTTTTTCAAAAATCATCCCACAACTATTGATAGACAAGTGACGTTGATAAAGTCTTTGGCAACATAGTTTCTTCAGACGATGTTGAAGATACATACTGGCTACCACTAAAAGTTCACATACCACAGGCCAAGGTTCATTTTCATCCAATTGATCGCTGTAGAGATACTTGAGAAAGGCCATCACCACTTCATGAGATTCAGGAATATCAATACGTCGCTCCAACGATTCAACCATACCAGACTTGTATACATTTCTAAAATGAGGCCATCTTGTCATAAGAATCACCTGGTGAACGTGAATAGGCTGACCATTTGAAGGAACGATGGTAAAATCCGATAGTTCAGGATTATCAAGCATTTGGGCAAATTCAGTCATGTACTGGCAAGGGGCAATATCATATAAACCAAGTGATTCACCATTGATAACGAGAGCATCCCTATATATAAAAGAAAAAAAAAGATTGTTAATCTTCCAAACTATGATTCAAATCAAATAGATTTATAAACCTACCTAAAATGATCATAACCTTGCGGTCGATAAGGATCAGTATTGCCAAGAAATAAGAGATGATGGGTATTGACTTGGGTCTGTTCAACAGTAAGTTCATCACTGTTATCCAAAGTACTGAAACTAGGGTGTACTTCCTTGATAATTGTAAAATAATTCCAACCACCAACTTCGAAGTGTGCGTCGCATTCCTGTCGTTCCCATTCTAAAGTATCCAAGTCTAACATCCATAAACTATAACCAAGGTTGCTATCATTTGTTTGTTGTTGTTGTTGTTGTTGTTGCTGTTGTTGTTGTTGTTGTTGTTGTTGGAGTTGCTGTTGTTGCTGCTGTTGTAATAATAAACTGGTTGGTTTCACCAGGAAACGACCAAAGACTAATAATTTTCCACAAACAGCATCACAAAAGTGTTGACTTTTCATAAGAGCCATTTGAGTATTGTGAGATCCACTAAGAACAAGATGACAAGTATATTGGTTTGTATTAGATTGTAAATTAAGAACAAACAAGTCGGATACAGTGTTGCCATGTTCATCTTTCCCTCCGTAAATATACATCTTACTGCCGACTAAAGTAGCTGAATGATTATATCGAGGTTGAACATCATGATGCCTTGACCAAGTCATTGTTTTCAAATCTAATATGTTCATTTCTTCCAGAACATAAGTGCCTACATTATAATAAAGGTGTATAAAGTATATGAATAAGAAGGTAAGAAAAAAAAAAAAAGAAAAAGAAAAAGAAAAAGAAAAAAAAAAGAGGTGAAATGGGGAGAATATATTGGGTTTCCGATCACCATTTTAGGAAACACTTACAATCTGAACTTTTGGCAAAACCTCCATAGACAAAAAGCTTATCATTATAAACCACCGATGTATGTAAATAACGAGCAGAGACAGAACCAGTGATATTAGGTTGGGACCAAGTTAATGTATCAAGATTAAATATATGAATGTCATTACAATAATCTTGAAATTCATTACAACCACCTTATAAGATAGAAACTTATCAGATGAAAAGAAAAATAAAGTTTTTTTTTTTTTTTTTTTTACCAAAGATAATAAAAGAATTTTTCCATTTAGTAGCTGTATGTCCATATCTTTTACTAGGAGAAATGCCTTCTACAGCCTAAATCATAAAATATTAATAGAAAGAAAAAAAAGATCAGTTCATCTAAATGATATGATCATCCATCCTACCTGGATTGTTTCCCATCTCATATCATCAAAGTGAAGTACATGCAAATCATGTGTAACATTTCCTCCACCCCCAAACACGTATAACTTTTTATCAGTCTTGACAAATGAAGGTCTCCATAAACCTGCAAGATTTTTACCCGTGGTATGAATAGGTTGTCCCGACTTTACAAAGGTCATATTAATATATAGATATATAAATATATATAGTATATATATATATATATATTTTGATATTGATGGTGTTGTCGATGGTGATAACAGTAAAATTATTTAACGATGAACAATGATGTTGATGATGTTGATGATGTTGTTGATGTTGATGATGATGTTGATGATGTTGACGATAAGATATGATGATCAGTGGGTGATTTTAGTAAGTGTAATGAGATAAAAGAAAGAAAAAGGAAAAAAGAGAAGATCATCAAATATACCTAAATATCCCTTTTCAAATCGTAGCATGATCGAAAACAATAATCAAAATGAAACATAATTTTCCGAAAAGCTACATAGAGACAAATTGATCCTGTGAAGGAAAAAGTACTTTTTTTTTATGTTAAAATAATTAGAAAGTGGCCTATTCGATCTTATAAAAAAAAAAAACAACAACAACAACAACAGATTCTGCTTTATTGTTCCTTTTAACTTCTGCAGAATGAATTACCATATTTGGATGGTGTCGTTGGATTTTTTTTTTTTTTTTTTTTGGATAGAAGGAGGGGTAACAAATAATTAAAGTTTTACAAATGATACAGAAAGTATGATCTTCTACAAACAGCACGAGTTTTTAGGTGCTGGTGTCACCATAAAAAAGGCACTAAAAAAGAAGAGGACTGTCTTCCATCTCCGTTACAGTTAGTTTGAATACTTAAGGGACTAGCGGTTGGTGAAATTTGACTCTATTTTTTTTTTTTTTTTTTTTTTTATGATGGTCGCGACCCTTTTTTTTTTTTCTTCCTCTTATTTTCAATTTCTCGTTTGGTGGATACACTCAAGCTACAATATATATATATATAAAAAGGACAGTGGCCAAACAAGGTAAAAAAAAATCCCTTATATCTGTATTAAACCAAAAGAATGTATATTTATATATATTTACACTTTTTTTTTTTTTAATATTACAAATAAAAATAGATTCTTTCATGACAGAAATCATCAAAAGTGGCTATCTTTCTGTGAAAGAAGATGGGTTACGCTCATGGATTTGGTCTAAAAGATACTTTATACTTCGTGATCAAGCTTTGACCTTACATAGAAACGAAGTAAGTAATATTTTTTTTTTCTATTATCTTATTTATATATTAATAACTCGTTTTCTTTCTTTCTTTCTTTCTTTTTTTTTTTTATTATTATTATTATTATTATCTTGATAGCAAACTAACCAATGTGTAGCAGTAATCTTACTAAGGGATATTACTCAAGTGACTAGGACAGATTTGAAACCATATTGTTTTGAAATTGTGACTAAGGAAAAGACTTTCTTTGTTGCTTGTAAAAGTGATCAAGACTTATATAGTTGGATGGATGAAATCTACAACGTAAGTTCTATTTATTTATTTATTAGGGATGACATTTAACTAATATTCAACTTGCTTTGTCAATTGATATATGTAGCGATCTCCTGTTGGTGCCTCTGGTCCTACTAATTTTGTACACGAAGTTCATGTTGGTTTTGACCCTATTACTGGTGCCTTTACAGTAAGTATTCTTTTTCCTCAAAAAAAAAAAAGGATTATACTTAAAATTTCCATTTATTATTAGGGTTTGCCTGACCAATGGACACAATTATTAAAAGGTTCTGCTATTACAGCTGAAGATGCTGCCAAAAATCCTCAAGCTGTATTGGATGTTTTGGAATTTTATACTGAACAGACGAAACGGGAAGAAGAAGAATCACAACAATATGATCATCATCAACAACAATATCAACGTCCTTATCAAGATCATCGCCCAGCTCCTCCCAAACCATCCTCTCAATCAAATGCTATGCCACATCGACCTCCTCCTCGCCCTGCTCCAGCTCCTCCACCACTTTCACCTCTCTCTCCTCGACGACCTGAACGTGATATGCAAGATATGATGGATGATATGTCAATTGGTCGTACACACAATCCTCATCTACCTACATCACCAAGATCTCCCAATGGCCTTACTAGTGATCACATGCAAAAGATTTCTGTAAGTTTTTTTATTTTTTATTTTTTATTTTTTTAAAAAAAGAGATGTAGTAGAGAGATATTAGTTACTAATTTTTTTTTGTTTATCTCTTTCTCTTTTTTTTTTTATTTATCTATTTATGTACACAAGGGCTATGGTGGACGAACTAGTCGAGAAGATCCTCGTTTCTATCACAATAACAAACCACCACCATCACCATCAGCATACCCTCGCATGGAACCATCCAAATCTTACAATACTGACCACTCACGATATCCTCCTTCTATGCGAACACCTGTCCGAACAAATAGTACTCATGTCCATGATGAACGTAGTGCCATTTTTGAACGGGAACGACGTGAAAGGGAAATGCGTGAACGGGAAAAGGAAAAACGGATGCTTCGTGAGAAAGAAAAAGAAAAAGAACGAATGTTACGGGAACGTGAGAAGACAGCTGCTTTAGTCTCTGCTGGTGCCCCTCCTAAGAAGAAAGTGGAACAACGAATCAGTACTTTGACCGAAGCTCAAGTGATGGAAAAGCTGCGTAAGTTTTTTATTTTTATTTTATTTTTATGTAATATGATAAGTAGGCTGATTTTATTTCATTTTATTTATTATTTAGGTGCTGTGGTTAATCGAGGTGATCCAGGTGATTCTTACAAACGTATCAAACGAGTTGGTCAAGGGTAATGATAATATATTTTTTTTTTTTCATAAAAAAAAAGATCACTCATGATTATGATTTTGACATATATATAGTGCTTCTGGATCTGTTTATGTGGCTGCTTCTCTCGCAACAAATGCCAAGGTAGCAATCAAACAAATGGATTTGGCTCAACAACCTCGCAAAGAACTGATAGTGAATGAAATCCTTGTCATGAAAGAATCTCAACATCGAAATATTGTCAACTTTTTGGATTCATATTTGGTCAAGAACAGTGAACTATGGGTAGTGATGGAATACATGGAAGGTGGAGCTTTGACAGACGTTATTGATAATAACACCATGACTGAACAGCAAATCGCCACTGTTTGTTATGAAGTAAGAGAATACCAACAAAATTTATATATATGTATGATGGTATTGAATGACATATCTTTTTCTTGCAAATAGACAACAGCTGGACTTCATCATTTACATTGTCAAAAGATCATTCATCGTGATATCAAATCTGATAATATTCTTCTCAATTTCCAAGGACATGTTAAGATCAGTGACTTTGGCTTTTGTGCGAAATTGAGCGATCAGAAACGAAAACGAGCAACTATGGTTGGCACTCCTTATTGGGTAAGTGAAAAGACATATCACACAAACTTACGCATATATATATATATGATTGTCTGATTTTTTTTTTTTAATAATATATTAGATGGCACCTGAAGTTGTGAAACAAAAAGAATATGGTGAAAAGGTGGATATATGGTCTCTGGGTATCATGGCTATTGAAATGATTGAAAATGAACCCCCTTATCTAGATGAAGAACCACTCAAAGCACTTTACTTGATTGCCACCAATGGTACTCCTACTTTGAAAAGTCCAGAAAGTTTGTCTCGAGAACTCAAGAGTTTCTTGGCAGTATGCTTGTGTGTGGATGTTAGATCAAGAGCTACTGCTGAAGAACTGTTGGAACACGAATTCCTCAAGAAGGCAGGTCCTTTGGAAATGTTGGCTCCTTTACTCAAATTCAAGAACAACAAACATTGATGATTTTTTTTTTAATTTTATTTATTCATTATATCCTTCTTTCCACTCTTTTTATTTGAACATCCTTCTTCCTTCTCCGTGTACTATCTTGTCCCTTCTTTTGTGTCTCTCTTTTTTTTTTTTATTTTTTATTTTTATTTTAATTTTTTTATTATTTATCTCTATTTATTTATTCATATATATATATATTCTTAGTTACTCCCAAAGTTATCCTTTTTATTTTGTACTTTTTGTAATAAAAAAAAAAAAACAGACGATGACGATACTCCATAACGACGGGGTGATGGGATAATGATGCGGTGATGATTGCCGAGATTAATAAGAAAAAATGAAAAAAAAGTGAACCAATAAAAACCATTGTGTTGAAATATTTCTTTTATTCGTTATTGTATATAAAAATGTTGAGAGGATAAAATTGGCAAGGGGGAGAGGGGGAATATTGAAGATATCTAATGAAAGAGTTGAATCATACCTTCCAGAATGCTTTTCAGGGTAAATTTTTTTTTTTTTTTTTTTTTTTTTTGCTGTGTGATTCAAATATAACGAAGTGAGATGATGGGAGGCATGTCATCATTTAATCAAAACAAGCACAGATAGAAGGGGAAAGAAGTGGAAATAAGAATAAAAATAATAAGAGACAAACATGTTCGATAATATAAAATATATAAAATAAAGTAAAAAAAAAAAAGTCTAAGAGATATATAGATATATAGATATGCGTATATATATATGTAAATGCGTATATGCTGTATATAGTATCCAGTCACAGTCATTGATGCTCAATTTCTTCGTTGGTGTTGTTGTTGGTATTTGTCGAATCCAGAGCCTATGGTATTTTCTTGATCTGTTGATCCTAATGATATCTTGCTAAGTAAACTGTCGACTACAATAATAAAATAATGAAGTTAGAATATAATGATATGGTAAATATTATACTCGATTCGACTTACTATTAGATTCCTCAATAGGAGAGTAAAAAGGCGAGTAATCGGTATTTATTCCTTTCTTATCGAGAGTATCACCAAAAGCTCTGGGTAAATTGCCGGTACCGATGATATTTGATGAGGATGTTGTAGATGTAACAGGCATCATTGGTGTGGAGGCTGATGGTGGTAGCGGTCGTGGCAAGGAAGAGTGATTGGTAGCTGAAGAAGACGAAGGTGACATAGAAAATGTTGTCGTCGAAGATGGGTAAGCAAGTGGTGGAGGTGATGTTTGTTGTTGATCTTGTCGTATTTTTTGTTGTTGTTGTTGTTCTTGTTGTTGTTGCTGTGGTTGCTGTGATTCTTGTTGTTGTTGTTGTTGTTGTTGTTGTTGCTGCTGCTGCTGCTGCTGCTGCTGTTGCTGTTGCTGTTGTTGTTGCTGTTGTTGTTGTTGGTGCTGTTGCTGTTGCTGTTGTCGCTGTTGTTGTTGTTGAAGTTGATATATGCTGTGATGTTGATGCTGAGGAACAATACTAGATGATCTGGATGACCGAATATGAGCAGGAGGACCTCCATTCCGGTTGTTAGGTAGCATAGAAGATATATCAGATCCGAATCCTTTTGATGACGGGATAGGCGGTGACAATGTGGTAGCAGTCGTCGATTCGTCTTGAGGCTGTTGACTCTTTGTTTGGAATGATCTATGGCGTAGATCCATAGAAGATTCAGGCATAGACTTGGTCGAGTTTACGGAATTGTTGCTTCCACTAGATGTCGATGATGTAGGTTGTATATACATTCCATGATAATCTCCAACTGCTGTATTGGCACTTGTTGGTCGTTGTGATAACCCATTCCCACTCATCATTGGCGTATATCCATGAAAATAGAATGCTGACTCGGTTCCACCATAAAACTACACGTATATATATATATATATATATATATATGAAAAAAAAAGAGAACGAGAAATATAAATATTGCATACTTGATATTCTCTCTGTTTCATTCTTTTCTCTAAACTTACCATATGTTGAGATGGATCAACCAAACCATTAGAATTCATAGTCAAAGGAGGAGAGGTCACACTTGCAAATCCATTTTGAAAACCACCATAAGGACTAAGCCATATATCCAAGTTACTGTTCGAAGTTGGGGTAGAGTGAGAAACAAGTCCACCATGATTGCTAAATCCATTCATGTAGCCACCAATCTGTGTGGGCGATGTAGGTCCAGTGACATTGTTCATTCGCATATCTTGATCATTTGTATCATAAGGAGAATCAAAAATTGCACGGATGTTGTTGTTATCACGGAAGTTTTTCCACGGAGCATTTAGAGCATTTGTACTTCCACCACTAGTCGATGGGTAATCGAATAAAGAATACGCCGGATATCCATTCTTGTTACTGCCAATAGATGGATGATGGGAAGATAAGATACCAGGTGGTGATGGAAGATCTAGCAAAAATAAAAAATGAAGAAAAAAAAAATAATCAGATCGTTTCTAATTTTTATCACGGTTCAATTTTTTTTTTTTTTTTTTTTTACCTGATGGGATCACAGAAGACAATAACTTGCTTTCAAAATGATGACTATAATTATCTGTAACTGAACTGTTGCTACTTGGTCGAGTGTTGGTGTCTGCGAGTTCATTGACCGATTCTTTGTAGAGAGGCACATGATTCTTTCGTAGATGACACACCAGAATATCCAACGCGACAGGTAAACAATCCAAATTGGCTTTACTTATTTTGAGAGGAATGGTGCAACTATTGTGAGCAAAACATTCGGTTTCATTTCCACCACCAGTGCTTGTAGGAGACATGGGCGTAGCAGCAATAGAGGGAGAAGACGATGAAGTATGTTGTCCACCACTACCAAAAGTTGTCGAATCACCATTATTATTACTATTATTAATATTATTATTATTATTATTGTTGTTGTTGTTGTTGATTTTTAACTTTGAAGCTGTAGCTAAAACTGATTCCACATCTACAGTAATATCCATTTCATGTTGAAGACGTTGGATCACCTTTTCTTGGAAACTTGATGAGGAAAGTACGGTGATTAGTAGGTTTGATAAAGGTACACGGAAGCAGTAAACATCGGATACCATATGACGCATCATTTGTGTCGCAGATTCGAGATTGGATTGAGGACCTACCAGGGTAACAATATCATTGGCTAGTTCGTGATTCGGCCAAATGATCTTGACACTTGTTTTCTTGGATACTTCTTGTAAATACGTCCGATAATCACAAAGTAAGGTACGATGGCGACGGAATGGAATAGATAGTGTTTGAATAACAAAGTCTTTATCCTTCGGGGTGATCAAATCCATTACAGCATGACGTAGATTATCCAGATTGATTTGATTCTTCATTGGAGTTCGAGCTACCACATTGTCTTCGTTACCATAATAACCACCTAAAGAAGCAAATTCTTCAGCATTGGAAAACTTGACATATACACCATATTTCTTCATGATTCTTTGGATGTTCTTGCCACCAACACCAATAATTCGTTTGTGGTAAGTTTCGGGAACATAAAAGGATATTTCAGCAGGGAGTTCTTCTTGTAATAAAGTCAAACCATCCAAAGCCTTGATGAAATTAGTAGATTCTACTTCCAAGATAAAATTGTATTCACCAAAAGGAAGGAACTTGATTTTCGCACCAGATGTTTTCATGATTTTGTTGATTTTGCCGTTCTTTTTTCCACTGATAAATTCCCGTTGATCATTCGATAATTCAACATTGAAAACAGTATCTTGATGGAATATCTATATCAAAATAATATAATAATAATTAAAAAGAAAAAAAAGTAAATAAAATGAAAATGAATCAAAATAATAAAAAAAAAAAATAAAACTAGAGAAATAAGAAATGATTACCTTCAAAAACGTCATTTCATGTAGTCGTTGATAAACATTACGAACAGCGCGTTCAGTACCAAAGACTTGAATACAACCAGGATCTGTTCGATAAGCGACTTCAGCACCAGAAACTTGAGATAAAGTTGTTGTTAAGGTGGCCAAATTGTTGATAGAATTAAAGAAGTTTGTATCAGAGTATAAACCATCCCGATCATGAAAGTAAAAACATGCTTCATATATATAACATGCCTAATAAAACCCCAAAAAGATATACCAAAAAAAGTTAATATTATTTATTATTTGTTTGTTTGTTTTTGTTTCTGAATATATATATATATAATTTTACCAGAAAATTGATAGAGCGCAAAGTTCTTTCAGCGTTGACTCTATTTTCGGCATAGACAGTGACAGTATTTGATTTTGTACCAAGAGGAGGAAGAGCAATAAAAGATCCATTGTCATGCATAATTTGACATAATTCATCTCGTCGATGTAATTGCATCCAATCCAATTTTCGAGCATCAAGAGTAGTATCTTTATGATACATTGATTTTGCCTTTTTGTATTTTTTTTTTTTTTAAAAAAAAAAAAAGAATATGAGTTTGTTTCTATTTTTGTCTTTTTTTTTTTTTTCTTTTCTGATTACCTTTTGATTCGCTAGTTTCGTCAACATATCTTTCACCCTTGATACATTTGCGGCATCACCAGTAATATAAATGGGAGGTTCATCATCATGTTCATCATCATTATTATTTGATACTTTTGTTGCATCAAAAGTTGGGAATGGTGAAGGGAAATAAATATTGATCAAGGTTTCATCGACAATAGGTTGTAAAGTTGCTCTTTTTCGTCCACATATTAAATAATGTAATTTTCTTGGTATCAATAAAGTATCAGTTCGTAAATTCATCTAATAAAAAAATAAAATATAAATATAAATATAAATATATTATAATATATATATTATTTATATATTATTTATATATTACCAATTCATCCAAAGCCACTAATAAACGTACTCTTGCCAATTCAACTTGATGAGGTAAACCAATGATAGAAAGAATCATAACATTTTCAGTTTCAAAATAAGAAACTTGTTGTTGGTTTGGAAGAGTTAAAGTAATTTGAGCTTGAGTTTCTATTCTGATTTTTTCGAATAAATTGGTATGACATGTTGGGTCGGTAAAGATCAAAGGTACATCGTTCAAAGGTATCTTTAATTCAAGTTGTATTTTCAAAGGACAGTTTTGTAATAAGTCTTTTCTTGCATTCATAACTGATTCGTGGGTTCCAGTGATTGTAATGTTATAATCAGTAGGAGTATCAACAAGAGGTACTTTGATGGCGTTTGGAAAAGTAGAGTCAGGTAAACAAGTGGTAGAGATGGATATTTGGCAAGATCCGTTGATATTGTTGCAAGTAGTTTGTATAAGACTTAAAGTAGTATCATTGATAGAATCATTGTTGTTATATTGTTTAGATTTGACCGGTGCGTAACATAAAGAAAAAGCCGTATGGGACATTTTTTCCTTGTGTTATAATAAAAAAAATATATAATAAAATGGTATCAAATATATATATAAAAAAAAGGAATAAATGAAAGAAAAGAAGAATAAAAAAAAAAGGAACGGACAGAATAAGTCAATGGTATTGAAAATAAATAAAAAAAAAAAAGAGAGAGAGACAGACAGTGAGAGGGAGAGAAAAAAAAAATAAGAAAATAAAAATAAATAGAGAGAGAGAGTGGGGAGAGAGAGAGAGAAAAAGAATTTTTTTTTTTGTTTTGTTGAGTTCAAAGACATAAAAAAAAAAAAAAATCGCAGGCATAAGTGGAAAGCCGAAACCGAGATTGAACGACAATATCCTTTTCTTTTCTTTTTTCTTTTTTTTTTTTTACTCTTTCTTACTAATATATATATATTAATCTCTTTATTATTATTATTATTATTATTATATTAGATTATTTTAATAAAGATATTCAAACATCATCATCATCAAATAGTATATATCAAATCTATATGGATTTCCTTTAACTCCACTGTTTTTTCAAAATCATTCGTCCTTGTCATTGGCTATGTTTCGAACTGTTTGTAAAAGAAAAAAAAAACTTTTTTTTTTTATGACGCGTGTCGCTAAAAAGATGACTCTTTTATATATCAAAACAAATTCCGCTGTCAATTCTTTTTCTTACACTTTAAATCTTCATTTTTTCCTATCATCTTTATTATTTTATATTTAATAGATTTATCCCATTGTTTGGATGATCGATAAAAAAAAAAGCAATTTTCATCTCAACTAAATCATAATTTTGATTGGTTAGGTGCCTTGACTACAACTTTTTTTTTTTTATTTTTGCCCATTGATTCACTGACCTGGCGGAGTTATATCGTCCAATGACATTACAAAAAAAAAACAAAAAAGAGAAAGAATTTTTTTCTAGGTTGTTTATATTTGAAATTGGCCAAAGTTGGTACCTTTTTTTTTTCACCCCTTTTCTCTTTCACTTTCTATTTCTTCCTCCCTTTTTTTCTTTCCATACTATTACCCATTACCATGGTTCGTGAAACAAAGTTTTATGATATTTTGGGTGTTTCTCCCTCTGCAACTGAAAGCGAATTGAAGAAAGCTTACCGCAAGCTTGCTTTAAAGTACCATCCCGACAAGGTAAACTATAGATTGATTAAAGAAAAAAAAAAAGGAAAAGATCTGTGCTTGATGACTAAACAAAATTATTTCCTTTTTTCTTTTCTCTTTTCTTTTTTTTTTTTTTTTTTTTTTTTTTTAGAATCCTGATGCTGGTGATAAATTCAAGGAAATCTCTCATGCTTATGAAGTTTTATCTGATACGGAAAAACGACAAATGTATGATCAATATGGGGAAGAAGGTTTGAATGGTCAAGGTGGTATGGGTGGTATGGATGCTGAAGATCTCTTTTCTCAATTGTTTGGTGGTGGTCTTTTCGGTGGTGCTGGTGGTGGTGGTCGATCTCGTGGTCCTCAAGGTCCTCGTCGTGGCAAGGATATGGTTCATCATCTTAAGGTTAGTTTGGAAGATCTTTACAAGGGCAAGTCTACCAAATTGGCTCTTCAAAAACATGTTCTCTGTGGCAAATGTAATGGCAAGGGTGGAAAAGATGGTGCTGTACGTACTTGTAATGGATGTAATGGTCAAGGTGTACGTGTTACTATTCGTCAAATGGGTCCTATGATGCAACAATTCCAACAAGCTTGTCCTGATTGTCGTGGTGAAGGTGAAATCATCAATGAAAAAGATCGATGCAAGCAATGTTTTGGTAAAAAGATCGTTGGTGAAAAGAAGATTCTAGAAGTTTTTATCGATAAAGGTATGAAGAATGGTCAAACCATCACTTTCACTGGAGAAGGTGACCAAGCCCCCAATATTATTCCCGGTGATATCATCATTGCCCTAGATGAAAAACCTCATAGCACCTTTGAACGTAATGGTGATGATCTTGTTTATCAAGCCAAGATTGACTTGTTGACTGCTTTGGCTGGTGGTCAGTTTGCTATTCCTCATTTGGATGATCGTATCTTGTTGGTTTCTGTTCTTCCTGGAGAAGCCATTCAACCCAACATGGTCAAGGTGATTCCCAACGAAGGTATGCCTGCTCATCGTCATCATACTCATGGTCATCTCTTCGTCAAGTTCAACGTTGAATTCCCTCAATCCAACTGGACCGATGAAGAAACCATTGCTAAACTTAATGGTATTCTCCCTACTCGAACTCCTTTACCTTCCCTTGGTAACAAACATGTGGATGAAGTGGTTTTAGCTGATGCTACTGGATATCAAGCTCAACGCTCTGCTCGTGCTCAATATGAAGAAGACGAAGAAGAAGAAGAAGGTCAACCTGGTGTACAATGTGCTCAAAGCTAAATAGATATTAGCCTTTTTTCTGATGGATTTTTTATTTTGTCCCATTCTATATCACAGACACATACATTTTATTTTCCTACTTATATAAATATACATTTTGTCTTCATTTCTATCTTCTATGTATTATGTTGTACCCCCCACCTTCTGTGTTTTCTTTTTCTTTTTTTTAAATCAATAAAATTTTAGATTTTCTTTTATATCCTATTCACAACATATTTTGTATATAAAAGTAACTAGTTCATTTGTTCATCACAATACAATCCAAAACAAATAGAAAGAAAAAAAATAGTTTATTGGGTGGTAAAGTATATATATAAAGGAACTATCCTACAACCACTGATGCTAGTAAATCATTCAGTTTATGACAAATTGGCCGCTTTTTGGTACAGACTAGAAACCACCTTGTCCACTTGTTTGAGAGTTTCAATGGCTGTCTCATAAGTTTTCTTTTTTTTTTTTTTTTTTTTTTTTTTTTTTTTTTATAAAAAAAAGGGAGAAATTCTGATCAGTCATCACCATCATAATAACAACACTTCTTTTTTTCTTATTTTAATTTCTTACATCTTCTTCAGGTTCATCAAATATAATTAAACAACCAGCACCTTGATCCAGAATACCATGAAAAGCTTTGTCCAAGATCATTTGTGATAGTTTTTGTTCCACTTGAGGAGAAGGAAGTTTCACCATATCAGCAATATGAGAGATTTCTACACGAGAGAATGGTTCAATGATACGTACAAGATTTTGTTCCAATAAAGTGTCGTATAGTGCAGCCAATTGAGTACGGATGATTGGATCATTGTTCAATTCTGTAGTATATGTTGCAAGTGCTGTTTCAAATTCTTGAAGATTTCGATTTTGATGTGCTGTAGCCACTGCTTTCATTGCTTCAATATCAAGTCCTGCATAACGTAAAGCCACTTTACCGTTGATGATAGAATGGACATCCTCAGCCTATATACATATATATCAACACAAAGGAAAAAAAAAATAGGATGGTTAGTCATTTAATTCATATTCACCTAATCCTTATATTTTTACTTACCAGGTTGAGCATGATTTTACATAAAAGCATATATTTCAAAGCAAGGACAGCCTTGGGATCATCTTGACTAGAATATCCTTCAAATGTTTCAAAAAAGTATGAGTACGCAGTCTTGTAATCTTTTTCTTCAGAGTGAAGAATGCCAGATTGCATATCCAAAGAAGCTTGAAGTAAAGGAGGACAATAAATAGCATTTGCAGATGTACGAGCAGAAGTCAAGGCAGCCTATGATAAGAACAAGGGGGGGAATCCAAAGTTAGTAATAGTCAATATCCCTATTTACAATAAAACTTACTCTAGCTTTAGGTAAATTCCTTAAAGCATGACAAACACGACTTTCCAATAATTGTACTTCAACCAATACCATCTTGTCATCTAATCGTTTCAGTTCCTTGAGTAATTGTGAAATGAGACTAAGAGATTCGTGATACATTTTATTTTCCAAATAAAGTGCCACCAAACGAGTTTCCAAGGATTGCTTCAGAAAGATACGTTTATCTTCATTTGCCCAGTCAATGTTTTCCTTGCATACTTGTATTTGGAGAGGTAGACAATCAGGTATTTCATTGAACATGTCAACAAGACTACGAACTATAAACAGTGGAAGGAAAAAGAGGGAAGTAAAGAAGAGATTTAGTTATTTTTATCTCAATTTGTACAGTTTGGAACTTACTGAGTTTGGCAGTTTTAGCTTTGGCAATAGATGACATGAAATCGCGAGAAGACCGAATAAGATCAGCAAGTTCTTGAGGTAATCTAAACGGAAACAAAAAAAAAAAAGTCAATATATATATATATAAGAATTTTTCAAGTTTTAAATATTTATACATACTGAAGTTCACGATAGATTTCACCTAGATGTAATAGACTAACTTCTTGTTCACGAAGAACTTGTTCATCACTGGAACGTTCACTAAGAATGGCTTTGTAAGCATGAATGGCTTGTTCCGTATTTTTCGCGTCCTTCAAAGCAGATGCATGTTGTATACGTTGTGAATGAGTTTGGTTGCTGGTTGTTGTTGCTGCCACCATAATATATTATCGATTAAAAAAAAATAAAAAAAAAATAAAAATAAAGAAAGAAAAGAAAGAGAGAGAGGGAGAGAAAAGGAGTGAGTGCTGACTTTGTATTACTTTTTTTTTTTCTATACCTTTACTCTTTTTTTTTCTTACGTACCTACTTAAAGAAAGTCACCGATGACGCTGGCAGACAGAAAGTAGACGAAAGAAAAGGAAGAGTTTCAAATTCCGTCCAATTTTTTTTCTTTTTTTTGTTGGAGTGAACGCGTAGGTCTCTCTCTCTCTCTTTTCTATTCACTTATTATTATTTAATACTCAATGTCACGTTCATCCGACGAAAACGAACTTTCCAAGATTCCTGATCTTTATCTAGCTGTAAATAGTTTAGAAATATCTACATATTATTTATTAATATTTTATTCTTTTCTTTAGCATCATCGATTTATTGTTCAACATGGACCTGACGAGTTAAAGAATGAATCGAAGAAACAACTTTTGGAAGCCATTCAAGAAAAAAGTATATAGATATATAATATTACTTTTTGTAAAATATATTATTTATTTTATTTATATTTTTATTGTAGATATGGCACCCTTCTTCAAACAAATCGCTGAAGAACTTCAAGTACCTTTGGATCAAGCTTTACTGGAACGAATGGAAACTGCTAACAAGGAACAATTACAAAAGTTTGATGATAGAGTAACAGATGCTGAACAAAACCAAGGTGAAACGGAAATCAACGATGCTCTGCTAGAGAAAGCTGACTATTATGCAATGATTGGAGACAGAGTAAGTAGTAATATAATATAAAATAATTGTGAAGATTATATTAATAATGAAAGTTTAATAATAATTTAGGACAATGCTTTGAAGGCTTATAATGGATTATTGGAAAAGTCAATCACCCTTGGTACTCGAATCGATATTGTATTTGCATTGGTCCGTATTGGCTTCTTCTTTGATGATAATGTGATGGTTCGCTCGAATATTGACAAACTCAAGGAATTGATTGAACAAGGTGGTGATTGGGATCGACGTAACAGATTAAAGGCTTACGAAGGTGTATACTTGATGTCTATCCGTGATTTTAAAGGTGCAGCTAATCAATTCATCGACACTCTCAGCACATTCACAAGTACAGAAATGATGTCATACCAAGATTTTGTCAAGTACGCAGTTTTAACCAGTATCATCAGCATGCAACGTGTGGATATCAAGAAAAAGGTAATCTTATTACCATTATTATTATTATTTTTTAAAAAAAAGGGAAGGCAATCATTAACATTTATGATATTTGGTTGATCTAGGTTTTGGATGCTCCAGAAATTTTGGAAGTAATCTCTGATATTCCTTACTTGGAAGACTATATGACTAGTTTATACAATTGCAACTATGCTCATTTCTTCCGTGCTCTTGGTAAGTTCACTTTATAGATGAATGGTGAAATCATAGGATTTCTAATTTTTTTTTTTTTTTTAGCAAATATCGAACAAACACATCTTCGAACCTCTCGCTACCTTTATCCCCATATCCGATACTATGTCCGTGAAATGCGTATTGTCGCTTATGCTCAGCTTTTGGAAAGCTACCGATCCTTAACTATCACAAGCATGGCTCAAGCGTTTGGTGTAACTGAAGATTATATTGACAGGTAAGTGCTGATAGGAAAGAAGGAAGAATAATGATTTGATTTTAATTTAAAATTTTTTTCTTGGTAGGGAACTATACAAGTTTATTGCTGCTGGTCGTCTCAACTGTGTTATTGATAAGGTGAATGGAATCATTGAAACCAATCGACCAGATGCTAAGAATGCCCAATATCAAACCGTCATCAAACAAGGGGATTTGTTACTAAATAGAGTACAGAAACTTAGCAGAGTTATTGATGTTTGAACAAATAAAGATTTCCAATTTTTTTTTCCATATATATATATATATATATCATTTTTGCTCGTTGATTAATGTGGACTATTGATTTAATGGGAAGGTGTGATACAACATAAATATATTATTCTGTTGTATAAATCATGATACATGTGATAGTATATGGAAATCTATAGTTTTCTCTTAGTTTAGTTATATGTATATATAAACTGTACATGTAGTTCCATTATTTGATTTGGAAATTGATTTACCATTCATATATGTCTGGGATTGAAATTTTGAAAAAAAAGAACCCCTGGTACTTTTTCTTTTCTTTTTCTTTTTTTTTCTTTTTTTTTTTTTTGCTCTTTCTTACGTTTCACGTTTGAATTTCCTTTTTACTGTTTCATCATAATGTTGCGTTCTTTTGCTGCCTCTCAACAATTGAAGAATGTTGCCGTTCGTCAACAAAGCCGACTTTTCGGTGCTGCTTCTGCTGCTTTGGTAAGTTGAAAGATAAACTGATAAAGAATAACATGAACTAATACATTATTATTTTGACAGCAAAAGTTCCGTTCTGAACGTGATACTTTCGGTGACCTTCAAGTCCCTGCTGACAAGTACTGGGGTGCTCAAACTCAAAGGTAAAAAAAAAAAAAATAACATTATAGAAATGATATTGGTTCTTGCTCAGAGAGAAAAAGAAAAAATGAAATTGACACTTTATCTTCAAAATAGATCCTTGCAAAACTTCAAGATTGGCGGTCCTCGTGAACGTATGCCCGAACCTTTGATTAAGGCTTTTGGTGTGGTCAAGAAAGCTGCTGCATCTGTCAACCAAACTTACGGTTTGGATCCCAAGGTCGCTGAAGCTATCCAACAAGCTGCTAATGAAGTAATACAAAAAAAAAAAAAAAATTTGTACCTTGAAATACTTACTGATTTCATATATCTAGGTGATTGATGGTTCTCTTAGCGAACATTTCCCTCTCGTTGTTTGGCAAACTGGCAGCGGTAAGGAAAAAAAAAAAAAAGAAAAGAACAGGGAAATAATTATGTGTTGTTATGATGAGGGATTCTGAGCGTTGACTTTTTTTTTTGTTTCCTTTTATCTAGGTACTCAAACTAATATGAATGTGAATGAAGTTATTTCCAACCGTGCTATTGAATTGCTTGGTGGTGAACTTGGTTCCAAGAATCCTGTTCATCCTAACGACCATGTAAACATGAGCCAATCTTCCAACGATACGTATGTTGATCTTAAAAGACAGAAAGACTTATTGTAGATTACTGATATTGATTCTTTTTTTTTTTGATTGATTTTAGTTTCCCTACTGCTATGCACGTTGCTGCCGTTGTTGAAATTACTCATCGTCTTATCCCTGCTCTTACTGAATTGCGTGATGCCATTCAAGCAAAGTCGGATGAATTTAAGGATATTATCAAGATTGGTCGTACTCATTTACAAGACGCCACTCCCTTGACTCTTGGTCAAGAATTCTCTGGTTATGCTCAACAACTTACTTATGGTATTCAACGTGTGGAAGGTTCTCTTGATCGCTTGTACAATTTGGCTCAAGGTGGTACTGCTGTCGGTAGTGGTATCAACACCCGTGTTGGTTTTGATGAAAAGGTCGCTGCCGCCATTGCTGAAATCACTGGTCTTCCTTTCAGAACTGCTCCCAACAAGGTATTTATTTTAAAATCTCAAATGATGACTCTGTTCAACTTACATATATATTTTTTTTAATATTCAATTTAGTTCGAAGCCCTTGCTGCTCATGATGCTATTGTTGAAGCTCACGGACACTTGAATACTGTTGCTGTCTCCTTGATGAAGATCTCCAATGATATCCGTTTCCTTGCCTCTGGTCCTCGATGTGGTTTGGGTGAACTCGAATTGCCTCAAAATGAACCTGGTTCTTCCATTATGCCCGGGTAATGATCATTTTTTTTTCTTATAAAAAAAAAGGAATAGATAAATTTATCTTTTATTGTTTTTATATTAATAGAAAGGTGAACCCTACTCAAGTTGAAGCTATGACTATGGTTTGCTCTCAAGTCATGGGAAATAACACTGCCGTATCTATTGCTGGTTCCAACGGCCACTTTGAAGTAAGTTATATATATATATATATATAGAATGGGGTGTTTATATAAATGTGTGATTATAATGTTTACTAATTGGGTTTTATTATTTGTTAGCTTAACGTTTTCAAGCCTGTCTTGATTAATAACCTTATTCAATCTGTCCGCCTTCTTTCTGATGCTGCTCAATCCTTCACCCAAAACTGTGTTGTCGGAATCAAGGCTAATGAAGAAAAGATTGATCGTATCATGAACGAATCCCTCATGTTGGTGACCGCTCTTAATCCTTACATTGGTTATGACAAGGCTGCCAAGTGTGCCAAGAAGGCTCATGCTGAAGGAACTACATTGAAAGAAGCCGCTATGTCCTTGGGTTACTTGTCTTCTGAACAATTTGATGAATGGGTTGATCCTAAGAAGATGTTGGGTCCTCACTAAACACTCCCACATGCATGAATTAGATTTAGATTAGATTAGTGTTTTTAAAGGCCTCAATAAAAAAAAAAATGTTTTGACTTTTTAAAGCAAGTATTTAATTGATGATTATGGCAAAATAGTTTATAATTATGGTGTTTTATGTATTTTTTGTGTTACTAGTAGTATCTTTCATCCAAAACCGTCAATTTCATATTCGACTTTCAAGTGGCTTTGGTTTATTTTTGAGCTTCTGTTCAATGCTCAACTGCTTCTGATCAGCAGCAAAAAAAAAAGAAACCCGGAGTTTCAATAGTGATCACAGGAAGACAAGGAAAAAAAAAAAAAAAAGGGTGGGTGCCAGTGCCTTTCTTTACTTTACTTTCAACTTTATGCCAATATGGTAATTTACCTTTTAATCTAAATTCACTCTTGTCAAAAACAAAACTAATAGAATGTATATTATTATTTTTAAATTATGAATTATTTTAGATACGCTGGCGTACCCTCAATAAAGGCGATGACGTTGAAGAAGTCGATAATACAGAAATTCAGGTAAATTTGTTTCTTCTATCCTTCTCCAAACCTTCAATTCAAACAAAACTATCTTCTATTTTGGTTTTGGTATTAGATTGAAAATCTCTTGGAAGCATATCAGGCAACTCTTCAAATACATCAAAGTGGACGACGTTCGGAAGCCAAAGCAGAATATGAATCCATTCTGGGCAATGATATTATGACTGACGAAGATACCGAAGTAAATCAAACAAACAAACAAAAAAAAAAAGAGATTTACTTCACCTATCCCCGTTTTGCGTGATTCTCTACTGTGAACTAACTATATATATATGTCCGGTTTTTTTTATATAGGAACAAACTAAAGGTGACGCTTTACATTCTTCTTCCTTGGTGATGCTACGATTCCTTGTGTTCAAAAATTATGCGGCTATTATTGAAGATGAATTCAACGATCTCGGTCCTTCCAATAGTGAACGCGACAGCTTGGCAGAAAAGGCCATGGAATATTATCTCAAAGTAAGTCTGAAATAAATAAAAAACTATTTTTTTTTTGAAAATTAAATGGCGTTTTTAATAATCTTTTATTACTTTTACAATCTTTAGGCTCTTATGATCGATCCTTCTGAAAGATCAATATGGTATCGTATTGGTCGTCTTGCTTCTTCCTTACAAAATCTACGTTTGGCTCGGATGGCGTTCGAAAAGGGTTTTTATTCAGATGGATCGCAACATCAACGTCAGAAATTGACATCGACTTTACTCCCGACAACTACCTCAGCTACTCATTCCGTCGAAGATAACGCTCGGGCGATACTTTGCAATCAGAACTTGTCCCCTATTCAGTGGAGGTGCTTTGAAGGATTATGTCAAGTAAGATTCAGAAAGAAAAAGAAACAAATGGAAAAGGAGATACGTGATATTCATTCCAGTTATATTTATTGGTCTTATCGATGATCCATAGGTTTTATTTGATATTGGTGATTATTCATTATGCAACATATATCTCAAACTTGGCAAGCAACGACACCCTAACTGGACAGCAGGAAAGGAACTAGAGCAAAAGATGTCAATGATTGTCATCAATGATCCTCGGGTAGTAGTAGCAACCAGCAACGGTATCTCTAGTTCCAGCTACCATATTAACATCAACTTAGAAACGGCAAACTGGACCCAACTTATCTCTGCTTTACTAGAACAATACAAAAAATTGAATCACAAAAAGAATGTACAATCAAAACGATATGTAGACATAGATGATGATGGAAAGGACAATACTATTCAATTCGTAAATCAAGTCGTACAAATATATATTGATGACCCAATGGAACAAGACGTGTCTGGCAAGAACGAATCTGGCTTTGTTAACGAAAATGATACTCTGGATACTTCAAAGGTTCAAGATCAAGCCAACAGAACGGCCAAGTTACCAAGCCTTGTGCGATCCTTACCAAATGGCACCACTACTATGGATCTCAATCCTCCTTCATCTGACATACCAGTTTTAAATAACACACAAACTGATGATAAAGCGAATGAAAACAACAAAGAGCATACGATGGAATCAAGTCTACCAGCTACTCTTGATAGGAACCTCAACATGACAGTCACGAGAAGAGATGATCATGGTACTCTACAACATTTCTTTGGAAAAGCGGCGACTTGTGTAGAGATCACAGATTTGACGGCAGATGACGATGATGATATTTCAACAGCGGATGGTTACGGAAATAGATCTTTGAAACGGAAACGGGATGATCAAACAAACAACGCTGGAAACGATGATGACAAAGATGATGATGATGAACGCGAAGAAAAGAGATCATCCTTGAGGTAAGCAATAAGCATTAGAAAAAAAGGGTGGATAGAATATGATTGGATTAAAATTTACTATAACTTCTTTTCTCTCTCTCTCTTTCTTTCTTTTTGCAACAAAAGGGCTTCGAAAAGGCAAAAAGAAAAAGTGGAAAGTGAAGAAGTCTCAAAGAAAAAAATGTTGGAAGAAGAAAATGCACTCAATAGTATGGTTCAAGATGTTTTTGATACTCTGGGGAATTTGAATGGTCTTTGCCGAAGTACACCTTGGTTTGCACCTATGACTATTGGAATTGATACGTCCATGTTGGAACATTTTTGGTCCTTCTTTGATTACAAGGTCTCCGAGTTGGGAACTACTTTTACCTGGAATTTTGGAAACTGGAAAGTAAAGTAAGTATTATCTCTATATCTATGTTTTTTAAAAGAAGAAAAAGGAAAGTTCATCATTAATGTCATTCTTATATTATAGGGATGATTTGAATTCTATTTTACCCAATGGAAAGTATCGATTTGCCAAATTTGAAAGTGATTCGTCTTTGTTACCTACATCATCTTCAAACAATGATGATTTGACCGTGCGAAAATTTATTGACTCATTGAATCATATCAACTCTGGTACACTGGACTGTCTTTGCTTAACTATCATTGCCATTCTCCAACAAATCACCAATTCGACTGACAATGTTGATGAAGCCACAATGGATTTGCTATTGGAAGCTACTGAATTGATGGGTCAAGATTTGATAAACACCTTGTCTTCTAACCGAGATCTATGTCCACAATTAGAAACCAATGAGCAGCAGTTACAGGTATGCAACATGATGATGGGATAGAAAGGAAAAAAAAAAGCATAATTACTAATTGACATTCTTCTTTTGTATTATATATCATCATTTTTATCCTCTCTCTCTCTCTCATTTCTTTCTTTTGGAATAATTAGGTGATATTGTGTTTGTCTGAAAATCTTACTGATCGACTCATCAACAGTATTAGAACGGAACAAGCTAACACTGTGACTGGAACGTCATTATCGTCAAAACAAAGAATGCTTACAGAAAAACACGCCAAAATGACTAAACATCACAAGGAACTATGTAACTTGTGGATGACTATAGTGGATCGCACTTTGATTAAAGATTCTATGGACTCGTTTGAACCTTCCTTTTTGACTCAAACTAAAAGTAAGGATATGATGATGACAAATAACAGAAAAAAGCTTCTTTCAAGGTATTGGTGGCTGAAAGGCAAGCTTGCTCAGTGTGACAATAACGTGGTTGATGCAATCCAATGGTATCAAAAATGTGAACTCCTATTTGAAATGAATGATGAAGGTGAATTGGACTCAAGGTTGCATTGGTAAGTTTTTTTTTTTTTTTTTTTTTTTTTTTTTTTTTTTTTTTTTTCCTTTTGTCATGGGTAGTAGTGGTAGTTTATATGAAAAAACAAAAGAGACTGAAAAAAAAAAACGTATATAACATTGTTTCATTTTTTTTCTAGCCAGTACGATTCTATATTGAATGGTTCTTCTATCAAACGCAAGCTACGATTATTACAGATTGGCAAATATCTTGTCGAAGTTCAGTCAAAAATGGTGGATCATGATTATGAAGGGGCATTACTAAAACTGGAACCTATTGTGCAAAAGGATTGGGATTCATCTGAATCTACCGCAACCGATGTGGGTACTCCAGTGATGACACTATTGGCCAAGGTAAATTATTTACGTATTTTCTCTCATTGGAAAGACGTATTTGGTATATTAGAAAACGTAGCATTGCAAATCTAACTTTTTTTTTTTTTTTTTTTTTTTTTACCTTCTCATTGTCTTCTGGCCAAATTAGTGTTATTTGGAGACAAACAGGTATCTAGACGCTTGGAAATGCTATGTGAAAATATTGACGGCCCTTATTTCCGAACTTGTATCATATGGTGGGGATCGCATGATGAAAGGCACTTTATTGAAAAAGGGTGACGATACTGAATTCTTTAGACTTTTGAGCTCAGTAATGCTTTGAAATGAAAATTAATTGTTTGAAATCGATACTTACCTTTGTTTTCTTTTTTTATAGATTGATCAAGTCATTGATGCTTTTATACACCTTTTACTAGACACTGAAAGTGATAGTAAGTTGGAATATATCTTTTATTACAATTTATTTTGATTCTCACTTGATTGTATCAATTGATGTTATTATAGAGTGGCTGCCGCATAATCTGGATGCTGGGTTTATAGATAGTCTGATGATTTTATTACGTACGACAATCATTTATACCTTTCGACATCCTGATTTTATTCCTCTGGTCAACAATTTTTCTAATCCTGAAATGACTCCACACGTTCCTTCAAGAAAAACGAAAATCAATTCCTATAATGCTGTTACTACGAAATCTTGGGTGTTAGTCTCCACTTTGGCACAACAAAAGATCAAGTACGACAATGATGAAAATAAGATGGTGTCATTGGCCAGTCTATTACAAAATATGCATGATGAACTTGGGGAACGCGAAGTTTGTGGTGCATCCAAAGGTAATTATTTTTAAAACAATATAAACCGTCCTACTAATGTTTTCAAAATGGTTACAATCTAGGTATCTTTTTACAACATCTTGTCCAAGTCCTTAGTGAAGTTGATGCAAACAATAATCGACGGGGAATCTATCAATGCTATCATTGTTTATATGGTGTCCATTTGGCAGTAAGTACATTTGAATACATTGATTGATATGTAGGAAATCTTGTTTTAATAACTAAAAAAACCTTTTACTGATAGGCGGAAGCTGAACTTATAGAAGAACATCATGCTGTCCATGGAACCTTGAATGAAGAAGCTGCTGAACATCTCTACAACCTTGTTATTGACGATGTATTAATGAAGATGGATCGAAATGCACCTCTGAAGAACGATTTGAGGGATGCTATTGAAACTGTTTCTGGTCTATTCGAAGAATTACCATCTGATAATTGTAAGTTGTGTCCTATTTATTCAAAATGGCTCCCTTTGCCTTGATTTACCTTCATTCTAACCTCTCTTTTTTTTTTTCTTTCTTTCTTTTTTTTTTTTCTTAGCTTATGTCCAAAGAAATCGTGCAATTATTGAAGGCTATCTTGGACGACTTGTGAATATTCACCAATCAATTCAGTCTATGTTACAACAAAGTGATTTGCCTATTGATTTGACAGAAGCAAAATCTTCTTCATCTTCATCTCTTTCCGGTAATCACTAATAACTATAGCATTTTATAGTGACATGTTATATCAAATCATATATCTTACTTTTCTTTTAAAAAAATTCTTAGTTGTGTTTGGGCATATATTCTTTATCCGTGGCAAAATTCTTCGAATGCATATCAAAAATCGACCCAAAGTTAGCTCTGAAAAAACTATGACTGATTTGGAAGAAGCCATTGAACAATTCAAAGTAAGTTTTTATTTTTATTTTTTTTTCATGCAACAATTTTATTTACATTTTTCTTTATTTATTTATTTTTTTTTATTCTCTATCCCCAGTGTCATGTGATTCTTCATCCTGATGATCATCAAGGCTGGTACGAACTTGGATGTTCTTTATCACAATTAGCAGAGGAAGAACTTACATGGAGTGCGGTCAATATCATCACACATCAAGATCAAATTATTATTTATCAAAGGGTAAGTCAACGACAGGATTTTATATATAAATATCCATTTACTTATACATTATATTTTTTTCTTTGTATCTTTGTTATAGGAAGCATTCCATTGTTTTATCAAGACCTGGCAACTATCTACTGTAGGACATCGACTAAAGAAGAAGCAATTGTTTGAATTCTTTACGAGGTTTGGTTCTTTGGTATATAGTATGGCTTGTGCACCAATGAATATGGAAGCATTTATATGGAACAAACCAGTCAAAACTTTGGATTCCACAGGTACGTTACAAGACACGAAACCAATAAAACCAAAGCCTTCCTTGGCATACAGATTATCTTTGGAACTCTTTTCCCAAGCTTTACATTACAAATCGGAAGATCACTCTGAATGGAGGTAACGAAAAAAAAAAAAAAGGAATAGTGACCGAAACTGATTCCTTTCGTTTCTTCTTTTAGAACGTTGTTTATGATTGGAAAATGTTACGGCAATCTGCACAGACCAGCAAAGGTAATCCACTTTTTCTATAGCAATATTCATCCGTACAAAATTACGATTCATTTATTCATAATTTTTTTTTTTTTTTTTTTGGCTTTTAGGAAGTGATCGGTTGGTACATGCGATCAATTAAACAGTCTCACGATACATCATCAACTGGAAATGCGCCTTTGGAACCTATATATAAATTATATTCCACTCTTGCGAAATATCTCTACACTGGAAGTATAAAAGTAAGTTTGGATTTAAGTGATTTATGAAGTATCGGTTCTCTCTCATGTCTTTGATTTTTCTTGTTTTGTTAGCCGGTTGATATTCTTCCGTATTTAGATAAAGTTTCCGCGATACAGGCCACTAACCAGCTTCATGTACCAGCATCATCATCATTATCTTCAGCAGCATCATGTTTATTACCGTCATCGTCAACAACGCCATTCACAACTGTATCAACAGTAGGATCGCCGGCGACAACTACTGTCAAAACACTTTGCCGTGCTGCCGACGATTCTAGTTCAGTGACAGGGATCGTGGATTTAACAACAGATACGAATCAAGTTGAACAACATCAAGATCTTGGTGGTATCGACAAACAGAAAGCCTTTGATCTCATATTTCAAAAATTGACTGAACTGCGGAAAGTGGACAAGAAACATTGGCAACACCGACCCGTTTATAAGGTATAGTAGAAAAAGAAAATAAATTCAAGGAAATAGATAGATTATTTATTCTTTTTTTTCTTCTTGTTTAGATTGCATGGATTTACCACAAGATCTACAAGGACGCTCGAAAAGCTAAATCGGAACTACTTCAATTATTTACTCTCAAGCAAATAAATAAAGGACTGGTCAACATTTGGAGACCCGAATTGGAAAGGTATTAAAAAAAAACAATAACAATATAATGAAAGATTGGATGGACTTGAATAACTTACGATGATCATCATATGCTGATTAGACCAGGGAAACATTTCGTATTTATCCGACAATATGTGATGTTTTTGATTGAATTGGCAAAGGAAACGAAAGATCTAGATACATTGAAGAGTCTCTGTCGAAAATTGAAAAGGGCAAGCACAACTTTACTTAATGAAGAAGAAGGTTTCAAAGCGGCATTATCAGCATATATAGAAGTAAGGGAAAGAAGAAAAAAAAAAGCTGGGCGTATCATTGCATTATATTTTTGTGTATTCATTTGCATACATATTGATGGTATAGGTATTACAAGAAGAAACTTTAAAGCCTCGACAAGGATCAACAAAGAGACAACGAATTATCAATGAATCTCTCGATAATGAACAGTTCGATTCACTATGCAAGGAACTTACGACGAAATTGACATCACTTCATACATCCAATCCAGTAATGTTACTCATTTTACATGATTTGATGGATATTAGGAGACATGCGACTGGTTTTGTTACATCTGAAGAATTGGATATTACAACACAGGAGTGCTTCGCAATACTACTTTTCGAGTATACTACTATCGAAACACTTTTTGATCGAAAGACAATGTTAGGATCGTCGTCTCCATCATCACCTCCATCATCTCCAATCTCTGATTCAGCAACACGTATGCCAATGGATGATCAATCACATCTAGTAACAACGACAACAAAGTCAAAGAATCTGCATGGTGTCGATCGTCATGGTATTAATGGTCCATCTCTCCTGCTTCGTGCAAAAGCTCTGATTGCATCTGTTTATGGAAACGTCAAAACCTAGTTTTAGTTTATTTTCCTCCGTACTTACATATTGATGATCACCCCCTTTTTTTATCATATGTTGTTATTTATTATTATGAACTGAAACCACACCAATAAAATCTGGGTTTTGTAGTAAAAAAAAAAAAAAAAAAAAGAATGGGTTTCTCGGGTGTTTAAAGTGATATGATTTGTGATGACTTTTTATTATTTATTATTGCTTATCAAACATGATGTATGATAATCATAATGATGACGATATTGATAAAAACTAACTTTAAGTAACTTTCTATCATCTGAATAAATCAATACATAAATAATAAAAAAACAATATATATATTTATCATTGTTACGGGACACGGTATTTGTCAGGTACAAAAAGAAAAATTAAAGCTGGAGAGGAAATTTGAGGTTACACGATTCAAGTAGCGCAAAAAAAAAAAGATTGAATCCAACGATCAACGATCGAGTCAAGTCTTTGCATTCCTGCACGTGTGGGCTTTGATTGGTCAATGGATTCGACAATGAATGGGTTTAACTAACATTGTTCCTATGTTTCGGTTTTTCTTTTCTTTTTATATATTCTCTATCGGTCAAAGGGGAAAGATTTAACCCTTTTCTTTTTCTTTAAAGGAACAAGGGGCTTGGCATCATAAAAAAGAAAGTTACTCCCTTTTATTTTTTTTCAGGGAATGAATGATTAACATGTTGATGATAATTTGAATTGATAAAATGTATTTAAAAAAAAAAATATTATAGTTCAAATACAAAAAAAAAAAAAAAAGAGAGCTCAGGCTACCTCAAGTGACCACACGTGGGGGTGGAGTGAGGTGGTGTGGGAGCCCATTTTAGCGAATCATCAACTTGAATTACTATCTGTGCAACTGTCACACATAGTAACGGAGTTTTTTTTTGGACTTAGGATTTCTTACCTGTCAATTATAAAATACCGATAAAAAAAAAGTTTTTTTTTTTCTTTTTAACTCTTTCTTTTCTCTTTCTTTCTCTTTTTTTTTTTTATACCTGCTTTTCCATTTTCCTTCTTCTTCCTGTTGTTTTTTTAATTTTTTTCTTCATTTTATATATTCATTATCTTGTTATAGAAAATGAAGTTTTCCCATTCTTTACAATTCAATGCTGTCCCGGATTGGATTGACAAATACGTTGCGTAAGTTATTATTATTATTATTATTATTATTATTCAACATTTTCATCAATCAAACAAATAAACAAATTAAAATTAAAACCGATTTTATTTTATTTTATTTTATTATTAAAGGTATGATCATTTGAAGAAGATTATTTTTCAACTAGAAAAAGAACGTGTGGATGCAGTCAACCAACAAGAAATACAACGACATGATGCAAATGAACAAGGAGAAACAACATCAACTAAATTGGATGAAAATGTATTTTTGACTCAACTGGATTTACAATTAGAAAAAGTATTCGATTTCTATACCCAAAAAGAATCTGAACTTTATTCTCTATTGGACGAACTTGAAGCATCTCTTGATTTGGTGGAAACTGATGAAACTGATCATTACCCAAATAACAATCCTGTTTATACCTTGGAAACTTTGGATTCTACATTGAATGTTTCTGGCACTGTAACAAGCAAAGAAGAGAAACCAACAACTAAACGACGACCTTCATTGGAATCACGTTATACTATGCATTCGACCGCTCCTTCCCATGTTCAGATGATGATGGATTTACGATCTCGATTAATTAATCTGTATGTCTCCCTCTCTGAATTGGAATCCTATATCGATTTGAACAAATCTGCCTTTCAGAAGATTCTCAAGAAACATGATAAAGTCCTCGATGGTGATTTACGAAATCAATATTTGAAGAAAATGGTACTTGATTCTCGACCTTTTATGCCTCAAACGATTCAACAACTTCAAAATCAAATCGTTCGTGTGGAAAAGTTATATGCCAGCGCTTTTTGTCATGATGATACCAATCTTGCTATCCGCCAAATGAAAACTCATCTTCGTGATCAAGTGACTTATGATCGGAATACTGTCTGGCGCGATATGATCAGTCAAGAACGAAAGAAACTCAATGCTCATGTCAAAGATCCCGTTCCTCCAAAGAAATATTCTCTTGGCCTTATCGATCTCGAAGCTTCTCTGTTACGGGAAATCTGCTTCTTTCTCCTTTCTATTGTGGTCTTTATTGTGTTACTGAATGTCCATATCTTTGAACAACAAGCCGAAAATTACTGTTTTGCTCTACTGATCTTTGCTGCCATTATGTGGGCTACTGAAGCTGTTCCTTTGTATGCTACATCATTATTGATTCCTTTTTTGATTGTCCTTCTTGGTATTATGCGAAATGCCGATGGGTCTGTGATGAATGCCAAATCTGCTGCCAAAGCTGTCTTTGCCTCCATGTTTAGTGGTACAATCATGATGTTACTCGGTGGATTCGCCTTGGCTGCTGCCTTGTCCAAATATGGTATTGCCAAAGCATTCGCTTCTCATGTACTTTCTCGTGCTGGTACTCGTCCCCGTTGGGTATTACTCGCCATCATGTTCGTATCTGCTTTCCTTAGTATGTGGATCTCCAATGTTGCTACGCCTGTCCTCTGTTTTTCCTTGATTGATCCTATTCTTCGTACTTTACCTGATCATACTACAGTTGGTTCTTGTTTGATCCTTGGAATTGCCTTGGCAAGTTGTATTGGTGGTATGACTTCTCCTATTTCTTCTCCTCAAAATATTGTCACTCTACAATACATGAATCCTAATCCTGGATGGGGTATCTGGTTTGCTGTAGCTCTTCCTATTGCTATCATCTGTGTGTTGACATGTTGGGGATTATTATTATTAATCTACCGCCCTGATCGTCATGTACCTCATCTCAACAAAATCAAACCTACTACTGGAAAAGTCACTTGGGCCCAAGGTTACGTTATGTTAATCACAATCATCACTATCGCTCTCTGGTGTGCCGAATCAAGTATTGAATATGCCATCGGTGATACAGGTATCATTGCCGCCATTCCTCTCTTTATGTTCTTTGGTACTAAAATTCTCAACAAAGATGATTTGAATGCCTTTTTATGGTCTGTTGTGGTGTTGGCTCAAGGTGGTATGGCTTTGGGTAATGCCGTTACTTCTTCTGGTCTCTTACAAGATATCGCTTTACAAATCAAAGATGGTATCCAAGATCTCCCTGTTATTGCCATCCTTGCCGTTTTTGCCTTTTTGATCTTGGTGTTCTCCACTTTTGTCTCCCATACAGTCGCTGCATTGATCATCGTGCCTATCGTTCAACAAGTTGGTCAACATCTTCCTGTTCCTCATCCAAACCTTTTGGTCATGGGCGCTGGCCTTGCTTGCTCAGCAGGAATGGTAAGAATTAGTGATTATAATCATAAGAACATGATTCTTTTTTTTAAAAAAAAAAAAGTAAGACTGGTCTTTATACTCATATTTTTTTCTTCTTCTTTATTTTTAAATAATAAATAGGGTCTTCCTGTCAGTGGATATCCCAATATGAGTGCTGTTATGTTGGAAGATCGCTTTGGTAAACCCTACTTGTCCTCTCGTGATTTCCTTATAACTGGTGTACCTACAAGTATTGTCTGTACTGTCTTGATCTTCACTCTCGGTTATGGTATTATGTCTGCTATTGGTTATTAGTTTATTTTTTGTTTTATTTTTATATGTATCCTTTATCCCTAATCATCATCTTTTTTATTATTATTATTTTTTTTTTTTCATCAATACCCTTCCATTTTAGTATAGATGTGATTTGGTTTTTTTTTTTTATTTGTTTTGTTTTTTTTTTATATATATCTTTCTCCTTTTTGTACATAATTACTTTATTATAGATCTTTTATTTGGATTATGATAGCAATAAAATGATAGTCTGTTATCAAGCTTATCAATCATCATCATTTTGTAAAATATATGCTGTGGAAATCATACGTGATGAGTAGAACATAAATACTGTATAAATCTTAGAGAAGTTTTGCACAAGGTGTATCTTGAGAATTACTGTGTGTACACCTTTTATTGTATAGCTTTTTTTTTAAATCAGATATGCTATCATCATCATCGTGGTGTCGTTCTAGTAGAGTCAAACAAAGAAAAAAAAAAAGGGGGGTCCATGTTATTTCGAAATATCAGCTGCATTTTCTTTATTGTGGAAAGTTGTAAAGCCATCAAATAACAACAATGAAAAAAAAAAAGGATACGTGGAAGAGTCTAATACTAATAATAATAATAATAATAATAAAAGTAATAAAAATAAACTATCATAAGCATTAATAATTAAAGATAAATGGTATAAAAAAGGGGATGAACGGATAGAAACAGTTTTGTTGTATTTTGTTTGTCAGTCGTTTGGGATTCAATCATCTTTTTCAGAAAAGATTTCAGTGTAAAACCTATATATATATGAGAATAATAAGAATATACAATCAGTTGGTTATTTTTTTTTTTTTATCATCTCTTCTAGAATGAATGTATTATATGACTTACTCGGATAACGATAATTTGGTTCGATTTCGTATGGACATTTCTTCAATAAATTGTTTCCGTACAACATAGGGACGAGTATAAGTATCGGTTACCACTCGACAGGCTTGATGAGCAGATATTGCAGTGTTTCGTACCATGGCACCAAGAGCATGACGACTAATCACCATTTTATCTACAAGTGGTCCGAATATCTAAAAATAAACAAGATAAGAATACATTAGTTGATTCATTATCCATTTTCGATCCGTGGTTCCCTTTTCTTTTTCTTTTTTTTTTTTTTATCGATTCTTTTACCAATGCATTTTCGTGAAGTCGTTGACTGGCCACAATGGATGCAGGCGTGTTTCCAAAAGGTGGAACTAAGATGCGAATCCAATACAATCCATCGGCAGTGTTTGATAGTGGGTGAATGAATAAATAAACCATAATTTTAGATGAATGGCTAGATGACTTGATCCGCTGAGCCAATGAAGTATAGTTTACCAAATGCTTGATCCATATTACGCAGACTCGATCTTCAGATGTTACACTTTCATGTATCTTGTCAATTGTCAGATCCTTCTCATTTGTCCAATCCGCCATGTCGCTGTTGTAAGTAATATTTCCATTTTGTTCTGTTGACGATAATGTTGTTGTTGTTGTTGGTAAAGACAAGAAGTAGGGTACATTTGCGATAAATTCCACAGTACGATCAGAATAATATGGTGTTGTCTGGCAGATACTACTATCTAATTTTCCTTTGAATCCAGTATGATGTTTCAATTCAACCTAGTTAAGGTAATAAAAGGATATTATCTCATTTGGTCATGAAATGCTATTCTTTCCCTTTCCCATCCACTGCTCACGTCCTTTTTTTTTTTTTTTTTCTTCTTACCGGCCATCCGATACAATTAAGAAATTGCATAAATGGTTCACTAAGTTTGGGTGGTTCCGTCACGATATCTGACCAAGTAGAATCACCTGAATTTGCATAGTAAATGGTAATGGAAATGCATTCCCGACTATACCAAAAGAAGAAGTAGAAAGTAAAATTCATTTTAGAATATATAAATATCTATTTTTTTTTTCTTATACATACGCATTCAAACTATCCAAAGTTTCCAATTCTGAGAGTAAAACGTCCGTTGGTCTGAGTGGTGTTATTCGATATCGATTCTGTGGAAGTAGATACCCAAATTCAGACAATATCAACCTAAATGCCTTTGAACTATCAAACCATATATAGATTATAAAAGACGTTAGCTATTGTTTTGTAGGTGAATATGGGTCCAATTTTTTTTTTCATTACTATTCAAGATCGATGTTCGAAGTGGTAGGGGAGCATTTGTAATAATGTAATGGTTTGTCTGGATTGTTTTGTAATGATAACTGTTCCGCTTGTTCTTGCTTTTCTGCTAACTTCTTGACTGATCGCCATTGTTTCCAATTGTCGGTATTTTTTTCAAAGATACTGTCAAGATGGGGTATATCGTCGTTATTTACTGCCACTGCTGTTGGTGTTGTCGTTCCAGGTAAAGGAGAGGTACCCGATAGTGGATCTTTGTGATGACTTGTTACGTTGAAATAATCCATCTTTTCCGTAGGTGTGACAACCGTTGGAGGAGATGTTGTGAGGGTAGTAGTTGGTAGTATTGATCCAGTCTGAGTGGTAGAATCGGATTGAAATTTCGGTGATGAAGGAGATGAAGGTACAGATAAAGTCGATTGTTGAGTTCCTTGTCTTGATGATTGACTGGAAGGAGATTGTTGTTGATGATCCTTGTATCTAGTTTCCATGGTCCAGATATATTTTCCAGTAGTATCCCTAATGATAGCAATTAGAGAAGGTATGTTGCGAGGATGAACCATCAAAGGTGTCTTTGTCGTAACATGAGCGGAATCATTCGCTGCTGAAGGCGAAGGTGATTGAGCATCTTCAATGAATTGTTGATCGTTATTGAAATTTGTTGCTTCAATAATTGCCAATATCATCTTATTCTCCAACAGAAAATACCGAATGTTGTCAATATCTTCAAAGTTTCTATCGGCAACTAGGTCAGGCAAGTCATTCGTTGTTGTCGTTGTTGTTCTATTCATATGTCGATATCGTAATTGTCGTAAATCGTCCTTCAATGTCATCCATTGATTATCGTGAGTCGAGTTACTTCGGAAAGAAGATCGTCCTAGTTGATTCACAAATTGAGACATGCAATATTCAGCCGCCATCCGCACAGCCATTTCTTCTTTTCGGTATCCTTGACGATGTGTATGTGTAGCTCTTGTATCATTATTATTGTTATTATTGCTAGATGATGAGGAAGCTGTTATCCTGTTGGATTTTGGCTGTAACTGGAAGAGTTGTTTTGTTGGAGGAAAAGTTGTATCGCGTCGCTTTTTCTTCTCTGTCGAAGGAGGTGTGACATCCGTGGTTCGTTCAAAAATGGTGATTCCTTTACTAAGTGTGGTTATGACAGCTTGATAACAATCACGATCATCCATAATCCATTGACTTGCTAATACCCATTTGATCATACAATTGTAAGCTTGAACAATGAGAGGGTAAGATTGTACCTAAACAGTAAATGAAGGAATTTTTCAATGTAATCATTCATAATATTGATTCTTCTCTTAGGTTTCTTACCAACTTTCGTGCATTGATCAGTGTGTCCAGGTATCGACTAAGTGCCAAAACTAATTCACGGGCAATGTTCTACCAAAAGCAAATGTGAGTATATCATGAGACACGGAATAATATAAGTGATTGTGTTTACCTTGCTATCTCTTTTCACATAGTCATAAAGATCCACAAAATCCATAAGGACGTCGAATGCCACCAGTGTCACATCAGAAGGAAGTTGCATAGTCAAAATCTAAAAAAAAAAAAAAAAAAAAAAAATAGATCTACTTTTAGTATTCTGAACTTTCTATTTAATTTTAAGCATACCTTGTCTTGTATAAGCTTGACTACAGTACCAACGAGACCAGGACAAAACGGTACATCTTCTACCACATAAACATTGATCAAATGGAGAATAAATCTCATGTTGTAGGAGGATGATTCAGTACGGAAGGCCAGCAGCAGGAGTTCCAAAATATAGAATTTCAACTATTTAGATGCAAAAAAAAAAAAAAAAAAAAAAAATGGAATCATTATATTAATTAGACGATAGAGAAAATCCATTTACTTACATTTGTATAAGGTCGTTCTACTTGAGTATTTGAATCTTCTTCATATAAAACTCGAATCTATATAAACAAAAAAAAAAAAAAAAAGAAAAGGATTAGATACTAAATATGTTATCAAGTCATCCTTCATCGTTTAACATACCAATTTAGATAACATCTGATCCTGTTCAGTCATTGGTGAAGTCGTATCAGAGGAACACTGCATATCCCATTCCCATCCAGCTTTCAGAGTAACATTTTCATAATGATTAGGTAAACACATGACGGTACCGATAATCTTGAGAGCAGCTAAACGTAAAACTTCAGTAGAGATATGAGATCTGACATCAATTTTCAATTTTGGTACCACCATTTTCGTAGCAGCAATAAAGTCGGGAACAAGCATTCGAATGCCTTTAAGGTCAGTAGCAAATAGTTCGGTTCCTGAGAGTAAAATAGTAGGTAGACAGATATCAGATTTGAGACCCAGACTTAAAGCAGCATAAAATCGTTCCAAATAAGTACGTTGAAATTCGTTCCTTCGCTGAGGTCGACAAAATACCTTGCACAAAGTCCCAATCGCTTCAGCACATCCACATTGTCGTTCATAATCTTCTATCTCCGAGGCCAATGCACAAGCATCAAATAGCATCGATCCAAACATATTCAATATGGTGTTTCCATCGGGAGGTTCATTATCAGTCCATATAGCGTCAACAGCATTCTCATTGATGGTGGCGGTGGTATTCAAGTATTGATTTCCGAGACCGTTTTTGTTGTAATTAGAATTGGTTGTCAATGATGTCGATGTACTAGCAGTGGATGAACGTAAACCAACAGTGTTAAGTGCATCTACCAGTTGACCAATACCTTTCATTGCAAGTATAAAATTGGGAGGTGATAATTGCACCGGAGGTGGAAGTAAATAAATGATTCGATGCCAGGCATATTTGACTTCATCATGCATGAGATCCAATTTGGTACTATCTTTGCCAGAAAATAGATACACTGAGTCAGTTCCTTCGTCTTGACCAAAAAGAAAATGAATGACCCGGTGTGTCAATGATAGCGAAACTAGGCTCCAATACTGTATAACTTGAGGTCGATGACACCATCTTGTAAAACAGCTCTATTTGTTCCATTCCCCCCCCCAAAAAAAAAAAGATAGATGACCATTAATATATATTTCCTATTTCAGTTTTAATTTTTACCTTCAATATATTCCACATATCAATTTCCTTGGTTCTTGACCGTAACCATAGTTCAAATAGGACCTATAGAGGATTAAGATATATTAGTATCAATTTATCTATCGCTTAGTCTTAATCTATTTACCCGTAACAACGGTTCACAAAGTTCATCAGATATATTTTTCACACCAGGAATGGGAGTTTCTCCAGAAGGTTCTTTCAACAGTGAATCAGTAATACCTAACATGACTTTCAGTAAAACAGTCCAAGTATCAGAAGATAAATCCAAAGTACGACCTGCAGTTGATATCACAGTTAGTATTCGATTACAAAGGTCAATATGTCGTTGGACAAGAGGGGCAAGAGTATCCTTGATTGTATTTGAGGTCGAGTGCTGTTGTTGTTGTTGCTGTTGTTGTTGCTGTTGTTGTTGCTGTTGTTGTTGTTGCTGTTGTTGCTGCTGTTGTTGTTGTTGCTGTTGTTGCTGTTGTTGTTGTTGTTGTGATTGTTGTGACGTACTGTTGCTGCTACTAGTATTACTCACTGTAGAACTTGGTTGAGAAGGACGTTGCTGTTGAGGTGGCATGGTAAATGGAGTAATGTTATAGTGAGCATGAACAGGGACTGTTGTCATATGGAAGTGATTATTGGTTGAGGTATCAGTTGGATTGAGACTAGTTGGTAAAGAGGGAGTTTCTATGGAGCAGGTTGGTGTTTGTAATCCTTGTTGTTGGGTTGAATCAGTATCTTTTTTAAATGTATTACTTGCAATAGCTTCCAGAGTTTGACCTTGTTGTTGATATTGTGGGATCTTTTGTTGTACATTCGATGATCGGAAAATGCGTGGTTGGAATAATAAAGAATATTGGTGAAAGATGATTTGAAAGAATTCTTGATCCAGATCTTGAGTAACAACAGCAGCCGGTCGTAGGTTTGGTTCCAAAAGCCACTGTGAATATATAGTGATACTATCGTTGGTAATATTCATATCCTCCAAAGGTAGAGCAAAACCTTGACCGATGACCTCCATATACCACTTGACATGAGCCGGGGATGAGAAAATGGATGGATCAGCTGAATATTTGGTATTTGAAGGAATAAGGAAAGATGTAATTTCGGATATCAATATACGTCTTATCGGAAGAGGAAGAGATTCCAATATATCGGTTTCTAAGTTAGAAGTATCAATATATTAGTATCTTTTCTTAAAAAAAAAATATAACTTACGCGAATCATGTTGCAGTAGCTGCAGTTGTGCTATCCAATCCAGAAACATGAAGGGTTCTCCTATTATTCCACCTGATTGTACAGAAAAGTACTATTCAGATGTCAAAGAGAAAGAAAAAAGAAAAAAAGATAAAAAGAGAAAAAGTGGTGTTCTTGGAAAAATAATACAATGCAAGCGAAAGGGTAAAAAGAAGAGAATAGAAAAAAAAAAAAGTGTATGAAGACTTTGTGGAATTTCTGGGTTTGAATAGTTTTTTTTTTTTCTTTCTTTCTTTCTTCGTTGTTGACTTTTTTATTTTTTTTTCTTTTTCTTTTTCACTCATTTTTGTTATTCCTTTTTCTTTATTTGAATCGTGTTATTTATTGATCTGAGGTTTTACTTTAAACCTTCTTCAATGAATCAATCATCAACTTCTACAGCAGAACGAAAAGAGATCAATACGAAAAAAACTTCAGAAAACACTTCACCAGTAGTCGATACACTTATGAACGCAATCAAGGACGAAACCAACAATACTACTAGTACAAACCAAACCCTTGTTAGCTCAACTCATGGACAAAGGCCAACTGCAATGCAAAAGAATGTGGCTCCCTTTTTAAATAAGGTTTACAAGTAAGTAAAATAATTAATTAAATAAATACAAACTTTGGGAATAGTTTAGATTTAACTTTTTTTTATATATATTTAACTTTGATCTGATAGTATGGTGAATGATCCTTCTTCTGATGATCTTATTCGTTGGTCTGCGGACGGAAAATCATTCTTTGTAGTTCGACATGAAGATTTTGCAAGATCTGTGCTTCCTAGATTCTTCAAACATAGCAACTTCTCTTCTTTTGTACGACAACTCAATATGTATGGTTTTCACAAGGTACCTCATTTACAACATGGTGTTCTACATTCAGACAATGATTCTGAACAGTGGGAATTTAGTAACCCTCATTTTCAACGTAATCAACCTGATCTATTATTACTTGTCACCAGGAAAAAGGGAAGAGAAACTGACGAAAAGGAACAACTAACAACAACAAACAATATTGATCTACATCATATTCTGGAAGAAATCCAAGTCATCAAGCAACATCAAATGAATATTAGCTCTCAACTGAAAAATATTCAAAATGATAACTCAGTACTCTGGCAAGAAACCATATCAGCTCGTGAAAGACATCAAAGACATCAAGAAACTATCGACAAGATCTTACGCTTCTTGGCATCTGTTTTCTCGAATGACAAATCTATGGCTATTCCAAGGAAACGACGATTTTTATTAGAAGCTCCTGATTCTGATAACAAAGCTCAACAAGATATAGGTTATCAATCATATGGAAGTTCAACTGGAGAGGAGAATGACTGTGGACGACCAACAAAAGTGAATAAAACTGGAACAACGCCTGAATTCAAATTGGAAGATTATGTTTCTGGATTACAAGGATATACTGGAATACCTTCATCATCCACAACTCTACCTGCATCGCTATCTCAAACCAAACCATCAACAAACCCAACATCTGAACTTGCTGATGCCATTGCATTAAATGACAAATCAAAACAATCTTCATGTAAGTCGAATAATACTAATAAAAATAAAAAAAAAGACTAATATATCTATTTGTTCTTTTCATATATATATGATCAATATTTTTTTTTTAGCTGTCTCATCCTTACGATCTCCAGCAACACTACCTCAAGAACTAACTCAAATGATGAGTTTGCAACAAATTCAAGGAATTCAAAGCTTGATTGGTCTTGCGCAATCGAATCCTGCTCTTTTGACTCAACTGACAACGGATATGTTCAACAATTATCATCTTGGAAATTCTGCCAATAGCGCCATACCAACAACTGGAACAACAACAACGACAACAACAAATGCAACTACAGCCACTCCTGATTATTCCCAATTTACCCATACGTTTGATCCGGCTATTTTAACTACGCTCAACAATGCTATTACAAACATCCCATCCAGTTCACAAGGTTATCTTTCATCTTCTCTTGTACCTAGTCCCAGTTCGAATCGATTTGATTCACCTGCAAACTTGACACAACCTTATTACGAATTGCCTTCCGTTATACAGCCTGTTCCAACTACACCTAGTCGAAGTTCTAGTATTACGTCTACTGCACAACTTGTCGACACCAACTCCTCTTCTAGACCAGCCACCCCTGACACCATTCTCACATCAGTACCACAACAATCAACTACGCCCACAAATACTACTCCGGCTCCTATCATAACTCCATCTAGAAATACACCCTCACTACCTCAAGTTTCCAACAATATAGAAAGTCTAGCAAAAACTGCTGATGACATCAATAGTGATATCGATACCCTTGGTTCGAATATTGAAGCTCTTGCTCAACAACTTGGATTCGATCCTACAAAAAGCAATGATGATCTTCTTGGTTATGTTGACATGGACAAATTTTTACAAGCATATGGTAAGGAAAAAAGATGATTTTAATTTCATTGATTATTATATTCCATTCTCATATTATTATTTTTTTTTATAGGTAATACTGATGACACGACAAACGCGGACAATGTTTATCCTTCTGAAACCATCAGTCCTTCAACTACAAATCCTACATCACCTACTCCCGAAAACTCTGGTCCCAATGTATAGAATTAATGAATAGTCTAGTTTTTATTTATATATATGGATATATATATATCAATAAAGATGAACAACCTTTTTTTATGTATGCCCTATTTGTATATATTATTCGTTCCAATGTGCTTTTTATTTTCGGGGAGACTAGTTATTTGGAATAGCCTGTGTGGTAACTCATAATCCATCATCAATGAAAACACTTACTCATCATCACCATTCATTCATTTTTTTATAAACTAACCATCTTTATTTCACATTTGACATTTTTCAATAATAAACATATAATTTTCAAGGACTTGTAGCGGATCTTTCGACGGGTTGTTCGGGTTTAGCAATAATCACCGTACATAAACAATGATGGGCAATATGATCACTGACACTACCAAGAAGAGCTCTATATATATATATATATAAATGCATCAGTTCCATTTTTGTCGCACAAGTTGTTTTCCTTTTTTTTTTTTTTTTTAAAAAAAAAAAAAAAAAAAAAAAAAAAAAAAAAAAAAACGGGTCTCACCTTTTAATAATGCCATAATTTCTTGATCCCACGATGACGGCATCTGCCTTGACTTCAGTAGCTTTACGTACAATTTCCGTTTTTGGATCCCCTACCATAGAAATGGCTTTACAAGCAATCTAGAATAGAGAGACTTATATTAAAACAAGTTCAGTTTTTTTTTTTTTAAGACTTACTTTTCTTTTCGCTAGTTTTGCTGCATAATGTCGTAATATATGATGACTTGCTTCTCTTCTTTCTTCTCCAATTTCATCCAAATAACCAGATGCATTGATGTAAGGAGCTACTGGTAGATCAATTTGTCGAACATTAAGTAGCATAACCTATCAAAAAAAAAAAAAAAAAAAAAACAGTGAGCCTTTTCTTAGTTCATACTTCTTTTAATGATTACCAAATCATGTTCTGGTTGAATAAAATGTTGTAAAGCCCAATAAAATGCATCCCTTCCAGAAGCTTCATCAAGACAAATACAAATAACTCGATTTACTTGTGTTGATGATGCTTCGCCTTGTTCACGTCCAGAGTTATGAATTTCCTGATCAAATTGAGGAGTGGATGTTGGTTGTTGCATAGTAGGTAGATCACCTTTTCTACCTGATGTTTCTACAGTTGGTATAGTACTCATTATGTTCAAAAAAAAAAAAAAAAAAAAAAAAAAAAAAAAAAGAGGGAGAGAGAAAAAAAAAATGAAATAATCCTTTATCATAGAATAGTAAAAAAAATGTCGCATGATTTTTCCAATGTGATCGGTGAATAAAAAAGAAGTACACAAGGTTGGTTTTTTTTCAGAGTGAAACATATTGAAAACATGTGTGATATACATTTTTTTTTTTTTATTTCATGATTAAAATATAAATAAATATAAATAAATACAATCTATTCTATTCAACGCATCCAAGCCGTCAATGCAAATCGTTCCTTTTTGGCAGGTAAAACAGCATGATCCACCACCCCACTAAGAAATATCACCACACGACCTAATAAGGGATGAATCTCACGATCAGCAGAGTCCAGACATCCTTGAGCATTTTCATTTCCAAAAATCTTCAATTCACCACCATCACCACCACAAAATCCTGGATTTAAGTAGAGAATCACCGTCACGCGTCGTTGAGAAGTATCATCAGGATTATCGGTTGGAAGAGCATCACGATGTTTTTCATATTGTGCATCCTTGGGATGATAATAAGCTAATTGATATTCTGTTTTTCCATGTAATCGAATCATTGAAGCCAAATCATCATGTAATGATCCACTGATAAAATCAAGCACTTTTTGAAGATAAGGTGGATTGATGTTATTGTTTTCTGGATCAACCCTGTTCCAACAAAGAAAAAGAGAAGGTCAATATCATTACTAGTCATGCCATTCTATTTTTTTTTTTTTTTTTTACCATTTAATCATATCATCTCGGGCATTTGTATCACGATAAGGATCTTCTTCATTGCTCTTGATTTCACTTGCAGCTGTAAATTCCCCGTTGGACAACATTGTATCAGCTTCGCGTCTTAGTCCTATAAATATAAACATATATATATATATATATAAGCAATTCAATATAACCAAGAAGAAAAGAAAGATAGAATCTTTATTTTTTTTTTGAATTACCTTTGACTACTTCGAGATCTAAAAGAGTATCCATTTGTGTCCAGCCATGTGCATAAAGATCTTCGATTGCTTTAGTTGTGAGACACTTCAGTTTCCAGTCATGTTCATGTTTCTGTGCGTTCAAGGTATTCAGTTCATGATAAAATAGACGCTGTGCTACCATGAGTGGATTATCTTGTTGATCCAAGTACTGTAATAGTTCGGTTTCTGTCATTTCCTCCACTTCTTCCACTTCCTCTTCTTCATCGGGTACATACTCAAAATCAGAGGGAAGATCACTTTGATCATCAGGAAAGTCGGGTAATTCGGTGTTGGTGGTTGCTGCTCGTAATATCCGCGATTCAAGGCCGTCTTCGTTAACAGTAGACATGTTTCTTTTTCTTGTGTATTGGGAATCAGGTAAAGAAAAGACAAAAAAAAACATGGAAGTTGGAAAAAAATGCCAACATTCAAAGGCCGCTATGTGAAGGGAAAACATAAAGAAAGAAAAGAAATAGACCATTCAAAAAAAAAAAAGATAATTTCAAGGTCATCTACGATGTATTCATTCAAACTATATATCATCTGTTTTATTTGTATAAAATAGAAAGATGATGATGTTCCTTTTTTTTTTGATTCTATCTGTACAATCATTGTCTTTTAAAATAAATGACTATGAGGAATTTGTTGAACGAGGAGGAAAGAGAGGCTGTGGGCGAATAGGTAATGATTCAAAAGGCTGAAGTGTCTCGATCATATGTAAATTGATGTAATTTTTAATCACTTGACACTGACATCTATATATGATTTTGTTGATTATTTGATTTATTTATGGGAATTTTTATTTTATTCTTACCCTCTATGAGCTAACAATTGACTTTTTAGTACAAGTATTTCTTCCTTGAGCTGTGTGATCATCCATTTCAAAGTAGCATTTCTACGGACAATACGTTCAGATTTTTTTGAAAGTTCATCCATCCATATCTTTTTTCTTTGTCGACATCTGGAGGCTATCCAAAAAAAAAAAAAAGAAAGTGAGTACGACTTTTTTTTCAAAGTGATTGTACCTGCTAAACGATTTCTCTCTAATGTTTTTTGTCGTTTTTCTTCTTCTGTGAGAACACATTCATTTTTATTTTCTTGTATTATTGATGACGATGATGATGATGTTCTAATGTTCTTGCTGGTTGATTGCATTGAATCAGGAGTCTCCAAATGAATAGATGGAATAGACTTGGTTGTGGTAGAAGAAGAAGAAGAAGATGTGATGATGGTGGGTTGATGGGACAAAACTTGATCATCACGATGTTCTGATATTGTTACAAAGTCATCATTTGGTGATAAATTCATATTTGGAAAAGAAGATTTTTTTAGAAAAAAGAAAGAAAAAGAAAAAAAAGGATAGAGAAAGTATAAATGATTATCCAAAAAGTGGGATTTCCCTTTTATGCACATCATGTTTCACTAAGAATTGTTCAAACATGCTTTAGATATACATGCGATGATCGGAGGTTCATCATCAACAACATGTTATATATTCTGTAAAAAGTATCATCAAAAACAAATAACTAGAATAATAATAATAATAAAAAAGATATATTCTTTTATTAAAAGAGAAGTATAAACACAAAATCAAGTATATATATAAAAAAAAAAAAAGAAATAGGAAGGACAGACCAAAATAGGAAACCCTAAACTACATATCTATATTTATATATATATCATAATAAAAACTAAAAATAACACTAATCCCATATCTAATCTTCACTAGGCTTCATGGCAGGGAACAATAAGACTTCCTTGATATTGTTGGAGTTTGTCAAAAACATAGTAAGACGATCCAAACCCATTCCCCATCCACCAGTAGGAGGTAAACCATATTCCAAAGCTTGACAGAAGTTTTCATCGATCACTTGAGCTTCATCATCACCAGCATCCTTATCAGAGGCTTGTTGAGCAAAACGTTCTCGTTGGTCAAAGGGATCATTCAATTCGGTATAGGCATTGCAGACTTCCTTGGTGGCAACAAATAATTCAAATCGTTCACAAAGACCATTGCGATCACGGTGCTTCTTGGCGAGAGGAGACATCATCATAGGATGACCAGTAATAAAAGTAGGAGAGATACAATTCACTTCAAGATATTCACCCACCAACTTGTCCAACATACGAGCATTAGTACGAGGAGCAGAACAGTCGATATTGTGCTTCTTCAAGAGTTCATCCAAAAACTTGTTGGTTTCTTCAGTATGGAGTTCATCACCAGGAGGGAAAGTGACGTTGAGTTTTTCTTCTAAAGTTTGAATCATGTCCATACGCTTGAAAGGAGGAGTAAAATCGATTTCCATAGCAGGTGCTTCAGGTCCTTGAGGATGATATTCAATCTTATAAGTGCCAAACAAACTATGTACCATACCAGAAATCAATTCTTCAGTCATTTCCATCAAATCATACATATCAGCATAAGCCATATAGAATTCACAAGTAGTAAATTCAGGATTGTGAGTCAAATCGATGCCTTCGTTACGGAATTGTCGTCCAATTTCATATACACGATCCAAGCCACCAACAGTCAACATCTTGAGGTAAAGTTCAGGAGCAATACGCATAAACATATCCAACTTCAAATCATTGTGGTGAGTAATGAAGGGCTTGGCAGTAGCACCACCTGCAATTTGATTCATCATAGGAGTTTCTACTTCCAAAAAGCCTTGCTTATCCAAATAAGAGCGAAGATAACTGATAATCTTGGATCGAGTAATAAACTTGTCGCGTACATTGGTATTCATAATCAAATCCAAATAACGTTGGCGGTAACGTAATTCTTGATCCTTGAAACCATAGTTAGACTTGGGTAACATACGTAAACAGGGAGACAATAATTGGATTTGCTTGGGGAAAATAGATAATTCACCACGCTTTGTCTTACCAGGACAACCAGTAACACCCACAATATCACCACGACGTAATAAATCATGAATAGCAGCAAAATCACCTTCTACATTATCAGCAGCAGAAGCCATAATTTGAATCTTGACACCTTCACCATGTAAATCATAGAATCGAAGCTTGGCTCCAGAAGCACGCTTGTTGTGGATACGTCCTGCCACAGTAACTACTTTGTCAGAAATTGATCCAGATTCAAGGTCACCATACTTTTCGATAAATTCAGGAAGACTAACATTGACTTGGAACTTGTGAGGATAAGGATTAGGTGATTGATTTTCACGAAGTTGACGAATGGACTTGCTACGTAATTCGAAGTATTGCTATAAATAAATAAAAAAAGTGGTTAGGATGAATGAATTAATGAAGATACTTTTTTATTATTATTATTATTATTCTACTTACATTGGGATTCAACTCTTCTTCACCATCTTCAGCATTCTTGGGCTTTTCATCCTTAACAGGAGCAGTAGCAACCTTGGCAGCCTTAGCAGCTTCCTTTTCCCGTTGTTTGGTACGTCTCTTCAATTCACTTTATTTCCAAAAAAAAAAAAAAAAAAAAAAGAGTGACAGGGTCAGTATGGAAAGAACAGGTACTAAAATAATAATAATACTTGATAACTTACGACTTGGAAATCATTTCACCAGTGACAGGATCCTTTTGAAGGTTCTTTTCATTAACAGCAGCGTCAGACATATTGATTGTAAAAATTATATATATAAAAAAAAAAGTAGGACAGTAAGAAAAAAGAAAAAGGAAAAAAAAAGAAAGGAGAAAAAAAAAATTGAAAGATATATAAGGCAAGAAGGAACTGATCTTCCCTCTGAACAAAAAAAAAAAAAAAAAAAAAAAAAGAGGAGTCCGACTAAATGTGAGTCACGCCTTATGTAGTTTTCCCAATCCATAGTCTCAGCCACCGTATCAAAACTGCGGATTACAATCAATCGTTCTGTTTCATACTGAACAAATATTATTCATCAAGTAGCAAAACGGAATAATAAAAAATAATGATAAAAAAAAAAAAAGGGACACTCCTGTCAAATCAAGAATTATAGTTTGAAGAAATCTTTTTTAACTTTTTATTCTCACTACCCCACTCGATTTTATTACTTTTGATAGTAGCCAATAAAATTGACTTTCTTCTCCTTGCTGCCTTGCAATGCATCAAAGTTATTTGCTTGAACCCAAAGTTCGTTCTCAGATTGGACTCTCACTTAAGAATTTATCAAGGCTTCAGCTCAACTTTATAGTTTAACACGACATTTTTTAGTGGTAAATATGATTTGATCATTAATAAAAAAAATAAAGTAAATCATAGATGATAAACACAATGTTTTAATATTAGTAATTTTATGGAATGATTGGAGATTTCAACCACAAAAATGGGATTTAAAGAATGATTAGAGCTATTTAGGGCTGTGGTTTCACTTTTTTTTTTTTGGATTTTACAGCCAAATGTTGATTGAGCCAAATTTTAGTTGTAAAGATAACTCATCAGGGGATCATCAGGTAATTTTTGGAAAAATGGATGAAATCATTTGGATGATCATTACACATTGGATGAAAAAGTAAAGGATAAAATAGTATTAGATGGTGTTAGACTATTTTTTTTTATCTAATAATAGTAATTTTATTGGATGATGACCATTGTTGGATGAGAGTTGACGATTGACTCTTATTTTTTAGTTTACTCTAGAAAGATGATTATTAATACAAGTGAATGATTTGATCTATGTTCAGTCCAAATTTGATACGATGATGATCACTTTTGAGTGCGTTGCAATAGTATACAACTGGTGGATGATTGCATATTTTATCGAAAACAGGAAAAGAAGCAATTTGATTGGCTAATTTTTGCATGAAAAAATAATAAGTCTTTTTTTTTAATTGACATTTAGTATTAGACTTTGCGAGTGTTTATATAGTATATTAATAGTAGATCATTTTCTTCGCATTCTTATTTAATAATAAAATCTTATTCAATTCTATTATCATTTCTTCACTATTTAACTAATCACCTCACAAAAAAAAAAAAAAAAAAGTAGTATAAGAATCATTTGTCAACAGAAATAATAACCAATGAGTTCATTGGCTGACGCTTATCTCCAATAAAGAAATTAAAAAAAAAAAAAAAAAGTTCTGTGCGAGGAGGTACTCCCATTTCCATTCTTGATACGTATCACATTCCAAAAAGAATCATAATAAAATGAGGAAACTTTATTCAATAAACTTTTTTCTAAAACTACGAGATATTTCATCCACAAGATCCCACACACATTCTTCTACCATATAATCACTATGACGTTGACACATGGGTTTCCAAGGTTCGGTACCTGGAGCAACAGGAGGCGGGTATTGGAAATCAGGACCAAAGTTGCATGAGACAACACCACCTTTGTATACACTAACGGCAGGATAGTAACCCAAGGATCCATCATCTGCCAAAGGAGGATCATCATTCCACTGTTGATGCTTGACATTCCCATCAAAATCTTCTTCATCCACCATCCTCATTTGTGAAGTTCCAGAGGTCATTGTTGTCGGTAACGTACTATCACTATCCTTCTTGTGTTTTCTTTTCTTCTTTTGATGCTGTGACAGAACCATATCAGGCAAACTTCCAAAATCTTCAAAATCAGTCAAGTCTTGATACATCACACCTAAGCATACTCCATTCTTGTACATAGTGATCGATGATCCAGGGATACTTTTTGGTCGGTATAAACTATCATCTTCTTTGCGATATCGATCAGCTAGAGCTTCCATTTCCTTGCATTGTCGATAATCCTTTTCTTCAAACCATATTGTATCCTTGAATGCAATTGGAATTCGTTTTCTTGTCGCACTTTTGAAATCTTGCCCTGTGCTGCCATCCTTTCCGTTTTTATGTTTTGGTGGTAATGAAATATAGAGTCCAATCACATCACCTGTTTGGTATGATTCACCATAACTTTGTGGTCGAGAGCAAAATACCTTTTCACCTGTCTTGTCACGATATCCATAACTATAAGCATCATAACCCACAGGAGCATTCAAACAAGCTAGCGTTTTTTTTTTTAAAAAAAAAAAAAGGAAGAAAAAGGCATCAAAAACTAAGTATCATCTGATTGACATCCATTTTTTTTTTTTTTTTACCTTCACGTCTTGCCCACCCTAGACGAACATGTCCACCACTATCATCATTGCTTTTTAAAACAATAGCTTCCCAATACCAATTTCCTTCCTTGACACCCACATTCGCGCGACACATTCGAAAACCTTTGTCAGTTGTCACTGTTCGTCCATCCTTAGCCACCGAGACATAAGAGCTTTTGTCTGTCATACTAAGTGTACAACCATTTCCATCTACTCCACTGATATCTGTCTGTTGATAAGCAAGATGAGGTAATACTTTGGATTTTTCACAAGGAATATACTTGAAGCCAAATCTGTTGAAGGGATGATCAGTATTACTGGAGTTACTGAACATAGCAGGTATGATTGCTGGTGTGACAGATGGTGATGAAGATCTGGGAGACGGCGTATTCGAGGCAACCCATTTTTCGACGCGTTGACTATTAGCTGTTGGATATATGGATGATGCTTCCATTCGCTGAGAGTTGAATGCTTCATCTGATTTTCGTTCTTTTGGTAGGCGTGGTATTGATGTAGTTGATTTGGTACTCGACTAAAAGAAAAGAAAAAAAGAAAAAGATAATGAGTGATTGATTATAAGTATATATATAGATATATATTTATATTAGTATTTTTTTTTTTTTTTTTACCTGTATAGGGCGTATGTGCCATAAATTGGCATCATTCAATCCAAAATCTGCTGCTGCAGATCGTTGACGTTCATCCTTAGAAGTAAATATTTCTTTTGTAGAGTATAAACAACTTCCTAAAGTGGCCCACCTATGAATACCCAAAAAAAAAAAACCCAATATTATATATATAAATATCTACACTATTTTATTTTCTTCTTTAATTTACCATGTAGTAGTTCTGGCACGATCAGTACAAATGTCTTTCCAATGTTCGTCGACAAAAGGGATGATTTGTTTCTTGTTAAAGTAGTATTGTTCGGGTCTCCATACAGTCATGAGACTGGCATTTTTGCTGTCAAATGTAGATCGGTTTACATCACCAAGTTTATATTCAATTTGTTCCAATATCAAGTTAGCCATGGTAGTAATACAGATATCTTTCCAACTAGCGGTTGTACGTTCAAATGATTCGATACCTTTGGGGTGACATAAGCGACAGACAAAACTATAATTGATAGTGAATAAGAGAGCTGGTGGTTTTTGTATTTCTGTACAAGTTGTATGAAACCAGTTTCGACAGACTATAAAGATATAAAATAATAGTAGTTAATATACATAAAAGAAAAGAAGGAATAGAAAACCTTACGTCTACATTGAAGTGCGCCTTCAAGAAGGTTCCGGTCTTTTTGACAATAACAATATTTGTTTTGCGAATTAAGTGTATGAGTTTCATTCCAGGTAAGATCAGTCATAATGTAAAAAAAAAAAATACTCAATCGCTCTTGGTTAAGAGAACGAGTATAAAGAAGAAGAAGAAAGAAGAAGAAAAAAGAGAGAGAGAGAGAAAGGGACTGGCAACTGGGAAAATTCAAAACGATGTAGAATCGGATTTCGAAATTACATACACATAAAGTGCTGTGATTCACGAACTTCCTCAATTCATGTTATTGAATCACTTTATAAGTATCTTTGTCATCGTTAGGTTATTTTTATCAACCATCCACTAATTCAAGTGTATCTATCATTATCATCATCATTAATTATTATATAATCATCCTCTTTTTTTTTTTGTCTGATTTCACTATTAAAAAAAAGACAGCAATAAAATACACTGTATGTATGTTTCGTACTTCTAAGCTAAATAAATCATTCTTTTTTTTTTTTTCTTTAAAAAGTGTCAATTTTTGGAAGAAGATTAAACTCATCAAGTAAATATGGAATCATAGAAATATCGATTTCATGCATTCATACTTTATCATTATGTTTTCTATGATGATTTTCTATAAATGATGAATACTTTTTTCTTTTGAAATTACCTGTTTTTATTTTTATTTTAAACTATCCCATACTTATTTCTTTTTTTTTCCAAAAAGTTTGCTTGGAGGATGGATGTTGACAGATCTTGTTACTTTGTGGCAAAATCATTCCATTTTTGGACGCTGAGTGCGAAAAGAAAGTTTCAACAAAACAATAAGTTCATTGACCTTTTTTTTTTTTTTTTCTCATTCTTTTATTTTCCTTCCAATATGCCAAAATACAGAAAAGATACCAAGACACAAACGAAACCATATACACGATCAAAAGGTCAGATTGGTAAATCAAATGTATCTGAAGATATCGACAAGAAAAGAAAACGCCCCGTTACAAAATCTGAAAAAGTAAAGAATGCTAGTCTTACTGATCAACTCGATGGCTTGATGGATGATTTATCAACACACCTGACTCAATCTAACAAGAAAAAGAATAAAACAAAGAATAAGGCAACCCTGGAAACTGAAAAGGTAATAAAGAATAAGAATTGATTCAACCGTTTAACTTTTATTTTCTTTTTCTTTAGATTTTGGAACGCAATAGAATCGAGGCAGAACAACGACAATACGAACAAACACAAAATGACTTGGATGATGCTTTGGGACTTTTGACAAAACTATAATTTGGGCTTTTTATACTTTGTACATAGACAGTAGCTCTAGATCTTCTTTTATATATATATATATAATAAAATCTTAACATTCATATTCATCTTTCAAGGACAAAAAGACAAACGTTTGATAATTTTGTGACAAAAACAAAATGGAGATAAAGTCGTTTTTATTTCAAGGGGATAACAATTTGGGAAAAAAAAAAAGAAGAGACTAAAAAAATAATAGAAAAAACGATGATTGCAGAAGAAGAAAGGACTAAGATAACTACTAACTAGAAATTCTTTGTTCATTTCATCTTTCCAAAAAAAAAAAAAAAAAAGAGTGATCAATGATAAATAAAAAAAGTGCATAAAAAAAAAAAAGAAAATTAGAAACACTTTCTGTGGACAATGGAAGGACCACTTTCGTCGTATTCTTGCTTGGAGATCCACATTTGTTGGAAAGTAGAAAGAGAGGCAAGAATAGAACCACCAATCCAGACAGAGTACTTGCGTTCAGGAGGAGCAACAATCTTGATCTTCATGGAGCTAGGAGCAAGAGCAGTGATTTCCTTTTGCATACGGTCAGCAATACCAGGATACATAGTGGTACCACCAGACTATAATAAATAAAAAAAACCAATATATCCATTAGTCAAAAACTCATATAACTATATATATATATATATATATATATATATATTCCTTTTTCGGATCCATACTTACCATAACAATGTTGGAGTACAAATCCTTACGAATATCCACATCACACTTCATGATAGAGTTGTAAGTAGTTTCATGAATACCAGCAGATTCAAGACCAAGGAAAGAAGGTTGGAAAAGAGCTTCAGGAGCACGGAAACGTTCGTTGCCAACAGTGATGACTTGACCATCAGGTAATTCATAGGACTTTTCAAGAGCAGATGATTGAGAAGCAGTTTGCATTTCTTGTTCAAAGTCAAGAGCAGTATAACAGAGTTTTTCCTTGATATCACGAACAATTTCACGTTCAGCAGTAGTAGTGAAGGAATGACCACGTTCAGCCAAGATACGCATCAAGTAATCAGTCAAATCACGACCAGCCATATCCAAACGCAAGATAGCGTGGGGAAGAGCATAACCTTCGTAAATGGGTACAGTGTGAGTAACACCATCACCAGAGTCAAGCACAATACCAGTAGTACGACCGGAAGCATAAAGAGACAAGACAGCTTGAATAGCAACATAGAAAGCAGGGGCATTAAAAGTTTCAAACATGATTTGAGTCATCTTTTCACGGTTAGATTTGGGGTTCAAAGGAGCTTCAGTCAACAAAACAGGATGTTCTTCAGGAGCCACACGGAGTTCATTATAGAAAGTATGATGCCAGATCTTTTCCATATCATCCCAGTTGGTAACAATACCGTGTTCAATAGGATAACGAAGAGTCAAAATACCACGCTTGGATTGAGCTTCATCACCAACATAAGAATCCTTTTGGCCCATACCGACCATGATACCTTGATGACGAGGACGACCAACAATAGAGGGGAAGACCTAATTAAATTTTGGTAAATATTAGTTAGTACTTTTTTTTTGCCAAGTAGTACTGAGCCCAAAAAAAAAAAATCAGACGTACACACGCACACATACATATCACTCTTTTCAATACATATTCTTTTTTTTTTTTTAAAAAAAAAAAAAAGAAAGTAATGAAAAGTAAAAGAGAACAGGATAGAATCTTCCCCTCTTCACCCCTCGACTCTAACCTGTCTCCTTATCCGATACATATAAACACAACACCCACTCTCATTAGATAACACGCTTTTTTCTTATTTTTTTTTTTGAAGGGGAAAACTTACGGCACGAGGAGCATCATCACCAGCGAAACCAGCCTTACACATACCAGAGCCATTATCAATAACCAACTATTTTGATAAAAAGATGGAAAGAAAAAAAAAAAAGAATGTTTCAGTTAGTAACAAAGAATGGAAAATAGAAAAAAAAAAAGATGAAAAAAAAAAGATGAAAAAAAAATATAGGTAAGAACTTGTATATTAGACAACTAATATAAACAAGGTACCAAACACGTAAAAATATATATTTTATATAAAGAAAAAGAAACTTACGGCAGCGACTTCTTCTTCCAAATGAGAGGACATTATGTATTATTATATTCTAAAAAAGATGATGAGAAAAAAAGAAAAAAAGAGAGAAAAGAAGAAAAAAAAAAAAAAGGGAGTTGCACGTCGAGCTGGGTTGTATTTAAGGGTAAAAAAAAAACAAGTGACGCATCCAATCCCCTTTGGACAGTTTTAACCTTCGGTGTTTGGATATGGGGTCACTTTGACTGCCATCTGTTTCAGCTCCGCCTATGAAGGACATCAGTCAAAGAGCACGAGAGTTTCATGACCAGTGTACATTCTTGGCAAATAGAAAGCCTGCTTTGATCCAAAAAGAACGAGATAAAACAACTATATGTATCACATTTCAATATTTGATTTGAAATTTTATATATATATATTTCATCTTTTTTTTTTTTTTGTCTATCCCCTTTTTTTTTTTTTCTTGGTATCTTTCACTTGTCTTTTTTTTTTCTTTACTCCTTGGCAAGAATTTAAATCATCTTTTCTTCTAATATGAACTGCGGTATTTACTTGGCAAAACGACAAATGATTTGATCATCTTTTTAACTTGTTCTTTTTTTTTCATATTGTATCATCATAATCAAAATGGAGTTTTTCTCATTCTGGGAAATCATTATATGAAGTGGGGGGTAGAATGGAAAATCATCTCTTGATGTTTTCAGTTCCGAATGAATCTATTTATAGTGACAAAATTACACCGATCTTCAAAGAAAAAAATATTTGGATAAATGATGAGTTTTTTTTTTATTAATAATAATTCTATGTGTATATTGGTAAAAGAGTAAAGATATATATGCTAATCTTAAAAGAAATAAATCAATTCAATTGTAGGATGATATGGATAAAATGACACTAATGATTATGTTAATGATGATGATTGACAATGGATGATGATGAATGAATGAATGAATGAGTAATAATGGATGATGATTCTAATAATAATAATAAAAAAAGGGGGGTAGGTAACATCTATCTATATTTATTCTCTGTCACCACCAGTTTTGTTCTTTTTATTATATTGACTAGAAAGAGATTCCACTAACTTGATTTGCTGTTCAATCACTTGCTTAAGATCCATCGGTGTTTGTAATGATGATTTATTCACATATTCTTGTTGTAAATGCTGAAGTAATTGTCGAGAGGATTCTAGTACTTCTTTGAGTTCATCAAGTGTCAATCTAATTTGAGTTTTCTTTGGTATATGAGCAGGATGGAAATAATTGTTTGAAGGTGTAGTACATGAAGCAGAAGCAGGGGTAACAATATATCTTGAATCATGTTGCAGGGAAGAATAACTACTGCCAATAGGAGCAAGTGATGATGATGATGCTAATACTGAAGCATATCGACACTGCACTTTGGGAATCAATGTAATGGCTTTAGTTTTAATCATAAGAAGATGATGATAATAAATAAATAAATAAAAAAAAAAAGAATCGTCAAATATAGAGAAAGATAAAAAGAAAGTTAATGAAAAAGAGAAGAAAGAGAATAGGAAAGAGAAAAAAAAAAAAAACTTTTTTGAGGGGACATTTATATTACCTTCCGATTCGGAGTGACCTCTATTGGTTATCGTTACCTGAATCGATTACCTTTTTTTTTTTTTTTTTTAACTTTGAATTTTCTCATTTGATCGAATTTGCTTCCATTAATATGTTTTGGATTAAACTTTATCAAATCAATCAGCTACAGATAATCATGTCACTAACAGTTGGATGAAAATTGTAAATGATGTGTTATCAGTGCACGGGATCTCCAAGTGACAAGCATCACGGCTTCATCCTGTTTGAGATCCCGAACATCTCCATTTTTCTTGCTCCCTACAAGGAGCAATTACATCATATTATATAGATTGAGGGATACCACCTGTTCTAAGTCACACATCCTTCTTCCAGGTACTCGGGATTTCAAATTTGTTCTAATGTATAACGAGTTTTTATGCAATGATTGTTTGATCATGATCTTTTTTTTTTTATTTCTTATTTTTTTCCAATATGAATCGACTAAACGTTCATTTTGTTTCAGTCAGTAAGGATCATCGAATCTAAATATAAAACTACATTTTAGACATTAGTATTAATTACATCAACCTTTAATACATATCATCCGTCATCATCCCCATCATCCTTTATCATAGATAATAGTATAGGATTTTATTTCAAACAAGCTAATTTATTGCTAGAGAGTACAATTTTATTTATAAAATAAGATATACATATATAAGAGAGAAACAATGATAAAGATGGTATACCAATGATACAAAAAAAAAAAAAAATATGGGTAATCAACAGGTATATATCACTATACTAGTATAAAAAGAATGGTAATATATATAGTGAAACTAAAGAAACTATTTATTCATTTTCGACTACTTTTGCCTTTTTTGGAACACCAAAAGAACGCTTGTGTCGCATGACATTCCAATAATATTGCCAACCCACTGACATCAAGAAGAGAACAGCCACAAAGGAGAGCATGACCAGAACGGGACGTTGAATCATATAGGAATTGAAATGATTTGGATTTGCATCAAATATAAGTAACCAAGCATTCAACATACCAGTATGTGCAAAAAAATCTAAACCGAAAAGGACAAGATAAGCTCCAATGAAGGCAGTAGACATGATCAGAATATATGTTTCCAATAGATAGAGAAGAATGGCAGTGACCAAACCAACACCTATGATAAAGCAGATTTGTGCTACTTTCTATCATCATAAAAATAAAAATAAAAATCAATAAGATATAAAGATGAGTTGTAATCATATATATAACTTTACCACTGTAATAATCAGACTTGCTTTCCAAGATAGGATCCAGACAGCGAAATAAAAACCTCCAAGTCCACCCACCATGTAAATACTAATCACAAAGAAGAATACACCAAGTCCAGCACCTACAAGTCCCATGCCAGCGCTCACACAAACGTATAGAAGATCAGTATTTGGATAACCTGAAGCAGGTTCATTGTTTGTCAGTCCAATCCATGTCATCACAGCTATAAGGAAGAGAATAGTAAAAAAAAAAAAAAAAAAAAAAAAAAAAAAAAAGGTGAGATACAAATAAAATAATAATAATAATCATATCGCATCATCAACTTACCAAAGAAAACAAATCCAGTAAAACCTAATGTAGGTCTAAAGAAACGGAAACCAAACACCATAAAGTAAATACCAATCATCATGCAAACAATACCAGTCAAGGCTTGAGCTACACTAATCCCGTAACCATACGTATCTATGTCAATTAAAAAAAAAGGATTCATCAGATGAAAAGGAGACCTACTATTTTACGTTTACAAAAACTTACGCCATAGATAATCACTCCAGCACTGTTGATCACAAGTAGGAGTATTGGTAGGATTAGTACCACTAGTGGTAGCAGTCGCGGTCGCAGTAATAGTTCTTGTCACGGTCTTCACGGTACCATGGCCACAGTTAACAGTTTGAGTGACAGTTTGCCATAATTGTTGCATCTTGGGATCAATACTAATAGCTACCGCCACTTGGTTGTTGTTATCATTGTTACAAACAGACGCCCAGTTCTGATAAAGGCTAAGAGTTGCCTGAATATTGTCATCGTCGCGTTTGACTAGATACTGAGAATGAGATGGAGGTTGAGTTGGCTGTACAGGTTGTATAGATGCTGATTGTATTGAAGGAGAAGTTTGTGTTGGCATTGGTGGAATCACGTAACCACAACATGATATAATGAGAAGATAAATTGACACAATGAGGAGACACTGGTTGACTTTCATTGCTCTAGACACGTTTCAAAACTTCCCAAGAATAATAGTAAAAATAATAAAGAAGGAAGAGAAACAAAAAAAAAAAATGATATTAGGTCAATAACAAAAAAAAAATGAATACTTTTTGTATCATGATATTTATCACTAGACAACAAATGTTTTGCACTTGCCTTTCATGACCAAAAGATTGTCAAACTTGTATAAAATAGGTTTTGCCAACGTTGCCTTTTTAGGTGTTTGTTTTTGAAAAAAAAAGAAAGTAATTTCTATATATATATATAAAGAAAAAAAGGATAAGCATGTACCACCTTAATGCAAAATTTACTTCATTTTTTTTTTATTTTATTTTTATTTTTTTACCTAGTTTCATGTACATAAACATTCCAGTGTTGTTAGTCAGAAAGAGATGCGTTCCTGTTACAATGATTTTTTTTTCCTACTTCACTGTGTTATTTCAACCACCGCAGCCTATCCTAATGCATTGAGTAAAACGATCCAAAGTTTATTGAAAAACTTGAAAAAAAAAAAAAAAATAGAACAGGGACTAAATTAGAAATATCTAAATAAATATATTGACTACACTACATTATACTATACAATATGAATAAACAAAGTTGATCTACATAAAATCATCGCTAGCATTTGTAAAATTGCTGATATCTTCGCTTTCTTCACTATCATCCACACCATCATCTAAAATTGTGTCTTGAGCATCAAAGAATTCATTGTCATCCTTTTCGGAAGTATTATCATCATCATCATCATCAGCGGCGACTTGTTCCCATTTGTCAGTTTCCATCTTGTCCAACCAAGTTTTCCTACGGTAATCCTTTTCAAAGATAGGTGGAGCTCCATGTGCCATTGCCACATCCTGTTGAAGAAGACTGGTACGATACATCGACATGTCGGTTTTTTTACAGTAGAATTGATCAGTTTGTCCTCCGTTCTGCTGAAGAACCATTGATCCGTCTGGTCCTAATTCTGAGCTTCCATCATAAATAAATGAGTTCATCATGCTTTGGTTTTCCACCCGGCTGTCGTCTTCGTCATCGGTATCCTCTCCATCATCGCTTCTTGCCGCCTCCACATCCAAAAATGGATTTGCTGTCCAGTCCTTTGATCTTGATGTTGGTTGCCGTGCCTTACGCCTAATAACATGATCTGAAACCGTGTGTTGTTCTTCGTTGCGTTCATTATCGGCAGGTGAGATACTGTTCATTGATAAATCTAGGTTATCATCGTCATTGTCGTCGTTATCATCTTCGTTATTCTGATGTCGTCTATTGAACCCATCTTCATCATCCGTATCCTGGATAACAAGTTTTCGTCGTGATCGTTTTCGTTGTAGAATTGGTGAACATTCGCTTTCTCGATCAGAGCTTTTTGGTATTCGGCATTCATTGGGAGTATTTGTCAACAAAGATCGTTGTGGAGTGTCATTTAGAAGATGAGAAGGTGAATCTTTGATCTTATCATTTTCTTCTTGATGTGCTTGTTGTGGTGTTGTATCAGATATCAATATCGGTGATGATGTCGAGGGTGAAAGCTGATCCTTCTTTTTGTTATGTTCATGTTGCAGTGTTGAACGATCGAGCATATCATCGTTGATTTCCCATGAATAAACGTTGTCATCGTGCATTTCGAATGCTTCATCTTCTTCTTGTTGTTCTTTTTCTGCTGGAATATTAGACACAGTAGTCAATCTATGGGAAGCAATCATGAATATGGTAAGTAAACAATTTTTCTTCTCGTTTTCTTTATTTTATTTTACTTTTTTTTTTTTTTTTTTTTTTTTTTTTTTTTTTTTTTTTTTTTTTTTTTTTTTTTTTTTTTTTTACTTACACTTTGTTTGATATTGCTTCGTCTTGATGAGGTATATGTACATGATTATTCGGAACTGGGTCCATAAGTGTATTTACAATATTTGACTGGGCAGTAAGATTTTCCTGATGTTGTGGTATTTCATTGTTCTGGTCATCATCATGTTGTGGAGACTTTAAGGCTTGTCTTTCATCCTGTGACATCAAGTCGATCGTCTTATTTCCAAAATCATCCATAACAAAATCATCGTCTAATTCAGGTTGGTCCAAATTCAATATGTGTGACGACATTGTTTCCGAAAAAGGTGAAGTTCCAATCATTGAGAAGTCATTTCCATCATCCTTGATAACTGAGAGCCAACGGTTACTGGTGTTTCCTATCCTTTTCCATAGGAGCTGTCGAGCTTTTTCACTGAATATTGGTTGTGTCGATGACCATGTAAAATCACGTAAAAATGTTGTTGCCATTGTTGTTGGATCATCATGTTCAATCACAGATACTAAAGGGGGCAGATCATCATCAAAAAGAAATGTTGAAGCAGTGACCAGGTCGTTAGGTACTTCAGGTGTTGGTAAGTTGAACTGCAAAGTTGCCATACAGTGTTTGTAATCAGATCCGCCATCCACTTTGTTTTTCGCGATCAACATATCTTCATTCACTTCATCCCATAGATCCATATCAAAACTCCCAAATTCATCGTCATCATCATCATCGTCATCATCACCTTTGTCAGCGATCCTAGTTGGTGATTCCATAGGAATAGTAGATGCATTTGTGTTCTTGTCAGTTTTTTGTTGATCAGATTTTGCTGAGTGGAATGGTGCTACATCAGAAAGTATGACGTTGTTGCTGTCGTTGTTATGAGATGAAGAATATGGAACGTTTGTCGTAGTGTTGCTATCAAAATCGTACGAGAATCCGCCAATGTCATATCCATCATCATCGTCGCCGCCCATAACACCCTTTGTAATCAATGGCCCCATCATACTTGAATATTCATCTACCTCTTCCAAAAAGTGGTCCGGATTATCACCATCATTCACAGAATCTTCTGAATGTATGCCTTTCGTCAATAGTTGCATATTGTCGTCGTCCAAAGTGAGATCAGTACTATCCTGGAGATGATGATTTTGCTGATTTAGTAGGTTGGATGTATCACTGTTGTCAGAGTCAGTTGGTTTTCTTCGTTGAGGTATGTTGAACATGTTGGATTGTTGTCGTTGATTTGCTTGATCAGATTCAGTATCACTGGTCATATTTCTTCGTCTTGGCATTTTCAATACGTTTGATTGATCTGGTGTGCTGATGACAATAGCAGGAAAACCAGTATGATCAGATGAGTTTAACATTTCTTCTTCTTGTTTGTCTTCATCATTGCCGTATAAAATTTGATGCTCCATTTTCCGTATCAATTCGATAAATTGTGCTGTTCTATGAGAATGACCCACACGTTTTATTGGAGTTCGATGCTTTTGAAGTGAGAGGTATTTACTTGCATGTTTCAAAACTGAGACTGCTGGCCAGAATTGACCATGAGCTTGATGAATGGAAGAGCAACCGCCATTGGGAAAAGAAGCCAAAAATGTTTCAAGACCTTCTTCAGTTAGGGTACCGTCCTTTTTGAATGATGAGAACTTGTCACCTTGACGACGCCTTTTCTTTCCAGTAACAAGATTTGACAGATAATTAGTGATAGTGAGATGTTTTCGTTGTAATACTGGTTGGTAATTGTCAGGAATGATTGATGGGTTGGAAGGAAAACATTGAATGACACCATGCTTTGTAATAGCATTTTGAATGTACTTATATTTTTCATTTGCCTTGTTGAATTTTCGTTCTTCTTGTTCGGTCATAAGCATAACACAATGACCTTTTCTTCTTCGACCTGTTCGTCCCATCCGTTGAAGCTAATTATAATATATAATTATTTTTTTTAAAAAAAAAAAAAAGATAAACCATATCAATATCTTGATACAAATAAATATACTACTTTTTTCTTTCTCTTCTTCTTCTTCTTCTCCATTAGACTTACCAATCGAATAGAGGAGCTTTGAGAATCATAACAAATAATCAAATCGACTTCACCAATATCAAGACCTTCTTCACCAATACTAGTAGCAACCATCACGTTAATTTCACCTTTCTTGAACCGCTCGATTGCCTAAATTGAAGCGAGAAGAGAAAAAAAATGTAAAAAAAAACACAATTCATATATTTCTACATTTTCGTAAATTACCTGTTGTTGATCACGTTGATTCATTCCTTTCATCCCGTTTGCATCGTCAGCTTGACCAACAAATTGTGTACACCTTATCATTGGTTCATGGATGGATAAAAAATCGACAATCATTTTGACTGATATGCGTAGACTTGAAAATACAATAATCCTGGTTGAAGAAGTGTTACTTTCATTGTTGTTTTCATGTTGTTGTTGAGATTGATTCAGATGATGAAGTATGATATCGAGTAGTTTTTCCAATTTTGGGTGTCCAATGAATTCTGATCGTTCCATTTCCTGGCGTAATCGATCTAGTTGCTGATTCAATCCAAAATGATTCAGAAGCTTGTAATGTTCCTTGGGTATGTTTTTTCCATTGTCAATTTTCGAGCGTATATCTTGAAAGAGTCGATCCATAATATCCACAAAAGTAGCTACACCATAAACACAAAGGCCTTCATAAGCACGACTAAGATTTTCAGCTAATATGAAATCAAGATAGACCATCGCTTTCACCGCAGGAGTAACGTTTTTAGCGTTGATTTGATATCGTTTTCGTTCTGACATGAGCATGAAATGACTACATGCATCAGGAGAGGGATCATAAATAGCCTTGTATTTGTGTAAACGATCCAAAACTGGTCGAAAAAATTGTTGACAAAAGAAATCCGCCGTCCGTGGTACAATTCCAGTAGCCCCAGCCGTATATGCCAATTTGATAACCACCGTTTGAACACGCTTTCCAAAAGAGAATTCTTGCACATCCATAGATTCTTCAGTTCTGACTTCAATGTTATTGATACGTAGATTAGTCACCACCGCCTGTACCTTGTCGATTGCTGAACCAGGAGTAGCTGAGAGTGCGAGGACACGAAAATGTGAATGAATACGCCCTAGTTTTTCAATCACGTTGGTATATGCATAATTGCCAGTTGCACGATGAGCTTCGTCAATCACTACTAAGGATACTTTGTGCGCAGGACAGATTCCATTTGAAAGATCATTGTCAACTACCTGAGGTGTACAAAAGAATACACGTCCTTTTGCCCATTGTTCCGGTCGCTTGTTTTTTCCTACTGATCCAACCATCATGACTACATCTTTCTGAGGGATTCCACATACATCATGACATGCTTTGACTTGTTGTTCTACTAGTGGTCTTGTTGGTGCTAAAAAGATAATGATTGAATTGGGAAACCATCGATAATAGTTGTACATAATAACAGCAGCAATAAAAGTCTTTCCCAAGCCAGTAGGAATTGATACCAAAGTATTGCTAAAGAGTGCTTTTCTGACAATGTTGAATTGGTATCCACGCATCTGATTGTTGGTAGGATAAATCCAAGTAGTGATGTTTGTTCTGTCAAAAGGGTGATATGTTCGTACACTTGTTGGTGGAGGTGGAGGTGGAATTGGATCTCTCATATCGTCCGGTAATCCAAAAGTTATTCTTGAATTCGATCCTTCAGAAGATTCATTGGTATCATTGTTTGTCGTTCTATTGTTTGATCTACTTGGTCCAGCCATTGTTGTTGTTCCCTGAATATTACTTGTTGAAAAAGGTCGCGTAAAGTACGTTGCAAGAGATGATTGTGAGTTGGTACCCTTTTTGTTTCCAGTTGCCTTTTGTTTTTCGACTGTTTCAGCAGCTTGCACCAAAGCATCCACATCAATAGCTCCAAAGTCATCGTCCATATCTTCGTCGCTAATATCATTATTATCTTGAAGAATGGCAGAAGTTTCTCCGCGTTTATTGTTGTTGAGATTCAAAGATTTTGCTTGTGTTTCTTCTACCTTATCCATAGCAGCAAGGATAAGATCCATATCCGTATCCAATTCCATTTCAATATCAAATTCGTCATCATTATCATCCATGTTCAACTAAAAACAATAATGATTGTGTATTAGGAGTTGTCAAAAAAAAAAAAAAAAAAGAAAAAAGAAAAAGAAAAAAAAAAGGAAAAAAAAAGACTGCGCATTAGTGAAGTGGGAAATATTAAATGGTCGGGGTCCGTGATTTGCATTTTTTTTTTTTCTTCCACTTTTCTTTTTTTTTTTTTTTTTTTTTTAATTCAGATTCATGAAGAAGAACGAGAGGAACAAACAACCAATACCAGTTGATACTGAAGCACATCAACGCCACTTAAGAAGACAATTAGATTCTCTAGAACGTGATAACCATCAATCTTTGAACGATGTCGAAGGTCTGATCAGTGTAGCTTTGGCAGCTCAAGAACAAAATGACGAAGGTAAACTCTGTCTATTATGATAAACTTTACCAAAACTCTTTTTTTTTTATTATTATTATTATTATTTCTCTTTATTAGCACCAAGGAAATCAAGGCACAAAACCGGTACAAGCAAATCTGGTAGAGCTAGTGTATTTTCTACCAAGGCTAATCTCTCTGTACTACTGGAGGATGCTGTAAGTTGTGTTGGTGAAAAACAATTGAACAAAGTTAACCATCTATTTATGTATTTATTTTTTAACATTTGTTTTTTTTTCTTTCTTCTTTTTGTTAGCACTTGGAAGATTATTCACCTGATATCCCTACCTACTTGACATGTAATGCTGCTCCTTCTAAATACCCCCCAAGACATTTTTGTTCAGTCTGTGGCTTTTCAAGTAGTTACAAGTGCTTACGATGTGGTATGAAATATTGCTCTCTGGCTTGTTTGAACACTCATAAAGAAACAAGGTAATATAAAACCATTGTGCAATAAAAAAGAAAAAGGTATATCTAAACTATCATCATCTTTTGTTTGATTGTAATATAGGTGTATGAAGTGGACAGTGTAAATAGTAGTTGTTGTATATATAGAATAGTTGTTAGTTTAGCAGTTTATCATAGACATTACTTGTAAAAAAAAAAAGACAATAAAAATATTTATAATCTTATGAAAAAGAAAAATACATACAATATATTCATTTAAAAACGACCACTCGTTCATATCTATATGTGTTATATTTCAAACCTACAAAAACTATCTTTACCATATTTAGGCATTACCGAGAAAACAGTTTCCTACTGTGCCTTTTATATCATGGTTCCCGATCAAGGAGTAGAGCAGTTTTCAGAAGTTGTCATTTTTTTTTCTTCTTGTTGTTATTGTCATGAAGACGAATGGATGATGATTATGATTTAAACTTGCAGTAAAGAACCAAAATCTACTCTTTTCTTCGTTACGGTGTACCAATAGTATTCGGTACTATATCATCTATATCTGTAACAAGTATCATAATAAGGAAGAATGTGAATCTTCTACATAGATATAAAAAAAAAAAAAAAAAAAAGAAAAGAAAAAAAAAGAAAGGGATGTATCATATACATAACACAAGAGCTATACAGGATGAAATCTCACGGTTCAGTAAAATAGACATAGAGTATCACGTAAAAGTGTAGAGTAGTACATACATTTGATATTTACGATATTAGAAAGATAATGTTGATTTAATTCATGTCTTCATGATAAAATAATAAAAATGAGAAGATGATTTGATTTTTTATTTTTATTGAAGGAATAAAAAAGAAAAAGAAAAGAGAATCTAACTAATCTATATCATAATATATTATACTATGAGGAGAGGTAGGGAAATCTATCATTTTCTTTTGCGGCCACTACGAAGAGATTTTTCCAATAGAACACCCTTTCCATAACTTTGTTCACGTAGAGATGCCATCTTGAGATCCTTGGTTTCATTGGAGATACTTTTTCTTTTGTTGCTGTGTTCCATGATTTTGCTATCATCATTTTCCTGTCGTTGTATTTTTGATACATGAGGTTCTTCATCAACGGATGCTGTATCTGAACTATCCATCAAAGCTGCTTCGCTTCCACTCGTGTCATTTCCTGTATTGTCTGTGCTATCAATATTGTCATGTGAGCGTAAAATATGATATATCAATCCCTCGCGAGATGAAAACCGTTTTGGATGCTTGCAATCGTCATAGATACATTGAAAACATTCTTCACCAGCATGAGCAGTGGCCAAGTGTTTGACTACATTTGTCTTTCTTTTGAAACCGATATGACATGATGGACATCGTAGTGGGTTGTATCTTTCTGCGATCAGTGCCTTGGAAGTTAGGGATAAACTATATCGTCTTTTTGTTGTAGGAGGAGATTGCGGGATGACTTGTTGTACTAGGCGAAAGAATTTTGGTTGTGGTGCTTTGTTGGATTTTGCTGTTGTTTTGCTGGATGATGGAGTTTTTTCGATTGAAGTCATATCATATGCTGATGATTCGTTGTCTGGTGTTGTTGATGATGATGTTTTGCTGGGAATTAAAGGTGTTTTACCATTATATGAAGATACAACATCATTGTCATAAGTTGTCTTTTCATCAGTAGAAAACATTGCCGATGTTGATGTTGCTGGAGAAGAAGATGTTGATGGTGATAGATTAGTATGAAGGCAAGAAGTAATATCTTGCTTTATATCCAAGCGATCAGGTGAAGAAGAAAGAGATGGAGATGAATAGTAGTTTGAATCATTATTGGAATCGATCATTGTGGTGTTCGTATTGTTGTTGGTGTTACTATTTATTTTACTGATGCTATTATTACCGATATTGTTGCTGTTGTTGTTGTCGTTGTTTTCATTAATAGTACTAGTAGAGTGAAAACCATTGGAGGCCATTGTAGTAGTAGTAGTAGTAGTAGTAGTAGTAGTCGTAATAGGTTTGATTATTTTGTTGACAGTATTTGTATTGATAAGAGTTGACTTGTTCTTTGGTGGACGTCCTCTTCGTTTTGGTTGAGATTGAGTTAGACTTCCTGAGGAAGATGCGGCAAAAGTTGCTTGACCAGGAAGTTTGGAGTTGTGTTCATTACCAAGTTTTTGTCGTCTTTGATATTTTCGTTTTTGAGGGACAAACATGGTGGAGATGGAAGCATTTGGTGAAGGAGTGGTAGTAGGAGTTGTTGGATTGGATAATACAGGAGTATATAACAAGTAAAGAGGGTCAGATTTTGGGATTTTCTTCTTGTCGACGAGATGAGAGTTGGCAATATGAAAACGTAAGTTAGCTCGAGATCGGAAGACTTGATCACAGTGAGGATGCAAACATAAATAATGTCGTTTGGACTTGTGAATAGTTTGAAAGTGAGTATCAGCTTCAGTAGGAGTAGATAAATTCATATCACATATAGAACATATAGTAGGAGGATATACCGCGTCAAGTAAAGAGAGTAAAGTACCATGTCGATTTTCAATATTCAAAGAATTGGGATAAGTTTCTTGATTAGTAGGACAGTAATTGAGATTGGTAGGTGATAAAGGTAAGTTGCCTCTCCAATGTTTCTTTATTGTTGTATTTGTATTCGAATTATTATTTATGGACGACATTGAAGAGATCTTTTCCTTTTTTGATCGGATATAGAAGATCCAAATTGTATAAAGAGGGGTAAGAAGAAGAAGAAGAAAAATAAAAGAAAAACAAAGAAAGGAAAGAAAAAAAAAAAAAGAAAAGAAAAGAAAAGAAAAAAATAGACCGCTATAATAAAAATAAAAATGGAAGCAAAAAATTTTATTTTTTTTTTTTTATTTTATTCTATTTTTTTTTTTATTTTTTTTTTTTTTTTGCGAAAAAAAAAAAAGAAGTCAAAAGGCCCAAAAAAAAAAGACATCCAAATATGGCAATTCATTTTCCATTCCACCAAATGTTACAAAGGTACAATTTGTGATCTTTTTTTTATTTTTCAATATAAATATAAAACTAAACTATTATCTAGTTGCACCTTCAGGAGTTAAGAGATTTCCATAACCATATCCCTAATAAAATTCATTAATCAGTTTTTTTTTTTTTATATTACTTTACTGTTATTTTTTTTTTTTTTTTTTTTTTTTTTTTTTTTACCTTTGGACCAAATGATTTTGAATAACATCCCCGACAATAGAGATCATGATCGCGATCTTGCATATTAGTAGAATTCAATAACTTGCCGCATTGACAGCACTTTAAACAGAGTTTGTGATACTTATTACCCGCTCCTAATGCCTATATGAATATAAAATAAAAAAGAATCAATGAGCTGTATATAAATAAATATATATATATATTTACCAATTCTGCAGCATAAACGGCTTTTCCACATTTGGTACAAATATCATTTTGCACACCAAAATTGAGTTTTTTTGGAACATATCCTGTTTGATAAGGTACATAAGATGGTTTGCTTGTAGAAGTAGTAGAAGTAGTAGTAGTAGTAGTAGTAGTAGGAATAGATGGACGAGGTGGTAAATTTGGTTGTTGAATCGAAGTTTTCTTGGACCAAAACGAAGAAGGAGGTGGATCATTGGAATTAACAATACCTGTACTAGAAGAAGGTTGTTGTAATTCAAAATTACTTGGACGTGGCGGTAAGTTTGGCGTACTATTGTTGATATTCATTCTAGGTGGTAATGATGGTGAAGATAATTCATGTTTTTTCATTTCAAGGATTTCTTTTGGTGTTTTATCTTCTGTAGAAAGAAAAGCTGCTCCACCAGCTACAAATCAAACAAACAAACAAAAAAAAAAAAATTCACATACCACAGGAAAGGAGGAATGAGTGAGTTCTTTTTTTTTTTTTTTAATAAAATAAAAGCAATAAACACCTTACCGAACCCATAACCTTTTGTAACAGCGAATAAACGACTATGGCACACCTTACAATACGCCTAAATCATATAAGAAAAAAAAATATTCTTAGTTAATATATATATATGAGACTCTACTTATCAATAATTGATATTACTTCTCCTTCACGTTCTGCCAAAGTTGTTGAGTCCAATCGTTTATTACATTCCTACAAAAATCATTATCAGTCTCACTTTCGTATATATCTTTTGAGATCTTACCTTACAAGTAAGACATGTCTTATGATAAGCACCACCAGGACCAATAACCTATAGTAGTGAATATATGCTGTTTGAGTAAAAGGTTTGAGAAAGAAGAAGTAAAGTCCATTTTAAAATTACCTGTTCTGCCATGTAAACGGCTTTGGAGATATAAAAAAAAAAAAGAAAAGAAAGAAAAAGAAATTCATCATTTCAATATATCTATTATTGATATATTGTTCAAGTTAGTACCTTTTTGACATCTAGCACAATTGGGAGCACCACCAAATCTAGGAGCCATTGGTATGATTTAAAAAAAAAAAAAAAAAAAGTAAAAGGACGAACGAAAGAAAAATATAAAGAATCTCAAGCTTTTTTGTAGGAGAAATTGTATTCCCGCCTTCCTATATATCGGTGGTCATACCTGTGGTAGTCATAATCACTCTTATCAAGAAGCTCTCCAAAAAATCTACAGTTATTTCTACAGACGAATACAGATTGACAAAACTATGTTGCTACTTCCAAATGCCAGTGATTCATCCAAGAAAAAAGAAGTAAGGACAAGTCGAAAATGGTTACCAATTTATAATATAAAACAAAAATATTAAGAATGGTTTGAGGAGAAAAAAAAAAAGAAAAGAAAAAAGAGAAAGAGGATCACTGATTTTTATAGTTTCGTTGTTACTATCAAGAATAAATAATTGTTCTATTCAAGAAGTCATCATCATCATAGTGATCTATCAAATAGGAAATTCCACATTTCAAACCAAAAAGAATATATATATATATATATATATTTGGAACTCAGCGTAATAATCATTTTTGTAGGCTTTGGTTGGAATTCTCTTACTTTTCTTCTCTCTTTTTTTTTCTTTTTCTTTATTTTATTATTAATTTAGTCACCCATGGCTAGTATGATGAATAGTCCAGCACCCATGGAGGATCAAACTAAACTATTAGATGAAGTTCTAAACGTTGTTAGAATTCAAGCTCATCAGATGAACAATTGCTTGGTAAGCTTAAATGTTATTACATATATATATATGCTTGTATTTTTAAAACTAAAAGTCCCTTTCTTTTTCCTATAGGAAAACAACAAACTTATGGATGGTCTCAAACATTGTTCCAACATGTTAGCTGAATTACGAACCTCTGCTTTGACACCGAAAACATATTATGAACTTTGTAAGTTTAAAAGAAAAGAAACCGTTAGTAACAATATATATTTATATCTCTTTATTTTTTTTTTTTAAAAAAAAAAGATATGGCTGTTTTTGATGCTCTTCGTCATCTTACTATTTATCTTACTGAAGCACATCAGGCTGGTCGACATCATCTTGCTGACTTGTATGAATTAGTTCAGTATGCTGGAAACATTGTTCCACGACTTTATTTAATGATCACTGTGGGTTCTGCATATATGAGTATGCCTGATGCTCCTGTTCGTGAAATTATGCGTGATATGATGGAAATGACTCGTGGTGTACAACATCCCATTCGCGGTTTATTCTTACGACATTATCTTAGTGGTATGACTCGAGATCATCTTCCGGTAGGGGAAGGTTCTGGGTAAAAACAAAGAAAAAGAAAAAAAAAATCATTGACAAATTGATCATACAGTATATCTTGAATAATAATACTAACTATTTTTTTTTCTTTTTCCCTTTTGATGAAAAATATAGACCTGAAGGCAATATTCGCGAATCTATTGAATTTATCTTGACCAATTTTACTGAAATGAATAAATTATGGGTCCGTTTACAACATCAAGGTCATTCTCGGGATAGGGAAAAACGTGAAGCTGAGCGCCAAGAATTAAAAATCCTTGTTGGTACCAATTTAGTACGACTTAGTCAATTGGATGGTGTTGATCTCAGTATATATCAAACCGTAAGTACCAAAAAAAAAAAAAAAGCATCCTACTTGATTTTTTTTTTTACATTAATGATATCGACTTTAATTATATATATATATATATATAAAGAATATTCTTCCTGGTGTACTTCATCAAGTTGTTAGTTGTCGTGATGTGATTGCTCAAGAATATCTTATGGAAGTAATTACTCAAGTAAGTTGCAAAAAAAAAAAAAATTATAGAAAATATGGCTTATCAACAATTGACTTTCTCTTCAATTATGTTTATTTAGGTCTTTCCGGATGAATTCCATTTGCGTACACTTCAACCATTCCTTTCTGCTACTGCACAATTACATCCAAAGGTGAATGTCAAGCAAATTATTATCTCTTTAATTGATCGACTTGCAGCATACGCAGCCCGTGAAGCCGAAGGTGAAGAAGAAGTCGAAGAACCTGTCTCTGGTGTCAAGCCTCCCCAAAAGGTGGATGAAGCGAACAAAGAACAAGAAGCCACGGATGAACATCAACAAGGGGATGAAAATGGCCAAGATGAAGTCACTGATGCGAAGGATGATGCTGAAAAAAATCAAGATACCATCAAGGATGAAGGTGATGCTACTGAAAAGGATGAAAGTGCACAAGATGATACTACTACTGCTACTGTGGAAAATACTGAAGAATCCAAACCTGTCAAGAAAGTAAGGGGTATCCCTCAAGATGTGGAATTATTTGTTGTCTTTTGGAGTCAGATTGTAGAACTTGTGAAGGTAAAAAGAAAGAAGAATGGGAAGAAATAAAAATATAATAGTGTTTAGATGATCTGATTTTGAGTCTATTTACTCCTTTTTTAGGCTCGACCTGATTTGGGTATTCAAGATTTGATGGGTTTGTTGGTATCCTTGATCAATCTTTCACTGTCATGTTATCCTGAAAAATTGGACTATGTGGATCAAATTCTCACCTATGCAAAAGGCAAGATGACTGAATTCTCCGACTCGCCTGATCTTCACTCCAAAGTGACAGAGGGTAATCTTTTACGACTCCTTCAAGCACCTATTATTCAATACTCCTCGGTGCTTACACTCTTGTCATTGTCGAATTATCAGCCATTGTTAGTCATGCAACCTTTTAACACTCGCCGCGCCATCGCTCACTCTGTTGTGCAAAGCATTCGCCGAAATGAAACTATCATTGAAACTCCTGAAGATGTACATGGTGTATTGGAATTGTGTGATGTGCTTCTTCGTGATCAAAAGGATGCTCCTATGGCTCCCACCTCTGGTTATACCAATGGACGAGGACGAAATGAATTTTCCGCGATGGATCAAGAAGATTTTAAAGAAGAACAAGGTTGGATAGCCAGAATTGTACACTTGTTCCAATCCAAGGATGAAGATACTCAATTTTTGGTAAGAATATAATATATATATATATATATATATATATATATATATATATAGCTAATGATGGACAACAGGATTTTACAACAATGATGCGATTAATTTTTTTTTTTTTGAATGATGATCTAGCTATTGTCTGCCGCCCGAAAACAATTTGGTGATGGTGGTGAACGTATCCGATACACATTCCCTCCTTTAATTGTATCAGCAGTTAAGCTTGCAAGAAGATATAAAGTTCAACAAGAACAGGTATGTGTATTCATATATTAAATGACTTTGAATATAAAGGTTGATTTATTGGAATTTTATTTTATTTTAGGATGAAATCTGGGAAAAGAAAACATCAACCCTTTTCCGATTCATACATCAGGTGATATCAACTCTCAACCACAAATGCGAAGCAGCAGATATATGTTTACATCTCTTCTTGATGGCTGGGCAAAGTGCAGATGAAATTGGTTTTGAAGAAATTGCATATGAATTCTTTGTGGAAGCATTCAGTATATACGAAGAATCTATCTCAGAATCCAAGGCACAATATCAAGCAATTACTTGTATTATCGGTGCTCTTCAACAAACTCGGGTCTTCTCTGCTGATAACTATGATACTCTGATTACCAAAGCAGCTTTACATAGTGCAAAACTACTGAAGAAACCAGATCAATGTCGTGCGCTTTATCTTGCTTCTCACTTGTGGTGGAATGTGGACCAAGGAAATGAAGAAGAAACTGGTAAACCTATTTTCAAGGAAGGCAAACGTGCTTTGGAATGTCTTCAAAAGGCTCTCAAGATTGCTGATAGTTGTATGGACTCAGTTACCAATGTGGAATTGTTTGTTGAAATCTTGAATCAATATATTTACTACTTTGAAAAGGGCAACGAAGCGGTAAAAAAAAAAAAAAAATATTTTTGTTTTTTCATTTGATTCACTTTAGTTTATATATGCATATCATATAGGTTACCGTCAAGTACCTGAACGGTTTGATTGATTTGATTCACACCAATTTGAACAACATGGATGATCCTGATCAACACCCACCTACTGCCAACTCATCTTCTCTTATCCAACAAGAAGGAATTTTATCTGACTATGTTCGTCGTCACTTCCGTGCCACTCTTTTATATCTTCAAGAACGTAAAAACAGTGAAACGGTGACTGAATGGGGTGCTAAATATGATGATGTGGATTTGGGTGACTTTTAGAGGATGGAATGATTAGTTTATGATGTAGTTTATTGTAGTTTAGTATCCTTCGTATTATTAGTATACATATTTATATATCAAAGGTTGACAAATAAAATAAAAAAACACATAGTTGTACTTTATGGATTTCTTCATCGTCTGTCTCACGTGTATGATTGAATATTGTTGCTATTGATCTAATAAGATCTGAAAAAAAAAATTGGACGTATCGATGATCGATTGTAGGATGGGATCATCTGTTTCCCTGCTATTATCAGAACCTAGATTGAAAGGATGAATGATGTTATTAGCTATTACTTTGCAATCGCTGGATTCGCTATCGATGCCATTATTCCTAGTTTACAACACCAATTTTCCATATTAACCAAACAAAACACACATAAATCTTTCAATGTTGACAATCTCCAAAGAGTTTATTCAATTCAATATAGATATCCTAAAAACAAGAGGACTAAAAGACAGGGTAATAGTAAAACTACGGCGCAGTGATATTGAAGGTGTTTAAATAATTCAAACGGTATTGGTTATCGTCAGCCAAAGGACCTACAGAAAAGAGAAAAACAAAAATCATCACTAAACATAAACAAAATAAATAAAAAAAATGGATGGGTTTTACTTACGGTTGATAGGAGTCCAAAGAGGGTCTTCTTTGAATAATCGCATAGCTGTAAGATAATTGTTACTGTCAGTGGTAAACCGGTGATAGATCCCAGCAGGCTATAAAAGTGAATAAAAATAATAAAAATCGATAGGTGAGTATATATATATATATATATATGCAGTGTATATATGTAAAAAATGATGTTTACCAAGATAATCATATCACCCTTTTCCATAGCAATACGAATCCATACATCGTTCTTATCTCGAACATCGAAATAACCAGTGCCATCGAGAATATATCTGATTTCCTCATCTTCATGAAGGTGTCTACAAAAATAATAATAATAATAATAATAATAATAAAAAGATTAGAAAAAAAAATATTATCATTTGAATCCATCTTATTACTCAGCAAAGAAGGTCTTGACTTTATCTTCATAAACATCTCCCAAGGCATCAGGGGATACAGTAATCTAAGAAAGAAAAACAAAATAAGTTGAAGATATTTTAGTGTAATATAAAAAAAAGAGAGAGAGAGAGAGAGAGAAAGTGACTTACTTGGTCTCTGTTTTTATAGTTTCGTTCAGTAGCCAAGGCATCAATTTGTTGTAAAGCATCAGGTCCATCGAATTTCCAATAAAGTATACCAATGTCCTTCAAATCATCGAGTGTTGCTTCAACTCCACTATCATGAGGTTCACGTTGATCAAGGTTAGAGTTTTCAAAAATATAAGCACGCATATTACTAAACTAATGCAAGAGTGTCGAAAGGGATAAAAAAAAAACAAAGAGGAGTGGGGAGGATAAGGGAAAGGGGAAAAAAAAAAAAACACTCTATGCACAAAAAAAAAAAAAAAAGAAAAAGAAAAGAACACAGGTAGGTTATTTTCACTTGCCGAAATCAGATCATTGGTGGAAATCAGTTTGCAACAAAGCATCAACTAAAAAAACATCACGTTCCTCGATCAGACCTGAAGGAGAAAAAGGATGAATAAAAGAAATAGATTATAAAGGAGATAATCAAAGGAGACACAGAATCAACAAAAACTTGTCAAAGGACAAAAAAAAAAAAATCAAGACAACTTCATTTCCCACATGATAAAAATACAACACAATTTATTGAATAACTCATACAAGTAAAGGACTATCTATAACGGCAAATCCAGCTGCAACACCACCCTCTTTTGTTTCTACCCCTTTAGTACGTAATAAATGACCGCCAATGTTATTCACTACTTCATTTGTACCATCACTATTAAAAAAAAAAAAAGATTAGCTTTTTTGCTCGTTTTCCCTCCTTTCACCCGTCATCCCTCTCCCTCTTTTTTTTTTTATTCCTTCATCTCCCTTCTTTTCTTTCTCCCATGATCCCCCTTATTTTTTTTTTTAAAAAAAAAAAAGATGTTCTAATGAATTATACTTACTTCAAATAAACACCATAAATGCCAAGTTCACTGACCACTTGTCCATTCAGAATCACACCTTCACGTAACATCAAGTTGTCCAAAGGAGGAGTTCGTATCAAATCCATCAAGATATAAGCATTACGATCTTGTACTGAGGTTTTTTGTAAAACGGAGACAATATCATCACCATACACATTGTTGCCACCACCTTCACGTTGAGGTTTCAGAACATAACGTTGAGGATCCTGGAGGGCCATTTCGTAAGCTTGATTTCCCTCGAGACTGTCATCCAAGGGGTATAATCCTGCAAATGATTCACGGAGTTGATCTGCTGTGGCGTCATCATCTACATATCGTTCTAGTCGGCCAGGGACTGATAAGACTTGTTGTACTTTTTTTGCTCCAACCAGCTGATACGCCACAGTAGGACATTTGATAGACAGTGATCGTTCAATCGTTAACCGTGCTTCCCATTCCTAAAATGAGCATGTCAAAAAAAAAAGGACATAAATAAATAAACAAAACAAAATGCACAGACTTTTTTCTGTTTGTTGTCTTTTTTTTTTTATTTTATTACCTTTTCTGTTGGATAGTCTTCAGGGCCATAACCCGCACGAAAGTATGTCACTGCAATCTCATAACCATCACTAAAGGCCATCAATAGAAAACAATAATAACAATAATAATAATAAATTGGTAAATAATTTTTCATTGTTGCATGTTATCTCGTTATGATAGAACTTATTTTAACTTACATAGTCAATGCTTTGGTCACAGGATCCAACTTGCCATTGTTGATGACTTGTTCTAAAGATCGACGTAATAAATGAATACCGTACCTAAAAGAAAAAAATCGATCAATATATATATATATATATATAATATCAAACTACGTTACATACTTTTCCATCAAGGCATATTCAATCCATCTTTGATCAAAAGCATTTCGTTCTCCAGGTTGAACAATCATCATTACACGAGCACTATTATGCATTCAAAAAAAAAAAAAAAGATTTGTCATCAATCACACCATTTCCTTGGTCCATGAGCATATATCTATTCTTTTTTTATATATTCGCTTTACTTTGATTTTCCATAGAGTTTCCAAGCACTTGCCAGACCTTGAGCAATAGAGTCAACAGTATTATTATCAGGTAATTGATCCGCAGTGATTTGTCCTTCACCGTAATTGTCGATAGAAGAAAGAAGATACCTAAAAGAAATAAAAAAAAAAAGAGATTAATAAAGAAGAAAAAAAGGGAAGGATGAATATAGAATAAATATCTTACTTGTGTAATTCAGTAGTTCGTGTACTTAAACTCCCAAAACTTGAAGCAATTGTATTGAATTCTACTTGTTGAATACGGGCAGTATGAGCATCAGCACCAAGATCTGCGTGTAACAGATAATCACACCGATGGATTCCCAAGGATGCTGACTAAGAAAGAGAAATGAAGCTCAGATCACTGCATGTTCTTATTATTGTTCTTTTTACCTGAGCAATGCCTTCAGTTTTTACTTGAAGATAGATATCATATAATCGTTTCATAAAGTCATCCACTTGAGACAAACTATATAAATAAATAAATAAAAAGAAAAAGAAAGAATTAATGTATAAAGTTAAAAGAAGAGAATAAAGACTTACGTTTCCATGAGTTCTTTTAATAAGAGGTTATCCTTACTCATACGATGAATCAGGGTATTCCAGGGTATTTGTAAGTCCTTGGCCTTAAAGAATTCAGCACGTGGAAATGGAGTTGGATAAAGAGCTAAGGGGGCATGAGTTACAGCGGCGTTATGTTCGAAGTATTGTTGTTTTTCGGTAGTAGGTCGAACAATGAGACCATGAGCTAAAGCCCAATCAATAGCTTCTGCACGTATATGGTTCAATTGAGTAGAAGAAGATAGAGGAGGATAAATAGACATTGAGATAAAAATAGTATACAGAAAAAAAAAAAAAAAAGAAAGAAAAAGAAAATAAGAAAGAAAGAGAGGGAAAGCCCTCTTTTTTTTTTTTTTTTTTTTTTTTTTTTACTGGTGGATCGTGACGCCCCTTTTTGACATCAGTGTGTTGTTACGCAAATGCCCCCTATTAGGGAGATAGTAGCTTAAAAGGGGTATGACGAGAAATGACATGAGCAGCCGCATTAAACTTTTATATATATATATATATAGTCGGTATAAAATTCGAGATCTTCATGAAGAAGAAATATATATATATACCTTTACTCCTGTCGTGTCAAAAGAGAATAAAAAAAAAAAAGGGGGAGAATTGATACTCCAAATATTAAAATAGGAGCCATTGTTTTTTCTTTTTTTTTTTTTTTGAAAGGAGATGAATTGAAAGTGTTTCTGCAGGAGATCAGGAGTTATTCTGGGGGTGATTTCTCCAAAAAGTATATTAGGATAGGAGACGTAAGAGGATTTGAAATCGACCTTACATCGGATGTTCCTTCAATTTAACCAAAAATAGTTACACAGCACATTTGATTTCTCTTTTGAATTTTACATATAAAAAGATCAAGCTCTTTATTTTTTTTTAATTTTTATTTTTTTAATTCATTCTTATCACTTTCTTTTCTCCTTTATATTTTACATTCATGGATTCCAACAATTATTGTTTCTCACCACGGTGTCAACAACCACATGATGATCAAGTATTATCTCCTCCATTAACCCCAGCATTATCACCATATAAACGTGATTTGAATTATCGTCGTGCTTCAACCAATGATTATCATCATCCTTATTGGGTAAATCATACTGCTCCATCACCACAACAACCACGAGCTATGTCTTTTTCTGATGAAGCCGCCTCTTCAAGAAAACGACCTCTCAAACAAAACAAACATGCTTGTAGTTATCCTCGTTGTGGATGGAGTTTTAAACGCTTTGAACATTTAAAACGTCATATGTTGGTACATACAGGAGAACGTCCTCATGGTTGTCCATTCCCTGGTTGTGGTAAACGCTTCAGTCGTACTGATAATTTTCATGCTCATTATCGAACTCATGCAAAAAAGGCTCTTCAAAAGAATAATGATGATTTCATTCATCCTCCTTCTTTACCTCCTCCTCCTTCTTTACCAAATCATCTTTACAAATCAAATTTACCTACTACTTCTACTTCTCCATCTAGCAATTTAAATGTTCCCCATCCAATGTCTATGCCATCTGCCTCTCCACCTCGACCCACTCCCACTATAACATCACCTCCTTCTTCTTATCGATCAATTTTAACAAATGATCATCATCATCAACCATCACCACAGCAACAACAACAATATCAACATCAGCATCATCAGCATCATCCAATTCATCATCATCATCATCAACAACAACAACAACATCATCAGCATCATCCTCATCTTCAACATCATCAACCATTGGCATCACCTCAACATCATCATCAACAGCAACATCAACAGCAACATCAACAGCAACAACAACAGCAACAGCAACAACAACAGCAACAACAACAGCAACAGCAGCAACAACAACAAAGAGCGTCATTTGATGATGAAAAACAACATGTATGTACTCATCATCAATGTCAAAGAAGATTTAAACGATTGGAACATTTGAAGCGGCATATGCGAATTCATACTTTGGAACGACCATTTCAATGCAGTTATCCAGGATGTCAAAAAGCTTTTTCCAGAAGTGACAATTTAACCCAACATAGTAAAACCCATTTGAGATCACATGAAAATCGTGGATCAAGAAATAATAGTTACTCTGTAGATGAATCACACACTATCAATCCTAGTAATAACAATAATAATAGTAATAATACTTCAGCTTCTTCATCATCAGCATCATCATCATCTTCATCGCCTTCTTCTGGTCATCATCATCATCCTCATCCTCCTCCACCTGGTTTGCATCATGAATCTCTTGCATTTACTGACTTTATACGACCTTCTTCTTCATCATACAACAAGCATCGACAGGATCCTTCTCCATCATCATCATCACCTTCTTTACATCCAATGCTTCATTGGCAACAGCATACTGGTGATGCTACCTCTGGAAGTATCAATTGTTAGTCTTTTTTCTTTTTCTTTTTTTTTTATTATTATTATTACTATTATTATTATTATTGATTATTTACCTGTTCATTGTTAAAGTTGTTACTTACTATCTTAATTTAATTATATTCCTTAATTTCATTTTACTTTTTTCCGTCCAACAACAAATAAAGCTGCATGTGCTCTTCCATTCATTCAATCATAAAAAAAAAAAAGTTTTCTATTTTTTGCTTTATTGAAAAAAAACAAAGGTATGTACATAAAAAAAAAAAAAAATAACAAAATAAAATAAAATTATTCCTTGACAGAACCATCCCTTGGTCTATATTCTATTCCTCGTCGATCCAATTCATCCTCTACATCCTCTGGTATTCGTCCATAGACTCTAATAGCATATACTCCACGTGTGAATTTCTCTATAGATGATCAAAAAGACAGATCTGTTTTAGTATGTCACTTTCTTTTTTTTTTTTTTTTTGGAACTTACCCACTCTTTGCCATCTTGCTACCCAACTTTCAGCTGGTTGCATCATAGATATCACACTAATAAAAAAAAAAGAAAAAGAAAAAAAAAAAAGAAAAAGAAAAACCTTAAATGTCATGTCCATACTTTATATATATATCCAGTTCCCCTCCTCTTCCTTCTCTTACCCTTCAAATTTGGAGCTAGTACATTCCAATACTCTATCCGTACTTCCACGCATCTGCATTATATCTTCACAATTTTCACAACCATCTTGTCGAAACTGAGCAGCATTCTACAATAAAATACATAAATATAAAAGTTTTTGATTCAAACTGTTTCTATTCTTACCTTCACTAGTGAACATAATAAACATGCCCGTAGTTGTTTTTTATCGAGAGGTAATACTTGAGACATGATAATGATAAATGTATAATAAAAGATGAAATGTGATCAAGTGGAAAGAGAGAAAAGAGAAAAGGTTTTTTTTTTTTTTTTTTTTTCCTTTCTGGGCCTACTTATTTTCTATCGACGTCATTTTCACCCGTATTTCGGTGGTTGAAAAGAAGAAATGGAAAAATGGTTAGTGTTATGATCAACTAAACATTATTTGTATACGTGCACTTACCAAAAAGAAAACAAGAAGACCCTCCGGCTCTGAGGCACGGTCGCCACGCATCAACCCATCCAGGATGTGCGCGACGCAAAAGGATAGTGTAAATATCATAAATGGTAAAAAAAAAAAAAAAAAAAAAAAAAAAAAAAAAGAGAGAGATCCAGACAGCAAGGAAGACAGACAGACAGCAAGGAAGACAGACAGACAGCAAGGACAGACAACCAAAGGCACAACGAGGACACGAACAGCAAGGAACACGGGGAAACAAGAATCACAAACAAAAATGAGAGTGTTCTGTTGCGTGAACCAGGCGAACGGAAAGAAGAAGATACCAATAAGGAAGCAGCCAAAAAGAAGCAAATAATTTTTTTTGGATTTTTTGGGTTTTGAATTTTTTTTTTTTTTTTTTTTTTGTGTTTTGTAGAAGAAAGAAAAACAAAAGAAAGGAGAAAATAAAAAAAAAATGTCTTTTATATTGTTTTTTTATGTCCAATCCCATTGAAGCTATCAAATAATGATTATTCTATGCGATCAAGGAAATTCAACTCCGCGAAAAAAGGCTCAAATGCTCGTATCTTCTCTTTTCTTTTCTTTTTCTTTTTTTTTTTTTTGTTGTTTCCATTATATTCTAATTGTATAGTATCTGCTATTGGATAATAGAAGGTTGGTGTCTTTTGGTCGTTTTGTTATTGATGGTAGTGAAGCAACCCTTTTGTTTGGTAAGTTATCTCGACTTTTTTTATGGACTCTGGCTGTTTTTTTTTTTCTAATTTACTGTACACATTTATATGCATAGAGAACGTTTAAATGGGTACAGATCAAGATCAACTGATTGAATATACTTATTGGACCAACGTGATACGTTTGTAGTACGAATTGACTCTATATGAAAGCAATACTAAATGTGCAAAAACACCTCTGGTTGAACTTCGAAAACGGCGTGAGTACGTTAACTCAATTTATATTCATCATTTATCAAAACGTTTGGTTTTCTTCTTTTTCCTTTAAGAGATTGCAACTAATATTGAAATGACTACTTTCTTGCCGTCCTCTTCATCAACAATCAAGATATCAGGATGTGAACCAGAAATGGAACAAACTCTCGAGGATGCACCCAATATGCAAGCAAAGTTTATTATTATGGCAGGATCCTTTTTTTTTTTTTTTTGGAACAAACCTTGTAAGAAGTATTATTTTCAAGCTGATGGTGATCCGTGTGTATCTTGGTATTGTATTTGATAAAAAAAGGTAAATGAAAGGATACTTTGATCTATGTAGTATTATGGTCATGCTAACTCGTATATATTTACCATTTAGCTATTGGAAGTAATCTATGGCTGATATGTCGATTCTACTCATCAAGCATGCTTGTCGATGACAGATTCCAAGCAATACTACTATCTCTATTGTCGCCCACACTCCCACTGTAACAAAGTACTTTTGTATTTTTGATGTTTACTCTGAATGAAACCATCCCAAATCTTGTCAAGTGGCCTCAATGGATCAAAAAAAACAGCGACTTGATAAAACCTACGTCTACCAAGCAAGCTTCTCCCTGATTCATCGTCTTCTACTATCAAATCATCTTTATATATCTTTGGTGCATATTCGCTGCTGCCGATTATCTTTCTCTGTGTCTTTAATCAAATATATCTGGTCTTCATCCTGTGGAGCTTGTTACCGGTAAATACTCTTCTGGTTCCCCTGTTGTTGATTTCAATGCTCTCAGTATGTCCATCAAGAACTTCAGTTTACTCGTTTTCTTCCTTCTTGTGTCAAGAGGCCGTCCAGCAGTCGCAACCGAAACTACTTTTATCTGTGAAGAATTTGATGATTGGACGCTTCCTTATGTTATTGGTATGTCAAAAGTGTTTAGGTCAATATTATAAAGTAAGTTGGTTTTATCTTACCATTTTGACTCTACCAACGGACTACTGATGTACGTTTATTTAGTTTATTAGGTCGAGGGGAATGACAAGCAAGGAAGTTACAAGACGGTGCCTTATGGAGAATCATTTTACTCGTTTTTATATGTATTTTGAAAATATTTTGTAAGCAAGAAAAGTATTGTGGTTGAAAGCTTTCTATGTTGTAAGTATCTGCTCAATCAAATTCATTCAACTTTCTGCACGTGAGCTGATGTATTTTTTTTTATTATAGGGTACTCTTTTATACAAACAATCTGTAATCTTATCAGAAGTTATGATTGCTAGTTTGTTGTCAATATGATATAGAGAAATTCTATGGGTCAAATGATTGTTATTGAATCAAGTTGGAACGCATTGTAGAGGACAAAGCCGATGGCGTCGAAGATGATATTACCTACAGTTTACTGAAGTTGGTGAAAATGTGAGTAGCAAAAGAGATCAATGCCAAGGGTAGTTTACTCATCATTCTGCTCATTGTCTCATATCTGTATCAAAAGTTTGCATTATAGGGATCGTATTATGATGCTTCTACTTGGATTCCGTACATCTTGTTTCTCTCCTGGTGTTGACGAACACGTATTCAATGTATTCTGCGTCAAGGCACTTCCAACAATGGTTATACTTCTTATTTGAGCTCTTGCTGATCTTACCACATTCTCTTCTCTGCCTGCATCTACGACTATCAACAACAACGACAATCGAATACAATTTCTTGAAATGTACAAGATACATCACAGGTTGGAGGAGTACTTCGTTTTATTTTATCTTTATATATGTATATTGTTTTACTTGATTACTAGTATATTATTTCAATAAAATGCTGTATAGCAAACTTTTTTATTATTCAATCATTCAATCTAACCCATCCATATGTCTATTTATCTGTTATACCCAGTATATAGTATCAGGCAACGGTATGTTACTCGATTTGAAAAAAAAATCAAAGTATATGTATTTTATCTTTTTTATATTTAGATAATGAGTTTTTTTTACAATGATACTGGCATTCACCAGTGGACCATGCTGTTTAGCTGATGGACTCCCGCATGAATGTTTATGCCTGACCAGGAATTGAATAAATTCACCCAAAATGGTGAAGCCTTTTTATTTTTTTTCTTTTCTTTTCTTTTTCTCTTCCATTGACTTTTTTTTATGGTTTTATTATATACATTAGTGCAGTCGTTAGATTACATACTTTTTTTATTCAATAAAGGTTTTATTTTATTACAACTATTTTTATTACATATAAATGGGATCATTTCCATCTACAAGATGTATTATGTGTATGAATGCATTCTTTTTATTTTTTATTATATGCTTATATTACAGGTACGAAATACGCTGATGCGACATATGTTGTTATTTATGTAGATATCACTATAGTAAATAAAAGGAAAATATAAAGAAAAACAAAGAGTAGAAGAAAAAAACGTTTTTAAAAAAAGGAGTATCACTATTTATTTCACAAGTAGTGTGGCTTGGTGACGAAGTCATTGGTTTGTCGTAGTAACTAATCTACAGTAAAAACTTATATCGAAGTGAAGAATATTGGAATCGTATCGTTTCTCTTATCTATTAAAAAAAAAAAAAGTAAAATAAAAAGGAATGCATTCACATGTAAAAAAAAAAAGGTACATTCGAAGATGGAATCAATTGCATTGACATGTAATGAAGTGATTTCAATAAAAGTAAAGTCTTTATTAAATAAAAGTTTAACTACTAAAGACTAATAAACACTACTAAAATGATATACTAACACTAAAGTCAATACAAAAAAAAAAAAAAGAGAAAAGAAAAGAGAAGAAAAAGAGTGCAAGAAAAAAAACAAGGAAGGGTGACCCTTAAAAAGATTTCGGATAAAAATTTCCCGAAGCCGCCAATTTAGCCGTCGACAGAAAAATAAGTACGTCCTCCTTTTCTACTTTCGGGAATTCAAACAGTCACCTGCTCGTTTTTTTTGAGCTGAGGAGGTGGATGCTTCCTCCCCCTGATTGGGTTCGGAGGACCGATCAAGCGCTTTGGCTATTATTCATAAAAGATATATATATTGTGTCATGCACCCACAGACGATCCGTTTCTAACTTGAGAAGAAATAGATTCATCATAATGACTAGTTTTAGCCCATTCAAAGCATAATCAGCCTCTCTCACATCATATACCATAAAATAACTCATTAGTAATAGTAATTAAAAATAAAATAGAGACAAAGAATATTATTTTTATTAAAAAGATACAATAAAGAATTATAAAACTATCATTAAATCATAAACTATATATGCTTGACACTGAGACGGCTGTTGTATTCCATTGGTCCTGATATGTTGTTGTGGCTGATTGTAATCGCATGATATCCTTTAGTTCCAGATATAATTGATCGATGAGGGTAACTGCAGGTACCTCGATAGGTGGAATGTTGAACATACGTCGAATCCGTTCTGCTTGTTGTTTAAAATCTACCAATGGAATCGTATCATCATCATCTTCTTTTCTTTCGTTATTGTCATCGTTATCATCGTCATCATCATCCTTGTCGTCATTATTATTATTAATATTATTGTCATCATTGTTGTGAACAGTATTCACCTTATTGCTATTACCGCTAGTATTCCAATTGCTGTTGTCGCCAAAATGATGATTTCGTTGCTGAGGATGATCCATGGTATTTGATTTGATTTTCATCTCTGACATCTAGTAGATCAAATAGTTTAATTTTTTTTTTTTTTTGGTTCTCTTTTATTCATTCTTTTTCTTTTACCTTTGCAATAATGAAATCCAACAAGTTACACCAATCGAATGCATTAGATAACACTGCTTCACTGCGACTCAAATGAAGAAACTGTAACAGGGATAAAAACATGTTCCAAATAGACAACCCAACATTACCAGCCTTGATCACAATCATTAAAGAAAGTTAGTTTTCATTTCAATGGTATTTTTTTTTTTTTACTTCTTTTTTTTTTTTTTTTTTTTACCATATTGAGAGTAACGGGATCAATAGAACACAAAAGTCGACTGATAGATGGCCACACAGAAACCCAAAACGAAGGACGATCACCCTCACCAGCAGTAGTTGTAGTAGGCGATACTTGTTTTTGCAGTACGGCTAGATGCATAGTCCTTGACGTCAACAGAGTCCAGGTCTTCAGGGTCAAAAAACATAATACCAAAGCTTCACCAGAGGCACTATAAGAGAATCCAGGGTCAGGTTGATCAAAATTTATTTGCACCGAGTTGAAGATCTGAACAAGTAATTCCGTCATTACATCCTCTACACTAGCCATTAATTCCAAAAGAAAATCACATTTATTCCGTAGAAGACAGAGTATAAACCAGTTCAGGAATTGCAGGCAGTGTCTTGCTTCATCCAACTATAAATAATAATAATAAAAAAAATGAATCTCAAAAAATACTTCCAAAAAAAAAGTCTATTATTATCTACCTTAAGCATATGTAAAATCTTGTACAAATTATTTTGATCCTTGTTACACATCCATACAAGAATATGCGCCACTGTATTGTAAGTTTTGAAATCTTTGCGAGTAAAATGATCCGTACTTGATGATAGTTTCAAAAATTGAACCATGATATCCAGTTGCCCATCTAGTTTGTTGACAAAGTAAGTTTGTCGTTTTCTCCCTGCAGGTAGTTCTCCCAAGTATGTATTTTCAATTGCTGTATACCATTGACTGTAGCTTTCATCCGAATCCCAAAGTACCAACTATTGATAATATAATTTGCATTTGAAATTAGTCAGGTCTTTTATTTTATTATTATTTTTTATTTTTTTTTATTTTTACTTGTAATAGCGTCAATAGCGTATCCTTATGTAACTTCTGCTTGATAGTCAATCCCAATCGAATTTCTTCCAATATCATTTCAACAAATATATTTTCAGAAGGAGTACCAGGAATAGTAGCAATAGATGAGTATGCAGCCATCAGGTTCACTACACATTCTGGTTGAATATTACAATGACGTAAACCATGTCTAAAGAGTACATGTATAGCAGGAAGAAGAATCTAATAATAAAATGGTAAGATGATCAATCACTGTTCAAAAATCAATCTCTGATCTTTACCTGAAAATGATATGGATGTTCCATCAGTAATATTGAAGACATGGTGAATAATGAATTGATATCCCAATCAGATCGTCTCCAACCCGTCGTATACTTGACGAGTAAATTCAGAAAATCGGCATAATCTACATATATATATATATATATATATATAAATCATAATTAGTGACATAGATGATATGATTAAGTATAAAAAAAAAAAAAAAAGGTGTACTTACCATTCAGTACAGTTTCAGGATAAGGATGAGAATGTACGGTTTCCACATATTTGCTCATGTTGTAAAGAACAGTAGAGAAGGATTTGCGATCCATTTGTTGCTTTAATAGCTTGTCCAAAACATCAATCACAGGTTGATCTAGTAGATACACGACATGAGGTTGTTCTTCATCAGGTACTATATCTTCAGGATCAATCACCGTTCGAAGGATATAGAAAAGATCCACATCATTATTATTCGTTTCTGATACAGTTTGATTCTACATAGCAGGAAAAAAAAAAAAAGATGAAAAATGAACATCATTATTTTTCTGTATTCCATTTTTTTTTTTATCTATTATACCTTGAACAAGAGTACAAACAAGCCAGCCACTGCAAAACGTAAAAAGGCAGATTTGAGAAATTGTTTGGCTTTTAAAAACACAGGTTCAGATGTTCGTTTCCCACATTTGGTCATAAGTTTGCCTAAAGCCAGGATTTGCTTGGATAAGACCATGGCTGTCAAATGATCCGATTTCCGTAAAAGACATTTCAAGATCTCCAAGATCAACAACTTGTTTTCTTCACTGATATCCTTGGTAATAAGATCAATGATTTGTTTCATACAATTGATAATACTATGTTCGTAATTCCTATCCAATATATTGTGCTAACAAAAAAAAAATCAATTTGATTTTCATTATTATTATTATTATTTTCATAACTTTACTTACCTTGTAAACAACAATCAATATTGTTTCCAACCAAGATTTAAGAATAATATGATTCAAAGAAGTCAATTTCGTTCCAGAAGTAAATAATTTCAATGCCACATCAATGAAATGTACACCAGGACTACTGTTTTCAGCCAACTTGAGTTTATTTCTTTCCAGTACCTCGGGAGCCATTGTCGCAACCGTTTCTGCAGGAAGAGGTGCAAAACTATCCATCACTTTTTTGAGTCCACGAGTACAGTTAGTCATCATCGCCGATTGTTGTGCGTCATCCGGATCGAAGTGCATGACACCAAAAGTAACCACCCATTCACCACTATTCGCTGCATTGAATCGTTGACAATTGTCGAAACCCATATTTACCACCAATAATAGTTTGAGCCGAGACATTTGCACCAGGTCAATACTTTGATGATGACTAAGCATTTGGAGTGCTAGAGACATCATAAGTACTTTATTGTTGTCCACTTCTAGTATTTCACGTTGATCAACATCATCATTTGCTGTAGTAGGCATAGTATCACTTCTTGTAATAGATTTTTGCCCTTGATCTTTACTATCATCATCCACCTGAAGAAGCTGATTGTTCGTCGTACCATTGAGATTACCGGTTGTTTGTACCCTTGTCATATCCTTCTTAGGTCGAGCATATTGATCTAAAATATCAATGCCATCGGTAGAGTTGTTGTTTGGTAGATTTGCCTCCAGAGCTTCTAATAATGATTCCCATTGAAGTACTTGCCAATCTGGGAACATAGAATTAAGCTGAATCATCGAGTTGAGTAGTGGTCGTCGTTGTTGATCTGTGGCTGTCAAAAAATATGCCTCCCAACATCGAAAAGCAGAGCGAAGATGAAGCATACCAAAAGTTCGGATAAGGGCCAAAGCTTTGGATCTTACTTTTTCCTATTTGAATATAACACCACTAATGAATATCCTAATAGATAGATAACTTTTAGTAACTTTTTTTTTTTTTTACTTACTTCTTTATCCCAAAGACATACGACGAAGGAACTAAATACAGGTCCCAAATGTGAGAGGAGAGAAAGCCATTTTGTTTGAAAGGCCACATCCATTTTTGTAAATAAACCATAGAGATTATCAAGGCCTTGATACCGTATTTCCCAGTTAGGATCCTCCATCACCTTGTAAACGCAAGCATGGAAAGTCACCACATCGATATTCATCAATTTCATAAGCAAGTTGAGATTGATATCACTGACATCATCATGTGAAGGTGGTAATAGTTCCCAAATACTAATAATGTTATGAAAAGATATATAAAATATCATTAGTCAATTATTTAGTCCTTTTTTATTATTATTATCTTTCTATTATTATTATTATTGTTGTTGTTCGGTTTCAACTTACGCTGGTATCAAACTTGGAACACATTTGGCAATAAAATCAGATTTGTTGCTAATACCTGCACCCCAATTAGTCAAAGCATAGAACATCTTGATCACCGCTTCTCGAACGTTGAGTTGATCATATTGTAAATAGAGAAGCATACATCTAATAATAGGAGTCTTATCATTCACTTGCATTGGAGGCGTTCTTTCAGTATGAAGTGGTTGTTTACTATGTCTTTAGAAAATAAAAATAAAAAATCATCCATCAATGAATAAAAGAGATAGGAAGACGAACACTTATTAACTTACGATGGTGAGATACGATCAGCAAAATAAGGCACCATATCAAGATCAGAAATGTTGGTCAACGGACAGTTGTATGCATAACAAGTTAAAGCTGCCGAGTATTTGATGAATATTTGAGCACTAAAAAAAAAAATATAAAAGAAATAATTTTTATCTTCTTGCTTCATGCCAAGGGAAAGAAAAATCTATCTTTTTTTTTTTTTTTGATTCTTTACCTTGTTAAACGTTGAATACTGAGAGGTTCACTTTCATTCTTTGCTTTCAATGATTCTAAAGCTGTTTCATTCAAATATCCAATCACATCGATAATCACGGCATGAGAAGTAACCACATTGAGACCATTGACTACCTGGAACCACATGAGTTTGATGAATTCAGCCGTTGTACTAATAGATGCTTGTGCTTGAACTAACGAACGCGCAATCTTGGCCAATGATACCGATGGAATCCCAGCTCTGTATAAAAAAAAAAAAAAAAAAATTGAAACAAAGGTTAACAATTTAATGGATGTCTATAAAAAATCAATTTCTATTCACTTTACCCTAGATGCACAATCAAAGTAAGCCATCGAATACCACGATCAACCATTTTTCCATCTTGTTCCAAAAGCATATTAGAAATGATGTCAAAGGTAGAAGTCGTATCCACAGAAGAAGAAGAAGGTTGACCATATGTTTTGGAAGTCGTCACTTTGCTAGAAAATAATTTGTGTAATGCCCGGATTTCAAATGGTGCACGTCCCTAATAGATCATTTCGTTTGCAAGTGAGTAAAACATTAGAAATCAAAAAAAAAAAAAAAAATTTCTTTACATTCAGAATATCCAAATTTTCAAAATCATTGCATGCATTATCCAGTTGAGTTTCGATAATGGTGTTCAAACTTGAAAAAGTTAAGCCCAAGGATTTGAGTTTAACTAAATAGCCCATATAGATATCGAAGTGTTGAAGAGTCGCCGCTTTCTATATATTAGTGAATGATAGGCATATATCAAAATCTTTGAATACTCTTTTTTTTTTTTTTTTTTTTTTAAGGATTACCTTGTCTTGTGGAGTGGATGACGAGGTACGAGTGAGCTCAGATACAAGTTCTTCTTCCATCACAGATTCCACAATTTCATCAATAGCATCGTTCAGAAGAGAGGCATAACTGAGAGGATCAATATCATGCATAGTAGACATCCAAGTCATCAAATAACGGTCTCGAAGTACGTTGCGAGTCGTAACATAGACATTGCCAGCACCACTACTGATCCCAGCACCAAACAAATAATTATGTTGTTTATTTATTCCTGCATCTCCATCACGTACTTGTCCATTGATGCTACTACTTCCAAATGGATTGTTGATGTTGTGAGCTGATAAAGGAGGACTATCACGTTCATTGTTGCCTTTTATACGAGCCAAAAGTGCTGATTGTGTTGTTTGAGCCCACCTATTCAATTTGACACCAGGAAGTTGAATATTATTAGAAATTGTAAATGCCGCGTACAAAGCTGTCAATTTTTCATCTTCAAGAAGTATCCAGCGTAAAATAGCAACTATCAAGCGTTCACTAGTATAACGAGACATAAATGGATCAGGCCAGCACCGTCGAGTCAAAAGAAGCATACCACATTCATTAATAGAGATATCAATATCGTTCAAGCAGGAATCCACAGCATTAATCAAGGTTTCGACGTGAGATGAGCAATCAATCGCATAGGGGACAGGGAAAATACATTGTGTTCGACAGTCGTGAGTCGAATCATCCATAGGTGTCCATCGATCAACAGTGAACAGAATAGGTGATGCATCATACCGTTCAAAAATACCAAGGTTGCGCATATGTTGGAGTAGTATTTCTCCCACTTTTCGACTTTTAATATAAAGGTTGTCCATTGTCCATGATAATAATGTATCTCTGTCCAAAATATCATGTGTTATTGATGGTTGTTGCTGTTGTTGCTGTTTGTAGAGATCGGAGGAAAAACTTGCTGCTGAATTGTCAGGTGAATTCGATAGTTGTTTTGCTGCTGGTGTAAAATAAGAGGGTGTCACTTGAAGTAGTCCCTTATCGCTACTATCGATGTTGCCATTTCCGGGTGCGGATGCTGATACTACCTCCATATCCATGTCAGCCGATGTGGTCAATGATTTCATCATGGCGCCAATATGATGAAGGTAATCTTCCCTACTAAGTAAACATTCTTGTGACCATTCACGGTTGTTCTTGAAGTCGGCCAAAAAGGAAGATGCACGGCAATTGTCTGATTTGATATATTGTAAGCATAATTCAATAGCTCTTCCTAAAATAGGACATACAGCAGAACTAATATCGCCAAGATCATCCATCTTTAATCCATCATTTTGTTGTTGTTGCTGTTGTTGTTGCTGTTGCTGTTGCTGTTGTTGTTGTTGTTGTCGTTGTTGCTGTTGTTGTTGTTGTTGTTGTTGTTGTTCTATTATTGTTGGCGTCTTTTTTTTGCTTGATGAATAAAATGGGTGGGAGTCATCACCATCTATATCAGAGTCCACCAAAAGGCATCCAGCAGAGAATCCAGCTTGTAGAATGTTACTTTGAATCACAAAAACGTTGATCATCGTACCGAGTTCTTCGTATCCTCGTCCTTGTAGATCATCCAACGTATTTGGTATCATGTCTCCATAGAAGCGTACCAAGCTTTCAGAGAGTTCAGTTAATGATATTTGTGTATCACTTTCCAGTAAAGGTCGATAAGGTTGACAATCTTGAATGTTAGATAAAGGATGATGGAAACCACGTTCATGATCAGATCTATCAAGGCAGCCAGGATGGACAAACCGATTACAGATAGAACAACGATATCCCTGTTGAGATATTCCCCAGAGAGGTTTCCGGCAACAAGCGCATAAGAGAAGAGTGTATAAATTGACCAAATGAAATTGATGACCAAGAATATGTACCTTTGGAGAGCGAGCTGTCTTGTCCCATTGATGTTCACGACCTGAAGTAATATCTGCATAACGTGGCTGGACTGGTATATTACAAAATTGAGGGCTGACTACCTTTTGGATCCCACCTTCTTTCACATATAGCATAATATCTAGATCATCATTCCCAAGACAATAGTTGTAACATTGATAGTGTACATTGCGTTTGCACTGATAACATCGAAGTCCATATCCCGTAATCAATTTGTAACATCCACTGCAATAGGCGTCGTTGATATTGTCTTGATTGACTAAGGTCAGAATTCCCTGTGCTGGAGATTGAAATTGTTGCATCATATCTGGAGGATCACTAGAAGGTTTTTGATTATTATTGCTTGAGAACATATGAGAATACCAGACGTGATCACCGATTTCATCTTCTGAAGTTTCATTTTCGCTTCCATCTGCGGTGTTACTTCGTTGTGGTATGACAGGAGAGTATTTTCGATTGATACCAGTAACATGTACAGGACTACCGCCATTGCTAGACATATCCATCGTTGGTTCATAAATGCTACCCATAACCGGTGAATTGAGTGATTGTTGTTGTTGATGATGATGATGCTGTTGATGCTGTTGATGATGGTGATGATGATGATGATGATGACGATGCTGTTCCTGTTGTTCTTGTTGTTGAATTTGCTGTAGCTCACATTGCTTGTCAATGATCCCAATTTCTGAAGTAACACCCAGTTTTGGTAATGATTCTGCAATCAGTAGATGTCCCAAGCTTATAAAGTAATAATGAAATAAGATCTGGCAAGCTCTGAATTTGATATTGTCGTTGCTATAGGCTATGATTTGTAAGAGATCTAAGTGAAGGTCCGGTTTTTGCTGAATCATGAAGCGAAGAGCCTTGTGAAAATTGTATATGGAGTAACTTTTTCCAGAGTATACTCTTGGTAGGTCTTCCATTGCCAATAGTTGAGCATCAAGATAAGGATCCATATATTGTATCATAAAGTTCAAAAGAGGTGTAAACAATGCGTATTGTTGTATTGGTTCAATCATTGATGGAAGTGGAGTATCGATTGATGACCGTGGAGTTGTTGGTGACAAGAGTGACGGTGAAACAGGAACTGGTTGAGTGTCAATAGTAAGATGATTTGATTTATAGTTTTGTGAAGGCGTCGTAGTTGTGCTTGGAGATTCCATTTCAGCTTCATTGTCTTCGGGACTTTGTACATTGATGATAGGAGTCATACCGGTATGTTTCGATGTTCGTTTTCCTATTCATCAATAAAAATGAAAGTATAATATTTAATAAAAAGAAATGGATATATCATATCGCTAATTTTTTTTTTAAAAAAAAAAAAAAAAAAGAGGCTTACCATCATGATTTGTAATTTTCTTCATTTTCTTTGGACCAGTAGATGGATTATCATTTTCAGAACTTGTTGTACTTGAAATTTGTACTAGCTTCGGGAGAAGGATATCAATAAAGAAGGACAGTAACTTGACTTTCAATATAGAATCAGGGAATGTCTCGAATGCTGGTAGGATAAAACAACCAATTTTATAGAGAGCAGGTATATCATCTTGAGACTGTACCAAAAGGATAGCAATATCAATCACCACAGTTTGTAAAGTGAATGGAGGTCTAGAAGGTTTTGGGTGAATAGCCATATATCTGCAGTCATTGGTAATCAAATCATCCAAAAGTCGTAGAATAATATCAAATTCAGTTGTTGTTTCCTTTTTTATCTGATACTGCTGCTGTTGTGCATATGTTGTATCATGAGAAGATGTAGTTGATCGTACTGGAGAACTTGATCTCGATGATGTTGGTGAATTGCGTGGTGTATGCCTTCTACTTGTTGAATAATTAATGGTTAGTAATCCGATAAGGATATTTAGATTAGTGCTTTTTATTACCTTTGCTCTAAAATATGAAGATCCATGTTTTCACACATAATAAGTATCGATCGTAATTTTAGAATCAATTCAATGGTATCGTCATGGTCCCATAAAGCCGGTGTTGGTTCGTGTTGTGGAAGTTGAATAAAGTAAGGTATCGAGGAAGGAGGTCGTTTTCGTTTAGAGAGTTTGCTAAGAACAAGATGGATCATTTTGATATATTCTTTTGTTTTTGGTGCTGCTGCTACTGGTTTTCCGGTACGAATGTCATGTTCACGCTGTTGGGTACTAGATTGCGGTTGTTGCTGGTCTTGAAAGGAATTTTTGCGAGAAGAAGGAATGTCAATAATGGTATCTTCATGTTGACGACCAGTAGTATACTGCGACATGGTAACGTCTTATAATAGATATAAAAAAGATAAAACGACAGCTTATCGCGGTAGAATATCAACAAAAAAAAAAAAAAAAAAAAAAAGAAAGAAAGAAAGAAAAAAAAAAAAAGAGACAAAAAAAAAAAAAAAAAAAAAAGCGGAGGAAAAAAAAAGTTGAAAGATCATCAGATTCTCTTTTCTTAAAATGCCGAGAAATCATTCAATGCATCCTCAAAATAAAATTTATTGAAATTAGATACTAAATACTAAGAAAAAAACTAAATACTAAAATACATCATGATATATATATAATAAAAAAAAAATAAAAAAAGAACACCCAAACAAGTATCCATAACATGGGTAAACTAAACAATCACTAGAAGAGCATACCAGCAATAGAAGCACTAACAAAGGTAGAGATAGCACCGCAAATCATAGCAGATACAGCAACAGTAGCAATTGTCTTTGCACGATTAGGAGCCAAAGCGGTAAGAACACCGACTTGCATACCTAAAAGTATTCCATTAAAAAGAAAACATAATAACAGGTATAAGTATAAGATTCTAATTATCTTGTGAGAATTCCTTACCAATACTACCAAGATTGGAAAAACCACAAAGAGCATAAGTAGTAACGGAGATAGTACGAGGAGTAAGAACACCTTGCTTGACCAATGCCATCATTTCTTGATAAGCAACGAATTCATTAGCCCAAATCTTCGTAGCAATCAAACCACCCACATTGACCAAATCCTTGTTATCAGCCCCAATCAACCAAGCGACAGGAACAAGAATATAACCAGTGATCAATTGTAAAGTGAGTTGTTGAATAGTGATAAAGTTGCCAATCCAGGTTAAACCAGCGTTCACAGCATAAAGAAGAGCCAAGAGAGCAATCAAATTAGCAGCAATCAATAGGACAATTTGTACACCAGTAGCAGCACCAACACCAGCAGCGTGGACAATACCTTCTAACTTTTCTTCAGATTTGGGTACTCGGACAGTTCCTTTGGTAATAGATTCTTGAGTTTCCGGGTATCTATTTTTTTTTTTTATTGAATATGTAAGTTCAAATGTTTAGTTCATGTCTCATCCCCTTTTTGTCATCATTATTATTCAACAAGGTCAATATTCTTACCGAAGCTTGGAGATAGCAATACTACAAGGAATAGACATAACACAAGAGGAAATAAGAGCAGTTCCATCGACACCTTTTGAAGAAATAGGATTAAAAAAGAAAGAAAACTCGCGTTAGAAAAAAATATAAACCAAAATAATACGTACATTCTTACTTACCCATAGCAAAGTAACCATAAAGAACAGAACCAGAGATGGTAGCAAAACCAGAAGTCATGACTTGATGAATTTCAGCATCAGTCAAATGAGCCAAGAAAGGTTTGATCAACAAGACATTTTCAGATTGACCCAAGAATGGCTATAATAAAAAAAAAAATGAGAAGTATTAGTTTTGTTTTCTTTTTAACTATGATAACATATCCAAAGTTTACTTACTGATGCCACAGCGACGACAGCTTCACAACCAGAGATGTCCAACAAAGCTACAAAGACAGTGGCACTTTTTTTGAGAATCCATTGTAAAGCACCAAGATAATAAAGAATTTGGACAGTAGCAGCAAAGAAGATAACAGCAGGGAAAACGCTGATAGCAAAGAAACCTTTGTTTACGATGTCTTCGCTAGTCAAGAAAGCAGCACCTTCAGCAGCCTTTCCTAAGTAACCTTTCGCAAAGTTACTAAGCCAAGTAAAGATATCATGACCAGCAGATGATCGAAAGACAAATAAGGCCAATAAGAATTGTAATAAAAGAGCACCACTAATTGTATTCCAGTTGACGGCACGATGATTCTATATATAAGAATAATAAATAAAGAATAATAAGAAAACAAGAAGGGGAAAAAGAACGGAAGTTAAAACAATATGAATTAAAAAAAAAAAAAAAAAAAAAAAAAAAGTACCCACGCTTCCGAGGACCGTTCCCCCCACTTTGAACCAATCATAAACTCCCCCTTTTTTGTACATAAAAAAAAAAGTTCACTTTACCGTTGATGAAGCAAAAGTACCCAAAATAAAGAGAATCATACCAACAAAGGCAATCAAACGCTGAACACGAGTAGATTGAGAAGTTTCAGGTAAAGAGAATACAGTAACAACGATGACAACCAAGACTAGAGATACATACATCAATGATCTAGTTTGACTACTAAAACCTTTAATAGGAGCATAAGCAGTACGAACCAAGATAGACCATGGTTTTGTCACCACAGTAGTAGGAACAAAACAGAAGAAAACATATAGAGAATGCCAAGCATATATCAAACCAAGAATGAGATTTTCTTGATTATAACCTTTGGGAACTTGTAATGCATAAGCTGCAGCAATAAAGCCTGTGAAAATCAACCACATCACCAACCTATATCATGCATATAAAATATAAATTCGATGAGTTGACTTAATTACTATGATCGTCTTTCTCTTTTTTTTTAACTTACAAAAAGACTTTTCGATACTTTTGATATATCTTGCTAAACCAACTAGGTCTATTTTCATCATCATCATCATCAGATTTGTTGACATCGTAGTTATATTCTACAATGTCTGCTTTTGTCAATTCCCTTGAAGTATCCAAATGATGTTTTTCTACTGAATCATTTTGTTCTGTAGTATAATATTCGGTAGTAGTTGTCATATTCTTTTCTTCTTCAGAATGTCGACTTGCTGTATCTCTTGTTGTTTCTCTTTGTGGATCCATAATAATATGAGTTTAGTTTTTAATTGAATAATTTTTTAAAAAAAGAATTAGTATAATGATATATCATTCAACAGTAAAAAAAAAAAAAAAAAAAAAAAAAAAAAAAAGGTGAAGAACAAAAGAAAGAAGGTGAAAAATAGGAAAAACCACAGTGGAGTGTCAATTTGTACTTTTTTGAAATTTGCAACACAAAGCGATCAGAATGTCGGAGGGTACAATAAGAACATGAAAACTTTTCAAAACTTTGTAGTTCAGCAACAATAATACACACGATTGATAAATAATAATAATATGTATACAAAGCCTTGTTCTAGTCTTTTTTCGTCTCTCCGCTCATCTAAAAAGAGGTATCTCCTTTCAAATATCTTTTTTTTAAAAAAAAAAAAAAGAATCAAGTAGAACCTTTCATATCTTTCATCCTCTCTTCCTTTATCAACTGGTTTTTATCTAAAGTATTGATTTCAATCAACATACTGATAAAAGATATAAATAAAATATTTTAGAGGACGAAAATGGTAAATAATTCCCAATTTAAGATTTACGTCCTTTGACCTCCCGATTCGTCCTGATCATTTAAAAAAAAAAAAAGGAAAACATTGACCAATGGTATTTATTTTATGGTATTAAAAAAAAAAAAAAAGAAAGAAAGAGTTATTGATCCTCTTTTATACTTTATTGTTGACATGATCATCAAAAGTTTTGAAGTACAACATTGATTAGTTAAAAAAGAAATTATTATTTGAGTTAGTTTTTTTATGTTTTGTACACTCTTTTACTATCTTTTTTATTATCAATGGGAAGGATAACATGGGAAGCTGAGTTAATAATCAAATGGGAGATAGAGGTTCCTGTTCAAGATAAAAAAAAAAAAAAAAAAAAATCCACTTCTCCCCGCTTCACCCGATTAGGTGAAAAAAAGTTAGTTTTATTGGATCATATGCTCTCTTTTCCCACACATGTGGTTTTTTAAACTTTTGATATCTTCATAATAGCGTCACTTCATATATTTTTTTTTATAACAATGGTTATTACGACATCAATCAGCCATAACTTGACGCCATCTCATTGATTATACCCTCCACCTTCATTTTTTGAATCATTTCCCCACATAAAAACCATATCCAGTTTGATGGAACCAATAAAAATGATCCTAAATCAACATTCAGATCTACCTCTAACAAAAATTCATCATCATATTGTCACTGTACTTTTTTGATAAAAGTCATAAACAAACAGATGATCAGTCCATATTTTTTAAGTATACATGCACACATATTCTTTTTTATCCTCCCCCGCTTCCTAGTTTATTAATCATCCGTTAATCAAACATTTATCTACCAAAAATAAAAAAAAAGTAACACTTTATACTGTGAACATAAGAATATCCTTCAATTCAAACGTTTATATAGTCTAAACTCTATCAAGATTTAACTTTATTATTCATTCTACTGTCATCACTATGATCATCCATCGTCACTACGATCATCCATCATCACTACGATCATCCATCGTCAAATACAATCAACCATCAATCATCAAATACAACCAACCATCAATCATCAAATACAATCAACCATCAATCATCAAATAGAGTTATAAAACATTAGATTAAAAATAACAACGGTTTATTTCATACAAAATAGAAGAAGTAAAATAATAATAATAATAATAATATATATTATTCAAAAAAAAGGAATAATGCCAGTAGTATTAGGACATACTTTTTGTAAAGTGCCCAGGAAAGAAGGAAAAAGATAATTTTATTGGCTAATTTTTTAAATCCAGGGAGAATGACAACAAAGGAATTGATTAGGTTGGCTCTTTTTTTTTTCCACTTTTCTTTCCCTTATTTTCTCTCCCTCTCTCTCTCTCTCTTGCATACATACTATATCTATTCAACATGTCACCGGATACCAAGAAACGAAATAAACCGTCAAAGGCATATCTAGACCAATCTGATATTCCCTCCGTCAAACTAAATAAACCTATGAAGCAACTATTGATTCTTGATCTCAATGGTACATTGGTCTCTCGAACAAAAGGCAGCCATTCCCTTTATAGTCGTCCTTATCTTGAACCTTTCTTGGACTATATCTTCGATAACTTTTCAGTCATGGTATGGAGTTCAGGTAAATAGGTTGTATAAAGGATAACTGAATTTCCTGACTCTTTATATATATATATTTTTAGCTACATATAAAAATGTAGACAAGATGTGTGAAATCTTTGGTAAACATCGTAAAAACCTGATTTTGATTTGGACCCGAAGTAACTTTGGACTTTCTGAAGCAGATTACAATAGAAAAGTAATCACAATCAAGGACTTGGAATTGGTGTGGAAGGAATTACCGAAATACAATGCTAAAAACACGATATTGATGGATGATTCACCAGAAAAGACAATTTTACAACCTTACAATCATTGTGTCATATCTGAATTCAATCATCTATCTCCAAGTTTTAAGAAACGTGGTGAAAATGAACTAATCAAGGTACAAAGGTATTTGGAACAAATCCGATATGAAGATAATATTAGCAATTACATCAAGCATTCTCCTTATGGAACTACCTTTAAATTGAACGAACAACAACAAGTCGAACCTGAAAATGATGATAATGATAATGATGGATACCCAACTTCTTGTTTATGTTATCATTATATGTTTCCTCAACATGGTAATCAATGTCGACGAGAACTCTGTGATTTAGGAATGGACGACATTCAATCAAAATTGGAAAGGATCAAATTATGATAAGACGAAAATGATGATTATCTAGTTTAGTTTGACTATAGAAATGAAATTGTGATCGATTGGGTTTACAAAAACGTTAATAAAGTCTATTTTTATCACTATATAATAGAATTTGGACTTTTCCGTACTGATGATGATGATATTATGAAATCTTGACTTGTAAATCGTCAAATGAAGGACTATGGTTATGGAATGGTGAAAGATTTGTGGTGATGGATGTGATGGCGTACGATAGATAATAAAGTGATGGGATAATATTGTCTTTATTGGATGGAAGTGGAATCCAGAAAAAAGAAAAAAAAATCATGGATGTATGATGAATGCCTCTGTACCTACCGTATTTCATACGGGGTGAAGTATGCCTTACAGTTAACAGGTATATTCATATATCCAATTCACACATATTACGTATATCCGGATTTCATTAGAAAACTAGCGGAAATCATGGATTATATAGATCAGAAAGATGAATTTTTTTTCTCATGGTGGGAACCATAAAAGAAATGCAAAAAAAAAAAAAAAAAAAAAAAAAAAGAGAGAGAGAGAGAGACATTGTCGTAAATAACTAAGATGATGATACGCTACTGTTTTTATTGAATTGATGATAAGGTAAAAATGCTAAACTACGGGAAATGCTGACTGAAAGAGTGATCTTCGTTATTGTCGTTTCCATATCTTTTCTCTTTGTCGTGCGATCCGTGTTTGTGATATCCATCAGTTGTGTGCCTCGTCGCATAAATTTGTCCATGACTTCTTTATAATAGCCATCGAATTCAGAACACGTGATATAATGGTCAGTAAGGATCTTCTGTATTTTGCTGAATGACTGGTCCACGGTCAGATTTTGTATAAGGTCAGTGTGTTTGGCTATAACATGATTTCTATATGATCTTGCCACGAGAAAGATCAAGCAAGTTTCACAGTTCCCCTTGCCATTCTGGAAATTTATAACAGGGCGCGATCCAAGTATTCATTTTCCACAGAGCGTACTCCTTTCTTCTTTAGATCAGGGCTCCAAGCAGGAGTGTCGTATCAACGTATTTCGTACCTGTAACATAAGCGTATAATAAAAAATAAAAAGAATGCATTCATACATATAATACATCTTGTAGATGGAAATGACCCCATTGGTTGTAATAAAATAAAAACTTTATTGAATAAAAAAAATGTGCAAAATAACGATCACATTAGTGTATACAATAAAACCATAAAAAAAGTCAAAGGAAGAGAAAAAGAAAGGAAAATGAAAAATAAAAAATAAAAAATACGCGTATTAAAAATGATAAAAAAGGGGACTTTGAAATTTATTCTAAATTTCCCCTGAGCAAAGAGCTTTAATTTAATGAATGAAGAATGTCTATATGTTTACCATATAATCATCATCAAAGGGAATTAATTATGGATATCGTTCAAATTGATCAGATATACCAACAAACAGTATACATGGTATTTAATACATATGATGATTATAATTTTATTTTCAAAAAATATAATAACAGCCCAAACGTAAAAGGGATACAAGATGTCCAGTTAATAAAAATAAAAAAAAAAAAATCCCAAGTAATAAAGCTTTTTGTCCAGAGTGTCATTTTATCTTACAATCCAATGTTGTTTGATGAAGTAAATTCAACAAAAGATGTATACTTTATTCCAAAATCAATAATATACTACGTTATACTATAAAATATATGAACTAAAACAAACTAAACTGTGGAGTGTCCTATGCTATCGTATGTACAATCCTGCTGCACGAATCATCCTATCGTATATCACCCTGATGCGTGTGTCATCATGTCGTATGTGGCATCCTGATTTGGATATCATCCTGTCATGTTGCCACACTATTGTCTAAATGATCCACAACAGTTCCACCAATCTGCTTACTTAACCATTTTTCCGCTTTTGTCAAGGTCTGTATACACTACCTAATGATATAAAATAGTTCCATAATATTTCTTGTTGAAAAAGAATGAAGGATGCTTCCACCGTTGTTATGAAGTCTAAAAGATAAAGAAAAATAGGCAATAGTAGTTAAAAAAAAAAGAATTAGACTATTTACAAAATAAATAAAGATAAATAAAGCACTACTTTCAAATTGATAGCATACTCACAAAATGAATTGATTGTGGACATTTTAAAAATAGATTGTCTTGAATATATTGCATATCGCTGTCACTTGAATTTGGAAGTCGTATATTAATTGATTACAAAGGAAGAGGAAATATGGGTTTCATGCTGCCAATCTACCATTGAAGATTGAATGGTGACGAATGACAGATAAAGGATGCTGCTATATCGTAGAGTCGGAAAATACAGTAGCCAGCTGATTATTATCGAAAGATAAAGAAAAAAAAAAAAAAAGGAAAAGAGAATGCTGGATTTTTTACTAGCGGGGTGAAAATAATAATTTCACACTATCCAAAAAAAAAAAAAAAAAAAAAAATTAGAGTTGCGGCATCTAAACGTTTTAAAGGGCAAAACGGTATCTATTTTTGTATATATTCTTTTGTTCCTTTCTCTTTCTTTCTGTTTTATTTTTACCATTTAATCAACAGAAGTATCTTATACTTTTTTTTTATATATCTTCTTTGGTATTATATCCTATGCTTTACCTTACTGACGATATAGGATTACTTCCATTCTTCCTGCCTTTTGGAATCATTGGATTTTATCGTTACCTCTGGTTTTTTATCAAACTAGTAGCCTATCTCGTATATAAACCAAGACGACCAAGAAAGAATCCTACCTATATACCTGAAAAGGATGTGACTATAGTTGTGCCTACTATTGATGCTGGTGAAGAATTCAAAATTGCTGCTCGAAGTTGGCTTGGTACAGTAGAATCAAATGAGACAATAAAATTTATCTATTTATAATTTTTTTTTTATTTTTATTTTTAGCATGTCGACCGAAGGAAATTATCATTATTACGGAAACTTCTATGCGAGAGCCATTACAGGAATTGGCCAACGAAGTAGATCCATCTCGTATCTCGGTACGAACGGTACCCAAGGCGAACAAACGATTACAAATGGTGGAAGGTGTCAATGCAACAACGACAGAAATTTTAGTATTTGCTGATGATGATGCGATTTGGAAACCGACAATGTTGGATTATATATTGGCTTGTTTTGAAGATTTACAAATGGGTGGTGTAGGCACTTCACAAACAGTGCATGCTGTGGATCCAAACGGACACCAAACATTATGGGAAATTTTGGCTGGTTATCGATTGACGAGTCGTAATATTGAAATCGCGGCATCGACACATATTGATGGTGGCATTTGTTGTTTATCAGGACGAACGGCAGCCTATCGTACATTGATTCTCAAGGACCCAGCTTTCCAGTACTGCTTTACGAATGACCTCTGGCGTGGACGATATCCACTTAATTCGGGTGATGATAAATTTCTTACAAGGTGGATGCATTCACATGGATGGAATACGTATGCTCAAGTATGTAAGGAAGCTGAACTCTTTTCGACATTCAAGAATAATTGGCGATTTATTAAGCAAGTATTACGTTGGACTCGAAACACTTGGCGATCTGATTTCCGATCATTATTCACTGAACGTTATATTTGGCGGCGACATCCTTATGTGGCTTTTACTATGGTAGATAAAATCTTCAATCCTTTGACTTTACTTGCTGGACCGATTCTTGTTGCTACATTTGCTTCTTTACAAGAAAGTAGAGCAGGACCTACTAATCCTCCTTTGCCTGCTTGGAATATCGCAGTCTCTTATATCATTTGGTTATTGGTGACTCGATTTCTCAAGTTGATTCCTCACTTTCTGAAAAGACCTCAAGATATTTGGGTATTACCATGTTGGCTTATATTCAATTATTACTTCGCCATTATGAAAATTTATGCCTTATTTACACTTCATGTTACTGCCTGGGGAACACGTGCTGGTAAGAAAAGAGCTGAATGGATTATATAAAGTTTTTTTTTTTTTTTTTTTTTTTTTTAATCTTATCCTTTTTTTTTATTTTATTTTTATCATATATTCCTTTTTTAGGTATCGGTACCGAATTAGCGGCGGATATTAAACAACAAGGGGAAGCCAATGATGATAATGGAGATGTCAAAATTGAAATGAGTCAAATGGATCCTCAGCAACATCAACGGCAATTGCAACAACAACAACAACAAATTCAAGAATATAGGAACAGTGCCATCCATAATGATAGTGACAACAACGATTATCCTGTTAACCAATCAACTACGCAACAAAAGGATCCTTTTTGGTCAAGCGAAGATGAACATCACCATCAAACACAACCTCTTGTTAATGCTTAGACCTCCTTTAGTTTTAATTATAGATCTTCTTTTTTTGTTTTAGATCAATTTACCCCCCCTCCTCTTTTCCTTATTTTTCTTTACCTTCTTTTTTCACACTAGTTTAGATAGTTAATTTGATTTTTATTTTGTATTCCTATTATTCATCCAATAAAAATGCGATTATTAACATCCATTGACACTGACCCTGTTTTCACCCTATCTTAACTTTTTTTTTTTTTGTTCACGGAAGATCTCACGTGTCACTTCTCCATATATGTTTTCATTGGTAAGATAAGTCAAAGTAAAATGAGGATGATAAGATGAGGATCACAATCTATTTTCACCTACATTCAACAAATGAGTACCATATCATGCTTTTATTATCTATGGAATATTATTCAAAAATAAAGGGAAACAAGAAATAATAGATTTCTAAAGTGAAGATGTGTTTATTATCGATGATACATGATGATCCAAAAAGTCAAAAGAAAGAAGAGGTAACTAATCATACTAAAATGAGGATAAAATACAATATAGATACATTGGAAAGTAAGGTATAAAAATGATATGATAACAAAAGAAAAAAAAAGGGGGGATAATAACTAGTATCAATTTAAAAGGGGGGAAAATCACTATCGTAAATCTATAACTTTGAGATCGTATACTTGAGTGGTAACATGCGATGTATTGTGTGTATCCTAAAGATAGAGTAGAAAGAAGAAATAAAAAAGAAAAAAGAAAAAAAAGAAAAGAAAAGAAAAGAAAAGAAAAGAAAAGAAAAGAGTTAGTACATATAGTCCCTCGCTATCAAAATCTATCCTCTATTTTTTCTGTCTTTTTTTTTTATATATATAAACTTACCGTATAGATAGGAAGGTCAGGATGTGGATGGAATGCTCGCTCAATTTTACAACTGCTAATGACATCAAGTCCAGGAGGATCCGTTAATCGAAACACACCGTAACTATGGAAAATAAAACATCATCATCATCAGTTTTTTTCTTATCTCTTTCAAATCATCTAAATATACTTACCTTGGTTTGTGTTTGGGGGCACAGACAATAGCAATAGCTTCAGGTAGCATCAATTGATAGGAGCAATGTGTATGAAGATCAACAGAGCTTAAAAAGCAGGACTGGGAAGGATGAGTATGGATCCAACCAAACGTCAATAGGTCATGAGCATCTTGGTATTCAAATAATTCTTCTTCATTTTCGGTAGTGCATGTATCGGATGTACCAGTTTGTTTTGGTATAATCAAAGTTGTCACCTGTAACACGTTGTTTTTCTAAAACAAGGAAGAAAAAAAAAGGAGGGAATAGAAATAAGTAGATGAATATCATTTGAAAACCATTTCTTCTTACCAGAGTTCCAGCCAATATGCCACAAGTTTCAATGTTCTTGCCAGTATTGGGTTTGGCAATGTTAAGGAATTTATTCTGTAGTACAGCTGGTACTATTAATTCTCGTAGTGGTTCTCCTCTTTCCGTCGTCACTAACACAAAAAAAAAAAAAAAAAGGTATAGATATATAGTGAGTATGAAATCAACTTATTAGCTTTGATTCTTTTTTTTTTTTTCTTTTGATGCTGATTACCTCCACTAGACACATTCATTTCAGATAATGGTTGTTTCAAAGGTTCAATATCCAAAGTGACTTTTGGCGGTAAATCAGGAGCAAAAGAAGATACTGATGATGGTTCCAGGGCAACTTTTGGTGGAATAGCTGGGGCTGATATATTATTCCAAGTATCCTTTTGTATAGGTTTTGGTGGAAGTGGTGGTTGTACATCAGTAGATAATTTGAGTTGATTGTCATAATGAGAAGGTTGATAGGAAAACCTGTGTAAACAATGGAAAGAAAAAAAGGTTAATCGCAAGTTCTTTGTTGATTCTTCATATATATATTTACCCATCGCTTTTGTTTTCAAAAGTTGTACTTGGATATTGAGTGATAGGATATGTTGATACTTTACTAGTAAATTCGGATGATCTATTGAATAAATATGGAAAAAAAAAGAAAGTAATTAGCTTTTTTTTTTTTTTGTATAGTCTTGAATAGTACCTGTCATTATATCCAACACCAGCTACATCCTTTAATACATTCTGTAAAGACCATTGTTCGTTCTCTTTTTGTTGTATATCGTCCATGTCAGATTCGTATTGAGTGGTGGTTACTCCTTTCAATTGTTCAGCATGTCTTGCTTCCATTTCCTGTTGTTGTTTTCTTTCTTGTTCTTTTTGTTGGTCCACATATTGTTGATATTCTTTCGTTAAAATTGGTTTCATGGTCTCCAAAGCATCCAAAGCTTCTAAACAGTTCTGATATTATAAAATAAAAAAAAAAGAAAAGAAGAAGAAAACGTGAATATACATAGATTGAATGGCATTTTAAGTTATAATTTACCTTGGTAATGATATTTCTAGCTTTCTTATTTTCAGGTGCTTTATATTGAGGATGTTTTGGTAATTCTTTTAAACCCAAACTATAAATAATAATAATAGTAATAATAGTAAGAAGAGTATGACTTTTATATTTTGGTTTTTTTAATACTTTGTATATTTCATATAAAGGACATAGGCGTGTTGATAATCTTTTTCCATCTTGTAAACTCTTGCTTGTTTAATAAGTAGATCAGCAGAACGAAAATATAAACGAATAAAAGTATTTGAATCTACTTGAATAGAAGCTAATCTACCCAATTCTTTTGTTGATCGTGGTGGATATTGAGGCATTGTATATTGATATATATAAAAAAGAAAAAAGAGAAGTAAAAAGAAGAAGAAGAAAAAATGGCGGAGATTTGCCAAGGTGGCCTTGGCCTTTTTTTTTAAAATTTCTTTCTTCCAGCAAGAAAGAAAAGGGGCAAATATATATATATATGAGAATAGTATAGATTATTGTTAACAATAAATAAATATCTTTCTATATAAATAATAAAAAAGTAATTTTATTTTTTTTATTTATTTATCTTTTTTGTTTTTATAGAAATGGTTGCATTTTCATAATACGACATTTCTCTTACTATACTGATCAGTTTTTTTTTTTTTTTTTTGTGCAACTTTGATTTCTTTTATTTACGTTTTTTTTTTTTCTCCTCATTTTTCTCCTTTCTTTTGTTCTTTTTTTTTTTTTTTTTTTTTTTTTTACAATATAATGTCACTGAAAGATTTTGAACAAAATAATAACTTGACAGCTGTTCAAGTAGGTAAGTCAACTTTCATTATCAATGAATATATATATATTAATCTATTATTATTATTATTATTAGCTGTACGTATAAGACCACTATCAGATAAAGATCGTTCACAACCAAGGTTTGCTCACGCTACAGAAGACGATGTTCTTCAAGTTCACTCCAATAGTGTTATTGTCTCTCCACCTCATAATAAAAGTTTTACTTTTGATCATGTTTTTGGTCCTCAAACTCAACAAGCTGAAATATTTACAACTTTAGGTCAAAAAAGTATCAACAAATTCGTGCAAGGTAATTAAGTTCATCTTTTTTTTTTTGCCACCCATTACTCCTTTATCTAATACAAACTAAATATATTCCCCTTATTTTATATATATATATATATATAGGTTACAATGTTACTATGCTTGCATATGTAAAATAGAATAAACTTAATTCCAAACTCAACCAAAAGATATATTTTACTCATTATTGTTTTCTATTTAGGGTCAAACTTCTTCAGGAAAAACTTATACAGTAGGAACAGCTCATCATACTGGTCGACAGGACCCTGAACAAGAAGGAATAGTACCTCGCGCCATGGCTCTTTTATTTGATTTGTTACACCAAAATGATATACGACCTACTTCACCAGCAACTTCTATTTCTTCTTCATCTCTTGATAATACAACTAAAGGACGTTTACGACCAGTATCAAGAATATCTTACACATCTTTTAATAACAACAACAACAATAACAATTCAAAATACAAATATTCTGTCAAGGTTGCTTTTGTAGAAATTTACAATGAAGAATTACGTGATTTATTAAATGATGCACCATCCAATGCTCGACCTGCTATTACTATTCGTGAAGATACAAAAGGACAAATCTATTGGACTGGTGTAAAGGAAATGACTGTCAATAATACAGATGACGTTTTAATGTAGGATATATCTACACATATCTATAACAATAGAGTTTATTTATTTATTTTTTTATTTTATTATTTTAATTTAGGTATCTTCAACAAGGAACTCTAAATCGTGCTACTGGATCTACTGATATGAATGAACAATCTTCTCGATCACATGCTATCTTTTCTGTCACTCTTCGACAAGAAAAATGGGTACCTTCATCAAACAACAGTATAACCACTTCTCGTACAGCTAGTCCAACCTCACCCAGATCAAAACCTCGTCCTCTCAGTGCTATGAATTTACGAATGAATGACTCTCCTACAACAGAAGATGGTGAATGGGTCATTACTACTTCAAAACTTCATTTTGTCGACTTGGCTGGTAGTGAAAGAGTAAATCAAAAAAAAAAAAAAATATCATGATATTAAAAATGTTCTAATTATTTATTATTTATATTTTCTTTTTTTTCTTTTTTTTTTTTTTTTTTTTTAGTTGAAACGTACAGCAGCAGAAGGAGATCGACGAAAAGAAGGAATTAATATTAATGGTGGACTTTTGGCCTTGGGAAACGTTATTTCTGCTCTTGGTGATCTTTCCAAAAAAAGTACTCACATCCCTTATCGTGATTCCAAATTAACAAGGTTACTACAAGACTCACTTGGTGGAAGTGCTATGACTCTCATGATTGCATGTGTTAGTCCTATGGAATACAATATATCAGAGACTCTCAATACGCTTCAATATGCCAATCGTGCTCGTAATATTAAAAATCGGATGGAAAAGAATGAAATGGAGGAATGGCTTACAACGGACAATCTGGATCTCTTACGCGCTACCATTACCAAATTGAAAGCTGAACTTCGAAGTAGATCACCATCAACAACAAATCAAACACAATCAAGAGGTGGGAGCAGTTTGGGTTTATCATCTATGCATCGACTTTCGACTGGGGATGCAGATCAGATATATCAAGAACAACAATTATTGATTGGGGATTTACAACGTCAACTAGAAGAAGCAACAACAGAAGCTGTTATTACAAGGGAACGCAATCGAATCATTGAACATCAACTCGAAATGATGATTAATAAAGATGGTGGTGAAAGTTCATCCTCTGGTAACTTTGAACATACAGTAGAACCCATTATTCAAGAATACGAAAAAACTACTGCTGCCTTGGAATCTCAACTCACTTTGTCTCGAGCAGCTTTGACCCACGCCGATTTTCGCATTGAAGAACTTCAAACGTTAACCAGTGAATTGGAACAACGGCATGAGCAAAATCAAGGATATATCGAAGAACTAGAGGGCAAGCTTTTCCATACAGTGAACGACGCAGTACAAGATGAAGAATTGCTTAATGAACTGAAAAATCGAATTATGAAATTCAAGGAATTGGATGACAGCACAGAACTTTATATTCTCGATCTGGAGAAACAACTAGCCAACAATGAAGCAGCGTACGCCGCCAAGTTACAGCAATATCAGCTAAAAGAGACTCAACAGACCGAACATATTAGTCAACTGGAGAAAGAAATAGCAGATTTACGAATACGACCAAATGATGATGGAGAAAAACCACCACCATTGGAAACAGTTTATCTTCAGGAACGCCAGGCATTACATCAACAAATCGAAAAATTACAACAAGAAATATCGGAACTGCGAACCCAATTGGATCAACAACAGAAAACTACTAACAATATACCACTCTATTTTGACAAGGATCATCATCATCAACAACGAAAACAACAAAGCAGCTTTGCAGATGAAGACACATTGCCTATTCCCATACCAATTGTGGACGCCAACCATGAAGCAAGGAAAAGGATGTTCTCAGATGGTAGTCGTTTACCCAACAATAAATCTTCGCTTCTAAAGTCAACTTTAGCTTCTTTGGAACATGTACAATCGGAATATGCAGTTTTGAAGGAACGATATAAGCATTGGACAGTGGCTGGCAACACAACAACCACAATGGATCAGCAATCTTCTCAAGGTAGCAGTATCGGACCGACAATAAGTACAGGTTCAACATCCTCATCATCATCACTGACATCAGCATCATCACAATCATCATCATCAGACAGTATAGGCACGGGAGGAATGACGACAACAACTAGATCTTTACAAATAGCAACTTCAGGAATCAATGATATTACTCTTGAGATATCGGATATTCGACGCAAAGGGGAAATTATGATACAACAATATCGAGCTCAATTACAACGGATTCATGGAGCTATTCAAAGGGTAGAGAAATTGGAAAAATCGACAGCATCTGATGATCAAATATCAACACCATATGCGGACGAACAACGAGAAGCGATCTTGGATTTGGGCCAGCAACTACGTGATCGACAAAACTCACTCCAAGATGCATGTATCCGGTTTGAAACAGAAATGGAAACTGATCTCCAACAATTGGAACAACAACGATATACCACCTTACCACCTTCACCATTGACACAAACCTCAGAAACGATGAACAACGACGTGAATGATGAGAACCAACAGGAAACAGATGATGAAGACAGACAACAACGGATGGATCGCATCATCCAACGAGTAGCCAATGCAACACAGGAAGTTGAAATGCATCGATCCAAAACATACGTACTTCAAACCAAGTTACAAAAGATTGAAGTAGCCTATCATACTCAACAACAACGAAAATCTTCTGCTTCAGATGATCAAGATGGGATTGAACAATTGATGAAGAAAATGGACGCACTCAAACTTCAGTTGGAAACAAGAGAAATTAAATCGATATCTGTTAAGGAAGGATAAGACAAATTTTTTTTTTTTTGGTATCAAGTTGGTTGGTCATTCCTGTCTATTCAATAGTTTGTCTCATGGAATGATTTTTTTATTATTATTATTAATATTATTATTGTTATTGTTATTATTGTTATTATTTAATTATTACTATCCCTTTTTGTCTATTTTATATTACCCTTCCCTTTTTTATTATCATTAATATTAATACTAGTTATATATCTCATACCCTTCTCCCTTCTTTTGTTTTGTAGTCCAACCAAAATATTGTTTCTAGATTTGATTATTATTTTTCTTTGATTTTATTGTTTATACGTACATTGTCAATAAAGATTTATATACATATGTTTATCGCTCATTATTCTTGTCAAATTGTCTACCTTGGTTTATCTCTTATCCCATTCCATTTACAAAGTATAATGAAGATTGACCATTTAAGGTTAGTCTCACTATTATTCTCAACTATTATCATCCACAATAATCATCATATATCATCAACGATTATCGTTCTATCATATCATTTTAATCTCAAATTGATATTACAATGTATTATTATTTCTACCCGAACTTGAGAGCCTATCTCCCGTAGAGTCAAGGAGAGCACTGATGGAGCTTTGAAATGTTCGGCTGGTCATATATGTCAACCCAAAAAAAAAAAAAAAAAAAAAATCCTGCCGGGTTTGTTGGCCCATGGATGATATATGAGGTCTCTCCTAAAGAGAGAGAGAGAGAGAGAGAGAGAGAGAGAAAATGGGTATGACTTTCTCAAGTCTGCCCTCACCCCTTTATCATCATCATCATCATCATCATCATCATACACATACGCACCTGATGAATCATCATGCACTTGGATCATCTACATTACCTTGTGATGATGAGAGGAGTTGATTGATGACGGAATCATGGATCATATATACATATACATTGACGATAATGAATTTCAAATAACATGGTGGTCAATCATTAACAAAAACCAACCGTTCACATTAACCAATAAAAATAATATCCTCAATATTGAGCAGATGCTTGATTGATTTAAAAGAGCTTTATTGATCAATAAAAAAAAAGTAGAAGAAATCAGAATAAAAAAAAAAAAAAGGTATAAAAGAGTAGTGAGTGCGACGGGGGAATAATAAACTACAACTATCTATGAATCCACTCTCTACAGTTCGTTGATTCACAAAAGCAAGGGAATTTGCAAGTCTTGTCAACTTCGTCATTTTGGTCTGAAATTCCAGTATAGTCAAAAGTAAGTTCTTCACCAACAGCGATATCACGTCTTGCAAAAAAGGCCAATCGATGGAAACTTGGATCCATACTATCATAAAATACACCATATACCATCAAGTTCGGTGAACACGAATGATTAAAAAAATGACTTGCATTTCCGCAAATAAAAGAATCAATCACATATTTTTGTAATCCTTCACCATCAGCCAAATCCATGTCGAAAAGATAGGAGAGCCCAAGTTTGTCATATACCTTGCCACGTTTGACACCTTCAGCTTCAGTAATCACTTCACCCAAGTATTGTTCCACAAATGTATTCTGCTTGATAGGAGCCAGGCATCGGACACCCCATCCTTTTTTGGCAGTCTTGAAGATTTCCAAGGGAACTTGTCGACCACGTTGCACGATTCGATTAGGACATCGACCTTCATCACACTGGCATGCCTGTGTACATTCGTAGATAGCACCCTGATAATTGTTTTTTAGAGTCCCTTTGTTACGGTAGGCCGAGTCTTCGTGACAAAACTTGCTATTACGAACTTTGATACATTTCCCCACACATTCACAACCAGAAAGAAAGTCCGGATCAGGTTCGGGTACATCTGAATGCAGTATAAGGTCGTCGATATATACAAAGATTTCTGGGAATACACTACTGTCGTAATCATTACACACATATACTGGAGGGTCCACCTTCAAAAATTGTTGTCTGCCTTCTTTTGGTAAATTCTTCAATTCGTGACCCTTTTCCTATAGAAAGACATTACATGTTCATACAACATTAGATTTCGATCAGTTTCATATTCCCAAAAAAAAAAAAAAAAAAAAAAGATAGATAGATTGGGATAACTTACACTAGCTTTTGATTTTGAATTTTCCAAAGCTGATTGTATGGCTTCCAATTCCATTTCATCTTGAACCACAGCACGAATAGTCCTTCTTCCTACAACAGTCTAAAGATATAATCAACGTATTAGAAGGAGAAGGAAAAAAAAAATAGCTTGATATAGATATATTTATGTGTGTGTTTGTTTTTGATTACCGGAAAGTCAATGATAGATGGGGCTGGAATAACGACAGGAGATAGTTTTTGGCGTTTCTTCTTGGTACCTTCTGTATCATCAATAGGAGTAGATATTGATGTAAAACTGACATCTGAGCTTTCACTGTCCAAATAGGTTGGTGTAGATATAACGGAGGAGAGATCTGATATTGTCGTAGTTGGTGATTCCGCACTTGAGCTACTTTTTCTTCGTTGTTTCTTCTTGTTGGTCTTATTGCTTCTGGATTTTTTTTTCTTGTTGCTCTTGAGAGAAGTAGTGGTAGAAGTGAGATCAGTATCAAAACTTGGAATAGGCTCAACACTAATATCAAAGGCGTCTTTCAATAGGATTTTATCAGTTGTTGTCAAGTCAGCATCAGGATATTGTTGTTGATAGTTGGTCAAGAAAGTTTGTACTAATTCATCGTTGCCCAACAAGTTGGCTTTACATTCCCAGGTATTGTCATACTTGGAGTAACCTTCCCATTCAATAAGATAGTATTCTTCATTCTATTAAAAAAAAAAAAAGAAAGAAAGAAAGAATGAATAAAGCATAAATAAATAAAGTATTACTTTTCTTTATTACGTCAATATAACACCGCCCAGATACTCGTTTGACCTACTCAAAAAAAAAAAGATTAATATTCGTCATAGCAAGAATTGACCTGATCTGACCCAACCAAATCTTTTAGAGAGTATCAAACTAATTATGGTTTTCACTTTTTTTATATTATACTTACATCATATTCGTCTGACATTGGGTATAAAAATAGAGGGGAGAAAACGATACAAAAGGAAGGCGAGAAGTAGACACGGTCAGAAAAACCAACGAAAAAAAAAAAAAAAAAAAAAAGGAAAAAGAAACAAAGAAACAAAAAGAGAGAGAAAGAAAAGAAAGTCCTCATAACCAAAAGATAATTGTAAGGCTCGCGGTACGGACGTCTCGAGTGAAGCTGAGATTAGAATTATATGCGTACTGATTGGCTCAAAATCATGCTCTGTGTTCTCTATGCTACTCCTTTTGTTATCGTTTCTTATAGTTCTTTAGCTTTAGAGACATTGAAACATCATGGTTGTCAAAATCATGCTCAGTTTGTGTGACCCAGAGATCAAAAAAAAAAAAAAAAAGAATCTTCTTGACAGTAATCAGGTACAGTGGAAGTTGAGGTACTCAACCGTAGTACCTATTACACCACTGTTTGACCAACAAAACAAAACCCGACCACAATGCATCCCAAGATCAGATGAAATCCATGAATCCTGTCTCCTGTATAAAACAGGATTTTTTTTTAGACATGGACTATTTTGTAGATATCGTACAGTATATTATAAGACGTATTTATCACGATTTACATTACAGCTAGAAAAAAAAAACTACGTTTTCATCTTTTTTTTTTTTCTCCTTGATATCGAGCATCCAAAAAAAAAAAAAAAAAAAAGCTACATCTACATATCCGGTCTGCCTTTCAAAAAGAGTGATAGTAACTGGTATTTCCGGCTCGCAAAAGTAGGTGGTATGATTGATCAGTTGACTGACGCGATGATGGACATCTGTCTTCATGTGATCATCAGCTTGGTAAGGAGAAAAAAAGTACTTTTATCAGTGAAACAATCTCAATGTCTGATTTAATGGTAACTAACTTCCCGCTTTTTTCTGTCGTCAACGATCTCTTTTTTTTTTTTCGAAGAATTGAAACTCCCCGTACATTTAGCGTGAACATGATTTGAGTTGACATTTTTATTTCATCACACGAACAATTTACAGTAGACGGCAAGACAGGCGATAAAATATGATTAGATGATACTTTTTTTTTGAGAGGAATTTAATCATGGTAGTTGTGTTGAATGGTGATCATCATTGGATGAAGGATGATTGTTGAATTGATTTTTATTTTTTAATTTACTTTGGTAAGATACAAATTGTTATTAAGGCAAGTAAAATAGAATATTTTCCTGCACTGTTCAGTCCAAATTTGATTTAATGATGATGATTTTTGAGCGATTTACAAAAATATAAAAAGGTAATGCGTTCATGTCATACTGTAGCTCAAAAGAAAATGGTTCGATTTTTTCAAATGGCTTTTTCTCCTCATTGAGCAAGCTAACCAATGAAAAGCTATTATCCGTTATTAAGCTACTTTTTAATAGTGCATCTAATGGGCGAAGAATGGAAGTGGCTCATGTTCATTTTACAGTCGTGAAGACAATGGTTCGATTTTTTCAAATGGCTTTTTCTCTATATGGAGCAAGCTAACCGATGAAAAGTCATTATCCGTTGTTAAGCTACTTTTTAGCATTGCAGCCAATGGGAAAGAGAATTTGAAGTTTGGAGGGATGAAAAAAAAATGGGATGGATTTTTTAGTTTTACAGCCAAAATTTTCAAATTCCCCCCAGCCAAGTTTTGGCCTGTAAAACTCAATCATCATGGCATCATCGTGTGCAAAATACACTGTTTGCTAGATCAATCTCTTTTCTTTTTTTTTTTTTTTTTAAAAAAAAAAAAAAAAAAAAAAAAAAAAAAAAAAGAGAAGGACGAGAGGCAGATAAACTACCGGGCCAATAAGAACGAGAAGTAAGGTTGGCATTTTTGCCCCACCCCAAGTGCTCCATCCCAATCATCCTAAGTGTCCCAATCATCCCAATCATCCCAATCATCCCAATCATCCCAATCATCCCAATCATCCCAATCATCCCAATCATCCCAATCATCCCAATCATCCCAATCATCCCAATCATCCCAATCATCCCAATCATCCCAATCATCCCAATCATCCCAATCATCCCAATCATCCCAATCATCCCAATCATCCCAATCATCCCAATCATCCCAATCATCCCAATCATCCCAATCATCCCAATCATCCCAATCATCCCAATCATCCCAATCATCCCAATCATCCCAATCATCCCAATCATCCCAATCATCCCAATCATCCCAATCGTCCCAATCGTCCCAATCGTCCCAATCGTCCCAATCGTCCCAAGTGTCCCAAGTGTCCCAAGTGTCCCAAGTGTCCCAAGTGTCCCAATCATTTCAAGCACTAGTAGTTAAATTTGTTCTTTGCTAATTAAATTTTTTTCTTTATTTTATAAATTTTAACATATATTAACCTATCTGTATTACCATATCTATACTATCCTATGCTATAATACTGATTTATACAAAAAAAAAAAAACACTGTACTTGAATAACGTTCTTAATGCGTGTGATCTCTTGATCGAAAGCGACGTCGAGTTCATTTCTAAGCTGGCGGCGGCTGGGTAGATGAGCACTACGATTGAGATATTGGATAAGATCAACAAAGGTAAGCGATTCCACTTCCAAGAATAGTTGATTAGAGCTGATAATCCATTTGAGTAACTTTTGGTTGAAAACAGTGTTATCGAATGATGACTGGATTCTACAAATTAAAATATAAGTTAGATATGCTTTTTAAACAAAGAAAATGTAGCGTAATGAAAACTGTATACATCCCACATAGTATAAAAGACTACTTGCTGAATAAATTGTTCCCTAGCTCCAGTGTCACCTGCTTTTTTTTTCTTGTCGGTACTGTGTTGAATGGTGTGATTTCAAATGCTTCAACAATAACTTGGTACTTTTTCTGTTCCAGCAGAACACTTCGGTTTTATGAGTGTAAAGGCGGCAGCGTGCTTTTTCTTGTCCCTCTATATTCCAGTTCACTTTTGTAAAGAACTTCCAAGCGAGATTCAATTCCTTTTCTTAGCGATGAGGCAGATGGCTGAAGATGTTGACATGCTTTCTGTTGACATTGCTGACATGGATGAATACTGGGTTCGAGTCTTTGTGAAATCGTTAAGGTTCGCCTCCAAAAAGTTGAAAAAGTCATCAGGAGTATTGTTGAATTGAGATACACTAGTAACTAGAATATAAAATAAAAATATAAGTTCACGTTTTGGTCACCACCTGAAAATATAAAAAACATCTCTACCAATGTTGCCATTTCGTCTTTCTGATTACGTACTTACATGAGAATAGTCGTTTTGAAAGAGTTCTAGTAGTTTTACAATTGTAGAATATAAAAAATCAAGAGTGTTAAAAAAATAAGAAGAAAAAAAAAAGGAAAAGAAGAGAGAAAAAAAACGAAGACAAAAAAAAAAAAAAGACGAACCTTTATTTAAGCATAATTTTCAACTCCGTGATGCGTTACTGCATATCCCATGGGCTCCCATGGGACAGACAGTTTCTCACCCCATCCCACCAGAGAAGAATGTTACACAGTCCCAAGTACCATCCTTAACGAGAACTGGTATGCATGAGTGATTATTTATTTTATTTTTGAAGGATATAGTAGAAAAAAAAAGGGTATTTCTTTTGATATATTGCTGAATCTCCATATTAGTTTGATGATGTGCCTAGGCTTCATGAATATGGCTGATGGGATGATAGCGATACAGTGTGATGATAGATGAATGAGAATTTCGAATCATCATCAAAGGGTTTGCATATTTTACCGATCAAATGGAATATTGTTCAATCATCCGATCATATCACACTACCATATTTACTTTATTATATTGACCATCATGCGTGATCATCCTGTATAGTCTGACCTATTTTTGTATAACGCCTCTCAATCAACAAAACATCATATTCTTTTTTTTTTTATTTTATTCAATTATAACTGGTGCTCAAGACACAAAAAAAAAGAAAACGTTGATTATCCAAGAGATGATCATCATCAGAAATAAGCTCACAAGTCATCATCAACACATCACATTTGGGAGATGAAAGCTAGATATGAAAATTGAGTTGATGAAAGAACAATGGATCACTCTTCTTCCTCCATACTGGATTTAATACAAATTATACATTCATCAGTCTCTGGATTGGGATAGCATGCATATGATGTGTGCACACAGCAAGATCTCGTTCTTTCTTGGTTTATTCAACTATGATTATATTGTATTGAAGTACACTGTATAGACAAAAAAAAAAAAAAGAAATGATGAAACACATTTTTTTTTATTTTATCTCTTTACGAAAGGATGACTGATTACCAAGTGCTCGGTTCCCATAGTGCACAACAATCAGTAGATCACTATACAAAGGTTTTTTTTTTTTTTTGTTTTTACCAGGGATATAAAAGTGCAGGATGAGAGGTTTTAGCTGCTTTTATGGATGATGATTTGCCAATCAACATGGAAGGACAAGAAAAAATCGTTTGTACTCCGGCTACTGATGAAAAATAAAGTTTTATGGTCATTTTTGATGTTTATATGATCAAAAAAAAAAAAGCTTTTACGCGTAGGATGAAAGGTTTGATTTGTAGTTTTGATTCAAATCTATATCAATGTGTCATTATTTATTCAACATAATAAAAAACGAATGAATTCCATATAATGTAAGTTTGATAAAAAAAAAAAAAAAAAAGAAAGAAAGAAAGAAAGGGTACCGCGGAGTTGATTGGGTCAATCTTCAATTCTGTCCAAATTGGGAACGAGAAATTTTTGCTGTGGTTGATGGAGACTCATTTCTTTATAAAAAGAGAAGATCTTTTTTTTTTTATAATTATTTCTTTCTTTCAAATAATCATCGTTTAATTACCTACTCATTATGGTTCGTCTTGGTCTTTCCTCTTTTTCCACTATTGCTTTGGCTGCTGTTTTCTTCCAAGGTTCAGAAGCTCATGTAGAATTCTCTAATGACACTGTCAAGGTAATAATAAATCAAACTATTTTATAGATCATGGATCTGATTCCCTTTTTTTTTTTTTTTGGTCATAGCCTAATACTGTCTTGAATACATCTTTGGTTGTCCCTCATGGTTGTTCTGGTTCAGATACTGTTGGTCTTAGTGTCACTGCACCTGATTCTATCAATATTGGCATCACACCTCAAAATGTTCAAAACTGGGTAAGTGATAACATTCAACAGAAAAAAAAAAAAAAAGGAACATACATTAATAGATCTCTTTTTTTTAAAAAAAAAAAAATAGACGTTAACAGTGAATTATCGTGATTCCAGTAATAAAACAGTGAAGGATTTCTCTTGGACTGGTGGTTATCTTGCTCATGATGGTCGTCAAGAATTTGGTGTAGTTTTAGCTATTCCCCAAGTGGATCTTTCACAACAACCTAATGTCACTGCTCTTTTCCCTACCGTACAAACATGGTAAGGCAAAAAAAAAAAAGATAATTCTATTTGTATATTCTCTTGTTCATGCTCTTTTTTTTTTTTTTTTTTTTTTTTTTTTTTTTTTTTTTTTTTTTTTTTTTTTTTTTTTTTTTTTTTATTGTGGGTCTATAGTTTGAATAGTACTAGCAATTGGACTTCTGATCCTAAAGCCGCTGGATACAATGCGACTCGAGATAAGCCAGCTCCTCAAATCGTGATTACTAACCAAGTCGATGAATCATCTAATGGTCAAGCTACCCCTTCATCCAATCCTTCTAGTGGTGCCATGACATTCTATACTCAAGGATCCACTCTTCCATTGATTGCTGCTGGTATGGCTATTGTGGCTGGTGTCTTATTTTAAATAATCTTCATTCTGGTTCCTTACTCCATATCTTACTTTTTCATATTTTCTGATCTATTCATTATATATAATTATTCATTTTGAAAATAAACAATGTGATGTTCACAATAATAATCATAATAATGGTGGATGATGAGATGATAGTTGATCAATGATGATGGATAATCAGTGATTGACTTTTATAGGCAAAAGGCTGTAAAAGTCGATCCCATTTTTCTTCTCATCCTTTCAAACCTCAAACTCTGTTCATCATTGGACTGCACTGCTAAAAACTATAATAGATAATGGCTTTTCATCAGTTACTTTGCTCCATATCGAGAAAAAAAGCCCTTTCAAAAAGTCAAGCCATTTTTTTTTTTTTTTTGCACTATAACATCAAATGGGGGTAGACATGTACCTCTTTATATTTTTGTAACTTGCTTAGAACTCATCATCATTATACCAAATTTGAACTAGATGTAGATGAAGTTATTCTCTTTTATTTGTCCTAATGACAATTTATACCTTACCTCCCAATGTATAGAGTAAATTAAAAAATAAAAGTCAATTCAGTCATCTCTCATCCAATAGTGATCATCATCCAACAAAATTACCATCATTGGATTCCTCTCAAAAAAGTAGTCAAATATCCTCTAATCTCATTTTATCGCTTATCTTGTCACCTAACGTATCATGATCACCAAAAGCATTTCATCGATTTTTCGAAAAATTGCCTGATGGACCCCTGAGGATTTATTTTTACAGCCAAAGTTTGGCTGAGGAGTTCGAAAATTTTGGCTGTAAAATCCCAAAAAAAAAAAAAAAAAAAAAAAAAAAAAATGGTGAATCCACAGCACTATATAGTAAATCCTATTTTTAAGCTTAAATCTATAATCATACCCTATAAACACCATTAATAAAAGATGTATATATTATCTATGGCTACCTTTTTTGTTAGTGAATCAAGAAGATAGCTTGTCAATCATACGTAGAAAATGGCAAAAAAAGGGTCATCCGGCAGCTATCATAATACGGTATATTCACTTTAAGATTCCTTGAGACTCAAATAAAAGACCTAGTATTTCTCCAATGCTTAAAACAGGAACAAAGATTAGTTATCACTCCATGGATATTGCTCTAACATACTTTTTTTTCTAAACTATTCAGTTAAAAAAAAAAAAAGAAGATACTATTCATCATATATTAACAAAGGATGAAATTCAGTATGTGTGATTTCCATTTTTTTAATGAAGTGAGATGATTACTATAGGTAGGCAGGTAATGCTATTGGTAGGTCGACCCCAAAGGAAAAAAAAAAAAAAAAAAAAGTCACTTCTTCCCGGGTTTTGCTTTGAATATCCCGCCGATTTTTTTTTTTTTATCAACTCTTATATTTTTACTCTTTTGTTTCCTTGTCTATATTTTCAACCCTTTTTTTTTTCTATACTTTATTGTGTGTGTGTGAGTGTGGACCGATTCATTCTTTTCTTATCCTTCTTTTACATCATTTACTACTGCTCATACCAACATGCTTCGTTTATCGTCTTCTCTACTGACATCCAAGAAATTCCTTGTCTCTGCTGGTACGTCAAAAGAAATAACAATAAAAAAAAAAATGTTGGGGATATATTATACGAATATTTACACACGTTTTTCTTTTTTTCTTTTTGGGTGATATTGTTATTACTATTTTTCTTTTGAATGAAATACATGTATTGGCATAGGTATTCACACCACAGCAACGCGTGCAGCTATCACTAGATTCAACTTACCTGCCATGAGTCCTACTATGACTGAAGGCACAATCCATAAATGGCAAAAGAAAGAAGGTAAATGATGATAAAGTTTGATTGATACGAGTGATAGGATGGTAAGGGAGAGAATGCAATGATTAACAATAGGGTATTTGTATAGGGGAATCGTTTGCTGCCGGGGATGTACTTTTGGAACTTGAAACTGACAAAGCTCAAATCGATGTGGAAGCACCTGACGATGGAGTTCTCGCTAAGATTGTGGTAAGCATTAAAAAAAAAAAAAAAGGAAATGGTTATGTTTTTGTGTGAAAAAGGACTGATTCACTTGTATATATCTATTTGGAAATAGCTTGGAGATGGACAGAAAGGTTCCGTGAATTCCTTGATTGCCCTGTTGGCTGAAGAAGGTGATGATATTTCCAATATACAGATACCTGAAGATGATAGCAATACATCATCAGCTCAAGAACAACAAACTATCAAGGAAGAAAAGAAAGGTAATGCAAATAATAATAATAAAAAAAAAAAAGAATCAATAATTATCTCACTCCCTTTTTTTTTTTTTTTCTTTTCTCCTTTCCTGTTTATTTTATTTTATTTAGAAGCAAATGCCTCAGTGACACCAGTTGTTCCTATGGGTCATCATGATTTGGATACAAGTAAACTCAAGAAACCATTGTCACCTGCTGTATTTAGTTTGGTAATGCGACACCATATCAAGGATGTAGGTCAAATCAAGGCATCTGGTCCTGGTGGGCGTATTTTGAAGGGAGATGTACTTGCTCATCTTGGATTGATTGCTCCTCGCCCTGCGCCCAAACCTAGACATTCTGTCGCTCCTCCAAGGGATCAAATTGAAATTGCCAAGGTAAAGGAGAAAAAGGAACGCAAGAATGATTATATATATATATTTATGTCGTTTTATTTTATTTTATATTATATGGAGAGCAGCCTACTGCTCCTGTTGATGATGGGAAAAAATCAATTCAAGACAAGAAGGAAGATACCCCTGTGGTTCCTACATACATTGAACGCCAAGTTAGCATGGATGCATTAATCAATCTTCGCAGCTCGTTAAAAGGTAAGGAAAAAGAATGATCCTGACATTAAAATATACTAACGTGACTCTTTGTTTAGAACAAAGTGGTACAAGAGTCAATCTCAATGATTTGATTAGCAAGGCAGCTGGAAGAGCGCTTCAAGAAGTAAATGATGGCAAGGTATATAATTCCAACCAAAGCGACAAAGGCATTGTGTCACAAACCAAATCATCTGTTTCTACTTATAGTGGTGGTGTATTCAAGTAAAATCAATAAGAATAGAAAATTAAGAAACTTCAAATATTCACTTTTTTTTTTCTAAAAAAAAAAAAATAATAATAATAGGATTTTCCATTTGGCAGCACCTACTTATGATTTTATCACAGATAGTTATGTTGGATCGAAACCTTATACTTTGAATGTAGATAAATTACAACGTATAGGAAAGGTCAAGAAAGAAACCATGGTGGATATCATAGATTATCTTGGAGGACAACAACGATCTTCATCGGCAGTTCGTACGGTCAGTCTGAACAACATTGGATCATCTGATTTATTCAACCAACAACAACAAGGTTACTATGTGAATATGAAATTAGAAGGTGGTGCCCCTGATCAGAAGGCCAAACTGTTTTTGGATCGTTTAGAATATTATGTTAGACACCCTGAAGATTTGATTGTATAGATTAGTCACTTTTTTTTTTTTTGTTTAGTTTTAGTATCACACTTTCTTTTTTGGAATAAAAAAAAATATATTCTTATTATCAATATGATTTTCATTATCTTTAAAGGTTCATCATTAATAATAAAAATAAAAATTTTATGTGTACAATGTATGATGTAATTCTATGATTTCTTTTTTGATTTCAAAACACACAGACATGTTGTAGACCAACTCCTACTCTCACTCCTTAGTCGTCGTATCACTTAATTGTTGTTGTTTTTTTTTTTTTTTGTTATTATTTCAAACTGAAAAAAAAAAACTTGTGATTCATGGATGATCCGCTCATCATTTTGGAACAAAAAAAAAAAAAAAAAAAAAAAAACTCCTTTTCCCAACTAACAAATTTCTTCTCCCTTATACACAATTCAAGTATAAGTACATAATATAAATAACTTTTTTGATTTTTTTTGGTTGTAGATCGGACAAGGAAATATAAAGTGATGCATGAAACTTTAACCCTACTTTCTTGGATTCATCTTTGAGCCCCAAAAAAAGTCAAGTGTCACTAAATATATTTGGGTATATTTTATTGGGGGGAAAAAAATAGACCGAGTTTTGTTTTCTTTTTTTTTTTTTTTTCTTTGTCATTTGGTCCTCCCCCCTTTCCAAACTTGATCATCATCTAAATAAAAAGTAAGTTAGTTAAAAATGTTTTTAGTGTGATTAGAACATAATCAGTCAAGTCAGCCAAGTGAGTCAGTGGAGTACCAACAGTTTCACAGATAGATGAACAACCTTGGGGTACAACTGGCACGTGGGTGGAGAAATGGAATCATGATTACTTTTTTTTTTTTTTCAAAACATGTCTTGTTATCTATTTTAATCATGTCATGTTTGAATTTGATTGTTATTGTTATTTTATCTGTTGAACGTTTATTGGTGGGATGGGTTAGATTCATTTTCGTTCGGATGATTCAAGTGCCGTCGGTAGGGTGCTTACCCAGCCTCCTTCTTTTTTTTTTTTTTAGAGCATTTCTTCTTCCAAAAAAAGAGAAAGAGATTTTCTTAGTTGATGCTCCGCCTAAGTATACACCTTTCTCCTTGGATCGGTCGACGGAGTATAATCATGTCATTTACCCGAGAAGAAAAAAAAAAAAAAAAGTCCTGCATAATCATCATAACCATTTTACATTGGGGGAGCTTGATGTGTAACCTTATTGGATCACCGAAATCTTAAGCTTTTTTGTTGTTGTACTGCAACTCACGTGGAATCGATTTTTTTTTTTTTAGGTAACTTGATGAATTGTCGATCAACATGGCATGAAAATCATTGGTGATTAGTTTTCTCTTGGCGACGTTTGTCTGACTTGGGATTCTAAATCATTCATCATCCATAGTATTCATGATACGATGAAACAAGTCCGAAACTAAGTGATGATTTGTAGAAGGCACGAAAAAAAAAAAAAAAACATAACAGCAGGTTTATTAAAAACTTGGTTGACATTCTCATCTTGTTTTCCCCTGTCCTCTATTTTCTCCCTTTCAAGAGGAGGATGATTAAAAATGGAGATGGATAAATAGAAGGAGAGGACCAACCAAAAGAAAGAGCGCGCCCTAATTGCTTTATTTGGGTGTCATCATCATCATTCCTTTTTTTCAAAGATCCATCAATGCGGGCGTAAAAATGAAACTCATCCTAATGGGGAAATCTTCTTTCCTTCTTTTCATCATCATACTCCCCCCAAAAAAAAAAGGAAGCTCAGTTCTTTTGCAACACCTGTACGGAGATGTAAAATTCATGATTATCCTTTTGCGTGTAAAACTGTGTGTCTATGTGTGTGTGTTTGTGTCTCTGTTTTGATATGCCGCTCGTGATTTGACAGGTGCGAAATGAGAACCCAGCTTTTATTACACATTCGTTTTAGCATAAAAAAAAAAAACATTCCGTTTGTTCTTTTTCATAGTCATCTTCTAGTTAATTCGCCGCCATGATTCATAAAAAAAAAAAAATTGATCGGTTTTTTTTTTTGTATATACAAAATGTAGAATGTTTTATTATGCAGAGAATAAGACTATATAAGTATGAAATGAATGATTGTATGTACTATGGATGGATAGATAGATGGATTGTATGTTGCATGTATGTATGTATATATGTATGTATAAAAAAAAAAAAGAAGATGATCACAAAGAAAAAACTTGATATGCAAAAAAAAAAAAAGTAAGGGGGTGGGGTGGGAGAGAAAGACAAAAAGGAAGAGATTCCCCCTTTCCATTTTCATCATCGTTTTCCCCCCCCCAAAAAAAAAAAATAATAATAACTAACTAGTATGAATAATAAAAAGGGAAATATATATATATAAAAAAAAAGGTCAGGTGGGACACATCACTTAATCAATTTCCAAACATTGTACCCTTGTTGCCAGTAAAGAAGTAGAGTAATGAGGTGCAGCACCAGAAGCCGATAAAGCCGAAGTTGACATTGAAGAACCAATACGATGACGTGAAGAAGCCAAAGCAGAAGATGAAGAAGACCAGCTTAAAATAGGACGACAGCAATCATTGATCGTGGATGTAGTAATGTTATTCATGACAGATGTTGATAATGATGATGGTAATATCGGAGGATAGTCATGGCTGGTATATGTAGGCGTTGGATAAGATGAATGATGTAAGGAATCCATCATAGGAATGGGTTGAAATGATTCTGGTGGTGTATAAGGCATCATTTTAGTAGGATGATAGTTTGATCGTTTCTTGTTGCTTTGATGATGATCATCCACAATATCATGATAGGATCGTTTCAAATTAGGAGTAGAAACAGAAGGTGTAGGTGGCATAAATGGTGTAATCGGTTTATATACTTGTTGTGATGATAATAATAATGATGAAGATGGTGATGATGTTATAGTAGTTGTTTTTGTTGTTGATGTTGGTGATGATGAACGATCAGAAAAAGAGATTGGTACTTTGATAGATCTGGGTTGTAATATCATATTATTTGTTGGAATCCATTGTTGACATTGTTGAACCCATTGAAAAAAGTGATCATGACGTAGATGAATATTATAATGTAATGCTGATAAAAATTCCATTTCCATAATGTTCAATTCCAAAACAGGGATACTAGATACTTCTGACCATGTCTATGATTAATTAAAAAAAATATATATAAGTTATAAATAATTAATAATGTTTTTTTTTTATTTTTCTTTTACCTTGTTTGTAAATGTATTGTCATCTAAATATTTATTTGCCAAAACAAGAGCAGTGGTGAATAGTCGGACTTCAGAACCAATAGAAGCATGAATATAAGGATAAGCAGACCGTAATCGATGAATATAATATAATCCAAGTACAACACAAGCACAAGAGATTTGAGTTGCTTTAATTATTTTTTGACAAAATTGTTTAAATGCGATGGTTCGTTTCATAGGTTGTTGTTGTTTGATAGGTCCCCATATGGCTGGTACAGCTAAAGCACAAAAATCCGCTAATTGAGTTGTATTGGTGCAGGTAAGAATGGATGATGGATTCATTGTAAAGGAGATGGTATAAATATATAAATATATATATTTTTATTTATATAATAATAAAAATATATATATCAAATCTATTATATACAAAAAAAAAAAATGAAAAGAATGAAAAGAAGAAAGAAAAGAAACTAAAAAAAAAAAAAAGAAAGAAATTATTGACTTGTGTGTTTTTATATTTATACTCAAAATGACTTTAAAGTTCAGTTTCCTAAATTGGACAAGTACTGGAAATCCCTTTTTTTTCACTTTGTTCTTCCACACTTTCCCTCTTCTCTTCCATCCCCCCCCCAAAAAAAAAAAAAAACTTTTTTTTTTTTTGACTTTCTCTACTTTCTTCTCCCCCCAAGGTCTCGGAACTTTTTTTCATTGTCCTCAATCTTTTTTGTGTAATCCTTAAAGTTCTCCGCCCAAAAAAGTCCCTAAACTTCTTTTCTAGTCCCTTCTTCACTCCCCCCTTTTCTCTGTCTCTTTTTCTTTTTTTTCTCTCTCTCCTTCTCCCTAAAGAGTTTAGATTCATCATCATCCTTTGTCTTCATTATCATCTTCACATACTCACGCTCAATAAACCACGCCCAATTGTGTACTACCACAATGTAAATAATTTCTTTTTAGCCCAAGTAAAAATGAACTTTGTATTTTTATTGACAACAAAAAAAAAAAATTTACTATCCTGACAGTTCTGGCCAAAAAAAAAAAAAAATCTCATTGTGTTTGATTTTGGTAATCATCCTTTTCAGATTACAACACCAACTACATGATGATGATGATCACCCTTGATGAAAAAAGAGAGAGGGGGGGAGGACGCCACGCCTTTTTTCAACAAATCTTGTTCGTTTCACAACAACCATGCATTTGAATTGTGTTTCAGGAGTCTTGGTTTTTTTTTTTTTTTTTTTCTTAGGAGGATTACCATTTTAACAATGATTCCAAATTAAACATTAACGTTCCTTTCTCCCCTTTCTTGTATGTGATGTTTTTCCTGTATGTTTGGAATGCATCGGCTCAAATAAAGAAAACATACGATGGAAATAAAAGGAGAAACTCTTTCTTCTGACTATTTGCATGATCACTCTTTTCAAATCCCGTTCCATGCTTTCTTTTTATACTTTTTTTTTTTTTTTTTGCTTTGACCTTCTTGCTCATCTTTTGAATGAGAATCATTCGTCCTCCGTCGGAATTATCTTCCTTTTTTTTTTTTCTTTTCTTAATCTTTTTTTTTTTCCCTCTCTCCTTTTACTGTCACATAACAATATACAGACATATATATATATCTCCCTTTATTAAAATATAAATAAAGAATGGAGGAAAAGATCAACTTGACTGTTTATCTTTCCATTTTGAAACAACCCCTGTTTATCTCTATAACTCACTCTGATTCTTTTCAAACATTGGCTGAAGAACTTTGTCAACAATACCACTTACCTCCTTATTATACCATTCCTCTTCTTTCTTCAATTACCTCAGCATATACTCAGGCTCTTCTCGTTAATACTCCTTCTTCTACTTCTCCTATATCATCAAATGCTCGACAACGCTTTACTCATGCTTATCAAACCAACACACTTCAATATTACAATAAAGACGAAGAGGTAATAAAAAAAACAAAAGGGGTGACTATATCATCATATTTGCTTTTTTTTTTTTTCTCTCTCAATAGGATGTCTTTCCTCGTGCCTTTTATACTCTAGTCAAGTGTCCTATATCTTCCATCTTTGATGCTTTATTGGAATTGGATCAAAATTATACTTTGATGATGAACGAACTTCTCTCTGAACATCATAATGCTCTTGTTGTTATGCAAACTAGGTATTAAAAAAAAAAGACGAAAATGAAAATCAATGTTTCGAATGACTCAACTCTTATACTTTGTATATATATACCATATAGACAGGCTCAAGAAATGGAAGGACCTCAGTTACAGAATCGAACTCATTTATTTGCTAAACACGTTGAGGAAATGGAAATTATGCAGGCTACATTCGCATCTGATGTCTTACAAACTCAAACTTCTCAACGTCAATATTATCGCGACTTTGTCATGGAATTATATCGTGAATATCAATTACGTACAGATGTGACAATACCTGACGATGCATCATCATTATCGAAATCATCTGCATCACTAGTGGACGGGAAAGATTTGGTGGCTACAGCAGCCAGTCGAACTTGGAGAAAAGAACCAGAATCATCTTCTTCATCGATTTCGAGTACAACAACGACAACAACTGGAAGACAGCGTCAAAATTCAACCACTAGTTTTACAAGTCGACTTTCTCAACAATCTTTCTCTAGTGAATCTTGGAAACGTACTTCAATGGGACCAGAAGATCTAGCTAGACAGAAAACCATCCAAGATATACAAGAAATGGGGTTTACAAAAGAACAAGCTGAAGCTGCCATTACTTTGACAAATGGTCTCAATCTAGAAAGGGCTATCAATCTCTTAGTGGAGTCACCTCATCAAATAGAACAACAAATGCAACAACAACATCAGAACAAAAAAAGATCAGCTTCTTTTACTTCTATTAGCAATCATCCTAGTTCAACCTCTTCTACTTCATCCTTACATCAACGCCAGGATTCTTGGAATGATACAAAACCTAACTTCCGTCGTCATTCTTTACAAAAACCACCAGGTTCATCATCGTCATCTTCTTCTTTACAACAAACAACAAAACAATTATCTTCCATCTCATCCTCCAACGCTGGGAAAAGTTGGAATCCAATCTCATTTTTACAACAACAAAAACAAGCCATGGAAAATACAAATCTTAGCTCTGTTCGGAAACTAGGTGGATGGCTGGGCAAGGCAATGGAGAATTTAGGAATTGAACATGATGAAAAGTAAGTTTTCTTTTTTTTTTTTTTTTTGGTACTACTATTTCTATACAGCATTACTCACTTTATTTATTTTATTTTTTTTTTTCATAGTGACTCACCATTTGGGAATACGCATGGTGGAAATACATCACAGTTGGTGGAATCATTCACAATCACTCTGGGAACAGCACAAATCAAAACAAGTCATAATCTACGACTCATGGTGGCAGATGTAGCTGCAGATTTGATGGACCCTTTACCTTTTGATGAACAACGAGAATTAGGCTACAAAGCACAGACAGCAATGCGTTTATATACAAGTCAACTATCAGCCATGGTGGTTTTGGTGGAAAAGAAGGAATTGATCCAGCGTACTGGGGAACTTGACGAACAAACATTGGATTGGCGACTTTACAAAACAGGAAAAGGGAGCAATCATGCTTTATTCGAACGCACTGGACGGTCGACCGAATTTCATTTCCCAACTCTCGAATCTCAACTGGACATCATTGAAAACGACCTACAACAACGACCAGAATTAATTGAAGAAGGTACCTACTTTATTACCAAGCATTCCAATCTGCCGTTACATCAAATAGTATTCCATTTGATCATTGATGGTGATGGTAAGACGATATATATATATATATCTTAATTTGAATTAACTCATTTATTTTTTGTTTCCTTCTCATATACTTTTTATCTATAGCTATTCCAAACACGGATTTATCTAGTCGACATCCACTGATGATTGGACTTCGAAATATCTTACGATTGACTAGTCGCTATGATGTTAATTCCTTATCTTTACCATTAATCATGTTACCTGACAGATACTTGGATCAACCTGAACACTATATGCCGGCTACAATGGATCAACCTCCTCAAATTCATACAAACTGGTTATCAAAACGAAGCGAAACTCTCATGAAGACAGTCAAGGGATATCTGATGGAAGCCTCTAGAGGAAAACAATCAAATCACAATGAAATGCATCAACGAGCTGACAGTAGTGCATTTGGAGGTTCTGGTTTACGCAATATCGAATTCTTCATTCCAATGCAACAAAGTGTTTATGTAGCTGATCCTCTCACCACTCCTACTACGTCAATAATGCCAATAACAACAACGCAATCAATAACTGCAACAACATCATTGCCCACTTCGCCAACCAATATGCATACTCCACCATTTCCTCCTCCTCATTCATCATCATCATCATCCATTGCCTCCTTGTCCATCAACAGCAATAATAACAACAATAACACAAGCACTGCAACAACCAACATATCTATGCATTCATTTGGAAATGGTGCCACCATCCATACAAATAACAACATGATGACAAATGCTGGTTCTTCTTCATCTTCTTTACCATCCACACCTACCGGGACTCATTATCCTCACTATACAAGAATGCCGACACCTCAGGTGGAACAAGTGTTTCAACAGTTACGTACTTTACTTGTCAATATATTTAGAACTAGTTGATCTAGAAGTTTAAAATGACACTTTTTTTATTATTATTTATTATTTACAAAATAAAAGAGGGAGTGTTGAACACGCGGAAAAAGAAAAATATGCATGCATCTACCATGTTTTTTATTTGTTGTTTATTTAGTATATATTGGGTAATATTTGATTTGTTGATTTTGTTTATCAAGTGGAAACTTGTTTGAATAAAGAAAATCAAGAATGAAAAAAAAAAAAAAAAAAAAAACTTTATTCAAACGAAAATGATAATTGGTTGTATAAAATAAAATAAAATAAATAAAAAAAAATAAAATGATATATACTAAACAAGGGAGTAAAAAAAAAAAAAAAAAGGATCTAAAGGTTTCCACTAAATAACATTTCAATAGCAGCATTGACATTTCCACCTGTGGCCTGTAAAGCTTGAATATTCTTGGCAGCATCCCAAAATCCCATTTCATTCAATTGCTGTAATTGAACTTGAAATCGTTCTTCAGGAGATCTTGTATCAGTCGGTTGAGAAGGAACACCACCCATACCACCAAAAAGAGAAGCTAAATTTTGTTGTACTTGAGGATCCGTCATTCCAGCACCACCTCCTAACATAGCAAATGGATTAAAAGCTGGTTGTTGTTGTTGTTGTTGTTGTTGTTGATCATTATTATTGTTGTTATTGGGAATACCACCACCAAATCCCATAGATTGAGCATATTGTTGCATGGCAGCCATTTGTCGAAGGTATTCAGGATTGCTAAGCATTTGACGGAATTCAGGTGATTGTAACATGGTACGTACTTGAGGTCCCATAGCAGATAATTGAGGATTGCTAGCAATAATTGAGTCCAATACAGAAGGGTTTTGTAATAAAGTAGACATATATTGTGTAAACGCTGGATTTTGCATCATTTGATTCATCATATTAACATCAGGTGCTCCACCAAAACTATTACCCATCGCTCCAGCACCAAATCCACTACCGAACATACCGAAAGGATTGTTCATATTGTTATTGTTGTTGTTGTTGTTGTTGTTTTCAGTACCCATACTTCCCATACCTCCAAGTAAACTGGCAAAAGGATTTGCGGCTGGTGCTGCTGCATTAGAAGTAGGTGTATTTGTGGTTCCTGCTGTTGTTGTTGTTGTTGTTGTTGTTGGCTGTGAACTAGCAGATGTCGTAGTATTGTTTGAAGTAGTTGTACGAGCTAATAAAGAAATAACAATCATGAAATAAGCCTTTCCTATTTATCATCTTTTCTTTTTTTTTTTACATCCCCATCAATTATTATTATTATTACCTGTTCCACCAGGTTGAGCACCTTTAACCATATGTACAGTATTCCCTTCAGCCAGTTTACAATCAGCAAGCGTATCAGGATCTTTGAGAACACGACCAGAATAAATCAAACGTTGACGTTCTGCAGGAATATCGGCTTGTTCAGCAATAGCATTTTTGAGATCAAGGACTGTCTTGCTAGTATCAATGTTGATGACAAACTTTTTATCGCTAGATGATTTCACGTTAATATTAATGCTGGACATGATGACGACGTGAGGAAAAAAATAAAAAAAAAAAGGAGGTAGTGATGGACGGTAAGAGGGAGATAAGCGTCTATAATTTATGTATATATAAAAATAAAAATAAAGAAGCTTAAAGAAAGTCAGAGAAAATAAGGAAAGAAAATAAAAAAATAAAAATAAAAAAATCAAATTACGTAGATTTGCGGGTTCAAAATTTTTATCCGCACCTATAAAAGGATCGCTACGCAAGCATCAACCTAAAAAAGATAATGGCACTGTTCAGTCTTTACGTCTCCTTCCTTTTTTATGCCATCCATAATATGTTTAAGTTTATATCTTTGCTTCAATGATGAATCAATAGGTTTTATGTTACTTTTTTTTTGATCATATAGAGAGAGAATATAGAAAAATAGAAAAAAAGCGAAACACGGTGATTCCATATAGGTTCAAAGAAGTCCGTAACAAGTATATTACACGAGAAGATATTGATAGAATGAGTTTGATTTCTTTATTGTATTGGCAAAAAAAAAAAAAAAGGTGGAATAGAAAGAGTACATGTATATATAATATAAAATCAAATGCTGTAACGGAAATGTGTTCTAAAATATGTCGATTGAGTCTAATACTACTACTATTAACTATGATGCTATCCTATTTTTTGGCTTTTTTCTCCTTCTTTTTCTTCTTCTTATCATTGTCATCGTCATCTACCTTGTGCTTTTTTCGTTTCTTATCTGTATGTTGTTGGTCATCCTTCTTGATATCCTTATTGATAATTTGATTGGGTTCCACATCTTCAGGTTCACAAGTATCGAATCCATAGGGTTTGAATCGCATTTTTAAACCTTCTGGATGTTGTCGCTTTGTCACGGGACTATCACGAATAGATTCTGCAAGTTGGGTACCATCAGGAATTGTCACTTCTTCATCCAAAATCAAACATTGAGTGAATCGAGTGGGTGCTACAAATGGAAAAATCATGATAAATAATTTTTGTTTCAAATAAAATTAATTCTTCTTACCAAATACCATTTTGCCTTGATCAGAAGGAACTAAACAAGAAAAACCAAACATTTCTTGTCCACTCACTCCCACATCAGATGCCAAAGATGTTCCTTCTGGTACACGATACATTGTAAATTTTTCATTGTCGTTTAATTCTAATTTACTAACAGGTTTTCCAGGTGTCTTGGATAACTTGATCTTCATTGATGTCAAACTTTCAGCTGATACCTAAAAAAAAAAAAAAAAAAAAAAAAAAAAAAGGTTTAGATCTTGTTTGATCTCTTTCGTATTGATTGAGTTTTTTTTTTTTTTTTTTTTTTTTTTTTTTTTTACCTCTTCTGGCACTCGGATTAACCAAAGTTCTTTATCGTCGTCATTATTGATAGCTTCAAAATCATAAATAGTTGATTGCTGTTGTTCAGAGTTCAATTCTGTAAATCCTTCCGGTAATCTATCATAAAAAAAAAACGTGATGAGTGGCTTGAATAGAATAAATCATGTTGATATTATTGAATAGTTCATTAAATGGATAGTTCACTTACAGAGTATCAATATCATATGGCATTGTGTGCGTTGTCCTGGTTTCTATTATAAACAAACGAAAGAAGAATAGGAGTTTACAATTTTTTTTTTTTCAAGTCAATAACATAACCTCCCAAAACGAATAGAGGTTACCTAAAAAAAAAAAAAAAAAAAAAAAAAAAAAAAGAAAAAAAAAATTTGAGACCAATTCTTACTCAATTCCTTTTTTTGGTTTAATCCTTTCCGCAGAAAAAAAGTCACGTCGGATTTTGATTTTAATGGACTCTCCAAAAAGTATAAAAAGGCGGTCTACTTTGAAAACTCGATGAAACCTTATCCTCTCAGGCCTTTTGGCTAAGATCAAGTGTAGTATCTGTTCTTTATAGTTTAACAACTATAATGCTGTACATAGTACAGCTGTTGTTATTCTAATTTTTTTGCGCCTGGATCAATGAGCTCTGGCTTGCTATCTCATTGAACCACTGATGTCCTTTGCCTGACACTTTTTGCAATGTGACGTCGAGTATGGGCTTTATTTATATAAATGAAAAATGAAAATATCTTCTATTTAATGTATATGATTTTTCATTTTAGAACAAATAAAAATCATTTCGTAATAAATAAATGAAAATCAAATATATATATATATATATTTTTTGTTCAAGTTCAATGAATAAAAAAAAAAAAAAAGAAATAGATCATATGATCTATGTCAATGTTGTTAAAATTGTCTTTCAGTTCACACGTGTGAATATTTCTGGTTGAGTTTACAATCACTTTTGACTTCCCACCCCCAAAAAAAAAATAAAAGAGGTTGACAACCCAAACGTTCTTAAATATCATTCGTTCTTTTGAATGATGTCTTCCCCATTTGAGTAAATGTTTGGATCTCCGGAGAGACCAAAGAAGTTTGCCAAGTGATGGGGTGTTTGGGATTTTTTTTTTTTTTTAAGTGGCCGCTTTACCTACTTTAAATAACTTAATGCATGATTCATTTCTTCCTCCCTTTTTTTTTTTTTTTTTTTTTTTTTTTTTTTTACTACTTCTCTCTTTCTTTCTTTTCTCACACCTACATATACACTTTCTTTATTTCAACTTGTTTTTATCTATGACCACTTTACCTTTATACAATTTACTTTATAATTATTTACAACATTCTTGGAATACAACTTCCATTACTTCTGCCATTCTCTCAATTCGTGATATACTATTACCAAGTACCTTCACAACCACAACAACTCCAGTCAATAAAAGAAAACATATACTTTATCCAACCTTGTTGAAGGAAAAATCTGAAGCTATTGACTTTTTTGCAATGCCAATGAATAATACTCATCGTCATGTTGATAATGGTTTACTATCTCCTGTGACACCTCAATTCCGAGCTCCCCGTGGTCCTATTGTACTATGTCATGGATTATATGGATTTGATCGTATGGGACCAGAATTACTACCTTCTTTACAAGTGCATTATTGGAATGGAATTGAAAAAGCACTTTGTGATTTAGGTGCCAAGGTCATTATCACTCGAGTTCCTAAAGCAGATACTATTTCTAACCGTGCCTATGCTTTACATTCTATCATGTCCTCCTTTATGTCAAATCAACAAATCAACTTTATTGCTCATTCAATGGTAAAAAAAAAAAAAAAAAAAAAAAAAAAAAAAAAAGTCTGATATATATACATTAATACTTTTTCTTTTGATAATAGGGTGGATTGGATTGTCGTTATTTATTATCACACATCAAACATCGGTCATATCAAGTATCTTCTTTATCTACTGTATGTACCCCTCATCGTGGATCACCTGTGATGGATTGGTTTAGAGAAAAAGTTGGTATTGGACAATATCCACCTTCATCTTCTTATGTTTCAACAACGTCATCTTGTATGATGAGTGATTTTTCATCCGGTGTTTTACGACGAAGTGAAGAAGACGAATCCCCTATTACATCAACAAATACGATAAATCATGAAACATCACAACAACAGCAACAACAACAAATCTTTCGTCTTTTAGTCCAATGGTTTGATAACCCAGCTTATAGCAACTTAACCACAGATTATTGTACTCAACATTTCAATCCATCAACACCAGATGATCCTTCCGTCTCATATTATTCTTATACTGCTAAATCAACACCAAGCCAATGGTCTTCCCTTTTGGATTTACCTGGTCATTTTATACAACAAGTGGAAGGCGATAATGATGGTGTGGTTAGTGTTCAAAGTGGTCAATGGGGTCAACATGTCAAAACAATCGAAGATGCTGATCATTGGGATTTCACAGGAAAAAGGTAAATAAATATTAAAAAAAAGAAATATTCATTCATTTACAGTATATTCATATATATATATATTTCTTTATTTTACATAGTATGGTACCTTATCGATGGAAGACAGTCAAGGAGTTTGATAGAGCAGATTTTTATGTAGAATTAGCTAATTATTTATTTGAACAAGGTCATTGATTGATCACTCTTCAATAAAAAAAGAAATTCCCTTTTTTTTTTTTTTTATTCATTTTAGAAATTGATTTTGGTACCACTCAATTCTGAATTCACTATAAGCTCTTCATTGTCATACAATATCGATCATCACATATCATTAACCAGTTAGAAAATGATCTTTAAAACACCTGCAGTAAATTTTTGAAGCTAAAAAACAGTATGGCACTAACCTTTTCAGTTGGGAACGGAGTTGAAATATCAAACCTAAGATGATGGAACCAAAAAAAAAAAATGCGAACTTGTTTTTTTTATTTTTTCTCTTTTCTTTTCTTTTTTTTTAAACTTTTTCTCCTCTTTTCTCCCATTCATTAATAAAATTTTACCTATATATTATAGATATTGTTATTACTTTACACCATGCTTAAGAAAAATGGAAAATTAAATCGCACAAATTCTCCTCAACAAGGTGACCTCTCTTGGGAAGACAATGAATATGGTCAAATTGTCGAAGATGTGAAAAGGGTTTATAAGTCAAAGATCAAACCCTTGGAAGTTACATACAACTTTGAAGGTAAGTGTAATACTATTCCATATATATAAAAAAATATAATTTAAATAACTCCTTTTTTTTTTTCTTCTTATTCTTTATCAACATAAGGATTTCATTCTTCTCCTTTGACTGAAGCAGATATTGAAGCAAAACCTATTGTTTTATTGATTGGACAATATTCTACTGTAAGTACCACAAGAGAATACTCAGTTAACTATATAATTTGATCAGATAGACTAATATCATATTTTCTTTTAGGGTAAAACTACATTTATCAACTATCTCTTGGATAAGTCATATCCTGGTGAACATATTGGTGTAGAACCTACAACAGATAGATTTGTGGCAGTAATGAACAATGATGAAGAACGTGTAATACCCGGTAATGCGGCGGCAGTGAATCAGCAACTTCCATTTCAAGGACTTAATCGATTTGGTCAAGCTTTTCTATCACGTTTTCAAGTATCTCAAACCAACTCACCTGTATTAGAAAATATGACTATCATTGACACACCTGGTATTCTGGCTGGAGATAAACAACGAATCGAACGTGGCTATGACTTTACCGAAGTGATTGACTGGTTTGCTCAACGTGCAGATTTAATCCTATTACTCTTTGACTCTCATAAATTGGATATCTCAAATGAATTCAAACTTGCCATTCATTCACTCCGTGGTCAAGAGGAAAAGATCCGTGTCGTATTGAACAAGAGTGATATGGTCAGTCAACAGCAATTGATGCGCGTCTATGGTGCGATGATGTGGTCTCTGGGCAAAGTTGTGCAAACCCCCGAAGTTATGCGTGTTTATCTGGGTTCCTTCTGGACAGAAAAACCTCCCAATTGCTTTGAAGATTGTCGCGAGCTTATTGAAGCCGAATCCAAAGATCTATTACGTGATTTGAAGAACTTGAGGCGAAATGCTGCTATCCGAAAAGTCAATGACATTGTCAAACGAGCTAAAATTGCTAGGGTAAGTTTTTTTTTTTTTTTTTTTTGGGTTGATTAGAAAATCTAATAGGATATATGAACCGATATTCAATTATTCTTAACTATTTTTGTATTTTATTTATTATATATTAGGTTCATGCTTTGATTATTGGTCATCTCAAAAAAGAAATGCCATCCATGTTTGGCAAGAAAAAGAAAAGTGCAAAGTTATTGGCAAACCTCGACTTGGAATTCCAAAAGATTCAACAACGGTATCATCTTCCTAGTGGTGACTTTCCAAATCCTGAAAAATTCAAACAAAATCTTTCCCTTTATGATATGGACAAGTTTAAGAATTTGAAAGAAGATTTATTATCCAAGGTGGATGATGTAAGTCAACGATTGTATATGATACGATGAACCTAATAAATTCTATTTTATATAGGCACTATCGAACGATCTTCCTAGGATCATGTCCCGTTTTCCTACTGGTAATCCTGAACTGGCTGAATCACAACGCAATCCATTCGACATGGCTGATGAATCTCAACAACAAATTAATGGACAATTACCGGCATCATTCTGGCAGTTTTCTTCTATTGATAAGAATAGTTACTACCCTGTATTCCAATCATCACATCCTCGCGATGGCAAGATTAGTGGAGGTGCAGTGAAACCTATTTTGATGGAAAGTGGTCTTCCAAATGATGATCTGGCAAAAATCTGGAGATTAGCTGATTGGGATGCGGATGGTTATATGGACTTGGACGAATTCTCTGTAGCAATGCATTTGATCAAGGCTGTTCAAGCTGGTGCTCCTTTACCTGAAAAACTCCCCTCTACTCTTATGCCATCTAGAAAAATTTAGACTCTGTTCCCTTTTCTTTTTTTTTTTTTTTTTTTTTTTTTTTAATACTCTCGCGCACTTACACATATACAGATTTATACATTCATCTAGATTACCGCATTAGCTAATATATTATTATATATTGATTTTACTCTCTTTTTCTACTATTACTACTACTACAATTGTTATTACTACTCCTTCTAGTACTTTCCTTGCATTTTTATTTATTTATTCTTTGTTGTCTAGATGATTTTCATTCACAATAATAAATTATATAGATAATAAAATATTTATTACTTTGGATCATGTTTGTTGCCTATCATAGTCGTCAATTACAATAAAATATATTCTATACTGATAATAACCTCTTTAGTAACCACACATCATCTCGATTATCAATAATTTTTTCTTTTTTTTTTTTTTTTTTTTTATTTCTCAGGATTCAACACATTCAGGTGAGACAGATAACGTAAAAGTAAATATCCCCACATGTTCGATTTGATGATAGATATCAGTATGACCGATGACAGTGATGATGATAACAAAAGGCAGGACAACTATATTAAATCCTAAATTTTTTCTTGTTCGTATTATTATCTCTAGTTACTTATCTTGCTATTGAAATTGCTGATGTTGTGGAGACGATCAATAATGAGCCACTAGGCATTCGCATCCCATATGAGCCTAAAGTGTCCTTTGATACATATATATGTTTTACTTGTAGTTTATCGAGAGTACATCCATCATATATTGAATAAGAAGAAAAGAAAATGAATAAATACGATACAATAGCTTTATCAATTTCATTAGAGCATAGATATAATAACCAAAATAGACCTTATTATTATTATTATTACTATTGTTATTATTTATTTATTTTTATGTATGTTTTATTCAAAATATAAAAATCAGGATCGAATAAAGAAAAAAAAAAAGTAAAACAAATGTATGACTAAATAATGCTCTAAATGTAAATATACTACGACTAAACATTTCGACAATGACAAACGAGTCGATGTTTCCACACCCTATTTTTTTTTTTTTTTTGATCCAATTAAGCATAAAAGCGGAAATAGATATAACCAAGGACGATTAATAAAGGAATGATGATACGAAGAGGACTAAGCAAATATAAAGATATTAGTGGTGTGCCATCACCATATATATATAACGCAATCATGATCGTTAATTTCTTTTTTTTTTTATCATATCGTGTACTTACTTTCCTTGGACTTGTTCTCCAGGTACACTAGTAGCATTTGGACTAGTCACTTTTACTGGTGCAGACTGTGATAGGTGAATAATGGAATCGTACGATAAAAATAAAAATAAAAACAATTGTGATAATGAAAAGAAGAAAGGATTAGTATTGAATAGTGATAATACTTTCCTATAACCTTTTCTTTTTTTCTAATATAAAAGATACTTACGGTAGGGTCGACATCACCAATATAGTATTTTACCAAAAGTTCACGAGCATCAGGAGAATGACCTACATCTTCAAAGGGACCAGTAGCATCGCGGGCACCTTCATCAATCAACACTTCTTCACCACCTGGATGCTATTAAATAAGTGGATAAGTAATAAAATGAATTAATCAATCTGTTAAAGATAAAAATAAACACGAACAATACATTTTTTGTATAATTCTTTTGTTTTATTATTATTCCCCAAAATCGAATCCTATTCTCTACTTACTTCATCCACAAAGCCTGTAATATCGTAAACCTTCTTATCAATGATCATCCAAAGATCTTCACGCTTATTATGTTGAGCGACTTCTTCATAAGTATATACTTTGGACATGATGAAAAGTCTTATCAAATAGAACAGGAAAGAAAGAAAGAAAGAAAAAAAAAAAAAAAAAAAAAAAAGAGACCAAACATCAAATATTATTTATGTCGGTTTTTAAACACTGATACGCGGGGCTTCAGACAGAAATTTATCTTTTTGACAATATTAACTACTACCTTTTGTATCAGAACAAATATTACAAATGATTTATAGTGTATTAGATTAATGACTTTTGAAAAAATCCTTTGATGTTTATCATACAAAGTTTTTTATCGTACAAACACAATCATATCAGTATTGTTGAGAAGAAAAAAAAAAAAAAAAAACAAAAGAGAAAGAAAGAATTTTATTCATTTTCATTTTTAACTTTATTTTATAACTAGTATAAACAGTATAGATAGCCCAACCTTTTCTTTAAAATTATATATTTTTAAATAAAACATCTCTTTACTTTTCTTTTTTATTTTACCTCTTACGTGTGCTTGCGTAATCAAATACTGGTGCTCACTGTAAACCTTTTAAACAATCAAACATCCCCATATTTTTTATTTTGGACAACGGTTCTTCTTCCCCCTCCATTCCTCCGAAGAATAATCCTGTAATTGATGATATCCCTTTAATTGCTGAGTCGTCAACCAAAGCTGCTCCATCCATGGAAGATCCTTTCCTTTGCAAAGAATCCTTGGTACCTATCAAGACCAACAAAGATAACGGGCAATCGTTGAACATAACGACCATCCTTTCTTCAAACCTACAACTCCATTTGTCCTAAACCATGAGAATGTCTTGCTCCTCCTTGAATTAACGCTGCCGTCCTATTCAAAAAAAAAAAAAAAAAAAAAAAAAAAAAAAAGTGCAAGAAAAACGATTAATAGAAGAGACCCTGGTGCCACTTACGTTGTGTTTGCTCCATGAAAGATTCTCCAAACCCAACAATCCACAAGAAATAAAAAGCTATCGAGAGTATAGCAATTCGTATATCAAAAACTTGTATCGTGATTCCCATCTATATAACTTCAAAAAGTTGCTGAAGAAGATTAGAAAAGCGGATAACTAGTGTCAACCTGGTAATAAGTGAGAAGATGGAGGCCATCTTTTTCTGGGGTGAAGCATGTTAAAAAAAAAAAAAAAAAAAAAAAAAGAAAAGAAAAGACAAAAAAAAAAGACAAAAAAAAGTTTTTTTTTGTACTCTTTTTTACTCTCCGTTTTCATTTTGTTTGCAGAAACGATTCTTTCTTTTGAAGTTTTAGTATAAATATCCTTCTTTTTCCTTTCTTCTTTTTTTTTTTTTTTTTTTTTTTTTTTGGAGGGCAATCTTATTATATTTGTCGTATCAGCGTATTCCATAACGATATGCGTAAAATAAAACTAAAGAATGCATTCACAAATAAAGAATAAAAAATACATCGTAAGATGGAATCAATTATATTGACGTGTAACAAAGTAGTTGGAATAAAAATAAAAGTTTTATTAAATAAAAATATAACTATTAAAGACTACTAATTGATATACTATAACTAAAAGTTATTATAAAGAAAAGAAAGAAATGAAAAAAAAAAAAAAAAAATTGCCACATCTAAAAAATAAAAAAAAAATAAAAGTACGGACTTTGAAATTTAGTATGTTCATGATCCTTTGATACTATCAATAAAGACACAGTATTTTACTTTTTATTTTATTTTACTCAATACTTTATACGTGTGCTTGCATAATCAAGTACTGGTGCTCACTATTTAACCTATTATCTTTCAATCATCCGAATTACTTTTTCAGTTTTGGCCCTAACAACCAAAAAATCACATAACACAATCATCCGAATTACCTTTTTTTTTTTTTTGAACCTAACAACCAAAAAATCACTTAACAATCGCATATGATTGGCCACAATTCGATCACCGAATCAAGCCAAATCATAGCAAAAAGAACTGAGATGAGACTACCAGGGGTCGAACCTGGAATCTCCTGATTCGTAGTCAGACGCCTTGTCCAATTGGGCCATAGTCCCTCAGCTGCTTGCTAGACCGAGATGATCATCATGAATCATTTAGCGATTTCGCGCAAATTTGACATTAAATTGATAATGAAGTTTTCGATTTTTGACGTACATCTGTCAGTTTGTCCGAGTGGTTAAGGAGTGTGACTAGAAATCACATAGGCTCTGCCTGCACAGGTTCAAATCCTGTAGCTGACGCTTCTTTTTGACGTTTTCCCGTTTGTGGCGGAGTGTGATTTGTTTTCTTTTTTACTTTTGTCTTATCGTTACGTTTTTTTTTTTTTTTTTTTTGGTTTCTTTTTTTTTAATTTAACAAGGGAATGCTTTCTTACTTATCTCTCATTTGATTTCATTTAACTTATACTTATTTCTTTATTGATATATTGATAAGCGATTTTTTTGGTTGTTAGGGCCAAAATTGAAAAAGTAATTTGTTGATTGAAAGATAATACTGTATGATGGGACAAGAGACAAAATGAACCAAGGTTCAAAAGGACCAAAGGTCAAAATGGCAAAAGGTCAAAAAGGTCTACGGGTCAAAATGTCGAAAGGTCAATTCGGGAGATAAGAATTTTTTTTTTTGTCTTTTTTCTTTTCTTTTCTTTTTTTTTTTTTTTTTTTTTTTGTCTTTTTCTTTTTTTTTTTTTTGTCTTTTCCTTTTTTTTTTTTGTCTTTTTCCTTTTTTTTTTTTTGTCTTTTTCCGTTTTTTTTTTTGTCTTTTTCTTTTTTTTTTTTTTTTTTTTTTTTTTTTTTTTTTTTTTTTTTTTTTTTTTTTTTTTTTTTCTTTTTTTTTTTTTTTTTTTTTTTTTTTTTTTTTGTCTTTTTTCTTTGTTTTTGTCTTTTTCTTTTTTTTGTCTTTTTTCTTTTTTTTTTGTCTTTTTCTCTTTTTTTTTTTGCTTTTTTCTTTTTTTGTCTTTTTCTTTTTTTTGTCTTTTTTCTTTGTTCTTTTTTTTTTGTCTTTTTTCTTTTTTTTTTTGTCTTTTTCTTTTTTTTTTGTCTTTTTTCTTTTTTTTGTCTTTTTTCTTTTTTTTTTGTCTTTTTCTTTTTTTTAAAACAATACATTTCTATTTCCAATCCCAAAAGACCGAAATACAGACAAAGCCTTCGACAATGAAGGATATTCAAGACAAAAGTAACATCCAAAATTGAAATGTAGTTTTATTTTACTTTTTTTTTTTTTTTTTTTTTTTTTTTTTTTTAGTATTTAGCTATATTTATCTCCAAATTCACGTTAGGTACATTTGGAAAGAAGACCTTGTACACTTTTATCCACTTGCATGACATATTATAGAAAAGAGAAAAGAAACTTTGGTATGATGGTAAGATGATTTTAATTAACTTTAGGCAAAAAAAAAAAAAAAAAAGACGTGAATTTTTATATACTCATCCTTATTACACTTTTGATACTAGTCATTATTTTACAGTATATAGCTATTTTTTGAAGAATGCTTACGCGATCAAAAGAAAAAAAAAAAAAAGAAAAAGAAAAAAGAAGAACACTGTAGGAAAACATGGCAACAAAAGGATAGATGACCAAATAGTCAAAAGGATGGATCATTTGAATGAAAGGGAATCTCTCATGGTAAAGACAGAATGGAAGAACATGATGATTTGCGAAATGGTTATTCTACTCTTTATACTTTGAACTACTCCAAGTATCAAATATTCTATTCTATGATCTGGTTTTACATCATTATTGACGAATTCTGTAGTATAGTTGACTTATTAGTAGTAGGATTGATTAGTTGATTATTAGAATAGAAGAATAAAACTAATGATCATCTACATGTTTATTATAAAATATCTTTTTTTTTTTTTTTTTTGAAATTGAAATTATAGATTCTATATATGGTAATTTTTTGTTCTGATGTCAAAAACTGATATGATGTTCAACGAATGTATATTGATTATCATATTAGGACTTACTGATTGTTATGTCTTCATATTCCATCATCCACCAATAATTAGTGATATCCATTCCTGTTAGATAGTACTTGGAAATCATGTCATCGTCATCCTTTTAATCCATAATTGTCCATTTAGAGAAAAATAAAAAATAAAATACAAATATGATCACACGAAACATTCATTCTTTTTTTTATTCAAAACAATAATAATAATAATATATAATAATCTATCTAAATAAACCACTCATCTTATATTTGTTTCTTGTCCATAGAGAAAGTCGCTAACCGTTTCAAAAAAGGATCAGCATCAACAATCCCACGTTCCACTGTGAATTTCTCTTTTCCAAATTGCCAACGCATAGCCTTGGGTGTAGATATATCTCGAAGTTGTGATAACCACATGTTGTTTTCCTTCTTACGACCAAAGAATGTCCATGTTTCAATCCCCAGCCACATATCTTTCATTTCCTTGTTCCTGGTATTACTTGTTGATCGTTGTTGTTTTCGTTGACGTTCGATGGTTTTAATATCTTCATATGCAATTAATCCAGCCACATATTCCTTGGTATACCAATGGATAAAGATAGAAGGGGCTACAGCAGACGCTCCAGCTATACATAACAAAAAAAAAAAAAAAAAAAAAAAAAAAGAGTAAGGTATTCAATTCTCATCGACATTATATATATATATTATTCTTGGAGATACAATACCTAAAGCAACACTAATTACAGGAGCTTGACCAGTACTCAATAAAGCAGGAACAGCGCAGATACCACATATACTGAATAGAGAGGCTGTCATTTTGTATCGTCGAATAGTTTCTGAAAAAGGACCTAGTAATAATCATAAATAAAATGTCAGATGCCAGTATAATGAATGAAACCATAGCCTCTTCTATTACCTATATAAACCAAGGTTTTGTTTACAATATTGTTATTGTCATTGTTGTTGGTAGCAACTGTGGAAGTATTATTGATATAATGATTGCTGGTAAAGGCACCTGCTGCTTTTTTGGGTAATTGAGTAGAGTACATTCGGATAGAGAGATCATGACTATGATTCGAAGATGATTTTAACAATGCCGCTATTGATCTTGTCTTGATCATTTGGATATATATATATATATATATAAAGAGACAAAGTAAAGAAAAAAGAAAGAAGAAAGAGGTCAGAGTACGACTTTTTTTTTTGTATTTTTCTTTAGGTGTTGAAATTCCGATTTTTTTTTTTTTTTTTTTTTTTGGGCATCCAACTAGGTACGATTAATGATTTTACAATTTCAATTTTTATTTTATTCAAATATGTAAAACAAAAAAAAAATATATATCCTATATATGTTGATTTTCTGTTGTTGTTGCTGTTGTTGTTGTTGCTGCTGTTGTTGCTGCTGTTGTTGCTGCTGTTGTTGCTGCTGTTGTTGCTGCTGTTGTTGTTGTTGTTGTTGGTGATGGTGAAGATAAAGAGAATGCTGCTCTGAATCGCTTTTGTAAAAAATGTTTAAATACATGTAAAAGGTTGACATCCGTATTCAAATAATAAGCACGAGCCTCTTCCATAGCCTTTTGATCTTCAGATGAAGTGAGATAACGTACACAATCGAATTTGCATAAAGGACATTCCCCAGATTTTGATGTCAGCCATGGATCTAATAAGAAAAAAAAAGTAGTTTTATTACCACACAAAGCTATTTAATCCTCATCATACATACCTATACAATGACAATGATATTCATGATGACAAGGTAACTGTCGTACATCTTGACCTATGTCCAAAGGTTCCAAACAAATAACGCATGCATTTTCATCCACATCTATTTCTTCAGGGATAGCTGCAGAAGAGGGTTGTTGATCATTGCTTCTGGAGATAAATACAGAGAGCCTTTTCTTCTTGTTATTTGATCTATCAGTAGTATCATCACAATCTTGTTTTTGAATAGTTCTTTTTGGAAACTGGTCTAGTTTGGTTTCGCTTAATAATTGTTTTCCCATAGGAAGCATATCAGGTGTTGGAGGTAATAATCCATTCTGTATCATCCGTTGTAATCGTCTATTCTTTCTCCACAGGTAGGTATGTAAGCAGACTACAAAATAAATAAACAAACAAAATCAATAAGAAGGGGACCCAATCATCCTGTCTTTTGATATATATAGATATATACATTTTTTTTTTTTTTTTTTTTTTTTTTTTTACCAGAGGCAATAAAACCGATAGCCAAGAATACAGTCATAATCAAAAATGTTATTTCCCAAGGACTTGGTGCACCAGTACTAGAAGGAACAAGTAATACCCTAACGGCCTGTTTTGCTGTTACTGCTGGTGTCATACCATTGGTGACTGGAGTAAAAAAGAGTCCACGAGAATTATCATTGACGGTACCTAGTTGATTGAGTAATTGTTGTCCAGTTTTATTTTCTACATAAAAGGTTGGAATGTTGATACTTGAATTGAAAGATATATTCTATCAATTGTGAGAGAATAAGGTAAAAAAAAAAAAAAAGGAAAATAAAAAAAAAAATAAATATATTTTTTTTTTTTTAGTTGAAAATTCATATTACCGGTGTTTGAAAAGAGGATGAATCTTGACTATGTGGCGATGAGGCATAAATGATACAAGCACTGGCTCCATTTAATTGAGCATTCATCACTTTTTCAGGCAAAGAGCATTGATCATCATCGTTGATTAAAGCTACTTTTTGAATACTCTTCATATTTAATGTATTATCAAACAGGTAAGTATTATTCTGACTTGATGATGATGATAAACAAGAGTTCCCTTGATCATATAGTACACCCCTCAAGCCTGATTTGCTAATCTGAGTAACGTTATTAAATAAAGAATAGACGTTCTCATCATAAAAAATAGGGGTGATATCAGAATTAGTATAATCTATAGAGCTTGAATTTGAATATATCCAAACAACATCTAAAATTCAAAATTAAATAAAATATCACTTGTTAGTGATGATGATTGATGATTTTCTCTTTTATAGTAATAGAACCTTGTACAATTTTGGGATTTATTTCCTGAAAGAAAGAAATGGCATTGACATTGATCAGATAGTGAATGATGAAACAAAGTAGTGTGTATTGATGATTCCGTAAAATAGTCATTCAAGTTGAAAAGTAACACGATAAAGATAATAAAATAATAATAGCAATAATAAAAAAAAAAAAAAAAAAGGGGGAAGGAGGAGGATGGGCTTCATTTTATACTGATATCTGCTCAAGTAACACAGAAGAGTAACTTTTGCGTAGAAAATAGGAGAACGAAGAAAAAAGGGTTCAATGACGGAGTTCCCATAACAACCATACCAAAAAAAAAAAAAAAAAAAAACCAATTAAGGATAGTCTTTTCTTTTTTTTTTCCCTTCTTCTTCTAATTCCTTGTTTTAATGGAATCCAATAAAGATGATATACCTTTTACAAAATGCAATGACGAAAAATGCTCTACTTACTTCAAATATCTTGACTCTGTTATTCACACAAAAGTTATAGCTGCCCCAGACCCAAGGGATCACCTTGCGAATGAAAGAAATCTCCTTACTTGGTTACGAACAGGAATGACTCTTGCTCTTATTGGTAAGAAAAAAGAAAAAGAAGTGAAACTGTATTATATTGTTGTTAAAGTTATACTTTCTTCTTAATTGGCTCCTTATAGGTTTTATGGCTATGTTAGATATCGATACCAAACAATTTGCTCCGTCGAAATCGTTTCCTTGGACAGGTGATGCTGTGGGTATCAAGACCAAGGTTGTATCTTATATATTTGTTTCTCTTGGACTGATCAGTATAGTTACGGCGACAATTACCTATTTTATCAATCAAAGGAAGATTGTACATCGCTTACTAGAAGTTGGACAAGGTTGGGCTGGATATACAATGGCTTTCTTCATTATGATATTTGCATGCTTCATTATGATTGTAGCCATTACAGAAGGATAAATATAGGATAATGTTGTCTTTATAGTGTTATTATATTATACATGTTTATTGTAGTCTAGCACATTTTTTTTTTTTAGTCGTCATGTCTGTAGTTAGGTATACATATAGTTTTTATTTTTTTTATTTTTTTTTTTTATTAAATATTTGTAAATAATAAAGTGAATCATATTGAAAAAAAAATGATTACAGAGGATAGGATTGCGTAAATGTTTGTTTAATATATATATATGTGAGTGTATGTGCGTGTAAACACAAGGGGTAAAACTGTACAAAGTGTATAATAAAAAGGGTAGTACGAAGTAGTAGATTTACACATCCACTTGATTTTCTTGTGCCATTTTTGCCATCATCTTTTGGTAGACCAATTTTTGCTTTCCTTCTTGAGATTTTGATTGTTTCTTGAGTTTTGCAATTTCTAGTTTGACCGCAGCATCTAGTTTTTATAAAACATCATTTAATATTCCTTTATAAAAAAAAATATACTTTTTCTTTTTTTGTGCTTTTACCATCAGGATTGACGGCTAATACTTGGGCCAAAAGTGGCTCTGCTTTGTCAATATCATTTTGTTGCATGTATGCTTGAGCAAGTCGAAACTTTGCTTTCACATTCTTGCCATCTAGTTCCAAAGCCTATGTCGATAATAATACATACAAAGCATCAATATACGATGAAAAAAAGAAACAATCCAATCCTTTCTTTTTTTTTTTCTTCTATAGATATATGTTCTCTCCCTTCTTTTACCTTTTTTGAGTTTTCCATTGCACGTATCCAGTTGTTTTGCTTGATATTTACAGCTATAAGAAAGAATGAGGGTAATTTCTTTTTTAGTTTATTTCGGGATGCATCCGATCACCTTTTTTTTTTTTTTTTTTTTTTTTTACCTGCCATGTTATTGTAGATCATAACCAACTGCTCATTCGAATTAGCTTCAAATTCAGCTTTATTCTTTTGTCCACCCACAGTTCGCAAATGAAGAATAGCATGATAATACTTGGTGAGAGCTGTAATGAGTAAAAGACAAAAGAAAATGTTGAGAATGTGTATTTTGATTTGATAAAAGAGAGAGTTGTAGTTTTTACCTTCTTTGTATTCAGCTTTCTTGAAGAGTTCGTTTCCTTCCAGGCGCAAACTCACACCTTTATCAAAAGTTTCTTGTGGTGTCATATTAGGTGAAGTCCTATGAATCAAAATAGAAAGCGTGCAAAAAAAAAAAAAGGAAAAGAAAGGAAAAGAGAAGCAAAAAAAAAAAAAAAAAGTTGGCGCAGATTGAATTTTGCAAAAGGCAACGCGTACACACTGTTTTTTTTTTTTAGATTTTTTTTTTCTTCTCTTTCCTTCTTTCTTTTTCAATCTTTTTTTTCTTTTTCATACATTTCCTCTAAAACATAACAAGTCCTATTTTATTCTTTCACCTTATTTATATATATTAAAGTCATGATGGAAGATGTCATTCAACCTAAACAAGATGTAAGTCATAAAACTTATAATGAAATATATATATATATATTGACAATTTGATTTTTCAATTTAAATATATGAAATAGTTGAAAACACCATTGACAACTACTACGCCTCCACATTTATTGGACGAATTGTCAGAAGAAGACCTTTATGTAAGGTTGAAGAAGCTTCAGCGAAACTTGGAATTTTTGGGACTTCAAGAAGAATATATCAAAGATGAACAAAAACATCTCAAGAGTGAATTAGTACGAGCTCAAGAAGAAGTTAAACGCATCAAATCTGTTCCTTTAGTCATTGGTCAATTCTTAGAACCTTTGGATCAACATACTGGTATTGTAGGATCAACTACTGGATCAAACTATGTGGTACGTATTTTGTCTACTATCGATCGTGAATTGTTGAAGCCCAGTGCTTCTGTTGCCTTACATCGTCACTCCAATGCATTAGTCGATATTTTACCTCCTGAAGCTGATAGTAGTATTACCATGTTGACTTCAGACGAACGCCCTGATGTCACTTATCAAGATGTTGGTGGTCTGGATATTCAAAAACAAGAAATTCGTGAAGCTGTGGAATTACCTTTATCTCATTTTGACTTGTACAAACAAATTGGTATTGATCCTCCTCGTGGTGTCTTGTTATATGGTCCTCCTGGTACTGGGTAAAGTATTCAAATAAATGAATAAATCATGTATTACTAGAGAAGTGAGGGGGGAGGGTTGATAAGTCCTTTTTTTTTTTTTTTTTTTACTGATATTCTTTCCCATTCATATAGAAAAACAATGTTGGTCAAGGCCGTAGCTCATCATACAACAGCAAGCTTTATCCGTGTGAATGGCTCTGAATTTGTACAGAAATATCTTGGTGAAGGTCCTCGTATGGTACGTGATGTATTCCGAATGGCAAGAGAAAATTCCCCAGCTATTATCTTTATCGATGAAATTGATGCTATTGCCACAAAACGTTTTGATGCTCAAACTGGTGCTGATCGTGAAGTACAACGTATTCTATTAGAATTATTGAATCAAATGGATGGTTTCGATCAAACTTCAAATGTCAAGGTAACAATAAAAAAAAATAAAACAAAGAAAAAAGAGTGAATGATTTCTTACTTCATCCTTTTTTTTTTTTTTTTTTTTTTTTTAATGACAACTATAGGTGATTATGGCCACAAATCGTGCTGATACTTTGGATCCTGCTTTACTACGACCTGGTCGTCTTGACCGTAAAATCGAATTCCCTACACCCGATCGACGTCAAAAACGATTGATTTTCTCCACCATCACAGCTAAAATGAATTTATCTGAAGAAGTCGATTTAGAAGACTGTAAGTTGGATAAATATCAATGAAGATAGGGAATTGAGAAACAAGAAGAATAATGACTAAGACTTTTTTTTCCCTTTCCTTGTAGTTGTATCACGCCCAGACAAGTTATCAGGTGCGGAAATTGCTGCTATTTGTCAAGAAGCTGGTATGCAAGCTGTACGAAAGAATCGTTATGTGATTTTAAGCAAGGATTTGGAAAAGGGTTACAAAGCCAACGTTAAGAAAGAAGACACCAACTTTGAATTTTACAAGTAGATTAGTTAAACTGTTAGTATTAGTGCCAATTTGTTTTTCAAAAATAAAATATCTTATTATTATTTTTTTTAAAAAGCTTTTTTTTCACATATGTACTCGTTGATACTAATATGATGAATGCAATATGATGGATAATTGGTGGTTGATAGTTGATGATAATGACCTCATGATGTCATTTTTATAGCTCTGTGGTGATTTGGCAAATGTCTACAATGATGATACTATGGTCATGCCATTGATGATGATTTCATTTATGATACCATATACATACACTTTGAAGATCCAACAAGATTTTTTTTACATGATGTGATTTTATTATAAAAAGATAGATAGAAACAAAAAGTAAACAAAGCTATAAAGGATAGTGGTAAATAAAAAGTAATACATATATGTTTGCTACAAAAATGACCAACTAAAGGAATCAAGACAATAGGGATTCTAAAAAATAGAAATAAAATAAAAATAAAAAACAAGAAAATCATGACATGTACATATTCAACAATTCATCCGAGGCATTCAAATGATTGATTTGTTCCGTCACTTCCAATAACGCGAGCTTGATGACTGATTCCAAAAGTAAAAGATTCATTTGTAGATGAGGTTCTGTGTTCGTCGTATCAGGAGCGCTCGTTTCCTTGTCTAGATTGATCCTATTTTTCTTCGATCCGGTACTGCCGATAGTGGGATTGTCGTCATTGTCTGAATCATCACTAGAATCATCGTTCAGATCCTGTCCCTTTTCGTTCCAAATTTCCAATGCAAACCAATCTGCTAGTTGTAATTCGTCGCGATGAATATTAGGAGTAGTTTCTTTGACTTTGACATTAGCGGGAGTTGACGTTGTAGAAGAAGATGAAGACAATATATCGACTTCCTCCTGTTCTTGAGAGTTGTTGTCAGGATCAGAGTTGTTCGATTTTTTTAATAGCTTGATCACTAGTACTGAGGCTTTTGCATCTTCAATATTCAGGAGTTGACCACTGTTGGTATAAAACATCTTTTTGATACGATCTACTTGCCAACGCCACTCCTTGACTGCTTCATCTGGATCATGATACAGTCCATCGTTGGTGTCTTCCTTCAAAACCAAATCATATCCAATGGTATCCGTTGATGGCCGTTGCTGCTTTTCGATATACAGTTGACATTTTCGTGCTTCTTCTTTCCAAGTGCATTCAATTGAGGAAGGTGTCATAACTGCGGCAGGCCGTACGTTAGCTGCGAACAATGAATACAAAGTGACAGTAAATGTAGGGGCACATTGTTGTTGTAAGATATTTGATGCTTGAATTAGTTTGCTGCTAGATACTTTTTGAGATGTGTCAATATTTCGTAAAGACAAAGAGAGAGAAGGTACCGTATCGTCCACTTGATTCAGTAAGTGCTTCAATTTTTCCACTAATCTTGCAGATTCTGTTTTGTCCTTTAGAGCTGTTTTAGTTTCTTGCGTAAATATATCCAAATCACGTTTCAGGTCGTTGCACATTTCCAAAGCAGGTTCCAAATCCAAGTTTCCGTTGGCCACATTTCGAGATATCATATCGACTGCAGGCTATAAATATATAGATATAACAAACTTTAGTATTTCTATAAGTATTTTTTTTTTTTTTAAAATACAATAATACCTTTAGGTTTTTAATTTTGAGATCAAGCTGTCGTTGTAAAGCTAGCAATTCTTTATTGGATACTTTAGATTCTGTTGTTGTTTGCTGTGTAATATATGTTGTCACGTTTCGTATAGCTGCATTGGTAGCATGACTTAGAGCAATTCTTGATACAGTACTAACAGTAGTAACAGCTAGTTTGCTAAATAAATCTTCTAAAGACATTATATTTTATGTGGTTGAAAGAAAAAAAAAAGAAAAAAAAAGAAAGAAACGCGAATGACCCAATCTTTTTTTTTTTTTTTTTCCTGCGATAGCCTAGATAGAAAAAATGGCGGACATGCAAAGTGAGGAAGATAAAAGAATTGTCTTTTTCTTTTTCTTTTTTTTTGTTCTTTTTTTCTCTTTTTTTCTCTTCTTCACAAACCAATGACTACAACAGCAAAAGATACCATTCCTACATTTCGCAAGGAAGTTGAACCTGGACGTGTTTTGACTATGAAGGCAGATGGTACTGGATTAATAGTAGTTGATCCTTGGTTGGAACCTTTCAAAGATGACCTTCGTAACAGGTAATAATATATCTTGATATCTTTGTTGTATATTTAATTTACTCTTCTAATATATATATATATACTTTATAGATATGCTTTTTTCGAAAAATGGAAAACGATTATCGAAAATTCACCTGGTGGATTCGAGAATTTTACCAAAGGATATGAATATTATGGATTCAATGTTGATCAAGATGGAACTATCACATATCGGGAATGGGCACCTAATGCAATAACTGCTAGTTTGGTGGGTGAATTTAGTAAGTGATGATGATTACATGGGTTTATGTGTATGTTTATGTTGATTTTTTTTTTTGTTGGGGTGACACTAAAATACGATGATAGATGATTGGGATGTGAATGTAAACCTGATGAAACGTAATGAATTTGGTGTTTTTGAAATTATCCTTCCTCCTATCAATGGCGTACCAGCTATTCCTCATAATTCCAAAGTCAAGGTAAAAGAAAATCAATCATATTTAAATCATTTGTTGTTTTTACTTATTTGCTTCTTTCTTTTGATGATAGATCAGTATGACTTTACCCAACAATGAAAGGATTTACCGTCTCCCTGCTTGGATCAATCGTGTTACACAAGACCTCAGTGTTAGTCCTACTTATGAAGCTGTCTTTTGGAATCCAGTAGATAAATACAAATTCAAGCATCCAAGACCAAAACAACCTGAAAGCTTACGTATTTATGAAGCTCATGGTAAAAAGAAAATAATAATAATAATGATTGAATACATTTTTTTTTTTTAAAAAAATTGATTTTTTTCTTTAATTTGATGGATTAAATAGTTGGTATATCTACTACTGAACCAAGAGTTGGTACTTTCAAGGAATTCACAAAAAACGTTCTACCTCGTATTGCTTATTTGGGATATAATGCTATTCAACTTATGGCTATCATGGAACACGCTTATTATGCTTCTTTTGGATATCAAGTTACCTCATTCTTTGCTCCTTCCTCTCGGTATGGTACACCTGAAGATTTGAAGGAATTGATCGACACAGCACATGAATTAGGATTGGTAGTATTATTGGATGTGGTCCATTCCCATGCTTGTAAGAATGTGGATGATGGATTGAATATGTTTGATGGAAGTGATCATTGTTATTTCCATGAAGGTGGCAAAGGACGACATGAACTTTGGGACTCACGACTTTTTAATTATGGCAACTATGAAGTGCTTCGATTCTTAATGTCCAATTTACGATACTGGATGGATATATTTCAGTTTGATGGCTTCCGATTTGATGGTGTAACAAGTATGCTTTATACCCATCATGGTATTGGTTATGGTTTCTCTGGTAATTATCATGAATATTTTGGTGCAAATGTGGACGATGAAGGTGTAATGTATTGTCAATTGGCCAACTATTTTTTACACAACATATATGATCAAGTTATTACTATTGCAGAAGATGTTTCTGGTATGCCTGGTTCATGTAGACCTGTTAATGAAGGTGGACTTGGTTTTGACTATCGTCTTGCTATGGCTATGCCTGATACTTGGATCAAATTACTCAAAGAAGTCTCTGATGATGATTGGAATATGGGTCATATTGTGCATATACTTACTAATCGCAGACACTTGGTAAATCTAAAAATATTGTTATTCTAATAATAAAACCATGTTTCACTCATCCAGTTTTCTTTTTTTCTTTTTTTTTCTTTAGGAAAAAACCATTGCGTATAGTGAATCTCATGATCAAGCTTTGGTAGGAGACAAAACACTTGCCTTTTGGTTGATGGACAAGGAAATGTACACAAATATGAGTGACTTGACAGAACTCACACCTGTGATTGATCGTGGTATTGCTTTACATAAACTGATTAGGTAAAAAAAGAAATGATATGGATGAAATCATTTTTTTTTTTTTTTTTGTATCCTTAATACTTCTTTTTTCATAGATTGATTAGTCATGGTCTCGGTGGGGAAGGTTATTTGAACTTTGAAGGTAATGAATTCGGACATCCTGAATGGCTTGATTTTCCTCGGGAAGGCAATGGATCAAGTTTCCACTATGCAAGACGTCAATGGAATGTATTGGATGATCATTTACTTCGATACAAATATCTGAATGAATGGGATCGTGGTATGCAACTTACTGAAGAAAAATATGGATGGCTTCATAGCTCACAGGTAATATATATATAAAAAAAAGCATCCGATTTTTTTTTTCTTTTAAACAACTCATTCGATTTTTTTTTTTTAGGCTTATGTATCACGCAAACATGAAGGGGATAAAGTGATTGTATTTGAACGAGCGGGGGTTATATTCTTATTCAACTTTCATCCAACTCAATCGTATACTGATTATCGAGTGGGAACTGGGTTCTCTGGAAAATACAAGGTAGTATTGAATTCTGATGACAAACAATATCTTGGCCATGGACGTGTAGATCCTAAATGTGAATACTTCACTACTTCTGGTGATTGGGATAATCGATCTAATTGGATTCAAGTATATCTTCCTACTAGAACAGCTTTGGTATTGGCAAGAGAAGATTAGTGTGAATAGTTTAGGCTTTTATAAAGTTGTATATTTTGTATTGTCTATGTGTTACCTTCCACTTTAAAATAATAAAAAAAAATTTAAGTCTATTTAAATTATGAATAAAATTGACTTTGTAGTATATATTGAATGGATTAGTGATTAAAAAAGAAAGATTGAAATAATAATAATAGTAATAATAATAATAATAATAACAAAAAAAGTTTTTTATTGATTATTCAAATGGATGTTGTGAAAAAGAAATCGAATTTTATTAATATATTTGCGTGTGTGTGTGTGAAAATATGAACTTTCATGTGGGGAAAACGACCGAAAAAAAATGCATAAAAAGAAGGATAGCCTATCATCTCCGATTGTTCTTCCCCCTTTTTCTTTTTTTTTTTCTCACCACCTTTTCCCCATTTTTTTTTCTTTCTCTTTTTCTTTTTCTTTTTCTTCATATTTTATACCACAATGTATCCAACTACATTAACTGTTATACCCCTTGAAAATAAAGTCTTACTTCCTGGTGTGGTCATGCGTATTGCTTTACGTGGTCAAGAAGCAACAGAACTCATGCGTCGTTTCTTCAAAAAGACGGAACAGCAAGTGATTTATGTTGTTTGTGTTCCTCTTCAACCTAGTAAAATAACCGACATTGATGATTGTACTTCACAGGCTCCTCATGTACCAATATCTCCACAACAACCTCCATCAATGACAAACAATGATCAACAAGATAAACTCGTGTCTCCTGTTCAACAAGTTCGGTTACCTTCCTTTGGTTGCCTTGCCAAGATTGTTCGTGTTCAACGTGCTGGTGTGGGGGTTTTTGGCGTTTACTTGGAAGGCATTCAACGGTGTCAGTTGGTAGACACGATGATAAAGAAGGATGAACCCTTGATGTATCATGTGAAGTATAATCAAGATATCACAAGTAGCAAAGATAATAGGGTGGTGGAAGGATATCAAACATTATGTAAGACTTTTGTTCACAAGATGAAGGAATTGCAAATGCCTGATAGCCTATTATTACAACTGACTAAGATGACAAGTACAATGGCTCCTTTGGCTTTGGCTGATGTATTGGTCTCTATCATTGAAACAACATTTGATGAAAAATGGACCATGTTGGAAACCTTGGATCCTATGCAACGTCTCCATTTGGCCTCTTCTTTGATGCAACGACAGTTACAAGTATTATCTATTTCTCAACAAGTTCATTCCACTATCGAAGGAAAACTTACAAAACAACAACGCGAATTTTATTTACGTCAACAGGTACATATATATATATATATATGAATAAAATTGATTCTTGATTTCATTCATGTTTTATTTTTGTATTATTAGCTAGACGCTATTCGACAAGAACTGGGACAGGAACAAAAAGATGAAGATGAAATGACAGAACTGAATCGACGATTAGTGGAAGCAAATATGCCTTCTCATGCTGTGGTAGTGGCTCAAAGGGAATTAAAACGAATCAAACGTCTTCAACCATCATCAACTGAATGGGCTGTATCTCGAAATTATCTTGAATGGATGGCTGATATGCCTTGGACCAAACGAACAGATGATTTTGTCGATATTCAACGTGCAAAACAACAATTGGATGATGATCACTTTGGGTAAGTAAGAAGTTGATTTTTATTTTCAAAAAAAAAAAAAATATGTGGATATCTACTAATGTCTTTTGTTTTTGATAGATTGGACCATGTCAAGAAACGAATTATTGAATATCTTTCTGTTATCAAAATAAAAGGTGATCTCAAAGCACCTATTATTTGTTTTGTGGGTCCTGTAAGTTTTTTGGAAAATAGAAATAAAGGATTACATTACTAATTTTATATATATATATATATATATATATAGCCTGGGGTTGGGAAAACATCATTGGGCAAATCTATTGCAAAAGCGCTTTCAAGAGAATTCCATCGATTATCGCTTGGAGGTATTAGGGATGAAGCCGATATGAGGTAAATATACAAGAAAGATTTACCATGTTGATGATTCATCCGTTTCTATTTTTATCATAGAGGTCATCGACGCACTTATGTAGGATCACAACCTGGTCTCGTTATTCAAGGATTACACAAAGTGGGTGTTAACAATCCGTTAATGTTATTAGACGAAATTGACAAATTAGTACATTCTTCTCATTATGGAGACCCAGGTAATCTGAAGTAATTATTATTTATTTTCAACTTCTAACACATTCCTTGATGTAGCTGCTGCTCTTTTGGAAATCCTGGATCCTGAACAAAACAATGGTTTTACTGATCATTACCTCAACATTCCTTTTGATCTATCAAAAGTTCTTTTTATCGCCACAGCTAACAACCTTGATACCATTCCTGAACCTTTACTAGACCGTATGGAAATCATTCACCTACATGGCTATACTTTTGAAGAAAAACTCCATATCGCAAGAACTCATCTTTTACCAAAACAGATACTGGCACATGGATTGGATCTCAAAGATGTGATTATTTCGGATCAAGTTATTCTGGCATTGGCTGAACACTATACTCGGGAAAGTGGAGTACGAAACCTAGAACGAACCATTGCTTCTATTGTTCGTGCCAAATGCGTCGAATTGGCTGCTTTGCGCGAAAAATCAAGTCCTAATAATGATCAAGTTGTCAATAAAGGCTATTGTCCTGAAGTGATTTTGGAAGATCTTCGTACTATCCTTGGGGTAAGCTTTCCACAAAAAAAAAAAAAAGAATGTTATCTTAGCGGGTTTCATCTATTCTTTTTTTTTTTCCTAAAAAAAAATTAGGTTTACAAATTCGATAAAGAAGTTGCAGAACGTGAAGATGTACCTGGTGTGGTCACTGGCTTGGCTTATGGTGGATCTGGGAATGGATCTATTCTTTTTGTGGAAGCCACCAGAATGCCTGGAAAAGGTGGCAATCTTCAGTTGACAGGTAGATAGATCATTTACAAAAAAAAAAAAAAAAAAAAAAAAAGAAGGTATTTTGATACTCATTGCTCTTCTTCTTCCCTTACAAAAAAAAAAAAGGGTCCTTGGGTGATGTTATCAAAGAATCAGCACAAATTGCTCTCAGTTGGGTGAAAGCACATGCATATACATTGAATTTGACAACCACACGTCGTATGAATATTGTTGAACATGATGATGTCCATATTCATTTTCCTTCTGGTAGTATTCCCAAAGATGGTCCTAGTGCAGGTAAATTACATTAAGAATAAAATAAAAAAAAGGTAATGGATTAATCACATTTGCCTATTTTTTTTTTTTTTTTTTATATATACTTATCCATTAGGTGTGACGTTGGTATGTGCGCTTGTATCCTTATTTGGTGAATGGCAGGTCTCATCCACCACGGCGATGACAGGTGAAATCTCATTACGTGGTCAAGTTCTTCCTGTGGGTGGCATCAAAGAAAAAGTGATCTCGGCACATCGGGCAGGTATTCGAAAAGTGATTTTACCATGGCGCAATAAAAAGGATGTGGACGCGGATGTACCAGTATCAGTCAAGATGGATATCGAATTTATATATTGCAAGACTATATGGGATGTATTGAACGCAGCCTTTATGAAAAATAATGACAAACAAAAGTGGTCACCAACAACAAGGATGACTTTGGAAAGTCATTTGTAGTGTAGGTATTTTTTTTTTTTATCAATCCTCTCTTTCTTCTATTCCTTTCGGCCTTACACATTCGTTGTTTTTTTTTTTCCCCATTAGAAATAGTTTTTTTCTCTTTTTTTCCTCTAATCATATACTTTATGCTTTTTCTTTTTCTCCTCAATAAACCATTTCACCATTCAATCTATCAATCCTTTAACCCAACTATTATAGCTATTCATCTAACCCATCATTCAATCCATTATTTAATAAAAAAAAAGTGGTCGTTATATATTTTTATTATGGTGACTAGGTGTATAAAGGAGGAGGATAACCAACAATAAAGAAGAAAAAAAAAATCAATGAAGAGATAAGGTGATGAAGCAAAAGTTGTGATTTCTTTATTTGGTTTTGATCATTCTAAGTTTTCCAGGGGAGTATTTGTAGTTGTCAGCATATGCCTTTTTGACAAATTGGACAGGTTTAGGTTCTTGCACATAATAGTTCCAACCTATCAAAAAAAAGGTAACTAATTGTCAGTAAAACCATAACTAACCCAAGTTCATTCATTCATTACCTTGTTTTTCGGCGAATTGAATAGCTGCTTCTTTGCTTGTGAATTTGATTTGCAACGCTTGTTGATAATCCGAACTATTGAAAGATCATGAGATTAGAAAAAAAAAAAAAAGGAAGCTATAAGTAATATATTTTACCTGGAGGCCCAACCAATCAAAGGATTTTCCCATCGGTTACCATCCTCTATTTAAAGAAAAACAAAAAAGTAAAAATGGTAAGTTATCTCTATCTATCAGTTGTTGAGTGTTTCTTCTTTAAATAAGAACCAATGAATAATTGAGTAAATGTGGTGATTACCTAAAATGTCGAAATCGATACGCCAGAGTCTAGTACCGTTCTTACCACTTTGAGTGGCGGGTTTAGCGGGGGCAAAGATGCGTACACTTCGTTCGGTCAAAGCGTCTAGATGAACAAAAAAAGGAAAAAAAGAGAGAGAGAGAGAGAGAAAGGAAAAAAAAAGAGGAACAGTCGTTAATTTCTTATTGTTGCTAATCTTTTTCCTTTTATATATATATATATATATATATATATATATATATTTACCAGGTGCACCAGAGACTGTATCGACGTTGACTACATTAACAACATCAGCTTGAGTGACGGCCTTGCTGTTTTGAGAAACAGAGCGAGCAGCGTTCCATACAGTAGGTCGAGAGATGAATGAACGAGTGACTGATACACTCTTCAAAAGTGAAGTGGACATGATGGTTATATATAGATAGATAAAAAGAAATAGAAAAAAAAAAAAAATTCAAAAGAGTTAGAAAAAGAAAAACAAAACAGGATTTCTATCTCCGTAAATGGTCTGAAAACACTCGCGAGTCGAGCCAGCCACTAAATAATTTTTTTTTTTTTAAAATGTTTTCTGACGCATTTGTTCTCAGGGGGACCATCGGTGCCTCAACCTATTCATTAATGATAAGTAAAAACCTAATAATGAAAATATATTCATTTCAAATTAAAATAATCAAAATAAAACAAAATAAAAAAATTTCTATGATCTCAAAAATCCAGCAGTGAGCCAGAATAGTTTATTAAATAAATAAATAAATTCTATACTATTGATACAATATGTGGAAGACTTGGCCAATGCACGAATACCCCAGAATCTTCTTCTCCATTATGCAAAGATGTATGAACGGTCAATTTCCATCGATTAACATCATATGTCCCTACACTCAGAAACACTGCCAAAGCCTTGATGGTGGTGGATTCATCATTTTTCAGTAAACCAGAGAAGGTGGTCGGGCCCGTCCAGTGGAAAGGATAGATGTCCAAAGTTGATTTTGATCTATAATAAAGTGTGATCAATGATCATCAACTATTTCTAAAATATACTTACATTTTTTGTAATTGAGCTTGCTTGCTTTCAGTCCAAGATAACAGTTCCAATGAGTAAGAAGCTTGTTTATTCCATGAACAGTTCTTTAGAGTAATCGATACTGGTACTTGAAGTAGTCTATGGATTGGAAATAAAAATAAAAATAAAAGAGAGAATGTAAGTAGAGTGCTTGAATAATATCGTTTTGTCATCTGATTTTTTTTTTTTATTATTACCCGTTTTCATCAAAATCATGCTTCACGAAATCACATGCCTGTACCATTAATTTGACAGGTCCTTCTTCCTTGATGGCCAAATTTCGAGTCAAACTATTTACCAAAGCTGTTCGTTCCTTTTCCGTGGCTTCAAATAATGTACGTGTTGTCGTTCCGGTTGACGTTCTTGTTGTTGATCCATCCCCAGAATGTTGTAAATAAGGATGATGGTGATGTTGTTGATATGGATTTTGCACGATTCCTAAATTGACCCCAATGATATAATGATGTCCATGTCGTTTCATGCTAGGTATATCCCAATAAAGTGTCAAATCGATATCACTCGTATTATACAATGTAAACACCTTGGCTTGTTTTTCCATGTTGATGGTAGGATATTGAGTTTGTAAGTTGGATGTTCGCCAATTCACTCTTGAGCAAATTGCAAAGTTCTTGAGTGGCATGGTGTCATATGGTATGATCTCTTTTCTCTAAAACAAAAGATAAAAGTAGTTAGATACAATATAAATTATTATATAAGAGACGTTTGAAAAACTTTACGAATGGTATCTTGGTGACCATCAATTCTATGGGTGGAGGTGGATCATAAGAGTCGTTGTTGCTTAATAATTTTGCCAACGCATTTGATGTCCAGGCTTCAGGTGAAGAAGGAGAGGGAGATGAAGGTAGAGTTTCAGATTTCTTAATCTTGTAATAAGCAAAAGTTGTTTGACGAGAAGGAATCGTAGTCTTGTCCAAAACATCTTGTTCAGAATTCAAGTCGATACTTAATGGCGTGATGGTCCATAAAGCACTAGTTGCTGTCAATTGTCTTAAGTCAAACGGGGTCAGAGATTGAAGGTTTTCGATCTAAAATACAGATGAATGAGTATATTTTTTTTTATTTGCCATTCCCTTCTCACATTTATAAGTACCTCAATTCCCAGGATAAATTCATTTGTGGCAGAGATACAAGGTCGAGTAAAAGCGTTAATTTTGAGGGATGGAGTCACTTGTATATGAAGAGTATACCGTAGAGTACGATGAGCAATGGCAGAGTTTTCTTCCTAATATATAATTCAAGAAACAAAATCAAAAAAAAAATAATGGATAGAACTGTGATTTTTATTCATGCTTACCTCAGACTGATAAGAGAACAGGAGTTTCAAAGTATACTTGCCAATACGATCGCCACGAATCCATAATGGCACAAGAGTCGTTTTTCCAGGTTGTACCACATTTTGTTGATCACCTTCAGATGGTAAAGGAATAGAAATGACACTAGGATCATATATTTGATTGTCGATTGGTGAACAATTTTCATCTTTTGAGTCACAATCTATTAGTAATAAAAACAAAGTCAGTATACTCTGTATCAAAAAAAAAAAAAAAAAAAAAAAAAAAAAAAAAAAAAAAAAAAAAAAAAAAAAAAAAAAAAACTTCCTTTTTTTTTATTTACCATAAATAGGCTGGTCCATTTGTTCAGGATGACCGACACAAATAAAGCTTGGATGATTTGATTTCAAACGCAATGAAGTAAGTCCCTTGTTTCCTTTGTTATTGATTTCCAATACAGCTTGTACAACCTCACCGGATAGAATGGTTTCTGGTACATTGTGAAAGGTAAGATCCAATAGTGGCATAGGTGGAGTGACAAGAATATCCAGGCTACGGTCGGGAGCATAAGCAATGGTCATTCGTTCTTCTTTGGTGTTATTGAGTCGTTTTCCTTTCTTGTTAAACGGTCGGAAGGTGTGTACAAGATCATTGAACGTGTAATGTAAACCAACAATGGTAATCGATCCTTCTTTTCGTGGTACAATGGTCAGATTCACCTAGTATCTAAATGTTAGAACATAAAAAATCCTTTTGTCTTCTTTTTTTTTTCTTTTCTTTACCACACGACGTTCTAATGGATCTAAAGATACTTGTGCTAACTTTTGTAATTCGAAATCACCGAAATCAAATGTATCTGTTGTATCCGGCATCAGAGTTCCATCAATCATACCTTGATCCGCAAAGAGATCCGAATTCAGTGATTCTTTATTTGCTTGAATGGATTCACGATATTGGCATCCCAAGATAACTTCCGATAATGTTACAGCTACTTGAAGAGGATTGTATAGTTCTACACGAACAGTCGAAGGTTCTAATAGTAAATGAACAAATATCAGTATAGTTGCTATCTTTTTCTATTTCGAATTGTTTTCATACCACCAACAGCACAAATCACACGGTTATCATCTTGTTGTTGAAGAGCCAATGCTTTTTTGGATTTTAAAATATATCCCTTTTCAATGTTTGCTTCCAATAGGTCTCTTTCCATGACAGACCATTCATCTTGATTTTCAGATTCCGGTTGTGCATTAGATAAAGTGACACGAATACTTTTGTCATCAATGATAGGAATCCCTAAATTTGATAAAGTATCTTTCAAAGGATCTATTCCCATTTTTGAGGCGTACTGCTATTGAAATAATAATAATAATAATAATAATAAAAATGGCTAAGGGTAAGTATAATGAACTTTTATAATCTGTAAAAAAAAAAAAAAAAAAAAAAAAAAGGAAAAAAAACTTTTACCTGATAAATGAATAAGAATTCTCGAATATGAGCAATTTGTTGAGGTGCTGTTTGCTTGGCATCGGGTAAGACATGAACAAAATGAGAGACAGCATCTTCCAAATGACCTAAATGAAATGATTGTCGACCTAAGGCAAACTGGACATGACTTTTTGCAACTGACCATTGAGTATCTTCAAGTACCAAAGATGCCAATTTGTAACACCGAAGAGCATGATTTCTCTATTAACGAAAAAAAAAAGAGCGAATGATGATTTTGTAAGCTATCATTAATATATGTATATTACCTGTGATGCTTTTGCATAACGATGACCAGCCATAATAAGATGAAAACCATATTTCCGTATCATAGGTCGAGGAGCACGTAAGAAGCAATGAGCAGCTTGTTCCAAAAACAGGGCAGAACGCAAATCAGAATCTTCGCCAGTCATTCGTACTAAGGCAGTTGGGATTTCCTTCCACATTCGTCGACTTTTTAGTAGTTCATAATAAATTACAGTAGCTCTTGTAGCATGATAAGGTGATTGACATCGTCCAAGATATTGTTGTATAGCTAGTTCAAAGTTTCGATCAACATCCACTTTACTTGTCAATGGTTGATTCATCATTAAAAAGCAAATACCAATCATTTCCTATATATATATATATAAATATGTATATATTAATAATCACTTCATCCTTTTTTTTTTGTTATTACCTGAGTCCCAGCATGGTACTTGTAAGCTTTATCAGTTGCATAATCCCGACGTACAGTATCATAAATGATTTGAGCAAATTTATAATCACGGAGCATAAAAGCATAATCGGCCAATTTTCGCATTTGAGCTTCGGGAGCACCGTATGGATATCTAATAATAAACAAACAAATATATGTTTCAGGTTATATCCTAAATCTCTTCTAATCATCATCCTATTATTTTAAAGCTTACATTGTCAATGTATTTGTACCTGCTGGTAGATTTCGACTATAGGATGGAATGGTTTGTATTGACTGAGATGAAGGATTTCGAGAATTACTTGTACCAAATAATCGACGACTCGCACCAAAAAGACGACCAGTAAGACCTCTTCGACCAGCAGCGACTTGTTCATTCCAATGTTGAATGTTACGTTCCATAAAGGGTATCATACTTTGTGTTACTAATTCCTTTACCATAATCTTTGTTTTTTCAATATGATCCATAGTAAGATATTGTCCATATTCTATTGATGATGTTGCCAAATTGCCATCCAAATTTATTAGATTATTGTTGCTGTTCAAAGTATTTTCTTCTTCTTCTTCTTCTTCTTGTTCATGTTCGTTTTCTTCAGGTGAACGATCCAGTGGTGTGTTGGTTAAATCAAAAGTTTGTGTTGTTGCTCCAGTAAAAACGGGTGTTGTTGAAGAGGAGGAGGAGGATGGATTAGTAGCGATAGAAGAAGATGAACTTGATCGAGTGAGAGAAGGAATACTGGGAGAAAATGATATCGGTTGATCTTGTTCATTGTTAGAAAGCTGTTGAGTATAATATTGTAAAGAATGATCGATCACTGCCTTTCTTTCTAATTCATTTTGCCATATCATTCGTATTGAATCGTCCGTTTGATCTGTATTATTTTTGGTTGATAAAGAATCTGTTCCATCGAATGTTGTTTGAGGTCTAGAGTTCAAGGTGAGCATATGACAATGTAATCCAAAGCTTTTTTTCATTTTTTCAAAGACATCAAGGGAACTAGGAATAAAAGTTAAAAAAATAAATAAAAAAAATAAATAAAAAAAAAAAAAACTTACTGTTCTAAGGTTGTTTGTTGAGGATCATGTAATAATACATAATATCGTAATATATTGGTGTCTACATAAGGTTTATCAATAGTAAAAGATGGTACGTTGGGGTTGTAAAGTTGCATAATGGCGCCCATAGGATCAGGGTTGACAGAAGATATTACCATTAACATGGCTACAGGATGGTCAAATGTTTCATGTTCAGTAATACCACGTAAAGAGAAGATCAAATTCTTGAATGATGTATACCAAGGCATCATATCATCAAGGCCAACTAGAGAATAATATTTTATATACAGTGAGTTTAAATATATATATACATATAAGAGAGTTTTTTTTTTCACTTACTATCAAGATATGATTCAGTAACGTCAGTTTTTGTTCGGATAGCATATTGTTCAATAGGAGAAGTGTTTTTATCCAACTTGACAGTGTCATTAACAAGTCTTTGTATAGCTTGATGATCAGGTTCGTCTAGTTTGTCAATAGAACGAAAACGAACAGTAAAGTTGTCAATTGGAATAGGTATACCTTGTGAATCTCTTGCTATAACTAAATAAAATAAAAATAAAAATATGAAGATATTATTATTATTATTATTATTATTTAAAATAAATAATAAAAAACTTACTTCTTCCTTCGATAGAGTGACCAAAGGGGTTGATAAAGTCAACAAAAGAAGAAAAGTGATTGGCTTTACAAATATCTTCAGCATCTGAACTTGCAGCAACAGCAATTAAAGGAGATAAAGACTTTGCAATTTCATCACGAGAAGATAATTTGGGTTTATGAGGTAAAGGTTTATCTACCATAGTTTAAAATAAAAAAAAAAAAAAAGTTAAAAAAAAAAAAAAAAAAAGAAAAAGAAAAAAAAAAAAAAAGAGGATAACCGGAGTGTCAAAAAAAAAAACCATAAGGACGTGTGACCTGAGAGAGTACCAAACTATCAAAACAGCTTGTTTTATAAAGATAAAAAATCAACTAGTTGAGATGAAAATAGAGTTGATTTATGTATATATAAAATAATCATTCAAAAAGAAAAAAAAAGAAAAGAAAATAATTATTTAAAATGTCAAAAAAAAAGATATATATTTATATATAAAACACGCAAAATTGGACCATTTCTGGAAAGAAGGGAGAGAGATCAGGTCGTCACGAACAAAAAAAACTGTTTAAAGTGGAAAATGAAAGAAAAAAAAAAAAACCTACACATTTCAAAATTTTCCCCGAGAATCTCAAACTCCTTTTTTTTTCACTTTTCAGTGTTTTTTTTCTTCCCTTTTTTTTATTCTTTTTTGTTCTTTTTTTTCTTTCTTTCTTTTTTTTTTTTTTTTCTATCTTTATAATTACTATCAATTCATTATTCTATATCTTTTTTTTATTTATTTATTTATTTATTATCAATACAACAATTCACTTCGATATACGACAATATATTCCATCCAATCTCTTTTTCTTTCTCTTCCTCCCTTTTTTTTTTCCTTTTCTTTTCTTTCTTGTTTTTGTTGATAAAAACACTATAGTTTTGTGTTTTTCTTGGTGATCATGAATCAACAACCGAACATACCAAACAGTCAAGCAAATGATGTTCCTAATCCTAACTGGCGTGATGAAATGACTTTACAAGATAGAGCTCGTTTTGTAGCTCAATTGTAAGTTTTGATAAGATAAAAAAAAATACATTTATACATTTATATATTTATTATTATTATTGTAATGAAATAGAGCTCAAGCTTTGAAACATTTATCTCCTTCTACAACTGAACAAGATATCTTTGCTGCGGCTAAAAACTTTGAATCTACTCTTTATCAACGAAGTCCTAACAAGGTTAGAATATATATATATGTTGTAAAATGAAATACTAAACTATGATAAAATTATTATTATTATTATTATAAATAGAATCAATATATATTGTCTTATGCAAGAAAATTCAATCAAATCAAATATCAAATTCAAATGCAAACTCAAAATGGTGTAGCTCCTGGTACAGTTGGTCCTAATGTAGTCAATGATCAATTAAATGGTTTAGGTACTTCTCCTTTGATGCAAACTCAACAAACTCAATCAAATTCTCCTCAAATGCAAATCGTACAACAACAAATGCAAAATATGGTTAACGCTTTAAATCCTACTCAACAAATGCGTCCTAATATGTTTCAACATCCTCAACAACAAGTTTCTTCTGCTGATCTTTTAGCTTTTCAACAACGTTCTATGACAAATCCTAATTCATCTCAACCACAATCTTCTTCTTCTTCTTCTTCTTCATCTTCTACTACTACTGCTACTGCTATTCCTACTACTACTACTGCTACTACTACTACTCCTAGTTCTAGTACTATGTTACAAGGTCTTCAAAATAGTAATACACCTATGACACTTAATCAACAACAACAAGTTCAGGTTTTTCTGGCAAGACAATTGGCTTTACAACAACAACAACAACAACAACAAGGTAATTCAATTCAACAACAACAATCTGGATTACCTACTACAATGGATGCCAATACAATGATGAATATGGCTATGGCTAATAGAAATATGAATCGTCCTCCTACTGCTCCAACTACCTCGGCTGGTATGCCTGTTTCTGGTGCTCCTCAAACTAGTTATGCTAATATGAATATGATGAATCAAATGTCTATGATGCAAAATTCTCTTCAAGGCCAACCACAACAAATCAGTCCGGAACTTTTGATGCAATTACAACAAAATCAATTACTTCAACAACAACAGCGTCAACAACAGAGTCAACAAGTTCAACAGAATCAACAAGTTCAACAGAATCAACAAGTTCAACAGAATCAACAAGTTCAACAAAATCAACATCAGCATGTACAGCAACAGCAATTACAACAACAACAGCAACAACAACAACAACAACAACAACAACAACAACAACAACAACAACAACAACAACAACAGCAACAGCAACAGCAACAGCAACAGCAACAGCAACAACAGCAACAGCAACAACAACAGCAACAGCAGCAGCAACAACAACAACAAAAACAACAGCAGCTTCAACAGCTTCAACTTCAACAGAATCAGCAGCAAGGTACTCCCACACAACAACAACAATCACAACCTTCTGGTTTTCCTCAACAACACCAGCAACAATTGGATATGGCCAATGCACAGCAGACCAATGATACAAATCCTCAACTTCAACAAAATCCACGAAACACTACTCCTCAACAGAGAAGTCAGGCCACTGAAATGATTCGTCAATTGGATGAAACGATTAGTAGTACTAGAGGTAACATATCAAATATCAAAAGAGGAAGGGGAAAAGAAAAAAAAAAGATTCCAGGATGGCATACTCACTTTTTTTTTTTTTATCATTATCATTATTATTTGATTTGTTAGCTCGTGCAAGACCATTGGAAAATTTAACGGATCATGAAAAGAACGCTATTCGGGAAAACGTACTACAGATGCAACCCATGTATGAAAAGATCGACCAATTATTACCTATCTTTTTGGCATTGACTTCCAACATTGAAGCTACTCGACGATTGATCTTGATGAAATACATGTTTGAAGATCAACTCAATGTCCTTACTCAAGATGTGTATTTAGTTAGTTTGGAGAATCTTCAAAAACTTCGTGATCAATTTAGTGGCTACTTTTCTTGGGTTAGAAATGCTATCAATGGAAATGCAGCTCAGTCTTCACAACAACAACAACAACAACAACAACAACAACAACAACAACAACAACAGCAACAACAGCAACAACAACAACAGCAACAATATACGCAGCAACAACAAAATGTCCCAATTGCTGCTGGTCAGCAAAACAACCAAGCCATGGATCATACACAACAACCTAGCTCTTTATCTTTTGGATCTCAACAACTATCGTTACAATCATCACCTGCTCAAATCAAACAACAATCACAACCTATCCGACCACCAGCATCTGTTACTGATACTGAGGCATCATCCAATGTTATCGCACCTGGAATGCAGCAGTCACCTAATCCAGCCACCATTAAGCGTGAAAGTATCGATCTCAAATTACCAGCATCAAAGAAACAACGTGCAACGGCTAATCAAACACCACCAACAATGATAAGCACTCCTCAACGTCCAAGTCCTGTGCCTATAAGCAACACAACTAGTCCCTCAGTTCCTACCACATCGACTTCCCCTCAAATGGTAGACTTGACAAGATCATCAACCTCAACGGCTAGCCCGGGTCTTCCAACGAAGTCAGAACCATCATCTTTAGCTCCTACAACCGATACTGCTACACCTATGCCTCCGATGCCTGGATCTCAACCACAACAGCAACAAGCAACGGTGACACCAACTCAACGTGAAGCTCAAACACATATGGTCTATCAAGCAGCTATTTCAGGCGGTCTTCCACCTCAAATTGTTGAAATCTTACCTCAGCGCGCGTTACAATGCTCATGGTTACTACAACAAGCATCACAAAACAGGATTCAATTAACACCGGTACAACAGGATCAAATCCGTGCAATGTTGAGTGACTTTATTGCCAGAGCAAAAGAACAGCTTGCAGAAAAACAGGGTCAAGGACAACCACAAACTTCCCAAGCTCCAGGATCCAATTTAGTACAACAACAACAACAACAACAACAACAACCGAGTTCTCAGTCTCCAGCTGGTGATTTATCTCAACAACAGCAGCAATATCAACGGCAACAGGCTCAACAGCTTCAGCTCCAACAACAACAGCAAATACAACAACAACAGCAACAAGTTCAACAACAACTACAACAACAATCAAAGCAACAAGATACCCCTTCATCTGGAACAAATGTATCAGTTAAGATGGAACAAAAAACAAGTACTATTGATTTGACATCTTCTCCCTCCACCACTGCTAGCAGTATCAATAATGTTTCCGGCGGAATGCAAAGATTATCTATGGATAAGGCACTGGAATTAGCATCATCAGCAGCAACCACATCTCCATCACAGCAAGCGACTCATATCATGCAACTTTTGCAACAACAACAACAACAGCAACAACAACAACAACAACAACAACAACAACAACAACAACAGCAACAACAACAACAACAGCAGCAACAGCAACAACAACAGCAACAGCAACAGCAACAGCAACAACAACAGCAAGAACAACAGCAACAACAACAACAACAACAACAACAACAACAGCAGCAGCAGCAACAACAACAACAACAACAAAAAATACAACAACAGCAACAACAGCAACAAAAAGTGGATAGCAACATACCTGCGACAACCGCTAGTACAACAGCACCCATAGCGACAGCTTCAACAACTGTACCACCTACGACTGTATCAACTATACCTGGTGCGGCTGCTACTACCAATACAACGGCAACAATGACATTTCCTCAATCTCATACACGACCAGGAATGGGAACAGACGACAAGGTGATAAATCCTATGCTTTACGCAAACGATGTCCTCAAAGATGTTGCGCAATTATTGACCAATCCCAAGTCATCAAGTGATATATACAGTACTCCTTTATTCATGGTAGATGACTTAATTGTTGATGGTGATGATACTAATCCTGGAAGTGGTGGTCGACAACAACAATTGGATGAAGAAGGAAACACCAACAAAAAGGACTCTGGCGATCGTAGAACAGTGATGTTTTCGGAATCACCGTCATTAGTTCACCACGCTCTCAAAGAAGGCTTTAAGGACGAAACATTTGGCACCAATGAACTGATGGGCATGATTTCTTCAAACACAGCTGTGAATTCACCTTGGCATGACAATCAATCTAGTCATTCATCCTCACTATCATCATCATCTTTCTCGTCATGCGAATTGAATGAAGATTTCGTCAAAAATAATTGGTATCAAGTTGGAATGGATAAGGATGTACTTGGAATTGCAGAAACAATGCCTGGGTTGGAATTTGATGTGGACGGATATATCAATTGTACTACTGGAGGTGGTTCTGGTCGACTTGCTCATCCTCCTCTGTTTTGATTCTATTATCATTTTTTTTTTCGTCTTTGTTTTTGTTTTTACATATACACCTTTTTATATCTATCTTCTTTATTATTATTATTATTATGTAGCATTCTTCTTTCATTCTTTTTTAGTCTTCCATTTGTTTTAGTTTATCTAGTGAAATAAAGAACATCAAAACATCATCTTTATAGTGGAATCCAATCAAGAGGAATGTTGTCAATTTGTATGATGTATGAGCCGATCTTTCTCGCTAAAAGAAAACTGGGGATTGACATTTTGCATGTTTGTTGACGAAACAGGTTGCGATGAAACGAGGTAGGAGTTTCCATTATATTCTTCCATTTCTTTTTGGTTTTTTTTATATACCCCTATTCGACTATGATCCCCGATCTTTTATTTATATTTTCCATCCTTTTTCTTTTTTTCTTTTTTTTTTTATTGTATCTGTTTGTCAAATATGTATCTACTCTTAGTAACATGTCAGTATTATCATTCCAACACTGCATCATATTTTATGAAAAGATTCAAATAAAGCTGTTTTATTTGTTCATAACAAACAAAGGATTATCCAATCAAATAGTTTCTATTTTACAGATATCAGAGAAAAAAAAAATGGAACCCATATTTCAGTATTCTTCTCCTTTTTTTTTTTTTTTTTTATCCTTTTTTATTTTGGGATAAAAACTTTGAAAGTACCTATTTATTTATCTTTTATTCTACTGCTTTTTATCTTTGCCTTACTTTCATTTTTTCTGATGGTTAAGAAGTCGTTACTTTCTAGGATTTTATTTAGAAACACTAAAAAGAATGCAGCATCATCCAATAGGAAGTCTACCGTCAGCGACACCGAGAAATCGTACTTATCATCATCAGTGTCGAATGCTTCCGAAATGAAAGATCAGGTAGCAGATATGTTCCTGAGAGCATCAAAGCAAAAACAGCAACATCTTCTTTCCCTAATAAAGTGGCCTCAATCTGATCAGGATGGTGATGATTACGATTTGTTTCCTCCTGATCTCTCACGACAACAACAATCATTCTATGCTTTAAGATTATACATAGCAACCATTCAAAAATTAAAACGTCATCCACCACCATCTATGGAAAATCATCGTGCTATTTATCATTTATTATCAACATTGGTCATACAGCAGGAAATTGAGCGATTTGAACCTGATTTTGACCCTGTAGGGAGAAAGCCCCGCAAATCTCGCTATGTATCTACTTTACTTGACACACCGATTGAAAGTATTACATCTCATCAACATCCTGTCTTGCAAGCATATAAAAGGAAACCATTTGTTGAGACCACTCATGTATATTTACCATCATCATCATCATCATCATCACCTTGTCCATCGCCATCATCATCATCTAGATCAATGTCTTCTTCCATCACCACATTTTCTACTACCAACTCCTCTTGTCTAACAACTCCATCATCTTCTCCTATATCATCCCCCAATTTTCCATCATATCCTTCTTCAAAATCATTTCATCATTTTCCATCATCACATCGTCATGATGAAGACTCTCAATCTGATTCATCACTTTATTATCATGATCATATCGTTAGTTCACCTCTCTATCAATCTCTACCAATCATCGATCCATTGCCATCACCAGCATCATCGAAATCACATTCTCTTGTTAAAATGTATCATTTGCTATCATCCCGCTCTGATCCACATCTTCATTCGTCTTATCGCCTCCTAGATAAAAGTAATCATCATGATAATAGGCTTAAAGAGGATGAAGACAACGTCCCGTTAGCTATGCTAAAGACTAAAAAATCCGATCTTACGTCAAAACCATTGTCAATCACTTTTATTTAATACTAATAAAAATAAATGGTTTATTTTCAATGATTACAATTAAAAAAAAAAGTAGAGTTCAAATATTGTAGGGTACAGATGAAAAAAATCACGCGTAACACCTTTTGCATGCTTTTTTTTTTTTTCTGAACCCATAATATGGTCCTTGTTTCTAACCCAGCGCGTCTCCTTTTTTCCTCGTTTCTTTCTTTTCTTTTTTTTCTTCTTTTTTTTTTTTCCCCTTATCAATAAAATTCACACACGCCCTCCTGAAACCATTATATATATAATATCAATCTATGATAACACAAGAACTGAAACAACTAATAGATCAATTAAGTCAAAGATTTGATCAGTTAGCGCTTCTTCATGGTGAAATAGGCACGACATCAACAAAACAACAAGACGATACAGATCAACTATGTCAAGCAGTCCTGAACCTAACAGATAAACATATCAACACTCTTACTGATGAAAGAGACGCTTTACAACAACAATGTCAACATACTTACAAATCTATCGCTCATTTGAAACGACTAATGGGTGAATATATTGATGACACTTCACAGGAACAACCTTCTCAACCTTACTCTGTGACTCTGGAGAAACTCGATGCTGAAAAAGAAATTGTACAGAAGGTAAATATCAGATTGGATAGTATCATAACAAAACTTATTCTTATGTTTTTTTTTCTTTTTTCTTCATACAGCACTATGAAAAACGGCTGGCCGATGTAAAAGGTAAACTAAGCAACAATAATGGAAAATTATAATAAATATGAATTGTACAAGCAGTTACTGACACTTGGCTTTATGGCACTGTACAATAGAACTACACCAACAATTGATCGAATATCAATCCACATTGGAGGATTTTGTCAACACTGAACTCATTATGCAAAAGGATGTGGACGTTTCCTTACCAACGGTTACTGCTTTGGAAGAAGAAATACGACGATGCGGAAACGAATATGTAAGTTATATCTGAAGATATATAAAAAACAAACAAACTATGTATTGACTATCATTACTCCCTTTATACATCATGATATTAGGTGAAACGAGCTCAACAAGTGGATAATGGAACAGACCAGATTATACAGCTATGGCAATCCCTGGGTTTATCACCACAATCAGAATTTGAACATGAATTAAATCAACTTCACGATTTACAACGTCAACCGGACAAAAAGGTATTTCTTTATACTAGACTGGTACAAGAAAAACAACTTAACCGCATCATGCAAACAATTGCTCAGGTAATAGATGAAGTGAATAATAGATGACTGTGAAGATGACTAGAAAAAGAATCAAAAAAGAAATCTCATATCTTCTTTCATCTTTTTATTTTTTTTTTCTTAACAATCCTTGTAGTTGGATGAGATCAAACAACAACGGGAATTTAGGAAACAAGAAATCGCGCAACATCTCTATCGCCTTTGGGATCGACTACAGATTGATCCCGATGAAAGAAATTCATTTTTACAGTCAAATGCTGGTATCACCTCAATGGATATACAGGAGGTAAAATAAACAAATAATAGATGATACAAAACTGGTCATTGAAACTGGTATCTTTTATATATATAGTATGAAAATGAACTCGATAGGATGCTCAAACTGAAATCGGAAAAAGTACAAGACTTTATATTGGATGCTCGAAATGAAATGGAAAGTTTATGGAATCAATTATACTGGTCCAAACAGGAACGAGATGCCTTTACAGCATTTGAATCTGGTAAGTTATCAACAAAAAAAAAAAAAAAAGAAAGAAAAAGAAAAAAGAAAAGAAAAAAGAAAAGAACTGAATTCCTTCTTTTTCTTTATAGATGACTACAATGATACTCTTTTGGAAGCACATGAAGCTGAAATTGAAAGACTGAAACATATGGTGGAAGATCGGAAGTATATCTTGGATAAGGTGGAAAGACATATGAAACTACTGCAAGAAGTGCAAGATTTTGAGGTACACTAAAGAAATGATGAGAACCAGAAATATCTTTTTTTTTTTTTTTTTTTTTTTAATATTTGCTATTATTTTATAGGCAAGTACAAACGATCCAAAAAGACTTTTTGGCAAAGGACAACGGGATCCTGGACGATTGTTACGTGAAGAAAAGTTTAGAAAAAGAATATCAAGAGAGCTACCAAAGGTACAGTATATAGAACGATATAACGAGATATACATAAAATAAATAAATACAATGCTGTCGTTAACCTGTCTCTTACATTTAATTATCTAGAGCAAGCGTGATCTGGAAGGATCTCTTCGTGAATTCCAAACTTCTACTGGTACACCGTTTACTGTTTATGGAGAATCTTACTTGGACAAACTCACAGCGGATGACAAGGTAAAAGCATCCTGGTAGAATTAAAGTTAATTTCTATTTGTCCTAACATGTAAATGCTTACTTTTTATTTTATAGGACACATCGTCATATAATGATGACCACATACCAACCACACCAAAACGACCCAAGACTGTTTCACGACCACCTATGACTAGCCCACGACATCGATCACACCCGAAAATGCATTTCCATACACCACAAGCTAATCGATTCAACAATTTTCAAGAGACGTTTACGGAAACAAAGAATGAATGGCGTCGTTTAGATTCTCAAGTCTCATCAACAGCCACCATCCTTCATCGTGTACGGCAAAACAATATTCGAAAAAGAGAACGAACTCGTCTTCCAAAACCTAACAACAACAAGACGCCTACGATGACTTTCGGCAAAAACAAAATCACAAAAGATATAATGAGTGAGGATGGAAAGCAACGAAGACAAAGTGACAGCACAGCATCCAGTATATACAGCACCAGTAGTAGCGGAAATAGTACTTTGGTTGAGAAAGATTATCACAAGAATGAAAACGTGGCTCCTCTTCACCATACCCCACAATCACCGGTCCTCAAACAAAAGGTAAAGATAACTGAATATGAATAACGATAGACTTGACTGACTTTCTCTTTCTTTTTTTTTTATATATATTAATGATGAATAAATGAATCCAGAGACGGGTTGCTCGAACATTATCGGAACGACGTGCATTATTATTTGATGAAGACGATATGACCTTGGATCTTGGTATTTTTGACGATGGACCTGAACTCAGCGATATGTCTGAAAATGATACTTGATTCATTTGAAGAAGAAAAAAGGAGATCAAGTATCACTATCTTTCTCCTTCCTTTCCTCATTTTTTTTTTTATATATATATACGTTTTTTTTTAATCCCTCTTCCCTATCTCAATATATACTACTCCTTTATACTACTCAATAAATATCAATATATATCTTTTATTATTACTATTATTACCATCGGATCATGTACGTATTGTACTGATTTTAGACGTACTCTAGATATATTTGTTACTGGTATAGTAAATGTGAAATAATTGTCGCTGCAGTGTTAGGGATAACATGACGCTTGTATTAGCAAGTATCTTTTTTTTTTTAATGATTCTTTTTTTTTTTTTTTTTTTTTAATGATTCTTTTTCTTTTTAATGATTCTTTTTTTTTTTCTTAATGGTTCCTTTTTTTTTTTTTTTTTGATGATCTCTTCTCTTGATTTGGATTGACTTTTTATCTCTTATCTAGATCACAAGGTATTGATCCTATTATTAGTTTTTAGTATATTTTCCTTTTTTTTAAGTCTAACTGTCTCTTTTATTACTTCCTTGAATCATTCATTATAATCCATTTATATTTTGAAGACACAGCATCACATGATGACCTATGAAAAGTTTACGTATTTATTCATAATGTAGTTGTAATAAAAAGGGGGGAGGAAAGGATTGAGAAAACATTATACTATAGTTCATCACAACTGAATGAGCCAGAATTTTTCAAAATATTTTGAAGATCCTGTTTTCCATTGGATAAAATTTCGAAAGTAGCATCCAATTCTTCGCAGTTGGTATCACTGTAAATATGGCAACGGACAGATTCATGGAAGTCGATAGAATTAGCATGATGACCATCTTTTTCAAATGGTGTACAATCTCCAAGCATGACTGGAGTGGACTCTGAATCACCTTCATAGGTAATATCACTATAGGATTCCTCCGGATGAGAAGCAATGACCATCAATGCCAAGGAGGGAAATAGCAAGTAGATTAAATTTATCATGATGATAAATCTTTGTAGTAATAGAATGGAACAAAAAAAAAAAAAAAGGAAAGAAAGAAAGAAAAAAATTTATCTTTTATATGGGTTTCTAGCAATAGTAGGATATTCTTGTGATGATCATAGTATAAATGGCATAACCCCCCTTGATTGGCATGATGCATTACAAGGAGTACTTTTTAAGAAATAATCATAGTTATCTGTACTTAATAAACCAAATGGTACTGGATGATCAATAGCTCACATAACTCCTGATTATTTCAATGAGTTGAAATCACACTTGAGTATCCTTTCTTGCTTTGATCAGCTTGTATGGCACTTCAATGCAATCAAACTTTTCTTCAATAAACGGCGTATAATTCAGATTCCGGTCTCAATGTATTTGGGTGTAAGGAGTAGAGAAAGTTTTCATTGATTTCACCTCTTTTTCTTCGGTAATCAGTGTTAGTCTGATCTAGTACTTTTAAATTCTTCAATAAAATTATATTTATACTCTATCATTTTCCGTTCTTCTTTATGATCGATGTCATCCAGTAACATAAAGTATGAAAGGATATAATCATACTGGTTTTTGCAAAGTGATCTCGACATACATTACCATTTCTGTCAAATTTTCAAAAAAAAAAAAAAAGGTCAGTGGAGTCTTATAATTGATGGTGAAGGGAACTAACAGTATCATCACCTTCTTGTTGATTATAAGGAGTAGACAAGTCGATGAATGATGTTGATGTTGATGAAAAAGAGAAAGGGTGCTTAATATCAAGTCATATAAAATAGACATTGAATGATCAACAAATAAAGTGATTATAATAAGAAAAAAGGTGTTTGGAATTTTTTTTTATTAAAAAGAAGATATTGATTTGGTAAATAAGTATACATGGAGGAATCATAGCCTGTATCATAAAGGGATATTATTGAATGAGAAGAAACTAAACTTGTTGATGTGATCCGCCTACATAATGATGATGCTGATCAGGACTAATCCCACTATCATTATGACTTGTATCCACTGCCAAACGTTTCAGATCACCTTTTAACCAAATCACGGGAATAAATCCAACAGCTATCACCACTGCTACTGCCACCATAGAATGCGTCATGTTGTTCGGAGGATTGGCTTGAGGTCCAGCTCGTAGCGCGTCTATCATCACTGAAAAGATAAGCATTGCCGTAGTCACCATGGTCCAAATTACACATGAGCTGATGGATTCAGGTACAGGATACGTCACTGATGTACATAAATAAAGGAAAAAGAAGATAAATGACAGTTAAACATATATAAAAGTTCTCTCATTTCAACTCTCTCCTATTTTACATGTTTACCTTCACTACTGAATTCCAACATAACAGGAAATATACCAAAGGAGAAAAATCCATTAATGAGACAAGCAATGATAATGGCTCCAAAAGCATTCGGAATAACTAAAAAAAAAAAAAAAAAGAAAGTGAATAAATACAAAGATAAAAAAAAAAAGTACGAACGAAAACTTGACTTACTTTGGAAAATAAAAATAACATAAGAAAACACTACGAAAGGAGCAAACATTTTGATCAACATCAAGTATTGAGCAGTCTTTCCAGCCCAATAGCCACTCATGACTATACGTTGTTGTGTATGATATGGGAATAAAATGATGTGTTAGAATTCAATGTACTCCAAGATTTCGCTGCCTTTCCATCATCCATCCATTGTCCTTTTTTTTTTTTTTTTTTTTTGACTTACATCCTCCAACAAAGCCAGCAATGACAATCATAGCAGCACAAATACCAGCATCTTGATCCGAATAACCCAATGGCATAATGGCTTCAATAATTAAAACAGAGACAGAATACGCCATACCCATATTCAAAGAAGCCAATAACAATATCCATCGAAAAGTCGAATTTTTCGCCAGTTGTTTCATACCTTCAATGAAATCCATCCGTTCAGCAAGTGCACTTTTAGTGGGAGGATGCTCTGGTCGACTTGGTAAAAAGAAAGATGGAATAGTTACCACAGTAGCGACGCCAGCCAATATCAGCAACTAAGGGAAACAAAGGAAGACATGAGTTCCTATATATACATATATATTGACCGAATCGACTTACATTGCGAGGTACATCATCTGGTGTTTTGACAATTTGAGGTATGACAAGAGGGGCTAATACCATTCCTACTTGTAAAGCTAATTGGATTGTCAGAAAAAAAAAGGGATCTTTGTGAGTATTCTTCAATAATAGATTTTCTTTATTACATATAAGGGTATTGGCAATAGATCGATCTTTTGCAGCAAACCAAACAGCCGTAAGCTAAAAAAAAAAAAAAAAAAAGGAATAATGAGTAGGGAGGAAGAAGGAAAGGAGAAGAAAAACGGCGACTTGGTTGCTTACCTTTGCAGCAATACTAAGTTTGGAAGAAAACAGCTGAGTTATGCATATGTATGTATAATCATTATGTTTTTCTTTTCATTTTACTTGTAGACAAGAGGACCACCAAAACTAGCAACAAATTGACCAAGCATCAGAACGGCATACTTTGCATCATTATTCACTAAAATAGCAATACAGCGTAACCAACAACCAATCATATTGAGTAAACCAGCCAGGATAATCTTTTAAAATATAAATACAAAGATGCACATATATGTATATAAAAAGATAAGGGAAATAACATGAGAAAGATGAATTATTTATTGTATGACCTTTTTTTTTTTTTGCTTACCGAAAACTTGAGACCATATTTTTCATAAATCCATGCGCAAGGTAAAGAAAACACAGTGTTGATGATAGCAGAGACATTAGAAATCCAATTCACTTGAGTCAATGAGATGTTGAAATAAACTGAAGTAGAAACAGGAACACTGGAAGCGGTCATCCACATCATTGCCGATGAGCTATTAATCAAGATCACGACAACTACCAATAACCATGCCATCATACTTGTTTTATTATCAGCTTCATTCTTTTCTTGATTGTTGTTTTGTTCAATGGACGGAATTGATAAAATGGACGTTGATTGTAGTTGGCCTTTTTCGTTAATGATATCACGTTGTATTTTAGCTAAATGATGATGATCCTGTTCATGATATTCTACTACGGATGTAAAAGATGGATTCATCTTTTTTTTTTCTTAAAAAAAAAAAAGAAGTGTGAAAGAAAAGGAAAGAAATAGGGAAACCAGATCAAAAAAAAGAAATAGACAAACATTTGAATTACCGATGCTCATTCCGTCTTCAGGATGAGTACAGTAGTACGATCTGATAGACATTTTAAGTTTTTTTTTTTTTCTATCTAATATATTACTCCTTTATGATAACCGAAGGGTTTTATCTAGAAATCATAAAAAAAAAAGGGGGACAAGGTGTAGTCAAAGAAAAAAGGAAAAACTCATTAAAGATCACTTGCAAAAAAGCTAACCTCTCCCTTTTAAGCCCTGGCTTGGATATATCTGCGACGTGCATAAAAAAAATGCAGAAGGCAAAATATCATCTCTCGGCCAATCAATTTCCAGATACTAAAAAAGGTAGTCCTCACTTTTTTTCTTCTTTTCTTGGATGACCAAACTAACCCAAGAAAGACAGTAAGCAAATAAAAAAAAAATAAAAAAAAAAAGCAAAAACATGAATACATCCATCCGATCGATGTTGCTTTGAAAATACAACTGAAAGAGTGTAGATAAGAAATAATACGATCTAATGTCTTTTTTTTTTTTTTTTTTTGCTCTCTCCTTTCATTTTTTGGTACATCCGACATATACTGTAGTAGTAAAATAAGTAGTACTTATAAAACCCACTTCCGAAGATGATGATGCATGCATCATCCACGCATTTCTCCAGTACTCATCACAGTGAAAATTCACCGCATGGTATGATGAAAAAAAAGGGACATAAAGAATCAGATCGTGTTATATTACAAATGATGAACGATTTACAAACTGCCTGTTTTGTAGATAAATCAGGTAATTTTTTTTTTTTTGTGTTAAATATATAGATGGATTAATTCATCTTCTTTTTTGGTAAAAAGAGAAAATAGAATCATCATCATCACCATCAACAACCACTACTTGCTGGCGTTTTCGTGCTATTACTGGGGCATTCATCATTCTTGGTATCGTTACAGGTTATAAACAAAGTTTTAAAGGTCAAACCTATTTCTAACCTATATTTATTCTATCTTTTAGTGACGATCATCATCAATGAGTTTTATACCAAGAAAAAGTAGAATCGATTATATATTCAAATATGACGCCATAAGCCATCATTTTTTTTTATTAACTAGATTATACTAAACTAAAACTAGAGTAAAACTAGAACCCTATCCTTATCATATTCATCATGATGATTTTGTAGCATTAGCATTTGCATTGACCTTTTTCACAGATGCATCCTTTCCCGGATCCTATATATATTTCAAATAACATTAAAAACAATTACTATAATGTCAACAAAATGACATCCGTTTCTTTTTTTTTTCTTTTTCTTTTTTTTTTTTTTAAAAAAAAATAACTACTTTACCTTCACAAGTACAATTATTACTGTGCTTAGCTTTGCAATCAGTACATTTACAAGTAGGTTCACATTTACATGATCCAGTAGATTGACATCTAATAGATATATATATATAAAATAATTTATTAGAATTTAATAATTATTCTTCATCATCATTATCTACTTACAAGCAATCTTTGTTATCTTTACAAGGACAACCCATCGTTATTATAAGTTAAAATAGAAAAAATAGAAAAAAGAGAAAGTTGTTAATGAATAATAAACCCGATGTTTTTTATCTATATATATCTTTTTTTACTGAAACCTATAATAATTAATTCATGATATTTTCCCACCTGTTCGTCCATTTTTTCGTTTCTTCCGTGATCATCACCTTTTTTTCCTAGGTTTCGCATGGTTATTCTCCACCAATCCAAATGTTTCATTATGCAGTGGATTAAAGAAAAAAACTCGGAGCTGGAATCCACGGTAACAAAAAAAAAAAAAAAAAAAACTGGTTCAGAAGTTGGGTCTCACATGTTTTTCTTTTCATTTTTCATTTTTTTTTTTAATTCCTTCTTCTTAGAATGATCAGGTAATGTCAAGATATTGATATTAAAAAGGACGCTAAGCTCACAAGATATTGTTATATTTTATTTATCATAGATAGAAAAAAAAAAAAGAGTCAACGAGGAATGGTGGGTTGAACCCTAGTGAAGTTATCCTTCCGATGTTTATGGAATCACCGATAGACATGAACAAAGACAACAACAGAACTGTCATCATCTTTGTTTTTCTTTTTCTTTTTCTTTTTTTTTTTATAGAAAGAAGATTATTTTTTGGTAACGATAAAAGAAAATCCTAGTAATGACCTTGCACCTTCTCTTTTTTTTTTTTTTTTTTTTTTTTGGTCATAAGGACAAGTAAAGGTGAAGAACTAAAGACGTGATTAGGAAAAGTAAGTTTAATATTTTATTTTTTGATGTTTACTAACTAAAGAACATTTCTTTTTCTTTTCATTCAACAGAAAGGAAACGACAAATAATCATCGCTTGGATCACGGAATGGGACGATGGCATTCGATCCGAATTATTGGAATGGAAATGGGATGGGAATGAATCGAACTTTGGACAATTGGAATACAAATGGCCTTAGTGTTCATACTTTTTATAGTATTAGGGTGTTTTTAGTTTAGTTTTTTTTTTTTTTTTTTATTCATTCTGTTGGATTTATTTTGTTGATTCTTACTAGATAATAAACTATCTACCAATTATGTTTATAGTGTTAGACTATAATGATGGTCATTTATTATTATGATGGGGCTGATAGATGATTGAATGTATGGGTCATGGGAGTTTTATGCTATGTAACTAAATTGAACAGGATAATCCATTCTTAACAATTTCGTACATCAAACAAGCATCATCACGTTGGTTCTGCTTTATTTGTTTATAAACTATTTTGAGTAGGAAGGAGAAGGAAAAAAAAAAGTAATAGATAAAAAATCATCCTTTTTTCTTTATTGGATATATAAAAACAATACTAAAGGGGAAGAAGAAAAATAACTTTTTTGGTGGGGATAATGATATAAAAACTAAAAACTTTTTGGATATTTTTTTTTGAGGGGGGGTAAGAAATATTTACAAAACTATATGTATAAGGAAGAAGAGATTGAAGTACAAAATGGACAAAGATGGAAAGTAAGGGGGGGAAGAGCGAGAAAACAAGGGGGAAAAAATGGATATGAATAATAATAATAATAATAATGGATAAATGATGTATGATAAAAGTATAAACCTAATTTTTTTTAAAAGGATGATAAATAAGATAATTCTGGTGAAGAGGAAGGAGATAAATCAGGTGTAGTAGAGGTAGATGATGATGATGATGATGATGATGATGATGATGACGATGATGATGACGATGATGAGAGAGCCAAAAGTTGTTGATAATGAAGATATTGTTGTTGATGATGATGTTGGAATAAAGAAGAACCAAAAGTAGCCAAAGTATGATTAAGAGCTGCGACATGAGAGTGTTCAATATGATATTTTAATCCATTCAAATTCTTGTATCGTTTTCCACAATCACCAATAGTACATTGATAAGGTTTTGCCATCACATTTTCACTTTCATCCGTAACCAAGTTGCAATGACCATGTTGATTATGATATTTCAGACCGTTTGGATTCTTATAAGCTTTATCACATCCTTGTACTGGACATTTGTATGGTTTATCTGCATTGAGATCTAAATAAAAAAAAAAAAAAAAAAAAAAAAAAGAGATAATGAGTTCGGATTTCCTTTTTCAGAATATTATAAACCTTACTGTGAGCAGATGAAGCCAATAAAGCACCAGCATGAGCCAAAAAATCTTCATCTGTGAAACAAGCACCAGGAGTTGTACAAGAAGAAGAAGTAAGGTGACAAGGGTTAAGTGGTGAAATTCCATTTGTTGCCAATGCCAATTTCTTAACAGCTGTCTGCGTCCAGATATCCATTGCATTTGATTGTCCAAAAGATCGTTTCTTACCAGTCAAAATAGATTGAAATTGTTGAGGTTGTTTTCCATTTTGATCTTCATCATCTTCTTCTTCATCATCATCTGTCAATTCACTATATTCATCATCATCACTATTATCTTTTTGTTGTTGTTGTTGTTGTTGATAAAGGTCAGTAAGATAAGCTGCGGCTTTCTTCTTCAGGTGATGTAAATCCAAATCTTCACCATTTCCGAATGATGACATATTTGTAATTTCCTTTTGTTGTTGTAAACCATCATCACTTGATTCTTCTTCTTCTTCTTCTTCTTCTTCGTATAAACCACTTTCTTCTTCCAATCGGACATGACATTCTTCATAGTGTTGTAATAAATCGTGCAAATCGTTCAATATCAATCCACAGCAAGCAAAATCACGGCAAAAATTAGCTTCCAATTCACGAGATTCAAAAGCATCCTTGACATCAGTTTGTGGTCGATATAATTGAAAATCATAAGCACTTTTTTCCAAAAAAAAAAAAAAAAAAAGAAAAAAGAAAAAAAAAGATTAGGTTATGAGTATATAGTATATATATGTAATAACTATAATAATAATAATATAACTTACTCAAAATTGATATCATGATTTGGAACAGTGATTGTACTCATTCTACGTACATTGTTATATTCCACAGGTACAGGCATAGTATAGATATAATAATGATTATAAAAAGAAAAAAAAAAGAGAGAGAGAGAGTGGGAAAGAGGAAGAAAAAGACAAATAAAGGAAATTCATGTCAGGCTTTTATAAAAATTTGAAAAGCCAGTGTAATACACAAGTCGGAGCATGGAATTCTCTCTCTCTTTCTCTCTCTCTCTTTTGGCTCTGTGGTTTCCCTTTTTTAGAAAAGGCTAGTTTTTTTTTTTTCTTGTGTTATTTACCTTTCAACCCCCTTCTTTTTTTTTTTTCACTTAACAACAACAAACAAGCTGTCGTTCCTTTTTGTTTTTTTTGACGTTCTTTTTAGATGATCGTTTCTATAGTAGTATATGATTATAATATATGTTCATTCCTCACTTCACCCTGCTTCTAATATAAGGTTTAATGTCCTTGGTAAATGGATTTTATTATGATCAATGTTATAATGTTCAATATAAAGGTTTTTATCCAAGAGCCCTTTCCTTTTTTTTTTTTTTTCAAAACCAATTAGAAGTGTAACGTAGTACTGATGAATGGGCGGCAACTGAATTCAAACCTTGTTTTCTGTGTATATGTGTGTGGTCATTTTATTTTAAATTTTTTTTTATATGGTATAACCTATGTTTAAGCATGGCTTTTCAAAAAGTGTTGATTCTAATCATCATCATCATCATTATTCGAGTATCTTCCATCTAACTATCATTCATAATACCATTGTATCATCAATCATCATTTATTATTATTTTTTTTCTTTATTGTTTATCCGTTACATTTATTATACTATCATCGCACAATCCATCATCGTACAATCCATCATCGTACTATCCCAACATCATATCACCCCATCATCATCATCATATCATCGTCATCTTCTTCTCTTTTAACAGAAACTAACATGATTGTCGTCAGAGAAATCCAGAAAAACAAAAAAAAAAAACGATAGCTACTGATCTTTTTAGTAACATTTGCATATACGAATATCAAAAGATGAAGGGAATAACACAAGTTTCGTATATTAGTAAGGTTAGTAATTATGATGTTTCATCAGCGTTGTTATGATGATGGACTTTCTAGTTCACAAAACTGTATTTTTCACCTCCGTCCTTCAATACTTTTATTTTTTTTTCTTTATTTAGTCATCTTTTTATAAAAAATAAAAAGATGACACTAACAAGACAAACGTTATACTGTATAAATTGCAAATTCAATACAGATTATTTCTATTTATCTGGTTTCTCATTAAGTTAGTAGATGATTAGCTATTGAATAAATATTACAAATAATCATAAAGATACATGTCCAAACTGGATGACATTTGATGATGAACCGATATAAAAGAAAAAAAAAACAAGTTATCTTTTTCTTGATACGATGATGATATAGTATTCATGCAAAAAAAAAAAAAATGACGAGATAGAAGGAGTAGCATTATCATTGAATTCTCTTTTTTTTTTTTCTTATTAAGAAACGATTGGATTGTCCATTGGTATCGGATTACTAAATCGAGGCAATACTATATCAAATAAAAAAAAAGCATGATCGGTTTACGCCAATAACAATAACAAATCCATGTGTTTATATGGTATTTTTAAACTTTGGAGTAGAAAAGAGAATGAAATCATATGGATGTATGTTATTGACGTATTCAACTTTCAACTGCATTCTTTTTTGGTCATAAAAAAAGGGGGTGATGCATGATTTCTTTTTTAATTTAAAAGAATGATACCATTTTACTTATCATCATCCTTGGAGTTTGCATGAAAAAAGCGGAGGACAAAATCCGAGTTAACTTTTTTCATTTGATTGATTTTGATCGGTTTCCCTCCTTTATACTAAACAAACTATGTTTTTGTTCCACGTTCATGCTGGTCGTACCAAAAGAAAAAAACTTTTTTTTTTTTTTTTTTTTAAAAAAACATGGAGATGACACGACATCATGCGTAACCATCTTGATGATAATAGAAAATAATAACAAAAATAAAAGTGACTTTCCGAATTTACATCATATCTTTAGAGATACTTAAAATTGGAATTTTTTTTTTTTCAGGGCTTTTCTCTCCCAAGGGTGTGGATCAAGATTTTTAACTCCGTAGCGCATTCATTTTTTTTTCCTTCTTTTCCTTCTGTTTTCTTTCTCTCTTCTTTTTTCTTTTTTTATATTTGAAATGGATAAATCAACAACATGAATATAACAAACGAGATAAAGGAAGAAGATTTGAAAAGTAGGTATTTATCATTTTGGCTATCTATGAATACACAACAACCTCAAATCACTGTACATTTACCTCAAGGTACTATTGTTCAAGGTACTTTCAAGGCAACTGATGCGGAAAATAATAGGTTTAGGATAGATAAACTTGAAACTCCAATGGGTGTATATGAACATAGTGTTTTACGTGGATCGGATATTGATGTTTTGGAATTCAACTTGGAGTAGATTTTATATAGTTTTAGTATTATAATATAATGTTTTGTATACCTTTTGTTTTTTTTTCTATGTGTATCTATAATAAAAACTTGATTTTTAGATTGGGTAATCATTTTATCGGGTGGCTGGTGTTAGATGTCAAAATTTTTTTTTTTGATAGAAATGATGACTCACGTGTCTCCGTCCTATTAATACTACAATATGTGTCAACAGTATATTATGGTTCAAACTCCCTTTTTTTTTTTTTTTTTTTTGTTAAAGTATGATCCCAAGTTTTTTTTTTTATATTATCTTTTCTAATATATCAGTTTTTTTTTATCTCCATGTTTTTCAAAATAAAAACTTTTGATCTACAGAATTGAAACATATCCAAGGATAGAATAATAGATGAGATGTGATTGGTGTCAAAAAAGACTACGACAGCCTAAACTTCTATGCGGAGAATGAAAGAGTAAAAAAAAATTTTTTTTTCGCTCGTTCCCAATAAAAGGCGAACTCTGTCGCCAATCTTTTGTTTTGTTCTTCTTCAGCTCCTTGGCTGAACAAACCATACCCTACAATAAAAACCTTCTCCACACTTTTGTCCATTCATTTCTATTTTTGTCTCCCTTCTATTTTGTTATTGTTGCCTCAATCTGTTGACACTGCCAAAGACATTTTGAACCAAAAAAATAATAATAATAATGTAAGCTATTATATGAAGATATAAATATTATTTTTGTTTATGGATCAAAAAAGAAAGAAAGAAAGAAAGAAAGAAAGAAAAAAAAAAAGAAAGTTTTATTAAAACTCTTTTTTTTCTTTTTTTTTTTTAAATGACTATTTAGACAAATATTTATCAAGCATCTTGACTATTGTATCATACAACCAAGCATCTCAAATTACATATAGAACTTTTATTATCATATCTTACTACATTTATTTGTCTCTCTTATTATGACTTCCAAAATGAATGAAACTACTGCTGCTGCTACTACTATGGGTGCTCGTCTTCCTGCTCCTGCTGCTAATGCTACTCCTTTAACTATTTCTCCTCGTTCTCCTTCTGCTCCTCATCGTCCTGTTACTGCTGTCGAAGATCCCAAGGATGTCACTATGGCTACTTTGGTATTGAAGGATGGTACTAGTTTCCAAGGTGTATCTTTTGGTTCTGAAACTGCTAGTATTTCTGGTGAATGTGTTTTCCAAACTGGTAAGTTTTAATTATTATAGTGATTTTTTTATTTGATCTATTAAATGTTAAAATCAATCATATAACTCAAATCATATTCTTTTTTTTTTTTTTAAATTTTCGGCTGTTATCCAAATTAGGTATGGTGGGTTATCCTGAATCTTTGACTGATCCTTCTTATCGTGGACAAATCTTGGTATTGACTTTCCCTTTGGTTGGTAATTATGGTGTACCCGATCGTAATGAAATGGATGAATTATTGAAGGATATTCCAAAATACTTTGAATCAAGTGAAATTCATATTGCTGGTTTGATTGTTGGCAATTATGCTCAAGATTATTCTCATTTCCTTGCTTCTTCTTCTTTGGGTGCTTGGTTGAAGGAATACAATGTTCCCGCTTTATATGGTATTGATACTCGTGCTTTAACAAAAAAGATTCGTATGAATGGTGTATTACTTGGCAAGATCCTTTTCCCCAAGTTATCTGTTTCTTCTACCGTCATTGATTCTGCTGCTTCTGCTCTTGGTTTGACTCCTGCTACTGATTCTACTGATGGTTCTGAACGTTGGATGAAGGAATATCAAGATGTTGCCTGGGTTGATCCTAACGAACGCAATTTGGTCGCTGAAGTCTCTATCAAGGAACCAAAACTTTACAAACCTGACCCTATCAATGCTATCAAGACCAAAGCTGGTGATCGTACTTTACGTATTATTGCTGTTGATGTTGGTATGAAGTACAATCAAATCCGTTGCTTTGTTCATCGTGGTGTAGAATTGAAGGTTGTTCCTTGGGATTATGATTTCACTGCCGAACCTCATGATTCCTTTGATGGTTTGTTCTTATCCAATGGTCCTGGTGATCCTACTATGATCAATACTACTTTTACTCGACTCCGTACTTTCTTGAAGGAAGGAAAGAAACCTGTCTTTGGTATTTGTTTGGGTCATCAATTGTTGGCTTTGGCTGCTGGTGCAAAGACAATGAAAATGAAGTATGGTAATCGTGGTCACAACATTCCTTGTACCAATCTCTTATCTGGTCGTTGTTACATCACCTCTCAAAATCATGGTTATGCTGTTGACACTGCTTCTCTTCCCTCTGATTTCCAAGAACTGTTTGTGAATGCTAATGATGGTTCCAACGAAGGTATTATCCACAAATCTCTTCCTATTTTCTCGGTCCAATTCCATCCTGAATCTACTCCTGGTCCTCGTGATACTGAATTCTTATTCGATGTCTTTATCAACACTGTCAAGAAATGTGTCGATGAAAACAAATTGATGCCTGTCGAAATGCCTGGTGGTACTACTGAAGAAAATACCGCCAAGTATCCTCGTGTCAATGTCAAGAAGGTACTTGTTCTTGGTTCTGGTGGTTTGTCTATCGGTCAAGCTGGTGAATTTGATTACTCTGGTTCTCAAGCAATTAAAGCTTTGAAGGAAGAAGGTATCTACACTATTTTAATCAATCCCAACATCGCCACTATTCAAACGTCAAAGGGTTTGGCAGATAAGGTTTATTTCCTTCCTGTTACTCCTGAATATGTACGCAAGGTCATCAAATTTGAAAAACCTGATGGTATTTATGTCACTTTTGGTGGTCAAACTGCTCTCAATGTTGGTATTCAACTCAAGGATGAATTCGAATCTCTCGGTGTCAAGGTCCTCGGTACTCAAATCGATACTGTGATTACTACAGAAGATCGTGATTTGTTTGCTCAAGCTCTTTATGAAATCAACGAAAAATGTGCTCCTTCTGCCTCTGCTGTGAATCATGAAGAAGCTCTTGCTGCTGCCAAACAAATTGGTTATCCTGTTATTTGTCGTGCCGCTTTCGCATTGGGTGGTCTTGGATCTGGTTTTGCTGACAATGAAAAGGAACTTATCGCTCTTTGCAACAAGGCTTTTGCTACTTCTCCTCAAGTGTTGATTGAAAAGTCTATGAAGGGTTGGAAAGAAATTGAATATGAAGTGGTACGTGATTGTCGTGATAACTGTATTACTGTGTGTAACATGGAAAACTTTGATCCCCTTGGTATCCATACTGGTGATTCTATCGTGGTGGCTCCATCTCAAACTTTGTCTGATGAAGATTACAACATGTTACGTACTACAGCTGTCAATGTCATCCGTCACTTGGGTGTTGTTGGTGAATGTAATATTCAATATGCTTTGAACCCCTTCTCCAAGGAATACTGTATTATTGAAGTCAATGCTCGTCTCTCTCGTTCTTCTGCTTTGGCCTCCAAGGCTACTGGTTATCCTTTGGCATTTGTAGCTGCTAAGCTCGGTTTAGGTATTCCTTTGAATGAAATCAAGAACAGTGTCACCAAGGTTACTTGTGCTTGTTTCGAACCTTCTTTGGATTACGTTGTGGTCAAGATTCCTCGTTGGGATTTGAAGAAGTTCAACCGTGTCTCTACTTCTTTGGATTCATCTATGAAATCAGTGGGTGAAGTCATGGCTATTGGTCGTACCTTTGAAGAAACCATCCAAAAGGCTATTCGTGCAATTGATTACAATTTCTCTGGTTTCAGTGAAGTAAGTGTTATATAAAATGAAAAAAGAACAATATCAACTCAATCTTTTTTTTTTTTTATTTATTTATTTTATTTTGTAGAATGATGTTGTGGGTACCACCAATCTTGATGTTGAATTAAGCAATCCTTCTGATACCCGATTGTTTGCTATTGCTAATGCTTTACACAATGGATATACTGTGGATCGTGTTTGGGAATTGACCAAGATTGATAAATGGTTTTTGAACAAGTTAATGCGTATCGTGAACCTTGAAAACCGATTGAATGGATTCAACAAGACAAATGTTCCTGGCAACTTACTTCGTTCTGCTAAACAACTTGGTTTCTCTGATCGCCAAATTGCCACTCGTCTCAACAGCAATGAATTGGCCGTTCGTCGTCTTCGTCAAGAATATGGTATTACTCCCTTCGTCAAGCAAATCGATACTGGTAAGATGGATGATATTTTTTTTTTTTTAAAAAAAATAGAGAACGTGTGGCTAATGATTTTTTTTTTATTGTTGATAGTTGCTGCTGAATTCCCTGCTTTCACAAATTACTTGTATATGACGTACAATGCTGTTGAACACGACATTACATTTAATGACAATGGTATTATGGTTCTTGGTTCTGGTGTTTATCGTATTGGTTCTTCTGTTGAATTCGATTGGTGTGCTGTTCGTGCTATTCGTACTTTGCGTGAAAAGGGTGTCAAGACTGTCATGGTCAACTACAATCCTGAAACTGTGTCTACTGATTATGATGAAGCCGATCGTTTATACTTTGAAAACATCAACCTGGAACGTGTCATGGATATTTATGAAATTGAACAATCTGCTGGTGTAATGATGTCCATGGGTGGCCAAACTCCCAACAATATTGCTTTACCTCTTTATCGCCAAAATGTGAAGGTGCTTGGTACTTCTCCTGAAATGATTGACAATGCTGAAAATCGATACAAGTTCTCTCGTATGTGTGATCGTATTGGTGTGGATCAACCTTTGTGGAAAGAATTGACCTCTTATGAAGAAGCTGAAAGTTTCTGTGAAACTGTTGGTTTCCCTGTGCTTGTACGTCCTTCCTACGTTTTATCTGGTGCAGCCATGAATGTTGTATCTTCTAAGGATGATCTCGCTTCTTATCTCAAGGAAGCTGCAGCTGTATCTCGTGAACATCCTGTGGTTATTTCCAAGTATATTGAAGAAGCCAAAGAAATTGAAATGGATGCTGTTGCTTTGGATGGTAAGATGATCATGCATGTAATCTCTGAACACGTTGAAAATGCTGGTGTGCACTCTGGTGATGCTACCTTGGTTCTTCCTCCTCAAGATCTGGATCCTGAAACAATCCGCAAGATTGAAGATGCTACTGCTAAGATTGGTCGTGCTTTGAACGTCACTGGTCCTTTCAACATTCAATTCATCGCCAAGAACAATGAAATCAAGGTTATTGAATGTAATGTGCGTGCTGCTCGTTCCTTCCCCTTCGTATCCAAGGTGATGGGTATTGATTTGGTTGAAATGGCTACTAATGCTATGCTTGGTTTACCCGTGGAAGCTTATCCCAAGGTATCTGTTCCTAAGGATTATGTTGGTGTCAAGGTACCTCAATTCTCTTTCAGTCGTTTATCTGGTGCTGATCCTATTCTCGGTGTTGAAATGGCTTCCACTGGTGAAGTGGCCTGTTTTGGTAAGGACAAGTACTCTGCTTATCTTAAGGCTTTGTTGGCTACTGGTTTCACTCTCCCTAAAAAGAACATCTTGTTGTCTATTGGTTCTTACAAGGAAAAACAAGAAATGTTACCTTCTGTGAAGAAATTGCATCAATTGGGCTACACCCTTTTCGCCACTACAGGTACCGCCGATTTTATCCAAGAACATGATATTCCTGTCAAACATTTAGAAACTTTGGATGGTGATGTGGATGACAAGCTCAAGGCTGAATACTCTTTGCAACAACATTTGTCCAACAATTTGATCGATATGTACATCAATTTGCCATCTCGCAACCGTTACCGTCGCCCTGCTTCTTACATGTCTAAAGGTTATCGCTCTCGTCGTATGGCTGTGGATTATTCTATTCCTTTGTTAACTAATGTCAAGTGTGCCAAGGTATTTGTTGAAGCTCTTGCTCGTATGAAGGAATTCGAAGTGACTGGTGTGGATTACAAAACAAGCAACACCACTGCTGTTTTACCCGGTTTATTCAATGTCAATGCTTATTTGGGTCAAGCTGATGAATTCGCAGATGTGACCAAAGCCTCTGTCTGTGCTGGTTATACCACCATTTCCGCCATTGCAGAAGATGTCAACGACGCTACTAGTATCGATACTGTGACGGCCAGTGCTCACAAAGCTGCTCATACCGATTATCTCCTCAACATTACCGCGACCGCCGATAATGCTGGTTCCGTTGGATCTCTTGCTGCTGATGCTGCCTCTGTTTACATCAACACTGACAAGATTGGTAGTGGCAATGTCTCTATCTTCGATTCTGTGTTCTCATCCTGGCCTAGCTCTCAATTAGTGATCACTGATGCCAAGGGTACTGATCTCGCTTCCATTCTTTTGTTGGCCTCTTTACACAACCGTGTTATTCATGTTACCAATGTGATGAGCAAGGATGATTTGGCTTTGATTGAACTTAGTAAGAAGAAGGGATTGGTAGTCAGCTGTGATGTGTGCGTATATGCTTTGTTCTTGACCTCTGAAGAATACAACAATACCAAATTACTCCCTAACAAGAAGGATCAAGATGCTTTGTGGAAGAACATCAAGGCTGTGGATTGTTTCTCTATTGGTTCTACTCCTCGTCTTTTGGCTCAAGAACTTGGTAAGCCTACCTCAGTTGCTTCTGGTATCGAAGAAGCTCTTCCTCTTTTGTTGAATGCTGTTGCCCAAGGAAAATTACAACTCAAGGATATTTCTGATCGATTATACGAAAATCCTCGTCGTATCTTTGGTTTGGTACCTCAAGCTGATACTTATGTCGAAGTGGAAGTGGATCGCAAACATGTATTCAAGACTTCTTCTGCTCATTGGTCACCTTTGGAAGGTCGTACTCTTAGCGGATCTGTGCATCGTGTTGTGATGACTGAAAAGACTGTGTTTATGGATGGTTTGTGTAAGTCCCAAGGTAACCTCGGTCGTGATTTGTCTGTACAAGCTCAACAAGTGATTCCCAGCAATACTACTACTGCAGCTACCACCACTACTACTGATGTGTCTCAAACATCCGGTCAACCCAAGCTCGTTGAAGCTATGCCTGTCCCTGAAAAGGTGTTGGATTCTGTATCTCCTCGTTTGGTACCTGCTGCTGATCCTGTACGTTTGGCTGGTGTTGCTGATCAACAATTGGTTTCTTATACTTCTCCTCGCTATGAAATCACCGCTTCCTTGGCTCGTGTATTCAACCGATCTCCCTTCTATCGCAATCATATTCTCAAGTCCAAGCAATTCGATCGCAATGATTTGCATTTGTTATTTGGTGTGGCTCACGAAATGCGCAATTTGGTAGAACTTTATGGATCAATCAATTTATTGGAAGGTCGTGTGTTGAGTACTATGTTCTTTGAACCTTCAACTCGTACCTCAGCATCATTTGAAGCTGCCATGTATCGTCTCGGTGGTAAGGTTGTATCTGTGAATGCATCTACTTCTTCTGTAAGAAAGGGTGAATCTTTGGCTGATACTGTCCGTACCCTTGGTTGTTATGCTGATTGTATTGTTCTCCGTCATCCTCAACCTGGAAGTGCTCAAGTGGCTGCCAAATACTCCAAGGTGCCTATTATCAACGCTGGTGATGGTATTGGTGAACATCCTACTCAAGCTTTCCTTGATGTGTTTACTATTCGTGAAGAATTGGGAACTGTGAATGGATTGACTGTGACTTTGGTGGGTGATTTGAAGAATGGTCGTACCGTGCACAGTCTTGTCAAGATTTTGGCATATTATCAAGTAACTTTGAATTATGTGGCTCCTCCTTCATTGGCCATGCCTCAAGAAGTAATGGATGAAGTGGCTGCTGCTGGTGTGACTCAAAACGTGTATTCCTCTTTGGATCAAGTGATTGACAAGACTGATGTGCTCTACATGACTCGTGTGCAAAAGGAACGGTTCGATTCTGAAGAAGCTTATGATGCTGTCAAGGATGCATTTATTTTGAACAATGATATGCTCAGCAAGGCTAAATCTCAAATGATTGTGTTGCATCCTTTACCTCGTGTCAATGAAATTGAACCAGAAGTCGATTTTGATCAACGTGCTGCTTACTTCCGACAAATGAGATATGGTCTCTATGTGCGTATGGCTCTTTTGGCTTTGGTCATGGGTAACCTTCGAGGTTAGATGATTTTTATACATACTTTTTTTTTATGATTATTATTATGATTATTATTATTATTATTACATTTTTTTTTATTTTTATCTTTTTATTTGAATGATGGGAACGTTGGTGTACGGTTGATTGGTTATTTATTTTATACATATCTTCATTTAGCATTTTTATACATTTTAGTTTAGACTCACAAGAAAAAAAATTGGATCGATGGAGGTGAAATAATCTTGGCAGTGAATTTTATTTCTCTTCGATCTTCTTTTTATCAATAAAAAAAAAGGTTTTTTTGTTTGATTTGTAGTTTTTATTCAAAAGTCTTTTGTCAAATTATAAAAAAAAAAAGGGGGATCAACTATAATCTGGGGAAGGGACGAAAAAAAAAAGTGATACCTAAGTCTGTACAAATCTAGCCATTTCAGTAATGATGGTATATGAAGGGAAGATGAACGTGTATAAAGATATGTCTGTATGGATCGATAATAATGGTGGGATCCTGTTCTTTCCAGCCAATCCAATTGCTGTTGACGATGTGATACACTAACAAAAAAAAAAAAAAAAAAAAAGTACGAAGTAAAATGAGCGATCGTTATATCTCCCACTTCATCATTTCATGAGTTGCACTTTATTACCTTTTATTCATAATTGATGATGATCATATTCACAGAGATTCTGCACCATTCTATCCAACTGTCCTATTATTTTGCCTCCTCATTTCATTGTTGTTGTTCCAGTAGTGATGATACATCCATTGACACTAAAACGAGTCTTATCCCAAAAAAAGAACGAATTCATGGGTTGTTATTGATATCCATTGAATACTGAGAGGTCTCTTTCTGGTTTATCCTTTGAATATGGTCATCTTTTCTGTACATATTACCTATCTAAAAAAAGAAGAACAAAAAGGAGGTACTAAGGGATGAGTTCGACTCTGAATAATTTTCCATACATTCACTTCTGCCTTCACTAGTTGTATATTGCCTTCTCGTGAATACGCCAACCCATACGATAGTTACCTAAAGGATGAATGTCAATGGAAGAAAAAGAGGTGTCATGGTTTAGAGAAACTTGATATATTCCGTCACTAGTTGAGCTATTGAATTGTTTTGTCATACATTCAAGGATGTAGGAAAAGAGAAAAAAAAAAAAAAGTAAAAGAAAAAGTAAAAAGAAATAAGAAAAAAGAAGAGCGAAAAAGACAAAAAAAAAAAAAAAAAGAAATCAAAAAAGGAAAAGGTGAACACAGGAACTGTTTTGTGTCACCTCCTTCAATGTATGCATCATACCTTAGGCTACCCTACAAAATCCCCTTTGGAATCAATATATGAATTACCTAGGTAGGATTTTAAGAATTGAAATTGAATACAATCTGTAAAGAATTATACCTAACTCTAACCGATCAACAGAAGCAGGAATTGATCATATTGCCAAAGAAAAAAAAAAAAGAATGATTATCCATATATGTAAATCAATCAATCAATCAATCATCATCATCATCATCAAGAAATAACAAAAACTTGATTATTTTCTTTTATTTAGAGCTATTGTGTTAACTAAAAACGGGCGCACTTAAGTATAAATAAAACACATACATATATAATTAAAATTATATGTATATCTATTAAATCCAATGAGAATTTAAGAATGTTGTTGCTGTTGCTGTTGTTGTTGTTGTTGTTGTTGTTGAGCAGTAGTGTTTCGACCTTGGAACAAACGAGTACAACTATAAGAACCGGCGGGAAGAGGTAATGCGACACCAGGGAAAAGAGGAAGAGACAAAGGTTCAGGGAAAGCTCTGGTTGTACATTTGGCATCAGTGTACAATGTACATAAGGAGAAGTGAGGTACGAGAGCCAAGGTGATGGCAGCATTGGCTTCATTTCTAGCAGGAACACAAGTACCATAACCTACACGCATAGGGGTAGTAGATCCTCGATAGTAAACGGAGATTTGAGGATTATTAGTTTGTGCGTAGGCAGTAAGAGCCATGGCAAGGGTAAAGAATAATGCAATAAATGCTTTCATATTGATTAAATGAATGATGATGAACAGAATAAAAGGAGATATAAAAGAATAGAAAAGAGAGAAAAAAGAAATTTCTTGTATTTATATATTTTAGAGATCATATATAGATAGTTAATTATAATGATAGCCTTAAAAAAACTTCCGAGGATATGATGATCATTCTCAAAGGCTTCTTACATTCATAATGATTTATAGAATAGTTTGGAGATTACAAAAGGTATGGTAAAAAAAAAAAATAATATATACATCAGTAAAGTTTAAAATATTGAGGGATGTACGATCATCTTCATTATATTAAGCTTTTCGCTAACGTGTAAATGACAATTTTTCCTAACATTCTAATGGGAGTGATAGAAGTTGACGACGAGTAACCAGTTGATTCTTTTTTTACTGATCCAGCATTCCTATATGTCTCCGTATATGTATTCCTCCGTTCAAGTATAAACATCCATTTTGATATTAAATACACAACATATCCTTTCTATTATCATCTGTATATAAAAGTAGGTTTTATTGTCATATATATATATATATAATCTAGCTAAGGGATGATAAAAGAAGTCAATTTTTTCTAATCTAAACTGTCTATTCTATCTACTTTTTTTTTCGATTCACCATTTTTATCCATATATACCTAGTAGTAAAAACGTTTTAATATCGACTGATTTTTTTTTTTTTTTTTTTTTTTGATAACTTCACTTACGTCCTTTGTCATTCATCCATTCAGTTTCACCTTTTACAGAATCTTGAAATAAAAAGAATATGGAAGATGGATTAATACAGAGAGTTTTATTTCATTCACCCGATCTTTTTTTTTCGCTTACTTTAACCATTGGTAATTTATTCCATACACGCACAATTCAAAGACGTGGTGAGCATCGTTTTACAGTATTGTTATTTTCAAGAGAAAAAGAAGAGTTGAAAAAAAAAAGAGATCATCCTTGAGATTGCGGTCAAAAGAAGGCATATTTGAATCCCAGTTTCCTTTTATATCATGGCGAAGTCATCCGTTATCAGAGAAGTAGAAATCTTTCTATTTCTATTAAATCATCCGATTTGAAGGAGGTACAATGACTCAAATATTCTTTCGTTAGTTCCAAAGTACAGAGTAATACAAATGACGTTGTTACCATATAACGTAAACGAATATCATTACTAGAAATGCATATTAAAGCACAATGATAGACATTTCAATGAATGAAAAAGACAAGTCAAACAATCATTCACTATAATAATGATAAATTTCAGGAACCAAAAAAAAAAAAAAAAAAAGAGAACAACTACATAGAATGAGATAAGATCATTTAAACCCAGATGGCTTTTTTTTTTTTTATTTCTAATGTTGGTAAATATCTAGTCTATTAATAACAATGATGATCAACACAAGAGAATCAAATAGAAAAGATAAAAAAGACACGGTAAGTCAAACATCCAAGTGGATACCATACAAAAATAGTCCTAGCCTGTCATGAGCTTGTATTCATAGCGATTGATTGATCACTAAGTGAAGGGTATCATACAGTGTCAGAGAATTCCATCAATTCATTACGGCCACCTTTTTTTTTTTTTATTTCTCCTGACTTTGGTTGAAAAAATTCACTGTTGATGATATCGGTGATGATAATATTGCTGATGATATTGCTGATGATATTGCTGATGATGTTGCTGATGATGTTGCTGATGATGTTGCTGAAGATGTTGCTGATGATGTTGCTGATGATGTTGGTAAAGAAGTATCCAGAGAGGCAGCATGAGTCAACATGGAGGATACCTGACGACATATTGCATCACCATTTGCATGACGTTCAAAGGCATCTTTTTGCACAAATCTTTTTCCACAAGTTTTACAGCCGTAAGGACGACGACGAAGACGATGATCATCATGCAAATTCTTTTCGTGACGCCGTAAATCATGAGGCCGAGAGAACCGCCAAGGACATCCTTCAAAATGACACACGTATGGTCGTAATTTGCTATGACTGAGTTGATGTGATTTGAGATTGTACGCCCTTTGAAATGATTTACCACATTGATCACATTGGTAATCCTTTTGACTTTTTATCCTTGAAGGTATTGGTGATGATGGCCGAGAAATCATCGTTGATGATCTACCTGAAGTGATGCTACTGGTAGCGGGATTCGTAGTTAATGCTTGGTTGGTATCTGTGATTGCTAGTAACGGTGTTGTTATCGAACAAATTGGATCAGGGCTAGTTGTAAATTCCTGTTGTCTTTGTTGATTTTGATGAATCGACTGGGTAAAGTGAGATGCATAAGAAGAAGAATATGTCATTTTCGGATAGTGAATAGGTACCAATGATGATGATGATGATGATGAAGATGATGCTAATGGTATATGAGAAGGGATGATATCAGAAAAAGTAGATGATATGATGGGAGGTAATGACGAACAAGTTGGAGGTGTAGCGGCGACCATTGATGATTGATGCGGTGTTGAATAAGTCAATGTATGATACTGATGTTCTTGATATGATTGATATTGCCTATGTTGTTGATGCTGTTGATATTGATGATTGTTAATGATTGTTCCTCCAGTGGACTCCATTGCCAAGATATTCTCTTCCTTAAATATAGTTGATTCGACCATGATTGGATAAAAGTATGGTGATAGTGACTGAGGGCTAAGATAGAAAGAAAACTATGTAATGAATAAGAAATTCCTTTTTAAGGTCTTTTTTTTTTTTTTTTTTTTTTTTTTTTTTTACCTTGTTGAGGGAGGTTGAAAACCGGTTGAGGCTGGTGTTGCCAAGGATTGGTGGAATGGTAATGGCTCACATCCGAGTGGCGCATGACGCTCAGCATGATTCTAAAACAACGAAAAGTTACATGAATATTAACCAAATCAGCCAATAAGATTACCTTTCTTCGAATTTACCTGATCACTGTTATCTATCGAGTAGAATGAATTGGTAGAAACTTGGTCATTGAGGCTGGTAATAATGGTAGCAAGATCTGTGGATTGACATTGATCTTCCAGTACTTTGTTATCGAAGGGAAGAAGATCGTAATGTAAATATGATTGATTATCGCTTCTAGTGTGAACGGTTGATATTGGCATTGATGTTTGTAAGAGATAGTTATAAGGACTAATAGAGTTATTTGTCAACGAAGAAGAAGAAGAAGGAATCAAAGTCATAGGTATATCAGTAGATAATATAGAAGGATCTTCTTGAGAAGGTGATGATTGAGCTTAAACAAAGAAATAATAATAATAAAAAAAAAACATCGATTAGTTTATTTTCTGAAAACATCATATTAAACGATTACCATGCATTTTGTGATTTTTAGAAAAAAAAAAAAGAAAATAAAGTAAAAAAAAACAAAAAAAAAAAGAAGAAAAAAAGACGAAAAAATTGATGATTTTTATTCTTTATATATCTATAAATGGCAGGTGGACCTTCTTTTTGACCCCATTGTGAAACCAAAAGGGTCAAGCCCAAATAAATAAGCAACCGGAACAAGCGGAGCCTTAACAAAACGTCAGCCATTCAAAGAAAATTTTTTTTTTTCATTTTTTTTTTCCTCTCTTTCTTTTACATTTGTAGTTTTGTAATTGATTATATTACTTGCCATGCCTGTAGCTTCACCAACCTCAGTAAAAGTTACTATGGAACCGATCAATGATTTAGTATTGGAACAAAAAGGCCAACAGCAATCACAGAAAGCAAGTGCTACGGTGTTACCTACGGTTGTCAATAATACCACTCAATCTACTATGGATCAAAGCATTGAAAGCATATCAAAGGAAGAAATGAAATACAAGAAACTTATGATGAAAGGTTTTATTCAAGGTGCTTTACGGGATTATAGTCAGGTAAATGAAAAAAATAGATCTTCTGTTTACTTTGGTTACACTTTTTTTTCTGTCTTACTGCGGTGGATCTGTGGGCTTTTTTTTTTTTTTTTTTTTTTTTTTTGGAACAGTTCTTCAGTCAGTATAAAATGGTTTTCCCCGCCTTCCTTTTTCATTGATATCTTTTATATCCTGATGCTTGTTTTATGTTCTTCACGGACATCATAGTGTCTATTTGGAGTAGATTCATTGAAAGGGTTAGTGCGTTCGGGTGTTATGCTGTTTTGTCACTATTTTTTATTTGGCAAAAAGAATACTTTTTGGTGGGTCCCCTCAAAGTATATAGATGACCATTTTGCTCCCCTCTTTTTTTTCGCTCTCTCTTCCTTATTAGAAGAAAGAAAGAAGAAAAAGAGAAAGTAGATCGTGTTCATTGATGACGATGAAAAAAAAGAAAAAAAGGATTTGACGGTTATTTTATTATATCATCTTTTGGGTTCTGTGGTTCCTATTATTACCTTTGATCTTTTTTTTTTTTTTTACACGATTTGTTTTCTTTTTTTGTGGGGAAAATTTGGTTGTTATTTTATGAAAAGGTATTAACTGATTCTTTTTTTTTTTTTTTTTTTTGTCTTTCATAGGGAAATGCAGCCAAGTACAATGAATTGATTGGACAACTGACGAAAAAACATCAACAAGTAGACGCACCTTCTACTGTTCAACTTTATGTTTGGGTCATCACTCTCTCTGAATGTGTGTCACAATTGGATCGAAATTGTCATGAATTGGTTGTTGCTATTCTTCAATTGGATTGGTCTGTGCGCTCTTCAAGTTTTGTTGATGCTTATATTGGGTTTATGAGGAATCTTGTATCTGCTCACTCGTTCTATGTGGTACCGGCGTTGAATTGTATAGTTGAAGGTTTCCGATATCGTAAGTTCAAATATATAAATATAAAAGGAATGTATCTAACTTTATTTGTTTTCTGTTCTTAGGCTACCAACTACCTCCTTACAGTACAACTACAAGATCTGTCGCTTATTCTCGTCATCATCAAGCATTACAAGCCATTCTGGATTTAATTCCTACTGCATCCAACTCTTTATATGTATCTATCCAACGCAGTATTCCATTCAAGCAACGAAGTACGGCAGATCAAGCAGCTTATGTCAAGAATATTATCGAAGTAATGGATTATGTCCCAGTTCTAAGAAAGCAAATCATGTCCCTTTTGGTGGATCATTTGGTCAAAATTGATGTAAGTTACAATATTTTCTGGCTTTACGTTTGCAGTTCTTGATTTCTGACGTTTTCACTTTTTTTTTTTTTTTTTTTTAGTCTCATATTCAGATCGAATTGGATGATTTGGATGAAGATGTGGAATTTGGTACTTATAATATGAATTTTGACGAAGACTATCATAGCGATAATAGTGACAGCGATGATGATGACAATGATGATGATGATTCTGGGGATGATTTGGATAATGTGGAATCAGAGGTGGACAGTGATTTTGGTGATGATGATGATGAGGACAACAAAAACCAATCAACCTCTCAATCAAAACAAATGCGTCAAGTAAGGTCGATGGTACGACGACTGGATTCTTTGATGCAGTTAATTTTTACTCACTTTGCAGCTTGTGCCAAAACCAATTCACCTGTTACCTTGACGACTTCTTTCAACAACAACAATAATATGACACGATACTCAACTATGGATTTGCGATCTGAAATGTATCATATTCTATTAGAAACCTTTGATCGATCAGTGCTCAAGACATTAAAATCAAGATATACTCAATTCTTACTCTTCTATTTTTGTTCTCTGGATCAACATTATACCGATCACTTTTTGGACCATCTTTTCCAACATCTTACTGACCCTCTTCGTCCCAATGTAACCCGAATTGCTGCAGCTGCTTATATCTCATCCTATGTTGCCCGTGCCAAGTTTATGATGGCTCCCACCATCCAGCGTGCCATGTCCACTCTTTGCCATTGGTGTGAAACTCTTTTGGATCAACATGAAGCTACGATCAGTCTCAACAACATGAACAATATGAACAGTACGGATAAATATGAAGTATTTTATGCCTCAATGCAAGCAATCATGTATATTTTTTGTTTCCGTTGGCGTGATTTGATTTTACGAGACGAAGATGGATTGGATACTTTCAACAATAATGACAGCGATGATGATGATCTGATAATGGAAGGAATCAATGATCACAAGGTGACTCAATCTACAATAGCATCAAGTGAAGAATTACAATCATTAGATGGTAAAAAGTGGTGTCATGGGTTACGCAATATGCCTCGACTATTGATGAACCGATTCCATCCACTCAAAGTGTGTTCTCCTCCAGTGGTCCGACAATTCGCCAAAGTAGCTCATCAGTCTCATTTTATGTACATCTACCCTCTTTTGGAAAGGAACAAGGATCTTATGGTACCAGGAACCAATGTCAACGCGATATCAGCAACAGGTGCAAAAAATCTATTACGTACTGTGCAAACCTTTTTCCCTTTTGATCCTTACAAGCTGGAAGGTAGCCGGAAGTTTATTGAAGGTATTTACTTTGAATGGATTCCTACAGAAGACGATGATGACTCTTCCGACGACGATGATAACAACAGTGATTCCGAAGATGAAGATGATATGTCTGCAGGCATGACAGCCATGAGCATTAGTCCCAGTCCCGCTCAATTTTTATGAAAATAACAACCAGTTTTTGATACAACTATGGATTTCCACACAACTTTTTTTTTTTTTTTTTTTCTAGTATATCCCTTCCTTCTTCTCATACATATACTTCCTCATCTCATCGTTTAGTTTTATTCATTCCATTTTATAAATTTTATCAAATAAAATTATTCATATTGCATTTTGTGTTGAACACCAAAATCTTAAGACTTTATTATGACCTGATCAAAAATGATAGCCTATCTGAATATATTCTAATTTTTATTTTACAAAAACAACCATCATAAATTATTCTCTATCACCTCGTACCTTATCTCTCAATTGATAGAGTAAATTAAAAAAAAAAAAAATAAATCACCCCGTGTAACCCCACGTGAGGTAGAGATGTACTCTTTTATGCTTTTATAATTGACTCAAAAGTCATCATCATCGCATCAAAATTAGACTGAACATAAATGATATCATTCTCTTTCACTTGCATTAATAATAATTTATACCTTACCTCCCAATTTATAGAGTAAATTAAAAAATAAAAATAAAAACACTCATCCCTCATCCAATAATGATCATCATCCAATAAAATGACCACCATTGGATTCCTCTCAAAAAAGTAGTAATATCATCTAATGTCATTTTATCGCTTATCCTGCCACTTAATGTACAATGATCACCAAAAGGATTTCATCGATTTTTCAAAAAATTGCCTGATGACCCCTCGACAATTTTTTTTTACAGCCAAAATTTAGCTGGGGAATTGGAAAATTTTGGCTGTAAAATTAAAAAAATCCATCCCACTTTTTTTTCATCCCTCCAAACCTCAAATTCTCTTTCCCATTGGCTGCACTGCTAAAAAGTAGCTTAACAACGGATAATGACTTTTCATTGGTTAACTTGCTCCATATAGAGAAAAAGCCATTTGAAAAAATCGAACCATTGTCTTCACGACTGTAAAATGAACATGAGCCACTTCCACTCTTCGCCCATTAGATGCACTATTAAAAAGTAGCTTAATAACGGATAATAGCTTTTCATTGGTTAGCTTGCTCAATGAGAAGAAAAAGCCATTTAAAAAAATCGAACCATTGTCTTTTGCATTATAACATCAATGGCATGTATCTATTGATATCAATATTGAAGGGTTGGGGGTAAATAAAATAAAAGAGTTTTATATATAGAATAGTTAATAAAAAAAATAAGAGAATCACAAGTGAGCATAATAATAATAATAATAATAACAATAATAATAACAATGATAATAAAGGAACTAAGAGACAGAAAGAGTAGGTTGACCACTGGCAGAAGGCACGAGATGAGACGGGCGTTGATGACGATGATGGCGTTGTTGCTGTTGATGAGGAAGAAAAGAAGGCAAAGAGGAAGGGAGAGCGGAGGAAGGTTCTTCATAAGGTGGCATGACAGGAACAAATTTTTGAGCTGACCTTTCATCCGTACCACTGGTTCGCCAACCCAGGGCACCAGGATTCAATGTTAAGATAACAATCATGATCACCAAAAGAGCCATTAAAAAACAACCGAGTGCCAAACGACAAGCCTTTTTCCACATCAGATCAATCCGTCTTCCTTTGGTGGATTGATACCTTTTTTCAGGAGGTGTATAAAGTGCACCGATGATCCAGATCGGGGGGAATAAGAATCCAAAGCAAAAGTAAAGAAATGATAATCTACATTTTTGTGATCGTTTCGTCATACCAATGTCCGTTTTTGATTCATCATATTTCCTAGGTAGCGGTAATGATAAGGAGGAGGAGGATGGTGGTAGCCTTGTTTGATGATGACCTTCTAATTGTTTCTCCTCATCATCACTATGGTCATCATCATCGTTGTCATCAGGAGGAAATCGGTGTAGATCCAAGGTCGATGTGGAGATCTGACATTTTTGTTTTAAAGATTCTTTTTTTCTTTCCATCCATTGAAATCGAGTCGATGTTGGATTGTTGCTGGAGAGTCGAAAAGGATGTCGTGAACGACGCCGATGATGGTGTTTTGTATTTTTCAAATTAATTGTATTATTAATGTGGTGATCATTGTTGCTGGCAATAGCAGGATGATTGGAGTCAACATTGGGATGCATCATGGCATTATTCTGATGAGATGATGCCAATGAAGGAGAAAAGACGTGACCATAGGTTGTTGCCGCTTCCGCCCGAATCAATTGTAGTAATTCTAAACGCGCTTGGTGATCTTGCTCGTTGACAGGCGAAGATAATGCAGGGTAAAACACACTGGAGGCAGTGGTGGATGTAGGAGAAATGATGTCGAAAGTCTCTTTTTCTGTTTTAGAACCATCGATGGCAGCATCACCTTCATCTTTGTTACCTTCACCTTCGACATCATCATTTTCGAAATCATCTTTGGCATCATCATCTACAATATCATATAAGCTGTCACCATCATCATCATCATCGTCATCTTCGTCTTCATCTTTATCGCCATCTTCACCTTCATCTTGTTCATCATCTTGTTCATCATCTTGTTCATCATCTTGTTCATCATCATCATCATCTTCTTCTTCATCATCATCAACATCATCTTCATCATCATCATCTTCTTCTTCATCATCATCATCTTCTTCATCATCATCATCATCTTCTTCATCATCATCATCATCTTCTTCTTCATCATCCTCATCTTCTTCTTCATCTACAACCTCTTCGTCATATTCATCATCATCATCATCATCATCATCATCATCATCATCATCGTTTTCCCTTAGTTGACTACCTGATGTTTGTAAAAAATGAGAATGAACTGCGTTCATGATGGTATGAGGTAATGTTGGATGACGTTGCTGTTCCATCAACGTAGTTGAAGAGGCAGAGTCATGACAAGAGGAGGACGAGGATGATTCTGTGGTAGACAATGTTGTGCAACTGGAAGGTGGATGTAAATGAAGATGCTGATTTTTCAAAGCCATGAATTGAATCATATCGTATTGCTGTTTTTTACGTCGATCCAAGATGGTACCACCAAAAAATGTGTAATTAGGATCGAAGTAAATTTCCCATGGTTCATTCATATTGCCAAACGGTCGACGTGAAAAATGACGTTTTCCTCTTGGTTTGATGGGTGATTCATGTTTTGTCGATGGGTCATTAGATAGTGAGAGAGAACGGCGAATGGTATTGCCTGCTACATGTTTGATTTTAGTAGTCAAGGTGGATGATCGTCCCAGCTTGGTTTGTTCCGTACTTTCATTGTAATCAGTAACGACTGATGATGGCTGGTTATGATGATGTTGACGATGATGCTCTTGTACCATAGTCAACAACGAAAAATAGATTGAATATCTATGGAATCAATGAATGAGGATGAAATAATAAAATGAATCAATTGATTCTCTTTACTAGATAGAATATAACAATGATTGAAAGAGATAAAGAAAAAGAAAAGGAAAAAAAGATAGGATTATCTTTTGCTTACTCAAAAAAAATAACCGCGTTTCTTGATATGCGTAAAAAACAAGGATACATAGTAAGATGTGTATCACCGATGTTAATTCTATTTTATTTTCTTTCAAGAAATAAGCAAATAAAGTTAATCCTATGCAAACATAATGTGCAGTTCTTTTATCTTAGTTCTTCAGTCGACTTCTTTTTTTGGGAATCGGATATTCAATATACACTTTTTTTAATCATTGTAACATTTTTAATTTCATTTCTTTGCTTTTCTTTCTTTTTTTTTTTTTTTTTTTTTTTTTTTTTTCCTTTCTCAACAATGGCTAGGTCTCATATGATGAATCCTTCTCAAGATAGTGAAGGTAAGAATGAAAGCAAGCAGATAAAAACCAAATAGTTTAATGGTAGCATTTGTTATAATCGTACAAACAAATTGACTAACAAGTAAATCTATTTGTTTTTTTTTCCTTTGTACGTTTAGAGAATTTAAGTGAAATACAACAAGAAGAACTCCCTCAACATCTTTCTACTCATCAAACGGATATTGTAGAGGACTTTGCAAGACAACTAGATGAATGTAATGACACTGGAGTCCTGTAGGGATTGAAGAATGAGGGTGTAGTATAAAAATAGACTTTAAACTAATCCACCCTTTTTTTTGTGTTTGTTTGTAAACAGTGTGCGCAACAACAATGGATATGAATACGAGTGATGACGAAGATATACCGTTTGGCTATGAACAATTACCTCAAGATGACAATCAAGACGATGATAACGATGACGATGATGATAATATGGACGATCCCAATCAACAGATCAACTCACAGAATTCCATAGACTATTCATACCATACCATGGAAGATGAGGAATCAATGAATGATATCGACCTTCAAAGTCATGTTGCTGTGGAAACAAAACCTCTAACAATTTCATTGAATCCTGAAGATAGTATATCAAAAGGTAAGAATGAAATGATGAATGGTCATTTTGATAGGGATGTTATATTCATGTCTTTTTACGTAGAAACGTCGAACATGATTTTGAACATAATGAAAAACATTGAACTACCTGATAGTGCGGTACCAGGTATGGAACAGGAAGAATAGGATGGGAATTATTATCAAAGAAACTCACAATTAACTATGATCTTGGATTTTTTTTTTTTTTTTTTTAGATTGGGCAAAAGCAATACCTGAATCAAGTTGGATACCAAAAGTCAAGGAACAAGAAAATGGGATCAAATGATATTCAGTTAATGTTAGATTAGAATTTTTACTTTAATTTAGAATTTGTTTGTCAATTATTGTACATAATATCCCTCAATAAAATATATCTTTTACATACAGTGATGATCATGATAGAATTTAAGGCGATAAATTAGTAGAGTATAGAGAAGGAATACGTAAAAAGGATTTTATTATTTATTGAAGCATATTAGAGAATATGAGAAGCAATTGTTTGATCGTCATGCCGCATTGCATAGGAAAGAATAAACTATAGAATCACCAGGAGCAAGTTGATTCACTGCTGTGGTAGTCGAACCAACCGGCATTATCATTGTAGGGAAATGGGCATTGCCCATGCATACATCATTTTTATACACGGTGCATTGTACAGTTTGCTTAACTTGAACGGATTGCAGTTTCTGCCCATTGCTGTTCATGGGAATACAATCGCCAAGTCGATGTTCATTTTTGATACCAGAAGCGTAACCTACAGTGATGTTTGCGTCTTGTTCAGCTCTGCCACCGCTGAAACTAGTGATGATGCCAAAAATGACCAAAGAAATAGAAGTAAACTTCATGATGATTCCTCTTTGTTTCTTCCGATAAAGTGTTAGATAATAATAATAACAAAAAAAAAAAAAGAAAAGGAAAAGAAAAAGAAATCATCATTACTTTCTATTATTCGAGTGAATTGGAAACAATAGTGATGATATCATTTCCCACAAAAATCTATAGTGAATCCTCCTTATCGACAAGTTTATATCTACAAGAACTGATCATCATCATAAGACTATAATTAGTTTTTATTATTACTATTATTATTATTATTTTCGTCATCGTTTACTCTCTTGGTATCACGCTAACAGTCTCAACTATGCAATTCGGGAATATCAATAGATATAAAACCGGTAAAAGGCAATGGAAGGATAGTTCTCGGTGATCGCTTTAAAATGAATGGAAAATCTATATGTTTTTCTTTCAATCTTAACTAACTAAAGGGTGGATTCATCCTCTTTCGTCATTGAATCATTATTCAAAATACATATAAAATCCATAATTCCTCTTATTATTCCATTGATGGTAATGACAGCTCTGATATTTCTCTTGGAATTTGGATGATGGATGACAGTTTTTTTTTTTTTTTTTTTTTTTTTTTTTTTTTTTTATAATTATTTATGTATAACATAATTTAACTTTTTATTATTACATCATTTGTTTCAAATATATTATGAGAACATCAGGCTGTTTAGATAAAGGAAATATCAATCAATAAATAAAAAAAAAAAAAAAAAAAAAAAAAAACTTTATTCGGTTCAAGACATTAATAAGGTGGTGGAAGGCAGGGAAAAGAGAGATGATGAAAAACTAAAGTAATGGAGAAGGAAAGATAGATGCTGAAGAAGAAGGAGAGGATGATAAAGAAGAGGTGGGAGTAAGGGAGGACTCAGATAATGAGGACGAAGGTGATGATGATTCCAAAATAGATGATGAGGATGATGTTGATGACGATGATGATAAAGAAGAGGAAGCAAAGGGAAGAGAGTAGATATCATCTGGAATAATTTGGGTCATGGGGAAACCAATAGAACGAAATCCAGTCAAAATATCATCCACCTTGGTCGGTGAGCTGACAACCACATGATTAGACTGATCAATACGGAATAGAGCTAAAAGATACTTGTGTAGGACACGATCTATATCGTCCAAAGTGACAGATTGGATGGCTTGTAAGAATACCTTCTTTTCAGGTTGATTTTGCCGTAGTACTTGATTGATGAATGAATGAGCACCTGCGATAGATACTGTTGCTTCAGATTGCGCTAGATCAAAAATAATGCTGCTTTTTGCTCCCTCCAAGGAGTGTTCATCAAAATTTGCCTATTAAAAAAGTATTACGATATATCCTGCACCCACTATGGTTTTCTTTTTGTTTAAACACTGACTTACATGCCCATCAGCATACAGAGCCATCACGTTCTTGATTTGTTCATATGCCTTGAATGCATCAGGTGATTGCAATATCCATAATGACAGTGATCCAGCTTCAATATTTTCCATTATCCAACATCGATACGCAAGTCCTTTTCCACGAATCAATCTCCAAAACACACCTTCAATGGTGTTTAACATTTCTATCAATACCATCAATGGAGGAATATCTGGTGATCCAAAATCAGAGGGCCCTAAACAAAAAAAAATAAGTCCTTTGTTCATCTTCTCTTTCTTTATTTACCTGGAGCTGTATGAAGAGAGCATGTGCTTTCCATTGAGGGTTGTTTGATCATAACAGCCTATATGAAATATTCGTTTTCATAGATCATCAATAATCATCCTTCTTTTTTCTATATACTTTACTTACAATATGACCCATATTTCGACCATGATGACTAAGTACGTCTTTTGCTCTAGTGATCGGGGCAAAAGGAGCATGTGTTGGCTATAATTTATATAAAACGATAAGCAAATTGAGAGGAAACAAAACGTATATTTCTTCATCAGAAAAAAAAAACGAAGATTGATACCTGATTTTTCCAAATGTTGAACGCAGATTTTGGTTGATTTGTTCCAAATATATTTCCCATTACATGAACTTGGATGTTTTCCCTTTTACATACTAAATGATCATATAAGACAAGTCAAAATAAAAAAAAGTGCGGTTAGTATCTTTTGTTTAATCATTTCTTATTCAAAATTTCTTACTTGTTTTCCGATATGTTTGTATATCTTGTAGCACTTGATGACATCCGTCCAATAGATCACATGATGAAGTATCTTCCAATTTTTCCAAAATGTCGACTAGAAATTTGGCTTGATAAAGATATCCACATGCGGCATCTGTTGATTTCTTAATATCATGTTGATATGCTTGCATCACCAATTCTGCAAGCTTTTGTTATTCATAGTGGTGATGATCGAGAATGTTTGTTTGATAAAATAGTAAAAAAGTAAAAAAAAAAAAAAAATAGTTAACATGTCTTTCTGTTTTTATTCGCCTACTTTTTATTTGTCATACCTTTCTTCCATCTCGTCGAGTTTGAGGTATATCATTCAAAATCTTGTTTGCGGCCATCTTGAGTCTACCATAAACCAGTCATCATCAACATCAAAAAGAAAAAAAAAAAAGAAAGAACGAAAAGAAAAAGGCGTGAGTGGGTCAGTAACTCTTCTACCCTCTCTCTCTTTTTCTTTCTATCTTTTTATTTTGACAGACGAACTTACTTATCCGCGGTATATTCAGTATGCCATAGGAGATCATTGAGCCATTGTACAGCGTGTTGATATTTGTCAGTCTACAAAGAAAGAAAAAAAAGAAAAGACAAACAAACAATGTAAGAGAATGAGAATAAATGATACACCTTCCAATTTTTTTTTTTTACCTCGACTTTCAAAGAGACCACGATATATTCACGGAAAATAGGACCACGTCCTTGCATGATACGGTAATCAATGGTGTCCCTGTTGAGTTGGCGAATAAGGTCATCAGATGACGTTGGAGGTTTGCTTTGATTAGTGACACCCATTGATAAAGAGAAAAAAGATTCCATAAAAAGCCTTCCGTAGGGACGAAGAGAACTAGGCATATCACCAGTATTGAGATAGACGGATATGGTTGTAAAAGCAGATTGTATATCTATAGAACCCGATGACATTTCATTTAGTTCATTTGCCATATCCCATTTCCTTTTTTTTTTTTTCTTAACTTACGGTCATACTGTATGGCATAGGGTATAGACGCTTGATCCGCTTCGATATACTTTTGCAATTCGTTCCTAAAGAAAGAAAGAAAGAAAGAAAGAAAAAAAAGAAAAAGGTCAAAAGAAAAGAATCTAGGTGAACAAAATTGACCTATACATTAGTATTAATTACCTGAATTGGGGTAAATGAGCAGACGGAGAAGGATGACGAGCAGTAATGACGTTGATTGAGGATATATCAGAAGCATTGGGTATAGGAAATGAGTCCAAAACATGAGGAGGTATATCTATTTCATTTTGTTCGTTCGCGATTTCTAATTGAGTGGCAAGTCGTTGTAAGCGATCGTATCCTAATTCCAGCCTTTGCTGTTCCACTCGGGCTGTTTCTTCATCTTGTAATTGTTGAGCTAGGGAGGCAGACGGTTTTCCAATCAAAGCAACATAGCATCCATTAACATAGTATCTATATAAAAATTTATTAGTATACTGTGTCAACCCGCATTCTTTTTCTTTTCTCTGGTAGGTAATCATACTTCTTAAGTAAATGAAGCCAATCATTTTTGGTAAAATAGTACAATCGATCAAGTGGTTTGATTCTTTGTAAACTTTCTTCAAGATCCAGTCCGTCAGGATGCCCATAAATAAAATCTACCAAAAAAAAAAGGTAAATGATATTCTATTCTCTGTATTCTTTTTCTTGATTTGATATTACCATTAATCACCGAGAATGGAACACAATAAAGTGCTCGACTTTCGAATCCCTCTATCACCTAATATTAACATGAACATGTTATTAATGTCAAATTGATTGATCCATCACTCTCAATATTTCCTTTTCTATTCATTACCTTCAGTCTTTCTCTTTCAATCAAAGTAATCATCCTATCCATATCCATATTTCCAGTAATTATCATATTATTCAACAGATCCAGTACCATAGGTATAACTTGATCCGCGCGATCAGTAGGAACGTTTTCAATATTAATCGTGATAGATGTACGAGCATGTTCAGTTTGGGAACATTCAACAGCTACAATAAGAAAAAAAAAATAGAACGATGATCAATCAAAATTAGAAAGAATAAGATAAAAGTACTTACCAGTACAGAGAGGATCATCCATTTCCATCAATAATTTCTGTAATGGAGATAATGAAGAATCAGTCAAATACGTATTGAGCATTTGAATAGCCATGATTTCAAAAAAGTTCTAAAATAAAAAGCAAAAATAAAATAAAATAAAATAAAATAAAAAGTTAATACTAATAAGGAGAGTGATAACAGAAAGGTCTATTGTCATTTACATCGCCATAAGGACCAAGCCACGAAATACTGATAGCACCCATAGATTCATCAGGATCAGGAAAGAGTACAGTTTCGGTAACATTTTGAGATAAATCACGAATACTTGAAAGACAGGAAGACCATGGACGTTGATGATGATGTGAAGAAGGAGATTGACCGTGTTGTAATATACTTTGATCAATGACATTCAAAGTATTAAAGAGTTGAGATGGATCCAGTTTTCCGGCAATAACAATACACAAATTATCAGGACGATAGTAAGTTTGATGATAAGATTGAACTATAATGATAATAAAATAATAATAATAAACAAATACAATTAATATAGTTTGTGTTATTTTGATGAAACGTATATAGCTGTTTACTTTGATGAATATCCAGTTGACGTAAGGAATCCATCTTGCCACCAGGTTCATTTCGATAAGCACAAGTTTCATCTGGATATAATAATTGTCGCATTCTACTTTGCATCCTATCAAACATAGTATTTTGGCGTCCTTGAACTTCACAATAAACCACCTTGATGAAAAAAAAAAATAATATTAATATCAAATAATCAGTGGTATCATTGGTTCTCAAATCAAATTGTTTACCCCTATAAACATAAACAAAGGTCATTCGTCAGTTTAATGTCGATAGTAAACACACATACACACTACATGTTGGTTGTACAGGACTTCTTTTTTATTTTCCGCTTTTTTTTTTTTTTGTTTTATATATAAAATGTTTACCAGCATCTTCACCAGAGCCATTGATATGATGAATTTCTGTATTGAAGCCAGATTCTGTCAGAGTTGGATATAAAATATGATCTACATACACAGGTAAGAATCGTAAGAAACCTTCACTACCAGCAGTCATGATATCTAAAATTAAATTAAAAAAAAAGATATATACTTATATATCGATCATCTCATGAATTCCCAAACCTCTACTTACTATAACAGGTATGATCAATGTCAGTCCAAGCATTGGTGCCTCTTGCAAAAGCCCGAGTAGCAAATGAATCCAATATTCCCTTGTAAGGATATTGTTCACTACCTAAAAACACAAGACTATATATAAAAAAAATTTTTTTTATGAGTTTCATCCCTATATTATTGTTATTATTATTGTTAATCTTTTAACCTTACTGTTCTGCGCAATGAGCATGTCCACAATCATCAAAAGCTACGTATAAATACATAACAAAATAATAAAATAACAAAAACATTATCCGAAACAAGTTGGATATTATTAAATAGGTTAGTCAATTTGATCTTAAACTATCATATTCTATTTTTTTTTTTTTCCTTCTTCTTTACCCTCAGTTGCCACAGTAAGGAAACCACTCACCAAAGGACCTTATTAAAAAAAAAAAAAAAAGAAAAGAAAAGGAATGAATAAGTATAAATATTCAAATGATATATATATATATATATTATTTGTTATATTACTATCAAGGTCAACATGAACAACGGTAAGACCAGTTTGAGTACTCTTGTACCTTGATACCAAGATGGTCGATTGAGGATCTACATAAAACTGACATTGTAACTGGAATTGAGTTGTTGCAGTAATTGGGTTGATACAAACTTCTGCTGTTGGTGTCTTCGATGTAAAAGAAGTAGTTTTTTTAATATTAAAAGTTTCAATTGGCGTCATAGTTATATATACACATACATATATACGCGCACATATATATATAAGAAGAAGAAAAAAAAAAAAAAAGGGAAAGAAAAAAAAAAAGGGGAAGAAAATCGAAGAAAGACTGAATTTTTGTACTCCCAAAGAAAAAAAAAAAAATGTGACCTTGTCAAAAAAAAAAAAAAAAGTAGGATGTAACTTTACTTTTTGGCGTTTTTAGGAATTCCCTCCCGACCTATGCACCAAACATGGGAAGCCGAGGACGGTCATTGAATCTCATACATCAAAATTGAATCAATTGATATCTATTAATTTTATCAATATCATCATCATTAATCTAGAATTACTATAAAATTATCATAGAAACATCATAGAACCTTTCTTATTTCACCATAAATAATCATCATCATAAAAATAGACTCAGTATCTGGGGTATCTTTAATATCATACATTAAATAAATATCTTTTGTTAAGAATTTAAAAGAACTACATGGGTGGTACGAAACCACTAGAAAACAATGATTGGGGAAAATAGATTTTCAATTTTGGCCAATAAGTGCATTGAAAAATTATTCACCGCTGCTTCAGTTATATGCCGCTCTCAATTTCGAGACTTTTTCTTTTATTTTTTTTCTTCTTTTTTTCTTCTTTTAATTCACTTTTTTTGGATCACTCGAAAAAAAAAAACAGGATGGTTCAACGCAATTCTCAAGTTATCGATACCGAAGAATTAAGAAGAATCCTTATAGCAGAAGGAGAAGAACATGTCAAGATCTCTGGCAAGATCATTTCAGTGGTTAATCACTTACCATTCCAATTCAGTGTACCAATGACCCCAGAAGAAAAACTTGCCATTAGGAATCGAAAAGAAGAAATACACAAACGCCATCAACATCCTGTCCATTTCAAAAGAGATGCCAACTACTTGAAACACAACTATTATCAACAAGAACAACAACAACAACAACAAGGAGAAGAGGAAGCCAATGAACAACAAGATAAGCACGAACTTGATGCGCCTATTTCCAATTTAGGTCGACGTGCTTCTATTGCTCCAAACTTTGGTCAATCTGAAATATGGAATATCACTCCACGACCAGGTCATTCAGCTATCTATGCTGGTACGGATTCTTTACGCAAACATTACAAGACGTTGATGATTGGAGGTACAGGTCAGATCAAATCAGAACTCACTGACCAGGAAATGCCTTTAGATGAAATTCGCCCTGAACATCGTGATGGTTTATCCCAATTATTGAAATTACGTCATGGTATGATTCCTATCTTTCTCAAGAACGAGCAAGCTTTCGGTCATTATGAAGGTTATTGCAAACAAGGTAAAAAAAAAAAAAAAGATTCTAATGAAATGCCAGTATTATTACTAAGTGATATCATATTTTCATTTTTCTCTTGTTGTATTGGTTTGACGAATTCCTTTTTTTTTTTTTTTTAAAAAAAAAAACACACACACACACAAACATGTATATATAGTACTATGGCCACTGTTTCATTATGTCATATGGAATGGATCGATTGATGAAAGCCAATACTGGGATGATTACGTTGCTGTGAATCAAGCATTTGCTCAAACCATTGCCGATAATTATGAACCTGGTGATATAGGTAAAGTGAAATGATATTTTTTTTTTCAAAGTTATGATCGGCTCATTGACATTTTATTATAGTATGGATTCAAGATTACCATCTTTTACTTGTACCTCAGATACTACGTGATCTCAAGCCTTTAGCTCGTATTGGTCTATTTATACATACTCCTTTTCCGTCTTCTGAAATGTTCCGTTGTTTACCACGTAAGTCACCAACTTGCCTTTTTTTTTTTTGGAATAACGGATTATACATTTACTTTTAGATCGTCGAGAAATATTGGATGGCATATTAGGATCAAATCTGGTTGGTTTTCAGGTAATAAAATGTTCTATTATATATATACATATGTATATTTATCAGATAGATGATTCTATTTTGTTTCAATAGACTTATAACTATGCTCGACACTTCGCGTCGAACTGTACAAGAATTATGGGATATGAATGTTCACCTCTTGGGGTTGAAACAAGGGTTGACACTGTTGGTTTGGGCACCTTTCCCATTGGTATTGATGTAGAACGTACTCGACAAAATTGTCATCGACCTAACGTAGCTCCAAAAGTCAAGGCTATTCGTGAAAAGTATCTTGGCAAGTATATCATTGTTGGACGGGACAAACTGGATCCTATGAAAGGTGTTTTACAGAAACTAGAAGCATTTGAAAAATTTTTATATGATTACCCTGAATGGCAAGATAAGGTAAAATTATCAAAAAAAAAAAAAAAGAGTTTGAATGAATTAACACTTTTTTTTCTATTTTATAACTGGAAAAAAATAACAAGGTGGTTCTGATACAAGTGACTTCACCTGGTGTCATTAAATCACCAAAAATGGAAGCCAAGGTAGCGGAAACAGTGAATCGCATTAATACACAATTTGGATCTATTGAATTTACACCTGTGAATCATTATCATCAGCACATCGATCGTGATGAATTCTACGCACTCTTGATTTCTGCGGATGTTGCTCTGGTGACACCGATCTGTGATGGTATGAATACGACTAGTTTTGAATATGTGGTGGCTCAAGAAGAACGTCATGGTCCTTTAATCTTATCGGAATTCACTGGAACTGCGCGAAGTATGGGGGCTGCATTGATTGTTAATCCTTGGGATTACAGTTGGGTATCAAGTGCTATTAATGAATGTCTTATCATGTCTGATGAAGATAAAGCTGAAAAAGCCAAGGTAAAGAAAAAAAGAAGGGAAAAAAATGTAGAACTGAAAATTGGATAAACTTAATAACTTTTTTTTTTTTTTTTTTTTTTTTTTTAGCAACTGACTAACTTTGTCCATACTCATACTGCAGGTTATTGGGCAACACGTTTTATCAATACTTTGGTAAATTCTCCTAAATCTGTTTCCACTTACAAGACAAGCAAAATGGATCCTAAAAGACTATTGATTGAATATCGAAATACACGGAAAGCTTTGTTTTTCTTTGATTATGATGTAAGTATCAACATATGGATGTTAATAAAGTGATGAATTTTGATCTATCTTTTTTTTTTTTTTTTCCTTTTTATAGGGTACATTGACACCTATTGTGGATACACCTTTAGATGCGAAACCATCACATCAATTGATCGAAGCCCTGAAAAATTTATGTCAAGAAAGCAACAATACAGTCTGGGTTGTTTCTGGAAGGGATCAAAACACGCTAGAAGAATGGTTAGGTCATATTCCTCAACTTGGGTTATCAGCCGAACATGGATGCTTTACTCGATTACCTGGTAGTACTAAATGGATCAACAATATCGATCGTGTGGATATGGCATGGAAGGATGATGTACGTGAAATCTTTCAGTATTACAGTGAACGAACCCCTGGTAGTTTTGTAGAAGAAAAACGTGGATCTTTGACATGGCATTACAGGATGACAGAACCTCCCTCTTTTGGGTAAGGAAGAAAAGAAAAAAAAAAAAAAGAAAGAAATAAAAAATAAAAAAGAATGATATAATAAACGGGTATATGAATTCAATCTTTTTTTTTTTTTTTGGTTTTTATGTATGATGATAGTGAATTTCAAGCCAAGGAATGTCAAAATCATTTGGAAAATGCCATTGTACCGAAGTTACCTGTGGAAATCTTACTTGGTAAGAAAAACATTGAAATTCGACCAACGGTGGTGAATAAGGGCTCAGCTGTGAAACGAGCCTTGGCTCAAACAAGTGCCGCGGGTTTTATCCTTTGTGCTGGTGATGATCGGACAGATGAAGATATGTTCAAGACATTGAAAAAGCAAGTGACTTCTGGTGGTTCAGACAAAATCTTATTTACTCTCTCTGTTGGTCCTGTTGATAAGAAAACCTTGGCCGATTGGTATGTGGAAACTAGCCAAGATTTAGTCGACATGTTATCTCTATTGAATAAAAAATAGTTTATTTGTTATAATATATCATACATACATTTATAAGTAGAAAGCTTTTTTTTTTTTTTTTAATTGGTAATTGAAAAAATGGGATGATGAATATGCATATATTTATTGATGTTGTTACTGATAATGGATCGGTTGATCCTTGATGGTTTGGAAGAAAGGGATGGAAAAAGAGGAAGATAAGAAAAAATTGGATGAGGATATCTATAATGGTCTATAATGATGAGGATGATCCAAAAAAAAAAAAAAAAGAAATGTATAATTTGTGGAAAAATGGGAGTGGCTTTAAGGGTAGCAAGGACAATGTTCTTCAAAGAAAAAAAAAAAAAGGAAGTCAACTTCGATGTGAATGGATCATATTTATTTTATATATTTACTTGTTATGTGTCTAGTTGATCCGCACATGGCACATTTGTTAGTATTATGATGATGATGATGAGAATTTGAAGATAGTATAGTCACGCCAATGATCAAATGCATATTGAATGCAAAATAAAGAAAAAGAAGAAAACAAGATATGGGTTCTTTTCATACTTTTATATATATATCAAAAAAAAAAAAGAGGAGATAGTTAGCTGTTTGATAATAATTGCATGAATTAAAAAAAAAAAAAAAGTTGTCAAATGAAAAAATATCTACTATAAATGATAATCCCGGCAACAGCCAGTTTCTTTCATCTTGGAAATGAAAAAAAAAAAAAAAAAAACGAAACATTCAAAATTTTCTTATCGATTGATCAAATAAGCAACGAAACAAAACTTATTGAACAATGGGTCTTATCTTCTTGTTCTTTATATATATTCACTAACGAGATAGAACTGATGAATGACGTTTTTTATTTCATTTCTTAAGTAATAACAATAAATAAAGAGGTATACAAAAAAAAAAAAAGAGGAAGATAAAGATATATATCAGATGGGATGGTAAATAACAATAATAACTAAAATATTGGAGATCGTCAAAAAAAGGAAAAAAAGAAAAGTTTCTTATCACAAAAAGAAAATGTGTATCACACCAGTTTCCATTGAGTTTGCTCTATTTTTTCCTTGCATGAGTAATGTACCACTGCCCCATTTGGAAATACCGCGAAGACACTAAAGAGAAAAGAAAATATGAATGATGGTTGTTTTCCTTTTTTTTTTTTTTTTTTTTTTTTTTTTTTTTTTACCTATTTCCAATTCGTTTGTTACATTGAGGACACATCCTATCTTCAGTGATCTTGACTGCACGTGAACGATAAAATGACAGTTGTTCTTCTACTTGGAATTGCTCTGCCTTGAGTAAATTTTTCACCACATGATCCTTGTTTCTATTGCGATTGCTTTCTCGGATATACTTTTCAAAAAATGGAAATAATCCTTGAAGTGGTGTATTGAGTGGTAAGATAGATAAAACTTCTGCTGCATTGACGTGTGATCCATGATGTGCAAGTAATTCCAATGCTGGTGCTAATAATGGTTGTCGTTTTGTTGATTTGTTGTTCTTGCCTTTGGTTCCAAATGATGACGATGATGGCTGTAAATACACACGTAATAAAGTCAGATACATCTTGCTTCCTTTTTCTGCATTTTCCCGATAAATCTTTGTACAGTATCTAAATATGTACATATATTCAAATATTAGTTTTCTTCTTCTTTTTTTTTTTTTTGTTTATATTTACTCTTCAGCCATAGCATAATTCTTTAGTTTATAGACATAAATATCCAAAGCTTGATCATGTTGTCCAATACGACTAAGGAGAACCGCTCTTTCTTCATAAAGGTCTATTTATTTCATAAAAAAAATCAGAGAATGAATTATTAAAAAAAAAAAGATTATCCTTACCATCCAGTGGTAGTCGAGATAATATCTTCTCAGCCCGATAATGAGTTGAATCCGCCAAAAATTGCAATAATTTAGTCCTTATTCTTGTTTTTTCATCTATCAAATTGTGTTCAAGCTGTTTAATGAACCTAATACGTTGATACTAATTGTATTACCTTCGGAAACTTGATCCGCTTTGATTTTATCGAGATACGCAATGGCAAGTCGATTATGGAAGTCGGGAGTTTGATCATGTAAGTCATCCATAATATATTCCAAATATTGAATCGTAAGATTATCAGATATAGATGCCAAATGATGTAGTACACGATCCCGCGGAAAACTTTCTACTTCAGCTAAATCATCAATAAATATCTATAATAATAAATAAGTTTAAAAAGAAGTATACACAAACGAAATAAATTCAGATAATTCATCTTTTTTTTTTTCTACTTACATCCATTCCATGAATAGGATCTGATTCCAATACCCAACGAGAATATTGAAGAACTAAATCGAAATGATCCAATCCCAATCTTTGTAAATATCGAATCGTAGGTAATACTCCTCGTAATGGTCCGTCCGTTTGTTGTCCAAGTCTATAAAAGTATATATTAAAAAAAAAAAAAACAGAATCAGATAAGCTTGATATCTAACAACCCTTCTCTATCACTTACTTTGATAACAAATCCAGAGCATTTGAATGTAATCCTTTGCAATTGTAAAGATCTACCAATTCCTTATACTTTTTCTTGTCCATCAAAATAGTCTCACATTCTTTTACATCACAGTGATTTTGTACACGAAGGAGTGGTCCCACTAAAGCATCATTTGTCAACATGTATGATTTCAATAAAGTTGTATCTACCAAAGTTGCTTGTTCAGTTAAATGTTGTAATGTTGTTCCACTTGTTACCGATGATGAGGATAATGTAGTAGATCCACTTGTAGGAGGACAAAGTATACCATTGCCATGTAATGCTGCTAGTTGCTTGGAAAGTCTTTGTCGTTTGTCGGTTAAAAATCGGATTAAATAAGTAATAGCTTCGTGTAAATGAATCCCTGTCAAAGGTACCAATTCTTTTTGTTGATGAGCATGATAACTCTGTATGATGCCTGATAACTTGCTGCTGCTGTTATTACTTAGCACAGTGTTTGTTTTGCTGTAATTCGAAGTACGGCTATCAGGTCGAAGCTGTTCGTGTTGATGATCATCGTTGTTACCATTTTTGCGTGAAGTGGTTAACGCTAAAAGTGAGTCATTGTCATCATCGTCCTGCCGATTTTCTTTGTCTTTTGCTAATTGTCCTGAAATCATACTGGGATAAAGTTCAATCACATCTTCTGCTGGTGTATCCAATTCTTGAAATAATTCCAAAGCTGTATCGTATTCACCATGTAAGAACAAATCGTGTGCTCGTGCCATCCGAATCATTCGTAGTTTTTCTTCTTTGTTTTCCACAAGAACTGCATCAATTTGTTCCAAAAGACTAACCGCCTCTTCATATGCATGCTTTTCCACAAGTTGATCAATCTATATATGATAAAATAATCCCTCGTTAATACTTTTTTTTTTTTTTTGTATTTTACAATAACATCTACCTGAGAAGAAAAACTATATGGTGTTAATCGCCATATTTGAGAACCTGTTGCCACATAAACTAGTTTGCCTTGATTCAAAAACTTTGCATTGGAAATATCAATTTGTTGTACCAAAGCAAGAGATTGGATATTTCGGACTTCAACATGCTTTGGAAGAATAGCAATCACATAAGGATAAGAGTAACCTATTCGAATTAAGAAAATATCATATTAAAAATCAAAGTGTTTCAAGACTTCTTTTTTTTCAAATCATCTACTTACCCATTTGTTCAGGAGTACCAGACCATTCAATACCAACCTTACGTGTAGGAGTACCATCCAAACCCAAAAAAATACTGACATCTAAAAAGAATAGAATAATAATGAATATATATATATATATATATATATAAACTGAACTTACGATCTCTTGCAAGAAGCATTTCATTATTGGGGATCTTGGTCACCATAGGCTTGCCACCTCGGAATCCAATAGACATGTTATATAGACTGTTGAGAGTACTGATCGCACCACTAGCTGCACCACTTGATATACTGTTGCTACCGCTTCCACTTCCACTGCCACTTCCACCACCACTACCACCATTGCCATTACTACCACCAATATTGGCACCATTTAACAAACCACCTTCTGTCATGGGACCAAAGAGTTCAGTCCATTGTCCACTTTCAACTTCCATCAACGCGTATTCAGAGGCAAGTCCTAAACAAATCTTGGTTGAGCCTACCCAAGCCATTGTCTTGACACGATCTGATATTGGCCATTCCTTAGTTTCCAAGAATTCAGTATCTTTCCATACAAACACCACTAATTTCTTGCGTACAGCTACTGCAAGTCGAGTCACTAGTTGTGGAATTTGTTCTTGATTCATCTCCACCATAGTTTGTATTGTGAATAGATTTGCCCCCTTTGTTTTTCCTAAAGTCATTCGTAATTCAAACGTTCGAAGATCATGAAGACTGATTAGTCCATCTATTTACTCCCCAAATAATAATAATAATAATAATAATAATAAAAAGATATAGAAAAGGGTTCAGTCAGTCGAATTACGTATTTCAACAGCAATCAATCAATAACTTTTTTACCAGATAATGAAACCAAAACATCTATTTCTTTAATAATGTCCAATTGTTCAATAGGTCGTTTAGAAAAGTTTTTGTGTGTATTGATAAGAGTGACTTCAGGTACTTCGTTTTCGTCAGCCACTAGAAACATACAAGGATTAGCTTTAGTGTTTCAAACTATACATTTATGAAATCTTACCTAAAGGTTCTTTAATATCATATTCAAGAAGATGACCAAGACCTGTACCAATTAATAGTCGATCACCTAAGAAAAAAAAATAAGTTTTGTAATCGTATATAAAAAGAATGATTGAGGGCATCTTTCTATGGAGACTAATAATAATAGTACAAAACTTACCATGAGCAAAAATGGATTCGATACGATTCACCTTATCCACAACAGTGGTCACTTGGAAGGCATCATGCATTTTATCAAATAAATTGAAAAATTAATGATAATTCAAAAAAAACAGAAAAAAGAAAAGAAAAGAAAAGAAAAGATAAAATTAGGGTTTTCTTGATTGAAATTTTTGGTTTGAACATTTTCACTCAACCATGTTCAAACACAGCCATTTTTTTCTTTTTTTTGGTAAGTTTGAGGATGCAGAAAAGGGATTATGCATAAAAATGAAGTAGATCATAGAGATCGATGTAAACGGAAAAAAAAAAGTGACACACGCATAATGATTTGTTGGGAAATTATAGAAATATTCTTTTTATTTATTATTATTATCATTACTATTAATACTCTTTTCACAAGTAACGAATAATAAAAATAGAGAATATGTAAGTTTTATTCAATGAATAGATTAAAATATCCTAGAGAATAATATATGGACTAAACTAAATGGTCTTGTTCTAATTCGACGGTGAAGCTTTTATAAGAAATACAAACAAAGAGAAAAAAAAATAAGTTGTTATTATTCTCAGATTATTGCATCACTTACGTTTAGTAGGAGAACTTGGAGATATTGGTTGTTGTACTGGTAAGTTCGATGAAGATGGTGATAACGATGAATCTGTGGCGACTATCCCTGATGTTGCTTCCGTTCCGGTCATTATTGTAGGTGATGATGATGATGTAGACTTGGTTGTATCTTGGTTTGATCCTTCTACATATTTCGTGCATAAAAAAAAAAAAAAAAACGAATAAAGAATTAGATGGTTGCTTTTTCTTTTTTCCATCATTCATCAATGTCTTACCAGTGACGACAGTTGTAGATGGATTTGTTTTTGATTGTTTTCTTTTCTTGGCTGCTTCCTTTTCTTCCTTTTCCCTTTGTGCCTCCAATTTTCGTTTTTCCGCTGCCTGCCGTTTTTCTTCAGCCAATTGATGTTTTCTCGCTTCTTTTTCATTTTGAAGATCTATAAAAGAATAATAAAAGTTAGTTTTCAAATAATATATTAAGATTTTTTTTTTTACCTTGCATAGCAGTATCAATAGCGCGGGTATTACTTTCTTGTAACATGGATGCATCATTAAAATCCAACATTTGTACACGGGATTGCTTAATAAAACCTTTGGGAATGGCATTATCTTGTCGATGAATAGATGGACGAGATGAAGCATTCATAGAAGTCAAAGATGTGGTTGGATTTGTTGCCATACCTGGAGGTAAAGGACGATTGAAACGAGCAGGACCAGAAGGACGTAAAAAGCTAGGTCGGTTTGTATCAGTACCAAGAGAAGGTTTGCGTACCATTGGACGTTGAATAAATAGACTTGATGATGAAGCTGTAGCAGGTCGAGGTCGTGGTGGAGGAGGGCGGAGACCAGCTCTTGCGTCCATAGAACCTCGTGCATATAAAGCTGTAGATGGAGGAGGTCGGGTTTGACCACCAGGAACTGCCATTGAATTATTGTTAGTATTGGGAAATCGATATGATGTGTTGAATGAAGTAGGAGATGACAATGGTGAAGCTTCTGCCATAATAAGATCGTCTTCTGCTTGAATAAGGGCTTTAAATCGATTTTGGCGTACTGCGTCCGAGATAGTGTCGTCCTTGGCTGTGCTAAGTTGGAAGTGTCTGGCGATGGTAGGTTCATTGGATTCGTAGTTGGGATTTGTAAATGGAACTTTAGGTTGAGCTTCTGATTGCATAAGCATAAGTTCCTTAGGATGAAAACCAAAGCCTTTATCTTGAACTAAAAAAAAAAAAAAAAAAAGAAAGAAAGAAAAAAGAATAGAGTCAAATATTTTATACACTTTTATTTTTTTTTATTCTTTTTTTTTTTTCTCTTCCTTTTACTTACCAGTAGAAACAATATGATGTAAAAGTGGCTGTACTTGATTTGACCATTCTGTGCATTTGAGATTGAGTTGTTTAGTAGTAGCAAAGCCTTGTAATATATTTCCCAAAAGTCGTACCCAATCACTTTGATCTTGACAAGCAGTGTTTATTATCTATTTTTTTTTTTAAAAAAAAAAAAAGAAAAGAAAAAAGAGATCAGAAATCAAATATAATTGAATACCGCCCATAACCAATACAAATCATATGACAGCAATCAAAAAAAAAAAAAAGAGTTCTTGGGAGTACAAGAACCATCCACCAAAAAAAAAAAAAAAAAAAAAAAAAAAAGAGAGAGACCACGATAACATTGAAGTATTGTTTATCATTTTCATGAATCAACAAAGTTCCATTAAATAATAAACAGAATATGAACAAACGCTTGTAAAGTCTTTTATTGAGAGAGAGAAAGTCATAAACAAGTCTTTGATCACATCAATATAACAAAGCTATACCAGAACACAAAATCCATCCAATTTCAGTATCCATCCCCCTCTTGAAAGTCCTCTTTTTTTTTTTTTTTTTTTTCTCTATTTTTGCTGTCATACTGAATATCATATATATAATCGCATCATAAACAAAACGATCATATATATTCCAAATCGATATAAAAAGTTGCTTACCTTGTTACAATTGTCAATCATAGAAGGAAGTTCGCCTTTTCGTATATAAAGTAATGAGAAGAGAATGCCTATCTTGGTTGCTTTATCGTAATTGGTGAATTGCATAGATACAATATCCAAAATGTCGTCGGATAATTCTTGAGCAACAACTGCGGAATGCCATCCTGGTGTACTAAATTCTTCCTCTAACCAAGCGCGTATTGTTTGTGGTGTTCCTTTATCCGTCATGTTGAGTGTAATAATAACAATAATAAAAAAAAAAGTCGACTTCTTTTAACTGTTGATATATATATAAAAAAAAGAATAGCTAGACAACAAATGAAGATGAGAAGAAAATAAAGAAAAAGAGAGAGAGTAAAAAAAAGAAAAAGATATAAAATTTTTGCAAAAGGGAAGATATCAATCGTTTTTACCTGAAAGCGTGACTTTGAGGAAAAAAAAAGACCATTCAAACCCAGATTTCCTTTCTTGAAAAAAAGTTGTCAGAAATTGATATGATCATATTAATGCTATCAATAAACCTCTAATGATAAAATAGGACGTGCTTGTTTTTTTTTTTTTTTTTTTTTTTTCTAAGGTTAAAGTAATAATAATAGACAATCATATCATTTAAGTCAATACAAATTCAAAGAGAAGATCTAAACTGTGTCAGTTTATTTTGAAACAAAAGATGAATAATAATAAGAGAAGAAGGGTAACAATGAGACTATACAAATATATATATATATATATATATATAAAATGAGTACTATATACTACTAATATGATATATTCCATGATTATCTAATTATCTATGTTTTGATCCAATCGGTAAATCCCTTAACAAAGCATACTTGATCTGCGCTATCAAAACAACTGAATCCTTTCCGTTCCGCTTCATCCAATGATAAAATATATCCATCCACTTGTTTCCAGAGATGTGATGATTGTTGCCATGAATCAATAGTGTTTTGAGCCAACGCCAAATCTTGTTCATAAGCACGCACTGTGTCTTGCAAATCCTCTTGTTTCAAAGACTGTCCATTCTTCTTATTCTTATTTTCTTGTTCTTGCTGTTTGATCATCAATGATGATGACGATGATGATGTTGTTGTTGTTGTCATTGTAGTTGTAGAAGGTGTTGGTACTAATGCTACATGATGAAGCATAATATGTTGAAGTGTTGAAAAGGTTGATGATGATTGTTGTAAGAGTTCGGTGATAAAATTGTCATGTACCAGAATTTGAGAGGCAGAGATATGAAGAAATTGTAATCGACAAAGTTGATGTAGAAAAAGAGTCCAATGATATGCAGGCACACAACAAGATAATCGTTGTTGAAAAGAATTGTTGACATGTCGAAAAGCCAAAGAGAGTAGGGTGAGATATTTAAATTTTGATAGAGTGAACAAACAAGATGCTACACGAGAGGGATGTTGTTCATGAATAGCAATAGCTAGACGTTCCAAATGTGGTGAACCAAGAGCAAGTGCTTCTAAGATTTCCAAAGTCACCGAATCTGACAGAGCAAGCCGAGTCAAGGATGATTGTGAAGTCAATAGATGGGTATACAAAGAAGAAGCTATAAATGTGGATTGATTGCTATGAAGATATGATGTTGTGAGATTGTTGATTCCAGTCATGGTATTGTTGTTAGAAATGATAGATAGAGGTTGATCACTGATTCCACATGGTTCAATCCATACTTGTTGTAATAGCAGAGATTGTAAAGAACCACGACAGAGATTGGCCAGTTGTATCAAAGTATCAGCCTTGATTGTACAATTCAGTAACGTAAGTGAGCGTAATTGACGTTGATATTGGATCAAAGAAAAAAAGTCATCAAAGGTATCTCTACAATTTTCCAAATAAAGTTCAATCAAAGAAGGACAGAGCTGAACAAAATAACGTAATCCATAGTGTTCTGTGCGAGGTTTGGGATGGAAATCAATTCTGAGAGCACGAAGATTGCAGACAAGATGAGCCATGAGTAAAGAATTCGGCAAGTCATAATGAGGACTGTTGGTCAAGTCCCGGCATAAAGAACGTACATAGCTTCCAAGGTGATATAGTTGATGGAAAAGTGAAGCTTGTTCAGCGAGAATATCAGTTGCCATATGTACCCTAGAAAAATCGTTTGGTTTGTCACTTTCTGCTGGGAGTATAAATTCTTTATCACGCCAAAGGTAAGGAGTACACAATATATATAATTGTCGACAAGTAAGAGCCAGTACCTTGAGATGAGAATATGAGTGTTCAGGATATTGCCAACTTGAGAATTGATATTGTTCCTTTCTTGGGATTTTGGAAGCAATGCAAATAATATGTTCCAAAATTTCACTAGGTAATTGTAAGAGTAAAGACTGTTCAGAGTTCTTTGACATCTTTTTCTTTAGTGCTGTCAATCTATAAAGAAAAATAATGAGGGCATAAGATAAATGAGGTAAAACAAAAAAAAAAAAAAAAAAAAAGAAAAGAAAAGAAAAGAAGGAAACAAAAAAGAAAAAGAAAAAAAAAATAACGAGAAAGTAAGAAAGAAAACAAATAGAATATTGGTTTAGAGGAAAGAAGTCCGACCTGGGCATGCAAAAACTTGCATATATATATATATATATATATATATAATATGTGTATAGTATTTTACTTTAAGCACATGATCTGTATCACTCAAGTGATAATCAAAACTTTAAGTAAACTTGTGGTTTTACCATGACAGACATACTTCTTTATTCAAAAAAGGGGTATTATGCAGCGGAGAATATAAAACTAATGAAGGAAGGAGGATGATAAAGAAAATTGAAAATAGGTAAAATTATGATATAAAAGGTAAACCAGTAGGAGTTCTATTCTTGTATGATTTCCATTCGTCACCAAAAAATCGTAGTAGAGTATATTCTTCATAGGCAATACGTTCAGAGAAAAATCGATGAAGCCAAAAAATGAATAATGCAAAACATATAGGATTCAATAAAAGACATTGTACACCAATAGCCCACCAGTAGAATCCAAAGTAGGAAGGATGTCGCATCATTCTAAAGTATTATAACAAATAATGATTACTATCAATGAAAATTACATCATGATAAACTTAATACCTATAGATACCATGCTGAACGAGTTGATGATCAGGTGCCTTGTAATCTACAATCCTATGAGAGAAATTGTGTCTTGCTGAAAACATTGCTGTCGTACGAGCCGTTTGTCCAATAATCACCAAAAAAAGACCTAAAAAAAAAAGAAGTTAAAATTGAAGTCTTGATTATATCAGAAATACTTTCTTACCAACATAATTGAGAATACCAAATGTTTTCCAAGTAGGGAAAAAATAATATTCGATGACAAATTCCAAAAAGGATACGGCATGAGCTGCATGGTAATGAGGACTATGATTGATCAAGAAGGCTATATAGAAGAAAGAAAAGAAAAAGAAAAAAAAATATGAATCATCAATCGATTTCCATTTTAAAATATTCATTTTTTTTTTTTAAATCTAACTTACAATCTAGAGAGAGTTTATCTGGATTAAATAGTGCAGTAGCCAAATATTCCAGAAAATGAAAAATAGCTAAAGCACATAAGAAATAACCAATTTGAGGAGGCCAAAAGCTATCCACTAATAAAGCATAGATTAAACCACCACCACAAATAATACCTAGAAGGAATCCATAGAGTGCAATGTTTTGTGGTGTATTCTCTCCATCTAACATTCGTCCAAGGGTTTGTTTCCTTCTTCGTCGCTGTTCTTGGAATTCATGATATTCAGTCAATTCATCAATATCGTTCCTGTTTCTAGTACGTAATAGTCGTATGCCAGTGCCATCGTCTTCATCTAATGATGGAACCATCTTGTCTAAAAGAATTAATAAAATAAAATGGAGAAAGAGATCTCCCTTAATTTTTTTTTTTTTTTTTTTTTTGGTCGTCACTGAATTTCAGCTACCGCTGTTACGGCGTGCTTATTTTTGATACTATTGTCAAGTCTACTATTATAGATTATTTCGACTTTTCGACAATATCATCATCATCATCATCATCATCATCATCATTATCATCATCATTATCATTATATTCTTCTCCTATTGTATATTTTATTAAGGATAATTTTGATATTTATTATTTTCCTCAATTTTTTTTTTGTCAAATGCGAACGATAAGTATATGTTCTCATCTCATTTTATTGATACGTTTAGCACGATAACCATTTCCAATCTCTATTCTTTCATGGGTAAACTGGTTTTAGTTCATCTAAATAATAATAATAATAATGATAATGATAATAATAATAATAATAAAAAGGACTTAGACTTCCATTTTCGGTGCTGAGATTGAACAGAAGTACAGATGACCAACGGTATGTCTTTTTTGCTCTCTTTTTTTTTTTCTTTCTTTTTTCTTTGTCTTTTTTTTTTTTTCTCACTTTCCACGACAAAAGATTATACAAACATGTTCAATCCAACTCGACTAAAAGTGCAGCTCAAATTATCCATCAATAGACTTAAAATGTTACAGGCGAAAAAGAACTCTTTGAATCAACATCAACGACGGGAAATAGCTACACTTTTGGAGAAAAACAAGATAGAAAGTGCACGTATTAGAGTAGAACATATTATTCGAGAAGACTTACTCATGGAAGCAATGGAAATACTGGAACTTTATTGTGATCTTCTTTTAGCTCGGTTTGGTTTATTGGAACAATATAAGTAAGTCACTTTTTATTAAATATGTACATTATATATATATTGATATAGAAAACTGAACAAATTATTACTTGTGCCTTTTTATTATTATTATTATTATTATTATTATTATTAATAACGATAATTGTTTCATATATACAGAGATTGTGATCCCGGTATCGCTGAAGCAGTAAACACAATCATTTGGGCAGCAGCACGAGCAGGAGAAGTCAAAGAACTATCTTCTGTAAGTATATATATTTCAAAAGGAAGAACAATCATGAATGGATCATTTATCTTTTTTTTTTTATTACTTTATTATGTTCCTTTAGGTAAGAGATCAACTTGGTGCCAAGTTTGGCAAAGAATTCCTTTTGGCCGCTATTGAAAATACGGATGATGTAGTTAATCCAAGGGTAAAACACTAGTAGATGAAGCAAAATGAATGATTGGTTAGTCAAACCTTACTGATTTCCTCTTATTTGAGGCAATAGGTACTAACTAAATTACAAGTCAGTGCACCCGATCCTTTTTTGGTTGAACGTTACCTTGAAGAAATAGCAAAAACATATGATGTGTCTTGGGAATCTGATATCCTCACTCATGATGAAAAATCTAATACTGGTGGTTCTGATTATGATGATGATGATGATGATCAAGGTGGACAAGCAGAGGTAAAATCATCTATTTATTTACGTGTATTTTATATTGACAAATATATTTTCTTTATAGCCTCTGAAGAAACGTGTATTGGAACCTCTATTGGAAGCAAATTATACTATTACAGTAAGTTCATATATTTATAATATTTTTCAATTTTATTCATCTTTCAATTTGTTTATCTTCTATAGGATATTCCACCTTCTCAACCTACGATTCCACCCACTATTGATACTCCACCCTCACCTAGTTTTGATCTACCTGATATCCCATCCACTTTCCCACCATTAAAATCACAATCAAAACCACCTACTTCAAACACTACTAATATTAGCTCCCCTTCAAACAAGTCAGATGATGATTTTGATGCTTTAGCCAAACGATTAGAAGCCTTGAAAAGACGATGATGATATTCTTTTTTTTTTTGTTGAAAACCATTGAAAGTCCGAGGGTCAATAAACTCAATTTTTTTTTTTGTTTTTTTATCTTTTTATCTTTTTTGCCTTTTATTTTTTTTTATTTTTATTTTATCTTTTGTTCACGCTTGCCTCCAACATGAGGTGGCTTTCAAACGATTCTTCTTCCGAGATTCATGACACTGATACACTGAATAACCATATTCACAACACCGATTCCGATGATTCCTCCACCATCCAAGTAGACTCCATCGACAATCATCTTACTACCAGCAATACTACCATCACTACTACTGTTATTGCCACTCCTACTACTACTATTACTACTACCGACACTGCTACTACTCCTACTACTACTACTATTACTACTACTGACACTGCTACTACTGATACTACCGCTACTACTACTACTACTTCTACTATTGCACCAAATACCGATCTAAAAGATGAAAAGGATAAATGTCAACAAGAAAACCAAGAAAGAAATTCAAGTGACTTGGATCTATCCTCACCCTCAACTGCAACTGCTACCACAGAACCACAGGTGATACCACGACAAATTAACAACCAATCGTCAACTTCAGCAACGGTAGAAAAGGATTTTAAAGCAACTTCGGAAGCACTTGTACGGAAACTATTAGAACGATCTACTCCTCGTCTAGATGCGAAACTGGTTAGCGTGCTTTTACTAGAAGGTAAAGAGGATCCCCCCAAAAAAAATCAGGTTATTTTTTTTTCGTTTTATGGGAATCCAAGTGGTATCCTTAAACTGATTTTCTTCTTCCCAATATTTGGTTACTTTTAATAGGTATGATGGATATATTCATGGCGCATATCAGTCGTACATATAGTGATAGCAATGATATCACTTTACAGAATCTGTCTTTGGAAATATTGGTGAAGCATGCTCAACATGAACGGGATCAAAAAGACCTAGATGCCATCAAAAGATCTTACCATGCAATGGAAATTTTATGTGGCGCTTCTGCAAATCATTTTTGGATTCAGGATGCGAAATTCAAGGTCATTAGTAAGTGATCAAGAAAAAAAAAAGAAATTATTATAGAAATTTACAATATTGATCTACTTTTCTCTCTCTCTCTCTCTTTTTTTTTTTTTTTTTTTTTTTTTTTTTTTTGCAATAGTTACTAGACTTTTTGATATATTCTCACCAACATCACACGGCAACTTCAATCATTTCGCCAAAATCTTTCAACATTTTGTACGACGCCATCCTTCAGATATGTTGGACTTTATTTTTTTACAAGATGACAAAGCTTCTTTATTCTTTGATTATATGTTACCCTATATATCTGAAAGTGCAGTAATGGATGCGGCTTTGGCGTTGATTTTTGTACGAGATATTAATGCGGAAACGAAGGAAAAGCGAGAAAAGTCTCATGCAAGATTATGTGAACTCGGATTACTTCAATGGCTTATCAAGGCAATTCAAATCAAAGATCAAAATACTGCTTTCTCAGATGCTGCTAGTCAATTACTGATCCGGATCGTTGAAGAAACGTCGCAGGTCGACAATGGTAATTTGTTACTCCAAACGCTGGATCAACCAGATCAAGGTGGAAAGGAACTTGTGGCATCTTTGGTCAAGGCATGAAAAGAGAATGAACAAAAAGGATATAGTATAGTTAATTAATTCTTTTTTTTTATATATATTTTAGTTGGTGGTGAATCAAAAGCCGAACAAAAGTCGAGATCTTATTATCCAACTGTTACGACTTTTGGTTAAAAGGTAATTAAAAAAAAAACAAGGATTTCTTTTATTAATTTAATAAAATTATTGGATGAATATATATAGTGGAATGTTGACAACACGGGCCTCAGCAATATCACAACCTATTCATGGTCCTTTATACTCAATATCTGTCCATTGTCAAGAAATGTTGTCCGACTACATACCAGAGCTATGCTCGGTCATATCAAACGATCGTCGCTCCGTGTCATCCAAGCAGTAAATATCCTTTTTTTTTTCTGGTCTCACACAAAAGAATAACATATCAACTTATCATTTTATATTTTTTTTTTTTGTAGGTTACCACTGAATGTATCTGACATGGCACTTATCGAAGTTATCTATTTGACGTTACCGAATATACGAGACAAACATGAATTGATTGATGCTATACCAACCGCTTTTTGGAAGATTGTAGTGAACTCTTTCTTTGAAAAACGGTAAATGATAATGGTTGATACTAGTTGTTCTTACTCATCATTTATCTTTCTATCTTTCCGAATAGTTCAAGTTCTATATATCATACTCTATTCTACAGGATATTTTGTTTGATTTTGGGATTGCAATATGAACCTTTGACGTTAGTATTGATTCGTCGACAAAAGCTAGTGACAAGGATGATTGATGTCTACGAAGATAAAGATCAACAATCAGGTAAGATCACAAAAAAAAAAAAAAAAGAAAAGAAAAGAAAAGGGAAAAATAAATGGAGATAATAACTTGGACGCAAAATTTTATATTCACTTTTTAGACACAAGGGGATATATTTTACTTATGCTCAATTATCTTCGGCTTACGACGGATGCTCATCCTACTGGGGCACTATATCGAATTATCAGTGATCATCCTCGGTTTCGTGCTTTTCTTCCTAGATTAAGGTAAAGAAAAAAAAAAGAAAGAAAACAAATATTATATAGTTATATGAATGACTTGAATTTTTTTTTTTTATGATTAGAGCGGATACACTTGCACAAATTAATTTCAACTATTCATGGAAATTGGATTCATGCCCTAGACCACCTATACATATTGGACCATCTCCACCAGTAAGATCTCCACCTTATTCATCATATACACCTACATTACAATTGACGACTGGTGGATCAGGAGAAACTGAAGATTCACATGGAATTGATTTAGGAAGTGATTGTAAGTGAAAAGAAATATAATTCAAATACATATAAAAAAGAAAAATGATAAAACTTATCTGATTTTTTTTAATAGATGCATATTGCTTGGGTTTTGATCAAACATGTCGAACTGAAGATGGATACGAAACACCAATGGGTAATTTATCTCGAAGAACCTCTTTACACTCAATATCTTCAAGTGATAGTCTTACAGCAATGGATAGTAACAACAATGGATTCGATGATTTTTTATGGGGTGAAAGCTTGACAGCAGATGAACCTAGTGACAATCAAATCAAAAAAAAGAAGAAGAAAAAGGTATTTATCAGTGATTAGTGATCATTGTTTATTTAGAACTTTTTTCCCCTTTTATTACATTTTGTACATAATAAAAATACATTCATCTGTCATTCGTCTCAGTTACTTACAAAAAAATGTAAGGAGCGGTATTTGAAAAGTTTTAGTGTTGAATAGAAAAAAAAAAAAAAAAAACAAACAACTTCTTCTTTCTTTTTTTGTTTATATCCTTTTTTTTTTTTTTTTTCTACCTTGAACTTTTTCATCATTTTACTTTCTAGTTAACCCCCCTTGTTACTTCTTTATTAATAACATGTATGATTCTGACGATGAAGATATTGATTGCCCCCTTTGTATGGAAGAACTTGATATTGCCGACCGGAGCTTTAGGCCTTGTACTTGTGGATATCAGGTAAATAGAAAAAAAAAAAAGATTGTTTCTTTGAATTGGAATCTTCATATCTATTCTCTTCATATCACTCGAAAGAATCATGATTATTAAATACTGTTTCTTCTCGTTTTCCTTAGATTTGTCGGTTTTGTTGGCATCACATTAAAGAAAATTTGAATGGACGATGTCCTGCTTGGTAAACTGATACAAAAGAATAAATGGACTAAAATTGGATACTAATCTTCTATTTGATTTATTTTATTTCTTTATAGTCGTCGAGAATATTCTGATCAAATGGTGGAATTCGAGCCGATCAGTGCTGATGAGTATGTGATCAGAATCAAAAATAGTATTTATTTTATTTACATCTTTTTTTTTTTTTTTTTTTTTTTTGTTTCTTGTCAATGATAGAATCACTCGTATCAAAAGGGAAAAGAAAGAAAAAGAACGACAACAAAAAGATATGGAAGCTGTGAATCGTCGACATCTAGCTAATATGCGTGTGGTTCAAAAGAATTTAGTATATGTTATTGGACTTCATCCTAAATATGCCACTGAAGAAGTAAGTTGACTTATTCTCAAAAAAAAAAAAAAAGGTTTTTATTCATCTATTTTTATTACTATATAATTATTATTATAGATTATACGATCGAATGATTATTTTGGACAATTTGGGAAAATCGCCAAGGTAGTGATCAACAAACGAAATGTAGCACCAACGTCTCATGTTGGAGGAACAACATCTATGCAACCAAGTGCGGCAATCTATGTTACTTATCAACGTAAAGAGGATGCAGACAAGGCTATTCAAACTGTGGATGGACATACTATTGCTGGAAGAATCCTTAGGTATATTAATTTTTTTTTTTTTTTTAAATTGAAATGAATAAGAATCTGACAAACAAATTTTTCTTTTATAGGGCATCTTATGGCACCACAAAATATTGTACCTATTACCTTCGAAATATGACTTGTCCAAATCCATCATGTCTTTATCTTCATGAACCAGGTGAAGAAGCAGACACCATCTCTAAAGAAGAATTAGCTACTGGAAAACATCGGATGCGGGATCAAATTTCAACTGATGATGAACATCGACCTTCTATGTTACCCAATGGCAACAATTCATCCTCTGGAAATTACCATTCATCACCTTCCATTTCAAGTCATGATTTCCCTCCTGTCGGTGCAACATCAACAACGAATCGAAAACCTACCACTTTAGAATCAGTTGCTAGTATCTCTTATAAAGGATCACCTGCTCGTCAGCAACATCTTCAAAATGACAAATTAGTATCACCTTCAGATCAAAATGGAGAGGATGAACGATCAGCATTACCAGCAACAGCATCTTGGGCTAAACTTGGAAATAATAGCGATCCATCTACACCTGTTTTAAAATCAAGTCAACCTGAACGTACTCTTACTCCGGATAACTTTGGTCCACCATTAGCAGTCGCCGCAGCAGCTGCTCAAAAACAACAACCTCAACATCCACAATCTCCATCAGCAATGAAGAGGAAGATCGAAAAGAAGAAACGTAAAGAATTACAAAAGAACAGGGATTCTACAACATCATCATCCTCATCAACAGTATTACCAGGAAAATCCAAAACATCATCAACGACATCATCACATCCTACAACACCTACAATGATTGGAGCCAACGCTAATCTGGATGCTTCATCTTTATCATCTATGAAGATTTTGAATGACGCTCTAGTGAATTTTGTTTTAGGAGATGCTATGGATCAAGTTGGATGGATACCACCACAGGAAGATGAAGATGAAACACCATTGGGCGTGACAGCTTTATATCAGAAGAAGGATGTGGATAATGTTGCCGACAATGAAGAAGAAGAAGATGATGATGATGATGGTCGACAACCTTTAACTCCTCAATCAACATCTACTTTATTGAATGATCGATTACAAGCTTTATCATTGGATAACTCAAGTACACCTATCAATACTTTGGACTTTTTACTCAATGCTGTACCAACACCTACTTATCGTGGTTCATTTAATCCATTTGCACACCAAATCTTACGTACCTCTGGCAACTTGTTTGAATCACCTATGCGCAAGACTTCTCGATTTGGTTTTGCTCAGATTTAGTCTTCTCCTTTATTGATCATTATTTTATTTTTTTTTCTCTTATTATACACATTTGTTTTTATCACATCAATATCATTCTCTTTATATATATATATAATAAAATATAATTACTGGTTTTTTTTTTTCCATGCGAAGCGCGTTATTTATTTTTTTTTCTGTGGTATGATTAGAATAATATTTGCGGTGATCTTTTTTTTTTTATTACGGAAATGGATGATATCAATAGAAACTTTCTTATTCTTTACTATAGTCTCTTCTTATAATGATCATAGATAAATCAATAATTTGATCGTTTTGGAAGCTTGGCTATCAAGAATGATTCAAAACTGCGTGTCATCCCATTAATTATAAAACGTTGAGGACGATTATGGGGAATCATCTAGCTTTATTCCATTTCTTTCTATGCTTGAGCTATATGCTTAATCCGGGTAGCAAAAAACCTGCGACGTTTAAACTTTGGTTGTAAGTATCAAAAAAAAACACTACTTGGCTGGATTTCCATATGTTTCCCATTTCTTAACTTTTTTTTTTTCCCTCTCTCTCTTTTTTCTTTTCTCATTTTTTTTTTTCTTCTTTATTATAGATACCCCCAACAAATTCAAATATGGATGAACAAACAAGTGTTTTTGTTTGTAAAGGATGCTTCTCTTTTGGTGGAAAAGGTAGGACCATTGGTGTTTATTCTGCTGGAGCTTTGGTAAGGTTTTTTTTTTTTTTTAAAAAAAAAAAAAAGTGAGAAAAGAAAAACACGAACATATTTTAACAAGACTCCCTCTTCTTTTTATGATTATAGTTTGCGATGGCATGGTGGATCTTTGTGGATGGTCTCTGCACTAGTGAGACTGGTTTGGCAGGATTTGAAGACTGGGCTGGAGGTATTACTACTACGTTTGGTCTGATTGTGTAAATGGACGACTTTGTCAACAGAAATAAAAATATATATGTTGAACTTACCATCTCTTTTTTTTTTTTCCTTTATATATCTTCTTTGAATAATTTAGTATCAGTTTGATTGATAAAGAAGCACTTCGTGGCACTGACTATGATGATCATATCCCCTGGCGTGCACGGTTATTCCTATTTCTCGTATGTTGACTCCCAAAAAAAAAAAAAAAAAAAAAAAAAAGAATGACCTGAGTGTACAGTTGACTCGCTTTTTACATATCTGAATAGGGATTTGCTTTTATGGCTGGTGGATTAGCGGGTTCCGTGGCTGTATTGGTAGTCAAGTATACTTCACACATGATCGAGCCTCCTGTTCCTTATCTGGGTGTGGCAGATGTCCTACAAACATGTCTTTTGATGACTAGGTAGTACCCAATGCTCCTTTTTTCTTTCTTTCTTTTTTTTTTTTTTTTTTTTCAAAAAAAGACTGACTCATCTTGTTTTTTTTTTTTTTTCCTAGTGCTGCCGTTTTATGGGTGTCTCAAAAAGAAACAGATTCTTATATGTCTCTCTAGTAACATTATTTCTATTTGGTTTGGGATATTGGATCTGTGGATTTAGAATAAACAATGAAGCGAAATGGAATGGATATCAAGAAGAAACTTTTATTATTATTGTTATTATTTGATTTATTTGATGGTGAGTCTTTTCTATTCCCTGAATACCATCCCATCCTTCACTGTTGATTATGGAAATAAAATTACTACTACTCTATTTGTCTCTCTTTATAAATGCAACAATGTATCCAAAATATGAATTGTTTTTTTTTTTTTAAGAAATCAAGCTGTTTGGCAAATATAGATCATCAGTTTGGGAGCATTTTTATTTTCGTCAGGTTCATCAAAAACTATCAACAACAACATTCTCATCATAGTCAAATAACATATATAATAATATATAAAAAAAAGGAACTTTTTTTTTTTATTATAATAGTAAAACCAAAAATACAAATAAAATATCAAACTACACTATTAAAGCCTAATCTATTTGAATGCAGGAATACCAGTGATGGCGCGACCTAAAATAAGAGCATGCATGTCCTTTGTTCCTTCATAAGTAACGACGGCTTCCAAGTTATTGGAATGACGGATGATGTTGTATTCAGCAGAAACACCGTTGCCACCAAGCATATCACGAGCTTCACGGGCAATTTCAAGAGCCTTGATGGTTGAATTACGTTTGATCAGAGAAATCATCTCAGGAGCAATCTTGTTTTGATCCTTTAAACGGCCCACTTGAAGACAAGCTTGAAGACCAATGGCAATCTAATAGAATAAAAATATATCAACCATCCTTTTTTTTTTTTTTTTTTTTTTTTTTTTTTTTTTTTTTTTTTTTTTTTTTTTTTTTTTTTTTTTTTTTTTTTACTTCTGTATCGAAATCAGCCAATTTCTTTTGCATCAATTGATTAGCAGCAAGAGGACGACCAAATTGTTTGCGTTCCAAAGTATATTCACGAGCTTGAGCCAAACAAGCTTCAGCAGCACCAAGAGCACCCCAGGCAATACCATAACGAGCATTGTTCAAACAACCAAAAGGACCTTTGAGACCTTTGACATTGGGTAACATATTTTCTTCAGGAACTTCCACATTATCAAACATCATCATACCAGTAATGGATGCACGAAGAGCCAATTTACCATGGATTGTAGGAGTTTCAAGACCAGGCATTCCACGTTCAAGAATAAAACCTCGAATAGCGCCATCTTCTTCCAAATTCTTGGCCCAAACAATCATCACATCAGCAATAGGAGAGTTGGTGATCCATGTTTTGCTACCATTGATCACATAATGTCCATTGACTTTCTTGGCTGTGGTTTCCATGCTGGCAGGATCAGAGCCATGATTAGGTTCCGTCAAACCGAAACAACCAATCTTGGTACCCTTAGCTATCAGGAAGAAGAATAAATAAATCATTTTGTGTTTAAATAAAATGATTACTTACCAAGTTCAGGAAGGTACTTTTCTTTTTGAGCTTCAGATCCGTAAGCATTGATAGGATGCATCACAAGAGAAGATTGAACAGACATAGCGGATCGATAACCAGAATCAACACTAATTCATCCATCATTAATAAAAAAAAAAAAATGAAAAAAAGAGTCAAGAATAGTTTTCATTCTTTTCCATATGAATTCTCTTTTCATTATATCACTTACTGTTCCACTTCACGAGCAGTCAAACCATAAGATACGTAAGATACACCAGCACAGCCATAACCATCAATAGTGGAACCTAAAAATCCACGTTCACCCATTTCTTGCATAATATCCTTATCAAACTCTATGTACCCAAAAAAAAAAAAAAAGATACCGTGAGAAAAAAAAATTGATGGGAGACTTTAAAAAGGGAGAGAGAGGATCTTTACTTTCATTAAGGTACGCATCAGTCACTCTAGGTTGAAGTTTTTCTTGACAATAATCTCGGGCAGCATCTCTAGATGATAATAATAATAATAATAATAATAATAACAAATGAGTTAAAAAAATAAATAAATATAAAAGCAGTGATATTTTTATCTTTACCTGACGAGAATTTCTTCTTCAGTCAATTGACTTTCAAGGTTCAAAGGATCTTGCCAGTTGTACTTGACAAAAGAATTGGCTTTGGAAGCCATAGTACGAGTTTGAAGAGGTTTAGTAAGGGTACGGGTGGTAATATGGATACGAGAGAACATGACTGAAATGATATAAAAATTTGGAATACAAAAAGTAAAAAAGAAAGCGAAAAAAAAAAAAAAAAATCACAAGCTTATCCAAAATAAGTACCAACCAAAGGAAAAGCAAAAAAATCCAACTTGAAACACAGCGTTTCCCACCCTCCTATTTAAGAACCTGAGTCATAGGAAAACGGAAAAAGTGTAATTGTTCCCCACAAGAGATCAAGATATTTCCACTTTACTACTGTATCCGTTTATTTCTATAGGAAAAATAAACATAAAATACATATATTCAATCATCATCATCATGATATGAGAAAACCAGTCAAAGAGATTATCATTGTTAATACGTAAATGTTGATCTTATACAATCAATGAGTCCATCATGTTCCCTTTCTTTCTCTTTCTCTCTCTCTCTCTGTCTCTTCCTTTTTGTGCAAAAAGGTACATCCATCATTTTCAAATATCCGTCCATTTCCGTACCCCACAAATTGAAAAACGTATACCCGATCATAGTTTTTTAATTTCCGTAATGAACTATAATAAAAATTTGTTTATTTGAATAATAAAACCAAAAGAATATTACAAAAAAAAAAACTCTAATCTAGTTTTAATACTAAGACGGGTTAAGGGATAAAGAAGAACAGGAAGGGGAATATAAAAAAGATAATACAACTAAACGTTAAAGTTACACACAACATGATAGGTCTTGTCCCTGATGACGGCTTCCACTCGTAATTCCACTTCACCAAAGTACATGTTAATTGTCAAGTCAACCGGATCACCATGTACAGCATCAGGTAATCTTGGCATAGGGATTTCAAAGTCAAACACCTTGCTGACTCCTTCTTGAACTACATACCTAGGTTCTTGTTCTGTACTTGCAGCATAAAATGTACAAGCTGTGTGTCTTGGATAATAAGTGGTATATCGTTTACTAGTACATTTGTCGATATCTATTACCAAAAAAAAAAAAAAAAAAAAGATGATGATTGGTATATGCCTTTTTTTTTTTGTCCTTTATTCATTTTTTTTTTACCTAATGGTTGACCACGTTGAACAAAAACTGAGAATCGATGATCACATCGTACATTTCCATCAGGATTGATAATTTTGTATTCAGGTGGATCAAGAGCTTCGTTGAAAGGAGCAGTGATATCAATACCATACCAATATCTAGGGACACGAACGGAAACTTTAGTTGGATTCATACCAGCATAGACAGCACCACGAGTAACAGCCATTTCTAAAATATAAACATAATTAGATATTGTTCTCTTTTTTTTTGGATATAATTTACCTGCACGAGGAGGAGTAATTACTTTAATACCAAGAGGTTCAAATTCTTCACTAACGCGAAGATATAAATATTGAGAAGATCCAAAACCACCAACCATAAAGATAGCCTTCAGATTTGTTGTTTCTGCCTTTTGTTTATGCACCAATTCCAATACATCCCTAACTACGGGTTCATATACTTTAGTTTTGAGTTCTTCTAATGTAAATCGTAACATTCCATCTCCGAGACCAATTGATTGCATTGTATGTTCCGTTAATCCAGCATTCATAGGTAATTCAAGATATTGATCTTCAGTACCATCAAAAGATGGTTTTAAACGTTCTAACAAGAAAGAAAAAAAAAAAGAAAGGTTGAGTAATCAATACGAAAAAAAAATTGATAATTTTTTATTTTTTTATTTTTACCAATAAAATGTTCCATCATATTTTCAAGAGCTTGAGCAGGAATCTTGCCATTAGTTACACGATTCAATTTGCTTTTCAATAATTTTCTCATTTTCTTGTCTACAAACATTGAACCACATGATTTCCCCATTCCTTTTGCACTTTCTTGAAATTTGCGATTGCCTTGAGCATCCATTTTGACATTAAATACGATCAAATCCAAAGTACCACCACCAGCATCACAAATCATAAATTCATCACCATCTTCCATACTGAATTGATCACATGCCTTTTCACAATAAATAGCAGCAGCTTCAGGTTCAGAAATCAACATCAATCGATCATGATGATCATTTTCATTGATAATACCAGCTAAAACTGAAGCTTCACGCATAATTTGTTTCGCTTTATCTGTCCACATAGCTGGTACCTATAAAAAGAAGAACATAGATGTTAATAATAAAAATAATAATAAAAATGAATAAAATCATACCGTAAGACAATAACGATATCGACCTTCAAATTGATGTGCAAAACCCTTTCTCATTTCATTCAAAACATGAGAATGAAATTCACGAAGATAATCTAATTAATAATAATCCAAGTTAGTTCTCTTATATAAACCTTTTTTTTTTTTTTTTTTTGAAATACCAGCTATAATTTCCACTACAGTGTAACCTTCAGGTACTTTGAGGACGTCACTTAATGAATCATCCAGGAATAACTTGAATTGTTGAAGCATAAAATATTTGTGTCGAAGATTGTTCTTATTACATTCAGCACGAACAGCGCTACCCCAATGAAGTAATTTCTATATATACATATATATATATAAAAGGAAAAATTTAGTCATTCTCTTATTACAATTATATATATATAAATCTTCTTTTTTACCCTTGTTTCTGGATCATATAACTTTATATATATAATAAAAGAAAGTTAAATATGAAATATGATAATTTATATAATGAACTTACACTCATAGTTGGTACCTGGAAAAGAAAATATTTGTGTTAATTCATTTAAAAAATAATATATATTTATATATCAATTTTACTTTTGGATAACGGTATGCAGCTTGTTTTGGCCTTATTAATAATAATAATAATAATAATAATAAAGTAAAAGTAAATCAGTATTTTGATATTGTTTTAAAATGTTTTTAACTTACCAAGTGCTAATATCACAAACTTCACCTTCTGATGTTGTAATCCCATAAGCAGCACCAGAATAAGTTGTACCTTAAAAAAAGAAAATTAAACTTTTTATTAGTCTATAATGAAAATATAAGATATAATTACTATTTACCAAAGTCAATCCCAACTACAACAGGATAGTCACTATGACGAAAAGGTGTAGCTGAATCCATAATATTGAAATAAAAAAAAACAAAAAAAGAAAAGAATGTGGAAAAAAGAAAAAAAATGATTGAGAAAATTAAAAATTGCCCAGCCTCAAAAAACTTTCATTTTCTGTGTAACCTATCGAATTGAATCATCACTACTTCTTTTAAATAATAATAATAATAATAATAAAGATTATTGTGTGCATGAATTCTATTGATCATCAATATTTGAATCAATAATATATATATATATTTCTTTTCAATTACAATAAATATAAAATATAAATGAATAAAAAAAAAACATTCCATCGTTGTTAAATAATCATATATTCAACTTTTTTTTATTTTGTATTTTCTTTTTGATATGTTTAAATATCTTTTTTGACAATAAGATGAGCTTAAAATAGTTATCGTTAAATAACAATATGTTTTTGCTCTCTCTCTCTCTCTCTCTCTCTATATATATATATATGTAAAAAAAATCACGCCACTTCTTTTATATATATATATATATAATGAATATCAAACTCCGTCTCATCCAAACTTACCAGCACCTTGACCTTTTATTATTTATTGTTTATTTTATTTTTTATTTATTTCTTTTTCTTTTTTCTTTTATTATTATACTTTAACAATGGAATATATACCTACTCCAAACTTGGATATTTTTACTGATGATCCATTCTTTTCTTTATCTGAATTTGATCTCGAATTACAACAACAAGCTCAAGCTGCTATTCAACAACCTACTCAAGAACTATGGCAAGATTTCGATCGTTATCTTCCTGTAGATTGTCAACCTTTTATTAATAACCAATCAATCAATACACCTATTAACAATACTATACAACAACCTTTATCTACTAAAAAATATGAACCTAATATCTCTCCACCATATGATTTTGATGTTACTCCTATTGTACCTTCACAATATAAAGATATTATAAAACAAGAATATCCAAGTCCTGAACAACAAACATATATACCTTCTTCTCCACAACAACAACAACAACAACAACAACAACAACATTCAATGTTAGTATCTTCTATAGACACTTCTTCTTCTTCTTCTTCTCCTTCTTCTCCTCCTCAACAACAACAACAACAACAACAAATCAATTCCACTCAGCCAACTGAAACACCTATCTCTCAATCAACTTCTTCCATGACTCCGACGAATGTAGCTGACATTATTGCCAAAATCAATTGGGATTCCCCGGTTTTATCTTATTCAGATCCAAGTAATTAAAAAAAATATTTATATATATAAATATTTAAAAATTAAAACTTTTACTTTTTTATTTATTTATTTAGATAAAGTACCTATTCAAAGATTGAAACCTTCTATCAACACTCAAACACCAACATTATCAACATCTTCAAATATCACTGGTGGTAAACAAAAGAAAACTGCTCATAATGCTATTGAACGACGTTATCGAAACAATATCAACGATCGCATCACTGAATTGAAAAATGCCGTCCCTGCTCTTCTTCATGCAAAACCAAAAGATCGTCATCATTCTACCAACAACAACAATAATAAACGTAATAGATTAAATGATGATGATGATGATGATATTGGCGACGATGGAGAAGAATATCTTGATGGTGTGGCCGTAGCGACTAAACTCAATAAAGCAACAATTTTACGCAAAGCAACTGAATACATCACACATCTCAAACGTACGGGTGATAATATGAAACGAGAAAATGATTCCCTTCAACATTTATTAGCACAACTTCCAGGTGGTCATGAAGTATTAGCTCATTATCAAGTACAAAAGATCCAACGTGAACAAATGATGCAACGTCAGCTCATGATGGAACGTCAATTGATAAAACAAGAACAACAAAATAGGAAAAAAGCAGCAAGCAAACGCAAAAGAGCTAGAAAACAACATATCAACGATGATGAATTTGATGATGGCTCTCTATCAAGCAACTCTGGTGATCATCCTAGAACTCCTTCTTCTGATAGTAGTATGACCAACAGTCGTGTTTTTATGGCTCTCTTTATGGCAATCACCTTTTTTTCTTCTTCTCCCTTGACCACTCCAGCAGGATCTGAACAAGTCAATAATCATCATCATGTTTCCCGAACAGCAAGTGAACAAATGAATGGTGCTTCTATGCCTACTGCAAACGAATCTTTCAATGGATATGAATCTATCAACAACCATAATATCAACCATTCATGGTTATCTATAGATGATGGATGGTAAATAAGAAAAAAAAAAGATTAAAAGAAAGAAAAGTATTCTCATTTTTTTTTTTTTTTTTGCAATTATTCTTAGGTCTCTTTTACGTCTGGTATTATTCATTGCTTGTATGATTCAATTATTACTTCCTTACTTGAAGACTTGGATATTTGGTCGTGCATTTAGGGTACGTCGAATGGTGTCTCATGCAAAGCTACGTCGTCAACAACGTCTTCATCCTACTGGCAAGAACAAAAAATTAGAATTTGGCAATAAATCTAATTCCATGTCTCCTGGTGATGAAAAATGCATGCAAATGTATCAATTATTGGTGAAACTTCTCTTGACTGAACATGATGACACAACCGTCAGAATATCTTCAAAAAATACCATTGGATTACTTTGGTCTCTGATGAAAGAAATGACACTATTCACTGCTCGACATGTATTTGGTTATGATATTGCTTGCAACAATGATGAAGAAGAAATCGACATGGATGATGATGATGAATGGGATCAACAACAGTTACAAAAATGGAGTCATGTCTTTAAATGGATCAAGCTCAACGAATGTGAATGTCTTGGTGGCAATCCTTTTATATCACGACTAACCTTACTCTATCACAGTTTACGTATGCTCAATTTGGTGGATTCATTACAAGAAGAATTCGATGATGATGACGATCAAGAAGGAAAACAAATCTCTTCCATGCGTGCACGAGCTTATGCGACAGCAACTATTCAGGTGGTTTTAGCACTTCCATCTACCTTCCTTTCTTCTCGTATTGCAGATTACTTGTGGGGATTAGCCATGTGGGATGCTAATGAAGAAGATACCTGGGCATGCTTGACTGAAGAAGACCAACAAGGAAGTTTTATCTCAGCATTATCTACCAAATCTCCTTGGGTGGAAACATTGGACGTCATCCACAATCAAATCTCAACATGGACAAGTCTGACAACATCTACATCAAAGAAAACACTTGGATTATCACTCTCTGCCAATGCACCTGCTCTTGTTCCAACTGCTATTCTTTCGAATCTCTATCTTTTGGATCGATTGGAATCTGATTTTCGAAGTCTTATTGATGGTATGATGATGCCCATTTCATCTGTGTCTAAAGATCCTTCTACAACCATGTTTTTCGCCTATGCTTCTTCTCTGTCCTTGAATGATGATTCTCGACGTGTGGCTGATTGGTTTAGTCTTGTTGGTGCGGCTGTGGAAGCACTTTGGCGTCGTGATGTGGAAAGAGCCGAACAAAGTATGATGACATTGGTTCAACGTGTTCCTCGAGCCATGATTGCCCCTGGGTTTTCCAAGAAAAAGACTCGACAAAGTGAATTGGATACCATCACAAAGCAACAAGTGATACATATGTTAGCAGGTGCCACTTTATTATTAAAGCAAGATAGTCAAGGCATCAAGGAATTGGAAATAGCGGAAAGTTTACGACAAAAGAAGATCAAGAAATCCTTACCGACAACAAATGAATTGGAAGCAACACATGTGGAAGGACGTATCATGGCCCTAGCAGAATTTGCAGTCATGTTGGTTGGATTGGAAGCATGGATTTTTGCATGGCAGCAACTCTTATCACCCAAAGATGACATTATCCAAGTGGACAAGGTACATCCTACAGTGGAGAATACAAATAAACAAATTCGATCAGCTACTCAATCCTTACGTCGTATGGTTTGTCGACCTGCATTGACTGGACTGGAAACGCAAAATATGATTATTGATCGCCTTGGTCGCATTGGTCGTTTTGTGGAAGAACAACCAATATATGATGATTTGGATAACAACGACAATGACTCAGCCTTTGAACGCTCGGACATGGAAGAAGATGCACATCAAGATGGAAATGAACGATGGTCTGAAAAGGATAAAATGATTCGACTTACTGGAAAGGCTCTTGCTATCTTACATGGAAATTAGGTAGCTTTATTCTCATATTGATTTCTCCCTTTCTTGTTAGCCTTATTCTTATGATTGTTTACTTTGTACCATATTGATTCTTTTTTTTTTTTTATTATTATTATTATTATTATTATTATGACATTCTCATTATTTTATATTTTATATTTCTTATTCTTATTATTGTTGTTATTATTACCATTGCTATTATCCGCATTTATACTTGTTTTTCCCTTCCACCCATTTCATTATATCACATCATTATTCTTCTGCATTGTTTTAATAAAAAAGAAACATTTATTATTTTTTTTTTTCGTATGCATTGATTTCCAATCAGATGTCATGAAATGAATCTATTTTATTCTTTGTAATACATATCTAACCATCTCGTCTTCTTTTCGGTTTTACAAACAGGAATGCATGATACATCTACTTACTTATCAATGACAACTAAGTACCATACCATTATTCTGAAAAATACATCATCCATCATAGTAACTGTAAGTAACAATGATGTTATAGTATGATATCTGAGAAAACCAAAAATCAATGAAAGACATAAAACATGATCTATTTTCCTAATGTTACTCTATACATAGAAAGGAGTTGGAAATGATGACATTGATATCCCTCACAAAAAAAAAAAAAAGTGAAAGAGAATAATAGACATCTTTAACTTTGCTTTTGTGACAAGCAAGGGGTGACAACAATCACTTGGTAAATGTATTACTACGTTCGTCCCCCCCCCCTTTTTTTTTTCTGTACAGGAGAGAGAGAGAGAGATCAAGGAGAACAGAATATATAAACGAGATATTGACAATTTTATTTGTTTGGTTATGAATGGTTAAGATGGATTGGTTAGAAGAAGAGGATGAATATAAAAGATATAATGAAATAATAAAAATAAAAAAAAAATAAGTGATGAGAAATAAACAAGGTTATGAAAATAAACTTAAAAAAAAAAAAAGAGTATAGTAGGTGGGGGGGGGGTATTGAATGATGAAAAGAAATAATAAATAATAATAATAAAGTAATGTTGGGAATCAGATATTTGACAAGTGAGAAGCATCAATAATCAAATCAGGTATCCATTTTGGTTGTTTAAGTTTTGAAGAGTTTGAATCCAACCAATCATCATCATCATCATCATCAACATTATTGTGAGTAGTATTAGTAGAATGTTGTCCAGTAGGATGATGATATCGGAAACTAGAAATACTACAATAAGGAGTTTCCACAGGCCGGGTGATGGTATTTCGAAAAGAATCCAAAAGAGCATTTACACCTATACCATGAGTAACAAGAATGACAATGACGGATGGATTGTTTTGATATTTGGAAGGTAAATTGACGGTAGCTTGACGAATACAATCTAATCGAGTTTGATCAAAGCGATGAAGCATATCCTTATAAGATTCGGGGAAATCAAAATCCGAGTAACGAGAAGAATGATAGGCATAATCGACAGTGAGTGAAGGTAAAATATCGTGAAAATCATAAGAAGGTGATGGTGGAGTATCATGTTGTTTCTTCATATGCAGATGACGATAATAAGTTGCTTGACGTCGTGCAAGTTGTTCCTGATGTCGTGCAAGGAATTGAGAACCCGAGCAAGAAATGTCATCATAAAATTGATCGGACATCCATTCACCCAAACCGAGATCCAAGCGTAAGATAGGAGGATAAAGTGGATCAATATATGATTGTAAACCTTTGATGATGCCTATGGATGTATCGATACATCGTTGAAAAGGTGAGGTATAAATCATAAAAATAGGTTGTTGAATTGTATTTTGTTGAATCTTATATCCCAAGTGTTGTCCTGTCTTTTCTGCTTGTCGATGTCCCTAAAAAAAAAAAAAAAAAAAAAAAAAAGAATAAATTATATTAAATCATCAAATCAAATCAAATATATATATATATATTATTACCAATAAACTAAGAGGAGGGTCTGTAATACCATGAGAAGGATCAGGTTGCCATGTTTCGGAACAATGGTCTAAATGAATAATAAAAATGAGTTTTGTATTATTAAAAAATATATATATATTTTTATTTACCAATACGTTCACCATGACGAACAATAAATACAGTATCAATAGTAGGAGAAACAGGTGCCATTTAAAAAATAGATGAAAGAAAAGAAGAAAAAAGGAAAGGAATAAACTTTTTTGTGGGTGAGAAAATAACCAAAAGGAAATAGGAGAATGTAGATATTTCATTGTCATGTCTTTTTTTTCACGTGTTATATGATGAATCAATAGTTTAAATTCAGCTTCTCCTGCGATCTTCATTCATGTGTAGATAACATCATTGGATTATATTATTATTTTTAAATATTATTTGATAAAATAAGAAGAAGAAAAAAAAATAATTTTTGTATTTGAAAATAAGACAACTTCCTAATTAATGAATACATCTTTTTTATTTTTAGGACAAAAAAAAAAAAAAAGAAAAGAAACCATTCCATATTTTAGTAAAATCAATAATGTGGAACCATTTTTTTTTTTTGACATTTTCGAAACTCAGATTTATTGTTAGAAAAGCTAGCCAACATCTTTTTTTTTATTTTCTTTTTTTTTTTTATATTTCCGGGCTTTTTTTTTTTTTTTTTATTTTCTTTCTTGTATTCACCATATAATCAAACAAAACAAAACAATAAATGCAACACTATAATTTAGAATATCTCTTTTTATCATATTCTCTTTTTTTACATTAATGGCAAAGTCATTATTAAATAAATTCGGTTTTGGTCATCATAAGCAACAATGGCTTACACTCTCACCTAATATTCCTTCTCAACCTTCGTTTGAACCATATGATAACCAAATATCTGAACTCTATCGATATCGCAAGCATATTGGTGTGAATCTTGGTAGTCTATTTGTATTAGAGTCATGGTTATGCCCTTCAGCACTGAAGAATGCCGTTAAAGGTGGTCACTGGTCATCCGAATATGATTTTATCGCAAGTTGTCATGATCATCAAGAAGCAAGAGAATTATTGGAACATCACTGGACAAGTTTTATTACAACAAGGGATATTGAAATACTTCGAGAATGGGGGATCAATGCGGTACGTATTCCTATCGGTTATTGGATGGTGGAACCTCGATCTCTGTTATTAGATCATCCAAGAGATTGTTTTCATGCGTATGCAGATGTGTACGATGCAGCGTTTGGTTTATTACTGCAGCTGATACGGGCGTGTGAACAAAACAAGATTGGATGCTTGATCGATATTCATGGTGCTCCTGGAGGTCAAAATACAGATTCTCATTGTGGCCAACCTACTTCAAACAACAAAGCACGACTATTCGCCACATCATTATCATCCACCAGTAACGCTTCTATACTCTTGACCATCCTTCATCGTCTCACTGAACTTCTCTCACCCATCAATAATATTATTGGTATCGAAATCCTGAATGAACCAACTGACAATGCTTCACTTCCTGGTTTTTATGAACGTGCTTGTCAAACCGTAGTACAGGCAACCCCTCCTGGTCAACATCCTCTTCCGGTGTATATTGGTGATTCTTGGAAACCTAGCAACTATATGGATATCATTGCTCATCAACTATCAAGAAAAAAAAGGGAGGCACATCCTTTTATCGTATTAGATACACATCAATATTTTTGTCATACACCACAAGATCATCGATTATCAGCACAACAGCATACAGACAAAGTCGAGAACAAGATAGGACCATTTCTACTCCAACAGGGTGCATCAATTCGGAACAACATTGTGGTAGGCGAATGGTCCATGGTACTGAATGGAGCTTCAATGAAAGGGATGGATGAACGATCAACCATGACGGCATTTGGCGAAACCCAGGCACGAGTATGGGACAAGACATGTGCTGGTCAATTTTATTGGACTTACAAGACGGCGGATGATAAATGGTATTGGTCGATGATATACTGTCAACAACAAGGATTGTTACCATGGCTCAAGCGAACAGAACAAAGATCACTACCACCTTTGGATGAAGAAACGGTTAAGCATCAAATCGAGACTCATTTAACCTATTGGAGAAATCAACAGGCTGATTATCAAGCTATTGAACAACATGTATGGATGTTTGAAAAAGGATTTCGGAAAGGATATCAGGTAGCTCTACAATTTCGACAGAACGCAAGTCATGTAGGCTTTCCTTCTCAACTGGCCAAGGATTATCAAGTTGAAGAACAATGGTCTGACAAATCTACGGATGCTTTTACTTGGCAATATGAACAAGGGTTTATTCAAGCTATTAGTATAGTGGAATCCAAATCTTAGTTAATTACAGATCATTATCATTAATTTATTTTTCGTAGTCAAAATGAAATAATAATAAAAAAAAAGTTTTTTTTTTTTTTTTTTTTTTTTTTTTTTGTTACTTGATCCAACAGGTTACTAGAATAGGTGGATAATGTTAATTTCTAAAGAAACAATTTTTTTATTCTTTTTATTCATCTATAAAAAGAAATATGACGATAGACTGTAAAATGAGTAAATATATTTTGTTTGCTTGTCAATCAAAGTAGGTCATTTGGTTCTTTATTGAAGAAGAAGAAGATGATGATGATGATGAATACTAACTAATAAGGTGAATGATGATAAAATATAAAATCAATAAAAATGTATATGAATAAAATGGAAAACAAAGTCATAATAAAGAAGTAAATGTATATATATAAAAGTAACAAAGCATAATAAACAAACTATAAACAAGAAAAAGAAATGGTATAATGTGAAGTGAAGGGTACATATATATATATATAGAAGGAAAGAAAGAAAAAAAAAACTATTCCAAAGATCAACCTTGTCATAGTTTTTTCTCTTGTAGGGGGGATGTTGGAAATTCCATAAAATAAAAAAAAAAAAAAAAAAAAAAAAAAAAAAAAAAAGGAAGAGGCATAAAAATAATGAAAACAAAGGGAGGGGAAAGAAAATCGATAAATCAAGCCATTAAAGGAACCATACTGGAAAGTAACCCACTATTGCCAACAGAAGCACCAGAAGATTGACTATCACCCATATAAATATCACCATCATCATCGTAAGATGATTGTTGAGATCGATCACGAGGAGTAGCAGGTGGAGAGGGAAGTAAATCAACCGGAGCACGCACTTTATTTCGTCTTGATGTTGATGAAGTTGTATCAAGATGTAATTCAGCAGTTGTTGTTGGAGAAACAGGTGTATCAGGTATATGTTGTTTCGTCTTCTTTGGAATGATGATGGATGAAGGTGAAGGACGAACTACTTTTCTGGTATAAGATGGAATGTCGAATAGATTTCTGTTATTATTATTGTTGAGTTGAGCTAAATCCTGTAATCTTTCCCAACGATCCACTTCAGCTGTCCGGGTGAAATATTTGCATTGTTGAATTCGAAGTTTGAGTTCCTTGAGTCCAATGCGCCGTAAGGGGTCGATGCAGAAGATACGTTTCAAGATGCGGTTAAGTTCACGAGAGATGGGTAAAATCTTGAGTAAAAAATCAGGGTCATTCAGGTAAGCTCGAAAAGTTTCATCTTGTAGAGAAGCTTGTTTCCATGGATTCCGTCCAGCAGCCAAATTGATTAGAATGACACCAAGAGCCCAGATATCGTTTGGAGCAGTAGCATAGCCTACACGTCCTCCTTGTTTAGCAAGATCCCCTTGACATTCTATGTAAAAAATATTTTTATTATTCATCATCATCTAATTTATTTTTATTTTTGAATTTTACCTGGAGAAAAATAAAAAGTACTTCCACAACCATAATCAGTTGAAATAGGATCCATGGTAGCTAAACCAAAATCAGCCAACTTGATTGTCCTTCCACCATCAAATACTAAAACATTTTCGCTCTTGAGGTCCCGATGATAAACGCCGTTCAAATGACAATGTTCCACAGCGTCCAACAATTGTAAAAAGGCCCGTTGAATCAAGGGATGGTTGCCAGCAAACAGATCCCGTTCCGTAATAGCTGTAAACAAATCGCCTTCAGGAGCATATTCCATGACAATATGCGTATAATCCGCTTCACGTATCACGCGATCTAATCGAATAATATGAGGGTGACCTGATAAACGAGCATGAAGACCGATCTCCATTCGTTGGAATCCTCGTTGTGGTGTTTTATTGTTTTTGTTTTCGTGTCGTAATAAAGTCTTTACCGCCAAGTATTGTTGAGTTTGTTGATCTTGAGCCAAATAGACTTGACCATAAGCACCATGACCTAATAATTGTACAATGTCAAGATTTTCAACATGACTACCGAGTGCTAGTACTGATGTAGGTTGCATTGTGATAAAAAAAAAAAGTTTAAGAAGAAAAGAATGAAGGGAAGTAAAAAAAAAAAAAAAGCGATATTTGAACTGAAAACGAAAAAAAAAAAAGAAAGAAAAAGAAAAGAAAGACCCTTTTTAAATATAAAAAAAAAAAAAAGGTAAGCCGAAAAAAAAAAATCAAACTTGCTGAATTTGGAGCCAATAAAGGGGTGGAGGGATAGAAAAAGGGAGTGAAGGGAGGAAAAAGAAAAGAAGCTTTTTTCCCGTCAAGGGGGTAAAAGTCTCTTTTTTTTCAAGCAGCCTTTTATTTTTGGTCATCCCCCCATAAAGTTATTATCACTGGGCGTTTTTTTTTCTTTTTTTTTTGCCATCCATCCCACTAAAAAAAAAAAAGGCGTTTTCAATTATAGAAGTCTGACAAAACACTGTATTTATCCTTGATCGACCTCCCTAAAAAAAAAAGTTTGGACCAACTATCTATAATTACTAGTCAGTCAAATGAAGGACACACACATATTACATTTTACATATAATTTTATTGTCTTACGTATTGTTTCATGCAGATCCCCATTTTGACAGAGTAAAGAAAAAAAAAAGAAGGTTTAATAATCAACCGACTGTTGTCCTATTGGTAAAAAAAAAAGGTGTTGTTTCTAATGTTGCCAAAAGATCAAGATATCATTGAAAATCATATTAATGAATATAAAGTGACCCAATCATCCGGGAGGATTTTTTCATCTCATGATTTTACTGTGTAAAAAAAAAAAAAAAAAAAAAAAAAAAAAAAAAGGAAAAGATTTTATGCATTACAATGTTGTTCTTTTAGTGAGTGTGTGATACTATGTTTAAAAAAAAAAACTGCCATCAGACTTTTGGTTCATGTGATCATGATATAGAATATAATATTAAAAACTACAAATCATCATGATTTTACTCAATGTTACCATGACATTTTTTTTTATATAATCAACTATGACAACAAGAAAATAATACATAAATGTCTGTCATACTAGATACATTTTAATAATGTCATTCAAAGCAAAAGCCGATTCCATCCACTTTTCAGGGATACATCCAAGCGAGTTTTTAATTGTGTAACTATTACCATAAATGAACATATTGATTTATTTTCCCTCTCTTTTTTTTTTTTTATATTATTGTCCTTTAACATTTATCCCCTACTGCATGTGCGAAAGTCCCCTTTCTACTACTATGAGAGAGAGAAAGGGGATGTTAAGTCTCCTTGAAAGCCACATTATAATGATGATGATGATGACTTCATAATAATTACTTGTTCCCGGTCGGATGTTTTTGTGCAAGTAGATATCGAATTCCCCCTTGTTCTTATCTTTATACTATCCTGTCTTTCCTTATTTTTCTTCATCTATTGTGTATGTAAATAACTTCCCCACTAAAATAGAATACAATAAATCATCCTGTATAAATAAAGTGTTTATGACAAAAAATCAACAATAGAGTTAAAAATGGATAAATCCTTCTATGGTATTACCTTTTTTTTTTTTTAGGAGGTAGTTTTCATTGAACAAAACGCCTCCAAAGGAAAAGTGGGATGATGATCGATATACCCTGTTCTATCTTGGATATCTCTTTTATTTATGGTAATAATAATAATAAAAAAAAAAAAAACTTGGTAAGTGAATCTTTCCTTTTTCTCTCATTTTGCCTAATAGAACATGATGGTATGTTCACAGAAAAAGATTGGCGTAAATGGTTGTACAACACAAAGATTTTACCATTTTTGGGGTGATTGGTATCACATTTACCCCTAACATGCTTTCCTGCATTATATACATATAAAATTAGTCGCCATGGTAAATCTAAAGTCTTCTAACAAGGATAGAAGGAAAAAAAAAAATGAAGAGAAAATGTGATGAAGAAATGACATAATGATGAAATTACATCATGTCTTTTGGGGGTAAAAGGGGTAAAGTAAGATGAACGGTATACTAGTGAATATGATTCTTTTTTTTTTGGATCAACAATGAAAAGGAAACCCTGACGATCATCATCATCATCGAACACACAAATATACACACAATATATATTTATATATAAAAGAATACCTATTCCCACACAAACGTACACACATTTATACACGCGCCTACTCACCCAATGAGAAAAACCAAAAGAAAGTTTTATTTGTTTATTTTTAGATTTCATCCCCCCCCTTTTTTTTTTTTCTTCATCCAAGGAAAGTGAAGTCAAATATCATCAACTAAGAATATCAATGGCAAAGTAATCTTTACATGTACTACCCACGCGTTATTATCTTTGGTGGTTGTTTTTGATATATAATGGAAATATATTGATTTTTTGTACCGATGATGGCAAGGAATCCAGTTGGTAAATTAAAAGCTTCTTATTACCATCATCAATACATCCTGGTTATATTATAGTTTAAAAGGAGTTATGAATTAAGAAAAATCAATAAGAGTAAAAGGAATCAGGAGAAAAAAAAATAGAATTCATTTTTAACTTTTTTTTGAGGGGGTCTTTTTTTTTTTTTTTCTTGATGCATGAACCAATTAAATCACTAGAATATATTCTAATTAAATTGCGTGTTAATTCCACTGTCTGTTCTATGCTGAAGATCATCATCTTGTCTATTTCATCAATATACTTATTATTTTATCAAACGTCCGTGTATTGTTCTCCAGTCTTCTAAGATTTTTCTATTCTCCTTTTAGAAGGATCGTCAACCAAAAGAAAAAGCAAATATGTCAATCGAGCTGCATGAATTCAAAGTGTTTCATTCCCCGCGTGTCACACACCTTTTTTAGTCTAAATAATAAACCAGCATCTTTCTATTCGTTTCAAATTTCTGCTGATGATGACATTGTTAGTTAGTTATCATCTTTTTTTCTTTCCTTGGAGACTCCATCAAATGGGGATCTTTATCTATCTTGCTTCATATTCTGTCACTTGACTCGCATATACATTTAATCCTTCTCATTACAAATTGTGTCGAGCAAGCCAATGCTTTTATATTATGTTGTTGGTATGAATATCATATAATGAGATGATAGATGAATGGTGTACCTGATGTATTACTAGATTTATCTAAAAAAAAAAAAAGAGTTTACTTGTATTGACTCCAACATAGTTATGTACTCTTTGTTTATTGAACCTTTTGAATTAGCAGATATGGAGAACAACAATTCGTATATTTATAAAACAAAAGCAATATATCGTTTATTAAGAAGAAAAAAAAAAAACTAACAATGACATTAATAAATAAATACATAGACAAAAGATAGATAAAATAAATCATACATACGATAATAGAATAAAGTAAACCATGGTAAACTAGAAGCAACTAACTATATGACTTCCATATACATAAGAGATCCATTACATCAATATAAACGATCTTATTTATACTTATTCCCTATAGTTTCCTTGTTCCGCATCTAATTGAAGTTTGGCATGATCAATCACATACGAATCATTGTGTACAAACATTTTCCCGGAAAATACCTAGATATCGATGATGATCAATAAAAACCGACCCAGACTGTCGCTATGTTATCCTTTTTTTTTTTTTTGTTTCCAACTTACTTCATCAATTTGTTCAAGAGATCGTCCACGTGTTTCAGGTACCAAGAAGTAAGTAAAAATGCCCATAATTACAGCCATCGATCCAAAAAAGAAGTAGGTTCCATATGTAATATTGGCCATCATAATCGGTGTTACTTTAGCGATAACTGCATTCATTGCCCAATTGAATGCTAAAAGAAATAACAATAAAAAAATTAGTTCCAGTTTATCTTATTCGGACAATCTAACTTACCTGTGGTAATAGACAAGCTAACAGCTCGAGTATGAGTAGGAAATATTTCGCTACATAAAACCCAAGGAATAGGTCCCCAAGAGAACTCATATCTAAAAATATCAAAATAAAATAATATTAGAAATTTTTGATGTTCTTTTTTTTTTTTTCATCAATGATAAACGACTTACCCAATGGCAAAAAAATAAATCATAACCACTGCTACATAACCTTTGGCACCTACTACCGCTGTTTTCAAGTTCCCTCCATTATCCTTCTGAATACCGTAAATCATACCCGCCAATATGAAGAATGCCGTAAACATAAATAATGAGCCTAGCATTAGTGTTCTTCTTCGTCCAAGTTTAGTATCCACCATAAAGAATGACAAAGCCACGAAAACAACTTTAACAACACCTAATATAATATGTATATAAATAACACATCTAGTATATATCAACATAAATATATATGTACTTTACCGTAAACACCAGTAGCAAGAATATCAATATTGTCAGTATTCATACCAGTGGATTGGAAAATTTCAGGTGCATAATAGTTCTATAAATAATCAATATCAATATATATGTTCAGTATTATATACTGTGAGACTTACGATTGCATTTGTTCCTGTCCATTGTTGAAACACTTGTACCATCACACCAATAAACAAACGATGTAACATATTTTTTTGAAAGAATTCATTCCAAACCTTTCCTTTGTGTGTCCTTTCTTCTTCTGCGGCAGTCAAGATTTCTTGTAATTCATCCACAAATTCGGGGTCCTCTTCTGGTATATTGCGTAATCGAAGAAGATTCTCCTTGACCAAGTCAGGTTTTCCTCTACAAGTAAAAAAAAAAAAAAAAAAAAAAAAAAAAAAAAAAAAAAAAAAAAAAAAAAAAAAAAGAATATTGAATTAATAAAAAAAGAAAGACATTTTTATTTTTGAAAAAACGTACTTGACAGCCAGCCAACGTAGAGATTCAGGTAAGAAGATCATGCCAATCAAGAGTAATCCGCCAGGAACAATTTGAATACCAAGAGGAACACGCCATTGATTATCACCATAAGGAAGGTTACGAATACAACCATAATCCACAAAATAACTGACCATAATACCAAGAACAATTAAGAATTGCCAAGTGGTACCAAGTCTACCTCGTAGTTTTTTGGGGGCAATTTCTGCAATATACTATCCATAATCAGTTAAAAAAAAAAAAAAAAAGGAAAGAAAAGAAAAGAGTAAAAATGTCGGCAGTTGAATAATGTTGAATTTTTATGATTTTACCATTGGTACAAGAGCTGATGTGGCGCCAATACCAACTAAGAAAAGAAAGATTTTAATACGTGAAATAATTTGAAGATGATGATGATTTATTACGTCCAGCTACAAAACGACCTGCCATCATTGTATCAAGATTATGTGCAAGTGTTTGTAATAAACCACCAAGGATAAAAATGACTGAGAATATTATGATTGCTTTTTTTCTTCCCACAGGATCTATCATTTTTGTAACATACCAAAAAAAGAATTTTTTTTTTTACATTAAAATTAGTTCATCACTTTTATTTATAACTTACCAGCTACAAGATTAGTTAATAAAGAACCTACACAACAACCGGCTTGTAATAAAGACACAACATTGCCTTTCATTTGTGCCACTGTGTTGGGATCTCCGGCAATATGAAAATATGCCGTAAATGATGGCATCGCGAGAATACCCTACAATATAAAAACTGATTCAACATCATCCCTTCATCTATGTGTAATATTATAAAAGCCCCTTTTTTTTTCTTTACAGAAATCACACCCAGGTCAAAACCTATAGAGATTTTTTTTTTTAAAAAAAATGTTGAGATTCCAAGTGATGACTTATCAATCATGATATTATTTACCAAAAAGGAAGCCTCCTAAGCATGATACAATGGTAGCTATTATAGATAAGTTTCTCATGTTTGATAAAGAAAAAGAAAAAATTGTTTTTTAGAAAAAAAAAATCAACCTTCTATTTAAAGGGGTAGGGATCCTTGCTCTCATCACCTGATCTGATGACTATAACACAACACTGTGTGGGGAAAATAAAATTACCCTAATCACCGAGTTTGACAGGAAAAGCTTAAAATCATACTTCCTTCCTATAAAAGATATTTCACAGTACTGATGATTGATTATAAATGGATGTTGGTTGATAAATAGTGACCGTAAACTGCAAATTATAACAATAGTATTCCATTTTAAATTAGCGGTTTTGATATATATATAAAAAAAAAATAGAATTCTTTTTGACGGGATACAATCATGCATTGATGTTTGGTTTAATCTATGGCCAAATAAAGTAATTTTTTTTTTGGGATACATATTGATGTTCCATTATCAAGTTCATGATCAAGTGACTAACTGATTACACTTTATTCAATAATATATGACGGAATTCAAAGAAAAAGATGTCGCAAAAATAAGGAAATAAAAATATAGTAAGGATAGAAAATAGATGATATGTAGAAGAAAAAAACAAAGAATTGGACGCATAATCCAAATTGAATACGAGAAGAAGAAAAAGAAGAAAAGAAGAGGCAGTAGTTCCATTGAATATAAGAGATTTTTGAATAATAGAAAAAATATAGATATATATGTCTAGTCATCATATCCATTTTTTTTATATATTTATTTTAACTTATCTGTATTAAATACATCCTCGAAAGAGGTGATAACATATTTTAATATGTTGCTGTATACAGGCTGATTATTCACTTTGATTTGGAAACACCAAGGAAGATTTCAAAAAAGAAAAAAAAAAAAAAAGAAGAGAATGATTAATATACTGTATCATCATCAATCATCAATCAATGTATTTTGACATACTCTAGAACGATATCTGAAAAAGTGGTAATGCGACATCCATTTTGGGAAAGACAGTTTATTTTATAACATCACGAAACTATTTTTCTTGTTACCTGACAAAGAACTTTGAAAATACTGTAAAAAGATGTAATCTCCTCATTCAATAATGAAAAGTTACAAAAAAAAAAACATCAGCCATAAATTATTTTTTTTTTCTCTTTGTAATCATGCTTCAAAAGATCAATTTTGATGTCAGTTTAAGTGTACCTATCGAAAGTGGTGATTTCTGCCCAACATCTAAAAAGTCGGTTTACCAAAGTTGACCTATTTCCTTTTTCCTTTTTTTTTTTTTTTTCTTTTCTTTTCTTTTCTTTTCTTTTTTTTTTTTTTTCTTCCTTCCCGCCTTTTGCACTTTCCTTTTTTTTTTTTCTTTCCCCATGACTACTTCCCAGGGTAAGAAGCTTCCTTCAATACTTATGTCATGATGAAATATAACTTTTAACACAATTGTTATTATCGTTATTATTATTTTTATTTTTGTGTTTTTTTTTTAAAAAAAAAATAGCACCTGCCTCAACAACAACCAACAACAACAATAATACTTCATTCTTTTCTTCATTTGCATCATCCTTTGTTCCTAGTAAAACCGCCACGGATATCAGCAAGAAATTCAACTCATTTACACAAACATTACAACAACGCGCTCGTGAACTTCCGAAGAACATCTCTCGTTTACCCGATACTTTGGATGCGGAACACGATAATTTTGTCAGGAACAAGAAGACTATTGATGAAAAGGAAGTATCCACACGCTCAGGTAAACCGATCCTCTTTTTTTTTTTTTTACTTAGAGTAACAATAACAACAAAAGTACTCATCCTTATTATTATTATTATTTTTGTACAGAGTTGGTGATGCCTTGGGATGGTTATGGTATTTATGAACAAGAACTGAAACGACGTATATTGGAGATCCCAGAGGTAAATATATATATACATAGAAAACGTTGGTATTATTCACTTCTATATTAATATGGCAAATAGGATCAGCGTAACTTTATCATTCCTCCTCCTGAAGATACTACGTTTGAATTCGACTTGAAAGCTTACAGTCAATCCGCACGCGCCATCCTTACCCAAGACAAAGCATTATCTCATATGCGGTTTTTATTGGTCCCACAACAGTAATATCTCATCAGATGATACTTCTTCCTTATCTTACTTAGTTTTCCTTTCCTAATAGAGTGAATGAAGTTACATTTTGGAGAAATTACTTTTATAGGGTCACCACTGTCAAGAAAGCTGTACTCTCTGACACAACTATTCAATCTAACTCTACGATCAACAATGAAAAGGCAAAAGTAAAACAGACTATTGTCATAACGGTGTACTATAGTAGCTGATCATCTGCTTTTACTCTTTCCACTTTTTTTTTTTTAGAACGATGGTGTACTCTTTGATTTTGCTGGAGGAAGTGATGATGATGATGAAGAAGAAGGATATGTTGATGATAAGGCCAAAAATATCCAACATGACCAAGGTAAAATAAAGGAAAAAGTAAAATGGGATATTTAGGAAAGGAACTGGATGAACTCTTCGATTTATCTTTTCCTTTTACAGAATCAAAGCAAGAGTCTAACAAGAAGCCTATCGATGACACCAAGACTATGAAAACAACTGTGGATCAACCTTCTGTATTAGAGGACGACGAAATGGAAGAATGGGAAAGGGAACTACGACGTGCTGCTGCTGAAGGTTTATAAATACCAAGTTGAGTTAGATTTGTTTGATACATATTCCCCATCCTCTATCTCTTTTCTTTTTTTTCTTCTCTCTCATCCCTTTTACATATATTATCTTGTTATTATACTTCTATTGTTGACCATATATTTTATGTGTTATTAATAAAGCACGCTCCGATCTTTTCTTGGAGCTTTCTAAAATCAATCATTTTCGTGGAAAAAGATCCCTTTATAGTGGTTTATGGTAACAAGTTATTTCTAAACAGATACCCTGTTGCTATTGATGTACGTCCAAAGGTTAGCAATGTTGATGGACGATATGATTCATGTTTAACGATATATATAGATACTTGACGACTAAAGATGATTTCCATGATGATGAACCACTAATGGCTATTGGGCATTCGGGGATGATGGCAATAATCATTTTTCTAGTCAATAAAGAACTGTGTACTGATGCCCAACTTATTCCAATCTTGGAAATCATTTCTTTTTGAAACGACAGATTCTACAAGAATCTCCAAAAAAAAAAAAAAAAAAAGAAAAAATAGCCCACATTGATAGTTATCCTCATTATGAATCCATTCATCGTTAGAATCACTCACATTCCTGGTCAAATTATTATTATTACCATTCGAAATCAAATAAATAACATGTCGTAAAGAAATAGCAAATCTCTCTTTCATTTCATATAGTATTCTAGCTTTCCACTTGTCATATCACCCTTTTTATGATTTCTATGATAGCTTAACCCCCTTTAGATCTCTAGTACAAAAAGAACCATCTGCCCGGATGATTTACACTACCTCATAAAAAAGAAACAAAATTTTATTGAGAGAAAAAGAATCTACATATACAACAAAAAGCGAAACTACAAGATCAAATCCAAAAAAAAAAAAAAACAAAGTCTATTCTTCATATTGGCGAGAAAGTAATAACTTGAAGTAGCTTGAATCAATACTTTATACCACGAATATCAATCACTAGATAATGATGATCCTCAGTCCTTTGTATCTATCATACTCAACACCTCTTTTCCTTATGTAATCCAGATGTTTTGTTGATAAGAAATCCATCTTCATTTACCTATAGTTAAAAGAAGAAAGGTAAATACATGATAAAAACTATTTTTTTATTGATCATCAATATAAAAAAAAACCATCCATCTATACATATGTACAACAATAATAACAATAAAATAGTAAACCAAAAAAAAAAGGAAGAGATAACTACACTATCATTATACTGGTTTGGCACATTTTCGATACTCAATTGTTTTCGTCTTTGGACATTGCATTTCTTGCCATGAAATAGGAATCATCGTAGCACCTACATTTTTTTTTAAAAAATAATAATAATTCATCCATGTTTGTTAGTATCATCGATATGAAATCCTCCTTTTGATTCCCTTGTTGAAAATTACCTGCAACACTAGTAGCAAAGATAACACCAAGTTCATTCTTTGCCGTGGACAAAAAGTAGGATCGAGCGTCACCTAATGAAATCACTTCTGCCTTGATAATATCACCAGGTCGAAATGAGTTGTATATCTTAACTTTATCCTTTTCAGCAGCTCGTACGTCTTGTGTTCTACATATAGGAGTATGTAAGAAAAAGAGATCATACTTTATTCTACCTATTTTTTTTTCTATTACCTAATTGCACCCATAAAGTCTTCTTTACAAGGAACATCACCTACCACCATAATTGCCACGATTGCTTGGTGAGGATTGACACGAATGATCTTGCCAGTAATCTATGTTTAAACAAAATAATAAAATGTGATTTAATCAATATTATCAAGTCTGATATAGATCCAAAAAAAAAAAAGTAAGACAGATCACTTTCTTACCACACTACCGACATCAGGGACAGCTGATTGTTCTTTTTCTTTGGAAACACTAATAATCGGTAACTATTATAAAAAGAAAGACAGAGTATTAATAAAACAGTTTAATATCTATATGTGAGGACAATGGTTATTGTTGTTGCTTAATTTACCTGTCCATTTTCCACTGTAGTGATACGACGAATACCAACCACACTCGCGTATAATAAACCGTCCCGTTCATATGTTCCATTTCCAGCGGTATATTCTTGTGCGTATCCTAAACGTTGTCCAGGTGTTACAGCGTCATAGGTATTCATTGTGTATGACTATATGAGTGACTATATGTGGATGGGAAGAGACAGAAAGAGAGATTAAAAAAAAAAAGTTCTTTTTGAAAGCCTGACATTCATTTTTTTTTTGATTTCTACCCGGACAGTCACTTACTCCTCTCTTTTCTTTTTTGGGAATTCTTATGCTCTCCAACAATTTATTTTGACACCCTCCCTCCTAGCTAATCATTAACAATACAATTGATCTTTTTCTTTTTTTTAGGGATAAATGTTCTTTGACAGATTTAAGCTTAAAAATATGATTTACTATATAGTGCTGTGGATTCACCTTTTTTTTTTTAAAAAAAAAAAAATTGGATTTTACAGCCAAAATTTTCGAACTCCTCAGCCAAGTTTTGGCTGTAAAAAAAAATCGTCGAGGGGTCATCAGGCAATTTTTCGAAAAATCGATGAAATCCTTTTGGCGATCATTACATCATTTTTTTTTCTGGTATAGTTAGGAGAAAAGAATAAATAGTTTGCGGAAATAAATAAAATAATTTATATGGGAAAAATGATTTGTATTGTACAAAGGAATGCGTGTAAGGGGATGAAGAATAAGACAAAGAATAGTAGTTTCAATGGATCACAGAAAAGAATGTCACACAACAGAAGCTGATGCTGTCAGTAAAAAAAAAAAAAGAAAAGAAAAGAAAAAAAAAGAAAAGAAAAGAAAAGAAAAGAAAAAAAAAGAAAAGAAAAAAAAAGAAAAAGAAAAAAAAAGAAAAAGAAAAAAAAGAAACATCTTTCATATTTTCCTCTATTTTTTTTTATTTAGAAAAAATAAAAAGGGATCAATAACTGGCATCATTTGATAATGAATTAGTTCATGGTTCTCATGAACGTGATGAATTGTGAAAATCTGTAACATCCGAGATTCACTTCCCTTTTTTGTCGATCATTCATCATCATCAATCATCATTTATTTCTATAATATAAAAAAGGGTCACCACGAATATGTTCAAATTCCAGTCTCTAACCACAGCGTAGAAATGAAAAAATAAAGTTTTATTATCAAAGAAAAAAATAAACCAGTATATTAGATAAACAAAAACAAACATACAATAAAATCTACATACAAATTTATAACAACATCAGTTTATTTCATTCAATATGGTATAAAGTGAGAAGGAAGTATATTACTTGTTGTATATGCTACGCAAAATAAAGAAAGATATATAAAGAAATGTATAAATGAACTATATGATCAACCAAAATAAAAAAAAATAAAATAAAATAAATAGTATGTAAGATGAGGATAAAGCCTAAGAAAAGGTAAAAGGACAACAACAAAAGGTATCACGCTTGTGAATAGATTCGGCTATCTGAGAAGTATCATGTAACGCGTTGTTGCTGATTCTTTGATAAGACTGTGGTTGTTGAATAGGTCGATATTGATACTTGTTATTGGGTCTCTTTGTGATGTGACGCCATGTTGGATCCTTTCCAGCACTACCAGCCATACCAGTTGTTGTATGATTCAATACACCCATGATCCCATGACGTCTTTGTGGCTGATACTATAAAAAAATAAATAAAAAAAAATTATGGTTAATAAAAAAAAATTATGGTTAATAAAAAAAAATTATGGTTAATAAAAAAAAATTATGGTTATTTTTTTCTTTCAAAAAAAAAAAAAGAATAAACTTACTTCCCAGCCTTTGCCTTCATTCAAAAGATCCCAATCGTAAACACCATCATCCACTTCACCAATGTTGGTTAGTACTTTTGTAAATAGTCCACGCAGAAAATCATAATCTGGTCGTTCTTCAAATCCAAGTCGTCGAGCATATTGTAAATAAATTCCAAATTCTTCAGGATATCCATTACATAGATCCTTGACCACTGTAGTTTGTTTCTTTTCACCAATACGTTCATATTTCTGTTTGTTTGTTGCTGCTTTCAATCCTTGCCACGGTAAAGATCCTCTTAAAAAGTACATAAATACATGACCTAATGCTTCGAGATCATCCCTTCGCGATTGTTCTAAATATATAATGGGTTAAACTCTTTTTATTGTAATTGTTATTCTTTACCTCTTCCCAAATGAGTATTGACACTCATATATCGAGCTGTTCCAGAGAGTGATTTTCGTTCACGATAAGGTATATGTTGATGCGTTTTTGGATCTCTGTATTGTTTTGCCATTCCAAAATCGATCATAAAAACTGTATTTGCGTGTTTCGTGTTAGGACGACCAATCAAAAAGTTGTCAGGTTTGATATCTCTATCAAAGATGAATGATTCATTTGACTAAATAATAATAATAATAATAATAATAATAATAAGATATCTTATATATTTACCTGTAAATCATATTTCGTTCATGAACACTTTCAACCCGAGAAACCTAAAAATGAATATCAATTAATATTTTATATCAATATTTTATATATATTTACCATATGTTTTGCCAACATAGCTACAGTTTTCACACTGAATGTTCTTGAACACATATCAAATAAATCTTCCAAAGAAGGACCAAGCATTTCCAATACCAAAATATTGTGCATACCTTCTTGACCAAAATAAAAAGTTTGAGGTATACCAGGTAGCCCAGCTAAGATCTTATATGTTCGAAATTCATCACGTAATTGTGGTGCATCTGATTTTCGTGGTTCAAACTTGATAGCGACTTGATGATTGTTGAGTAGATTGATACCTATATATTAAAGAGATGAGAAGTAATATAAAGAGAGAGAGAGAAAAAAAAAAGGTTAATATTTGAATATACTACAACTTGTATTTTTTTTTTTCACACGCACAATACTAAATATAAGAAGTTTCCTAACATGATTTTCTTTTTTCTTACCTTCATAAATGATACCAAAACTACCTTCACCTATTTTTCTTCCAATCTTAAAATGAACACCAATGACACTAGAAGCTGAGATAGCAACAACAGAGTTACGGTGTTGAGACCTTCGGTGAGCTGCCATGTAATAAAGTAGACGGGTATATCAAATGTAAAAAAGTATGAAAAAAAAAAAAAAACAAAATAATAATAATAATAAAAAAAAAACTAACTTTTTTTTTGGTATCTTTAGTTCAAAACGGTAGTAAAAAAAAAAAAAAAAGAAAGAAAGAAAAGATGAAGGAGAGTAAACAAGAAAAAGAAAAAAAAAAAAAAAAAAAAAAAGGAAAAAGAGAAGAAAGATGAAACTGAATGGGAGAAGGGAAAAAAAAAAGTTTTAGGAGCCGCAAGTGATAATGCAGCAAAAACCTGGACTGACATTTTTACAGTTACACCATGGAATTGACATCATTCGGATTTGTATAACATTAAGCTTTTTTTTTTTTATTATTTTATAAGATAAAAGGATTCTCTAAACCTGATTTTGATTTTTCAAACGACTAAATCCAATAGTTTTTTTATCTGCGTCGAAAATAGCATATACATTAGCTAAAAATACTCCACCTACAATCCATGGATCATTCCTTTTTGAATTAGCTACCATGCCTCCATAACATAAATCAGATCCTTCGTCCACTCTTCCTGGACTAAATGTATATGGTGAAATAGGAAATTGTATTCCACTAATCGTAAACTCTATAGTTGGAATATTGGCACAAGGCATTATCCAATGTCCACCTTTACTTGGTCTTCTTGCTCCTTTGACTTTAGAATAAAATTTTTTAACAAAGATAGGATCAGCATTGATTAGAGTAGAACCTAATAAAAAAAAATATGATTTTTTTTTTAATAAGCTAACTTGATAATGATGATGATGATGATAATGATGATTTTTTTTTTTTTTTTTTTTTTTTTTTTTTTTTTTTTTTTTTTTTTTTTTTTTTTTTTTTTACCTGTATCAACAATCATCTGTTGTTTTGTTCCAATGACTTGAGAATTTAATGATACAGAATCTAATTGGATTTGCCAAAAAGTATCACTAGTGACAGAAGCATGAGCAATAGGACCATCAATATGATGCTCATTATATCCACCCAAAGTCAATTCACCTTTTTCCCCTTCACTTGTCATATCGAGACGGATACCAAAGGCACGTTGTTTAATCTTGCCTTGCTTGTACAGATTATCCAACAAAGGCTCTGTGCCCAGATGAGATAATTGTTTGAATCCCAATCCCAATAAACCATCTGGTCGAAAAATATCCTTTTCCATGCCTCTTGAATATAACTCGGCCACACCAAACCCTTGATGATTTACTTCCAATCCACCTAACGATACCGTGTCTGTATATATCGTACCTTTCACTGATGTTTTGTCTGCAAAATTCAATTCAAAAGGTTGTGATGTATCTTCGCTGGTGGATGAATGCTTGGGATCATAGCGACCATGACCATCACACGAATCATCACAGTCAGTTCCCGGTAAAAAAAGATCTGCTGAACCAGTATCAACATCTACTGTGAATTGTTGCCTCCTTTCACCTGTTCCTACTTCAAGGATGGTATACCAAAGTACATCATTATCGGATTCTAATGTCGCCACTCCTTTGGTGTTTTCATCGGATGACTCTTTGGATAATAACGAAGCGATGAGTCCATCAGATTGTTTGTGATTGTCTTCTTGTGCTAGCTTGGATGATCTCCTAGATGATGATAATGATGATGATGTTCGATACGAGTGGAGAGGAATGATATGAACATTATCCGTACCAAACACTGGGTTAACCCACTGAACAAAACACCATAGAAAGATGAGCAATAAATACATGATAGGAAGAAATGAAGAGAAAGAAAAAAAAAAAAAAGAAGATAAAACACGTATACTATATATATAACAAGTCAATAAAAAAAAAAAAGGAGCATTTTAGAAGTGGAACATCTTCCAGAGGTTCTCCTTGATATATGAGAGTAGTCTCTTTCTTCCCTCCTGACTGGTGTAATCTACCGCCAATTCTGCATCTGTGTTCCTCCCTAATACGATCATCATTCAAATATATGTACATCTTGTACTTTCCTCAAGATATCATCGTCCTCCCTTCCCTCCTCCATTCAGAAAAAAAGAGTATCTAAAGACAAGAGCGGACTAGGATTATCTTGATACCTACAGTATTTGTGGTAAAAAAAAAAAAAAAAAACCGTTCCTTATTTTGATTAAAACATAGATTGAAGATTGATGCATCACTCCCTTTCCAAATCAAATACCTGATCACTGTATTCGCCTTCATACACACACTCTCTCACACATACATACACACTTTTTTTTTGGGTTCAAATAGGGGATGATCTCGATTCCACATTAAAAAAAAAAGTTCTTTGATTCCCCTTCAAGAAAAATAAAAATAAAATAAAAACATGCTGAGTTTGCTTTGTAACTTGTTTCCCCTTCTCTTCCAAAGCGTCATTTCTCCTTATTTTGAGGCCAAAAAAAAAAAAAAAAAGGTTAAAGCTTTTATTCCAACGTAGAATATACTATACAAACTAAGGATAAATCATCCTATCCTAAATACGAGCATTTGCCACTTGATAAAGATAAGCGCCTAATAGTTTCGTCCCTTTGATAAAGTTTGACTTGTTCAGTTTTTCGTTGATAGAATGTGCGCCCTATAATGATTCAAGGAAAAAAAAAAAAAAAGATATAATTGACCGGCTCTCATCATCTAGGTTTAAACTTACATCATCACTACGGCCCATGGGTAATAATAAAACATTCTTTTGTAAAGCTTCTTGGAAAGTCAAAGTAATAGGAATAGAGCAACCTTCACGAGTCAAATCAGGCTTGACACCAAATACATCTTCCACAGCATTTGAAGCAGCCACTATATAAATATATATATATATATATATATATATATATTTCTGTCAACATCCATATATTTGACATCCCTTTTTTTTTTTTTTGTTTTTTTTTTTTTTTGTTTTTTACCATAATTCCAATGATCAGGACTTGCTAACCAATGATCACCACCATGAGTCAATTCCACTGTGCAAGTATTCTTGGATCCGAGTTTCTTGAATTCTGATGCTACATACTCTTTGACCAAACGAGTGATTTCTTCATTGTTCATATCAGGTACAGTCCGAATCGAGAATTTTCCAGTGACCTTGGCCGGTAGTACTGTCTTATCACCAGGATTGTAGAAAGCACCTTCGATACCGTGTAGTGATAATGAAGGATATCTCCAACGATGTTGTAAAGTCGATTCTACATCAGAATGAAGATTAATAACATTACCCACAGAATTGTGTAAATCTTGAAGACTAAAGGACAAATCTTGATATGTTGCTCTTTCCTTTTCTATATATAAATAAGTAAATAAAAAAAAAAGTAAATACAACTATATATATATATATATATATATATATGTATAAAGAATTTACCTGTAATAGGAAGAACCTTGTCATAAATACCAGGAATCAAAATCTTGCCATTAGAATCTACCAATTTACTAAGTAGATGAACCAAATCAATCAAAGGTTCATGAACAGTACCACCAAACACGCCACTATGAAGGTCAGCCGCAGGTCCAGACAAAGTCAAATGGTAATAAACGCAGCCACGCAATCCATATGTCAAACAAGGTTTATCGGTTCCTAACCAGTAGTTATCCGAAATACAAACAGCAGATACATCTTTGAAGTAATTTTGAGCTTCATCATATATAATCTTTTCAAGTCCTTCTGATCCACTTTCTTCCATGCCTTCCAAGCAAAACTTGAGATTCACGGGTAAATCCAAATTTAATTGTTTGTGAGCTTCTACCACATTGATCCATCCCAAGATAGGTCCCTTGTCATCTGTTGAGCCTCGACCAATTAATCGATCTTGTGCATCATCCACCACCAAAGTAAAAGGATCAGTAGTCCATCCATCTTCTTTTAATGCCTGATCAACAAATAAAATAAATAAATAGATCGGATTTCTTCTTTTTATTTTCTTACCGGTTGCACATCATAATGACCGTAAACAAGTACTGTCTTTTTAGCAGGATCATTACCAATGGTAGCCAAAATAACTGGTGGCAATGTAAGTATGCGACCTGTGCCATTCCAATCTTGAGTTCCAGGATGTCTAGTTTCTACTGATGCACCTAATCTTTTCAATTCTTGTTGTAAATATTCTCCCATACGCACCACATCTTGTCGGTGAGAAGGATCGCCACTGATACTATTAAGAAGAAGAAAAAAGTTCAGTCAATATTATTTTTCAATAACATTCTTTTACCTAGGTATGGCCACTGCTTCAGCAAGTCTGGAGATATAATGTTGTTCATTTTGATCCACCTGAGAAAAGAACTTTTGAAGTTGTGTCATATTAGTAAGTTAATAAAAGAAAAAAGAAAAAAAGAAAAGAGTAAAGAAAAGAAAGAGGAGGCAAGAAAGGGCCCCATTTTTTTTTTGGATGCGGCATTAGAAATATTGAGTGTAACAATACTAAAAGGTTACGATGGTCATTTAAGTGTAATTATATAAAGGTAATTATTTTGAAGAATTGTTTTTTTTTTTTATTTTATTATTTTGAAGATAAAACAAAAAAAAATAAGATAAAATGAGATGATAAAATGTACCATGAAGAAAACTAAGTAAGCCTATAAACAAAGCTAAATAAAAAGGGGAAAAAAAAGAAATAGAGAGCAAATGGGAAATCAAGGAGAGAGCGTGATGTAATCTGAGTGTGAATGGTTGCTTGCGCGTTTTTTTTTTCTTAAGCCTATAAATTAAAGAGAGAGAGAGAGAAAAAAAAAATCAGTCAAGGAAAAAAAAAAAGCGCGTCAAGGGTAACAAAAAAAAAAAAAAAAAAGAGAAAAAAAAAGTCCTTCCCCCCTTATTTTTTTCAACATATCACTTACCGCCTTGGCCTTTTCTGCTTCATAACGGGCTTTATCCTTTTCAGCTTGTTGGTTGTAAGGCTAAATAATAAGAAGATGACACAATAAAAAAAAAAAGGTTAGAAATCATGTAAACAATACCCCTCCTTTTTTCATTGAATGTTTCTACATTTTTTTTTTTCATTGTGTGGATCTTTTTTATTATTATTATTATTACCTTCTTTTCTTCATCGGTCATGTTCTTCCACTTTTCGCCCAAGATTTTACCAAGTTGACCTATCAACAAAATTATCAAGTTAATACATAGAAATGAATCAACGCGTAAAAATCATCATCACTAGGTTTTTTATTTCCTATTCCCAATTTATTCAAATCATCACAACAATATCAACTTACCAAAAGTAGCATCAGGGTTTTCTTCCTTGACCTTGTTTCGGTTAGCTTGAGAGAAGAACATATAAGCAGAGAGACCACGTTTGGGAGCATTGGGATCCTTCTTAGTACGCTTGGACACCTTGGTGTCTTTCTTTGTGTCTTTAGCCATAGTCTATACAAAAAAAAAAAAAAATGGATGAGTATATGCTCCGTAATCTTCAAAAATATAATGATCGTCTTTTCATATAAGGATAAAAAAACAACACAAACACAATATCATTTGAAAAAAAAAAGAATGAAATTCATACTTACAGGTATAACTGAAAAAAAAGTTGTGATAGTAAAAAGAAAAAAAGTGTATTAAAAAGAAAAGAGAAGAGAAGAGAGAGGTTGAAAAAACCAAGCTTAGAAAAAGACTGGAAAATTTCAACTACAGCGGCTTGGGAAAAAAATGTTGAGGGAAAAAAAAACGGCTGTGTTTTTTTTTTTTAATATTAGCGTGTGTGTGAGTGAGTGTGTGTGAGTGGTGTGCTTTCTGTTTTGTGTGAGGTGTGCGCGTTATGCTTTTTTTTTATTCTCCGTTTCCCAACTCTCTTACACGTTGAATGACTCCTTCACAAAAGCGCTAACTATTGGATAGCCAATCATAGCCAAGTATGCTGCAAGCATCGTGTTTGTGGGCGTTTTTTTTTTTTTTTTTTTTTTTTTTAATCCTTCCCCCTTGGCTCCATAAAAAGCACTTTTCGAATACAGCGGTTCATGCCATATGATATGTAAGATTAGTGTTCCTATTTTTTTTTTTTAATTAGTATTTTATTTACATATATGTATACAAAAAAGACATTTTTCAATAAACAACTATAATATTACTATAATATATCAATTCTATATATCAAAATCTATTTCTTATTCAATACGCTTGGTTGACCAGGAATCCATTTTCGTAAGACTTGAGGCACCAAGATAGATCCATCAGGTTGTTGATGCGTTTCTAATAGCGCAATAATCACACGAGGCACTGCCATAGCCGTTCCATTCAATGTATGACAAAATTTCACCCATTTTTCCTTGATATGCCATGGTACCCTTACATCCTTGCCTCCAACATTATCCTTGAATTCTTTGGAAAGGTATCGAATATCTAATCGTCTTGTTTGATAATCTGTACAGTTGGATGTTGAAGATATCTATATATTTATATATAAAAAAATCTTGAGTACATCATTCCTTTTTTTTTTTTTTTTTTTGGAACTTACTTCCCCCCAGTCATTCTTTCCAGGCATCCATGCTTCAATATCATATTTTCTATAGGCACTTGCACCCAATTCTTCGGTTGGCATGTCCAATACCCTATATATGTATATAAAAAAAAAAGAAGGAATGAATATAAAAAAAAAAGTATTCTAATTTAATAAGCGATGATTTTTACCGGAAACAGAGACCAAGTTCTGAAAACATATGTTCTTGTAGTGATTGTAATTCATCCAACATATCTTGACTTTGTTCAGGACTAGTAACAGCAAATAATTCGACCTTTGAGAATTGATGTACACGATATAATCCACGTTCATTAGCAGATCCATGACCAGCTTCAGCACGAAAAGCATGACCCACTCCAACTAGTTTTCGAGGCAAGTCTTCTTCTTTGATCAATTGTTGTGCAAACATTCCCGCCAATGGTATTTCCGCCGTACCAGCCAAACATAACTTGGGTGCCGAGGTATTGACAGTGCTAGGAGTCGTCACACTATAGATTTGCGAGGCTTCTGATTTTCGAGGTTGAAAACCACATCCATAGGCTACACTGGTTCGTATTACATCAGGAGGAATCACTGGTGAGAATCCCCTTATATAAGCTTGTTCCATAGCATATTGAATCAAAGCTAATTCTAACCATACAGCATCATTCTTCAAATAGTACCATTTCGATCCTGTTACCAGAGATGCTTGTTCAAAATCTACCATATCCAAATCTTCTGCCAGTGTTAAATGATCCTTGAGTTCTCCTTCATGAATACGTTGCTTGCCAACCATCTTGATCACCTTAGCATGAGATTCATCTCCAACTGGAACATCCGGGTGAGTATCATTGGGTACCATAAGAGCATGTGTTTCCATTTCTAATTGAATCTGTTCTATTTGATTGGTAACATGTTTAATTTTATCTTTCCATTGCTTTCCTTGAGAGATATACTGGGTCCTTTCTTCCTTTGTCTTGGCTTGTCGAATAGATTTGTTTACTTGATCACGTTCTTGACAGAATCCATCGACTTGTTCCTGAAGCTGCTGTTGTTGTTGGTATAGAGCAGCCACTTGACGTATACTATCACTATCATAGTTTCGTTTGAGCATATTCTTTTCTATAGAGGTAGAATGTCGAGCAAGAGAAGCATAATCGAGTTGTGGTGGAATCCTATGAATGTCAGTATTTGTAATAGTCTCGCTTTTTGTCGTTGAATAAAGATGTTGCTGGTTTATTATGAAACTTCGCCAATTCTTTGTCACCATTGATTGTTGTATCTGTTGTCTATGTACACGCCAACCTTGTGAAATGCAGTATCGTAGCATTGTTCAATATTGACAACTGATAGAAAGAAATAAAAAGAAACAAAAAAAAAAAAAAAGGAAGAAGAAGGAAAGAAAAAAGAATATAGAAAAAAAAAAGTAAATAAAACGGAAGGAAGGGATGCTGGTATTCAAAAAAAAAAAAAAAAAAAAAAGTGAATCACGCCAGTATGCTGTCAACTTTTTTTTTTTTTTTGATCATTAATGGTAAAGCATGGATCAATAATCATCACCTACAAAAATACCTTCCTATCATTGTCAAATTTCAAGATTTATACTATACTTCATACAAAAGATTATCAAATCAACAAAATAAGAGAAACACATCTCCTTCTCATTTTTATTATTATTATTATTATTATTCATCCATCCATACACTACAAATACACCTAATCTACTATCTAAATAATAACAATAAATAAAAAAAAAAAAGAATCTAAACTACAACCTAATCTTCCTTCAATAAACTACGTCCAGACATTTCCTTTGGTACATCCATACCCATTACACGAAGAATAGTAGGAGCCACATCACATAAAGCACCCTTGGCATTGTCAATAAATTTGTAATTCTTAGAAGAGGCCATCACGAAGGGAACAGGACTACAAGTATGAGCAGTGAAGGGACTCTTGAAGTCATCAGATAACATCTTTTCAGCATTTCCATGATCAGCTGTGACAAACAAAATATAACCATGCTTCTTGCAAGCTTCCAAAATAGTACCAATAGCAGCGTCAGTAGCTTGTACACCCTTGATAGCAGCTTCATAAACACCAGTGTGTCCAACCATATCAGGAGGAGCAAAGTTACACATAACAAAAGGATACTTATCAGTAGCAATGGCTTCAGCTACTTTGTCAGCAACAGGTTGAGCACTCATTTCAGGTTGGAGATCATAAGTGGCAACCTTGGGAGAAGGAATCAAACCGCGGTCTTCCTTATTGAATTGAGCTTCGGAACCACCATTAAAGAAGAAGGTAACATGAGCATACTTCTCAGTTTCAGCAATATGCATTTGAGGAACATCATTCTTTCCAAGCCATTCAGCCAAGACATTATCCATTTGTTGAGCAGGGAAGGCCACCTTGAAGGGGTAATCAGATTTGTATTGGGTCATAGTAACAATTTCAATGTTTTTAGGGACATCACCTTTGCATGGACAGGGAGGAATACCAAGAGCTTGAGTGATTTCGCGCATACGATCAGATCGGAAGTTGAAGAAAAACAAAGTATCATCATCCTTGATAGTGCCTTCACTGTTGAGAACAATAGGTTTCAAGAATTCATCTGTTTCACCATTTTCATAGCGTTTTTCCACTGCTTTGATAGCATCATCTTCCTTGTCACCCTTTCCATAGAGAAGAGCATCAAATGCATATTGAATACGTTCCCAACGCTTGTCACGATCCATAGCATAGTAACGACCAGTAATATCAACGATCTTGCCATAATTGATTTCCTTGATCACATCTTGAAGTTTGGTCAAATATTTGATGATGGATTTGGGAGCCGTATCACGACCATCACCGAAACAGTGAATAAAGGTTTCAGGAACACCAGCATCCTTAGCAGCTTTCATCAAAGAAATAAGATGATCGATATGAGAGTGGACACCACCATCAGAAAGGAGACCCAAAAAGTGAAGACGACCATTTCCATTCTTGGCACGATCAAATGCACCCTTAATGTTTTCCACTGATCCAAATTCATTGTTGTCCATTGCCAAATCAATACGTACGATATCCTATATTATAACACCAAAAAATAAAAAATCAGTTCATCATTTTCATATGAGATTCCAAACCCCCGGTCCAAACTATACTTTTTTTTTTGTTGGGTACTTTTTCTATTCAATCCCAGAAATCAATTTACCTGATAGACGACACGACCAGCACCAATATTCAAATGACCTACTTCAGAGTTACCCATCAAACCAGTAGGAAGACCAACACCTCGACCATGAGCTTCTAAAGTAGTATAAGCATCTTCTTTTTCCATTTTATCCATCACTGGAGTTTCAGCATTGCGAATAGCATCACCTTTTGGATCTTTTTCTGGAGAAACACCCCAACCATCAATACAGATCAAACACACCTTTTCCTTGGGAGTTTGCTTTTCTTTAGGATCTTGTCCACCACCAGGCATCGTATATATAATGAGTAAAGTGTAGGGATGTAAGGAGAAGAAGTAAAAATAAAAAAAAAAAAAAAAAAAAAAAGAGAAGAAAGAAAAAAGAAAAACAAAAGTATCGCACTAAAAAAAAAAGTGGTTTAGGTCGGTGACTGAAATTATGGTGCTCAACAAAAAAAAAAGTACCCTTTGTCTTAGATCTGATCAAAGCATGAAACCATACCATTCAACTGATAATATTTTCTTAGTTACATGATCTGAATTTTAATGTATCATCATTTTTATAAACTGATGATGAATAGTTATAGGGACACTTTATTACCATGCCATCATTATCAATATGTTCATAGAGTCATCATAGAGTTGTCATCAGAAGAGTTTCCATAGAATCATTTTCACATAATCATCGTCACAGAGTGAGTAACGCGATCTTTAGAGAAATCAGTCATCATCATCATCATCATCATCACCTTCATCGTCATCATCATCATCAACATCATCATCATCATCATCATCATCATCATCATCACACAGTCATTATTATCATCATCATCATCATCTTCATCATCATCTTCATCATCATCTTCATCTTCATCGTCATCATCATCATCATCGTAATCATCATACACATACGATCGATCTCTGAACCTTTTTTTTTTTTTTTTTTTTACATCTGTTATCATAGGAATCATCTTGTTCATTACTCGTCATAGAATCTCCCTCGTTCCTCATCACCATCATTTATCATCTCGGATTTTGAATCCAAGAATTCGAAGAAGTTTGTGCTACTATGTGGGGAGGGTATATTTTGTGCTGACAATATTTTTCTCTCGCAAATGAATAGAACTAAGAGATTTAAAGACATTCTGTAAATTACCAGTGGGAGAAGCTGTCATGGAACTTCCGAGATCAAAAAAAAAAAAAAAAAGTGATCTACATAATTTCATCCAAGATGAGAAATCGATTCTGCTCACCTGATTAAAACTTGTCCAGTTTTCAGGGCAATGATCGCTATTTAAACTTTGATACAAGTGGGAGTCAAGTGATAGAAAAGTGATATAAATAATAATAATAATAATAATAATAATACTAATAATAATAATACTATATGATGTGTCTGTTGTATGACAGCATCACTACTTAAATTTTGTGTACATCGATATTGTAAACTAGATGATGATAAGTCTTTTTTTTTTTTTACGGATGAACCATCATCCATCCAACTTATACGATTCATTATATTCAAAGTATGGAACCCTTTGGTATTATCATTGTTATCATCACATGGTTTTGATACAAAACGAAGATTCATTCCGCATCATTCCATATCTCCCGATCAAAGTGGTAAAGACGCAGTAATATAAACTATAAAAGGTAGTTCAATGAACTGTTACTCAAAAACTCTCCAAAGATGATGAACCAACGGTAAATCAAAAAAAAAAAAAAAAAAAGTCGGATAATAGATTAAAGGATGTACAATTGACTTTGAACATATCGGGCAAAGTAGAAGAATCAAGGGAGGGCAATCATTACTACTTTATATGGATAAATCATAAGATATCATCACCACAGCCCATTCATTAATATAATAATAATAATAATAATAATATTAATAATAATAATAATGATAATAATAAAAGGATTTTCTGTAAATAAGCCACTGAAACTAATTTGGTAGGATGATCGGCATTTTTTCAATAGTAAGATAAAAATGGTAAAACTAATATTTTATAAAAATAAAAAAAAAAAAAAAAAAGGAAACGGAACAAAGTTTGGTACCAGTCCATTGGCACTTTTCATGTTTTTATCTACTTGTATTGATGATTGGTAAAACAATAATAGTTGAGATCGGAGTGATATTTTCTACTCATGTGAGTATAAAACTGTATCTTGGGATGACCAAAAATAGATTGTACTAGAGAAAAAATATAACTCTAATAATCAAAACTTTTTTTATTTTTTTTTCATTTTTGACATAATATATATATGATTCTATTTGTATTTTATGTTATAATGATGATGGTGATGATAATATAGAAAAAAAAAAAAAAGAAAAAGTGATGATGATAATTTAAACACAAAGTTTGAAAAAAAAAGAAAGGATTATTGTACCGAAGAATGTTCACCAATCAAGGTTCATTGATTCATGTATGGTGCGAGTAATACATATCTGTGTAACATATCTGAAAAGGGTAACAAGATAAGTCAAAAGAGTACAGTGTGATGTGAAAAAAATGATATCTTGCGCGATAGGACACCAAATTAGCCATATATTAGATACTTGTTTCCATTTGGATTTTTTTTTTAAATATAGCATAGTGTAAATAGTATACTGTTCTTTTCTTATTTTGTTTGAATGATTAAAGAGTGAAAAAGAATGAATATATTTATTATTTGACATATTATCATTAAATGATCGAAAATGTTATTTTCTTATCTCCAATGTTTATTATTATTATTATTAGTTAAAAAAAAAAAAAAAAGGTGATACCTTGAATTTATTGTACCTTTTGACTCAGTTGATCTCTCTTAGCTTTCACTAATTTCATCCCGAGCGGAGACTAAAGAAATACCGTGAGACAGGATATCCGTGTAACACCTTTTGACTTTATATTTAAAATGAAGAAGAAAAAAAAAAAAAAGAACTTTTTTTTCTTTCCCACCTTTATTTTTTTCTATATTGTACTATATTTCTTCTTCTTTTAATAAATATGCCTTTTGATACAGTAGAACATTCACATAAACGTTTACGTTTCGATGGATCTTGGATAGATGCTCAAGATGCAGCTTTTCAATATGTACCTTCTCAATTACCTTCAACTCATTCATGGAATAATGAAAGACTCGATATTCATTCAAATACAATGAGCTCTTCTTCATTTCTTGATATGACTTATTGGAAAGCTGGCTCTCCAATGGAATATCAAAATAATTTTTGGAAAGATTCAAATAACAATGGTTTTCCTCTTTTTTCTCGACAACGAAAAATATCAACACCTTCTTACTTTTCTTCACCAATCTCAGATCACGATGATAATATGACCTCACCTACTTTTTATACAACACCTACACCTATTTCAATACAAGATAACAACAATAATGACTTTGCCTCAACTACTTCTTCAGATAAATCACCATCTCCTACTATGACTTCAGTATCTCTTGCTAATACTGAACTTTTCCATGTCAATGATATTCTCAACAAATGCAATGTATCATATACCTCTACTGGTCTTAATGTGGAAGCCAAAATTACAAATGCCACAGAACTTCGATCACTTATTGATGCTTTCAGTAAATTATGTCCATCTATATCTAATTCCTTAACTCATCATCATCAACAACAACAGCAACAACAACAACAACAACAACAGAAAGAAAAACAAGATACATCAAACAGCATTACTCTCTATCGAAACAAACATTATAAATCAAAACCAGTCAACTTTTTCGACAGTGTATGTAATCTTAGTCATATGATTCTACCAGCCTCCTTCTCAAAATCAAATTCATTATCTTTACGACAAATTGGTGATGCTTGTATTGAAACCTATTTCTCTTGTTGGGTTCGTTATTCACCTATTATTGACAAAACCGAATTTATGACATGGTATCTTGTTGAACCGGATCCTATGGATACTTTGATTGTCAATTCTATATGCTCATTGGTCTTTAGTCATACTGTCAATCATCACACAAAACCTGGATTGGAAATGTTTTTACATGATCAAGATTTGGTACTTCAACAACAAGATTTCTTTTTTGATCGTGCACGCGAACACTTGGAATCTTCCTTTGATTCTCCTGACCGATGGACTGTGGTATCTTTATTGTTGATGAGTTGTACTGCTGAACCTGAACGACGACATCATTATTCTGGTATGGCTGCATCTGCTCTTTTGGAACTTGAAATCTATCCTCGTATGGTGGGTGATGAAGATGATTCTTTTGAAAAAGAATTGGATACTCGATTATGGTGGTTTGCTTGGTCCATTGATTTCTATTTGTAAGCAAAAAAAAAAAAAAAATTATATATTGTTTCATTTGAACTAAACAATTAATTAATTTTAGGTATTCAAGCGGTGTTCCAAGAAATACTCCTCGTACCAATAGAAAGGGTGAAGTGGATATGCCAAGAATCTTTGAAGAAGATATTGATCAAATTGAACATGGTGTACTCGCTGATATTCATTGTTTGAAATGGTGGCGATTCCAATCTGATGTGATTTCTCAAGTGTATGAGCAAGAAGATAGTATGACTGCTGATCGATTACGACAATATGATGATCAACTATTACAAATGTATCAATCTCTTCCTGATTACCTCCAATTGGATAGTGGTTTTGTCTATGGTTCTGAAGATCTCTATTTGTTATGTCTCCGGGTCAATGTGGAATTCAATGCGACACGAATCATTTTACATATACCTTTTTTACCTGATGCCAATGACCTTCATCCTACACCCATGGCTTTACAATCTCTTAATGTGTGTCTCAAGACAGCTCTTATTCAACTCACAACTATTGGTGCATGTAATGATGCTGGCAAACGATGTGGATTTGACCGTGATGAACTATGGCGTGCTGGTGAAATGATTTCTATCTCTATGGATGTGTACCGTAATTGCTCATCTCCTGCAGATCGTGACGTATTACTGAAAGATATTGGTATGAATGAATTCTCATTTGGATTACACAAGGCTAGGGCCATTATGCAAGCTTCCTCAGAATTCAACATGGGTCGAAAGGATTGGGTACAAGTCAATGATTGGTTGAGTGAAGAAATTAAGCGACACGAGAAATTGGATGCAGCTTTATTTGCCACCACCACCCCATCATCATCATCATCAACATCCAAATTGAAAATAGATACGTCTTTTACATCAACTTCATTGAAAAGTATCAAAAAAGAAACCATATCACCAACGATGGAAAATTCATTACTTTCAGCAGTATCATTCCCAACAACAGCATCACCGACATCAACATTGTCATCATCATCATCATCATCATCACGTAATAACAACAAGAAAACACAATCACCAAAGTTTAATCGCTCCCATTCCATTTCAACAACAACAACAACATCTGATAGTACGACTGAATTTATCTCATTTTGTCCAGATGAAAATAAACCAAGGCGATCATCTGCCTCATCTACAAATAAAAAACAACAACAGCAACGTCCTCAACAGCAAGCAGCAAGATTCCGGTACTTCAATCCACGCATGATGAACAAGTTTTTATTTATTGATGATCATCCTCTATTATAATTTAGTTTATTTGTAGCTTAGTTGTAGTTTTATCTATGTTATATATATTTATTATGTTTATTAGTTTTCTTTATCTTTCCTTCTATGATCTACGTTATTTTCTTTATACCACCAATTTAATAAAAAATTCTAGGAATACAAAGGGTAGAAAGGGCAGTAATTCAACTACCGCTAGTATAGTTTTGGTCATTGGCTCATGGTTTCGAATTTCTTTTTTCCGTTTCATTATTTTTCTTCTCTCTTCTTTTTCTTTTTTTTTCTTTTTTTTTTTTTTTCCTTTTCATTTGCTACGCTCTTATTATATCCATTTTACTTTTTTTATTTTTATTATATCTTCTTGTATCCTTGTATATAAATTTGGAATACTTCTTTGATCCCATTCTATTATCTTGGCTAGTTTATTCTTCTTTTTATCATGTTGAATGTGTATGCATGGATATTTATAGTGGGCATTATTGTTTTTTTCTCCATTACAATTATTCTCTTATTCTTTACTCGTTCTGCTATTGAACTTCCTTTACATGTTGGTGCTGATGCTGAATTTAACGATTGGCCTATAGAAACGGAAGAACTTGTGGCTGAACTTCCTGAAGATGCCCGACTTAGTTATGAACGTGCAAAAGGTAAATATATAAAAGACAATAGGAAAGGAATGGAAGGATGAGTGGGATGAAATCTGGTCAATTTTACTATTTGCAAAAGACTGCTAGATATCAATATTTAATATGAAAGATAAACAGCGTGTGTATATGTGTGTGTAGATACATAGGGACCAACACTACAAAGTGTTACGTAATAATGAACTCAATGAATTATTTTTGTTTTCTCATCTCTTCTTTTAGTATGGCAAGAACGACATCCTCCTGATAGTATTCCTACTGATATCACAGCACCTCAATATGTCTCGATTCAAGAAAAGGGTGTCTCTGCATTTGAATTTGAATGGGAACCAGAATCTCACTGCTTTGTTGCTGCTCGTACGGAAATTCAATTTGTTCATGGTGAATGTAGTGTACAAACCAATTTACCATTACCAAGAAATCAAGAAGTTTATTATTGGGAAGTAAGTAGAGAAATAGATTACATAAAGGAGAAAAAGTAGAGATGATATTGATTTTTTTTTTTTTTTGATTAGGCCAAGATGTTTGAAAAACCCGATACAACCACAGTATCAGTAGGAGTGGCTACTAAACCTTACCCAAGTTGGCGTTTACCTGGATGGAATCGATATTCAGTTGGCTACTTTTCAGACAATGGATGTAAATATTTTAGCTCACCTTTCAATGGAAAACCCTATGGATTGACTTTCAACCATGGTGATGTCATTGGCGTGGGTTATCGACATCGTACTGGTACATTATTTTTTACTCGAAATGGACGTAAATTAGAAGATGCATATACTGGATTACGATGGAATCTCTTTCCTACAATAGGTGCCAATGGTCCTTGTCAAGTACATGTGAATTTAGGTCAAATGGGTTTTGTATTTGTGGAAGCCAATGTCAAGAAATGGGGATTAGCACCATCACAAGGTACTCTGGCTCCTCCTCCTGCATATGGTTTGGAAAATGATACTATCTTATTAGCTGCTGGCACATCATCGTCATCAACATCCAACGGCATACAATCTTCTTCTACCCGACAACATCGTATGTTACGAGAACATGAACCTATCAACGATCAAGATGCTGTTTTGATTACTTTGGATGAAGAAGAAAGTCCACCACCATCGACACCTATTGCGCCCGAATTGAATGATAACGACGGCAATCATACAAGGACAAATGCTGCAATTGACTCAACAACCACAACCGATGTATCATCTCCAAAACCACCACCATATGTCCCACCATCATCATCACTATCTGGCAATGAAAGCACTTCTGGACATATTCAAGTTCAAATCGATTCAAATAACAACTCTCACTAGATGGATTCATATTAGTTATATATTATCATTATTATTATTTTTATGTTTTATACTATATTTTTTTTTTATTTTCATTTCTTCCTTTTATTTATTATATTGTACCCCCTTTTTATTTTTCCCTCCTTTGATTCAGCCATTTTATATACATACCCATTACTTGTACATACACATACAAATCCGTCGGTCCTTCAATACTTTTGCCACGTTTAAAATAAAAACTATAAACTGAGGTGCTTTTTCCTTTCTTCCTTTCTTTCTCTTGATTAACATTTTCTCTTGATCAATATGACTAATAACAACACTTCTTCTACAGGTATACTAAAAATGACAAAGGGTATAGCGTGATAGATTCTGATTCTTATGATGATGATGATGATGATGATTATTCTTTATAGAAACCGAACCAGTAAAAGTCAGTAACGTGTACGATGTAACGCAATTGAAACATACGCTTGACGATGAACTTGCCAAGGTAATTAAATGAAGAAGAAGAAAAAAAAAAAAAAGAGTATTATCTTCCCTATAGAGTAGAAATGAAACTTACCTTTATTTTTTTTTTTTTTATTTCTTGTTTCACTATGGATAGTATATTGAAAAGGAATGTGGATACAGTCAAAGCCATCAACATACGTATCTCAAGCTTGTGCTAGGATACGCGTCTGTTTTGATTGCCGGGGGCTCATTTCTCTATGAACGTAAATATGGTTTCCATTATGACAAATTCGGTGCTTTGGGTTGTGTAATCTCGTTTTGGGTCTTGCAGGCTGTCTCTTTGTTGTATACCCGGTTTGTTGAAAAGAATGAAATCTTTGTAGGTTACCTCTATCACGGCGATGAAGTAAGTTTTTATCCAAAAAAAAAAAAAAGAATACAAATGGATGGTCATTCTTATTTATTTGTTCTTATAAGCACACTGGCACTCTTAGCGTTACATCTATCATGGATCGATATTCACCTAATTATGAACTCAAGTATCTTTATACCGATGAAAAAGGACGCAAGCATATTCGATTGGACATTACGGCAAGTGTAGCTTCATGGTTTACAGAGGATGGTACATTTTTGGAATCCAAATTCCATCAACATATTCAATCATCTATTCAAACTCTTCCTAGTCGTTTACATAAAGATTAGTGTATATAAATATATATCTAGTTATTCTGAAATAAATTTATCTCGTTGGAAGAAAATAAAAACTTTCATTTTATTATTGATGTGATAAAGTATACTATTATAATCTAATCTACGTCCAATATTCTTTCCTTGATATGACCAGCAATATGATCCACCCAAGATTCTATCAATCGAAACACACCGGTCACAGCACCAAGGATCCCAAAGAGAATAGCCAATAACGACATCAAGACCACAAAGACCAAGAAACCACCAGCTGCGGCATCACCACTACAAGCAGCAAAATCAGCCAAATAACAACTATACCAAGGACAAGAAGATTGATCACAACAAAGAAAGGAGAAACCATCATGATGCGAGGAAGGAGAAGTCAAAGATGCCAGTTGATTGGGTCGAGCCACACATAAAAATAGTAAATAGGCGATGCCAAGCATGGAAATAACGATCAGGCCAGCAAATAAGTAAAAACGATCCATCCATAACCAAGTTGGTCCATGTAATTTTCTCCATTCGTCTTGATCCGTTGGTAAATGACCTAGCAGATACAGATCCACCAGTTTGCAAAGATAAGCACTTGCCACAATCGAAAGTACCACAAGGATGGCTGTCATGATGCGAAGAAAATGAACATTGGTCACAATCGCCGCATAACGAGGTCGATAGATATTGTATTCGTAACCACAGAGATCACAGGCTACATACGATGACGCGCGAGGGGAGAGCATACGCCAGCGATTGAGACATGCCACGTGCACGTATAACATAGAGCCTTTACACCGACAAGGTCGAATAAGAGGGTTTTGTTGTTGAATCCATTTCTTGGTATCTTGACTACTTGTTCTAGGATGGGTATTATTATCTTCCTCCCATGAAGAGCTGCTATGGTATCTTGTCATCAATTGAGTAAAACCCGACTGGTTATTTTGTTGTTGAGTGTTGGGAAGCATAGGATCACCGATCAAACATTCCTCATCGTCATGCATATCATTGTAAAAGTCATCGCTGTATTCTTCTTCTTCACCTTCTCCGCATATACGACAATATTTTTGGTTTTCTTCACTGGTATCGTTACTGGTTATCGTTTCTTGTATTGTTTTATTAGTTGGTTCTGTTGGAGGACTTTTCGGTAGTACAGTATTCGGTTGAGATGGGTTTTCTGTCTGTGAAGAAGGATTCAACTGCTGACTGGTTATTTCTTCATTATTGACATTATTCATATTAAAAGTAAGATAGAATAAAATAGTTTTGAAAGAAAAATAAGAAAAAGGAAAAAAAAAAAAAAAAAAAAAAGAAAAAGAGAAAAAAGGGAGGTTGTAAGACGGTCTGAAAAAAAAAAAAAGTTTCCCATTTCAACTTTTTTTTTTCCATTATGCCGCTTCTTCTTTTCCCCACCCTCCAATCTCATCTTTTAAGAACTCAAACTCAAGTACTTTGGTTTTTTGTATGGACTGATTTAACTTTATCTTCTATTCAATTATGGACAAATCTACATGATAAACATACTTGGCACTCTGAATACTTTTCTAAAGCTAACCAAGGTTGGTATCAACTCTATTTACCTCTACTTTTCTCACCTGGTCAATATGAATATACACTGAAATATTATCAGGAAAATACAGAACATTGGCTTGGTTCTCCTCAAACGAATGGTATTATCTTTATCTTACCTACCCAACCACCTTTACAGTATCACCATTTTACCAACCAGTTGAGATTAATACATCAATTGAATATTGGCAACTCAACATTATGGATTCAAACCATTGATACAGTTAATCATATTATACCACTAGCTCAATTGGATGATATTCACACTTATTTGGCTCTGGCACGAAAAAGGTAAAAACAATGAACAAATACGCGTTTTCTTTTTTATTTATTTATTTATTTTGATTAGTTCTTGTTGGATAGTTCCTGTTTCTGGCTCTTTTCAAATTGAATCTGATCAACGTCCATGGCAATTTTTCTTGTATAGAAGTTTAAAGGATGGTTCAGTACGTGTGTGGATAGTGACGACTTGTCAAGGTCAAGATGCGTGGTTACATATCAACAATAAAACATCAACATTGGAGCTGCACTCAGTGATAGACAAATCAGGTAGCAAACACAAAATGTATTTGTCAAGTGGGATCATCAGAAATCAAGATTCGACTGGTATGACTTTGAAACAACTGATCAATGCCGTCTTTTCCGAACTGAAAGCAACGACAAAGATGGAAAGCTACCAATCAAGTAACACGTGTGATGACAAAAGTACAACGATGAAAAGTTATCTCGGATATTGCACCTGGAATGCCTTTGGTCAAGATGGTGTGACTGAAGTTGCGATTGAACAAGCTCTCTCCTCTTTTGTAAAAAATGACATCCCTATTCGGTATCTTATTATTGATGATGGTTGGCAACAGCAGTGTAAAGGCTATATGACTGGTTGGGATGCCGATGGTTTGAAATTTCCTAAAGGACTTGATAAGACGATCACATCATTGAAACAAACTTATCCTATGTTATTATCCGTTGGTGTTTGGCATGTAAGTATTACTTTATTTAATATACTTACCAATCTTAATATGTTTTTATTATTTTTATTATTTTTTATTACTGAATTAATAGACACTCTGGGGATACTGGAAAGGTATAGATAGCGATATCTATAGGGATGGATCTTTTTATTCATTTACGGACAACTCAAATGATCAAATCTATCTTATCAATGATATCTCTCGATTCTACAATACATTTTATCATCAACTGAAGATGTCTGGAGTGGATATGGTCAAAGTCGATAATCAGGGAGCATTGGCCGGTAAACTCTTTCTTTTACATCAAACCGTATCATTGGAATCGAAACATCATCTATGGAATACATATTGGGAATCAATGCATCACGCTGCTAGCAAGTATTTCACACAGTCCACTATACATTCTATGGCATTGACACCTTTCTTATTGGATGGTCCACTGAAGAAATCCCACTCTGATCATACTATTTTAAGGTAATTAACTATATATTGTGATATATTAAAAAATGACGAATGGATGGACTAATCACAATGTACTTTTTTTTTTATATATACTATAGAAATAGCGACGATTATTTTCCTGATGTACTTGATAGTCATCCATGGCATATTTATACCAATGCAATGAATACCATATGGACATCACACATCTCCTCTATGTTGGACTTTGATATGTTTGAAACTATGCATCCATTTGCCGAATATCATGCTGCAAGGTATATTTGTTCAGAAAAAAATTTTTTTTTTTTTTTTTTTTGGGATAGACTCATATATATTTATCTCTCTCCTTTTTTTTTTTTTTTTTTTTCTATAGTCGCGCGTTGTCTGGTGGACCGATCTATATTACTGACAAGCCTGGACATCACAATCCAATGTTAACAAAAAGACTTGTTGCTCAAAATCGACATGGAGAATATGAATTATTGAGATGCAATCAACCCTGTTGGCCATTCTTCGACACAGTATTGGGCGGGAAACCTATGGTTGATCAAGCGTTTATTGGGATGTGGAATTCGAACGAAAATGATGGACGTATTTGTGGTTATTGGAGTATGCAGATGGAAGAAGATGTGTGTATTGGTACCACGCCCGTCCCTTCTGGTTATATTGGGTACATCACATTTGGATTGGATTCTGGGAAATGGTTATACAACAAGAAATCAAGTGGCTTTAAGAATGATCAAGACATGGAACTACCTTTTCGATTGAACGGCCGTGATGGATGGTGTCTAGTGAACGTGGTACCCCTTCAATTCCTTGGCTCTTCAACTATGATAGGTATCGCTTGCTTGGGATTACTGGATAAATTGAATGGTTTACAAGCAATCATCAGTACCGAATGGATATCAACACAATACAACCATATAGCTATCTTCAGAACTCGGCTCTCACATAAAAGTAGTCAGTGTGGCTTTTTTTTCTTATCATCATCCATTCTGTTGTGGACCAAGCTTGATGGGGTTAAAGTACAATTGAAGTCTCAGGGCAACTCGATTTGGGTATTAGATATGTTGAATAACATCTCATTAGTGGCGTCATCTGATTCGGTTTTCACTGTGGATCTCGCTGTGTTGAACCCTTACATTATCTCTAGTTAGTTTAGATTCTTTTTATTTTATATTTTACCAATAAACTTTTTGAGACACTTACTGGAACTATTTTGAAATTTACATTGTAATAGTGTGTGACATAGGGATGTTATGATATATTCTTTCATTCAAAAAGAAAACAGAACTGCGTTATAGTTTACTTAGTCAATCAAATGCAATAAATATATATAACCCATCCATCGTTAACTATCATTCATCGATCATGATTCAATCATCAATCTTTTTTTTTTAATTTCGAACTATTTATTTCCGTAATATAAAAAGAATCAATGCTGATGCAAACAGGCATCTAATCAGAGCACAGAAAAAAAAAAAATAAGTAAACTCAATTCACAAATAGTAATAGGTTTGAAAATCCCCTTCCATTTGCATATTGGCGGGGGTTTGTAAAAATGCATATTAAGATTAACAATAAGACGCGGCTATTCAAATCTACTCGTTTGATATTCTGTTCTTTTTTTTTTTTTTTTTTTTTGGTCAAACCCTTTCCTTTTTTCTTTTTTTTTTTTAATAATATATAGTATATAAACTGGCTTATCGACGTGTTTTACATATTTATTCCTCTCTTACCGGTATGGCTCCAATTACACAACCTCAACAAGACTATGACTTGGTGGTTATTGGTGGTGGTTCTGGTGGCATTGCTTCAGCTCGACGAGCCGCAGCTTATGGTGCCAAGGTGGCATTGATTGAACAACATGGAGTTCTTGGTGGTACTTGTGTCAATGTAGGCTGTGTACCTAAAAAGGTCATGTGGAATGCAGGCAAGTAATGTTTATAAAAGAAAAAAACCTTTACGTGATGACTCATTTCACATTTTTTTTTTATATATAATATATAGCTTCCATTGCGGAAACTGCTCAAGAAGCTTCAGGTTATGGTTTTGAAGTGCCCACGCCTCAATTGAATTGGTCTTTATTGAAACGAAACCGAGATGCTTATGTATCGAAACTGAATGGTATATACGATGCGAATTTGACCAAGGATGGCATTGAATGGTTCCATGGCATAGCCAGGTTTTTGGATGCACACACCATCGAACTGACACTGAACAATGACAAGAAACTACAACTGAAAGCACGACGGATCCTTGTGGCGACAGGTAGTCATTCGATCATGCCTGATCTTCCTGGCATCGACCTGGCGATTGATTCAGATGGCTTTTTCCAGTTAGAGCATCAACCGAAGGATGTGGTGGTGGTAGGAACTGGGTACATTGGTATTGAACTGGCCGGGATTTTCCATACCTTGGGTAGTAAGGTGACGGTGGTATCTCGTACGACACATATTTTACGCCATTTTGATGATGTGATCCGTGAAAATCTTTTACAAGAAATGGAACGCTGTGGTGTGAATTTCGTTTTTAATGCCAAGGTCAATTCACTGGTCAAACAAAAAGATGGAATACAGGTCAATTATGATGATTTGGATGGTCAACAATGTTCTGTGAAAGCTGAAACTGTACTCATGGCCATTGGTCGTGCTCCCAACGTGATCAAACTCAACTTGGATGCTGCAGGTGTACAAATTGACAAGAAACAACGAATCATTGTAGATGCCTATCAAAAGACAACCGTCGATCATATCTTTGCTTTAGGTGATGTATGTGGTAATTATGATTTGACACCTGGTAAGAGTAAAAAAAAAAAAAAAAAAAAAATCATGATAGGTGTTGTACTAACATTTTTTTTTTTTTTTTTTTTGTATAAAATTAGTTGCCATTGCTGCAGGAAGGAAATTGATGGATCGATTATATGGTGGTGATCAATTCAAGGATTCGAAATTGGATTATGAAAATATTCCTACAGTAGTATTTGCTCATCCTACTTGTGGTACCATTGGATTATCAGAAGATCAAGCGAAGGAAAAGTATGGAGAAAAGAATATCAAGATTTATAATTCCAAATTTGTCAATCTTTATTATGGTTTATTGGATCACAAACAACCTACGGCTTACAAGATCATTGTAACAGGACCTAATGAACTTGTGGTGGGACTTCACTTGTTTGGCAAAGGAAGTGATGAAATCTTGCAAGGTTTTGGTGTGGCGATGCGTATGGGTGCTACTAAGGCAGACTTTGACAATTGTGTGGCGATCCATCCGACAGCAGCTGAAGAACTGGTGACCATGCGTTAACTTTTTTTTTAGTATAGTTGTATATGTAGTGTTAGTTTTTTTTTTTTTTTTTTGTCAATAAAATCATACACAAATCATTGAAATTATATATGTATTTATTCAAATTAAAAAAGGATATACAAAAAAGAAATGATCTATATCTAAATGGAGGAAGAAGTATCTTCAAAGGAAGTTAAAAAAAAAAAAAACAAAGTATGATACACTAAAATAGAAGAAACTAAATGAAGAATAAAAAAAAAAAGAAAAGAAAAGAAAAAGATAGAGAGAGGATGATCAAAGCTTGTTCTTGATACCAGCTTCCTTCAATAATATCGCCAGTTTTCCTGAGGCCAAAGCGGCTTTGAGATCATCGGATCCACCAACATGGACTTGATTCACAAAGATATTAGGGACAGTACGTTGCGAGGTTAATTCAGCTAAACCTTGTTGGATATCTAAACCATCAGGTAGTTCATTCAATTCCAAAGCCTTGTAGTCCACCTTGAGATCATCAAATATATCCTTGGCTCCAAGACAATAAGGACAGTAACTTTTGCTAAAGATCTAATAATAAATGTCAATTCAGGTCTACTTGCGCCATTTTTTCACTTACTGTTACTGTATTTTCAGAGATGGTCTTCTTTATGAATTCTTTGATCAATGACATTGAGGAGCGTCTGTAAGTGGTATCCAAAAAAAAAAAAAAAAAAAAGAAAAAGAAAAATATGAAAGCAAGGCACTTTATATACAGTTTTGAGCACGCCATTGGGCATTTTAACTCCCGATCTCCAAAGCAAAAGTTGAATTTAGTAAGCATGACAATGGATGATCACTGACAAATCAAGCACAATGATAGAAAGGTGAATTCTTATTAATAAAAAATAGAAACAACGTATATGGTTTAATGTATATATTTTTGAGACCAAAAAAAAAAAAAGATAAAGAGTTGGTGCTACATATACTGACTATTTATTACTGTATGATAGACAAATCTAAGGCTTTCCATTGAAAATTAGTTTTCCTATTCATTCATTACTGTACTAGTAGTTTCTTTATAAAAAGATAAAAGGAAATTTATCTATTCATCTGATTATAATAGATTCCTTCTAACTTTACATATTATTCATCCCACTTGAGAAAACAAAGGAGAGTATTACTATTTAGGGAAAGTTCAATTTTTTTTTTTTTTTTTTTTGTCATCATCATAAAAATAAAGATTTATTTTATTATTCATATAGACATCATAAAGAAACTAAGATAAATCAAGCATTGATCAACTAGGGAATGATATAACATTTGGAATAACTATGATGAATTGAGCCAAGGGGAAAATGTGATATTATAGTTCTTTTGAATGGGTTTGAGCATCTACATTATCGTTCCAAACAAGACAAATAATAATGTAAGAAGTGATGGTACTACAATATTGCTGTTTTATCATTATTTTTCTTACGATTTTGATAATAATATGTTTCAGGCACCGGGAAACGATAAGGTGGATACACAGGATGGTTTTGGAGGACGTAAGGTGATCCATCGCCTATCATATATATGTATGTAAACAATAAGAATAAGATATGACCAAAAAAAATAAAAAAATAAAAAAATAAAAAGGATTCAAACTTATTTCTTTTTGCATACCATTATACATTGGATGAGCACACATCATGATGTATCCATCTTGAGTCGAAATCACGCCTGGACATTGATATAAAGGCATGTACGAAGATTGACCATGTGGAGGGATCATCATCATTGGATTTCGAAAGTACTAGGAATAAAAGTAAGTTATATTAGTTTCTCTTTCTTTTTTTTTTTTTTTTTTTTTGACTGCTCTTACAAGGTTATTATAACTACCATCATGAATATAATCTTGAGGTCGATTATTATCTTTAATTAATTCGAATTGTTCTCGATAAGGTTTACTGCCATATGGCCAAATAGGTTCTGAAGTATCATATCAATAACAAAAAAAGTTAGTTCATTTATATCACATTTTCTTTTGATCTTTCTTATTTTACCAATAGAGTCCAATGAGGGATAATTTTTGCGGAAAGGAGAGGCAATCATGTTATTAAGTGTGATAGGATGATCGGGTGGAGTGAGTGGAGTGAGTGGACTTGTTGGTGTAGTTGTACAAGTAGTTTCAGTGCAAGCACTAGTAGCTGTTTCATCATTGGCCTAGTTATAAATAAATTATGTGTTAATATCATTATCACATGTTTTATAAAACGTACTCTAGTAATGACAGATAATCTGGATGGTTTGAATTCGGGCGCCATAACATTGAACTTGAATTCAGGATTGTAGGTCTCTTTTTCAGTCTTGTCGCTGTTATCTTGTTGCTGTTGTTGTTGTATCTGTTTGGATGCGCTGAAGGATTGACTTTTTTGTTTTTCATGATAACTATTGTTCGAGGAGCTGATGGACTTGTTCTTGAATGGTGCTGGTTGAATACGTCCTTGCTGGTGGTAGCCGGAGTGAAATATTGGGAATCGATGATTGTTATAGCTGTTCTGTATACCTCCAGGGTTATCGATATAATTGATCAATTCAAGAGTGGTATTCTGTTGAACTGGAAGTTGTTGGATGCTTTTGGTTCCAATTCTTTGAGATGATTCTTTGTGTGGCTAATAGACAGAAAGAAGAAAGCAAAAAAGGAATGCATTGTAAGAAAAATAAAAAAAAGTGAGGCCGTGTCTATAATGGTTTTTCTTACGTTTTCAATGCGTTTGCTGGTCGTGTGTTGATATTGTAGCCTTTGATGCTCTCGAGAGTCTACATGATGGCGATATTGCTTGGTCTTTTGCTGTTGTCCATCAGTAATCATAGTAGAGTCCTGCATAGATGATTGATAATGTTGGTTTCTCTTTTCACGCTTGTTGTTATTGTTGTTGCTATTGTTGCTATTGTTATTGTTATTGTTGTTGTTGTTTTTCTTGTTATTGTTGTGATATGAGTTTCTACGTACGGATCCAGACTGTCTTCCTCGATGCCAATTTTTATGATCTTGTGATCTAAAGTTATGATCGTCCGAATCATAACGATGAGTTGTTGACTATACACAAATATAGTGTTCAATAAGTAATAGTTTCCCTTTTTCCATTTTCATATAATCTTTCTTTTTTTTTCATTCACCTCTTTTGTTTTCTCATCAGCCATATCGAGTTCAGATAGATCCAGATTTTCAATATCAGTATGTAAGTCAAGAAGATTGTCATTTGCAGTTATTTGATCCCATGACTTATCAGTGTCATTTCCGGATACCATAAGTACTTGATCTTTTTCTTTTTTTTTTTTCGAAGGGAGGAGTGAGTATAAAGATATATCAACCACAGAAAAAAAAAAGGAAATAATGACAGTAAATACATACATGTTTTGTCCATTTTTCATAAAATATTACCTTTATCTTCAGTTCCCCTCACGTTCACTTTGACAGGAGAAATATTTACAATGCTGTCTCTTTTAATAATCAATGTGCCTTGATGAATACCCCATACAACTGAAGATGCCTTGATTTCCTTTTGTGCGTCTTCCAAAACAATAGTTTCCTTAGTTAAGGAAAGAAGAGTGCCTTGAAAGCGAGTACCATGTTGAGTAGAGAGAATGACTCGATTTCCCTATAAGAATAAAAATATATAATTTAAGATTCTTTTATATTTAGTAAGTATATTATTTACAGTCATAGAGGTGATTTTATGTTTCCAATGATCGTGCCTATGCTTGCAAGCGTCCGTCGACTTGGTAGATAATTCAATTGACTTGTCATTGGTATTATTGCTTTCATATTTTTTTTTTGACATGAGGTTTGACGACCAGATAATAACAATAACAATAACAACAAGAAGAAGAAGAAGAAAAGAGAAGATTGATACACGTGAGCAAAGGAGAGAAAAAAAAAGTAAATGTATCTGTTCGTTTATTTGTTTGTTGTACCTTTTATGAAAAATAGATCTTGGGTGAGATTTTAATTGTGAAGCATCACCAGAGTTCATGGTGAAACGAGTGACAATATGATTATATAAAAAATAATAATATTAAAAAAAAGAAAAAAGAAAAAGGAAAAGGACGGAAAGAAAAAAGAATAAAAAAAAAAAAGAAGATACGCAAAAAGAGAATTTATGCCGCTACACCTGATTTTCACCAAGTATAAATTTTCCACTCAAAACGTTAACTGGATCATATAACTTAAGAAAAAGACATGTCATTATTGAAAAATAAATAAATCTCAATTGATGATTATGGATCCAAAAGAATGAATTATATATTGTCTTTTATACAAACCATGATATGCGGTGATTGAATTAGGGAAACAACCAAAAGTAAGTTTGCAAACAAAAAAAAAAAAAAAAAAGAATCGGATCTCCTCCGGGAGAGGGGCCTTCAAATTTTTTTTTTGGCTTTTGTCGCTTCAGCTTTTTTCCTTCCTTTCCTTTCCTTGACCAATACATCAAAGGTAAAGTTTAACTTCAATCCATCCATCCATCCATCCATCTATTGATTCATTTTTAACAAAATGATTTATTTTTTTTTATCTTTTCTTTTTATTATTTCTATTTAGATGCCTCCTAAATTCGATCCTTCTGAAGTAAAGATTATTTACCTTCGTGCTACTGGTAATGAATGAAAAAAAAAAAAGAGAGAGAGAAATCCGATACATTACAACAATAACGACGAACGACAATAACGATAGTGACGAACTTTTTTTTCAATTGGATAATTAACGAATGGAATAAACAATCTAACAATTATTATTATTATTATTATTATTATATATATAGGTGGTGAAGTTGGTGCTTCCAGTGCTCTTGGTAAGTTCGATATATATATTAGAAAGATGGAAGAAATAAAAATTAATGAATATTATCTTTTATATACTATTATTAGCTCCCAAGATTGGTCCTCTTGGTCTTTCCCCCAAGAAGGTTGGTGAAGATATTGCCAAGGGTACCAAGGAATGGAAAGGTCTCCGTGTCACTGTCCAATTGACCATTCAAAACCGTCAAGCTCAAGTATCTGTTGTGCCCTCTGCCTCATCTTTGGTGATCAAGGCCTTGAAGGAACCCCCACGAGACCGTAAGAAGGAAAAGAACATTAAGCATAGTGGTAACATCACTTTGGATGATGTCATTGAAATTGCCCGTACCATGCGCTACAAGTCTTATGCTCGTGAACTCTCTGGCACTGTCAAGGTAATTGAAATGAAAAATCATTTTCATCTATGATAGATCAATTCGGAATGGACAAATTGATTTTTTTTTTTTTGTTACGAGTAGGAAATCTTAGGTACTGCTCAATCAGTGGGATGCACTGTTGATGGTCAAAATCCTCAAGATATTTGCAAGGCCATTGATGCTGGTGAAGTCGAAATTCCTGTAAGTGAATGAATGATTTTAAAATTGTCAAAACTAATCTTTTCACTACTTTTTTTTTTTTTTTTTTTTTTAGGAAAAATAAATTATCTTATTTCTTCAATAATAAAAATCAATCTAGGCATCTGTAAAAATAAAACCTCTTTGTTTATCCTTTATTTGTCTCTTTGATCTTTTTGATGTTTTTATTTTATTTTTGTTTTGTATTATAAAGAGAAAGATGACATGATCAAAAAAGGTACAAAACGTCAACTTGCCACAATTGAAAAATGGGAAAACTGGATTATCCTTTTTATCCGAAACCTTGGAGAATAAAATTGGGATTTTCTTTCGTTACCTTTTTTTTTTTCTTTTTCTTTTTCTATTTTTTTTTTTTTTTTTTTTTTTTATCAAATGGAACAATCTTTAAATGAAATAGAACCATTATTAAATGATACACGAAAACATTGGTTATCTCGAATACAACGATGGCTTCATCATCATATTCTCTTGTCAGTGTCTGTGATCCTTTTTTGTCTCACCATAGGATGGCTGAGTTTCATCTTTTGGTGCCTTCCATCTGTACAAAGAGGTACCTTTTTTTTTCATTCAATTATTTACTCTAATTATTTACTTCTTTTTCTTACAACTCTTATAGGCAACAATGGATATCATGGTCATACGGTATTTGGAACTCATGGAGGTGTGGCTGTAGAGGCTGAAGAATGCTCTAACGTTGGTGTACAAAGTATGTAAGCAATACAGGTACAACAATATGTGTGTTTACAGTTTTTTTTTTTTTTCACCGGTGCTTCTTTTTCTGATAGTATTACAACAAGGTGGAAATGCCGTTGATTCAGCTATTGCTTCTGCTTTATGTATTGGTGTCATCAATAACCATGCTACAGGTAGGAACAAAAAAAAAAGGTACAATACCAATACAAAGATATATAATAACTGTTTCTTTTTTTTTTATTTTTTATTTTTCTCAAAAGGAATCGGTGGGTACGAATATAGATCAAAAGGAAACCTTTATAACACTTTACTGTCAACTAACTACTATCTGGAATTATTTTTGAAGTGGTGGATTCATGTTGATACGATCACCTAATGGCACTTATGAATTGATTGACTTTCGGGAACGTGCACCGGCAAAAGCTCATCAAGATATGTTCGTCGAGGATCCTATGCTGGCTCAAGTTGGCGCGTTATCTATTGCGACTCCTGTAAGATACTCTATTTGATATTGAAAAAGGGGAATGTTATAAGTATTCATAATCATCTGTATTACTATATAGGGTGAAATTCGAGGATTTGAACTAGCACATCGAAGGTAAAAGGAGAGTTAATTCCAGAATGATTTTGGTTATTTACTTGGTGTTTTTAGACATGGAAAACTAGAGTGGTACAAACTATTTGAACCTGCTATTCATATAGCTCGTTATGGATTTGTGGCAACCGCATTTCAAGAATCTCGTCTTGAAGTAAGTATCATTATCCAATTGAGAAAAACTTGACTTAAAATTTGTTTTCTCTTTCCTATGCACTATTTCTATAGTTAGCGGCTGACTGGATCATGGAATCTCAAGTATGGAAAGATATCTATGCACCCAATGGCACTTTGGCAAAACAAGGCGGTATTATTCGACGACCAGCGTTAGCAAATACACTTGAAACAATCGCAAAAGAAGGAGCCGATGCTTTTTACAAGGTAAAATAATAATAATAGTAATAGTAAAAATAAAAATAAAAATAAAAACGGAAGATAAATCACTTTTTTTTTTTTTTTTTTTTTTTTGAACGATGAACTATTTAGGGACCAATAGCAGAACAAATGATTCGAATGATTCAAGAAAATGGAGGAATTCTTAGTATGGAAGATCTGGCATCGTACAAGGCAATTATTCGACCTACCATTAATACATATTATCATGGACGAAAAGTCACCACGGGAACATCACCTACAAGTGGACCAATGATATTATCGGTTTTAAATCTTTTGGAACGATATAATCTTCGTGTGCAAGGGCAAACAGCGCTAAATATACATCGATTACTGGAGGCTTTCAAGTTTGGATATGCTTTTAGAACTGAAATGGGAGATCCTGATTACCTTGATAATGAGGACCGAATGCATCAAATCATCTCAAAAGAATGGGCTTCTCTTGTTAGAAAAAATATATCTGATGTAAGTTTTAATCAAAAGGATATATTTATTATCTTGCTTACCTTATTTTTTTTTTCATATGTCAACTTTAGGAAAAAACCTTTGAACCATCCTATTATCAACCAAAATACGATCATATCGACTCTCATGGGACAATGCATCTTTCTGTAATAGATGAAAATGATGGTGCGGTTGCTTTAACATCTACTGTGAACCTTTTATTTGGATCAAGACTGATGGATGCAGTTACTGGAGTGATCTTCAATGATCAAATGGATGATTTTTCCATTCCTGGGTAAGCAGATCTATTTATATCTTATGCATTGATGAATAAACTAACAAGATTTTATACTTCTTATAGCACGCCGAATATGTTTGGGCTTTCTCCAAGTAAAAATAATTATGTTGGTAAGTCTATTATAAGTTATCAAATAAAGGTTTCTGATACAAGCACTTTTTTAATTATCTTAGCACCTGGGAAACGACCTTTATCTTCTATTACACCTGTGATTGTGGAATATGATACATCTCTGGAATTGGTGCTTGGAGGCTCAGGTGGATCTACCATTCCAACATCAACATTGAATGTAAGTGTGTACATATTTTATGAAAAGTAGAATAAAACCTTCTCTAGTGATTGATTTCTTTTTCATTTAGGTATTATTAAATGTATTGGATTATCATAAGGATTTATATGAAGCGACTGAATCTTCACGATTTCACCATCAGCTTATACCTAATTTGGCTATTGTGGAAGATGATCAAGATGTATTTTTGATGGAAGCATTAAAGGATCGTGGACATCAGGTATTAAAAAAATAAAGACTCAATACTCAAGATAGGGTTTCATTTCATCTTTTTTTTTTGATTTAGGTGTTTTTGCTACCTCCTGAATGGCATATATCTGCGGTTCAAAGCGTTCAAAGATTCCCTAATGGCAAGATTGCTGCGGTGAGTGATCCAAGAAAACAAGGTCTGGCTGCTGCTTATTAGATATAGAGAGTGCTTTTTTTTGGATGTTTGACAATAAAAAAGAACAGGACGCATGGATCTTTTTTTTTTATATTCTTTATTTGTTTATACTATATTGTAATTTTGAATGTACATGAATAAACCCTATTTTGTATTATATATAAATGGATAGACTTTATTAACGATTTGATGGGGAGGGAAAATATCAACAAAAAAAAAAAAGAATACCTAAAAATAAGTAAGGACAAAAATTAGACAATTATTGTAGAAACAAGGAAGGATAATAAATAATTATAGGTGATAGATAATAATAGATAATCATAATAATAATACTAATAAAAATAATAATACTAATAAAAATAATAAAAGAAGGGAATCAGGAACGTGTGGGAATCCAAGAATAACTTGATTTTGATGAAGGGATACGAGAATTTTGTTTGGATGGTTGCCGAGGGATGGAAGTAGAGAAACGAGGAGCACGAGGTAAGAAGGACCGGAGTAAAGGACGTGATGGTACCTTCTTGATAGGTGAGCTAGGATCATCGCCACCACCATTGATTGTATGATCGTCATCGTCATCATCATCATATAAAACCTCTTCTTTATCATTCTTGTCTGCGGTAGTGTTGAGCATGGGTTGAGAAGTCACTAATGGATGTTGTTTACGTTGCTGTCGACGCCGTTGTCCTTTTTGTTCAAGAACTGATTTTGATGTAACATGATCATCCACTTTGGTTGTCATCATAGAAGTGGACTTTTTGACTTGCTTTTTAGATGGAGATGAAGCATGAGAGCGATGATGGCGACATCGATGATGGTGATTGCGGTGATGTCGATAGGAAGTTGGAAAAGAAGAATGGTAACAATGTGGTCGAGAAAAACAGGATGAAGATGGCGAAGGTGATGTTGAACAACAAGCTGATACTGGTAATATAATTGGAGCTGATGATGTGTGCGTACATGCGTGATGACCATGACAATATGGATGATGATGATGTTGTTGTCGTTGTTGTTGCAATTGATGAGATTGGCAGCTATGTGGCGTCGCAGGGATGGATGATGATAATGTATTGCAACATGATGGTGATGATGGTGATGATGACGATGATGATGATAGTAATGCGTTTGTCATAGTTGAGTTGTTACAAGGAGTACTGTTTGAATGGCACGTGCATGTACCATTTCCAGAACATAAAGCTAATGCTGATCCATGATGATGGCGACTATGTTGATGGTTGTGTTGGCTATGCATGATGCAATCATGTGAATGTTTGTGCGAATGATCGACGTCGAATGGTCTTTCCGTTTTCCCGCCATCTTCATTGTTGGTGGTACGTGCTGATCTGCTTTCATGTTGATCTGCATTGTTGTCATCCAGTTGTTTCTTCAAGTTGGTGGGATTTTTCAATTCATCATCGTTTTCTAATGAGAGACTTGAGGAGGAGGAGGAAGCTGATAATGAGGTAGACATGGTTGGGAGTGAGTATCGGCGACGACGACGTGCTTGACGTGATTTCTTCATTTGTTTCAATTCGGCTTGTTGATGCATTTTTGTTGGCAAGTGTTCTACCAAGGATGGTATTTCCAGTTTTTCGTCTAGTCCATTATTTTTCTTCTGTGCAGCCAATGGTATGTTTTCCTTATTGTTTTCAATGTTGTTCACACTACAGGAAGAATTTGATTTCATCACATCGTCATCGCTATTATTTCCATGAGTATTGTTGATTGTTTCCACAGAAGTAGCTGATTTTTTATTTTGATTCCTAGATAATGATGATGATGATGATGATGATGATGTTGACGTTGATGATGATGAAGATAGTGAAGATGCTATGGTTGAAGATGGTTCATTGGAAGGCGAATGAGATGAAGGTAAAAAAGATGGCGGTAAATTGGTACCACTGGCGGGTATGCTTGAATCTGTTGCATTGGAGGGGTCGATTCCTACAGTGACGCTAGTTTCTTTTGGTTTCTTGGTGATTTGCTGTTGAGGTATTTCTGGAGTTGGACTGGGTGGTGACAGTTGAGGCTGATAGGCACGAGGTAAACCAGACATCGACTTTCTATTTTGTTGGGTGCTAATACTTGGCTGCAAGGAACCATCCATGAGAGGAGAACGCAACAGAACACCAGAGCCAAAATTCATTCTGTCCATCATACCATATTGCTTTGGATGAAGATACTGTCCAAAACCACCATATACAGATACCGATCGAGGAAAGATATGCTTGTGATTGTTTGTATTTTCCATCTGGTACGAAGTTGCTGGATGGATTCCTATTTGTGATTGTTGTTGATGTTGTTGTTGAATAGTGTTCAATTGAACTGGATTGTATGGAGGCAAGATGATATCGGATTGATACGGAAATAAAGGGCGTTGTTGCCATTGTTGCTGTTGTATATAATCAGTTGCAAACGGTGCTAAAGGTGTTGCTCCAACGACGCTTCCACCATTTCCAGAAGCTGCAGCGACACTACCAGGGGAAGAAGAAGCATGATATATATCCGTCATCATAGAAGAAGAACGCACGATAGAGTTTGAAGGTACAGAAGAAGCAGGAGGTGTAGCCAGACTATAGGAGGTGTTAGAAGCAGGGATAAAGGATCCAGGTTGCTGATGCTGCGATTGATGAGAAAAAGGCGACATGGAGTCCAATGGATTTAACACGGGCATGGATGGTGAAGCAAGATAGTGACGCATAACTTGATTCCTTTTTTTATGTTGAGTCTGATAATTGGATTGACTTTGCTGATTTTGTGATTGTTGAAGCTGATCCATTTGTTGTTGACTAGGTAAGGTATTTGGAAGCATAGAGCGACGACATTCCTGACGATGGCGTTCCTTCATCCGAGACATAAATACGTCGGTTGATACAGTATTTGTTTGTATACACTTTCGCTTTTCTTGAATATTTTCTTGAGATCGTTTTGATGAAGAAACAGATGGTGTTGGACGATGATGTTGTGAACGTTGTAGCACGATATTTTGTTGTTGTCGATTATGATCAGAAGTGTCCATAGGTAAATCTGTATCTGGACCACTAGAAGAATCAGAATCATCGGATTCAATAGATGCATGAGGTGTCGTCATTGAATTTTCATTGTGAACGGTTGTTGAAGATATCAAAGCGGTGGGTGATGATGATGATGGGTTGATATTTGAAGGAGTTGATGCAGGTCTAGGGGTAACCAATATGGAACTGGCAGAATGAGGAGCTGAGGAAGGAGATTCAGGAGGTGGTTGATTAGTTTCAATGCAGAATGAACTTTGATTAGCTTCGTTCTGTTGGTAAATACTAGATTCATTGTTTCCTTGTAATAGTGTGTTTGTTTGGTTTTGTTGATAATCATCAGGGAGGGTTTGATTTTCAATCCATGAATCCAAGTGGCGTACTGACGAAGATGGTGGCAAATCAGGAGCTATACCGAAGTAAAACATGTTTCATTAGTTCGTTGAATATCAATAACATTATTTCTTTTTTTTTTTTTTTTTTTTTTTTTTTTTTTACCTTGAATTAAATTTTCATTTTTTGTTTGATCTTGAAGTCCTTTTAGTACATCATCAAGAAGACTACTTTGAGTAAATATCATAGCTTCATCTGATTTGTTGAAATCCGTGATCGTATTGGATAAGAATTGTTGTCGAGTATCTTCGTCTGATAAATTATTGTTGAGTACTGAATAAGAAATTGAATCTGATTTCTTTTTCTTTTTGAATAAATTTCGAAATAATCTTTCCATTATATAAAAATATTAAGATTTGAATACAAAAAAAAAAAAAAAGAAAAGAAATAAAAAAAAAGAAAAAAAAAGTGTGAACTAAGAGAAAGAGAAACACGTTAATTACAAAATCGAAAAAAAGTCTGACCGCCCTCAATTAAAAACAATTTTCACAACCCGCTTTATTATGCAATACCCCTTCTTAGTTTGGTTGTATATGTGTGTATCTTGCATATTCTATTATTTATCTTCAACTGTTGTCGTTCATTCCTTTTGGATTAAAATAAATAATCATAAAAAAATCAATTCAAGGGAAGTATTATTAAAGAATAAATCAATCTATACCAGTTTTTATAATTCGGCACGAGACAATAAGAAAAAAAAAAAAAAAAAAACAGGTCTTATCAGGACTTTATATTACAAGTGGTAGTTTTTTTTTCTATTTTTCCTAAATTGTCTCCTATTGGGAATATTCTCCTTTTTATAGCAATAAGCTTTTCAATCATATTGGATAGTCTTTGGACTTTCAATTTCCGACTTCTTCTTTTTTCATACAAAGTTCGACCCCTCTCTCAATCTTTTTATCTTTTTATCTTTTTCTATTTTCTTTCTTTTTCTCCTCTACATGTTTATAAACAATTACTTTTATTGAAACTATCATTCATTTCATATATCCCTTTGTATAAAACTCTTTCTTTATTCAATCTTCTAAACTACCATTATTAAATGACATCCAGCTAAAAGGTAAATCATAACATGCAAAATGGCTCAACACGCTTACATATGCACTTCTGCGACTGCTCTTGTAAAGGTAAGGAGAAAATATAAAAATATAAGAGACAACAATTAACTTGTTACATGACTAATCTATTTTTTTTTTTTAAAAAAAAAAAGAAGTTCATCCGTTTAACATTATATAGATTTGTATATTTTATGGACTAAGTTACTGACTCTACTATACTGGAAATAAATAGTTACCAAAATGTGTTTAATAGAATGTAAGTAGGATCCAAGAAAAAAAAAAAAGGAAAGAAAAAAGGGAAAGGGAAAGGGGGGGGAAGGATGATGATAGTTTAACAAAAAGGAAAAAACTTTACTAGTGTTGAAATTTATTTGATCCAATGATAATGGTCATAGGGTTATTGAAAATGATGATGCATTATTAACTTATATTCTTTGACTTATACAATTTTTTAGGAGTGTATCTGCATGCCAACGTTGAGGAATATTATTACGATTTGAACGAACAAATATATCAATGCAGGGACTGATGGTGGATAAACTTGTGGTAAATATATATACATTGTTTAACCTTGCCACACTTTTTTATTTTTAGATTTTCCCAGAATTTACAAGACAATGACGAATCCACTTGGTCATTTCCTTTTTGGTTTTTTGTCCTTTTGACTTTTATTAGTTGATGGTTGTACTGTTTCATCTTTTTTTGCCCTTTATGTATTTATCTCCCTTAGTCTATAGTATCATCATTTTCATTCTATTAGTATATCTCACAATAAAATGTAAATTTTGTCTCATCTGGTGACTCCTTTTTTTTTTTTTTTATCTGTACAGGTTGATATCATCCTTATATATATATATATATATATATATATATATAAATGATGATGATGACGATGAAGATAGTTGTATTGTTTAGTTTCTATTGTTATGAAAAATGGTCAATGCGTCATCTTTTATTAAATGTGTATATAATGCATTGTTGTTGTGTTTTCACATCAGCGCCATGATCGATATTATTATTAATATATGGTAAAAAAAAAAAAAAAAAGGTTACACTTAACCATAGCCATTTGTGGAATGGAAAAACCCTGACCGAATCAAGTGAACAATGAATCAAAAGCTTTTGCTTGTATTATATATTGAACCTCTCATCTGACAACAATCTAAAAGGTCAAACAATGTATGATTATATTCTGGAACATGCTTTTCATATATCTACTAAAAAAAAAAAAAAGAAACTTATGTTTAAGACCATATAATCATCATCTTATTCATAAGTCACTAAATCATTCTGTTTAAAAAAAAACCATCATGTTGAAAGAGAACTCATTTGAATAGTCATATAATCAGGTTGTACAAGTGTACAGTACAAAAGAAACAGAGAGACGTTTTTCATTTCATCTTATCTTACCGTATTCCAGTGATGATCTAATAGGATACTCTTCTGATTGTCGCAATTTTCTTTTTCACTTCGCTTTTACTACGGAATTTCGGCACATGAACTCATAGTAGTAAAATCATGTTGCCTAATAACTAATCTTTAAAAGCCAAGCCGTGTAACAAAGCAACTTGTAAGGAGGATGATTTTTTCCCTTAAAAAAAAAAGAAGATATTTTATTGAATAAGTATATAAATAATGGAATATAATAGGTAGGCTTAGGTGGAAAGTAAGGTGTTGTCAAAAAAGAATTCCATATTCACAGTAAGATTAGAAAAAAAAAAAAAAAGGGGGGGGAGATGTTCAACTGAGTTTTAATTACTGAGTGTCCACAGAGATAAAAATAAGATTGGTTCCAAATATTTCTTACCTCTTTCTTTCACTTTTTTTTCTTTTCTCTCATTTTTTTTTTTTCATTCACTTTTTTATCTTTTCTTTCTTTTTTTGGAAAAATAAATATTATCCTTTATATTGATTTTTACTTTTTATCTATTGCGTTGTTATTGATCCCACTTTTGTTGATTGTCAACACGTTATGGGCGCACAACAAAGCAAACCGAAACGTCGTCAAAAATATATCAAATCAACTCAACCTACAATAAAAAATATATCACCAATATCAAAGTCATCATCTTCACAACAATCTTTAACTTCATCCACTTTTCAACAACAAACAAATGGCATGATGACAGAACAACAACTCATAACCAGGACTCCTAATACTAATGAAAACAATGACAAACATAATAATGCGATCGATGAAAATCAACAAACAAATACTTGGATTAATCGTTTTGTGGAACCAGATTCACTGACATTACAGCTCTATTTGGATCAACGTACAATGGCCGATCTGTTTGTTGATGGTGATTTTGACGATATGCCCGATTTTTATGATGTCGAATCCACAATCTCATCCCAACATTCAAATCTTTTTTCTACTTTATCATCTATTACACCATCATCCATCTCTTCTATCTCTTCAGTACAAATCGACAATCACAAATCTTCTTCTTCTTATTTACTACGCCAATCATCATCAACTCAATCAACATTTATCGCAGCATTAGATGATGATTTTATCACTACAAACGACAATAGACTTGAAACTTTTGATGACTTACTGGCACTAGCTGAACAAAACAATCGAGTGGAATTAGCATATTGTGTCGCAGTTTGCTACTATCGTGGTTGGTACAATGTCCAAGTAGATTATGAAAAAGCATTCCATTGGTTTGAACAAGCTGCTATCTTGGGAAATTATCAATATCAACAAAAATCTGGTTTTACTGCGGAAAAGGATGACAAGATGGATATCCTCCCTTTGGTGGCACTGGCTCAATACCGTACTGGGAAAATGTTGTTACAACAGGATGACAACAATCGTGCATGGTATTATCTTAATTTGGCAGCGAAAAATGGCAATAGTCGTGCGGAGTACCTAGTTGGTTGGCAAGCTGAAAAGAGGGAAAATGATATACAAAAGGCTTTCTATTGGTACCTCTCCTCTTGGCGTCATGGATTAGTCGAGGCTCAAGCTGCGTTGGGATGTCTGCTGATCAATCATGCTACCACTTCTCTTACCATGGATCTTGGTGGACTCTCTATCTCTGGATTGTCGTCGGTGATGTCGCGCGATCAACAAGCTTTATATCTCCTGGAAGATGCAGCGAAAAAGGTAATTGACTTTTGAAACATTCTATTGTTTTCTTTCTTTCTTTTTTTTTTTTTTTTTTTTTTTTTTTTTTTTTTTTTTTTTTTTTTTTTTTTTTTTTTTTTTTTTTTTTATGTGGATGGTTTACCGCGCAAAAAAGTATGTACACGTGGTTGGTTAGTTGACTTTTCGCACTTTCTTTTTTGATCTTGTGACCTCCACTTTTTTTTTTTTTTTTTTTGTGATCATATCTGTCATTTGAACTAATGGTTATATTTATCATCATCATAGGACAATTTAACTGCTCTGCTACAACTTGGATCTCTTTATACTGAAGGAAAACATGTGGAACGAAATACAAGTCTAGCAATTGTATATTACAAAAAGGCATCGACTCTAGTGGATTTAGACAATGCAAATTATCAAGTTATCCATTACATGCTTGGACGTGAATATAGATATTTGGATGGAAATCGTACCTTTGATTCATCACTGGTTAGCTATCAAGATGGAACTACTCATTATCATCAACAAGCTATAAAACATTTTGAACTTGCCTGTACCCCTCTCAAGGACGGTGGAAATGGATATGCTTTAGCTCAACGATCATTGGGTCATATGTATTATATTGATACTAACAAGAATGATTCCGTTAGACTCTTACACAAGCAAAAGGCTCACGATCTATTTGAAAAAGCTGCAGCTCAAGGTGATGTTACAGCCATGGGATTTTTGGGTGAACAGTATGAACGTGGTATTGGATGCAAGCAAGATATGGAAAAAGCTTTATTTTATTACCGACAAGCAATGGAAACTGGTTCCTCAGTAGGTGAATTGGCATTGGCACTTCTACTTCATCGTATGGAAAGATATCAAGAAGCTTATCAACATTTTACTCAAATTGCAAATCAACCCTCTATGGCGACAAAGCTAATCAAGGAAACAAAAATCAGTGAACAAACAACCGCTGACCGGTCATCTTATCAAATTTTATTAGAGCAAGATATTTCCAAAACTAAATGTCGTGCGCAATATATGGTGGCAAGATATCTTCATAATGGCTGGGGTGGCTGCATAAAGGATCCAATCAAGGCTTTCTTCGATCTTGTCCATTTGGCTGACGTGGATGAGTTTGCTCCTGCTTATTACTGGGTCGCAATTGGCTACAAGGATGGTGTCACTGCAGAATCAAAGGCGGATGATCATCATCATATGGAAGTACAACCTGATTTGATGCGTGCGCTTGGCTATTTTGAAAAGGCTGCTCTACTCAACAATGATCAAGATGCTCAAATGCAATTGGCTACTATGTGCTCCAATGGATTTAATTACTCTACAACACCAACTGGAACTATCAAACATTACAAGGATCGTGCGGCTGCTTTGAAATGGTATATGATGGCTGCTGATCAACATAAAAACGCAGCAGCTCAATATTGTACAGGGATTTATTATGCAAAAGGATTAGCCCCATTGGATGGCAAGGATGTGGTCAAGGCAGAAGCATACTATGAAGCATCAGCAAAACAAGGTTATACTTTAGCTATGGTCCAACTCGCTCAACTTATTATACAAGAAACTGCAAGTATTAATGGTGATGACGACTGGTTAGATGACACTTTTACAAGACAACGTTACAATAAAGCTTTTGATTGGTTGATGGTGGCAACTAAAAAACAGGAACCTGGTGCTTATCGTGAATTGGCTCACATGTATGAAAAAGGTTATCATCCAGGTCTGATAGATGATACTCGTTATCAAAAAGGATTCACTCTTTTGGAACATCCTCTTCTTACCAATGATGCTCAAGCTTGGTGTGCAAAATCTCGTTATTATGAACATGGTTGGTTTGTTGATCAAGATCTGGAACAATCAGTGGCTTGTTTGGAACAAGCTGTAAAACTCAATTACCTCAAGTAAGTGATCAATTTTAAAAAGAATTAAAAGAAATTTATTGATTTTTTTTTTTTTTTTGGTGCTCATTCATTTATTTTTTAGGGCTGATTTGTATATAGCTGAACTTTATGAAAGAAATGGAAAGAATGATCATGCTTTGTCAAAATATCATGATATTATCAAGAAACATCCTCTACGATCTCAAGTTGGTTGGTTTTCCCGATTAAATCTTTGTCGAATGCTGGTTCACTCTAATTCTTCTACCTCTCTCTCAGAACAACATCTTATTCTTGGATGGTTACACGAAATGACCGATCAAAATGCAGGTGAAGCCTCCATCGAGCCTTTACTGTTATTGGGTAAGTCAAAAAAAAAAAAAAAAAGGAATCATGCGACGAACTTAACTCATCTTGTTTCTAAATTTAAAACTAGCCACTTGCTATGAAGTTGGTTTTGGTACTTCCCAGAATCTGACAGAAGCCAAATTATTTTATGAAAAAGCTACCAAGATCAAACATTCTTCCATCAATAACCAAGTTCATTGGCCTCAGCAAAATGCATACTTTTATTTGGCAAAACTTTGTGTCGAACAACATCTATACGATGAAGCTTTTTCTTACTTCAAACAATTGGAATTGAATCTCAATCGCATGAATCGTCATTCCCCTGAAACAAGACGTCATGCCAGACAAGTGCGGTATTACTTAGGTAACGAGACTATATATATATATTACATAGAAAAAAGCAATTACTGACATACCCTCTCTTATTATTTTTATTCCTTTTTTCTTTTTTTTAAAAAAAATGGATGATTGTTAGGTTATCTACTACTCAATGGATATGGAACATCGAAGGATGAAGAAAAAGGTATCCACTGGTTGACTCAAGCTGCCGATGAAGGTGAAGGTGATGCATGTTACACACTTGGAAAGTTGTATTTGGAAAAGAAGCAACATGATGATGACAATTATGTTCAAGAAGCGTCTAAACGATTTGATCAAGGAGTTTCCTCTGGACATCCTGGATGTATGCGGGAATTGGCACTAATTATACAACAAGAACATCAAGCAGATAAAGATTGGGACGGCATGGAAACATATGATTTGCTGGAACAAGCTCAAAGATTAGGTGATGTCGAAGCATTGGTGCGTATGGCAGTGGCAGTACAATATGGTCTTGGCACAGTCATCAAGAAGGGAAATACAACCATGGCTTTAGGATGGTACCGTGCTGCAGCTCAACAAGGACATCCAAAGGCAGCAGTATATGCAGCAGTGGCATTTCATGAATTACAACAACATGATCTGGCGGTGGAATGGTTTCAGATGCAACCTGAAAGTTTAGTATCAAAAGTTTGGTTAGCATTTTATCGACTCAAAGGTGTTGGTGGTTTAGTGGCTGATCCTGTGCAAGCATTTTCTCAACTGGTGCAAATAGTTAATGACTTCAAATTTGATCAACAGAACGATATAGGAGATCGAAATGCTCTTGGTTTGGCCTACTATTTGGTGGGAAGATGTTATGAAGAAGGTGAAGGAACTGAAATAGATGGTAGCAAAGCGATGATATATTACGAATTGGCTAAACAACGTACTCAAGATGTGGAAGCGACATATCGATTAGGAGCACTTTTATTCCAACAATATCCTGATGATGATGACGAAAGTAGCATAGTAGAACAGCAACAACGGGCATTTGAATGTTTTGATACAGCAGCATCAAAAGGGAACTTGGAAGCAAAATATATGGTTGGTGTGTATCATGCTCGTGGTCTTGGTGGCATGGCTCCTGATAATGCTGCCGCGCAAATTCATCTTCAACGAGCTATACGAGATGGGCATACTCGAGCTATATTGGAATTAGGACATGTATTATGGTCAACCAAAAACTTCAACAAAGCTATTACTCAATTCAAGAAAGCAGCCGAACTCAAGATTCCTGAAGCATCATACCATTTAGGCCGACTTTATCATGAAGGTGTACGTGATCGTTCTTCTTCTGGACATGGTACTTCAAGCAAAGGTGCCACTCAAATGATGATTATTCCTCAAGATTACCATCAAGCATTCTTTTATTTTATGAAGGCGGTGGAACAAGAACATGCCATGGCAACCATGATGATTGGTATTTATTATCAAGAAGGACATGATGCAGCTTTCCATCCTGTAGACCTTATGAAAGCTTTGCACTACTACAAATTGGCCTATGAACGTCTTGATGGTGGTAGCGATAGACATATGGTGGAACTAGCTATTGCCAAGCTCCTGCATACAATGGCTGAACAAGATGATGACGAATCAGATAAATATCATCAAATGGCATTCGATTGGTTCCTTCAAGCAAGTCCGATTGGTCAAGATAGACAAGACAATGATCGTTCAATGGAACAAATTATCGGTACATATGATGAACGTACAGACAAACAACAACCACTTTATGAAGCTCAAATGATGGTGGCATTTTATTATCTGAATGGATGGGGCTCTATTGAAAAGGATCAACCACGTGGATTTGAATTACTTTTGGATGCGGCCAACCATGGTGCTTCGATTGCATTTATAGATGTAGCCAAATGTTATGAAAATGGAATTGGTGTCGAAGAAGATAAATCACAGGCGTATCACTATTGGTCTTTTGCAGCAGATATGAATCTTGTGGAAGCCATGGATAGGGTTAGTTTGTATCATCGTGAAGGATGGGGTGGTTTGACGCCGGATGATGACACTGCAGATATTTGGGAAGCCAAGGCCAACTTATTACGACAACATGGTGATTCTGATCGCGACTCCAGTATATATACGACATCCTCCTCCAATACTTCAACCTATTGATTGTATGCACACATATATACATACACACATATTTATATTCAAACACACATACACACACACACATTCGTTTATATATATATCTTGACTTATTTTTATTATCATTTTCAAACACACAAACACACAAACACACAAACACACAAACACCACTCGTTTATATGTATATTGATTTATTTGTTATTATCACCTTTTTTTTTTTTCTTTTACTTTATATTCAATACCCCTAGTTTATTCCTTTGTATCTTGATATTTATACTGTTTTTATGTACATTAATATCCCTTACCCTTCGTTTTTAATTTATATCATATAATAAAAATTGAATAATGATCTTTTTAATATATGTATTGATGATATTGACGGTATTGATATATATGGATATACGACTGTGTAGATGTGTAATGAATTGTGGTTATATAATGGGTTAAATAACGATGATTAAACGATAGAGCACAACGTCAATGTGGCCCAAGTCTCCAAAAAAGTCTCTAAGTGTCAGATCAAGCTTACCTTAGGCTTCTTAGAAGCTCATCCAAGCCATTTTCAATCGTGACAACTAGTGAAAAGAGTTATTCAAGTGTTCTTGGCTTATCATCTAAAAAAAAAAAAAAAAAAAATCGGTTGGTGTATCGGTTGTTCCTGACCGTTTTTTTTTTTTTTTATCATATATCATCCATAATTAGGAATGAGGATAACAATAATAACAATAATGAAAACTAATATCAATAAGAAGAAGGTGATGATAATGAATAGCACACATTTTACAAAAAGATGAGGAAGAAGCCGATTTTTTTTTATTATATATATATATATAAATATGAAATACTAAGAACTAATATATAAGAGATAAAGAATAACTAATTGAGATAATATAAAAGTACATTGTTATATTGATCAAAACAACATAGATCAAAGTAATGGAAGGAGGGAAACTTGATTCTAACTAACGATTGGCAGCATCAGGTTTGTGAATATCAGGAGAACCACCAGCATTAGGTAGAGGAGGAAGAGGATTATTTGAACCTACTGAAGGAGAACCTTGAACAGAATGATAACCTTGTTGAGGAGGAGCCATGGGTTCGTAAGGACCAGTTGTCGTGTTGATAGGTTGACCAGTAGTACCATCATAATAATAACCATTTTCGTCATAATAATTACCATTAGCATCATAACCAGCCGTGTCTTGTGGATAATAGTAAGCGCCACCATCGTGATAATCATAACCTTGTTGACCATAATGTTGCTGGTTTCCGGGATCATTATAGTAATTACCTTGGTCATTCAAACGAGGAATAGTAGGAGAAGCCATTGCAGCAGCACCAACACCAGCAGCACCAGTAGCAGCGCCCATACCTGTATGAGTCATGGCAGGTGAACGATGATGAGGGAAATCACGTTCAGCCAAGCCAAAGTCTTCAAAGTTTGCTTTACGTTGATTTGTTTTACTTGTACATCCACCACGACGATTCAACCAAGTCAATAAACCACCAAGGAGCGCAAGACCAACTATTAAGGAGAAGGAAAAGAAAAAAAAAAAAAAAAAAAAAAAAAGGAGTGAGAAAAAAAAAATATAAGGAAAAAAAAAAGACTTACCAACCCCGCCGACAACAGCTCCAACAATAGTAGGTGTAGTATTTTCGGAATCCTTGGAAGTAGAAGTTGAAGTTGCGGTAGAAGATGAGGAAGATGAAGAAGAAGAAGAAGTATGTTGAGTAGAAGAAGAAGAAGTGGAAGACGGAGTACTAGAAGAAGAAGAAATAATACTACTTGAAGAAGAGGATGGAATAATAGAAGAAGAGGAAGAAGAAGATGGAATGATAGGAGAAAAAGAAGAGGAAGAAGGACTGGGTGAAGGACTAGGTGAAGGACTTGGTGAAGGACTTGGAGAAGGACTTGGAGAAGATGGTTGAGAAGAAGAAGAAGGTACAGTTGCAGTTGGTTGTTGTGAAGGAAAACTGAAAGTTGGTATTATTTGAGATTGAATACCATTAAAAAGTTGTTGAAAGGATAATAGGAAAACGATGATCCATAAAGAAGTAGTTGACTTCATTTTTGATCATCAATTATTATATATGTCAAGTAAGAAATAAATAAATAAAAAAAAAAGGAAAAAAGAAAGAGAGTAAGAAAGAAAAAAAAAAAAGGAGAAAGAAAGAAAAAAAAAAAAAAAAAAAAAGAGAGAATTTTGATTTCATTGGGCCCTTTGATTATTTTATGTGTCACCTAAAAAAAGCTTATTTTACTTTTATAATCTACTTGAAACCATCTTTTTTTGAATTGATATTTATATATAAAAATAATACCTTTATACTTATAAATAATATTAAAATATTCAAAAAAAAGAAAAAAAAAAAAGATGATTGTTTATATTATTCAATTACTGTCTTTTTTTTCTTCTTCTGTTCAATAGAGTCTTCATTTTCTAATCATAAGCCTTTGACGTATCACAGTGTACAACCAAAAAAATAAAAATAAAAAAAAAGAAAGTTTTTTTTTTTTTTTATTTTTTTTGGTTTGTTGCCAATATCATAAATTGTACCAAGTTACAGTTCGTATCATACAACCTTTCGTTTGTCCTGCTCGTTTTCAAACTCAGTATTACCTTTCTTTCCCTTTTTTTTTTTCTTTCTTTCTTTCTTTCTCCTCGATCTTTTATGGAACAGTCTTCAAGTAAAGAAAACAAACCAATTTAGTCTTTATATATATATATATATGTTAACACACTTTATATTATCACTTTAGAAAAACGAAAACAACATTCTCCAACTACTGTAAGTAATCCTTGCTATGTTTTTTTTTTGTCATACTAATTCACTAATTTTGAAACAATAGCAACTTTTAAAAAAAACACGTATTGAATCAGTCAAAATTGAAAATGTGGATCTTAAGTTTGACACGGACACTTTACTATCGGACATGCAAGAAGAACCTGTTTCCTTATTATCAGTTACAACAGACGATAAAGCAGAACAACAACAGATCAATGATACTCAAACACTTCAAACAGAACCGAAATTACAATCTTGGAATAGCGCGTTAGATATCAGTCTGGAACAATTGAAATTACATTCTACAACAACAAAAAGAAATCGAATTATTCCTTCAAAATTAGATGTAATGACTTCAAATGAAACAAAGTTAAAATTCTGGTGGTTTGACGCTCATCAACATTATAAAAAAGGATTAATCTACTTATTTGGAAAGGTAAAATAATAATAATAATAATATACATTTTTAATTTATGATTTTATATAGGTCTTTGATCATACTACAAATCAATATGCAAGTTGCTGTGTCATCGTTGAAAACCTCCTTCAAACTATATTTGTGTTACCTCGAACCTATCTTTTGGATGGTAAAATATATATATTAAAAAGAAAGCTTTTTTTTTTTTTTGTTTGTTATATTCACTTTATTTTATATATAAATATATATATATTGTAGAAGAGAATGAAAACTCACAGAGGCAAATAGTAGATATATCTGATGTACAAAATGAATTTGCTCAAGTACTGGAACGATACAATATACGAGATTGGAAATGCAAGATACGAGAAAGGAAATATGCTTTTGGATTAGAAAATGTGCCTACTACTGCAAATTATTTGAAGATTCAATACAGTTTTCAAGGTAGGAATAATAATCAAGCATGGATAACATTTATTAACTTATACATTTTATGACTAAATTTATGACTAAATTTTGTAGAACCCAAATTACCAAGTAATATAAATGGTCTCACCTATAGTCATGTCTTTGGAACAAACACAAGCCCTTTGGAACATTTCTTAATTAAACGTCGTATCAAAGGTCCACAGTGGTTGGAAATTACTCAACCTAAATTTATTGATGAAGCAAAGGTAAAAAGATTTTATATTTAATTATGATTGACTTTTTTATTTTTATTTTTATTTTTTAAATAGGAAACTTGGTGCCGATATGAATTCACTGTTAACAATCCAAAATGTGTTTCACCTATTCAGAATCATCAAGATCATTCTGTATTGAATACTCCACCTCTTTCAGTTATGTCTCTCAATATTGATACTATGATGAATACGAATTCTTTGGGCTATGAAATTATAGCAGCAGCTGTCCTACATTTTCCAAAAGGTAATTTATATGATATTGTTTCAATAGTTAAGTATATTTGTATATATCATTAATTGTTTCTCTCTCTCTCTCTCTTTCTTTCTTTCTTACATTATTTTGATAACAGTCAAAATAGATGAAATTAGTCAATTAGAACACTTGGAGAACTCAAGATTTGTTGTCACTCGTCCTTATGGCAATTTAACTTCTTATTCACACTCTGACTTGGTGGATGCTTTGAAAAAACAACATGACAGAGGTCTTCCTATCAAAATCGAACAAAGCGAATATGCGTTGTTGAACTATATATGCAGTAATCTTTTTTTTTTTTTTTGAAAGGGGGGAATATTTGTTACTTTATTATTAAACTGATTTTTCTATAGGCAAAATCCATATTCTTGATCCAGATGTGATTGTTGGACATGGTCTCTCAAGGTTTACTTTAAACGCTCTATTCAATCGAATGAAAGAATGTGATATTCCTTTCTGGCATAAAGTGGGGCGACTTTGTTGGAAAAAGTAAGTAATTTACAATATACATACATACATTTATATATGTATATTAAGTTTTTTTCTTTCTTACTCTTCTCATTAGAATGCCCAAACTCGAAGCTGATTTCGGAACGACTCCATTCTCTGCTGCAAAAGAAAAGACATTACTGACTGGACGTTTGATCTGCGACACATTTACAGCATGTAAAGATTTAATCCAAACAAACTCGTATCATTTATCAGCATTAGCAGAATCACAACTGGGAATTCAGCGACAAACTGGGAGCATACATAATATGACAAACATACCTCTTGATGGTTCACATATACCCACAATTCTATTGGCAACTCATTGTTGGCTGGACGCATATTTGGTTATGGGACTTCTCTTCAAATTTCAAATCCTACCTCTGTCCAAAAAATTGACTAACATTGCTGGCAATCTATGGTCAAAATCACTCGAATTTTCAAGAATGAACAGGAACGAGTATCTCTTATTACACGAATTCCATCAACAGAAATATATATGTCCCGACAAGTCATTTCAGGATACTCAAGGTGTAGAACTAGAAGGAATGGAGGAAGAAGATGAATATGGTAAGCAAAGGTGTTGCATGTCTGTTATCAAAATGATAGGAACGGAAAAGATAAGAAGAAGGAGTAAGATCTCATACATTATTCTTTCTTTATATATATATATATATATATATGTATAGGTAATGAACCAACACCACCTCCGTCATTGATAAAAGCGAAAAAAGGACCTGCATTTACTGGAGGACTTTTATTGGAGCCCAAGATAGGATATCATGATCGCTTTGTCGTGCTTTTGGACTTCAACAGTTTATACCCAACCATCATTCAAGAATTCAATATCTGTTTTACTACTGTGCAACTGAAAAAGGTAATGAAAGGAATACATGCGACAAATTACTTACAATCTTCTATATAAATATTCTGCTCTAGGTTGATGAAGAATGTATATCTATACTTCCTAATGCTGGAACTCCTACTGGTGTACTACCTAGGTTGATGAGCCGATTTGTTCAAGAAAGAAGAAAAGTGAAAGAACGGATGAAATCACCAAACTTGGATGAAAATAAAAGGATGCAGGTAAATCAAAGCCATATTGAAATATTCCTTACATGATGCTAACTGGCATACAACAATGGATAATATAGTATGACATTGAACAAAATGCGCTCAAGTTGACAGCAAATAGTTTATATGGTAGTTTAGGTTCGGATTTCTCAAGATTCACAGCGAAACACTTGGCTGCTATGGTTACTGCTCAAGGGAGATCAATTTTGCGGGATACTGTAGATTCAGTAGAACACCATCTCGAATTGGATGTGGTATATGGTGACACAGATTCTATTATGGTGGCTACGCATGAAGATTCTTTGGAAAAAGCTCAATTGGTTGCTAGAAAAATACAAGATCACATCAATGGACGATATAAGCTACTGGAATTAGGTATTGATGGCTACTTTAAACGATTACTTGTTTTGGGCAAGAAAAGTTATGCTCCTCTGATAATGACAAAAAGTATGGAAAATCCTGATATATGGTTAGAAGAGATCAAGCCAAAAGGTTCCAATATTTTGCGAAGGGATTTATCAGAACTCTCTATCTATGCCACTGGGTAAAAAAAAAAAAAAAAAAAAATTGACAAGTGTGTTAACCAATACCATTGGTGTTTATTTCAATAGATGTGTACTCAGGATCATTCTTTCAGACGAGGTGAACAAATTGGATTCTATACACAATTTCTTAAAAAAGACTCGAAGCAAAGTTTGTACCAAGAAATTACCCATTGAAAAATTTGTTATTCATAAGGTAAGTCATTCGCATGGAACAAAAACAAAAACAAACGATAATACTAAATCTTTAATTTATTTATTTTTTCCAATGATGATGTTTAGCAATTGACAAAAAATATTGATGACTATACAAGTGCCAAAGGACAAGCCCATGTACAAGTAGCGTTGAAAATGAAACAAAACGGTCGAATCGTTAAAGGTGGAGATACTATATCGTATGTTGTATGTATAGCGGAAGATGAAGAAAATGTAGCTATGGTCGACAAAGTGGCTTTTCCAGAAGAAGCGAAACTAGGTGATAGAATCATTGGTAAGAAATATAGTTTTAAAATAGATATTGTGTAAAAAAAAAAAAAAAAAAATTGTGCTTACAGTTATATTTATCATTTTTTTTCCCTTAGATATCAATTGGTATTTACAATATGAACTTTTACCATCAGTGACTCGATTATGCCAACCTTTGATGGATACCAATGGATTTGCAGAGTGTCTTGGATTAAAGATGGGAAACAACTCGAAAAGAGAAAAGCAATTACAAAAAATACGACAACAACGACAACATATTCAAAGTTTGAATGAAACTACGCCCATGAAGAAATTGGATAGAATGAAACAAGTTCGAGCATTTCGAGTGCAATGTCAACATTGTCAAACCAACGTTAAGGTTCCCGGATACGCAAGATATTTGGTCTCTGATCAGATTTGGGTGTGTGGATTGCAATGTCCAAAGTGCCAATATATGATGTCAACAGCAAGTATCGCAACTCAGTTAGAACTGGCCATCCGATATTTTATTGGACTATATTATGAAGGTTGGTTTTATTGTCAAGATTGTGAATATCAAACCAAGGATGGCACTACCATGCAATGTAAAATTACGGAGGGTTGTAATGGATCATTGACTCGTGAAGTAAGTGAAATGATGATGATAATGAGAAGCATATATATATATATATATATATATATATTGACAATTTTTATTATTATTTGATGATGACTCAGTATACAGCAGATATGCTTTATGGTCAATTGTTGTACTTCAAGGGATTATTCGATATCAAAAAAGATGAAGATGTATTATCACTGGATGATGAAGGTATAATTATTTTTTTTTTTTTTGCATGATGGTTTGTGTTATGAACTCACTCTATTATTTTACTTTAGAGAAAACGAAACAAACCATAGCAGAACAATATAGTGAAGTGTTTGATATTCTCAACAGGATAATTCAACGATATTTAGATCAATGCGCCTATCGCTTTGTAAATATGAATACTTTTATAGAAACATATGATTTTATTCAATAAAAAAGAAAGTACCTAAACTTATTATCAATGTAGGACAAAAATAAGAAGGGGGTGAAATGTAGTTTTTTTTTTCATGCTTTTGTTTATTCTTCTAAAAAAGGGACGCTGAGTTTACACTAACTATCTCTGACAGTTTGAATACAACTACTATTGTTGTTATTGTTATGGTTATTGTTTTTATAGTATTTTACTATTGCGTACTATTGTTATCATCCCTCGGTCTTTCCATTTTCTACAAAAAAAAATCGGTCTGGTTCCCTTTTTTGACCCTTTCTTTTTTTTTTTTTCTTTTCCCTTTTTTTTTTTTTCTTCCTCTTTTTTATTTCCACTCTTTTTTTTTATTGGTTTTTTTTTTTTTTTTGTCTGGTTCATCAGTTACCACGCTTTTGTATGTAAGTATTACTTTGGATACTGTACTTTCTCAATACTAACAACTTATGTTACCTTTGCCCTTATTCAGACATCCTTATAGTACCTATGAAGAAAGCAATATCGAAAAGAGATCACCACGACTTCATTTACTCCAACAACAGGGACGATGAAAATAATACTTCACAGCATATATCTCCCTCATCTTCACCATTACTATCGGATTTAACCATCTCAACAAAACGACCTTCAAATAACAATGCCAAATCTTCTCGTTTATTAGGTTATGATATATCTCCTCAACGATCAGGCTCCTCAGCAGCAAGAAAAGCACGAAAAGCACATCGCTCCCATTTTAATCACCATTATGACCATAGATCACCAAGTCCAACTTCACCTATACCAATACTTGGTAGAAATTATGTTACTTCTTCAAGTAACAAACTTTGGCACCAAGGCAACAAAGGTAATTACAAAGAAATCTATATATCTTTATAAGAAAATTTTCATGTATTCACTGTCTCTTTTCTTTTTCTTCAATAGATATTATTAGCCAACTTCCATTCGAGCTCATATGTCAGATTCTCACTGAATTGGATGTGATATCATTACTCATATTAGGGCAAGTCAATCGAAGGTGGCGGGCGATTAGTACAATAGGCGATGAATGGCATCGAAGAATGCAACAACATGGATGGACACTTCATCTTCCTAAACATTGGCGACAATATATCACATCTTCAGATCAAATAGATTGGCGATATTGGTTTTTACAAAGGTATCGACTGGCCGAACGATGGCGATTAGGTCAAGTGACGGCGCACTACCTCTTGGGTCATACGGATAGTGTTTACTGTGTCCAATTTGATGATCGAAAAATCATATCTGGAAGTCGTGATCACTCTATCAAGATCTGGGATGCCGAATCTTATCAATGTGTGCGGACTTTGATAGGCCATGAAGGAAGTGTACTTTGTCTACAATACAATCAAGATTATTTGGTCTCTGGTTCTTCAGATTTTACCGTCATTGTTTGGTGTATGCGTACTTTAAGGCAATTGATGCGAATTAGGGTATTTAAAAAAAAAAAAAAAAAAAAAAAAAAAAAAAAAAACTCATTTTTATTATTATATAGGGTCATACCGCCAAAATTTCGGATGTTTGTTTCAATGATGAGTATATTGTTAGTGGATCCAAGGATACTACGATACGAATATCAAATTTGAAAACAGGGGAACTTATTCGTGTTATTCATGCTCATACTGGACCTGTCAATTCTGTCAAACTTTACAAAAACAAGATCGTCTCTGCCTCTCGGGAAACGGTGATTAAGATGTGGGATATCGAAACTGGTGAATGCTTACGTCAATTCTTGGGCCATACATATGGTCTGGCTTGTATACAGTACGATGGTCAAATTATTGTTAGTGGATCGAATGATCAAACCATTAAGATATGGAATGCAGAGGTATACTTGAAGAAAAGGAAAAAAAAATAATATATAAGAGTATTCATCTTTTTATTTTATTGAATCGATTAGACTGGAGAATGCTTGATCACATGCGAAGGTAAATGACAAATATACATATGTGAATATACTTTGTTTTATTATTTATTTATTTTATCCCTATTCTTTCAAATAGGTCATACTGGTTTGGTACGAGCATTGACATTTGCAAATGACCGAATTGTTAGTGCAGGATATGATCAAAGTATTCGTGTATGGGATATGAAATCAGGTGCTTGTTTATTGAACTTTCAAAGTGGACATTCAAGCTGGGTCTTTGATGTTCGATTTAATGACAAACGGATCATTAGTGCTAGTCAAGATCGAAGAATACTTGTGATGGACTTTGCTCAAGGTTTGGATACTCGATTTATCTGTCAATGAAATCAACTTTTCCCTTTTTATTATTGTTATTGTGATGATGATAATGATTTTGTTATTACTATTTTTATTATTATTAATATTATTATTATTACTGTTAGTTGTTACTATTAGTTGTACTCCATACCCACTTTATTTTCCTTTTCTTCATTTGTTCATTACCCTCTACTGTCGTTTTTATATATCTTCACTTTATACCATCTCTCACAATCAACATTTTAAATAAAAGAAGAAGAAAAAAAAATATCTTAATATATATAATACACCTGATGTCCCTTAACCTACTTTTCACCGCTGGAGCTCTATCTGTCTTAAACATCATCACCAGTTATCAAATAAAACAGTACTAAACAATCCCAGAATTTTTGCCAAAAAAAAAAAAAAAAAAAAAAAAAAAGAAAGTGCAATCATCACAGTATACACAGTAAAAAGAAAAAAAAAAATTGAAAAATGAATACTAGTATCGACTTTTCAATACATACGAGAAGTCAATATCGTCAGTATTCCATCATTAAGAAAAAATCATACTGACTAAAAATCAATATCTGGTCAATATTTTCTTTTTTTTCTTACCGTGAACATCTTTAACGTCAACATATATATATATATATATATATCATCGCATTGCAACTCTTACAATTATAAAATAAGTCAACAAAAAAAAAAAAAGAGGTTGACAAGTATATGGAAAACAAGAGTTTATTGAGCTTGTATAAAATCAATAAAATGGACACTATATATCTGTTCTACTATTTTCTGAACTAAAAGGAATGAACAGTGATAGTTCATTCAGCATTACCCTGGAGTCACCACGAGAAGGTATAATTATATTGACCCACAATATTTTTTTTTGTCATAGTGTTTTATATTCCTTGCCAACCATATGACTTGACATCACCAAGCATAGAGAACTAAAGAATGAAGGAAATGAAAGAATGAGTAGGCTATACATTATAGTAAAATAAATAGAATACTTACATAGTTCCTGCTTTCTTCGCTTGTGGTAATCCAACTACAAAAGAAGAGTAAAAAGATTAACACGCAAAAGCAGTCTATCACACCCATTACTCTTTTGTCTTACCTTTACTTGCTCCTTGTATATGCCTTGTTTATCCCCATCAATCAACTATAAAACATTAAAAAGACAAAGAGATGCTAAAATCAGAGTTTCATATGGCATCGATCATACCTATTATAAGAAGAGAAGAATGGTTGTATTGAAAACTGATGATTTATGATAAGTTTCATTGATAATATTACCTTTGCTTAGGATCCACCATCACCACCATCATCCTTCATACATAGAGTTTCTTATTTTGCCAGCCAAAAAGAAGAAGTCTTCTATCATTTCACCATTTTTGGAAAACTATTCTCAGCCTGGATGCTAATATAATAGAAGAAACAATGATCTCAGTAACTATTCATTCTTGTTATCATAGTTATTATTTATACGATATAAGCTTACGACGATAGATATCATTGGGAGACACACAGAATTCTCTTTTTTAACATCTATAAACAGAACTAGATTAGTTTGGTAAAGAAGATATCTTTTTTTTTATTACTCACCAAAACGTAAGCAATTAAAAAAAAAAAAGAAAGAAAGAAAGAAAGCGTGAGTGTATAATAAATTGGTATACTCATTTATTTGCTTACTGAACAACAAGGTCCTCCAACAAGAGAAGACGGTGAACGAAGTGGTGACCAAAGGAAAGGTATAATACAGGAACGATCTAAATAATTGAAGAGTAACATGTGTTAGTAAAAACTTTGTTTAAAAAGTTGGAAAAAAAGTTGGAAAAAAAAAAAAGAAAGAAAAGAGAAGGAAAAAAAAAAGTAAAATCCTTTTTTCTCTTAAGACCTTAATTTCTACGTGTTTCAAACTCCACATGTCACACTCTATCTAATCCTTTTTCTTATTAGTAGTAGCAGTACTACTAGTATTACATATTCCATTGTTTTTTTACAAAGAGAAAAAAATATATTGATATATTTTGACAATGTTATGATGAGAAAAGGACATTGATATTTTTTATGCAGTAGGACATGTACTACACTAAATTGATCTACCACATTCTAATATGTCAGGTTTGACTGATCTAGAAAACATAAGGGACATTTTAAAAATAATTCAGGGACAATAAAAAAGTAAATGGATGATGATTATTATACTCTTAAAATCATGATGACTTTATATGATGATAATGAACGCTTAACTCATATCATCATATTATATGAATTTGATAAAAAAGAGAGAAAGGTAACTTGTTCATCAAAAGTATATATTATAATACTATGGTTAATATTCAACTTATTATGAATTATAAAATCATCATTTCATATTATTCACATTATTATCATTTACTAATAATTCAATCTAAATCATCTTATTATTATTATTATTATTTATTCATCTATTCTACTTTTATTAAAATCATAAGTGTTTCCATAAATGGTATACATTCAAAGTCCGGTCTCAATGTGGGATATGTTGGATCAGATTCTCAAAAAAAAAAAAAAAAAGGTCTGGTCGAGATCAAAAAAAAAAAAAAAAGTCTGGAGATTGAAAAAAAAAAAAAAATTGTTGGAGACAATGGAAAAAAAGTTGGACCAAAGCTCTGACAAAAAGAAAAATTTGGCGCGCTCTTCACTTTTTTTTTACTTTTGCATTTTTTTTTTACTTTTTTTTTTTTAACCAATGACACTTTGGACATTGTTAAGTTACCATTATACATTACTTTTTTAATCTATAAAGTCACTCTTTATATATATATTATACTTACTTTATACTTATTCTTTCCTTTTTTTTTCTCTTCTTAGTCTTTCATATTATGAACTAATCTTTTTTTTTTTTTTTACTCTTTTTGTGGACATATAGTAGATAAGATATATGAAGGAATATACAATAGGATTAACTGCATATTGGATAAAAAAGAAGAGCAACTTAAGTAAAAGTATCCAACTCTTTATCATTGGTTTATTCAGTAGTTTAGTCTTTTAGTTATAATGTTTTACTTTATATTCACATTTAAAATAAAATTATATTTTTATTATTGTTTATTAGATTGTCATTTCACTATTATCATACCATCATTTATCTATTTGTAATGGACAGGCTATTGAACATATCTATCAACTATGGTTATCAAGCACAAGCAGAACACAATCAAGAGTATTATCTTTGAAGATAAGGCCAAAATACGATAATGAAGGATTTGTCAATCATTAATATCATCTTTTCTTTTTTTTTTTTTTTTTTTTTTTTTTGTTGATGGGCAGTATCACAAATACAAGTTTAGCTGTTTATATGTTACTCTATTCTCTATAAAGGCATCCTTGTTATCAAGATCGTTTGAATTCTCATCAGTTAGTTACCCTTGTGTAAATTGATATCGTTATCATTACTATCGTTGTCATCCTTCAAATATTATTGGTATAAGTCTTCAACTACAGTGGAATATATATATTATACACATCAACCATTAAACATTTATTTATTAAATAGATCGGTTGTCATGATACATCGTCCATCAGTCTTATTATGTTACTATCATTCAAGTGTTATGATCATTTTCAAGTATGGTCAATTACTGTATTCAAAGTAAGATATAAAAAAAAAAAAATGAAAAAGAATATTTAAAATATTATTCTCATTCTCTTTTTCTTCTTTCTTCTTTCTTTTTTTATTGCTTTAATACATCATCATCCTATATATACAGATCACAGAAACAAATGAAAATTAGATTCATAAAAAGAATGAATAACTAATGTAACTACAGTATATTATTAATAACAACTGGAAAAGGGAAATCAATTTGTGTGTAAATAGATGACATTTTTTCTATAGTTTCTTTTAATGATAGTTATTATATTCTTTTTATATTCTTCTTATTCTTCAATAAAGTTTTTCTTCATATCATCATCATCCTATTATTATTATTATTTATTCATCTAATTCTACTTTTAATGCAAATCATAAGTGTTTCCATAAATGGTATACATTCAAAGTCCGGTCTCAATGTGGGGTGTGTTGGATCGAGATCAAAAAAAAAAAAAGGTCTGGAGGTCGAGATCAAAAAAAATCTGGAGATTGAAAAAAAAAAAATGTTGGAGACAATTGGAAAAAAAGTTGGACCAAGCTCTGACAAAATAAAACTTGGCGCGCTCTCTACTTTTTTTTTTTTTTTTTACTTTTGCATTTTTTTACATTTTTTTTTTTAACCACTGGCACTTCGAACATTGTTAAGTTACCATTATACATTACTGTACTAATCTATATTATATTTTTAAAAGTCACTCTTTATATATATTATACTTACTTTATACTTATTCTTTCTTTCCTTTCTTCATCTTAGTTTCTCATACTATGAACTATATTTTTGGTTGGTTGGTTGGTTGGTTGGTTCTTTTTTTTTTTTTTTTTTTTTTTTTTTTACTCTTTCTGTGAACATATAGTAGGTAGATATATGAAGAAATATACAATAAGATTATGGATTTATAACAATGCTTTCTATTGGATAAAAGAATATCAAGTTAGGGAAAAGTAACCAACTCTTTATCATTGGTTTATTTAATAGTTTAGTCTTTTAGTTATAGTGCTTTACTTTATATTATCTTTTAAATAAAATCATATTTTTATTATTGTTTGTTTATTATATTGTCATTTCACATATTATTTATCTATTTGTTCTCGATCATCATCATTATCAAAAGGAGTAATAAGAAAGAATGATATGATTATCATTGTATTTTCACTAAAAAAATAAAACAAAATCCATATACACATCGGTATCTTGTTTCTGCTATTTCTCTTCATACATTACATCCATCATTTTTAAGAATAGATATTCTCTTGCTATCAATCATCATCATCATCTGTGATAATAGTAAGTTGTGCCTGTATACTGTTGATTGTTTGCCTTCTCTCTTACCAAAATAGCGATGCTGTTGATGATACTTTAGAATAGATCATGCACTTACTACATGATACACTCAAAGAAACGTTTTTATTAAATCATCACAACAATAGATAGTAGCAATAAGTACATACACAAAACATCATAGCAGGATAATTTAAATAATCAAACATTTTATTTAAACAAAAAGGTATTTTTACAAGAGAAAAGAAAGGGAATAAAGAAAAAAAATAACTAAATACCAACAATATAAAGAATATATACAATACTGGTGATAATAATGACAATGATAATAATAATACTAATGGAGACAGAGATGCCAATCAAGTAGAAAAACATAATGAGACCATCAAACATGGAAGAGACCAATCAAATAAGAAGAAACAAAAAAAAAGATAAGGACTAACCACGTAGTAAAGGATTCTGGAAGAAAATACCATGACAACGAGAGACAGATGAAGGAAACGGAAAGAAAGAGACCAAGCAGATAGAAAAAGAGACGAAGAGACCACACAAACACGAGAGGGAACAACAAGAGAGAGAGAGAGAGAGAGAGAGAGAGACCATACCACTAGAGAAAATAAACAACCAAGTAGGAAGAAAAAAAAAAAAGACCGTCAAAAGTACCTGTACACACAAGTTGACTTGCATCTCACAGTCCAACAATAAAAAAGATAAAAAAAAAAAATAAAACGATTAGTCCCTTAATCTATATCTTACCTTCATACTTGTCATTCCATCCAGTTCCAAACCAATAGAAGAGTCATAACCAGCTAAAGCTAGAGAAAATAAAAAAAAAAAAGGAAAGAAAGACGAGAGAAGAAAGGAAAAAGAAAAGAAAAGATACGTGATTGCTTTGAAAGATACCTCAATTCAGCCAACTCATAAACTCATTTCAATAAAAAAGATTTGACATTTATTATTATTTTTTTAGGCTTATCTTTTTACACCATTGGTTTGTTTTATATCATCGTTTCGTTTGACCAAAACCGAGAAGAAAAGAGATCTTGACAATTGGAAAAACCAGAAGAGTCATGAATTAATTATAAAACAAGTAAGTAAGTAAGTAATTATGTTTTATACTGTCTTTTTATTATTTTATTTTATTTTTTATTATTTTATTTTATTTATTTTTTTAAATTGACAATAATAGAATAAGAATCCATTACTGTCATTGTATTTTATATGTTACCTGTCATTATTCCAATATGGAGACGCGAATAAAGTGCGGAGAATGAGTAAAAAAAAAAAAAGTGTGGAGAAACGGAAAGAGAAAGAAAGAAAAAAGAAAAATGTGGGGAAACGAAATAAAATAAAAAAAAAGAAATGGAAGCAAAAGTCCGAATTGATAAAAGTGACGTACCAAAGTAAAGAAAAAGAATATATTGTAATGTAATAATGAAGAGTAATGTACAATTAAAAAAGTAGACTAGTTTTTGACATTTTCCTTTCACTGTTGATAATATATTTAGATCGAGTCGAATACAATCTATGACAAAAATATATGAAAAAGAGAATTAATATGATTCCATGTTGTTTCTTGTTTTTCACATTATTGTTAAAAAGTCTTTAAACTTTGATTCTCTTTGCTTGGATTCAGCTGTCATTTAATTTATTTAAGGAACCAGGTACAGAAATGCATTAATGGATTAATATTAGAGAAAAGTAATAATAGTAAATAGTAATAATGATTATGATTTTATTAAAGAAGAAGAATATAGATATATATAATTGATATATTAAGTATGGTAACTAAACTACAAGTAAAAAGAATCACTAATGATTCACAAGCCAGAATAGGAGAAAAAGATCAAGAAGATACTTCTAATCTAACCTACTTGCATATTTGATTGTATAGATTATGATTGCATGATAATGTTAGTGATTTGATGAATACCCATGTTCTATTTATTAAAAAAAAAAAAAGATGAAATGATAGGTAAAAGAATATAAATGATGTAAATGTCTATAGTACAAAGTTTCTATCTATTGATCAGTATGTAGAATAAATATAATCAAATAAAATGAATGTAAACAGATGAATAGATGAATCAAGGAATCGGCCAATCGCACTGATTGGGAAGTATCAACACGGTCATTGGAGTTTTTCAAATCGCAAGAAGTCCACAGCAATGTCAACAGATTTCTTTTTATGGAATTTGTACATCATTGGGACATCAAACTATAGGCATATATGGAAGAAAGGGACAGTTAATATCTTCATAGAATGATTGATTCTCTTTTTTCTTTCAGTTACCTTCATTTCTGCCACCACTTCACAAGTGACACCCCATTCCTTGGCTTTTTTCATAATATGCTATGAACAAAAAAAAAAAAAAAAATGTTAGAAGATATCTTTTTTATATCCCATCCTTTATTTTTTTTATCATACTTCTCGTGTGCTTGTTTTATGTAAAGAGTAGACAGCATGGTTTGATAACTAAGAAGAATCAGATAAACAACAACAAAAAAAAAAAAAAAGGATTAGTATTATACCGTGTACCGTTTTCTTTTCTTTTCTAGTTACTTCAATTGCTTTTTTCAATAACACCATATCTACACCTTTGTTCTTGGTCCCAAAAGGTGGATTCATGACTATAGTATCCAAAGAGCCTTTGTATCTATCCAATAGTTGAGAGTCCACACTGAGGTCCGTTAATACAAAATCAATGTCGGTTTCGAATTCCTCACTGTTTTGTTGAGCAATGGCAATAGCGTCAGGATCAATATCAAATCCTACGTTATATCTATAAATATAATAAACGTGAATGAAAGTACTAGTTAAACCAAATCTACCATTTTCTTTTTTTTTTAAAAAAAAAAAAAAAAAAATTTACCCAGCACCTAAAATATTAGCAGCTATGCTCAGTATCCCACATCCAGAACCAAAATCACCTACAGCCTTATCCTCTATATCATTGTACACCGTATCAGCCGTATATAACATTCGTGCAGCCAAATGAGCAGTAGTAGGATATTGTTCGAAATGAATCTTGGGATCGCCTATAAAAAGAATCAACAATAAATTAAAAACAAAAGAATATATATATATATATATACTTACTAAATACTTCACAGTCTTGTAAAATGCTTTCCAATTCTTTTAGTTTCATGACGAGGATTGATGCAAAAGAATAAAAAATAAAAGGAGAAAAAAACAATAAAACAAAAAAAAAGAATAGAAAAGGATTTCAGGGCGGTGTTCAAAAAACTACACATTTTTACATTTGTCTATAAAAATGGGCTATACAATATCTAGAAACTGTCTCACCCTCAGTCTCAAAAAAATTTGGTGGGTCAGGTCCCAAAAAATCCGTATTTTGGTGTTGTACGGGGCCAAAATGCAAAAATACTGATGCCAAATACTTCAGTATTTTGACCTCTCGTTCTCATCTGAGTCTCAAGCAATGGGTTAATACAGAAGGGTTAGTATCATTTGGATAGGCAAAGTTTCTTTTTCCACTTCATATGTCATCTTGATGATTTGAAAAATAAAAATAAAAAGTAAAAATCTTTCCTTTTCTTTTGTCTTGTTTTTTTTTTTTTTTATTTTTTATTTTTTATTTTTCTTTCTTTACCTTCTTTCGATCTCCTGTTTTTTTTTATTCCATATACATATATACGTGATCATGGATGATCAACAAATCCAACAAGACAATGATGTCCACACATTGATGAAGTATCAAAATGAAGCGACATTGACAAGAAATCGGGCACAACGTCCGATCAACACGATTATAAACCATTTACCAAAACAAAAGGAATGGCAGGTATGGCATCTCTATTTTTTGATTTACAGTATGACGGATGATGAAGCTGGATGACGAATGAAGCTGGATGACGGATGATGCTGGATGACGGATGATGGATGATGACGGATGATGGAAGATGACGGATGATGGATGATGATGGATGCTGGATGATGGATGATGGATGATGGATGATGGATGATGGATGATGGATGATGGATGATGGATGATGGATGATGGATGATGGATGATGGATGATGGATGATGGATGATGGATGATGGATGATGGATGCTGGACGACGATGGATGATGGACGATGATGGATGATGGACGATGATGGATGATGGACGATGATGGATGATGCTGGATGCTGGATGATGCTGGATGACGGATGATGGATGATGATGGATGGTGGATGACGGATGATAGATGATGATTTTTTTTTTTTTTTTGTAATCTTATCTTCACCTTTTTTTTTTTTTTTTTGTACTTTTATGGTTCTGTACTATTGAAGCAAATATATCCTGACTATTATCTTTGGTCAGGATGTGTTTTTTCCACAACTTTATATAAGCAATTCGAAGATCAAGTGCTAAAAGCACAAGAGAATGATGAACGACTTTCATTTCAAGTCAAAAATCCAGTTAGCTTTACCTGAGTTATCTTCACGATTGACCAGTGGGTTTGGATCAATTACTACAGCAATCAAAGCTATGAATCATGATCATCAGTTAAATTTCCTGCCTCTTTATATTTCTGTAGTTTCCTCGCAACCTATCATCATTGCATCAAATTTGGACTGAAGATGTGTGATGACATTCTCTTTCAGCTATATTAATAGCAATATACACCTTGCCTACTAATTTATAAGGTAAACCAAGAATGAAAAGTCAATTCAGTCATCCCTCATCCAATTAATAATGATTATCATCATCAAAAAGAAAAAAAAGAGCCATGGAAATGTATTGTTGTGTATCACGAAAAGCAATATAAATTTTATTTCAAAAAAAAAAAAAAATCCACATACTGACTAACTAAAACCATCACTACTGTATCTATTATAGTACCAACCAAAAACCTTCGTCCACCACCGAGATCCTAACAACAAGCTGCCGCCCTTCCTAACCAAAAGAAGCTTGTCATCAAGTCAGTTTTTCGTTCACATTACTAGTAAAATAAAACCAGGCCAAGTAATTCACATTCTACTATAAAATATTTTTGTCATTACCTGTACTAAATCCTACATCCAAAATGAAAGGGTTTCCCCATGTATTTTGTAAATCCCTTTTTCAAAACGCTCCAAATCCAATAAAACCTACCATGAAAAGATCGCGCAAACAAAAAGGACACCCAATGTGGAAAAAAAAGTGGATGGAGACAAGAAAAGAAATAAAAAAATAAAAAAAAAAGCAAAACGCGCACAAAAGGGTGGGTTTTTGAAGCCCGTCCACTGTCGACAACTTGCCTTTTTTTTTGATTCTCTTTTTTTCGCCCCAACCCCAACCTTGCAAATTGATTTTTTTCCTGTAGTCGATAAATTTCAGCAAAACCTTTATATTCAGTCATCATCCATCGCCCATCATCCATTACCCATTATCCATTACCCATCACCAATATATTACATATTTCGTAAAGAAAAAAAAAAGATTACTTTATGCATCTCGGTAAGACTGTCCAAATTGACGTGGATGACTTTAAACAGCCACAATTTTATGATTATTTCAGATATCAAACAAGTTTTTATTTTAATGGAAGGTAAGAAGTGTAATATTTTTTTATCATAATAGTTCAAGAGAAATAAGAACAGTAAATGACAAAGCAATCATCCATCATCCATCGTCCATCAACCGTCGTCCATCATCCATCATCCATCATCCATCATCCATCATCCATCATCCATCATCCATCATCCATCATCCATCATCCATCATCCATCATCCATCATCCATCATCAACTAGAATCAATAAAAGACTGAATCAAATATAAAACAACGTTTTGTTTCCGACAAACAGAACAAACTAAAGAAATAAAATAATAATAGTATAAAATATATATCATATGCATTTTTTTTTAAAAAAAAAAAGAAGGTATTTCGTGTCAGAGGAACTAATCTGTGAATGTTGTTTGAGATGCTTGTAGTCGCCTTTGGCTTTTAGAATTATTTTGGCCAGTTGTCCAGGAGAGCAGGAGAAAAGAGATTTTATTGGCTACTTTTTATCGCGGGGGGTGAGGATATGATAATATAAACTTTGGATTGTTGATTCTTTAAAGTTTGATTATAAAATCTTTTTATTGTTTGTTAAAAATGATTTGAATTCAATAATAAAGATATTTATGTTAAATAGAAGTTTATTTTGATTCGGCTGTAATGACAATGGCATCATCGGATATAAGAAATTAAAAGGAACTACATAAATTGTTTCATCATAGGCATTATTTGTCGTTATTGTAGATTTAATGATGATAATATATGAAATTTGCTATATGCAGATTTATTATTGATTTTTTTTTTTAAAAAAAAAAAAAAGGAGCAAAAACGATTACATAGAATCATGGTGAGGGTAGCAAAATGATAGACTTAAACACGGTGATTGTAATTTTGATTGATTTTGTACAACCATTTCATGCGATGGCAAAAAAAAAAAAAAAAAAAAAAAAAAAAAAAAAAAAAAAGGAAGAAGAAAAATAATAGTAGATAAATAGAATAAAGGCGAAAACTGGGAAGATCCGTCATTCCGAGAGAAAAAGTGACAGTTTTCGTGTAACCGCATGGCACTTTGAAGGGAGCACTTTTTTTTTTATAATGATGATGATGATGATGATGATGATGATGATGATGATGTGTTTTATTTACCATGGTTTTGATTGATTGATTTTCATATATAAAATAAATAAATAAAAAAAAAAGCATAAAGACAACAATAAGGATATAAATCATTTCATAAAGTGAATGGAGAGGGGTATCAACAATATATAAATCTGTATATACTAGTAAACTTGATTTCAATGAATTTCATTTTCATTAACAAAAAAGCATATTATCATTTTGGTCTTTTCACTGGAGCAGGATATGGCCTTGGAAGAGGAGGTTTGGTAGGTCTATCAGGAGGCATTTCTTTTATATATATGTATAGATAGATAGATAGAATAACTTCTTTTTACAAAACTGAATGTGAATAATAAAAAAAAAAAAAAAGAAAAGGTATGCAAGTGATTTATATATCTTTTTTTTGATGACGATGTTTTAGTGATGATACAAGTTTAGTTGTCAAAGAAGAATTACCTTTTTCAGATTTAGTCGCATGGCTGACACACTTCCCTCTTTTTGGATAGGAGATTTTATTTTTGATGATGATAATATCGTTGTAAAAAAAGGGCGTTTTTGTTGTCAACAACAGTTCCTTCTTTATTCTTAACCTTTTAGATATATTGATATATATTTTCTTTTTCTCTCTTTGAAACAAAATAGCTTAAAAAAAAAAGTGTTTGAAAAATCATCTGATGATGATGAAGTTGAATTCATGATAAAATAAAAAAAAAATGCCCAATTTTGTTATATTATAAAGTGATACATCCATAAAAACGCCCATTTTCTAACCAAACCAAGTAACATCTATCAAACTATATAAACGCCCTATTTTTAACATGATGATGATCCCGTTTCCCTTTTTTTTTTTTTATTTTTTATTTACGGATGGTATGAAATAATAATAATAATAAGCGGGCAAGCGAAGGCGCGTGTAACAATAAATGGAAATAAATATGCGCCCGCCCTTTTCTTGTAACACACACGTACTCATACATACATATATATATATGCATATTATTTCATAGAAAGGTTGACAAGCTGGGTTTTCATCTATTATTGTAAAACAATCATTAAAACGACAAATAGAGAAGTTCTTTGTTGGGGCTCCATGAAACCTTTTTTTTTTTTGATTTATTTATCTTCATCTAGAGATTTCAGTCGCTGCGAGTCTCCTTCCCCTCCTTTTTTTTTTTTTTTTTTTGATATGGTTTACTTATATGAGTTTCAAAAGTCGATCCCCCCGCCACTCTCTCTCTCTCTTTCACACACACTCGGATGACCCGTTCCGATTTGCCTTCTTATTGTTTGATGATTCCAGTGATGATGTTCTTCCTATAATGAAAAGTAATGATGACTCTACGACTTTATGATAATGCTTCCTATGATGATAAGTTTATGATGGTGATGATGATGATGATAATAATAACTCTATGACGATGATGATGATTATAACTCTATGATAGTGATGATGATTATACGATAAAAAGGGTGATGGAAAAGTCACGTTGGTCAATTTTTTCACATACATACGTACATATTATATTAGTTTTGTTTGAATTCTTAGATGATGAAAAACCGAGTCAAAGAAAAAATCCAAGTTGAAACCAAAATCCCATATTTCTTCAAACTCTTGTTATTTTATGCAACGCTATATTTCCAAAATATGCTCAATAGGCGATTTCAATTGGCCAGTTTGAAAATCAACTTTTTTTTTTTTTTTTTTTTTTTTTACTAAATCTGGGAAAATAAAGTACCGCCTTTTCTTCTCTTTTCTTTTCTTTTGTCTCTTTTCTTTTCTTTTGTCTCTCTTCTTATATATATATATATTCTACTTATTCCATTGATCACAACAACACGAAATACAAAAGTAAAAAAAAAAAAAAAAGAAGAGCCCTGCCGACAAAACAGAATTTAATGGACTCTCCTACGAATGCAACTGACTCTGCCATTTCGACCCTGTTGGTGATTGATGAAGAAGAGGAATCAGTTTTATCTTCATTAGCCATTGGTATGATCGTCCTTTGTGCACTTTCTGTTCTTATCTTGACTATTGTCTGTATATTGATCTTACGCAAGCGTTACTCTCCATCGACATCAACCTCTCTAGCCGATAAAGATGACTCACCACGACCAGTAGAGAAAGACCGAGAAAAAGGCCCTTTTACTTTACCATTAGCAATGACGAAACGACGACCATTTTGGACAATCTTATCGAGACAGAGAACAAGGCAAGGAATAACCACGTTGGATGAAATCCCATTACCTACCACAGCAACTTCATTAGAAGTGATGTTTGAAGAAGGATATGACACCAAGGCATTTTTCTCCCCACGACACCATTGGACGACCTCCTCTTTGACCAGTGCGACTTCATCTTTTGTTGATGATCCTTGTATTATAGACTCTTTGGAACGACAGAAACACATCAATGATATGTATTATACCTCTCATCCGCCATACCATCATACTTTCTCATTGGCTTCTTCTAATCGCACCACTTTGTACAACAATCATCCATTCAACTCTTCTTTGATTTCTTTATCATCCACGGAAAAACAAGAACAAGAGGCCGAATTACAACGTTTGTCTATCTCCTCTTATCATGTGTGGTAGTTTATCATTATTATTATTACTATTATTATTATTATTACTATTATTACTATTATTATTATTACTATTATTATTATTACTATTATTATTATTTATTTATTTGTATTTTTAGTGCTAGTTTACTTTTGTATTTTATCTTTTATTTTTGACGCAATAAAGAAAAAGGAGTCTATTCTACTTTATTACTGTTTTTGACTTTAGAGAAGATGGATCCAATTGATCAATGATAGATGAAATGATGCGTGCATGCTCATAATGACAGTATCCCATGGCAACGCTCCATTTCCAAATCATATTTGTTTGTCTTTCTTCGGTTTCATAAAAGGACCATAACGATGAGGATGATGGAATAGAAAATCGATTGGATTCAGTGATCAGTCTCAAGAACGGACGATGGTTTTTTTCCAAACGAGTATGATGATGGTGAAGATGGTAAGGATGACGATGATGATGGCACGGATGATGATGATGAGAATAAGGATAGTGATCTGTTAGTAGTACTTGGAGAAGGTATGGTTGCTGATGGTGTTAAAATCATTTTCGTACCTACCATTGTATTATCCATAGAATGATTTATCATCTGATGCTGATGATGATGATGATGATGATGATGTCTTGTTGTACTTTTCATGATGGGAGAAGGAAGAGTTAATGGTGGTAGTGAGTCATGATCTTGTTTGGAACATGCCAAAGTGGTAGTGGTTGAAGGTGATGAAGAATAAAAGGATGAACCATTCTTAACATGACAAGAGGGAAGCATAGGAATAAAAGTATCTTGATGATGATGATGATGATAGGTAGAGGAAGGATGGACTTGACTGATAGTATTCTGATCATCATCATCATCATCATTCAATGAAGTATTTTTTTCATTCATATCATCCTCCTTCCTTTTTAATCCCTTTTTCTTTTTTTTCTTATTGGCCATATCGTCCAAGTAGAATTCATGTTGTTTTTGATACCATGTCCATCGAAGTTTTTCATATTCCAACAGCCTTATTTTTCTTTTCTTTTGTCTTTGTCGCCAATAAAAATACCGGACACAATAAACGATAAGATAGAACCCAATTATACTAGATGAGATGATCGGGACATAATGTCGATAACTTGGTAATTGTTGAATATAATTCACTCTTTCTTCTAGTGTATCTGTTATATTCAATAAAACCATCCTTTTATGAATATTTATCACATCCGATTCATGCAAGGCAGTAGAAAAAGAAAAAAAAAAAAAAAGAATGAAATGCAATACAGGGTAATAATGATTAATCCAAGTTCCTTTCATGTTTTTTTTTTCTTTTTCACTCTGAAGGATTTCTATTCTGGAAGTTAGTTCGGCTTGTAATCTAATATAGAGCAAGAACCAGGGAGAAAAAAAGAAAAAGTTTCCATAAGGAAATCATGCGTCGTACTCTTGTTCGGCTCAATACTAATCATCCATTGACAAAAAAGAAACCCTCCTTTTCTATGATTGTTCTGTCAAGCTGCATGGAAAGATCGCACCGACTTATGTCCCATGTTGAGACCACGAGATATCATGTTGGTTTGTTCTTTCATGTATGTTGGCGTCATATATTACTTTCTACTACCATCACTGAGAAATACCCAAATAGAATAAGTAGATATATATAAAAAACAACAAATTGAGGTTTATTCACTATAATACAAAAAATAAAATAAAATAAAATAAAATAAAATAAAATAAAATAAAATAAAACGAAGATAAGAAAAAAAAAAAAAAGGGGGGACAAAATAATCAACTAAAAATATAAAAAATGAGAACTAGATAAAGTTAAAAAGAAAAAAAATAACGTTCATCATATTTGATTGATGGATCTATCAAAAAAAAGAAGAAGGGAATAAGCAATCTATCTTCTCCAACCAAATCACCTTTTTTTTTTTTTTTTACCTTGATACACTTTCAAAAAGTCGTTCAATATCAGTAGCACATCGAGTGAAGGAATGATGCCAGAAATTGTACCCTGGATTCTTGATGAGTTCAATAAAAGTGATCAGTAGTCCCCAAGGATGAGGTCGATTCACAATCAAACGTTCCAATAGTACCCTAGTAATTTGTTCCTTGATGATTTCCTTGTTGCTTTCCGCAAATAAATATAACAATACACAGCTAAAGTAGTGGGTATGGCTATTGGGATATCGTAATTGGTTGGCAATAGCACTAAGGAAGAGATATCGACCTATGGAATATATATATATATATATAGTTTAGTCATCCATAATAACGTTGTTCTTTTTTTTTTTTTTTTTTTTTTTTACCTTCAGAATCCAATTCAACTAATAAATGTTGGAAAATTTCAATAGCAGCACCTTGATTGCCTGGAATGTTTTGAGTAATACTTGTCACGCCAACATAAAATACCAAAGAATTGATCAGTGATACGTTGTATTTGCCTTCACCACTATTACGATCATCTTTGCTATTATTCTTCTTCAACTTGTCCACCAAAGTCGATAAGAAGGCCTTGTCTTGATTTTCCAAAAGATACCGACGAATTTCCTTTTTGAAATGATGTTGTTCCAAAGGTGCTTCATAATCAGATAGAATACGGGGAGATTGTTTGATTTCTGGTAGAAGATCCACTTTCAAATTCGGTGTGAATGGATCAGGGAGTCGCATATTTCGCGGGAATGCACTAAGTATGAGATTGCGAAGTTGGATGCAGGAAGATGGTACTACATCACAAAAACTGTAATGGTAATCACACAAGAATTCAGGGAAGTCATGAAGAAGTACAAGTAATACTCGCAAAGTACCACGGTAGAGCATACGTGTTGTATCTTTCAATTCCACATTGCGTAAAAATGGTACCAAGAATTGAATCAATCCAATCAATAATCGTTCAAAAGTAGGCCATCCCTGTATATCATATAAATAAAAACAAGTGTCAAATTTGTATCAAAAAAAAAAAAAAATTCTATCCTTCTTCTATTACCTTTTGATTTTCGGCTAACAATAACTTGGGCATAAACAGACGATGAGATACCAATTGTAACCAAGCAAAAGTGAATCCAGGGAAATATGTAGGTTGTAAAGTATGTAAAGTGTTGCCCAAAGTGATCAAAATTGGAGTGTATACTCCTTGGAGTTGTTGTTCTTCTGCATGGAGATCAGACAATAAACTTGTGAATAATCGTAAAAATGGTCGCTGGTCAAACTGTTGATGACGTTGTTCATGATGTTGTGCCAATATAAGAACAATCACAGATAGAACCTTGCTGAATTGGGATAATTTGGCCGATGGTGATGATGCACCATTTCTTGTTGTATCAGAGGGAGATTGTTGTTGCTGTTGTTGCTGAATCAATCCTACAACAAGTTTTGAAAAAGCATCTATAGGTTGATAAGCTATTGTTGCTGCCGCTGCTGCCGCTGCTGAAGGAGGATTTCCACCCGTTGGCATTTGCTTGTATTTGATCGCATGCTGAATTGACGCTTCCACACATACTCGGTAGAACAAGGATGACATTTCATCCACTGCAAATATGTTTTGTTGTGATAGCTGAGTAATGAAGTTTTGTTGTACTTTTTCAGTTGTATTGGGATGTTGAACTAAATGGACCCATTCCGCAAATAAGAATTGAAGTTGTTCACGAAGATTGACATCATCACTACTTTGACCATCCTTGTTCATACTGCCAACACCATTCATCACTTCTTGTTGGGTCACCGCATGTCGACGCATTTCTTCCAAGAGCACAATCACACTGTCAGGTACATTGCTTCGTAACCGACTGAAAGCATCCAAAGAAGAAGCAAAATCTTGTCGAGAAGCCAAAGGAATAGCATCATCCGTAAAGAGACATGCACGAATCAATCTTGCTGTAAAATCAATGGCACTGGTACGCCCGCTGTCAATGAGGATTGCTAATTCTTGATCTTGTTCCAGTAGATTAATAAGGCCAGCCTTGATCAGTGCCACCGTAACGGGAACATTGTACTTGCGTTCATCATCAGCATGAGTTAACCATTGAGTCACTAGAGAGCCTACACTGGGAGATACTTCACATAATTGTTCCAACAGTACCACATACATTTCACGCGCCAATTGGGTTTCACTCTTGTATAACAGTTGGACTACCTTTTGAGCAAATGTGCGGGCAGCTTCTACCTTATCAAAACTAGATAACGCAAGAAGAGGTACTTGTCGAATAATCACACGGATATCATGCATAGGAGGTAAGGATTGAAAGTTTGCAAATTGAGCTGCTTGAGGAGATGAAACCAACTTTTCCAATTCAGTGATATATTGAGCGAATCTTTCCAATATTTGATGTGCACTAACTTGATTCACAACCGGTACACCACCATCGAATCCAACGTTGCCACCATCATTGACATGTGGTACAGATCCCATATTGCCGTTATACCCGTATCCAATTGTTGAATCCATGTTGTTAACCCCACGGCCACTTCGATTCATATCAAATCCAGGGTTCATCTGAGGAGGAGCAAGAGGAGGCGCCGCTCGTGACACTCTTGCAAAATCTTCATAAATCCGTAATTGATTAGCTTGTAATCCATCTGGCTTAGCCCGTAGAGGTTCAGGAAGTGTAGCTGGATATCTTGAAGCTGAAAATATATCCACATCATAATAAGGTTGTCCCGTACGTTGATCACGATGTTTCTTGCGATTGGCGAATGCTGTCATCAGATGTTCATCTACTTCAATTGTTGCTTTTTCCATGGCCGCCTTTTCAATCACTGCACATACCAAGTCGAGATTGTCAGATACTGTAAGATGTACTGCTTGTTCCACCAAATTCTATGTATATATATATATAAAAGTTTTGGAAGTGTCAGATGAGTAAGATATATATATATAATAAAGTGATTTTCCACATACCTCTGCCAAACCATTAGCCAAAAAGATATTTCGTAGATTAGTCACCAAGGTCAATCGTAAGGGTTCTTTGCATGTCACCATTGCCAAGCTTCCAGCAAGATTTTGAGCCATCAAATGAGCAGCCTTTCGCATCTTGTTTTCATCAGATTCCATCGCAAAATCTTTGGCCACAAGTTCACGAGTAGAAACAGCTGCAATAGCTACAGATCTGTCCACCACAGGTTCAATGATCTATTCGAAATTGTAAGTCAGTCAACCAAGTTCCTTTTTTTTTTTTTTATCGTAAACACTTTACCTCACGAATAGATCGATTGATAGCTTGTAATACCAGTCGTTTGGCAGCAGGTTGTGTTGAATAAAGGATCACTTGAGGATTAAAGTTGATATATGGTGCTAGGTTGGGTAATACAATTTGACCTTCGTCCATATCACCATCGAGTCCAACGCTTTGTGCGAGTTGATTGTTCATTACGGATCTTCCAGCATTTGCCATCATCAGTGATGCGTCTCCTTTTGCCAAAGAATCTACAATGGTGTTTCTCTGTGCAGTACTATCACGAGGACGTCGATCCTTTAAAACAGATGTTGCTTCGATGTCTATAATGACAAACATATATATAAATTATTAGCATCTTTCTTTTTTTTTGAAAGAGAGAAGGACCAATTTCTTTTTTTTTTTTTTTTACCTTTCAATTCCAAAGATAAACTCTTGCATAATACTTCAATTTCAAATTTGAGATTCAATTTTAGATCGGCAAATTGATATAGCTCTACTAATAATTTCAAAATGGCCATCACCCAAGGATTTGGAGGTTTGAATACTTTACTGTTGCTACATTGTTCTAAAACTTTGCACACAAATGGAATCACAACAATCAATCGGTTACTATCATAACCTTCCAACAGTAATTCCTATTATGTAATAAATAAAAAGAGTTAACCATCATCTATGGAGAGTTTATATTTATTATTTACCTTGAATGCCATGTTCTTGTGTCTAATGGGTTTGTTTCTAGCTAAAGTCATACCACCAAGCCACGAGCCTAAATTCTTGAGCAAGCTCCGTTCAGAAGAAGAGGATACCGTTTTTTCAGAGTTCAATAAAATTTGAATATTGGCATAAGTTTCACGTAAAACATGTTCACGTAGTAATCGACTATTGATGGCGTCCAGTAGTAAAAGATATAGATCATGGTAATTGGGTTCTATACTAGCACGTTTGACCACCAAATAGTTACTAAACCATTGATAACTTGATTTTTCCAAATGTTCTTGCAGTTCCGTCAGTTTACTATCCAGATTGTTCCTCGCTACGTTGTTGATGATAAATAAAATCTTGTCTTGAACAGCTTCGGGTGGAGTTTCGTATTGTATATTTGTAATTACATCACCATTTCCTTCATCACTAGATTCACGCAAAACAGGAAGAGCAGGAACATGTAACGAGGTAAAAGCGACAGCATGTTGTTGAGGAGGTTGTTGTTGTTCACGAGCCGTTTCAGTGGGCGTTGGAGCGATAGCAGCAGCGTTGGGTAGCATAGTTCCATCATCTTGTTGAGATCCAGTAGTGTTCACAGTACTCTTTTGGAGGGAGGCATTGACCAATCGGATCAAATCAGGATTTGAATGTTGTAAATGAGGGATTTGTAATAAATGAGCACAATATTGAGGCCATTCAGAAAGACGTTGTTGGAATTGAGCCAAAGCTTGAGTACCAAAATTATACATCTTGCTACCAGGAGGATTTCGTAAAGAATCCAGGACACATCGAAGAGCAATACCCAAAGGTACGTAAGAAACCAATTGATGCTGAATTAAAGAACCAAATAAAATACTTGTAATTGCCAATTCCTTGTCTGGATATTTGGGGAAGAAATGATATTCATCGAATAGATTGTGAATCATACAGGCAAATATATCTTGTTCGTTGGGGTTCTTTGATTTGCTAAAAGTTTTGAGTCGTTCAATCATTTCATCAATAGTCATTTCACCATTATAAATCCGTTCGTAATAAGAATTGGCTTCATCTTCTACATCTGGTTTGAATGAGACTTCGCTACCAGTTGATCCAGGTTCGGCTTGAGTTCGAATATTCATGAGCTTGGGATAAGTCTGTAAGCAAACACTTTGAACTTCCTTGAGCATTTCCGCATTTTCTTGAGTCATGGGACTATATTATTTTTTTTTAAAAAAAAAAAATTGAATGTCAAGAACTGAAAGTATTTTTCTTTCTTTCCATTTGAAATTTACCTTTCTGATAAAACCTTCAAAAACGTTGCCATGCTTTCCAATGATAATGGTATAGTTGTTGGTGGCGCATTGGTTTCTTGACGTGACATTTCTGATGATATTTTTTGAGCCAAGAATTCCAAACATGATCGAATGAAGCTGTCCTTGAACTCAACGATTTTATCTTGCAACCATTTTTCCAAATTAAGATATTCCCTTCGTGAAGCTAATGCTGCCAAATCGATTGCAAAGATACTAGGTTGTGTATCCAACATTTGAGGAAGAATCTAATACGAATTTTTGAGAAAGTGAGATGAATTTTTTTATACAAATTTAAAATATATCAGATTTACGTTATTTACCTTGAGTTCATGCGTCACATCCAAAATACGAGTCAATGTTGTAGCATCTTTGCTATAGAGTTCCAATAAACTTTTCGCCAGAAAATCAGGATTGATTTGCCAAAGTCGTGTAAGTACAAAACCACTACCAGGATTTCCATTTAGATACATTAACAATAGTCGCCGAAGTAAATCTTTGTGTAAAGCAGATTTGATGGGCTATTATTACAATACAAAAAAAAAAAAAAGGTAAGAATATAGAAAGGAATGAGTAAACAAACTATCTTTCTTTTGTTATTGTTGTCATGTTCCACTATCAACACTTTACCTGTATCTGAATAAGACCAACGAATACCAATTCAGGGGATTTGTGAGTCATCATTTCAAGGAATACCGAAACATCATCAGCAACAGCAGTATCAGCCAAATTGATAACACATTCAATGAGATCCAATGAGTTGAGTTGAGTATTTGCCAGTTGAGCAGCCATAGTACGAATGTTCTGATTTGAAGCCTTGAAATCATCCAAATCAATCACTTTACGTCTTGAGCAATCAACTAGACTAAGAACGTCAGTGGATACGTTCGCCATTTGGTATAAAGCACTGAGTTGACCTTTTAAATTCTTCCATTGACCGAAAAATTTGTTTGCAGGGAAAGTTTCCTTCTAAAGTAACAAAAAAAAAAAAGTAACATGGGGTTAATACTGATTAATATGACTTGATAATATATTTACCTCTGAATATTTCTTCCAGGCACGAACAAGAATATCGAGACCTTTGGCATCGTAAACAAAAAAGTGTTCGTAATCAAAATTTTCAACTACTTTGTACCAATCGAGATCAGGGGCCTACGTAATAAAAAAAAGAGATAATAATAGTAATCATTAGATTTTCTATTCATTGATGATGATCTTTATGATATTACCGTTTCCTTCACAACTGATACAAAGTTTTCGACACCCCAGTTTGAGCCATTTGGAGAACCACCACCGACTCCAGTCATATTTGTATAAGTGCGTGCCATACATCCTAGACATTCAGCTATATCTTTTTCAGTGAATTTTTTGTTGACTTTTCCAAGTATTTCTTCGACTGATTGAGTAGACGCGCAGCATTCGTAACCAGCTTCAAGTATAATTTTGCTAAGTAATCCTTCACCAGCGTCGACATTGTTGTTATTATTGTTGTTTCTAGTATATTCACAAATATATAAATAAGATTAAACTAAATATTCCCCTCTTCCAACCTCTTTTTTCATAATAAACTTACTCAGACATGTTGTATAAATAATGATTGATTTCTTTACAAATGGACTTGTCAGATAGATGTCGTGAGAGAGCAGTAGAATAAATTTGGATATCTTCAGTAGAGGATAGAATAGTAAAATCTTTGTTGTTGATAGTATATTTAATCAAATCAAAAATCCACAAGAGAGCAGTTTGTGGTACGGATTGTAAATCAGAGAGAATATGTACACCAGATTTGAAGTTTTCAGTTGCGATTTCTTTTGCTATAAAATAAAATAAGGAAGTGAATATATTTGTTATCGTTTCCATAACTCTTTTTTTTTGATTATTATTATTATTATTATTTTACCTTGAAGAACAATATGTTGTTTTAAACAAGTAGTAGTGATATGAGATGATATAACAAGTTTGTCAAAATGATCGAATTCAAGTTGTTCTAATAAATCAGACAAGTCAAAAAGATTGGAATTTGAAGTAGTATCGGATTGACAGATATATTGATGTAAAGCTTCACCAAAGCTAATAAGTGAAGAGAGCTTCGTGTTATGTTGCGTAACTTTGATGGTATCTTTCAAAAGACAATTGATCAATTTCAAGCTTTTGTCGTCCAAAATAGTTTGTTGTTTGTAACGTTCCGATAAAAGATGTTGTAATAAGAGTTCCGGAATAACGTTGTCGTGAGTTCCAACTATCTATTTATCGAAAAGTAAAAACAAAAATGTAAAAGAAAAGTGAGAAAAGAAAAGGAAAGAAAAAATTAGTATGTTTTGAATTTTTTTGCCCACGTAAAAAGTCACGATCAACGTGTTTCCCTCAGCCAAAAAAAAAAAAAAAAAAAAAAAAAAAAAAAAAATTCCCTTCACTCCCCCCTCTCTCTCTCTCACTCTCCCCAAAAAAAGAACTTCAACTATATTCTCCTTAACCCAAGTTTCCTTTTTTAAATATATATATAAACTTACATTATTGAGTTCAGTTGAGATGTTGTTATAATTATCTTTATTGTTGGAAAGTAGTAAACCAAGTTGAGCCTTGACAATACGTTTTAGAGTGGATGACGTTTGTTGTGGTAGAGTGGAGTTGGAAATAATGGGAACACTACTCATTATTGAGATACAAAGAGCATATTGAAAATAAAAATAAAATAATAAAATATATATATAAAAAGGATAAGAAAGTTTTGTACTTGGATTCAAAAAAAAAAAAAAAAAAAAAAGAAAGAAAGAAAGAAAAGAAAAAAGAAAGGGAACAATTAAGAACAAAAGATAAAAAAAAAAGAAAAAAAACCAGAGAAAACGGGGTTTGAAATGCTTAGAGAAAAGTGTTAAGTTATCATGAAGACTTTGGTTCAAATATATTGAATGGAATGAATAGAAAGTGATATGAATCAATTGATGAGCTTTTTCATAATCAAAGATATTTTACATATGAATTTTTTAATCCTATTGATGAGACTCTGAAGGTTTTTACAGGACTTTCATGTGCGGAGATGTCAATTGGAAGTCCAAATTTGTGCAACCACGAGATTTTTTTTTTATATTAATATCCTTCTTCTTCTTTTTCACTCTTTCTTTTCCTTATATTCCACCTTCTTTTTTTTTTTTTTTTTTCTCTCAAAGTATACACATACACACACTCATTTACTCATATATATATATATAATATAGATATAGATATATAGATATAGATATACAACATATATACACTCATCTATATACAGAAAAACTATATTCCATATAAAATGTCGCAGGTCGACATGATTGATTCCATTGAACTACACAACTGTCCTCCACCAAAATCATCTAGTCATTTATCTTCTGTTATGGATCAACCTTCACTCTCTAAAGATAACCCAATACAATTGGCAGCTATTTCCAATTACAAATTAGCTCAACTCACTTTCTCTCCTCCTGACTTACACTCTATGCGAAAAACTGCTCTTATCAAGAATATGACTGATGTTATTTACTGCGATACCCCTCCTGAATGGCTTGATCAGATGCGACGTTGGCAATTCTTTACACCAGAGTAAAATATATATCAGGAGGTGGCGGTTTCTTTTTTTTTGAATATGGAGTTAACTTTTTTTTTTTCTTTTGATAGATCTCTCAATGATATGACTCAAGATGGACTTGAACAAATCTTTGGTCAATACATTCAAACTATGGAAGCTTTTCGACCTATTAACTTGGATGATGATGACGATGATGATGAATTATGGGCTGATGAAGAAGTTTTGACACCTAGTGATAATCAACTTGAATTGACCGATATGTCTTTATCATCTACTAGTACCAGTGTACCTGTCATTATGGATACTCCTCTTTATTCACAATCTGGTGCATCACTATCTGTTGACTTATTATATAGCAAGGAATTTAAACCTTTACCAGAAAGACCTACAACGACGAAAAACTCCTCAACTTCATCTTCCTCTACAGAAAATAATCAAAGACGCAAATCATTAGCCAATATGCGAAATCGTCTCAGCTGGACAAGTGATACTGGACTCTCTGCAAACAGTGCTGTTGCTCAAACGTGGGCAAATGAATTGATGACAATGTTCAATATGGAATTCCAAGTTGATACCAGTCTTACTCTTAGTACTGCACCAAAATTACCGGAGCTACCTTTTAGTTCACGACATAATCAACACAAACGCCGATCACGAAAATCTCAACGCTATTCGACAGACTCTTTTATGAACCTAATACCGGCTTTTGAAACATTTAATTTGGAAGAACTTGACCGACAACGTTCCAGTATAGGTAATCGGGCTCGCAACATCACATTCCCTCCGCCTCCAATTTCAAGTCCTCCCACTGATATAACAACTTCAAGACGACGATCAGCTAGTCAACCAGTTCCCATTGATACATTACAACAACAATCAAAACCTGGACCAATCCGATCTTCTTCTCTCAAATGCAAGTCTCAATTTAAATCTCAAGATTCATCACCATCAGCAAAGAACAAGAGTACAGATATTTTGAATGGTCTCGTCAGTGCTCTTAGTGGTGTCAAAGGTGAAAAGGCACTATCCAAAAAAAAATCTATCCGACGATTGGCGGCTTTGGTGACCGGTAACACAAACAATAGCAGTAATACATCATGTCAAGACGCACTCCGTCGCTCTCCTTCTACAGCCGCAACAACATCACCTACAACAAGAAATTCTTTGAATCGATCCTCTTCTACTATATACCATTCTTCATTATCACCTACATCCAAATCTTTCCAACTAGAAAACAATAGTCATCTCTCTGTTGCTGGAAATACATCTCGTCTTTCTATTGCTTCGACTTCAACTTTATCATCTACCAATTCTGTTACGATGATTGCCACCAAAACGCCTTTATTTCAACAACACAAACCGCTACCAGAAACTCCACCTATTATCAACGAAGAAAATATTACCAAACGTAGAACAAGTTACACCATGGCCCGACCTGTTGTCGTTGAAGTATCAGATTTACGACGATCAAGATCAATGGGATATCGACCGAAAAAGAAGAGAAAATCATTGAAAATGACATCCAGTAGTAAACGAAGAAATGCAAATGTCAACAACACTTCATCAATAGCCATGTCATCATCACCTTCAGCATTAGCATCATCATCATCATCATCATCGTCATCATTATTATTATTAGACAGTACTAACAACCAACCTCGTTCCATCCAGCAACAACTTATAGATCCAGCACCTTCTTGTTTACTATCTTCACCAATAGGATCATCATCATCATCCATTATCCCAACTGATATCGCTTCCTCAGCATCTCTCAATGAGCAACTCTTAACATGTATGACTCATGACGATCCTTCATCATCATCAACATATCTCTCAACCGTCACACCCAAACGATCGAAATCCGCCTTTATGAAATTAAGTACCGGACTGGGCAAAGGACAAAAAAAAGCATCATCAAGGAAAAACAGCACATCCTCTTATTCCACGATAGAAGAAACCAACACTACGGAAGCAAACTTTGTGAAACGGATGGCATCTTTAGGAAAGCGGATGAAATTACAAAGGGTTTAACTAGTTTTATTAGTTAGTTAGTTTTTTTTTTTTTTGGAATAAAGATCATTATGTTTCTATTATTACTATTATTATTGTTATTATTATGATTATTAATGTTGGACAATATCATATGTAATCCTTTTTTTTTTTTTAGTGTGATTTTTGTATCTTCTCTTTCTGAATTAATCTCAACAAATAAATAAAGAAAAAGAAAATGTGTTACGGATAATATTATCCTTTTTATTATATTACATGCGCTTAAAAAGGTAGATGATTTTTTCTATGCAAAGCTAACAAATCACAGACTTGAAAGAGATGTCTTCTGGATTTGGCATTTCGTAATGAGCAGGAATCACATATAAAGAACCTTGACACTGATCCTCTGTCCACAATGTACAATGTACTTTGCCACGATTCGTGATACGAGACGCTGGGAACTTGTCAGGGTACTCTTGACAACGATGATCCGCACTAAGTACACCAGATCGAATGTCTTTATTTTCAGCTAATAATATCAACCCACGATAAGGATCACCATTATACCCTTCTACTCGTAATAAAAACATCATTATCATTATAAAAAAGATGAAGGATATTGTTGAGGTCATGATAAAAAAAAAAAAAAAAAAGGTAAATAAAAAAAAGAATATATGTATTGGTAAGGATGACAAAAACAAAAAAAAAAAATAGTTTTCTTTTTCAATCATCGTTTCTCTCTCTCTTTTTTTTTTGCCACTTTCCATGGGGTCACTCCTCTCACGCGCATAAAGTTCATGGGTAGCCAAAAAAAAAAAAAAAAAAAATACAATGAAACCCAACAAGATAAAGGAATCGTCCATTTTTATTTTTTTTTTTCCAAAGGTTGATCTATAGATTGAGTGATGAATGAAAGATAATATGATCATCCGATTGTACAACTAATGAAGTAAAAAAAAAAAAAAAAAAAAAAAAAAAAAAAAGATCATGATGATTTTTCACGAGCACGATGCATTTCTAAACGTAATTGAACACTTTCTTCATAAAGACTGGTCAAAGAACGATGGGTGGTTAGATGTTGTTTAATATGACGAAGAAAAAGATAAAAGTTGCAAACCGCCACACATCGGTTTCGACAAGCATGATCCATGCCTACCCATGGCTCTTGCATCGTCCAACGGAAACGGAAGGCCGGAAAAGGCAACAGGGGACGTTGACAACCAATACAAATCTCCGCCGATCGATGACTTGACCACGAGGTTTCAGTCAAACCACGACGACGACGCTTCCTTTTTTGGTCATGAATGCGTTCAATATAGCATGGGTGATGCACAATATGACTCAACCACGTTTGTACCCATTCATCATCGTTCTTTTTTTTTTTATTTTTTGACATTTGTAAGCATGGTTTAATATCATATTCCCAACATGCTTTCATAAAAGGCAATTGATGGATTTTTTCAAAAGGGTGGATTTGTAATTGTTTCCAAAATAATTCAAATTCCTCTAGAAGGAAAGGAGAATCTATCGTTTTGTTATCGTTTGATTGGAAAAGATTCAATCGTTGTTCAGCATGCACTCTTAATTGTTTTTCCTTTGACACCATCTGATTGGCTTCGGTAAATAAGCTCGTGGTCAACTCTTCTAATTCCATTTCGAGTTTTTGATACTTTTGTTCAGCTTGTCTTGTCTTTTCTTTTTGTTCGTTGTACATCTCTTGCCATTGAGTTAGCTGATGTTTATATTGTTCGATTGTGTCTTTGAATTCAAGATGGGGAGGAACAATCAGTGGTGACACTGGGGATGCCGTTAATGGTCGATGGGTATTATTTTTTTTCTTGTCCTCAGCATTGATATGTGTAAAAGGGAGTGGACTGATTAATGAAGTGGATGATGATCCATGACGACAGCTATGGAAAATGGATGATGATGATCCCGAAAGTGTATTGTTAATGGCTACAGGTGCTGGCACTTGCAAATGATGAAAACCGTCATCTCTATGATCTATCATAATAAACTATTTATTGAAAAATAAAAATGAATCCAGTTAATCAGTAAAAATAATATATATATATATATAAATATATATGTATAGGGAATATCGGGAATTTTTTTTTATTGAAGTATATCTGGGGATAATAAAAGGAGTATATCATCTAAACTAAACTAATCAAGTAAAAAGATCCCAATCCACAGGCATTTCAAACACTGGTTCTTCAAGCTGTTGCCAATTTTCAGCACGTAGTCTAGAGAATTCTACCATTTCCTTGACATAGTTTCGATATAAAGTGGACACAAATGCTTGTTGTTTGTGAAGAAAAGTCATTTCCGACCATATACAATAATCAATGAATGTTTGTCGCCATTTTTGATCCCGTAATTCGTGTTCATCCTATAAAACAACATCCATGTAAGAAATCAAAATGATTCCCCCTCCCTTTTTTTTTATTATTATTGACTTACCGATTGCAGTTGCTGCAGCAATCGTTCCACTTCGGTCTCCATCCCAGGTACACCTCTGTTTTGATTTATTTTCGCTTTGGTGGAATTGATACGTTTCATCAAGATATCCGAATTATCCACAGTCAATTTTTCTTTTCGATCCACTAATTCCCTGAATGATACTAAGAGATCCCGGACCTGTTTCAAATTTTCCAATATCCCATCTGCAGAAATGGATACCTAAACAGAAAAAAAAAACCATAATTGATACAAATGCGCTTATATTCCACTACAATCGATCTTTTTCTTTTTTCCTATACCTGATTATCCAGAATACTACTTTCTTTTTGCATATGTTTAGCCACTTTTTCATATCCATGAACTATTGATCGGCAACTTCTACATTCTGAAGCATGATACCTAAGTTCGGATTCAGCAAGGGAACTAGTAAAATAATAATAATAAAAAAAGTTTGCTAGATGAAGTTAATCCTATATATATAGTTGATTTTATAATGGACTTACTTGAGTGCAATACTGTACCGAACATAATCTGTAGCCTGACCATGCATTCGTCTAATTGTTCTTTCCATAATAAAGCACAAGTTTACATAATGATCAATAGATGAACCAACACTAGTTCGAGTCTTCTGGATCCGGTCAGCAAGATCGTTGGGAATCATTGATTTCATATCTTCAATATCGTGTTGTTTTCGTTTGTATTCATCATCTACAGAGGGAGAATATTGTTTCCTCCAGGCTGCCAATTCCTACACATATAAAATCAACTCTTAGTACTTTTCCTTTTCTATTTTTTTCTAAAACTTACAGAAGGTTCAGTTAAAAACTTGGTTACCACAGAGTCAGTACGTAATGTTGGATGGCGTACTACAGCATTGATAAATCTTGAAAGTCCCTTTCTTCGTTTCTCCAAAAACGCAGCATCACCTATATTCAACACATAACATCATTAAAAATTCAAATACAGTATTTTTATATAGTATTCACTTACGGCCACCTAACTTTTTGGGAGGTAAATTCGGTAACATTCGATAAGGATAACGTCGAGCCAAAATTTCCATGAGCCACCAAAAATCACTAAAGCGTCGCAATACAATTGAAGACCTTTTTTGACTGGTAACGATATAGTTGACATGTTTGAAGATGAATCCTTCTCGTTCTGGTGCTATTGTCAATTTAATTTCTTCAATGTTTTTGAACCAATTTTTGGTGTTTAGTTTTTGCTGAGGGATATCATGTTGTATAGTTGAAGTGGGAGATACTGTAAGACCATTTGTTGTTTTTGGTATTGATCCTATTGATTCTTCAGCTGTTGTAAGTGGTGATGGTACGACTGCTATTGAACCGTTAAGTGGATTGGGCACTTTGTCTTTTGTAAAAGTTGTAAGTACTGGAGTACCAAGAGCTAAATACATCAAAAAAGATAGAATTAGTAATTTATATCATAAAAATTTCAAGTTGTTCTATTCTCTATTTCAGTACCTTGACGTTGTTGGTATAGACTATTGAGTGAGAGTTCTAAAGTAAAAGAAAGAAGAGAGATGATTAGTGTTACACTTGATTCGCATGGAAAACCGGTTTTTTTTTTTTTTTTTTTTTTTTGTCGTCCTACCAAAATTATTTTGTGCACAGTAAATCAATGCCAAGGCTGTCGTAAATTCTGGTCGAGTGACATAAGAGGTGCCGTTTGGTACAACAAGTTGTATAATCTATATATTATAAAAAAAAAAAAAAAAAAAAAAAGAAAAAAGATTGGACCTTAAGCAAAAAGAAGAGAAAAATATTTCCCAAAAATAGTTTGATACTTGCCTTTTCTACATCTCTAGCTGAAAGATTAGCTCTTTCTAGTATTTTGTGAAGTGATGTAAGAGATACTCGTCCAGATCGTTGAGTTCCTGCAAATAGAGTATTGTAGGACTCGGGCAAACGAACACCAGCTATGTATATATATATAAATGGTTCATTAGTCTTCTATTCTTCTCTAAAAAAAAAAAAAGAACAGATTGGAATGCATATTGATAATACTTACATAAGACCATTGCTGCTGTAGGTGTACCATTATTGAAAGAGTTAGATTCCATATGACCGTTTGTGCGACTTCCACCAGTCGTTGTCGAAGATAAAGCTTGAATATTAGGAGTAGTAAATGAACGACCTATTTCATTATGACTAGAATCAAATGCACTTGTATTTCCCCAAGGATCGTTAACATCATCGTAATGTGAAGAAGAGAAGACTGGTGTTTGCATAGATCTCCCATCCATAAAAGAAGATTGAAGAGTGGAACCGAAGATGGAACTTGATAAAGGATCGTCTTCTTCATGAAGCATTTTAGCAATATATATAAAAGTAATTTAAAAAAAAAAAAGACTAAAAGAATATAAATAATAATAATAATAATAAAAATAAAAATAATAATATAATAGATAGATAGAAATAATAGTAATAATAATAATAATAATAATAATAATAAAAGAAGTTTTTAAGGTAAAAAGAAGAAGATAAAAAAAAAACGGAGAGGCCGTACGAGTACAAATCGGAGAGAAAAAATTGATTCATTCATAAATGTCCTTATTTTTTTTATTTCGTTTTTGATTTCAAACTACAAATACTAGCTATCTTTTTGTCCAAAGTTTCACTAATAACTATTTGTTCTTCTTGTCTTGCTTCATCTATAAAATAAAATAAAAATAATAAATTAATATATAATAATAATTATATTAATAATAATAATAAAAAAGATTACCAAAAAAGTCCACCACAGCTTTTGGTACATTCTTAATCAATCCCAGCATTTCTGTAATAGGTAACAAGATATCAGCCAAATGTTCAACAAATGCGAGAGAATAAGGAGGTTTGGCCATTCGCAACACCTTTTGTACAAAGTGGACTGTCAAACTATCATCCAATTCTCTTTCAGCACTTTTGATAAACTTTAGTACTGGAAGTGTATAATGTACTTGGACAAGATATAATAATCGATCAATCCATGCCTTTTGTAATGTCATCTAAGGATATATATGTTAATAAATCAATCATTGTTCCTTTTATTGAAATATATATATACTTTACCAGAATTTCGGGAGCAAAATTTTGATAAGGATGTCGTAAACAAGTTTTGATCACTTCAAACACGAAAGGTCGTTGTAATGGATGTCGTGAAGCAATTTCGTCCAAAAGTAGATGAAGTACAGGAACCTCCGATGATCGAAAGTAAGTTTCAAAATAAGGTGTGTGAATCGATGTGTATTCTATCCATAACAACACTGCCATAGATCCAATCGGTAAACTATATATATGTAAAGAGGACTAATGAATCAACTAATAGATATATTTCATATTTTTTTTTTGATGATACCTTATAGCCTTCAGAATAGTTTTCATAGCTCCAGTCATATTTTCCCCTTTGGCTTTTTCATTGAGAGCTACCTGTAACTCTTTCAAAATATTATAAACTTGATCGATTTCTTGTTTCTGAATCTATTTGATACACCAGTAAGTTAAAAAGTGATCTTTTTAATAAAACAAAAAAAAAAACTATATTACCTCATTGGTATCCTTGTTTGTTGTGGCATATGCAATCAGGTACAATAGCTTCTCCTTTAATTCAGGTTTGAGTGAGGTTCCAGAATTTGGTACGAACACAGTCTTGAGCATAATATCTATAAAATAAAGAAATAGGATAAGTATCTAATATTACAGTCATCTATATTTTAATCTATTCATACTAATCAGTTCAAAATCTCTTATATGTTGTATGGCAGGTGGCTGATCTGAGCTGTAAAGTTTGTATAACTAAAAAAAAAAAAAAAAAAACAAAAAAAAAAAAAAAAAAAAAAAAGACAATAAGGTACAAAATGACATAAATCCTACATTAATTATTTTTTTTCCTTTCTTTCTTTCCTTTTTTTTTTTTTTTTTTTTTTACCACCATGATATCACCAGGAGTTGCTTGCTGATTTGATCTAATAGCTTTCAGAGCATTTGACACTTGCGTTGGTGCAGACGATAAGTATAACTTTAGGATATCCACAAATCCATGTCTGTAAAACAAAAATACAAAAATAAGCAACAATGCTTTTCATCCACTCTCCAAAAAAAAAAAAAAAAAAAAAAAAAAAAGAAACTTACTGCCCCCGTTGTATAGCTGATCGTTCCAGTTCTTGTGATAATCGAATAAATGGCATCTTGTCTTCGTTTTCATAAAGATTTTGTAAAAGTAATTGGGCATACAAATAAGTTTCCTCCCGTTCACAACAAACGCGCTACAAATATGATAAGAATAAGTACAATTATTATATTCATTATTTTGATATACTTTACCACAATATCAGGAAGTCGATCTTCAAATTCCAAATCATCTACAGGCACAATACTTGAAAACGAGTGATCGAGAATACTGTTGTATACTTCAATATATGTAGATGCTGTTCGCAAATTGGAAATTTCTTCGCTGTAGCCGGCTTCTGAGATTCTCTACAATCATAAAAAAAAAGGAGAGAAATAAGTATATAAAAATTATAACTCATTTCACTCACCATGACAGCCAAATTCAAAAAAGCACAACGTGGATATTGTTCCAGTAATTCGTATATAGTTTTTCTCCAATAGTCTGCCTTGATAATAGTACTAAGCCATTCAGGATCAACTTGATTCTAGTATTTTTTTGATTTAAAAAGAAAAAAAAATTAGTATAACCCATGTGTTCAATAGCCTTTTTTTTTTTTTCTTTACCTCTGATTGCATCAAGAGATCGTCACAACGCTTTGGATCGAACCGTTCCTTGAGTTTTTGTTTGATCGCTTCACGCATTACTGTTTGACTGTCTACACCAATGGAGTCTGCCGAAGAAGCTATGATATTACACATGGAGGGTGATCCAATATAAGATTCAGCTAAAAGAGTTACTGCATCCATAGGAGCACCACCTTCAGCAATGTATTCGGCCAAGGCATCGTTGTATATGTTTGGTTCAAGGATAGCATCTATACAAGAAAAATAAATCCATCACAAAAGGGAATAGACAATGTTAATCAATAGATCCAATTATGAGCAGTTGAAAAATCAGAATTACCTTTTTGCGATAAAGCTTTTTTATAGTCTTCAAGTTTTTGAATTCCTAGCACCTAATATAATACGTAAAAAAAGTCAACATGTATGTTTATAAAATGGAAGAATTCAAGCATATATTTACTAAAATACTTACCATGATTTTAAAGAACCTTAGAGATAAAAAGAGAAAAAGAAAAAGCAAGCAAGCACAAAATAAAAAAAAAAAAAAAAACTCGCGATTGTAAAAGTTGACAATTTCAACCCCGATTTGGATGTGTGTCGTCCAATGTGGTCAAAATAGTTAAATACCCTTTCTGTCCCTTTTATCAATTCTTGTTCCTTTTCCCTTTTTTTTTTTTTTTGGTGTATGCGTCTTTATGAACCCCCTTTTCGTCCAACGTACGTGAACTGATAAAGTACTGTACAACATAGAATGCACTAACATAAACTATGTTTTAATAGATTGACTGAAGAACAATGCACAGCAAAACTTGCCCGTATTTTGGATTCCTCTCCTAAAGTAACAACTCTACTTCAAGCTATTCAGACATTAAATCGTGGAACTCTTCGTCGTGGGATTACTTGTAGACCATGCTCTGGAACTAATCAACAGGTGATATACACTTCTTTAAATAGATACATATTACAATACCTTCCAAAATGCTGATGATATTCTTACTCTTTCTGTTTATCAGGATAAAATGGGTTATTACGATGGGACTTACAAAAGGTAAAAAAAAAAAAAAAAAAAAAAAAAAAAAAAAAAAAAAAAGATCACTATAAAGAACTTACACAAGAAATTCTTTTTTGTACCTAATCTTTTTTTTTTTTGTCTTCCCTTCTTACAATTAGAGTAGTACTATGTTGCGACAACATTCGATCCGCTGAAGAACTGGAAGAAACATTGATTCATGAACTTGTACATGCCTTCGATGCCTCCCGGAAAGGAACCTTCACAAGTATATGTCATCTTATTGCATGTGGTGAAGTCAGAGCAAGTGCCCTTGGTCAGTGTTATCAAGTCAAGCCAGAATACAGACGTCAACAATGTATACTACGCGATGCCATCCAGTCAACTCAACTTCATTGTGGAGATCAAGCTGCAAAAATTGTTGAACAAGTATATGAAAAATGCATGAAAGACACATCCCCACTCCCTCCATAGAACTGGTCTTTTTTTTTTAAAGCATATACCCTCATTTTGTATTATTCAATAAAGACTTGACTGCTCCCATTGTAACTTTTTCGATTTTACATTGTTTTCTTTTTCTGCTTTTTATTTGGTATACGTGTGAACATTGAGGTTCAGAGTTTTCATCATCGAGAAGTGGATGTGATGACGGATGATATGTGATTATGGGTGATATGCACTTGCGTTAATAACGATTTACACATTATTCAATAATAAAAGTCAATATTGTCATTTCTCATTCAATAATGATCATCATCCAATAAAATGATCACCATTGGATTCCTCTCAGAAAAGTAGTCAAATATCATCTAATGTCATTTTATCGCTTATCCTGCCACTTCATGTACAATGATCACCAAAAAGATTTCATCGATTTTTCCAAAAATCGCCTGATGACCCCTCGACAATTTCTTTTTACAGCTAAAATTTGGCTGAGGAATTGGAAACTTTTGGCTGTAAAATTCAAAACTTCCAACCAAAAAAAAAAAAAAAAAAAAAAAAAAAAAAAAAAAAACCATGACCCTAAACACCTCTAATCACCCATCAAATATCATTTTTAAGACTAATCTACCATCATACCATATAAACACCATTAACAAAAAAAAAAAAAAAAAAAAAAGACATGTATATTATCTATGACTTATAAAGGAAAGTATTTTACATTCAGTGTTTGATAAGTACTTTCTTTCTTTTGCAATCATGATCATCGTCCCATCTTAGAGCTCTCCTCTTGATCTCTTTCTCATTTTTTTTCTTTTTTGATGATTGAAAGAAAAGAATCATCGTGATTAGGTTTTGCAGCTATCCCTAAATTGGCACTTCACTTTTTTTTTCTGGTCTAATGCGTTTTCCCTTGCTATTTTAAATGACGCTACTCCACATTGACATAAAGTATATTAATTATAATGATTGATATCGTCATGACGAAAATGATGATGTCGATGATGATCATATTGTTCACATGAAAATAGGATTGGATATGGTAAGTTACGGATGACTATCGCGAATGAAAGTCAATGGATCAAAATGACACATGGACAGTAGCCAATGATAACGAAGCATAGCGTCACAAAAATAGAAATGGAAAATGAGACATCTTTAGATTTGTAATGTAAAAGTTTATTTGAAAAAAAAAAATTGATATAATCCAAAAAGATGATAAACAAGTGGTGATGATGTATATAATAATAATGATGATAAAAAGTAATGATAATAAAAATAAAAATAAAAAAATCTATCTAAATACGACTTGTTCCATAAGCATCATTAACGGGCACCCACATTTGACTAGATACGTAATCTACTAATTGAGCATGAGATTTGTCACCAATGTGTTTTAAATCTTGAGCTACACCTTCTGATAAAGCCTCTTCACATACAGCAGTAGCCACCAAAGCAGATACTTCACGAATACGTTGTAAAGAAGGATACAACCAACCTTGTGATATTTCTTCAGGAGTTAAAGAATCAGCCAAGGCTTTGGAAGCCATATAAATCATACGATCAGAGATAGATAATGGTCTAGCCAAAACAGCACCCAGACCTAAACCAGGAAAGATATACATATTGTTTCCTTGACCAGGAATGTGTTTCTTGCCTGTATCAGGTTCAGTAAAGGCAGGGAAGGCAGTACCAGAGGCAAAGATCACACGATGATTAGTAGCTTGCATGGCTTGTTCAAAGGTACATTCAGCTTGAGTAGCAGGGTTGGACAGAGGGAAGACAATTGGATTCTTGTTGAGTTCACCAAGTCGCACCAAGATTTCTTTAGTAAATGCACCAGGGATGGATGATAAACCGATTAAAATGGTTGGTTTGACATGATTGATGATATCCAATGATGATTTGATCTGTTGACCTTGATTATCGTCACGAGCATAATAAATCTTGTGTTGAGCTAATTTATCACCACGATCCAATGTCACCATTCCTTTACTATCCACAATCCAAAAGAGACGCTTGGCTTGATCTTCGGTCATATTGTGTTCAGTTGTAAAGTATTCTTGAATTTGTCGAGCAACACCAATAGCAGCAGATCCAGCTCCATAAAATACAATGCGATGATCTGATGGCAATACATTATTTTCTTTTTGAACTCTACGAATAGCATTCATCACCCCAGAAAGAATCACTGCACCTGTACCTTGAATATCATCATTGAAGCAGAGCATTTTTGATTGATATTTTTCCAAAAGTCCAAAAGCATGTTCAGAAGACCAATCTTCAAATTGAATCATTAAACCAGGATAAACAGTACGAAGAGCAGAAAGGACGGTATCAACTGTTTCATAGAACTATTAAAAGAAGAAGAGAGAAAAAAAAAATAAGATAAAAGAGTTAATATCATCTTCTTTTTTTTTATTATTATTATTATTATTCATATTACTTCATCATCAGAGGGACGAGGTTGGCGTAAACCCAAATAGAATTCATCATTGCGAAAAGTTTCATTGTTTGTTCCCAAATCCAAAATAATAGGTAAAGTTTTTCGAGGATCAATACCAGCACCAGCAACGTAAAGTTGTAACTTGCCAATAGGGATGCCCATACCATTCACACCCAAGTCACCTAAACCAAGAATACGAGAACCATCTGAAATCACAGCAATATCGGGTTTAAATTCCTCATCAGCATATGGTTTGTAACTTTTGATAGTTTCAACAAGATTGGAGAAGGAATCCTTGGTCAAATATAATCCATCAGGTACACCAGGGCCAGCAAGGAAAGGGTAAATATTGGAATATTCTTGACAAGCAGTACCAACAGTAGGGGTATATATAATAGGAGCAATTTCTTCCAATTCTTCAATGACAATCTTGTAAAATAAACGGACATTGTTGGTTCGCATTTGAGCCAAGAAGATATATTTTTCAAGCATAGTATTTTTGGAACGGAGTAATTTGAGAGCACGACGTTTTTGTATTTCTACATCTTCAACACGGCTAGGAGCTAATCCATGTAAATTAAGAGCTTGTCGTTTTTCAGTCTTCATTGCAGTACCTATACAAAAAAAAAAAGTTTTAAGTTGCTGTAGCTTTACCATGTTAAAATGCAGTTGATAAGCATACCTTCATTATGATAGTTAGATCTAGCAATTAGATCAATAGGAACTTTGCTACCTTGTTCAGTGTCCTTGCTTGAGTTATTGATTGTAGTAGGAGACATATTTTTTAACCACCAATAGTAGATATGACAATTTGAAGAAGTTGAAAAAAAAAAAAAAAGTGTAGAAAGAAAAAGAAAGAAAGAGAAGCAGTTGACAAGCACAGGGCGACTTTAAATACAGTTTGGTAAGGCAGGTGATTTTTCTCCCTTTTGATGCTCCGATTTTTCCCAGAGCATATTACATTTCATTACAATCGTCTTCCTGTTTGTAGTTTCTCCTTACTAATTTTACATTTGGATGAAGAATCCATACCGTTAATAATAATCAGTCATCAAAAAAAAAAAAAAAGACGATTACATTTAAAGAAATCATTATTGATAAATCATCATACGTGATTAAAAAAAAAAATGAAATATTTTGTTTAGTTACCCAATAGCATAGTGAAAAAACCGCATTACTAAGGTTGCCCTAATAAGCTTTGTACCTCCGCAGATGTCAAAAATAACTAGGGGAAATCAAAGATTTACAACTTCACAGGTTTCCAAAAAGGAATACTTTCCACGGCAAACTCATATTTAAACATCAAAAAGTCATTAGACAAACTTTTTTTTTTTTGTAAAAAACATCACTACTTTGAGGTAATCATCCGAATGATCATTCAGTAGAGGAAGGCTTTATAAGGAAGTATACCTCAAAAGGATATAATAGGGTATCATCCATGAAAAAGAAATCCCTTTTAGCAAATCAAATTCAAAGGAATTGAAAAGCGCGGGAAAAAAGGCAAAAAGTGTGGGGCATGGGGCAAAAATAGAGAACGGGTGTTGCAGGGTTCAAAAACGAAAATATACCCAACAAGATTCGGAATCGGCCAGTCAAACCCTCATTTTGGAACAGCCGCCTCGGTTGTACCACTAAAGTCGGTAAATATGTGAATGAGGATACCAGAAAAAAAAAAGTAAATTCATAGAAATTTGGTTTTGATTTCTTTATTTCTGTAATAATTTGGGATTAGCAACTTGCATAGATGAAATACTAAATATATTGGGTAGTAAATGAATGTAGATAAAAGAAGGTAATGCAAATGGAAATGGAATAATATGCTAAACTAGAGAAGAATATGATATATAAAAAAAAAAAAAAAGAGGAGATCAGGAAAACAAGAACTTGCTATTTAAAACTAGAGAATATTGTTGTCTTCGCCTTTCAAAGAGTATCGGCTAACATAAAAAAAAAATGAATCAGTTCTTCGTCTAGACACATCTTTTTTCTTTTTATTATTATTACCAGATAGGACAAGTAGCACTTTGGAATAACCATGGTAAAATACAGGATTGATGATATTCATGACCACAGGGCATTTTGGTCAAACATGATCCAATTCGGTAAACATCTTGACAAATAGCACAGTCATCCTTTGCAATCACTAATTTGCAAGATCAAGAAGAAAAGACGCTTGAGTAATCATACATATATATATATATATATATATATATCAAACGAGATTTTATTTTATATTTCCTTTCTATACCTGAATCATCATCACCTTCTAATGTCCGGCTAGTCAATGTTTCGTGCCTCTTGAAATTGGCGCATCCTGCAGAATTGAATCTATAATTATAATGACATGTTAATTGGATGGGTAATTAGACACTATCAATCAATAAAATTGTTTTCAAACTTACTCAAGTCGTATACTATTTTCGTCAATAAAATGAGAACGATAAGTTTCCCAGTTTCTTGTTCCATTGGAGGGTCGTACATATGTCGATGACCATGAGGGTGATCCATCTTGGTTATAACCTAGCAATTCCAACCTATGTTATTAAAAAAAAAAAAAAAAGATAAACGTGAGTATACCAATAATCAATTGTTTCTTCTCCTATTACCTAAAATAGTCAAATCCAGTCATCATGTCATCTTCATCGCCATCTTCGTCATTGACGCCATCTTCAAATTCATCGTCAATAATATCCTCGTCTAGATTGCTATCATCATCACAGTCTTCATTGCTGTATTCATCTTCACTGTAATCATCACTGTAGTCACCATTATAATCATCACTAAAGCTATCATCGTATTCATCATCATATTCATCATCATATTCATCGTCGTACTCGTCGCCATATTCATCGTCATATTCATCGTCATATTCATCATCGTATTCATCATCGTATTCGTCAGAGTTACTAAAGTCGCAACTTTCATTCGAGTCCTCCAAGTCGCTATTGCTGCTATTGCTAATGCAGGTATGATCCTCCACTGGACGTTGTTGTTCTTCGTCTTCCGGTACAGTTTCCCAATCTGAATCATCCACGCCGTCAGATCTATTCAAGCCAACATTAGATGTAAGTGGTATAGAAGCAAGTCCCGAACCGTTAGCTAATTCACCAGAAGAACTATTTCTCGTAGTTGCCAAAATAGGGTTGACTGATACATCATTTCTATAGAAGGACTCCATATTATCGTTGTCGTCACCAGCAAAGGAGATCGTAAAACGCGGAAACTGATCATTTTCGTTGTTATTACTGTGGACGTCGTCAGTCAAGTGCTCTTGAGTGGAGTTGAAACTTTCATTAGTACGAAGAGACAACATTTCGAAGAGACTAATTGTAATGGTAGTTTGAATAGAATCTTGAATTCCATGAAGAACATCTTGTAATGAGTTTTCATCGTAATTCTGATAAGCTTGTTCAATACGTTCCTACAATATAAGAACAAAAAAAAGAGAGAGAGTGTGTGTGTGTTAGTTTTTTTATTATTATTTTTATCCATGTAAAAGGTTTTCATATAGTTTTACATTAGCTTGTAATCGACATCCTGCGCAAATGAATTCGTTATCGTTCAAAAGAGTAACAATAACGTCTTGACAATTATTACATAGGTGAACCCCAGGCATGGTCAAAACGTTCTTCACAATAAGTTGTGATAGGAAAACCAAGGGAAAGAAAGAAAATAAAGAAAATAAAGAAAGAAAAAAGAAAAAAAGAAAAAGATAAGCTGCATTGCAAAAGCCTACAAATGCCAACTGTGTTTAAATTTTCGTCCGTGTTTTTTTTTCATTGTCATGGCTCGATTATTTTTTTTTTCTCTTTTTCTTTTAATTTCTTTATTCTTTTGTTCTCGTGATACCTTTTCCTAAAAAATAACAAAAAAACAACATGAAAAGAGATATCCCTGTAGTTGAAGATGTTGAAATACCATTAAGTTCTGCAGAACTCGAGGTAATATATATATATATATATATCAAAAGTTAGTTACATTACATTAATCTTTTATCTTTTTCAATAGGTACTCAAAAGACAATTTATCAAGGAAGGTGAATATGTTACTATTCAAACCAAATTTAACTATGCTTGGGGATTAGTCAGATCAGCCAATAATAATCAGGTGGAAAAAGGAATTCAACTCCTTGTAGGTAAAAAAACCAATCAAAATGAAAGAAAAGTTGATTATATTTTTCGCCAAGAAACCATTACTAAAGAAACCTCTCTCTTTTTCTTTAATTATAGAAATATATACTGATGCACCTGAACGTCGAAGGGAATGTCTTTACTTTTTAGCTTTGGCTCATTACAAGATATCCAATTACTCTGAAGCAAGAACTTATAACCAAAAACTTTTAAAATTAGAGCCAAAAAATGTACAAGCATTGGGGTTGGCTAAACAAATTGACGATAAGGTGTCTACAGGTAAAAGAATATACATATATATGTATATGTATAATCATTGTTTATAATTTTTCTTTCTTTTTTTTTTGATTTATAGAGGGAGCTATTGGTTTAGCTATTGTTAGTGGTGTAGTTGCTGTTGCAGCTGCATTGGTGGCTGCCGTTGTCAAAAGATCAAAATAGTTTATAGTTTATAGTATGCGGAATATGAAATTGAATAAAACACTCAAACATTATTTTTTTTTTTTTCGTTTCCTCTTCGTCTGCCCTTTATAAATAATCCTTCTTTTTTTTGGACTTTATATATTGATATCTTTGTGATTTCTTTTTTTTTTTTTTTTTACGATACCGATGTCTCACTTATATCAAAGTGAAGGTTTTCCTCATATTGTTCAATCTGGTCGAAACACGGAACTCCAAAACTTATCCTCTCCCAATCAAAATCGAAGTCTGGCATCAAGGCACGCAAGTAATACTCTACAACTTGATAGCAAGGACACTGAAATTAACAAACAAACAATGATGGAACATACTGGAACTACTATAAATTCAGGTACCAAACGACCACCATTAGAACAAGACAATGTGATAGTCCGTAACCCAAAACGGAAACAACCACTCAAGGTAGTTTTGAAACGGGAAGTCGCCACCAACCATACCCCTTGTACTTCGTTACCTCTTCTTCCTCAAGTTATCCGTCCATCATCTAGCACAAATTATACTCGATCCATCCAAAATTTACCCACGACACAACAACAACAAAATGGTACAATCTCACCTCCTCTCCAACCACGCTGGAATAGTCAATCCTCTATGCTGTTTTTGGCCCTCAAGCAACATCCAGATCACGCAATGCCTCGAATAAACCTAATTAAAACCGCTTTGGCTTTGGACAAATCTATTAGTCTTGAAAGAAACTTACCTTTGACTTTTCGTGGAAAGGTAAACTAAAAGTAATTTATTTGTACCTTATGGTTAATTCATCTTTGTTTTTTTTTTGTTTTTTTTTTTTTGTTTATATACCTGTAGACACCTAAGAATTCTGCTTCTGCTATATTGACGAACAATCATGGTCGCCACTTTGAATCCTTCAGACCTCCTGGTAGTCGATCCATGCACTTTCGATTGACATTTAAACCTGCTAATTTCCCTCAAGCTGTAGCTACATATCAACGTTGGATGAAGATTCTAGTTACCCATGATTGGCCACTATGCTTTGGGAAACCTACGCGTTCCAAATTATCTTTTGATAATGAACAAGTTTTACCAACACCTCGAACATCAAATTCTACTACCAATACAACTGTATCAACATCATCACTCGATGCTACTTTGGATCACAAATCGGTTGAACAGCATCATGCAACAGCAACAACAACAACAACAACAACAACATCATCATCATCATCATCATCGTCACATACAGCATCACCATCATCATCATCACCATCATCATCTTCATATTCTTCATCTTGGATTACATCAGTGACAGTGTTAACTGAAACTTCAAATGACAAAGACGATGACAAACAAGGGAGTTGTTCTTCTTCAGATTCTCTAGTCACCGAATTTGATCAATTTATTGCTAATCGACAAAGAGAAAGACTTCGGCAACGAATGATGAAAAAAGATGAAAGTGACAAGGAAAATCAAACCCAATCCTCACCTCTTGTAACGAGTGAACAATCAAAGAATACGGAAACAACAATATATGACAAAACCATGGAAGAACAAGGAATATGTGCATCCATATTATGGACAATCTCTGGTGATGATCGTGCTGATGTCGATACCCCTGATATTCCTACTGGTTGGAGAGATATAGTTCGTGTGGAACATAAATCAAATAGGAACAAAGATGATCTATGCCATTCAGTATACGCCAAACGTCGTTTACCACCAAACACACCTCTTGGATTTTACTTTGGCACGCCAACTACCGAAGATGAATTTGATGTATTCAAACAAGTGCAAGGAGCCACTAGGAAATATTGTGTCATGTATGGACATACGGTTCTGGATGCAACAGACGATCAAGGCAACTTATTTTTGGATGAAACTCAAGAAGATACAAAGATATATTGTCCATTCCATTTTATGCGTCAAGTGAAAACACCTGATGATGCCAACATTCTGTTATTAAAGGGAAAAATCGAAAATCAAGTCATATGCTGGACTAAAAGGGAAATCAACGAAAATGAAGAGCTTTTGATATTCTTAGCTAGTGAATGATAACAATTCTCTTTTTTTTTTTTTTAGTTTAGTTTATATATTCTGTCTATTCCAGTTTAATATATACTTTTGAATGTTATTATCTTTTATTATTTTGTCCTGTGTTTTATATATATATACATACAAAATAAAAAATAAAAAATAAAAAATAAAAAACAATACTTTGAACTGAAATTGATTTAAACCTTTTTTTTTGCTCAAACTCCGTTGTTCTCTCTTTCTTTCTATTTTTCATTATTATTTTTTTTTCTTTTATGCTATCTGAATACTACAAAAAGAAGTTTGATGCAAGAAAACGCGGCTATGGGTAATGAAATGAAATTATCACGATACTTTTAGTGATCTTTTGCTCACCCATCTTTTTTTTTTTTTTATTTAGGGAATATGGTGCTACATTTAGTGACTCTCCATTTATTATACAATCATTAACCAAGATAGGTATGTTATCATATATTAAAACTAACGTTGATTTACAAAGGAATCATTTTTAAATTGAAATGTATTTGTTTTTCTTTGGATAGATGGTTCATCACCAAAAAAACAAAAGACTATAGATCCAACTTCACCTTCTCGATTATCTCAAACAGATACAATCAACTTTATCGATACGAAACCAAGCTCCTACAACAAAACAATCGAACCACTAGTAGCAACTGATAACATTATACCTTCTGTTACAACAACATCACGAACTTTTGAACGCAATCACAAGGCGATTCATTCTTTTCACTATTCTCCTTCAAAGACTCTGACTGCTTTCACTGATGATCCTACACCTTCCTTTGTCATTACACCAGTCTCACGCAACGAAACCGATGATACTACAGTTCAAAACCAACAAGAACCTTTGACTCCTCTGTCATCAACTTGGCAACATAATCATCGACTTGCATCTTCAACCGCTTCACAACAAAACGAACCACAACCAACCTCTCCTCATCAAATATCACAAACCGATGTTGACGAAACAACAGCATCAGCAGCAGCATATTCACCGATCATCCCATCTGCTAATCAAGTATCACAAACTGATATTGACAAAATTCCAGCATCAACAACAGTACATTCACCAATCATTACATCTGTTAATCAAGTATCACAAACCGAAATTGAAAAATCTCCAGCATCAAAAACAGTACATTCACCAATCATTACATCTGTTAATCAACTATCACAAACCGAAATTGAAAAATCTCCAGCATCAAAAACAATACCTTCACCAACCAGCACATCTTCTGATCAAATACTACCAACCGACGCTGACGAAACAACTGTACATTCATCGGTCATCCCATCTCCTAATCAAGTATCACATACCGATATTGACGAAACAGCACTACATTCACCGATCATCCCATCTGCTAATCAAGTATCACCAACCGATATTGACAAAACTCCACCATCAACAACAGTATCACCTGATCAAGTATTACCAATCGATATTGACAATACACCGTCACCAATACATCAAGACTTGGATGATTCTCTCTCTCCATCCTCCCACCCATTACATGAGACCGATGATTTGGAAAAGCAAGGTGATACTTTGGAAACAAAACCTGAAGAAGGATCATCTGCTTTTGAAATCGATGATGATCAATGTGTAGATAATGATGACCATATCGACAAGTCTGACAAGGACATCGCTGGAAGTACGACAAACATGACTTTACAACCATTGGACGAGAATACTGAAATACATTCATCACAAAGTGGAGGTGATGAATTGAACGACAATCATGAATTGCAGCGTATGATGACCACTGTTACGGATATGAACAGAATAAAGGATGATAAGGCTGGGGATATGTTCAACAACGACGACTACAGTGAACCGATACTGAAGTATGATCATGACAAGGAAAGCATACGCGATGGCAACGATAATCGTGACTATTATACCGACCAACCTGACAAGGACCTTTGTCAAAGTACGGGAAACATGACTTTACAACCGTTGGAAGCGAATCCAGAGATACATTCATCACAAGCCGAACGTGAGGAATCGAACGATAATGATCAATTGCAACAGATGATGACCACTGATATAAATACAGATATGGATAAAGAAAACAATGACGAAGTTGATTATGGATCCAACGATGATGATAATTACAGTGAAGAGATGCAAGGATCTGATGAGGACAAGGAAAGCCTATACGACGACAAGGACGACTATGACGCCGATGCATCAGTTATGCAACGTGAATCAATGAGTGAAGAGGATTGGAATATGCTTATGACACGAAGAAAACAACTGCAAATGGAACTTAACGATGATATCAAACAATTCTTTGGACAACAAGAGCTACCTGAAACTAAAGATGAAATACCAATGGACCAGTTATGGCAAACACTGAAAGAGAACCTAGGGACAAAATTGGAATTACTTCATCTACCGGAAGGACAAATCGTGAACGAAATTACGGCTGCATCCAATGCTATCAACAAGGCAACACGCGATTTTATGTAAGTAAATATGTGTATGTATTCCAAGAATGATGTGACTAAAGAGTTAACTCCTTTATTTTATTTTTTTTATCTAGACGCGAAAACCATGACCCAGATCGCCAACAACTTGCGGAAATGTTTTGTGCCAAAATGGTCAAAATGCTTGAAGAACATATTCGGAACTTTGAAGAATTACGATTATTGGAAATATTCTCGAGAAGAGGATATACCGAACTCAAGAACGCCAGAGCACAGTATTTGGATGTCAAGACGGACTATGACAAATTGCGAAAGACATATTCAAAACAAGTGGAAATGATGACCAAACAAAAGCAGAAAAAGAAGGTATTTATTATAAAAAAAAATCTTAAAGAATCAATGATATATTTACTAATTTATCATCTATAACAAAAGCTTTTACAAGGATACAAGACATTCTTCCAAGATATTCAAGACGTACTTGCTGAATGAATAAAAGGAAGATCGATGATTGGACATGGAATAACCCCTCTCTTGAAATTCAAAAAGTCCGCTTTGGGTCACTTTGCGATCCCCTGTTATTTTTTTTTTTCGTTTTTTTTTTTTTTTCTTTTTTTTTTTCTTGTTCTTTTTCTCTTTGAAATAAATACGTGTCATTATTTACATTATTTTATCTTTTTCGTTATTTTGTTGTTCCTTTTATTGATCTCTTCTTCCATTACAAGAAAAACAGCAATAGTCACATTACTAACAACAGTAACAACATTCGCCTCAACAACGTTTAATAGCTAACAACAGGATCATCATGGACTCAACTAACACGATCACCACCATCAATCAGCTAACGCCGGATATTTTACTTCACATTACAGAATACCTTGATATCAAGTCCGTTTTTGCTCTGTCCATGTCGTGTAAAAGTTTGTCCAGTTTAATTAGCGATGAACGGGTGCTACGCCGACTGGTTAAAAGCGACTACAAGATCACGTACAAAGATCCATCATTGACGTGGCGTCAACTTTATCAGCAACTGCAACGCCATCAAATCAGTCTGTGTCCTCATTTGGGTGCTATCCCTAATGAACTAGCTAAAAGTAAACAACAATTATCAGCAAACCATCTTCAACAACCATCACCATGTGATTCTTGTCAAATAAACAAGGTCACTTTCCTCAGTCTTCATCCCGCCTCTGACAAACAAGGTAATACCGTCATTTTTTTTTCTTCTGCGATTCCACCGACTAACTGTATAATTATGTTTTTGTATAGTTTGCCGTTCTTGTGCTAGTAAAGAAGAAGGACCGTCTGCTGTACAATATAATCTAGATACTCAGTCACTCTACTGTTTCAAATGTTCTCGTCAGGTAAGTTCAAAAAAGGGAATCAGTACATATATGCTGGTTCTAATTCTTTTTTTTTTTTTTGATTTTAGGTGGGTGGTGATGGTACCAACGAAAATGAAAAATACAAAGCAAGCATCACCTTGGATCAACTAAAGGTCGAACCAGTGTCATCCACTCCTTCTGATGTCACCAAAGGCACAACAACAGATACAACTATAGCAATAACGAACCATCATGACCAACAAGAACAAGAGAATTTGGATCAACGACGAAAGACAGAACAAATGCTGTATGTACAAGAACTAAGGCAAGAAGATATGTCTTTGAAACATTATTTGGTGGAAAAATCTTGGGGAAGAGCTTGGATGTTATTTAGAACTCGTAAGTTGGATTGTTTTAGTGATATATGATGACTGACGATATTTGATATTAAAAAGGGGAAGGATCTCCAGCACCAGGTCAAATCACGAACAACAAATTAACACGAAGCAATGGTACTCTGGATCCCAACATTCGTATCCCTATAGACAAATATCGCCCTTCACCTGAAACTCATGCTGATATAGTGAGTCAAAATCTTTGGTCCTATTTGGAGAAAACATATGGTGTCCAAGGAAAAGCTTACTCTGAAGGTAAATCAAATAGAGATAGATCATTATGATAAACTCACTCTTTTTTTTTAAAAAAAAAAAAAAAAAAAATACGACAGATGATCTCCAAGGGCCAGAATATGCAAGATTACGGATGTGTGTAGATGATTTTAAACGTAGTATTGAACTTTACCCCTGATCATATTTCCCCAAATACCTTTCTTTGTTTTGTTTTGTACAGTAGTTAGTTGGTTGGTATTTTTTTCGGATTAGTCTTTGTATCATTTTTCTTTTTTTTTTTTTTTTATTTTTGATGGGTATCATCATTCATATCATTGTCTAATCTACAAACAAAAATAAAAAAAACACGTCTTTACAATATTTACATATAACTTTTTTTTTGGAATATTCATTTTTTATTGACTTTTTTTTTAAGCATGTAAATGGAGAAACAAAACAAAAAAAAAATGAGACAAATAATACTAAAATAATGGTGATACGATCATTGAGTATATATATATATAGTGGTGCGTGTGTATATATAAGAATAGATGGATTGAATAGGGGGAAAGAAAGGGACTATGGGAACAAAAATGGAAAAGGAGGAAAATAAGACATCAAGAAGGTCATATAAGGTGGAGTCAGAATAAGAAAGGAGAAATGCTAAAACTATGGGTGAAGGGTACAATAGAAAAAGATAGTGGACTAGGAGTCTGTGTAATAAAAATGTATGTCAAAAAAAAAAAAAAAAAGAGTTCCAAGATGAAAGATGCTGTTTATTTCTTTTGTGTGTTGTTTTTTTTTTTTCATTGTATTATAGGAAAAATCGTATCTATGAATCATCATCACTTTCACCTTCAGAGTCAAGTTCGTATAAAGAAGGATCCCATTTCCCGAGTTTGCGTCTTGGTGATTTGATCAAATATAACGTCATGATTGTATTATCCTTGTCATCATTCCTTCTTTTCGGTAAATTTGCAGTTGATGTTGATGGAGTAGATGTAATTGTAGATTGACGTTGTTGCTCCGTAGTGTCGAAACGTAATCCTATTGTGATTGTACCATCCGCCAAAGTGGTAGATGATCGTAATTGTATCACCTTTTTGGCAAAAAGATAACGTTGGATTGTATCTTGTACCGGTAGATCATTATGTTCCATACAACGCTTCAAATAGGACCAAGGTAAGGTAGAATACAACTTGGCCAAATCATTCATACCACGTAAAGGAAGAGTTTTGGATTCCATATACCCATGAGCTTGATGTTTCCCAATAACGACACCGCCACTCATTTTGACCGAGGTAGAAAAGGCTTCGAGTTGAGTTGATAATCCACGTGTCAAATACTGTATCAAAAGGTCATCTAAGGTGCGTATCCATGGTTTCATATTGTGATCCGGCTGATGATGATAAGTTGTTGAGGTTGATGGAGATGATATATATGGTTCTAAAATTTGCACCCATTGCATAGCAGAAGTTTCATTGAAGCCTTGAGATAAGATTACGTGAAGTAACATATCCTTGAGAGACAATTCTAGATAATCAGCAATCCCGATGAGATCCAAACAAAGCTGAGGTTTTTCATTGACTAAATAAGACATTTCTTGATGTGAGAGCGGACGGTATAAGTGAGTAAAGACGGTATGGAAGGCTTCCACCATAGCTTGACCATAATCTAATTCAATCACTGATGGACTATTTTCTTTGTACTGAATATCTAGGAGGCGTTGATATAGGTAGGGCGATCGAGAAAGAATCAAAGAATGAAGGGTGAATGATTTCGCAATACTTGGAATAGTCACTGTGATATCAGAAAAGTTGCCTAAAGAAAAAAAGAAATATTGCAAGTTCAGCTATAAAAATAAAAGATTTAAGTCATTATTGTACCTTGTAGAAAGCCAACTTGATATAAGTAATTACAATAAGTTTGAGGATCTGGATCACTGAAATTATAACTAGTAGTATTTGCTGAAGCTGAACGAGGAGGAATAGGTGATGCAAAGAAAGCTTGTTGTTGCTGTTGTTGTTGTTGTTGTTGTTGCTGTTGTTGTTGTTGTTGTTGCTGCTGCTGTTGCTGTTGTTGTTGTTGTTGTTGCTGCTGCTGTTGCTGTTGTTGTTGTTGTTGTGGTTGTTGTTGTTGTTGTTGTTGTTGCTGTTGTTGTTGTTGCTGTTGTTGTTGCTGTTGTTGCTGTTGTTGCTGTCTAGACATATGATGATTCATGACAGGTACAGGAAGAGGCATTGGTAATGGTTGTGTTGTTTGTTGATGACTCATAGAAGGAGAAGTATGTTGTTGATAATATTGAGTACTATGTCCAGTTACTGGCATGTGTCCAGAGGACTTGAAGCTGGGAGACAAAGTACGTTGTTGAGTATAATTGTTTGACATATTGACAATCATAAAATTTGTTGTTGTTGTTATATTGTGGTTTATTAGACAGACCAAGATTAAAGATAAATGTACAAAAGATTGACTGAGGTGAGAAAGGGAAAGAGAAGAGAAAGAAGAAATATATGATACAGAAGATTGTAAAAACGAAAAAGAATGTTAGTCCCTGAAAGAAAACAAAAGAAGAATCCAATAAATGGTTTTATTAGTCACTTTTTTTTTCTCATAAGTAGTTCATACTCTTTTTTTCCTTTTAGCTTTCTTTTTATTAGCTTTTCTTTTCTTTTCTCTTTTCTTACCTTGAAAGTATTTACAAAAAGTCAAACAATAAAAAAAAGAAGCAAGTGGAAGAGAGGGAGCAAAAAGAAAAAAAAAATTTGGGAAGCTCAAAAGGATATAAGAAAAAAAAAAAACAAAATTCAATCACCGTCGCAGATATTTCATTGAAAAAAGTGACGGTGTCGTGGCAAAGAGGGATCTCTCCTTGCCTTTCTTTCTTCTTTTTCTCTCAATTATGCCTAATAATAATAACTTGGATATCCCTCGAGCTTATGAAGACGCGGAATTTGTATCAGAACACTTGGGTTTTTTACCAATAGATATTTTAGATAAACTATATAATGCTGGTAACATTGCATGTTATAAAGCTTTGGAAGGTCTCAAACCCTATCTATCTATGTGTTCTCAACTTCAACAAGATAAAAAGCAGCAACTATTAGATAAGGTATTATATAACAAAATTAATGACATTATTCTCATTTTTTTTCTTCATATAATTATAGGCATTTACTCTATTCGAAGCACACTTGGAAGTATTAATTGACAAAACATTCAACAAGTTTCAACAATACTTTTTAGATAGTATTCTTTATATACCCCATGACCAACCAATTATTCTAGAACATTACAAGGTAAAAAAAAAAAAAAAAATCACAATATGTATTCACTAGTCACTCTTTCTTTTTTTCTATTAGGATTTGGACTTGACGCTTACTGAAGATCATATTGATTTGATCGATGCAGAACTAGAGGAGGCTAGAAACTCAGTGATATCAGTAAGTCATAGGCGGAATATAATATATTTGCATGTTTTTGTCATTAAACTTTTCTTATTATTATTATTATTGTTATTTCTTGGACTACTAGCAAAAAGCTTTCAATCATTGGATCAAGAAAGAAGAAAAACGATTGGACAGAAGTTTACGTATACAAGAAGAATATAAAAGACAATTGGAATTCATGTCTTCATTATCAAATGAATATAAAGGTAAAAAAAAAAAAAAAAAAAAAAAAAAAAAAAAGGAAAGAAATAGAAATACATTAGAGAGATATGCGATTAAATTACATTTTTATTAGTACCTCAACTGGATGATGCCGTACAAGGGGTAGCTGGAGATTTGGATAAATTACAAACACAAGTAGAACGAAGGTTGGATGAAGTTTTCAAACAAGGAATACTGGATAACCTGGAAACTAATGATATACGAAGAAATTATCTACGGGAGGTTATACAACGACATATTGAGAAACCTACTAGTATAGATATACCTTAGAATAGTTTTATTATTGAAATATATATAGTATGTTTTTTTTCTATTGTTAAATATTCATCATCATTATCAAAACGAAATAAAATTGTATATGTGTAAAAAAAAAAAAAAAAAAAAAAAAAAAAAAAAACAAATTATATATTCTATAGGAATCATAACATACTAGACCAGAGAAGGAAGAAAGGGAATGTAAACTATATTGTAAACTACAAAGTAAATATGATAAACTATGCGTTGATGTTCATAAAATTGTTGTCTTCCATTCATGGCGATTCCTTTTCCGTGATTTCTCGTCGAGTAAGACTTGAAGAATTTGATCGTAGATATTCCATAACAAGAGATTCTTCAGGTGGATCATTCAATGAATTCATAAAGGACGATACATCTGAAACAAAATCAGTCATACTGCTTGGTACTGATGTTCGAAGTGGTCGTACAATAGTTCGGCGAGTAGTACCATTGCTTGAAATGTTGTTCTTTGATGATGATCCAAAAATCTCCTGCCAGTTCGGTCGAACATGATCTATAAAAAAAAAATATATATATGTTAGTACATGATTTTTATTTTAATTAACTTTATTTTTTTTTTTTTTGAATTCATTCTTACCAACAAGTACAACATCAGGATCATATATATAGAGCCGTTTCCTTTTTCCCATTTGTTGATCATGTAAATAATCTGCTCTTCTATTGCAAAAGCTGGCATAATGGAGACTCCATGGAGGTGGGACACGTACGATACCAAGATGAGGTTGTATACAGAAAGGACACGGTATTGGCAATGAGGGAGAGTCAACTGACCTTTTCAATTGTAAAAAGCATTCAGTACATATCACTTTTCCACAGCACCGAGTTCGATTGATAAACGGAGGATAAAACTTTGAAAAAAAAAAAAAAGAAGTTGCTGAACATCAAGAACCATATATTATCATAACAATATCATTTTCGATGTCTTACCAAAAAACAAATAGGGCACTCCACAGTGTCTTTGTAAAGGACGTATTTTTGAACATTTTCAGGTATATGACTTGCTAAAAAGAGACTCATTCGTCGAGCAGTCATGGCCAGCATGCTGCTATTCTTGTTGTTGTTGTTGTTGCTGTTGTTGTTGTTGTTTGTTGAGTTGGAGTGAATAAGACCATGAGAAGCAGAAGTAAGTAGATCAACTTGACTACCATTACGAATATCCGGGACTTCAGAGTATCCTTAATAAGAGAACGAATTAATGGAGCATCAAATGATATTTGTTTTCATTGAATTCATACCTTGATAGAAAGGTGCTAGTCGACCTTCCTTTATCAATCGCTTGACAACCTTGACATCATAATCGGGTAAAGGGTTATAATAAAGACCTTGTGGATGCAAAGGACCAAAGTCAAGCGGATCATCCAAAGCATCCACCGAGTGAAAAACACCCATCATATATATAATATAAAAATATAAATATAAATAAATACACCAACTACCAATGACCAAGTTTGTTTAAAAAAAAAAAAAAAAAAAAAAAGAACAATGAGACTTCAGGGATCACACTTTTTTTTTTCCCTCACGCGGAGATTATAATTGGGTGAGATTGGTGGTCACGACAATACAGCTGTCTTTTTCCTTCTTCCTTTTTTTTTTTTTTATCTTTTAATGTTTAGTCCATAGAAATTCCCTTCAATTATGTCTTCTCCATTCTCTGACTCATCCTCAGTCTCATCTTCTTCTTCTTCCTATTCTTCATCTGCATTCTCATTTGACGATGCAGAAGATAAACCGTACTATAACAATATAACCTCGACAACAACATCAGCAGCAGCAACAACTGCAGCAACAATAACTTCGTCGTCTGTCTTTTCGAAATTGGCAGGTACTGTCCGCGATACTCGATCAAAGGTGGAACAAAAAAAGTCGGAACTCAATGCCAGTATGCAAGAAAGATTACCTGAATGGCGGTCTCGTGGTGTTATGTATAGTAATCGCGCGCGGGAAACTAGCATAGAATGGAGTCGGAAAGGGAAAGAAGCAGTCGATCGTTGGAAAAAGGAGCGACAAGATAAATATTTCAGTAATGATGAAACTAGTGGTACGAATTCAAAGTATGTCTCTAAAATGTTAAGACTAACACTTTTTTTCTTTTTTTTTTTTTTTTGGTGCGTTGATAGATTCAAGAAAAATAGAAAAATCAACTGCTCAAGTTTTTGGTCTGCCCTTGGAACAAGCTGTTATGCTTACCCGACAATCTGAAAACGACAACATACCTGCGGTTGTTAGACAATGTATAGATTATTTGGATGAATATGGTAATAATAGTAACTAAAATTCACCACAGGAAGAATACTAATACTTTTACGTATATTATTGTTTTATAGGAATTCATGAAGTCGGCATATATAGGTACAAAAAAAGAATGTATATATCAAGGGAATATAACAAACCGATGATTTTTTTATATGTTTATTTCAAATTAGAGTACCTGGAAGTACTATTACTGTCAACAAGATAAGAGCAATATTTGATTCTGGTAAGCAATGATTATCATCTCCATATGTATCCTCGTTATTAAATTGATTTTTTTTTTCTTTTTGAAATCTAGGTGCCGAATGTGATTTCAACTCTGTTTGTCCTGAACCCAATATAGCTGCTACGCTACTCAAGATGTATTTACGTGAATGTAATGTCTATTATTATTACTATTCATTCCTACTTTAGTTACTAATGACAGTTCCATCTGGCTTTTTTTATTTATTTATTTTTATTTCTTTTTAGTACCAGAGTCTATCATTCCTCTCAATATAAATGAACAGTATGCCCAACAGATAAATGAATATATTCAAAGGGACCAACCACCATCAAACTGCAACATATCAAGAAACGACGATCACATTTCACCGGATATTTTCGACATGCCTACTACAGCCAAACTACCACCAATCACTTCTGAATTATTGAAAATTATTCGGAATATCACACAACAACTACCTACGACTAATCTTTATTTACTGAAAGCACTATGTCAACATCTCAAACAAATTGCGGCTCATTCAAATGAAAACAAAATGTCGACATCGAATCTTGCTCTTATATTTATTCCTACCCTTGGTATTGGCCGTCTTCTATTTCATTGTATGGTGGATCACTATGATGATGTATTTGGAAATAATGACAAGACTTCCTCAATTTTACCACCAATATGTACACCACCCATATCATCTTCATCTTCAGTAACACGATCGGCTGGTCCAATCATCATGCACAATCGTTCCATCTCAGCATCAAACGCGCTTACTCCCAATAAACCATTACCACCACCATTACCGCAGAAGCCCAAGAATATTAACATTCCAAAACCGCCACGACGACAAAACAAAAGTTTAGATCTTGGACGACATCATCATCACCATCACCAACATCATCATCATCATCAGACACGAGGGGAACACACCAAGACATTATCCGATACTGATGTGATTACAATGACTATTCCTCCTCCACCAAAACCTGCGAGATCACCGGTTGCAAAACCTGTATTAGAATACTTCCGACCGAACATTAATCGACTTGTTGAAACCAAACCAAGATCTAGATCCGTCTCATCACCAAATGCATCATCTTCGCAATCGTCATGCCATCAACCAACATCATATACATCAACATTTCCAACTTGTGCCAAACCAAGTTCGTCAACATTATCCACATCATCATCATCATCAGCAACGTCCTCATCACCAACATCATCAATGTCATCAACATCGGTATTAAACAAACCATCATCCATTAGAAGTCGTAGTGGCAGTCGTGTAGAAGCTATTGGAAGGCAATTTGAACAACTTGTGACAAAATCAACTTTGCGATCATCATCTACTTCATCAACAACATCAAAACAAATGGATTCTTCCTAGTTCAGTTGTTTATTTTTATATTTTTGTATTATTTGATATGCCTTTGATTGATATATATATGTTTACCCTTTTCTTTTTATTCGGAATTTTAAATCGAACAAAAACAATAAAAAAATTGTCCCTCGTTTTTCTTCTCCCTCTTTTTTCTTTTTTCTTTTTTCTTTTTTTTTCCTTTTGTATCTTCTGTTGTTTTCTAATATTTTACCTACCTTTGATATCTTTACTCTTACTTTTATATTTTATATATATATACACTATCTTGATCACCCAGCATATAGTAGGATTAGGCTACGTATTTAATACTCACGTATATACACACCAACATGAATCAACAACAACAGCAACCACATCATATGATTAGACGATCCTTGGCAACTACACGAGAAGAATCTAGTCAAGAAAGATTTGGAGTCACTATACCAAAGGATCCACCAGTTCGTACATCAACCATTCAAAAAGCAGCCCTCACATCTAGTTCAGCAATGGCAGCAGCAGCGATATTTCGGAAGTTGGACAAGGAAAACAGGGAAAGCAGTGATAACTATACCAGTAAACTTCGCACTCGCTCACCTTTACGACAATCGGATCGAAACACAGGTAGTAATACTCATCACAACTATCTTGGCAATCGAATAAGTAATCAAACTCCAACAAAAAAACCAACCAATGTTCGACCTGATTATCAACAACAACAGCAACAACAACAGCAGCAACAACAACAACAACAACAACAACAACAAAGACAACAACGTCAGCATCGCAAACAAACGAATAGTACAAAAATACATGTCGTCACCGATGAAGAAGTCCCATTGACAATGTTGGATAAGGAACGCGGTCGCATTTATACAAAACTACAATTCCTTGGCGAGGTAGCTACATTGTTAAGAAGAAAAAAAAAAGAAATGATATGTTACTTATAGTTATCTTACTCGTTCATTGTTTTTTTAGGGAGGCTTTGCTAGATGTTATCAAGTCCGAGATCAAGATGAAAATATCTACGCTGTCAAGGTGGTGGCCAAGGCATCTTTAGAACAAGAAAAGTATCGAATCAAACTACATGGCGAAATCATCACTCATGCATTGATGAAACATCCTCGTATTGTCCAGTTTTACTATTGTTTTGAAGATGAGGATAATGTTTATCTGATAGTGGAATTATGTGAAAACAAGGTAAATTGAAAGAAAAATTAAAAAAAAAAAAAAAAAAAAAGGTGATCAAACTCACTCTTTCATACACGTATATATATATGTTAGACATTGGTTGAAATGTTGAAAGCAAGAAGACATCTCACTGAACCTGAAGTACGATACTACCTTATACAGCTCTTAGATGCTTGTAGATATATGCATGAACATCAAGTAGTCCACCGAGATATCAAGCTTAGCAATGTCTTTTTAGATCATAAAATGAATGTTAAACTTGGTGATTTTGGATTGTCTGCAACTTTGAAGAATCCAGAAGACCGAAAAACGTAAGTAAAAAAAGAACAACATTAGCAATCAAATATTCAAGTATTCTTTTTTTTTTTTTTTTTTTTTTTGGTTAACTTACAATAACAATAGGACTATATGTGGTACACCCAATTATATTGCTCCTGAGATATTATTTGGCAAAAATGGACACAATCAAAAAGTGGATATTTGGGCTTTAGGCATTTTAATGTATAATGATTTACATCATGTATATTTTTTGTATAAAAATACTAATAACATGATATCTTTTTTTTTTTTTTAGGTATACCCTTCTTATTGGTAAGCACCCATTTCAAATGAAAATACACACTGGTATCTACAAGTAAGTTATCAAAGGATATTAGATTTAAAAAAGAAAAAAAAATGGAAACGACCTATTTAATACTGTCTTTGATTTCAAACTTGTTTAGTAAAATCCGTGCAAATTCCAAACAACCATCCTATATCTTTCCAGAAAGTATTCCTCTGTCTGCCGAGGCAAAAGATCTTATTTCCAAATTACTAGTCAATAATCCAGGTACGATATACATTTATTATCAAAATGAAATCAATATATATATTTATCCTTTTTTTTTTTTGATAAAAATAATATATAGATGAACGGCTGTCAATGTCACAAGTTTTACAACATCCTTTCATTCAACATCCACACTTACCAACACGCATTCCACTTTCATCCTTGCAAACACGACCATCATTACATGAGTTGCGAATTCTACAAAGGACAACTTCATCTACCAACATACCATCATCATTAGAATCAACATCTAATGAACAACAATCAGGAGCAGAGACAAAACTCATTATGATACTGGTATCAACTTTACGAAACGCTTTACAAAAGAAAGATTCTATTATGGCTCGTCGAAAGGGTACACCTATTGAACCTATCATTTGGACAAAGCATAATGCCTTTTTGAATAAATGGGTGGATTTTACTAGTAAATATGGTCTTGGATATTCAATCTCTGATGGTGAAATAGGCGTTTTGTTCAATGATTCCACAAGTCTTTCTACATTCGATGAAAGGTAATAATATATAAATATAAATATAGTTTTATTGAATCATTTTTTATTATTTTTGAATATGTATAATAATAGGACATATCGATATATTGTACATGGACCACAACCTACTATTGAAGAATATCAACACACTGATGTACCAGCTGAACTTGGAAAAAAACAATACCTGATGACAAACTTTAAAGAATATATGAATGACAAATTGGCTTGTTTGGCACCAAAACAAGAATCAACAAAGAGTAATGGTATCTATCTCGCAAAATATGTGGTAACAGAAGAAGCAATTATATTTCGACTTAGCAACAATGTGATTCAAGTAAATTATATATTTTATTATTATTATGTATTGTATATTCAATCTTTTTTTTTTTTTTTGTTTTGATAGTTCAACTTTTTCTCTCGACCTAAACTTATGTTTACAGAATATGGAACAAAGATTATCTATGTAGATCGATCAAGAAAACTCAAAATGTACGAATTGAACGAAGCTATTGCAACAGGACACCCAGAATTACTTTCTCTTTTAGCATATGCAAGAGATACCCTGGAATCCCATATTACAGTATATGATAATTAGTTGTGATATACTGTATCTAGTTGTTTTTATATATTAGGATAATTAGAAATTCATTAATAAATAAAAAAAGAGGAATTAATTGTTCACGTATTCTATAAATTAAACTAACGGAGTTCTCTTCCATTTCTTTCTCTCTCTTTCTTCCTTTTTTTTTTTTTTTTTTTTTTTGTTGATTACTTTTATCTTTACACACTTTTTTTTTGTTGATTACTTTTACAGTATCTTTACATACTTCTTTTTTTTGTTCCTTTGTTTTATCCCATTTTACTCTTCTTATCTTTATCTAATTTGTAGCACAGTTTACATTACACTATTGACTTATGCGATAGTAATGTACTTTACACTTTTTATGAAATAAACAATATGTTTATTATTTTATCTTTTTTCAGAAAAAAAGTCTTTTTTTTTTTCTTTAATCTAATTGACATAGTTTCTAATCTCATCTCATTCAACAACTTATTCTCTCCAGTAATTAATTCATTTACATTTATTATGTCAGAATGTTTGTTTTGTCTTTTTACTATTACGTTTTTTTTTATCTACTTTTTTTTTTTAGTTCATATATTGATTGTAAAGTAATGAATCAGTGGCATCATAAAAAAATATATCATTGTAGTGTTACTTTCAATATTATAACATTTGTATTCTCTTCATGGTGCTATCGTTTCGTCATCTCGAAATATTTCCATACTCCCTTCCTCCCCTTCTTTTTTAATGGCTAAATTTTTACCGTAACCCCCTTTTCCGCTGAATTTCAATTTTTTTTTTTTTTTTGGACAACACGAGGAATAATTGCAATGATATACTATATTAATAAACTCCCCTTCAAAACAAATAAGATTTAGAAATTCGTAATAAAATATATGATTACATCGATAGATAAAAATGATCTGATCAGAAAATGGACGAATTGTAAAGAAATCAATAAAAAGTTGCGGAGATCGAAATTTAAGATTGGATTCATATGTATCCAAACGGTTCTCACAAAAAAATCGCCTTGCTAGCTCAATCGGCAGAGCGTGAGACTCTTAATCTCAAGGTTGGGGGTTCGACCCCCCCGTAGGGCTTCTTTTTGACGTTTTTCACTATTAGTCGCAGTATGAAAATGTACCAATCAAGTTTGTTAAAGTTTTTTTTTGTGGATGATTGTTTTATAAAATGATTGTTGGGTGATTTTTTGGTTTATAGGTTCAAAATTGAAAAAGTAATTCGGATGATTGAAAGAGAATAAGTTATTTAGTGAGCACCAGTACTTGATTACGCAAGCACACGTATAGGAAAGAGATAAAATAAAAAAGAAAAGTAAAGTAAAGAAAAATAAAGTCTTGTTCCAAATTTGGAAAGTAGAAGTAGAGTAAAAAAAAAAAAAAAATTGTTCTGACTTTAAATATAGAGCAAAGTGAGCCAATCAGAAGTGATAATCCACAAATATAATAAAGATGGGATGAAAGAATATTTTTTATTTTTTAAAAAAAAAATAATAATACTTGAGTTGACTGAACTAAAAAAAATAAAAGGAAGAAGGGAGGCTATTTATACTAAATTGATTTATAAGAAAAGAATCATTCATAGTTCATACTAAAAGAAATTTGTTTCAAAAGGAATTCATTCACAGCAAAAATATAATATTGAGGGTTAAATTTTTTTTTTTTTTTTTTTTTTTTTTTTTTGTTTAACATCCCACCAAACAGCAAAAGATGACCTTCATCTTTAACATTGATACCAAGGATCAGTCCTACGAATCTTCTTTAACAGCTTCTTGTAATTTCGCAAGTTGGCTTCACGAAAGATAGATTTTATACAAGCATTGCTAGCTTCTCGATAACTCTTCTTGTCTTGGATGGTTTTCGGTTTAGTCAAGCGGTCATGTAACAAACGGATAGTAAGAGGAACAAGTGTTTGATTTTCTTCTTTAACTAATGATTCTTCCATCAAAATTTTTTCATCCAATTTCTTGGAGTAAACAGGCAAGGTTAGTTCCAGTAACAACAATACGTTCTTCGTCGTTCAAGGTAAATGTCATGAACGTGACAGGAGAAAGGTATAATATCAGTAAACAGACAGACAGGCAAGACAGAAGTAACTATATATGTGCTTACAAGAATATATTAGTTGTTTGATGAGAATGTTGAAAACAATGTAAAAGTAATTGTTGACCAAAAGATAACAGATAGTTCCTTTTATTGTTGTAGAAATAAAATAATGTATTTATACCTAAACTAAAAAGGAGAGACTAACTAATGTATCATTGATGTAATGAAGGAGAACAAAAGGGAACAAGAAGAACAGGAAGAAAAGAGGAGAAGAGAAAGAAGGGGAAGGTGAGAAAAAAAAAAACAAAAGAAACAAGAAGGAAACAAAAAAGAGAGGAAGAGGTAAATAAATAAAATAAACCGAACTCAGACATACGCATGATTTTTATTTTTTATTAATTTTCTTGATGATATCCTTGACAGTAAAAAATGATGGATGATGTTATTGTTGGGTGATTTTTTGATTTATGGGTTCAAAATTGAAAAAGTAATCAGGATGATTGAAAGTTAATAATGATTATAGTGAGCACCAGTACTTGATTACGCAAGCACACGTATGAGAAAGGAGGTAAAATAAAAAAGAAAAGTAAAGTAGAAAAATAAAAGATCAATTCCGAATTTGGAAGGTAAAAGAATAGACATTCTTAGTTTGACTTCAAAAAAAGGGGTTGAGCCAATCAGAGGGAATAATCCACAAAATACAGCTATATATTATGTTATATATGATTGACGGACTGACTAAAAGTAAAAGAAAAAAAAAAGGATAGTTTTACTAAAATATTTGATATAATAAAAAAATCTTTTTTAAAAATTTTTTTATTTGTTTATTTATTTATTTGTTTATTTATTTATTCTTAAAGAACTTTTTTTTTTTACTCAACATTTTTATCTCCTTTTTTACATTACTTTTACCTTGTAATATTTTATAGTGTTTTATTGTAGTATAGATATTGTATGTGTATTTTTCAATAGAAAAGAAAAAAAAATTATCTTCTGTTTTATTTTATTCTTTTACTCTCATTCAATCTCGCTTACTCAAATGGCAATCTCATAGTACCTGTATTCCCATCCTTTCTTTTTTTTTTTTTTTTTTTTTTTTTTTTTACTATTATTACTTTTGGAAATAGAATAAATATTATGGATGATGTGTTAAAATGATTATGAAAAATGTATATGGGAAAATACTTGTAAATACTGGGGTTATTTAATATCATATTTAATCACAAGTAAATCAATATAATATCAGTACAATATGATAACAGTGATGCTTTTTTCCCCTTTTTTTTTTTTTGTTTTTTTTTGTGCAATAGAAAGTTTTGGATAGATAACAATGAACAACGGGTAAATGGTTACCAAAAACGGAAATAAAATGATATACGTGTTGATAATGGTGTTAAAAAAAAAAAACGAAAACAAGAAACACGTGGATCCTTTCTATTGACTGATCTTTATATATAGTATCTAGTTCTATTGAAGTATGGGTAAAGAGTGATACTTTTTATTTTTTCTTTTTACCTGGTGATCATCATCGCCGTTATAATAGTTGATCATCATCATTAGTGAATCATCAATAATTTATTATTATACTGTATATATATGTTCACACTGAAATACAACATTGGATATCTTTTTTTTTTTAAAAAAAGAAAAAAAGAATATGATAATATGAGACATGTCAATATTCATGAATCTACTAGATCTGATTCATATCTATATATAGTTGAAATTTGTTTTTGTAATAAAAAATTATTTACACAAATGGTAGGTGAAACATCGGGCTCACATTCCCGGAAATGAATTTGTATCCGTTTAGTTCACTTCTCGGTCAACTACTCCGCTGAGATTCAATATTATATATGAATTGATATATGGTATTGCTATTATCTATCAAGAGAATGATTTATTATTATTATTATTATTGTTATATAAATTAATCTATGATGAACTTTGAATAAGAAATATATAACATATATCTATATATATATTATTGATGTGATTATTGTTACAATTCCAAACAAGTAGGATCGGAGATGAAAGTAGATGGGACTTTGTCATGCAAGTTCCCGGAAACATTGTTCAGCCATCTTATAGATATAAATATAAATCACCATGGGTTTTTTTTTTTTTTTTTGACTTTTTTTTTTCTTCTTTCTTTTTCTCTTCACTTTTTATATATATATATATATATATTTATTATTATTGTATAATCTTATAAAACAATGTCAGATACAACATCTTTAATTGTTGCTCTCAAAGGTTCAAAAGATCTTGAAAAAACAGGTAAAATCATTCGATTTGGAAATGGGGCTAATTTGGATACCGTACGTGGTCTTGCTGCTGAAAAATTAGCTATTGGTGGTAATAGTCAAGATCTTGTTTTACTTGATGGTTCTGATCGTTTACTTGATGGAATTGATGATCTTCGAAAACAACAAGTGGTATACGTTGATCTTCCTGAATCTGTCAAAGAAATTATTCCTGGTCCTACGAAATTACCTTTTGTTGGTAATCTTTATGAATTTGTTCCCGATTTGTAAGTTTACAAGATGAAACACATTTTCTGGGTATTAATTTCGTTTTTCTTTTCTTTTCTTTTCTTTTTTTTTTTTTTTTTCTTTTCACTTTCTACCCTACAAAAAAAAAAAAATAGTACTGCTGGTTGGAATCGATTATTTAAGGAATATGGTCCTCTTGTTGATACTACAACACTTGGTGTAAGAAACATTGGTACAAATGACCCTGCCATTGCTGAACTATTTGTCAAAGAAGGCGAATACTTTACCAAAAAGGTGAGTTGAAAAACAATCCTATCAAGGTTTTAGTTCCTTTAATATCTTTTTGTTTTTCATAGATTGCACCCACTCCTTTAAGTGAAGTCAAAGTATTCGCCGGTCAAGGTTTATTTACTACTGATTCAGACGAAGATGATTGGAAACTCGCTCACAAATTATTGATGCCTGCATTCTCTCCGCGTGCTATCAAGGTAATATATATATATATATATATATATATATATATATATAAAGGGGGAAATAGTTGATACTGACAAAATATGTTTATACATATAATATAGGCTTATCAACATGAAATGGGTATCATTACTCAAAAGACAATCAAGATTTTGGACCAAATGAAACCAAACGAAAAAGTGGATATTCTTGATTGGACAACAAAGGTAACAAAAAAAAAAGATTTTTTTTTTTTTTTTTTTAGTTGTTCTAACATTGTATCTCTCTATTGTTATTAGGTCACTTTTGAAACTATCGGTCGCATCGGTTTTGGATATGAATTCAACTTACTCGAAGAAAAGGATGCACCTCCTCATCCTCTTATTCAATCTATGGGTTATCTTTTACAAATGGTGGTAACTCGTCGACAACAAGCTCAATTTATGAAACATATTCCCACCGCTGCCAACCGAAAATTCGACCAATCTATGGAGATCATGCACGGTACTGTAAGTGAGGTGATTGCCGAACGAAAACGAAGTCCTGACGCCAAAGACAAGAATAAGGATATGCTTGGTTTTATGTTGAATGCTCGTGATGAAAATGATCATGGTCTTTCAGATGAAAATATTCGTGATCAAGTTGTGACCTTTTTGATTGCAGGTAAGTTTTATTTTCAATCAAGTATGTTTATGAAATGACTCATCATATGTTTCTTCTTAGGACACGATACTACTGCAAATACTTTGGCATGGGTCCTTTATGAAATATCTCGCAATCCTGATGTGGAAGCAAAGATTCTTCAAGAAATCGCTAATACTGGTATTACTCATGACAAATTACCAACATCTGAACAAATTAGTAATTTGAAATACATGCATCAAACCATCAAGGAAACACTTCGAAAGTATCCTCCTGTTCGTGCACTTAGCAAGTACTGTAAAAAAGAGTGCATCGTTCCTTATGGTTACAAGATTCCTGCTAATACTGGTGTATCTGTTCAAGTTTATTGTAAGTATATACATGTGGTATATTATGCATGAATAATTACTGACTTTTTTTTTTGTAATATAGCAATGCATCACAATGAAAAGGTGTATCCTGATCCTGAACGTTTCGATCCCGATCGATTCTCCCCTGAAGAAGAACAAAAACGATCTCGTTCTGCTTGGTAAGTGCTTTATTAAAGCTTTTTTTTTTTAATACTAATCTCACTTTTTTCAATATAGGTTACCTTTCTCCACTGGTCCACGTGCTTGTATTGGTATGGCTTTCGCTTTACAAGAAGCAAAGACAGTTCTGGCAATGTTCTTACACAAGTACAAATTCTGTTATGGTAAGTACTGTTATATCATTCAATATTGATTGAACATGTACTAATACGAATATTTCAAACTTTTTGCTTTAATAGATGGACCTGATGTTCATTTTGATCCTCGTACCGCTACCACAAAACCCGAAGATTTGTTGATGACTGTCGAACCTCGTACTGACTTCCCTGCACCAACCGAAGACAATAGCCTTCCAGAAACTACTACCAAATCAACTGCTTCCAAGGCTATGCCTAGTTTAGCTCATGCTGATGCTGCCAAAGAAGTAGAACTTCCTACTGTTACTTTCCTTTATGGTACTCAAACTGGTACTGCGCAAGATTATTCTAATCAACTTTTGCAGCAAGCCAAAGAATTCGGATTTGAAAAGGTGAACATGGTGGAAATCGACAAGTGGAAAGGATTACAAGATGGAAAATACAACGGACCTACTTCTGGTAGTCAACGTGAATTGGTGGTAATCTGTACAGCAACATATAATGGTCAACCTCCTGATACTGCCGAAGCTTTCAACAAATTCATCGATAACAAGACAAAGGAACAAGGTCATGAAACCATCTATAAAGGTCTTCTCTTCTCTATCTTTGGCGTAGGAAACAAAAACTGGCGTACTTATCAACATTTCCCTCGCAAGGTGGATGAAGCCTTTGAAGAATTTGGTGCTGAACGGTTTTTCCCTCGTGGTGAAGGAAATGCTGACCAAGATATGGATGCTGAATTTAATGAATGGTAAGAAGGGGATTAGAAAAAAAAAAAAAAAAAAAAAGGAAAAATAGACGAGGTCATCTAATGTCTTTTTTTTTTTTTTTTTTTTTTTTTATCAATAGGTGTGCCCACTTTTGGAGTCATGTGTTAGATTACTACGGTATTGCTGCTTCTCAAGATAAATCTGTAGTACCTACTTCGACAACTAGCAAGAGAACAAATACTATAGTTACCATCAATTACATTAGTCCCAAGGATGCGGTCAAATATCAAGCTGGTATCTCCAATTACAACGGTGAAAAGAATGCAATCATCAAAGTGAACCGTGAATTGCAACAAGAGGGGTCTGGTCGCAGCACACGCCATATTGAAATTGACATCTCCGCTCTTACACCTATTAGTGAAAACGCAGATCACTTTTATAACGCTGGTGACCATTTGGAAGTGATGCCTGAAAATGATCCTGCTTTGGTGAATACTATTGCTTTGAACTATGGTTGGATTCTGGATTCTGTGTTTGAAATCGATCCTACGTCTCAAGCTGGTCTCTCTTCTCGTTCTCTTGGAGCTGCCATCAAAGGACCTTGTACCATCCGCAATGCGCTCACCTATTATGCTGATTTATCTTCTCCTCCAACTCGAACCATGCTTTCATTCTTTGCCAATCAACTTCGACAAACTGCTCCTGAAACTGCCGAAGTATTCGAAAAGCTTATTATGCCCGATCAAGACAATGTGGATCAGTATCCAGCTTTCATCAAACGATATCGTACCTTATTGGACTTGCAGAAAGGTTTCCCTCAAGTCAACAGCCTCGACTTTGCTCAATTTATCTCTGCTGCTGTTGTGATGCAACCTCGTCGTTATTCAATTGCTAGTTCACCTCTTGTGTCTTCCAAAACAGCTGCTCTTACTGTGGGCGTGGTGGATGATATTGTGGATGGTCGTCATTATGGTGGTCTTGCATCGTCTTATCTCGCTCGCAGCATTGTCGATGGTGGTGATGATAAATTGACCAAGATTCATGCCGTGTTCAAGTCATCCAAGAGCACTTTTGATTTACCAAGTGATCCTTCTGTTCCTATCATCATGATTTCTGCTGGTACTGGCTTCTCACCTTTCCGAGGTTTCATTCAAGAACGTGCTGCTCAACGCAAGCAAGGTATCAAGGTTGGATCTACTTCTCTCTTCTTTGGTTGTCGTCGTGCTGATCATGATTACATTTATGGCGATGAATTGGAAACGTTTGTGCAACAAGGCGTACTCAACAATCTCCATGTGGCATTCTCAAGACAACAACCTCCTTCACCTACCAAGTACGTTCAACATCAAATCCTCGCTAACGCCACTGAAGTTTGGAATTTGATGCATCCTTCCTCTGGTGAAATCCCTGCTAATGTCTACATCTGTGGTAGTGGTAATATGAGCCGTGATGTCCGACGTGTATTTATCTCGATGTTCAAGAGCTTTGGTGATGCTACTGATGATGTGGAAGCGGAAGCCAAGTTACAACAATGGATCGATGAAGCTAGATACAATGAAGACGTTTGGGGTTAGATGATAATATATTTATTAGATTTATTTAGTTTATTTGTTATTATTGTTTTTTTTTTTTTTTTTTTTTTTTTTGGAAATAAAAATGTTGTATATATATCTTTCTTTGGATTATTGTTTGGGGTGTGGATGAATTGAACAGGCATGAATATGATGTATCTGTCGGCTAAGTTAAGTCCCTCTTTCTTTTTCAATATCAAAATGGATTTTATTATTAATACTTGAATGAATACAAACTAATAAATAAAGCGATGGAATAAATAAAATAAATAAATATATACATACTATTAGAGGGTGGATGATCAGAATAAATACAACAAAAAAAGGGTAAAATGATGTGGCCATCATCATGAAACAGGAGTAACATCACCATCTTCGCCACTATGCGCCTGAACATCCAACTTGTGCAGTTTGCTTTGAATGTGTCGCTCCAGATCGTACTGTCGAAAGAATTTGTGATTGCAATCTTCAAATGGACACACATATTTCCGTTTATTGTCATCATACTTGTATCCAGTCAGAAGTTCCGTGAGTGTACGTTGCTTGTTGTTCTTGATTGGTTCCGCTACAGGATCATCCATCAATGTCGTCGATTCGTTTTTGTTGTTTTCAATGTCTAACATTTTCTTCTTCTATTTCATATTGATCATCAAATATATATATATATTACAGTTAGATTTCTCTTTTTTTTTTTTTTTTTTTTTTTTCCTTACCTTGTGACTTTTACTATGTTTGACCAAATCACATCGATAATGAAATATTTGTCCACACTCTTCAGCCATGCATTTGAAGCGAGGTAAAGGGGCATGATTGACATTAATATGACGTTTCAAACTCTTCAACTAAAAAGAAATAAAAAAAAAAAGATCAATCATGCAACCTTCATTTCCCCTTTTTTTTTGCGGTTTTCTTACTGAACGAAATACTCTTGTGCATCCTTCCCATTCACAATGGACTTCCTCTTTCAACATGTGTGTTCCTTTGATATGGCGATTCAGAAGAGCTTGACGACCAAATTGTTTATGACAAACATCACATTCCACAGGATGACCAGTATTGACATGCGTTTGGAGTTGAGACCATTTCGTAAATTTCATATTACATCCAGGTTCAGTACAGATATATCGTTGAATAGCTAAACAAGAAGAAAAAATAAATAAATAGATCATTTGGAAGTTCCTTTTATATATATATATATATATTTACCAGAATGAACAGTATCTTGATGATATTGTAATCGAGATTTATAATCGAAACTAGCTTCACAACCAGGATGGTTGCATGGATGAGGTTTCTTGTTGGTATGAATACACATATGACGGCGAAGTTGATATTTCTTGGCATAAGCAGCCGTACAATCAGGCCATTGGCACCGGAAGGACAAGGGTACCTGGTGTATCTTTTCTTTATGTCGTTGTAGATGGTGTTTAAGATTAAAGGCTTGTTCACATTGATCACACTTGAGTGTTCTTGTAGTGGCTGGATCATGAAGTCGACAGTGTACTGTAAGTTGACCTTTACGTCTATAGGTCTTGTTGCAGTTTGGAAATGGACAGGCAAAAGGTTTCTATATAAAATTTAAAGAATAATAAGTAAAAAAAAAATATTGATGTATCCTCTATTTTCTTGTTCTTACTTCACCAGTATGGCTTCGAATATGATCTGTTAATTTTGGCTTTTGTGTAAATACTCTATCACAATCGTCATAAGGACAAGGATGTATAATTCTTGAACGTTTCTTTGCTGGAGGTTTTGTTGCTGTTGTTGTTGGAGACTTGACAGGATAATCCACAGTAGAAGAACATTCTGTATCTATATCATCGTTGCTATTGTATTCACTGTCATCATCGTTGTATTCACTATCGTCATCGGTTTTATAGTCGTTCATAGGAGCTATTCTTTTCACCGGAATAATCATGGTCATAGTAGTTTGATCAATTGAGAATAGACTTTTTTAAAAGAAAAAAAGGAAAGGAGAAACCTGTGGCTTCCAAAAAAAAAAAAAAAAAAAAAAAGAGGTAAAAAAAAAAAAAAAAGGGAAGGGCAATAAGAAATTCAAACGCAGCACGAATCTGGTAACATCTGTCAGTTGATACAAACAATAAAAATAGACCATATAGAACGGATTTTTTTTTATTTAAAAGGTAAATAAAGAAGAAGATTTGGAAAAATAATGTTTTTTTTTTTGGTATTTTTCGTGTTTTTCATAGTCAAACAAATAATAATAATAATCAAAAAAAATAGACAATTGAGAGGAACAATAAAAAAAAAAAGATATTGATAAATAAGAATGAAGATATGTACAAAAAGAAAAAAAAAAGAATATAAAAATGGTGACGATGATACTAGTCTGAATATATATATATGGGTGTGAGAAAAAAAAAAACAAAAGGATATATTTATTTAAAAGAACTGCCATAAGACATGGACCTTCTTCTGGCACCTTCAAAAGCATTTTGAATGGAAATTCCAGTAGGCATCCATAAGGGTGGAGAAGAGCTTAATTCTTGAGGAATATCATTGGTTGGTGAGCTTGCCATAGAAGATGATGAGGGAGATACAGGTGCATGGTTAAAAGTCAATGGAGTAGTATAGATGGAAGGCAATGAAGAAGCATGTGGATGTATTGTTGGTTGCGTAAACAGTGCTGCTGTATCAGACATACGCCGATGATGGAAGGAAGCACAAGCTGATGTATGAGTTGAGAAGGAATCAGGTTTTTCAAAAGTTCGTCCACATTTACAACGGAATGGCATAATCAATTTCGAAAATAACGAGAGAGAGAGAGAGAGGGAGAGAAAAAAAAAAAAAAAAAAAGGGAAAAAAAAGAAAGAAAAAAAAGAAAAGGGAAAAATATGCACGAAAGAGAGAAAAAAAAAAAAAAAAGTAATGTGTCAAATTTCCGTGGGAACAAAAGATAAGACCGGAGTTCCATCAACCAATCAAACTGAATGCTTGATCATTGATAACGAAATTTCAACTATTTTGGTAGTCACCGCATGAAAAAAAATAAAAAGCTCAAAAATCATTGGGTAAAAAAAAAAGATAGTTTATTTCTGTTTCGCTTTCTAAAACTACAGGAATAATATTCTATTCTACTAAATTGCTGGTAAAAAATCCCTTTTCATATTCAATTGTAACCTGGAACTAATGGCTTCTAATCGTACTGCACATAAACTAAGCATCTTGTTGTCCATCAAGTGAATACCACAAATCCCACGTAACAAAATCAATTTCAGCATCCGACAAGGTTGATTGGTACATTTGTTACAAATTTCCAAAGAATGATGGTTCCCTAGTTCTAATAGTGAGCTAATATGTTGATCATCCACTGTCAAAGCACATGCATCGTCCAAATAAAGTATTTTATCTTGAATTCCCGTAAGTCCTTTAATAGCTTGACCAATAATGTTAAGTTTATTCCGATCAGATTCATCCATTTCCATTGTCATTTGTATCAAAGGTTGTTGTTCTTCTTCTTGTTGATAATAATGCACCTGTAAACAAAAGTTGGCTACTTGAACTAGTAGTGCATGTGCTGTACCTTCTCGTTTGTATTGTAATTGTGTCATATTCCAATTCTGTTGAGCAAACGAGGATGATGATGATGATGATGATGAATTTATTGCCTGCTGCGCCTGCTGTTGTTCTTGTTCCTGTTCCTGCTCCTGCTGTTGCTGTTGTTGTTGTTGTTGCTGTTGTTGTTTTTTAGTAGGCAATAAATTGACAATACGTACATCTTGTAAAAGTAAGAGCACTTCAGGACTTCCTTCTTCACCAAATCCATCCACTGTTTTCCTTGCTGTCAAAAGTTTTTCCACCAGTTGCCGAAAGACATAGTATTGAGCATCTTTAAGTAGATTTTTTCGATGCAAGTCGTCCTTAATATGAATAGTATACCCGCGTAAATGACTGACAATATCTGCAAAGATATCAGGATCTCGATCGATATAGACTGGTGCACCTTGATCTTTCACACCATGAGGATTCAATAACGTATGCATCAATGGACCAGTAAAAAAGTTGCTTTTACCATCTTTCAAGTATATACAAATTCAAAATATAATGATTTTTTTTTTTAAAAAAAAAAAAAGTTGGGTAAAATTGTTTTCATCTTTTGCCTTTCACTTACCTTTTCGAAGTAAATTCCAAGACAATCGAAAGACACGACCACCTACATTGACATATAAGTATTCATGAAGGATTTTGTATAATCGTTGTAAACCATAATACCGAGCGTCATTCAGAAGATCTTGGTTTTGAATATCATCGACTGGGCGGACATAATAACCACGTAAATGATGAACAATCATCTGAAACGAATCAGCATCACGATCCACATACATCACCCGAGTGTTGCGTTGACGAAGAAAGTAGTTAACAAAAAAGTTGGTTGGTCCATCACTTTTCAAAGATTCCCACGAAAGACGAAAGGTTCGGCCACCGACAATGATGGTGAATACAGTTTGATTGGCAGGCTCCTCCAAGGTCGTTTCCACTAGCTTGCGTTTTTTTGTATTGTTGGACTGATTATTGGTCATTGTTGTAGAAGAACTAGTGGTAATAGGTGCTGATGACTTTGTGGATGGAGATTGATCAATATCATTACGAGGTCGTTTTTGTTGTGGTTGCACTTTTTGTTGCTGTTGTTGCCGTTGCTGCTGTTGTTGTTCCAGTTGTTGTTGTGGTTGTTCCAGTTGTTGCTGTTGTTGTTGTGGTTGTTGTTGCTGTTGTTGTGGTTGCTGCTGCTGTTGTTGTTGTTGTTGTTGTTGTTGTTGTTGTTGTTGTTGTTGTTGTTGCTGTTGTTGTTGTTGTAATTGTAGTTTCTGTTGCTGCTGTTGCTGCTGCTGTTGTAACTGTTGTAGCTGTTGTAGTAGTAATAACTGTTGCTGTTGGTGTAGTTGTAATTGCTGTTGTTGCTGTTGTTGTTGGAATTGAATATTTTCAGGAAAAGTCATTGAATCTGTTACTGGTGCCTGGGATGTAGCTGTTAATGAAGGACTTGCAGTTGACATGATGGTAGAAGAGGAAGGATCAGAGGTAGAAGACGTCGAGGATTCTAGAGGATCTGTAACGAATTGGAATAAGTCATCGGGTATCTGGTTTCCGAATAATAAATTGTTAGGAATATTTTCATTTGAATTTAAAGCAAAAGGATAATTGAAAGTAAATAATTGGGAAGTATCAACAGGTTGTTCTGGTGGTAAGTCCTTTGGAGGAGAGTTGGGCATAGTTTTTTGATACTGTTGAAAAAAAAAAAAAAAAAAAAAAAAAAAAAAAGGAAGGAAGGAAAAGAGACGGAGTGTGAAATAATTCTTAAGAGTTGTTGTGAACCTTTTGAGGGCACAAATGATAGAATGTGCTCGAAGGAAATTTTTTAGTCTTTTATTGGTGACTACTGGGATTGAACATGGCTGTTAAGACGAATAGGTTATTATTATTATTTTTTTTTCCTTTGACTCTCTCCTTTTTTTTTTTTTTTTTTTTTTTTCCTTCCTTCCTTCCTTTCTTCTTGTCTTCTGGTCATCACCCATCTCTGTCTTTCTTTTTCTTACAATCCTTGTCTTTTTTCAAGAAAACCCTTCCTTTCTTGTTTGTATTTCTCTATTTCTTTTTGTGTATTATACTATTTATCAAGAATGACAACTCCTATGGATATCGACTCTACTCCTTTGTAAGTTCCATTCCTTTCTTAATCTCATTATCAACCATTTATTTATTTTTTCCCTGTCAAATCTAATCTTTTACTTTAATACCGTTCGGTTTTTTTTTTTTTTAAATAGATCTGCTGAAGAGATTAAGGCTCAAGCTAATCAAGAATATAAGACTGGAAACTATAAGCAAGCCGTTAAACTATATGGTGATGCTATCGGTAAGTATGAATGATACTATATGACAGAGAAAGATATATGGTTTCTCATCTTTTTATTTATTTATTTTGGGAAAAACTAGATGCTTCTCCTGAGACGTCCACTTATTATGCCAATCGTGCAGCAGCATTAACCATGCTTGGTAGCTACAAGGAAGCAGCAACAGATTGTCGCAAAGCGGTGGAATTAGATCCTAGTAATATCAAGGCTTTATTGCGTGGTGCCAAGTGTCATTTAAATCTGGGCAATATGGAAGAATCTGGTAGATTATATGAAAAAGCATTGACTTTGGACCAGGGCAATGGACAAGCACAACGAGAATATAACAATCTGTTACATGTCAAGAACTATTTGGCTCAAATGCAAGTATATATGGACAACAAGCAATGGGGGTTGGCTCGTAATAGTTTATCTCAGGCTCTGAAATTTGTGGATCAAGACAATATGCCCCAAAAATGGAAAGTTTGGCAAGCTGAATGTGCTCTTGGTGAAAAGAATTATTCAGAAGCTAGTCGTATTGTCAAGTAAGTAATCTTATTTACTATGATTATTATATTTATGTATTAATATAATATTTTTGTTTTACTACTAGTTCTCTTGTACGTATGGATTCACAAAATCCAGATGCTTTACTGTTACGTGCACGTGTGTTTTATGGACAAGGTGATAATGCGAAGACTGCTGCTCATTGTACTGAAGCCCTCCGATGTGATCCTGATTTTGCAAAAGCTCGTACTTTACTCAAGAAAGCTCGTGCCATTGAAAATAAGAAAGAAGCTGGAAATACAGCCTTCAAATCAAATCAATTACAAGAAGCTTATGATGCTTACACTTCTGCTTTGGAAATTGATCCTGAAAACAATGCGATGAATGCCAAGTTATATTCCAATCGTGCTGCTGTATTACAAAAGGTATGAAATTAGAAAGAAGATAAGACATGGGAAAATGAAAACAAGAATTTTTTTTTAAGTTTGGATATGGGGATGCACAAGTGAGAATAGTACTCTTTTTTTTTTTTTTGGTGTACTAAATTTTATTTCTTTTTATTGTTTTATTACTTATTTTAGTTAAAGAAATTTGATGAAGCCTTACAAGACTGTGATAAGGCGTTAGAATTGGATCCTGAATTTACAAAAGTATATAGTCGTCGTGCTGCTTGTTATATGGAAACTGAACAATATGAAGAAGCTACTAGAGATTATAAACGTTTAGTCGAAGCTGATGCTAGCAATCGAGGTAATAATAATAATAATAGTAATCATCATCATAATATATACTTACAATGACATCATTATTAGAATATCGCAATCTTTTACGCAAAGCTGAATTGGAACACAAGAAATCATTACGCAAAGATTATTACAAGATTCTTGGAGTATCAAGGGATGCAGGAGAAACAGAAATCAAGAAGGCTTATAGAAAATTGGCACTACAATACCATCCTGATAAGAACGCTGGAGATGTCAAGGCTGAAGCTAGATTCAAGGAAGTGGGTGAAGCATATACTATACTTAGTGATCCTCAAAAGAAATCTCGATATGATTCAGGTGTAGATTTGGATGGCTCAGGTATGGGCGGTGGTGGATTCGATGCTGGTGGTGTAGATATTAATGATATATTTACACAAATGTTTGCTGGTGGTGGTGGTATGGGTGGATTCTCTACTGGTGGTATGGGTGGTGGATTCCCTGCTGGTGGTATGGGTGGATTCCCTGCTGGTGGTATGGGTGGCTTCCCTGGTGGTACTGGTGGATTCCCTGGTGGTAGTAGCCGACGATCTCAACATGGTGGTGGATATTCCTTCCACTTTGGATAGAATTATTACTATTTTTATTTTATTATTACTGTTATTATTATCATTATTATTATTTTCATTCACATTTATATATATAACTTCGTCTACTTTTATATATATTTACAACTAAACCTTTTTTATGAAAGTACTAGTTAATCATCATTCCTTAGACCTTTTTTTTTTATCACTTTTATACATTTTTTGTTACAATCATTTTGAAAATCAATAAATAGTCTTTTTTTTTTTTTATTTAAATCTATTATAACATGCAAGCGGAGAGGCAAAAAGAGGATGAATTGCATCCTAGTGCTTCCGTGAAATCAAAAATCGAATGTCAAATGTTTATATATGATAGTATTTTTTTATTATTTTACCGCCGTTTCACAAAAATAAGAACGTGGCTTCGTTACACAGAATATATAAAAGAAAAGAAGTTGACATAATTGCATTCAAAATTGAAATAATTAGGATAGATTGATTGGGGTGATTCATTGTTTGAAAATTTTCATGACCGCTCGAGAAGAAAAAAGTATAAAGCTTTTTATTTTTATTTTTTATTTTTTTTTTTCTTTTCTTTTCTTTACTCTAATTTTTTATTGTCATATATATTATCATCGTCATCATCATTTTATAATATTATGTCTATACTCAATACATCCTCTACTGAACCTGTTCGTCAAGCTACTGGTGCTTGTCAAATTTGTGGATCTCAAGTACATCAAACCAAGGTAATACATATATATATATATATATATATATATATATATTCGCGTCATTAATTTTTTTTTTTTTGAAATAGTATTGTCCCGTTTCTCCTAGACGATAAATGGTGTCAAACAACTTTTTATGATATCCTGATTACAAATACCCCCTTCTCTTTCCTTTCATCTATGTAGATACTATGATCAACTTTTTTTTTTTGCCTACATTTTGATTCTCTCACTTTTTTTTTTTATCATACTTCCATTATTATGCATTTTTTTTCCCTTTCATTTTCATTGACTTAGATTTTTTTTTTTTTATATACATTCATACACTCCTCCCTCGATCTTTTTTTATTATTGTTTTTTTTTTTAAAAAAAAATACATAGACTGTTTTGATATATACATTAGATATGATTTATATGAATAATATTCAATGATGATTAAACCTCGATGATCCATATAATGATGTTGATCTAATATGGGAACAATGATATGGATGATTCTTTTATGCTTTTTTTTTTTTTTTGTTAATAATGATGATAGAGGAAAATTTGTTCTTCAATTTCAACCTCAATGATAACGACATATTAGGAGTGACCGAGACAATGGTGATAAGAGGATGAAACTTGCAGGGTCAATTCTACTATGATCCCTGCCGATGATGGATGATGATTTTTTTTTTCTTCTTTGCACTTCCCTTTTTAACCAGTGCCCCACATCGCGATTACTATAAAAGGTAGGTGTTATGCATTTCCACTCTCCGATTCCGCGTGAAGGAAAGTCTTTTTGTCAGAAAAGAATCATTTAAAAAAAAAAAAAGTAGGGAGATCTTTATCGATGGAGAAAATCTGATTAAAAAACTTATTCAAGATAAACATTTTTTTTTTGTTTTTTTTTTTTTTTTTGCGATCAGGCGATTTCTTAGATGGTTTTATTGGCATGTGAATTGGTAAACGGTGTAATATTGTAACCGTCAAAATGTGTAACATCACGCTCACATGGAAAAACCTTTTTTTTTTTTTTTTTTTTTTTTTTTGACAAGGAATACCAACTACAAACCAAAAACGTAAAATAAGATGAAATGAGTATAGACTAGATTTTACTTTCGAGAGTTTCCTTTGTAAAACTGATAGGCTTTTTCTACACGTGGGATACTAAAAAAAACCTTAAATTGTTTACCATCATCTACTACTTTTTTTTCCATTCTTTGATTTGATTAACAAAATAAAAGGTCTTCCTCCGTATCTAACCGGACCATCATCTTTTTTTTTTCTATTTATAACAATTTTATTTCAATACAATGTAAAACTAACGAAGAGGATAACAGAAAAAAAATTAATCTAATTGGTGGATGGTTGTTGTTGAATTGTCTGTGCGAGTGAGCGAATATTTGGGTCATAATGATTCTATCAAAAATAAAAAAAAAAAGTTGAATCTAATGCTTACTTTTTTTTTTTTTTTTTTTTTTTTTTTTTTTTTTTTTTTTACCTGATAGAGGAATAGTTCATAAAGACTGGTACCAAAAGGATTACACAATTCAGGATCTTCTAATAAAGGTAGATATATACCAGTGGCGGCACGGTCTTCAGATTGAATCAATGCATCAAGACGAGGGTTCCTCTATAGGTGTACAACAAATAGGAAAAAAAAATTTTTAATCAATGATCGTATGCTCTTTTTTTTTTTTTTAAAAAAAAAAAAAAACCTACCTGTAATAAACGTTGTACAAGAATAAGACATCGAGATACCGTCTTGTTGGGCATGTTCAGTGCAACCAAGGAAAAACGCTTGACAAAAGCAGCCAATCGATCAATAGGGATTTGTCGTTTCCTTAAAAACATCATTTCCAAACCACGAAGTAAGAGTTCCGCTTCTGACTCGGAGGCCACCTCCCTGCTGTTCACTTTTGATTCATCTTCTTCCAATTGTGTTCTATAGGTTGCCTTGAATAAAATTTGATAGATTTCCTTGTAAAAGTCCTTGAGATCATAATTCAATGCTTCACCTTGTCCCGATAGTAATTCGAATGCTGTTGTAATACACAGTAATCGTTTTCGAGTACCAGCGCCACCACGATTTGAAAGTGATGTATCTTCAAGTTGATTCATCACATCACGAAGCGCGTTCAATAAGTCATTAAAGAAGTCCACGTTGATCAAATGAGCAAACCTAATATTTCAAATGTAACCCAAAATAGTCGTTAAAAAGTCAGTTAGAACAGATAATATCATTGTGAAAATCATTATTATTATTCTTATTATTTTTTACTTACCGAGCTAATCCGTTGAGAACACCAGGTAATAAAGGTGAAGAAGATTGTTTCTTCAAAATTCGGAAATAGAAAGCGAACACCAATTTCAAAGTTTCCGTGTGCTATTTAGTAAAAAAAAAAGTTTAATTGATTAATCAATGCCAAGAGCCATCCTTTTTTTTTTTTTTACTTACAAACTTATCCTTTTCTTCCTTACTAACTACGGCTTCAGCTTCTTGAAATTCCTTTTCAATTTCTTTGGTTTCTTTCAATGCCTTTCTTGCTTTTTTGGTCAAAAAGGGTTTATCCTTGGCTTTTCTTTTTTTGGAGTTTGAATCATCTTGATCTATGGAGGATGAACTGATAGGTGCCATTTCATCCATGAGTCGCAAATGTAAAAAGAGGTCGATCACCTTTTTATGTACCACATAGCCCTTTGACTTGATCATCCGCGTAATCATCTTAACAGCATCCAAAGATATTCTTCCAGATTCATCCGATTCAAGAAGATTGAGGATCGCCTTGTAAGATAATTCAGACATCTAATATATTACATACGTAGTATACAAAAGATAAAAAAAAAAAAACGATATGAGTTTATCCAAATCATTCATCTTGTATTCTTTCTTTCTTATTCATTCTTACATCATCCCATTGAAGAATACTCATTCGAGCCACAACGGATACCATAATTTCCAATCGAAAGTTGAAATGAGGTTTTGCCATCAATAGTTCACATAAACATCGAGTAGCGACCAAGGCCATAGCAGTATCCGTTTCTGTGTTTCGTTCTATTGAATAAGGTTTATACTTAATAAGCATATGTTGTTGATCATTTTGTATCACCTTCCACTGACTTTTTTTTTTCATGGTACTTACTTGATAACAGTGTGTTCAAATCTTTGAGATATAATTCGTAGTTGTGAAGTAATGATTGTTCATATTCTCGTAGTCTCTTGACTTCCTTTGTAACTTGCACGCCAGTTTCTTTTTCAGTCAGTGTTCGAATTCGGTATCTAGAAAACAAAAACAGAATAAAAGGATTCAAAGTAAATATATATTCATCATTCAATCCTATATAGGAAATTTGTTCACGGCTTTTCCCACACCTCTGTTCACAAAAAAAAAAAAAAAATTACCCTGGAATGATATCTTTGTACACCGCCAGTTGAGCTAAAAGAGTCAATTTTTTTATAGTCGCATTGTCAGTACTATACATATGTCGGAAGGCTGCCAAGCTATGAACCTATATATATATTATCTTATTAGTATGCAACTTTTTTTTTAATCTTTTATGTTCTTCTCATAACTTACATTGTCTTCAGGATCTTCTTGAATAGAAGTTGCTAGACTTGCTAATTCTTCTTTCTTGACCAAGATCAATTGCTTTTTCGAGAGTACCGGAGTTTCTTCCATTCCTACCAAGGTTTCTTTTTCATCTTGATCACTAGTAGACTCGATACTAGCTTCCACCATAGTTTCATCTTCCTCTTCACCAGAAAATTCTTTTTCTTCTTCCTCTTCTTGTTCTTCTTCCTGTTGAGCTAGTTTACCACCAGGTAATTTGATAGGTAACTTGTTGACATAATCTTTACGAGTCCAATCAGTAGCAACCTTGCGTGGTTGTAATTCATAATCCATTACTTTTTCGTCATCATCATCCGAGTGTCTATGTTGTTTTTGTTTTCGTTCCTGAGCCTTTTTACCATTGGATTTGGTACGTAGTTGATGTCGTTGATATTGTTCATTTTCAGAATCGGAGGATAGATCACGTAACAAGTCTTGATCATCATCATTATCACTGTCTATAAAGCCTTCTTTATCTTGAGTTATCATCATATTATCGTCATCATAATCTTCTTCATCAGAGGATGACAAGTCAGTAGGTTCAGGGATACTTTGCTGCTTCTTTTCCTTTAGCAAAGGAGCCATTTTGGGTTTTTTCTCCTTCTTTGGATTTCTAAAAGAGATGATATCAATATAGATAGATTTAGTAAATTAAAAAAAAAGGGTCGTGATCTATCATGTATTTTTCTTTACCTTGTCAATTCCTTTGCATCCATAGATGCTAAAAAGCTTTGAAATCCTTCATTTTCAGCAAAGAAATCCAAGTCTTCATCAGAGATTCCAATGTCATTTTCATCTACTTCGGGCACGGGTAAATAATCCTTGTTCTAAAAGAAAGAAAGAACGTATGTTGAGAACAAAACTATTGAGATCAAACAAGTATATTTTTTTTTTAAAAAAAAAGTGATCTTTCCACTTTACCTTAGGTTCTTTCTTTGGTGCAACACTGAATCGTTTAAGAGATGATCCAGACTTTGCCGAAGTAGGCGGCTTTGTAGTTTTCTTGACGTTGCTTTTCTTGCTTGGCATGTTCAATGAAGAAGAACGATCGAGTTTTTCAAAGAGTGAAGAAAACGAATAAAACCTTGAAGCAAGAAGCTTTTTTTTTTTTTTTTCTATTTCCGCTTTTTTTTTTTTTTTTTTTTGATCAAAGCCGGTCACTAGTCCTGACAGATCGCCACCCTGAGGATTTCAATCTCAAACAGCAGTGCATGAATTTTTTTCTACTTGTACCTTCTTTCTAAACTTCTTTTTATTTTTTAGATTATTAATAAAAACTCTGATACCCACCGAATATCAAAGATCTGGGTATGCTCGTTCCATCTACTTACGAGTGAGACTCATTTTTTTTTTCATCCTGCGACCTTTGTCTTTTGATTTCTCAGTCGAAACTGATCATCATAGCACCATGTTTGAACTGAACATAAATGAAATCATTCTCTTTCAATTGCCTTAATAACAGTTTGTTCCTTACCTCCCAATTTATAGAGTAAATTAAAAAATAAAAGTCAATTCAGTCATATCTCATCCAATAATGATCATCATCCAACAAAATTACCATCATTGGATTGCTCTCAAAAAAGTAGTCAAATATCATCTAATCTCATTTTATCGCTTATCTTGTCACCTAATGTACAACGATCACCAAAAGATTTCATCGATTTTCCCAAAAAATGCCTGATGACCCCCTGACAATTTATTTTTACAGCTAAAATTTGGCTGAGGAATTTGAAAATTTTGGCTGTAAAAAAAAAAAAAAAAAAAAAAAAAAAAAAAAAAAAAAAAAAGAGTCCATGACCCCAAATAGTTCTAGTCACCTCCCAAATCCCAGTTTTAAGCTTAAATCTATAACCATATCGTGTAAACGCCATTAACAAAAGATGTGTATGTTATCTATGGCTAACTTTTTTGTTAATGGGTCAGAAAGGGAGCTTGTCGATAATCCGTAGAAAATCGCAAAAAAAGGCTCAACTGACACCTCATGTCAAGCTAAAAAATATCTTCAAACCCATTTTAAGTCTTAAACCTCATATCATACCGTAATAACACTATTAATAAAATATATGTATATCATTCATGTCTATATTTTTTATTAACACATCAGAGTACATTTACCACTAAAAATCTCGCGTTAAATGCAAAATATGTAGTGAGATGATGAAGTCAATCCGTATATTAATAGATAGTGGTATTGACTTGCAAGATATGCTTACCGCAGATAGACTTTTGTTTTAAGCAGGCGGATTGTACTGATTATTCCGCGCATTTGCTAAATAGATTGCTGTTACATCGGCCGATCACGCAGATGGGAATCATAGAGTGATATCTGGTACCTTTTTTAGATTTTTGTTTTGAATTGAGCCCCATCAACAAAAAATAATAACAAGATTACCTATCTAAATGCATCACATGAATCATCATGATCATTGGAGATAAACCTTGGCAGCTAAGCAAATGATAATAATAAAAACATAGGCTGTATGGATATCTACTTGTTGAGGAGGCTCATAAAAAAAAAAAAAGGTGGAGTTGGCTGACTTGCAACGGTCGCGGTAACCGATCACCGAGCTTTAACAGATGATGATTTTTACCTCCACATTTTCTAACATATAAACACACTATTTGTTCCCATTTCTTTTTTTTTTTTTAAAAAAAAAATAAAAGGAAGCAACAAAATATAAGTAAACAGTGAGGGAATATGGTTGTCTTCTCCAATCAGAAATAATGAATGCTATGAAACCATAAGTATTTTTTTTTTTTCAAACTTTCGACGGGGCTCAAATCGATTTTCTTTCTTTAGAAAAACTTGGTCGTTTCACAGAATCATCTCCACAAGTTCCACCTGCAGAAGGAAATAATCCCCCCCCCTTTTTTTTTTTCCTCAATATAAAAATGATGTTTTGAAAATCATAAGATATGATTGATTATTTTTTTTTCTTTTTCATCTTGGCATCGAGTTACAACAACATCCATTTATTTTTAATCTATTGGATCGATTTTTGCCCAGAATTGTAACGGAATAATGATCCCATTGTTTGGAAATGCCCGAACCAAGAAATTGTAAATTAAATTTTGCAAGGTATAAGGTGATCTTTCGGGCCGATGAATAATCCATCGTTACTGGATAATATATGATGTGGTCCGAAACTGCCGATGGTTGATTGGTTGAAGGATCAGACTGGGATTCAATTTCGCATTTGAATAAAGGAGCTTTATTTTTCCATCTATTTTTTTTTCTCTTTTTCTTCCCTTTTTTTTTTTTTTTTCTGTATTATATCATACTCTTTATTATTATCATGTTCACTCAATATATTTATCATCTTATCAACAACTTTGATCAAAAGAAAACTATTGATCAATTACAATCTATCGTTTCTACTAAAGAAGGCTCCATTGGCCTTGTCACTGCTGCCATTTTGATGTCTGGTGTCGCTCTCTACAAATCATCAAGGGTAAATAAGGAACCGATAAGGAATTTTATTATCATCACATTCTAACACCTTCTTTTTTTTTAAGATTGATCGTGGTTGTCCTCAGATTCCATACAATTCAATTCTAGGATCAACTACCGAATATCGTAAAGATCCAGAAGCCTTTATCAAAAAATGGAATAAGGAACTAGGTCCAGTTTATGGTGGTTATTTATTTGGCCAGGTAAAGCATTCTATTTTTTTTTAAAAAAAAAAGTTCATCTATATTATATTAACATTATCATGTTTATTACTTGCTTTTCATTGATAGTACGCTACTTTTGTCTCTGGTCCACAAGTTCGTGAGGTGTTTTTGAACAATGATTTTGATTTTCTTGAAGGCATTAGACGAGTATGTGGATGAAATGCTTCCTTTTTTTTTGATGAATTATTGAGATGATGTTATCTAATATTTATTATCATTTATTTATTATAGGATTTTGATACTCTACTTTTGACAAACGGTGGCGGCAGAAATGATCTGACGACAGAAATGGTTGCTGGAGGAATCAAGAAGAACCTTAGCCCAAAACTTGGACAATACACAAGCCGTGTGATTCAACATGTAAGTGACATGCATCATAGGACGAAATGACAGTTTTAAATTGATTATTCCAATTTCCCTTTTTTTTTTTAATTTTTATAGCTCCAACAAGGTTTATTTGAACAATGTGGCGTAGTCCCTGGTAAGGATCATCAATCACCTTCATGGTGGAAAAAACGATCTTGGCATATTAGAAATCCACCACCTGATATTTACGTTTTTTTTTTTTTTTTTTTTTTGATATGCAAATTTAGATGAAGGAAAAGAATTTTATCATGTATATCCTCTTGTGCAACACATGGTGGCGAAAGCTAGTGCATCAGTTTTTGTTGGACCTGAATTGGCCAAGAATGAAAATTTGATTGATTCTTTCAAGAATATGGTACTTGAAGTTGGATCTGAGCTACGACCAAAACCAATTTTGGAATTCTTCCCCAATGTGATGCGATTACGTATGTGGTATATTGGAAAAACATCAAGAAACGTCAAGAGACACCGTGATCAACTCTATGCAGCCTTGATGCCTGAAGTCGACTACAGATTGAATGCTATGAAGGAAGGTGATAGCAACTGGGAACGTCCTGTAAGTAGTAGTTTAGTTATTACAATGATGTTATGAACTAGTGTTTTATTTAAACTGACATGTATATCTTTCAATTTATGTAGGATGACTTTTTACAAGATATTTTGGAATCAGATGGATGTCCTCCTCATGTTGATATTTATACACATCTAGTCAATTGGATGACACAATTAATCTTTGCCGCTCTACATACAACCAGTGAAAACGGTACCATTGTCTTATACCGTCTTTTGGATAACCCTGATGCTATGGAAGAATTATACAAGGAACAAATTCAAGTATTGGAAGAATCTGGTTATGATGCTAATGTAGGTCCTGAAGTCTTTACTCGTGAAATCCTCAACAAATTCTCAAAATTGGATAGCTTTATTCGGGAATCATGTCGTCTTCGAAATGATTATTATGGTCTTCCTCATAAAAACGTTAGCAACAAGAACATCACTTTATCAGGTGGTGCTATTATTCGTCCAGGTAAGAAAAAGTCCAAAAAAGGAAATGAAAAGTGCTTATTCATAGTTCACTAACCTTTTATATTTTATTATAGGTGAATTCGCCTACGTAAATGCTTTCTCCAATCATCGTGATGAAAACCTTCAAAAGGTCATTGAAGATGTGAGCACTTTCAAACCTTTCCGATTTGTGAACCAGGATCGAAATTCTACCAAGATTGGCGAAGATTTTATTTTCTTTGGAATGGGTAAGCACGCTTGTCCAGGTCGTTGGTTCGCTATTCAAGAAATCAAAACCGTGGTCTCTTTATTGATTCGAAGCTACAAGTTATCTGCATTAGAACCAGTCGTCTTCCCTACTATTGAACGTAATCAAATTCCCAATGGTCGCTTCAAGCTTGTGCCCAGGAAATAGATCTTTTCCCAATTAGTTAGATCCCCAGTTGTATTTTTTTTTTTTTTTTTTGAAAATAAATATATACATATTCTTTTTTTTATTCTTTACCTTAACTTTCTTTTTTTTTTTTTTTTATCAACGATTTACATTTTAAAATATGAAATGATAGTGATATTCATGTCATAATTGACCCTTCCGTCATCCATCCGACCTGATGAATGAAAAGATTGGATATTTACGATTGATAGTGTAATCATCCTGTATGTGGTATGTTGCTCAGCTGATGTGTGAAATCTTCTAATACTCCACATCTTCCGAAGTCCAACTCATCATCACCCCTCCTTTCTCTTCATTGAACCACTTTACTTTTATAATTTTTATACTATTCATTATAGATTTTGATATCAAAGGCAGTTCTTTTCATTGATTCTTTTTCAATCATTCATTGATTCATTCATTTCAGTCCTTTTTATCTTTTATTTTTGTACTGAGTCATACCGCCTTTTCATTGTGATCAACATTACATCAAATGATCCAGTTACCAGTTTAAATGATGTCCATTTCTTATATCTCGCTCTCTCTCTCTTTCTTACCCCCGGTCTATTTTAATCGAGATGATGATCGTGATTTCTTTCTATATAGTTGTCATGATAATAATGATCCTTCCTTCATTTACTTTGGCTCTTTTACTTTGGGAAATTGTCATGAAAGACAATGAAAGTTGGACCCCACCTTTATCCTACTGAATTTTCAGTCACCGCCAAAACCCCATTTCTTTAAATTTTTTTTTTTGTTTCTTTTTTCTTTTTTTTTTTTTTCCTACCTTTCTTCCCTTTCCTTTTTTTTTTTTTTTTTACAAGTTTCATATAAAATCTCATTTATATATAGATATATTTCATACTTATGACAACTTCATCGACTCAGAATGCTATATTGGAATTGAATGCACAGTACTTGGAGAATACATCTATCATTCACTCACTCGAAACAAAACTAAAACAAGGTTTACAAGAATTAACGCTACCCCAGGAAGAATTCACCTTTGCTATTGAATTTATTGAAGACCATGGTAAAGCGATTACAAAAATTCATTACTGTTATCAAATAATTTTTGTTTAGATATGAATTTATTCAAAAAAAAAGTACTAAATGAATTTTTTTTTCTTTATTCATATAGTGACACTGTTTCGATTCTTAAAGGACTCTGATTTTAACGAAGATCTTGCTTATGAGCGTTTGTTAGACACCATACTTTGGCGCAAGGAAATCAAGATTAACGAGTTAAGATGGGATACCATTCATACCAGCTTTTATCGTCAAAGTCAAAATGCATTTGCCTTTTTCCACAAACAAGATCGGCTTGATCGACCGATTGCTGTTATTCGCATGCGACACTTTCCAAACTTTGGTGACCAAACGTTAGCTGAAACTATACCACCTTTTGCCTGTCTAGTTATGGAAATGGCTCGAAAATGGACACGAGATCTGACCCGGCGAAACGAACAACTCAGACTAGAAGGTTCAAATACAAAGGATTTGACTGTTTTGGTGTCACAGATTGTAGTTATTATTGATATCTCTAAATCACCCATGGTACCATTAGTAAGTCAACGGAAGGAGGAAAACAAAGGGGGGGGATTGTAGAACATTAAACTTATATTTAAATATGTAGGAAAAACGACTGATACAAGAATTACGAATGTTAACTGATGATCGATTCCCTGGATTTATTGGATCTGTCTATATTATGAATTTTGGTTGGATGTATCAAGGTTTATGGCAAATGGTCAAGCTAATGTTATCTGAAAGGGCAAAAAGTAAAATAAACTTTCCATCGGCCAATGAAGTGAAGGAATATATAAGCGAAGAAAACTTATTACAAGGTAAGATGAAAAAAAAAAAAATAGTGTATCTGATAATACAAGATACTCATCATATTTGATTTGACAGAATTGGGTGGGGATGATGATTACGAATGGACTTTGGACAACGATATTATACTACAACAATATGGAAATGGATGGGAAAAGGAACCAAAATCACCTTTGATAACTGAAGATTTTGCAACCATCCGACCAACTCGAAGCTTATCACTATCCTCCTATGCATCTGATGACTTTTATGATGCGCCTGAATCACCATTTGTAGAGATTGATCGAGAACAACCAATTATGGGGAAAACACCAAGTGGATATTCAAGTCTTTATGGTACACCAGGCTCATTAACACCTATTGGTATTCGATCACCTTCTCAATGGCCATCTACCTCTCAGTCATTATTTCCAATATCTTCATCAACAAATCAATACTTTCGACTCAATGGCATTCATTTACCATCCTTTCTTTCGTCATTTTTTGGAACAAATATCAATACTGCAACGACAACAGAGGAATTGGATCATTCTAATAATAGCGTATGTGGAGTGGACTTGACTTATCGACTTACCAATATAGCCATTGAACAACAACAACAACTTGAAAATAATATTGAAGCGGTAGTGATGGTTGAAAAACGAACAATTGAACGACATGAACCACATTTTCCTCATTTACTACCAGCAAATGATCCTCAATCAACTTATGCCAATGCTCCTTTGAAATTACAACTACGTCGATCTGAACAACGCCTGGTGCGAATTACACGAAGACTTTTTCGACTATCATTTGCTTACAATGGTACTTTCTATTGGATACTTTTATATATCTTTTTACGTGGACCTGTGGAACATTCGATGAAACAATTTTTGGCCAAAATTTTGAAGAATCCAAGGACTATTACTTATACTACAGTTGGATTGACTGCATCAATGGCTGCTGGATTAAGTGCATCTTTATCTTCTTCTTTAGGTCATTAGTTTATCCCCTTATTATATTTTTCTTTTATTGCATTTCTCATTTATTTATTTATTTTTTTGTAACATAATATTCATATTTCACTCCCTTTGTTATCACACTTATGTACATTCAATTCCCGCATTTTTTTTTTTTTTTTTGTAATGCAAATATAATAAAAAACGATTTCTTCCGCTTTTCTATTTCTCTCTCTCTCTTTTCTATTACTTTTTTTATTAGTGGACTAATGGATTTAGACATTAATATTACAAGTTCTTGTCGAATCTCTGTTTTACTCATTCCCATTAAACCCATTAGACGATTGGTATTTACACATTATGTAGATTTGATTCAACAATTCAATACGATCCGATTGAGTGATGTCACTCCAGATAACAATCATGGTAACAGAAAAAAGAAAGGAAGAATTTTAGATAGAATTAAACTATATATTCATTTATTTCATTTTTAATAGCCATGTTTACTAGTCAAAATTTTCAAAAAGGACAAATTCATTTTCAATTTTCAACTTGTACTACTGATCATTACAAGGAACTGATTGATTTTCAACCACATCGTCGATTATATGGGGTAATAAAATTAACTCAATAATAAACCATTAAATTATTAATATATTTTTTTTTAGGTGATAGGTATTATGGATTGTCAAGAATGGAAAGATCAATCATTGAGAAATGGTTATCAACAATTTCAAGCATCATTAGAAAAGGTAAATATATATATATATAAAGATTGATCTATTTACTTTGGTTTTGTTTTAGTATCCTTCATCAATAGTCCAACGATGTTTTGCTTTTGATCCTGCAGATTCTCAACCTGATGATATCAAAGGTTTGATCATGATACCTAATGTTGGTGATAAGGCTTTTTATATGAACACTATGATTTGTGATTTTGCAAGTGAAATTCTGATTCAATTTTCTATATTGGTAAGATGAAGGAACATAATTTAATCATAATCTTTATTTATATATTTATATATTGGAAAGGCAAAAAGTATTAGACAGCATTGGATTATCAAATCGCCCACAAGTAACACAAATCATGCGAACTCTCCTCCGACTTTATTACATAACGATTCTAATTTTCCATCACTCTATGAATCCAGTATTACTTCTCACAATTTATCAACTACCACATCTACTTCATCATCCATTCAATATACATCAAAAATTAGTAAACGTGCGCCTGGAAGAATCAAGAAATTATATGCCGATTTTTATTTGTTATCGGGACGATTACCGGATGCTCTTAGTTTGTAAGAAAAGATTTATCTATCAGATTAGAAAACTGATACTCATTCAAACTTTTTATTAAAGTTATAAACAAGCTATAGATATGACAAGAATAACATCGGATTATCTCTGGCTGGCTAGTGCTATGGAAGGCTATGTATGTGCGACCGTACTATTAGAACAATTACAACAAGAAAATGAGGTAAACCATAAACTAGATATTCTTTCTTTTATCTTACTTATTATCGTACATAAATATTATTTGTAATATAGATCATACCTGTATCAGTTAATAGTCCATCATCGGCAACAAACTCACCGAGAGATACCAGTCCTCTAACAGGCTCATCACTGACAACAACTTACATACTAGAACAGTATAATACCATCTTATACTATTATTCAAAGGAAATCAAATCAGCAACCACTACTACAATGACAGCTACGTATGACAATCGAAGAAATACAAACGACAATATCAATGATAATGATCAATCTAGCATATACCGTGATATTCCTCTTTCGACTCATCCCTTAAGTGTAATCTATGCTGAAGCCTGTCTAAAAGTGGCTCGATTGTTATTGACAGTTTATTGGAATGGGCCATTGGATAAACATACTTCAACTCTTTTGCTTCAAGGCAAGTTAACTTCATCATTATCATCGCCCTCTTCGCCATCATCATCATCATCATCATCATTACCTGCAACACCAATATCAATATCTCAACCGTCGATTTCTCATCACTATCAATCATTTTCCAAGGCAAAGAGATCTGGAGTAGATCGTTGGGATATTGGACAATGGACAACACGAATTTGGGAAGCATCTATCAACAGCTTGGCAGTTACTGATCAGGTAAAACAGATGAATAGATTTTGATTGATTTTTATTTTTATTTTTATTTTTATTTTTATTATTACTATTATTAATCACTCTCTTTTTTATTTTTTCTTTTTTATTATTTTTAATTACCTTCACTTTAGATTCTTGTGATGAGCCAGATGGCAATGATTTATTCCTCTATTGGTTATTATCGCAAGGCGGCATGGCTGAAATTCAGTATCCTACAACTTTTGTTCCCTGTTTTACTTAATCGACGGAATAGATCATCATCATCAAAGTCATCTAAAATTGATCAACAATTCTCAAAATTGGCCAATATCAATGATCAAGATATTCTAATATTATTAAAATGGATTTGTAATATCTATTTAATTGTGGGTAGGTGCGAAAAGAAGAAAAAAAGGGAGGATTGAATTTATGATTAGTTGACCTTTTTTTTTATGGTATTAATGGGGAAACAATTTGAATGTTTTAATAGAGAACAATACGATGTTAGAAGATCAACAATCAAACTTGTTTGTGCGATTCATTGAAAATAGGAAAGGTGCCTTTGGACAGATTGGTTGGCCAACTTTACAAATGGATATTCTTCGACATTGTATTATTCTTGTGGAATCTTTACATGGTAAGGAACCAAAAAAAAAAAAAAAAAATTCCATTACTTACTTATGTTTAAATCTTTTTCATTGGTATGTTTCATCCTTCTCTCAATTAGCTTACGATGATATGTTATACTACACATCTATCTTCTTGAAGAAAATGTACCTGTACCTTCCCAAACAAGAACAAATTCGACTTGCCCATTCAATTCAACGTATCAATTCTCTCAAGGAACGAACAGCAATATTGTTTGGCAAGGAAATAGAGGATCAAACTATTAACTATTGGGATATCAATATCGTCAAAGATATTCGACCTATTCAAGCAATTCCAAGGAAAACCTTACATCGACATCCACTCACCAAAGACACTATTATTAACGCCATAGAAGGGGTGTCATATCAAAATGACACAACAAAATCTTCTTCAGAAAATGATGCTGGTAACGCAAATGATCCATTTATCTATAATCCCTTTAAGCAAAAGAAACCCGAGCCAGTAAGTAACATAAAATAAAAAAAAATGATCACTATTATTTTATGGTCATTCAACTCAAATTCTCTCCCTTTTTTTTTATTATTTTCAAATACGTTATCATTAGAAACAAATCTTCCTTATACAAAATGAAGTTGCTGAATTCCAAGTATTACTTGTCAATCCATTTGGATTTGATTTGGAGTTACAAAGTATCAGACTTAGGTAAATAATCAGTGGAAATAAAATTAAATTTAGACTAATATATAGACTTATTTTTTCAATCGTATATTTTTCTTTTTATCTTAGCACAACTGGTGTTTCCTTCCATGCTCATCCTCAATCAGCTGTGATTGCTTCCCGTGGTACTTCTACGCTACTTCTTTCTGGTGTTCCTTCTGAAACAGGTCTACTCAAGATATGTGGTTGCTTTATCAAGATCATCGGATTTGCCGAACAAGAATTTATGATTGACTCTCACGAAATGAACAATAACAAAGGTATAAGGGACCTGCTTCCTTTTGATCATAGCAGGTAACATGAGGGAAAAAAAAAGAAAGGGTAAGACCATGTTTCAACTACTGATTCCTTTTTATTATATCTCTTTTAAACAAGTAGTTCAAAAACCATTGAAAAAGGTATGTAAAAAAAAAAAAAAAAAAAAGAAGATTTACCACCATAAAGAATTAATCTTTCTGTTTTCTATTAGATACACTTTGTCAGCAAATCTTCCAAATCCAGTCATATCGTTTCCCTGTGATCGAAGAACAACCATTATTGAAATTACAAGCCACGTCTTTGACACAAGGTGCTGTTATGCTCTTTGAAGGTGAAAGGTATAAACTAACATGATGAATACGAGTTGGAACGATCCATTAATTTGTTATATTGCTGTTTCAATTTAGGACGAACATGACCATCAAACTTCATAACATTGGGACAGTGCCAGTAGATTATATTTACCTGTCGTTTACTGATGACTCAACATCTAGTTTATTTGGTCCATCATCGGATATGGAGTTATCGATGGAAAAGCAATATGAAATGGAACTTCTTTCCTTGGACAAAGTCTTTACATGGAATGGAAATATCTTTCATGAAGGTCAAGATGTTGGGCAAAGTCTACGGTTACCTCCTGATTCAACATTGGAAATCACAATCGCCATTTATGGAAAAAAGGGATGGTAAGGAATTAACTAGAAAGTTGGAAACTACAATATATATTCAACATAATCACTAATTATTATTATTATTACTATTATTATTATTATTATTATTATTTTGACGGGGGCCAATAGTAGCAATGGAAATATTCAAGTGGATTATGGGTATTTGGATTGGAATCACAATGATCAACAGCAGAAAAATATTCAAACAACGTCCGTCTCAAGCAGTAACAGTAGTAGTGACAACATGTATTCTATCTCCAGCAATATATTCTATACAAGGCAACTATGTATACCTTTACTCATCACTGTGTATTCTCCTTTGAAGACAGAAAACTGGGATCTGTTGTATATTCGATCGAATAACAGCGGAAACGACAAGGATATGAAATCGACAACGTCAATGAACGATGCTAGCAACACTTCATCTTATCAAGAACAATCCATACGATCACATCACAGTACAAGCCAGTCTGCAGCAGCTGAAACAATGTTGAAGCTATTAAAACGACACTCTTCGTATGATCATCTACAAAAAACGACACATACCATCTCTCAAGCGGAAAGGAGAATCTCGGGACAAAGCGACTACTGTTTGGCTACCATTGATATACAGAATAGATGGTCATTTCCTTTCCTAGTGCGATTTTCCATCAGCAATGATGACAACGGAGCGGACAACCATACCAATGTAGATTACTTTGTTTCTTCCAATACTACAGCAAGGTAATATATATCAAGTGTGTGAGGGTATGGAAACAACAGGCTAACATTTTCTTCTTCTTTGTTGGGACAGAGTGCTACTGCCAATCAAGAGGTTTGTTTTATCGGATAAAGCTACACTTCGTCCTATTACGCTTCAGCCCAAAAAACAATTTATTGTTCCTCAGACTCCACGTTCAGCATTATCATCATCATCATTCTCTTCTATGGATCAAGAACAAAAACAACAAATACAATTACGGCTATTTTGGTATCGTGAAAACTTGTTACAGCGGATTCAGGCGACATGGACTGCAATAGATGATAACGCTTTGGAAACTGGTAGCGAAAATGTTGATGATTATCGACATGGTATTTTAGACTTGCGATCATGCTTAAAACTGACTCTTGATCAACTTTCTATCTTGAAAAAACCGGATGTGATCTTCGATGTGATGCTGGAAGGTGACAGTGTGAAACAACTTGGATACAGGCACTTCTCCTGTCGCTTTAATGAACAAATATCATTTGTGTTTACTGTTAGTAACCAACACTGTAAGTAAAAAAAAAAAAAAAAAAAAAAAAAAAATATGTTTATACCTATATTGGGCTAACTATCTCCTTTTGTTTCTCTTCATACATACCAAATAGTGGATAAACCAACAAAACTTATATTACGTATCCAGTCCATTCAAAATATCAATGATGAAACAAAAGAATATAACTTGTTTCAACCAAATATTCTGCTTCAAGGGATGAATCAAGTAGTTTTACCCGCGGTAAGTGGAAATCATCAAAAAAAAAAAAAAAAAAAAAAAAAAAAAGGTAAGCTAACCTTTCTTTTTATTCGATGGGATCACTACTAGCTATCGAAGACTCAACAAGCACAGCATACGCTGCCGGTGTTCTTTTTGGCAAAAGGGCAATATGAATTCTTATACCATGCACAGGATGTTGTTTCAAGGCGAACATTTTATGATCATGAACGGATGGTGATCGACGTAGTAGATTAATGCAATAGACTTAATAAAGTTTTTTTTTTATATTACCATTCTATGCAAAGTATTCCTGACGTTATCCTTGTTTCCATAGGAATAGATTATCATTATCCGTTCTATTCGTTATCCATCCTTTACTTTTTTAAGAAAAAAAAGACAAAAAAGCATAGTTTTTTTTTTTTTATTGTGAAGGAGCATGTACAAATAACAATAAAGAAAAAGGTATCTAAACTAAAAGTACAAGAAAGAGACCATCTAATTCTACTTCAATACAACCATATCCCTTTTTTTTTTTTTATGAATTCTATGTGTGTTAATTATCATCAAAGAGTATCAAATCAAACGCCAATCAACAATGGAAGCACGTAAATCGCCATAACCGGGACCCTTGATATCATCTAAAAAAAGAAGAAAATCAATACATCACAATCAAATCATACCTTTTTTTTTTTACCTGATGTATATGCCTTGCCAATCAAACCATAATGCTCGACAAGATAATGCCAAAGAAACGGAGTACAGATGCCAAAGCCACCGACAAAGTTACCACGAGGTCTTGCATTTGGATTCAAGGTGTCATCAGTATCACTTGTTGCCAATGGGAGATTATTGACCGGTCCCACGCCAATTTTGCCATCACATAAGCGTAAGAACCACGAGCATAACCAAACTCGTTCGATCAAATAATAGTCACCTTCCAAGATAAATGCCCGGTCAGTATGTTCTTTGTGAAGTGTGCGTTCGTACATACATTGTTGCTTTTGTCTCATCGATTCTTGTCCCAGTGCATTGTCTCGTGTCAAGATTTCCAGTAATGAATTCACATAATATGCTTCACTAGCATCCCCTCGTGTTTCCCCAAGCTTTGGATATTATAAAAAACATAAAATGAGACATCTTTTCCTTTTGTTATATATTTTTTTTTTGGACTTACAAGTCGAGAACAAGTAAAACAAAACATTTGAAGTACGTTGGTTCTAAATAAGATCCCATGTCGGTTTGGAGCAGCAGTATGGAATCGATAAGCACAATCACGACATCCTATATATATATATGTGTAATATTTGATAGTCAGAAAAAAAAATAACGTATAATGATCATCGCTTTTTAATAATAATAAAACACTTACTTAAACGAACATTGCCTTGCCAAATATATAAACAAAGACCTTGTTCTGCTTGGTTGGAACCACATGTACCACAGTTGAGATTCTTGGGAAGCCAATGGAGGATTTGATGATAGCGCTTGACATAAGGTTCCAACACTTTGGCATTGACTTGACCAATATGAGGACAAATACGATTATCATGAGGATCATCTGTCTTTTTAGTATACATGTCCTTCCATGTTTCTTCTGGTAGTTTGTATGTCACCCCATAATTGTTGTAAAGACTTTCTTTCCAGACCGCATCACTATGAGCTACCAGTGCAAATCGATGACATACTTGTGAGAAGGTACGTAACTCTTCAAGAGTCAAATGACCAGCTACTGCAGTCAGAAGTTCATTGTTCAAGTCAGACAGGACAACCATATTGATAAAAACCAAGATTCAAAGGTGAACTAATAAAAGGAAGAAGAAGAAGAAAAAAGTCTTTTGGTAATCCGACGTCAAAAAAAAAAAAAAAAAAAACGTTTCCAAACAAGAGGATGCTGGATTTAAATAATTCAACCGAGGTGTGCATGAAAATGTAGACAGACTTGGATTTTTTCTTTTATTCAATAAATGTATATATAAACTATTCTTGTACTAGTTCCAATGCATCACCATCACCATCATCATCATCATCAAGTCCTTCCGTTTGTTCAAAATATGTTTCCCATAGAGCAATCACCTTATAAAGAACAGAATTGATGAGTTGTAGAAGTTATATATTACTTTTTTTTTTATGTACCTTCTTTTGATGTTCAATCATACTACATAAGAAAGCTTCCACACTTTCTTTGAAATCTTCCACTTTTTCTTGATCGAATCGATCCAATTCATTCTTGATCAATTTGGATATATCATCAAATTCCTTTTGAAGTTCCTCTACTCGTTGTCGCATCTATTCATCAAAAAAGAAAAAAAAAAGTGTGATTCATATATTCATTTATGGATTTAATGATTTTACCTCTTCGATTTCCTGTTGAGTAGCAGCCATCTTTTCCGATTTGATTTTCTGTTGTCCCTTTAATTTTTCATACAAAGCAATCTTTTTCTGTAATTCTGCCTCTGCTTGTTGATAGGTTTGATAGGCCCGAATGCGTGCATTGAATGATATCTAATAAAAAAAAAATTAATAAATTTTTGTTTCTTTTTACATTTCTTTCAAATTTACTTTGATTGAGCCGATGATCCGGATATATTCATCAATGGTATGTTCCAAAGACAAGATATCACATTGTGCCTATAAAAGAAGATGGTTATGAGTTTAGCTTTAAAAAAAAAGTCAAACCTTACTTGTTCTTCATGTAATTCTTTCAATTGTTTTTGAATATCGCCCAATACTGTCAAATGTGTGGATAAATTCCTATTTAGTTCAGCCGACGCCAAAGGAAACATACTTTCTCCAAAGTCTGAGATCGCTCCACCAAGTTCTAAAAAAAAAAAAAAAAATTATCATCATCATCATCCTATCTCAACATGTTGCCTAATTTATACCTTTTCGCTGTTTCACAACCGCTTCCACGCTTTTCATCAAAATTTTGAGTTGTGTTTCCAGAGCATCCAATTGAGTCTTCTTTGAAGCAAACCAATCATCATTTTCAATAAATTTGGCAAAAGGGTTCGAAGCCGCACTTGATATTGTTTCGCCAAAAGATCTCATAAATCCCAACTTGGGTGTTTCAGGTTCTGCTCTTTTTTGTCGTTTCTGTCATAAAAAAAAAAATCATCCATTTGTATTCTTTTTTTTCTTTTTTCTGAAGGATAGAATTTTTTTACCTCTATATTGAACGATTCACTTTCTAAAAAAACTTTGAGATCTGGATCCCCATATAACATTGGATGAGACACCGTTTTCCGTAAACATCGTTCCAAAGCAATCCGTCTTGATTCCACAAATTCATCTTGAAATCGACCCAAAGCATGTTTTTCAGGTACTGGAGGTACAATCACTCCCGGGTTGCCATTGGTCAATTGATTGTAAAGCCATAGGAAATCACGATACCGTCGTGCAACCACAAATTCTGATGATCGAAATGCTGGTGAATTGGTCTATAAAATTCAAAAAAAAAAAAGAGGTACAAATCAATGCAAGTTTTTTTTTTCGTAAAAGAAAAAAAAAAGATATATAATACCTTTGTCTTGACTTTATAAACAATATGAGCATTGATGGCATCACCCACTTTCTGAGGATCTTCCACAGAGATTTCAAAATAAGGTCTAGCACCGCTTTCAGGAAGACGTAATGCTTCTGACTAGAAAAAAAAAAAAAAAAGGTGAACGATTCACTTACTGTTTTCTTTTTTCAATTTTTTTTTCTTTTACCTGTTGATCACTTTCTTCTCCAGAGTCTTCACGTATGGGTGATCCAGTTTGTTCTTGAATGGCTGACGAAGAAGAAGGATCATTCAGGGCAAGTGATTCCGTGGCGGTCGTGAGAATATTATCTGTGTCTGTCGAGGCTGAAGGAAGACTGTTATCTGCTGCTGATGGTGATGGTGCTGCTGTATCTGTATCTGTAGTAGTAGTACTAGTGTTGTGATTATCATGTTCTGTCGGTGACGAAATGGTATGTCGTGAAGAGTCTTCCTTTAAAGCTGTCTCATCGCTGGCATCTTCAAGTGTATCATTACTATCTCCAGTCGAGATGGTCGTTTCAGTAGCTTTTGAGACATTGTTATCGGTAGTCTCAATAGTAGTAGTCGAATGGATAGGTGAATAAGCAGTTGTTGCATTTGTCGTTGTTTTTGGAAGAGCCGAACTACTAGACGTTGATATGGATGTTACTAGTGGTGGTGACGACGAATAACCCGAAGCATTTTGAGATATGACATCACTGAAAGGATTTTCCTCTAGAGCATCATTATATCCAAATGTTGAAGAGTCATTCATCCCACTGAAAAAAAAAAAAAGAAAGTAGTGAGAAGGGAAAGTGAGAAAAAAAAAAAAAAGAAGATAGAAGGGAAAAATCGCAAAAGTGAAATAAGGTAATTCTAATCCCCGATTATGTCTAACTATCATGAATTGCAAAACACGTTCATAAAAGGATGACGATATTTACTTCCTTTTTTCTTACATTATGAAGAGAACAACTAGATTATTGATTATCATTGATAAGCCTAAATCCATATGAGTACTTATTCAACTTTATGACAACAAACAAGAATATAAGATACAGAGAAAAAGATAAAAAGAATAGCATAGTAATTATAATAGTTTTTATTAAAAAATTTGAGAAAAAGAAAGAAAAAAAAAAGAGAGAGACACTAGTATAAAATTGTTTTGTTGCTGTTGTTGCTGTTTTATTCTTCTTCCAACACTTCTTCTTCTTCAAGATAATCTTCATCTTCGAGATAATCATCATCGGCAGTAGCATCCTATTAAAACAAATAACAAAAATCAATAAATCTAATATTTCAATCCATCTAGTATATAATATTACCTGGTATTGTTGATATTCGGAGACAAGATCGTGCATGTTACTTTCACTTTCAGTGAATTCCATTTCATCCATACCTTCACCAGTGAACCAATGCAAGAAAGCCTTTCGTCTAAACATAGCAGTGAATTGATCGTTGACACGCTTGAAAAGTTCTTGAATAGCAGTGCTGTTACCGATGAAAGTACCACTCATCTTCAAACCAACAGGAGGAATGTCACACAAGGAGGTCTTGACACCATTAGGAATCCATTCAACAAAGTAAGAAGAATTCTTTTGTTGCACAGCCAACATTTGGTTTTCAACTTCCTTGGTAGAGAGACGACCACGGAAGATGGTAGCAGCAGTGAGATAACGACCATGACGAGGATCAGAAGCAGCCATCATGTTCTTGGCATCAAACATTTGAGCAGTCAACTCAGGTACACTGAGGTTACGGTATTGTTGAGAGTTGAAAGCAGTCAAAGGAGCAAAACCAACCATGAAGAAATGAAGACGAGGGAAGGGAACTATATTTTTTTTTTAAAAAAAAAAAGAAAGTGTTAGTGTTTTATTATCATTATTTATTTATTTATCTACTTATTTATTTTCTTTTATTTTCAACTTACCCATGTTAACGAAAAGTTTACGTAAATCAGAGTTCAATTGACCAGGGAAACGTAAAGAAGTGGAAACACCAGACATGACAGCAGAGACCAATTGATTCAATTCACCATAACCAGGGTTGGATAATTTGAGAGTACGGAAACAGATATCATAAAGAGCTTCGTTATCAATACAGAAGGTAGCGTCACAGTTTTCAACCAATTGATGAACAGACAAAACAGCATTGTAAGGTTCAACCACAGTATCAGACACCTTGGGAGAAGGAACAACAGAATAGGTACACAACATACGATCAGGATATTCTTCACGAATCTTAGATAACAACAATGAACCAAGACCAGAACCGGTACCACCACCAAGAGAGTGAGCCAATTGGAAACCTTGCAAACAATCAGTGTGTTCAGCTTCCTTTCGTACAATATCCAAAATAGAATCAACCAATTCAGCACCTTCGGTGTAGTAACCCTATATGAAAGAAATTAATCATTTAAGTATTAAAAAAGAAAATTATCATCCATTTTTCCCATCCATGAAAATCAATATTTTTTTTTTTACTTACACGAGCCCAAGAGTTACCAGCACCAGATTGACCATAGACAAAGTTATCAGGACGGAAAAGTTGACCATAAGGACTGGAACGAACAGCATCCATGGTAGCAGGTTCAAGATCAACAAGGACAGCTCTAAAAAATAAATAAAAAAGTTAAGGTAACTTGTTTATTTAAAAAAGGATGATGATAATAATATGAAACTTACCTAGGAACATATTTACCAGCAGAACCTTCATTGTAATAAACATTGATACGTTCCAATTGAAGATCGTTATCACCACTATAAGCACCAGTGGAGTCTAAACCATGTTCTTGTGAAATAGTTTCCCAGAATTTTTGACCAATCTAAATATATATATAAAGGTTAGAAGAATATATCCTTTTCCCCCCTCTTCATCTTGTCCCATCACCCTTCCCCCCTTGTTCTCTATTCCCCCTTTTTTTTCGCGTTATCGTCCTATTTAGAGTACATACTTGATTACCACATTGACCTATTAGAAGTAAAAGAAAAAAAAGTAAAAGTTAATATTTTTCTTAATATATAAGAAACATAGCCAGTCATCTTTTTCTTTTTTATCATCTTGTAAAAAGAACTGAGTATCTATTTTTTAATTACCAGCTTGAACGTGAATGATTTCTCTCATGATTGTAATAAAAAGTGTGTGTATATATATTAAAAAAAAAAAAAGGGTAAAGATGAAGAAAGTGGGTAAAAGGGAAACAAGAAAAAAAAAAAAAGAAAGAAAGAAAGAAAGAAAAAAAAGAAGAAAAAAAAAAACAAATAAAGGAGGTTGACAAAAAAAAAAAAAAAATTCTAACACTAGCAATTTGATCTGGGATTGAATCCTTTGCTCGTGCTTGTTTCTTTTTTTTGCCCTTTTTGTGTTCCTTGACTGCAGCAAACAGTAACCTGTTAAACACTGTTCATTTCAAGAATCAAATCATCTATTTATCTTATTTATTTATCTCTCTCACATAATTATATATATATACATGTATATATAATCTTATTCAATCTTATACTTCTTCATTAATAACGAACTAATTTTTATTCATTTTCTTTTTTTTTTTTTAAAGAGTTGTATGTATGAAAAGTTAAAAAGTAGGATGTCAAAGTTATGAGGGGAGAATGAAGATCAAAAAAAGAATGGGCGTCCCAAAAGTCGTCTCTCTCTTTCGGGTGGGAGAAATAGTGCCTCACCGAAGCACATGGCGCGTTTCTAAATATGGTAGGAAGAACGGGATGCCAACTTTTGACATTGCCGACTCTCTCTCTCTCTCTATATATATATATTTCATGAATAAACTACATCAGTACTAAGATATATAAAAAAAAAATCCTTATTCGATATATATTATAGTTATTAAAGAAAAAATAATTTCATAAGTTTATTATCTATAAAGAAAAAAGCAACTATAACTAAAAATAAAAAAAATAAAATATTTTGACTAATTATTCATCCATTCGTTTGTCTATTGATAAGAGATGACATACATGAATATAATAAATCATGAATACCATGAAATCCAAGAATATCTAAATGAGATAAATATTCCACTCTATAATCTGAATAGGTCATGGTTACCCCGCTTGTCTATTAAAAAAAAAGAAAGCATAAGTTTAATATTCACTCCGTTTACTTGTATCCTTTTTTTTTTTTTTTTTACCTCCGCCATTCTTTTCACACTTTCTACTGTGACAGGATCTTCGTTTGGATTCATGATATTAAGTTCATTTTCCTTCATCTAAATAAAATAAAATCAGTATAATTTTGTCAAATCATTATCCATATATATATATATACCTTCATAAAATGTTTTGAAAGTCCAGCAAATGCACTTGAATGAGTCAGGGAGAACATCAAGTTCAGCGGATCATCCCGTTCTTCGCACTTTTCACGGAACATGTCCACTATATCACTATTCCGGAAAATAAGAATATAGTTAGTCTTTTTTTTTTTTTTTTTTTTTTTTTTTTTTTGTAAAAAGTCACTTACGATGAGACAGAAAATGCTGTTGAGTTTGTAGATTGAACACTGAATGCAAGATTGCGCCATAAACAGTTACAAATATCTAAAACATAAGTATTGAAATGATCCAAATATTCTTCACTGTGTTTATCCATCCAATCGCCCCCTTTTCTATCGTTGTCTTCAAATGATAATTTGTAGTTATGTAGGATACCACAGATTCTTGAGATCGCCATAGCATTGGAGGAGAAAAAGCTACGATATACTAGGGATGCTGCAGGAAGAATAATAGTGGGAATATCATGATGCAATGATATAGTAGATATCTACAATTCAAAAAAAAAAAATGCAAGCAAATCAGATATGTATCTTTCTTCTCCTCTTCATCACCCCCTTGCTATTCCTCCTCTTTTCTCAACTTACAAACTCGAAAAAGGAGAGTGATGCGTGTTGCAGTATCGGATGATCTTGTTCCAGTACCAATCCTTGCACACAAAGTCGATCCACATGATATATCATTTGCTGCATGACACCAAAGTAATCAATATTGAAGGATAGACCTTGAAACAACCATGCTCTATAAAAAACGAAAATATCCAATTTTTGAATGACCTCTTCTTTTTTTGCTTTTTTTTTAAGTCTTATTCGATCTTACATATTGTCCATTTCATCCTTGTTATCTTCATTTGAAGTGGTTTGCCTTCGTTCTGAATGTCGACGCCAATCCAATAAAGCCCAATTTGTTAGCCAGTTTTTGTAACATAGAATAAGTTTTGCCTATATCAATGATTTGAAATAAATTCATTTGTATCATTCATTCTTTTTTTTTTCTTCTTCTTACCTTCCATTGTACATCAGATACAGAAAATAATCGATATAGTGGTTTGAGATAAGATTCAAATATATCTACATCGAAAAACATGATTCATTAGTGTTTTCTCGATCATTTGTCTTCTTTTCTTTTCTTTTCTTTTCTTTTTTTTTTTTTTTTTTTTTTTTTTTTTTTTTTTTTTTTTTTTTTTTTTTTTTTTTTTTTTTTTTTTTTTTTTTTTTTTTTTTTTTTTTTTTAGTAGATTTACCTTCGAATCCTCTTGGTTTGATGAATGTCAATAATTCAAATATTTCATATGTCATATAGAGTCCATTCCACGATCTCAAGAATCTTGCCAAGAATATTTCCATCACCGGAATATGTGCCTACAAGAAATTATCATCATTATCATCATGATGTTAATTTCTACCTTTTCTATTTACCCATGTATATAGAAAATATATAATATTACCTTCGCAAACCGAGCCAATTTCAGGATTTTATTCAACAGTTCTTCTAACATTTCTTTTGATTCTGCCGTTTGATGATTCCAATAAAGAAGATCCATCAGTTGTTGTGCTAGCACATTACATATTCTTGGTATCACTACATCTATATAAGAGAAAGTTCAAATGTTAATTATTTATTTTCACAGAGTGGATCTTCTTACCATTTGGATTACAAACAATGATATGCTGAATCATTCGATTGTCCAATACTGATAATATTTGTTCGGGTATACTTTGTCGGTCCAAATATTTCACCAATTCGTGAGGGTCAAATTCATCCTGTAATCTATTCCTGAGAAACTGATAATAATAATAATATCAGTTAATTGTCATATACTTTGTGCACTCAGAGCGTTAATACACTGACCTTGGTACCAATGTAGCTTGGGCTTTCTTTTCTATCACTTGAAGTTCGTCCTTTTCGTTTTTTTGTCTATTTACCCCATAATCAATAAATAAAGAATAAAAAGTTAAAACACGTTGTTGAATAATATAACCATTGCCAATGACTTGAGCTTACAGAGACTGCGATATCAGTTATTTGTTGTCGTTCATCCACATCAGAAAGAGGTGTCACAGAGTGGAATGCCACAGGAGTAGTTTCATTGGACCATAGTTTCCGGATTTCCTCTAATTGTCGTTTCAATTTTGGATCTGGATTCTACTCATCAATGAAAATATATATATATATAAAAAAAAAGGTATGAGATTCTCAAGAAATAAAAGATTTAAAACATCATACTTAATCGAAAATTAAGACTAAACTTACAGTATCGACATTTTTCCCATATGTTGATGTGAGTTTTTCTGAATTTTTGAGTTCAGGACGAAGGTTATGATATAATTTGATAAGTGCAATAAGTTGAGGTTCAGGGATGATATTTTTCGCTAGATTTGATCTAATTCAAAAAAAAAAAAAAAAAAAAAGTTGTTTGAATTGTGTTTATATATATATATATATGATATTTAACTTACAAGAAACGAACACGGTAGGCTTTGACATGAACCTTTTTGGTCATACGAAATAGAATGTGACAGAGACGAGGTCTAACGGTAGAATATGTCAATATTACATCTACAGCCTTCCTTTTTTTTTTTTTTTCTAGGTCTTACCGTAACCTTTCTATGGTCAAATAATGGAATAACACAGCATAAAGATTTGATATATGTTCCTTTCCATCAATATAGTCGTAAATGCATATCACCCATTCTAACAATTTGTCCTATATAAACAATCAAATAAGTAAAATATTATATATATATATATAGATATATTCACACGTTACCATAAGCATAGAGCTGTAGTCACGACAAGAGAGATTGCCATATATACGAAGGATTTGTTTTTGAGATACTGTAGACCTTGGAAGAAGTAACTTGACCAGAGACATACTTCGAGTAGCAGCTAAATATTGATAAGGAAGAAACAAGTAAATTGAACCAACTGACGCTGACCATGCTTTTTCTTCTTTTTTTTTTTTTTCCTTCTTACTTAGTTGTTGAGAAAAAATAAGATCAAGTAGAATATCAATGTGTGAAGATTTTACTCCATACTTTCCAATAGCTGGCGCTATATGTGTAATTCTATCCAAGTTGGGCTTTTTTCCTCTCTGAATTGCTATATCAAAGAAATAAAAATATATTCTTTTTTTTACTAGGAAAATAATGATTTTTTTTTTTTAGGTGTTACCATGGACACTTTTTTCGAGAGCTTTGTCAATATATCGATCAATGTTTTGCTGAGTGAATTGTGCTGTTTTCAAGGTTTGAATGTCTTCCGAATTGATGGGTTCAGCGAAAATATGATCTTCGTTCACACTTTCCACTGTTGTAACTAAAGATAAATAAATGTTAAGTACGTGGTTGTTTAGTAGTGATTCACCAAATAATTTCAATTTTGTATCCTATAGTGTACACACCGGTATATGTTGAATCATTGTCACTGACAACGGACATTTGGAAAGTCTAAAATAGAGAAGATAAAAAAAAAAAAATAGAATAAAAATAAGAAAGAAAGAGTGAATTGGAAAAAAAAAAAAAAAAAAAAAAAAAAAAAAAAAAAAAGGGTACTGAATTGTCCAAGTTTTCGAAATCCGCGCGTCATTGAATACATCATGTTTAAAGTATCCTTTTTCTTTGAATGATGATTTAAAAATGTAAAATAGAATCAACCGTATATAATTTTAAATAAAAAGACATCACTAATTATGAGAATATCAAAAAAAAAATTGTTTTTTAAAAAAAATGTGAAAAGTAAAAAGAAGATCCCTTCAACCTGATTCGAACAAGTGACCTAAGGATGACAATTTCATTACAGTCCTCCGCTCTACCAACTGAGCTATAAAGGGATTAGTTGTGTATTGGACCTGTTACTCTATTATGAACCTCATCTTAATTTCAGCCAATCAGAATCAAGTATTTACAGATTGGTGTTACGGTGGCTCAATTCTAGTTGAACAAGATCATCTGTACTCGGTCTTGAATTTTTCCGTGGACAGCTGGCTTCCGATTTCTGAGGCAATTCTTTTTTTTTGTTACTCTCACTTTTTCTTGTCTTTTATTTCACCACTTTTACTTCTATCACGTACTAGTTAGTACATTTATATAGTTTTATTTTATAGGATAGTTATTAGTCTATTATATTAGTTTATTACGATATTCTTTTAGGACGAACGATATCTATTCCTTTTTTTTATTATTATATATTTGAACATTCATTTTTTTTATTCTTTTTTTTTTTTTTTTTTTTTATCTTTCAACAATATCAACAATCAACTTTTATTTTTTTTACGAATAAACTTGGAATCTCTCAATATTCGCAATAGATATATACGTATTTTTATAGTCCAACTCTCTTTTTTTTATTGTTGTCTTTTTTTTTTTTTTCTTACACAACTTGTATTCCTACATGTTTCAGTCTTGTCAACTCGCAAGTTGGTTAATTTATCTCCTCTAATATATATTATCCACTCAGTTGAATCCAGATGTAGCTATCTAGCACAGCTTACTCAAAGAGATATTCATAATAATAATATTGTAGATGAGTTTAGAGAATAAATAAGAATAAAGAAAATGGGAGGATGAATATGAAAAGAGAGATGAAAAAGAGGGAGCTGATACAAGATATTGAAAACAAAAGAAGAGGAGTTCAATAGCAAAAACCATTGAAATAATAAGGCTACATTTGATGATCTACAAAAAGGAAAGTGAAGAAAAAGAAAAAGGAAAAAAAAAAAGAAAGAAAAGAAGAGAGAATTTGTTTGAAATGTATTTGCCTTTTTCGGTAATGATGTATTAGTATAGTTTAAAAAAAACCTTTCATAAGAATAGCATTGTGTTGTAGCGTACCAAAAAAAAAAAAAAAAAAAAAAAAAAAAAAAAGAGAACTTACTATAATATGGTTTGTACGATAGATGGTCAAATAATATATCAAGGCAGTGTATGATGATGTATGGCAAGTAGTATATCAAGATAGCATACGATGGATAGAAAAAGTTTCAAATGATATGTCATGATAGTGAAGAAATATAAAATAAAAGAAAAAAGTATAAAGAAAGAGAAGAAAATAAAAAAGACCAAGAAGGTGCATTTTATAGACAAGTAGGTTCTTTTGTTTTCAGCTCGTAATAACAAGTTGTCAATATTAGATTCGTAGTGATCCGATGATGATTGGTTCACTTATGAAGAGAAATAATGAAAAAAAGAAAAATATATCTCGTTCTTGGAAACAACCAAATCATTAATATATTCCCTTAATATGATTATCTGGTTCCAAAAAAAGGTCAACAATACTCATTTGTCATCGGATGATGATTGTTTATCAAGTCATCATAACAATAGATAGTACTAACATATACATACAAATAATCGTAATAAAATAATTTAGACAGTGAAATATTTTATTTAGACGAAAGATACCAAAAAAAAAAAAAAAAAAAAAAAAAAACAATAATAACAGACAAAAAACTTTGAAGACATCTATTTTTATTTTGTATATTTACATATGAGAAAAATACGAAGTTAAAAATCAATATATCTAATCTAGTAGAGGACACGAGTTTTGATGTTAGCAGGAGTTGCAGTAATAGCATCGTAAAGATTATGAAGTTGATCTTGAGTGACTTTGGAAATATCCGCCATAACATAAGCAATATCCCCTTTTGAATCCGAGTATTGTTTTTCAACATTGTGATCAGCAAAAATTTCGTTGATAGCCTATAGAACAAAAAAAAAAAAAAAAAAAAAGAATCAATGGATTGCTATTATATTGTACCACATAATCATTATATATATATATGTTTACTTACGCGAAGTACCCCAGGAATATTTCTATGGATATAAAGCACACGAACAGTATCAGCATCTTCTTCACGAATAGCACGTAAATCAATTTCAGGAAAGTTGACAGCACCAATAGAAGTGCCTTCGTTGATGAATTTGATTAAAGCAGTAGAAACTTCGATACCAATCATACGTTGAGCTTCTTCGGTTGAGCCACCAATATGAGGAGTCATAATCAAGTTTGGACAAGTTAATAAATCAGAATAATCAGTAAAATGAGGACCATTGCTTGCAGGTTCCTTGGGATAAACATCGATAGCAGCACCAGAGAGATGACCAGATTGAAGACCCTTTACCAAAGCGGGAATTTGCACTACGGTACCACGAGCATTGTTCAATAGATAAGCACCCTTTTTCATGTAACCCATGATTTCACGTTCACCAATCATGTTCTTTGTTTCTTCCAATTCCGGGACGTGAAGTGTAACAAAATCAGCAATCGACAAGAGTTCTTCCAAAGTTTCAGTTTGTTTGGCCGTTCCCAAAGGCATGATTTGTAAAACATCATAAAAGTAAACAGTCATACCCATTGATTCCGCCAATACAGAAAGTTGTGAACCAATATGTCCATAACCAACAATACCAAGAATTTTGCCTCGAATTTCATAACAGTTTTTAGATACCTTGTTCCATATTCCTTGATGCATTTCAATATTTCGATCACCTAGTTGACGAGCTAAAGTAATCACTTCACCAATCACCAATTCTGCCACTGACCTTGAGTTACTGAAAGGAGAATTAAATACTGCAACCTTAAAAAATATATAATATATAAATGTATATAAAAAGGATATCAATCACTGATTTATATAAAAGATAATCAATAAAATAAAAAAAATATATTACCCCATTCTTGGCCGCCGTTTGTAAATCCACCTGATTTGTACCAATACAAAAACAACCCACCACTAAAAGATTCTTAGCTTGGTCCAATACTTCTTTGGTTAATTTGGTTTTTGAACGAATACCAATGACATGAACATCGCGAATCTTTTCAATGAGTTCTTGACCAACAAGAGCTTTGCTATATGTTTCCACCTAAAAATAAAAATAGAACAAAATAAATAAAATGATATCAACAATATAAATTAGTATTATGATTCACGTACTTGATAGCCTTCTTTTTTAAAAGCTTTGACAGCTATTTCATTGACGTTTTCCAATAACAAGATCTTAACTTCACTAGAGTTGAATGGACGTAATGCTTTGGGTTTAGGTTGAGTGAAGGAAGAACGGCGAGTAGTAGTGGTAGTATTATCAGTCATGGTTAATAATCAAACAAAAAAAAAAAAAAAAAAAAAAAGAAAAAAGAACAAAAAAAAAAATAAAAAAAAAAAAAAGAGAGAGAGAAAAATAAAATTTTCAACTTCTTCCCGGGGTTTGAAAAGTATCAAAGCATAGATCAATCAGTCATCCTCCATGATTTTGATTGGATGATGATTGTGCGAAATGTCTTCGAAGAACAAATGAGGAGAGACCAAGCATTTTGTACTTTTTTTTTTATTCTCTGATATATATATATATCCTTCCCCTTCCTTTCTTTTTCTTTTCTTCTTCGTCTTCTTCTTCTTTTTGTTTCATTAAATACATTTACTCCCTCCCTCTTTCTTTTTTTTTCTCTTTTATATATACTATAGATAGATAATTCATACCAAATGTTCAAGTCATATAAAACTACAGAAGGTTTGCCTATGCCAGTACAAAAAAACAAGTTGGTGAATCTTATTGCTGATCAGAATATTACCATTATTCCCGAATTCACTTTGGAAACTGGTGTTGTGTTAAAGGATGTACCTGTTGCTTGGAAATCTTGGGGCAAGTTGAATGATAATGGTGATAATTGTATGGTGATATGTCATGCATTGACTGGTAGTGCTGATGTGGAAGACTGGTAAATTCCCCATTTTATTTATGCTATTGATATATATATATATATATATATTAACAATTTTTTTTTTTAATTTTTCATTATTTAGGTGGGGACCATTGATGGGACCTAGAAAAGCTTTTGATACTACAAAGTTTTTTATTGTATGCTGCAACGTAATGGGTTCACCTTATGGTTCTGCCTCACCTTTGACTATTCACAAGGAAACTGGTGAACGTTATGGTCCTGAATTCCCATTAGCTAGTATACGTGATGATGTACGTCTTCATCGATTGATTTTGGATCAACTTGGTGTGAAACAAGTAGCTATCTGTATTGGTGGATCTATGGGTGGTATGCAAGTATTGGAATGGGCTTTTATGGGCAAGGATTATGTTCGTACTATTGTACCAATTGCTACTTCTGGTCGTCATTCTGCTTGGGGAATTAGTTGGGGAGAAGCTCAACGTCAATCTATTTACAGTGATCCTTTTTATGGTAAGAAAAAAAAAACAAAGAAATATAGGTACTTACCATCTTTTTTTTTTTTAATAAAAAAAAAAGTGGATGGTTATTATCCTGATGATCAACCACCTAGTGTTGGACTTTCGGCAGCACGTATGTCGGCTTTATTGACTTACCGATCTCGCGACTCGTTTGAATCTCGTTTTGGAAGAAAATCGGCAGATGCAAAGAAATACCGAAATCAAGTATCACCATCCAGTCCAAGGGAAGCCAATCGAATGATTCATAATGATGGTCATAAGAATACATCTTGTCCTCCTCTTAGTCCTCCTCTTAAAACAAAGATCAATGGTGATGAAGGAAATGGACATCCTGTTGCTACTATCAATGATCCTCCTATGCCAACTCCTTTTGTCTTTTCTGCTCAATCTTATCTTCGATACCAAGGTGACAAATTTATTGGTCGATTTGATGCCAACTGTTATATTGCTTTGACTAGAAAAATGGATACTCATGATTTATCTCGTGGACGTGGTGATTATGACACAGTTTTGACAACCATTCAACAACCAACTCTAGTTATAGGTAAACATGAGGGGATTTTCAAACAAAAGAGATCGGAGATATGTAAAAATCTTATCAAAAAAAAAAAATAGGTACTGATAGATTAGAATTTTTTTTTTTTAATATGTAGGCATTGAATCTGATGGATTATTTACTATTTCTGAACAATATGAATTAGCAGATGGAATTCCAGGTGCAGAAATGATAGTGATTCAATCTTCTGATGGTCATGATGGATTTTTACTTGAATTTGATCAAATTAATCGACATATCTTGAAATTTGAAAAAGATGTACTTCCAGATATTTATGATAAAAGTGTAGTTAGTTTGGAAGAAGCTGAAAAGGAAGAAGAACTCAAAGCAACCAAAACTAGTCTTTTTGGGGAAGCCGAAGTGGATATTACGCAATGGTGATCCTTCTCTATATGGATGGTTTTCTAGCTGGTCAGCAAGATTATGATGAAATTGGGGTTGGTCGGAGGATACAGTGGACTTTATATCATATATATATTAGAATTAGTTGTTATATATTTTTTTTTGTTTTATTTTTGTTTTGTTATAGATAAATCAGTTTCTCTATATATATATATATATATTACATATGATCAATAAAATAGGAATGATGATGATATTTAAATGATGATGGATAAGAAACAAGGTTTAGTTATTTATTATGACAAGATTTTTTTGCGGGGAAACTTGAATAAGCATGTGAAATATCTCACTTGCTGTGTTGTTCATAGTCTATTTTAGATACCGCGGCTCACATGTGAATTCTTTTTTTTTTTTTGGATTATAAAAAAAAAAAAGGTCAAATTTTTGTTTTTTTCTTTTTCTTTTCTTTTTAATTTTTTTTCCCGCTATTTATTTCTTATCATGTCTGACATTATTGTTCCTGGTTTCAAGGGTTCCGAACTCATTGCTGAATTGAACAAGGCTTTCGAAGCTTATACTCCTGAAGAACGTGCCAAATTGATCAAGCAAGTCAATGGTGTTTTCCAATTCGTCTTGAAGGCTAATGGCAAGGAAGAAATCTTTACTGTGGATGTTAAGAAGGAAGGAAAGGTTGTCCGTGGTAAGGGCAATGTCAAGGCTGATGCTATTCTTACTTTGTAAGTTAATATATTATCATATTCTCTCCTTTTTACTTATTATTATTATTATTTAGGAACGATGCTGACTTTGTTGCTTTGGCTGAAGGCAAACTTAATGGTCAAAAGGCTTACATGTCTGGAAAACTTAAGGTCAAGGGTCAAATCATGCTTGCTATGGTAAAGAAATAATAAGAGATACGTGATAGATAAATAAACTCATCTTTTTATATATTTTATAGAAACTCGACAATGTCTTCAAATCCATCAAACCTGCTGCTGCCAAACTCTAAGCATACTCCTGCTCTGGTGCCTAGATATCAATTTTATGTGTGTGTGTGTGTGTGTATTAGTAGAACACGTGTGTATATATAAACTACAGTTTATTATTTTGATGAATAAATTATTACCTGTTTAGAAAACTTTTTTTTTTTTTTTACTTCTTCTTTTGACGTATGATGAGAAGACTATTTATTGATTAGGAAAAATCATACAATAATGTCTAGTCTAGAATACTAGAATGGTCTCTCGGTGTTTGAACTCGAAAAGGGTTACATGATGAGGGTCCACACGATTCTAGTAGTATAGAAAATAGGATTCTGATTTTTTCTTTCTTTCTTTTTTTTTTTTTTTTTTTTTTTTTTTTTTTTTTTTTTTTTTTTTTTTTCTTCTCTGTAGTTTTCCTTCATGTCAGCAAGGTTATGGGTAAACAAAAAATACAAGTCATGTTTTGATACAATATATTCTAACTTGTTCTCATTCCTTTTTGATTGAATAGTATCCCTTGATGCTCACTCAGTGAAATGGCTCTCTCTTCTTATTTTAGTGATTCAAAATAGTACTCTTATTCTTGTGATGCGTTATACACGAACTTCAGTGGAAAATGACCAACTTTATCTTGCTTCGACCGCTGTGGTAATGAGTGAAGTCTTGAAAACTCTGATATGTCTGCTTGTCCTTTATCAACTCCTTTTGCCATCCTATCGACATACTAGTCTTTTGGAATCTTTTAACACATTGGGCTTGGTTCTACGCCGTGAAATGTTACACAATTGGCATCAAGCAATCAAATTGGCTGTACCTGCCATTCTTTATTTGATCCAAGTAAGTAAAGAAAAAAAAAAAAGAAGATATTTTTTTTTGTCTATTATTGTTTGACATTTCCATTTTTAGAACAATTTACAATATGTGGCTGCTACTCATTTGGATGCTGCTACTTTTCAAGTAACTTATCAACTCAAGATATTGACAACAGCCTTCTTTAGCGTGATATTATTGCATCGATCATTATCTAGTCGACAATGGATAGCTCTGGGATTACTTACTGTTGGTGTTGCTTTGGTCATGCTACCCAAAAATATAAACTTGTCAAATTTGATCTCTTTACTTGTGTCGACACAGGAAGAAAAGAATGATGATAAGGTCTATACCACAGAACAACAGGGAGGGGCAACTTACGACCACCAAGGATTTATGGCAGTATTAATGGCTTGTATTTTATCTGGTATGGCTGGAGTCTATTTTGAAAAACTCCTCAAGTCATCATCAACAACAACAACAACAACTACTACTACTAGTACTACTACTTCACGGATCTATCTACCCACTCATCAACTATCACCGAAAGAGGATGATTACGAATTGAAAAAGAAATTAGACGATGTGAACGAAGCGATGAACTACAGTACGATGCATACACATCGACAACAACAACAGCAACAACTTTGGATACGCAACATGCAAATGTCATTCTTCTCAGTAATTCTTGGCTTAGTATTTGTAGTGGGACTTCAAGATGCAGACAAAGTACTTGCTCATGGGTTTTTTGCTTATTATACTCGTTGGACCTGGTGTGTGATTATGATTCAAGCATGTGGTGGACTCATTGTGGCTGTCGTGGTGAAATATGCTGACAGTATTCTCAAAGGTTTTGCTACAAGCATCAGTATCATCCTCTCTACTATCCTTAGCGTTTGGCTTTTTCAAGTTTCTCTCTCCTTTCTTTTTGTCATTGGTGCTTCCTTGGTCATTTATGCTACTTATCTTTACGGATTGAAATAGATTAGTTTTATATACATCTTATTTTAAGTTTTTTACATATATATATATATATATATATATCTATTTTTTTTTTTTTTGATGATAAAAATAAATATATGGAATGTATGTGTTTATTATTATTATTATTATTATTATTATTATTATTATTCATAGTATGTAACAAAAAGAAAAAGGAAAATAAATACAAGTGGGGAATAAATAGAGAAGTATTATTTGAAGATATGTATAATGTTGTATGTGTATATGAAGAGAGAAGACGGAAAAAGGAGATGATAAAAAAATATGTAATCAATGAAGTGATGAGAGAACTATATAAAATAAAATAATATATGTATATATAACTAAAAAATGAGAATATGATAGTTAAGAAATAGCATGAAAAACTAGGGATGTTCAGTGATAACAAACAATGGTACATCATTCTTCTTCTTGATAATGTCGTCCTTTGTGTCGGAAGCAGTAGAAGGTAAAGAGGAAGATGTTGAAGGAGAAGATCGTGTAGATGAAGATGTTGATTTCTTTGCTGATGAGGATGATCTTGTAAGAATAGTAGGTAACCATCGAGGACTGATTGTACGAGCTTGTTGTCGCATACGACGAATAAAATAAATGATACCACCACATAAAAGTAATCCAAGTGTACCAAGTCCAATCCCAAGTCCTTCTTTCAATGCAATATTGTTGTTTAAGTTTGGATTGGAGACCACAGTTGAATCATAAGGTAGTCCACTTCCATCTGATCCACCGTTGCCGCTGTTATTATCGTTTTGCGAAACAGGCATAGAGAATCGACAGCCTGGATTTACTGGTTGTTGAGGTGCATAGTTGCCTGCTGGTATCGAATTCACCCACGTCCAAGTTGTCATATCTAGAATCGCTACATCGTTCGCATAACTGATCGTGTTTCCATTTGCAACATTGGTAATACCTATTCGTTGATCAGTTAGATTCCAATAATATATTTATATATTTATTCTTACCTCCAATAACTATCATATAGTTTCCAACAGTAATAGCTTCATGACCAGCACGAGCAGTGGGTGGAGTACCTTGAATATTTGGAACAGACCATGACAACGTACAAGTATCAAGAACATATACATTTTGAGTTGGAATAAATGTATGTTTATTCAATGTTTTGCCACCAAATATTACGATAGACCTTCCATCGGGAGCTATATATACAAAAAAAAAGTTAAATTTCTTTTCATCCTTTCTTACTGCATATTTCTTTCTTTCTTTCTTTCTAATTTTTTACCATTTGTAGCAGAGAATCTACAATAAAAAAAAATAAAGTCAGAATCAAGAAGATAACTTTGGAACAAAATTGATTCATGATTATACGTACCTAACAAGACCAGGAGGAATATCATTAATAGTTGCCATACTGATGGATGTATTTGCGATGGTGTCAAACACTATAAATATTTTATATAAAATTGGTCCAGTTGCTTTCTTTTCTTTTTTTTTTTTTTTTTTTTTTTTTTTTTTTTTTTTACTATAATTTACCTAATACACTTCTAAAATCAGCATTCTCAACAATCCAAGTATTGTCTGATCCATTCATGATCGCAGTTTTCCCACCAAGTATAAATATTTGACCCATACTATAATAAAATAAATAAATGATCAGTAACGTGATAGTTTTCGCTTATAATCAGACTTAATAGAAGGTTAGTGTACTTTTTTTTTTTTTATTTTCTAAACTCACAGTAAATTTGAGGTATGACCAAATCGAGAAGGACGTATACCACCGGTGTTATAAATTGTTGGCCAATTCCAAGTATTGGTTGTTGTATCCAAAAAGTAGAAATCATTGTACTATAAAGATTATATTTAAATATTTTAATTATTATTTGATAAAAGAGTAAAACAAAAGTAATTTCTTACGTAGTTGAAATTTCCAGAAGCCTGCTGATTTTGAGTATTTCGTCCACCATAATACCATACTTGATTGGTTGTTCTATTAAGTGATACTGTCATTTCTGCTCGAACCACAGGTATTTGTCCTTGACTATTGACTAGATAATAAATAAAAAATAAATAAATATATATATATATATATATATATAAAGTCTATCAAGTTATTTATATTTACCATTCGTCCAAGTATTAGTAGTAAGATCAAGTTTTATTCCATTTGCCATAGTTGATGTTCCTCCGTCTCCAGTTTGAGCGAATAATTGATTATCAGGAGTATTAAAAGCAACACCATACATAAATGGTTGAATAGTTGTATCGTTATTATTTGTTGATTGTATATCATGCCAAGGAAGACATTGTGTAATATCAATTCCACTTCCTAAATCTAAACTCCATACATCGGTTGAAGTCTACAAAAAAAAAAAATAAAAAAAAAGTTTTTAGTTTATTAATATATAAGATATATAAATATATATATTTACTGGATTGCCACCGGTTAAATATAATGTAGAATCTATCTGTAATAAAGAAAAGTCAGAAAAACCTTGTGGTCCAGTAACATCACATGTCATTTGACAATTGATTATTTGTAAAAAGGTGAAAAGAATAAAGAAGAATAGAGTAATAGAATGGTATAATATAATCATGGATATTATAGTAGTAAAAGTTAAATAATAAGAAATAATAAATAGTGAGAGAGAAATAAAAGAGAAAAAGATAAAAGAAAGGGAAAACGGAAATTCAGGAGGTTTAGATCATTCAGCCAATAGCAAGGCATTACTATTTAGAAATAATTAAAAATCCGTTTTCACTTTCAGGACTTCTTGGTAGAATATGGAAAAGTGAAAAAAAAAAAAAAAGATCAAACATATCCATTGAATTGGTCTGTTGAAATACTAAAAATAGATTTATTTTTTTTTGGTTGGTCGAGACCATTTTCATCTTTACAACTTTTATTCAATAATAAATGACGGAATTCAAAAATAAGATATAGCAAAAATAGGAAATAAAAATATTGTAAGGATAGAAAAAATAGATGACAGAAAAAAAAAAAAATCGCATAATCAAATAGAGAGAATATATGAAGAAGAAGAAAGAAAAGGAGTGGTAGTAGTTCCATTGAATATATATATATATATTTAGTCATCATATCCATTTTTTTTATTTATATTTATTTTAACTTACTTGTATTTAAACACATCCTCCTAAGAGATGATAATATAATTTCTATATGTTGCTGTATACAGATTGATTATTCACTTTGAATTGGAAGACATCAAGGGAAGATTTCAAAAAAGAAAAAAGAAAAAGAAGAGAATGATTAATATACTGTATCATCATCAATCATCATCATTATCATTAAAAGAAACTTACTATTAAGCAAGGCACAAAAAGAAAAAAAAGTCCAATAAATATATAAAAGAAAAGTAAATGGACCTAAAGATCAAAGAAATAAACAAAGAAGATCCGAGTAAATGATTTTTTTTTTTTAAAAAAAAGTAGAATTATTATGCAAATTTAAAATATATGCGTTCTTTATAAAAAAAAAAAAAAGAAGTGAAATAATATAAAACTTTGTCTTCTTTTTTATTGATTGATTGATATGGTAACAAATACAATTATAGCATTCTTTTAACATTTCTGTTCTCATCATATTATTGAGATAATAGTTTCGTGATATTATAAAATAAAATATCCATCTTTACCAAAATGAATTTTACATTATCACTTTTTCAGATTATTGCTCCAGAGAGTATGTCAAAACACATTGATTGATGATTGATGATGATGATGATGATGATACAGTATTAGTTAAAATAAATATAAAAAAAGAATGGATATGATGACTAAATATATATATATATATATATATATATTTCTATTATTCAATATATTCAATGGAACTACTGTCACTTCTTTTTCTTCTTTTTCTTTTTCTTCTTGTATTCAACTTGGATTATGCGTTCAATTATATATTTTTTTCTTCTTGTCATCTATTTTTCTATCCTTACTATATTTTATTTCCTATTTTTGTGATTATCTTGAATTCAGTCGACCAAATCTATTTTCGGTCACCGCAGAGCCTAATTCAAACTTTTTTCTTTTTTTGTAACTGATCGAATCCTTTTTTTTTTTTTCTATTTCTTTCTTTCTTTCCTTTTTTTTTTTTTTTTTTTTTTAATCAAATACAATTATGAAATTAATATTATTTTTGATTTTTACTTTACAATTGATTTCTATTGTTTTATCACAAGCATCATTGGGAGAATCATCTGGTAGTATTGGTGGTGGTGGTGGTACTTCTCCTAGTGGTGGTGGTGGTAGTAGTGACAGTGGTGGAAATGGTAGCATTCAACCTTCTAATAATAACCCAACAACTCCTTCTATTCCTACACCTACACCTACTCCTTCTCAAGTTGAAACTCCAAGCAACTCTCCTTCAGAACAACCTTCTCAACAATCTTCTGAACAATCTCAACCGTCAAACCAACCCTCTAATTCTCCTGATCCTACTCCTGTTCCTCCGTCTACACCAAGTAACACTCGCTCTCGAGGTGGCAGATCTCAATCCAATAACAACAGCAATAATAATTATAATAGTAATACTAATCAAGGTACTTCTCCTACAAACAATCCTCAAAACAATGAATCTGCCCCTGATAGTGGAAATACTTCAAGTGAAACTAACGTCGGTACTATTGCTGGTGCAGTGGTAGGTGGTGTCGGTAAGTTATCAAAAAAAAAAACATGGGCCCATATCCATATTTGGTTACTGCACATTCACTCATTCTTTATACATTTTTTTTTTTTTTTTTTAGTGGGTCTTGCTTTGATTGGTGGACTTTTGACATGGTTGAATCGTCGTGGTGGATGTACGAGTAGAACGAAACGTCGAAATCATGATACTTATGATGATTTTGCTATGAAGGATGCTGAAAGCAATAACAATATGGGTTTCCAACAAGACAATAATACTTCTGGTAGTTCTCCTTCTGGTGCTGTTATGACACCTATTTCACCTTTCCAACGTAGAATGGCTCCAATTGCTCCTCAAACAACGGGATATATGAATTTAGGGAATGATGAATATTCAGAAACAAGTACAGCTGTTCCTTTGATGAATCAAGATTTGGCTGGTTATCCATCTCCTGTTGCTGCTGGCCTTCAACAAGGTGGTGACCCTTACTATGGTTACGCAAATCCCGATTATACTCAGCATCTTCCATCTGCTGGAACGGAATCTTGGCAACAGCAACAATATTATGGTAAAACTCTTACTTCTCCTCAGTCTGCAAACGTCCATGATCATCAAATGAAACCAGATGCTATAGAACACAAACCTCATGAAGTTTAGATATCTTTAGTATTATTTACCAATATTATGTATTTTATCCTTTCCTCATTCTTTTTTTTTTATCATTGATTCATTTATTTTTATGTTTTCCAATTTTTCTTTTTCATTTGTACTATTATTATTCCTCTTCTTCTTTTTTTTCTTTCTTTTTTTTTATTCAACCAACCAATCAGTCAATAAAATTTTATATTATATATTTGGCAATCCTCTTTTATATCGATAAAAATGTAAAAAAAAAAAAAAAAAGAAAAATGACAATACTGATCAAAATATAACATGAACATAAATCTTTTTTTTTTTTTTATTGATTTCAAAATGATAAGACTAAAAACTAACATCCTTCAATAATAACACAATAGGCACATGATCACTAGCTCCCCATACTTCGTATCTGATGGAACTGTTGATCATTTTGGGTAATAAGTCCGGAGTCAAACAAAAATAATCCAAGCGCCAACCAAGTAGTTTCTCCCTACATCGAAATCTATAACTAAAGTAAGTATAGTGTCCTTTTGCATTAGGATGTAAATAGCGCCAAGAATCCACTAGACCAGGTACGGATGGGTCTTTTTCATAAGGTGATAAGATTTTCGTAAAGTCTGTTCGTTCTTCAATGGTATATCCTGCTGATCGTTCGTTTGAATCAGGTCGTGCCAAATCATCTGGTTCATGAGCCACATTCAAATCACTATAGATAAAAAAATAAATAAATAAATAAAATAAAAATGAAATAAATCCATTCCTTTTTATTCCTAGTGTCCTTCTTACCCAGTCCAAATGACAGGAATACCTTTTTGTTGTAATGATCGAATTTGTTTTTCCATAGCAGCATCAAATGTTTGTTTTTCGCCAAGTCTGACCAATTTATCACCAGCATTTGGTGAGTAACAAGCAATCAATGTAAATGATGGATAGGTCAATAGGATCACACGACCACGAGAAATACTTTCATAACCTTCAAGACCATATATTACTTGACTAGGTTTGTGTTTGGAGAACACGGCAATACCACCTGTACCAAAATAAAATATGAAGTATTGGATTAAATTATACGCGTATATTTTTTTTTTGTTTTATTTTAACTTACCATAACCCTTCTTTTCTTCAAAAGCCCAATACCTATATTTATATACTTTATCATTGACGGCAGTTGATACAGGAGCATTAACTTTTGTTTCTTGAATACAAACAATATCGGCATCCTCAGCATCAATATATTTGTTAAATCCTTTCTTGATACACGCATTCAAACTAGCTACATTGTAAGAGGCAATGGTAACACATCCTGGAGTTTTCTTGTCTTCGTCAGATATCACCAGAGGATCAGGAAATGTCATATTATTAGGCAAAGAAGGATCAAAAGCAACAAAGGCAGTGGATTTTTTGACTTTTTTTTCAGTATTTGGTGTGGTATCATTATTGTTGACTTTTCTTTTGGGTGGCATAACGATAATTTTACGAGTAGAAGAAGAAAATGTACAATGAAGAAGATAACGAGGAATAAAAAGAAAGTGTTTAGTTGCTGCGTTCATAAAAAAAAAAAAAAAAAAAGAAAAGGACGGAGGACAAAAAGAAGCGCGAAAAAAAATTGGGAATTTCGTGTTCCCCCACCTCTAGGCTTTCAAAAAAAAAAGTATACAGCCAGATCATCTTTGGAAATGAAACAAAAGAAAGAAAATAATAACAAAAAAAAAAAAAAAGAAGTGATCATCATCATTCTACTCTATCATGAATTATTATTATTATCATTGATTCAATGGTTAAGAAATGGAATGATTTCTACATTTAAAAGGCTGATTTTTTCAGTACAAGTTAAAATATCTGAATTTTTATTTGTCCTGATTCCTAAAAGGCATTTTTATATTGAAAATCAGGACAATGATGATGATGATCTTCCGTCCCTTCCTACTTTTTTTTTTTTTTTTTGAACTTCACCGTGGGAAGTATATATATATTTTTTTCATATGTTGTTGAAACACATAGTTCTCTATTAAAGTACACAAAAAAAAAAAAAAAAAACTCTATTTATGACTAATGATGATTGTTGTTAAAATGACAGTGAAATATCAGTAATACAAATGATATTCTAAATTTGAATATATCATTGGGAATAGTATGATTTTAACATTTGACTTAACGGTGTTTGAAACAGAGCCATAGTTTCAAAAACTGTCGGGGGGTGCCATGTTCTTTCTCTTTCTCTCTCTCTCTTTTTTTTTTTTTTTTTTTTTTTTTTTTTTTTTTCCTATTCCAAAAAAGAAATAACAACATATATTAATGTCAACACCCAAGTCTATTCTACATGGTGGTTATCATCACCCTCTTAGTCGCAGCTGGCAAGCGGAACGAACTGTAACAAAAGATATGCTCATGTATCCCATCTTTATTACGGATGATCCACAAGCTTTGGTACCACTCGAAGCATTACCTGAACAATATCGTATTGGCATTGATCGGTTAGAAGGTTTCTTATCTCCTCTAGTAAAAAAAGGACTCAAGTCAGTGATTATTTTTGGTGTTCCTCTCAAGGAAGGTGTCAAGGATCCTGAAGGTAGTAAGGCAGAAGATCCTCAAGGTCCCACTATTGAAGCAGTCAAGTTGATTCGTCGAGTGTTTCCTCACGTCTTTGTTGCTTGTGATGTTTGTCTTTGTGAATATACATCTCATGGTCATTGTGGTATTTTACGAGAAGACGGTACTCTCAATAACACTTTATCAGTAGAACGTATGAAAAATATAGCTGTGAGTTATGCAAAGGCAGGTGCTCATTGTGTTGCTCCTTCGGATATGATGGATGGTCGTATTGGTGCAATCAAACAGGGATTGATGGAAGCTGGTTTGGCTCATAAAGTCATGTTGATGTCATATGCGGCAAAGTTTGCTGGTGCTTTCTATGGTCCTTTCCGTGAAGCTGCTAATTCTGCTCCTTCATTTGGTGATCGTCGATGTTATCAATTACCAAGCAATGGACGTGGATTAGCTCATCGTGCGGTATTACGGGATATGGAGGAAGGTGCAGATGCCATCATGGTCAAACCTGGTACACCTTATTTGGATATTTTACGAGAAACAGCGGATTTGGCCAAGGATTATCCCATTGCTGTCTATCAAGTGTCTGGTGAATACTCCATGTTATATCAAGCTGCTAAGGCTGGTGTATTCGATTTGAAAACTGCTGTTTTGGAAACAATGACTGGATTTACTCGTGCTGGTGCTACTTTGATTTTAACTTATTATACCCCTCGTTTATTGGATTGGCTTGATGAATAGGTTAGTTATTTTAATAGTTCCTCCCCTGTCGTCGGATAAAATGATTTTACCCTTTCCACTTGAAAAAAAAAAAAAATAAAGTTCACTCCGTCTCAAAATAAAATAAAATAAAAATATTCTTGTTTTCTTACCTCTCTTTCTTTTTACTTTTTTCCTCTCTTCTATAGTAAAAAATTCTCTACAAAGAACTCGTGTATATTAAAAACAAACAGGTTATTAAAAACAAACAGGTGTACTTTGATGTCAAGGTAAAAACATAAAGAATAAAAAAATATAAAAAAACATACCATATTGTCCATTTCTTTCATCTCACTGTTATTATGCACTTTTTTTTTTTTTTTTTTTTTTTTTTTTTAAAAAAAAATAGAGTTCGATTACATTCGTGTAGAGTATCAGAAATATGACACTTATGGAACAAGAAGATGATTCTTTATTATTTGACGACAATCATCAATTATTGGATCATCCTATTAACAACAAAAATGACCATCGACAAAGAATACCTATGCATCAACGATTGACAGATACCTTACGATCATGGAAACAAATGTTATATGATCCCCTCAGTTCATCAACGACATCATCTGTGCAGGAAAAGCTATTAGAACATAATCATCATGATGGAATAGACAATAATGGTAACAGCGAGGATGATATTGATCTTGATGATGACTGGTATACTCATCAACTTACAACACGTCCAACACGAAGAAAACGATGGTTACGATGGATGTTATCTTGTATCTGTGTGTCTTTGGGACTTCCTCTTGGATTCTTATTACTTGTTTTTATTGTCTATGCGATTGCGTTTCATCCTCCTCCTACGATACAGGGAACTGACAAATGGATGATGGAAACCAACATGACTCAGCAACCGGCCCGATTTTTAACTTTCAACATCTTTATGCGACCACCTGGTGTCAAAAACAATGAAAATGATTACAAAGATGAACGATTGATGTACATTATTGATACCATCCTACCACATTATGATGTGATTACTTTTCAAGAAGCATTTGCGTTTGGCAACCATCGTGTAGATCGATTGATTGAAGCTGCACAACGACTAGGATTTGGTTACATCATGTCACCACGACATGGACCTTGGGAATTAGCAGCTGATGGTGGACTTTTGCTTTTGTCTCGGTATCGGATCGTTCAAGCAGATATTTTGGAATACCCTCGTGGATTACATAGTGATTGGCTCTCTTACAAAGGCGCGCTACATGCTCTGATTGAACTGGATACGAAACAAGGAACGATGATACATGTTTATACAACACATACACAGGCTTCTTATGGTGACAATGGAACACGGAGTCAACAGGATATTCTTATGCGATTGGAACAGTTTTCTCGACTTCATCAATTTATTCACAACACTACCAATAAAAATGCAACGATACCGATCATTGCCATGGGTGATTTCAACATTGACAGCGCAGATCATTCCTCCGGCAATATTACTTTACCATCAACAAAAAGTTCCTTGGCTTACACAATGATGATGGATGTATTAACAGGCAAGGGTATCGATGATTCATTTTTCACTAACGATGATCATAAAAAATTACGGTTTGCTGATGATTGGCAACTCTCCTTTACAGACATGCTCTATCAGACTTTTGGCTATCATCCAGTGACATTTGGTGATTACTATTTGGACAGCAACAATAACATCCATCCTTCAGAAACAACATTGACACACGCTAAACAGCTTTTGACCGTCCAAAGCATTGATCAACTGTTATGGTCACCTACATCAACTTCCCATCTACGCCTTTCCAATGTCACCATAGAAAAATTTCTTGTCTCCAATGAACCTTTTACCCAATTATCTGATCACTATGGTATTAGCTGTCTCGTTTCTCCTACATTAGAATAGAATCGACCTTTTTCTATATATTCCAATAAATATCTTTTTTTTTTTTTTTTAATATATTGGTATGGTTGTTTATTTTCGATCATCCAAAAAAGAAAAGTTTATTCTATATTAAAAACTAAAGACCCACTAACTTATAAACTTGTTCCATTGTTTGATCGGCAGTTACTTGAGCTCTTTCGGCACCATCCTTGAGTACTTGCTGCACATAAGCCGGATCTGCTTGCAACTTGACGTATTCTGCTTGAATAGGTTGAATCCGAGTGATGACTGCATCTGCCACAAGTTGTTTCAGTTGTTGTGAACTTTGAATTCCTTGCATATCGTTCAATGCATCCTCCACGGACTTGCTGGCCACAGCTGCGTAAATGTTGATCAAATTGGATACCCCAGGTCGTTTTTCTACATCAAAGCTGATTTCTCGTTGTCCATCCGTCACGGCCTTCCCAATCTTGTTTCGAATTGTTTCGGGTGTATCAAATAAATTAATCCGACTGGCTTCGGCTGGATCACTTTTGGACATTTTGCTTGTAGGATCACGTAATGACATGACTCGTTTCGTAGATGGGGCTAGTCATATATATATAAAAGGAAGGCATCCAGTTAGGTATTGTAAGATTTATTTTGATTCCATTCTTTTTACTTACGGATAATAGCTTCGGGTTTGATAAAGTATTTTGATTTGAAGGTCTTGTTGAATAAAGTGGCAATGTCACGAGATAATTCTAAATGTTGTATTTGATCAGCTCCTACAGGTACATGTGTTGCTCTACGATACCAAAAAAAAAAAAAAAAAAGAGGGATCAATAAGGGGACTCTTTTTTTTTTTTTTTTTTTTTTTTTTTTTTTTTTTTGATCTGTTACCTGTATATCAAAATATCAGCAGCTTGTAAAACAGGATAATCAAATAAACCCATTTTGAGACTAGCTGAGGAAGAGGTTGAAGTATCCAACAGAGCTTGTGCATGAGAAGAAGGTGATCTTGATTCTAGTTTTGATTTCCATTGAGTCATTCTACCTAGCCAACCCACGGGAGTAATACAGTTGAAGATCCAAGCCAGTTCGGTATGTCCACGTACTTTGCTCTGTTCAAACAAGACACTCTTTTGTGGATCCACACCACATGCCAGTAAAGCTGTAGCCATGTCGTGTTTTGATTGTCGCAAGACTTGAGGATTTTGAGGCATCGTGATCGCATGCAAATCAACCACAGCATAGTATGTCAATGTATCCTTTTGTTGTAGTCGAGCCCAATTGTCAAGTGCTCCAAGGTAATTGCCCAAGTGAGGTGTGCCAGTAGGTTGAATGCCAGAAAGGATAATACGCTGTTGTTGAGCTTTGCTTGCTGTTGTCAGAGCTCGCTTGATGCACCATAATATAGAAAAAAAAAGTCAGTTTATCGCAGAATCGATATTACTACAAAATAAAATAAAAAAGGACTTAATTATTATTATTACCTTTAACATTGATATTATGTAAAATAGATAAAATGAAAAACAAAAGATGTCAAGAAAGGAAAAAAAAAAAAGTGGTGCAAGAAAAAAAAAAAAGCCAAAAATGATTTTCATTATCCGCTCTTTTTGGTTTGACACCCTCAGGGGCCAGGGTCTTTGCGCATTATCAAAAAAAAAACAAGAAAATAAATCATTAAAACATCACAGTTTTTGAACACTCCATCTTTGAACCACATATATCATCAACCAAAAAAGTAAATAATAATTCCATTTCATCATATCAGTATAATTATTTTATTGTAAAGAAGATGCATATAATTTTTCTACAGGGATGGGATCAAAGTGATGTACATCTATTCCTCGTGAAGCTAATTCAGTTTGACAATGAGGAGGAACTAACTTGTGGATAAAATCAGGTCGAATCGATAATTCTATCAATAATAATAATAATAATAAAGTAAGAATCAATTTTTTTTTTGTATATCTTCCTTTTTACCTTCTTTTGTAAAGTCAAATAAGACTGGTAAATCTTTTCCGTTTGCCATTTTTGTATCAGGATTTCGTAATTCGTCAAAGAAAGGATGTACCAAAGCCTCACTTGCTGTAGGCCTAGATTGAGGATTGTATTGTAGGACATGTGAAATCAAATCAATAGCTTCAGGAGGAGTTCTAGATCGGAAGACCTAACAAAAAAAAAAGTTGATCAAAAAGCAATGATATATAATTCATTTTGTACCTTTGAGAATGGATGTGGCTTTATAAGAGGGAATTTGTGATCTGTATAATGTGGATTCATCATCATAATTTGTTCTTTGGAGGGAGTACCAAGTACTTTGATGATTTCTACCAACTGATCAATACCACTTTCACCAGGGAAAAGAGGTTGGCCTAATAAGAGTTCACCCATCACGCATCCCACAGACCATATATCAATCTTTGTCGAATAAAGTGTTGCTCCAAAGATTAATTCTGGTGCTCGATAATAGCGAGAGCATATATAAGATACATTTGGTTCACCTTCTGTCAGTATTTTTGCACTATATCAAATAAAGATGGTTTTTCATAATAATAATAATAGTACATCAATATATATATATATGATCAACTTATATCCAGTCTTTTTTTTTTTCTTACCTTCCAAAATCACATAGTTTCAATACGCCTGTAATTGGGTTCAAAAGCAAATTTTGAGGTTTAATATCACGATGACAAATTCCAAGAGCGTGTGTGTAAGCTAATGCACGGAAAAGTTGATACATGTATAGTTTGACCAATAATGTAGGAATAGGCTGTTTGATTTTTGAATAATGACGAGTGACACGGTATACTGTTTCCGGAACATATTCCAACACAAGGTTCAGGTACACATCATCAGTCTAACAACAAAGTAAACGATAAGAATCATAAATATAAAAACATCCCATTTTATTTACCTTGTGATCACCTTTATAAATAAAGTATGCTTTCAATCCACATACATTTCGATGATCCATTAACTTCATAATTTGTAATTCCCGATTCTATTTGTAAAAATGAAAAATTAGTTTATCTAATCTATATAAAAACTCATCATATAGATATAAATATATATATTTTGGTACCTTGAAACGCTTGTCCTGCAAGACTTTTTTGATAGCAACATCTTCACCATTGGAAACCAATTTCGCTTGATAGACCACACCAAATGAACCATTTCCAATTACCTTTTGATGAGTATATTGCAATTGCATATCTTGTCCTGTTCGTCCATCTTTAGCTGATACTGTCACTAATCGAGGTATTTCTTGTTCACCTATAAACAAAAGAAGAAGATAGTGATAAGTATACTCTAGTTGACAACAATATCTCCCTCCACTTGATGTTATTCTTTAATATGTCTATCTTTTCTTTTTGTCGCCCTTTTCCAGTTATCTTACCGGGTAATTTGAAACTATTGTACGTGATGGATTGAGGTGTAAAGTCAAAAGAGGACGTGGTTTCCTTGTGAGTCATAGAAAAAGTTTGAAAGAAGAATAGAAAGAATCAGAGGAAGTTTGAAAAAAAAATATAGTGAATACGTTGTAATGAAGAATGTAAATAAAGAAAAATACTGTCAACCAATTAAAGAAAAAAAAAAAAAAAGGAAAACGTAGAAAAGAAGTAAAAGAAAAAAAAAATAGTTTACCGAAAACATTGCTCAAACTATACAAATGAGGGAGGGGACAGGGCGTTTGAAGAGCCGCCTGGATTTTTTTTTTGTTACTATTGCCTATAGATGCGAAACAAAAAAAAAGAGAAAAGATAAACAATCATAAAAACAAAAAGTTGTATAATATGTAGGAACGTCTTTAATTGACCCATCCCAACAAAAAAAAAAAAAAAAAAAAAAAGCGTTAGGTTCATATACAAAGGTTTTCTTTTTCACTGATCAATTGTCTCCGATGAAACTTTAGTAGCGTGATAAACGGGGTTATTGTTAAGGATAATATGGACTTGGTGGTACGAACTTTTTGACTCGGTAATTCAATATGATAAAAAAAGAAAAAAAAACAACAACAACAGGGAACAGACATATGGATGTAATGAAAATCACAGTAACGTGAATTTAGATATCCAGTTTATCCAAAATGAATAGTGGATTGATGGATACTGATATCATCTATCTATCACAAAAAAAAAAAAAGGATATGTAATGGAAATAACCTAAACTCGATCATCTATTATCGTCATCAATAGATCATTACTTTCTGTTGCTACTTGTTTCCTTCTAACATGTTGAAATTCCGAGGTATTGAAAAGAAAAGGTATTGTGTGGGGAACTACGTCATGTAATCCTAAGGATGATCCATTTTGTACAACTATCAAGAAGCTAACAATCATCATATAAGAAACCAAAAAAAAAAAAAAAGAAGTAACAAAGGATGATTTATTACAATAATAAAAAAGGAGAGATTCCAGTCAACGACAAAAAGTAAATAATTACAGAGTTGGGAAGTAAAAGGAAGAATAAAGATGAAAAAAGATATATGGACAAGTCTACGATAAAAAAAAAAAAAAGAAATAGAAAATGTATATAAAACAAGGAATATATAATAATAATGATAAAAAAAAAAAGAGACCAAACTAGAATAGGTCAACTAAACTAAACTAAATAATTCTTTGGTTTCCAGCAGCAACGCTCGGGGAAGAAAACTTGGATCTCCAGCTTGAGGCTGTGGCATTCGTCTTTTCCATAGCCATGGCTTCATCAACGGTCGGATCCTTCAATTTGATAGATAACATAGCTTCTGTCGGAGACTGATCAGCCATGAGAGAAGTGTTGCGAGTTGATCGGATTCTTGGTTGTGTCAAGCATTGTTGGTACATATGAGGAGAATTTGGTAATGTATCATCGAATCCATGTAATGTTGTTGGCAATAGAGGTGAATTTAACGTCAATGGTAGTTGTGCTTCTTCTTTTTGTTGTTGCTGTTGTTGTTGTGGCTGTGTTGGTCTTAAATGAGATCGACGATGTGAACCATCTGATAGTGCTGAGTAGTCTAATGAGATGGATTGTGGTGTTGAGAGAGATGCCGGTGAAGGTGATGATGATAAAGTAGGTGAAGAAGGCACATAGAGTGTCTTGTTATTCATTGAAAAATAACAGGGATCCTTAGTTCCTTCTTGTTGTGTACTGTCAGTATCCTTCCACGTGGGTATAAAATCGAAATCATCTTCCATCATGCTGTTGCTATTGATATTGTCATTATAGTTGTTTTCGGTATATTCGTTGTTATGTGATAATGTTTGTGCTATTGTATTACTATCTATATCTCTATTGTCGTCCATCATCATCGTAGTAGTAGTAGTAGTAGTCGTATGTGGTGTTGAAGTAGGTAATGCACTATGAGAGTTGAGCAATTCCATCAAGCTGAATGTCAAATCATCAGGGAGACCTTCATAGTTGATCGTACTAACAGCAAGAATACGTACAATCCGTTGAATCATGGCATCCGCATGTTGTCGTTCAGGAGTGATCGATTGATTGTTGGCAATAGCATTTCGGCAAAAAATAGTGGAAGCTTGATAAATACAACTGATGAATTGTTGACAGACACACCATCCAAACTGTTCAGTAATGACTTCAGCAATCACCACAATTCTATTAGCAGCATCCGCGCAAATTGCTTGTGATCGATCTGTACATTGTCGTTGCCATTGATAAATAGTTCCTTTCGGATCCCAACCTGGACAATTGGTTGAGGTCTTTGTTGGTGTTGTCGATAGTGGTGATGGACTGGTGGGAGTAAACGCAGGTGGTGGTGTCGAATAGGGTGAACAACGAGTAGATGAAGTGTTGTTGAAGAACGTTTTATGTAATATGATCCATTGAGTTTGGTACTGCAACATTAATAAGAGAGCAGATTGAGCACGTAAATCATCAGCACTCATAGGTGAATGTGGATATTCTCCAGTTGTAGAATAATGTAGAGGAGGTGAATTGGGTATTTCTGTTGCATTTTGCTGTTGCTGGCGGCGTTGATGTCGTGTATGTTGAAGAGGATGCTGTGAAAAAGTGGGAGGTTGTGACTGAGGTTGAGGATCGACACGATAATAATCAGGTAAACGATTGTACCATTGAGACAGGTCAATTTCCAGAGATTGTAATCGTTTGGCCCAACGATAAGGAAGGTCTCCATGAATTCGATCTATATATATATGTAAGTAAAAAAAAAAAAAAAAAAAAAAAAAAAAAAAAAAAAAAAAAGATAAGTTGTTATATAAATATATCATCAGTAAAAAACTTACGAGGCTGAGGTCGTTGTTTTTGATAATCATTTACTAATTGAAGAGCTTGTTTTCCAATTTTTGCCAAAGCCAATAAGTGAGCGAAGAAGGTTTCCTTTTCAATGATCTTGTCGTCATAGGCAGAGAGTTTCGTATCTTGTAGCGTCTTGTTAAGAGCAATCATTTCATAAAAATCAATATCACAGTCATTGTCATCCAGTAGAGCCGGTTCACCAGAATACAAAGAACTTTGAATATCGTTGTAATATAAAACCATAAAGAATTTCAGATATTTCTTTCGCAAGAGAGGATTATTTTGTGGTAAAGTGGCGCGTCGATGCATTCCCATTTCAAGCATCATTCGTAGACCTAATCCAATATAAATTCTTGATTGAGAATGTCGTTTACAGAGGATACAGAACATGGACAAATTCATCAAGGTTTCCAAAGTGGCACAATGAGGGGTATCAAAGTAGTCCATCAAGTTGTCGCGAGCACGATCATAATAAAAAAAGGCAATATCCTTGACATTGGCGCATATATCCTTTCGATGTCGAGTTCCGTGTAAGAAGACCATAGCTAAACCAGAGTCAATACATAGTTGATTTCGTTTCGGATCTCCACATCGATCCCAAAAGGTTGTCCAGTCAGAAGAGAATTTTGGATGAAGGCAGTCCCAATACAAGTGACAGATATAATGCATTACATTCGCCGATACGTCCTTCGTCAGTCGATTGATGTTCATATTACAATGTTTATATTCTTCCAGGCAAATGATGGGTCGTCGTCCAATAGCACTTTGCCAATATTCTATTGATGGATCGGTACAATACGAAGCAAACAAAGAAGGTGAAGGTGATTGATGATGATGTGTAAATAATCCATTACATCCTGGTAGAAAATCATCTTCTGGAATCGTTGTTGTGTCTTCAATAACATTATCTGGTTCAGTCATGAGTCTAATTTGTTGTACAGCTTCTACAAGTTGATCCACTGATTTGATATTTGTTTCTAATCGCATAGAATTGTTAGGTTGAAATGACATTGACCATTGCATAGGACAAGTTGGTGTTGTTGTTGTTGATCTAGTTGCTGAGAGAGGTACACTTGTAGATTGTTGTGGTAATACGTTTGACCAAGAAGAAGGAACAGATATAGGTTGAGTGATAGAAGAATGTCGATTATTATTATTATTATCATTATCATTATCATTATTGTTGTTGTTGTTGTTGTTGTTGCTGTTTGTAGATCGTCGTCGTTTGTCAAACTGTGCAGATGCCTTATCTAATTCCTTTGTCATTCGAGATAATAAAGGAGTTGTTTTTTCAATCCAAGATTCAATTTCATAAAAAGTAATTTGAAGAGATTCCAAGTCGTGTTGTTGTGTCTTCATTTCTAAAGTAGCAGCTTTATCTTCTTCAGACAACGGAGGTTGTTGAGCCTTTTTCTTTGAAGAGGAAGAAGGTTTGCGTGTACCACGTTGTCGTCCAGTAATCCCCATTGTTCATAAAAGACAACAGTTAAAGAAGGTATATTATTGTTACACACCCAGTATATATATATATATAAAAGGAGAAAGTAAACAAAGTATATGAGGGAAAGAGAAAAGAGAAAAAGAGAGAGAGAGAGAGAGAGAGAGAGAGAGAGAGAGAGAGAGAGAGAGAGAGAAAAGAAAACATGATTGGGAGAGGGGGGGAAAGTAAAAAAAAAAAAAAAAAAGTGGAAATTTGAAACCCACCAAAGAAATTGTTGGTAGCTTTGGTAAGAGTAGCAGAACGGGGTCTGAATTCTTTTAGGTTTTCTTTATTGACTCACTAAGGTCACCTATGATTGGTGTCCAAAATGACCTTGTTTTTCACTTTTCAGTCGATCGGTCCTGTATGACTATGACTCACGTGTGGAGAATTATGATTTTCTTTAACTAAAAAAGAGAAATATTACCAATAAACTCATTCTTTTTTCAATGATCTATGATTTTATTTTATTTTTTTTATATAAAAAGGGGCAGGTACAATATGTTCCTAAAAGAAAAATATCAACATTTTTTTCTTTTTGTTAAAACGGCAAATCGATCATCCGTTTCCTCTTTTATGATGCTGCGGTTAAGCATATTGAAACAGAAAAAAAAAGATCGCATAAGGAAATTATTGATACAAAAAGAGAATAAAATCTGCGGGGGAGAGATAATTCATTTGGCGATATTCTTTTCCTTTTTTTTGTTGTACAGAAAAAATCTATTAAGTTTATAAATATCCAATATGTCAAAAAGTAAATCATTGAAAAAAAAAATTGATTAATAATCATGATCAACAATGATTTAAAATGTTTGTTTATAGATACAAACAAACAAACTAAAAAAAAAAAATAGTTGATCATGCAAGACCAATGGTGTAACCTTCTTGCACTTTATTCAATACGGAATTCAAAAATAAGATGTCAAAAATAGAAAATAAAATATCGTAAGGATAGGAAAATAGATGACAAGAAGAAGAAAGTATAGTCGCATAATCAAATAGAGAATATATGAAGAAGAAGAAAAGGAGTGGTAGTAGTTCCATTTGAGTATAAGAGATTTTTGAATAATAGAAATATATATATATATATATATATTTAGTCATCATATCCATTCTTTTTTTATATTTATTTTAACTAATACTGTATCATCATCATCAATCAATCTTTAATCAATGTGTTTTGACATACTCTGGAGCGATATCTGAAAAAGTGTTAATGTAAAATTCATTTTTATAACATCAGGAAGCTATTTTCTTGTTACCCAAAGGACTTTGAAAACACTGAAAAAAATATTTTTTATTATATAAAAAGTCTTTATGCTTAAATTAAAACTGCTAATCATTCTTGTCCAAAACCCATTGTTTCCTCTACTGCAAGAGAAAGTTTGGCCACTAACAATTCACTGGATACGTAACCAGGTAAACTAAGTCGATTGAAACTGGATTATATAAAAAAATAAAACGTGAGTCGTGAGAGAATTCTTTTTTTTTTTTTTTAAATATATAATTAGTTTTTACCATGTGTGAGCTTTTGGTAATCCTTCTTTTTCACCTGATTTTTCAATAGTAAATCGTCTTGGACCATCGCTGCCTTGTAAATCTTTGAAACCATTGACTGGAATACGTGAAGTACCTGTTGTAAACTGAAGTAACCTTGATTTCTTTTCATTATCCCAAGATCGTACACATTTCCAAAACCATTTAATGACATCATCTTGTTCAGTATATCCACGATAGTCAGTATGTTTTTTCCAATCATCCACGTCGATTTCTGCAATACCACCTACGAGTAATTCCAATTCACGTTCATCAAATACGTTAATCAAATCTTGAGGGACCAGCTGATTGAATCCTTCCTTGAATGCATTGAATTGTTCTTCGACACGTTTTGATATACGCCATTCTGTTACCAATCTGTATATATAAAATAGGATTAAAACCAAATAAAAATCACTAACGTTCATATTGATTCACTTACGCAACATATTCTTTTTTGTTTTCCTCTGTTACTTCGATATTGCGACCATCAGGCTTAAGATCTACTGTTACCACTTCACCAAATCGATTATCATCTGTTGAGAAAGTAAGCTCCAAAATATCAGTAATATCATTATCCCTAATACCAGAAAAAAAAAATAGAACTCATCATCATTATTCATGGTTTCTTCCATTTTCATTACACACCCATTACTAGAACTTACAATATCCACATTAAACTTCGATGGAATTCGGCATCCACACTTTCCATATCAGCAACAGTCACCTTCTTCGAGAGAAGCATCTTGTAGAATGATACAATAAAGAAGGCATCCAAGAATCGACGATGAAATATAGACAATCCAACTACACGACCAATGAATTTGAAATAGTTCAAGTGTTCAGGATTGATTCCAGAATGAGGATTGATTTGTAGGGTATAATTATCATGTGCGGAATATTCAAACAAACTATATAATATATATATATATTTATAAAAAGGAAGATGAGAAAACATAGGATCTGATCAAGTTTTTCCCTTCCGTACTTTTCTTCCATTTTGTCCTATAATTCATATATCTTACCAATAAAACGGATTGAACATTTCATGTGACAATAAAAAGAAAAACTCCCTATTTTCAAAAAAAAAAAAAAAAAAGATGTTCGCACGCACTGATAAGTCAATCCGAGTCACTAGTGATTTATATATATATATATATATTTCTGACCTTGATACACCACCATAGTCCAAACCATCTTCGCCTTCGAATCGAAACATCAAGCGTTTTTTCAAATCAGCAGGAGAATGTCGCATGATTTCAGCAAATGAATCTTCAAATAGATGTTCTCGTCGAATCTTGATATGACATTGTCCAGGAATAGGTCGTAATGCAGGTTGTGATCTAAAATATATCAATTTGCGCCGAAAATCACGTTTGTATTGAGGTACATTCTTATCGAGACTACTTGGTAAACGAGGATCTATTAAAAAGAAAATGACATAGAGATAAGACAACTTCGTTTTTCATTTATATATATATTTGGTGTACCATCCCAAGTTGTTGTTTTAGTATTGTGATCCACAAAGTATACTCGTCCAGTAGATGTCAAGCGCATTTCCCATCTATATATATATATAAAACAGTTTAGTTTAAACAAATAAGATATTTTACAAACCAACCTCATCACAATTTCTTATATGGGCTTACCCTGACGGAAGAGGTCCCAAGGAAGATACGGATTGTAATTGTACTTGAACATTTGAACCGGGTCCAATAGTACTAATATATTGTTGTCTTCTAGGATCAACCCAAGTTGTTGTACGAGTATTATGATCCACAAAATAAGGCCGACCTTCTGATGCTGTACGCATTTCTATATTCAAAAAAATAAAGTCAATTTTTTTTTTGTATTGCATTGATGACTTTACCCCAACCAGTTGGTAATGGTCCCGATCCTGCCATTGTCATATTATTTTGTAGTTCCAGGCTATTCTGAGGTGTATCATGTGATGATAAACGTAAAACTGGCGTTGGCTGAGCATTATGAGATCGAATTAGATGTTGGTCAGTTGCTGGAATTTGATCTTCTGGTAAACCACGAGTATTGTGTCGACGTCTTTCTAATTCAGTGACTTGTCTTTGTTGTCCATTAGGCTTACTAATCTTGCCAAAATGAATTCATTATTAGATCAATAAATAAATAAATCAAATAAAAAAAGGATGTTTTGTCATATTTACGTTGGTCGTTTCCATGTAGTCGTTCGGTTATTGTGATCTACATAATAAGTTCTACCAAGATGATCTACTCGTTCTTCCCACCTCAAAAAGATAAAGAAGTTAGTCAATCAAGTTAAGAAGAACTAGTTGATATTGAACTCTTTACCCATTTGGTAAGTCAGTATTTGTATGACTTGCGGTATTTGAACCAGAAGGTGGATGATGTGAAGAAGATCCAGTCGGTGATGAGGATGATGGCATTAATGAATTTGATGTTGAAGAGGTATTGTTGGCTTCTGATACCGAATCACTTGTAGTTCTATTCCGAGCTGATGCATTAGAATTGGTGGACAAATTCAGGATAATCTTGCCATAGATCATATCATTGGTATTGGACGGTTTTAAGTCAAGAGTAAGTACTTCTATATATTTTTATTAAAAAAAAAAAAGTAAAACTGAGTCTCCTTTTCATATCCCTTCTTTTATTATAGTATTTATGTAAATTTACCATCACCACCTACTTGAAGATCAAATACATTTTTCACTTTAATATTGATCACACCTAGAAAGCCTTGATCTCTTTTCTTGAATTTCTTTTGATCAAATACTTGAATGGCAATAATACTATCTTTGGTCACTTGTCTATCAAATATATAAATAAATTAGTTTTAATATATTGAATGATTTTTTTTCTTTTCATATATATATATATATATATATATATAACTTTACAAGTCGAAACTTTCATTCCAATAAGGGTTGAGTGTTTTCTTCATAACAGTTGTAGTATGAGTTTGCTCACCATCCACCGTCACTACCGCTACAGAACATATCAAAAGTTAATAAAATAAAATATTATTATAATATATATATATATATATATTCTTACCAAAAGGGTCTGGTAATTTGAAAAAAAGATTGTTTTTCAAAAGTCCATCAGCAGCAATAACAGTTAAGCGTAGAGTTCTTCTTCTATCAGAAGTCATGGTTCTAAAATGATATACTATAGTGTCGACGTTATTGTTCGTTGAGCCGGATATTTTCCAAGATACAAGTTTGAAGATATACCAAAAAAGGAAAGAAAAGAGAAATAGTAAAGGAAAAAGAGTAAAAATAATATCTAATCCACAATTAAAATGGAAAGAATAACTATTGAATGAGTAAGTGAAAGAAGATACTTTGGTCAAAAGCAATAAACAAAATATGTTCAGGGAATAAAATAAAAAAAAAAAAAAGAAAAAAGGAGTAAAAGAAAAAAAAAAAAAAACAAGAGTTGGGCTCAGCATCCTTTTTCATTCATTCATTCATTCAGGTGCATTTGTACAATTTGATTCTCCGGGTCACGCACGTACATTGACTGTATTCATCCAAACTATATATTTATAAAATAATAATTATACTAAAAAAAAAAGAAAACAAAAAACAAACTAAAACTAAAGAAAACTACAACAGTCTACTGATTATCTTCAAATGGATATTCAAAAGGTTCAAATGGTGCTGCTTCGTCACTTCCAGTATCTTGACCATCAGCTATTTTATATATACATAAGAAAATCAGTTGATTATTTAAATCATATTTCTTTTTTCTTACCTGAAGTTGGTGCACTTGGTTCAATCAATTCTTCATCTTCATTGGGTCGTCGATCCTTCATCAAAATAATTCCACTAACAGTTCCTTTCTTGATAGGTACATATCGACAATCATCCTTGAATGTGATGCGTTTCAATTGAGCAGGTACCACACGAGCAAGATTCTCTAGCACATCAAAATTTTCTTCCTTCTTTTTCTTGTTTTTTCTTCGTTGGTCATCCTTGCCTGTATCTTCTTCTTCTTTGATTTCTTCTTCTTTCAGAGGTTCTTTGTCTACATCCATTTGATCACTCTTTTCCTTTTCAGACTTCTTTGCTCGTGCTTTAGCTTTGGCTGTAGTAGACAATACTGCAGTAGCGACCTAAATATGGAAAAGTTTGATTTAGCATATGCTATTTTCTTTTTCGTTCCTATTACCTTTTCCACTACTGTTGCAGAAGGAGGTTTCAGTGCAGGTGGATAGGCAAATAATGATGGTTTTGCATTTGATACAAATTCAAATTTGGGAGTCTAGAAAATAAAGAAATAAAAACGTCATTAAAATAATAATTTGAAAAGATTGTATATATATATGTATAACCTAATTGTATTTTTTTTTTTTTGATACCTGTAAGTTTTTGTTCAAGCCAATGATAGCGGTTGGTGTGAATGCCAAACTAAGCATATGTGTTAGAGGATGCCAGTACCAGAATTGAGTAAACACAGCCATACCAACAATAGCAGGCATATTTGCATGTCCAGAACGAGATACCAGGGAGATAGTCACATTACGACCACCAGCATCAATAATACCTTGAGCTAATACAGCACCAAATTTGGACATGGGATCTTCATGTTTGTCACCAATAATCTTTTCGTATAGCTTACGAACGCCTGCCACTTTGGGATTTGTGTTTTCAGTTTGTTGAATAAGAATCATTGCTTGTGATATCAATGCACCTTGACGGACAAAATCAACAGGATCTTTTGTCATTGGTTCCAAAAGATCCAATGCGTCCTAAAGTTCGAATAAAACCATATTTGTCAACTGATTGCCTAAAATCTGTAGTTTGACTTTTTCTTTCAATTTTCTTACCAGATAGCCAGTACCAGCACAAGAAATACCTAAAGCCAATGTTGCACCATATCGGACATGTGGATTGTAACTTTCAGCCAAAAGTTGGACAATGCGAGGTACTTGCTTGGGATTTTTGAGAAGAATAAAACCTAACGATGTGACAGCAGCACGACGAACATCATCATTCACATCACTAACAGCAACATGAAGAAGACGTCGGATGGCTTTGTTATTTCCAGTTCCACTATAAGCCATAGCAATTGTATAAATACCACCATAACGAAGAACAGGATCCTGTAAAATTAAATCATAATTAGTAAATGAAAATGTCTTTTTTTTTTAATTATTATAAAGGATTACCTTATCGTCCAATAGTTGATCAATCAATACATCTGCTTGTTCTTCTTTTCCATACATGATAAGAGAAATACCAACAGCCAAACCACGAATGATTTTTTCATGTTGAGTTTCATGAGCGTATTGAAGCATTTCATCCACAGCTTCTTCAGATGCGGTACCAAGTTTGACTAAACCCATTGCAAGACCAGCAGCTTCACCAGCAACAGCGCTATCACTGAACAAGACAGTCTTCAATTCGTTGTATATATCTTTCAATCGAGAAAGAAAAAGGATCAAAGAGTTAATTTTTTTTTGCGATTTTCAGACTGAATGCATGATTGATGTTTAAATAATTTTTTTTTTTTACCTTCATTATCAGTTGCCATGCCAGCCACACCAAGACCAAGACTAGCACCATGTTGAATTACTTCTTTATCAGTATCCTTCAAAGCTTTCTTCAAAAAGTTTAAAACGTCCTTGCCGTGGTTTGCATTGATAAGGCCAAGAGCGTATAAAGATCCACCTTCAGAATATTCACTTCCACCTTGAGCACCTTCTTGAGGTAAGTAAGGAGCCAATAAATTCATCGATTGTGTCAATTGACCCTATAAAGATATATTAGTATTGTTTGTTAACATTCCGTTTCTTTTTTTTTTTTCTTTATTACCTTGTGAATCACACCAAGAGCAGCAGTGGCGCTAAATTTGGTCCAATTGGTAGCCCTTGAGAGCCATTCCAGATTTTGCCTCAAAAATTCATCACTGGTAGTACCGGCATGCATAAAGGCGTTGGCAAAAGTCAGAGCAGAGTGATAGACAGAATGACGAGATTCCAAAGCATTCTATAATTATATGTATTATTAATATTTTATGATCCTCTCTTCCCATATAATTAGTCATTACCTTTGTGTTCTTCAAAATCATAAGATCAGTATGGTTGTTTCGATAGAGGAATTCCAAATATAATCGAATAGATTCTTCACCAGATAAAATGGAAGCGATTTTCAGGAAAGGATTACTTTTGTCGGCCTAAAACAAAAAGAATCAACATATCATCAGTATATCGGTCACTGCTGTTTCATCATTTTTCATGATGATACATACCTCAGATTTGGTTTCTTCGGTTTCTTCTTGTTTAACAGGAACAGGCAAATTAGTAGACACCTTGGATAAAAAGTCCTGAGTTGCATATTCTTCCAAGTCAAATGCAATCTGATATGCCATAAGCTAGATCATAATATATATATATATATATAAACGAGAGAAGATTAGAAAACTATCTTCTAATATCTCTAATCTATAATCATTTCAAACCATCATTTTTTCTTATTTTACCTCTTCGTTCTTTTCAACCAATGATTTGAGCATTTGGGCAGCAGAATGAGGATCATTGAGATGAACAAGACATTGACTGACGGAAATGTAGTCAGGTTCTTCTAAATTTTGATATAATTGCACCAAGAGTTGTAAGACCTAAAATCAAGAAGATGAGTTAAAAAAAGAAAAAAGAAAAAAGAGGAAGGAAAATTTTGCATATGTTGTATTTCACTTACTTGATTTCTAAAGTCTAAATGTTGAACCAAAGTCATTGATACTTCCAAAACATAAGGAAGTAGTTTTGAAGAGTTTCCCTTTTCGATCATGGTTTTAACTACATCCAATCGTCGTGATTCCAAAGCGATACCGATAGCTTGTTCATATTCTTCATCTTGAGCACAACGTTGAAACATACGTTCGACAATATCTTGAAGACGAGCATCCATTTCTTCAGTTCTATCTTCGGCTTCTTGTTGTCGAAGATAGATGTACTTATCGATACATTTAGCTATATACATTGATAAAAATTAAAGTAAATAATGGTATTACATCCATATATATATATATATATATTGTATTGTTGTTTTCACTTACAAATAATCGTTTCCACATATTCAGACTTTTCAGATAAATCAAATCGTTTTCCAGCACCAAGTGCAAATGCCAAGGAATCATCTGTTTCCCCCAAATAGTAGTACACCTATTCATCAAATAATAATACAAGTTAATCAACGTTCAATGTTTTCTTCTCTCTTTCTCTCTCTTTTTATATATATATATTTACCTTCGATGCAACCAGTGCAGCTAACTCGATATCAGGAAAGTCAGTGTCTTCGTACAAGATTTCACTATAGAAGGAAGAAGAAAAAAAAAAAAAAAAGAAAGACAACAAGAAGAAATTAAAAAAAGTAGATTATAAAACATATGGCTCATTTGTTCCTTACATTTTGGCAACAGAATCAGAGATTTCGGCCCAGAATTCGTTCACCAAAGTATTGAGTTGTTGTAAAGCATATACTTTCAATTCAGGTTGTTGTTCATCGAGTAAAGCAACCACGCCACCTATAACAAAAAAAAAAGGGTACAAAGATTAATCTCTTGATTAGTATAAAACTCATTCATCGTAAAGATCTAATGTTGTTTTCCTTGATCTTTTTTTCTTTTTCTCTTTATCAAACATACTTGCTGAAGTAAGGGTTGCCATTGCTAATTGTAGTGGGGTTTTCTTTTTCTTTAAGTATAAAAAGAGGGGAGAAGACAAAAAAAAATTGTCCACGCGTTAATCTCTACAGTCAAAAAATAAAAAAGGACTGAGTTTTTGAAAGTACGCGTGGGCCAAATGACGTACACCCAATTTTTTTTTTTTCTTTACTGAGCTGTTCACTTTTTTTTTTCTCTCTCGTCCTTGCAGTCTCTCTCTATTCCATTCTCCGCTTTGCCATTGGGTGGGTAGGGTTGATAGATTTGATCCATTTTTTTTTCTTCCCTTTTTTTTTTTTTTTTTGTTTTCAATATACAACCTTTTTTTTTTAATATATTCTTTATGGCTTCCTCCACTTTTGGATATTCTTCCAAACCCAAAACTATTGAAGTTCCTTTACAACATGAACAAGTATTGGAAGTTGTATGCAATGATCTTCCTATAAATCCTCTTGAACTTACTGACATTTTTCGACAAGAAGGTGTAGCACTTACTTATTATCGAGCCCTTGCTGTAAGTGAACCAGAAGATAAAAAAAAAAAAAAGAAAAGAAAAGAAGGATAATTTATTAATATATATATATACCTTATTTTATTCTTGGGTAGATTGAATATTACGAACAAAAAAAGATCAAAGAAAGTGTGTCTGTCATCCAGACTGGCTTAACCTTGGCAAGTCAAACTCCTCATACACAACCTCGACAAAAGCTACCTCTATTGACCTTATTAGCAACTCTATATATGCGATTAGCCAAAGCGGCCAAGGACACAACAGAAGGACAAGATCATCTAAACAATGCTGCTCAAGCAATTAACGAAGCCGATCGTATTCACAATCAATATGAACAAACATTTATAGTCAAAGGAAATCTATATTTGATGCGTCAAGATATCAAGGAAGCAGCACGATCATTCGACATGGTATTAGAAAAACGCCCCAATTGTATTCCCGCATTGATCAGCAAAGCCAAGATTCATTATCACAATAAAGATTACAAGGCAGCACTAAAGTCATATCAACAAGCTCTCATGTTTGCTCAAGGTGATGCATCTACCTCCGAAACAAGACTTGGTATTGCTCAATGTTATTCTCAACTTGAAATGTATGATGAAGCAAAGGTGGCCTTACAAACTTGTATAGATAAGGTATGAAACATAGAAATATATATATATATATATATTGAACACATATATATTTGAATTTTTTTTTTTTGTTAATAGAAAGATGCTACCACCGGGCCTGCATTGATATTACTCTCTATAATCGAACAAAACGAATCAAAGGCAGCTATAGGAGGACCAACACAGCAACAAGCTTCATTAAAAAGTGGGTTACAACATATGCAACAGTCTCATTATGCGGATAAACAGAACCCAGTGACATTGAACATGTTATCCAACTACTTCTTTTTCACTGATGATATGGAAAAGGTACAATAGAATATAGTGGGAATGGATTTAATACTGACTCATTTATATTATCATTTAGGCTCTACGAACATCAACCAAAGCATTGGCAAATGCTACCAACAATACAACCAAGGCAGAATCTTGTTATCAACTAGCAAGGATACATCACAAAATGGTAAAACTACTGAAAAAATATCCTTCATTTTTGTCTGTATTAACTTTTTTTTTTTTTATTGAATAGAACCAATTCAATGAAGCTCTGACTTATTATCGACAATGCTTGCAATTGAATCCTGATCATCTTTTGGCACAATTTGGCATAGGACAAATGCATTTGAAAAAAGGTAATTGGAACATGTTATATCTATTAACATGTACTAACATATATATAATTATTTTTATTTCATAGAGGAATATGATGTTGCAGTGGACATCTTTGAAAACATTTTGGAGGCTGAGCCCCAGTGTATTGAAGGTATGAAGATTCTTGGCTCAATATACTCTTTAATGGACAAGAAACAACAAGCTTTGAATTTATTCAATAAAGTGTTGGAAAAATCTACTCAAGATGCACCTCTTTTGATGGAAATTGCTCAATTATATGAAGAAAAGAATCCTGCTCGTGCTCTCGAATGTAAGTTTTATATAAGTAAATCGAATGGTTCGATAATCTAATCAATTTTTTTTTTTTTTTTTTTTGGTAGATTATCATCAAGCCCTTGGTATCATAGAAAAGGACGATTCCGAATATCTTCACAACAATGCCAGTCGATCTGAATTGCTGAACAATATTGGTGCCATGTATCATAGACAAGGTAAGAAATTAAATATTTCTATCATTCAAAGGAAGAGATATTCATGTTTTTTTTTTCTTTTTTTTTTTGATATGTTAGGTGATTTGGAGAAAGCAGAGCAGTACTACAGTCTAGCCATACAAGCATGCGATGAGAAAGTTCAAAACGGAAGTCAGAACAACAACAAGGACAACCATGACAGTTATGTACAAGACTCAAAGCTGACGATTACATACAACTTGGGACGTTTGTACGAAGATCGATTGGAAACCGACAAGGCCACAGCTATATATGAAAAAATTGTGAATGATTATCGCTCTTATTCTGATGGTACATAAAAGATACTTGTTACCTGCTAGAAATGAATAATTAATCTTATTTTTTTTGTTTTTAATGCTTACAGCTCACTTTCGTCTCGGTGCCATGCAACAAGCAAAAGGGGATACGACAGAAGCCATCGATCATTACAAACAAGTGTTTGAAACGGATGAAAATGATGCAAAGGCGTGGATAATGATTGGACAGTGCCAGGCCGAGAATAATGACAAGACTTGCAAACGATCTTTTGAAAAGGTGTTGAAATCATGCGACAAGGACGATTTATATACTCACGTTGCTCTTGGAAACTACCATGCTTCTACCGCTCGAGAAATGAAATCAGATAAGCAATATAGTCAGGTAATACTTTTCTCTCATCAAATATATACATATATAAATATTTTAACAAAAATTTTTTTTTTATTTCTGTATTAGCGTCAAGAATCATACAAATTAGCTGTCAACTTTTATTCTCAAGCCCTTAAGCGCGATCCCAAAAATGCGTATGCTGCTAATGGTCTTGCCATTGTACTTGCTGAAAACAACAACATTGAGCAAGCAAAGGATATTTTTACTCAAGTTCGAGAATCATCACCAAACAATGCTTGTGTATGGATCAACTTGGCTCATGTTTTTGTGGAATTGAAACTTTTAAATCAAGCAATTGTCATGGTAAATGAGAGAAAATGTAGATAACTGAATTGTGATTTGACCTTCTTTTTTTTTTCTATAGTATGAAAACGCATTGAAAAAATTCTACAAGAATGGTGATGCGAATGTCTTATTATGTCTTGCCCGTGCTCAATTCATGTTAGCCAAGAATGACAAGGATCCTGAAATCATGTATGAATCTCTTCTCAATACAGAACGTGCACAAAAACTTCAACCCGACGACAAATCTATCACGTATAATATTGCCTTGGTACAACAACAATATGCTCAACTGATATCCGATTTAAGCATGGTAACACGAACATCTGAATCAATGCGCAAGGCTATTCAAGGTTTGGACAAAAGTCAAGAATTGTTCCGCATGCTAATCAATGTGCCTGAAGAAGAACATGTACAATATGATCGCAAGATGGCAGAACAACGTGAACGGTACGGTGAAACTCTACGTTCACAAATGGATCGCAAGATGTTGGAACAATTGCAGTATGAAGAACAACGGGAAACCAAATTGAAGGATGTGCGATTACGACAGGAACAGCGTGAAGCCAAGCGACGACAAGATGAATTGGAAAAGTTACAAGCTGAAGAGGATGAGCGACTACAATTGGAAGAAGCCAGACGCAAACTGATGGAAAAAGTACGAGAAGACAACTTGTTGATGGCTCAACGGGAATTGGAACTTCAAGATGATGAAGAGGAAGCGAAGAAAAGTCGATCTAGTAAGAAACGAAAGAATAAGGATCAACAGGATGATGGTATTGTTTACGATGATGATGAAGAAGAAGAAGAAGAAGAGGAAGAAGAAGAGATGACTCAACAACGACGACAACAAAGTAGTCAGGTAGATGAAGATGAAGATCAAGAACTCAATGAAGATGCGCCAGGACGTAGCAGAAAGGTAATCTTTTTTTTTTTAAAATTATCTTGAAGAACGCCTTATTTTAACTTTTTTTCTTTCTTTCTTGTACTGTACGTATTGTAGAAATTCCGAAGCAAGGCTATTATAGAAGATTCAGAGGATGAATCAGATTAATTTTTTTTTTGTTTAGTGATTTAGTTTTTATTCTTTATTTTGTCACAATAAACAACCTATAGGATACAAAAGTATTATGATTAACTCCAGAATATAAATAGCGATTTTATAACGAGATCTCCAAAGGTTTCATCTTCAAAGACGTTTCTTGGTGTAAAAGTTGAGAAAGGAAAAGAAAAACGGAGGCAGAGAAAGGAAGAAAAAAACTCAGGGACAAAAAAAAAAAAAATAAAAGCATACTTTTTATTGGGTGGTGTGGAAGGTTGAAAGGTAGCACAGAAGACCGAAAAATAGGCAAAAAGTTATTTGCCAATCGTTAGTTTTTCATTTTTTTTTTTTTTTTTTTTGTATATCCAGTGAAGTTTTTCTTTACCAAAGAACAAAACATAGTATTAAGCAATGATGGACTTTTTTTTTCTCTTTGTTTTGTTCGTTAACTTTAGCAATTTTTCTTTCATTGGTAGAATTAGTGAATAGATGAATCAATGCAAAAAGAATGACATGTGTGATGTTATTGGTGGAGTAAATAAGGGAGCGATCCAAACGAGATTTTTTTTTTTGGAAAGATGTTCACTGTGGATTCGCTTTTTTTTTTTTTTTTGAATTCTACAGCTAAAATTTTTCAATTCCTCAGCCAAAGTTTGGCTGTAAAAATAAATCGTCGAGGGGTCATCAGGCAATTTTTCAAAAAATCGACTAAAATTTTTGATACTCATTACACGTTAAACAGCAAGATAAGCGATAAAAATGGTATTAGATGAGATTAGACTACTTTTTTAAGAGGAATCCAATGGTGAAAATTTTATCGCATGATGATCTTTATTGGATGAAGGATGACGATATTGACTTTTTATTTTTAATTTAATCTATAAAATTGGGAGGTAAGGTATAAATTGTTACTAATACAAATGAAAGAGAATATGTTCATCTATGTTCAATACAAATTTGATACGATGATGATCACTTTTGAGTGAGTTAAAGTGCTGTTTGAAAGCAGAGAAAAAAAAAGCATTTTTATTGGCTAATTTTTACCTAGGGGAAGTAAACCGAAAGGGGTGAAAAGACTTCCAAAGAAAAAAGTGGCTGAGGATCAAACTGGAAAGAAAAAGTTCAGAAGGAAGAAAAAAAAAAAAAGAGTGCGATCCCTTTCTTCTTCTTATTATTAATTATCTTCCCTTTTTATTATTAGATCGGTATGAAGTTAGATGCCAATGCTCTTCGTTACATGTCAGCAGACGACTTCCGGGTACTTACAGCGGTAATTATTTTAACTAATAGGATATAAAAAAAAAAGATCAAACTCATACTTTTATTTCAATAGGTTGAAATTGCAAGCAAGAATCATGAATTAGTTCCTCTCAGTTTGATCGCTCAAATATCTCAACTTCGTCATGGTGGCAGTCATAAGCTTGTGGGCGATCTTGCTAAACGAAAACTTTTGGGTCGAGTACAGAATGCTAGTTGTAAGTTGGATAGTTCGAAAACAAATGTCAACGATCTACTTTTATTCAAAAGTAGTAATGACCTTTATGTTTACATATAGATGACGGTTATCGATTGACTTATGGTGGATATGATTATTTGGCATTAAAGACTTTTTCAAAACGTGGAAGTGTTTATTCTGTTGGTAACCAGATTGGTGTGGGCAAAGAATCAGGTAATAAGAAAGAGTTTAGAAAGCATAATGGTATTCTTATGTTCATTGTTCTATTTCCAAATAGATATTTATCTTGTGGCTGATGAAGAAGAAAATCAACATATTTTAAAGTTACAAAGGTATATATATGATTTTTTTTTTGTTTTTCTTAAAAAGAGAGCTATATTTTTTTTTTTTGATGAATTATTTTGTATAGATTGGGCCGTATGTCTTTCCGTACAATCAAATCAAAGCGTGATTATCTTCAAAATCGAAAATCAGCTTCTTGGATGTACATGTCCCGTTTAGCTGCCATGAAAGAATTTGCTTTTATGAAAGTCTTGCATGAAAATGGATTCCCTGTACCAACTCCTATTGATCAAAGTCGTCACTGTGTTGTTATGGAATTGATTGATGCCTTTCCTTTGTAATTATATCAAACAAGAAAAAAAAATTATAAATTTCTAATATTGAATTCCTTTTTTTTTTTATATATAGACGACAAATCGATGAAGTCGCTGATCCTGGTAAATTATATTCAGATTTGATGAGTCTTATTGTCAAATTGGCTCAATATGGCTTAATCCATGGTGATTTCAATGAATTCAATATTTTGATCAAAAGTAATGGTGATCCTGTTTTGATTGATTTCCCTCAAATGGTTTCCATTTCTCATCCAAATGCTGAATAGTAGGTTTATTTGTTTTATATTTTGAATCTTCTTTCCTTACCCTTTTTTTTTTATACAACCTAGTTACTTTAATCGAGATGTGGAATGTATTCGAACTTTCTTCCGACGTCGCTTTGGTTACGAAAGTGTACTTTATCCCAAATTACATGTAGATGTCAACCGAGAATTTAGTTTGGATGTACAGGTGGCTGCCAGTGGATTCAGCAAGAAAATGCAAGATGAATTGGAAAAGGTAACTTACCATCATTTATTAGATTGTCCATATATTTAATCTCTTTTATTCCTAATGTTTAAAGTATCAAGAAGAAATTCAAGAACAAGAAAGAAAATCTGGAAACGAAGAAGAATCAAGTGATGACGATGACGACGATGAAGAAGAAGACAGTGAATCAGAAGAACAAGATGACACTTTGAATCATGATATACCCCAAGAACTTACTGAAGAAGAGAAATTACAAGTAAAAAAAAAAAAAAAAAAAAAAAAAAAAAAGAAAAAGAACTGTATAATGAATACTGATGATATGATGATGGATTAGGAACATTTACGAAATCTTCGACTTGGAAATACAGAACCAATTGAAAGTGAAGAAGAAGAAGAAGAAGAAGAAGAAGAAGAGGAAGAAGAAGAAGAGGTAGATTATGATAGCGACCAAGTGGATGTGGGATCTGATCCAGAGGATGAATTATTGGAATTGAACAACCGGGACTTCAAAGCGCATCGTGACACCAAACCAATGCAAAAGAAACCTATCAGAGTGACAGCTAAACCAACCAAGGAAGAATTGATCAAGGAAAAGGTATCACGCGGGTTAAAGGCACAAGGTAGCAAACAACAATACAAACAACTAGTCAAAAGGAATCAAACGAAAGGACGAGTAAAACGCAAGAATATGGATATTATCAAACATGCTAGAGGTGGTAATGGTGGTATTTTTGATTAGTGTCATTATCTCTTTAGTTTAGAAAATTTTACAGTGTATAAATAAAAAGCATCATTGACTATACTTTATGTGGCTGACTTCAAAACAAAAAAAAAATAATAATGTCCAAAGAAAAAAAAAAAAAAAAAACTTTTCTTTTGTTCTTGTCTATATTCTTTTTTTTTTTTCTTTACCTTTTTTTTTTTTTTTTTTTTTTTTTTTTTTTTTTTTTCCTCCTTTACATCTTTTGTTTGTTTGGGCGTGTTGTGTATATTCTAATAGTGACATGACAGGAACTTCATCACCTGCTGTACAACAAAGGCATAGTATGGAGTCTTTGGGGCCACGTGGGTTATCGACAAAACAACAAGAAGAGATTGCCCTTGCTCAAGGACAAGCAGCACATTTATCTCATCAACAACGACGATCTTCTGGTACAACCTATGGTCAAACATCTTCTCTCTATGTTGGTGAACTTGATTCTACTGTGGATGAAGCCATGTTAATGGACATCTTTTCTGCCATTGGACCTGTGGAAAATATTCGTATATGTCGAGATGCTATCACTAATCGAAGTTTAGGCTATGCTTACGTCAATTTTTGTACTGAAATCGATGGTAATATTTTAAAAAAAAGGCAGTAATATAAAAATATTAATAGTTTTATTAATTGTTTATACTTAGGTGCACGAGCGGTTCAAACACTGAATTATACTTTGATTAAGGGGAAACCATGCAGGATAATGTGGACACAAAACGAAAACAACAACAATAAATCCAAAATAATGACTGGTAACATCTTTATCAAGAATCTTGATCCCTTGGTCACCACTAAATCTCTTTTGGATACCTTTTCATTATATGGTCATATTACTTCCTGCAAAATTGTGACGGATGAACGTGGACGATCCAAAGGCTATGGTTTTGTTCATTATGATACAACAGATTCAGCTGAACGTGCTATCAACCATGTCAATGGCATGACATTGTACGATAGGGAAATGTAAGATGAAAAGATAAATTATTATGATTCTTCAATTTCCTTTTTTTTTCTTTTCTTTGACGATTTTCTATTATTAGCTTTGTTGGACATCATATTCCGAAACAAGAACGAATACAAAGGATGGAGGAAGCTAAACAAAGATATACCAATGTCTATGTCAAGAACTTGGTGGCCGATATCACTGAAGAAGAACTCAAAGAACTCTTTGGAGGATTTGGTCAGATTGCCTCAGTATTGATTCAACGAGACGAACATGGCATATCACGTGGATTTGGATTTGTGAATTTTGAACGACATGAAGATGCAGAAAAGGCGGTCTCCCAAATGCACGCAACGGAATACATTGGTAAACGACTCTTTGTGTCCCGGGCTCAAAAAAGATCTGAAAGAGAAGAAGAATTACGGAAGCAACACGATCAATCACGACATGAAAAATCATCCAAGTACCATGGTGTCAATCTTTATGTGAAGAACCTTGCAGATGATATGGACGATGAAATACTTAAGGACCTCTTTTCAAAGTTTGGAACAATTACAAGTGCCAAAATCATGCGGGATGAAAAGGTGATTATCAAAAAAAAAAAAAAAAAGGATTCAGATTATAGATCCTCAAAGCTTTAAACTTTATTTTATTTTATTTTATTTTATTTTGTTTTGTTTTTTTTCTCTAGACCAGTCAATCGAAAGGATTCGGATTTGTTTGTTTCACTACGCCTGATGAAGCCAGTAAAGCAGTAGCAGAAATGAATGGTGAAACAATCATGAACAAAACTATTTATGTGGCCTTAGCTCAGAAGAAAGAAGATCGGCGTCATCAATTGGAAGCACAAATGTCACACCAAAGAAGTCAACTTATGCACCTACAACAAGTAAAAATCATGATGGAATAGGAATGCAAATGGGATGCTCAATCAAATCATATATTGTTTATCTTTCTAGCCTTTCGTTCCAGTACCAATCAACTATATGAATACCGGTCCAATCTACTATGATCCATACCCTCACAGTTACCCTCAACCTGGCGTGATGACTCCAAGACCAATGAGATGGAATCATCCTCCTCCTACAATGATGAAACAAGGTTATATGACAGGACCTCTTCAGTATCCAAGTTATAACAATCTAGCTCAACATATTCCTCGACCTCCACATCATATATATGATAGCAATGGCCACATGTCTCCTCCTCCACCACCACCACCACCTCCTTCTTCTTCAAGTACTTCTATCACTACACAACCATCCGCCTCGATGCACTCAATGACAACAACATCATCATCATCACCAACATCACGACCTACAAGACGATCCTCTGAAACAATTACTAATCAAATAGACGATATTGACACTAACAATGATGCAATCAGGGCGAATGTGGATCAAAACGTCGATGAATCTGAGTTAACTATGGAAAAACTCTCGGAATATCCATTGGAAATGCAAAAGCAAATGCTGGGTGAACGAATTTACAAAGTTGTGTATGTGAACTTTATCAATAATGGTTTGCATTAGTAATCTCACTATAGATTTTTTTTTTTTTATATATTAACATAGAAATACAAAGTATGCTATGATATCTGGCAAAGTGACTGGAATGTTATTGGAAATGGATGTGGAAGATTTAGTATACTTGATCAAGCATAATACTCTATTGGAAGAAAAGATGCAGGAAGCTGTGGCTGTTTTGGAGCAGCATCAACAACAAGAAAAAACTACGACGAAGACACAAGCGGATCTATAGTGACTCCGGTCTATCTTCACTTCTTCTTTTTCTTTCTTTCTTTTTCTTTCTTTTTTTCTAGGAGTTAGATTTGTGTAGTTAGTTGGTTAGTTAGTTAGTTACTCAGTTTTTTTTAGTTAGTAGTAGCTGTGGTTAAGAAGTAAATCCTTCTTCTGATCTTTTACTTTTCTTTTTTTTTTTTGTTGTATATCATTTAATAAAACAAGGTTTTGTCTACAACGCTTTTTTTTACCCTATTTGTGGTATGGCATCGGTATTTCTATATGTTTGACTGACCGATACTCCATGCCCGAATGAATACCCGAAGATTATATAAAATACCTGTCATTTTTTTTTCTCTCTTCCTTTTTTTTTTTCCTTTTTCTTTTCTCTTTTATTTTTTATTTCTTTTTTTATAAAACAATAGTAATCATGTCTCAAACATATCTTATTACGGGTGCTTCTCGTGGTCTTGGTCTTGAATTTGTGAAACAACTCTCAGCTCAAGGTCATACGGTGATTGCTACCGCACGTCAACCTGGTCAATCTGAAGCTTTATCCAGTCTTGTCGATAACAAAAAAGTATTTACTGTTCCTTTGGACACTACAAATAAAGATTCTATCAAGGTAAATATCATCACTTTAGGAGAAAAAAAAAGATGATCCAACCATTTTATTTTTAGAGCGCGTTTGAAAAAATCAAAACCATTTCAGATGGTGTGGATGTCCTAATTAATAATTCTGGTATCGCTGGACCTCGTGAATTCGATGTTCTTAACGTGTAAAGTAGTATAAAAAGCAGGATGTACCCTTTTTAATTATTTTATTTTCGATCATCTTTTTTTTTTTTTTTCACTAGTCCTGGGGAAACATATACTGAAGTCTTCAATACCAATGTGATTGGTACTTCAGATGTCACTCAAGCAGCTATACCTTTGTTACGTCAAAAGAATACGCGAAAGATCATCAATATCTCCTCCATCGTTGGTTCTGTTCAACTGAATATTTGTGGTGGTGGGATACCTGCCTATGGTGTCTCCAAAGCTGCTGAAAACTATTTGACCAAAGCTTTTTCTAGTGCTCTCAAGGATGAAAACTTTATTGTTGTTGCGTAAGAACAAAAAGAAAAATAATCAGATCTTATGATGATGATTTTTATATGAATACTTTTTCTTCTGTATTTTTTTTTTACCTTTGATGCATCGTAGTGTCCATCCTGGTTGGGTAACTATAAAAAAAAAAGAGAGGGAGAGTTTCTATTTTTCGATGATCATTAACTTATACTCAATTTTGTTTAGGTCAAGACTGACATGGGTGGTAGTAGTGCTTCTATTACGACTGACGTCTCCATTGCTGGCATTATCAATGAAATCAACAAGCTTACCAAAGAAAAGAATGGTACATACTTTGATTACTCTGGAAAGACTCTTCCTTTCTAGTTTAGTTAATTTATACATTTAATAACACATATAAACAATAAAGAGCGCTATATAAACCCAACGTTGAATAATAGTGATGATATAAGGGGAGTGAAGGGTGAATCATGAAAAAAACAAATGACTATCTAACGGATTTCTTTATGACTATATGTTCGTTATTAGTAATATGCTAGTTTTACACTTGATCAAGACTGAACACTCTCCAATAGAATTAAAAAATAGCCAAGAACATCAAATAGCTGAAGTTATAACATCAGTTAAAACAGACCAATGGAGTGATATCAAAAGCGTTACTAATATGCACGAAAATAAAGTTTTTTTTTTTTTTTTTTTTAATTTATTTTATTTACTGTTTTTTTTTTTTTTTTTTTTTTTTTTTTTTTTTTAATTTATTTTATTTACTGTTTTTTTTTTTTTTTTTTTTTTTTTTTTTTTTTTTTCCCTAGAATGGATGATGAATAATGTATCTTAAAGTTGAGCCTTTCTACTGTTACTTGAAGGGAGTGATTTGAATAGTTGGATATTTTTTCATTTATCTATTTTGATAATCTACCATGGGATATGATTAGTTTTACAGTAAGGGCTTCAACTAGAAGAAATAACAGTTTAGCTTGTATGACATTGAACTAGATCAGCAGATAATAGTAGATAAAAAAAAATGGGTAAAAATTATAAAAATTTATTTCAAATATATATATATAAAACAAGACATCATGACATAACAATATGTGTCACCAAAATAATAAGGATAGCAATAATCACGATGAATAAAATCAAAAAACAAGATACTATTGAGTCACAATATTAGAATCGTTGGTATTGACACGAATAGAGGAGGGAGGATCAGCGCTGAGGACATGGGTAGGTGGAGGTGCATCAGTAAAGACATCGACAGTTTGTTGATAGTAAGACTTGGCAGGACTGTTCCATTCTGTTTCCAAATCATCCACAATATCGCCTAATCGGGAGCCGCTTGCTACAATGGTTCGACATAAAGATTCGATCATTTTGTCCTTGCTTTCGATTCTTGGTCGGATTTCCACTCTTACTCGTTCTACATTGTAATCACTAACGAAAAAGGATTTGCAATAGTTGTAATAAGATTGTTCAGCGTCTGGATAATATTGCAAGTCGATCACAAGTTCTGTATGTGTGTGAAAAGTGGAAGGTTTTTTGTTGGCACCTAGGGTTGAGAATAATCCATTTTCAAGTTCTAAATCCTTATGATCACGCATCCAATCCAATATCTGTTGACGAGTACCATAAAATAACCACTTGTTTGTATTATTGCCAGTCGCTAATGTTATCTTTTTGGATAATAATGGAGGTGCTACCAAATGTCCAACTGTTCCAGTAGACGATTCTAAAAGAAGAAATATTATTTAATGCAATATAGAAAAGTACTATTCTTTTTCTTATTTACCCATTTCATAACCATATTTTAAAGCCATTAGTTTTGTTGAGTAATAGAAAAAAAAAAAGAAAAAGAAAAAGAAAAAGAAAGGAGGGAAGGGAAAACAGCAATGCATATCCTTTTTTCCTTCTGAGCCAAAAGGAAAAAAGAAAAAAAAAAACTGAGTTTGAATACAATCGAATCATGTCCACGGAACGAATTTCCTGTCTTTCTACAAAATAAAAAAGATGTTTGTTTGAGGCTAAAAAAGAAAAATGGGTTGTTCACATAGTCATATGATTCTCCTGTCATTTGAAACGAACAAAATGAGAGAAATCATTCTTTTTCGTTTACTTTTCTTTTTTTTTTTTTTTTTCCCTTTTCTTCCTTTCTTTTTCTCATTCTTCCATATAAAGAAAAAAAAGATGACAGGTCAAAAATCATGCATTCGAATAAAGAAAACCAATTATTGTCGAGTTCAATTTATAGAAGATGGTCCTGATCATCTTGAAATTACTCCACCATCCTCACCTATTGTTTCTCCTGTAGATGTAATGGAAGGTAAAAAAAAAATTATTGATATTATATTTGTGTATGGTTTCTCATTGAAACTTTATGAACTATGATGAATAGAGGAAGTATCATATGAACATTATTATCAACAAGAAAGAAAACGAAATTATCTGTTATCTTTACAAATACAAAATCTTCAAGTACAATTGATTGACAAAGATCAAAAATTAAAAATGGTAAATTAAAAAAAAAAAAAAAACCTGATTGTAACTCATGCATGATTCTTTTTTTATTATTATTATTTTTTTTATTATTATTATTGTTATTATTATTATTTGATGGGATAAAAAAAAAAAAGAGGAATGATGATGAATACAAGTATACTAAAGTGAGTCGCCTTGTAGATGACCTGATTTGTTTATCAAATAATAATAAGAAGAAAGGAGAATGTGTTCCAACTATAGAAAGTATATATGATCATCTAAAACTTGTACGTTTCAACTTGATGGTTGCACAACAAAAACAGGAACCAAAATACCATGATGACCACAACTACATGATTATAGATTACTGAATTTTCAAATCATATTCCCCAGTAAATTCCATATGATACCAATACAATAATAAAGGTGTTTTAAACAATGTTTTTTATTATCCATGATTATATATATAAAAAAAAAAGATCAATATATACACAAAATTTTGAAAAAAAAAAAGATATAAATATGGCTAAAAATGATGATCACAGAATAGCATGTTGAGAATATAATAGAGATCTAATTCTATAATAATCCATAGAAAGTATCCCTTCTACTAATAATTGTCCAGTTCCAGTCTAAATAGATAAATAGTAATTATAATAATAATAAAAATAAAAATAAAAAAAAAAACATATGAGATTTCATTCATTATTGTTGATTACTTTTTTTTTTTTCTTCTTACCTTTCGTACAACCACATGGTCATTACAAACAAGCATCCCTTCATCCTTAAATTCCGCTGATATCCCTTCATTTTGTAGTACCCGTTTGAATTCTGTCAAACGTATATCACCTACAAAAATTGTTGGTTCTGTTTTCTTCTTCTGGAGTGATTGTATATCCGTGGTGGTCATTATAAGCTCATCATCAGCCATATCTAAAGATGGAGTGGTAGAATCTTCCTTAAAATGTATACGTCCAGATACCCGTGCTAATTCATAGTCGTCCAGTTTGGAAAAGAAAAGCGAGTTCACCAATCCATCTGTTAGTCGTACACGATAAACATTTGTTGCTGCTGATACATTTAGTACTTCTCCGATATTGGGCGTAAAGATTTCCTTGGTGAATTGATTCATCGATAAACATGCTTGTTCCAAATCTTTTGTTGCTTCTTCTTGACCATGAATAATGATCTATATATGTATATTAATAATAATAATAATAATAAAAAAAAAAGGTTAAGAATAATATTCCCAATTTTTTTTTTTTTTTTTTTTTTGAAATTACCATCTTCCTTGGTGCAATTTGAGGTAGAATAGTTTTGATAGATCTACCATCTGATAATCCTTCCAAATCAATATACTGTAAATGACATTGAACTTGAACATGCTGTACACTGGAGATATATTTGGTTGGTAAAGTATTTCGAGCCGGTAATACTGGTCCATTGATAATATCCATAGCGTCTTTTGTATCCGATGATCCACCAAAATTTGCACCACTACCACCAGTATCAAGTCTATTTTCCAAAGCAATTCTTGTCATGTCTGTTGGTGGAATATATTGATCTGGTTGGATAGCTTCACCATAATCATCCATCTTCTTGCGTCTTTCATGATATGGAAACATATGATAACTTTGAGCTTGTTTGAAGAATCCACCAGATCTACCGCTATCACGTACATATAAATCATGCTGTTTCACTAAGAGTTCATCCATGGGATCATCTGCTTCATCCAAATCAGAACTATCCGATTCATCTTCTTCCATAATAGTCTTGCTTCTTGCAATCATAGCTGCCTGAGCTGCTTCTCGTTCTTGTTTTGCCCGTTGAGTTGCTTCATATTCTTGTAATTCCATACCTTCCAAAGGTACCCGTTTGAATAAAGTCAAATCCATTTCTGTTTTATAATCTAAGGTTGGTTGTATGATTGCTTTGTTGATTGATTGTTGATCACCTTTTGTTTGGGTTTCCCATTCATCATAAATTTGTCTCCCCAGTGATCCAGGAGGTGCTCGTTCAGTCAATAATAACGTATTCTTGATATGGTGTGGTTGTTGTTGTGTTGATGTATCCAGTGTCATCCATCGTGCAAACAAATCCCGTGCGAATCCAGTTTCCAAGCTATAATTACTTGCAATAACCACTTTGGGACCAGGGTAATTTTCCAAATCTTCTAATTTGTGACATAACCGTACATATTTGAATTCAAAGGGATTTTCACGCGTCTGAGAAAAATGTTTGGTCAAGTCATTTCCCATCCATTCCAACATAATCTTAGCAAAGTGAATCGTGTGGTAACTGGTATTGCTAAGCATGATCAAAGGATAATTGTTGAGTTGTTGCTTTGTCCATTGTTGATCCAAAAGATAGGCAAGTTCAAGTACACGTGCAGCTGAATCAGATGGAAGTAATACGGATCCTCCATTCGATAAAGTTGTATTCATCGTATCTGGTATCAAAAAAAAAAAAAAAAAGGAGGAGTCAATATTTTCGAAAAAAAAGGAATTCAGATTGAATGTATTCTTTTTTTACCAAACATTGCAGTATAACGATCTCTTCTTGGAGGACTAAGTATTTCTGCATTTAAAGCATCAGTAATCAATAAAGAGGGTCGAGCCAAGGAATTCAAGACAACACCGTCTGTCAAAAGAACAGTACCATCCAGATGACTATCAAGTAAATAAAAATAAAAAATAAGTATGTCATTCCTATAGATATTATCATTCTTTACCGTTCTTTTCTATGATTAAAATCAACAGCATATACAATATCGTTGGTATCTTGCTTGATCTTCCATATAGTTCCACCAACAGTATGAGCAGCAGCATAAGCAGTGATAGTGATACCTTGACATTTACCAGGTAAAGCACAAGGTTGAGAGTATCGAAGAGAGTTAATATTATCAAAAGCATTATCCACGTCTTCAAGACTAAAAGTCGTAAAATCCATTTCGTTCGTTTTACTTTGATAAATGTCGTACATACACATTTTACCCATATTGACTACTGGCATTGTGGAATAGACAGGACATTGTAATCCCAAGTGTCGTTTCGCGTATGTATAACCACCAAGATGAGGAAGATCAGAGTGTGATAATAAGACAATATCTATTTGTTTGGCAATTCTATGATATATAGAGAAATATAAGCAAGAAAGATTATTTTTTTTTTTTTTTTGTAGTAATTACTTTTTCAAAGGAGATAAGTCTTGGGTATTAAAGTGATCAGACCAACCACAATCGAGAAGGATCTTGACTTCATCTATTTCTAACAAGTAGCAAAGAGCGTCTTCGTTTTTGGCACCAGAAAGAGGAGTGAATTTTATATAACTTGCCATGAAAACCTTAAGACAGGGACAAAAGACGAAAAGAAAAGACACATCAAAAACTTTTTTTTTTAAAGGAAAAAAAAAAAAAGTGGATCGGAAACTGAAAACCACTGAAGATTATCACAAAAAAAAAAAAAAAAAAAGCGATCATCATCATTTATTATTTTTATTTCTAATAGACTAATTGGATGAAGTATCTAAACGAAGAATGGTATATATATCAGAGTAAAAGGATAAAGAATCAATAAGATTTCTTTCTACACTAGATAATGATGATAAAGAAATAGGTTTTGAATAGGTGTTATTATGATTGATATCAAGGAGTTTCTAAATACAAAAGAAAAATGAATATTCATATATATATATATATTATATATATGATTGATTCCCCCCCCCCTATATTTTTATATTACCTGTAATAGCATTCGTTTTGAATCTTCAAAATCAAACATATTCATATATGTCATTATCTAGTAAAATAAAATAAAATAAAATAAAATAAAATAAAATAAAAATAAAAGAGGTCATCATGTTAGTATTATGATGAATCCATTGATAAATATAAGATATACCTTCTTTTCATCCTGTAATAAAGACTGTAATTGAGAAGAGGATAAGGATGATAATAGAGAATCGATCACAGTTCTTCGTTCACGATCAAGACGACATTTTTGTAAATTTTCCATAAGATTTGACTCATTCAATGACTGTGAAGATTCAGCTGAAGAAGGTATGATATCATCCAATTTAATAAGTTGCCTTGGTGTTGTTAATGTTGAAATAGATTTCTCTTGTTCTTGTTGTTTACAATGTCGTAATCGAATCCATCGTCTTCGTCGTACAAATGATCGGAAATGTTTATAATTACCATGCCATACAGCACCATGGAATTTGACAGCATATTGCCAACCAGCTTCATCTACATCTTCAGTCATATCCACCAACCATTCTTTATTTAACTAAAATAATAATAAAGGAGTTGAGTAGATCTATCAAATCGGGTATTAAAAAAAACAGGGTTCATTTTAATCGCGTGCTTCTTACCCACTCCCACGTTGGATCTGGTAATTGATAAGTTGCAGGATTCATGGGTGTATATCTATCATCACAATATAAACGGATTTTTTAGTTTGCATAAAAAAGTTTCTTTTTTAGTTTTAAATACTTTACTTCATTTGAGCATCACACCAAGGATTAGGATCAAATTGCAATAGACTATATTATAAAAAAGAGAAAAAAAAAAGTTGAATAAAAATATAATAACAGAATAATATTATTATTGTTGAACTTGCGTTTTCGAACTATAACCTACTAGCCAAGATCTATTATTTAAATATATAAAATATAATTAAATATTAGTATAACCAAATAAATATAAATATATAATAATAATAATAATAAATACCCTCTTTGACATTCGTATAAAACATCATAAACATAATTATCTTTAGTATTAAGGTGTGGAGGTAAAGAAGGTAAAGGTAATGAAGGTTGTTGTTGTTTTTCTTCTTTTTTTCGTCGAGTAATTCTTGGTTTTTGTGCTAAATCTTTTAATGACTTTCTAATATGAAAAGAACGTTGTGATAAAAGTATGTTGGTATCCGTTGTCATTTCTATTGAGAGGTAAAGGAAGATTATATATAAAAAAAATCAAAGAAAACGAGGTAAAAAGACACAAATGGGAAATGCTTTTCCAACCTTCAAAATTACCAACATTTCAAATTCCGGTCTCTTTGGATTTTTTTTTTTTTTTTGAAGATTTCGCATTTTTTAAGGAGAAGTGAGAGATCCTTTTATTCTCCCTTAAAAAAAAAAAAAAGGCCATGAATCAAAAATTTTTTTTCCCTCTCTTTTTCTTTCTTTCTTTCTTTACTTCTTTTTTATTATTGTTATTATTATTATTATACTCTTTTATTATATTTATTTTTATATATGGTTTCTGTGGCTCCAGAGTTAAAGTAAGTAAATAAAAAAAGAAATAATAATTTAATATTATTTTATGATTCATTCTTATATATATATAGACGTCGTTCTAAGTCTTATGGCGATTTATCACTGAAAAGAACATTTGACCATTATAAGAATGAAACTTCACCTTATCTAAGTCGTCGACACAGTTCTTGTATTGAAGAACAAAAATGTCTATCACTCGTTATGTTATATCAATGGACAAAATATATGTAATTATTAGAACAAAGAGCAGGGATGATCAGAATTAGGGTCCAAACCGGTATTTTTTTTTTTTTTTTTGTTTTGTTACTGAATAGTTAACTGACAAAAAAAAAAAAAAAAAAAAAAAAAGGAAAAGGAAAAACTTGATTAACTGACTTTTGTAATTATTCCTTTTTGTTAGTAACTCCAAGTCAAATACCCTGCATGAATCCAATATACCGAAAGATCAGAATCAAAGGAGCCTCAAGCAAATTTTCCTGTCTACTGAAAAAGGTAACTTGATAATAAAAAAGAATTATAAAACATCTTTGAATGAAAATGTCATTTTTTATATAATTATATTGATTTATTTTTATTTCTTTCTCCTCTTTTATTCATATCATAGCAACACATCCTTCACTATTACCATCTATGGACATCCCGAACCATCATACCTGGCATTCTTCTTCCACTCATCAACATCATCAATCCAAAGATATAATCTCTGCTATTATCGCTGCTGCTAAATATCCTGAAAACGCTTCTTTTGGTTGGGTTGGTATTGAAGAAGAACAAACATTGGATACAAGACCAAATTCTCCTCCTCCTCCACCTCTTCCTATTGAAAATGATACTCATATCTTTGATCTTCTTGCCTTGGATGATAATGCTTACTTTATTCATTACAGTCAACGAGCTGATCAACCATCTGCTATGAATTCTGCTACAGTTGAAAAATTGGTGGAAATATTGACAAAAGGAATGGGTAAGATTATTTTGATTAATTTGATATCTATTTTGGGAAATTCGATCATGATTGTTTATATTTATTGATTGTTTATTTATTTGTCTTTTACATGCTTCAGACTCGGATTTGATGATGAATTTTTTTCTCACTTTTCGACAATTCTTGACTCCCATCAAACTTTGCAAGTTACTTATATTACGATTCCGTTGGGCTTTATTGGAGGACTCTGATGATAGACGTCTAGTCAGGATAAGGTATCAAAAAAAAAAAAGATGGAAAAAGGGAGATGATTATGAAAGCGTGCGTGTGTGCCTGTGTGCGTGTGTGAGGGGACACAAAGAAAGGGAGAGAGAGAGAGAGAGAGAGAGAAAGAGGAAGGGGGGAAGGACAGGAGAAGTGGGGAAAGAAGGAAATACTGATTTTTTTTTTTATTTTTGATTGATCTTATATGATAGAACATTTGTAGTGCTACGATATTGGATCACACATTATTGGGAACATGATTTTATCATGTCAAGAACACTTCGATTTATGCTTTGTACTTTTTTGTCTCAACTCCGAACACATCCGGTCATTCTTAATTCACCAAGAGATGCACGTATCATTAAGAATCTACGAAATATATTGAAACGACAACGAAAACTATATAGTACCAACTTTGACTCGTCAGCACGTGCCACTCTCTGCAGCAATCATGCTCAACTACATCAACGTGATGATCACACAGCAAGCACTTCATTGTCCCCATGGTTACGATGGTATCGTGACTCTTCTACATCACCAGTTTCAACTTCCTCTTCTTGCTCACCTCAATCCATCATGGACGATACTTCTACTAATCATTGGATAAAGTCGTCCCCACCACGACATCAATTAGGTACCCCTGCTGGAAAGAAAAATGGAAATCAAAAACAAACAAACAGCAAAGGACTTCGATCATCTACATCTACACCGACTTTACCTTTTTTGGGTAGATCTCGACGACTTTCAGCATGTTCTCAGCGTAGTGTGCATGAAGAAAACGCATGGACAGCAAAGATGAATTTTGGAATCAAAACAATTAAACGCACAGTCCCAACCATTTATCAATCTCTCATTAATGGAATCACTATCAACAACAACAATATGAATCAAAAACAGCAACATCAATTCAAAAAGAACAAACAAAAATGCACCTGTAAATTACCTCACAGCTATCAACAGCATTCTCTCTATCAACACTTTTTACCTCATCGATACCCACAAGCTGCTATTATGCGATCCGCCTCACGCCTCTTTGATCAGCGATCACCAAGTATGGCGGAATCCATGATACACAACGATTCAACCTGTCCATATTATTCATCTACTCAAAAACCGACATTTCCTACAAGTACATTCTCTTCATCCTCATGTCATATGCTTTCCTCTTCTTTATCGTCATCATCATCATCATCATCAACAACGGCAGCAGTATCATCGCCAAATACAACACCAACACCTTCACCTTTAACATCTTCTCATGGTTTTACTTATCAACCTCTACAACGACCTCAACAACATTTACGTCGTGCCTCTTATTATAGCGATGGAGCATCCACCACTCGTACAACTCGCACTACCGCAACATGTGGACGAACGGTATCCTCTCTGCCAACTTGTCTTGATGATTATCGACCTTTTATTCTTACATTTCGATCCGAAGTCATTGCTCAACAATTCTGTATGATGGAACAAGAAATGCTTCAATGGGTAACATGGGATGAATTGGCTGAACTTCGATGGCGTAAACGATCCAAAGGTACCGTTATTTCTCCTGATATTGAACAAAGTTCGTTACAAGATGGCGTCGAACAACTTATTGGATTTTTCAATAAGGTAAAAAAATAAATAAAAATTGACAAAACGAAGCAGGGGGAATACGAAAAAGGAGTCGATTACTAAACTCATCTCTTTTTTTTTTTTTTTTGTAGACATGTCAATGGGTTGCCTCGGAAATCGTACGTACAAGATCCATGGATATTCGAATTCGTGTGATTGAAAAGTTTATCCGAATTGCACTGGTAAGATATGACAAGGAGTACAAAACAAAGAGAAATTAAAGTTTTTTTTTTGTATATAGAAATGTTATCATCACCGCAATTACAGTACATTAATGCAAATCTTACTTGGATTACAAGCCCCAGCCGTATCTCGTCTGGAAAAGACATGGCAAAGAATTGATCATTACGAAATGCAAATATTCAACGAATTGAAAGAATTGGCCAAACCTTTTCGCAATTGGAAAAACGTACGTGATGCAATGACCAAAGCTATTCATGAAATAGCCGAGTCTTCAGCGGTGGAATCTGTTTTGACCAAAGATATATTTGATGATGATAATGTGGATGGTTGTATTCCTTTTCTTGGTAAGATTGTTTTCATCAACAATGATTTTTTTTAATATTTTTATTTTCTTTAGGCCTTTATTTATCCGATCTTGTTTTCAATGCAGAACTACCTACATTTATAGATTCAACTAAACTTCAACATACAATGCCCAAGGTCAGTCCAGAAGATGAAGAATTATGTCGTCGATTGGGATCTCACCTAGTGAATTATAATAAATTCAGAATCACTGGTAAAATACATATATATATCATTCTTGAAGGTAGAAAAAAAAACTTGTTGACTTTTTTTTTAATCCTTTTTAGCCACCATCATCAAACATATCTTAGCTTTCCAAGTTCTTTGTCGTGCTTATCATTTTGATCCTCATCCTGGAGTTTTGCTTTGTCTTCAAAAGATGCAGTTGTTGGACAGTATTGAAATACGAAAACATAGTGGTTTATGTGAACAGGATCCTTGATCAAATCTTACTAGTTTTAGTTAGTTGTTTTATTTTTTTTTTTTATTTTATGTTTCATTTATTCAATAAAGTCGTCTGTGTTTTTTTTTTTTCTCTTTTAGTGAAGATCTACCATCAATGGTGGAAACTCAACATCAGTGCACAAACATTTATATAAACAAATAAAAAGATCATCATACCGTTTATTTCAAATATTGTGGGGGGAATACTATTGATCTATCCTATGGAAAATAATATACGATATAAAAAGTGTGATATGTATTTTTTTTTTATCTAAAATTATATACAATACGAATGGGAAAAATCAAAATGGAAATTCATGTGACTATGATAACAGGAGTTGAAAGTAGAGAGTGAACAAACTAAAACAGATACACACATATATATATATAAAGATAAAGTAATATGGATATATATAAATAATGGGAAGAAGGGGGAAAAGGGATAGAGGGGGGGTATATTACATATCATCATCCACATGTAAATGAATAGGACCTGTCATTCTTGCTCCACTCCATCTTGGTACAGCTTGTCTTCCACGAGCACGTTGTAACCACCGATAAGTACCCATCACAGCTTGAATTATCCATTTGACTAAATCACTAATCCCACATCTAGTATTCGTTTCCAAGTAGAGCTCCAAACTAAATGATGTCAATCCAATGACCACATAAAACATCTGATTGGCACCTAGTTTTTCATAGATCACTCCACCTAACAAGCTTCCAAGTCCAGAACCAACACCTGCATACATGGCTGCCAATATACCTAAGATAATGTCACGTTAGTAAAAAAAAAAAAAAAAAAAAAAAAAAATACTATTTTGTATAATGGTTACCTTGAGATGTCGCTTGTAAAGACGGAGGTGCCAATTCATCTGCTTGAACGACACCTGCACCCCATAATGCAGAAAATGCTATACCTACATAATCAAAAACAAGTTGCTCATGTCAAACATATGAATGTAAATACATAATCTTGTTTTTTTTTTTCATTACCATTCAATAGATGTAAACCAAGAGCAATGTTGGCACCACTAGGGCCTTTTGGTAATGTGGTATATGCAAACACACGAATAATCGTCAATACATGTCCAAGGATGATCAGGAATCGAATACCAAATATACGAATGAGCTATAAAAAAAAATGAGTGACCTGTCTTATATACATATCCTCCAATACAGTCATACTTACGTCGCGTGAATAGAAAAAGAAGAGAAGCTCTGTCACTGATCCAACCAAACCAGTTAGACCCACCGTAGATGAGCTTGCACCAAGTTCTTGAGTAAGGAAAATAAACAAAAAGCTGACTACCATATTCAATGCAGCACCCATCAACATCATTGTCAAAAAGAAAAGGGAGACCTGTCGTTGTTTCAATAATTCCACTAATGTCGTCGGCACAGGAGATGAAGACGCAGTGGAGGAGCTAGAAGGTGATATACTTGCATCATCCATCATGGAGGTATGAGAAGGCCGGCGATGTGCTGGTGGATTAGATAAATTGACGGCTTCGATGATGCTAGATTCTGTTGCAAATTGTATCAGTCTTTGAATTTCATTTTGTCGAATTTGAGATGGTTCTTCGTCCAGGTCATTATTTTCATCTTCATGCATTTGATCCAGATGAAATTGCTGTACTTTACGTCGAAGAGTATGATGATGACCGTCATGAGATGTGCTAGTAGTGTTGCTACTGTTGCCGTCATTGTTGCCGTGTCCAGAAAATGATACCATGGCTGTTGAGGAAGGTACTGAAGAAGAAGAGATTCGTCGTCGTGAACTGTTCCATCTTGATCGTACTGTTGGCACTGGTTTGAACGTTGTTCCTCCCGCAATCATGATGAAAAACACAGCAGAGATCGCATATATATAAAATATAGAATTCATATCTTTAGTCCAATCAGCAATAAATCCAACCAAAGAAGAAGCAAGACCAAAAGAAATGGAACCAAACATACGTTGTCGACCTAGAAAACCATCAATAAGTCACATTTATACTTTTTTTTTTTTTTTTTTTTACCATATTGATTCTTATTTTTGCCTAGGATCTTGAGAACTCCACCATCCACCAAAGGTAATACTGGTACCCCGAAGAAAGCAAAACAGACAGAAGTAATAGTAACCAATGTGACAGTTAATTTATTCTTTGCTTCCATATCTTCCAAATTCTGTACCACAACAGAGATACCCATAACGCTGACGATAGCAATGGTTGCCAAAGTTTGTATCAGGCACATAATATAGTTATGCGTCTTTGTTTTGTCCGCCAAGGCTGTCCATAAAGGACAAGCAACTGCCGAGATAAATGGGGCTATAATAAATAACAATAATGTAAGATTAGAATATTTTCCGGATGAATTTAATTGATCTTTTTTCCTTTTCAATACCAAATAATTATTTGTTTATTTTTAATAGAATAATTATCATTACCAATAGCCACAAGTAAACCTATTTGGTCACTTTTCAAACCAAGTTGAGATGAATAGAATAAAGTGAGATAAACAGGAGCAGAGCCTTGACATGCAAATAAGAATGTATATAATAGTTTGGGGGAGATATATGACATGTGTTGTAAATATGTATAAACAGTATACAATATGTACAAAGGAAAAAAAAAAAAAAAAGAAGAAGAGAAACTGAAAAAAATAAAAAAAGAAAAAAATAAAAAATAAAAATAAAAAACGAAGTTGTAGTTTCGGGGATAGAATGTACAAAAATCATTCATTTATCTTTAGACGCCTGTCTTTGCTCTTGTATGCAGTAGGAGTAACTTCAATGACTTCAGATCGAGGTATAGAGATAAAAGGTGTTTCCTATACAAATAAAAAGAATTCAATCAAAAATCATCATCGTTATCATTATTTATTTTTTATTTTCTTACATTTTCATCTTGATCAAACAGATATCCAACCAAACAACGCAAAACACTGGCATGAGCAATAATCAAAACATCATTCTTTTCTCTTTCAAGTGCCATGATAACGGATTCCAATCGGATAGCTAGGTCATGATATGACTATAATATATATATATATATATATATATATATATATATAATGTAATTAGTAGATGTTGGCTATAAAATTCATATTTTCTTATTTTCATTTACCTCTCTATCAAAATCCATTCATGAAAAACCATAGAAGTGAATAATAATAATAATAATAAAAGTAATCAGTCACATATATATATTTGAATAAATTTTGTCTGCTTACCCTCGTGGATATCGATGATGATAAGGATCTTGCTTTGCTCTGACTAATTCATCAGGGAACTTGGCTTCGATTTCTTGTTCTGTCAGATCATCCACTTCACCAGGATTCAATTGAGTTAATGCCACCAATGTATGTATCCGAGCACCATAATTGGAAAATGGTAATGCTGTCTGTACGCCTTTTCGCCTTGTTGATGTCCATACTGATAAAGGTCTAGCTTCACTTTCAGGTATTCCATTTGTAGTGAGTTTTGTTGATCTATACTTTGCAATAAAGTGAGCTAATTGTTGAGCATAGATATGTCCTTCATTGGATAATGGTGCGTCAATTTTGTAAGAATGATCCGCCTTTGAATTTCCCGCTCGAGCCAAGTAAATAGTTCGTTCTTGAATATGAATGTTAAGTAAAAAATAGACGATTTTTGATTGTAGATAACCTTCCACCTTGTTGATATTGAATGTACGTCCGGCGTCAATCATCTTAATAAAACTAGTCTTCATGTCACATATTGTTTCATACTTGGCTTTGTTTCTTTCTATCCTTTGCTTATAGTCTTGTACCGCCTTTTCAACGTCCCAACCAATATAATCCGGAGATGAGAGTTTAACTGAAATAATATTGGATAAAACTAGATCAGTATCAGTACAGATAAATTCAATAAAGAGAGGTTGAATATGATTGGCCAATAGCTTGTCATTAATCGCTTTTCGTCGTGCTGCTGTAACGTTATTGGAGTCAAGTATCGCTAGTTGCCCGTTTTCATCAAGGAGCCAATGAATTGCATCGTCTAAACATTGCTCAGCCAAATCAGCACGTATTTTTGCATTCACTTGATTTCCTAATGATAATGACAACAAAAAGGTAAATGTGAGATAGATTCAATCGCGTTTTTGACATCTATATATCAATTTTTTTTTTTTAACCTTGATCAAACCAATCAGCTGGTAAAGATCCAAGTTTTTTCCGTCTATAATCACCAACACTAAATACTTTTGTTGCCACACCAAGCCACCGCATATATCTTGATAAGATCCTTGAACAATGAGTTTTTCCACAAGCAGGTAAACTAAAAGAGAAATAATCAGTCATAAAACTAAATCTTGTTGAATCATCTGCTTACCCAACGGTAACGACACAAATGGCACCTGCATGAAAAAGGCGTCCCGTTTCTGTTTTATATAACTGAGCTGCCATAATGTTATTTTTGTTATCAAAAAATATTGAGTTGAGAAAAGAAGAAAAAAAAAAAGAAGTGGAAAAAAAAAGAAGAGTTGATATTAAAAATTAAAAAAAAAAAATGAAAGCCTACAAACAAGGGTAAAAAAAAAAAAAAAAAAAAAAAAGACCGATATTTCTTTATTCATGCAGGTAATTATGGGGTATCAATAATAATTATAATAATAATAATATATAAATCTAATCATCTATATCAAATAGAGATCAATACCAACCAAGAAGTTTCCACCAACCCATACCAATTGTAAAATAGATAATGATATAAAACAGAGCAAGAATAGTTCCAACACCAAACCACTTGGACCGGGAAACATAGCCGGGAGCATAATACATTGCAGCTGTCCCTATAAATATATAAAAAAAAACAATATATAAAAATCATATATAAATAATTGTCATATTGTAATATTATCATCATATACATTACCTGTAGAGAAATTAGTCTATTCATATATGAAAATAAATAATAATAAAAAAATATATATTATAAGTACATCTTCAATTTAAAATATATATAATATTTTTACCATGCATCCTCCAAGAGCTCCAAAATAGGCCAAAAGTGCAGTGAGAATCATTGGATTAGCACCTAATGCGTGACCAGCTTCTAAAAATGTAGATGCAAAAGCAACAGTGTGTGCACTTAATGACGAAAACAAAAATGTAGTCAAAAAGTAAGCCAAGGCTAAGCATGGTACAGGAGGTAATCCTAAGTCAGTAATGGTTGCTGAAATATGATCTCCAAGATAAGTAGATGCTCCAGCATTAGAAAGATGTTGTGCAATCGTAATAAAACCACCAAGCCAAAATAATGTATCCCACTATAAAAATGAATGGATCGTCAACACATGCATAGTTGAATAATAAACAAATAAATAAATATTCTTTTTTTCTTTTATGCATTTTACCGCTGTTGTATTAGTAGATACGTCCTTCCAAGTAATTGTTCCCATATGCAGCAAAGCAACAATACCAATCAATGCCACCAGTGTAGAATCCAATTGTGTATACCCAGCTGTAACCCACAGACAAAGGCAACTTATTAAAACAAAGCAGAGTTCCTAAATATAAATCATCATATTGTCAATAAAAATAAACATAATTTTTTTTTTATTTCTTTATTGTATTTTTACCTTTTCTTTTCTTGTCATCGAACCCATATTGGATAATTCCTTTCTTGCATGTACAACGATCTCACTGTTGAAGGTTTGTTTCGAACGAGGACCAGAAGAAATCATCAACCGTTTGAGAATCAAAGGTAAACAAAAAGCACAGAGTAATGCAGGGACCATACTACCAGAAAGCCAAGTCATAAAGGTAAAATTTAGCTTTGGGAATAATTGATTTGCTTTTGCCAAGACAATCGGATTTGGAGCCATTCCTAAGAGTATAATAAAAAAAAAAGTTCATAAATAAACTGAAGATCACATTGATGAATTACCCTTCTCATTGATATTCAAACTCACCTGTGAGATACATGGAAGCGGATAACAAATTAGCGTGAGAACCCAATAACATCAAGAATCCACCAATTTCTGGATTTTGTAAAGGTGTAGATCCTAATGTTTTAGCAATCGAATAAACTACAGGCATAATGATTCCTCCACCTCTTGCTGTATTGCTGGGTACAAATGGTGCAATAAATAATTCTATAAAAGGTCCAAAAAAGTAAAAAACACAAGATCCGTCAGTCATAATCACACAGGATAACCTTAAATCCATTCATTGTCGTATTCTATTGGTGCAAATAATCACGGGGATGTATGACATAACCTTTTTTTTTTTTGATTGTACCTGAGAAGACAATCGAATAAGCCAGTCCAAGGATATGTTTTCCAAATGTTTGTACTAACCATAAAGAAAGTCGTTTTCCCAATCCAGTCACCTCCACCGCCTTGCCAAGATGAAATGCAGCAAAGATCAACCAAACCACTGTACTAGAAAATCCTTCAAGTGAATGAGCAAAAGCTTCCTGAGCTCCTAGGCAATCAAAGTCGGGTTTGTCCAGTAAAGCCGTATTGGGCGTACCACAAAGTCTACATTCAATACTTTCACCAGTAGTATGATCGATGCATTGAAAAGATTGAGTTAGCGATAAAATCACTAGAGCTGTCATCACCAGAGTTGTAAGACTGAAGGAGGTTGTCATCAAAGCAAAAATGCAACTAGTGTTAGACAAAGAAAATGAATGTTAATAATCTTCTCTTTTTTCATGATTTGTGTACCCCTTTTTTTTTTTTTTTTGTTATACCTGATGAATACAGCCAATAGATGGATCGCTGTTGGAGATAATTCTTCAGAAGGTGTGATACCAAACCAAAGAATAATGCCTAAAGTTATAGATGGTAATAAGCTTGCAAATTGAGTGTTGATGAATAGTTGCCATTTAGATCGTTTTCGTTGGTGATTGTAGAGTAAACATGTACATTCGTCAGGATCAATGGTAATAGATGTATCATTTTGATTAGATATCATGATAAATATAATAATATAAAAAAAAAAAAAATAGAAAGAAAGAGATAGAGAAGGAAAAAAAGGAACAAGGAAAAATGAATTCCCATCTTTTTATGCTATGTATTTCAAACGCCGCGATCCGTATGTGGCATGCTCATTCAAAACGTGCAATTCATAGGACACTCTCAATGATGTCATGCACAGGGAACTTTGATGATACTAGAAGTTATCAGAAAAAGTACCACTCCTTAAATAGATGAGATATTTAATAATAGTGAGCCATTTTTTTTTCTTATGATTTCTAACGAACAATCTTACTATATAATCATTCATAATAACATACTACTGTATAATCAACTATAGTAGATTCTATATAAAATACTGATGATGTTGATAAAATATTATTTTATAAAAAATTTTTTTTTTTTTTTTTTTTTTTTACTAGAAAAGATTCCCGAGATTAGCTTAACGTTGTTTCCATAAATCTTCTGACAGTGAATCATCACCATCAACTGTTGTTTATCCTAAATGGCTTGATTTCCTAAAAGGATACCATTACCTGGGTCATCATCATTCCATAATCAACATGACATGCACATATATATATATATAAGATTGGTCACAATTTCAAACATATCATTCCTCTATATCCATTCACTCCTTCCCCACACGCACATACATATACATACACTTATATACATATACATAAACATAGATCCATATTCATATATATATACCCTTAGTACCGCTTTACTCATTGTCAATTACTTTTTTTTTTTTATTAAAAAAAAAAAAAACAAAAGTAATGGTATCAATACAGATTAGTTGTATAAAGATGTCATGTTGCTGAGTTTCACCTGATCATCTAATAGAAAAGAAAGAAGATCATTCTTATTTCATAAATACGTGATCATCATACCAGCCATTCTGCTAAAACTATTTGTAGATATTTTTCTTTCACTGTAGAAATCTTCAATGCAAATATATATATATATATATATATATATAAACTCTTTCATTTGACCCAGATCGCTCCTAGACAGGGAACAAAAAGAGGAATCGTTCCATAACAGGCCGTAATTTGAGACCAAAAAGATCTAATCATACGTGCACACACACAAGTATGTATATATATATTTATTGAATCAAATCAAAACAAATAATGAATATAGTTTTTATGAAGCTTATTAGATTTTTTTTTACTCTCAGCGAGGATTTTCAGCCAATAGGAACGTATACTTTTTTTTTTTTTTTTATATATATCTTTGTTCGGGGTCTGTCAAAAAAAAAGAACAAAAAAAAAAAATTCTCTTTCTCTTCCCCTTTTCAATAACATGTCACATAATAGTAAGATTACAAGCATTTATTCATCGCTTTAAAACCATGATTTATAACTGTTTCTTTTTTCTTCTTAGATCTTGTAGCCTATGCTACTGTTTTTCCCTTGGTATATATTACCAATGAACTTTATTCAGACTGGGAACGCCACTTGAAGTAAGTCTTTAGTTCATCGCATCTTTCAATATGCTTACAGTTATTATTATTATTGTTATTATTAGAACGTTGGAAACGAAGTTCAATACAAAGATTGAATTCGACTTTATAAAACAGGTAAAAACTATATTGGAAAAAGTAAAGTTTGATAACTAACACGCGGTTTCTTCTTTTTTAAACTGTAGTGTTTCAATATTCAAGGACGGTCTCAAAACAATTGTGAAAATGCGTAAGTAATGATAAATAACTTCTATATATAGATGTATTTAACCTTTCTTCTTCCTATGATAAAATAGTGCTCGTCTTATTATAAACAAACTCCTTCCTGTTTTGGTACATAATATATCTTGAATAATAATAATAATAAAAAAAACAGAAAAAGAAAGCAATATATGTATTAATCTTATTTTATTATATAGAATAATGGAATGGACGAAAACCGATTTCATGGCACCTATCCAGACATTGAGTTAGATATTCCTGAACTGACTCCAATTCCTAATATATCTCCCTCTATTGTTACATCTCCAACATTGACGAATCTATCACTCGACGACAACTCTCATTCGCCCTTGCCAGAAATCCCAAGAACAGAAAGTCAAACAACTGTACAAGATTATCATGATGATAAGATACAATCATCATCTCCAATGGAACAACATTCTTCCTATTATACTGGTGATACTGAAAGCGATGGCGAATCCGAAGAAGAAATAAAGGAATTTTCTACTCAATTTGTGATAGCAAGGAATATTATCCGTCCAAATGAAGTCTTTACTGGTCCTGCCATGGGTGTGAAACAACATACGAACTATATTCGATTGATTGAAGAAGAAACTGGCACTGAATGTGCATTATTACCAAATGGACGCGTAAGCTCAACAAAAAAAAAAAAAAAGGTTAATGAAAAACTAATAAATCGTTTTGATAGACTATCAATATTACTGGCTCTAGTCAAGAGAGTGTAGATGATGCTGCTTCACGATTTTTGGTCCTTCAAACCGCATACGTAAGATATATATATTACTTATATTAGAAACAATTTTTATCTAATCTTTCGTATTTATTTGTATAGAAACGCAGTAGTAGAAGACCCATTGTTGTACCTTGTATTCATCCAAATGCCGAAGATCCTCGTCCCTTCAGACTCTTCTTTGCTGATAAGGAAAGATATCGACATAAGGATAGTCTTTTTGTACCTCCTGATTTCAAGCGTCCTCTTTATGTTTTGTTGCCCGTGTACAATGATCCCCGAACTGGTGAGCCGGCAAAACCAACTGATCTTATTGATATCTCTGCTCAAACTCGTCAACAATCAATGCAACAGACTCAACCGGAATTCCCAGCGTTACCAAAGAAAAATCGATCTCCTCCTGGATTCCCTTCATCAATAAATACAATCAATACGGTTCCTCAAAGATATACTCGCTCCCCTTCTACAAGTTCTACACCGTCATCTCCATTGCCATCACCGTCACCTCGTGAAACTACAATGACATCAACCTGGGGATCCAATACAGTAAGTCAAACACATACAACTGTCCTGACACCAGAAGCTGAACAATGGAGAAATCGACCAATCACACCAAATCAGCCACTATCTGGTAATTCAAATGATGATTTTCCCTCTCTACCTACGACACCAGCCAGAAAACCTTCAGTACAATCCCCTGGTAAAGGAATACAGCGACGTGTCATTAGAATCAGTAATCAAAAAGCAGCAAAGGTCAACAACAACAGCAATAATCAAGTCAGCACCTCTATTTTTGATCAGTGCCGTGAATACAACTTCCACAATGCTAGATTCGCTTTAACTGAGGGTTTGCAACATGTGCGCAGTCTCCGTGGTGAAATTCGTATTGGTGCGAAATTAGGAAAGGTTCTATGGAATAATATGACACCAACAGTATCATCACAACTTTGGGAATTCCAAGATATCAAGGATGTGGTTATGAATGAAATGAAAGTACGATCTATATTCAATAACGTGTAAGTAGGAAACAAAACAAAAAAAAAAAAATAGAATCAACAGTTTAATTCCTTTTTTTTTTTTTAGGACTACAAAATCAGAACAAGTGATGGATGCTATTGCTCAACAAATTCCGGAACATTTCGCGAGAACAGCTTGTTTCGAAATTCATGCTCAAGCAAGAAATCAACCTACACTTCCTTATCAACCTATTATTATGATATTGAATCCTGGTGCTGTCGGTTTAAAAAAAGTGGTATTAAAAAAAGAACGAATCAGTGAAGTAAATTGGGTATCATTGGACAGGTAATAATGAAATGAAGCCAGTTGACTATGTATTAACCTACGTGTTTATTTGTATATAATTAGAAAGTTCGACTTTCAAATCTACATGGATGCTGAACAATGTGGACGTACGGATGTGAAACCCTATTCGACTTTTCTCAAGAAATTGATGATCAATACTTCAACACTACAAATGACTTATGAAGATATTCCTGACTTTTTACATGTGACACATATCTATTACAAACAAACAACGAAATTCTATCTACATTTCCCATTCATTGCGCATATTACGATGGTGGAAAGATTAGATCTACAACCTGTAGCATATGCATCTAATGGAAAGAAGATGTCTGCGGATACTGGTAAAGGTGAAGTTTGGTTTGATTGTGAGGTGATCTGTGGTAATCATGAAGGATTATTCAATCAAAATTTGGATTTACCCATTGGCAAGGAAGCATCATGGACGGTCAAGGATATCTGGGGTGAAAATGAACAACTCTTATTCGATTTTATCAAATGTTTGATCATACTTACGGAAAAATGTCAAAAAGCAGTGAAATAGTTATTTAGTATATAGTTATGGAAAAAATAAAATTGATTCATGCGATATTTTTTTTTCTTTTTATATTTGAAACCACGATAATTTAATTTTTTTTTTTTTTGAAAACTTTTTTTTTCTTTTCCTTTACGTTTTTTTACTATTATGACTCGTGACTCTTTAGAAAGACTCATTAAACTGAATACTTGGTTCAAGGAAAGCGACATTGTTATCACCAAATTACAACAACGACTTCAACTTGAATTAACTAGTAAATTGAGTTCTCTTGAACTTGACATTGCTCTTCGATATTGTCAAGATCGAGGTAAAAAAAAATAAAATAGTAATGAAGACCAAGTTGACCTTTTATTTAAATATTCTCTGTATTTCTTTTTTTTTTTTTTTCATATCATATATCTATATATACTTGTAGTGACAGTCTTCCGATACCTTCTTGCCACAAACTTTGAAATTGAAGAAACCTATCAACGATTACTTAACATTATTCAATGGAAGGTCGAGGAACAAGTGGATCAACTTTCTTGGCAACAATTTCCAGAATGGTTTGATAAAGGGTTTGCGTTCTATCATAAACACGACAAGTGGGGTCAACCTGTCATGGTGATCCGATTGCGACATTTTCCGATGATCGATATGATGGACAGTAAAACAAGTTTTGTACGACAACTTCAACCTTATGTGTGTTACTTGATGGAATTAGAAAGGCGGTGGACTTTGGATGAAACACGTAAAAGACAACAACAACAGGAAGATATGCCTTTGGTGATGGAAATGACAGTAATAGTAGATATGGATCAGGCGCCTTTCCTTCCTTTAGATACAACTACCCTTGGATTACTATGTGATTTGATGCAACATTATCCTAATATGGTTGGAAATATTTTTGTACTGAATTTTGGATGGATGCATCAAGGTCTTTGGCATATTATCAAGTTTTTCCTTTCAGATTCGGTAAAGAATAGGATTTGTTTTACTACCAAGGATGATCTTATTCAAGTCATATCTGAGGAAAATTTATTACAAGGCAAGTGGGAATTTTAAAAAAAAAAAAAAAAAAAAATCAAACAAACAAACAAACAAACAAACAATGACTCTTATTTTATATATTAGATTTGGGTGGATCTGATGATTATCAATGGAATGTGACCTCTAATAAAGTGATACAAGAATTCGACAGGTTGCTGCAAGGTGATATGCTTCCTCCTTCTCCAGCTTTGACACCTTTGCAGCTTTCAGAAATTTCCCTTGACCCCTATGATAATATTGAACATACTGAAATCATTGATCCAATCGAAATGACAACAAATGTACATGAAGAAAATTATCCAATGGATCACAATACGATGGAACAAGAACGTCTGCTAGGGAATCATCCAAAGCTACTAAGCTATTTTGGTATTGGAAAACAATGTCAACTTGGATTACGTACAGGCTCCTCTTTTCTTTCGTCCTATCTGGAAAATGATCTTACTCCAACAAATACTTACAAATTGGAACAAGAAATCGATTGGATGACTTGGTCAATGGAATCAGATACTTCATCAAAGAGAACAAAGCAACGGATTGATATGGCAACACAAACAACCTCTCACAACACAACAATGGGATTCGATACTCGTACAACATTATCAAAAAAGATGACTTTTAATTATATATGGAAACTCTTACGTTGGATGTTTTTTTACCTCTTTATACGGATTCATTTTGAAAGTCTGATCTATTATCAATTGATGCCATTGGTAAACCCTCAACACTTGTTATCTGCCACTATTGGTATATCTGCTAGTATGTTTATGATTCTTGGTCCCTTACTTTTATCACCTTGATGACCTTCACTCTCTTCCTTCATTACGCCTTTTCATACTCTTTTTTTTTTTTTGATACCTATTAATATCACTTATTCCATTTTGATTTATTCTATTTCATAATACATCCAAAATAAAATTACCCTTTATTATTCTCCTTATCATCTAATGTAATCTACCAGAGTTAAGGAATTGTATTTTTTTTTTTTTTGACTGTTATAAATGCGTTATGAAGCATCTTTGTTGCCTATACACTGAATTCGGGAACAAAAGAAAAACTTTCTTCTTTGTTTTATCCTGATCCGGCTTGATCAAAAAGAAAAAGAGAAAGAGAAAGAGAGAGAGAGAGAGAGAGAGATGCCTATAAACGAAAACATAACAATCACCCGTCGCATAAAATTCCTATAGAAAATATACTTATCAATAAATATCAAAAATGTTTACTCATTGATGATGATGGATCAATATACCGATGAACTAATATCAACCTAAATCGGAAGTATGAATAAAGTAAAAGAATATCATATTTTTTTATTGTTGTTATCATTCATCACTAACTAAACGATAATATAATTCTAATCTATCGGTGTATTCTGTAGAACCAATAGTCGTGGAGATATGCCTATACCATTCATCAAAAAAAAAAAAAAAAGAAAGAAAGAAAAAAAGATTAAAAATGAGAGATTAAAAATACAAAAATCATTCGATTCAGTCAGTAAATAGGATGATGAACGAAAAAAAAAAAAAAAAGACTTACTGACTGTGATCTTCATGTGTCAAGAGTTGTACCGGTTTCCCTAAAGGCAATAGCAAAATTGGATAGTATTGTTGTTGGCAATCATATAGCGATTTGATCATCTATCTCTCCACATAAAAAAAAGAAAAAAGGAAATAAGTGATCATTTATTTGGAATCAATTCATTCTTTGTTTTCAAAATATAACTTACAAGACAGAAGCATATTAGATTAGATATCCATCCAAAAGTAGATTTGATATAGTATGCTAAATAAATATGTGAAACATAGATTGGATTAGGATAAAAGAGTTGAATGTTATTTGTGCTTTATACCTAATGCGAATAGTTTCATGATTGTAAAAATTGGAGAAGAAGGTATAAGCCAACATGATGAAAATAAAGCTACTAACAAAAATGGACGAGCACCTAAAAAAAAAAAAAAAATAAAAATAAAAAAAGAAAAGAAAAGAAAAGAAGAAATCACTACCTTTTTTTTTTTTTTTTCCTAAAACAAAAGATTTCCCAACTTACTATAGTAAAATAATTCGAGCATACAACTATATAACCATTGGATTGGCTGGATGATAAACCTAAGATCAGTTTGAATATTATTGATATCATACTGCACTGATTTCAATTGATGTTCTGTCATATCCAAAAGATGAGATAATGTTTGATTTGCATCATTTACAGATGTTTGCCATTGTTGAACAAGTTGATGCTGTACTTCCTTCGATATATATATATATATGTATAAAAGATGTTAATTCCAATATTTGCACGCTATATATATCTAATAATTTTACCTGCCAATGTAACCATTTTGTCATTGTTTCGTTTTGCCATAAGGACATGATTTCCATTTTTGTATAAATAGAAGTAAATTCATGATTGGTATGATTGAGTATCTATTGAAAAAATAATAAATAAATATACAAGTGTTAGAATATATTTATATATATTTGATTATTCTTTCTATATTTTACATTGATCAAATATTGATTGATTTGATTAAAATAATGTTGATTTGCTTTTGTTAACATTTGTTGATTTGCATAGATGTCAGAAGCATGATGTTTTGTCTCCCGAATGATGGATATCAAATCATTCATTTCATCAGATGAGTGGTCCTATATGAATATTTTTTTAAGTAAGAGAATAAATCTTTTTTTTTTTCTTTTCTTTCTTCTTTACCTGTAAATGATTAAATTCTGACCATAATTCAAATTGTTGTAATCTTATAGTATCTAAAAGTTTCATTTCTTGATTTCTCCATTCGATCATATCCAATTGTTGTTGTTGTAACATATTATAATATTTAGTTTGATATAATGTCATATTTTGTTGTGCTTGTTGAAGTAATTCTATATATATATATATATATATATATAAAGATTAACCAGAAGTAACAATTGTTGTTTTATTAAAACCTTTTTCTAGAGGATAACGTATAGCAAAACAAATGGTAGATACATCTCGAAAATAACCTAAAATATATATCAATATATATATGTAACTGTCATAAAGAATGATCTTTTTTTTTTACCACTATAAGTTGTCCATGTTTGGGGAATAGATGCTAGTTTTGTAATACAAACTTGTAAGTATAAAGTAGGATGATGACATTCCAATGGGATTGATATTTGAGCAGTTTCAAGTTCACATAAAGTCAACATCAATGCATCTAAGATAAAATAAATATAACTATAAAAAATATTATAATTCTTTTTTTTTTTTTTTTTTACATTTCATTTGATTTTGTTGATCAAATCCAATTTGTTGACATTCTTTTTCTAATGATAATGTTGCTTTTTTAAAACAATCCTTTTGTTTTAATTGTAATCCATTGAAAAGATCTGTTTATAAAAACAATTAGTTTTATTATTGACTTATTTGCATAATACTTGATAACCTAATCCATGATCTGTTACTTGTTGAATAACTTGATTTGAAAATGGCGTGTTCCACCATAATTGCGCCATTATAGTTTGTGATATAAATAGAATTATCATATGTAAAATGATCATCATAGTGAAAGTGAGAAGAAAAAAAAGAAGATTTATATTATTGAAAGAGAAACATTCAACAAACAAGAATTTTTTTTTTTTTTTTTTTACCGCCTAATAGATCAAAAATTCCGCTTACAGTTCAACATTATTCATCAATGTGGTTACACCGTTAGTGGCTAAAATCTTTAGGTTAATATAATTGCCTACTTGTTTTGACCTCCTGACATAAAAAAAAAAGAGGAGAATAAGTATTTATAATAATAATAATAATAATAAAGTAGAAATTTCCAACCCTCATGAGGATCATCAAAAAGGAGAAAGGGGGTTAGAAAGAAAAAAAAAAAAAAAAAAAAAGAAAAGGAATCTTAAAAATTCCCACTTTTACTTTTTAAGCCAATGAAATTTCACTCTAATATAAATATCAGGAGAAAAGGAACCTGAAAATGTTACATTTCTTTCCTTCTTTTTTTTCCATTTTTTTTTTTTTTTTTCATAATGGCTACTTTACAAAAACAAAAATCAAAAAAACGTATATCTAATGTAAGTTATTTTATTAATTTTATATTTATTATTCTATTTATTTATAATTTTTTTTTTTTTCATTTTATTAGACTACTCAAACAAGACATACTAATGAAGAAATAACAACAACAAGTGGTGATACCAACGAACTAGAACAACTCATGCTCGAACCTGTTACTTATGATGACCTCTGTGAAACCACCAATAAAAAGGAGAACATATTTACTACAGAACTAGTTCAATCGTTACAATCTGTGAAACAAGTTTGTCTCGTAGCTCTTGATTCTTTACTTCGTCAACTAGTCAGTTCAATGCCATCAACAAAACCTGAAAGACGTTTATCTGATTCTTCTTTACCTAACCAAGTTGGAAACTCTTTACTTGGCTCTATTGTTCAAAGTACCAATCGTCTATCAACTTTACCTTCTCATCAACAAGAACAAAAAATGAAGCGAAGTGATTCAACACCAGCAATAGCAACTCTTTCTGTAGTCCAACAAGTATTAACATCACATCAAGCTTGGCTATTGGATTCATCCTCAGATTATAATTTATGTTGTTCTTTGGCTGCTCTTTTACATCATTTATATCGATTATTGGAACTAGGATCTTCAACAGATGATACTCAAAATCCTGATAAAATGACATCTTTATCACCTTCTTCAAGTATTTATTCTCAACTACGTGAAAGTATGTCCTCATTTCAAAAGGAAAAAGCAAACAAGAAGATGAAAATCAATACTAGCGACACCAACAAGAATGAACGTAATTCTGATGAATTGGCTATATTGTGGGACGAACTGGATCAGCTGATGAATGCTATTACTTGCTTGGCACAAGATCACCGACAGGTTATAGACTCTGCTCCTCCTGCATATTATGATATTGTAAAACCCCTGGACACTCCTTCTACTGCCATCACCAACAATTCAATAACAGGAAAAACTGACAAATTAGAAAAGAAATCAATGATGGATCCTCCTGATTATACCCAACAAGTCGAAAAAACCCAACATGATTTGGATAATCTTCTTTCTGCCATTGAACAACTATCAAGCCTTTCACCACAACTCAGCAATCAACGCGTAGACTTGACTGAAAGACAAGCAAAAGAATTGGCCGCTGCTACCATTGGAAAGACTATTGAACGTTTATCTCGTGGAAGAATGGATGATCAACGTGCACCTTTACCCTCAATTCTCTCCAAACAGAAAATGCTTTCTGATCTGATGACACAAATCCAACGATCTTCTCTTCGCTCACTAGATGCTCAACGTGCCAGTATGAATCCTCGACTCACAAAGAAGATGGATGCTATTAATGGAATGTTAAACAACAATGATCGTGGAAGATTGACCAGTCAGGTAATATATATATATATGAAATAAAACAAAAACATTTGACTAACTAAATTCTATCTTTATTTAGGATTGGGTTTCTCCTGAACAACAAATGATTGATGATATGACAACAATGACTGATAAACTTGTCAAGATGATGTATCGTCCGAAATACACTCAACAACGTTATTCACTCTCTGCTTTGAAAGAACGAGAATTCTTCCTTCATCATATTTTTCAAAAAGTAGATCGTATGGAAAATCGACGAATGAGCAATCAAGATGCTGAATATACACGCCGCCCTTCTACAATAACTTCTCAGCAACGGACAGATATGGAAGATGAACTAGGTTGTTTATTTGATCATATTCATCGATCCAAGTCGAAAATGGACAATCAACGTGCAAGTTTTACTACTACCTCTCCTGTAGTTCTCTCTACTGCCTCAACATGATGGAATGACTCTATAGTTTAGTCTATTTATCTATTTTCCATCCATTTTTTATATCTACGTATATTTATACCCTTATTATCTATCTCATTTTTAGTTTTGTATATTGATTCCATTTATATATTCATATATCTATATATCATTCTGTGTATAGAAGTTCAAAGAAAAAAGAAAAAAAAAGAAACAATAAAAACTCAGAGTGTAGACGGCAGGCTGACTCCTCTTTTTATCTGTATGCTTTAAATAGAATTTGGAACTTTTTTTTTTTTATATATATCACTATAATGATAATAATAATCATGAAATCTTTTTACACTTTTATTGAACAACCAGTTTCATAGACCAACAACAGGCATGACCAAAAAAGGACAGATTTAAAATTCCGGGAAAATGATAACAAAAAAAAAATTTTTGAGAACCAACATACAGACAACTTTTTTCTTTTCTTACCTCCTCACCTTTTCTTTTTTTTTTTTTTTTGTCGTTTATCAAACCATGTCAGTCGAAGACCTTGAATCACAAACTCAACAGGTAGGTAAATTAGTAAAGAAAAAAGAAAAACTATATATTTCTTCATTGTTATGTCATTCTTATTTACTTTTTTTTTTCCTTATCGGTAGGAAACAAGTTTGACACCTTCCGTTATGGCAACTGATCAAGAATCTCAAGCTGCTGGTACAGAGGACAACAACGAAGTTGTGGTGACTTCAACCATGTTGAAAGAGGAAGAAGACATGGCAAAAGAAACGAAAAAGGAACATGAAGCTCGTATGCAAAAAGAGGTAAAGGAAATATTCTTATTTTTTTTTTATTGAATAATAAAAAAAAAGAGGACAATAACACTCATAGTCACTATTAAATACATACATACATACATATATATATATATATATATATATATATATATTACATAGGCTCAAGTTCAATTCGATAGTACAGTGAAAGAACAACGAATGAAACGATTGAACTTTTTATTGGAGAAATCTGGTGCATATGCTTCCATCCTTGGACAAAGACTTGCCAAACAACAAGAAGAAGCAAGAGAAAAGGCGGCCAAATTGGATGCTGCTGCTGCTGCTACTACTACTAATGATGGTGCTGATATGGATTCTCAAGTGAAATCCAAAAAAGGAACGCGTAAATCCAGTGGCAAGAACGCGGCAAGTGGAACAAAACGACGAAAAACGAATGATGCTCAATATCAACTTGAAGAGTATTTGGATGAACAAGACCTGAAACGGCGCAAAAATAATGAAAGTGTGGCTTCTGCTATCAAAGAAGATGCTAGACAAGGGGAAGATTCTTCGCTTTTAGTGAAACCAACGATTTCTGCTCGACAACCTTCTTTGGTGACAGGTGGTGTATTACGCGATTATCAGTTAGCAGGTGTGGAATGGCTCATCAGTCTCTGGGAAAATGGTCTCAATGGTATCCTGGCCGATGAAATGGGTCTTGGAAAAACTTTACAAACAATTAGTTTTATTGCTCATTTAAAAGCAATGCAAGTAGCTGGACCTTACTTGATTGTGACTCCTTTATCAACTCTAGCTAACTGGGTGAATGAATTCAAAAGGTGATAGATAATATATATATATAAAAGTGAGATATATACTGATCTTTTTTTTTCTTTTTTTGTATAGATTTACTCCTGATATCCCTGTTATTCTTTACCATGGTAGTAAAGATGAACGTCAACATTTGATCAATCGAAAAATGGCCAAAAAGAATCAAACAAACTTTGATTTCCCTATTGTAGTTACCAGTTATGAAATTGTCATGAATGATCGAAAGCACTTGCAAAAATATAATTGGAAATACATTGTGGTGGATGAAGGTCATCGTCTCAAGAACATGAATTGTAAACTGATCAGAGAATTGAAGACTTATTCTAGTGCGAATCGATTATTGTTGACTGGAACACCATTACAAGTAAGATGGATGGTAGAGAAAATTCAAATGTCATCTAATTTTTTCTTTCTTTTTTGTTATTATTACATTAGAACAACCTGGCAGAATTATGGAGTTTACTCAACTTTTTATTACCCGATATCTTTGATAGCTTGGATATGTTTGAATCATGGTAAGAGTAAAAAATTATATATGCTTAAGTTCACTGTTTTTATTTTCAATTTTTTAGGTTTGACTTTTCGGATATCCATCAAAAAAGTGGTCAAGAACGTATCATGAAGGAGGAACAAGAAGATCAAATCATCACTAGTCTCCATACTATTTTGAAACCATTCTTATTACGGCGATTGAAGACAGATGGTAAGTTATTTTGGTTATTATTATTATTATTTCATGATTGACTTTTATATTTTTTTTTTATAGTGGAACATTCCTTACCGAAAAAAAAGGAATACTTATTATATGCACCATTGACAGTGGCACAGAAAAATTTATATGATGCCATCATCAAACGCGATTTACGAGATTATTTGATCAAACGCAAGACCACTAAAGATGATCAGGATAACAATGATACAAAGGAACCTGAAACTGCTGATGTAGAGAATCAAGAAAATGCCAACACTGATGGTAACAACAATACATCCACCACTCGCAAATCATCTCGTGCTTTGAAATCAGTGACATACAAGGATCCATCTGATCGAACTTATTTTGCCACATTGGAAAAACAAGCTCAAAACGCAAACTCAATTACTGAAGATGCGAATCTAGAAGTTGGGAAAAAACATCAATACCAAAATGCAAGTAAGTAAATTATATGATTGATCATTTACAATAACTGACCATCTTATATATTAGTCAAACATGTCAATTCTCTTCATCTTCAAAATCTTGTTATGCAACTACGAAAAGTATGTAACCACCCATTTTTGTTTGATTGGCCTATTGATCCTCGTACCAACACACATGTTCTCAACAATGATTTGGCTGCTCAATCTGGCAAGGTGTTGTTATTGGATCGTTTATTGACAGCTCTTTTTGACCGTGGGCACAAGGTGTTGATTTTTTCACAAATGACAAAAATGTTGGATATTTTGGAAGATTGGGCAACACATCTCAAGGGCTGGCCCATCTGTCGGTTGGATGGAAGCGTTTCTCAAGAATCTCGTAGACAACAAATCGAAGAATTTAATGATCCTGATTCTCCTTTCAAATTATTCTTATTATCAACTCGTGCTGGTGGATTGGGGATCAATTTGACTGGTGCTGATACTGTCATTATCTTTGATAGTGATTGGGTAAGTGACAAATATCTTTTTCTTTTTTCCCGTTATTGATCTTTTTTTTTTTTTTTAAAAAAAAAAAAAGAACCCTCAAATGGATTTACAAGCTCAAGATAGAGTACATCGTATTGGTCAAACCAAACCTGTGTTAGTTTATCGATTTGTAGCGGCAAATACTGTAGAAGCCAAGATCCTTGAACGTGCAACAGCCAAACGTCGATTGGAGAAATTGGTCATTAGCAAAGGTAATCAAAATGACAAGATGATTTCAATGTTAAATATTTTTTTTTTTGTTTAGGCAAATTCAAAACACCCATTTCATCCACATCTGGTTCTGCAAAAAAGGAACAAGAAAACAGTGTAAGGGAATTGGCGGAAATCTTGGCATCAGAAGATGGAGAACAAGTACAAATTGTCGCTCAAGGGGATAAGGTGATCTCTGACGAAGATCTTGACAAAATCTTGGACCGAAGTGATCAAGTCTTGGATTCTCAGAATATCAGTGTGTCTGGCGGCTTCAAACAATTGGATGCAAGTGAAATGATCGATGCTAAAAATGAAATCCTTGCCACTCGTACATGATATATCTTTTTTTGAAAATGGATTAGTTTAGCTTTGCTTTTTTTTTTTGAATACATACACTTTCTATTATTCCTTTATTCATTCATTTTACAATATACACTTTATATCAAAATAAATAAATATATATAAAAAAAAAAGTAGATAATCATTCATTCAATAGTCAGTAGTAAAAAAAAAGAAAATGATTGTGTTTATTCTATATATGAGATAAATGAAATAAAATATATGATACAACTAAAAAAGAGCCAATTTGGAGGTGCCAGCTTGCATTCGAGGAGCAATATAGGTATTCAACAAGGTAAATAAAGGTTCTCGTCCAGACAGTTGTTCCATCAGATTGTAATTGCCTTTGGACGTATCAGTATCCATCACCAAAACCTCCAATTGATCCAATTTCAAATGCCCTTGTTCTATCAGTGCCAATAATCGTTGAGGTGTACCAACTGCCAAATGGATGGCGGTATTGTTCAATAGATCGGCTTGTTCTTGAATCTTGATATGCTTAGCAAACAATTTAGCAATCCTTGCCGTAGTAGCCAATGTTTTCAGTCCTCTATAGAAAGCGAAAAAAAAAAAATATTCAGTATAAAAAACAACGAGTTTTTTTTTTTTTTTTTTTTTTTTTTATTTTTTTTTTTTAATGGTTACCTTGAAAGATCGGCAGCTCGCATGGCAGCATGGGTGACTATGATGGCCATGGGAGATCCCAATCCAGTAGGTTTCTTATTGAGGTTCTTGTGTCTCATGACGGCGAATTTGACATAGTTCGGTAAAGCATCCATGGTGTGTTCTTGTTTGAATTTGGTATTATCGACTATGGCTTCGGGAGTGATTTCCATGGTTTCCAAGGGGGTCAGTGAAGGAAGTGCCTGTTTCAACCGATCCATCACATATTCGGCTTGTACACTAGGTGATTCTGTCCAGATCTTGATACCATGATAAGGATCCTGCGATGATTTCTTTTTTTTGTTCTTCTTGTTCTTCTTCTTCTTTGTATCCTGATCTGCCTTGCGTTTGCCCGTCGTCGTCGTCATGTCTTCTTCGTCCACCGGATTGGTATCCGAATATACTTCTTCTTCAACAAAATCATCCTCGAAATCATCAGCTGATACTGTTGATTGCTTCTTCGTTGAAGATGTATTAATAGGCGTCATGTAATAGATCAAGTAGAATGTAAAAAAAAAAAAAAAAAAAAAAAAAAAAAAAAAGTTCGGTGCTTCAAGTTTTTTTTTTTTTTTTTTTTGGCCATTACTTTTGGATAAGAAAAAAGTCCCAGCCACCTATGCGGTTCTGAAAAAAAAAATATATATAGATAAATATGAATGGATTTTTATTTCTAAATTTGGTTGGATTCAAAAAAAAAAAAAAAGACATGATGATAATGATAATGATGATATAGATTTATAAAATATATAAAAGAAGGGAAAGGACAAAAACTATATATATATAAAAGAGTATGAAATGAAATAGTAAAAATGAAGTCTAATTAGAACCAGAAGAAGAACGACGAAGCTTGATGGCATTGGATAAAGAGAGAAGGATTTCCACTGTAGAATCAAAATCAACACAAGCATCAGTAATGGATACACCGTATTTTAAGCCAGCAGGACCTTCACTAGGAACACTTTGTTTGCCTTCATTGATATGTGATTCAATCATCAAACCAATAATAGAAGTTTCACCAGCAATGATTTGTTCACACAAGTTGTTGGCCACCTTGGGTTGGTTGCGATGATCCTTATTGGAGTTACCATGAGAACAATCCACCATAATGTTGGGTCGAATATTTGCCTTTGTCATCTGAGCTTTTGCTTTTTCAATATGTTCCTTTTCAAAGTTGGGACCATCGTTACCACCACGTAAGATAACATGACAATCAGGATTGCCAGTGGTATGGGTAATACTGACAGTACCTTGTTTGGTGACACCTAAAAAGTGATGAGGAGCAGAAGCCGATCCAATACCGTCGATAGCTACCTTGACATTACCATCTGTACCATTCTTGAAACCAACAGGGAAAGAAACTCCAGAGGCCAATTCACGATGTAACTGAGATTCGGTAGTACGAGCACCAATAGCACCCCATGACATTAAATCAGCCAAATATTGAGGAGAAATAGTATCCAATAATTCTACAGCAACTGGCATACCGGCATCAGTCAATTCGCATAGTAATTTGCGTCCTACACGTAAACCCTTGTTGATGTTGTAACTGTTGTCAATATCAGGATCATTGATCAATCCTTTCCATCCAACTGTGGTACGAGGTTTTTCAAAGTACGAGCGCATGATGATCAACAATTCATCCTTGACTTGTTCTCGAAGTTGAATCAACTTTTGGCCTACAAAGAATATGATTTGATCATTATATAATCATCTTTTTTTTATTTCATATTTGTCATATTTAAGAACTTACAATATTCTTTGGCGGCAATAGTATCGTGAATAGAACAAGGACCAACAATAATAATCAAACGATCATCTTCACCTCGAAGAATGGCAGAAGCTTCGTTACGGGCTTGAGCCACTGTTTGTTCAGACTTTTTAGACTAGATAAAAGTAAAGAATAAAAGTATCAATACAAGTTTGTTGTCAACTACAATATTACCATAGGCAATTCTTCTTGTAAGAAAGCAGGAGTCAATAAAGCATTGTAACCAGTAATACGAAGATCTTCCATCATAATGTAAGTATAAAGTTTAAAAAAGAAAAAAAAAGAAAGAAAGAAAGAAAAAAGATCAATTTTTTTTTTTTTTTTTTTTTTTTTTTTTTTGCTTTGACGCGAGGTTTTTTAATAAAAGCAGTCTCCTTGTCAATTTTTTTTTCTCGGCTTTTTGAACGCTCTGACTCACTCAAACTCATCTCTGATGCACTAAAAAAAAAAAGGGGGGAGATTGACGGAAAATTAAAAGCCAAAAAGAATATCACATGCCAATTTGATTTGACATTTTTGATTCCTTTTTGGATTTTATCAATGACCCATCCGTTTCATTAAAAGAAAACAATGAACAATATAGACATTATTTCAATGGAAATCATTTGATCGACATCATCCTTTTTTTTTTTTTTGATCAGCCCAATTTCCAAGCATCTAATTAAAAAGTGGGACTCTTCATGGGAGGATTCGGGATTTCAGAATCCGCGGACATAGTCAAAAGAAGGTGTCTAAATGATATGATGTTTTTCTCTTTTGAGAGGATAATAATAGATCATCATCAACATAAGAAATACTTATCATAGAAATGTCATCATCCTAGAATCATAAAATCATTCTCTACCTTAAAAGAGGAAAATGTTCTAATAACCATACTAGATGAAAAGAATTCCTCTTCGGGTGGTCAAATTAAAGTTATTTTATAACTTAAACACGAAGATATCAATAAAGAATATATTTTATTAATCAGATGATTTCATTCAAAAAAGAAAAGTGGAATGATAGTAAGAGGGTTATAAGGACTACAAAGGATATAAAACTAATTCTACTATGCAAAATACAAGAGGTGGAAGTGACTTTTTTTTTTGATGATGATAATTAGGCTAAAAACTGAGTATCGATACCATGAGTAAAATCATAAACAAATATCTTGGACATATTGGTACAACAAACTATTTTAGAATAGTCAAATTGAAGATTGATCACTCTATATGATAAAATAACAATATAGGATTGGTTAGTAACTGATTCAAAAAAAAAAAAAAAAAAAAAAAACTATTAATGATGATTTTTTACCGTCCATCCAAATTATCGGTCAAACTACGTAAAAGAGTGCCTTTTTCCATATTCCAAATTCGAAGACTACCATCATAGCTTCCACTGACAATCCGATCCAATCGTTTATCCATTTGTAAAGTACGTACAAGTTCAGTATGACCGGTAAGAGTATGTAGACATTCGCCGTTAGTCATGTTCCAAATCTTGATGGTTTGATCACTGGAACCACTCACAATACAATTACCATCAAATTCAACACATGCAATACCACGACTATGAGAGTCAAAAGTTCGAATAGAAGCACCAGTATTCTACAAAAAAAAAAAAAAAAAAAGGTAATCAGGATTCACTGTATTTTTTTTTTTAATACTTACTGCATTCCATAATCGAATGGTACGATCTCCTGAAGCAGACACGACCATATCATCCTTGAATTGTACAGCGTTGACGGCTGCACGATGGCCACGTAGAACCTGTGTTGTTGATCCTGTTGATAAATCCCATACACGAATAGTTCGATCCTTGGAAGAACTGACCAATCGATCTCCATTAAACCGTAGATTCAAGACACTTTCACTATGACCAGTCAACGTTCGTACTTTCCTACCAGAGGATATATCCCATACAATCATTGTCATATCACTGCTGCCGCTAATAATCCATCGGTCATCAAATTGGAGACATAGTACACTTGCGCTGTGTCCATATAAAGTATGTAAACAGTCAGAATTGTTCATATCCCACACTTTCAAGGTTCGATCACGACTTCCAGTCACCAAAATCTTGCTATTGAATTGTAAACAATAAATCCAGTCCACATGTATATCTGTCGTTCTGCCATTGTCGTTATTATTAGTTGAAGAAGAAGGAAATACATGCATCATATATTGTCCATCCCGCCATCGTCTTTCGATCACACTACGATTTCGATATAGTCGTCGCCAATTGATGAATCGTCTATCTCCATCTTCTTGATAATGATACAATGCTGTTTCATCATAATGAACATATTGTCGTGATATTGGTCTATTCTTGAAAGGACGTCTTTCAATCACACGGTGTTGGGTGGCATCCAGCATTAGAGAAGTTGATGATGTTGTTGATGATGACATATGATTTTCATCCTGAGAAAGACGGATATTTCTGTCAAACGTTGAGTTTCGTTGTGACTCTAATCTTCGATAATGATGATGATGATGATGAGGATATTGTTGTTGTTCTTGTTGTTGCTGCTGCTGCTGCTGTTGTTGTTGTTGTTGCTGTTGTTGATAATAATGATGCTGATGATGCTGGTGACGATGTTGGTGATGGCGACGCTGAGATGTAGATGTTGATGCAGAGCCTATGACATCTTCAGTTGGAGTTGATGTTTGATGAAGACGACTTGAGACACTGATACGGGTATAAGTTGGTGTAGGATGAGATCGTCTGATTGGACTTGGAATGGTCGATAAAGAAGGTGTCATCATTGGTAAACGAGAGTCCGTTGCTGGCGATGACGACCGAATTGGTAACGTTGATGATTGATATGAAGAAGAAGAAGGAGAACTGTTCGTTGGGGAAGAAGGTGATGTTGAATCGTTTGTTATTCTACTATGACGCAAGTTGGCCAAAGTATCGTACAATAATAATTTAGAACTATGCTTGATCGAAGATGTTCCATGTGCCTGTATGATGGAGGGAGATGACGGAAGAGGTATCAGAAGTCTTGAAGATGTAGGTGAGAGAGATGATGTTGATAATAATGAAGACGAATCGGTTGATGAGGTCGAAGCACATGGTTGCTGATAAGATGTAGAATCAGGAGTAGAACATGGTTCATGAGACTGTAAAAAAGTTGGTTCGTTTATCTCCTCAATTGTTGTTGGCAAATTTTGTTGTTGTAAAAGTGGGGAGGAAATGGATGATGACAATCGATTTTCTTGTTGAGCGGAGGATGTAGAAATTGCAGAAGATGATGACACTGAGGAAGAAAGATGTTGTGTTTGACGACGTTGTCGAAAACGTAAAAATAGATCACCAGGTCGTCGTAATGGGCGAAGACGACCAGAAGAGTGAGGAGCACCAGGCATGGTAGGTAAAGCAGTTGGATCATAGAGACTGGCATTTGTTCTTGCTAGAGGGACAGAGGAAATACTAGAATTTGATGGAGGAGATGATGTGATCAAACGAGCAGTAGTAAAAGTGTCCATATTCCTTTTCTTGACATCTTTCTTGTTGGATTTCGACATGTCTGAAGATATTGATTGTTCCAAATAGTTCTTGATAGCTTCTTTGTCATATTGCCATCCTTTCTCTATATAAAGTTGTTTCCATAAAGATTGGTCTTCACTGATAAGTTTCCATCGTCTAGAGACTTGACCCATATGTATAAGAGTAAGAACATCTACATAACTAAGGATATAGACAGCCAATTCATAAGGTAACATCTAAATTCAGAATCATCGAATTACACGAGGTTAAAAATCATGCTATATTATTTTGTTTACCACCCCTTTGATTTCCCAAAAAAGAGAGGAGATCATACTTACAGAGAAAAAATCACGATGTAGTAAAGGACCCAGTCGATCTACCACCTTCAGGGACCGCGATGTCGGAATGGATAATAGTAGCTGGTATGCAAATTCTATTTTTAAAAGGAAATGAATAAGATGATAATAAAGAAGATGATAATAAACGAGTTAAAAAAAAAAAAAAAACCAAATCCTCCATATTCATTCGTACCCAGTTTGTCCCCGCTTTTCTTTTCCACTGCTCCCTATTTTTTTTTCCCTTTTTTGTTACACTACACTACACTACACACGCACATATATATATATATATATATATATATAAATACATATTCAATAAACTATTGATGATACTTTACCTGCTTTTTGTTCTTCGGTCCATTTTGTCATAAAGTCAGGCGCTTCAAATCGTTGTTCAACATAACCTTCATCAGTGTGTGTAATAGCTGTTTTGTTATTTGTAATTGGAATATTGTTCATTTTTAATGCTATCGAATCATATTAAATAGGATAAAATTGTATGTGTGAGTGACTAAAAACATAGGTAGCCGTTTGGAGGTTTTTTTTTTTTTTTCTTATTTAGATGATTCATTTTTACCTGTTGTTACTTTTTCTCGTTTTGTCTCGAATGATGGGTTATCGTCGAGTTTCTGCTGATACATGGACACATAAGTTTGTTGGAACACAAAAGAAAAAATAAAAAAAAAAAAAAAAAAAAAAGAGCAAGAAGGGAAAAAAAAAGAAAAGGTTTTAGGTTCTTAATTCCACCCAAAAAAAAAAAAAAAAAAAAAAAGAGGTCAATGAGACAGCGGCCAATCATGTTCGGTGGTATTTGTTTTTTCATTTTTTTTTTTAACTTACAACTCCCTTCAGCACAGAGGCATTAAGAGTGTCATTTTCAAGGAATAGCCGGAGTTATACAATGAACTAGATTTGAGTATGTTTTGATTTTTTATTCTAGAGAAGTAAAAAGATGTACGATGAGGGGTAAATCAATAAAAAAAAAAAAAAGAGAACGAATGAAGACAATAATCATAAACTAGAAAATAAAAAATAAAAATAAAAATAAAAATATACTAATATCACAATCTACCAACCAAAGATGATTTCTTTAAGCTTGTTCATGACGCTATTGTCGGCTACCTTGGTTACTTGTTGCCCCATGACATTGGATTGTCCATATGATGGTGATAATGATGCTGATAATGACGATGATGGTGGTAATGTTGATGGTAATGTTGATGGTGTCGATGTAAAAGATGATAAAAATCCTGATGGTTTATGGTGATCAGTTTTGAATACACTTTGAATAGGTTGTGTCAAATTAACAATACCAGGTTGACCAGAGGAGGATTCTATCGATGCGTTCCCATTCTTTTGATTATTTTCAGTTGCTGGTATCAGTAATGTCACACCAACCATATATTTGTTACCAAGGATAGTACCATTGCATTCCAGTGCTTTTCTAGCTCCTTCCTGTGTCGCATATCGAATCGTCATCCAGTTGCCAGGTGATTGATGACGTTCAGCAATTTCACCACATTTTGTAAAATGTTCTAGTACATCTGCTGTCATATCGGGTGGGAAGCCAAAAATACTAACTGTTGTTGATGCACCAACCTTGATATTTTGATCCTTCATACTACTAAGATGATAGAAAAATACGTTTAATTCTATTCAATTTTCTATAAAGTCCCTTTTGTTGAAATTCATACCTTATAATATTCATATCCTTCTTCAAATCAAAATTAACTAGAAAAAGAAAAAAAAAGTCAATATTCTTTATTTATATTTTTTTTTATTAGAATATAACACTTACCTGGCATAATAGCTGGTTTTGGATTCACGCCAATATCCCATAAAGATGATACTGGTGGTTCATCAGTTGAAATGGTTTCCGTAGATCTATGTTTTCCAAATCCACTATATTTATCATTCTGTTGTGCACCAAATATACCATGAGAAGAGGGAGGAACTGATGATGATTTAAAAAGGACACGTCGACTAGAGAGAGAGAGAGAGAAAAGTAAGGATTTAGTACAAGTGACGACAAAAACTTCCCATTCTTTTATTCTTATTAGTCCATCTACTTACTCTGAATCTTCATTATCACTTAATGAACGTTTATGTCCAGTAGTTGCACTTTCTGTAGTCTATATAAGAAAAAAAAAAAAGAAGAACAATAATGATAAGTTCTTATGACATTATATATATTCTTTATTTTATACCTGAGCAGTTGTACCAGTCAAAAAACCAGGAAGCACAGTCCGTTTTTCACCAAACGTAAGGGAAGGAGAGGAAGAAGATGTAGAAAGTACATTTCGTCTTGATTTTGAGTCACCCAATGACTGAAGATGTGAACTTGCTGATAAAAGGCTGGTGTCTTTGTCTTTCCCAGAGAGAACGAATGTACCTTTTGATGTAGTTGTAGTAGTTGGAGTAGTAGTGGAGCTGGTCGACGAAGTCACGTTATCCGTTTTGGTGGAGTCTCGATCGTTCATAAAGAAACTTGAAGGTAACATAGTACGACTGATACCATCCGGTCGAATGACAAAGTATGGCACATTGGTATCTGGAAAAGCGGCATGTAAACTAAGAAGGGATGAGTCTTGTTGTTGTTGTTGTTGTTGCTGTTGTTGTTGCTGTTGTTGCTGTTGTTGTTGAGATGTAAAACTAAATGCAGGAGTGGATGAAGTTGTATTAGTGGTAAAAGATGAGCCACCGAAAAGTGGTTTTGCGGGTTGCTGTTGTTGTTGTTGTTGTTGAGTGCCAAAACTAAAACCAGCGCCTTGAGTTATATTGGAACCGAATAGAGAAGTGGTATTAGTTGATGTGGAATTAGTAACCGAGGTTGAGGTTGAAGGTTGGAATCCAGTTTGAGTATTCAATGTATTGCTGTTTGAAGGTAAAGAAGAAGTACTAGTGGCAGGAGTAAACATTGAAGTAGTATTGCGTTGGTGACCAAATCCTCCAGGTGTTGTTGTTGTTGTTGTTGTTGTTTGTGTGGTTGATGTTTGAGGAACACCAAAAATGCCAGTTGATGGAGTTGTAGAACTAAACATATCGAGATAATAACACAACAGTCAACAACAACAGTAAAGGAAAGTTATTCTCTTAATAACAGATAAAAAAGTTAACCTAAAGGAGAAGAAAGGAGAAAGGGAAAATGAGAAAAAAAAATCTAGGGAAACGGAAATATTTTTTTCAAAGTCACTTTTTTTTTTCTTTATTCTATTTTTTTTTTTTTTTAGTACAAATATGGTATAAGAAAAAAAGTGTAATCTACAGTTTCTAAATCTATTCTATAATTGAATTTTGTTTCTGTCCTATTGAAGTCTTCAGTTGACCACAAGCAGCCAAAATATCTATAAAAAAAATAAAAAAAAAAAAAAAACATAAGATATCATTCATTATTATCTCTCTTCTTTTACCTTTTCCACGAGGTCTCCTAGTTGTACAAGGAACTCCGCCATTCATCACTACTTGAGCAAATCGTTCAATATGATCCCATTGCGTTGTTTCATAAGAACTTCCAGGCCATGGATTGAATGGTCTATCATAAAAGAAAAAAAATTATATATTAGTTATCAATCACATCATCTTCTTTTTTTTTTTTTTACTTACATAAGATTAACATGAGCAGGAAGTTGTTTTAATAATTTGACAAGCATACGGGCTTCAGCCAAAGAATCATTGACATGATTTAACATAACATATCTAAAAAAAAAAAAAAAAAAAGGATAGTTGGTTAAGCTTTCAAACTTAATAATTGATCACTTTTGTAATTTACTTACTCAAAGGTAATTCTTCTACCTTTATTTCCCATCACTTGACTATATTGTCGACAAGCATCTAATACCATTTCCAATGGATACGTTTTATTCAGAGGAACTAATTCATCACGTAAATCATTATTGGTAGCATGAAGTGAGATAGCCAATGAGACACCAAGTTCACTTGCCAGTTTTGGAATCAATGGTGCAACCTTCGTCATAACAACAAAAGAATATCATTCAATTCAATCTTCCATTTCATCTTTTTTTTTTTTTGGCACTTACACCAGACGTACTGACAACTATTTTGGATTTTGGATATGCCAATCCTTCCGAATTTGTCAATATCTTGATCGCCTTACTTGTAGTTCTTTGAATTATTATAGTAAATAAAAAAGGAAGAAAATAAATCAAAATGATATGTGATGATTGAAATTTTTTTTTTTTTTGATTTACCTCCAATTGTATAATGGTTCTCCTTGACCCATAAATACCATATTGCTTAGTACACGTTTCGAATTGTCTTGTATAGGAAAGTCACCAGATCGTTGAGCAG